TGTAAAAATAATAAAATAACCAAAAATATATAAAAACAGCTTTTTAGGCTTAGTTACTTACTTTATTTTTACTTTTATTACTTATAAGCTTGATTATAAAAATGCTAGTAAATACTATATTAAATATAAATACTGCTAATACTACTTTTTAAGCATTATAAGTAAACTATTTTTAAAACTATAATAGTTTTTTTAAAGTTATAAATAAAACTAGTAGCTAATACGCATAGTTATACTTTATAAAAAATAAGTAAAGTAGTACTTAATATTTAAAATAAAATTAATAATAAGCTAAATAAAAAATTTTTTTTAAAGTACTTAGTTAGTTTAATTTAGCAAACTAATATATTTTTAAAAACAGTAAGTTATATAGTTGCAATAATATATATAGTATACTTTATTAAATAATTAAAGCTTATAAAAAAAAAGTGTAAAAACTTATATAAGCTAAAAATATAGCTTAAGCTTATAAAAATAGTTAATTTTACTTATAGTACTAGTCTTTAAAGTTAACTTTTATTTAAGCTTTATATAAGTGAGCTTTATACTAAGCTTTTTAAAAAAAGTTATATTTTACTAAATTAATATATAATATTGCAATATAAAAGTTAGTATTAAAAAAAATTAATATTTTTAAAGTACTACTAGTTAGTATAAGTAGCTTAGTAAAAGTATATAAAAGGCGCACTTAAAGCACTAAAAAAAAATAAGTATTATATTAAATTATTAAAAAAAAGTACTTTTTAAAAGTAACTATTTTTTACTATTACTAGTAGTATAAAGTAAGCATTATTGCTTATAACTACACTTTATGTAATAATACTTTTTAGTAAATAGCTAAAAATAGCTTCTTTAACTTAATTTTAGTAGTAAGCTTTTAATTATAAAAGCTTAAAGCTTAAAAAAAAACTTTATAATAGTTACTACTACTATAAATGCTTTTAACTTTACAAGCGCACTTATTATAATAAAGTAGTATATTTAAGCTACTAAAAAAAAATGCTTTTTTAGCAGCTTATTACTTTTAAAAGCTAAAAACTAAAATTACTTTTTTAAAGAGTACTACGCTAGCTTTATTTATAATAAACTTTACTATAAAAAAATACTTAAAGTAAAAGTAATAAGTTAGTACAAGTAAAATATAAATAGCTTATTACACTACGCGCTAGTAAAGTAAAGTTTTAAAATAAAAAACTTTATAAACTATAAAAGAAAAAATTATAAAAAATATTAAAAGTTTTTTTACTTTTATAAACTAGTGTTTAGACTTGCCTTTTATAAATTTATATAAAAAAGTAACTAAATTACTTAAGCTATGCAGTACTTATAAAAAGACTTAAAAAAGTTTTAATATATATATTATAAGTATATATTAAAAAAAAATAAAGTAGTATTAACTTAAAAGTACTTTTAAATATTTATACTAAATATGCTTTTAAACTTTATTAACTAAAGCTTAAAAGTATTTATAGCACATGTGTAAGCTATATAATATAAAAACTAAAGCGTTTACTCTTTTATAACTTACTTTAGTACTTTAAAAAAATAACTTACTTTTTATATAAAAGCTTAAAAAGTATAATATTTATTTGTAAAACTAAAACTAGAGTTGCAGCGCTTTATTACTAACTATTATTAAATTTTTTTAACATAAAAAAGCTTTATTTTATTAAGTTTAATACTAAAATAAAATAAGTAGCGCGCAAGCAACGCGCACTTATAAAATAACTATAATAAAAAAAAAGTATAAAAAAAAAACCCCCCTTATTACTTATTACTAGCTTTAAAAAATAAGTTCTAAATTACTTATTATAAGTATAAAAAGCAAGATTATTATACTAATAAGTATTAAAATAGTAATTTAAACTATAAGCTTATAAAAATTAATTAAGTAAAAAAAAAGCATGCTTTACTAAAACTTTAGCTATAGTAAAGCATATGCTACTAAATATTTTACTAGGCATAAAGTATAAGTATTATATAATAAAAGTAATATTAAAAAAATAAAAACTACTCTTTATTTTAAACTTTTAAGCTAATATTAGCTTTATTAATTAATAAGTAGCTATTAAAATAAAACTATAACTAATAAAAAAAGTAGGTGTTTTATAGTTAAGCTAAATTAAGTTATAGTATTAAAGCACTTACGCTACTTATATACTCTAGTTATAACTTTTAAATAACTAGTAAATATAATACTAAACTTATACTATAGTTTATAAAGTTAATAAAAAAAAAGTACTTTTTTTTTTAAGTAACTTATTTTTTAAAAAAAAGTAATTAGCTTTAACTATAGTACTTAAATATAAAGGTAAAAGTATATAGCTAAAAATATCTAGCTTATTTTTATTAAAAAATATTTAAAAAATAATAAGTAGGCTAGTATAAAGCTATATTTACTATAAGTATTATAAATAATAGTTATATATATAAAGTATACTGCTAGCATTTATACTATAAGTATAGTATATATTTTTTACATTTTTAAGCTACTTTAAAACTGCGCAATTTAACTTTATATTAGATTTTTAAAGCAGTATATAATAATAAGCAGCTATACTTATTATACGCTATATATACTAGCTATATACTTAAATAATAACTAGCGCTATATATATACGCACATATATATACTATATAAATAAGTTTTATATAAAGAGACTATAAAGTAAAACTACTAAAAATATTAGCTAAAAAAAAAGTTTTATAATATTACTTCATAAAAGTTAATATTAAAAAAAATTAATATTACTAAAGTGCTATTATTAAGTATAAGTAGCTTAGTAAAAGTATATAAAAAGCACACTTAAAGTACTAAAAAAAAATAAGTATTATTTTAAATTATTAAAAAAAGTACTTTTTAAAAGTAGCTATTTTTTACTATTACTAGTAGTATAAAGCAAGTACTATTGCTTATAACTACGCTTTATATAATACTAAAAATCTTTTTAAGCTTTTCAAAAAAAGTTTTTAAAGTTAAATTATTTTTTATAGTTAGTTTAAAGCAGGCAGATTTTATAAACTCTAGTTTAACTATTTATTAAACTATTACTTAAAAGTTTATATAGTTTTAATTTTTTATTTCTTAGCTAGTGTACTTTATTTTATACATTTTAAGCGCTTAAAAAGCTTTAGCTATACTAAGCTTTTTATAGTTAAAAACTTTTAATTTAGTAATTACTTTAAGTAACGCGTTACTATTAAAGTTAACTTTATTTTAAATATTTATAATTTTAGCTTACTAAAAGATATTTAAAAACTATTATAGCTAGTTAATTGAAAACTTAAGTTTTTAAGTTTTAAAAAAAACTACTAGTAGTTTTATAATTAAAAGTATAAAATTTATAATAAAAAAATAAAATATATATAAAATTTTAAAAAGTATTAATAGAGTAGCTAAATAGTATTTATCTATAGTATAGTTATATAGTAAAAATAATATTAAACTATAATACTAAGCTTATAACTATTATAAAGCTTATAAATCAATATTTTAAAAAGTAGTAAATAATATATAATTTGCTATATTAAATATAAAAAATATTATTTATATATAAAGCGCTTAGAAAGATGTATTACTAAGTGTTTATTATTAAAATTCTAAACTATGTTATATTTATATAATTTCTGTTTAGTATTTTATATTATTTTTGCTTTTAAATAATCCTTCTACTGCAATAAATTATTAGGCTATAGTAAATTTACTTATAGTTTTTTTACTTATAGTTACTAGTAAGCATTTAAGTAGTATTTTTAAGTTATTATAAGTATTTATAATATTTAAAATATAAATTAAACATAAATTAATTTTTTATATATTTATCTAAAAGTAGTAGTATATAAGTTACTTTTATTAAAAAGCTAAGCTACTATATTTAAATAATACTTAAGTTATATATAGCTTAATTATAGCTTAACTTTAATATAGCTAGTAATAAGTTAAGTATTTATTATAGTAAGCTAAAAGTTCTTAAGTATATTTTAAGTGTATAGTATTATATTATATTTTTACTAATAAGTTTTTAGTTATATTTTATAAGTTACTAATTAGCTATAGCTTTTATATTAGTAATTTAAAGTAAGAGTCTTTTATTATTTAGCTAAAAAAAATATAACTAATAAATATTTTTTTATTACAACAACATTTATTAAATTAAGTATACTATTTTACTAAAATTTAGTTTTACTATATTTATATTAAAGTACACTTTTTAATACTTTTTATTTATTTATAGCGCGTTTTAAAAAAAGTTTTATATTTTTATTAAAAGCTTAAAAAATAAGCTATATATTAGTTTTATTTAAATACTTTCTAAAAGTTTAGTATTAAAGCATTATGTAGTTATTATTATTTTAGTATAGTTTTAATAATAAGTATTTACTTAGTTAAAGTATTTACTTACTTAAAAAGCTATGCTTTAATAACTAAGTTTTTAATATTAAAGTACGTTTTAAAAAACTTATTTACTATATTAGGTTTAGCGCAGATTTTTTTTAAAAAAATAAAAAACTATAGAGAGATATAAGCATTAACTTCTATCTTGTATATATATAAAGTACAAGAAACAGTGTAGCTGCGCAAATTTCAATGTTAAGGCGTAGACAAATCATAAGCGCTCTGCCAACTTAAGCTAGCCTTTTCTATTCTTGTGTGTTCGCAGCTCGCTTGCGCGCGTATGCAAGAGTCACAGCCGCCGCCCAATAATTACACGCATAAGCACTGCCTAGAGACAAATGAACGTGCACCACGTTGCTTCAAAGATAATGACGCATTATGGATCAAGACCAGATTGGACCTGAGCCCAGGGCTACGCACCAAAGTTGCATATACACTGAGCGCTAGCGTCAGTTTCCCGCTGCCGCTCCCGCTTCAGTTTCCCGCTGCCGCTGCCGCTTCAGACCGCGTTATCCGTCTGGACTGGGATTTCATACCGGGCTTGTTTACACCGGATGATAGCATACATCTCTTAGTGAGGTTTGCTCTGTACCCTGACCCGTCAGCTTCTGCAATAGAGGTAGCGATCAACAGCGCCTACTAAATAACCGCATACTTTGCAAAGTAACAGCATTGTTACCGCCGTAAACGAATTGCCCTGAATCTCATCAGGCTCCTTAAATTTGGACTCCCGTGCGCTTGCACCGTTCCCTCGGGCTCTTCCCCGCTCGAAGGCTCGTACGTCTTCCAGTCCGATTGGTTTCAATCTGGACAACATGTTTATCTCTGCCAAGGAGCAATAAACAGTGCATTCACTATCCACTCATATTGTAGCACGTCTGCCAAGCAATTTCATTACATCTCGAGAATGCCACCAGCACACACACCTATGCGTTTAGGTTCTGCGTCTGGTTCAGCGCGCATGGGCAGAGCCCTGTGGTTGGGAACCATTCCTGTATGCAACTGCTGGTTATCTCCGTCAAGTCGAATCGTACTAGGAAGGAGTAGCTACTAGTATAAGAATGCATCTGCGTAGGCTGAATCTGCCAAATAATAATATCAGACTACTTCTCTATTCAAGATGAGCTTCGTAAAGTGTGCTCGGGAAGCTAGCAGCCATTTAATTACCCTTGAGATAACAAAACCTTACACAACCTACACAACGCAATTCACTTTGATTCGCACGCGTCCGCCAACACAAAGCACATCCCAATCTACGCCACCTCTCGTGTCTTCTACGGAAAACCCTGGTTCTGACTCGACCACATGGGTCGTCGGACTAGTATTCGGTGTGATAGCTTTACTTCTTGCTGTCTTATGGTGCTGCTGTAGAAGACGAGATCCTCTAGATATATGCTATGTCCGCAGTGTTCCGGAAGGCCCGCGAGGTCCGGAAGGCCCGCGAGGTCCCGATGGTCGTCCAGGTCCCGATGGTCGTCCAGGTCCCGATGGTCGTCCAGGTCCCGATGGTCGTCCAGGTCCCGATGGTCGCCAAGGTCCCGATGGTCGTCCAGGTCCCGATGGTCGCCAAGGTCCTGATGGTCGTTCAGGTCCCGATGGTTGTCCAGGTCTCGATGGTCGTAAAGGTTCTCCTGGTCCTCCTGGTCCCCAAGGTCGTGAAGGTCCTCCTGGCCCTCCTGGTTCTCCTGGTGCCTTGGGTCCCCAAGGTCGTGAAGGTCCTCCTGGCCCTCCTGGTTCTCCTGGTGCCTTGGGTCCCCAGGGTCGTAAAGGTTCTCCTGGAGATTCTGGTCCCCGAGGTCGTAAAGGTTCTCCTGGCCCTCCTGGTTCTCCTGGTGCCTTGGGTCCCCAGGGTCCTAAGGGTTCTCCTGGTCCTCCTGGTTCTCCTGGTCCTCCTGGTCCTCCTGGTCCTCCTGGTTCTTCTGGTCCACGAGGTCGAAAAGGTTCTCCTGGTTCTTCTGGTCCCCAAGGTCGTAAAGGTTCTCCTGGTCCTCAAGGCTTGACAAATCATTACTGGCGGGATGGACGGGATGGACGGGATGGACGGGACGGACGGGACGGACGAGACGGTTGGGATGGGCAAAATGTGCGAGATGGGCGGTCAAATGAGTCATATCTTCGAGTGGCTCAAATCTTCCAGGCATAAAAACCTCCACAATTTTAAGTTCAACCGTTACCACGCCCAGTAAGTAGTCTACTATCTACTTTGTACTTTATTTATACTTTTCTAATGTGTCTACCTAGAAAATGCAGTAGCAATCAATCCATAAGTAGCAAAAATTTAGGTTTCTTGTAACAACTATCGCATTCTTAGTCGTTCTCTGTAAAGGCTTTAGAAGTAATTGTGTACAATTGCAACTAGAGCTCTCCTATTATATACAGCTTAAGGCTGTGAATTTAAATGTTTAGGAATAAGAAACTATTTATTATTATTCGCAGTTAATTAACTTAAACTGAGGGGTATTAAAGAGTGTAACAGAGTTTTGTAACTTGTAGTATCCTAAATGATAGATCTTACAGTATTGCATCTAGTATCTAGCTATTAGAAAGTCTCCGTGTAGAGGGATGACTATGTCAATCAATAAATAATAAGATTAATAAGTAACTATAGACAGTTCACAGGCAGCTGCGCCACAATGACCATGGGTCTCTGCTTTACAAAGATCTAAGAACAGTATACTAAGCTATTTCCTTGCTAGTTAGTAAGGAGAAAACAAAGCTTCCTGTCTGCTTAGCTGTACTTAAGCATAGTACCGGCGGATTAGTGGTTAGGTAGGTGACTACTAGCGAATACCTGCTGTTGTATGTTTTTGTGGGTCTAGAGTCATCCTCGAAAGACTAGTGATCGCTTTTTTGCTCTCGTAGATTTGGTTGCATGCACTTTCAACAAGGGCTTTGTCATTATACATGTTCCGAGACAGCTGCCTGGGTAAAAGTCACGAAAGGTATCATCAATACAATTCCAGATGAATCGTGATACGCCCTACCCGCCCAGCGAACCCACAAATTGTACGAGAGCAACGAAAAGACATACGATTGGACAAGGAACTTGAATTTGACAAATGAACTGTACTACACTTCACAAGAATCGAGCAACAGCAACGTATACATGGATGATCGCTTTAAAAGAGGACTATAATCAATAGTGACTTGAAAACTAACCAACATATCTCTAAATATTATCATGAAAATTGTAAGACGTGCGCAGCATTCATATAAAGTTTAAAATTAAGATTTACTTCTACCTACAACTGTAGGCCTTTCAATAGCAGAATGTTTTCTTTCCTCTTTCTATAGAGTAGCGCAATAGATCATATACGCTATGCTTGATTTCTTCTAGCCTTGGCCTTCCATTCAATTGTGTTCAGCTCTATCTGTGGCGCAGCGTGTTCACTACAACGCAGTGCAGCTCTGCCGACCCAATAGTAAGTGTGAGCGCGGTCCTGATCGGTAAAACAACAGATTAGGCAGCAGCAAGTTTGAATGCCCCTCACTCGTATATCTTCTTTCTCTAAGCTGTAGCGAAATCATCACCTGAGAAATCCTCAGCAATCTGGCCAACTCTCATCTCACGCGTATATATTAGTTTCTATGCTACTTCATTGGACGAAGGATAATCATGAACTCAGTTGAACTATACTCTACCCTCCCCTCTGCTCACTCTATTCGACTCCTCAATCTACATCCTGGTACCTATGGGAAACAGATTACTTGTTCTCTCATTGTGATCGATGACTATACATCAGCACCAGAACACAAAGCACTTAGCTATCACTGGGGGAATGCAAATGACACCACCGAATTGACTTGCAATGGAAACCCCATCTTCATTACGAAGAATCTCTACGCCGCTCTTCACCGAATACGTGGAGAGACGCAGCCATGCCTCATCTGGGCCGACGCAATATGCATCAACCAGAAAGACGTCGAGGAAAAGAACCAGCAACTCACTATAATGCCGGATATATATCATCGCGCTTCAAGCGTCATTGTATGGGTCGGCCATGGCGACGAAAACACGCATATAGCACTGGATATGATTAAATCCATCGGCTACGCTTGCTGCAGGGAAATTTATGGGTCTAGTGTTCCCCAGGAATCCTATCTACCAACCCTTCGGAAGGAGCCCGAAAGAACACAGCTGGCCATGAGAACCAACTTGGCAAGCCTGGAAGAAATATCGTACACGATTCCAAGCTGGAAGATGCTCTGGCGTTTCTTCCAGTCCGAGTGGTTTTTTAGAGTCTGGGTCATTCAAGAGGTTCGAGACTGTGCAGACGTTTGGCTACTGTGTGGAGAGGAAAAGATTGAATGGGATCTTGTAGCCTTGGCTGCGAATTGGGTGCTTCATTCCGCAGATCGAGACGACATGATTGAATGGAGGAAGGAATACTACCCGTCCTATCACGGATTTCGCAATGCATTCTTGATGTGGGATCGATCATGGAGTACTCGTAGAGATGCTCCTTTCCTAGCTTTTCTCCGCCGCGTTCGAAGTTTTCGCTCCACAGATCCTAGAGATAAAATATTCGCGGTTTTACATCACCATATCATTCAGGCGAAGTCAATAGGATCAATCGAAGATGCTAGAGTTACACATTCTTCTGATCCATCAATTCATGTAAGAAAAATCAGGGCTACACAGCAATTCTATTACTAACTAAAGAATCAGTCTTCGGCCACACATCTCGGTTTCGAGGCAGATTACAGCATGACTACGTACGAGGTCTATCGCAAGATAGCATTAGACTCAGTCAGATACTATCAAAACCTCGAAATTTTATGTTATGCATGGCCAACAGCAAATCTAGACACATCATATCCCTCGTGGGTACCCAGGTGGGATCTTCCTACCGCCTCTGGAGGCATGTTACTGCCATTCCTTTACAATGCATCTCCTGGGACAGTGCCATGGCTGCGGCATAGCTTTGAACCAGATAACTTGACTTTGCGAGGTCTTTGTGTCGGAACGGTCGTAGACATTACGGGTTTTCTCAAGTTTGACGACAAACAAGGTCTTACAAACAACGCAGATTGCGACGACTCTGTCAGAGCGTCCTTGATAGAAGTGTCAAGAATTCTGTTACAAGACAAATGGCAAGAAGAGTCAGACCGAGACGAAGAGAATACTGCCCAACGCGCTATCGATAATCCTCGGGCTCACTTTGCCGATTTCTGTGCCTATCTCCTACCCCTCCTTGAGGGGCATGCACAGGACAGCTATATCACTTTCGATTCCTGGTGGTGCAATCTTTGCTCAGAATATATAATCAAGCAACGGCAAGCGGTGCCCAAGCTTCCCAGAATGTACCACTGCCGCATCTGCGATGACGACGATTTCGATCTATGTTCCAATTGCTATGACTCTGGAAAGTGGTGCAAGGACTCTAGGCATAGACTGAAGAGCGTGAAACCGGTACATTTATGGTGTCCGTATAACGCTCAGGTGATTCAGCAACTTAGAGTGCATGCAAGTACAGGAAATGCCGACCGCTTCGGAAGCCAATCCAAATTCGCTTGCGTGAGTCGTGTGTTTTTTACTGCCTCTCGGGGGTGGAAAGGTACAGGATCGAGACATATCGAGCCTGGGGACTTTTTGGTTGTTTTATTTGGGTCCCGGGTGCCTTTTATATTACGGAAATATGGTACAGGTTATCGCTTGATCAGTGACTGCTATATATATGGTCTTATGGACGGAGAGGCGATGCGCATGTACGATGACGGCGAGCTGGAGCTGGAGGACTTCGTCATCCAATGATTACTTCCTCATATCAAGATCCGAGATCTTTTTTGCTTTGGTCATGTATCGGAGTAATGTTAGAGACACGGTAAGAGCGAACAAGTGACATAGCTGACAACATGCTTCAACTCTTCAACGCTATAACAAATTATAGCGGGGTTTTTAATTGGAAATTACGGTGTTTCCTACACCCAAAATGGCCGATAAAAAGTGTTGACAAAAAGGTTCACAAAAGGACTTTGCTGTCGGCACCGGGACAGGGAGCAACCCAAATGAAGTAAAGAACTGACTTGTGAAAAATGGTGTTGTAGAAAGTCCAACGCAGAAGTTTTTTTGTCATCACCTCGCTGGTGGCTATTGAATTGAACAAGAGAAACAAATCTGAGATGATGGGCCAGGCAGTAGCTGATCGTGGAATTCCTAAAGCATGACAACGGACGCCACAGAAAACCGGATGATGGAAACTACAGCAGGGGTAGTAGAACGCTCGATCTACTCATCCTTGCTCAAGATAAGCGTACACTTTAATCCTCTAGTGCTCACTCATGAACGATCCTTGATATAGCGAGTGGGCGCATGAATCGTGGGCCGCGGCATCTTGCTAAGCTACTTTCCTAAAACAGCAATTTTCAAACAACGCCAGCCGGCCGTTGGGACATTCTACACACCACTAGAGTTCCTCTACGCTCGATACTAGATTCTTCTGCAAGACTTGTGCTTTGTTTGGCTGTGATTTGCAAACAGACAAGTTTTGCTCGCCCGGTCAACATCGGCCGGCCATACCGAACGTTGGGGACCCCGTGGTGATGATGTCACCAGCCCCTCCCCCCGCCGACGCCATGAGCCATCAGTAACTATGAGGTACATAGGTAGCTACATATGTAGCTGAGCTGCCAGCGTCAAAAAGAAATCCCTCAGCTCCAGCTATCTTCCTTCTCACATCCAATTGAACAATTCTTCGTTCTGACATACCTATACTACATACTTCCATACAACAATATCAATTGTGCAAACATGGCCCCAAAGATCCTCTTCGTCTTAACCTCCCACAACAAGCTGGGCAACCTCGACAAGCCCACGGGATGGTACCTCCCTGGTAAGACAACTCCCTCCCTCCATCTCCCCATCCCCTCATAAAAAGAAGAAGAAGAGAAAGAACAAAGAAACCACCCCACTGACCGCAACAGAACTCGCACACCCCTACCACGTCCTCCACTCCAAAACCACAATCACAGTCGCGTCCCCCAAAGGCGGCGAATCCCCCCTGGACCCCTCCTCAATCGACGCCTCAAAAGACGACACCATCTCTCAAACCTTCCTAAAGCAAAACGAATCAGTCTGGAAAACGACCTCGAAGCTCGACACCTTCCTCGGCAAAGCCGCAGACTTCGATGCCATCTTCTACGTCGGCGGCCACGGCCCCATGTTCGACCTCGTCGACTCCCCCGTCTCGCAGCAGCTGATCCGCGAGTTCTGGGAAGCGGGCAAGATTGTGTCGGCGGTGTGCCATGCGCCGGCTGTGTTTTACAATGCCAGGTTGAGCGATGGGACGTTGTTGGTTGAGGGGAAGGAGGTTACGGCTTTTACTAACGAGGAGGAGGCGCAGGTTGGGTTGAGTGAGGTTGTGCCGTTTTTGCCGGAGGATAAGCTGCAGGAGGCGAGTGGTGGGAAGTTTGTTAAGGCGGATGCGCCGTGGGGGGAGAAGGTTGTTGTGCAGGGGAGGTTGATTACGGGGCAGAATCCTGCGAGTGCGACGGGGGTGGGGGAGGCTATTGCGAAGGCTTTGGGGGTTTAGGTAGGGAGGTTGGTGGATTTTGTTCATGTTGTTTGTGGGTAGTTGGTATTATCTGATCTCAATGATATGTGTACATATATGTATGCGTGGCTGTACCCAACTTGATATATGTGATGGAAAAAGTAGCTATATACTTGCAGATCTTACCATTACGACTTTTACTCCGTGGATCTCTTCGTGCTAATCTCCTCCAACTCCCTGCCTCATCTGGAAAACCCATCTCTAATTTCCACGAAGTTGACATAGCGGTCGCGGCTCCACCTCCTCGTCCTCTTTCCCCACACCGCCATGGGTAGACTTAGTCCCATGACTAGAAACCCGAGCACGCCTAGCACGATGAAACAATTTTCCATGCCAGAGTCGATCCAGGGAGACGCAATAAACGTAAAAGCCATGGCGAGCGTGTTGTTGATGACGGCAACGCCGACCATGCCCTCGAGGACCATGTCCGGGAACGAGTCGGCGAGGTAGGAAAGGGACAAGTCGCCGGCACAGCCATATCCAAAGCCAATGAAGCCGAGACCAACATCTGCACTTTCAGTCAGCGAGTATAAAGGAAATAGAAAAAGGATGGAACTCGCAGGGTGCAGGCCAACTCCATCCTCTTGCGCTGCCAATTCCAAACAGCCACAGTCCCGCTGGGAAAACCAGCGCGCACAACGCCATGAGATAAAGTCGAAACTCGGCCTCCATGACACCCTTGTTGCGTTTAATCATCCACTGCATGAATGCATCACTGCCATACCCGCCGTACGCGCACCCGATCAGACTCCCGATGAGCGTGGGGAGGTTCATGTTGCCTACAGCTGCGCTGCCGTAATTCCACGGGGGTCCGTACCACCAGTCCTCCTGTACTGTAAGGTAAAACGTGAGGCATGATTGCTGGAAACCCCATTGCAACCCCGCGTACCATACAGCCGGAAACGTGAAGACGCGCAAAGTGTGCCACAGGCGGTGGAGGTATTGTTTGAAGCCGGTGCCTTGAAGATTCGGCGCAAGCGTGATGATGCGGATGCGGTCCCAATACGTTTTGCGCGCGGACAGGGAGCCAGAGAGACTGTGATCGGGGGTAGCGGCGGCTTCGTCTGGCAGCGACTTTTCGTTTTGGACCTCGCTGGGCTCCACGGGCTGTTCGGCATCGAGAACAATGCTCTCGGATCGCGCCGTGAGGTAACGGTCACGCGAGAATTCGGTTTCCTCAAGCCCAAAGTAGAAGACGACGAGGCTGCCACCGCAGATGATAGCGCCGACATAGCCTATCCAACGCCAGCCCAGCCCGCTCGCTACATAGGCGCCAATGAGAGGGCCGAGGTATGTGCCAATGGCTGTCGCAAAGGTGTAGATGCCGAGCACACTGCCAGTTTGGTGCTCAAACCATATGTCCAGCAGCGATAGCTGGGCCGTAGCCTCGCCGACTGACTCCGCAGCACCCACAAAGAGCTGGCTCCACACGACTCCAGAAACACCATCTATGCGCGCATACCAAATGAGCCCTCCGATGTTGAAAATGAGCGATATGAGGTACCCCAGGCGCCGCCCGTACAAGTGCACCAGCGGCGAGCTTAGCAGCGCCCAATAGCCGATACCAATGAACAGCACGCCTGCGCCGGTGTTAAAAACATCGTAGCTGATCCCGTACTCTTCGTTGACACCATCGGAGCCAGATCCCGCGTTGTTGGACGTTGCGGCTGTGAGACCAACCATGTACAGCACCAGCAGCGAATGCCAGATCTTGCGCCATAACCCCCAGCGCAGCGGATCGTTGGGCGAGTCGGTGGGCTGCGGCACCAGCACGATTCCTCCTGATTTCAGCAGTGAGTCGTCGCCCGGAAGCGTGTTTCCATCTTCGTCGTATAGGCGTCGCGTGCCGGGGATGAGTTCCTCGTGGCCGCGCGTGTGGCTGCGGCTGCGCATTCGAGTGCCGGACATTGTATCTATCTATCGCCAACAGACAGTCGATCTGAACAGACGCCTCCAGCGTCGTGGTTGTTAGCAGGGAAGCATGTCGCAAAGGAGCAGTGCAGGGTGTGTAGGAGTTGAAGATTTTGTCTTGGTACGCTTATCTCCTGCCTTATCTTCGGAAATGACGATGACGCACGGGGGCGGAAACCCGGCGCCGCTACGGTCGTCAAGTAACCAACGTTCCTTGAGCTAAACAAAAACAACTACAACTTCAAATGTTGAAGATGAGTGGAAGAAGTCATGCGTTGAGATCAAAGACCTTGTGAAATTGCAAGTGTGTTCCTTTTTCCCATATATATCGACGCTCACTGGGACTATGGTAATCCCAGACAGATCATGCTACTCCTACTGTCATCGCCAGAGTCCCTAGCACTCCACAATGTCATCTTCGTCTCCCCAAACCCGTGCCTGATTTTAATATCGCCTGCATGTATGAGGTGCTGGTCTGGTGGGCTGAAACTGTCTGTAGCATGCGATAGCTCTTGGGATCTGAAAGCGAAGTCAACGAGTGGATACGAGGACGGCAATTTCGGGGTGAAAGCTGCCAGATCTATAGCGAGAGTAGAATCCCATAAATGAAGGCTAGCACTAACCTGTGAAGAATCACAAACGTTATTGATTTTTCTTCATCAATATCTGTTCTTGTGTACGGCCTTGTAATTTAGGCATTTGTGCAAAACGCTCTGGGAAGACTGTCGATCATTTCTCTGACTTGGAGATCGGGGTTGCCGTAGATGTTCGATTGGAAGTACCGCAGCGGGAACGCGAGTATACTTTGTAGTGACTGCTTTAAGTTGTAGGATGCAGCTACGTTCATTGATTGTGCTTGTTTCTGATGAATTAGGCGTGCGGTATCTTCGAATGTTACATACCTAGGTATGTACTTCATACTTCGATGATCACATGAGTCCATCTTTCTAGTTGAGGTGAGCATGTGTCAGGCATGCTGCATAGTGTTTTAACAATCGTCCGTTTTGCGCTATCAGAATTCTAGACAATGAGTACTACTTCTTCAGCGGTCGAGGTAGTGATGAGAGTGGCCGACTTGTATTGAACTTATTATATATATCTGTATACACATGAATTCTCCTTGACGAATTTGCAGTCGTCGCTTTATCTAATAGGTCAATACCCAAATTGGAATGACATATAGAGTACCTGCTATTCGCCAAAGGGACTGGTAAAAGAACAGGAAAATCTCATCACGTCACCGAAATAAGCAGCCACACAAGGCTTTGAGTGGGATTATATATTCTTCACATGTATACACCAAGAGTTGTTGAGAGACTTGATACGTGAAAATTCGTGTGAAGCTATCCTGATAATAACATACAAGAGTGAGGGCCATCGCAAAACATTTATCCTGACCTCTATTGGCTCTCCACCACATGCCTCCTCAACCATCTCCACGAATTTTTTCATGACTCCATCGCCCATTAGTCTATTCATACAATTCGCTAAAATAAAAAACTATTGTCTTCGGATTGGCGTTCGACACGCGTTTGGTAGCCCATTATTCACTGGCCCCCGGGGCTCGTCGAACCGAACTGGCTCTGCAGTTCCAACTGTTCTTTCCTATCAGCTTCATACTTGTCGAAATCGAAAAACTCGTTCAAATCAATGTCGTCATCATGGCTCTCCGACATGTCGAGTAGATGTTTCAGCGGAACCGGGACTAGGCGCCCTTCAGGCTGGACACGCTCCTTCGCGTCTCTTTGCATCTTATCTATCAGAGCATTGCCACTGCCGATTCTGACGCCGAGCGTCACGTCAATAAAATTGCTACTGTAGTTGATGCCATGGATTACGTAATGCTCGACCATACGCTCACGGTGGCAAGCGTAGTCGAGGAGGTTCTGAGGTTTCTCACGGAGACATTCCATGATCATTTTCTCGAAGCGCCTGCAGATATTGCAGTAAGGGCGGGATGCTGTTCTGACACCTACGAAGCCAAGGATGTCTGGATCGAGGATAGGTTGACCACCTGTTGTATGTTAGCAAGGTCCTTCAGCATGACATGCTGTTTCAGTGTGGATGGGCCCATCGCGCGTTTCGCCTTGAAGAATAGCCAGTCGATAGTTGAGACTAGCTGCGGATACGAATGCCACGAAAACGAATACCGCGAACGGCCGTGTGATTTGGTTTGATCCTTCTCGGGGAAACTTACTGTCTTCGTCTCGAAGGGGGTTCTCGAATTTGGGGTTTTTCTCCTCGGCTCTTCTCTTGACAATGCCCCGAGAATTACGTTTCCCGGCGCCTTTCCGCTGAAGCGTGGAAGGGTTCTTGTTCTGAGCTTTAGAGATCCGCATCTTGGGATTCGATGAGGGCATTTGGTCGGTAAGAGAGCGTCGCAGGTGGACGGTAATGTTCGTTTGGATGTGGGGTTGTAAGGTCTTCTTTCAAGGCTGATGAGACCTCTTTGCTTGGTGAATTGTAGTGCAGGCTTTAATAGTCGGGGTGTTGGTTTATTTATTCTTTGAAATAGAATATTCAAAGTTCAAAGTGTGTTCATCCGCACCCATGGTTGAGCTCGGAAGGGAAGAACGACATAAATTGCAGCTGTTTTCAAAGCATCTCGCGCCATTGGAGGATGTGGATAATTGATTGTTGGAACGATACAGCAAGATCCAATGACGTAAGTGGTCCAAAATCGCTACACTTCTGATAGGAAGAGCGTTCGCCATGATGACTATTATAAAGCTGTGATTGGGACCACTTTCACTATATATTGTTATTCAAGACAATGCACTTGAAGAAGAAGGGAATGCGATGTACTCTCATTGAGACTATGAGACTTATAAGCCGATCATACATCCAGATAATTTACATAAGCCATTGCCATCATTCAAAGAAGGTAAGACGAGTTCCTCCGAAAGCTGAAGGTGTCTCCATGCACTTAGGCTGTGGGCATTCCTGCGCAGTCTTGCCTTTGAATGTCATGCCCTGCTCCTCCAGTAGACTCCTTAAACCCCCCAGGTAGGAGCGGCCCAGATCCTTCCCGGCACTCAGCTCCTCCATTGCCGTGACCGTCACCTTGATATTTGGCCCGAGCTTTGTCATCTTCATTATCATTTGGTCGAGCTCCATTAGAAAGAGATGGGGTGGGTATGTGTCTTTTGAGCCGGCGTGCTGTGAGAGTGGTGTATTGAACGGTAGCTTCATTTCGAAGATTCGGGCCCAGACTTAGAGTGAAACGGTAGATGCTTTCTTCTTTTCCGTCTTCGGTCGTGATACTGTTTCGGTGTAGTAGGATGTGGTCGACGACGTCCTTGAGCGTGCGGGTGTATGTTTCAATTTCCTGGTTATGAGCGAGTCCGGCAGAGGCTACAATTTCGATGTGACGGAAGCGAGCTGCCACCATCCAAATGACGTTTTGAGGGATTGCAGAGCCTCCGTGGGCAGGCGACTTCAGTATCATGGGTTCCGCCTCTAACTGTATGGTTAATTTGCGGTAGATGACTTCTTGACACTCGGCAGAGACAGCACGAGATGTCCAGAGGAGCGATAGGTTGCGGAGTGACCGACAAGTGTGAGTGCAATCATCGTTGGGAACATAGTTGATGGTGTAGGGAGAGTGGCATATTTTGCAGGGGCGGCGCAGCTTCAGTGGCTTATCAATTTCAACGACAAGTTCGAAGATCCTCTCGCGAATCTCAGGCGGCAGTTTTCCCAAGTCGCCATAACTGCCCTCTACGGTCGTCTGCTGAGTGCGACCTTCGCATCCTTCCAACTTTGCAACGTTTTGTCGGTGTCGGTTCTTTGCGATCTTGGCTGCCAACTTTTCCCAGGCTTTCAGACTCGGCCTCCTGCGAAATTCTTGAAAGGAATCTCTGATTTGTTCCACGGCTGGGTTGATGCGTGGTGGTGTTGTCAGACTCGACCTCTTGCGAAAGTGGTGAACGTAGCCTCCGATTCCTTCAAATTGGGAACCACCGTGACGGTTGCGATGGGTCATGGCGTCGATTAATCAGTTTAATGTGTGAGCTCTTGTGTGACTGGCAGGTGGATGCATGGTGGTGTTGTTTGATGGTGTTGTTTGCTACATAGCTCACTGTGCTTTGGCCCGTGCTCCTTCCGCAATGACACAGCAGTATGGGTGTCAAACAATCTCCTATGACACGAGATGGGTTGGCGGCTTATTACAGCACCTTGAACAAATTATCGTGGCATGTTTTCACGGAGCCACCGCTAAGTAAGCGGACCGAGGAAGGAGAAGAGTTGGGAACATTCGAACTTCGTGCTGGAGTATTGCTAATTATTCTTTCTAGTTGAATCTATTGCAACTATAGGCTGTCTGAAAGCAAGTAGTCGGTCAATAAACCAAGGATACTGAACTTCTACGACACTTGGAATGATGTCGAGGATCCCATGGCACAATTCATATTTCTCGGATTGTAATAAATGTTTCACCAACTTTGGATACTCGACGCCATCATGTTAAGATGTGCATATTATTGTGGAAACAAACTTCCGAAACGGTCTACACTGCTACGATGGAAGTATTTTGCCACCAGCTCTACACGGTGCTTACCTAGGTACATACATATGTAGGTAGGTATGCACATGTGGACCTAATGCGAACAATACATAATTGATACACATTTACACGCTTCGAAAGAGGCTACAGGAGCAATCATGAGTGAGACATTGTGTTTTAATGCAAATTCCAGTAATAGCCTCGAATTTAATTCCTAAAGTGGTTGATATTCCATTTGAGAGTCTTCAACAGCGGATGTGTTTGTCACGTGCCAACTGAACCTTCCTATTTGGGTAGGTTTGCTCCCCCGTTGATTACCGCCCCCGTTGATTACTGCATGTGCTGATAGTGTTGTCGGCAATCGACACGAAAATGACAGAGACAACAAACTTTTGATAATACCCTGAAATGTGCCCGGACACTGTAACCACACTTTCCACTCTCAACCTTCCTAGTCGGGTAGTTTAGAGCTCTCTGTCGATTGCGGTTGCCTCTATAATCAATCTTAATGCCTTGTGGTGTGTTAGAAATCAGGGTATTTGTTTGTGTGTGCGGGATATGGAAAATATACGAAAAGGGTCGTGCTGTGTGATAGTGCACTATTATCAATTTGATTTTACGGAACGATGAATGTTTCTAAAATCATTCCGTCAAAGCGGTTTTGGGACAAGTGCAAGACCTTTGCAATAAGTTGTCTCTGATCACACCCGAGATTCATGGTAAACGTCATACTTGTAGGTACTCTCCATATGATCCGCGCGCATCCCATCTCCCTCAAATAATGCGGAATAGAGCTCAGCTCGTCGTGAAAATCAGGCGGAAAGCAGGGCTTCGTGCTCACATACACGATTATCGCGACCCAGGATTTTCCTAGGCGGAATGCACGCAAAAGGACCATGAGGTATAGCCCTCTTCGTCGTGGAAACCATAGCGACAGCCTTCTTCCGCTTGCTGTGCAAAATATATGCTCAAGACATCAAATCCATCGCCCTTGTAGCAGATGATATAGACGATTCCATCGATTACCGCAACGCGTTTTCTTCGACTACGGCTCTGATCAATACTTCATCGTCATTGAGTAATGATCATGTTCTCGGGGAGAGGATTCATGGGTCATTGCTGAGTTTGGCTGCGCATCAGACTTTTTTCAAAAAGGATCCGCGGTGGAAAGATTGGGTGTATGAGCTTGAGAATAAAGTGAATCGGGTTGTTTATCTTAGGAATAAATATACAAGTGAGGAAATCGATAAGAGTATGGATTGAATTACCTGTCCAAGGGTGCCTCGCAATAGAGGAGATTCGAGGAACGTGCATGAGAGCTGGTGAGATGTTCTGGGGGCGAGTTAGAATTACCCTTTAAGAATATACGTATGTAAAGATGTATCATTTCAGGGAAAAGATCTGCATACACTTTATCCCAAAGCTCCAACACACATCATGGGGTCTTTCCGTATATCATCAACCCCACAGTCTTCATCTTACCCCCCTATTATTCTCCCACCAGGTAAATCATCCTAATTCTGCATGATTACTACATCTCACGTTTCATAGTATAAAGTTCTTGGTATACCGATAATCAGATTCACTGATGGACTGCAAACTCACAATTCCGCCATCTCGCAACCCTTAGACCAAATGACGTGCTCGCCCAAGCCTCCAGAGCTCAACACACTCAACCCCACGCATATGACGCCATTCAAGCTTGGAAAAACACATGCCGAAAAGATAACCATCACATAATTACCTTTGGAGCGAAAGACCTGTAGTATGAGGAAGCGCATTGCCTCAGAACCCGATACGATGTCATAAGCAGTGCGCGGCGAGACGTTTTTGGAATTAAGAGACACGAAGGAAAATGTTATGGGTGTAGAGCCAGCGTTCAGGGAACATGATGGATCTGTGATATTATTTGGGTGGTTGGGAGGTCTGAGGGGGTGTTATTGGAGGTATGGTATCGATACATGGGCTTCGCTATTAATGACACTATTGTTCTGTGGCTGTATCCAACTCAGTGGCCGAATTGCAAAACTTCAAATTGCTTAACAACAGATATGAAGTTGTGGATGCTTAGACCGTCCGGAAGCAAGTGGATTAGAAAGACTGAAGATAGCTGTAGTAATATTGGCGAGCAGTTTGAGGGTTTTGATCACACGTCATATACATGCGTGAACGTATATAGATTATACCTAACATAAAGCCGAAATCCAATCACCATCCCTTTCTCCAAGATTCGCGCGCCATATATAAATTTCCAGCAGCGTATCTACTGGATCTACTTCAAGACAGCGACCAACCGTCCCCCGCTAACCTCCCTCCTTCTCAATCGATCCAAACCCGCGTTAATGCCCTCAAGCCCCTCTACAACGCCCACAACATCAGGCGTAACCAAAAGGCCCTTCGCTAATAGTTTCTCGCACCATGCACTCAGCGCCTCCCCAACTTCCGGTACCTCGTGGAACAGCTTGATAGGTACGCTGTGGAGAGCAACATCATCGGGGATGCCTGTCTTGGGAAGTCCAGTAAGACCGATGAGATGTGAGCGCGTGGGTTTTCCAGTAGAGGACTTGGAAGGGGTAGATGGCGGAGTGGGGAGCTTGGTCTTATCCGACGTAGTGTTGAATTCGATCTCTTCATCTGGGAAGTACTCCTCTGGTGTAGATGCTAGCGAGCGCAGTAAATGAGCAGCGGAGTCCTTGCCCTGCGTGTCAAAGCCGAATCGCGCGCCGTTCCCCGTTGCCGACTTGATGATACTGATAGCGCGCTCAGGGTCGTGCGAGTCGACGAGTAGGTCTGGACGGATTGCTGATTGTGAAGATAGTCGCAGCCCGTGTTTCCCAGTGTCGACCACGGAGATGATTTTGAGTCCGGCGAGACGGGCGAGTTGCTTCACGATGTGCGCGCATGTGGAACTGCCGCCCCATACCACTAGGAAGTTGCCTGGCTGTGCTCGTTCCTTGTCTTCGATGCCTTGGAGACATTCTTTGCGGATGTCTTCGGGGAGTCGACCAGATCCGATTTCTTGCACGAGGCTGCGAAGGTCGGGCCCGTCTTCGATAGCAGAGAAATCGACACCCATGCATATACCAAGAGTTAACACGGCCGAGACAAATGCCACACCCAGTATTGCTCCGGACTGCTCCGATATACTCTCGGGAAGGCGGATTGCGTTGAAGGAAGAAGCTATACTGTGCTGCTGGAAAGCTGCTTTGCGGAGGTCTCGATAGTCGGTCGAAGGCACGATCACGACGTCGCCTTTGCGAATTCGCGGGTTGTTAGTCTTGGGTGTCTCGATTACAGTTCCAACAAATTCGCGCCCTGCTATGTAAGGAAGTACCGGAATTCCGAAGTTGAAATCACTGAATTCATACTTTTAGTATTATTATTCGATCTTGCCATTGCATGGGCCATCAGATGATTTACTTACGGTGCTTTCCAGTCTATGGGGTTCAACCCGACAGCCGTAACTTTGACCAACAGTTCGTGCCCATGCTTGATGGTAGGAATTTCGTAGTCTGAAGTCACCTCGTAAGGAGTTTTGACAGCACGCAGGAGCAATGCGCTTTGAGATTTAGGAGCGGTGGCATCATCATTTCGACTCTGGTACCCTGCTGTCTTGGTACCATTCTCCGAGGGCTTTACAACGCTCCGTCTTCGCCATTTGGATAGTGAGAATACCATGTCGTAAATTGACTGATTGCGGTGTTGCAACGGCTGTCGAAAGGTGGAAGCTGATTGAAGAAAGACGGATGCGATGAAACTTCCTACGTCAGATTGCACGTGTGCGTAGCTGCAAGATGATGCACGAAGAGCCAAGGCAAAGACGGACAATCCCGAGTTCTATGCAAGGCCATGGGTTGTGGAGGGAGGATGAATGAGTGATCTATATCGGTCAGTCACCACACACGCGTACCTGGAATGGGCGATACGATGCGCGAAATAGGACCGAAGAAGCACGCAAGTATGGTGACGGTATGAGGAACTGACTAGATATCCCACCATCGATTGTATTATAGGCCAGATAGCTCCAGTGTTGACTCTTGATTAGTTGTTGCGATTGGAAATGGAGCGATTGCGTATGAACAGCTCGCGAGCACATCATCCACTAACACCCATCTCTCAACCGACATCGGTGGCTGCAGGATACAAAGTTGAGTGCAGAGGATGCAAAAGCACGACATCTTTGAATCAATATACGACATCAGGGCTACCGGCGAGAAATTCGAGAAATTGCTCATCGATGCGTTTGTGGAAATGTGTAGGTGGGGACGGATTTAACCCGCTCGTTATCCCCGGATAAAGACTCATGGTGTTGATAACCAGGCAGCGGACACCAACCTTCCAGTCTATGGAGACACCCTAAAGATCACTCGCATGAGTTTGTTAATGTCAAACACTGGGTAAAACACGCGAAACTGCTTGAACAAGCCAAGTTCCACTGCATGTTTCTTGCACACGTACGGGGCGGCTACCATGTGTACAATGGCAACCTCAACGTCGCGATACGATCCGGCGCACAATGGCCTGTGAACGAACCTCTAGCTTTTGTTCCTGCAGTTGAAGCTGCGACTAAGAGAATCGGACCCGGTGTGACTCAATCTACCACCTACGAGCAACCATATCATCTGGACCGGAGACTGTCGACGGTAGATCATTTGTCGAATAGAACGTAAGATAGATCCCTTTCGCAGCCGAGAGTTGAATAGTATATTGATTAATGCAACGGATTTAGAAGCATGACAGGTTGGGCTGAAATGTAGGTACCGAAAATCAGCTATAGGGGTCCTTATTACATATATATGTAACAAATTACAAGATCGTGACCAGTTACCTCGATTTTGCAGCTCGTAAGATGGACTCCAAAAAGCAGTCAGCGGTAAGTCTTTCCATCCACAATATTGGGGCAGAGAAAGCTGATATTCAACAGCATGAGAAAAGATATGCGCAGGCGAAAGAGTACGTGGAGACCATGTACCAGTTTTTCGAGTCATTTTGAAGAGACGATGCGTATTTCGAGACCATAAGAAGGGCGTATACACGATTTCAGACAGAGTGCGAGCTATTGGCCACCAGGAGAATATTTCCATCGTACAGGGGCCTCACATCTGTCAACCCAGCCCGCATAGGATGCCATAAAACTCTAAGCGGGTACTATGAAAGCAAGAAAGCTGTTTCCCGTAGAGAATGCGGAGAAAACTTACGTTCCGGCTCGAGGACCGGATGGCTGCGCAAAAACCATCGCCGGAATTCGAGAGATTGCCAGGTCAAAGTTGGTGAGAAACGTGAACGATATCGAAGTGCGTTCTCTTGTAAAGTCAATACTCGGTCAAACAGAAGCGGAAGCGCAAGCTAAGCCGGTAGAGTATCGGGCACACGCGTCTCTCGAGGGTGCATTGGCGTTATTCTATGGTTGGCCAGGCATTGATTTGGGCAAATATGGCGATGATGAAGAGCTCTGACAGACCGAGAACAACACTTCCTGGTCAAAGACTATGTTATCTCCAGGTACCTCCAAATGAAACAAGTAAACAGCGGCCGTATATGTCAGTTTGGGAGGAAACGGGCCGATCTTTGTGGGAATTGCTTCGCAGGTGGCCGATGCGCTCCAGACGTGGGCGGAGGAAGCCGATGCTGATGTTTTCAACATTGTGAGTAGCCCTGATTCCTCATATTAACGTAGAGATCATTAACTTAGATATTGTAGCCCTGCACCCTCGACCCACAGTCATTCAAAGACGTGATAGATCTGCTCCTGCTTGGACTCCAATCACGCGTACTATTGTGAAAGACTACATTGTGTCTGGAGGTACGTATCCCGAAAATTTTCACGGAATGAAAGTGCAAAGTGGGCCCTCAAGTGAGCATGTCGCCTCCACATATTGCTGAAAGCCTGGGGTTGATGCGAACGACCATAAGATCCCGGGATGATGAAGAAACTGGGATGCACGGAAGAAGCCGGGCCGATAGAACTTTTACGTAAGCCCTTCCGCCAGCCATCTTCCGACATGATTCGGTTAAAGCCATCCTCTTCAACATCGTCTTTCATCTCGTCTTTTCTATTCTCCATCATGGGTGAGTCTTTCTGCGAGAGTATATCACCAAGCCCGACTGCAATCCTTCCCACGTAAAGGGCAACGCAGCCTACAATTTCTGCATTGAGGACGTGAATTCGTACACCAATTGGTCAATCCTTGCACATCATTTCGACGGACAGCCAACGTGCATATGATCTTGAGCTATTCAGGTATAACGCCGAGGAACCCCTTCATTTGTTATGTGGGCGGGCTAGTACCACAAGCTTCCTTCTTCGCACGGGAAGAAAAAAGCTTGCTGTCCATTCCGGAATCGACTCGGAAAATCAGTAGCTACCATCGATTCGGAATAATGTGCGATAATGTAGGCACGATTGATTATACAGAGGACAACCGAAGGGGATCACGGCCTCAAATCCATTTCGGTTGATGGTTCTGAAATTGTCTTGTCATCTCAGAAGAGTTTTCTCTAATCGCTTCACGTTATAAATCGAATGCGTTTCGGGACGAGGCATGCCTCGAATCGGAAATCAGACCCACCCGCCCCAGGATCTCCTCAATCACGGGGACACATTTCGGCAGAACTTGCATACCACTAGCGGGGCTCCAGAAGCCTGAGGCTCATTTCTCCACACTATCGCGCTTACAATCAGGGGATGCGGAGTCAATCTGGAGCCCCGAAACCAGACCTTGTACAGCAAAGCCAATCACAAGTTCTAACTTGGTGCTCTGACCTGGCTATCGTGCTGTCATGATTCGAAGATGCAGGAAAAGCCCTTGTAGTGGTCAAAATCTGATTCGGAATTCGCAGGAAAATTCTCACTTTCAGGTCACGATGGATCGATAGTGTGCGCATACGCATATGGTTTTCGGTATAAGAAGGGCTGGTCGCCAGTCTCAGATTTGCTCATCCACGTTCACGCATCGGCTCTGCGGGTAAACGGTGACCGAATAACTTCCACCATGGACACGACTGCTCCCAACGCATCCGTGACTTCGGCGCAGATCCGAACAGAGGAGGCATACAAGAACAGGTGGAGGTCGTTGATGCGTAACCCCAAACTTCTTTTCATCGCATTCTTCGCTTCGTAGGTCCTCCCGTCAAGCCCCTGTGTACTGCGTAGTCACTTACATCTCCTAGTTTTGGAGGTTTCGAATATGGCTACCAGCAGGGTGTCCTTGGCCAGTCATTGGTCATGCACCGTTTCGTCGACAACTTCCCTTCCGTCGTAAACTCTTCCTCTGCTACTGGATGGCTCACATCTATCCTCCAACTCGGTGGTATCCTCGGTTCACTCTCTGCCGGTGTGCTCGGGGAGATCTTCTCTCGGAAGTACACCATGTTTATGGCTTGCTGTTGGGTTGTCCTCGGGTCCTATCTCTACATTGGAGCGGGCTTTCACAAGCCTTCACTGCTTTACGCGGGACGTCTCTTCACCGGTGTTGGCGTTGGCACTTTCTCGGGAGTTGGTCCCCTTTATAACGCTGAGATTGCCGCCCCTGAACTTCGTGGTCTTATTGTCTCTTTCTACCAATTTGCCACCATCTTGGGTATCATGCTATCGTTCTGGATCGGCTATGGATCGTAAGTTTTCGTCTAAATAGATACCGCGTTCGAGCTATACTGACTTGTATCCCTTAGAAATTTCATTGGCGGTATTGGCGAAGGTCAAAGCAACTTGGCCTGGATGTTGCCCTCCATTGTCCAGGGTATTCCCGCCGCTATTCTCGCTATCGGCATATGGTGGCTCCCGTTTTCCCCTCGATGGTTGGTGAAGAAGGGCCGCGACGAGGAAGCGCTCAAAACACTCGCCTCCCTCCGCAAACTTCCCACGGACCACGAATTCGTACAGAGTGAATACAAGGAAATCAAAGCCGAGGCTTTGTTTGAGCAGCGTAATTTCGCCAAGCATTTCCCCAACCTCGCCGCCAAGGAATCCGGCAGTCTTCTCGCCCGCGAATTCGCCCAATACTACCAAATCGTCCGCACCTGGGACAACTTTAAGAGGGTGTCCACGGCTTGGCTAGTTATGTTCTTTCAGCAGTGGAGCGGAATTGACGCCATAATTTACTACGCTTCGAGCGTTTTCTTGTCTCTGGGTCTCACAGGAGGCACACAAGCTCTATTGGCAACAGGCGTAACCGGCGTTGTGTTCTTCGTCAGCACGCTCCCTGCTATGGCCGTGATTGACAAATTTGGCCGCAAACCTATGCTCCAAGTAGGTTCCATAGTCATGTTATGCTCCATGGTAATTGCCGGCATCATGGTAGCCAAATTCAGGCACGATTGGGTCACCTACTCAACTCAGGGCTGGGTAGTCGTAGCTTTTATCTGGATCTACGTTGGCGCATTCGGAGCTACATGGGGCCCGGTATCTTGGACTCTTGTTTCTGAGATCTTTCCCCTCTCGATTCGTGCTAAGGGTGTTTCCATCGGCGCCTCGTCGAATTGGCTGAACAACTTCGCGGTCGCCTTTTACGTTCCCGCTATGCTGGAGAGCTGGGCTTGGGGAACTTATATTTTCTTTGCGGTTTTCCTAGCTGCGGGAATGGTGTGGGTGCATTTCCAGTTGCCTGAGACCAAAGGTACTACGTTGGAGGAAATGGATCGCGTATTCGGGAGTCGCACCGGTGCTGAGGATGCTATCTTGCTCGCGGAAGCGAGGCGCGATGTTGGTTTGGGTATGACGCTTGCAGATGACGCTGGAAAGGGCGGCGAGAAGGGTGTCTCCACGGTTGAGGAGGTTTGAAGGAGTTGTTGAATTTGGAGCCTGTCCGTTTGGGGAGTCGTTTCCAATGGTGGCACATCCCACAACTAAAATATATTACAAAACAGTGTCGCTTGCTTGAGTGCCGATTACCATTAGTATTAATATCATGCCTCTGTGGCTGTGCAATCTTGTGTTGATATCGCTCCGTAGATGGAAAAGTGGATGGAAAAGTAGATGGAAAAACCATCATCGTACACAGCAACATAGAAAAGTTTTGTCCACTGTAGAAAAATACCACCCATTGGTTCAAATTCCGTTCTGGAAATGGTCCTTTCAACCAACCTCGTATCCACGATCATTTACCGACTCTAAAAACCGTCACCGAAAGGTCGTGTAAAAGTAGATGTAGTAGGGTTGAACCGAAACGTCGCAGACCGGTACCACTTCTTCTGTCTCGAAATGCACACCATCAGAATTTGTGCTTTGGGATTTTAGGAATTTTTTCATAGAAATGTACCTACTCTAGACTTGTGCAGTTTGGAAGTGGGTTGTTGTATTCTCGCTAAATGAGCCCGTAGGGAGAATTCGAGCCTCAACTATAGGTACGCGCTTGACGCTTGTGGATCGTGCCCATAAATTACATCATGCCTTAGTACTGTATGTAAAGATACCTATGATTCGTGCAGTTTGAGTAGTTTCAATAGCCAGATGTTTAATCTAGAGAACTAGTCTGGTCAGAATCGTAAAGCTAAATTAAGTGCACAGCTGACTGTAGTTTTATGGGTTCTACTACGCTCGAGAGTCAGCCATAAGTTGTGTTCTGGAAAACTCATGACGAGTGACCATCCAATATAACCAAAACAATTTGCTATACAATCAAATTTTGAGAGTTCACGTGCTAACATCTCGTTCCAAGAAACAGTCGTCACGCGGGTGGCGCCTTGAAACGAGTCATCCCCAAGCTCAGTGACATGCATAGCTCTACCGGACACCACGGCATTCAATCTCATGCGATCGCACACCATCGCATTTTCAGCGCCGGACACAGGGCCTGCAGTCTCATTATTAGGCTTCACTCACCTCAGACGCTGCTGGGTGCCTCATTACTCCAATGCACGGCGTACGGCCAGAACACTGTCGCAGCCTCAGTCCTCCACTGACAATGACGAAAGGTGTCTGGTAAGCCGCTATTCCATGCCACAGTGGAAGTCTAAGCATCTAGGAACAGTGACCTCCGCGCTACTCAATCTTGTAGCGACTAGGGTTCATTTAGACTTATGCGCGGTCGTGCTGTCGAGACGGACTGGTGGGATTTTTGTCGATAAAACCCTAGAAAATAAAGCGTCTCCACGTGGGAAAATGCAGTCAGATTACACAGCAGAATCGAAATGTGGTGTAAGGCGTTCTTACTAAAGAATTGCGGAGGCCGGATGTGACGGTAGTCTGGGTGTTTTTGAAGCCTGTATTGAAGTCCGGACCAATGAGATTAGAGTTGGGGTTTTTATGAATAGCTGTTTTCGCTCAGCCCCCACCACGGTTTGCTCGCATCATCAATAATGGGAGATCAAAAAGCGCAATTAATGACTGCGATTGGAAGCGAATGTGTGTATTTGAACCACTTTGTGTGGTTCTTAGAAGCGATGAAGCCGTTATGAAGTGATGGTCACCGCAATTGTAACTAGATAGTGTGACAGCATTCTAACCACAGGCTCCGTACTTAGTCGCTCTTTGTTTTGCTTGGCCTCCACCTTGGGGGCTCATTTTTCACCCTGACCGGTACCCGTCGATTCATCTAGGACCTAAAAAGTCCCGAGCGGCAGCAAAAGCGTGGCTCAGTGCAGCGAGCTGTCAAAAAAAGTCCGATAGCGCCTCGACATGACAGGCAGGTGGATCACCTGGTTACTTACATCTCTCCCGTACTTCCCACAATCTGTCTCACCTTTTGGGCCTTTGCATTATTGATTTGTACCATATAACTACGTACATGTCAATGAATTGACCTTCGAGAGGCGACGGAACGATTTTGCTCCCACTGATCGACAAACCATCGTTCATACGGCATGGCCCCCACAATGGCGCATATAGCCCGCGCGGCGGTCGCGCTTGTCGCCCGAGGCGATCTCTCGCCCGAAATCAAGGCAAAGATCCCAGCAGAAGTCTGGCTCGAGAAGACAGCCGCTGAACGGAGACTCGGAACACCGATAGATGAGAGAAAATTCGCTTTGTCGTTGCCCGCTATGATCGCGCCGCCAGGCGCAGATCGAACGATGACTGTGGATGGACCGGATCAAATTTGGTTCTTGGTGGTCGGGATATTGTGCATCGCGATCCCGGGACTATTTCTTTTATTGAGAGTTTATACGAAGATGGCGGTCGTGAGGTCGCTGGAAATTGCTGATTGTATGGTTTGAAGTGCACTATTGAGTCTTGGATTATAGCTGATTACGCAATAGGGTTCATCTTTGTTTCTTTCCCCTTGATCATCGTGGAAGTCGCTCTCGGGTATCATATGGTGAAATGGGGATCTGGTGTTCATCAGTGGCAAGTGACGTTCGATCAGCTGTTCCATCAATTATATGTACGAAACCATCTCTATACTCCAACATCGAGAGATCATGCTAACATCGATAGTGGGCAAATGTCGCGCAAATTGTCTACTGCCCTCTCAGCTTCGCAGTGAAGATGGCTATCTTACTACAATATCTGCGTCTATTTGCCCCCAGCAAGGCGGTAAACCAGACCATGTGGTACGGGGCATGGTTCATGATCATATCCTGCTCACTACTCTACACCGTTCTGTTCTTCTGGACAATGTTTTACTGCAGCCCAAGGGAAGGCATCTGGGACAAGTTTCTACCGAATTTGAAATGTCATGATGTGAATGAGATCACTCTCATTCAAGGCGCTTTCAACATGGCCTCCGATGTCATCATTCTACTGCTTCCAACAACGGGGCTATGGAAGTTGAATGTGCCGCTTGGGCGCAAGATCGCCGTAACCGTACTGTTCGCAACCGGATTGCTGTAAGCATGTTTCAACCCCCGATCTCATAGGCACACTCACTCACAATCAATGTAGTGCCTGCATCGCATCCGCCATGCGCATACTCTTCACCCTCAAAGTCGCGCCTATCTACACCGAAGCCGACGTCGCCCACAACGCTCTATTCATTGGTCTATGGACCGAAGCCGAGGTTTCACTAGGCTTCATAGTAGCCTGCGCCCTCTGCCTCCCAAAACTGATTCAAGCAAAAAGCCAACGCATCAAACGCGCCGTATCTAAAGCATCATCCCCATTCGCCTCTTTACGTGGAACGGCCACCAATTCCCGCTTAGTTTCATGGAACATGGGACTCAGAAAAGGCGCGAGAGTAGACTCCACATCATCGTTTGCCTCCCCCAGGGTGAATGGTAATGAACCAACTCACTCTGCACTCGACAGTAATTACAGCGCGCCACGCCAACAAGAGCAAAACAGCGGAAGTTTAAACCCAAATTCGTATAGATTCCCTCCAACTGCGGCTAGTAGCATATACTCGACGAGTCCACAGCCAGATTTTGAATACAGCCGAAATACAAGTCCCGGGAGACCATCTTCACTACACGTTCCGCGTCGGTCGTTGACGACGGAGTCAGAGTTAAGAGTGCGCTCGCCGACATACCGACCGACGGCTAGCTCGCGTCCAGAGACACACGAGCAGTTTTATCTTGAGAATGAGATGAAGGTGAATATAGCTGGTGCCATTAGAGGGGTAGAAAACCCGTATAGCGGACACTCGCATATGCGTTGATCGGTCTCTTGGTTTCTTTTGTAGATCTTAGATTGAAGACATATACCCAAAATTAAGCTATAGATCGGAGAGCGCTTTCCATATTCTTATCGTTATCGCGTGACAAGATAAAGTTCACATCTTTTGGCGTTTCTCTCCTGCTTTCTGGTATTTTCCCCAGTCGAAAACCTGTGTCGGTATCTCATTGGTCCAGGAGTATGAGAATGTTGCTGCAGAGCTCCTTCGAAACGTAATTCTGCCCCAGATCTTAATACGCCAGCCCTTGCTTCGTTCCCTGCTCGCTCAGCAAGCTATGGCTAAACTCAACACATCTGGATTCACCTAGCACAAGGAGATTATTATCAACGCCAAAGCTCAAACAGGTTGTCACCAAATTATTCTGCTCAGTAAATCGTCGAAGTTAGTGGAATATGTCCAATTGTCTGCTAAGATCGGCGGAACCACAGTCAACATCACCACAAACCAACTCAGCTGGCAAGCACTAACCGTGCATGCAAAGTACATGAGGGAGCAACTAAAGAAAAGAGAGTAGTCAATCTGGTCCAAAGTCTGGCTTGTCAAGTTTCATGGAAGATCAAGTGTCCCGGGGTTGGCTCTTAATTCACAGGTAAGGCTGCGTGAAGCAGAGTCAAGGCAAAAAATCGTGTTGATACTAGTTCAAGGTCTACTCGATCTGATTGCGCAGGAAGACTTGAAAACACAGGCAGAAGAGATCAAGAAGGATACTACTTTCATTCAGATTACAGAAGGATGACAATCACAAAAAATTCAAGCCTCGACAGTGACTGGAGCGTGTCAGATTCGTAGTCCACTAGTTGCATATCTCGTTGTGGGCAATCTGTCCGATGGCGCGGTTAGAGCGGCGGTTGGACACTGTGTACAGGGGCCACACTTTGGCAATGATGAGTTCTCGGTCTTCGATGACCACACGGTCTCCAAAATCGTAGGGGTGTTTGGAAACGGTTACAGTGGACCATATAGGGTTGAAGTGGGAGATGAGGTTCTTGGCGAGGAAGGCAGCTAGCAAACTCAGCAGGCTGCATAGGAGATGTGAGAGAAGCTTACCGCAGATGGTTGCGACAGACAGCAAGGTTGGCAGTTCTAGCAGCAAGACTGACTCCATCTATTTTCCGAGAGCTCTCCGAAGGTAACACGATCAATACCATCTTTACTCAATACTTTCATAACTTCTTTTGCATTGCATAGAAAGACTTATTACCGAGATGATTGCGTGAGTTAGAACCCTTTCTCCAATATTCGTTCATCCTCTTCAGCTCTTTCCATAAACTCCATGCGAAGGATTTCTGAACAGGTCTAGTATGTAACGCAGACGGTTAATGCGACCCACAAATCGATTTGGGGGCCACTTTCTATATATGGTACGCGGCAAAGCATAGCCGTCGTTAAAACCCTTGGCATCCTATAGAAGATAGAAAACCACAGGATCGTGAGTTGCGAGAATCATGGTTGTTCAATCCTTCTCCACATAGCCCCTAGACTAACTCGTATTTCGTCTGTATATCCCATGCATCGGCTACTTTATACCTCGGGATTTGTCCGATTGGCCTATGTTGACGCCAATGGTGGCCTTAATCTGTGTCCTATATACTCTTTCTAGCTGACGTGCAGTGGAATGGGGGGCGCATATGCGATTCTAGGCATCTACATTGAGCAGACGTCTGGGAGTAAAAATCCGGTAATAGTTAGTTGTCCGTGAAAGAAGGCAACAGAAGCAGAAACAACAAGAAGTAGTGGATTTGTTATGAACCTAGCAGCAAAGCGCCTAGGGATGTACATGTATGTATATATATGTACGTCCGTCAATCTACCCTCCTATATAATCATCTCTATCACATTCTTTGGTTTCGTATTTTTTCCCTTCTGAAATACAGTCATTCATTCATTCATTCATTCATCATCCCAAAATCAATACACTCTTGCTATCAAGTTCATTCAGCATGCGTTTCTTGCTCTTCGCCTCCACAGTTGCTCTGTCTCTCTTTGGCTCAGTCATTGCTGGTAATGATGGATGCGGTAGTGGGAAAGGTATGTTTGCTCATGTTCACTGTAACATAATCCATACTTACATGATACCCAGAGATGATGATCGACGCCCCCGTGGGAAAACCATTGGGTCAGAATCGAGAATCAGACAAGTTCTGCGACGCCCGATGGCAGGACGGCAATGTGATTACAGGTATCCGCGTATGGTGGATGAAGTTCCAAATCAAGGCTGTCCAGTTCCGATTTGCTGGCAACGATTGGGGAGATGTTCACGGCGACAACTCAGATAGTAGTGATGAACAGTACAAGGAGAAGACATGGGGCGAAGACGATACAATTGAAATGGAGCTTTGGAACAACAAGCCTGATGACGGTGATCCTATGGATGCTGTCGGCAAAATTCGCATCACCCAGTCTGGTAAAGAAGATTTCAACGCTGGAGGCTCCAAGATAGCCAGTGACTCGATGAAGATAAACACTGGAAGTGGTAAACTTCTAGCTGTCATGGTATACATGCGCCCTTTTCTTTTTTATAACTCGACAAATTGAAAATATGATGTGCTGTGGTCGAGCTAACACGATACAGGGTGCTGCTGCAGCTGATGGACACGTTTCCAGTCTCGTATTCCATTTCCTCAAATCCAGCATCAAGTCTATGCAGATCACCAAAATAGATTTGAAGAACGATTTTGACGAGTGGGCAAAGGATAAGAAAAACGGACCACAAAGAGTTAGGAAAGATGAGCAGTGGCATGTGAACATGGAACCCTTAGGAAGCGCAAACGACAAAATCACCCTGGAGCAAGTGTCTTCAACGTCACAGTCCAAGACACTCGTAAGTACCATATACCCCAAAATGAATGACTAGACTGAGCTGAGCCGTTATCAAGACCAGATCAAGCACACGCACCTTTGGATACCATATGGATGGTATGTAATGGGATAGAATTACTTGCTTGTATAAAACAGGATGATTAGTGTGACTAATGTTACTCTGCAGTATCCATAGAAGCCGGCATTGAATTTGAGGGAATTGTAAGTATCAATCTCACCGTCATGATTATGCATGTTTCTGACTCCCACAGGGCGGTATTAAAACAACAATGTCGACGGGTTTTGAGGAGTCCGAGTCGTCGACAACGACCGAATCGAATACCGAAGGCAGCGAAGATGGCGTCAAACGCACCACTACAGTCGAGGTCGCGCCACAGAAAGCAAGGCTCTGTAAATTAACCTGCTTCTCTCAACCATTTGCCCATGACACTAACTGGGATATAGGTACACTGACGGATGAGGGAGGTCAGTTCGATTCGCCCTATACTGCCACAATCAAGGCGACGCTGGAAAATGGTAAATACTTCGAGTACAAAAGTGGTGGGGAATATGTCTCAGTGCAGTGGTCAAAAGGAGTCTCTCGCTGCGAGGCGTCCGTCCCTCTTAAGGAAGCCCCGAAAAGCGCACTCGAGCAAAAACCCAAGAAGTCTTACCGCTTGGCTCGTTTCATCAGCGCTGCATAATTAATACTCCATCAGACGCCATGCAGATCACTCATTGTCGCGGTCCAAGTTTCTAGTTCTTGTAATAGCAAATTTTGTTTTGATCTTGGGATTTTTATTCCACCACATTCGTTTACAACTAAACCTCAATGCATACATTGGTTTCTCCAAAAACTTGAATTGCGTGACTGGATTTCCACGGAATGTTCTCATGTTCATTAATCTTTTGTGTTTTCTTGGGTTCGTGGGCATCTCTCAAGTGTTTTTTTAAACTTGGTGCTGTGCTTGGTCTTGTTAATCACAATGCTCAACCTCCTGAGTACTCGAAAATGTATTAAGATTTATAATTGCAGATATACGTTAGCATTTAGCGGTGTCTAATAGTAATCTAGCAATCGTTGATTTTCACTAATATTCCAAGATCCCTACATAGTAGACGTCACGCGCAGTCTCGCCCCTACACTCGCGCGAGAACCCCTGCTCTTTTCCCGAGCCGTCCTTTCTTTAATCTATAACACTGCAAAAATCACAGGGGATCTGGTTCACAAATGCAACCAAATGCTGGCAGAGTCCGTGTTTTATCGGAAGGTGCCCAAGATTGCCCAACGAGGTATTCCACTCACTCGCCCCCGGTAAATTGCACCCTCCTGGCAGACTGAATCAAAACCAATGGAAACAATACAGATACAAAAATCGATTGTCGTCCTTGGAAGGTGCTTGAAATGAAGGATAAGGGATTCAGGATTTCGCACGTAAAGACGTGGGCAATTCATGCGGAGCGTCATATGGTTCTGTCGCATGTCAGGAAATGCTTATAAAGGAGCTTGTCATGGGCTAGAAAATGTTTGTTCCTCAAATATCATTCGCAAGTTATTGAAAGAGAAATTCATCTACAAATCATCTCTCAAAATGCCTTCCCAGCTAGCCTCGGTCATCCTCCTGACTCTCTCAACCCTCGCTCTCGCGTCCCCATTGTCTCCCCGTGCAGCCTCTCGCACAGGCAAAGTCTTCCTCCATAAGACTAGCGATGGCATCACCGGTAAAAAGGTTGGCTGCCTCGATGTCAGTGGCCGTCTTATTCTCGAATCTTCCGCCTGCGCCAGCTATACGGTTCCACCTGGCCCAGCCATAACTATTGCGCGCACCAGCGCTGGTGAATGTGGCATGAGCTTTGCAGATGAGCCTCAGAATCCGGACACTGGATTTCCTGGTATGAGCGCGTTTAGGTGCAAGAGTGAGGGAACTGGGTCACACGACGCCGGTGATCAATTTGATCTTGTAGTATGTTCGCACTTTCCCTTCATGACTTCAGATGTGGCATCCTTCAGGTTTTTTTCTGATTCTTTTTCTCATACTGGGCACTTTGTCCGCTCAATCAATCATCAAGAACCATCAATCTGGAAGCGCGATGCGGTGCAATGTTACTGACGATAGGCAGGAGAGCCAAGGGGTCACACAGGTGTTTACTGTTCTTGGATCAGGTGCCAACGATGGAGTGTTCACCAAGAAGCTTCCTGCGGGTGATGGGGATGCGGTTGATGTTTTTACAAGGGGTTTCAATCTTGGAGAGGGGAGCATAGATATGCTCTGGACCTTCCAGGACATTTAGGCAAGGCTGGGACACTGCAGACAGAATCTTGTTGGGATATCCTCAGGCATTATCGAAAGCAGAATCCATATTTCTGCATTCTCATGCCACGCTCGTACATACCTGGAAAAAATTGCGGGGAGGTAATAATCGGCAAAACATATTCTGCGAATAGCATTCTGGTACAATCTTCTAGGTCATCAATATTTGATGAACAGACTTCTGAGAGCACAACATATTCTCGAAAATTGAAAAACTCAGAAAAACGCCCTTTAAGCTTATTACTATGGAATGTAGCTATGTCTTTATATCCCAATCCTACGAGGATAGGAAATATGTCACCACTACCACCATAAATCTCTTCTATTCAAGAAGCGCATAATATGCTGAGATACGCAAATAAGATTGTGAATTGGCCTGTAAGATAGGCGGAGGCCACCGTGAACACTATCATTCTTAATATAGTCCTGTAGCTCAAGCGATGGTCCCTCCTTCGAGCGATTTAAACAAAGATCAAATGATTGGGTAGATAGATGTCTTGGTCTTTGTCTCTTTGTCGCCAACACGGGCTTTGTCCATCAAAAATGTGTAACATACATGAATGCTTCGAACGAAAACACGAACTTCATATTCGCTACTTACTTTCCAACTGGAATCACAATAGAGAGGTACGTCACAGATAAGCTAGCAAAATCGAAGATACAATTGAATGCAATATTGACTATGAGTATAGTTCTAATGAATTACGTAATGGGAGATTAATACAGAAGAGCAATGAAGGACTGTAAAGCTGAACCGAATGATAGAACCAGAAGTTTTTTGTGGGCCTTGGGTAAATTCGTAAAACACCGCTTCAAGGTTTCTGATCAAGTCTTACTCCTGGTCAAACTCACACTCATCGTCAGAGAAATCATCAGATTCATCGTCAGAAACCTCATCAGACCCATCGTCAGAGAACTTATCAGACAATGTATCACCAGAAGAGTTAGCACACAATTCCTTAGGAACTGATTGCTCTGCAGATGAAGCATTCTCGGATGGTTTCTTGATCCCAAGAGCTTCATCGTCGGCCTTGACGCCAACAATGTTGAGACCTTTCTCCTTAGACTCAATGATCTTTTGCGCCCAAGTTTCAATGTTCAACAAAGCATCTTCTGGAGTGTGCTGAAGTAGGAATCCTTGAAGTTCCGCTGGGGTGAGCTTTGAGTCCGGAACCTTTTGTGCAAATTGCTCGGAAAGCTGAACAATCTTCGATGTCACAGGGATAGCTGCGTTATCCTCACTGTACATGCGTTGGAACATCGACTTTGCGAGCTCTGGCGAGGCATTGCCCATGAAGATCTGTTTGTCGATTCGACCGGGGTGAATCAGTGCTTTGTCGAGAGATTCTGGAGAGTTGGAAGTCATCATGACAATAACACCTTCAGCCAGATCATCGATGGCGTTCAGCAAGCCCGAGAGCGAGATACTATTCTTGCCAGCTTTCTTTGACTTTTGATCAGCGTTCATGACTTCTCGATTGATGCCTGCAGAATCAATGTCTTCCAGAAGCAAAATATCACGCTTCTCAATTTCACTGAACAGATGAGACATGTTACCCTCGCCCGCAATCTGCGCGAGAGAGACACGATATAGATCGGAACCAATCATGCCAGCGGATGCAAAAGCCAAAGAAGATTTGCCGGTACCTGGAGGGCCAAAGATCAAGTATCCACGTTTCCAAGGAATTCCGCGGTTGGTATAGTATTTCCGGCGCTCTGTGGTATTGAAATGCAGAATATCATCCACGAAGTCTTTCTTGAGAGATTGTTCAAGCTCAATGGTGTCCATTGGTCGGCTCATAGCTTTCCTGACATCCCAGTTTTGGTTACCACCTCCACCGGCACCCACGGAGTGCACCCGAGTATATTTCTTCTCGTCCGGATCGACTACTGCAAGAACTTCTTTGATCAGCCTGTCCAAGATACGGGACGGACCAATCGCAGTAATGGTTACAATAGTCTTAGTAGCCACTCCTTTATTTCCATGCCTGTCGTGCGGGCCTTCAACTTGCTGATCTTCTTCACTAACGTATAGAGGAATACCGTGGAACAACCTCCACCCTTTGTACTCGGCGAGGGCGTATTGACCGTTCGTCTCCCAGTTGCCTTTCAAGAGCCGCTTTTCATCTCCATCAAGATCAGTATGGCGCGACGGGGTTCCGCTAGCGGTCTGAGAAAGCCAATCGGTGATCCTTACCCCCAACTCAGTGTCGGTTGACACCTTGATGCTAGAGGTTAAGCTTGGCACTATGATGGGGTTAATAGTAGACCACAGAAATCTAAGACCGTGCAAAGCACCAATGGTCAAGACAGCTTTACCGACAATCTTGCTGTGGTTAGAGCCTTTATATTTATAAACAATCCCAGATACGATCTGCACAATTGGGATGAGTGTTGTTGGAACGCTCGTGGGTGCAATAGCTTGGGCGGCGGCGTCCATCAAGGACAATTGCAGACCGGCATCGGCGACAGACATCTTTGATGTTTGAAAGTTGAATTCTCGTTATAAAAGTTTTGTTGAGAATTTTTGGACGGTTTGTAATCTACCAGACAAAAAGATGGGTGTTTATGTCTGTTGTTTGTGTTTTTCTGTGCTGTAGATGAAGATGATGAGACGACTTATGTATGAAGTTGTGTTTGTAAAACAATGCAATGTTTGCCCTATATTTGCGAATAATGTACGACAAGTATAGACAGTGAAGATACAACACTCTATTGACGGCGCATTTCAATATGCACGTTAATCAACATCGTTTCTTGCCACATGATACACTATTAACAGTCACACTCGTATTGATTTCGCTGTAATCGCTCGTTTTTTTGTAATTTTATCGTTACGAACCATCGCTGTCTGTAGGAACACCTAAACTCCAACTCAAAATAAACAATAAATAGATAAAAGACAGCCACAAAATGCTCCCTGCAATCTCAAAGCGACAGAGCTTCGGCGTGATGCACTTGAAAGACGCTTGGTCATTGATCGTGATGCTCACATACTACTCAATGGTGCTGCGTGATCAGAGGTTCCCGTTCACGTTCGGATGAAAGAGGTGTCTCGCTATCTTCATCTCATCTTGTATGGGATACAAGAGGAAAGGAAAAGGCGTTATCGGTTGCTTATCTAAGAAGTGACTTGTTTGCTACGCTCTTTCTCACTTGACATACTGGTTCCTTCTCTGCAAACTTCTTCAGCACATCCGCCCCAAACGCTTGGCGTAAGGAAGTTGTACCCACTTTCGCTGTTGAGACTTCCCACCGCATACGAAAGCAACTGAGAACAAACACCGTATTTTTATTGATTCCCGTTGTGATGGCATGCACTCGCTCGCCCTACCAGGTGCTAGGACTTTTGCCAGACTGCACTGGAGAGGACATCCGACGCGCATATCAGCGAATCCAACTAACCCACCATCCGGATAAGACTGGCAATCTTCCGTTGGACAAACGCAACGACAGCGAGGCCATCAGCAAAGCCGCGAATGTAGCATACGAACTCTTGGGTGATGAGGCCTCGCGTCAACGCTACGACCGTGCGCACCCTCCGCCCGCGACGAAGCCATTCTCCGCGACTGCATCGCGGCACTCGCGGCCAGCTTGGCCATATGATGAAGCTTGGTACACACCGCAACCACGTGAATCACGATTCCATGAAACACCACCTGCCCGCGAAAAATCACCCCCGTTTCCAACACTCAATGACGAATATGCCGAATTCTTCCCGTCCAAACAACCCACTCGGAAAAACACTCTCGATTACAAAAACGCGCGCTGGAACTTCACCATCAATATTAGTCCGCGTTTTCATTGCGTTGTTCTAGCTCAGAACCACGTCTGGGACGACATCGACGCCGACCGCATCCTCATCTTTGCGAAAATCGAACAAGCTGCCAACGCTTACGCGCCGTTGTCAACGAAAGACGTCAGTCTTACGGTTACTCTCACGCCGTACGGCCGCCGGGTTACCAAGATTGAATCGTACTACAAACATCGCGTCACCCAGGACGGAACCGAATGCATTCTCTGGATCACGCTCTTCTCAAACAACACCGCCGAGTATATGAAAAACTTTTGGCAGTTTGACTGGGATGTTGAGATTGGAAGGGATGCCAAACCACCCATCGAGACCCCGCAATACGGCACGAACCTCTTTTTCTACGACCGCGTGTCTTCTCAAGAGACACTCCCGGACAAAGAGTTTCTGAAAGATCGCGATATGGGACCGGCGCGCAGCATCAAATTCGTGGATATTGCGGACGAAGTCAGTCGTGTCGTCACATCTGGGTCTGTCTCGATGCACCGTTTCGCGGCGTTTGGATACCAGAGCAAGCCCGGTGCGGATCAGAACAACGATCAGAAAGTACCTAGGGATAATGCTCGTGTCACCACGAAGAAGTACAAGAAGACGGGGAGTGCTTCGCGGAGGGCTAGCGGTTGTTATCCGTATGGGATGTTTGTCTCGTCGGAGGAATCTAATCGGCGTTGGCGAGAAAAGGTTGCAAAGTCAAGGGCTGAGCGGGAGAAGAATCGGCAAAGGGAATATTTTAACTAATCGGCCTGGTGGACACGCTTTTGGGTTCTTCGACGGCATTGCAGGTGTTTTCTCATTCGTATTCTGGTAGTCCCAGTCGTTGGGCACACGAGATTAGTTCAATCCCCCGATTTCTCGCTTTCAGAATGCCGTTTCAGTATAAATGCTCCTCATTCGCCTGATTCTCTACCCACCTCCGTGATACTGTTACAACGTCATCCATCAATCCCCTTCCACCATGTCCCTATAAAACCTCCTCCCCACATCTCTGTGACTCGCAATCTTGGTCCTCAATTGCGCCTCCCCCCAAACATCATACTCCCCACTCAACCACTTACTGTCCACCGCCCTCGCCTCCTCGCTCTCCACCCCAGCCATCTCCCCACACTCTCCCTCACCACCAACACGTTTCCAACGACCCTCTCTAAAATGATCCCCCAACTTCCCCACCGCCTCCCCCTTCCTCAAATCCCTCCTCAACCCCAAGAAAAACGGCACGCTATACCTATCCTCGCCCGGCCGAGTACCCAAAACCCTATGAACCGTCGCTTTACAAACCCCACCCGTAATCACTTCAAACCCTTGCCCTATATTCACAACCAGCGTCCCAGGAAGATTCGCTACATCGATCCATTCCCCGCGTTTATTCAGCGCCTGCAGACCGTGGATATGCGGCGGAGAAGCTTGCAGCAGGAACGTAAACCACCCAGAGGAATCTTTATGCGGGCCCACGCCTTGCGCTGGCAGTCCGCTGTCTTCACTATCTCCGGCGATGGACGGGTAGTGCACGAGCTTCAAACGGTTCGTGTCGCTTAGGAAGCTATCGAGTGCGTCTGACGGCAGTTCCAACGCTTCTGCTACTAAACGTATAAACTGCGTGCTGAGTCGCGTGAGCGCGGTCATGTAATTCTCCACTGTATCCTTTAGCGCTGGGAATGCTGGAGGGTATTGGTTCGGGCCTTTGAGCATGTCGTAGATTTTTTCCTCTTTTCGTAGTTTTCTTCGAGTTCCATGGTCGTGGAGTTGATCTGCGCGGAAGAAATGCGGCGTGCAGAATTCGAATTGCTCTCTTGCGTCTTGTTTCCCTGCTGTTGTCTCGCTGCCTGTTGCGCTGTAGCCTAGGAAGTGGGGCGAGTTTTGTAGCGCGGCTGCGGTTTTTGACGATGCGGAGAGAGCGAACAAGAGGGGTAGTGCTGCAGTGAGGGAGGAGATGGTTTGCGGTGGGATGTTGTGGTTTTTTAGATAGAGAAACCCGGTTGAGAGTAAGGCGTTGCGGAGGTGGGAGAGGAGGACGGGCTTTTTTGTTGGCGAGGTGGCGTCGGAGAGGTCGATTGTGGGGATGGAGGTGAAGTTTGTTGCTGCCATTTTTTATTATTTTCTTGGGCTGGATGGTAGTGTTTTTTTTGTTATCAAATTGACTTTCACAGTAGCCAGATGGTGTGATCTTCATTTGATGGAGATTAATGGTTGGCTTCTGTGGTTCATTGACGAAAGAAGTTATTGCAGTCCACCTAGTGGTACGGATGATGTTGTCATCATGCCCATGATGAAATTCTTTGTTGATGATACGATACCGCTCAAAATAGCCCCGTCCCCGAGGATTTGTTCTCCATATCTTGAATGTCGAAGAAGCTGATGCTAGATGCACATTCAGTGACGTGCTATCAAGCTCCATGCAACCCCACCTTGAAGCTTTTAAGGTATACCACGCTAAAGATAGTGCGAAGCTAACACGCATTACGCTAAGCCAAATCCATCAGATTTTGTATATCTTAGAGAATTCCAAAGTGTCTCACAACAGCGCGCTTCTACGTGAGCTGACCACATATACAGTGGCAGATCTTACGTATCGTTGAAATGCTTGTTTGGAAGCGCATGGACATGTCTTGATCATGTGCCACTTGAATGTACGTACGACATTTGAATGTGAAAGAGCTTATCGCCTACTACTTTGGTGCTCCATCACCCAACCAATAAACTTTACTGTCCTTTTAATTCTCTTATCTAAACGTTGTTTCTAATATACTTATTAGTTTATAGAGGAAATTCTACAGCGTCGGGCATTACATATTTCTTCTAAGAGCAGGATAATTAGAAAATTAAGACTTAATAAGGTAGACATTATTCTAAGATCTAAGTACAGTGCAGCATATATTAACAGAAGATATACTAAAGAGTTTATACCAGAAATGTATAACATTAGTATATTACAAGAGCACCAACACAATAACACAGCACTGTCGCCTTTTACGCAGTTGCTTACCCTCCCTACTATATTAAATAAATATGAAGGAATTCTCTCAATCACTAATACTGTCTTTGTCTCTCCCCTGTAGTAAAAGAAAAGCTATTGTTCTTCTTCAGGTGTAGAATAGTCAATAGTTGATTGGATAATGTTGCCAATACTGTCGTTTTGATAAATTTTTGTAGTATTTGTTGCTCTTCCTAGTCAACGCGTTGCAGTTGCTGCGTCTAAACACCTTATCTGCATTAACGAACCTTGCACTCCTAGGAGATTTTGAACCTTGGGAATATTTTTGTTCGCGTTGCGCTGCTCCAGGGTTTCTGGATGGCAATAGATATTTATCGTCTAAGAAATCATCACGAATAGCACTTGAACCCCGTCTATTTCTGGATACTGTTTAATACTGCGAGTTTTGAACTTTAGATGTAATGATAGTAGTCCCCGACACCACCTAACGGGCTTACGGATAACTAGCAAGACTGCGTCTAGGACTGACTCTAATGATAGGCTTCTTAGGTATCCGAGATGAATTGAAGAATCTGCGGCAGCTGGCTGCTTAGTCTAATGTAGGCATTTCACGATACTGGAGCCTATGGAGTCTGATTGTACATACCTACGAAATGGCGTCCCTGGCGTCGGCTTTGGAGATGTTGCCTCTGTACGGCATCTCACGTTTTGCATCTTTGATCAGAAATAATTGACTTGGACCGATTTGGAGACCCATCGCTTGGCAACTGGAGATATGAATCTAAACTTGCATCTGGGAAAGGTTTTCTCGGACATTAACGGGCTGATATTCCAGTCGACAAAAAGTAGACGGGGGTTGATTAGTACGCGACGTACTCGAGGCAAAGATAAAGCAAGAGCAAGTGAAACATTGATTGCCGAGTCGAGCACCAACCTCCCGAAAGGAAAAATTCGGTTTCCAGACTTGGGAGGATCAATCGAAAACAAGTAGCACGTGAGCAGCACAACGACGCTGATTGGGAAAGAGAATTTGTAGATGAACGACTAAGAAAGTGACAGTCCCACTCGATCGCGATACGACCCATGTTGTTCCCGCATCGCCATGGCGTCCCTTGAATCACCAGTGCAGAAGCGTGTCATATGTCGACGCAGGGTGGGACCACAGCCAGGCAATGGCTCCTCGGAGAGCAGCAACCAGGTTAGCGGAAATTTGGAATGATTCTGGAATGGGGATCCCAACAAGCAGAGACATGGGGGAGTAGGAGTACGTAGTGTTGGGACCCGAGCGAAAGGGCCGGGCCTCGGTGGAATGGCGTGCATGCAGTAGTGTGGATACGCTATAAAAGGGACCAGTATACCATGTTAGGGTGTCAAAGGTGCTGTGTTGTTCAGGTGTTTCGTTCAACGTGGCTCTGTATCTCGATGATGGTGCGATGGTATGACAATGTAGGTGGCGCAATGCATGTATGCGAGGGAGACGAAGCGGTGCAAGGATACACGTGCACATGCAACACAGGCGTAATGGAACATGGACGATAGAATAGGAGGAGAGGGAGATGAAAGCGAGGAAACAAGGAGACGAAGCATTCACAAGCAATGAAGCCAAGACGAGAGGCGTTCCTGCAGGTGGAGTCGGCCTGGGGGGTGTAAGGCAGTAGGGCAGCCGCTAGCGTACAACGTGGGCGTGAACGACTCGCTGATTGGCTCGTGATAGAACTTCTTTCCATACTGGGAACATGGCAGCCACGCCCCCCTTCACTCCTTCCTTCCCTTCTATTGCCTGCTGGACGGGCAAGAGCGAGCCAGTCATTGGCAAGAGCAACACTCGAACCTCCCGTTTCTCTGCGGCGATGAATTTTTTTCTTGTCTAGTCGGAAATGCAGACGACGGCATCTCCGCCGTGGGCTCCTCCCCGAACCTTCTCTGCGTGCGCGTGCTCGCGTTACCGTGTCTCATTCGTCGGAGCACTGCAATGTGCGTGTATTCGTCGGCCTGGAAGCGACGTATTACGAGGCCGCAGATGGTCAGCATGCCTGCACGCCCTCTTTGGTACCTTATGTAACCCTAAATATATAGATGGAGCTGGCCTCCCCATTTCTATCCTCCCGTCTTGGCCCGACATCTCCCCTCAACTCTTGTCCCCTCTTGTCACGCAGAACCAAGCATTGGCAAAGGCTTAGCTAGCTACGTCTCATCGCCATGGCCAACAACAGAACCGCCGGCGGGAACAACGCCTTCCACAACTTCAACAACGACTTTGCCCACATCGAGGACCCCAACGAGCGTCGTCGCCTGGCCCTGGCCGAGATTGACAAGGCCCCCTTTGGCTGGTACCATGTGCGAGCCATTCTGGTCGCCGGTACTGGTATGTCATCTCTCCGCATCTTCTCTTCTTCTCTGATGGCCCGCTGACCCCACCAAGGCTTCTTCACCGACAGCTATGACATCTTCTGTGTGTCTCTGCTGACCATCATGCTGGGCATCGTCTACAAGCACGACAATGCCGGCGCTCTCACCACCCAGCAAGACACCGCCATCAAACTGTCCACTTCGGCCGGAACCGTCATCGGCCAGGTCGGCTTCGGTGCCCTCGCTGACATTGTCGGTCGCAAGAAGATGTACGGCCTCGAGCTCATCCTCATCATCGTCGCCACCCTCGCCCAGGCCTTGAGTGGTCCTGGCCCAGGCACCTCCATTGTCGGTCTCATCATCTTTTGGCGCGTGTTGATGGGTATTGGTTAGTTGATTCTGTCCTTGCGCCCAGCGATGAAATCTCTCGCTAACCATGAGCAGGAATCGGTGGTGATTATCCACTCTCCAGTATCATCACGTCCGAATTCGCCACTACAAAATGGCGGGGCGCGATGATGGGCGCCGTCTTCTCCATGCAAGGTTTCGGCCAGCTCGGCGGTGCATTGGTCATGCTGATCCTCACTGCCGGCTTCAAGGGATCACTCGAGGGCGCCAAAAACTACCAATCGTGCACCGGGCACTGTGCCGTCTCCGTAGACAAGATGTGGAGGACGTTGATCGGTAGGTTCAACATGTTGTTCTCTGATAGCCTTTCCCAGCTGACCCGATGACAAGGCATGGGTATCGTCCCCGCTGCTATCGCCCTCTACTACCGACTCACCATCCCCGAGACCCCGCGCTACACTTTCGACGTCGCTCGTGATGTGGAACAAGCCAACGCCGATGTTGCTACCTACATTTCCGGAAAGAAAGGAGAAGGCTCCCCTGACGAGATCCAAGCCGCCGCCGCCCGCCAAGCTTCGGTCCAGAACCTCGAGGTCCCCAAGGCTTCTTGGTCCGACTTCTTCCGCTTCTACGGCAAGCTCAGCAACGGCAAAATCCTCTTCGGAACAGCCATGTCCTGGCTTCTTCTCGACGTGGCCTTCTACGGCCTCGGCTTAAATGCATCCACCGTTCTCGACGCTATAGGCTACGGCGACGGCCCCAACGTCTACCATAAACTCTTCAACCTCGCCGCCGGAAACTGCATCCTCGTCTGCGCCGGCGCCATCCCCGGCTACTGGCTCGCCGTCGCAACCATCGACACCGTCGGCCGCAAGCCCCTCCAGCTCATCGGCTTCACCATGCTCACCATTCTCTTCATCATCTGGGGCTTCGCCTACAAGCAGGTCGGCTCCCACGGCGCCCTCGCCATCTACATTCTCATCCAGCTCTTCTTCAACTGGGGCCCCAACACCACCACCTTCATCGTCCCCGGCGAATGCTTCCCCACGCGCTACCGCTCCACCTCCCACGGCATCTCCGCCGCCTCGGGCAAAATCGGATCCATCATCGCCCAGGGCGCCATCGCGCCCCTCCGCACCCGCGGCTTCGTCCCCGGCTCCAAAGACAAAAGTCCCTGGCTCAACCACGTCATGCAGATCTTCTCGGCGTTTATGTTTGCGGGCATCTTCACTACGCTGCTGATTCCCGAGACGAAGCGCAGGACCCTCGAGGATCTCGCTCAGGATTGGGATATGGGTGGTGAGAGCATCACCGGTGGTGCGCCGGTGAGGACTAAAGCCGGTGATGAGGCGAGCGAGGAGGGACCTAAGACGCAGTGAGCGTTTTTTTCTTCTTGCTTGTAGTATTTTCCTCTTTTTTCTTTCCCTTCATTTTCCCTTTGGCTTCATCGATGGCTTGTGTATGTAGAGTGGGGATACCTTAGCTACAAGTCACGACTCCCCCCCTCCCCTTTTTTTCTGTAGCCAAAGAATAGGTTCTTTGCATACTAAATATATCCCATGAGTCTAAGAGAAAACAAAATCATGTGCGTGTTTCTCCTGCTTTTTTTGACAAAACAATATCCTATCTTATTATAACATAGTTCTACAGTTGATAAGAACAACACACATATTGATATGTTACATACCAAGAGTCAATCATTGCCATCGCAGCCGCCAGCAGCGGAAATGATTCAAACTTGAGTCCAGCTATCCATCTACTAGTGTAAATATCTAGACACATATAAAACAAGGGCTCTCTACAGACTTTCCAGAAGGCGAGAAGAAAAGGCTTTCATCACCCTCTTCAAACAAACAAACAAACAAACAAACAAACAAACAAACAAACAAACAAACAAACAAACAAACAAACAAACAAACAAACAAACAAACAAACAAACAAACAAACAAACAAAGAGAAGAATTTGTCTAGTATTAGAAACTTCTGATTGTTTAAAACTCGGTTTTGTCTTCGCGGGGGGGGGGGGGGGGGGAACTTGAAGAGCTCCCTCCCTCCCTTCTTCTCTCCTACACATACACACATACGCGCGCCCGCCCGCCAGCCCTCTATTTCTTTTATTTGATGATATTTTATCCGTTTCGATTCGATTCGATGTGTTCATCTTGCTACTTCCTTTCAAGTTCCATACACTCCAACATCGAGCGATTCACAACCGGCTATTTCCCCACACATCAGCCACATCCACATCCACACCCTCACCCCTCACCTTCACCCCCCAAAAAAAACTCAAAAGGGGAGAAAAGAAAGAAAAGAAAAACTCACCGGCGTCCCAGCCGGACACATAAACTCCGCCCCCGAACATATTATTTCTCCGACTGCTTCGAAGATGCGGAAACATGCTGAATCTTCGCAGCAGTATGGTATCGTTATAGGTGGGTGAGGGGGGGCGGTTGGTGGTGATGGTGTGGGGATGGCGAGGGTAAGGGTTGAGGGGATGGTTGTGAGGAGGATGGTAGGGAGGGTTGGGATCTTCATTTTTCTGCTTTCTTCGTTGATTTGACACTTGGGATGGGATGGGGTGGGGTGAAGGCGGGGATGTTATTGCGTTTGTTTAGGCGGTTAAAGGAAGAGGTTTTGCGCGGGTTTGGGGTTGTGGAACGAGGATTCGAAGGTGGGGAGGGTGTGTGGTGGGAGGGAGGGAGGTATACGTGTGGTGATTGCTGTGTCTTTGGGTGGTTAGATGTACGATGGAAAGGCTTGGTCTGTTACAATGGAGTTGTGCATGAAGTGGAGTTTGGATAATTGGATTGTGGTTGGTTTGGTTGGGTTGTTGGGATGGTTGAATGGTGATGCGGCGTGGCTTAGTGAGTGGATTGATGTTATTTTATTTGGTGGTTTTGCGATTCGTTACGTCTGTGTGTTTGGTAGTGATGCTTTTATCACCTATTTTAGCTTAGTATCCGCATATCGACTGCGTATAATTGGGTACCTGGATTATATGCAACCACGAGAAGTGCAAATGCTGAAGCACAGTACAAGAATATATCTGTCCGCTTTGTGCTTACAATTCGTGATATATTCATTTGCCAAATGGTTGTCTACGTCCTCAGAAAATCATGCTTAGCTCAAGACTTTGCCCTTTAGAATCCCACACTTCCTGCTCGTGAGCTCTTCTATAGACCATGGAAAGCTTCGCAATATCAACTGCTGAACTCAATATTCCAGGATTTGGGTGTCCAGCTTCGCTTGGAAGCATTCTATGTTTAACTGTGAGCTCTTCTGATAAGTCGTGTAGGTCGACCACTGGGGTCGGGGACGCGCCTGCGTGGGCAAAAGCTGTGGCTGTCGAATATTCTATTCCATCTTCTAAATCTGCATCCGCAACCCAAACTTGCTTTTCAACTGGATCCAAATTCAATGGGGAATGCAATGATAGGTTGTTGAGTGTCGTTTAGCTGCGAACTCGTTCGGAGGCTGTCCGTATGGTATAGTTGAAATGATTTTGAGTGCGAAGTCTCGCGAGATTGCAGCTTCCAGATCGCACCATACTCAGCCCACCAAAGTCCAAAGATGTGTGTTCACCAACAAACTTCTCTCGGGAAATCAGAAACGGTAACAATAGTGAGGGAAAATGGCAAGATACTATAGCCAAACGGTCCAAACCAACGCACGATGAGCCAACAGGACCACTCTTTGCATCCTGTGACGCGCCAAAGCCTGAATCGGTGCATGATGAATCGTCATTCGACGGAAATTCAATAGTCACGAAGAATGAAGAATCCGATTCTGTACTTGACGAGGAAGACATGAATGGGGAACCTAGTCCGTTCCAACCCGTCGCGGGTTTTACGGGAAAGTATCCATCCGGATGGCGTGGAAGAGAAAAGTTACCGAAGGATCCCAGTTAAACCGGGGGAAGATACATTATGCAACTACGCCCAACGACTATTGTACCTCAATACCAATTATGTGGATACGAAGTTATTGATTTCTTTCTCTTATTCTACTAGAGGGAGAAACAGACGCGCATCGATTTAGGAACACAAAATGCAAGCAGACAGTAAACAGCAAACCTTCTCTCTCCGATGGTTGCAAAAATGCCGAGGAATGCGAGCCTCTTTCCCCTCATTCGTTTCCCACTCAATCGTCCCTGGCGCCATTCCCGTATCATAGAACCCGCGCTACACACAATTCTAATTATACTATCTTAAAACGAGTTTGGGATCAATGGGTGGAGGATCACGGTGTGACCAAGCAATATAAACGCCCTTGGCTACTGACACGGGACAGCCCGTGTCGGCCCCCACAGCGAACCCGGAATTATTTAGCGAGAGATCAGCGCGTTTGGGTATGGAGTGGGGTTCGTGTTGGTACTATTTCTCGTGTTTAGACTACATGAAAGATACGAGTCGGCGAAGGCATATTCTTATTCGCTCGAGAGAGGTAGGGATACTGGACAGGGTCTTAGGCAGAACTGAGCATTCGGGCAGACGACCCCGAATTTTTGACTCAAATTGCTGAAGTACCCCTCTTGTGATCGAGAAGTACACAGGCGATTGGAAGTCCTCCCCATTTTAAAAGAAATCAAGACGGAGTTTGGAGAGGAAAACGGTATCGACAAAGCAAAATGGGCACGCCGCCACTCACCTCCGTCTTTTCCACCATCTTTCTCCACCTTTTACTCCTCGCCACTGTAACAAACTGCCAAATCGGCACAGCCTATCAGGACATCACCACTGTCCCTGGCTATGCTGATTTGAAGCCCTGCGTTCAAAGCTGCTTCCATCAAACCGGCTTCTGTCCAAATGACCTTCTCGGTAGCAAGATCGGCTGCCGCGCGCATACCGACTGCAAAGGCTCAAACTGGCAAGCAACCAACGATTGTTACTGCCGCTCGGATCTACAAAAAGCAGCTCAAGACTATCTCACTAGCTGCGTGGAACAGAAGTGCACAGTCGGCGATGTGAGGATTGACGAGAGCTCCGCGGGTGGAATATACGGGCGATATTGCAACGAAAAGGGGTACACAGCAGCACCGGCAAGCGTATCCGCAAATCCAACAAAAGGTGGAACGACAGCCACAGGCGCGAGTGGAAGCACCGGCCCCGCTGAAACGGGTTCATCTTCTTCTGCAGATCAAACGTCCCCGCCACCTGCGGATGAGTCCAAGAAACTGTCGATTTCAGCAATTGTCGGGATCGTCGTCGGCGCACTCGCGGGCCTGACGTTCTTTGCCATCTTTGTGAGAATGATGCTGAAGTGGTGTGGGTGTGTGGGGAGACCACCTGCTCCGTCGCACCATGTTCAACAGCCACCTCCGCTACCATACCATCATCAACAGCAGCAACCTAGCTACCCTATGAACTTGTATCCCGAGCAGACATATTGGCAGCAGAAGCCTATGGGTGTGGAGTCGGAGGTTGGGCCGGATGACTCTATCAGCGTTGTTACGCCGCCGCCTGTTGCGCCTACGATGGTGTCAAATGGAAGGAGATAGTCGGGATTGGTATTGCGCATTGGTATTTTGCTCGGATTATTCCTGTTTTGATTGATAATTATGGGAGTTTGGGGGATATTGTACGATATTATGAGTGATATGCTGAGCCGTGAATCAATATGAATATTAAGAACCACTGGCAACCATCCATCTCTTTCAAGACCATCCACAAACACATCTATTCACCCCATCCTCCGGAGATACCCCAAATATATCCCAGCCATATTATCATAAGTGCTAATCTCGACGCCCTTGACTCCTCTCAGCGCATCCAACTTTTGTCCCAATTCCGCCTCCGCAACATCCCTCCTCTCAACCCCAGCCCTCTCACCAATGATGAACACCCGCCAAACCCCCACGCAAGCCCCCATGAATTCTGCTTGCGCTACCATGTTCTCGTCATCTGCCATCTCTGCATTTGCGATTGCTTTGGTGGAGAACTCAAGGGCTTGAGCGGCGTGTTGAGCGCGGTTGGTTGATCGTCGGGCGGACATGCTGAGGAGGAGAGACGTCTGCGTGAGTTTTTGGAGGAGACGGGACACTTTTTTTGGAGGCGTCAGAGGGTCGTTCTTTAGAAAGGTCAGGGCGGATGTGAAGTTATTGTATGCGCTGACTAGATTCGGGGGAGTTTGGCGGAGATAGGTCGAACCGAGGGAAATCAATTCAGCTGTGGGTTGGCACAATGATTAGTTGAAGAAGGCAAAGGGAGATGCGATGAAGAAATGGAGCTTACCAATCTCTGTTGCTGTTGCTTTTGGACCTGGGGACTTCTGACTGTTTGTTTCTTGGGCTTGAGCACGTTGCTTCAGCATATTTGTGAATTCCGGAGTTGGTTCATCTATATCAGCCTCAAATTTCCATCGTTAGCCACCGAACGACACCAGAGTATCTTCTGTTTCGAGAAGATTCAACGATTATGGAGAGTTTCTACCTACATTCCTTCATCCTCAGATTCTCCACACAAGCTCTGACATCTCCAATCGTGCCCCTTTTCCCAAGATACGTCGCAGCAGCCGCTTCAAGCAAATCCCCTTCCTTCCACTCCGCTAACCCAACCCCCTCAAGCCCATGATCTACATTGAACCGAAATGCTCTTCCCTTTTCCACTGCGTCTCTCCAGCGCCCAAGCCACTTCTGATTTGTCCCTTCTGTCTCGCTCGCTTCCTTCGCCAGTGTCTCTATAAAGTGCTTCCACCCTTTATCACTGACACTTCGCACCCCTGGATTACCAGTGCCGATGCAAACGAAGCATTTTACAAGAGGTTGTAAGTGGCCGGTTTCTTCGCACCAGAGGTCTGTCGCTTCTTCTTCGAGCTCAAGACAGGGATTATTGGCACCGAGTGCGCCGTCGATGAAGTGCGAGCTCGAGATTGAGGCTGGAGAGAAGTATGTCGGAGCTGCAGAGGTGGCGAGGGCGGCTTCGACTATCGTAGGGTTGAGCGACGTGTGTGTTGGTGTGCGATATGAGCGGAGACGTGTTGTAGTGTTTGTTTTCTGGAAACGTGTGCATACGAATCTACTGACATCAGCTCTTCCTGTGGAACACAAATAGTTTTAGAGAGAAGCGAGATGCAGACGTACACTTTGCACTTCCCTTGCTTGACTTCAAACTTCTCGTCCGCACTTACACCTCTTGACCTTAGAACTTGTTTGATTGCGCTTTCCAACTCTTTCGACGAAAACTGCGAGCTCACACCTCCCAATCTTTTCAGGACTGATCGATTTTCCTTTTTCTCGAACACCTGTCTCATCATTTTCTTGTAGGAATCGATGCACTCTTCAACAGTCATTTCCAGTCGGCCTAGCATGATCGCAATAAGACTACAAACCACAAATTGTTCAGTTGCAATCCGTATACCCTAGAAATCACTGCACCATGTGGGAGGTATAGAAAAGATCAAACTGACCCGCCAGTACTAGTTCCCCCAATTAGATCAAATATCTCACAGGGTTTTCTTTGTCCTAACCCCGCTTCTTCCCTGCCATAATTCAGTCGATTCATAATCCCCTGTAAAATATAGAGAGTCGACAATCCTCTAACGCCACCGCCATCAAGTGAAAGAAGGCAATAACCAGTGTTATCGAGCGTGAGGGGCTGTAATGACTGCTGTTGCTGGGGAAGAGGATTCGTCAAAGTTGTTTCTGTCTGCGTGCGGAAAGGCGGCGGTGTGGGAACCGCAGTGACTGTAGTTGTGGTATCGCTTTTGCTGTCCATGATGAACTGCGCAGTTGCGCATCTATGTGATCGGTTGGCGTTAAGGTAGAACTCGGAACTTCTGCGAGGTACGTGAATATGTCACGGCAGTGTATAAACACCCGTTCAATCGCCCCTCTCGACCCTCGGAACAACTATTCCCAGTTTGCTGCGAACGAGGCTATGTTCTCGTGTACGACATACTCTACGCGCCATGTCCGTCCAGGGTAGGCGAGATTTTCTCGTATTCGCAATGCTCGTGCGTGCGGAGGACGATATGACACGAGCTTGGGTTTTTCATACTGCCGGCTCACCGGAATTGTCATATACTTACGTCCCCTCCACTCATTCTTATCTACGCTATCTGTAATACGAGTGTGGTAGGTTGCGACAGGTGCATTCATTGTGTGCAGCGAGCGTTTGTCGTTTGAACGAGGAAAGTTGGATTCGCAGAGAGATCGCTCGTGGAACGTAGAAGATCCAAATGCACTGCGTGGAAAACAGAGGTTTGTGGGGATGAGTGGGTACTGGATTGGGAGCCTGAACATACTATGTATAAGCTACGAAACAACGCCAAGATAGCCAAGCCCAGGCCCAGCAAGGTTGTCAATCTGGAGAAACCACGCTCTGCGTCACTAAGAAGCCCTTTTGCGTGCTTTTTTTTTTATCCTTATTTCATTTTTGGAGGTGCAGCTGAAAACGATAGGAAAATTTTGAAACTATTCAACCTTCACTGTAGCGTACATATCCTACAGCGGTGATTTCCAACGCCCCGATTGAGTCATAGCCAAATCCTATGCCCGTTTTGAATTAAAAAAAAAACATAACTGAAAGTAATAGGTGAGGAGTAGAACAGATCGCCAGTGGATAGATAGGATAGATGGAGCCGAGTAAACAGTTACCGAAAGAAATAGAAATTAAATTGAGTTGGAAATAATACACACTCGAACGAAATGAAATATTGAGGACGAACGTAGGCGAAGAAAAAGAAGATCACAAGAAGTATAGAGTGAACAGAAAATGAACTCCAGCTGAGGTCGGGACTAGTGGCGTCGGAATGTTGAGCAGGCTGCCGGAGCCGCTCATGATTGCATCCCGATATATAGGCCGTGCCAGGGTTGTCCAATAACCATCGGACTGGAAACGAGAGACGGGAATTCCGAGGTAGAATTATTGCTCTCGATATATCTATCCCCTTGATGCGTTACTTGCTTGGTTTCGTAATTTTGACATAGTCGTCTGATTCACCATCGTAAACGGGTAGCTTTGGCGATGGGCGGCTATGGACGGGAAGACTTTCGGCGATGAACGGGACTTGGGTTGACGATGAGGACCCAGTATCGAGATGCTTGAATCGTTGGGCTAATTGCGAAGCATTGAGGCGCTCTTCGGGTTTGATTTTGAGCAGTAGGGGGATGGCGTCGGCAATGGCCTTTAGTTCGTTGGTGCATTTTCGAGAGAGTTCAGATATCTTGCTGGTGACAGCTGGCCGCAAACAATCACCCGATGGTGTATCATAGAAGAAACCATCATCGGTGATTGCCTGAGGATGAATTTTGCCCGTTCGTTCGTCGCGAAACCTCTCAAGACCTTCGTAGTGTTCGGTGAACCAGACAAGTATCTCAAGATACACGCAGCCAATTGACCAGAGATCGTAAGGACGAGATGTGGACCCTTTCCTTTGTTCCGGGGCCCGATAGCTGGGAGTTCCCGCCCTGTTATCCGTTTTGTGACTTCTCCGATTTCCACTGACTGTCTCATTCAATTCATTGACTTTAGCACAAGAGAAATCTGAAAGTCGTAACCAATTCAGATTTCCTGGATATTGAAAGACCAAGATATTGTCGGGTTTGATGTCATGTATGTATCCAGTCTTGTCCTTCCCGGATTGCGGGACGCCAAGAGTGTTGCTAGTACGTGACGTGGTATCCCTAGGGTTATGTACTACTCGAAGTGCTGCTGCAAGGCCTGCAAGCTGTTGTGCAAGCCACGAGGGTGTTAAACCAGGTTCCGAGGAAGCAACGGGGTGTGTACAGATGAATTTCTCGAGGTCTCCGCTAGCAAGCTCATAAAACTAATGATTGCAAGTTAGCGAAGTAGCTACGAGCCTATCATGCGCGCATATAACGAACCATGTAATAATTCTCGCCCAGTGTGAAACTTGAGAGACATTTGGCGAGATGGCTGTGACTGATTCCAATCATAGCAGCATGGTAGTTCTTCTCGCGCTCATCCATAGTCTTCTCCATGATTTTCATGGCAAATCGATTGTCCCGCCCGTTCTGCAAACGTCAGACATGGGGTGTACAAGAGGAAAAGACTTCGAGCTTACAGAAGTGAAGTTGTGATGATCGGGATGTATGCGAACATCGTACACTGCGCCGAACGCACCCCTCCCTATCAAGTTTTTTGATCCGTTGTAGTCGATGGGCATGGAAAGCTGGTCCGAGGTCTCTTCGTCCATTGATTCGTTGCAGTTTTCTTTGAAAAACATTGTATTGAAATGCTTCTGGTCATCGGTGAAATCTTTGACCATTTTGCGGTTTGAGATGAGGCTGTCGAATTGCTCTTCACTGAGGGGCAGACTTCTGTCAGTAAGACCGTTGTCAAGCATAGCCTTCAGAAACAGCAAGGGAATCTCTTGGAACACGCATATAGCAAACAATTTGCGTCCGAAATGGCTAATGCGGTCGGGGAGATTGGCTTTTTCCTGGTTGTTTAGGATCAATTCTTGATCTTCCACTACGAGATTCCTGATGACTTCGAGGCTGGTAACCACTTCCAATTTGCTGGCAGGTAAGAACCTTTGCAGGTGTCCCTCGAACTTGTTCCGTACCATATTCCTATTCATGTATTTGATAACATCAGCCTTGTTGTTCAATAATGGGTCCATTGCGTATCGAGCAACAAGTAGATGTTGTGAGTCAGAGTAGGTTGAAATCTTCAAAAAAACACGCGTGTGAAAGACTGATGAAGATCCGACTTAAGCCAAAGTAATCGAACGACTTGAGGTTCGCAGGGCTGAAAGATTGCTGATTATCGATCACTCAAACTCCCAAGGCCACACGGTGCCTTTATATAGGAAGGTCGAGACAAGAGCCGCAAGGCTCCAGGCAGTAGTGACATGGGGATCCCGAACTCAAAGAGGGCTGTGGTTGACCTCAAATCACACACGCTCCCATATCAATGGCTTGGGGAGCGTGGGTATGAATGGCGCCAAGAGCTCCAGTGGCTTGCAAGACAATCGCGACACCGCCGGCTATATCGAAAACGAAAAATTCCATTGGGTAAAAGAGTATAGGGAGCGCTCTGGGTGGTGACCGGTGAAGGCAGGCCCGTTTCAATGAGCTCGAGCTGAATGCGAACCGAAAGGTGGGGTTGGGTAGGCTGGAGAGGGGGAGTTGGAGTTGGCCAGTAGCAAAGTGTCATCGTTGCAGCCAGCGGTTCCGACCGTCCCCCTGACGCGAGTGCCCGTTGTCAAGTAGGCTGAGCAAGTGCATCATCTCAACATGCAAGCAATGATTGTCTGCTCGGCCAGTTCGGTATCAAGCTTTCGCTTGCATCTGCAAACGCAAGGCGCAATCGTCTGAAGGCAAGTTAAATATCCTTAACCCCACTTTTCCGCGTTGACTCTACGACTCGGGTCTAAGCCGCTAATGCCGTGCTCATCAGTCAACACTCCTGTTTGTGCGACTGTTGAAAGGCTGTGGACTTTGTTGTTTCCACAGAGCTATTTTCGCCGATGCAATGCCCCTAAGTTTCGATTTCTGAACCAAACTTCTCCTCACTCTCTTTTGATCCAGGATATCCATGGTAGACGTCATCCAAGAAGACTGTGTCATCTGCCGAGTACGATAGCAGGGGTCGAGTCTAGAGGCCACCCACTATACGTGCTGCTTATCATCGCGGCAATTCCGCCAATGAAACCCTTTGCTGGAACACATCTTTCTCTTCGCCCATGCCCGCGTTGCGCGTCTTGATTCGATCCATCAAAAGATGAATAATCTTTTCCGAATTGATCCACACATACCAAATGGATATGGTAAGTAGAGTCAGCGGAACTGAGATCGCGAAGAAAATGTAGGTGTTCTGTGTGTATTCCAGCTTGGTGCCTCCGCTTTCCAACTCTTTTTGGTTCACGAATTGGGTCGAGTAAAAGTTCTGATGGTTGTTAGTAAGCTCCAAGACAGGGTCGAAGATCCAGGCAACTCACTGAGACAATAGTGCAAGGTAAATAAATCATGGTGATGATTGTCAGTACGCGCATGCTAGAAGAATCGCGATTGTTTTTCTCTGCCAGTCTTCTCATGATTGTGTTCTCATCTTGTCCCTGTTTTGCAAGCTTTTGGAGACTGTATCCTTCAGCTCTCTCAAGCAATGACGATATCTGTGTGAAGTCAGTATAACACCTATATACACGACGATGCGAGCCACCTGGATATTAACACACCAATGTTCTCGTATTCTTCACTTTCGACAATAGCGACACTGCAATCTTTCGTGTATGCTGTATCTCCCGAGCTTTCTCCTTCAACCCAAAAACCACAGCATCAGTGTTGTAAGAGGAATTGCGGGAGTCACCCAGTATCCTTGAAGCATCTATGTGATGTTCGCGGAACTGCTCGTACATATCTCGGAAAACGGTCACGGTGTCCAACATGGAATCAAGAAATAGTATTGTCTCCGCAAGCTGATCCTCAATCACCTTCATCTCCTGGTGGTCTTCAAAGTCGATGGATATGAATTCAGGACTGTCGTCGTCAGATCCTACGCTGATTCCTACGGCTTTGTTTGACTGTTGTGCGTTAGATTCAGCATTCTCCCAGTGATGGTAGCGCTTACCTGATAAGTTACAGTCTTGTCCAAATCTCTCAGAAATGGTAACCAGCTCGCAATTGCGGTATCTAGGAATACTGTGTGGAGGCCGAATGGGTTCGCAGCCATTAAATCGTCAGTGTTATGGGTAAATTCTTCAATGCGTTTTTCGGTTCGAGTGGAGGATCCGATGAGTATCCAAGTTGAACATCCAGTAGTTATGTTTGGTTTGTATCTATGGTAGACAGCGAATTGGCGGAACGAATATGGGCGTCTATCTCCTCCGCGGTTGGTGTGCTCAGCATATCGCAAAAGATACGAACATTCTGATATGAGTTAGTGATACTCTGGGGAAACTTGCCATCATCTAGACTTACCAAACCCATGATAACTGTTGTCTTGAGATTCGTATAGCGGGCGGAATTTGAGAGGAAGTGGTGTCACTTCCGAGTCACTCGACTTTGATCCCAGGCCTATGACGTACTCCTTCAGTCGTGGAAAGACGTGACAAGAACTCAGAAGCTCCTCGAACACCTCTTTGGTGATTTGCAGACGACTGAAGGAATTTCTCTGGCGAATATAAAATACTCGGAAACTGTGCTGCGTGTGCTTGCCAAAACTTCGGATCATGCTTGTATTGAGATTTTCGATCTTGTTCAGTTTTGGAGGGCCAGGATACATAGGAGGATTGGATCCTAGTTGATGATCCAAACCTATAGGTGGAGCTGTGCTGGAGGCTTTACTAGAAAAAGACCAAGCATCATCACCTTCCCGGCTATTGCCAATATCCTGAGTAAGGGCACGAGCCTCATGTGTAGTAATTTCAGTTGCATCTTCTCGCTTCTGTTCTAGAACACCAGACTTCATAGGTATTTTTTTCTTCTCGATGGGTTCGGGGTGTGTGTCTTCGTTGTGCGATGCTGTTGGGTCGATAGATGGTTTTCCCGTGCGCTCGTAGAACGAAGGGTCGATCGTTGATTGAAGCCTTACTTCGACCTGCGATCGTCTCTCATCTTTTTCGAAAATGGCATCCGCTGATCTCGTGTAATACTCTTCCGCAGTCGGACTTAAATCGTAGAAGAGAGTACGCTCCAGATATCGGGACGTCGCCATTCCGCCACCGGATTCTGTGGTGGATCTTGGGGATTGAAGCTCGTCACTTCAGGGTACATCTGTCTGCGCTCCAGCATTTAATAGCATATCTGAAGTGCCTGAAACATAACCGTGTAGCAGATCGTTGATTCGAATTATTTCACATCCGGTGATGTGTGGGAGAAAAGCGAGAGGCTGAATGCTGTGTAGCTAACGTGAGTGGGAATACGAATTGCGCTAACCAGTTTTAGCCTAAGCTCCACCCTCTCACAGTCGTTCCGCACCGATTCCTTCCTATCCCTATACTTCTAGCTCACGTAGCATTTGACCTTAGTGGAACTCAAAGATCATATCTTGAGCCTCGGTTTGCTGTATTTCATTCCCTGCTGAGTTTTTAGACAATCATCAGGCATCCAATAGATCTCGTGAGACAGCCTGCAGCTCACAAGCTTCCCGAATGGCTGCATGTATACCCCTCCAAAGTACATATGTACGCACGCTGCATCCTACCGGTATGCCACGTAACAAGTGCTAAGCCTAGAGCTGCACATCTTGCTAACTAATTAGAGCGAATGAGTTGGCTAATTTGTTCTTTCTCTATCATAGGTGACACTGAAACGCTGGCCAATGGTTCCATCTGTATCCGCCCGTCGGAGCCCAGAGGGGATATTCATACATCAGAGTCATACTCATCCCAGAACCCGACACACATAGAGGGTAGCCCAAGTCTGCATAGCCTCACTTCATCCGGCTGTTTCCATCAAGTATGCACGTAGAAGCAGGTTTCTGTGTAGCAAGGGCAGCGGGACCAACCCTACTGGCTCGTTACAAAGTAACGCAGCATCAGGCTGATTTCGAGGCGTATCTCCGTCACTATTCATTTGGAATAGTGCCTTGCGCTGGGTACAAGCATGGCGCAGCTTCTATTACTACGTGGTGTGCACCGGTTTGTCATGCGGTGGCTCTGTATGCCAGTGTGACCACGTCTGCGCGCAAATACTTCATTTACCCTTCACCGGATCACAGTCCACTTTCATGCCTCATTCTCTTCATTCTCGAGTCTTTCTTCAAGCACCTCTCATTTTCCAAGCATTCTCGGAGTCACCATGGTCTTCACATTTAAGAAAACGTCGAAGCAGACGGAACTACCTCCCCCACCTCGGTACACAGCTCATGCTTCGCGACCTATCATCCCCGAGCCTCACTTGCTCGCACCCCCGCCGAATCAACTTCAAATCATTGAGAATCGCTACGTCGATGATGAGAAACTTTCACAGATCTGCATCAAACTGTTCGGACTTGGGAATTACGACATCAGGGTATGTACAAACGATAGTGCTAGAGTAATACCATGCTGATGCGGGGAAAAGTACAAATCGAAGAAGTTTTATCTTTCCGTACCCGTATTTCTCGATCAGGCATGTTTCCCGCGTGATCACGAGATCATTGTACTTTCTAATGTCAACCAGGAGACTATCGATCAGTGCGACCGCTACTATCAGGAACTTCCTCCCTCCGCCTAGATGATTTTCTTCTTCAAACTGTTTCTAAATTCGACTAATCATTGCATTTCTTTTTACTTCTGCGATGATGTCTTCGAGTGAGAATGCGCATTGGTTCTTCATTCCCAGCATATTCTTTGGTCATCATTAATTAAATCGCTGTGCTCTGTCTCATGCCTCTTATATAGATACCCAACTCTTAAAGGCCTCGGAAAAGTATCATAATTTCGGTAAATTTCTACTCACTGGCTGCATAAAATGAAGTGCGAACGTGAATTCAACATTCAATGTTTGGAAGTCTGGTGAAGGTCATGTGACCCGTGGCAAATATTGGACTTCGGCTACCCGCCAATGCCCCGATGCAACACGCAACATCTAACTCATGAGTCTGCACGTCATTATCAACTCAATTGAGTACATTATATCTTATATTGATGGGCCATTAACTGACTTCACATCCTAAAGTCTGATGGGTCTCTGGTGTGCCTACATATGTACATCTGATATCATTTGGTCGATTAACACGAGTGTTTTTTTCGTCCTCGAGACTATCGCGCTTCTGGGTTTACCATCTGAGCATAGTATAATTATTCATAACCGCTCAATCATTCCGTGAGACCCTAATCTAAAGGTCATTGAATTACAGATGACCGCTAATCTACATAGAATTGTACATCCTGAAAAATATTCAAAAACAAAGGAAAATGTTTGTGCTGTAATACTGCGCATTAAACAGAATCTTTACAAGAACCGGGAAAAAAATGCTCATTTACTTAGGTCTAACCAAGATCCAGTCGAATGCGATCTGCCCCTCTGTTCCAGATCGTTGAATCGCGGCGCAGGCAGTTCAAACTCAGGCGTCTCCTGTATCGCAACACCCCAAGCCGCGCTACTAGGTCGACTATAATCCGGAAAAGGCGGTAGCGATTCACCGTCGTTGTGTGATGCATCACTCCTGAAGAACGTTGGCTGGAAACTAAACAGAGTGCTATCAGTGACGGTAGACGAGCGGCTCTGCGGTCGGGAGAGAAGCATATTGTGACTGATGGAGTGGCTCTTGTTTCTGTGGAAGCTGCTGATCGCTGGCGTCGAGCTACTCCGACGAGCAGGCGAGCTGGAGCTGCGCGAGTGGTAAAAAGTCGAATTGGGTTGGGTGGGATAATTTCCATGACGCGAGGGTGGGCGCCGGTCCTGCTGTGTCGAAAACCTGTTGAGCTCTAGGCCAATTTGGCTTTGCCGTAGATAGGTAGAATAGTCGTCGATGTCGTCGTCATGAACTTCTTGCGGGTCGTCGGGAATTGGTGAGAGACGAGCCGCTGTTTCGGGTCTCCTGATCGATGGCGCTGGGTTGTTTTGAGAGAATGAGGTCATCGAAGCTCGTGCGGGGATACTTCTCGACTCCGGACGTAGTGTGGAATTCCTAGAGTGGCTGCTGTTATGGGAAAAGGGAAGTTCATTGGGCTCGATAATGCCCTTGTTTCTGCGGAGACAAAGAGGCACGAATGTTGTGTACATTTTCCGTTGAAAGGCCCTCGTAGTGCCGAAAACTACAAAAGCGAGCATACTAGGTGAGACGCCTGTTAGGTAGCCCCGGACGGAGGAAAGAGCGCGCTTCCTGGAAAGATCGGGTGTGGGTCGCATAGCGCTTTCTACAACGTGACCCTTCGCCGCGAAACGTGGTGCAATGCTATAATACTGAAAGACACTGATGTATGGTCAATTTAGGTATGCACAAGTCGATCTACGTGGTTATTTCGGTTTGAAACGTACCAGAGCATCACAAATGCAATTCCAAGTCGAATAACGAGCCAATTGTCGAAAGAGCCATCTGCATGTTTCTTCCGGTTGGGTGTGGCGCGAAACGTGACACTGCTTTTTCTGAAGCCACTGGATGCGTTGGTTGACGCGCCGCCAGTGCCATAGGAGACACCGCCCCAAAGTTTGAGTTGCCATCGAGCCTGCATATATTTGTAGAGAACCATGAGAAATAGAACGCATGCGCCAGCAAGACTAAGTAGAGCTATGGCCATGCTAGTCAGTTTGCAAGTCTCAGGACTAGTATCGGTGTCATGGTGAGGTGGGGAACATACATTGGAGGTTGGCGACAAACAAGTAGACGAAGAAGTGAAGTTGGACTACTTTTGCCTGAAGAATACCGATAGTGAGTACTGCTAAAACGATCGGAAGGATTCGCCCGATAATTGAGATGATGCGTAGAGTTTTCGGCTTCTTCGCCCACCAGCCATACAAGGATGATGCTACAGAGAATGCGCTGGTATTATGTCAGTAACAGGATCGTTCAGTAATGTTTGCGGGACCCGCGCAGTCTTACAAGAAGAAAACCAGCGTGGATTCTACCGTGAAGGCAAAGATTCCTGTTCGAATGCACCTGTCAGTTATCCTGCGTTGGTCGGCTTGGGCCACGATATGTTGCTAGCAGATATGTTTTGACGTTGAGATTCGCCAACAGACCGAGAACTACGCGTACCAAATTGCACCAAGAAGCAACCATTTCTCATCGAGAGAATTGAACATGAGAGTACTTACGAATATATGACAGTCCTAGTTTGAGGCCAAAAATACCCTTTTGATACTGGACTTCAGCATTCTCGGAGTACTCCTTTCCATAATAATACTGTTGTATCATTATATCCCTCCAAAAAGCATAATCATAGAACTGCTGGACAATACTGGAGAAGGTACCGAGTAGGGTGAAGTATGCAATAAAAGCGGTATCTTTACGCAAGAAAACAGTCAGCGATAACCATCATTGCAATACTGCCGAGTTCGTTTGATTCGGATGATGGTGGGTATGACTGCTTACAGCTTCTCGTCTCATTATGCGTACAAACCAGCCATATTAAGATGCTATTCGCGATCAGGCAGATGAACGAGTAGACGATGCATCCAGCGGCATCTCCCAGAACGCTATCGGGAAGCTGAAAAGCTCCCATCCCACAGTATTTTCGATATATCAAGGTATCATGTTCCCGACGGAGGCGGTGGTTCCGGTTAGATGAGTTCGGATGTTTCTTGCCAACACCGAGAAGCCGGTGGTGAATGGATGTCAGAAAACAGTGAACGAGATCACGCAGAGTTTCTGTATGACCCGTGTTTCTGGGTCAAAGGTGGTGAATGGAGGGGCCCCATGTTTTCAAGTACTACATGATAGAACCACATGCCCCATCATCCAAGATCAGAAGATAAGTGTGTAACAAAGTGATTGTGACATGCGGGTCAGTTCCTGCATGAAATTGCGGGTCAGCGAACAGGCGCTATGACTCAAGGAAGATCCTGGTGGGCCAAGCATACCAATCCAGGCTTGATGAATGCGGTCGACGGTGTTACTTTGAACTCTATCGGATGACCCTTCGAATTGTCCAATCGATAGTCATTACTGAAATCTATAATGTCAGCACTATGAACAGGGTCAAACCATCGTGGCAAATGTGACAGGCTGTCTTTGTTGGCGGTAGAAATCCGGTTCTGAAACAGCTTACTTCTTGGTTCATAAGCATGCCACTATATGAGCGGGGAGCGACCCACAAACGCCTTTTCAACACGTTGAACTCTGGTCGCAACACATCGTACCGCTGTCTGTGATATAGTTGTTCTGTCTTCTGAATTCTGGGGGTTCCCAACTTACTACTCCGATTAGACGCTTACGCAAAGTTCCTACGCCAGTCGGTTCGGACCGAATGGCCTGTGCAACTGTCAAAACTTGCTCCAACGGGATTTCTCATGACAGCTGTAGCTTGAAAGTCTTATTCCGTAGTTCCTCTTCGGATGTTGAACCTGAGGCTGCGTCGGTTGGCGTTATTGACACTTCGCCTGTCATCCTCTTTATGTGGTAGTCGCTGTACGATTCGGGTACTAGTGTTCAGCAGATCAGGGTTTGACGAATGCGCGAGTCGCTACCATTCAGGGGAACGATATCCCACAACGCCTTCGGAAAGGATGCTTGTTTTGGACACAGAATTGGGAACTTCTCCAGCCGCAATTGTGTCTCTCTCACAGCTCAGTCACTTACAACATTCATGACATCGATCTCTGAATGAAGAGCTGAATCGGACTTCACCTATACGAGTTCCTTGATGAAGGATTTACACAACGATGCATATCCACGAAACTTCTCCTGGGGCAAGTGACCCGAAAACATCAATTTCCCCATCCTCATCAGACTACAACGTCTCCATTATTGGGAGGGTCGGTCTGGGATGACCACGTGTCTGGGTAATGCTCGGGCGACGTGTCGGGCGCATGTGCTGGCCCTATGGGGTACACTTAATCCCGAAGCAAGGTGTGATGCTCCTATATCCGCGTAAATCCTGGGGTCATTTGAAACCATCACCGCGAAATGGATTCCAGGATGTCTGCTATCTATGGAAAGCGAAATACCTCACATTTATAATGGGGAGTAAAACCGCAAAGCACATTATCGTTGAAATCGAGGAACACCGTCTTGAGCGCAAGCTATCTTACTGATTATAGGTGTGCCGACAATGCCGGTCACGAATACTCAATAAGTTCGTCTACGATCTTCTCAACATCAATCCAAATCCTCTTCCTGTTTTGCAAACCCTTCAAACTCTTCCAGTTCCTAGTAATCTCTGTATATAATTGAAACCAGTTTGTTTTGCCGATAGGAAGTCGCACCATTTCATTCATTGCATCGGCTCGTCCCGCCTCCAAAAACCCGGGCCTCTCTGAAAGCAGCTTTGCTACATCTTGATCCCATTCGTCGTAAATTTCCGGCATCTCCTGCTTGATGATAGTGCGAGCATTATCTCGCCAGACTCGAGTCTCTTCTTCTATCTTTCGATGTTCAACAATCGCTTCGTTTGTGGTGGTTGCCCAGATAAAAGGAACGTCGTCGCTCCAAACCTCCCATAACCATGGAATTTCTGCTTTTAGCAGATCTCTCCAAAGAAAAATTGGCAACTGGCGAAAGGTGTGCGAAACAAGACGCAGATTTGCAATATCACTCGAGGACAAGTAGGAAAGCGTTTGAAGTCGTATCTCCAGAGGAAGTGTATTGAAGACGTCGTCTCCATCTCCATCGTGGTAGTTTGGCGGTACATTGAAGCTTCCATTCTGTGGGCTGAAATTTTCATCATCTTGAACAACGCCGCGGAGAATCGGCGCGAGGTCCGGGATGAAGAGAGGGTTTGCCGCGAGGTACTCGCAGCCGTCTCTATGATTCCACCATTGGTCCGAACACTTTTTGACGTTTTTGTCATTTGATTCTACTGAATCCCAATCATGCTGGTCGAAACACCAATTTCCCAGCGCCTCGAAATTAATATAGCCAAAGCGCTTTCTTGACAATCGTGAGAAGATATCAAAACAAGCAGGGTGGAAAGGAATTGCGGTGAAATTATCACCATCAGCCTGAAAGAAACCGTAATTCTTAGTATTACAGACAAGAGCACGGTGATCCGGGAAACTTACCTGAATTGAGACGTTGTCGACGTACGGTCTGCTTACTCCGTGGCGGGAAGGAACAACTTCCTCGCTACCGCTGTCTCTCGATCTTACGTGATCGCACAATCCCGACAGACAATAGCGGCCCCCGCGTTCAAAGTCTTGATCATCAGCCTCTTCTCGCATCGCACTGTCATGGTGCGCTTTGCTAAGCAGACATTGCGCAGTGTTACAACCTCTCATTTCAATTGCAGTTATGCTCTTGCCATCGTAGCCTCGACCTCGATCACACTTATGTTTTGGGCGAGGTTCATTATTGATGAAATCTATTGATGTGAGTTGACAATGTTTTGTTGACAACAACCAGTAGTTGGCAATGCGCTTACATCGAAACATCATATAAAGTTGGTCCTCGGGCTCGTTGTCGATATCCATGGCACTCTCCTCTTCGGAAATATCGGAACCACAGTCGGTTTGGTATTCCAGTTCTTCATATTGATCCTCCTCCTCAAAAGTGTAGTCCTCATCCTCCCTTTCATCCATGATTGCGTCCAGGTCAGTGGAATCCTGGGTCACATCTTTGCGCGAATAGTCGTCACAATCATCACCGCTGTCATCTTTTCCTTCATCAGTACATGTCGCTGGGTTTGGGAGTTTTCCCAGCTGACACCCAGAAGTCTTTTTATCACCCGTGCACGTCCAACTCATCCATTCTGGCTCGGTCCGAAGTCGGCGGCGGCTAATGTTGAAGGTAACAGCGCAAAGGCGGCAATGAATCTCAGTGTACCCCATTGCTTGTTTAGTTGTGATTAAAAGAAAAATAAAGAAATATAAAGCAGCCCTGTGTCTAAGACCAATCATTAATATGTGCACAACTCTGGCTTGGCATTTAGGCTGCAGTGGTTGCCTTATATTTGTTGATACTACCAGTCGGGTAAGGAACTGCATGACGTCAGATGGTTACTAATCTGACCATCATCCAAATTGCACCCAGTCTTCAAATCCTCGTGTATTTGAAAGTAAACTGCAGGCGATAAGTTTCACAGGGTTGTATACAACAGCTTTGTGCTCCGACAGTCTCACATCCTGCTGATGAGTTGCGCGCATTATGTCGGACTTCGTCGCACTATCACGAAGAATGAGAAGATACTGTTCAAACGAAAACAGATCAGTGTTCAAGGAATAATCAAATTTCGCCATCATCCAGATTCTTCCTAATATCATAATAGGGCTTCGGAGAACATGTGCTGCACGTAGATCCTGCCTATCTGTATTTACTCTTGCATTGCTAATTCTTTCGCACACTCACAGTTTCAATGGCCAAGCCAAATTGTTAAGATATTTGGCCTTAATGACTATCAGCTATTCTCACCGAATGGACAAGGTGACATCATGAAGCTCCCCTTTGAATTGATTATCCATTGTTATTCCTATACCAATGTAAGGATGTTTAGGATATCAGTGGCACATCCAGTTAAAAACCATGACTTCCGCGTTGGTTTTGTTTTCTCGAATACATCCCCACACTGAATCAAGAGCCCCGGAAAACAGCTAGGGGTTGATCTCAGACTATGTTATCATCTTCTCGTAAATCTTTCAACTCGTGAACTAAGTCATCAGATGCTATACGCTCCTGTCGATCCGCTTCCAACATCTTTCGGATGATATTCGCAAGGTCGCCGAAATGGTTCGCAGCCAGATCATGCAGTTCGTCCTCGACACATTCCATGAGACGATCGTCATGATGAAAGCAAGCTTGGACATCACCCTGCTCCTGTCTGGCCGTCTCGAACTCATCAAGACCACGCTGGGATTTGGTCATCCAAACAAGCATCTCGAGAAACACACATCCAAGTGACCACACATCAGATTTCTGTATCAATCGTCGCTCCATTGTAGCATATTTTTTTGGCTTCATGGGGGGTGCATAACGATGATCACCTGGCGCTCCGGGATGAGAAAAAAGAGTATCGCTGTCTCCGCGCAGTGTCATAGAGGTTCCCCAATCAGTCAATGCCAATCGTTTGACTGGTGTATCACTTCCCCCTTGACTTTTATCGTCCAAGAAGACAAGTATGTTCTTCGGTTTTATATCTAGGTGTACAATGGCTGATCTGTGGATGTGTTGAAGAGCCTCAGCAAGCCCTATCATGTGCTTTATCATGCTCTCACTATCAGATTGTTTGGGCTCATGTCTCCAATGTTCTTTAAGGTCATAATGAGCCCGTTCGCTTATGATATAAACCAAATTTCCTTGTATGAGACCAGCATACGAAGTGTTCAAGCTGGGGTGTGGGGTGCCCATGGTCGCCTCCAGGAAATTTTGCTCATTCTGCGCCTGTTCGGCAACGTTATCGTTTTTGGTGTCAATGATTTTCAAGATGAATTCCTCTCCATCAGTTGTGAAGTTGCGTTTCGCTTCAGGTATTTTGACAGATATTACTGTAGTGGGAGGCAAAGTTAGGTGCTCTAATATTTGAATGTTTTCTCCAGCTTTCTTCTTGAAACTTCCTTTTTCGAACAGAATACTACTATCGTTTTTGGTTTCAGCAAGATCGTCAGCCTTTTGCATTCCCTCAGGCATGTTACTCTCAAACTGAGACATGTTGAAATGCGGTAGCATGTTGTCTCTGGAAGTCTTAGGAGAGCCCGTTTATAATGATATTCCCATCGCCAGTCTTGATCTATCACGTCGTTATAGATAGAGCATGACCGTATCAACTGCTATTCTCTCGCATGTGATGGCATATGTCACAGCTCCCAAGTAATTGTTTGTCTCGATCCATGCGCTCTTTCTCGAGCTCCAAGATGATTATCATTGTGAATTGAAAGCCTCATGAAAGTGCCACAAGATTTTTGAAGTTCGATTTCGTGATACGTTCGATCATTCAAGACTTCCTGATGATTTGTCCAACGCCTCGTCACGAACTTCATATTGCGCATTCTCTCACTTCTGGACATTCTTTATGTTTGCTGAAAAGCACCTGACAATTGAGTAGGTGATTTTTCAGATCACAAACCCTGAAGCACCTGAGTCTTTCTTCAAAATATGACAAGATCTCAAGTTATGTCGCGGTAGTTCCTGGTCATCAGGCTCGGCACATGTATTGGCAATAGTTTTATTTCGAGAATCATGGGTAGCCCTGATTCGCGAAATAGAAAATGATGTTTAATTATGCGGGATGAACAATGGATGTTTGGATTTTCGCTAGTTCATAGCCGTAAACAGATTCAAAATCACTGTAGGTAGTCGTGAGAATTCACATGTATTTGGGAACGGCACTTAATAATTGGAAATACAAGGTTGCTGTACAAAACTCTTTTCTAAAGGTTCTGGTATTTAAAAATACATCAAAAAATCATAAATCAGTATTTCAGTATCAAATCGGGGTGCGTAGTATCAATTCACTTCCTCAACATCCAATGATAAGACCACTTAGGCAGCCCTGTTTTAGCCTTCCTAGCAGCCTCAAACTTCGTACGCCATTCCGAAAAGCTCTCGGAAATTTTACCGTGTGCTGCCAAGCTTTGCATGAGTCCACTATAGTGCGCCCAGATATACCAAACAGTAATTGTAAAGAACGTCAATGGAAGGGAAACAGCAAAGAAAATCCAGCAGTCCTGCGCATATTGCACATTTCCGTCGTTTGCATCCTGATGCACGAATTGCGTTGAATAGAAGCTCTAGGTGGTCATTAGCGTTTTGTAAAACATGAGAAGATAGTGACTTACTGAGACGACGGTGAAAGGCAGGTAAATGAGTGTGATCATGGTGAGAATGCGCACACTAGACGAATCGCGACTCGCTTTCTCTGCCAACTCTCTCATGATTGCGTTTTCGTTCTTTGCCTCCTTTTCAATACTTTGCAAGGCCTCCATCTGTCTGTTGAGATCATGTCCAGTCCGATGCTCCAACAGCGATGAGATCTGGTATCGAGAATTAGCTTGATACATCCAGAGGGACCAAGAACCCATGATAGCGGCAAAACATACGACAGATCGAGTGTTCCTGATTTTTAAAAGAATACTCTCTGCACGTTGGCGTAGGTAGTTCGTCTCCTTCAGCTTTTCACCAATGAGCACAGCAACAATGTCCACGTCAATCTTTGGGGACCGTAATATTTGATGAATCATAGTTGAAAAAGTGGAGAGTGTGTCAGTGGTGGAGTCTAGACAAATCAAAACATCTGTGACATGATCCTCCAATCTCTTGAGCTTCTGATAATCGTCGGCTTCGACAGTCACAAAGTTGTCGGGGTGAGGGTTGGGTGTTGTACCGGCGGCACAATATGACTAGACAAATCATCAGCACGTATAACATTGCGATTGATAGTTCACATTACCAAATCCATGACCTGATCATGAATATAAACAAGATATGGTCTCCACGAAGATATCGCGACATCTACGAAGAGCAAATGCACTTCGAAGGGGTGTTCACTTTTCAGATCGTGCCCATCCTCTGCATGATTTTCGAGAACGGTACGCGCTCTTTCCCAGAGGCCGAGTAATATCCATGCTGAACAAGGTCGTTCCGGAGATCGTAAGTAATTGTGGTACACAGCATACTGACGTAGGGACCACGGATTGGCTTTAGTTCGGTTTGTGAGCTCAATATAGCGTAGAATGTATGCACACTCTGGTCAATTCAGTGCTATTTCTTCACGATGCACAACTTTGGAGGCCCTTACCAAATCCTTCTATATCAATATTATTTCTCAGGGGTCGGAAAGCAATAGATGGCGGTCCTATCTCAGATTCGCGTGTTCTGTAGCCGAATCCTATCATATAGTTTTGGAATTTAGGAAAGACTTGACAAGACATTAAAAGCTCCTCCAGATTCTCCTTGTCGATTTTCATTCGGCGATACGAATTTTTTTGGCCGATGTAGCTGTTGTCATCAATACATGCTCGCATGGGAGTGTGTTTCCTCACTTACAAAACCCTGAAGTGATATTTTGTGTTCTGCATAGGCAGTTAGAAAATTCACGCCATATCCTTACTTGATCTATTACCTCGATTGCTCTTTTGAGCTGTTTCAGATGTATCTCCACAAGCTGCAAATCACCTGAGCTAGCACTGGTATCACTTTCCAGGTCATGCTGTACATGATCATGATTCTGGTGTCCATCATCCTTGCCATAGACCGATAGATCGGTTGGAGCCTGGCAGTGTATTTCAATCTTCGCCTTACTGGGGTCTTCCGTGAATAACGACGCCTCGGAGCGACGGTAATAGTCCACAGATACAGGATCTGGAAGAAGCAAAAGTGATTTGCCAGAGAATGGAAGAACCTCCATCGAGCTCAAGAGTGAGATGTAATCAGAATAGACGAACAAAGTTTAGAGGAATGGTTGAATTACTTAGGTTGGAATGAGGGGCAATGAAAGGCTAAAAGACAGATAAGCCGTTCACCGGATATTGCGGTGCAACGAGACACAATAGCATGAGTCCCATACGCTTAGCCATTATTTCGGGTGTCACATCCCTCCGTGCCATGCTCAACGCTGGATATTAAGACTTCCCTGTTGAGTTTTATGCTTCTTGGATACCCCGCTTTAAGAATAGTGATTGAGCTGCAGTGATTTCTAGAGCCTCCAGTTCAGGTCTACCATGTGCCATTTTCGGTGGGTTTTCGGAAACATTCGAAACAAAATTGTCATTTTATGGTTGCATAGATTATCAACACTGATTGTAGGTAACTGAATGCCTGGTGATGTCCTCTCCATCAAAGACCTTCGCTGTAGCACGACCACAATCACCGCCATTGTACAAGCACATTCAGATGAACCTCAATTCACGAAGCTCACTCCCTATGCCTTGTTTCGCATCGCTCAAGTTCTTCCTACACTTCACATTAGCCATATCATCCTTCATCAAAGCGACGAGATACTAACTTCAGTCAACTTTTCTGGCAAATTGAAAGTCCATCTTTCAGTTTGATTGTCGAACTAACCCTCACTCAGTAAATGACTGAATTGCAGACAAGAGACTTACATTGATTCTCCACCCGTCTTCTCCCCATTTCTCTCTACAAAGCTTCTTGATCTTTTCCAAGTCAAGATAACGCGATTCGATGATCTGCAGCATTTGGAAGGTCTGTCGATAGGATCTTGATGGAAATTAGTAACAGAGAGAAAGTCGCGTCAGTGTCTGCCTCACTGAATGCGCAGATACATATATAGTTGCTCGACGATATCTAGGGTGACAGAAGCTTCAGTGCACCCGTGCATGTGTGTCTCAATCAGGTCCATCACATGCGTCGAACTCGTCCTGTGGACCAAACCACGGGTTCTTTAGTGCCTCGTGCTACATGCGAATTCGCTCTCCACAGTCGTTTCCGCATATCTGATATTACGTGACACCAGGTGCGGGGTGGCGTACAAGTCGATAAATCGAGACGGGCACGCTTCTCAACAGTGTTCTTGTGCCTTGTACACCGTATAAAATCACGTTGAATATGAGCACAAAACAGTTCAAGAAGGCACATGTCAAACAGTAGAGGGCAATTGAAATTGAAAAAGGGTGATTGTACCACACCCCTGAAGGAGGCTAGTTACAGACGAAAAGGGGGTAGTAAAAGCAGGGATTTATAAGCAAACAGTGTGAGAGGAAAGGGTGGGTCGCCTCACGTGACGAAAAGGAAGGGGAAAAGGATGTTCCGGAATAGAAGTTTGATAGTAGAGGGCAAATGGGTCATCGATTAGTGCTTTTCACAATTTTTTTTTTTATTTTTTATTTTTATTTTTTCCCCCAAAAAACATCTCATGTTCCTGATCACACTATCAAATGCGTTCATACTCAATCTGTTGAATATCCCATCGGATATCAGATGCGGACTCAGGATTGATACATACCTAGGTAGGATAACAGTACCTCGAGTATTTCCGTTGCTTCCGCCACATGGTTCCTTAATCTCAGAGATCCATCAGTGGATTTGAAGCCCAAATTTCCGAGCCCTTTCTCGGCTGTGTTTGTTGTTTCGCATTGTCCTTGAGGCTGTGCCTGTTTAATTCCAAATCTTTCGGAAACTATCAACTGGCACCCACTAAGTTTATGTGTCACCAACGTCAGTGTGAATTTCAGGATAAGCTTCGGGCATTTGACGGATGATCAAAAGACCATGAATGTGTAGAAATCGAAAGTCAGCCCAAAAACTGCTAATGTACACACTAGACTGTGTGCATATAGATGTATGCTAACGGTGGCGTAGTGCTCTTACCATGTCATCCTGAGGATAGAAAGAGCCAATCAGCGAGCGTTCTGTCATCCCGAGTCATGTTGAACGTGAGGCGAAGCAACAAGTCCTTCATCAACACGAATAGCAGGCAATTATGACTCTTGTCTGGGATATGAAAGTATATGGACAATAAATAAGAGGATAGTTCACCAACAGAAAAAGAAGGAATAATCCCACCACATAACTCGAACAAGCACCAACTACAGTAGTGTACCACCAACCACCAACATGACAATCGACGTAACCGCTCTTCTCGTCGACCTCAAAGCCCGAGTCACCACACACCCTCCACCCAACGACTGGGAGTCCAACGAGCCCACCCTCCACCAACGCGACACCCTCGCCGCCCTCCTCTACGCCACAGCCCGCCGCTACAACTCACTCCTCCAGGAAACCAGCGCCCAACAACCCACCCGACCACCATTCCCCTTCCTCCGTCTCCCCCGCGAGGTCCGCGACGCAATCTACATCCACGCCCTGCGCACTCCCTCATTTCACATCAACATTGAATCTCCGGACGCCAGATTCCCGCCATGCACAGCATTATTCGCGAACCCCCACAAACCCGCCTCGCCGGGCCTCCTACTCGTCAACAAACAAATCCACGCTGAAGCCGCTGACACACTATACGGCGCAAGCAACACATTCCGCTTCTACACACCCGACGCAATGCGCGTGTTCGACTCCCGCATCGGAGCCGCTAATTGCGCGCGCGTGCGCCGGATCAGCATCTGCTCGCTCTTCCCGAATACTTATGTCGAGGATGCGAAGACGGTGGAATGGTATTCGCGGCACACGGAACGCTTGAGGCATAGGACTATGGGTTTGATTACGCCTAATTCTACGCCTGCGGCGTGGTGTATGGCGCTGAAGACGAGTCGGTTTGAGTGTGTTACGTGGTTTGGGGTTGAGGCGGATAAGTTGGGGTGGCAGGCGCCGTTGGGGAAGATGCGGATGCCGCTGTTTTTGAAGGATGCTATTGTCAAGTTCTGGGAGAAGGGTAGGGGTGCTGAAGAGAGGATTCCGATGCGTGTTGATTTGTTGGGGTTCCGGGATGAGGATAAGAGCGTGTTTCCTGACGGGTGGGATGTGGTGCTGGAAGAGTGGGATAAGTATAAGAAGATTGCGGATAAGGTGAGGATGGAAATTGCGAGGGCGCAGTGAAAGGGGTATTCATCAAGAAGTGAGTATATGAGATTACAATGACTGTCGAGAGAGCACTCTCCAGGACATCTGTCACACTGCGGACAAGTACAGTTCCATGTCGTTTTGGAGTTCCAATTCCAGCTCTGCCACCATATTTCCATACCTTGGCCTGGCGGTCAATATCTCCAACCCACTCGCCACAAACGTCAAGGAAAACTATAAGCAAGTCGAATCCCGAGTCTTAGGATGCCGGCCTACCATCCACCAATTGACTCTATTCTACAACCTCACCCTACAATCCCAAAAACTCCATATCATCCGCCGCAATAATCGGAATATTGTGTCCATACCTCGGCTCATAAACCCCTTTCAACTGCGTCCCCCAAAGATACGTCGTCCACCCCGACTGCGGCGTATTCCCCTTGACCTGCTGCGGTGCCGTAGGGTTAAGCCCAAACACACCCGCCCATTGCGCAATCGTCTCGTTGTAATTCCTCGATTGCAGCGTTGTGTCAGCGCCGCCGTGCACAATCATCATTCTCGGCCGCGCGCCAGTGTACCCTGGATACATGTTCTTGACCACGTTCGCCCATGCTTCGGGGGTGTTGTGGACATTGCCGTTTGCGCAGGTCCCGTTCCAGGCGTTGACTTGGTTGGACGCGCTCATGAAACAGCCTGCTGGGACGCCGGAATGCGCGATGACTGCATTGAAGAGCTCCGGGTATGTCGCCGCCATTACGTTCTGTCACTCGCCGTCAGTAACCCACTTCCTACACAATCAACCACCTCCACATATTTCCTGTGGCAAATGCGGAGAGAAGGCAAGGAAAGAAGAAACTCACCGCCATCATAGCTCCCGAACTCGCACCCACCAAAAACACCCTCTTCGGATCCGCAGCGTACTTCTGCAACGCATACGTAACCATATTCGCAATCGAATTGCTATTCCCTCCACCTCCATGCGTCAACGTCGCTTTCGACGACACATCGAAACACGTCCCCGAGTACGGCGATTCAGGGTAAATCACAATATACCCTTTTTGGTCCGCAAGGGACGCGTACGGCGTGCTGCCGAAGAACGACTGCGCGGTGCCCTGGCAGTGGTGCACTGCTACTACGATCGCTGGGTTGGATTTGACCGAGTCTGGCACGTAGATGTACATTTTTGTGTTTGTGGGGTTGGAGCCGTAGTTTGTGACTTGCTGGAGGGAGGCGCGGGGTTGGAGGAGCGAGGGCGCGGCATGGCATAGTGCTGCCAGCGAGGTGAGGAGGAGCGAGAGCTTCATTGCTGCGGGTGATGGTTCGATATCTAATTTGAGTCGTGGAGGTGGGAACTCACGCGGGGATTGCGGAGCGTCGATGTCTTATACGCATTCTAGCTCCCATCCCCTCACGGGGACGAGGAAGAATTCATGTGCGCTGTATATTGTGCCAAGGTCTTTAAAGCTATAAGAAGCTTTTGTGTTTACCCCGTGTATATAGATCAGCGGAGCAGATTAGCGAACTAGGCAATGTCTTGAATCCAAATGACCTCGATCGTCTATTTAACATCCCTGTCTGGAGTCTGCTGTCTGCTATTAATCGCCTCGGAATATGCAACTAAAATCTTCCGTGGAGAAGTGTTGGACCGGCTGCAATTTACGCGGTGGGTCGTGATTCGTCATATCCCCTCGTCGTAACATTGTTGATTTTACCGCGGGACTCGAGGGTTTCTTATACAGTAGATGATAATTGGCTGTTATGTAGACTGCTGTTTAGCGGAATCGAGTACGATCTCAAGGTCTTGATAGGATCTATGCGTCCTGGCATGCAGTACATTTTGATGTGTATACAGATCTAACAATGTGAAGCAATATGAAGCAATAAAAAGCAATAACGAGAAAGCTTGGAAGGCATTATAGGAATTCGAGTATCTCCCCTAGTGCAACTACTCGTAATGTTGAAACCAAAGCATCGTCAAGATTGTAGAAGGTGAAGAAATTCCGTGTTCGTATACTCTCATGGTAGGAATGCCATATAATTCAGCTCTTAGTTATTGCAAACTAGATCTTTCAAGTTCTACGTACTAGAAATATTGCAAATAGTTACACCGTGATTGATGCTATTGGTGGCCGCAGCAAATTCCTGTTAGTCTCGTTCTATTAATACATGTCGTTGCCGTGCCTCACAACGTATTGAAATCCATCGGGCCACCATTATAATTTATCACAATAAAATGATAAGAGTTATCGAATTTGCCATCTCTCATTATTGAACCGGTTATTTTGGAGCCGGTCGTGTGGTGTTCGTGGTTTATCAAATCTTCGTCAACATAGTATATACGTAAATCCAAGTCCAGAAAACCATGCTTGATGTCCAGTGTGTGATGATACCTTTTTTATAGTACAGTGACCATAACAGCATGTCAACTGGTGTTTTCAGTGAGTACCTCGGGCACATCTAGCTCCACACGAGTACTCATGAGGTGGGGACATTGTCGTCCAACTTCATCTCACCATGCCCAACATCCACCGCCCAACACAACGCGCCCCATTATCATGCACATCATGCGCATCCCGAAAAGTGAAATGCAGCAAAACAATCCCTTGCCGAGCCTGCATCAGTAGGGGCACTGCAGCAACCTGCAAACGCGAGGTCGTCGTTGTGCGCGGTCGCGTTCGCACTGCCGACGCCTCGGGTTCCAGTCCCTCGGTTGCCGAACTACTTCTCGAGAATGCCCGTTTGGCCGAAATCGTGTCCAGATCGCATGGAACTGATGTTTCCAATGCCCCTGCTGTCGATCTGACCGAGTTTTATGAAAGACGGCTTTATGAAGAGCTGGGACGTGTGCGGGAACCGAGGACTGTGGCATCTCTTGCTGACGTCGCGCTGCCTACGGAACAGTGTAGCAACTTTTTTGTTGAATTCGCTGATAAATGGACCTCTTGGGTGCACTTTGCATTCTTCTTTCCGGACTTCCGGGATGAGCACGATCGGTTTTGGAAGCAGGGTGCATCGTTTTATACGTACGATCCGTTGTGGTTGTCCATCTACTTTGGGGCACTGGCTTCGGCTTTGGGGTTCATGAGTGACGAGGACTTTGTGCAAAGCGGTGCACCTCTTGATTCGCGAACTGATCTGGCTCGAAACTGGTTCCACGCTGCGCTATTCTACTTGGATCGAGGGGACTTCCTTCAGGTATCGCATGTCAACATCGTGCGTTCCATTGTGGTTATGGGCAATGTTGCCTCGACTATAGGCGAAACGCATCGACATGCGAATCTTTGGGCGCTGGCTGTTCGCATTGCACAGCAACTCAACTTAGGCTCGGACAAGATGAATCCAGAGGAGTCGGTAGTGCAGAGAGAATCGCGAAGACGGCTTTGGTGGACCCTGGTGATTTGTGAGTGGCTCATGATACCACTCCGCACGCCCTGCATCACCAATGTGGACTTCACTTGTGAGCTTCCAGCAGAGTTGAATGACACGGAACTTATCGACCACAACTACGTATCGCAAAGTACACCTCGTCCTGTTCAATATCACATCTTCATGGCTCGAATAGCAGCCATCTATCACCAGTTTCATGCGAAAATTCGATTACGGAGATGGTCTCCGAGTGGAGTAGCAGACTTTGTCATACAAGCCGATGATGAGCTTGCGGCTATCATTGAACAGTTGCCGCGTCATTTGAGACACGATGAGGTAGTACCGAACGAGGAACAGATCACCCTCGAGTCGCAGTTTCCGTGGATCGCGACCCAGAGAACAAGCTTAGCTATGGTGCTTCTTTATTATCGTCTAGCAATCAATCGGATCTTGCAGGGATACTGGCTGGAGGGGTCAACGAATTTCGCACGTGCGCGGTCCGTCTGTCTCTTCTCCGCTATTCACATAATACGTTCAGCGGATTCTGGTGCTGAGACATTCAATCGTCTGAGATCATGGTAAGGCTTGTACTTTGAACATCTACTCGAGTGAATTCAAAGCTAACGATTGACAGGGATTTCGCAATGTTTATTTTCTCGGCAACAGTTACTATAGCTCTAGAAGTGCAAAGAACTGAGACACCGGATCCGCAGTGTCTTGAGGCAATTGCTCAAGGTAAACAGCTTTTGGGGAAAGTACAATTTCAGAACAAATTGGCGCGAGAGGCGCTGTCTATACTACAAGAATTCAATACGCCTTGACACCGGCAAGTTTCAAAACAAGATCGCTCTCTTCAGGTTCAAACGCGGGACGGTCTCGTCTATACGTATCCGGCTTGCCTAGCCTTATGTGTTTGTCTTCATGGCGGAATATATTCGCATGGGGCCAGTGTGTCTGCATCTCGTCAGTGTCACTCATGTCGTTTCTCTGGTGGTAGCACTTACAGTTCCCAGACGTTGCTGGAAGTAACTGGCCTTCTCTTTGATATCTTCTTTGGAGGCAAAGGATGCCGGAGCGTAACAGATATACATGACAGCCCTGACATTGCCGGAACTAGGCACTTTATTGTAGTGGATCTGGCGACTGTCCCACAAGATCAAATCTCCAGGGTCTGCGCAGACCTTGATCTCCTCGCAGCCACGCTGCTTGAACCAGTCCACCTCTGACTCGTCAAACCCATGCCAGTCCATAGAACCCCAGGTCCCGGCTCCTTTCGTCTCGGGGTGCATCTTGAAGAAAAGCTCGTTCAGTTTGTGCGATCCTTTCAGCACCACCAGCCCTCCATCATCCACCCCGTTGGGTGCTAGGTTGAGAATGCCCTGAACGCACTGCATACCCTTGCGGTTGGGGTTTTGATCAACGTGTGGCCATGGAGTCGAGGGTTTGAGATCTGGTGTCGGCAGCGTCAAGTTCATGCCGTCAAATGAGACTAGCAACTCTTTGGTGTCCCACAGCTTTGCGAAGGCATCGATGAGAGCAGGCTCCCTTTTTCCCAATCAGCGCATGCCACTAGTATTGAGGCGTATTACTCACGTTCTGGCGTCCCAGATAACCTTTTCATGATGTACCATGTACCCATGATACATGCCACCTTTCATGTGCTCAGGGAGGTGCTCCTTGCCCCATGTAGACGGGTCATCAGCTTTGAAGCCATATGGAAAGGTTTCAAGCCATTCAAACATGCGATCCTTGTAGCTCTGAGCTTTGTCCTCCGACAAAACTCCCTTCACTACGACATATCCGTCTCGGAACAAGTCATCGCGCCAGTCACCCGTGGCAACATTGGTATCGATTTTGGGCTCGCTCTCGTAGTGTGGCATATTGCAGGATTGTGAATTCAACCGCTTCAAAGAATGGATGAAATACTAGCCTTTACCTCGCGCCTTATCTGCTCTTATATGCTTGAATTCATCGATTTTGCCCCCGCAGGGTCTTCCCCATATATTTGTAATGTCTTGGGTGTCTTGGTACGTGGTATCCGGGGTAAACGCGCTGTGATTGGCCGCACTCCATGTAACTCGGGCGAGTCACGGCCGAGTTCTTCAGGCTTTCCCCTTATGGATCACGATAACCGATTGTGATACTGCGAACGCGGCATCCCACTCTTAGATTCCTAGTCATGTGGTTTGATACCATTGTTCTATCTTGATAAACTACCGTTATCTGCCTCCATGGAGTATCCCGTTGCAATGTTCTTATAACCTTACGCTTTTCCGACGGTTGTTGTCCCTCACTTGTAGTTTCCTTTTGTAATTGCAGACTTGGTAGTTGGACGACATGTTTACACATCTTGAGGGTTCTACGCCTATGGGCATGGGGTGTATGTTTTTGGCCTCTGTTGGAGCTTTTCTGTTTGTAAGTTCAGCTCTTTGAATGCTACGGTGCGTCGTTGACACTCTACGGATAGGGCTTCGATAATGGCTGGTGGGGAACTATCCTGGGGTCTCCCAAGTTCCTTTCAGATTACGGTTCTTGTGTTGATGTCGATGGAGTTTCGACGTGTAATTTGTCCACTCAGCAGTTGTCAGTGGGCACGGCAGTGCAGTCTGGCGGCATCAGTAAGTTGGCGAATCTGTGTTCGAGCTCAGGGTCTATCACTGACTGATACTCTCCCCCCTGTAGTGATCGGTTGCTTGATTGCAATCTATCTCAACGATTTGATCGGCCGCAAACTATCCCTCGTCACAACCGGGGCAATCTCCATCGTCGGGGTTCTGATCGAGGCGACGAGTGCAACTGGTGGATCAGGACGATTCAGCCAATTCGTTGTTGGCAAAGTCATTGCTTCCATCGCCATGGGGCTGGCCGTCAACATTGTCCCGATCTACCTTTCCGAAACCTCTACTGCCTCCGCTCGTGGATTTGCTGTCAGCATATATCAGAACATCCAGATCTTAGGTCTCATTCTAGCGGCTGGCATTGTATATGCTTCAGCCAAGAGCACCACATCCTCTGCATACCTCATCCCGATCTGTCTTCAAATCATCGCGCCAACAATCATGGTACTCGCATCCCCAATCCTCCCAGAGTCCCCACGATGGCTCATGTGGAAAGGGTAAGTCTTCCAAACCATACTGCTCCGTTATATTAATGACTTACGACTCCCAGGCGACGCAACGACGCCATCGCCGCTGCAACCAAACTCTTCGCCACACCCACAAACAACTTTGATGCCAGCAAATGCGTCGACGAAATCCAGCTCGCCATCGACGCCGAGCGCCAGAGCAAAGACGCATCCCGCTGGGCAGACCTCATGCACGGCCCAGACCTCCGCCGTCTCCTCATCGCCGTCGGCATCCAATCGCTCCAACAAGCACAGGGATCGTCCTACATGAACAGCTATATCGTCTCGTTCCTCCAGTCCACCGGTGTTACAGACGTTTTCCCCGTCATCATGGGATTATACGCTTTATACTACGTCGCCGTCCTCTCCGGCCACGTCCTCCCTGACACAGTCGGGCGCCGCCCAATTCTAATGTGGACGTCTGCTTTTTGCGGATGCTGCCTGCTCGTTGTATCAGCGTTGGTTGTGGGGTTCAAAACACCCTCGGATGCTACGAGTAAATCGTCCATCGCGCTCATCTTCCTATGGTACATCTCCTTTGGGATCCAGTCTCCGCTGATCTGGATCACGACGGCCGAGTCGGCGCCTACGCGGAATCGCGAGAAGGTGCAGGCTATTGCGTGCTTCTTTGGGTTTGGCGTGTCGCTGTTGATTACTTCGGTTTCGCCGTATATACAGAATGTTGGGTATGGGAATCTTGGTGGACGGATTGTGAGTTTTGGATTCCACTCTTATCTCCACTCTCCCCCCACTTTTCAACCTCTCTTGCTATCCCTTCCATGTTGCCTGATACAACATCTTTCTTCCCATCGTTACTTCTCTCAACATTCTTTTCCTACGCACGTTCACTGATTCCTCCACCCAGGGCTTCATATGGAGCGCTTTCGCTTTCGTAACCTTGGTTTGGGTATTCTTCACCGTCCCCGAAATGAAAGGCTTCTCAATCGAACAGCTCGACTTCCTATATAACAACAAAGTGGCTACACGCAAGTTCAAGGGCTATCGATTCGATACCGAAGCGGGTATCGTGGTTGACAGCGATACCGATGACGTGATTGTGCAGAAGAAAGACGCAGGGGCTGTAGAGACTGTCAAGAGTATTGATGAGCAAGGGACTTGAATCCACTGTCACGAATCATTGAAAGTTGAAATGCGGGTGTATGAAGAAGTACGTTTGGATAGAGAGTAGAGGTCATATTTTCAAACTGTTGAAATCCAGAAGAGCTGTGCAATATCGTCGTCCATGAACCATCTTGAATAGATTCCATTCTTCTTAATTAAGACCATAAAATCTCGACAAGCACACCATTCACCACTGATAGACCTTTACAAATCCGCAGGAATAGACACTCACACGAAGACTAACCTGTACACAGCGTACCCGCATAATTCAGCATCCCACATCCCATCCACCAAGTCCTCTCCGTAAAAAGAGAAATCACACTCTCGCATCATTCATCAATCAGCGTGGACTACTTCGTCTGTCTACCAGACTTCATGGAATACTAACCAAACAACAAGACTAAACTCGTCCTTATTCCATCATCCCATCCACCCACATTTCACCCTCAATCCCATACAATCACCAACCCACACCTCTACCCTCTCTATAAGAGACTCCACACTAACCCTCTACTCTTCCCCTCATCTGTCCACGCACTATACCGCGTTCGCACTAGCCCCGCCCCCATCAAGCGCGCCGATTGGCCCAAGGTGCCCTCTGCGCACCCGCTACAATCCACACTTCTGCGCCTCGCTACAGCAGAATTACCGCATAGGGAAGGTTAGGGGTAATAGGAAACGTAGCGGCGGCCGACGCGCCGACGGCCACCACCCTGCCGTCGGCGGGCTTGATGGACTGCTATGTATGTGTGGGGATGTTTTTTTTTTCTAATTTCTGGCTTGTTTTCTGGGGGGCGATGAGATGGGGGGTTTCTCTTGTATCGAGCTGGCGGCATAGCATGCTGGAGGAGTACGAGTCTGGAGATTTATGAGTACTTGACTTGTGTACCCAAAAAGACGGTGGCCTCGATCAACAACGAAATACAAAGATATGACAGATGCCTGTGGAGAAAGACGAATATAAGTTCCATGAGATGAGCCACAGTGCTTTTTGCATCGCAGCTAATTCGTCTACAACAAAACAGTATGGACAATAGTAGGATGCGTTGTTAGTATACAATTACAATGGCTTCCCTTCGCCCCCTCGCACGCTCCTCCATCTATTTTACTACCTTCCAGAGCAAACCATATATTCCTACAACAACAGCAAGGTAGGAGAATTGTACAAAACTACAATGCTACAAAGTACCAGTAAATCTTACACTACCACCAACACATAGGAAAAAAGAAGCTTCCTGCACGGTTCTCTAATCAACATCCATCTGCTGCTGCACACTGTTCGCCACCGCTTTCCTTTGACGGTTAAATTGGACACCATTGCTCTCCATATGCTTGCCGAGTGCGATGAGCAGTTGTTCAGTGTCTACCTTGGGCGTCTGCGCAGCCTGTTGGGCGCGGGTGACCTCCCATCTGAGCTGTAGCGGTGTCTTCATAGCTTCCATGGCCTTGATCTTCTTCTCGTTCTTGCGGATTTCCTTGGCTGTCAGCTTGCGTTCGCGCGCGCCAGCACCGTCCTCGCGGACATCGCTGTTTCTCTTCATGGCAGCCTCGAGAGCCTCCTTGTGCTTCTCCTTGATACTCGCGGCAAGCTCGGTGCTGAGTTCGTGCGGGTGCGGCGGGTATTTGAGGGTTGGGAAAAAGCTGCGTAGAGTTTCGTCGGTGACGTCGGATCTGTTGCGGGCCGTATCGCCCTCGTGGGTAACGGGATTGCCGACGGGTTTGGAGCGTGCGGAGGATGGAGCAACGCCTTGCTGAACAGTGGCCATTTCGCTGTCTATGAGAGATAATTCTTCATTTTCGCGGGCCTGACGCTCCTCTTCTGCTTTGGCGGCTGCGTTGCGCCTTGCGGTGATGCGCTCGCGTAAGCTGTTGGGTAGACGGCGAATTCGGGTGAGGATGCCGGGTTTCTCCTCCGGAGTACTTTCGGTGCTGGGTTCCTTTGCTTTTAGCTTCTGCTCGTCCTTCTCCCAAGGCCAAGGAATAACGCTTCGCGTGCCGGCGATGTACCGCTTGAAAACGGGAAGTTCGGTCTCGGGATCGAAACGATGTTCTACGGGAAACTCCTCGGCGCCATGATCAATGCCAGTGAAGGGATCGATGCCGGTGGTGTGTCGCTCCATAGCAACATTATCTACCATGACATCCTGGTAAATGTGTCGACCAGCAGCGGTCGTGATGCGGTAAGGAATAACTAGGCGAACGTGATCCATGGAGATGGGTACAGGTAAATCTACCGTCGGTTTTTCAGGGTAGAGGGAGTAAAGAGCAGAATCGGTAAGATGCATGTTGACGTCTTTGATGATGACCTGGTGATATCGAGCCGCAACCTCCTTAACGGTGCCAATCTTGCCCTTCTCCCTGCCCTCGGTAACAACAACGCGGTCGCCTTCCACAATGGGAAAGTATCTCTTACCATCTACGATGAAGGGGTATTTAGGCTCTAGGCCTGTTCTCTCTCGCCGCTCATCCTCGCGCTTGACTACCTCTTTCGGGAAATGAATGGGTGAAATTGCTGCGCCATCCAAACTGCCATATAGATCATCGACGGGGCTACGATGAGGCCTCAATGGGCCCAGCTTCCAATCTTCTCGCACCATTGCCATTGCCTCCTTTGTTCTCCTCCTTTCAGCATGTTCTGCATGCGAAATGTTTTGCTTCAATTGTCGGGCCATATACTGGGCGTGTCTGAGAGTACGCCTCTGCTCTCGCGCGCGTTCATGGTAGCGGATGGCGGATTTGACCTTGAGAATATCTCTCTTCTTTGCTATGGCCTTGGCCGACTTTGCGGCGCGAAGCGGAGCTGCTTTGATCTGGGTCATGTCGGACGAGGATTACGGAGGGAGAGTCCAGGGTGTTGGTGGCGGTGGGAGTGGCGGTGGTAGTGGCGGCGTATTTGTTCCTATCGAGCCATCAGATTTGACAGATCGTGTCTTTTCTAGTGGCTGTACAACGGCGGACGATGGCCGGGCAGGTATTGTAGATGTAGATGGCGGTGGGCCGGCGGTCAAACTGGAAGAGGAGTTGTTGCTGAAGGACGAGTCCAAATTTCGCGCGCTCCATCTTATCTTATCTGATCTGGTGCTTCATTCACCCAATCAACTGCAACTATGCGCCGCAGCAACAACATCATCATTATCAAACAACGATTTGTTACAAACACCTGCCTGCTTGCGTCAACAAAGAACAACAACCATTCATACCCGCAAGCGGTGGTATTAATGGGAGGGTCGATTGTGAAATAATGTCAACTTGAACCATTCCCGCTCAAATCCACACCTACAAAAATAGCCAACCATCACCACCACCACCGACCACCAACTTCTCTCTCACCACAACCCACCCGCAACATGCCACGGCTCTTGCGACGCAACCTTCGGTGCCACTACTGCAACGCTGTATCGCGGAACCCCCAACCTGGCGAAATTCCTCGGCAATGGCGGTGCCCATCCTGCGAATCCGTTAACTTTCTGGACGAGCGCGGCAACATCGCCGACCCTCCCACCGAGGCAACGAGAATGCACCACTCCTCTCGCCTTCAATATGCTCGCTCGCCGTCGCCGTCAGCCTATCAGTCTGCCGAGTCGCCCTTTTGCGAAACTTGCCATCGCAACCAGTTCCTGCTCCGCGAAACCCTCGCCGAGTACATCCCCGACGAAGATGACCCGCAATATGCAAAGTATCTGGCTAGTGCAGATACTTACCGCGCCGAGCTGGAGGAGCGTTATCCCCAGGTTTGCGACAACTGCATTGGGCCTGTCCAAGATCGCATTCGTGCTGCTGGCTATGCCGCAAAGGCCGACAATCTGAAACGGAGGTTGGTCGAGAGTAAGAAATACAGGAGCAAAGAGTCGACGGCACGGCAGCGCTTCACCCTGGCCGTCATAGCGATCGCGCAATGGGCATATGTTCTCAGCGTCTTCGCGGGCCTCCTATGGCACGCCATGGGAATGGCCGTCCTTCCAGAACACGCTCCACTTGCGTTCGACTGGACCATGTGCGCAAAGCAGGCCTTGTCTCTTCGCCGCATTAACGAACTATGCGTCAACTCTTTTGAGGTGCTGGATATCCTCAAGTACGCCCTTCTCGCCGATCTTCTTACCGTCTGGTGGAATCCCAAGTTAAGACAGAAGACAAACTATCCGGGTGGCCGCATGCATAATCTTTTTCTGGTATGGGGGTTGCGCATAATCACCTTGGTGACCCGTTACCTTAGCTACATCAGTTTGCGCAACGTCGAAGAGAATACAGCAGACTGGTATCGCTGTACCCATGCCATCTTCTTTGCCATATTACTTTGCGCCACCTTGGCAGCGTGGAACTTTGTCCGCATATCCCACCAATCTACGAGATCTCTCTTGCAGCCTCTTGACGCCCATCTGCCTAGTCTCTCATCCCCCAAAGCAGAGCGATCTCGACCAAAAACACCCAGATCCTCGCGCCCTATAACTTCCAGCTTCGATACCATGGCCGAGTCTTTCACGTCCAGCTTCATGGGCGGGCCCAGTTCCGCCTACCCACCGTCTCCCACCCTCACAGACGAAACATCCACCACCGAAGACAGCGAGTGGACTGCAACCCCGTACAGCAATCTTGACAGCACCGCCCGAAAGCCCTCTTTCGGTGAAATGGCGATGGACTGGACCCCAACACGGAGGCGCTTCGGCTCAGAAACCCCAACCATCATTCCCCATTCCTTCCCCCGTCATCAACAACAACCTCAACAACAACCGCCACCTCCTTCACCTACACCACAAAACCGAAACTACCAGCAGCACTCCCTCTTTTCCCAGCCCGATCCAAACCCCTTCCGTCACAGGATCCCTGCAGCGCCGCCTCGCTCTCTCGGCCCATCCAACAGATCTACCCGCTGGAACCTTCGCCCTCTTTCATCCTCAACCACACCGCAAAACCCTTTCCAACCCTCGTCTCGAAATCAGCTTTTCGGAAGTACCGATGATGTTGGAGTCGATACTACGGATCCCCCGGACTGGAGCGTCCCCAAGAACGTGAAACGAGAAGACGAGCTGTTCGCGAAACCACAGTTCAAATACGACGGATATGCATTGGGTCACGAGAATAAGGATACCGGCCTGGAACAAGGGTTTAATGATTTGTTTTCGAAATAATAAGAAGCGGGTTCTTGCACGTACAGGATCATGGATCAGGGATCTTTTTGGTGGCCGATTATGGGCCTTTTCGAAATTTACACTTTTGAAGCGTTCTATAGTTATTTTACATTGGTGTTTCATTATGATATGAAGGAATGAGGAACGGCGAATGATGGATGGATGTTGTACATGCTGCTTGTGCATGGCTGAGTTGTATATACCCCCATACACGTCGTTAACTATCGCTGTGTGTTGGATCATCTACACTCCAACTCACAGTTTATACCCCATACTCATGTCTTTTGTTTGTAGCTCTTACAGTTGAATTACGTGTGAGCGTTTTTTGTGGTCATTAATGTTTGAATATCGTCAAGAATAAACGATGCACTGTCTAATACTTCTCTCAGTTATGCGATGGATGGTGAGTTTCCAACTACACCGGGGGATTTCCTTTCACTCACTCACTCACTTTTACGCGATTATATCTGATAGACATTAATCTTGAATGGCTAGCTCGAGAACTATGTCTCTCACGTTGGGTAATTAATAGGACATATAATCACTTTTTTACACAAATTACTGTTAATACATATAGGTACAGTTTTCTTAGAAAAAATACGTAATCATAGTTTTACTAAAGAATTTACGTAGTAGTAATATACGTGTCTAGGTGGTTATTACAATACACGCGATGTGTTCAAGTTACTTATGTCCTACAAATCACCCGAGGTGATAGTCATGTCTGTGATGCTTTGACGGTACTTGACATACAGCATCCCTCATTTTGTCTTTTTTGACTGTCGATATATTTCACTGGTTACTATAAATTAAGAGGATATGTTGAAAAAGAAAATGGTAGACTTGAGTGAATATACTGCTGATGTTGGTTGTTTGTAAAGTAAAGTAGGGAGGCAAGAGTATGCGCAGTTTATAAATCAGAGACATTGACGGGCGAGTAATAGAAATACGATAAGCACTAAGAAATAGAACGATGACAAGCACTAAGTAATAGGTTTCATTGCGTACGTTCCAAGAATTTGCAGTTGAAATAGATAATGACATCCACAACCTGTTATCCTTCACTCCACACCTTGAACTCCGACCAAGACAAAACTCACCGATAAAGGATCTGAAAACCATTACAATCACCCGAAGCTGAAGAATAAGATCAAGGCACAATTACTCAAACCCCACAAAAAATATCCAAACGTCTCAAGCACCTCCCGAGGCCCGAGACTACACTCCAATGCAAGCAATCACTCCACGCCGCTCATCCAGTCTCAGCTCAGAGATAGTACACCTTCTCTTTCTTCTCCTTCTTCTTCATCCCACCCTCTTTCACAAACACTTTACCTCCCTCGACGCCACCAACGACAACAGCCTTAGCAACACCAGCCGCTAATCCCGGCGCACCCAAGCGCGCTTTCCCAACAATCGACACGACTTTGCGCTTGTTTGACTTTTCGGCAAAGTCGTCGCCAAAGAACGATGAAGTAGCCGCTTTACCACCGGCCGCGAGTGCGGATTGGAGCGCAGACTTGGGAAGTGGGTTCTCTGCAGAGGCTTCCACCAGAGTGTCGACGGTATATACAACACTAGGAGGGGAGGGCCCAGATCTGGAGGAGGAAGAGCTGAGAAGAGAACCACGGGTGGAAGTGAAGGCAGTAGCTACGGTGGTCGCTTTCGAAGTGAGGTGGAGTAGCTTGGTCTTGTGCTTCGATATGAATTTGGGGGAAGGCTTTGAGGATGGGGTTTCCACGAGGCTTCTTTCCTCGGTGTATGTGTAGTCCGGGATGAATTCCTGGTTTCCTTCGACTGGAGGTAGTGGCGGTGGTGGAGGGGAATACTTTGGAGGAGGGAGCGGCTTCCTTGGAATGCGTATCGGCGATCTCGTGACGACGACTTCTGGAATAGTAGGTGGAATAAGGAGGGGGGTCGTAAATTGTGGAGGGATAGTATGCGTAATCGTGTACCACGATATCTGCGTCTTCGTCGTGGAGCGTGTCATGCCCGAAGTCATTATCGGGTTCTGGACCGGACTCTTCATCGCTCTCGCTATCTTTTTCGCTGTTGGATTGAGCTTCAGATTTGTGTTCCTCGAGCTGTTTTACTGTTTCTATATCAGTGGGGGCGTCTTCGCCACTGCTTTTGCCCTTGTCCTCGGGTTCTATTTCGCTCTCTGAATCGCTGCCATCCTCCTTTTCTGATTCGAGCTCGCTCTCGCTCTCGTTCTCGCTCTCACTTTCATTCTCGATATCACTGTCGTTTTCGATATCACTATTGCTTTCGATATCACTGTCGCTTTCGATATCACTATCGTTTTCGACATCGCTATCGTTTTCGATATCGCTCTGGTCTTCGATCTCGCTATCGCTATCGCTTTCGAAATCGATCTCGTCCTCGCTCCCCCACTCACTCTCGCTTTCACTATCCTCAATCACGGGTCCCGGCTCATGGAATCCATTCCACTCATCACGCTCCCGCGCCCTATTTTGCTCATCCTCCTCACTGAGCCTTACGCGACGAGCATGGGAGCTGAGGAGAGTGCTTGTTCTGGGAATAGGCATGACTGATGTAGCCTCCCCTACTAGTATCAATGATATTAGTGCTGCGGGAAGGAGGTTTAAATCGTAATGAAAAGCTGCAAGAGAATTAACCAAGTGGTGAGTGATGCAGTGAGGGTGTGGATGTGATGAGAAGAAAGTAGAAAATCAGGGCCTGTTCCAGCAGTCCCGTGAGGTACGTTAGATGAAGAAAGAAGGACGAGGGAAGTCTAGATATTGCGGAGTAGGCTGTTCCCGGAATTAGACGATTTCCAGCAGCTCATATCGACTCCATATATTGTGTGCCTTGCAAACACGGTGAAACAAGTTGACGGACATTGAATATGAGGGTTGCCCACAAGGAGACATCGAAGAGACAAACCCAGTGCTAACCATCAATGAATTGCACGATGGATGGAACCCGCTACCTAGAAGATTGAAGCTAGTGGAGACATACGAGCAAATCATGAGATCGTGGATGAATGCGCAATTCACACCAGCCCCATCTCAATTTGATTTGCATGCGCATCCATTTCTGTTCTGTGCCTTCTGTGAATAATCACATGTAGCGATGGAGTCACTCACATATCACTTCAAGACACACTGTGAAGCATATCAAGTATATACAGAAAGTACGAATCCAGACGAATGGTGAAGTACCAGTGAATGTTGAGAGTCAGGTTTCAATCAAGGAAAGAGACGAGACCGTAGATCGTGTAGATGAGAGATTTGAAACGAAAAGAAAAAAACGCAAACATAAGTACGTGGAAACCGGTGGAAAGCAGATATCCTGGGTCGCAGAAGCTAATCAACAGGCGAGGAACGAATCATCCACCAATTGATGTTTTAAGGCAATCCCAATGGCTCAATCAACTCGCTCAGTCCTTCACACCTCGAATTAATATCGAAAAGCGCAAACAGAAAATCATTCCCAACCGCTGCATACCTTCCCACCCCCAAAAAAAACAGCAACGATTGATGTTCCCTATGAATCACGTGATTGGTATGCCTTCCGTCACCCAAATCCATCCACATCACCATAAAAAAAAGGATTCTCAATCAAGAAGCGATCGAGCGCAAAAAAGAAATCTCTCCGACGGGGAATCGAACCCCGGTCTCCCGCGCTTGTTAATCCTGTAGTAGGACTTGACAAGCGGAAATCATGACCACTAGACCATCGAAGATTGAATCGCTGTTAGGCGGATGTTGTAGTGATTGATGGAGATTTTCCTGTGTGTATTGTATATATTACTTGGTTGATGGAAAAAAGAAAAACAATGGGATAGTCGAAGTTGCGTTGTTCTCGGGTAGAAAAGTGAAGGGTGGGGAGGGGTGATAGTGGGGGGCATCTCGAAAGAGATTTCACTTTTCTTGGGAGGGGCTAGTTGGGCGGTGTAGGAAGGGTGGAAAAAATGTTGTTTGAGAACGAGACTGAACTATGAGATTCTCTCTTGTGCGTTCCTGAAATTGAGAGAGAGAGAGAGAGTCCGATCGTTGCTTTTTATAATGATGCGTGGATTGGAGATAATGATGAGATGAGATGAATCAAACGTCAAATAGCCGCATGGGTGACGTTATTGGATTTCGCAGATGTTCACTCTTCTTTTTCACCTCTCTTGCCCTATTTGAGGGCTTGAAACACTGCCAGCGAGAATGGGCTATTAGCTACTACACATTACACGAAAGGCGTTTTCTTGGATGTTTGATAGGTCTTGACTGGGTTGAGCAAATCTCGTGCGCTACGAACATTGAATCCACGAAACAGATTGGATACATGTTTACTAAACAATCACGATTTCAAAGTTTACGTACCATCAAGTTGACAGCTTTATTATTGGCTTTTGACTAACCATGTTGCTCCACAGTCAACTTAGTCCTCGCACGCACAGTGTGCAAGAGCACCGAAGCGAATTGCAAACTAGCACGTGATCTCGCGAACGGGCGACGTGACACCTCCGAACCCCAATCCCAATTCCAGCCCACCAGATCTCAAGACTCCCCCCACCAAAAATCGCCCACACATTTCATTTCACCATCCAACATGCCATAACCACCAGTCAAAACTCACCACAACTCCCTCCACACCACCCTCACCAATCTGCGACATCAATCAAGATGACAACGTCACCGCCATCCCACACCCTCACCCTCTCCTTCCTCCTCGCGCTCCTCTCAACCCTCCTCACAGCCGCCCTTCTCCGCCTCCACACTCTCCTCTCCTCCCAATCCCACAACCCTCCAAAAACACGCCCAAAAACAAACCAAGCACGCGTGCTCATCGTCCTAGGAAGCGGCGGCCACACACACGAGATGTTCTACCTCCTGCGCGGGCTGGACACAAGGAAATACGCGACGAGGGACTACGTGGTTAGCAGCGGCGACGCGTTCTCAGGGGTGCGAGCTCGGGAGTTCGAAGAGACTCTTCAAGCGAAGCGGAACGGGGAGGAGGACGGAGAAGGAGGAGGAGGGGATTATACGATCCACAGTCTCCCCCGCGCACGAAGAATCCACCAACCGCTGTATACGACGCCCGTCTCCGCGCTCCGGTCTTTTGTTGCTGCGTTTCCCATCTTGCTCTCGCGCTCGCCGGGCTCGTCGGCCGCTGACGCTCTGCCGGACCTTGTTCTGGCTAATGGCCCTGGAACCGCTGTTATTCTCGTTTATGCGGCGCTGCTGCTGCGTTTCTTTGATATCCGCCGCGCTGAGTCGGAGAGGAAACTGCGGATTGTGTATGTGGAGAGTTTTGCGAGGGTGAGGACGCTGAGTCTGAGTGCGCGGTTGGTGGGGTGGTGTGTGGATCGGTTTTTGGTGCAGTGGGAGGGGTTGGAGGGGAAAGGTGGACGGGGAAGGGGAGAGTTTTGCGGGATCTTGGTTTGACTGATTGGATTGATGTGTATTTCCGGGGAATGGGGAATGAAAGGGATGCTAGATTTGGGGATAAAGAATGGGCAGAGGGGTAAGCATGAGTTCGTGTGGACAATATTTCTTCTCGTTTGGTGCATGCATGGAGTTTTCCTTGATTGTAGAAACGGTAGCGAAGATACCCAATCCTCTTTGTATTTCACTTGCTTTGGTATTTTGTGGGGGAAATGATTACCTTTACGATATATGTGCTACAACTCATGCCCTGCGCACATTAATTCTGATTATGAAAACATATGTTCTCCCACTCGAACTTCATGTTCCAGACTCGTTTCAGAGATGTCTTCCCCTTGGTGCACAAAATTTTCACCCTCCTCTGTTCCATCTCTCGAAAAGGCCGCATTGGTTGAGCACTTATAAAACGGTGTCTTCAGGACGGTAGTGGTCGGCGACGATTCGATACAAAAACGAGGGAGCATGTCCACCACTACCACAAATCACGATTAGCACAGTCGCATCAACAAAGTCAAAAAGAGGGACAAACTCACAGGTTCGTAATGTAGAGATCCACCAAATCCGCGGGAACGTAGTCGTATAGCGGATGCTCTACATCGACCTTGTCCACAAACTCCCCGTCTTCATACGGAACCACAGCACCGACGTTTCCGTACTCGATGAGCTCATCCAGGTCAAAGGGATACACAGGGCTCAGCTTGTAGACGCCGCTAAGCACGACGACGGGGGTTTGATGGCTCTTAGCAGCTTGAGCGATCAGATGCGCACCACCCGCGGCCACGAGCCCGCCATTAGCGAGCACGGTGTGTGTGGCAAGAATGACCTTGTTGACGCGCGACATGATGGCAAAGACGTGTGAGTCTGGGATCACGTAGACGGGGATACCGAGTTCAGTGAGGCATTTCCATTTGTCGTCATCGTCATGGGTTTTGCCAGCGGCGTCCTGCTTGCGACCCGTGAGAAGCACTTCGTGGGTAGCCTCGTTGTCGTGGGGGTACGTCTCGGCATGTACGACGGTGAATTTGCGGTTCTTGGCCGCTTTGGTAAGGAACTTTTGCACAGTGGTCGAGGCTGTGTGGGTCAGGATGATTTCGTTGGCGTGAATGTGCTCGTGAGCGAGGTCTGCGATTTGTTTGTCAGACTGCTCGAGTTCTTCCTGGAGCTCCATGATGCCGCTCATGACTTCACCCTTGAGGTCGAAATATTGTTGGCTTCGGCTGAGATCCACCAGGCGGTCGAGGTTCAGACTATGAGTGGTACTTCTGCCATCGGGCGAGTTTGGTCCTGTGGGTGTGCTTGCAGTGGAGCTATCTGCGGGTTGGGAGAACAAGCCAAAGAGGGAATTGACGAGTGGAGCGGCGGATGACGGGGCGTACGAGGTATGCGACGTGAGCAGAGGCGGTCGTTTGGTGAGATCGGTAGAGTCGGACATGTCGGACGCGTAGGCGCTTGTTTCTATGGGCTCAATGGCCGCGTGGCGGAGAGGGCTCATTTGGGATATGGTGGAGTTGAGGTGCGGTCGGGAAGGAAGGTCCTGCGATTGTGTTGGTGTGCTACGTCCTGTGTCGCTCCCGGTTGCAAGCTTTTCCTCGACATTGTCCTCGACAACCTCCCTGACGAGGCCGAGAACTCGGCGTACGATATTTCCCACGACAACCTCGCGGGGTTGTGCTGCCGTCAACCGTCGGCCGACCTGGCGTATGCGCTCCAGCAGTCGTGCGGCATCATTGCCTTTGAACTCGCCCACAACCTTGGAGATGAGGGCAGCGGTGGCAATGGCGCAAGGACGCGAATTTCTGATCTGTCGTCGCTTGAGGAGGCTGATACAAGTCAATTATATAGCGCGACAGCGGTACAGGGTGGACATTACGATATGAGGTATTCCACGGAGGGGTCAGCGGCACTTGTCTTGAGGGACTTGAGAAAGGATGTAAGACCCGGCGCCAATCCTACGCCGGGAGCCATTTCGAAGTGGATGTGTGTTCCTGCAGTCGCAGCTGGGAAATCTGAGCTGGGAGAGCGGGTGGGAGTCGAGGGTTTGCGCGGAGGTGTGTGCCGTGGGAAGGTCGAGAGGAATGTTTTCTGGTGGAGGTGGGGTGGCTTTTTTTTTGTTCGCCCGGACAGATTGATTGTGCAGGTGGAATTTTTCCACAGGGAGTCAGTCTTTCCTTGTCTCTGCTATCGAAATGGCTGCTTTTTGTCCTTGTTTTGTTTTCCGAGAAAAGAAAATTGAAAAGAGGAGTGGGTGTTCGGTGGGGGTGAGGGTGTGGAGAGGTGAAAGCTATGGTGGTGGGTAGTGTGTAGTGCCCAAAAGGTTAAGTTAAATAAACCATCTACTATGTATGACTGTTCATTCGTGGGACCACCAACTAGGTGATCCCCGGCAAGGTAAATGGGTGAATGGCCGTACACGCCGATGGTTCAGCAAGATGTTTCTCTGTCAGATGTATTCTTTATTTTGATACGAGTTCCTTTGTGGGTTCATTCTGTTGATTTCACAATTTACATGCTTAGTGTGGTTTCGCCCGCCGACGGCTTTTCGTCGTCATTGCTTTCGGCTCACCTCGGTCCCAGTAGATGGACGGTGAATTCATACTTGGGTACACTTACTCTTCTTTGTCCCTGGCCGTCCTCGCACAACGACGTCCTTTCTCGTCGATTGGTTGCCTGCCTGCTAGCTTGCTTGTTTGTTTGTTTGCCGTGCTGCTGCATCCATCTGCTGCAGTTTCCGTTCCATCTCCAGCCCCGCCGTTTCTTCAGCCGTCGCACACACAAGCCAGTCGCAACACGCCGGCCCCCTGCAACCTCACCCATCCTCTGTCTTGTCTCTCTTTTGGGCTGGTCTGTACGTACACAACACAATACATCCGACTTGTACCTGCCTGCCTGCCTCATCATCATCATCGTCATCAACACCCCGCTTCCTTCTCCCAAAAAAGCACCGGCCACAACACCACCACCAGCTGCAACAACATCGACACCTCGCCTCGTCTCGCCGCGCCTCACTTCCATCCCCTTCTTTCCCACCCGCTCGCTCGCACTCTCGCTCCCTCGCACACTCGCCGCCCTCGACCTGAACCTGTCCGTTCATGGCCAACGTCAGATGAACGTTCTCGCACAGATAGGCACGCCGCCTCCCAGCCCGCCCCGATCGCGCGCCCCTTCAGCCAGCAACATCTTCACTCTTCAATCTCGGCCGACCTTCTCCCAGCCCTCGAATGATGACGGCGCAGCACTTATAGCCCAAACAGACACCGCGGCCGCTCGGAGAATGGATTCCCGTACCTACCCCCAGGTCGACGCGACACCAGCCGACTACGATGAAAAGACGCCGCTCCTCCGCACTGCTCAAGCTCCCTTTGCCGAAGCCCTGCCTTCCAAGTCTCGGATGTTCCCGCAACGGATATCCGGCTTTCTGGTGGGGAGCATCACCTTCGTTCTGTCTCCCGTCATCGCCGTCGGCCAGTATGTCATTGCCTGCTTCCGTGACGAGCAAGGCAACTACTCCCTCTTCGCCCCCGTATACCACATGGCCCGGCCCTTCAGTCGCGCACGCCGGAAAAAAGAAAGGAACAACACTCAATCCATGCCCGCCTCCAGCAACACTTCCGAGCTCAGCGAAAAGGGGAAAAGTAGACGGCGGTCGAGCACCGCGCAATCCAGGGGGGACTTCAAGGGAAGAAGTCGGCGCTCACCCTCCATCACCTCGATAGCCTCAACATCCACTGCTGTGTCATCCGACTCGGAGCTGGAAAGCGAGCGTCCTCCCACCCGAGACTCTGACAGGGACGCTCCGTCACGCCATACTCGATCCAAGTCGTCCGCATCGTCCACCACCGAAGAGATCGCTCCCGCGCGCCGCCAGATACGCATCAAGCTGCACAATGAGGAATCTCTGCGCCAACGCAAGTCAGCAAAGAAGACTAGGGGTTCCAAAGCTGGCTCGACCCAGGTATCGGCTGAGGCTGCCGCCGCACTCAAGTCTCCCACGGGTTCCATGTCCTCGAAACAGATGACCAAGTTCCCACGAGCGCCACAACCCCCGCGACCCCTGGTCCCCCGGCGCCAACCGTCGTATTCTGCCTCCGGCGCCTCCGCCGTCGGCCCGCACCAGAAAACCTTGATCCTCGATCTCGACGAAACACTGATTCACAGTATGGCCAAGGGTGGTCGCTTCACCACGGGGCACATGGTGGAGGTCAAGCTGCAGCACCCGGTTGGCGCGGGAGGCCAAATCATCGGCCCGCAGGTGCCTATCCTATACTACGTTCACAAGCGGCCTTATTGTGACGAATTCCTTAAAAAGGTGATGCTTGGCGCAGATCTCGGAATGAACATGTCACTAACGTGAGTCGATGCAGGTTTGTAAGTGGTACAATCTGATCATTTTCACCGCTTCCGTGCAAGAATATGCCGACCCGGTCATCGACTGGCTAGAAGCCGAGCGCAAATACTTCGCAGGGAGATACTATAGACAGCACTGCACATTTCGCAATGGGGCTTACATCAAGGACCTGGCGCAGGTCGAACCCGATCTCAGCAAGGTCATGATTATTGATAACAGCCCCATGTGCTATATATTCCACGAAGGTAAGCTGATGGTTTGTTGGCGTGGGGATCTGCCACGCATGAAACGTGTATACGTATACGAGTATGGGCTGATGGTTGCTTGAACAGATAATGCAATCCCCATCGAGGGCTGGATCAGCGACCCGACAGATAACGGACTTCTGCACCTCATTCCTCTGCTCGAGGGATTGCAGTACGTCACGGATGTGCGTGCGCTGCTTGCACTGCGCATGGGTCAACCTCCGAGTTCGTGAACAGTCGGGTCTGGTCCCCACATTTCTTTTTCGACGTCCGTTACCATGTGAAATGTCGGAGAGCATGCCCGTTGAATGGTACCATGAAAGCGACGACCACCCCTCGGTGTCGCCTCTGCAGTTATGGGATGGCATTTTTCTTTCTTTCTTCTTTTTGCCGAATTTTTCTTCTTCCCTGGTTGTGTACGCGCCATTCTTATTTTTAATATGGGATCTTTGTATTATAGACGGGATACGACCGTTGTTGATTTGACAATGGTGCTGGGATCGAGAGTAGTTGCAGTTGTAGCAGCTGTAATTACAGCCAGCCACAGCAAGGGACGCCTTAAGTGGTGGTTGGGAAGAATCGGAGGTGTGGAGGAGGAGCAGGCATTGTTCCCAATGTGTTTTTTTTTCGAGCGAGAGAGGGAGATACCCCCAAGGAGTATGAAAGATAGAAAAGAAAGAAGGGATTCTGTTTTATCTCCAAACCGTCCTCGCGCCGGACCTCCATTCTCAATCCTTTACTTTCCCGTTTCAATCAATCAGATATCCGTCTGTCCGGCCGTCCGATCGCGATTCGTTTGTCGACAACGCGTGGGAATCGCTTTAGAACACCTAGTCTTTGAGTTTGATATTTGCTTTTTCCGCGGCGGTCGTGGTACGTCAAGGCTCCCCCCCCGTCCCCGTCCCTAGTCCCCGCCCACGCGGCCGCCGCCGCCGCCGGCGCGCCCGCGGGAGCTAAACAACCCTCTCCTGGGAACGTGAAAGTCGGATAATAAGTCAATACCACGCACGCTCCATGCCAAAACACCAGAACTATGTTAACATCTAGTTGTTTTGTATCTCAAGTAGTATTAACACCTTATAAAAAACCAAAAAAAAAATAATAATAAAGCTAGAAATTGGCGTTGAATTCTCTATAAGAGTATAAAGAATAATATGGGATTGTATAGTGGGCGTGCGGGCTTTATTATCCGAATAATTCGTTCCCGTGGGAGGTAGAAATTCAGTTGTCGCCTTTCTTGACGTTTTGAAACCAAACCATGTGGTGTCATGTACCCTAACAACGTGGGGAATAATCAAGTAAGCCAACCAACAACACACAAAAACCCCCATGCCCTTCTTTCTATCTATCCTTCCATCGCGGGTATTCGTCTCTCGGCTCTTTTGTTTGTTCCATTTTTTCTCAGCTTTGATCGGTTCAGCCCCAGTCTAACCCCCCCTTGCAACCTTTTTTTTTGGTGGGGGGGGAACGTTTGAGTAATGGGGGTTACGTGATATTTCCTTGATTTTGGTTTTTTGGACATTTATTTTCTTGTGCGCGGTGCTATGCGGTGCGCGGGGGAAATGTAGGGGAATTTTTTTCTTCGATGAGATTGTTCTCTTATCTTGCCAATTCTGTGCAAACATGTTGCGCTTTGCAGACTTGGTGGGGGCGTTTCGGGATCTCTTCGCGTGTTCAGATGTTTTGTTGAGTATGGTTTTTTATGGGTCTGAAACGTGTGCATGGGTGGATGGATGGATGAACGGATAAGGCAAAGAATTCCCTTAATGCTTGTTTTCTATTTCTGAGGGGGGGGGGTTTCTTTTCTTTTGTAAAGAGGAAAGATTCTGGGTTTCTAGAAAAGACGAGGGCGAGAGGTTAGGGATTGGGGGGGTTTGGAGAGCTATGTTATGTACGTTTGGAGAGCCGGAAGGGTGAAAGGTAGTTGTCGGCGAAGAAGGAGAGAAATTACACTCGGCGAAACTTGATGGAATGAGATCCAACGAATGCGGTGGCAGCGCAACTACTGTTACTGAACCACGACTACGATCCATCTATCCACAAAGAGTCATCCAATGACGGTCATGTGTTAATCTACAAGGAAGAGTCACAGACAGGCCATCGTGTTGGGTTTTTTTGTTTCTGGCCTGCTCGCTGGCTGGGATGGATGACTAGCATAGGGTATGGCGTGTACATACGATTAACCCAATTTCTAACACGAAACTCGACATTTAGTGTACAAAACTCCTTTTGAGCTATGGGTTCGGTAATCTACACCCCTGACAGCACAACAAGTATAATCTGCGGGTGCGTGTTTTGAAACTGGGATGGATAGGACGGGGGAAGGTAGTAGCAAGCATAGCCCTAGCCAGCCAGCCAGCCCTTTGAGCTTACAAGGTTAAGTTGGTCATTTTTTCTGTTCATTTTGATAATTGTTGACTTGCATGAACGAACGGCCCGTCCGTGGTTTGTGCTTTACGACCGCTTTTCATGGTGCTTTTTTTTTTTTGCTTTTTAAAAACCTTCGTTTTGTGTTGTTGATTCTTCAAAACTTTGCTTGAAGGCTTATTCGCTTGTCCTTTTCTTCTTTCTTCCACCAAGCTCGTGTTCATTCTTTCTTTTCTTGCTCTTCCACGTGGGAAAGGAGACGTCGAACTCGGCGTTGCCGAACCCCCCGTCCCTATCTCCCTGCGCTCTTCTCCATCATACCTGGCGTCGGGGTGTGTTATGTGTACCTGACTAACCTACCCGTACACGAAACCGACCAAGCAAACTTTATATCCTTACATAGGGGATCATCTCTTTTCTTGAACTAGCATTCGATTCATCTTCCCTTTTTCCCCCAGTGCGCCGCCCCTTTGTTTCTTTTTCTTCTTGGCCGACCTAACGGTCACTACTACTCTTTTCACTCGGTCGTTGGGAAAGGTTCGTTGCGTACTTACTTTACATGTACCTACATATGGATTGGATTCGAAGAGATAGTCCTGGTTCGCCATCGCCATCGCCATCGCCGCCGTTATTGTTACCGTTTTCCTTCCCGCTTTGCTCTTGCCCTTGTTTACCGCGAGGATGACGACGACCACGGTGCGGGGACAGAATAGGAAGAGTGTCGATATGATCATGGTAGATGATCCTTGGTGAGTCTTGACTTCTATCTCTTTTCTTTGCTTTTTCAGTCTGGGGACGGTTGTCATACGTATCTTGAACGCTTTTCTTCCATCTGTTTTGCTCTATTTTACCTTGTTCTGTTTTACTTTGTTCTATTTTACTTTGTCTTCTTTTACTTTACTTTATTTTACTTTATCTTGTTTTACCTATTTTGTTTTACTTTATTCTGTTTTACCTTATTCTATTTTACTTTGTTTTGTTACACCTTATTCTGTTTTACCTTGTTCTGTTTTATAGTCTTGCTATCTGACTTTATTAATATGCGCAACAATGGGGATTGTTTGGGGTAGCTGGGTAAGAGAGCCGACGCTGATATATTGGACAGGGCAGAGCGCTTGCTTTTCGATGATGCCATTGCTGCTGTGCAAAGCGCCATTTCGGAAGAACACAGTAAGACGTTGCGACGGCATGCACGCGCGTCCTGCCTCCTAGACAGCCTGAAAGAGCATCACAACCATCAGAATCAAGGCGGTGAAGAGCTAGACAAATGCTTGCATCAGTTGGTGCTTTTTGTGGAGAGATTCGTGCCTTACCTTGACCTGGTCGATGCATGTATCGAGACCTCGTTGGATTTGGCTGGTTGGCTGTGGGGAATCATCGGGTTGGTTTTCGAGGTACTTGAAACGCAATAGATCGGTTAAAAAGGTACTGACAAAGAAAGATTGGGAGAGAGTATGCTTTCATTCTGGTCAAAGCCATGGATACGTTGGCGGGCATCAGCACGGTGTTGCCGGACTACCAGCATCTGCACGACCAACACAAGCACAAGCTGCACATTATAAACGACGAGCGATGGCGAATCCTGCTGTCGTATGTGTATGCAGATATGATGCAGCATTGCGTAGACTTGTATCACATATTTTGCAGAGCGTCGTCTGGTAAGTGCAGCATTTCTTACGTACAACGATTTTCCAAACGTGCATCCCTCAACAAACGGTTTCCCAATCGGAGAAATAGAAACCATGTGGCGTGGGGTGGCGTAGATGCGCACCTTTACCAATAGTCAGCTACACGTGAACATTAGTCTATGGTTGGCAACGCGGGAGTTGTTGCACAGGCTATTCGCAATTGTAGTGTTTTGGTTTTCTGAACCCAGATGTCAGGCCGGAGCGCAATATCTCAGCTAATGGAAATACAGGGGTCGCATTACGCCATGTTCGCCTCTGCCCGTCGCCTACCATATTACTATGGCGACCGCTCGACTCCAGACTTGCAAGATTGGAGATCAGAATTGCGAACTACAAGAGATGGATAGAGGCCGAGTTTGCGTGTCAGCCAGAAGACGATGCGACGAAGGAGCTACATCGCCGAAAGTACACTGAGTTTCTGACCCAGCAGGCTGCGACCGATAACCACAGCAGCACACTTGAAGATTCGAGAATGGCGAAGCGAAGTGAGTTTTCACATAATATAAAGTCTGCGATGCAATGCAATGCAACTGACCTATGCTGCAGTGAGAAGGATCGACAAGATCAAAGCCTGGCTTTCAAATGACTGCGCTTACCAAGACGTATACGAACATCGGATGCGACAGCGTCACCCTCAAACGTGCTCGTGGTTTTTAGAAATGGAAGAATATTGCGCCTGGAAGAATTTCTCATTTTATCAAGGGCTGACCAGCAACTTTGATGATTTGGAAGAGACCTGGCATGACCGCGTGCTGTTTGTCCAAGGTAAGCAAAGAGTTACGATCTTCAACAAAGAACAGCAACTGCAACTTCACAAACATCATTGAAATCATGGGACTGACAAGATCTTACTCTGTAGCAAAACCTGGATTCGGCAAGAGCTTTATATCTGGCGCTGTCATAGACGACCTTGTAGAAGAAGCACAGAATCTCAACATCGATGATGAGAACGAAACCCCTTCTACGGTTTTCTTCCATTTCAATGCTGCTCATTCGTACTGCATTCATCCGATCGACGCTTTCAGGGCATTAGCCAATCAACTTATCCACATTCATCGTCACAGCCGCCTCACACTGGACACAGTATCACTGCTAATGCGCAAAACGCCATCCCATATCCGTGCTTCCCCCGATGATGTTGTAGGGTTGCTTTCGCTTCTCTTAAGTCAACATCCCACCTTTCTTGTCATCGATGGAGTTGACGAATGTGTCGATTTTGATCACTTCTTAAGAACTTTGGGTGAAATTTGCAGCAAAACCGACACCAGGGTGATTCTTTTCAGCAGACTCAGTGTACGACCCGAGCTAGATCTGGGAAATTGGGCAATCGATCCTTCACGTGTCGTCACGCTAGCGGAAGGGTCGAACCGTCAGGACATAGGCCGCTTCGTCTCTGAAACACTCAATCGAATGGCAGACAAAGGTTTCTTCGGAATCAGCATGAATCGTGACCTGATACCTCAAGTGGCGGAGCAATCCAACGGCGTTTTTCTCTGGGCAAGTCTGGTTGTCAAGTATCTGCAGTCGCCCGACCTCTCCCCTGATGAGAGAAGAGTGGTGCTTGAACAGATCCATCAACTTGAAGGTCTCGAGTCAATCTACGAACACATCCTCAAGACCCTTGATCTACGACCCGATCATGAAAAACTCGCCATAAACAACATCCTACGCTGGCTCTCCTTGTCCATCAATCGCCTGTGCATGCCCGGCTTCCAAATAGCCACTGCTGTTGAATACACCCCAAGCGCGACCGATCCAAGCGTCTTATCCACATTCTACGATTCATTACCTCAACTTACATGCGGCTTAGTCGAAGTCACCGACTGCAGCGCCGTCTTCGCGCACCGTTCCGTCAAAGAGTACCTACAATCCCCCGCATCCAGCACATCCCCCTTCACCCAACACAACACCGCGGAGCCAGAATCCCACAAACACCTCGCCGCCCGCTGCCTCTCCTTCCTCGCAAACCCAAAGCCCAACCCGCCATCACCAAACCCTGCAACAAGTCCACCCTCCTTATCGCCATCCTCCCACATTCCACCCAGCATCTCCAGATCCACAGACAGCGGCTACAAATCCAGCACCCCGTCCCTCATCTTCCCTGTACACCCCCTATCCTCACCACCTCCAACCACCACCAACTCTCCTCCCCTCCCATTCCACCCCTTCGACGCAAATACCCCGTTCCTCCGCTACGCAAGTCTCTGCTGGCCTATCCACCTCACACGCGCCCTCTCCCAACAACCCCTTCCCTCCTCTTATTCATCATCTACTACACACCCAACATCCCCCTGGCTAGCCCCGCTCTCCGCCTTCTTGACTTCCCACTCCGCAGTCACCGCGTGGGTCGAAGCCTCGTGGCGCTTCAACCTGCCACCCAACCTATCTCGCTTGATCCCGTTGCTGGAAGCGCTCAAGGCGGTTGTGCCGCCAGCTACTGTTGAGGGCAGGGAGCTGAGGTGGGTCGTCAAGGGGATTAGGGAGCTTTGTGGCGCTTGTAGGGAGTTGAGGGATGGGTTTGGGACTGCAGTTGGGAAGGATCCGGGGTTGGTTTGGCGGTGGAGAGGGAGATTGGGCGGGGTCGCTGGTGGAGTTGCTGTGTGAGTGAATGAAACATTGAGGTAGTTCTTTTCTTTTTGTTGTTTTGCTGCTGGGTCAAGATGAGGAATTATTTGTGTGATATATTCCCTTGAGTTCTTTCTTTTTTTTCTTTGTGGGTCTATGTGGAAAAATGTATATTTCTTGCATGAGCGTTCGTTTTCCTCACGTTTGAGGTATTCTGGACTGGATGGATAGGGTATACCTCCTTGCCTCTCTAGCGCTGAGTTTCGTTGATTAATTTTCCTGTGGTGATTACCGTGTTCCTTTGGGGTTCTTAGATATCATAGCGAGATTTTGATTCTTCTCCTCTTCCTGCTGGTTCAGAGGCAGAGTCCAGACTATACTCCAGGACGGATGAATAGATTGCAAGATATGGGTAGGAAGTATCGTAGCGCTACAATACATCAGATCAGATTGCACAAATATTACGCAAATTAGTACACAATTTCAGCAACATGCGCCTTATAATAAATGCCTAACCTACTACTTCATGGATAAATATGTGACAGCAGGACCTTCTACCAGGGGACTAATCCTTCCGCTTATAGATGGATCTAGAGATACAGTACACATCATGGTCACGTTCAAATTCCTCTAAGATGAAGAAAATTTGGCTTTCTATATTGTTGGAAGATGGGTTTGGCCATCCTTTGGAGAGTCAGCCCGCTACATCAGCACTCTCAGAGACGGAGGCATTTGAATGTAGTGCACCCGCCTTCCTCCACCACCACCACCAACAACAAGTTTTTATGTCGGGGTTTTTGGTGTTTGTAGCTCGCACACGCGATATCAAAAAGTACAAACCAAGCCCCCTAAAAACAGCTAAACCATCCTTCTAAAGTAAAACACAATTTCTTGGCATTGGATTAATGATTTACCTGCTGGTAATTGATCTAATTTTGAGTTAAAGGTTAGAGTTTAGATGATCCTACACACAGCGAAGGGATTACATCGATAATATACCAAAAAAACGAGCGATAACCAAAAAGACGTCAAAAACTGTTTATAGGTGATATTCCAAGGCTCGTCGTGCTCACGTGATATGGCAAGGCTGATACCGAATACGAGCTGAGCCGAGTCAGACCGCAGCTCTTCTCTGCGCGACCCATCACATTGCTTAGTGTACCCACACCTCCAAAAGTCTGCAGTTACTTGCTTAGGAAGTCCTTGAGTATTATTCAACATGGATATTGGATTGACGGTAGGGATGGCGGCTGCAGCCTTCTTCGCTTGTGCTTGGTGGGCAAGTACCTATTCATACGACTACGCAGCCGGCGCTCCAATCGACCCGAAGTCGCAAATTCGCTTGCTACGACAGGAAAATATAGAAGGGAGAAAGACAAGGTATAGCCTTGTTCCTATTGCAGTAAAAGATCTGCCCAACACACATTACACAGCGCTTTCCTACACATGGGGATCAGCATCCGGACAAAGACACAATTTCGAACTGAGACCAGGAAAAGAAAGACTCGGCCAGAGGGTGAGAATCACCGAGAACCTGCGTGATTTTCTGGAGGTTTATAAATCGAATACTGCGCCTGGCACGTCGGACCTGATATACGTGGATGCGTTGTGTATTAATCAGGAGGATATGGAAGAGAGGAGTCAGCAGGTCCTTCTGATGCACCAAGTTTACAGCCATGCCAACAAAACTATCGTCTGGCTTGGGAGAGGGAAACCCGATGTCAATGTCTCTCTAGCCAATCTCCATCGAGGTCTGGCCTCCAACAACAGATATCTTCCAAGTGATTATAAGACGGCCATCCAAGATATCTGTAACCAGAAATACTGGGAGCGTCTGTGGGTCGTACAAGAGTGCTTACTATCCGGGAACACCGAGATATGGTACAGGAAGAATTCATTCCTCTGGCGAGACATCGATATGTTGGTACAGCAATGTGACATTGCAAGACCAGGACGATACAACAGGTGGACCATGGAAATGAAAGCGCGTAACATCTTCGACGCGAAAAGAGAGCTTTACAGCCAGTTCACGGGGACCTTTGGGTTGACAATGAAAGATGCAATACGACGCTTCGGACGACAGAAATGCTCGGACGGGAGAGATCATGTATATGCATTGCTTGGTATCATCAAAGACCTTGCAATCGACGTGCGCTACGACGCGGAATGGAGCTTCGAAAAAATGATAGAACAAGTGTTGAGGCAGGTTCTGAAAGAGATTTGCGACGATCCTACTACTGTAGTGGGGAAAGAAATGGAGGACTTTCGTAGATTTGTGGAATTCATGCAAAATGAGGTTCCTCTCAGTGGTGCTGATGCGAGATCACTAGGATTTGAGGCAAGTAAGATCAACAAAGAAATGCTCGATCCCGTCTCGTAGTGAATCTACGAACCCTCTACTTCTAGAGTCATCAATTACGACAAGGAAACAAGCATGGACTTCGAATAAACGCAATACAAGTCGCGAAGATCAAAATCAGAACCAACTCGCAAATTGCATGCGGAAAGGACATATCCGCCCTCCACAATCGACGAGTACGTTTACCTAGGTGCACAGACCCAGACCTATTAAAACATGTCTGAACGTATGAAGTTGAATTTTTCCACCCTAGAGTCTCGCGGACCACATGACTTCGATCCTCTGCAGAAATCGGAGCTCTCCATCAGTCGACCGAACAGTTAAACTGAGTGCAACACACAGCAGAACAACAGACGATTAGAAAAGCCAGTAAAAATCTGGCTAGTGACTGGTTGTATATAATCTAGAGTAAAAAGCTCAAAGGCTTAAAATAAATCTAATGAAGTAAAAAATCCGCAAAACAAAACCCCTCAAGTCTATCATGCAAAACAACAAAGGTTTCCCGCGTCCATCAGATTAGCGTCATCACATCACCGAAACACAACAGAGTCATCAGAGAAAGAGATCCAAGTGGTCGAACCTCCATCGCAGAATATGGAAAAACCACACTCTCCCTCCCCGTTTACGCCTTAAAAACCTCGCCAGTCTCCATCCAAGCCTCATACCAAACCTCCTGCAGCGTAACCTTGCCACCATTCAAACCATCGAGCGCACACCCCATCAAAATCTGCTCATACGCATCGACGCACTGGGTGGTGTTTGTAGGAACAGCATACCTGCCGTCATCCCAGCGCTCAAAGATGACAATGTTGTCGTCGAGCGGGTCCTCGATGTGGGGGAGCTGGAAGCCGCAGATGCGCTCGCTCCACTGCGTCACTTGCGCGGTGATGGATCCGGAGGTTTGTTCCGGGTCGACGGTGGAGAGGTCGGGAACTGTGCCGCTGGGGAGGGCGTCTTGGTGACAGACTAGGGTTGCCGAGGCGGTGGAGAGGGCTGCTGCGAGGATGGCGATTGTGGAACGCATTTTTCAAGTTTTTGGATGTTGTGGTTTGAGAGGTTTTGTTGATGTGTGTTTGTGGATGATGGACAGAATAGACTTGACTCAGAAATGAATGAACGAATGTGGTATGAATGAGTGACTGTGAAGAAAATGTAGGAAATGTTGTTTTGATTGTTGTTGCTGTCTGCTTTCTGCTTCTCCATGAGGTCTAAAACACGGTCTCCTTATATACTTGATGCTTTCTCGCTCTCACATTCTATCGTACGCGATGCTATCACATTTGGATCACAATTGAGGCAGTGTTTCCGCGGGGCGAACGACGATGGATGAACCGTGCCGTAAGGCAGCTCATCAACGCCTTCCATCCAAGTTATATTCGTACCTCCGTATACGAAGACGCGTGGTGCACTTTCTACAGGGGGGGTGGTGTATAAGATGTAATCGGGTTTGTAAGACTAGTTTCACGCCCTGGGATTGGCTGGCGTCGCATCGTGGATCCTATATTCCGGCGTCCGGAGTAAGACAGGTGCATAGAGCTGCGGCGTCTCGCGCGATTGAAGACGGACAGGATCGTAGGTGACAAGAACTACTGGGCTGTGTTTGCGCCCCATCAAATTTAAATGTTTTATGAAATGATCTGAAAAAGATCTGGGGTTGTTTCAAGTTTGCGAAAGTAGCGAAGGAGGCCTGAAGGAGTACAAGAATGGGTTGTCGACTTGCACCGATAGCTACAGGGGGATGTCACATTGGGGACTCACATAACGGGAGCATAGTATGTTATAACTTTCTTCGCGAATGTAAGAGCTACTAAGAATCTACTGGAGTCTTTTTATTTGTAAACAATAGAAAGTACACCAAATATCTTGAGCTGTGACATCCCCCTGTAGAAGCATGACAACGCCTATACATAGCGAGCAGACATGCCTTGTCTTTCCAGGCGTCTTTATCTGACGGAAGATGATTATTCAAATATTCGAGTCAATTCCAGTAATCACAAGACAATCATATCTAGATGTTTCCCTAGAAGCCCTAGAAGTAACAGTTAGCTGCGTTCAGCGGTTCCCCCATGTTGATTCGAAGCTAGACCAAAAGCGCAATAGCGCGCATCTGCACCTCCCAGCGGGCATGCACGACACCTGTTCAATCGAACCTCAGCAAATCCTCGAATCCCGCGCAGAGCGCACAACCAGCCTCCCCTTCACACATCCCCGCCAGAACAATGTGGAGACCGACGCTTCTTCTCGCGGCCGCCGTCCTGGCCGTGCCAGTCCAGGCCCTGCACTTCTTCATCGACGGCGCAAACCAAAAGTGCTTCTTCGAGGAGCTCCCCAAGGACACCATGGTAGTCGGTACGTCCACTCCTCCCAATTTCCTCCGATCCTCACCCGTGGATTGCGAATCGAATTCCCCAGACTAATTGCAAACTATGAGATGATTAGGTCACTACGACGCCAAAGTCTGGGACGACGCCACAAAATCCTTCATCTCAACCTCCGACACAGGCGTCTTCATCACCGTCGAGGAAACCTTCGACAACTACCACCGCGTCGTCGCCCAGCGCGGCACTAACACAGGCAAATTCACATTCAGCGCTGCCGACAGCGGCGAGCACCGTCTCTGCGTCACCCCTCAGAACGTGCCTTCCGGCGGCGGTTGGCTCTCTGGCAGCGGCATCCACGGCACCGTAAAGTTCACGCTCGATTTGGCGATTGGCGAGACGAGCAAGATCGAGAGCACGGATAAGGGCAAGATCGATGATCTGGCGCAGAAGATTAGGGATTTGAACAGTCGGTTGCAGGATGTGAGGCGGGAGCAGATCTTCCAGAGGGTACGTCTTCTTCTTTCTTTACGGACTTCCGATTCCCGAGATTTTCATGAGCGAGGGCGGAGGGAGGATATTCCTGGGGAGAGTGACTTTTTTGCTAACTTTGGGATTTCCCCGTGTTACAGGAGCGCGAAGCAGAGTTCAGAGACCAGTCGGAATCCACAAACGCCCGCGTCGTGCGCTGGTCGCTTATCCAGCTCGTTGTTCTCGCTGTTACGTGCGCGTGGCAACTCACGCACTTGCGCGCCTTTTTCATCAAGCAGAAACTCACCTAGGCAATTCGTAATGGGGGCGAATATCAACATGCAAGGTCGTTCTGCGTGGAAACGCAGTCAACGGCTGGATCAGTCCACAGACGGAAGATCATGGGCTCTTCGAAAACAAGCTATTGTACTACTGAAGGATGCCGGCGTTTGCTGAAACAGATCTCGATTAGCGTTTTTTGGGTTAGAATTGAAAGCACACTGCTATTGATGTTGGTAGGGGTTAAGGGGGAGGGGGGCCGTTCAAGGCCCTCGTTCCTATGCTTGCTCTCGTCCTTGCAGCAAGACTAGGGTTTTGGGGGGGAAGCGTTGTTCGAGCAGCGAGCGAGCACGAGAGTGGATCGATTTCCTTTTTCTGTTAAATTTAGCCTGGCATTCACGAATCCAAAAAAAACATCAGTCCATCCAAAAACATTGAATTCATGTGTGCGGATGTGTGGTTTCGAGATGTAAACCGCGCTCTCACGGGAACGAATTATTTGGATAATGAAGCCCGAGCACCCACTATACAATTCTGTATAATTCTTTACTACTATCAGCAATTTACGCTAATCTACAGCTCTATAACCATTCTTTAAGAGGTGCCCCTAATCCTTACTTTAATTCTAAAAGCTTTTGCGTAGGCCTATCCTCTCAAATTCGTTGTAATCGCTCGTTTTGTTATATCTCTATTGTTATAGACTATCATGCTGTGTGTAGGAACACCTAAACTCTAACTAAAAACCAAAATCAATGATTACTCTTTAGTTTCTTTTAATATATTATTACTACCTGAAATACTAAACTACTTGTTTTACGCGTAGTTCGGGTGTTTTTGCGTTGAGCGTGGTTAACGGTTATCACATACCTAGGTATGTATCCGACTTTCACGTCCCCAGGAGAGACCGCGCTGGCCCTAGGAGCACAAAGTGAAGGGAAAATAGAACGATGAGCAAAAAGCGAGCATAGCAGCGGGCCAAGCAACAATGTGAATAGGTATATAAAACTACACAGAAACCCGGATGAAGAAGAAGATGAAGAATGATGGAGGCAAAAAGGAAAGGAAAGAGCCCTCTCCAGCCACGAACGCCCCAAGTGTATGATGAAACCACATACACCGAATGCAAACAGGCACCAAAGTCACGAGCTATTTTCTCCTTTCTTTCAGAGTCCGAGGAAAGACAAAAGAGAGAGTTGGGAAGAGAAGACGTTGTATCCGCACCCCCCCAAGACAAAAAAAAGAGCCCAAAAGCAGAGATCTTCACCCACCCATCAGCCATCAGCCATTTCCACATCCCCACTCTCCCCATCACCACCACCTTCCGAAGCCTCAACCTTGACAACTTCCTCGACACTCTCCACAGTCTCCCGCACAACCGTAGCACCCTGTTCACCGGCATCTTCGCGATCCTCCTGAAGAATCGAAGCAGCAGCCTCGGCGCCATCATACTCGCCGCCATCCAAGCTCCACTTGGCCGCCTGGAACGCAGCGCCAAACCAGCGCTGCAACCTAGCGTTCTGGATGTATTCGTTGAAGAGGGTTTCGTCGAGGGCGTTTTCCTGCATAATGGGCTGGCGCAGGTCCTCCGAGGGGAAGCGGATGCAGAGTTCGCCGTCGGTGCAGCCTTTTCCGGAGACTTCGTCGAGGGAATTGAACCAGACGACGTTGAATTGCTTGTTGGAGCCTATTTGGTCATTCGGTTAGTCACTTTGGGTTTTCTTTTTATGGCAGGACGGGAGAGGGGAACTTACGAGTCAGTATCAACAGTTCTCTTAGGACTTGTGCTAGGTTCGTGGTGACGAGGAACTCGTTCAGCGACGTCTGCGAAATGCCTTTGAAAGTGTTGATGCGTGCCCAGTCGTCCTGGATCATGAGTCGCTTCCAGATGAGGCCTTTAAGGCCAACGCGGGTGGTCCGTTGTGTAGCGTCCCAGGCTAATGCCAGGGCGCGGAGAGCGAGGACGAAGGCATCGGATACGTCTGCATCATCGCCCTCGGGGGTCATCAAAGTGAGTACATCGATCAATAGGGCGGGGTCGATGGCTCGGTGATGGATTAGCTCATCGAATCCTTGCTTAAGAAGCGATTGGAGAGCGGGACGTTCCTGGAGACGGCCCTGTCCGAGTTCTGCCATCAGAAGTTCAATGGCGCCTTCGTCGTCCACAGCGCCGGTGATGGTAGGTCTTAGACCATCATAGACCATATCTTGAACCTTGGACACCTCGAGCAGATTTCTTGCACTTGCGTTGACAATTTCAACTTTCTTGATGGTTTTCTCGTCCCTGGGGCGTGTCTCAGTCTCAGCAGGGAACAATTGGTGCTCGGCTGAAGCGGGCTCAGTTTGGTCTTTGCACATCAAGGCGAGTTTTGAGAGAGATAGCTCAACGCGTTTAGACCAAGCATTCGTCTCATTGTTCCGTGCGACCTTATAGAGCGCGACACCGGCGCTGTCGAAATCCTTGTGTCCAATCATGTTGATCCAGTGAAGCTTTGCACGCGAAGGATCCGAGGACAAAAACTTGGTAAGGAGCTTTTGATTTTCTGCCGTCTCGGGCCCAAAAAGCCGTCCTGCCTGGTTCTCGGCAATACGCTTCTCGTAGTAGGCTTCAGCAAAGGCCTTGCCGTATTCTGTGAAATATCGGCTGACACGATCCTTGATCCTGTTGAGTTTGACGTTGATCTCGGCTTCCTCCAGCTTGCTCTCACTTTCGAGTTTTGATACTTCGAGATAGGTTGTTTCGTCCCATATGAGCCTGACCAACGTGGGCATGTCCTGGTACCGTTCAGCGAGATTCATTCCGTCCGTAGCCAAGCCAATGCTCATAAGCCCATAAATATGTTCCGGTCGAACTTTGGTATCCCATTCGCTGCGCAAAGTAAGCCCCATTTCCCTTGTTTTCTCATCGCTTTGGTCGAGAGCCCATTGGAACCGTTCAATGTGCGTCTGACAGCCCATTCTCACAAGCCTGGGGTTGTCCTTGGCAATCTTTTGCGCAAGCTCCTCTTCGACGCGCTGCTCAAAGCTATCCTCGCCTAGATTGCGGCCGACGTCGATTATACTACGGAGCGAGGAGACGATGTTGTGTGATGAAGTCCAGATTGGTGGCAGTCTGTCATAACCAGAATGGGCCTTCAAAACACCATCTTCAAGTGAGTTCGGATCCAGTCCGTACTTCTCGCAGTTGAGCTGTCGGAAACTGTAACCGGCCTCGAGAACGGTGAGCAGGACGTCGTTTGCTTCACTAAGCCGCTGCATAACCGCAGAACGGTTCTTGCCCCCTCCCAGGTAGAACATTCGCAGATAATTCCAGCCCCATGGTACCAGAATGCCGAGATTCTCCACGTTCTTGATGAAGAATTGACGCACGCGGTCTGGTTCTTCCTTGTCCACGGGCGATTTGAACTTTTCGTTGAGAGCCTGGACAATGTCGTTCATCAGGACTTCTTCCGAAAAGGCTTCCGGATGCAGTTCGTGTTCTCGAAGCTTGCCCTGGTACCACTTCCACAATTTTATAGACGCCGAAAGCTTCTCCGCTTGCCACAGCAGTTCCCACCTCTTGGTGAAAGAGATCGGGGGGTACTCTGACTGCACATGTGTGATGAGATTCTCGAGGGCAAACGAGCGTTTGCGGAGCAAATCCTCCATCGATGATGTTGCCCTGTTGAAATGCTCATAAGATGACGACAAGATGCCGTTGCTGACGCGAAGGGCTGCTTTTTCCACGTCTGCAACCGCAAAGTCATATCTCGATTTGGTGGAGAAGTCCAAGATGGTTCCGGGTGTCGTAGCGAAAAACGTTGCCTGGCAGATCTTGCTGTAAGCAGTGACTTTCCTCCGGCTGTTCTCTTCACTTTTAGGAGGGGGCCGTGCGTCGACTTGTAGTATGCCGTAGTCTGCGACAAAAAAGAGCACACTGGCATGCTTGTCTTTCCGTCCTACATGCTCCTGTGCGTGACCAACTACATTCACATTGGCGTCTTTTCGGAAATAGATGGTGTCTTGGAACGGCAACAACGAGCTTCCGGAATCTGCAAAGAGCTGTGCTTCCGGGCTCTCCTCGGGTACTGCAAGTGAAGCTACAACAACACCTGTTGGTAGTTGAACAAACGCTGTGTGGCCTGGGGCGGGTAAGAGGAGGGTCCCAGTGGGTTCTTTCGGTGTGTCCGGCTGGCGGAAGTTCTTGAGGGGTATAGCCCTGCTGACCGTACTGGCATTCTCCGAGACGTCCAACTCCAGCAGGAAATAGTCAATTGTTTGATTTCCGGTGAGCGCTATCAAAGCCAAAAGACTTAGGTCTGCTTCCGCGGTTTGCGATTGTTGTATGATGTTGAAATCCAGGATGTGCACAGTCTGTGTTCCCCGAATTTCTGGAGGAGTGCCTTGCTGAATGGCGGCAACGATATCAGCATGCGCATCGAGTTCCCGCTTGAAAATTTGCTGTCCAGACCAGCTGAGATCCCACAATTGGAATGTCCCGTTCCTCGTTGCTGTAATGACTTCCATCTGGCCCTTGGATTCCGAGGGCCGAGCTTGGACGGAAGCAACCGTCTTGCGGCTGGAGCCAGAGAAAAATCCTCTGAAACCAAGATAACTGCTGCTGGATCCACTTGGGTCGCTCATGAAAGTGGCAGTGACACTCGGGCGCCCTTGAGAGTCTCGGAGAGTTATTTGGGCCAGTCTACCGCTGCTCAAGATGGCAATGTAACCAGCATACTCAATGTCGACAAGCTTCGTTATGCGTTCTCCAGACGAAAGTTTTATCGAGCCCTCGACTCCTTGGTGACGCTGGGGGAAATGTCCTCGCGCATCAGCACTGTCTATATTCTCCCAAAACACAATCTTTCCCGTCGCCGGTGCAACTGCCACCACCCCGAAATCGTTCGCAGGGCCATTTCGAACGACAGCGCCAAAGGGTAACGGATCCGATCCTTTCAAAGTGGGTGGTAGAGGTAACGCGAGGACTTTGGCTGTGCCTGCTGTAACGCTGTAGTCCCAAACAAGGGCTTGGCTGGCTGTGATGGCGAGCGCTAGATTGGCCGAGGATAGTGCAGACGCTTGGAAAGGAACTGCATGTCTGATTAGCTGGCTAGTATGATGTGGCAGATGCAAAGGCGACGTACTGGATCCGCTGGCAAGGCTGGAAGGAAAGCTAGGCAGCTTCTTGACACTGTAATTTTCGTTCTTGTTCTACGCGAGACTGTTTAGCATACGCGCCCCCTGTCACTAAAGAATATTACGCACCAGGTACAAAGCGGTATCCTCCTTCAACGCGCGCTTCAATTGTGTCTTCTTTTCGCGCACTGGCATGTCCACCAAGACCAAGCTGCTCTCGATGCTCTCAACCGCGTGGCCGTTCATCGCCATACTTCCGTTTCCATTCATTTTGGAGTCTGCCGCAGCTACAAAAGTATCATCGCCCATCTTGCTTCTCTTTCTACGAGGCTGTTGCGCTCCGTCCGAGTTGCGCGGCCGGCGGCGTGAGTTCCGCAGCGTGCTGCGCGCGCTCCCGCTTGATGCCTCGACGGAGAACATCCTGGCGTGTTCTTGTGATGAACGTTTTCGAGGATAGAGAGGAATCCGTTCGCGATGCGCAATGGGCCGTTTGTCGAATGGGGGCGACGGTCGCGCTGTGTTGTCAAGGTCAATGTTGTCAACGACACTAGAAAGCAGCCAAATGTTGCTCGGGTCTAGCTACTTCTGGCCCGTGCGGACTTAAGCGGATCTGGCGCCTCAGGTACCTGGTACATCCCCTGTCGTCGCGTTCACTCGTCTAAACCCTCGTGGTGTTGTATGCAGTTGAACATGATGTCAAACAGCAGTTTCTTACCAGGCGCAGAGATGCATTTCGATAGATAGGCTCATTGCTATCACGACAATCAAGAATTACGAACGCCAGGCAGCTCCGCATACCGTGACTTACATCATCAGCAACTTTATTCGCGCAATAGGATAACAGCTCCACTTTGAGAGTTCGAAAGTAAAAGACGGGATCGAGGGGCAGATGGATTCTAGGCTTCTCTGTAGTTGCAAAAGGCTTTGGACGGGATGCAGTAGCAAACAAGTGTATGGCCCAAGCAAGTACACGGGAGCGAGGGCACCATCAATATATGGATAGTCATCATCCATTTAGTTATTTTACTTTAATTGTAACATGAGCCATAATTCATTTGATCCATAGCGCAGATCGCTAATACAAAGGGGACAAAGAAAATCCATGACCCGGTTCCGATTACCGTGCAGGCGCCGATCCGTAGAACCTACAGCCGTGACGAAGGAAATAGTACATATGTTGATGGTGGCTGCGATTTCAGCTGCGCACTAGCATGGTGACGTATAGGCAGTGGTGGATTGCCGGCTTGCATGAAGTGAACAGTTCCCAGTTGACTTGCAGCCGACAGTATCCAGATCCACCATATATCGTCAGTGTTGCTGGAAGCAACACACGGCGACCTCTTTCGAGGCCACGCGGATGGTGCCTACAACTTCTTGGAGGCATCCTCCTCTTCAACAGTGGTGTTGCTGGAGGTGGTGCTCTGCTTGTCGAGCTCGGCACCCATGGGACCGTGGAGTTCCTCTTCGAAGACGGGCTCGGGCTCGATGGTCTCGAACTTGGTCTTGAAGTCCTTGGCGGTGAATGTGCTGGAGTTGCTTCGACGACGAGCATTGGCCATGTTGAAGCCCATCTGGTCAATTTCGTCGCCATCGCGGCCCCTGTTGCTGGTCAGACTGTGTTGCCAAGATACGATGATGGTGAAGGTGGTGTGGAGTCTTACCAATTGCCTTTACCACCACCGTTCTTCTTCAACTTAGAAGGATCTTCGCCGGCATGGCCGGACTTGGCGAAGTATCGGGGCAGGTGCTCCTCTTGAGCAGCGGTGCCGTCAGCAAGACCGGCATGGTCACGGTCAGTGTACTTGTGAGAGCGAGTCACTGCTCGAAGGTCAGTACGCGGAAGATGCGGACGGGACAGGAGTAGCATGACGGCCAGGGTTAGAGCTCCATGAGCGAGGGTGAAAGCACGTCACATGGTCATACATGAATGTGCAAGAGCAATGCCTGTTTAGGCCTGGCAGGAAAGAAACTCACTGTTGGGTTGTGTGGACTGGAAGGAGGAAGAGTGTTGTGATGAGAGTTGGATGAAGGGAGGTTGCGAGAAGATGTAGGAAGCAAGAAGGAGAGGAGCACTGAGCCGGAAGATCAACTGGAGGGTGGTCTCGTGATGGGGCTTGGGCCAATGGCGTGACGATGAGGAGACGGCAGTGGGGAATGGAGCGCAGTAGGGCCGTACCTTGCAGCCGATTGAGCTCAATTCCGAACGCAGCGTGCGGGCCGGGAGTAATTGCTTTTGGTGCTGAAAAGGAGATAATTCAAAGGTGTGTATTGTTCAAGATTGATGCTGGTGGAGTGGTGCAAGGGACGAGCAAGCGGGACAAAGAGCACGCGAAGAGGAGGAGGTCCAAAGCGGGGATGTAAGCAACCCCTCCTTGTATAATTACGACGACTACATATGTACAGATGAATACGGGATTGACTGTTCACGGAAGGGGCCGGTTAGGTGGGTGCAACGCGGCCACGGCATCGGTGATACTGGGGCTGGTTGCGAGTTGCGATCTGCGCATCTCTGAGGGTTTGGCATGGCAGGCCTACGTCATGCAACGAGGGAGGCATGGGGAGGCAGTGTCGTGTGAGCAGCTTCGCATCGATCCAGTCAATGCAAACGTATCAAACGCAAACACAGCTGTGGATCAATTGAGGCCGCGGCAATTGCTCCGGGCCGTCGGTTGACCTTCCTGACGCGAATGCAGCTGAGCTGGATGAGGTGGAGAGCAAAGAGGCTGTAGTCTGTCAAAGGCGTCGTCGCTCCAAGCCCAGTTACCCCGGATTCCAAGTGGGTCTGTCTCCCTGCGAGTGCCGCTAACTGCAATCGCTCTAGCTTCACGTGCCCGGCGCTGTGGCGAATCAGCCCACCCGAATATTGCATTAGGTACACTTTTGTTTCTCCGAAGTCGCCCAGAAAAGGTCATTCGACGCGGGCGCGTTGCTTGCTAATCTGTATGACATGATATGAAAGCCATGCCTCTTCTTCTTCTTCTCCGCCCACGACACTTCCGCTCCCTGATTTCCTTACGTGAAACCTTGATCTAACATTCACTTGCTTCTTTCTTTATTCTCGAGCAATCAACCCCCGCTATAAGGTCCGCAGGTACGTGGAATTTGTTCCGGTAGTGGGGTCAATTCTGGCTGGCATTAGTCAGTGAATTATCATCACTTGTCATTCGCAAACGATTGCGTGCCCCTTCGCCTGCCTCGCAGCTCCCTTCAACATCTTCTCTTGCGTACTGACTGTTCTCTTTCAGACAAACCAGCCCAGCACATCTCTTGTTTTCCAACCGCAATTCGTCATGGCCGCACGGCGCACTCTTCTCCTCGCCCCACCCTCCATATCCGCTCACCCAGAAGTCCTCGACAAGGTCTACGAGATCCATGATCGATCCTCCGCAGATCTGCAGATGCTAGATCGCCTAGCAGCCGGCCTCGTACAGTTGCCCGCTTCCACATATGATGTCGTCCTTTTGCTCACCGACGCCGACGGCACAACCCGCGAAAGCCACAAACTGCTGAGTCGTGATGTTATGGTCAAGATCGCAGACGCGCTCAAGCCGGGCGGATACCTCAAAAGTCAGGATGGCGTGTTCGGCGCTACAGGTGGAGCGGAGAAGACGGAGGCTATCCTTGCAGGTCTCGTGGAGGGGAGTGAGGGTATGACCAAGCCCGAGGATACAGGGAGCGTGTCGGTACCCTTGAAGTTGAGGAAGAAGACCAATGGAGCTGCGAACGGGACCACAAATGGGAACGGCGCTGTGCCACTCAACCTGAATGGCAAGCGGAAGGAGCCAGAACCTGTGAAGCCTGTTGGCGTGGGCTTTGTGGATTTCAGCGACGACTTTGACGATCCCATAATCACCGGGGAAGACGATGACCTGATCGACGAAGACGACCTCATCACCGAGGAAGACATGGCTCGCCCTGTAGTCCAACGTAAGTTTTTCTCTGTTCTTGCTCGCGAAGCGCATTGTCTGACACACTACACAGCTCTCGAGTGCCGCCCCAAGCCCGGGAAGCGTCGTCGTGCCTGCAAAGACTGCACCTGCGGAATGAAGGAGCGGCTCGAAGCCGAAGATGCCGCCAAACGCTCAGAAGCCGATGCCGCCCTCAACACAATGAAGCTGGATGCAGACGATCTCGACGAAGTGGACTTTACGGTCCAGGGCAAGGTTGGCAGTTGTGGAAACTGTGCGCTCGGCGATGCGTTTAGATGTGACGGCTGCCCCTACATTGGACTACCTGCGTTCAAGCCAGGCGAGGAAGTCCGGTTGCTGAACAATGATATTCAGTTGTAAGTGGAGGGATAGAATGTTTAATTGGAATGATTCATGAATACACATAGAGTGGCGCCGTAGATATCAGTCCCTCGAACCCACGTAAATAGCCCGCAATAGAATTTCACACGGCTTTTCAACGCCTATCACATCTACATCTTCGCCTTCTCCCCCTGAAAAGCCTCCGCCCGACTCCCACCCCTAAAATCCTCCAACATCTCCCTCGACATCCACATCTCGCGACTCCCCGCTAACCCCTTCTCCAAATCCACACACAAATCCCTCTGCACAAACACACCCATCCCCGCCGCCTTCCCCCCCAAATCCATCAACCAACAAGCAACACCCGCAACGCTCTCCACACGATTCACACTCACCCCTCCCTCCCTCAACCGCGCCGCATGCTGCCCGGGCACCTCCCCATCCCCAGGCCTCTGCACGCGCGGACTCTCCGTCGCAAGAATCAACGGCGTCTCCGTAATCGCGGGCGCAACAACACTAATCGCAATACCCAGCTCGCGACACTCGTGCTTGAGCGCGCGCATCAGGCCCACGACGCCGTGCTTAGCCGCCGAATACATGTGCATGCCACTGGTCCCCAAGTAACCCGCCAAACTCGCCGTCAGCACAATACTCCCCCTCTCACCTCCTTTTTCTTGCCCCTCCTCTCCCTCTGGATTGTTGAGCCGCAAGTAGTGGATCCCGAGTTTCGTAGTCCAGGCCGCAGCCTCCAAATCCACCGCCAGCACCTTCCCCTCGGGCGCCCTCAGCTCCCCGTCCTCATCGAGCCGCGATGTAAAGAATTGATCCCCTGCTTCGCTGATCCCCGCGTTCACGAATACGTAGTCGATTCGTCCGAACTTCTTGTACCCTGCTGCGAAACCCGCGCGTAGCGCCGTCCAGGAGGTGATGTCGCAGTTGTGGACGAGGAGGTTTGCTGGCGGGTGCGTGAAGGATTGCGGTGGTGGGTTCAGGTCTAGGAGGATGAGGTTGTGGTTTGGGTTCAGGGAGGAGAGGAGGGATGCAGTTGCTAGGCCTATTCCGGAGGTGCCGCCGGTTATGAGGGTTGTTTTGGGGGATTTGGGGAGGGTGCGGAGGGTTTGGAGATTGGGTGTGAAGGGAGATGGTGGGGGCATTGTTGGTGTTGAACGTGACGAAGATGCCGGGGTAGAGTTGAGAGGAGTTGGATAGAGGAGTTCAGTTGATTTGTTTTTGTCTCTGGGGTCAATTGAGATCCTGCATTAGTATAGTATAGAGAGGGGTTCAGAGTCTGATGGAAGGTGCTGTTGCGGTCAATATCACGATATCTTCAATTGGGAATTGCCTAGGTACAATGGCATGTCATTGCGGCACACGAGTATCGTCTGTCTGGGAATACCCGAGCATAGCCGTGCGTTGCTTACTCGATCGAGCATAAGTCGAAGATCCTTCCAACCACCATCGAGGATCGCTCAATGGAGGTACAAGTTAAACCTGTAGATGATGTGTGATGGTAGAAGTAAGGTAGTCCATTCAGCTTATGCTGCCAACTTCGGTTAAGTAATTGTTAGAGCTGACATCCGGAAGTGTCCTCAGCACCAATGAGCACGTCGGCAGGTTGTATCCAGCACGACATCTCACTCTAGTTTTTTGTTGTGAATATAATCTTGGTGAATACCCATGAAATTGCAAAGGAACATACAGGGGGTTGTACCATCATGATATTGCATATCAGGAGGTTAGGTGTACTATTTATTATTTGCGAATAGAAGGCTTGAAATGATAAATCAACCAAACCCCCACCCCCCGAGTGATTACCAAAAGTTCCAGCGAAAGAGCCTTCACACAAGCTTATAAAACAAAATCAGGGATCAGCACTGCCTTCACAAAAAACGCAGACCTTCCTAGTAAACTGTAGGAGAGGACCAAGAGGGAATCAGAGAGTTAGATAGCGTAGAAGCAGTAAGAATACAGGCACTCATGACTGACAACTATAAGTTGTGGATATCAAGGAGATGACGGAGGAGGCAAGGAATATCAGATTGAGGCTTGGTTTGAGATGTGCGATTGATTGTACGTCGCTAGCGGATGCATGCCGACTATCCAGGTGGTCATTGGCGTCGCAGCTTCCATCACGACTTCCCTTCCACCAGGTCACTACCCGAACAGGCAGGCGTCGGTGCCTTTCCACCACCTTCAACATGAACATCCGCATGCTTTCCTTTCCACCCTCCCTCCTCCACCACCAGCACTCACATTCGATCCTCCCACCGTTGCAACCGCAGCTTTCACCCGCTCATCTGGTCATCATGCCCCCGCCAGTCGTGTGGTCTTCGTCAGTCGGTTTCCTAATGCGGGTAAGAGAACTCTCAAGGACATGCTCGAGAACGCCATGGAGGATCGCATCGAAGTCAACAAGAAGGTCAAGTCTGCAGTCATGACTCTCAAGAGCCACAATGTAGAGTGCCATTGCGCTCTTTGGCAGACCAGACTCAACGACTTTCGGGAGGTTACCTTGCACCCACAGGTTACAGAAGTGAGTCCCTTCCCTACCTCCCCTCTCTCAGATGGGTAGGCGAGATAGGTCCTGAATTGCCCATGGCCACATGCATGCGACGGAGCTGCAGTTGCTGATGATCAAACTTGGTTAGTGTCGACACAACTGCCCCGACCGGCCAAGATATTCAGAGATTCCTCGTTGCCATGGCCAAACACATCAAACCTCGCGGCATAGGCGACAAGCGACCAAGAGCGACAAGCGACCAAGAGCCACCACCTTGGTCGTCGGGCTATCGAACCTGATTAAATCCTGTCATTTTAATTATCCCGACTTCAAACTCACCCGCCACGACCGCGAAGGAATCACCTCCACCAGCATCAGCTCGAGGTAGAAGGTGTTATCACAAACGATGAAAAGGCTAAGAAGAGTGGGCTGGTGCCTTCCACGTCGAGAACATAGTCTATGCTATGTACAGGGATCAGTTCCGCCAATGGACGTGCGGGCGGGATAAGACTGTTTGCAAACCCCAAAGCTTGATCATGCTCACTGCCCTCGCATCCAGGGCTGGTGACGAGCTGCTCACCGCAACAGCTGCCCGAGGTGATCGAACTGTACAGTGGAAAGACCCGAAAGCTTTTGGGTTTCCTGCCTTCACGACAGGAGTTCACGTCGACCCTTCCAAAGCCGCCAACAGTAGGCAAATTCACTCGATTTTGGACAAGGGGGGGAAGCAGATTGGTCTCCTCACTACCCTAGCTCCGCACGGCCTGCGTCGTGGCGCGGCCAGGGACCAAGCCCATGTTGAGCCCACCGGGAACGGGTATACCTCCACGCTGGGCGAGGTCCAGAACCTCCCCTCTCACTCACACGACGCCTTCCAACGTGGTGTGACCAAAAGCTACGTCGGCCCTAGCGATCGGGATGATTGGGCGCCACGCTTGAAAAACGCTTATTTCGACCCCCTTGTCATGCCGGCGAAGGCACCCGACGCCAGCGCGTATGTCGCCCCTCGGTGGTCCAAAGCAGACATCGACCGGCTCTGTGCCGAGTACAAGCTGCCCTCTGATTCCAAGTCATCACGAATGAAGGCTGGACGATTGGGTTTGAAGGCACTCCATGAAGCATGGATCGAGGCACAGAAGGCGGGTCGGCATAGCTCCTTCTGACTTGGACATAGGGTGGGCGGGCCTATCCTAGGATCAGCTGTCAACTCCCATTCAAGGCTTTACTGTCTGTCTAGATCCTATTAACATACTATAGAAACTATGTTGAGATGTTTAACAGATTATTGAAGTAAAAAGACTAGTGATCACCCCTTATGACGCCGAATAGCTGAGCCTACATGCATCAATGAGCGGAACAGGAGAGAGGGCAAAGATGTGCATGCGTAACGGAAATCTGGACCCTGTGCGGTCTGACATTGTTGGCGTCATACAACTACGTAGTAGTGCCTGACGCAAGAAAAAAATATACACAGTCTTCTTATTCTCCTCGCGAACAAATCCATGAGCCTGGAAAGATATTTGACATGAACTCTATGGTTGGTACTGACATGGCAAACTCTCCCTTCTCCTCCGAACAGTATGATGCGATATGTATGCATTTGATGATCTTGATAACATTCCCACTAACCTTTGCAACAGCTAGACCGATGGTTGTTCCCGCCGCGAGGCTTCGATCAGTATATCCGAGTCGGATCGGTCCAGGTGGTGATTTGTTTCGATGCGATCACGGAGAGCGTATAAGAAGTAGAATTTGCGTGCGCTGCCGCACACTGGAACAGGGCACGGGGATATACGGAATTCGTCCTTGTGTTGGGTTCGGTAATGAACCTACATCTTATTTCCGGAGTTTTATGGCTTTTCAGGCTCGCCATTCATACATACACGAGATCGGTACCCAATTGTGGGACTTTGTGTGATGCACCAACGCAATTTTAGAGGTGGACGTCTTGTCAGCATTGGCCTCGATGCAATCGGCGTGGCTGCAAGGGACAGGCACCCACTCGTGGGGTTTTTCGTGATGTGCCTGATCTGCCTCTCAGCATACTATTTTCCTCAAGATTCACCGTATTAAGGGCCTTGTAGTTAGCCGTGTCAAAGAGACGAGCGCGCATAGCACGGCACGCCATAAAAGGTAACTAAGTAATACCGCGCGCATCGCAACACTGCCTGAAAGAGTAATACAAATTATACTAAAAAAGCATTCATCTCTACGCATAACCCTCTTCAAATGATGCTTTTCAATAACATATAATTGGCTATTTGCTCTTCACTATCAGACTCTTCGCCGCAATTTCATTGGCGCCTTACCTGACGGATTGGATACACCACCGCCAAATCCCATCAGTGAAGAGTCCTCCTGGAGATCTATACCTTCTGGAGAAATCTCACAGTCAAACAAAGTTACCATTAAAGCCACTTTAAGCAAAATATGACGTTTCGCGAAGTTCCTACCAGGACATATTCTAGGCCCGCCACCATAAGGAATCCAAGATCCCTCTAGATTGGCGGTGGAGAATTTTGGGGACGACTCTTCCTCCGGGTATTCTAAGAATCTTCCAATCCAGAATTTTTCGACCGGATGTTCATTTTTCACACCAGCGTTCCATGCCTTGGCATTCATGTGCGCCACTGTAGTCGGAGTCACGGCGACTTTGTGCTTTGGGATGATCCAGTCATCGATATCCATGTCACTTCTATCTGAAGTTCTAATGATGTAAAAGTGCATTATCAAGCGGAGCGTCTCTGCGTAAACCGCTTGGAGAACGGGCAAGTGCAGTAGCTTGTCAATGTCGAAGTGGACTCGTCCATCCTGCCCTTCAATCGCACACGGATCTAGCTCGGCCCTTACACGGTTCAGCAAATCGGGGTCGCGAAAAACATTGAAGACACACCAGGAAGTAGTAGCAACGGAGTTTCTTGATCTGCGTAAAAGTTAGAATGAGTTTTCGAGGCTTTCTACGTAAGCTGAATCACTTACGCCCATATTGCTCCGAGGTGAGTGGATGCGACGGCAGTGTGATCAAAGCCATCCATCGCTAAAAACATGTCGTGTGACTTGCGAAAGAAGCTGCTGCCCCAGAATGGGTCATCGCCGTTTTCGTCCATGGCGGATGGGTCGAAATTCTCCCTTGCGTGTTGCTGCCAAGTTCTGATGGCTTCTATCACCCTTTTGCGAGCTGCATACGCCCTAGGAGCAAAGATCTGAGGAATGCCTTGAAGAGAATCAGCTAATATCATAGGTTCCCGAGGTCTGTGGCATTACCTTGAAGATAAGTCTGCAAGTTACGGTCGAAATTCCAAAAATCACGAGGGAAAATGGGGTTCAGTCGTAGCAGGTGAGGCCCACAAAAGGCATTAAAGGTCGCCACTGTGACCTCTGCTCCAACGTTCTCCATCAGATCGTCATATGAAGTCCAATTAGTTCCGAGACGATTGTAAAGATCATACAACTGGTTGGTGGCATATTTGATATATCTTTTGTACAACGGCGACAGCCCTTTGCCTTCTAGAAACTGCGATATTGCCCGGTGCGTCAGATAGTCGACACGGTTGCGGGGTTCCACACTGTTGCTGGAAATAGGCACATGGGATGTGCCGGAGCTGTCTTTGTCGTATAGATCCGAAGCGTTCTTTGGCAAACCAAACGCGTATCCGAGCGCGAATTTGACAAACGGGATAGAGGTGCACAGCACAGAGTTTTTGAATAGTGACTTGACATGCTCGGGTCCTTTGATGACATAGAACTCCCCCATCAGAGTTTTGACCCGGGCTGGATGCGCACTCTGAAAAAAATGTCTGAGTCGGTCAGAAGTCCGATATGATGGATGTCTCGGACATGTAGCATACACTTCATCAAGCACAACGGCCTTTGGCTTCCAGAGATAAGCAACGGGTAGGCTTCCTAGTAGGGGGAAGGCATAAGGAAAGGTCGGTGGGATGATTTTGATGCCGTCGCGCTTTGAGTGAGCCAGAAATGTTCGGTGTTTGTGTCTGAAACGAAGCCAAAAGACAGTGATAAGGAATACGAGAATAAGCGCAAGGCTCTGAAGGTCCGGTAGACTCATGGCGACAGCTCTGGCAACTTCACGGACGTCAAGATGAAACAAAGAGGGGGCCATTTGTGTTTTTATTGCATCGGAAGGCGATGGGCCCAAATATAGAGCTGAGGAGGTGTTGTGCATTCCCGATGGGGGCAAGGCACTGCATGCAGTGCATCACGCCTTCTTAGCCTTCTTAGCCCCATCTCTGCAGTGAAACCAAACTGTGCCGGAATTCAACGCTGCTTGTAACCACAAAGCCAGAGGCGTCACATTAAGCACATCGGGATTTAAGTGAGGAAGGGTGTGCACAACTGTGGTACCGGTCAGCCTATAGCTGTTCACAGCGATGGCATTCAAAGCCGATTATCTATTTAATGGGCCCCTTGGTCCATGACAGTCAGTGGATGTTTTAGGAGAATCCATCAGCTTTGCTGTCGCTAAGAAATTTCACACAATCGTTCAGTACAATTCCTAGACGTCATGCACTCTGAATTCGATCTGCGAGTGCGCCAAGTGGCAATACACCCCGACCCCCACGAGGCTAAACGGCTGATTGAGTCGTCCAGCAAAATCCATATGCGGCCATTCCAGGTATCTATAGAAAATCTAATCTTGTAATGGAGATCCAGCTGACTTTGCACAGATCATCATAGGAGTACTAACCGGGCTTGCATTTTGTTGCTTCATTTTGAGGATTTTTGTACGACTCAAATACCAAAAGCAACTCCGCTTGGACGATGCATTTATTGTCCTCGCAGCCATCTGTCTATGCGTAGCGACCGGGAATCTATACCACATCTGCCAGTACCTCTACCTGCACTCGGCAGCCGTGCATGTTCCAGAACTCCTCCCTCTGCTCCTCTCGGAATTCGATAAACTCCGCGGCACACATAAAAAAGTTTATCCGTTTCTCGCAATGATATGGACAACCACATTTGCCGTCAGAGGTTGCTTCCTAGCATTCATGCGTCCCCTCGTCTGGCACATCTCGCGAGCAATGAATTGGTATTATTGGTTTGTCGTAGTATTCAGCATCTTGTCTTGGGCATTCGTTGTCGCCAATCCATTCAACATATGCCCGTACTATGGAGTAGAATCAGGTTAGTGCTTGTCTAAGCACATGCATGCTTTTGCTGATCATTATGATAGTCAAATGCTTCACTTCCACTGTCGCTGAGGAAAAGACGTTGGGACTTACATCTCTTGTCACGGTTTTAGATGTACTGTCTGATATTATGAGTAGGAACTGGGCTCCTATAGTATATTACGAGATATCTGACATGAGATTAGTCGTTAGCCTTCCGATTATTGTTCTATGGGGATCTCATCTAAGCCGGTCTACCAAGTTCGGCTTGGCCGTCTTCCTTTGTTTATCCATTTTCATGGCAATCTGCGCCTTGATCAGAATAATCGGCTTCCATTATAAAGGAATTGAAGACGACGTTTGGCCGTTCTTCTGGCAGCAGACCGAAGGATCAATTGCTGTCATGATGGCGTCAATAACGGCGTTCCGAACCCTCTTTGTCAAACCAGACACAGACGGCGACGATATTAAGACACCCCGCAGTCCAATCGAGAGCTTCTATAACCGGATGTTGAGGCGGTTCCGATCTTTAGCTCAAGCAAAACCCAGCGAAAAACCAAGTTCAAATTTGACGGCCCAACCAAAATCTTTCATTAAACTACCAAGAATGCCAGCGCCTACATTTTCAAGTGTAAGATCGTTCATCCGCAGAAACAATCGAACCAACGTGAGCAATACTGGATCTGGTACGCTGAACTCGGCTACCGACGTGTTGGTTGAGGACTATCATGCGGTATTGAAAGGGCAGAGAGGTTCTTCCAGAGATGAAACCTCCTCACATACATGATCAACAAGGTATACTTGAATTGAAGCTGATAGACGGGGGAGTCTACGAACTTTTCGGACTATTTGTGTTTGTTGAAATTGCGATGAACGGACGTTTGGTGTTTCACGTAGCAGGCTTCATATCGGTACACATCAAGTTGTCTTTTTGAAGTTTTTTTTCTCTTATGATTGGAGGCTGAAGTGTTCTCATACTTTAAGGCTGATAAAAAGTATGTTATACAAACCAGGCGGTTACAAATGAGGTTCACCGAAAGAGTTTCGGTACATATCATTGACAAGCTGATGAAGTTTTCTCTAATAATACAAGTATGTCATTCGGCCTCTCCATAATTATACTTTGACCTCAATCCAGAATTCTACACATCAGTTTAAGTACCGCACAACTTCGTATCGATTGATATGGAACTTCAGTATCAGAAATATCACAATATCCTTCTACATCTGCTGGAATCCTACTCTATCGTCTTTGTAACCGTCGCTCTTGTTCGCGCAATCTTACAGACCCCTTACAGATCTCTGACAGGATCATAAGGGCGAGACGCGGAATTCGTGCTTGGTAGGCTCTGGGACAAGGCCGATTGTCTGTCTAAGGGAAAAAGACATGGGTAAGCAAAACACAAATGACAGTCAGCACGCCGTTGCAATCACGAGACTCACATTGACTGCGCATAGCCATTGCCATACGCCACTGAATTAGATGTTCAGAAGCAGCAGGTATACCTTCTCTTTGCAGCGCGACATTGATGCGATGGTGTACTTTGTGTTGCTCATCAGCAGCTATTAATGGCCAGGTCTTGCCTGGCTGGTCCTCCAGTATGTTCCGGGCTTCTTCCCGTGTTATAATATAAAGAAAGTTTCAGTACTTTGGAAACAAACGTTGGTATGTCAAGCTTACGATGAATCGCCTCCATTGAAGGACTGAGTGCCCTGCGATGTTGCGCGCCTGCTCGGCAGTTGACCTAGACGACAAGGCCATGTAGAAGGATTATCATTGCTTAGTTACCCCACTTGTCGCTTGATAAGTCTAGCGACTGTAAACCTTGGCACTACTAGGCGATTGGTTCCACGCTAGGCGGCTACATGTGTAAGCTAGCGCCTATCTGCGCGTAAATGTCAGCATGCCGCCGAAAGTCATATCGCCAATATCAAAGTCCGAACATCGAACAGTGGATATCTACAAGCTGGGGTCTAGAATCTGGCACGCAACAGACAGTATTCGAATCCTTGAATCTAAACAACCATATCAGGAACGCGATAAATAGCTCAGAATAGTCAGATGGAACAAGAAATCCACGGAACTCATGCTAAATCAAGAGCAGGGGGAGTGCAGTGACAACAGAGCAGACGATTTACTTCTGCGCAACTCAAGTTGGTTTAAAGTCACAAATCACACCTATCGATTCCCTTTCAATACTATCCTGCCTGAGCTTCCCCCACCAATGCATCACCCTACTACCCTGAATGTTCCTCCGTCTCCCACATACAACATTCACACACACACACACACACACACACTCTCTCTCTCTCTCTCTCCCTCCCCCCTTTTCTTCTATCAATACCGCGGGAAATTACCATCCGAATGCTCCTCATTGGCACAAGTAACTGTCATATTCTCCTCTCCACTACCACCGCAATCACCACACTGCGTTGTGTCGTAGTTGGACACGGCTGGTTCGCAAAAGCAGTTCCACGACTGGCGCGCCTCGTCGTCCATTTCGAGGGGTCGAGAACATATGGCGCATACGCAGCCCAAGCCTTCGCAGCCGCCGCACCGCTGGGTGACGGTGTAGCTTTTGGTGTAGTCGAGTCTCCGGTCACACATAGGGCAACTGTGGATCATTTTGGCGGCGGCTTTAGCACAGATGGAGGTTGTTTTATTGTACGTCTTGTGAAGAGAGATGGGTATGGGTAGAAAGAGCCGTGATGATAGAGGTAGTCTGGAGTGTCTCCCACGAACGAACGAGCAAACAAGAGACAGAGAAACAACAGCGGAATATATACCTTTTCTTCTTTCCCCTCCACCCTATCCAGCCCCGGCACTTACAAGAAAATGCCGCTCAGCCATGCGCTATACCATTTTCGGCAGGTTGCAGCAAGGCTGAGGATTCTCAGAATTACCTTAAACAGACGTGCGATACGACACATCAGCTAGGGATAACAGGAAAGTCGCTGCCTAATTCAAGGTAAAACGATACTATTCCCAAGAAGCGTACCAAGACACAACTTCCAAGAGGTAACAAAGTAGTCGCAGCAAGGCTGAGCGCGAAGTGTCCTAATTATTGTTGCCTACCTGCGCTCTTTAGGCGACTAGCTTCCTGGTCTTCCATTACTCGTACAAAGAGGGTGGTAATATACGAAGTACGGGTACTTAGAACTGCATTCCTGGGTAGAATACTGGTGGATCAGTGCTCGCGATGCGATAATACTCCTTCTGTTTAACCCAACTCACTCCAGGATTCGAGACAGAGCCATCGAATAGTTTTGCATTTGAGATATCAATATCTGTTTCATGCGCGTCTTCAGTTGATCACCTGAACTCCAACTCAAAATTATCAAAAAAGTGACCCACAATTATCACAGAAGAAAGCTCATAGGATTGCCATTGGGGATGATGCACACATCAGACTGTATGCAGTAGGAAGAAACCACAATAGACAAGGGCCAACCCGCCAAATGAACGATGAATTACATAATTCAGAATTCATTGATGAAGATGGTGAACGAACCTCAACATGGCACGGTCAGGGTTCCGCATCGGCAGGAAGGCTACGTGTAACGAGATGCTCTAATTGGTCAACTGGTTGTATAACTGCTGCCTAGCACGTGATATCACGTGAGCGGAGACTTTCGGCCAATGAGAACTTCCAGATTTCAACATCCACCTCTCATTGGTCAATCGGCCCCGGAGCGTCGTTTTTCCTAGCCTCGCGCTAGGCCGGCTGGCTTCCCCCCCTCAAGTATAAGTATGTGCCTTTCTCCCGCCCTCTGCTTTCCTCCTCAGCTCTCTTTGCCTTTTGGCTTAGATCAAGTGTAGTAGTAAGTGGCTTTCCATTTTCAGAATCACCTATTTAACCGACGCTTCCCCCTTTCATCCCCCCCCAACCTTTCTCATTTTCAGCTTTCAGCCCTCCCATTTTTCCTCCCATTTTTCACTTCTGGCTTTCTAAAGCATCTGCTAACCTCCTCTGCAGTCTGTTCTTTTTAGTTTAATAGCTAAAATGTCTCTAAGGAGGCTTTACTATTATCCTTATTTTTGAAGACTGGCCTCCTCTCCCTGGGCTTGCTCATAGTTGAGGCCACAGTGTCGATGTTTGCCTTCCACTACGGCCTTCTGACGCGAACACTACTTTTTCATCATGCTTCCACTGGCCTTACCCAGGCTGGTGGGTTTGAGGAAGAACACATGTTTTTGCTACTCCACATCAGTAATAATACCTATCGCAAATCCTCGCGCAGCACGTCAAACTCGATAAAACTTAATAACAATAGTTGTGCGCGCTGTAGTTCATATCAAACATCGCTGCTGTTGCGAGGTCTTGAAATCTGTTTTCTCAATTTCATTATCCGACAGGTAAGATTACGAATGGTTACACATGTAACATGTAATTCTGCTTTTCTGCGGCGGAACACACTACTAGGTATCTGAAATATTCTTTCTCGTACAGGGATATTGCAGTGCCCTCTCCACCCCTCCCCCCCCTTCCTCTTCTACCCCTTTGCTGCGTTTGAACCTGAGCGGCTAGCTGTCTGTAAATATCCGTCATGCCCGTTATGGCTGCGTTGGATCTATATACAGCCGCTTCTGATCTTTACGATGGGACGAAAAACGGATAGAAGTCGTAATTTACAACTCAAAGGCCTTATCGGATCGAAATTAGGATCAAAACAACATCAAACATCAAAAAAATCCCTTTCGGCTGCATCAAAGAAGAACTATGATGATGCAGAGCAACTGTGGTCCAGGTTCGTCTGACAATACATTCTATTTGTCGGTGTTAATGATTGCAGCTTTTGTTCCTTCATCCAAAGGCCCGCGATATTGACTTTCGAGACGCCGATACCTGACACCGATACTCTCAAACAATTCATGGAATGGTGGTATGCTGGTTCCGAAGGAAGGATCAAGAAGTCGCCAAGTTTGGCTTCCACAGAGGTTGTGTGGCAGCGGATACAGGCAATTATCTTTCGAAAGACCAACAAACGTGTACCAAAGGTCGTCAGTGAAGACGTCTATGCGGTGAGACTATTCCGTCTAAATGAATGCCAAAGCTGACAAAAAGAAGTATATTCGGAACGAATTGACAGATGAGTATGGTATACCAACAGATCGCATGCGGAAAGATGCGTGCGACGCGACTGTCTTCAACGACCTCGTGACGCAGCTTCACATCCACGACTCGGAAGAAATTCCTCACGAGCGGGAGCGACTTAGCATGCACTTCTTCCTGATGTGGTGTTTCTTTTCAGCGGGTAGACCAGGCGCCATTGTGCCCACTGGGTACTACCCAAACATACACCTTGTTTACGAGGATATACAGTGCATTCTTATGCGGATGGGAGACGATACACAAAAGTTCGGAATAGTTGCCTGTCAGCGCTGGATGAAGGGTAAGAAGCAACAGGTTTCCAGCAAGTAAGGCCTTTCACACGCTAGAAAAACAAGGATAGAAAAGCTGACCCCTCAGTTTACGGCTGCTTTGGTTGGAGGAGCCCGATATCTCATGTTGCATTGTGTCTTCACTACTCGCTTTTGCTATTGCCGACGGAGCCTTCGCGGATGTTCAATGCCAAAAAGACCTGAATGATATGAAACTCGATTCGGCTGAGGATATGCGCGTTATACCTTACAAGCAGAGCTTTCTGCAAACTCCTTTTTTGAGGGACGAGGAAGGCCAACCAATATCCTATTCACGATTCTGGTATCTACTGCGTGATCTTAGTCACCGAGCAGGGTACAAGAACCATATCCGTCCCTATGATATCCGGAGAGGAACCGCAAATAACATTGACGGTAAGCCGGACCCTTCTGCCCCAGCTTGCTGATTTTGGCTCATAAACATCTTAGAAAACGCAAAAGATACGGAACGGAATCAGATCTTGGGACAGTCCAGCAAAGCCATCTACCAAAAGTACTACCAGCACGAGATATCGATGGTTGATATCAAGGGTCTGGTTCTCCGAGGGAAACAGGATCCTGGTTTTACTACTGCTGCGCTTCGCCGCAATCTAAGGCTTCAAAGAATTCCTACCCGGCTTCCATCCCGCAAACATCGAGAATTTATGCAACGCTGGAGAGAATTGGCCGCTGAGAACCCGAATCAAACGGACATCTTAGGCAAGAGAGAGCGCACAAAAGCCTGGAAGGAATTACTTTCTGATTGGAACGAACGAAGAACTAGAGATACAGGCTCCGTATGCACTGGGAGAACGACTAAGATATCTTCATCCATCGAATTGCTCGGAGATCTCGACGACCCAGAAACAAAAGCTGGAGTTTTAGGGCGACTTGATCCAAATCGTCGATACATTCGGGATGAGATTTCGTCTGGAGCTCTGTACTCGCTGAGGTCTTCACCGTCATTTCAATGTATGATCAACTTGTGTAGCGATGATTACCGCCCCGCGGGTCTCTTCTATACTGGAGAAGATCCGATTACCAAGGATACTGGATGCACGGAATGTCGATTCTGCCACAAGGATATGGATCAGTACGTTCAAATCAATGTTTGAAGTTCACAGCTAACTTCTTCCAGATTGCATTCTCTACAAAAGTGTCTCCATGCTCACGACTGTGCGGCTATGGCTCGACGGCTATCATCTGAACGCCCGTGGAAACCGCGACTCTGCCATCGCTGTAACATCTGGTTCAATACACTGCCCCAGTATCGAGAGCACTGCAAGGCTCATCTAGAAGACCTCGACATGTACTGCGGCATACTCCGTTTGCGGCACACTGTAATTTCCGCAGGCAGATGCCCTTTTTGTCTCGGGGATAAAAAACTCCAAAATTGGGGAGAATACGAAAAAGTTGTCACCGCATACTTGACAACAACTTCGTTTGAAACTCACCTGAGGGCCCATACTTCACCCTTGCTACAAGAGCTCTCGAAGGTGCAGAAATGTCCACATCCAAACTGCGCTCTCGGCCCGCAATTCAGCTCAGGTGATCTTCTTCATCATTTCTGGGACGATCATGGTATTGTCGTGGATTTCTGGGGTACGAAACTTCCGCGCGACACAGCAAAACCCATTGCGGATGACATGGGAAATGATATACCAAAGAAGAAGACACCAAAACGAACGTGTTCATCACCTGAATATGAGGGGTTTGAGACGATTATCGAAGGCATAAAAGTCTCCACTGAAGGGGTCAGAGCAGAGACCTCCTCCCAGTCAATGATCGGAGTCTATTCTTCAACTTCGGATAACAATGCCCAGCCACTCTCCAAACAAGTACCATATGGGATCGAGCGTCTTGAGGAGATTACTTCCTATTCTGAAGCATCATTGGAAATATCTAGCAACATGTCCTCAGGAGGACTAGCGACAGGGTCTATGATTGATCCTTTGCTTTTGAGAATCGACGAAGATGGATCAAATCAGATTGAGTGCCAGTGGTTTGAACAGATCATTGTTGACATTGATGCCCCTTCAGGAATCTCCAAATGTACCCCTGGAGCTAAGACTGGAATGCATTCTTTTCTTTGGAAGCCACGAACAAATCGGAAGAAGGCAAAGAGAAGTTCAGATTCAAAGTCTACTAGGGACGAAATAGCGTCGCAGAATGAGGCAGTTCGTGCGGCCCTCGGATTGGGGGGAAGCTATGCCTGGATGTAGAGGTAGTTATATAGATCAAAGATATGATTTCGTTGTAACCGCCTGTTTTCGTCCATTTCTATCGTCAAAATCCATCGTCGCGTGTGAGAACACCTAAACTCTTACTTGAAATAAAATAGATCAAAGAGCCCGAGATAGACTCCCCGCAATTGATTGCATGATTGAATTGTAACTACAATGCTATTGGCTTTATGTTTTCGCCACAACTGTGGCTTACAGCTGTGGCTGACAAGCGAATACATACATATGTACCTAGGTACATATGTACAGCACAGCACGTGTATGGAGCATGTCAGCAGGCAGGGCTAGGTGCCAGGTGGCACGTTCGCTTCTAACTTCTGACAAACGGGCGGGCGCTTGCCAAAAACAGGCGGTCACACAATTATGTTCTCATTTCCATTTTTTCGAATTCCGTGTTAACCTCTATACATATTTTCTTTCTTATTTTTTATTTTCACACTGCGCTGTCTGCAAATTGTTTTTGGGAGTCTAGTGTTCTAAAAATACTAATTTCTGTATCGAAACATTGCTTTTTGCTTCTGCAATGTAGCTCTTGTATGTAGAGTATTAAGACCAGGCTTCTAACTTGGGTTTACCTTAAGCTGGCTTGGTAACGACATCTACATTCTGATGTTTGTTAATTAGACTACTGCGTCTCTCGTGCATCTCTTGTAGTAGCGCTAAGCACGCGTTACATCTTAAGGGTAGCTATTACGTTGTTGGTCGAAGTGTCACATGTTTTTAAGGTTTCTACAGCTGGCCAGGCACGTGATAGGGGACTGGTTTAGCCTAAGAATTGCTAACTAAGGCAGTTCTGATTGGCAGAAGCTCAGCCCCGCGTCTCTCGTGACTTGACCAGATCTGCCTAAAATCTGCCACGTCAACCGCGAATTTTATATTAGCTAGGCTAGGGAATATCAGTTCACACGCTTCGCGGCCACAGTACTACATTAGCTATTCCGCTCACGTTGTTAATGCTACTATCATATTTATCTTTTCCCAGCAACACGGTACAAATCTTACATACTTCCAACTTCCAACTCCAAACTCCAAACTCCAAACTCCAAACTCCAAACTCCAGAGGCACGTATTCTCCACTATCTGCGCCAACCTGTCATCTATAATCAACTGCGGACAAGATTTGATCAACCAGGGCCGGCGCAATCACAGGGCTAATACATTTGTAGGCATTTCCAGCAGTTCCACTCTTACCGAAGGCGGCAGATGGCTCACGAGACAGTATATACAAGAGTCGGATTAGGATGGGACATAATTACAAGTGATAAGGGCGAAGTGCATGTGATGCAGGGAGAAATAGGGCTTACGCGCGTTACTGGAGAAGATGGAATAATTAAAACTGGTACAGCGCAAGTATGTAAAGGTGATAAACTTTACTGGGTAGCAGACTGTGTCTATAAAGTAGTCTGCGAGTAGTTATAGAGACTATCTACAATAGCATAGATGGTGCATATTTCCGAGTGCATTTTTCGAAGCCCTATAGTGAGACATCTGGTCCTTATCTTCATATAACTTTCTTCCTGTTCTTCCCGTTCTTCCTGTTCTGTTGACTCTTCCTTCCATTGTTTGGATCGCTGTATTGCTTCGACGAGGGAGGTTACCGGGAAAAATGCCAGTGCAACGTGATAGTAATCGTTTCTGTTATCCGAATACACTGGTTTCGTCTTCGCCGCTGCTTCTGGTGAATGGTTCGGGAGTATAGCGTTTATAGCATCCGTCGTTCTCCAGCTATGAATTTCAAGAACATCGGTGGAAGCTGGAATCGGCCATTGTGCCAGAAACGTCGGTTGTTTGCCCACGGGTCCCGTGATGGGGGGAGGCAAGATCGAATTGGCGCCCGTAGAAGGTAACGGAGCCAACGAGCGCGACGGCGACGGCGACGGCGACAGCAACGTCAATGTTGCTGCAGGACCGGCTGGAGCTTTGTAGTTAGACCGACTGAGGGGCGAGGTAGAACGCGGTCCTCCGATGCAGAATGGGTCCCTACTTTCCATTGGCTCGAGGGCTGTACATGACTTCTCTTGCGGCCCTTTCAGTTCTAAATGTACTGTCCTAGGCTTTCGATAGGAACGCAGGTTCTGTAAAGACTTGACGAATCGCGATACTGATTCATCGGGAATGATCCCTTGCAGTTTGCTGGCAACTGCCTCCCTTTCTTGGGCAGATTGTTCGTCGAATTTGCTCAGCCTTTTTTTGTATTTGTCTGACACGCGCCCGAGGTGTAATGCGAAAAGCACTAGTATACCCTTGTCGAGAAATATCCGAGGCGTAGATTCAGGAGGCGCAGATTTTGCGTTGCGATACGTTGATAAGAATCCTCGAGGAGCTCTTACTCGATCGATTGGGTTTTCGAGTAGCGGGGACAGGAGGTTGAAATATACATCGGCTGCGTCTAATGATGGAGTAGACATTCTTATGTAGGTAGACTAGCAGGCCTGCAACAAGTGTGAACTATGATGGCGTGGTATTAGTGGAGATATCAAGCGCCGGCGATGCCCTCGGGTCAATACTAACTGCGATAGGCGTGGCGCTAGGAAGTGCGAAATAAGCCGGAAGTAAGTTAGCGCGAAAGATCAAAGTTGGTAATATCAGGGTGGGCAATTCACGAATGGAATTTGATGCCTATGTTAAGGTTGGAGAGTAGGGCGAAGGGCAGGCTGTAGATGAAGGGCGGAAGAGCGGAGGGGTGGTCACGTCCTTGTTGTTGATGGCCAATCATAGATCTGGAAATTATTAGTAACGTGCTTCCCTGGGTCGGGAGACAACCGCCGTGAAGAGACACTTTGCAAACCGGACCTCCGGCATCCTTTCTTTGTGAGCTGGCGAAGCTGCAACGATATGCATCAATTCTTTAACTTTCAGTCCCTTATTAAATGAGTCTCCGATAGAAATTGACGCAACGTTGGACGTGCTGTTGTCCATTTCACAAACGCAAAAAACGAGTCCTCCTACTTACCCCCATGTCCATCTTCGACCATGACACTTTTAATGCACCTCGGTAGGCTGAAGATGAAGTGTAGTTAATACCACACAAGGCGAGCGGACTGTTACATAATCAATTGATTAACGTCTTCTAATAAAGCGAGTGGTATTTTCACACAAACGCAGATATCAAATATCACAAGCCTTTTAGGGCTTCGCGCAACAGCCCCACTTCGTCTCCCTCAGGACGTCTCTGAATCTGTGAATCAGTCCAAGTGTTTGCTGACTCTTGCATGCGTTTCCATTTCAACTGCACTTTGTTTACAGACCTGGGCCACAGCTGCAACAAATATTGAAGGGAATATTTTTCAATGAGCGTCGTACCACTCTCCCAGGTCACGGTAGTATCTCTCCACCGTACGCAACAGAATATGTTGCTTGCTTTCTGTCTCAACGCGTCATCCATTCTAGCAAGTGATGCTTTATTGGTCCATTTGTCAAGGCTCGGGTCGCGAGCAAATAGCCCCTTTCCATGACTGTTCCACACCCAATGGAGGATTTCATCGATTTTCTTATTGTGTTTGTCTTTGGTAGGTCTCGCAAGAGTCCTGATATGACGTACCTTGACAAGGCGCTTACGGAGCTCCGTAGGTAGATAGTCCTCATCCACCATCGTGCAGAGAAAGCCGCGATAATCGGGATTACGGCTGTGTAGTTCGACGAGATATTGGAGCTTATTCTTTACTGGCCCATCAAGTGAGGCTGCAAGAACCCATGTAATTCCCATTTGCGAAAAGGCAAATTTGTTATCTTTCCCTTCGTAATTACCCAGATCCATTCCTGGGGGGACTGTCGAGAGGTTTTCAGGGCGTCCTAATGTCAGAGTGGGATCCGAGAAACCTGCTGCGTGGGGAAGGTCATGTTTAGGCTCGAGTGAGATCGGTTTCTCAGAGATCACTTCGTCCGATGTTATCTGAAGACCCTCGTCAGGGTTGTAGTCTGAGTCTGAATCGTCACTGGAATCATGTTTATCGCGATAATTGGACAAACCAAGTACATAATCAAATTCGCGGTGACCAGTGAAAGTAAGCGGATCCATCTTCTGTCCCTCTGATTGATTGAAAAGATGGTATGGAGTCTGTCATCGCATGTTATATAAAGCTTGCATTAACTGCGACTGCGGAGTGCTTCAAGTCCCAATATCCGAAATCCATTTCCTTCACATGACTAACTCACCGATTTCCCGAAACCCGCAAAATTCAAATGGGATTCGCAAGAGAATCGCAATATTGGAAGAGTGAATTACATGAACCACCGTGAAATACTCGCTATCTTCTAAATCCTGGACAGTTGAGTTGATGATCTCTGACATAATGTTGACAACGAACACCCCAGAAATGTCTTTCTTTATGCCATTTTCGATTCCTAGAAGATGGCACTGCGTTTGAAGGTCGTCAATTTTCCCAAGTAACAGCTTGCCCTCGCGAACACCAAACACCCGACTCATAAGTAGGCGGTCCATGTAAAACCACTTAGAGTCAGGCTCGTCGGCAGCTGACATGTATGCTCGCAAATTGATATTCTTACTTGTACTGAGAATAGGAATCCAACCAGGTAATCTGATAGGTCGTGTTCCGGCCATATAAGGCTTACAGAACATCCATTTCGACAGCAGTCGAATGTCCTCTGCCATTGACGTAGGAAACTGCGTATTGAGTTCGTTCGAAGTAATGTCTTCTGAGATCTTGGGGCCTCGATGTGTTTGCAAGTGCATGTGCAGAGTAGGATTCTTGTCAAGAGCAGAAGGAGCTTTTGAAACGATAGCAAAGATATGGAAGTCGTGATCCTTTCCAAATTTTTTCCGATGGCCCCTTGGGTCTTCAAGCCTCTCCTGAAGAATATGAAGATCTGACCCAAATAGAATGACATTCAAGCCCAGTTCATTCAGCCGGCTCAGTTCTCGTTTTTCGTCAAATATGTCGTCTAGATAGTCCATATACACCTTCTTCTCTTCCGGGTGCAGTGCAGAGTGAGTGGCGGCGAGGAGGTTAGCGATGTCGAACGGGCGCAACATCTGAAGTAGCACATTTCGCACAGGCTTAACACATGTGAAGATGTAAAGTATGTCATGATAGGCCATTGTATTTTGTCTTGTAGTCAATGTCGTTCTGTGTCTCGTCTTTTTTATATGTTTCTCAGTTGAACTCGACAACGACATCCCCAGAACGGAACACCGTTTGTGAATATACGAAAAAAGGTGCAAGTTTACAGAGTTTGCCATCCCTGTCCCCCTAAGACGTCTTCGACTCTGTCAATGCAATGGGCTAACAGGTTCTCTCGCCGTTTCTCAGCAATTATGCTCCAAACCCCGAGTAAGCTCATTATGTGATCTGACTCCATAAGATCTACAAGCGTCTGAATAAACTCCCAGGTTTCGCGTATGTTTTGATACTCATCTTGCCATTGAAGCAAGACAAAGCAATCGTAAAATCCACTCGGAGAGCCTTGTTCATAATTATCATTGGAGTCTCGGCAGTAGACCATGTCAAAGACTTTATCAATGCGGTTGATACGTATACGCTGTCCACCGCGATTTTGCTCGATTGATAGGTCCGTATCCGCAGCTTCAACGTAGGCATCGACTAGTTCAGAGGCAACATCGTCGCTGGTAACAAGGTCATGAACTGCGCAGTGATGACCCTCTCTTGAGTAGCGAATGAGATACCGCTTTTGTCCTTTGTACACATGATGTCTAACGATTTCTTTCCGCAATGCATGATCGATGATCTCAGGATCCATGTTGTTCCGTCTTTAAATTCTGTGTTCACTAAATAGATATGTGCAGGCTTTATATACTCGGAGAAATCGTATGTGATGAACTTTGAATTTCCATTGATGAAAATGCAATGAATCGTGAACACCTCAAGTTTCTAGGTATTACTTTATTCTTGCTTGCAAGACCCCCCTTCCAAGTTCCGAATGTCACAAATGAGACATAACTTCTCGTGTGACTTCGACTCATTTGTCCAATTCGAATATCGAAAATCATATCCTTAATCGTTTATAAGTATGGAAGGGTAACTATTCTCCCAAACATCAATAGTAAAGTAAACAAACAAACAAGCTATGTGCATTTTCATTGTTTTCAGCCACCCAAATACTACTCGCGAACGTCCTAGGCCAAGTTTTGCCACCCGATTGCGCCGATTTGTCTTCAACTGGGGCGAAGACCGCCCATATAATCGAAGATATCGATCAACCGCGTGTTCTCCGCCACCGTATTCTTCGTGGCGCTCAGATGATGGGTCCATCGACGATGAGAGCCGAAACTCGTCGAGGTTTGAACTAAACGCCAATACGGATAATAATATGGAGGGTGTGGCAGCTGAGTGTACTGGAATACTTGAGTCCGTGGAGATAGTATCTGCAGATTAGGGGATTTTACGTTTGGAATAGCACAGGTTTAACAACAGGTTTAACAACAGGTTTAACAACAGGTTTAACAACAGGTTTAACAAGGTCTCATATAGTAGCGCAAGAAAAGAATGAATTGTAGTCAATACTGCTCTCAACTATCAAATCAAATAGACTATGAACGCACTGATTTCATGATCTCGTTTGTCACTGACTGGAGCCACTCGTCATTCTGATAATACGCAAAAGCATGTCCTTTCCCTCGGGCTATAAATCGCGTAACGTGAGCTTGGGGGCACACACGCCGTACATTGGATTCCCATTGCAATGAATCGTCAATATTGCAGTTTGTATCCTCGTCACCATGTGTAATGAACATATCCGGGGCAGAGACTGGGAGACTCTGAAGAGGAATCGCCTGACTGTATCCGAAAGCGTTGAGCTCAGGAAGATATGCAATGCCGAAATCATGCAGTCTCGCAGGAGCATTATCCAGACGATCGACAATCGTTTTCGGATCAACGATTACCCTTTTGCTTTCCTGGCTAGTAGGTATGACCATCTCCTCGTTATTATCCAATCCCTGATAGTTCCGAAGTCGCTGGATGAGGTCTGGTTCCTGGAACAACAACTGCCAGAGTGATTGGAGTTTTCCTGGTGCACCGTTAACGACTACTGGTATGAGTGCTGAAGAGAGCAGGTACGCAGATCCCATTCCTCCAGGGGGGGCATCTCCCATTCGTGCCTCACTCGGGCCTCCAGCAAATATAGACAACAAGAGATCTGATGCAAGTCTCTCAATCTCACCCAAGTGAACTTTTCTGCCCATATAATCGTGTCCTGGTGTTCTGCAGTAGTTGCGATACATTCCGGATTGCAAGTACATTGTCTTAATCTGAGGACATTTCGGTGACATCCAGCAGTATCCGGCTAGATTTGCGCCAGCACTCTCCCCTGACAAGAGGTGTATGTAACCTTGTTGTATAGTGGCGACGAGTTGAGGAATCATTTCTCGAAGACGGCAGAAGAGTGCCCCGGAACAGACCCACTCAAGAATGTCGTCTGCGTAACTGTAGAGGGTTTGGCCGTAGCTCCTCTCTTTCTCCCGCGAGTCCATAAGTGGATAGTATGGGCTGATAACGATTGTGGTATCGGTATGGAGGTGACGATAGTGAGGTCGCAGCCAGGGTAGAAAATCGGGGCTTCCAGTAGTCTGTTGCAGGATTAGTACTGACAGCATAGGAAACATCTTACTTACAAAAGCACCTCCATGCCAGTCTAAATGCGTTATAACGTCCCCTTCACCCCCATGGGCAATGCACTTGTGCACGTAGACTAGAGCACGGAGGGGACAGTAATCTCTCTCTTTTTCCAAAGTAACCCGAATGAAATCGCTGTATATAGTTCTCTGAGCTTCTGTTGGTGACGGTAGAGCTCTACCAGCGACATTGAGAACTGAATGAAAGAGAGAGTCTCTTATGGAAGGCTTGTCCATAATGGAGTTCGGGAGGGTGAGGGAGATGAGGAAGATGGGGGAGAATCGAGATAGTCAGCCAGCGGGCGGGAGGTTTAGTTTCGGGGCTGCGGGCAGGCGCACGGGTCTCATACTATATCTACGGTGACAAATCTTGTGTAACCTATTGACTCTCTTAGAAAGGCCGGCTTGGTTAACCACACATTCATATCTCCATACCGGCCTACGAAAATCACGATGCATTGGCTTTACATAGGCATTTTTGCGTATTGCTCCCTATCGCTTGTCATCTTCATCATCACTCCTTCTACTCGCGTACGATCCCATGTATCCCCACACCTTCCAGTAAAAATCACAAACGTGGCAAGGTCTTCATGTGTGAGCATGTGTAAGAACCCAGACAAGCTCTTTCGCAAAGAGAGCCATACCAAGGAGGAACCTTTGGAGGAGTGGAAGGTATATGGCACCGTATTTGATAGGTCAGATAACTAAATACCTTCAGGTCGCTTTCCCCCTCGATCCCTCGCACGATTGCCAGCTCTGATCACTACATCGCTACATCGCTACAGCGATCTCGGTATACCATGGGCGGTTCTCAGTCGCATACATAGCTCATTATGAATCATACGATCTCGAATCACGATTGAAATTGATGGGGGTGGCTATATACGATAAGATGTGATCAAATTGGTAGCAATACTACTTCCTCATCGCCGAGATCATGACGAGCAAGCCGCAAGAATGCCAACAGCAGATTCATGGGGATATCATGTAGTTTCAGTATCGACTATCAATCGAGGACAATCTGTGAGCCTACTATCTTTCATACGATACTTGATGTTGGACACACTGGACGAACCCCAGACAAATACAAGTAGCATGTGTGTACTGGCTGCCCATGCGCGATCCGGTAGTGGTCCCCCCATAAAAGAGCCAGTGTATACCTGCTCATCAAACGTTTCTCATGCTATCATTCAGGACTGTTTGTAGAGCGTTGATATCGACAGATATTATAACCTCACAGCATCTCGTAGGTCATAAAAACCAGACCAGATAATTTGTATGTATCCAGGAGCGGTAAAGTCGATTCATCGAATCACGTGAAAGGAAGACGATCCATAGATTGGAGAGTAGTATAATGGGCAGGGGCATGCAGCGTGAGGCAAGCAGACCGTCAGCTTCGGTTACATGAATGCGGAAAGGGTTCGCTACAAGGGCTAGAAATGGGGGCTGTCGTGACAGCCCAGGAGAGCTAGATTGGTTCTTTCAATGCCCTTTTAGAGACATACCTGCATGCGTGAGACGGGGAGAGCAGAGGATGGATGACTAGCAAGAGAAGCTACACATGGGTAAGAGGTGAAAAAACAAGCTGCTTGTGTAAAAATGGATCAGCGTCGTATGCAAGCTGCATGGGCGGTGTATGAGCAATATGCATGAGGGGTGTATGAGCACGGTGCATGAGAGATGTATGAGCAAGGCGCATGAAAGGCGTATAAGCAAGGTATATGAGAGGTGTATAAGAGGTGTATGAGCAAGGGGCATAAGAGGTGTATGAGCAAGGTGCATGAGAGGTGTACGAGCAAGGTGCATGAGATGTGCATGAGCAGGGTGCATGAGAGGTGTATGAGCAAGCCGCATGAGAGGCGTATGAGCAAGCCGCATGAGAGGCGTATGAGCAAGTCGCATGAGAGGCGTATCAGCAAGGTGCACGCGGGCACGCGGATCGGGAGCGTATGAGCAAGGTGTATTGAATCGGGAGCGAAAAAACAAACAAGCTGCCGAGATTTAAGGAGATAGGTCCAGTGGGGGTTTCCGTGCAGGGGGGAGGCGTAAGGTTCATGTTTTGGTCGCCCAAGAGCGGCCTGCCCGTGAACGGTAGCTGTGCAGGTCCGCAGGATGACCCCAATATCCGATTTCATTGCCGATCGGGCTGCGAGTACTTCTGATCAGCGTGGTACAGCGTCATCGCGTATACGATTACCCCGCCCGCGTGTTGGTGGCATTTTAGGGGGCTATGAAACCACCCGGGCATTGAAGTGACCTTCAGGAACCCCGTCTTCTGGTCTGCAAACAACCACTACTCCTCATCCTGTTCCAAACACAAGCAGAAGTTGCTCAACATGTATGTATAGCAGTATTCGCAATACGAATCACACTAAATGTGATCAAGGTCTATGGGGTCAATGGATATCAATCCCGTGTGGTATCAGTATCAGACGAACGATCCATACCGCGTAGATATCGGAGGAAAACGCTACCAGCTAGCACGATCGTCTTTTGATGCGGCCCCAAAGTCTCTCAGGAATCAACTTACCAGTCGCTGCTTTTCAAACGACGTTTTCCAGCCCACAAAAAAACATCATCAAGCCATCTTCATGTACATGATCGATGGGACTTTACCCAACGACAATATTGAGACTTGCAATGAGGTTCTTCACATCGCTAATCAACACAAATGGAGCACCCTTGCGACGGAAGTCACGGAGGTGATCGCACAGTGCGCAAACGAGAAGTGAATGTAGATAGCTGCCTCGCAAATAAAACCGTTCGCTATTGCGCTTTTCTGCTGCCTCGTGAAGACATCTAAGAAGAAGACATGCCCAGGCATAGAGCCTCAATTTGGTTTAATCTCGCCTCAAGTTCAATTTTGGTATTGAAATGTTGTTCCATGCGCTTTGCCGTCCCCTCCATGTCATGTCTCATCCACATTCGTATTTGATCAAAGAGCGCTTGGAGGTGTCTCAGATCTCCCACAACATTGCTCATAGTCTCGTCCTCGGCGTCGGTCTGATGATCCAAGCTGCCGCAGTGTCGCTTTTCACTCTAGGCCAACTAGTTATAATTTGAGTCTCTCTGTTGGGGACAAAAGTACCTTTTGAAACAACTCAACCTTTCGTTCCAAATTGGAGTAGTCGGTCTCCAGCTTCTCAAAAGCTAAGAGAAGTCTTGCTGTAGTTGTTGTGTCACGCATAGCCATGTCAATTGCCCTAGCCCAAAAATGTGGACGCATTCGCATTGGTTATATAACAATCAAGGATTTTCCATCTCGATTGCCACCGCCGACAAGGATGTATCACAAAATACGGGAACAGCGCAGGGGTAGTCAGTCAATACTTAAGAAACTCCGCTTCTGGTTATGTAGATTCAGCTCAGCAAACCCCTCTGTCCCCACACTTGCACGATGGCGTCTTCAGTCGTTCAAACATCAAATTTTAACACCGCGATGCCGATGAAGCTCCCTCCGATCGGTGTCGCAATTGCAAATACCGAAGAAGAATATCTCCAACTCCCTCCCTTGCTTACGACTGACGAAATCAACAATGAGACGCCTGTTGGTTCCGCATTGCACGTTACGCCAGAGGGAGCCGATCAAAGTGTCAGGCTTCCACCCATTATTACGACCCACTCGGTTACAATGCCCCAACAAAGAGGAGTTACTCTACCTGCATTAGCTCCCGCAGAATCAGTTCGTCCTTTACAACACGAAACGTTGCCTCGGGAAGCCGGAAGTACCAGGGATCGATTCCCTTTGATCTTCCCCAGAGAGCGCCAAAAATGCTCCCATTGCTCGAGAGATTTCTACACATGGGGTTTATTAGCAAGACACCTGGAGGCCGAGCATCAGATCAGGTTCGAGGGGGGGCGCGTCTCGGAGTGTGAAAGATGTGGGAATAGATTCTTTGGGTCTGGTAGAGGAAAACAATTGCAGCGGCATCAATCAGGACCCTGCCGATTACTGAGATTACACCTTCGGGCCTAGTTAATACTTTCATAATTGCAAATAATGCAGCAGGATGGCGGGACTAATAGAAAAAGTGACGACTCTTAATTTCCCACAAGCAAGTGTGACAGAAACACAGGGTGCAAATGTGAGACAATCGACGTAAATCATTGACGGAGACCGGAGACTTGTCTGGGGACAACACTGTGGCTCGCAAGGGGCCTCATCGAATCCCTAATAAACCAAGGGTGATTACTTAGTGTGTAAAATCATGCAGTCCCGAATTTCCGGTATATAGTACCACCTCCTCGCAGCCACCTCCTTCGCCTAAAGATTCACCCAGACTTTTGTCTATAGTTGACTATAAACTGGAATTTCAAAGCAAGATGTCGATTACGCGTCCCCCTACAATCCTACCATCCACCCATACTCCGCGCTCCCCAGCCTCCTCTACTCCAATTCTGCAAGACGTCTGTGGTCATTCACAAGTCGTTGGCCCTCTGCCCCCCTCGCGAGACCTAGTACTCTGCGACCCTCCACAAGTCGTCGGCCCTCCGCCCCCCTCGCGAGACATGGCACTCTGCGACCCTCCACAAGTCGTCGGCCCTCCGCCTCCCTCGCGAGACATACCACCCTGCGACCCTCCACAAGCCGTTCCTCCTCCGCCTTCGCCGGAAAATATGGCACAAACCATTTCTCCTTCTCCTCATTCTGCACGAGACGTGGCTCCAACATGCCTTGCAGATCCTCCTCATTCTGATTTTCTTATTAGACTCAAAATGAGTGTAAGATATGTTCTCAACCAACCGTTGGATGGACAGTCACAATATACTGCAGCTAGTGGAAAGTGTCGATTCTGCCCAAAACACTTTTCTACCGCTGGAATGTGGATGAAACACATGGGTAAAAATCACAAGGCCACATTCAAGGGTCGAGACGTGTCAAAATGTCAACAGTGCGGCATGAAATTCTACGGACCGTCCTGCAGGGACAGTTTACGGAATCATAGAATGAGGTGCAAGTCCAGCCATTTACAGAAGGTGGCTTGTAACATCTGTGATCAAAAGTTTCTGGGCAGATATTGCAAGCGTAGTCTCCGCCACCACAAGCAGTTGTTTCACGCCGACCAAAAAAGCTCTCGAGCTTGACAGAAAGGCAGAGCGGTTGATGAACGCAGGCGCTAGTCGAATCAAGTCTGGGGTGGTTTGAGAGGAGGAACGAGTCACAGAAATTAATGCAATGCACTATCCACTCTATGAACTGCCTTGACCGCGCCTATGCCTGATTTTGCAATGAATTATGGTGAGATCAGAATCGCCAACCTTTGTCTCATCACTATAGTTCAGCAAGGGAACCTCTGGTCGTGTCAAGGTGCCGAAAGAGGACATGGACTCGAATCAATCCAGGAAAGGAGCGATGAGAGCAGTGCACTGGGTGCATTATCACGCCATCCAAGTCGGACGGGCTTACTCAGGCCGTGTCATAGATTACTTTGCTTGCAACCTTTTCAAATCAGAATCAAGATCTCATCCCTCAGGTGTGCAGACAAAACGGGCCTAGCTTGGTCCGGGAGCCGTAGCCAATGATATTCTTGCTTATTAGTGGCGCCAAGGCAAATACTCGTCGAACTTGACAAGTTCAACAGCGGGGCAAGCAACCATCTACATGGCATTTTCATCTCGAACGACCGCCGAGCAGGCCCGTAATCTTGCAGGCTTCTCAGTTCTTCAGTGGAGAAGGTTTATAGTTAGTATATCAATATTATTTGCTGCCCTTAATAGAAGTACTAAGATTATTGATATATTATTACACGAGAAGAAGCACGGAGGATGCTGCAAGCGCACCCTAACAAAACTTGGCCATTCGTACCCGCCAATGAGCAGCATGAAGTACACTGTCGCATTAATGCTGCAATACAGCGGGAAGGGATACCTTTTGCCTCTGAGAGTCTTGTATGGTGGCGTATGGCAATGGCTCTACGGTCCCAATGTAGGCATACTGCTCCTGCTCAGTACAGCCCGCCTATCACACTTTGATCCTGAAATTTTTGTAGTAAGACAATCGGTGGCCTCTTCCAACGAATCGAATACGGAGTGTTCCCGCCCTTATGACCCTGTTAGAGATTTCTAACGTTCTGAATATGCGCGCTGTGGCCAGGATCCGCCCACTCTGCGCAATCCTGCAATGGGGAAAGTGGCACAGGGCTGCCGATAAACTTGATTGCTTTCTAATGTAGGGGTAGTTACGCCTCGCATTCACATAAATTGGACATGTGTCAAGGATGTCAAGGATGTCAAGGATGTCAAGGATGTCAAGGATGTCAAGGATGTCAGGTATGTCACTGCATGCGGACATACATGGCTTGGTTTGAGAGCTGGGATTCGCCGCTGTGCAGGACAGAGCGGCAGGAGCGGAGCGGCAAGAGCGGTTGTACCGAGTGGACGGGATATAGATATCAGCGAATCAGCAGCAGAGTGACACGAGAATTCCCCCAGCAGTTTTCGGACGGAATCTGAACAAGCCTTCCGTTGTTCCGTTGTTCCGCACAATCTGTGATTCGATGAAGTCCTGTAAGCACCCATGAAAGATTGCAGCTCGTTTCTGTAGCCGAAGAGAGCTTTTACGCGTGACCAACGACGTAAACTACTGAATCAGCAGTGCAAACCACATCAGTCACGATTCCACTCTCACTTTGCAAACCACATCAATCACGATAACCCTCACACTTTCCTGGAGACTGTCGTCCACATGGAGTCCATAACCGCTGTCCCACCCACATTGGGGAAAGTCCCGAAAAAGAAACCTGAACCTTATGGGGGCTCCAGAACCCCCTCTTTTCACGATAACAACGTGCCGTACGCGATCTTTCAAAAAATACTACAGCATTTTTCAGGTCGAGTACTCAGACGACTGGCAAACCGCATACAGAAGTATAAAACTGTTCTTGAGCCATACATAGCCTTCTCGGGTGGGCACTGTAAAAAAGGTACAGTCTGATTCACTGTAGGATGTATGACATCAGCTTATTGTATCCAACAGATGACATTGAGTTTATCTGTCGCACGATCGTATTTTGCGCCTCCGAGAACCCAGACATCGCCTTTCTACTCAAGTCATTGCTCTTCCAAACGATACTGGATGCAAAGTTCGATTTCTTTCGACACATTCGGGGGGCAGATCTACTGCAACAGCAATCAACTCATTACGACATGTTGAGAATGGGTTTCGTTTACGTCGAAGAGATCCGGTTGCATAGAAAAAATTGTCGAGCTTGCGACTTGCATTTTGACCTTTCCAACGAGGTGGTTGTCCATGCTGATGGAATCATAAGAGGGTTATTCCCATCTTCCATACAAACAGTTACGATGGGAACTTCCATGCAAACAATCACGACGGGAAGTCCCGCAGCACAAAATTCACCAAGTCTATCAATATCACCGGGGGCTCCCGCAGCCCAAGATCCCGCAGCCCAAGATCCCGCAGCACGTCTTCCAACGACGGAAATGAATGAGAGATCTAGCAAATTTCACCACGATGAAGAGGTGATCATGCTCATCTCAAAAGCTCTAGATCCTATGCCCCTTCAATCCATCAGCAATCTCCTAAGTAATGTGAGGAAAGCATTATATAATCGGAAGGTGCCTGGTCGTGGTGATAAAAAAGAAGAGATGTTCAGCATCTGTCAAACAGTCCTCAAATGTTCCGCTGAAGATTTCGCCGCTGTCCAAAACACATTCGACTTCAATTCCCACTTTAACGTGCCAACACGTTTGGCTCACTACGGCAGTAGGGTTCGAGAGGTTCAATATCTCACGCAACTGTTCATGTATTATTGCAAACATGTTCGGGACCACCGAGCTTCCTGCAATGGATGCAATGACGTTTTCAAGATGAAATTCTTCCTGATGCATACTGATAAAAGGAGAGTAATCTTACCTTGGGCCGCCTTGGATGACGCAAATCCAGTTCCAGCGGCATCATTTCCGGCGACATCACCGCCAACATCACCTCCGCCAGCATCACCTCGGCCAACATCACCTCCGCCAACATCACCTCGGCCAACATTACTTCCAGCGACGTCACTTCCGGCGACGTCATTTTCAGCAACACCTAATCGAGACACACTCCTATCACCAGAAATCGGATTGGGTCCTGTTGTCAATGATCAGTACGACGCTACAGACACAATATGCACTGTGGAACCGCCAGGTGCATATATCCCATATGGTGTACCTCAGCCTCAGCCTCAGGACTTCATGTCAAACATCTACATGAATCCTTCGGGCTCTATTACCACAATCAACCATGGCTTCAGTTCATATGCTCCAAATCATCACTTCCTGAGCCGCGAGGCGTCATACATCCAACCATATACATACTCTCTGGGCTACGAGAATAGCAGTTTTTCTAATGCAGATGGATATGCGCACACATCAATGTCCCAGGCACAGGATGCGAAGCCTTGGCCAGAACAAGACCAAACTTCATCAACCTTGTATTTCCGTTATTAATGGATCATCGATCGTTTCTTTTCATATCGTGTTGCGGTAGTAGTTATAAAGAATCAATGTATCAATATTTCTCTATATTTCTCAATAACACCCCCGTGGACTATATTCGTCTGCAACTATCTGCCAATCCTGATGAACAGTGCTTTCAATGTCGTCAACAAGAGGAATACCATGCAAAGTATTCGGCAAATAATTCACCCCATGGCCAAAATCAGAATAACGAGACGACCTGCGATGATGCGATCCGTACCATTGCGGGTGAATTTCTCGCATTCGGCTTACAAACTCAATACCACACATCATAAGCCTCGGAACGTTGGTGGCCATAGCCCGGAGGAAAATCTCAACAGTCCAGATAAGAAACAAGATCATCGTGTTATTGGCTGTGCTTTCTGAAAGAAGTGAGTCATCATCGCCAGATCATCGATTCAACACGACCGTCACGACGTACCTTTCAAAAATACCATGATGCCCCTTGTTACGGCAAGAATTACACACGTCATCCAAAACACCGCGTAAAGCTCGAATTTCACTCTGATTGATCGACCAGTGAGAAATTTGTACATCTTGAGTCCCAATCCAATGGTAACCGTCTCTCCCAAAAGATCGGACACTATCGAGCTAGACAGTAGCCCTTGTAAAGTCGGTTTGTCGCCTTGGAATGCATCGCATCCGGCAAATAAACCAGTGAATAATGCGGCCCAAACAACGATGAGAACGTTTAGCATAGGCTTAAGGGCTTCAGTTGAGATTAAATGAAGATCCGAAACGACCGAAAGCTTCGCAAATGCCGTGCACCAGATGTTGAAGATAGCTTGCGCTGTAAATAGTGATTGGTACGGATGAGGTACTTGGGCGAGGGCGAGAGAGACGTCTACGATTGAAACTGTTATCTATTTGCAACTGTACTTCGTGTTGCCCGAGCTTACCATCAAAAGTCGGCGATTTGATCACTTGAATATAGATTTGCAATCCGATGGAACCACATGAAGATATCTACAGGCAATGAGATCGTGAAGCATTGGTGAATTTATTGGAGTTCATGTACCATCAAGAGTAAAAGGGTCGTAGTCTGCCAAGGTAGTTTTATGGCTTTATTGTTGCGAGTCGGCGATCCAACTCTCAAAATTCGGTAGAGACGCGACCCGAGAATTGTGACGATGGGAACAAACAAAATTACCAAGCACCACTGTGGTGCTTTTGAAATCATGGTAGAGTTTGACATGTCTTGAATGATTTTGATCTATGCGGGGTTTTGTCTGGGGCACGAGGTCTTTTCTATCGATTAGCAAGCCCTTTGCGCCTGTGTGAACGCCCGTGGGCCCACCCTCCATATATCCCTGCCACCGCGGCATGCGCCACGGACTCCCCCCGTGAATCCCGTGGGCGTCCAACCTACTTTAAGCGTGAACCTGATCATAATATGTGAAACCAATTTATTACCCGTCGCCGAACTCGCCGCCCTGTCATTGTTTTTGTTTTCTTCCAGATCATCATGTCTTTGGCAGATTGCCAGCAAGAACTGCTCTTGTGCATTGCTTCTTTCCTCAAACCCAAAGATATCGCTTCCTTGTGCTTGGTGTCGCGTCAATTCAACATCCTGCAGGAAATCATCTATCATGACATTGAAGTGCAGCACGAAAACGTTGGTCGGCTACACCAAACGTGCAAAACAAACCCCACACTCTTCGGTGCCACAAATCGCTTTCGCGTCACGATGGCGTCTGGAAGATCACCCCTGAACGTAATCAAGCGTATCTGCGATATCATGCCTTTGATTACTCGCGCCAATCATATTGAACTTATTGGAGGCGAGCGCCGAACCCCCCTAAAAGAGTTTTACGGCCTTTCCGTTGCACTCGAATCCGACCCCGGTTTCCTTGCTCAGGTGCAGACCCTCGTCATCAATGGCACTCTTCTCGCCTTACTATCCTGCGAAATTCCTCAACTTCACACGCTGGATATACGTGAAATGAGTTTAGAAGTATTGGATTCGGTGAAAACGACAGCTTTGCATCGGGTCCACCGGCAAAGGCTCAGTAAGCTGTGTATCGATATCACACAGCACTTCGCCGATGACAGATGGAACACGCAATGTGATAGACGAGTCAGAAACTTTATCGATGCGTTGAATTGTTTTGGCGTGAAAGAGCTCACTTTGAGCATTTGCAATGATCGAGGAGAGGTCCACGGCCAGATCGGCGATACCCCCCTCCTGGACATGAACTGTATCTTGTCATTACGCAACCTTCTACAACAACTGCAACCAATCGCGCACAGCCTAAAATCACTGAAGATCACCAAGATACCGGTAGAAGTGCTTTTGGAAAGTGTGCACGATGCACTGCTCATGTTCACCTTTCTATCACGCCTGGAAGTTCCTCTCTCTTGCTTTCGCGGTCAAGATCGCTTGGATGGAATTGGCTATGGACTCCCCAGTAGTCTCGAGGGAATCATTCTGTACGGGGATGAAACAAAGGAACTCCAGATCATAACTGAGCGATGCCACGAACATAATATCAGTACAACAATGAATCGCCAGAATCAGTTGCTGGTCACAAATGTGGGCGATGAAGGAAAGGTATTGTGGGAAGCCATTCGGATTGCCTGTAATGCTTTTGAATAGATCAGAATTAATTGCAATGACTATATAGGAACCTAGAAGAAATTTCCACCATAATTTCCTTCTTTCTTTCGCTCTTGCCTTCTACGCTCCTTACCCCACCGTGATGAACTGTTAGTTGTCCCCGGCACAATCTGGGATCAATCCAGACCCATTAGTAAGAACGGTGGGTTCTGTGCGAAGTGAACTTATGTTCCTCAAGCATGTTACCTGAGGTAATGCTTCAGATATCTCAATTTGTAGCTGTTCGTAGTCTTCCGAGCCTCCTGTAATATTCAGGAGGGAGCAAGAGAGGGCCTGACTTCCTACGCATTGCCTGTGTGCATGTATCAGCTCAAGAATCCCTCGCCCTGGGCCGTGGCAGAAGATACAACTTACCAGGACACGGAGATCAAGCCATTCGGCGAATTACATGGGATGCTGTAATTTGCCATTTGGTCTCCTGCACAGTTTTTCGGCTTGACTGTGACCGAATAAGGTAGGAATGCTGGGTCAAAGTAATCGATTGTCATCTCGCAGGTTGAGTTTCTAGAGTTGGATAGACTCAGAAGAGTCAGCTTATACGCAGTTCGTTGTGCAATTGGGATCCAACTTACTAAAACTCCAGAGTATCACCGGCATTGATCAGACTAACTGGCCTCGTCATACACGGAAGAGGGCGATCGAATGGGAGCCAGCGCTGAGACACGCAGAGAGGAGGAAGGGCCAGAACGACTATAGTCAAAAAGCGCATCGTGGTTGTTGTACTGAGGGCTACCGGCGACACCACTTCTGATTTATATCTGCGATTTTGTTCCAGGCGGGAGTGCATAATCCGATTTTCACATTTCAAGAATGGTTATTTCATGATAACCGCAGCTGTTTTCCCAAAAATGAGATGCGGGCTTTCCATAGATCACGGGACGTTGAGAGCGGAGACAGGGTGAGAAAGATTATAGCCTACTGTCTCAGTGAATTCTTTGCAGGCTGTCGCTATGTCCTATCCCCAGCTCAATTACGTTCAGGACGATGGATATGTAACGTTCACAATCCCAGATGCTCGGCTGTTACGTAAGATCCGATATCACCGAGAGGAAGCGATCGATCTCCGAAAACAAGCTCTCGGAACATTGCTGGGCTACACAGTCAAAGACCTCACGTCCATTTTAAACAATTACGACTGCCAGATGTTCCCGATTCACAACAGAAACGAAGTTAGAGTCAAGATTTACCTTTCAAATGATATATTGCCGCCTCCTCCTAAGAAACCGTTTCCGCTGATTCCGAAGCGACGTCCTCCTCCAACCCCAACGCCCGCAAAATCTCGTCTTCATTCACATGATTTGCCGATCCGACCTCGAATTGTAATCCACGAGCCCGACGGTGAAGGCCGTGTGATCGCTCGACCACTTTCCCACTGCGAACCGAGCATAGAGCGGGAGATTCATCCTGGAAAAGGCCACCAACACTCAAGTTCGGGCACTTTAAGAGCACGATGGAGCAACAAGATATGGAAATTACGATGTGGAAATATTAGTCTGCCTACTATTGTGGAGGAATAAAATTTTTAGCTTCGCCATATTGCCCTTAGATGTCTAGTGTAGTTAGTGCCTAATGAAAAATTATTACCACTCGCAAACGGCCGACTTTGCGTACATATATTCCTGCTCACACAGGATCGTTGCTAACTTAGTTACTGTACTGTAAATACTCGGCTTTGAGAAAAAACCTGGACTTCAATCGAATGTTCCAACCATTACGTATGACCTATCAGGATGTGGAAATGGGCTTTCGCCCATGTGTTGCCATTGTATTGATGTAACTAAGCCTAAGAGGAACTATATATACCCAATTGAATCAAGACGTTCACCACATCATATCGCAAACCCAAAGAAAACGGTAGAACACCAAACAGCAATCAGTTGTAATACGGATGCTGTGTTTGGCACCTGCATCGATATCTCGGTCTGCGGGCTGAGGGTCTCCGGGTGATGGAAACTTGTAGTGCTTGGTGAAGTAGAGTGGGAGGGATGCGCAATGCATTGTCCAAGTGATCGCGTGGTAGAAGATGTGACTTTGGATACAGAGTCACTTATAGGCGGATTCAAGCGAAATATCATGCCACCGGACTGGCAATGAGATTTGGGTTGCCTTTGGGCACAATAAAACCATTGTGGATCCGTGGAGCTCACCTTATAGTCCACTAAAAACTTTCCACTTGTATTCATGGGATTAAATTGAGTGAAGCCTGTGTCAAACAACGAGACATTCTGACAAGGATCGATTAAAGAGCTCTGCGTCAAAGAGTGGTTGCCGCCCACGAAGTCGAAACGAAGTATTTTGTCAATTTGAGCGTGGACAGAAGATGGGTCGAAAGTGAGGTTGCCACCAGCCCCAACAGTGATATATATGACCGGGGAGACCGGAAAATTTGTAGGAGAAGCACTATGTGCTGTGTAAAGAGATGGAGGCGGAGTAATGGTTGAATTCCACCCCGAAAATGAATGTGACAAGTTATTGAGGGGAGTCAGGGAGGGCGTCTGAATTGCATACATCGTAATCCACCGGGCCTAGACACATGGGGCACGCTCAAGTTTAATAAACTCAATTTATTGGCATGCTAAGTACCTCGAGTGTCATGATATATACTTTCTCGGGATGGGGAACAGACTAACCTTTTTCGTTTTTTGGGAAACTGTCTAAAATCACTTGTTCATAATGCTTAGTGAAAAGTCAAATTTGGTCATGCTATCAATCGCAATCGGGCTCACCGTAGCATATAAGCTTCTTTCTATATTTTTCACCTCTATCTAAGAGATTATATGAGATTTTCTGATTACTCTATCTAGAAGAAAATGACCGATCCAAACACTACTGCACAGGGACCTCAAGTGAAGACTGAGTCAAGCCCAATCTTGAGCGCCCCTGAGATCAATGAAATACCAGAGATCATTGATCTCGACAATTTGCCAGACGCTCCGAGAAACAATCCCCAGAACCAACAACCAACGGTCAATCAGGCCGAAATGGATGTAGAGCAAGAACCATCGTTGCATCCCCAGCAAGAAAGCTCCGCGGAGATGCCTGGTGTAAACAGTGAATCAGTACCAGCAGACCGACCTCAAGCACCTATGAATTCTCTCAATGAACATGGCGATGTCATTGTCCACCCACCCAAGTTCCAAGCCCCCGACGATGTGGCAGCCGCACGCATGGAATTGTATGAGGTCTTCCGTCGTGCTTGGACCTCATCTGACATTAACTATTTTAACGATCCAAAGATCATTCATGATCTAGCGCATTACAATCAACGATGTACCGGCAATTCTGAGCAATTCATGATACAGAGCAAGACAATGGCCGATATAATCACCGGGATCTCTTCGATTGTAAATGTCCACCCTCCCTTCAGCCAAACGACGTTAAGAGAGCAAGTCAATAAAACCGCAACTCTTTACAATACTGTAGGAAGCATCGGTGCTTCATGGAAAGATATTGTTGGTGAACCATATTACGTCCTAGTAGAAAATTTCGCAAGGGACTTCACGAACGGACCCTCAAACTTGGAATCTCTTTTGACGGAGCTGATGAAACCAACCCCAGTCCAGAGCCGTCATCTTTCAAGTGTTCGCGGTTCACTTGATGTACTTATGATGGTACAGGGTGCAGATGTCACCAGCTGCCTGAACAGATTGGAAGAGATTGACAGGAAGCTGATTGAATCGAACCTCGGATCCAAAGTCCGAGACGGTGATGTCTCGCTTCCGTGGAAGTATATAGCCTCAGCTGTATGCTCAGGCAATACTCAGTCCACTGCGTTTGCGGAACTTCATTTCTATCTGACCTGTATGGGTGTTCCAGGGAACATCTCTAATGCCCAATCCAATTTGCTCTCGCAGGACCGAGGGAAAGAAATATTCAAAGAACGAGTTCTATCGACAAGATATGTAGAGCAAGAAAAGAAGGACGCCTTACAAGCCATTAGAAGCCATCATGGCCTGGAATCGAGAAATCAAGACCGTGCCACCGATGAAAAAAAGGTCCACTTTACGTCAAGTGATGGCCTGCCTCAACAGGGAAATGCGTCTCAGTCTCATCAAACATCAAACGACACCTCCAAGGCCAGCAATGGTGGAGATGCAGACAATGAGGGCTTGCTGATTACCATGGAGATGCCAGACATGTATCCAGAAGGCGTGCCAAAAACAACAGTAGCGTGGGGATATTATGCGGGTGGTCGAGTGTTCTACATTAACAAAGTCGGATACACTGGAGGCTCAGCTTATCGCCGTGATACCACCCCATGCGGTCCTGATATTGCCAGATGGGAGAGGCTTGATGAAAAAGACAGCATCAAGTATGACAGGTTTGGAGACAAACGTAACGGCACAAAAAAGGTTTACACAAGACGGCATATAGCTGGTATAGGCGGCGTCGTGTTGGATATTCTTAAATACGGCACTGTCGACAAAGCGCTCCAGGCTCTCAACCCCAATATTGATAAAGACTATTGGGATGTGACCCCAGTGTTGACCGTTTGGAGACCGAGCGGCGGTTTGCAAGGACCTACCGTTCGACGATGGGAGACTCGTGGCTGTTTCCGCGATCGAACAAGGAAAAACGCAGCGGATCTCTTGATCTATCAGGCAGCAATGGTACAAGAGCAAAATCTCACAAATCTTGTCAGAAGGACACGTTCACCTTCAGCAGGATTAATACCGAACCAAATGAACAACCTGAGGGCTGAATCGTTGCCACCTCAACATGCCTCGATTGATCCCACTCGACCTGTTCCAAGCGTTGAGGAACCGCGAGGTTTTGCTCAGTTCGCTGACCGTAACAATCGATACCCTACCCCTGCCTCTCCTGCTTTACGAAGTTTTGCCCCGGAACAGCCATGGAATGTTAATGTTCCGCCTCCGATATTCAGCAGTCACCCTCGGACTAACACTTCCCAAGCACCATCTTCCGCCGAGGAAATGCTTCTTAAGTCCTACTTGCAAGATTACAACTGCACCAAGGTTTCGGATCTACCTTTTGAGGTACAGAAGAAGTATTTTAGGATATTGAAAGAAGCATTCAACTAAGAGGGGTATCCAAATTCGAGGTTTGTAGCACTGGTAATACATAGAAGGATTTCATTGGCATTGTACGTAAATAGATCTAACATCCCTCCCTGTGTCACCGGACACACTGTGTAACCGGACAAGACTACTAATTAGACACGTCAATCTTTCCCTCGCGAATCTATTGCATTACAGCCATGAAAAAATTATATTTTAGCTGTTTCTGCTCGAGCAATTGCCTTGTAATAATGGTTTTAACCGTGTTGTGGATCATTCTGTTAAGGACGTTAAGAGTCGCTTCAGCAAATCTCCCCTGCATAATTACCGCTGCCAGCCTTTCTACAAAAACTAAGACCATATCATGAATATTCTATTATGAGAGAACAAAATCACAAGTTTTGCAGATAATAATTCGTCAGAAATGATTATTCCGAGCATGACCGAGTGGAGGGGAATTTATCGGCGTTATGGGCCTTGGCGTTTGAATCCGATATAGATTAGCGCGGTTTTATAGTACTGTACATCCCTGCGTAACGGAATACCCAACGTACCGCAACAAGGTGCTCTATTCAAGCATCTTGTAAACGAACTTATAAAATAGAAGACATTTGAAACCCATTCAATTGATAAATAGCCCATCCTTTCCAGTCCAGTCCAAGCAGCTTAGGAAGAGATGCTGTTTCAAGCATGCTGTCGGTCAATCCGTTGAGGGCGACTTTTCGTGTCTCAGCTTCCAATTCCAACCGCAGCAACAACTCGATGAAATATTCAAATCCGGAACTTCAAGATAAATCTACAGTATCGAAGCTCTATGTTAGCCAAGTGTAGTGAGCGGAAGACTAGAACATATCAAGTCCGAGAGCTCCGAAGGAAATCAGTGCCTTCTGGATTGTAAGGTATTGGCGCCTCGGCAGCATTATGTCAAAGTATTGAAATCTACGCTATACCTTATCTGTCAGCGTTCCGGCAGACGAGGATCTCTGTGATTTATGTGTGTCCTATCCTATTTTTAGTACCCTTTCTTCCCCGTTCCGCCCAAGGCTGACTAAGGTGGCCCCGCTATCGATAGCGATGTGCCACTCTTCCTACTTACCTGCGACGACTTCTACTAGCACACAAAGCTAGGAACAGACAAGTGCAGCGCTCCTGCCCTTTCGTGCAGTCTTATGTAACTCTATGGTAGCAACAAGACTACAGTCTTTCTGAGAACTTGCTAATCTGGTTAGTTAGGACTAGCATCGCCGCCAGACGAGTCGTTGATGTTGCTCGTTTCAGCTAGGCTGCCACGTTAAGATCCCGCCGCGACCTGCTCCTACTCTACGCACGAACATGCGCCTTTTACAACGTCGCAATGAAGATAATTATCGTCTCACATATTTTGACGAGGGGACCATACCTCCTTACGCCGTACTCTCTCACAGATGGGGACAAGACGAGGAAGAAGTTACCCTAGCCGACATAACAAACGGCACAAGAAAGGACAAGGCTGGCTACAGAAAGATCCGGCTCTGCGCAGAACAGGCTGCCCGGGATGGTCTGACATACTTCTGGGTCGATTCGTGCTGCATTGACAAGGAGAACTACGCCGAACTCTCGTTCTCTATTAATTCCATGTTCCGATGGTACCGCAACGCAGCTCGGTGCTACGTTTACCTACTAGATGTCTCTAAGATTCCTGCTAGCGAGGATGGGACTGATCCAACGCCATGGGAATCAGAGTTTCGAAAGAGCGAGTGGTTCAGCCGCGGGTGGACGCTTCAAGAGTTGCTTGCGCCTAGCATAGTCGTGTTCTTCTCGCAGCATTGGGAGAGGATTGGCGACAAGACATCGCTGAAGCGGCAGATCCGCGAGATAACCGGGATCCCGGATGCTGCGCTTGAAGGAGCGCGTCTCTCTTCTTTCAGCGACTATCAGCGATTTTTGTGGATGGAACGCCGTCAAACGAAGAAATCAGTTGATAAAGCATACGCTCTATTGGGCATTTTCGACGTTAGCATGATGCTCAACTACGATGAAGGGGTTGAGAGTGCCTTTAGACGGCTTCAAGAAGAGATTGACAGACTGAAGCGATGCCTGCAAGACTTGCGGCTTACCGACCCGCGCGACGATAAGAAGCGCATCGAAGACACAAAGGGCGGATTACTCAAAGACTCATACCGTTGGATCCTCCAGAATTCGGAATTCGGCCAATGGCGCAACGACCAGCAGAGCCAACTGCTATGGATCAAAGGCGATCCTGGCAAGGGAAAGACGATGCTGCTCTGCGGCATTGTTAATGAGCTAGAGGAGTCCGTGGCTTCAACAGCTCTTGTCGCCTACTTTTTCTGCCAGGCGACAGACTCGCGCATCAACAGCGCTACAGCTGTGTTACGCGGTCTACTGTACGTGCTTGTCGGCCAGCAGCCTTCGCTCATCTCTCATATCCGAGCGAAGTATGACCACGCAGGCAAAGCGCTCTTTGAAGACGCGAATGCATGGGTTGCGCTCTGCGAGATCTTTACAAACATTCTCCGAGATCCGAACTTGAGCCGCACGCACTTACTTATTGATGCGCTTGACGAGTGTGTAGTTGACCGACAGAGGCTGTTAGACTTTGTGGTCGAGCAGTCATCTTCGTCGTCAAGCGTCAAGTGGATTGTATCCAGCCGTAACTGGCCAGAAATCGAGCAAAAGCTTTCGACGGCGGGGCATGGGGTGGGGCTGAGCCTTGAGCTGAACGCGGAGTCTGTGGCTGCCGCCGTCAATGTATTTATTCAGCAGAAAGTAGCCCAGCTATCGCAGAGCAATAAGTACGATGCCGGAACAAGGGACGTAGTGCACCGCCATCTGTCTTCGAACGCAGATGGCACGTTTCTCTGGGTAGCGTTGGTATGCCAGGGCCTTCAAGCCGTCCCAAAGCGGCATGTCCTGAAGAAGCTAAGCGGCTTCCCGTCTGGGCTTGACTCCCTGTACGAACAGATGATGCTACACATAGCCAGCTCGGATGATGCCGACCTTTGCAAAGAAATCCTGGCCGTCGCTGCTACTGTATATCGACCGCTTACGCTACAGGAGATGGTTACGCTTGTGGAGCAATTTGAAGCCGCGGTGGATGATCCTGAAACTGTGCAAGATATTATTGGCCGCTGCGGCTCGTTTCTTACTATACGAGATAGTATTATCTACTTTGTGCACCAGTCCGCAAAGGACTTTTTGGTTGAAAAGGCTGCTAACACCGTTTTCCCGTCTGGCACGGAAAATGCGCACTATAAAGTTTTTTGCAGATCCCTCCAGATTTTATCCGACTCGCTTCATCGAGATATGTACAATCTGGGTGCGCCTGGATATCCTATCGAGCGGGTTGCACTGCCAGACCCAGATCCGTTAGGAAAAGCACGCTACTCGTGTATTTACTGGGTGGACCATCTGCGTAATTGCGGTTCGACCACTACTACAGGACCCCATATTAACTTACAGGACGAAGGAATCATTGAAAAATTCATACAGCAAAAGTACCTCTACTGGCTAGAGGCACTCAGCCTTTGCAAGAGCATGCCAAAAGGAGTGGTCTCTATGGCAGAACTGGAGGCTCTCATATATGTAATGTCTGGAGTACTACTGTACATATAGAGAAGGCTAACGTGACATAGAGAACAACAGCCGGTCCTAAGTTAGTCGATTTGGTCAAAGATGCGCGTCGGTTCATCATGTACCACAACAGGTCGATAGAGGAGGCGCCTCTTCAAGCATATGTTTCAGCTCTGGTGTTTAGCCCTACATCCAGTTTCATCCGGAAATTGTTCGACAAGGAGGCACCGCCTTGGGTCTCTATAAAGCCGTCGATGACAGAGAACTGGAGCGCCTGTCTGCAGACGCTCGAGGGCCACAGCGGTCCGGTCTACTCGGTGGCCTTCTCTCACGACTTGACGCGGCTGACGTCGGCGTCGCACGACAACACTATTAAGGTCTGGGACGCAGCGAGCGGCGCCTGTCTACAGACGCTCAAGGGCCACAGCGGTTAGGTTAGGTCAGTAGCCTTCTCTCACGACTCGACGCGGCTGGCATCGGCGTCGCATGACAACACTGTTAAGGTCTGGGACGCAGTGAGCGGCGCCTGTCTTCAGACGCTCGAGGGCCACAGCAGTTTAGTTAGGTCAGTAACCTTCTCTCACGACTCGACGCAGCTGGCATCAGCGTCGCATCACAAGATTGTTAAGGTCTGGGACGCAGCAAGCGGCGCCTGTCTACAAACGCTCGAGGGCCACAGCGGTTGGGTCAGCTCGGTGGCCTTCTCTCACAACTCGACGCGGCTGGCATCGGCGTCAGATGATAAAACTGTTAAGGTCTGGGACGCAGCCAGCGGCGCCTGTCTTTAGACGCTTGGGGGCCACAGCCGTTTAGTTAGCTTGGTGGCCTTCTCTCACGACTCGACGCGGCTGGCATCGGCGTCGGACGACAAGACCGTTAAGGTCTGGGACGCAGCGAGCGGCACCTGTCTGCAGACGCTTGAAGGCCACAGCGGTCCGGTTAGCTCGGTGGCCTTCTCTCACAACTCGACGCGGCTGGCGTCGGCGTCGGTTGACAACACCGTTAAGGTCTGGGACGCAGCGAGCGGCGCCTGTCTACAGACACTTGAGGGCCACAGCAATTGGGTCTGGTTGGTGGTCTTCTCTCACGACTTGACGCGGCTGGCGTCGGCGTTGGACGACAACACTGTTAAGGTCTGGAACGCAGCGAGCGACGCCTGTCTACAGACGCTTGAGGGCCACAGCGGTTGGGTCAGCTCGGTGACCTTCTCTCACGGCTTAACGCGGCTGGCGTCAACGTCGCATGATAAGACTATTAAGGTCTGGGACGCAGCGAGCGGCGCCTGTCTCCAGACGCTCGAGGGCCATAGCCATTTGGTCTGGTCGGTGGTCTTCTCTTACGACTCAACACGGCTGGCATCAGCGTCACGTGATAAGACTGTTAAGGTGTGGGACGCAGCGAGCGGCGCTTGTCTGCAGACGCTTGAGGGCCACAGCGGTTGGGTTAGGTTGGCGGCCTTCTCTCATGACTTGACGCGGCTGGCATCGGCGTCGCTTAACAGTACTGTTAAGGTCTGGGACGCAGTGAGCGGCGCCTGTCTCTAGACGCTTGAGGGCCATAGCTATTTGGTCTGGCCGGTGGTCTTCTCTCACGACTTAACACGGCTGGCATCAGCGTTACTTGATAAGACTGTTAAGGTCTGGGACGCAGCGAGCGGCGCCTGTCTGCAGACGCTTGAGGGCCACAGCGGTTAGGTTAGCTCGGTGGCCTTCTCTCACGACTCAACGCGACTGGCGTTGGCGTCGGTTGACAACACCGTTAAGGTCTGGGACGCAGCGAGCGGCGCCTGTCTGCAGACGCTTGATATTGGCCGTCTACTCTCTACTCTGTTATTTACTGCTTCTAACTCTGGTCTTCTTACAGATATTGGTGCTATCACCTTTAGTCCTGCATCATTATCCAATATCGCTACTGTCCAACAACTTGAAACCCCTCAGTACGAGGCCGCAGGACTGAGTTCTGACACGACATGGATAACGTATAATTCGCAGAACGTAATTTGGCTACCCTTAGAGTATCGTCCTTCTGATTCAGCTGTATTAGGGAACAGGATTGGTATCGGGGTAGGATCTGGAAGGGTATGGATGTGTGATGTTGAGCTTACAAAATGCTAATCTTTGCAGCGCTGTTTGCATACATTATAAAGCTTTATTTCTCTTCTCTTATATTTGTCTACTCTCTTTACTTCTAAGGGGGCCGGGGAAAGACATGAATATATAGCTCAATGATTTGCCACATTGAACCTTCTAGACTTCTCTTTACAAATCTAAAAGAAATGCTAGCTTGCTCCTACCTTACAAAGCATAGTGGTTGACTTTAACGCTAGTTGGTTAGTAAGCTTGTTGTTCCGCGACGTAGGGCTGGCAGCTTAGGAAGTAGGGAAGCCACGTGCTATAAGCCAAGTATGAGTTAGGCTAAGCGCTTCGAGAAGGTAAAAAAAAGTATAATAACGCGCTTGTAAGCGTATCCTAATCAGTATCTAATTGGCTGGCTATTCTCTGATGTACCAAGCAGGGGTGGCAATCTGCATGAATTGCACGCCATCTACAGCCTTTTCGCTCAAATAGACCTTACATAACTAGTAATAGGTTCTCAGGGCACTAAAGAAGGATTGTAGAAATGATAAAGTTACAGAAACTTAATCTTGACCCTATAGACGATAGTGCTTAATCTCGCTTAAACAGGTATACCTTTGTAAACAAGGGCAGGACACATCTAAGCAATAGTGAATTTATGATAGTTGGGATGAAAAGGGAGGAGACGAGGTCTAAGTACAAAGCTTGAGAGATCTGCCTTTTGAATATATTGAATGGCAGGTTTGTTTCGTCCCAAAGTCTAAGTACCGGTAGATTGGTCCGGTACGATGGGTATTCCGTTACGGAGGGATGCACAGTACCGTAGTAAGTTAACATTATTCTAGACACCGTACCTCTCTAAGCACTATACCACTTTAAGAATGGCTGTGTTGCTAACTTTGTGGCTGTTAATACTGCGGCTGCCTGTGGCTCACCTTGTGTACAATGATTAAGCAATTAATTTCGACCCTCTGATAATTATAGTATAACTACTGAAAATAGTTGATATTAGCTTTAACGTTAGAGCTAACTATTGCTGTGTCTCTAAGAAATTACTATTGAAAGAGGATGCAGAATCACGGATGAATAATTGATACAACACAAAATGTATAAAAAGAAGGCTGCTGTAAGCATCCTCGCATGCTCACAGCTGAATCAGCCACCTTTCGGATATGTACCTGTCAGATATCACAGTAATTCATAGTGATAATTCAGATGATGAAATTGATGATTATTGTAGCTACGCTTCCGATCGAAGGCTTTTTACCCTACCGGAGGTTGTTGAGGTCCACCGGAGGTTGTTGAGGTCACATGACACCCTTAGCCAACTCTGGTTACCTCCACCAGAGTTCTATTGCTCCGGGGGCTCCTTCGGAGTCTCCATAGTAAATCACAGTAAGTCACAGTGATATTGGAGCTCCTATTTGACAGTACCGGATCCCCTTAGGTCGGAGGTATCTCCGACTACGGCTGAAGCACTAGAGGCCTACCTAAGGGGTACTTCTGTATATAGCTAAGTTGTTCCTCTTCATATAGTAGATAGTTTTGATTGTCCTTTCGTACAAGACCTATAGGATTGCAGTTCACGATTGTTCCCTAGTTGCCTACAGATGTGATCCCGTATCTACTCCGTAGTGCAGCCGTACCGGAGGTGAATTGCCCTGCGTCGTTACAGCTGCGATAATTTTAATACATTCGTGCTACTGGGACAGCCTGTACGGATGGCACTGGAGCCCTCAATGGCTCTAGCTCTTCACTCATCCGTGCTACTTTAGCCTCCGGGCCTATAGCATCTGTCTCTGATGCATCACTCTTGCGCTTTCGACCACGTTTTTCTTTACCCTTCGCTTTAGCTGCATCCTTTTCAGCACGTTTCTTCCGTGCCTCCTCAAGATCCTCATAGCTCATGACCTTCGCCGTCCCTATCACCAGCGATCTAGTAGATCGGCGAACTCTGGCTTCATTGTTTACTTTCCTTAGGAAATGGATTTGTTGCCGCTGAAGAGCACGCTCGGCAAAGCATGTTTGGGCAGCGTTGGCAAATTTCTGTATGTGCCTCTGTAGGCGCTGTTTACTCATCTCATCTTCCGCATAAGTATCCTCTTTAATCAGGTTATGCAACGATGTAAGAGCCCCTGGTGTTACTGGCGTGTGGACTATTTCACCCTGCGGACAAGAATCGATTTCACAAGTTCTGAGGGTAGGAATGGTCGGTTTAGCAACCGTCGGTCCAGCAGCCGGCTTCGGGATATCTGTGAGTATTTTGTCGGGATTGAAGGGATACAAACCGCTTGCTTTCCATCCTGCAAGGATGTTTCTCTCAGTGAAAGCCCTCTCCCTTGCAGGGCTGTATAGGTAGGTAAAATGTTGCTTGCCAATCGTCCCTATACCTCCTCGTTCCAGCCGCTCGACCTGGTCACGATAGGCTGCTTTCAGTGGGGCAAACGCAGCAATATCACAAGGCTGTAGCTTGTGGGATGTGTGAGAGGGAAGACGGCATAGCAAAATGCTGTTCTCAAAACAAAACTCCAGGATTTCAAGGGTTTCGTGCGTCCCGAAGCCGTCACATATCAAGACCCGTGGTTTTCCGTTAGCCTGTTCTTTTGTTTGAGGATCGAAGATACGCTTAAGCCACTCTAAGCTGATTTTAGAGTCGGTATATCCAGACTCGGAGTATGCATAATGCCATCCAGGAGTGGGGAACGTAGTCCAGTTAGCTCGGTGAGTTGAGGCTGGCCAGATTATCATTGGGTCCAGATACCTACCATCGGCGCTGATGCATTCGATCGCGGTTACTACTGTACGCTTCACACGCGCGCCTCGATAGCTTCGTAGATCATCCTTACCGACCAGGACCTTCACACTGTCGAGCATACTTAACATCACTCCTGTCTCGTCCATGTTATAGACATTTTCCGGTAAGATAGTCTGATCCTGCAATACTTTTCCAATCACATCAAACCAGTTCACGACCTTATCATAGATATTGTAGCGATCCCAGTCTAGCGCCGTGCTTTTTCTTGCTTTGATTTCGGGATGGCGCTTCTCGAAAGCCCGAGCCCAGTTCTTGCCTGGAGGCTTGGCTGGTTTGTTCGTGGATCGCTGGCGAGCGATGATGAAGGCTAGGGAAGGTATATGCTTTATCCTTACAGGTTGTCCGAATTCAGCCATTTGCAACAAAAAGTTTACGATGGCTTTTTCTTCACATGGGGTGAGATACTGTTGACTCTGGGCTTTCTCTTCTTTCGAGCGTTTGCCATGTGCGCGATCATGGAGGGTAGAGCGAGCGACGTTGTGATGTTCTGCTAGAGCGCGGTATGTATTGCGTACGCCATGGGGAATGCCTTGTGCTAGCACTTGGTTTGCTCGGTCCATGCTGCTATAGTTACTATGGCAATGGTGATGGTGATGGGAAGGGTTGAGAGGAACGAAGCGAGTGCGTACCTTGACGGGGGGACGAGCTTGACCCTGAAAAGAAGGCCTTTTTTTGACCCATCTATTTTTAGCCGCCTGCAATTTTTCGATGCCTCGCTGGGCAGTAATGGAGAAGATGGTGAGCAGCTGGAAGATTCAACTTCTTGTGGTGAGAAAGGCGAGATTCAAAGGCTAAGATCAGTTAGGTGCCTGCAGATCTGTTCATGCAAGTCATTGAACAGTTACCGCTAGGCGGGCTTTGTGGGGAACATGCGTGAAGCCTTGGAATATGCGCATGGCCCGAGCGCTATCACGTGAGAGCATCACGTGTAATAGCGGAGTGCACGGCGCTCAAAAAGGCGCTTACCCAATACATATTAGCGCCTTCCCGCGGTGTGCATGTGGCTTAGAGAGTGGTGTCGGATTATTCACGTGTTGGAATATCGTGGGAAAAAGAAGGGTGTTATAAATGTATTATCCCCCCAGAGGTCACAGAGTGATCCTCCAGTATTTAAAGAATAAAGATGATGTCTGTTCTCTGTTCTTCCACGAAGACTTGTTCGTGGGTTTTTATAAGTATTTGAAGTGGCTGTGCAACAGGTTGCTGATGCCTCTTTCTATAATCTAGAAGTTTCCAGAAACTTCTGAGCTTTGTCTGCCTTGGACATTGCTCCGAAGTTTCACCGAGAAAATACCATTACAAGGTGTGTTGCTTCTTATAGTTTGGCCAACTGCCCGGGGTATATCGTAAGCGGTTCAATCATCTGACAATAGGCTAGCTAATCTGACAAGTGGCGATCTCATGGGTCGTAGCTACATGTACCTCTACCTACCTATCTTCTAAACATTTCGAGATATCTACAAGGTCAGGGCCGGTGCGGGTCGGCCATCCTTCCCACAGGTAGTGGCAAGATTTTGCCACAGATCACTTCAACTGCTGTTACGTATCATGAATAAGCGTACTTTACGGTTCTGCAACTCCGCGTAAGCTGAATAGTGATTACAAGACAAGTACTGTCCTGAAAAATAACAAGTTGCGCCCTCTTTAGGCGTTGACATTGGCACGGTTGGTGAGCAGCAGCTTCCGCCAGCCTTCACGCACTTACAAGGCTGAAGCCATCTTGGCGACGCAGCTGTGGCATATCTTAGGTTGCCTCGCGTATAGAGATATCTTGCGAGGAACCGCCTTGCAAGTGCCTTACTGCGCTAAGTTAAGCAAACACATAATAAACATTTTCGAAGACTCAGTACCTGTATCTTAACACCCCACAAGGCCTCACGCGTGTACAGCTTGATAAGAGCTGAAAAAGCAAAGATGATCGCAGTAAGCCCGAGTACGAGGCAGAAAAATGTGGCCGGTTTGCCCTCACAAGGCTGAAAGCGGGGTCGATTTATCAACTTGCTGCCTGCCCGTCTCAACTCACTTCTTACTCATTCCTCAATAATTCCTACCCAAAACCAAAACGCTTTCCAGCTACAATTTTCCATCCCCCTTCCAAATATACAATGCACAACGTGGAAACGCTCACACACGACGATTACACAGTGGCATGGATCGCCCCACTGGAGGTCGAGTCGATCGCCGCGAGGCTGATGCTGGATACGAAACACGAGAAACTGCCACAGTCGCCCGTTGATCATAATGTATATGCGCTGGGCAGTATCAATGGCCACAATATTGTGATCGCTAGTCTGCCCACGACGGGCAACACTTCCGCAGCTACGGTCGTCACACAACTGCGGAACACTTTTAAGCAGATTCGATTCGGACTGTTGGTTGGCATTGGAGGCGGCGTGCCGACGAAAACGGATAACGGACCCATTCATCTCGGGGATGTGGTGGTGAGCAAGCCGGAACGGGACCACTCTGGCGCCATCCAGTACGATCACGGCAAAGCTCTGGAAGGTCACTTTCGCCGTACTGGATACCTGACTCCACCACCTACCGTTCTCCTAAACGCCGCGCAGGATCTGTCAACAGAGCAAGCTATCGCAGAAGGCGATCTTATTGTTCCGCACCTACAGAACATTAACACTAAACGACCAGCGCTTCGGAAGTACAAATACCCAGGCTCAGACCAGGATAACCTGTACAAGTCCGACTATCCTCATCGTACCGAAGGGTCTTCATGTCGTTCCTGTGCATGCGATCCGTCACAAAGGGTCGACCGTAATGCAGATGAAAACCAGGATGACGAGATTCACGAAGACCGCAGCTCACGGATTGTGGTTCATCGAGGAACAATCGCGGCGGGCGAGAGAGTGATCAAAGATAGTCGGCTGAGGGATGAGTTGGCCAAAGAGCACGGCGCTCTCTGCTTCGAGATGGAGGCTGCGGGGGTGATGAACGACTTTCCTTGTCTTGTTATCCGTGGCATTTCAGACTATGCCGATTCTCATAAGAATAATGGCTGGCACGGCTACGCATCGGCAACCGCTGCGGCATACGCAAGACAGCTGTTCTTCCACATGCCCGTTGACGAAGTGAAGCAATGTGCTGTGGGACTCGCAGGTATTTAGCACTTATAAATGTGATTATACTTCTTTTGCGGAATTATTAACCTGATTGCAGGCGTTGTCGATGAGCTGAAGAATGTCACGAGTGCGATAGAACACACAGCTGGAAGACAAGATAAGCATAACCAATGGCAAAGACAACATAGCCAGCAACAAGATATCCGTTACGAAAACGATAGGCAACGCCAATGCCATCGCGCGTTCAAGATAGGCAGCTATGAAGACCAAAAGAATATCAACCCTGAAGCGGTCCCAGGCACATGTCAGTGGGTACTAACTCATGAACAGTACCGGAAATGGCATCAAAATTCGCATAGCGACTTGCTATGGATCTCGGCTGACCCTGGTTGCGGAAAATCTGTTCTTGCTAGGAAGCTGGTTGACCAGGACCTCCAAAACGAAAGCGCATACACGGTGTGCTACTTCTTCTTCAAGGACAACGAGGATCAGAACAGCCTGTCAGCTGCTCTTTGCTCCATCCTCCATCAATTGTTCGCTAGCCAGCCAGGGCTTATAAAGTATGCTCTGACAGCATGGGACAAGCACGGCGAAAAGATACAGTCGGAACAAGAAGAGCTGTGGAGAATTCTGCTAGGAGCAGTTTCGGACACGCAATCTCGCAAGATAGTTTGCGTATTTGACGCGCTCGACGAATGTCGCGAAGACCATAGAGAGCGCTTTATCTCTATGTTGTCCGAATTTTACCAAAATATGCATAGCAACCCCTCAAAGGAGGAAAGCTTCAAGATTCTCGCCACTAGCCGCCCTTACGACGAGATACGAGATGGTTTTGAGAAGATACCCTCGTCACTACCAACCATCCACCTACGGGGGGATGAGATGAACGACTGTATCCATAAAGAGATTGACCTTGTCGTTCGCGCAAGGGTCGTCGAGTTAGCAAAGAAACACAAACTTGCCAAAAAGACAAAGCAAAGACTGGAAGAGAAGCTTCTTAGGATGGAGCATCGAACCTATCTCTGGCTCTATCTTGCCATCGGAGGAATTAAAAAGGTCTATGCTGATAGTCTGAGACCAGAAGAGGAGTCAGTTGACTCGCTACCAACCTCTGTAGAGGATGCATATGACAAAATACTGGCGAGAGTTACCTCAGAGCAGGAAGATAACGCGAAGAAAATCTTGCAGATCGTTGTCGGTGCAAGACGTCCGTTGACGACGGGAGAACTGGCGAAAGCCTTGGGTGTGGCGATGGAGCCGGATACACTTAAAGGGAAGATCCGTCGGTTGTGTGGATTGTTCATCTTTTTCAATAACTCGCGGACATATCTGATACACCAGACAGCAAAAGAATTTCTTGTCGGGAGCTCGGTAACCGGAAATGCTCGATGGAAACATTGCTTCAGTCTGTCCGAAACAGAAAGGCTTATGGCACAGATATGCATCGATTATCTGGCACCAAACGATCTCGAAAGAGGCGGAGGGAACGAAAAGCATCGTGCGGATGGTCTAGCACATTCAACGGAGCACTGGCCTGATCGTTTTTGGCGATTATCTCGGGTCGGACATCAAGACTCGGCCATCGAAGAATACAAAACGAAGCATCCACTGCTGGATTATGCTGCAAACTATTGGATACCCCACGTACAAGACGGGAATGTTATCGATTCTGAATTGGTCACTCGCGTGGCAAAACTCTGCGACATTGGCGATGGACACGCCTGCGCCTGGTTTCAAGTCTACTATACATCAGCGTACCGTCCGCAGCTGGGTGGCCATGCGCAACACCACCAGGCAAAATGTGGACTTCATTGGGCTGTCGTGTTGGGCGTTGTTGCGGCTGCAAGAATCTTTCTAGATACTAAAAATGCCACAAGCAACAGCGATCAAGACATTGGTGATGTTTTTCTAGAAGCCACAAGAAACACCAGCTTCGGGGCAGAGCTTACAGCACTCCTTCTCGACCGTCGCAGCGCAGACATCCAGATCACGCAAGAGGTCGTTGTCGCAGCTGCAAGGAACTCAGACAATGGCAAAGACATTATGACACTCCTTCTCGACCGTCGCGGCGCAGACGTCCAGATCACGCAAGAGGTCGTTGTCGCTGCTGCAGGGAACTACAGCAATGGCAAGGACATTATAACACTCCTTCTCGACCGTCGCAGCGCAGACATCCAGATCACGCAAGAGGTCGTTGTCGCAGCTGCAAGGAACTCAGACAATGGCAAAGACATTATGACACTCCTTCTCGACCGTCGCGGCGCAGACGTCCAGATCACGCAAGAGGTCGTTGTCGCTGCTGCAGGGAACTACAGCAATGGCAAGGACATTATAACACTCCTTCTCGACCGTCGCGGCGCAGACGTCCAGATCACACTAGAGGTCATTGTCGCTGCTGCAGGGAACTACAGCAATGGCAAGGACATTATAACACTCCTTCTCGACCGTCGCGGCGCAGACGTCCAGATCACGCAAGACGTCGTTGTCGCAGCTGCAGGGAACGAAGGCAATGGCAAGGACATTCTGACACTCCTTCTCGACCGTCGCGGCGCAGACGTCCAGATCACGCAAGAGGTCGTTGTCGCAGCTGCACGGAACTCAGGCAATGGCAAGGACATTCTGACACTCCTTCTCGACCGTCGCGGCGCAGACGTCCAGATCACGCAAGAGGTCGTTGTCGCAGCTGCACGGAACTCAGGCAATGGCAAGGACATTCTGACACTCCTTCTCGACCGTCGCGGCGCAGACGTCCAGATCACGCAAGACGTCGTTGTCGCAGCTGCAGGAAGCGTCTACAATGACAAGGACATTCTGACACTCCTTCTCGACCGTCGCGGCGCAGACGTCCAGATCACGCAAGAGGTCGTTGTCGCAGCTGCAGGGAACGGAGGCAATGGCAAGGAGATTATGAGACTCCTTCTCGACCGTCGCGGCGCAGACGTCCAGATCACGCAAGAGGTCGTTGTCGCAGCTGCAGGGAACGGAGACAATGGCAAGGACATTATGACACTCCTTCTCGACCGTCGCGGCGCAGACGTCCAGATTACGCAAGACGTCGTGGTCGCAGCTGCAGGGAACTACTACAATGGCAAGGAGATTATGAGACTCCTTCTCGACCGTCGCGGCGCAGACGTCCAGATCACGCAAGACGTCGTGGTCGCAACTGCAGGGAACGGAGGCAGTAACCTCATGGCACATCTTCTCGACTATCACGGCGCAGACATCCAGATTACGCAAGACGTCGTGGTCGCAGCTGCAGGGAACTACGGCAATGGCAGGGATATTATGACGCTTCTTCTCGACCGTCGCGGCGCAGACGTCCAGATCACGCAAGACGTCGTTGTCGCAGCTGCAGGGAACTTCAACAATGGCAAGGACATTATGACGCTTCTTCTCGACCATCGCGGCGCAGACTTCCAGATCACGCAAGAGGTCGTTGTCGCAGCTGCAGGGAACGGAGGCAATGGCAAGGAGATTATGAGACTCCTTCTCGACCGTCGCGGCGCAGACGTCCAGATCACGCAAGAGGTGATTGAGGTCGCTGCGTGCAATCCACATGGAAAAGGAGCGCTAGAGTTTCTTCTTAAGAGAGATCCTACGCTACCAATCACCGATGAGGTTGTCCGAGCTGCTGCATGCAATCCACATGGAAAAGGAGCGCTAGAGTTTCTTCTTGAGAGAGATCCTACGCTGCCAATCACCAATGAGGTTTTCCGAGCTGCTGCATGCAATCCACATGGAAAAGGAGCGCTAGAGTTTCTTCTTGAGAGAGATCCTACGCTACCAATCACCGATGAGGTTGTCCGAGCTGCTGCGTGCAATCCACATGGAAAAGGAGCGCTAGAGTTTCTTCTTAAGAGAGATCCTACGCTACCAATCACCGATGAGGTTGTCCGAGCTGCTGCATGCAATCCACATGGAAAAGGAGCGCTAGAGTTTCTTCTTGAGAGAGATCCTACGCTACCAATCACCGATAAGGTTGTCCGAGCTGCTGCATGCAATCCACATGGAAAAGGAGCGCTAGAGTTTCTTCTTGAGAGAGATCCTACGCTACCAATCACCGATGAGGTTGTCCGAGCTGCTGCATGCAATCCACATGGAAAAGGAGCGCTAGAGTTTCTTCTTAAGAGAGATCCTACGCTACCAATCACCGATGAGGTTGTCCGAGCTGCTGCATGCAATCTACATGGAAAAGGAGCGCTAGAGTTTCTTCTTAAGAGAGATCCTACGCTACCAATCACCGATAAGGTTGTCCGAGCTGCTGCGTGCAATCCACATGGAAAAGGAGCGCTAGAGTTTCTTCTTGAGAGAGATCCTACGCTACCAATCACCGATGAGGTTGTCCGAGCTGCTGCATGCAATCCACATGGAAAAGGAGCGCTAGAGTTTCTTCTTAAGAGAGATCCTACGCTACCAATCACCGATGAGGTTGTCCGAGCTGCTGCATGCAATCTACATGGAAAAGGAGCGCTAGAGTTTCTTCTTAAGAGAGATCCTACGCTACCAATCACCGATAAGGTTGTCCGAGCTGCTGCGTGCAATCCACATGGAAAAGGAGCGCTAGAGTTTCTTCTTGAGAGAGATCCTACGCTACCAATCACCGATGAGGTTGTCCGAGCTGCTGCGTGCAATGCAGGTGGAAAGGAAGCGCTAGAGTTTCTATTAAATGAGCATCCAGACACATCCATTTCAAGAGACCTCATTGTGTCAATAGATCCAAAAGAAGTATGGACTAATCTCTTGAAGTTGCCTCCGTTCTGCTTTTTTGATCAAAAGCTTCCATTCATGACAGATATCAAAGATGACATTGTACGGAACTTGAAGGAGACAAGATCAGTCTTGGAGATGAAGGCTGGAGATGGGTTAGAAAAGGAGATGGTATCATCGCTTCTTGAGTATGGTAGCGCGCCAGGATAAGCCCGCAACACCTGCTACCGTGCAATAGTATATTAAGTAGCCTCACTGTACCATAAACAATGATAATAGAACTGAATTATTCTACTCACACAGTCTGACGCTAGGTCAGAGACTACAAGCTAGTGCCTATTACAAACGTAGAACTGCCAAGCTGTCTAAGCACGTATGCATAATAAATAACGGTAATCAGAGTGAATTGCCACCAGCTCTTGCCGACCCGTTCTTGCCCTGACCTTGTAGATGTTTCGAAATGTACAGATAATGGGGGTAGAGGCACATGTAGTTACGGCTCATAAAATCGCCACTTTCTAGCTACATATACCGCTATGGGAAGGTGCTTTTTTAAAGCGGCCGTGCGCTCAGAATCCTTGAAGTGCACCGCTAATTAAACCGGCTTTGCGGGAAAAGTGTATAAGTCACTATAACGAAAACAGCTTGACAGATGCTATGTCAGCACAGCACGTGATCCTGAAGTAAAAAATGTGGCGAAGAGATCGTGGCTTAAAATTAAGTGGTTTTAAGTGTGCCACCTTAGAGACAGGCTTTGTAAGATACTATACATACATAATACACCGAAGGCTTCTGGCACTAACTACAAACATAATAGTGCCGACCAAGAAGGTACCAATCGCCTAGATGAAGTTGCCTGCGATAGCGTGCTCAAGGCTAGAAATGACTTCTGAGCCTTAGAGGGAGGTTTTCAGGCTAAGATAATGTTATTCTACGACAATTTGGAGCGATAAAGGCTTAAGGTTGGCGTTGTGGGAAGCGAGGTCTGTTAATGCACGAAAGAAGGCGCTGTACAAATAAGGCTCGGAGGCGACGATGCAAACGTAATTTTTGGGGAAGGGTGGATCATAGGCATTCAGCATTAGTTATAGTAGACTAATCTTATTGAACTATAACAATATTCGTTGTGCGCATGAGCTTTTCAGTTGGCAAAAGTCAAAGTACCGATGGTTTGTCCGGTCACATAGGGTGTCCGGTAACCCAGGGACGGATGTTACACAAATTGAACCAGTTTCTTTTATTAAACTAGAAAGATGTCTTCTGTTTCACTGTTATCTTTTCCGCTTTGAGCTGTGGGGCCCCGAGTAGTGTTCGGCTGCAGACCCACGTTTTGTCGGGCCTCCGCCAAACACGGTGGCCTCCAATCGATCGAATCGACGGTCAAATGCTTCCAACTTTCTTATGATCTTATCCAGACCGTTTCTGAGTTCATTGATCATGACACAATCTTCTTTAAAATGTCAGAATCTATTAGCATCTACTGCTACGGGGACCCTTACCACAATCATCGTTGCCTGTCAAATCAATTTCTTCAATGTTGGTGCCGGTGTTTATTCCTTTCGCGGGATTGATTGGAGTTTAGATGGTTTCCTTTGGTGAAAAAGAGGCTTCAGCCAGGTGAATGTCATTCTCGGATTTGATCGGGGAAGAGATCCCGGGCTTGTCGCTACCATCGACAGAATCGGCTGATCTATGTTCGGATTTCCCATCCGGATCGCTCTCCAGAGCAGAAATATTCTGATTACTCTGTGTAGATGGTTATTACGGGTACGGCGCGACAACGTGGAAAGGATTCATAGTTCTGACCTGGGACTCTCGTTCTCCTTCGAGTCTTTGCACAATATTACGATGACGACTGATGATATCCTGATATAAAGTATCATCTGGAACAGTATCCTGTGATTCACCCATTCTTTGCTTGATAAATCAACTGTGTGATGAGTTTACCAGGCTTTCAGAGGCAACTCGCTTTATAGTTCCTCCTTTCTGGGAGAGTGCCTCATCGTTTCACATATACAGTGACCATGCAAACCTTCATAGCATAGCCTCATTCTATATATTGAAAAATGCAGGACTGGCGGTTATGCACGTTGACTGGGCAGTCCAGACCTATGCCTGACCATTCACCTGTCCGGAATCTCCGGAGTCTGCGCAAGATCTGTGCTGAACAGCACATAGGTGCCCCTCCATCTTACGATATCAGTCACGATTGGATGTTATGCTCGCAATCATTAGAGATGAGCGGCTATGCGCTCTGTGTGTGTCGACATGAGACACATGCTGGTCATTCCATCTGGGTAAGGTTGACTCTCTGACCAGCCGAAATCAAATGTCAAAAATGAGGTTTGTTTATCAACTCTCACGAATTTTTAAGAGAGTTCGGCTGCATCAGGTTCGATATTCTCTCAACGGGATGTGGTAAACTTCAGTTCCACAATCAGAAACAAAACTATAAAATCTTGTACCAAATGTCTGATCTCCAAGACTCAATTTACAATTTCTCTAAACTTAATATTGACAATAATGGATATCGAAATCCGAGTATCAGCTTCCGTGCTCGAAATCTAGTTCCAAGAAGCCATATTTCAACTCGCGGTATCCATACAATACGTTATACGTTCTCGGAATATGATACACAATTGTTTCGTACTTTCATAACACAAAAGCGGATTGTATTTAGTGTTCTCCGAAGTTCCGGTTCCACTGGCCCCAATGGTCTGCGGCGCTTCGCGTTACGCCGCTCAACAAAAGGATGCCAATGTGCATACGAGCTTACTATGCGAGAGGCGGCGAATTCCATAGATCGGTGGGTGGCAAGACCAACACCAACATTGATACCAGGTGTAACCATGGGGCGTATATGCACCAAATGTATCATGTAGTGATGCAAGAGAGCCAGGTCATCTGGCCAGAGCGCGGCACCTGGCCCACGGAGCAATTCTTATTCGCCCTCTCCATTACCAATCATCCACCAAAGTTAGAACATACACAACTGCTGCGAGTCTAGAGCCATGCCGTTTCAATTGATCGACAGGGTTACATTCCCATTAACACCAGGGGCAGAATGCGGCAGTCACTATTGAGTTTGTTCTATCTCTCCATTTCTTGCGAGGAGTTTCGTTGTGTTTATTGACACAGATCTATGGAATCGTCTTCCAAGTGCCGTCAAGTATACAATGATTCTATCTACTTGCTTTACTTCCTGAAATGGAGGTCATCGGCAACGAAGTGTTGTTGCGCTATAACACGACGGGCTTAGCTGCAGATGTAAGGTAGCCAGCTAGTGCATAACTTCAACAAGGGTATATGCAACAAGCATGCGAATGTGGTCACAGATCTTGGCGTGCGGCTTCGCGGCGTAAGAAGGCGACACCGCGTGGCATTGCCCGATATGGGCCACAGATAATTATCATGTAAATCGGGCAACCGCTTGTGTCTGGAAAACCATTGTGTTCATTTGTCTACAAGATCGATCAAGATATTTCTCATTCTTTATTCTCCCGAAGACCCATCACGATGAAACACGTTATTCACAATTTTTTCCGCCCTCAGAGTCTCTTATCTTTTTTGAGATGGATGCGCCAGCAGAAAGAATCAAGAAGCAAAGTTTCCCACGAGCGGAATCAGCAGATATTTGTCCAGATTCCTAATGGCGGCCATTGGAGTGAATATTCTCCCGTGGAATAAAAAGGTTGGGAAACCCGTCTTTGATTAGAACCAGAAATCTGACCATGTGCCAGGCATGCATGCAGGCCCAAGGAAAGAACGACTAGACGTCAGGGGGATTATTTCCAGCAATATCATCCAATGAAGTTGTCCTCGGGTCAAACAAGGTCAATGCAGTTCGAAGTTGTTGGCTTTGATGTACATAAATTGCCAAGGTCGGCTGGCTGGACACTGTTCAACCACCTTGACACGCGATATAAATCAAGACTCGATCCATAGCCTATACTTTAACTACCAAATCAAGACACACCTCATCAATCTCTTGTTGTTATCAATATCCCCTCCCGTGAGAAGAAACAATCATGTCACCCCAGGGACAGTCAAAGTCGACCGCTCCCCTTCAATCTTTATTGTTATCACTTCCTCTTGAAATTCGCCTTCGCATATACATGTATGCTCTCTGTTCAGTAATGCTCCATGTCCATGTGTGCGGGCATCCCAGCCTTGAGCATATTGTTCCCCGGGCTCGTGCGTTCAGGCTTTTATCTCCTGACCACAGCAAACACTCGTCAGTGGGTGTCATTCACACTTGCATCAATGAGCACGACGATATTTTTCAGCGTGGCCTGTGGCCCAAAGATATCATTAGCCTGTCGAGTACCTGCCAAACCATCAAATCCGAGATGAAAAGCGTCTTGTTCCAGTACTCCCAGCTCTCAATCCGCATCCAAGATCTGCCAGAGATCGTCGGCTTCCTCCGCGCCCAAGGCGTCCACCGACCGAAGCACATTTTTATCTATGGACTGTTTCAGACTACAACACCGAGATCTGTTGAAAATCCTCCCGCATACAATACCCCAGAGGCGAAAGTTCGTCAGCTAGTTCTGAGGGAATATCCTACAATCAAGCGGATAACATTGCAATTCAATATCATTTCCCCACGTTGGAGCTCGTGGCAGAATTTTGGAATTTCATTCGTCGAACATGAACTGTATGATCTCCAGTCTATGTCTTTGTTTGAACAGAAGGGTGAAAAGTGGTATGCAGTAAGACTTGGTGCGCGTGTGAATGTAGCGCAGATGACTTTCGATATCAAACGAGGGGATTTTAAGTCTTAGATTAGATACAATGACCCGAAGTGTAGCGAAGGGGGTGTGGATAACTACATAACAAGATATCTAATTGATCACGTTGACGACCTGACGTTCCTTTGATCTACGGTGGCGGCAGTACCACAGCAATCCAATTGCAATGATGAAGATGAAAATCAAGCAGATGATGAGACCTGTAAGCGCCCCGTCGGACATTTTACCGCTTTTTTGGTTTCCTTGTGACGCAGGCCGCTTGGCATTGGTGGTCGAAGACGCAATAAGGACAGGCGCCGAGGTCGATGAGGATGTCAAGGGCCATATCTCATCAATCGCCATCGCATCAGACTTTCCGAAACGGTCTGTTATGTTTCGGGGAAAAACCTAATTGAGAGGCAAAAAGGGGCACGGTACGTTGGTGGAGTAGTGCGGTGCGGTGGTGGAGTAGTAGAGTATGTTGGTGTTGGTGTGGCACGGGAGAGAGGTGGCGTGAAGCATGGAGTCGCCGACCGACTTCCATCTGCAGCTAGTTATAATCGGGATCCTCGTAGCAATGGTAAATTTCGGATTCGGTTTCCATATCCCGTTCGTACGGAAACTGAATCGAGAATCGAGAATTTATTTTCATATTCTAGTTTTGGATAACGTTATTTCTCACCAGGTGGATCAAAAGAGACGTCCGCGCCTCTATCCGGCAGTTTGCTCACACACAGACCGATTCCTACTCAATTTCAATGATGTTCAAACAAATTTGGTTCTTTCTGCCTACTGCCGTTTTTGCTCATAGTTGGGTGGAGAGGGCGTACGTTTTCAAGGACGGATCCATCACAGGAGATCCAGGTTATCCACGTGGGAATGGTATGGCACACAAAATTACTTCATAACACCAGTTAAGATGGGAGAATAGTACTCAGAACCCCTACATTTCTTGATCAAGATATGACATATCGCCTACCTCCTACCGGACGTACGCCAAACAAGATTCTTCCTGAAGATCATATATGCATGAGCTCTCAGCGTTCACATAACTATACTGAAGATAGCCCTGTCTTATCTGCACGGGCAGGTGACGATATTCTACTAATGTATCAGGAGAACGGCCATGTGACAAGGATTGACCAAGACGCGGGACATAATCGTACTAGTGGCACTATCATGGTAGTAGGTACACCAAATGAATCCCTCGCTAACAGTTTTCAGTCTGTCATGTCCCCTATGAACAACTACACGGAGACGCTCAAGGTAGGCAGCTTTGACGATGGCTTATGTTACCAGGCAAACGAAACACCAAAATCAAGATACAGGCAATCCTTGCCCCAGCGAGCTCATCTAGATAGCGAAGGCATCAATTTGTGGTGTGGTATATCCGTACATCTACCACCGCTGTTGGAACCAGGAGACACATATACACTGTACTGGGTATGGTTCTTCAATGGTACAGGATTTGAAGAGGTATATACGACGTGTCTAGACGTCAAAATTATCATGTAGCTTTCCAAGATATATAGAAAATACTGAGTTTTGCACGCCCTAAACTCATGTTTGGTTCTCGTTCTCAGCGGAAATAACAAACTCCCCATCTTTCAACACCCACGAGTGATCAATGGAGCATTCAAGTTTAGGACATGTTCCCAGTTATGAATTGATACTCAAGCATTTCATCCAGTCCTAACGCAGGTCAGTAAACCGCTTTGCATCTCAAAGGTAAAGTTGGTTTACCATCATAGGCGAGCGACAAGGCTAGTTTTTGCTGATTGTTCAAGTGTATTTCCACATTTCCAAGCTCATTGAGCGTTTTTGCAAACATTTTGAGCAACTTTCGCTCTTCCCGGGTTTGCCTCAAAACTGCATTCCTAGAGCGCTTTTGTCGGATGGTTTTGTGGGATTTCAACACCAATTTGAGAAACTGGAGGCGTTCTTCTCGCAATATAAGCTCAAAAACTCGCAGATTTGCACTCATGGCAGATGTATTCATAGTGAAGGGAGAGTAAGTAATAGAGAGTGATTAAGGATGTTGTATGTGCAGCTGCTCAGTATTTATGTTCTGCCAAAGCAGACCGCGGATTTCTTCACTTTATTGGCCACATAAGCGCCTTCGCTCGCGGTATTTGCTGACACCTGGATTTTATTGTTGACATATGACTAAAAAAAGACTATGTAACCCAAAACGCGCACAAACATCTCAATTTGAAGTATACTGATTGACCCACATGTTCAAGCATCCAGGTGGGAGACAGAGCTCTGTAGAAATCTCGGTATAGGCCACCAAATGCTGACAATTAGCCCACATATAAACAGCGAGCATTGCCATCCGAGGATTGTAATATCTCCCGATCACGGCATTCGTATCAACCCCGATATGGGCCTGTAGGTCATGCCAGACCATCTTACCAATGTACCTGAACTCGCGAATTATGCGGAAGATGTTTTTGTCATCTTTATGTAGAACAGGTTGTAAAATCTTCAGAGCCTTATGAGCCAGCGTTTGCCGAGGGCCTGGCGGCATCACAGCCACGGATTTGTACGAAGGTCCCGGGGCTATCGGGGCTCGACTCGACGTCCCTGTGCCCATGGCAGTTGGAGGAGCCTCGGTAGCTTCGTGACTCATCGTCGTTTGGCTTGAATCACAACATTGTGCAGGCTGTTGGTGATGGTGGTAAAAAACGGCGTGGCTACCTGCTGCTGGTTGAGGGAGCATATTCTCTGTAGTTGCCGACGCTGCTGATGGACGGCCGCCTGCCAGCATGGTCACCGTCGGGGGCTGTTGAGATTGATCTGGAGCCGTAACATATCCGAGCTGCAGTTGCTCTAGTTGATGTTCATACTGCTTGAGGGGTCTGTGTTGAATGCCAATTCCTGCAGCATGCTCAGCCGAGCTCCCTGGCGCATTGGATTTTGAAGGCTGCATGTTTCTCCGCTTATACTTTCGCGGCTTCCCAGCGCGGGTTGGCGGCTCTAGTATAGATATGTCGTTCCCCAATGTCACCTCGGTCCATTCACCGCCAGGTTGCTCATTAGTTGTAGGCCCTCCACTTTCGGGGGCGGGGTCTGCCGATTCGTGGTTGCCACGAGGTGTTTGGTTCGAAGCCTCGTGATTTCCCGTTTCAACCACTATCTGAGTTATTACGCCTGCTTGAGATGCACGATGTTTCCCATACCTATGACAGAAAGCGAGGTGGTCTTTGTTGGGCTGTTCTCATTGATCGTCGGCAGGTCGGAAGGCTGAGGTTCAGATGGGTTCTCTTCATGATCGTGATAGATACCTTGCAATCTTGCCGTTAGACCAAGCGAAGACTCACGATCGCGGGCAGCTTCGGGGGCTGGTGTGTGCGCAGGCGTGTTCTGGGGGCCAAACTCAATCGCTGGGGTGATGTCGCGATTGTCTGGCCTCGTTGGGCTCGATGACTGCTCACGTCGTGCCATCTTGCGAGTTCTTCGGGAAGTGGCTGCACGAGTTTTTGCCATTGCTTTAGATGATGATTGTAGAAGTAGATTTAAGTGTGGGCAGCCACGGACGAGAGCATGATCTATAAACCTACCGATCAAACCGAGAGCAAGTTTGATGATCGGAATCACGATAGCATTTTTCAGAAATCGACAATATGGATGGGCAGATAGCTGTGCCACTGCACTGCACGAATGAAGGCGGCTGGACTGCATGGGCTTTCCAACATGTGATATCCAGAATATTTTATTGGTGGCTTACCGCGCCGCACGCGTTTCCCGAATACGCAAGCGCTGAGGCGTATGGAGATAGCAACCATGTGGCAGTCTCCTCGGCAAAGGGCTTTAACCCTTGGGCCAAATGCAGCCCTGTGCGAGAGGTTCGCGCAGGGGCATACTCGCCTCAGGGGGCCAAAGGTAGCCGGGTCATCGTTCGCGCATGGTGCTCAGCACGGACAAGATCTTCCCCCTGCACGTCCGCACGTCCGCGTTCGCCCCAAGGTCGAAAGATCTGCTGGTGTTAAACGGTCGTGGGCCAACGCACTTTTAACAGGACGCCGCAAAGTCAATCAAGTTTTGGGCGAGCACCTTCCCTACACGTCTTTTATGTCACAGCATCCCAACATACGCTACGATACATCTCCAGGGGGACATGGTATTCTATTGGTCACCCACTCGGTCCCTCTGACATCCGACCCATCACTGCCGCGTAGGACAAGCAAATGCGCCGCTTTCATACGCGGGTGGGGTATCCAGCATGAACGGTGACACCGATAAGGTACAGATGATGCAAGTGCACGATCACTGGAACATTGAATGTATTACGCTTTACTAACCCCTTTTCGTCTGTAACCAGCCTCCTTCAGGGGTGTGGTACAATCATATCACTTCAATTGAATGTATTCATCTGGGTACGCACGAGCCTAATCTAAGAAAACCTTGTACAAGAAGACTGGCTGACGCTAGTCTTCTCAGGGCGAAATCCAGCCAACGAAAAATGTATGTCCTTCTTGCTCAATTTCACGCCACGCCTAACGGCATCCTCAAATTTGGGCGATCCAGACACTATCTCAAATTAGCACATATTAGAAACCGAGCGGAGATCATGATGCAAACATACCAGAAACGATCATATTGCCAGCTTCTGCTTTGCTGTCTTGCTCGAGATACCATGCTACATCAAATGATTTGTTCGTGCGGATGTGTCTTTCCCGGACAATGCTGGATCCTTCATGGGCATAAGTCCGCCGCGGCACAGAAACCCGATCTAACGTGTTATCTGGTGTAAAAGTTGTTGACGTAAAGATGTTGCGATCGTCTTCTTCTATGAGCCTAGTCAAGAACCCTTGTGCCCAGTATTCTTGTTCTGCGAATGAGTCAGAATGGCGCTGTACTCGGGATCTTAAGGGTCAGGACACATTACCTTTTGTTTCGAGAAACCACACGAGTGTTATTCTTCGCACCCGGGCTTTGCAAAGGTTGTGTGATCTTAGGAGGTGCTGGATGGCAAGAAGATGAGCGGCAATACCAATCCCGCTCGCCATGAAAAGCACTTTGTCGTACTTCTCCAGCGATTGATAAGAGCCATATGGACCATCAACAACAGCAGAGTATCTTGTTTCTTGGCTTGTAAACAGGGCATCACTGAACCCCCCCTGTCGCTGGATGAGAACAGTAATATCAGATCCGTCGACCCACGCGATGGCGAAGGGGTGAGTCTGTACAAAACCGGCTCGATTGCGGTCTAGCCTAGGAAGCGTCAGGTATACGTATTGCCCTGGACTGACATCCCAAGGCTTCTCGAGTTGTATCGTCAGCTCAATCGCATGAGCCTGTCCAGTATGGTGTTTGTAAATAACTTTACCCGTCGAGCGAGCACCAGGATTTCGGTAGACCAGGCGAATCAGCCACACTACATGCTGCAAAATCCATAGCCCAGATGCTATTCCCAAACATACAACAGCACGAGATTTGTAAAAGTAGACGTGAAACCAAAGAAAGCCGACTAATACGAGAGCGAGGGTAAGATGGGCCTTGACGAAGAGTTCGAACTTTAGCCGCCGAAAGTAGAGAAAGGATAAGCCACCCAGCGAGGCTAATAACGAGAGGAGCTACAAATATTAGTTACATTTCGGCATTGGAGTTCAGATCACATACTATCGTTTCCATGGTGGACGAAGATGAAGTAGCAGAGTTCACAATACCATGAACAAGACCGAGTACAACGCAAACTCTTCCCACCCAGCGGTGCATCAAGGTATACTGATCCAATGAGATTCGCAGTATTCGGTCTGCGAATAAGTTTGTTCGCCCCCCGAGAAGAAGTGGGATAATATTGATGATCAAAAGTGTCCCGCATCGTTTAGCGAGATGTTGAATGTCTGCGAGTCTAAAGAGGCAAGCTGTGATGTTCATTGCGATGAATAAAATGATGTTGATCATACTGAAAACTGGGGTATCCGTTGATGCAGTCCGACGCCGAACTACCAAGGTATAGACCAGAGCCTTGCGAATGAGAAATGCAATCTTGGTCTTGGTAGTCGATTTCACCAGCAACCAAAGTCTCCAACAGAGAAAAACGAAAGAACAAGCGGCAAGAGGCACGATGTAGGGGAATAGTAGATCCATGGTGCGCACAATCATATCATTGCACCTCACAAGACGCGTCCCGCGTTATACCCGTAGCTATATGTTCCTGATTGACGCTGAAAGCAGTGGCATTCATGTTCCAAAAAACAAATTTTCGAAAATCGGTGTTAGATTTCACATCACGAAGTTGAGATTTGATAACGCGCGTTTCGAAACTCATACACTCTCCCTAGTGAGGGTGTGCAGCTGGATTTAACCGACCCGCCCCGGAATTATACTTTAAGCGCTAGGTGGGGCGACACCCCCTACCCTGTCAAACGAACCAAGACGGGGTTAACAGCTCCCGAAAGCACATTCCATTTTCTATAAAGAGGTCTCCAAACATGTCTCTACACGACGCTCCATTGCACTGTGCCATTGCGCAACCATACTCATAGGTGCTGCTCCAACTATCCACGAACTTTTCACACCGACATCATGGACTCCAAAAGAGATAGCAATTTTTTTGAGCGCCGCCGGACTGGTCTTGATCGAAAGGCCAAAGACTTGGTGCTACAGAACCAAAATGTCAAAATCCTCACCATCTACGGCTACGGTGACGATATCTATCTATTTCGCTCTCATCCTCATCTTGAGTGGCCATGGTCTCACTCCGACATGGAACGGCTGGTAAGAGAGATCAAGCTTTATTGCCTTTTGTAGATTGTTGACCACATTGTAGCTGGGTGATGCCGTCGAGGAAAGAAACATGGACAATTACTCCTTGGAACAGAAACAGATCGATCGAATGGCCATTTGGAGACAACGTCAAGGCCTTGTTTCATGGACTAATCAATTCAACATCAATAACTCGGAAGTTGCAGGAAACGAAAACGATATATTGTCTCGTGTCCCACCCAACCACCCCGCTCAGCATCCAACCGCCCATTCTTCTAGCAATGCTCAACACAGAGCGGTCAACAATCGCATTGATAATCAGTTGGAACTGGCTCACAGGCAGGCGGAAGCCGTCACTGGAGCTCTGCAAGACAACACCAGCCGACCACCAGCTGAAAATGTCCAATCACCCTCCAAAATGCTTACTACTCCCCCCAACGATATCTCTGGCTATGTTCAGGACGCTGCGTTTGATCAACTTCCTTCATTCACAGGTCAGGTCGACGAGTCATTCGATCCTTGGCCTCTTTCACCACCTGTGTTGCAGGTACAGCCATCCGTCCGACCGTCCCCAAAATCAATCGTCAAAGCAGAGCCTGTCTCCGATGATGAGCCGGATGAAAACGATGTGACAGACGAAGAATACTTCAACCCAGGGGACATGACTGCAGCCGTGCCATCCATCTCGGAGGTTCAACGCAACTCACCCAAACGACGTCGTACAGACTCCAATACGTATCATAGCCCAAGGCCTATGATTAGCGCATCCTCTCCTCATTCCCAAGGATTCACCCCAATCAATGGTTCTGTAGTCACACGCGGCATCAGACAGACGCAGTCACACCCCACTCTCAGGGCACAGCCTACCAACAATTATCCAGCCGGACGTTTGAGCAAGCATCAAGATGGATACGCTACACCAAATGCGTATAATCTACGCAGAGGCCGCTACCATCGCGGGTGAGAGTGATTTATTCGGTTTTCGGTATTTCCTGGACGTCGATCTAGTTCTTTCATATAGTCCCTCACTTTGTAGTCATGATAATTCAATCCTGTCGTTTCGTATAACTATAATCTTCCACCTTGCATTCATGATATACTCTACCGATCGTCAACCGTGTTTCCGCGCCCGTGAAAGAATATGTGTATCTTTTCGAACATAAACAAACTCAGATCATAATCAATTTGTTTATCTCTATCTACTATATCCAGCAGCAAACGCTCCCAGCCTATAGCGCTTAAGTAGACGGCGAAACACGATGCGATCGAGGAAGAAAATGATATAGATTCACACACTGAACAATTTACTCGTCTATCATCTAGCTATAAGGCTTGAAACACATTCTACCAAGTTCAAAGCTGATTCAGCCTTCTTTTTAAGGGGGTGGCAGGCAAGGGTCGCTCAATTTCGACCGTTTCGATGGACCCGAATGGCGCGTTGAGGCCTTGAAGTAATATAAGATCCATTACACGTGCAGGCATACCACTTATTCTGGTCTCTTTCGTAGTGATATGTCGGATGCTGATTTCGAACCAGTCTTGTAGGCTGCTGACAACGAAGTTGACGGGGCATAAGAAAGGTGATAGGGAGTGATTCATCTTTGTGTTCCATGGTATCTGCTGTCCATCAACCAGAAACACAGTCGAGCTTTCTTCCAAAGTTTTATACAATGCTTTCCTCCCCGCAATCTTCAGGGGCAACCGACAGAAAATTGTACCCTGACACCTGTAGGCTCCTCTCTCAAGGCGAGAAAACTCGTCTATCTCGAAATAGAATGATGACGCAATCATTGCATCTTTTGCTAAGCTGAGTTGAAGATTGGCGATCAATGCGTCGCTTGCTTGTCGCTTTAGTTGGTCAATAGCTGCGGCTTCATGGAGCTTGGGCTGAGATCCAGGATAGTAAACATTGAGCCGGTAGTAGCGTTCACGCAGTTCCGTGGGGACACAACTAATGAAAAGATCCCACTGAACCTCCCCATCCAGTGTTCTAGACATGGACTGGAGAATTCGTCCGATAAATCTATCCTTCTTGGGAGAATGGGGTCCGACCTGGAATTTGGAAGTAGATGATGCCCCCGTTCCCAGGGAGAGCATAAAATCCAGCCCTGCCGTACTCTGCTCAAACATCTTATACTTCTCTGGCCATAAGCGACAGCACTCCCAGCTAGCGACGAATGCAGGGTTATTGTGGTGAAGACCCCCATCCTGATACGTGTCTAACTGGTAGACGTCTTTTGGTTTGAAGAAGAAGGGTGCTGCGGAGGTGCAGGCAGCGCTGTATCCAAATGTTAGCAGCAATTCCACGATATTAATAGTTGACATACGCATCACTTATCGAGATATCGTCATTATGCACGTTTGCCCGCACATGCCGATAATCTATGTATGGTCAGCAATTTAATCAGATGGTATCTGACCCACACTTACTACGGTTACCGGAGACAGGCCTTCCATTGTAGTTTGTGTGAATGCAAGAGATACTTTCTCGTACCGTCACCGCCGTAACACCAACTTTGGTGTCCTTTTGTAACGGGTTGAAGAGTTTGGCTGCCAGACTGAAATCTGAACTGAATGCCTTCTCTATTGGAGATGTGTTGTATCTATGATCTTGAATACACGCATGAAAGATTCGACGAATGCGTTGAGAATATGAGTAAGTCTCTTCCTGGTTTACTTTGAATGTTTCAAAGGATAACTGTTCGAATCGGGTCATACAGTCATCCAAATTCCAATGCATCAAAAAGATACCAATGGCAATCAAACCTCCTATCAAGACAGATTAGAGACCTGGAGGCTATCGGAGATTGAAACTTACCAGCTGAAGTGCCGCAGATATAGTCAAAGAAATCATGAAAGGAACATCCGAGGTAGTCGTACTCCTTCTCTAAATATGACAGGAATGTAAGCGGTATAACACCTCTGATGCCCCCACCATCAAGGCTTAGAGTGCGGATTCCCGCAGTAGGCGGGACTAGATGAAATGTCGACTTCACCATAGGTTGATCTACACCACAGAGAATGCATGCTGGCAAATGGAAAGCATGCTTGTTGTAACGCGAGTGTCTTCCAAAACGGCGTACACAAGAATTGCATATAGCGTGGCCACATTGAAAGACTTTCTCGGGAGTAGACATCAAACAACAGAAACACGACCGAAAGCTAATCATCTTAACTAGATGAGGTGAAAGACCTTCTAGTAATTCACGATGTTGACGAACGGCACTATGATTGTGTGGATCGTTCTCGTGCCGCTGAACAAGACCATCCAACTCTGCTTGAATGTTCTGAATGAATCGTTTCTGAACTTCAAGATCATTGGTGTAATTTCGTATGAGTCTTCTACAGTCGCCTGCGTACAGCTCTTCGAAAATGTCCTTTGGTCGGAATACTAGTCAAGTCAGATACGGATGATAGGAGGATACTGTGACTTACAATGGGCGGCAGGGGGATAATTAGCCAGATGAATGGCCGAAGCTATCAAAGGGATGACAACAGCCCAGATGTATGACGGACTGGGCATCAGCGTAAACATTTCCTCGAGGTGGGAGGGAAATTCGGTTTTCGTAAAGCCGACTGGCCGACTTTCTTTAACAAAGCTGAAGGAAGACAATTCGTTACCAAATTGAGAGATTAGGCGCTCAAATAAAGCATCCAGATGAGCTACAGAGAAGAGATACTTGGATGTCATCTTCGTCCAATGTACTTCCTCATTTAAGGCAAACAGTCGTTGGTAAAGTCTGTAAGGACTGGCTCGACCTTTGCTCAGGCCAAAGACTTGAATGCTTCGAAACTGTGATTCCAGCTCGAGTTCTGCGCTCTCCAAATCTTTATATGCATCCTTTTCGAGAATAATCTCCAATGTCTGCTGTCGGATCTTTTGCGCCATTGCACGACCATCAAACCTAATAGATCGCGTATCTACAACCACTAACACATGCGGTCGAATCGAAGAAGGATACTTAGACCAATCGGCTAAGCATATCTGTGAGGCAAGTATTCTCGAAACGCCAGAGATACCGTTCGTGTCCGCCGCAAAATAGCAGAGCACATTTGACATGGGAGCCAAAACGGACGATGTAAAAGCTTCAGATAAGTTGCGAATACCATCCTCCTCTGCATCGATCCATTTGATAGGTATTTTTGAGGTCGCAGTGCTAGTATTTGGTAGGTCCTGATCTTGATGGTGGTGCTCATAATCTGCGTAGATAACTGGAGCAGATAGGCTTGCAACCTTTGGAGTCATGAGCTGCAGCTGGCCATGTTTTCTAGCTGGAGTTTTGTATCCAGTCAAGCGAGAAACAACCGATTTCTTTCTCTTCGACCCGAAGAAGGTGATCAATGAAGGGGATGTTTGCTGAGTCTCCCGACAGAATTCTTTCAACGCAGTGTCGTGTGTGCAGAGAGTGGTCTGGCGGTTCTCCCGGACGAAGTCAACCCAAGGAAGGAACGCCATTTTTCTGAGAGTGGTGAAATGCAACAGACACCAGTTTGCGGGATCATCTGAGATCCAAGTATCGGTAGGCACACATAGATTTTACCAGAAAGCCCGGACCATCGTCTGCGAGTTTACTGCATCCAGAATCTTGAAAATAGACTAGTCATCGGATTCGGCCCCCAACGTCGCATCTTTCCGGAAATCGGTTTTTGGGTCTATCAAAAATGGTGCAATCGCGATTTCCTCAAATGGTACCCGACGGAGCTGTTCGCATGGCCAAAGTAATCAGCTTACTACGAGCACAATCTATCACCACGCCATCGTTCCTATCATGCGCACCGAAAATGCTGCTTCGGATAGTATTGTGCTCGCATATAATCGCTCTGCACGGTTTCTGGGTCATGCACGCGTTGCATTGGACAAGCTGAGTTTCGACAAATCAATGAGGACTGGACACCGTGAAGTACCAGAAAAAGTCACGAACCAGCTCATAAGCGTATTCAAACTAGAAGGCTGCCGGCGTTTTGACGAAGAGACTTTTATTGATGTGTTAATTGATCAGAAACTCTTCGAAAGTATACTATTATCGACAGAATTCACACTGTCATCCTTCCGTGAGGAAACCAGGAAATGCGCTGCGCGTGAAATACCTTTCTTAGATCTGAGCCAGAAAGTCGACTGTCTCAACGGACTTCGACGTACTAGAGCCGCTCAGAAGTTCTTGGATCCGAATGATCAATGGTGGGTCGTGAAGTTGTATTCCGAGGGTAGCTTTCCTTAGTGCCTACAACACTCTCAGATCACTAATCCAACTAGATTTCTCGTTTGATGCCCGCGAATCCCTCGTTCAATCCTATCAGCATGAGCACAAGTTTTCCGATGGAATAATTTTCCGAAACATCCGAAAAGCGAAACGAGATGGAAGGATAGATGACGAGAATCTTTGGTGGGCCAGATTAACAGATGGAAAAAGGAGGGATCTTCGCCAGTTGATCAAGAACAAAACTTTGATTACAGGCTTTGACAATTTGTTGCAATATCCGGGATTATGGGATCCTGTTCAACTGGGTACACTACATCGTTTACATGGGCTGCGTTGCGAAGAGGTATGGATTCATCAACGACAAGGAAACTAGTGTATCTCTGACACATTTACAAGGAGCTAGCCAACTACTTAGCTCACATAAAAGATGTTTGGAGCTTTATTGTGGGTGATGGCAGCTGCCATCATGTTGACACGAGTACAGTGCAGTCCCTAGAGCTTCGTGCCCCAGGAGTGTCAAAATGCGACGCACACAATATCATGCACGACAGCAAGATATTTTCCTCTGTTAACCACCAACAGAGATCATTGTATCTGAGCCGCGTGAGTCTTATAAAGCGAATTATTCCATCCCTGCGGGTATTCTTCGAAAATCAGAAATACCTCGAGCCCTGCAGTTTGGTTTTGAGAAGCCTATTGAGTGCCAATGAGAAACGCTCGCTTTGGAAAGCGTTCAGTGCCAATTACTTCACTCCCCAGCAGTTTGAAGTACAGACGTCAGAATACGAACACACCATTGTAAATACGACAATTCTCAACATGCCAAGGGATGAGCAACAGCAATATCAAAAACAGATAGGTTATCTCCAACTATGGTTGTTTTGCCTTCGAAATTTCCCAGAGATGACTAGTATAACGCCTAGGATTGGCATCAGCGGAAAGAAAGTCCGCAGCAAGAGGAACGAGGCCCTCTGGCAGAGACTTGGTTTCCTAGCCTGCAAGTATGGTTTTCGGACTGAACGGGCCGAGCAATTGGCCGCTGCCAATCCAGATAAGGAGCACATAGATCAATTTTTGAGCGCTGCACGATCAGGGTGTGACAGACACAACGAATATGATAACATTGTGTCAAAGATCATGGCATTAATAGAAACCATACCGGTTTCTCCGAGGGAATCGTCGGAAATACTCGTTGGTTCGAACTTTTGTGATTTTGCATTTCGAGACGGAAGACCACACCAGGACGATCATGAAGCCGACAAAAACTCCTTATTCCTCCGTCTATTCAGCATTGATACACAGTCGATGGGAGCTCACACGGAATTCACAACTTTGTATGTAAAGCGTGACTTGTTAGAGGCATTCTTCTTCAGTGTAAGTAGTATGATACTTTCGACAACGCGTGCTGACCTCATTTCTTAGACTTCCTTTCGAGTACAGCTTCCAGATGCTACATGGACGTTACCCCGAATACCCATTGGAAGTTCCACTCCCTGGTCTAGAAATTTTTCGGAACTTCAGTCCCAGCTACTCGAAGTTCAAAATGATATGGAGGAGCAGAGACAACGGTTTCTCCTGGAGAAACGTCAATGGGATAGTAGAATTGAGGGGCTTCTGGAGGAAAACCGCCAATGGGAAAGGTCTAATCGGGAACTCACGGATGAAAGAACAAGAAGAACTCTTCAAGTGCAAGAGGAAAACGAAAAGACGCAGCGGCTGTACGAGCGGATTAAAATTCTGGAAAAGGAGTGTTCTGACCAGGAACAAGAGCTTCAGGAGTATCGCGATGACAATATGTTCGGCGATAGATCCAATGAGAATGTGGGAGCTTCAACCGAGCTTCAGGAATTGAGACAACAGCTCGATGTGGCCAACTTTGAGCATGGTAAAAGCTGGGAACAGCAAGAATCTATGCGACTGGAGCTCGAAGCAAGGGTACAAGAGTCCCATAGATCCATTGAGTCGCTACGCGAAGAGAACGTCACTATGAAAGTAAAGCTGCAAAAACTATCTGAACAAAACGGCACACATGTCGCCGACAACCAAACCCTAGTCGACAAACTCAAAAGCTATAAAGCTTTGGAAATAGAGCTACATGAAGAGAAAAGTCGAAATGCTTCAACAGATGAAGCACAACAACGTTTCGTACTTGAGAAAAAATCGCACTCATTTACAACCGAGCAATTAGTCCACGAGAGAGCTCACGCCGAAACCATGAAAAAGCAGATAGAAAAGTTGGAAGAAGATATAGTATCGTTTCAACAGCAATTACGTGACAAAGATGCTGAAAAAAAACAGATCGAAGAATCATCGGTCTCATTGGAGGAAGATATCGCATTGTTGCGGAAACAACTCCAAGACAGTGAAGGAAAACGCCCTACATCGAACCATGAAAAGGAGGAGCAGCTTTTATCATTGAACAATCAACTCGATCAACAGCGGCAAGCTTACAAAGCAATATCAAGTGACTTGGAGCAAGAGAAGAGTCAGTATGAAACGACCAAAGGACAGCTCGCAAGTGAGAGACATGCGCATAGTCAGTCTCTCGAAATGCATGCTGATGAGATTGCCTCCCGCGATAGAAAAATAGAGAATCTAGAAGGCCAGTTAGGAACAGAAAAGCAACTCTTAGTGAGAGTGAATGAACGTCTGGCAAGCGTGCTGGAGGAGCAGTCGCAAGAATTCTTGAGACTCAAGCAAGCCGAGACCAAATTAAAGGACAGCAGTGCACGCCATCGAAATTACGTAAGGTACATGCGACATCGCGAGTTACTCTGGCACGTAGATGATGACTACTGGCTCAAACGAGAAACCAACACAGATGCTGCAGACGAGGCTCTTGCAGAATCGACCCGAAGCATCATGAATCAAGGGGTTTCTCTCACAAGGACTTTTGATATACGAGATTTCGAAATGCAGGTAGAGACTGAAAAAGAACAGGATGTCGTTCATCTTATCAATGTGGATCCCTACCCAGGCGATCATATCATGATAATCTATGTACGAAAGATTGAAGGTTTTCGTTCTGCCAAATACTTCATACCCTCATCAACCTCTATTCCACTAAGAAATTTTATCAACGCTCTTCCCAGCAGCATAACCTTCTGCATCGTACAACGTAAAGGAAATGAGTACATACCTCTTGTATTTCCGTTTTCGGATGCTACACAACTGATAGATACTTGCAAGCGGCAGGGAGTTTGCTATGTAGGAGAGAAGAATGATATAGATGCCTTGATGGGAGTTTTACATGGTTTAAACAGCGGTGGACTGCGAGGTAGCAAGCGACCAGGTGAATCTGGTAACCAGAAGTTGTCCAAATTTAGGGAAAAGTATTGATGTATCAACATAATGCAATAAATGATGCCCAAAACTCTACCTGGTCACTATTTGCATATATTTTCAAGGATCATATATCAATGAGTCAGTATATGACGAGCGCACTATCTGACATGATAAAATAGCATGGGATTCACACTTTCATTGTAGTAAGTAACATCCCTCAGCACGTAGCGAGAAAAACTACAGGTACCTACACTTTAAAGTAGCATAAATCTCCCTACATTAAGATATATACACTGCACTGTTGGTTATAGATATAAAGAGTCTTCCTCTACCTACCTAGCGCCGCCTTTAGTAAAATTACCAATCTTGCTGTCGCCTTCGGGGCCTTAAAAGTAGAGGCTTTAGTTTTCGGCGCAGCACGACTCCTCTATTATGACTCTAGCACTAGGTCTTTAGCACTCCTAAAGTCATAATAATCCTGTATCAACAGCATGAACCCCGACTAGCACGCTGATAGGTCGTCATGAGCCCTATAGCGGATCGAATCGGATAATTCATACAATGTCGCCACACTGAATGATACCTTCTCATTTAAGCGAGATGACCCCAGTCATCCTAAAGCGCCCTTTGGATAATAACAATGTAATGTAAGCTGACAAGCCGTGTATGTGGCTGGTGAGCTTGTGGCGGTGCACACGCCCAGTGTTTGCTTAGTCAGCTAATGCGTCTCAGCGTCTCAAACCGCTTAACAGTCATCGAGCAACTTCGAGATGCGGTCCAACGCATAGCGATAGGTACGTTTATAACGTAGAGACATGCCATTCATGCCACCCTCAAGCTGCGAAGCCCGCCGTCGTCCCTTCCGCTGACCGAACGAAGACCTGCTCGAGCCACCACGTCCTCCTGCTTCTCGAGCCCGCCGGCGCCGATTCCTGGACCAAGCAGTCGAGAGCTCATCTCGGCTCGTTGAAGGGGAACACAACAGGGGGATATAATACTGAGCTGAGTGCAGCGGCCCTGGATGTATGAGCCTGCGCTTCGACAAGTTGGTTGAGTGTCAATGGCAGAACGTCATCGTTGTAAACACATACGAAGTTGGAAAGGCCCAATATGTTTTGGTGACACAGCTGTGGTACGGTCAAACAATCAACGGCTCCTTACATGAACACTGCAATTGCTAGGGCCGTAGAGGGGTGCTTCAGTTTGACCTCTGAGGGTTTTAAAGAGGTTTAGATTATTGATGTCGTGAGGAATGAGTACTAGCAGAGCTGCGATGGTGGCTAGACTTGGCAGATACTACACTATCTAGAGCTGCATACAATACCCTTCTCTTCAACTCAAGTACCTTTTATGTACTTGATAGATTTTCCTGTACTTGGTCCCTGCTACTCATATATAGGAGAACTATGTTGTAATATCCAACCAGAACCTAGGTTAGATATCTGCTAAAAACATAATCTATTGCCTACTACGATATAACAATCTAGCTGCTACTGCACATCCTTTTGTCGCGGAACACCTAACGTATCGCAACAAAGTTCTCCACTCAACTATATTGTGAATATATGTACGCACTAAGTGACTCTCAAATCCCATCTTATTATTATAAAACTTATGCTTTCTACTCCTGTTTGCTCGCTAGGGAAGACACGACGCTTTAGCTATGGTGCTGATTATTCTCTTCATGGTGACTATTTGTGTCTCAACTTTCAAAACCGACCACCGCAGAGATTCGAAGTATTATTTCAATCTGAAACTTTAGAATAAATCCACAGTATGAAACTTCTATGCTCACCATCTGTAGTGAGCTAAGCACTCGATTGTACGTATGAAGTCCGAGAGCTCCAAGGATGTTAATGCTTTCTTGAACGTCAGGTATTAGCGTCTAGAAAGTATTATGTCAAAGTATTGAAATCCACGCTATACCTTATCTCCTCGCGTTCCAGCAGGCAAGGATCTCGGTGATCTACAAGATATGTCCTCTTCTATTTTTAGTGTTCCTTCTTCCCTGTATTACTGTAGATAGTTATACAGCATGCACAGCCCCCGCTTAGTCAGGGAACATCATAACTAACGTTAAAGGGCTATGTACCCCACCTTGAACCGCTGAAGCCTCGCTCTTTTGAACATATACTTTGCGATCCCTCAACTACACACGACCAGTCTTTGGTAAGTGAGATCAGAAAATACCTCCCAGAGTCGCGCATCACTGATCTCATCTATTATACATTCCAGATTCATCATTTATTGGATTTACCGTTAACCGTGCTCTATCATGGCCGGCGCCGAAACCGGATTCGTTGTAGGTCTCATCTCAGCCACCATCACAATCATTGAGGCAACAAAAGCGATATACGATTCCGCCAAAGATGCACAAGGCCAACCAGAAGCGTTTCGCCAAGTAGCTGCAAGATTACCCCTAGTCGCCAGATTCCTCCATAACGCCCGAGCACGGGCATCTGCACTCAATGAGACGGAGCAGGAGGCATTGGAGCCAGTGCTGGAGTCTTGTAAAGTAAAGACCGAAGCTCTTTGGAAGATATTCCAGAAAGTAGTTCGAAGAGATGGAGACGGATGGTACGAGCGATACAAAAAAGCCGCAGTAGCTACAGTAGGAAAACGGACCAAGGTTGAGGCGTTGATGAGGGACATATTGCGGGACATTCACGTCCTAGCAACCGAAAAGCTAATGGAAGCTGGAACCAATGCCGAAAAGAAGGAGATCGAGGAGGCAATTAAAGAGATGGAGAATATGCCATCCTCTCTCACAGAGGATATTGGAGATGCTCTTCAACAGCACCATAGTGGAAGTGGTGATAATTATGGAGCTACTGGGCGAGCTATTCAGAACATCCATAAGGGTACCGGCGATATGTATCACAATCGAATCACTGGAGATGCACATTTTGGTGGTAAGAAATAGTGTATGACGTATTTCTATCACGAGTTAACGTATATACCCTAGCCAACATAACTCGTACGTCAATTTTCTCGTAACTATCATTATGACTATTAGCGCCGTGACTAAATGATTATCCTGATGAGCAGTTAGCCAACACCTCCCTGATCAACTGGACAAAAAATGCCTCCGGAGTTTAAGAGTTACTAATCCTCGGGATGATAAAACGAGGATTAAGGAAACAAAAGGTGGTTTGCTTAAAGATTTGTACCAGTGGGTTTTTCGCAATATCGACTTCCAGCAGTGGCGCTATGGACAGCAAGGCCGGCTGCTGTGGATTAAGGGCGACCCGGGAAAAGGAAAGACGATGCTCCTCTGCGGAATTGTTGATGAGTTGGAGGATGGCAAAGCTTCAACAGCTCTTCTTGCATACTTTTTCTGCCAGGCGACAGACTCACGCATCAATAGTGCTACAGCCGTGTTACGCGGCCTTTTGTACTTGCTTGTTGACCAGCAACCCTCGCTAGTCTCTCATATTCGAGCGAAGTATGACCAAGCAGGAAGAACGCTCTTCGAAGACGTGAACGCATGGGTTGCGCTCCGCGAGATCTTTACAAACATATTGCAAGATTCTAGCTTGGGTCGTACGCACTTGATTATTGATGCGCTTGACGAGTGTGTGGTAGACCGACAGAGGCTGCTTGACTTTATTGTTAAGCAATCATCTTCATCCTCCACCGTCAAGTGGATCGTCTCTAGCCGTAACTGGCCAGAAATCGAGCAACAGCTTGCAATGGCGGGGCATGGGGTGCAGCTGAGCCTTGAGGTGAATTCGGAGTCTGTGGCTACCGCCGTTAATATATATATTCAGCAGAAAGTGATCCAGCTGTCGCAGAGCAACAGATACGATGCCAGCACAAGGGAGTTAGTGCACCGCCATCTGTCTTCAAACGCAGATGGCACGTTCCTCTGGGTAGCATTGGTATGCCAGAGCCTTAAAGCCGTCCCAAAGCGGCATGTCCTGAAGAAGCTAAGTGCCTTCCCGCCTGGACTTGACTCCCTATACGAGCGAATGATGGAACATATAGTCAGCTCAGATGATGCTGATCTTTGCAAGGAAATACTTGCCTTAATCGCAACCACATATCAACCGCTTACGCTACAGGAGATAATCACGCTTGTAGAGCCATTTGAGGACGCAGCGGATGATCCTGAAACAGTAGAAGACATCATTGGCCGCTGCGGCTCGTTTCTTACTACACGGGAGAATATCGTTTACTTCGTGCACCAGTCCGCAAAAGATTTTCTGGTTAAGAAGGCTGCCAACACTATTTTCCCGTCTGGTACAGAGAACGCCCATTATGCAGTTTTCTCCAGATCCCTTAAGGTTTTGTCGAACTCGCTTTGTCGAGACATGTACAATTTACATGCGCCTGGATATCCTATCGAGCGGGTTGCACCGCCAGACCCAGATCCGTTAGGAAAAGCACGATATTCGTCTATTTACTGGGTAGACCATCTAAATAGCTGTGGCTCTATTGCTACTACAGAACATATAGCCGATCTACAGGACGGAGGAATCATTGACCAATTTCTACGACAGAACTACCTCTATTGGCTAGAGGCGCTCAGCCTTTGCAAGAGCATGTCAAAAGGAGTAGTATCATTAGCAGAACTCGAGGCTATTATACATGTAATATCTAGAACACTACTACACGTATAGAGAAGGCTAACATAACCCAGAAAACAACGAGCGACTCTGCGTTACGCGATCTAGTGAAAGACGCCCGTAGGTTTGTTATGTATCACAATAGGGCCATAGAGGAGGCACCCCTTCAAGCATATGTGTCGGCTCTAGTGTTTAGCCCTAGGCTTAGTTTGATCCGGAACTTGTTTAAGCAGGAGGCACCGCCTTGGATCTCTATAAAGCCGCCGATGAGAGAGAACTGGAGCGCGTGCCTTCAGACACTTGAGGGCCACAGCAGTTCAGTCAACTTAGTGGCCTTCTCTTACGACTCAACGCGGCTGGGGTCGGCGTCAGAGGACGGCATCGTTAAGATCTGGGATGCAGCCAGTGGCGCATGCCTGCAGACGCTTGAGGGCCACAACAGTCTAGTTAACTCGGTGGCCTTCTCTCACGACTTGACGCGGCTGGCGACTACGTCGCTCAGCGGCACCGTTAAGATTTGGGATACAGCTAGCAGCGTGTGCCTGCAGACGCTTAAGGGCCACAGCGGTTTAGTTCACTCAGTGGCCTTCTCTCGTGACTCGACGCGACTGGCTTTGACGTCATTGAACGGCACTGTTAAGATCTGGGACGCAGCTAGTGGCGCATGCCTGCAGATGTTGGAGGGCCATAGAGGTTTCGTCAACTCGGTGGCCTTCTCTCACGACTTGACGCGGCTGGCGTCGACGTCGTTTGACGGCACCGTCAAGATCTGCGACACAGTCAGCAGCGCGAGTCTGCAGATGCTTAAGGGCCATAGCGATCCAGTTAGGTCAATAGCCTTTTCTCAGGACTCAGTGCGGCTGGCATCCGCGTCGGACGACGGCACCGTTAAGATCTGGAATATAGCCAACGGCGCGTGCCTGCAGACACTTAAGGGCCACAATGTTTCAGTTAGGTCAGTGGCCTTCTCTCACGACTCAACGCGGCTAGTGTCGGCATCTAGTAACGGCACTGTCAAGATCTGGGACGCAGCCGACGGTGTGTGCCTGCAGACGCACGAGGGCCACAGCAGTTCAGTTGACTCAGTAACCTTTTCTTACGACTCGATGCAGCTGGCGTCAGCGTCCAATGACTGCACTGTCAAAATCTGGGACACAGCCAGTAGCGCGTGCCCGCAGACGCTTGAGAGCCACAGCGATTCAGTTGACTCAGTGGCCTTCTCTTACAACTCGATGCGGCTAGCGTCAGCGTCCAACGACTGCACTATTAAGATCTGGGATACAGCCAGCGGCGCGTGCCTGCAGACACTTAAGGGCCACAGTAGTTTAGTTAACTCAGTAACATTCTCTTACGACTCAACGCGGCTGGCGTCAGCGTCAAAAGACCGCACTATTAAGATCTGGGATACAGCCAGCGGCGCGTGCTTGCAGACACTTGAGGGCCACAGCGGTTTAGTTAATTTAGTGGCCTTCTCTCACGACTTGACGCGGCTGGCGTTGACGTTGTTTGATAGCACTATTAAGATCTGGGACATAGTCAGCAGCGCTTGCCAGCAGACACTCAAGGGCCACAGCAGTTTAGTCAACTCAGTGACCTTTTCTCATGACTTGAGGCGGCTAGCGTCAGCGTGTAACAACCGTACTATTAAGATCTGGGACGCAGCTAGTGGCGTGTGCCTGCAGACGCTTAGGGGCCACAGAAGTTCAGTTAGGTCAATAGCCTTCTCTCACGACTTAATGCGGCTGGCGTCAGCGTCCAACGACCGTACTGTTAAGATCTGGGACACAGCTAGCGGCGTGTGCCTGCAGACGCTCAAGGGCCACAGAAATTCAGTTAACTTAGTGGCCTTCTCTAACAACTTGACGCGGCTAGCGTCAGCGTCCAACGACTGTACCGCCAAGATCTGGGACGTAGCTAGCGGAGCGTGCCTGCAGACGCTCAAGGGCCACAGTGGTTGGGTTGGCCTGGTGGCCTTCTCTCACGACTCGACCGGGCTGGCGTCCGCGTCGGCCGACCGCACCGTCAAGATCTGGGATGCAGCCAGCGGCGCGTGCCTGCAGACGCTCGATGTTGGCCGTACACTTCTCACTCTGTCGTTTAACAATTATGGCTCTGGCCTTCTTACAGAGATTGGTGCTTTCGATCTTGATACCACGTCATCATCATCGTCATCATCAAATATTATAGCAGCCCAGAAGTCTAAGACTCCCCAGTACCAAGCCACTGCATTGAGTTTGGACAAGACGTGGATAACGTGCGATTCGCAAAACGTAGTTCGGCTACCCTCAGAGTATCGCCCTTACTGTTCAACTGTACAAGAGAATATGATTGGAATTGGTGTAGGATCTGGAAGGGTATGGATGTGCAGTGTTAAGTGTACGAGGTACTGATTTCTGCGAGGCTGTTTGTAGATAAATGAGAACCCTGTTTTTCTTCTGTCTCATTTATTATTCTCTTTATCCCTAAGGGGGATGTCGATTTGCTACATCGAACCTTTGAGGCGCCAGTTGATGACTCTTAACATATATAGAAAAGTGGTATATGAGCTTAGGGCAAAGCTTATCTTTATGCTATAGAAATTACAGAGATAACAGTTCTCAATCTCACTTAAACAGGCATATCTCTATAGGATAAGAAGAGGTCTGAGTGTAGGGTTCAAGAGGTTCTCTTCTTAAATACTTTGGATAGCAAGGTTTTTTTGTCTCGAAGTGTAAGTATTAGTAAATTGATCCGGTACGGTGGGTATTCCGCTACGGATGAATGTACAGTACAGTACAGAAAAGTGCATAAAAGGTACTTGAACTAGTGGTACCCTGGTTGTTCTGTCAGCATGGCGGTGGTGCATTTACGGGTATGTCGTCACTAGTGTCCGTCAGCATGGCCGACCCGCACCGGCCCTAACCCTGCCCTGGATGTTCTGGGGACAAATGGCATTTCATGATCGATCTGCTTACATGCCATGGCTCCCGGATTTAGTTCCCGCAGGTCAATCATTGAGTCTGGCCAATCAGCGTTCGTGTGCTGGCACAGTTAACATTCTACGACCATCGGTGCCAGCAGACAAGCGATGATTAGCTAGCGTCCAACCGCCGGGTATTTATAGACTATCGCGCCGTCAGTTCGAGTAGTTCGAGCTCAAATCGAGACCCGCGGGTACGCGTAAACCGATCCGATGTTTCTGGCTGTAACGTGATCGCACAGTTGCTCACTCCCCAATTAGCATTAATACACAAAGAGCAAGGGCAGTAGGAGGAGGCTGAAAAGCTGGAGTTTCAAGTACTAAAAACAAGCAAGGCAAAGCTGGGAAATAACTGTCTCAACACCCCACGAGCCTGAACAATCTTGCCTTTTTTTAGATCACACTTATCAGAATGGATCCTTCGTCTTTCATTTCCCAGTTTCCGAAATCGCTTTCCGTTTTCCATTTTCGACTTCCCGCAGTCATCATTTGTCTTCAAATTTCAACTTCCCATCCCGATATTGTTCCCTTGAGAGAATGCAACATTTCATGCGTAAATCTACTGTAACGCCACAAGGCTCTAGCAGAAATGTAAGCCTGTCGTTCTTGTCATGTTGTAAATTATAAAATAGGAGAGTCCTCAGATGAATGCTAAGGCTGCACGACTTTGGTGATTTGACTTTGACAGTAATGAAACAGAGATAGTGGGATTCGAAAATCCTTATCTTTAGGGATGGGAGTCTTGAGATAGAGCTCCGGGATAAGAAAAGGCGGACGGGCGAGTGGAGTTCTGTAAATTTCAAAAATACAATACTGGGTTGGGAAGTGGAGGATCGAAAACAAAGAATAGTTACAGGAAGTCGAAAATGGAAGACGAAAAACGGTTTAGAAAGGGGGAATAATGGAAGATAGGGATCCGTTCTGGCAAGTAGGACCTAGAAAATGGGAAATCCGATTCTGGAATATACAGCAAGAACGTTATATATTGATAATCTGATTGGTTCTTTGTGCTCTAGCATATGCGGGCGTGAGGATCACCAGAACATAGCACAGTTGCAGATGCTATGGTGTCATGATTAGATTCTGAGCACCACGCTTGCGACAGCTTATCGGACCCGTTTTTGGTTCCTGCTGTGAAGCTCTGGTTCTGATCTGTCTGCTGCTTATCAAAGCCACAACTACACCCCACTAAGAAAGCACGTTCATATCTTGGAAAACAGGTTGAAACATCACAAAAATATCGCCTACGGCATTGCCGGAGAACAGTGGCTCTCTATATAGGTAAGGAAGAAGTGTGTGGAGCGAGAACACCACGAAATTATTGGCTTTACCAGTTCTTAGTATGGTACATATTGAACGTTGTGTCCATTGTGGATCTACCCCGCTGTGGGTCCAGCTGACCGCTGCAATGGCGCCCCGCCCCACTGATAGTTGCGAGAACGCTAGGTCCGATGCGGCAACGTTCTCGGCGGGAGATGTTCTGTTTGCCAAGAGTTGCCAAATAACAATAAACCAATATCAACATTGTTTTCGCAAACTTGCTAACGTCCCTCCCTGCAGGTCGAAAACCCCCCTGGTTCGAAAAATGCGAGCGGTACATCGACTTTAGACCACTGTAATTCAGCCCACGTATTGATCTCTGCAGTCTTCCTCCGTATGTCTCCTATTGCTGCTATTTGAGAGTACTTTACATATGGTCAATACAAAAAATACCATCGCGTCGTCGCATAGTTGCCTGATCCGCAGAAAGCCTCTGTCCATCGTCAAATGGACTTCTGTCGCTGCAGCACCACCACGAAGCTCTTACCGCTATCCGGTCTGCTAAACAAAATCTATATAAGCCTGCAGTCCATTCTGACATACTTAGAAATTGATACTGGCCTGGTGGCTGGTGTCGCATAGAGATTCATGCAGGATCGCCATGCCCGCTGGTACTTCCATCCGAAGCTAGTCGCTGATCCTCGCTAATACAGTATGCCCCGCATGACTCCGCATATCTCACATAACCTAGGCGTCTATTTTACCGAACGCCAGTAAGCTGGCGCGACTGTAAGCAAACCTTACGTCGAGAGAGCCTGTAACCTTTACTAAGGTAATTCATTAGCTAATTTCGTTCCATAGCCCAGGTTTGTGGCTGTTGAGTCTGTGGCTGACTGAAGCTCGGAACGCGAGCATCCAATTCCGAAGCATCGAATAAACGGTTAGCCACACTTACTAGCCACAACAATGACTAACTTCCTCGGGTCTCCTTCGGTCTTGACTGTCCACCAGCGAACCTTTCAGTCGCAAGCAGCTATCTAAGCGCCGTAAGACCACAATCCCCTAGTCAACACCCACATTTCTTCTACGTTCCACTGCAATAGTGATAGTCTCCCGCATCCGCACCATGTGCAACGTTCGTATCATTCACACCGGTCGCAACTCTGCCGCAACTCGACCATGCGGTATTGCGTAACAGCAGACACCTGGTTGGCACTTCAACCTCCTTCGTCAATCGCAGACCAGTCTCTCGTGGTGTGCCGAGACGATACTTCGAAGACTTGGAAAACATCGCTTCGCGTTGTACGAGGTTGGATAGGTGCAGGTTGTTCTACTACACAATGTCCAGATGCGATGGATGGGGGTTGTGACCCAATGGAAAGATCGGAGCGTTTTCGTGACACTTGAGATTCGGTACACAAGTTACGCAAGTTCAAGCAGAACCAGAATTCTGTGAGACTGCAATGATTCTGTGCAACGTCGTCCCGGACGTTAATGGATAAAGGCTGCCTCAAGCTGCGCAGCTCATTAGCAGGTGAACGCTGCGAACCCGCTCAAACCTCAACCTACTAACGGCTCCATAATGGCCAGTGGTAGTAACATCTCCTCGGCACTTTCCTCGAACCCGTCCTCCTACCCGCCGAACACGGCCGTCGGTCGTTCTGGTAACAGCGCGACATTCGTTACGTCCTTATACGATCACCAAAAACAAGCGGATAGGGCAGCCGTGAGGCAAGCGCTCGCAGATCCAGCGCTTGCGGAATGGATGGAAAGAACGGCCTGGGCCTGTAAAGTGAAACGGAACAAGAACAACACATGTTGGTACGCCAGTCGAGTTTGCAGCAAGCATTCACTGACCCTGATACGGTGGCGATGGCAGAGTGCTGGATCGAAATCGAGGCCTATCGAGTCGTTCGTCAGTCGAACGATGATACTTCGAACGGAACCTAGGAAGGGAGCATATGTTGGCTGTACACATCGCTGACTGGCTGATTCGGACGATATCGTGAGCTTGGGCTCAGGCTCTCGCATGCTAGGGAAGACGATGAAGCATCGCTGAGAGCTTTCAAGATTATGTAGAAGTTCATGACGTAGATGTAGTCGAATGTTATGAGTTAGAGCTACACCATGGATGGGTTTGGAAGGGCTTTAAAGTCGGATCTTGCCGCGATAAGCGGGCCCCACTGCTGGAGCTAAACCCGGGAGCCATCGTGCGCAGATCAGCCATGAAGTGCCATCTGTCCCAAAAACATCTCCATCGCCTCCAGACAAGGTCAGGGCAGGAGCGGCTCGGCCATCTTCCCTGCTGGTGGTGGCAACTATTGACGCCGTGCCACTTTAGTGCTATAACTCACTACTGTGATACCTGCTCACCACAATGTCTGCTTGTATCTTATAATCAAGTCTTATGTACACTAACTATACTACAAGCAAACAGAGTACATAGCTAGTGTTGCCTTGTGCCTTAGATGCCTTCTTTTTGAACTTTCGCCACCAGCGCCCTTTTAGGGAACCTCAAGGTGCCCTTTCCCTAGCGTTTTCTTATATCCCTCCAATGCTCGCTGGTTCATCGCCTCAGCTGCCTCGTACTTACCCTGCTTCTGCAGTACTAGCGCCAGATTATCCATGCTAGTCAGCGTCGAGGGGTGCTCTTTCCCTAGCGCCTTCTCTCTTCCCTCCAGCGCTCGCTGGTTCATCGCCTCAGCTGCCTCGTACTTACCCTGCTTCTGCAGTACTAGCGCCAGATTATCCATGCTAGTCAGCGTCGAGGGGTGCTCTTTCCCTAGCGCCTTCTCTCTTCCCTCCAGCGCTCGCTGGTTCATCGCCTCAGCTGCCTCGTACTTACCCTGCTTCTGTAGTACTAGCGCCAGATTGCTCACGCTAGCTAGCGTTGAGGGGTGCTCTTTCCCCAGCGTCTTCTCTCTCCCCTCTAGCGCTCGCCGGTTCATCGCCTCGGCCGCCTCGTACTTTCCCTGATATAGTAGCACCAACGCTAGATTGTTTACGCTGGCCAGCGTGTCGGGATGTTCTTTTCCCAGCGCCTTCTCTCTTCCCTCCAGCGCTCGCCGATTCACTGCCTCAGCCACCTCGTGCTTTCTCTGGTACTGCAGCACCAACGCTAGATTGCTCACGCTGGTCAGCGTCTCGGGGTGCTCTTTCCCCAGCGCCTTCTCTCTTCCCTCCAGCGCTCGCCGATTCATCGCCTCGGCCACCTCGTGCTTTCTCTGGTACTGCAGCACCAACGCCAGATTGCTCACGCTGGTCAGCGTGTCAGGGTGCTCTTTCCCCAGTGCCTTCTCTCTTCCCTCCAGCGCTCGCTGGTTCATCGCCTTGGCCGCCTCGTACTTTCCCTGGTACAGCAGCACCGACGCCAGAATGCTCACGCTGGTCAGCGTGTCAGGGTGCTCTTTTCCTAGAGCTTTCTCATATCCTTCCAGCGCTCGCTGGATCATCGCCTCGGCCGCCTCGTACTTTCCCTGCTTCTCTAGTACCAACGCCAGATTGCTCACGCTAGCCAGCGTGTTAGGGTGCTCTTTCCCCAGTGCCTTCTCACTTCCCTCCAGCGCTTGCCAGTTCATCACTTCCGCCTCTTCGTACTTGCCTTGGTGCTCTAATATTCTTGCTAGGTTGCTCATGCTTGTCAGCGTAGAAGGATGCTCTAGCCCAAGAACCTCCTTGCTTGTTCCCAATGTCTTCCTATGTCTCAATTCTGCCTCCTCATATTTACCTTGGCTGTCCAGTACAAGCGCCAAGTTGTTCATTGTCATCAACGTGGAAGGATGTTCCTCGCCGAGTATCCTCTTTCTCGTCCCTATCACCTCCAACAGTAGCTTCTCAGCATCCTTCAATCGGCCTTGATTCCAATATGTTAACGCCAAGTTGGCCATGCTGGTCAGCGTGTCGGGATGGTCTGCTCCGAGCTTTGTCTTGCGAGACTCCATCACTTGCACCTCCAGCGCTTCGGCGTCAGGCCACCGGCCTTGGTTTCTGTACGTCGACGCCAGGTTGGCCATGCTGGTCAGCGTGTCGGGATGGTCTGCTCCGAGCTTTGTCTTGCGAGACTCCATCACTTGCACCTCCAGCGCTTCGGCGTCAGGCCACCGGCCTTGGTTTCTGTACGTCGACGCCAGGTTGGCCATGCTGGTCAGCGTGTCGGGATGGTCTGCTCCGAGCTTTGTCTTGCGAGACTCCATCACTTGCACCTCCAGCGCTTCGGCGTCAGGCCACCGGCCTTGGTTTCTGTACGTCGACGCCAGGTTGGCCATGCTGGTCAGCGTGTCGGGATGTTCATTCCCAAGAGCGCCTTGCCGAGCAAACACAACCTGTTGGAATAGTTTCTCAGCCTCGTCCCATAGCCCTCGCATTTCATAATCTATAGCCAAAGCTGTTTTGGATCTCAACTGCCTATCCTCTTCATTCTCCTCTGGAGAATTCGAATCAAACTCGGACTGGTCCTCGATAGTCTTTACTCTAGTCCAGTCTTCTTTGTATGTTGATGAATTCAAATAGACTTCCAACTGGGGATTCCATGATGGAAATAGCAGGTTCGCTGATTTGATGAAACCGACAAAAGTATATGCCGGGCTCTTGAGTAGTCTATCCCAAATGAAAATAGGGAGAGAAATCAGCAGGAGAGTTGAGTTGCTGAGAAACTGCGCTTCCAGTTTGATCAAGTCACGTATCTTTAATCGTCCAAGTGCGTGAGTCGACTCGACATCGTGAGGCGCAAGATCATGACACCAGTCTTGCCAAGATGACAGATTGGGTACGTGTTCTTTGTCCTTGAGTCTTACTGCGAGTAAGACCACTGTTTCGGTCATCGATTGATCAAAGCCAGGAGTAGTATCTGCTGAGGATAGTTTAGAGTCTGTAACTGGGACTTATGACACAGGAAATTTTACCTGGCGTGTCCGTCTGAATCGATGGTTGGGGGGAGATTTCAGTAGAGGCTAGAGCAGTATCTCCAAGGTAGGTGTACCAAGGCTCAGTAAGAAGCATATGAGGACCAGGCTTCCGGTACCGCTTCATGAGTCGGGCGTGCAGCATAGCAATATTGAATCGTGACGTACTCAATGACTTGAGCTCTTCGATGAGGTTTCGTGTGAAGGAGTTGTCGTTAACCCCAGTCGTAGTAACCTCCGAATTGCATGCCCAAAGCCCCTCTTTTGAGCCAGCACATCTTGCTGCACTTGCAGCGAAACAACAATCTAGAATGAAAACAACGTCGGATTTGGCGCGTTCAAGGATACCTTGCAGATCAGACCATATCAGCGATGCGCCTCCAACTCGGGTGGCTTGCCAAACACTTCTACTTGGCCGTTGCTTGTTGAAGTCGAGGGAACCATGACCGCCATAATATAGCAATAAAAGGCTGGAATCACGATCATGAGCTTTGCGGAAATCATTGAGTCGGTACTCCAGCTGAGTCGCCGAATCGCTTGACGGAATCAAATATCTTTCGGTTCGGTAATGGTATAAATCTCGGAGTACACTCTCTAGGTCATTAACTTCAGTTTCTGTTCCTAGATCATCATCTTGCCATCGTAAAAGAAGGACAACAACGTCATGATATCTCCTGACTGATCTAGGAAGAACCGCTTTCGTGGCCCGATTGAGATGCTCGAAAAACTCCTCAAAGCTTTCTAGATGGTCCTTGCTCTGTGCATCTGTAAGATGGGGCATGGTTCCGTTGACCGCTAAGTCCGCACTATGTTGCATGTTTGCTGTGCGCTCTGCCCAGATATTAGCCCCATCCTGTCTGACCTTCCAGTGAATTGGTGGCTCTGCTTACATTGAAAACACTTGATGTCAGTGGACTCGTCGCCTGTCTTTGACTGACTGTGGTGGGACCAAGTCCATCTGTAAGACTAGGCAACAGCGAGATCTCATGGTCCAACGCTTACTGATATTCACTAGGACACTTTCGGTAAGGTTTCTTTGACTCTTGCTTACCAATTACATGCATCAATCTTCCTCACTGATATCAGACCTAACCTCCCTCCCTACGGTTCGAACATCCCTCCACGCCGAACCACGATAATCTTTCAACAACACCACCATGCTACCCACCATCTAATAAAAACTAAAATAGCCTGATACTATGCTCTAGCTATAGTAAAATCTACCACTAAGATGAAATCGCAAAATTACAGCAGCCTTAGTCTTATTTTCAAGCATTCTATTAGCAGAGCGGAGAGCTGCTATAACAATGCACCCCTGTCCTCTCGACAGAAACCACGTCTATAATAACTTCGGAGGCTTCAGGGCGTGTATAAGTATACTGAAAAGCTGTCTACAAGCTGTGAAGACAAACAACGTTAAGTAATATTGACTCCGGATTTATCCGCAGAGATGCGCACCGCTCGCCTCTGTGTAAGAAATTTTGGCGAGCTGAAAAAGCGCATTGAATACAATAAGCGGCCTACGTTGTACACCTACGCTATGCCAGGACTGCTCGAGGTGTGGCGCATACTTCTTGAAGCTTCTCTGAACGTGTGCTGCGCCGTCCAGCTATTATTAGAAGTCGAAAGTAAGCAAGGCGAGGGCGAGGGCTATTGTTGCTGGCCTCTTGCTCGAGTTCATCCTCTTCCTCTCACATTCACCAGTATGGACCCAGCCAGCCGAGCGCTGTCGCAGGCCTTGCCCGCAGGCGTACCTAATACATATGCTGCCCGATCAGAACATAGCAGTGTCCCTGTCTCTACACTTGTCCATCGCCAGAACGGACGACGCTCGCGGGAGGAGCAGGCCCAGAGCCAGCAGTACCTTAGCCGAGAGGAAGAGAGAGCTCTAGTCCTGTTCTTGCTACTGATGTCTAACCTAGGCCAACCTGTGCGAATCAAGTTTGTACGCTCGCTGGCTTTCAGTATAGCTCGTCAGCGATCCACGAAGCAGCAACCGACCAAACCCCCAGGCAAGAACTGGCCGAAAGCCTTCGAGAAGCGGCACCCTGGGCTACAAGCAAGAAAAGTCAAATCGATAGACTGGAAACGCCACGAAAACAATGTGTATGGCAAAATAGTCGAGTGGTTTAACATTATCGGACAAGTGCTGCAGGACCCAGCGGTCTTGCCAGAGAACGTGTACAACATGGATGAGACAGGCGTCATGCTAAGCATGCTTGGCTCGGTCAAAGTCCTAGTAGGTAAGGACGACAGGCGGAACTATAGAGGTGCGGGCGTGAAGCGGACCATGGTCACCGCAGTGGAATGCGTGAGTGCCGACGGTAAGGCGCTGCTGCCGCTCATCATTTGGCCCGCTTCGACCCATCGCAGCAATTGGACCACTTACAAGACTCCGGGATGGCATTATGCGCACTCTGAGAACGGCTACAACGATTCCAAGATCTGCTTGGAGTGGCTTACGCGCGTATTTGATCCTCAGACCAAAGCACGAGCTAACGGAAAGCCACGTGTACTGATATGTGATGGCTTTGGAAGCCACGAGACGCTCGAGATTCTAGAGTTTTGTCTTACTAACAACATTATCCTGTGTCGTTTGCCCTCTCACACATCCCATAAGTTACAGCCCTGCGACGTTGGGCCTTTCGCACCCTTAAAAACAGCATACCGTGACCAAGTAGAACAACTCAATCGCGGTGGCATAGATACAGTCGGCAAAGAGCATTTCACTTACCTGTACAGTCCTGCTAGGGACAAGGCGTTGACCCCAAGGAACATCAGAGCTGGGTGGGCGGCGACCGGCCTGTATCCTTTTAACCCAAACAGAGTGCTGAAGGATATTCCGAAACCTCTAGCTGAAGTTATCATTCCAGCAACCACCATAACAACCGCTGGCGCGCCAGATATGGTGCAAACGCCCATCACGCCTGCGACGCCGGTAACAGCAGAAGCGCTTACATCGCTGCACGATATGATTAAGCAAGACGCCTACGTGCTTGACGAGACGAGCAAGGATCGTTTGCGAAGGCGCATACAGAAACTCGCGAGTGCTGCCCAGACCTCGTTCGCTGAGCGAGCCCTGCTAAAAGACCGTAACCAATTTCTTTTCCAAATCAACAATGAAGCTAAAACCCGCCGAGCAACCAGGTCAGTAGTGCTAGGAAAGGCGAAGGTGATGAGCTACGAGGATCTCGAAGAGGCAAAGGCGAAGCGTGCTGCGAAGGACGAAGCTGCGACGCGGAAGGGACAGCGTAGCCGTAAGCGCAAGGAACCGGCGTCGGAAGGTCCCCTGCCAACCAGCAAAGCAGCGCGGACAAGCAAAGTGACAGCACCAGATAAAATCACAGCAACCCCATGGAGAGCTCCGGTTGCAAGGATGTATTAGGATGTATTAGGATGTATTAGGATGTATTAGGATGTATTAGGATGTATTAGGATGTATTAGGATGTATTAGGATGTATTAGGATGTATTAGGATGTACTAGGATGTATTAGGATGTATTAGGATGATTAGGATGCTACGTTGTTGAGATATTGAGATATCTTGGGCAATGTGTTTCAGGTGCGCTTCGTTCAAGACTAACAAGGCCATACCGGTGGTGTATTTTCTAGAATGTATGCAAGAGAGTGTGGCCGGTGTCAACGCAAACATGTGTTAAGTGCTAACTTAAACATGTACCGGTAAACGTCGAGGCTCTGGTAGCAGTGGCCCCTAGCCTTAGGCCGTGCTTGGCAACAACATGCTATGTGGGGCTGTATGCTTCTATCTTTTTACTATCCATATCAACGGTTACTGCCCTCAACACAAGGATATGGCGAGAATAGGTTGGGTACTGTCCGTACCAGGGCTACCAAGCTGTTTGTCCACTATCGAAAATACCAGCATCTTCTGCCTCACCGCATGCGCAATCGCTTCCAGCTGCAGCCTGGCCATGTCACACTGTAGGCTGTGCGACCAGCCACAGCCCCGCCCCATGAAGATATGTAAGCCCGGTGCGCAGCGCTCCTGTCTTCCCTCTCTTTGCGGTGCGATTTACCAGTATGTATGGCTTAACGTCCTTTCTTCCGGTACGCTTGCTAATGTCAACAGCTAGGACTGATATCCCCAACGGACGAAGGACCTGCCCCGCTCGACTCTTCAGCCAGGCTGCCACGCTTTGAGGCCGGCTAACCCCCTTATCCCTGCACCTAGTCTGCTGATGCAGAAACACCATGCGGCTTTTGCAACGCAACAAGACTGGTGCGGTCCGTCTGACAAGAGACCTCGACGATGCAGGCCTTCCTGCCTACGCGATACTTTCACATACATGGGGGTCGGACGCTGGGGAAGTCACCTTCGACGACCTAACAAATGGCACTGGCAAGGACAAGCCTGGCTATGAGAAGATCCGGTTTTGCAGAGAACAAGCTGCCCTAGACGGACTGGAATACTTTTGGATTGACACATGTTGTATTAACAAGTCAGACAAGGCTGAACTATCGCACGCTATCAACTCTATGTTCCGGTGGTACCAGAAAGCAGTCAAATGCTACGTTTTTCTGTGGGACGTTTCAACAAGAAAGCGGAAGATAAGCGAAGAAGATACTAGATCTACATGGGAGCCAGCCTTTCGAGCTAGTAAATGGTTCACTCGTGGCTGGACTCTCCAGGAGCTTCTTGCTCCAAGCGCAGTCGAGTTCTTCTCCCGCGAAGGCAAGCTGCTAGACAACAAAATATCACTGGCGCAGCAGATCCAAGAGATAACGGGGATCCCCACATCAGCAATCGAGGGTACGCGACTATCTCAACTTTCCGTCAACGAACGACTGTCGTGGATACAGCACCGGCACACAACGCGTGAAGAAGACAAAACGTACTCGTTGCTAGGTATCCTCGACGTTTACATAGTTCCTTTCTACGGAGAAGGGACAGCAAGTGCATTCCATCGGCTTCGCGAGGAAGTCGACAAGCTGGGCAGGTGTATCCAAGACGTACGCCTTTCAGATCCACGTGACGACAAGAAGCGCATCGTAGACACCAAGGGAGGCCTGCTGGAGGGCTCGTACCGCTGGGTCTTGGATCATCCCAGCTTCAAGCAATGGCGTAGCGATCAGCAGAGCCGATTGCTGTGGATCAAAGGTGATCCTGGCAAGGGAAAGACGATGCTACTTTGCGGTGCTACCGATGAGCTCGCGAAATCAAGCTCTGATAACCTATCCTTCTTCTTTTGTCAAGGCACTAACTCATATCTTAACAATGCCACTGCTGTGCTACGCGGACTCCTCTATTCACTTGTCAGCCAGCAGCCGTCGTTGGCGTCGCACCTGCGGAAGAGGTATGATCAAGCAGGCCGATCCCTTTTCGAAGATGCGAATGCTTGGATTGCCGTGTCAGAGATGTTTACGAGTGTAATACTCGACCCTGACCTACGAAAGACTTACCTGGTTGTCGACGCCCTTGACGAATGCATTGCGGATTTGCCCAAGCTTCTAGACTTGATCATCCATACCTCATCGTCATCGGACCGCATCAAGTGGCTCCTGTCGAGCCGGAACGAGCTTCACATCGAGCAAAGGCTAAAATCGATCGACGCCCAGGCAAGGCTCAGTTTGGAGCTGAAGCAGAACGCGGAACAGGTGGCTCGTGCTGTCGACGTGTACATTGACGAGAAGCTGTCCCGCGTTGACTCGCTTGAAGACGCTACCCTGCGAAGTCAAGTACGAGAGGTGTTGCGGCAGAAAGCGAATGGCACGTTTCTGTGGGTGGCCCTCGTTGTGCAAGAGCTCGAAAAACCTGAGAGCTGGGACCCGCTAGAGGTGGTAAGAGAGGCTCCAGTCGGGCTGCATCAGCTGTACGATCGCATGGCAGATCAAATCCAGCAGCTTGCGAAGAGAAACTCGGAGATGTGCCGGCTACTGCTTTCCGTCGTCTCAGTCGCGTACCGCCCACTTCACCTAGCTGAACTTGGCAGCTTGTGCAAACTACCAGGTCAAGGATCGACGCTGACTAAGAACACAAGAACACTTGTGGCTATGTGCGGCTCGTTCCTTACCATTCGCGACGATCAGGTCTACCTCATCCACCAATCAGCCAAAGACTACCTAAGCGACGAAGCACGGGCCGCAGTCTTCGGTTACAAGGGCGAGGTCCACTACAGCATATTCTCACAGTCACTCAAGCTAATGTCTAGTACCCTGAAACGTGATATCTACGGCTTACGTGCTCCAGGGTATCCGATTGATGAAGTTACAACGCCGGCCACCGACCCGCTAGCGACAGCGCGATACTCGTGCGTTCACTGGATCGACCACCTCTACGAGTCTACCATCGACAAAAGCGCAGGATGCGACCAAGATCTACAAGATGGTGGCGCCGTTCATGCGTTCCTTCAAGCGAGCTATCTATATTGGTTAGAGGCGCTCAGCCTTTGCAAGAGCATGCCAAAAGGAGTGGCATCAATGGCGGAACTCGAGGCTACCATACATGTAATGTCGGGAGTACTATTATACATACAGAGAAAACTAACATAACCTAGAAAACAGTGGGCGCTCCTGCGTTACTCGATCTTGCGAAAGATGCGTGTCGGTTTATTCTATATCACAACAGAGCGATAGAGGAGGCACCCCTTCAAGCATATGTGTCAGCTCTGGTGTTTAGCCCTAGGCTCAGTCTCACCCGGAAGTTGTTCGAGAAGGAGGCACCGTCTTGGATCTCTATAAAGCCGCCGACAGCAGAGAACTGGAGCGCGTGTCTGCAGACGCTCGAGGGCCACAGCCATTGGGTCAGGTCGGTGGCCTTCTCTCACGACTCGACGCGGCTGGCGTCGGCGTCGGACGACCGCACCGTCAAGGTCTGGGACGCAGCCAGCGGCGCGTGCCTGCAGACGCTCGAGGGCCACAGCGATTGGGTCAACTCGGTGGCCTTCTCTCACGACTCGACGCGGCTGGCGTCGGCGTCGGACGACCGCACCGTCAAGGTCTGGGACGCAGCCAGCGGCGCGTGCCTGCAGACGCTCGAGGGCCACAGCGATTCGGTCTGGTCGGTGGCCTTCTCTCACGACTCGACGCGGCTGGCGTCGGCGTCGGACGACCGCACCGTCAAGGTCTGGGACGCAGCCAGCGGCGCGTGCCTGCAGACGCTCGAGGGCCACAGCGATTGGGTCAGGTCGGTGGCCTTCTCTCACGACTCGACGTGGCTGGCGTCGGCGTCGCAAGACAGCACCGTCAAGGTCTGGGACGCAGCCAGCGGCGCGTGCCTGCAGACGCTCGAGGGCCACAGCGATTCGGTCAGGTCGGTGGCCTTCTCTCACGACTCGACGCGGCTGGCGTCGGCGTCGGACGACCGCACCGTCAAGGTCTGGGACGCAGCCAGCGGCGCGTGCCTGCAGACGCTCGAGGGCCACAGCGATTCGGTCAACTCGGTGGCCTTCTCTCACGACTCGACGCGGCTGGCGTCGGCGTCGGACGACCGCACCGTCAAGGTCTGGGACGCAGCCAGCGGCGCGTGCCTGCAGACGCTCGAGGGCCACAGCGATTCGGTCACCTCGGTGGCCTTCTCTCACGACTCGACGCGGCTGGCGTCGGCGTCGCAAGACAGCACCGTCAAGGTCTGGGACGCAGCCAGCGGCGCGTGCCTGCAGACGCTCGAGGGCCACAGCCATTGGGTCACCTCGGTGGCCTTCTCTCACGACTCGACGTGGCTGGCGTCGGCGTCGCAAGACAGCACCGTCAAGGTCTGGGACGCAGCCAGCGGCGCGTGCCTGCAGACGCTCGAGGGCCACAGCCATTGGGTCACCTCGGTGGCCTTCTCTCACGACTCGACGTGGCTGGCGTCGGCGTCGCAAGACAGCACCGTCAAGGTCTGGGACGCAGCCAGCGGCGCGTGCCTGCAGACGCTCGAGGGCCACAGCCATTCGGTCACCTCGGTGGCCTTCTCTCACGACTCGACGCGGCTGGCGTCGGCGTCGGACGACCGCACCGTCAAGGTCTGGGACGCAGCCAGCGGCGCGTGCCTGCAGACGCTCGAGGGCCACAGCGATTGGGTCAACTCGGTGGCCTTCTCTCACGACTCGACGCGGCTGGCGTCGGCGTCGGACGACCGCACCGTCAAGGTCTGGGACGCAGCCAGCGGCGCGTGCCTGCAGACGCTCGAGGGCCACAGCGATTCGGTCTGGTCGGTGGCCTTCTCTCACGACTCGACGCGGCTGGCGTCGGCGTCGGACGACCGCACCGTCAAGGTCTGGGACGCAGCCAGCGGCGCGTGCCTGCAGACGCTCGAGGGCCACAGCGATTGGGTCAGGTCGGTGGCCTTCTCTCACGACTCGACGCGGCTGGCGTCGGCGTCGTACGACCGCACCGTCAAGGTCTGGGACGCAGCCAGCGGCGCGTGCCTGCAGACGCTCTATATTGGACGTTCACTTCGTACTCTGTCGTTCAATGCTTCCGACTCTGGCCTTCTTACGGATATTGGTGCTATCACCTTTAGTCCTGCATCATCATCCAATATCGCTACTGTCCAACAACCTGAAACCCCTCAGTACGAGGCCGCAGGACTGAGTTCCGACGGGACATGGATAACGTATAATTCGCAGAACGTAATTTGGCTACCCTCAGAGTATCGTCCTCATCAATCAGCTGTATCAAAGGATATGATTGGTATTGGTGTAGGATCTGGAAGGGTATGGATGTGCAATGTTGAGTCCACGAGATGGTAAAATTCGAAATCCTGTATGCATAGAAACAACGACTTTATTCATCTGCTCTATTATTTATTATTCTCTTTGCTTGTTAGGGGGCCGGGGAAAGGCAGGAATATATAGTTATACGATTTGCCACGTTGAAACTTCGAGACGTTTCTTTATAAATCCAAAGGGAACATTACTCTTCTACCAGAAAACATGGTAGGAAGAGGAGGGAGGGGTTCGGGCAAGAGGTTAATAATAACCTCACTCTCGACTTGCTTTACTCTCGAATTCTAATAATAGCCTGACGGCACAGCACACGTTCGGAGAAGCTTCGAGAAGCATGCGCCACACCTCAAGCAATTCTGGCATTGCGTAGGTGTACAATGTAGGCCGCTTGCTGTATTAAATGCGCTTTCTCAGCTGGCGAAAATTTCTTACTTAGAGGCGAGGGGTGCGCATCTCTGCGGATAAATCCGGAGTAGATATTACTAGATGCTGCCCATCTTTACAGCTTGCATGTAGCTTTTTGATATACTAATACACGCCCTAAAGCCTCCGAGGTCGTAATAGATGTAGTTCTTGAGTGGAGGACAGGGGTGCATCATCGTAATAGCTCCCCGCGCCGTAGATAAAATGCCTGAAAATTTGACCAAGACTGCTGTAATTTTCGAGTTTGATCTTAGTAGTAGATTGTGCTACGGCTAGAGCATAGTAATTGGCTGGTTTGACTTGTGTAGGATGATGGGTGGCAGAGTGGTGTTATTTGAACATTTTCGTGGTTCTGCGCGGAGGGATGTTCCAACCGTAGGGAGGGAGGTTAATGCTAAGACGTAACTTGTGTCATCTTTCAACTCTGCGCACACATCGAGCTTTACTAAAAGCTCATCTAAAAATGTGGTGCGTCTACTTTTGAGCATTTAGATTCCTTTCTATATTAAAACTATATCATGCTCTGTCGCAAACGACACTAATACACGGAGAGTCTCCTTCTTTGATGACACAGACTTCCTCCCCTAGAGCCTTGCCCTCGGATTCTAATTACTCTACAATACTCACGATTGTACTACATAAGCCTATGAACATTACTAAGATATCGAGAAAACAATATCTGCCATATGTCTGCTGTCGTACGTGAATTTGTTCAAGGTCGCAACCCCGGTCGGTACTTCTAATCAGAGTAGCCTCCAATCTCGGCAATGCAAAACGACCCTGAGGGAAGGCGCCGGAAAAAGAGCACCCCTCGACCCCTCGACACTGACTAGCATGGATAATCTGGCGCTAGTACTGCAGAAGCAGGGAAAGTACGAGGCAGCCGAGGCGATGAACCAGCGAGCACTGGAGGGAAGAGAAAAGGCGCTGGGGAAAGAGCACCCCTCGACGCTGACCAGCGTATACAACCTGACCTATCTGCTACATCGCTGGGGTCAGTACGAAGAAGCTATGCTACTCTACGAAAGAGCTTCTTCTGGCTACACTACCACTTTCGGCCAAGACCATCCAACAACTCAGGCATGCCTGGCCCATCAACTCTCCCTCGAGCAGCTGTTGCACACACAAGAAACTGACAGTTCACATTATAGTCCAAAGCATGAATCAGGACACGAGGTTGTGGCCGACAGTACCCCTATGCCCGATCCTGGCTCGCTAGAGAGTAATGTTAGTCCACTGAGACCACACCCGCTCCCAAAAGAGCGCTAATGGCGAAAGTTTAAAAAGAAGGCGCACAAGGCATGAGGTAGCACTGGCTATGTAAGTTACTGCATTTGCTTGTAGTATAGTGTACATCAGACGCAACTATGAGATACAAGTAGGCAGTGTAGTAAGCATGTATCATACTGGTGAGTTAGGGCACTGAAGTGGCGCGGCGACAACAGTTGCCACCACTAGCTAAGAGCATGGCCGACCCGTTCCTGCCTTGACCTTGCGCCAGAGGCGATATTTCGAGGGCTTGATGAAGAATTGAAGGACGAATTGTGACAAAGAGAGCTGGCGCTCTCGCGTAAGGAGCATAGTTGGTACAAGGTCTGGCAAAAGCTTGTACAGGCTCTAATATGCGCATAATCTGCACTAGGGAGCCACATTAGGACTCAGTCAGACCCACTGCGGAAGCCAAAAGACGGATTGTGGGGTTTGAATGGGTTCCCGGGCGGCAACGGCTTTCTGGTAGTTGCGCGATCACATCAGCAGGCTTGGCTAGCATGAAAACTAAATGTACTGTCCCTCTCATGTTGCAAATACTCGAATTGGAAAACATTTAGATTCCTTTACCTAAGGAGTCGAGATCTTGAAAGAGGGCTCCGGAATCAGAGAAAGCGGACAGGCGCATAGGGTCCCTCAGATTTCCAAAATATGTCACCGTATTAGGAAGCGAAAAATCAAAGAGAAATGAAATTTACGGGGAGTTGAAAATGGAAAATGAAACACGGTTTCGTAAAGTGGAAAATGGAAAATGAGGAATCCGTTCTGGTAAACGGGCCTGGAAAATGGGGAATCCAATTCCGGAACATACAACACGAGCGTTTTTTATTGAAAATCTGAATAGATCTCTGTTCTATTGTATACTGTACCCAAGCAGGGAGATCACCACTGCTCTTGGTGCTTGTGCGATCATTTCTGAAGTTCTGGAATTCATAACATAGCTCCAACCCATAGCATTCGACTCTTTTTAGACTAGCTGGACAGGGGGGAACGGGAAGCATCTTTCACCCCGTCCCGCTAACCCAGCTTTGGTTAGGCTAGTTTTTATCCACAAAGTTGACTAACGTTATCACATGATGCGAGATACTGTTTGTGTCATGGCGTGCGAGGGGTCATATCCTTGTGCGAAAGCAGTTGCCCCACAGAACGACACTGAGGCCCAGTTCCGCAGCATGATGCACGGGTTAGCGGGCGAGAGAGCGTTTGTCGATGATGGTAATTTGTTGTCCAATCCTATGCGCATCACTGGTACCCGGCATTCCACAGGAGGTATTGCGCGACTATATAGCTGGGAGAGTGATACGAACACGAATCTATCACCGATAACTTACTGATTTCGGTTTGTTGTGTTTTACCTTAAGCGCCCGCTATGCTACGCCACATGCGCTGCCATGTCCTCGCCGCAGAACTAACAAGTATAACACCCAATCTTCGCAAGCTCAACGTTCATGTTTCCACACCCGACGCGAATCTTTTGCACATTGGTAGTCAGATACTGTTTGAATAGAGCATAGTTGCGACAGGACAGGACTAATCCTGCCATGTAATGGCTTCAAGGCCGACGAAAAGGATGCGAAAGAGCGTCCAGGAGCATTCTGCGACAAAAAAGCGACATCGGAGAACACAACTCACCTACTGGCCTGCCTCGAGGATATTAAAAGACAACAATACACACTATCTGGTTGAATGGGACGGCGTCGATCCAGTAACAAGAACTCCTTACCAACCAACGTGGGAACCGCACAGTTTTGTCACTCCAGCCTTGGAGTCAGAATGGAAGGCCAATTTGACTCAGTCGAGTTCTGCAAAGACGCATAGCCATAGTCACACTCAAGATGGTAGACAGGAGGTATTAAGCTCGGTTCATGAGAATCCAGCTATGCAGGATCATCTTGGGGCTGCGGACAAAGAGGTACCATATTACAATGTGGGTAATGCAAAGACGTATTGCTTATTATGCGTGTAGGGTTTTAGATCAGATGCGCCTTCAATACAATATAGTCCGCGCATACCTCCTCCAGCTGAACAACAGCCCCCGGAGATTCAGACTCGTGCAGTAGAAGAGAAAGAACGAATTTCATCTCTGCCATCTGCGAGTTCGAAGTCGGCAGTAGTAAAGGGGTCATGTGACAAGCCTCAAGGCCTATCAGCACCACTATCCGGGGCAGAAAAGCGAAAAGATGGAGGTGCCGAAGAGGCTGAAGCTGAGATACCTGCAGTTGGAATGGTTAATAGGCATAGCCAACAACGCAATAATTTAGCTCAATCGCAAGACGATTTTTTCGAGGAGCGCGAGCTTCGCATGGAGCAAGCATTAACTCCGCCCGATGCAAGCTATAGATTCGATCGGTCCACAATCACTCCAACACGACCTCGGGAGGTTAGGGGAACCCCTTCGTCGTCACTACTTCCAGTCGAAAGCTCTAGTGATTTCATCACAGAACCTTTCCAGGAAGGCCAATACTACCAGTTAAATAACAAGTCTACTGTCCATATCGATCGTGTGGCTCTATCTGGCTCTAACCAAACCAGTCAAAAGGCATCCAAGAGTTGCAGCGATCCGTCAACTACCACAGACCGAGAAGTACAGACCATGGAACTCTATCAGCAACAAACCGTGCCTCGCGCAGGACAGCAAGACCCTTCTCAACAAATGACTACCGATCGTCACAAACCGTGCCAATCTAGCGGTCATGAGGCGCAACGTAGCTATATGTGCTCAACAGAAGGATTTCACGGTACCGCTGCATCAACACCTGGAAGCGATTTTACGGTGAATAGTGTGGCTGTTAACCGCTGCGACATCCTGTATATACTGAACTCTGCATTCAACCATCGCAGGAGTCAAATCGAAGACAATTCTACTATAACAGCGGCTAAAGTGCACCAACAAACCGCAAAGAAGCATCAGAGACATCAAGATATACCATTAGCATCGCCAAACACTGCACCGCAAGTACTATTGTTACCCTGTACGGCACCAGTGTTAAGCATCCAGAGGACAGAGAAGCAGAAGATGTTGGAAGGAGTGCCTTTTATGCCTTTCTGTCCCCAGTTGGTTGGTGAGCGTATGCGTTGTGCAAAGGCGATACGTTGTTTTAAGAACAGTATCGGTGCAACGAATGGTATTGTGCGGGCTGGCGGCTATGTCGGAAGCGATGTGTACGTTGCCACACCTTTCTATTGCGAGTACGGCTATAATCTCTCAGTAGGTGACAATACTGTCATCGGACCCAACTGCCGATTGCTAGATTCTGGAAAAATCACCATCGGAAGGAATGCTGAGATTGGCGCTGGGGTTATTGTGTCGACTTTAAAGATGCCTACGAACACAAAAAGAGGAGGCGGCCTCAAAGTCGCCCAAGAGATTTATATTAGCGACAATGTCTATGTCGGTAGTGATTGCATTATCGCGGCTGGAGTACGAATTGGTCATAGCGCTATCGTTCCACCCCGGTCTGTGGTTGTTCATGATATACCTGCTGGCTGTAACACGTCGAGTAAAGATACACAGTAGCCAGAGCCAGTCTATACCCAGCTAGGCAAAACCAGCAATACATTTAAAGGAACCCCAAGGGGCAGGATAGTACTCTCGAGACCGGTGAAGGCTCCGCTCACCATTGAATGATACTAACCCAGACTTACAGACCTTCGCTAGTCCTTATGCCATTCGCACTTTTCTTACATGACACTTTCTAATCGTTACCAGTTGCTAATCTATCCAACACAGGTTTCAGGAATCCGCCCCAGAAACCGTGTGGGCCATCATCAAGGCCATATTCTATAACGTTCCTCCACAGCCTAAGCTGTTTGAAAACGCCCGAAATGCTGCTACTTGCGGCATTTCCGAACTCTAGAATCCGCACAGCTCCGTCTTGTCCAGAGTCTATGTACGCGATATAGAAGTAGAGCTCGTGTCCTACAACAGTGAAGCCTGGCTCCACGAGGCAAGCTGTGTCCAGTAGGCCTGCACGTCGTCCCAGCTTTGCCTTCTTGCGTAGAGTCGCTGCCATCCATATGCTAAGCTGATACTCGGCCTCGAGTTTATCGCCACCGGAAGGCTTGACCTCTATGCCGGAGAAAACAGCTGTGGTTTTGGTGAAGGCGTCGGTCGTGTGGCTAACGCACGGATGCCCGTGGTGAAGAAGTTGTGCATACAAATCTTCGAACGGTGACATGTCGTGCGAGTAAGAGAGGGTGTAATCAGCCTTTCGGTCAAGGACCCGCTGCTTGCCCGATGCATTGGCGGCGCGCGAGAGGAACTCGACGTCAATGTTCTGAGACTGCCTGCCATATTAAACGTGTCAGCCCGTCGATACTTTCAAGGAGGTCGTTTATGGTAGAAATACACGCTTTGCAAAGAGAGTTTGCCCTTGGCGTACAGCCGGAGCGCCAGCCTCACCATCGGCCTAACCACGTCGTCGCACCATGCATTCTCGTCGCGGCCTCTGGTTTGGCAATGCAGTGCCTTCTTGAATATCTTTTTCACTTTCCTCAGGGTATATTCTAACTCGGCCCGCGCGGCGGGGTCAAGATTAGGGTCAGAGAGATCGCGGGTGGCGGTATTGCTGAATGCGACAGGCTTGAATCTTTGGAAACCGATATCCGTATCGGCTCTGACTGGTTCCTGAGACAGGTCAGCCAGATTGAACAATGATATTGAACAGTTACATGCCGACACGCACTTCAAGCCACCCCGGTATCCAGCCCGGATCTATTCCGTTCTCCAGTCGTGCTACTACGGCCATGACCCGCGCAGGAGGTTCCGACTCCACTCCGTCCAGCGGTTCCGTCGTTATCGGAGGCGACGCTACTCTTAAAGCAGCAATTGTTTCACGAGACGGGCTGTTGCTGCGTCGTGGTGTCGAGGCAGCTGCGCGACTGCTGGGCGGGCTAAAAGTGGTTGAACTGCCCAAGATGAGCGGGCGGGCATTTGCCCCAACAGCCGATGCGCTCTGCTCCGGTTGCAGGTCATCTGAATTCCGCCGGCGACGCTTGCTAGGACTGACACTACGATGTGCAGATATGGGGGTGATCTGGTCTACGCTTGTGGACTCTGAAGCGGCACGCTTGCGCTTCAGCAGCCAGCATTCTTCGTTTGCTGGAGGCGTTGGGGGTAGTTCTTCGAGCCAGGAGGAGATTTGTGTGGTCTTCTCGTTGATAGTAGAGAATGATGCAGAAGGCGATGTGACCATGACAGTGTGTGCAGCAGTAGCAGTGGTGGAAGTGATGAGAGTGGTAGGTTTGCGTAAACAATATTGATATTGGTTCGTCAATGTTGTTTCGCAACTCTTGGCAAACAGAAGATCCCCCCCCCCCCCCGCCGCCGAGGCCGATGCTAGATCGGACCTAGCGTCCTCACAACCGACAGTTCTGCTGTCATTAGAGCACGGCGGCTGAAATGGACCCATGGTGGGGTAGATCCCATACCTCCACAAGACACTAAATGCTCGATACGCTAAACGTTCAACGTGTACTGTATATACTAAGGACCGGTGAAGCCCAATATTTCGCACGGTGTTCTCATCCTAAACACTTCTTCCTTATCCAAAAATATCATTATCGCCTCCAGGACAAGGTCAGGGCAGGAGCGGGTCGGCCATCCTCTCTGTTAGCGGTGGCAAGTTAGAGTAGGACTACTTTATCTAGACTAATCAGATTCGTGCTGTTTCTGACTTGGGACTCTACATCGAGCCATGTCTCACAGGTGTGTTTGCAGCAGCTTGATGGTATCTTTGTGGCCGTTCTCTACCGTCTACAACAACGACGTCCGTCCATAATTATCCTTTATGTTGACTTTAACCTTGTCCCTCACGATCTATGACCAGTCATACCAGATGATTTGAATGCTTTCTTTACTCGAATCATACACCACTCCGCAAAGATCGAATTCTGCACCAATGATATGTTCCTCGATTCTGAATACGAGAGAGAGCATTCAGCTACTGATTCCCAAACTTTTGAACGTTACCGTAACCCTAATGGCGAGTATCAGGTGCCACTGAACGCTGTGGTAGGAACCATTAACATGTTTTTAGAACCAGCGTCTCGGATTTCTTAAGAATACTATCGCAAAAATGATAAAGCTCTCTAGAAAACATGTAGAATTTAGCAATTTTACTCTGGAGTATTGATCGCAAATCCACGCTGCTCCATTCAAGTTTCTTCGACACACTACCGTGTCTGTGCGCGCTATACGCCTTTTTTCAAAGCATTGCCATTATATGACAATGCCACCAATTGACCATGCTCTTGCATATATCGATACTTGTGAAGTATATCCGTAACACTACTAACTACTATCCCCACCAAGTACCTTCAGTCTCCGCTCAATGTGCATCGCATGTGTATGCTAGTTTGTACTTATACCCTCGGGGCTTGGAATATATTCTCTGAGTTTTTGTTCTTTAATGTGGTGGAGTTGACTAGAAATGAATCCGTTAATCACCTAGATCGATATTGTTATGGGCAAGTGTTCGAACTGGTTTTTGGCTGCACATTACGACATGATTGTGCTATGTGTCGAACAAAGGCACCAAGTACAAAACAGTACACGAAGGGTACAAGGGGCAGCGGTAGCCTAGCAGTTCTGTCAGCATGGCGATGGCACATTTTTTGGCAATGTTTCAAGACGAGTCCTCACAAAGAGAGCTAACGTTTATACGTACGAGTAGTAGTTTTTGGAACAAGGTGTGGTAAGAGCTTCTACCAGCTCTTGAATATGCGCACTCGGTTTGTATTAAGATTCATTATTAGACCCACTGCTAGAGCCAAAAGACAATTCGTGGGGATTAGAATAGGCTCCCGGGCGGCAACGGCTGCTTGATTACTGCACGATTACATCAGCAGGCTCGGCGCTTGTGAAGGGTTATTGCTGAGTCAACCAATGCGTCTAGCGCCCTAATCTCAATTCTCTTCCGTGACGATCATCGTACAACTGCGCAGTGTGGTACAACATGCCGCGATGTCAATATTCCAGAATTTGGTGACACAAAATCAAAAGACCACACCGCCTTCGAGCTTCACCGAACAACCATTAACGCTACCCCCGACCGGCAAGAAGCAGTCCTCCCAAGTTCCGCGAGTCCTCACGCTTCTCAAGCAAAAGCTGGCCGGCACAGCAAGCGGCAGGCATGGACAGGATTTCAGCTTTTTGAAGAGGATGCCAATAAGATAGAGCGCAGGCTGCAGCAGGACAAGGCATTACTTGGATTTGTGAACGACAACATACGGTGGGTAGATTCCGGATACTGCAGGAATCGTTGCTGGTTATGAGATTCAGGTAGACATCATGACAACGCAGAAACGAATTGTCTTTCCGTTTGTATTTTCATTCGGAGCATACAAGCAGTTCATCGAAGGCGTCAAGGACACGATTTAGAGCTAGCTAAAAGCGATAAGCAATGTACCAGGCAAGGAGGCTTGCTTCGGGCAGAAAGTGTATCTAGTTAGCCTATTCGACTGTGATTGAGCTTCCGGTAGAGACTACTTCATTTGGTACAAGGTCAAGATATAAGCTAGACGCGTCTTCCTATGACGATGGTGCTAAATATCTAGGTATTATTATTTAGAGACGAGGAATAATATCGTCTAACTTTGCTAAGTAGACCACATCTTTGTTGTTTGTAGAGAAGGCTAACAGTAAAAGGCCATAATCATAATTACTACTTGCGACCTAAAGAGATCTACTCGCGAGGTTTAGAGCAATATTGTAGTAGAAGGACACCTAACAGTATATTGAAAGGTGTAATTTAGCAATAGTACGCCACAGCTCAGCTTCGACCAGATTGAGCCAAGATGGTTTATTATAGCTCAAAATGTTCACACGACAAATTCTACGAGAGGATTTTGTCCAACACATTAACCAGGGTGGGACCAGCGTACCATGGGGTGTCGAGAGATGATTCGATGAAGTTTTCGCCTTGACACTTGCTTGGAATAATGGGTATGCTGTATCGTATCAATAGCCCCTCATTCACGTACAAAAAGATTGGTGCACATACCTTTCAGCTGAAATGCCCAAATGGTGAAGCTCAGCTCTGAGATTATGGACGAAGTCTTGATATACATTCTCAGACCAATTTGATTCATCGCTTAAGACTGTTAGGGATATATCTAACTTGAGCAGGAAAGATATGAATGCATACATAGCATTAGCAACAATGGCTGCCTTTCCTTGAGCAAAAAACGATGCTGATTCTTTGATTCGATCAGCAAAATCTCCCACGAGACATGCTTGATATGACTGAGACATCCCGATTACGAGGAGAAGACCATCAGTAGACACTGATTGCTCTGAATAATGTGTCAGCAACACTATTACATAGCGGAAAGATACATCTCCAGAGCATACCTTTCACGATGACTCGATATTTTGGAGTGTAGAAGTACAATTCCTTATCCGCATCCTTCAACTCCTCCACAGCTCTCTCATAAGAACTCGCGCCTTTCTTTTGCAGCCATTCGAAAACCGGTAGCTCTATACCACCGAACTACTCTCTGTAAGTCAAATTGGTCTATAACCAAGAGCGTATCAAAATACGTTACCTTGTAGATCAAGTTCCCCAGAGCCTTGGCAGTCCCCACAGACTCAGAGCCGAAGATGGCTAGAGTTTTTTCTTCGGCGCTTTCGCCTTCATGCATCGTAGGAATATCCGTGTGGTCGTAATTGCGGTTCTTTTGTGACGTTAATGGACTCCAAAAAAGTGTGTTTTGAGACAAAATTGAGATGCGTTTGTAGCGGGGTAGGTGCTGGACAAGCTTGGGCATCGGTTCGCTAATAGCGCCGACCAAACTCGAATTATGATTGGACAAGACTTGTCACGACGCAAAGCGGTTTGTAATCCATGCTAGCGGGGAGTGGAGGGCACAGCATCATAATGTACTGGTGCATCTATCAAACACGAGCAGCACGAATAGAACGCAATGCAAGTACTACGTGACAAACTGAGAAAACTCAAACGAAAGGAGTTCGTTCCCGAGGTCAGCTAGTACCCATCATATTCTCCGAGAGCCATGGATCGTAATTAACGTTGGAAACTAGCGTCCCTCGTCGGAAGCTCCGACACTGGTAATTGGGCGTACGAAACGTTACGGGCTTTTCCTTCTCAACCAGGTTGTACCGCCTGACGACTCAGAAGGCCATCTTATGGGAGTCGATATCGTAGCCATACACGGTCTGAACGGTGACGCGTATACAACGTGGGAACACGAGAATGATACTTTGTGGCTTCGAGATCTGCTGCCACATGCTCTTCCCGGCTCTCGCATATTCACTTATGGTTATCCGTCGGAAGTCTTCCGCAACAATTCGGCAGCCAAATTACGAGATTACTCGCGAAATCTTTTAATATCGCTCAACTCTGTATCGGGATCACAGCAGCGCCCACTGATATTTGTTTGCCACAGTCTTGGAGGCATAGTCTGCAAGCAGGTAAGAGCCCTTGTAGACGTATCGTCAAATACTAATGCTGCACAAGGCTCTCGTGCTAGCACACGAAGATAACCATCTTTATGGTCAAATACTGTCGGCCACGTCAGCCATTATCTTCTTCGGCACCCCACATCGCGGTTCAAAGGGAGCTGACATCGGAAAAGTCGTAGCTAGAACTATAAATCTATGTCTACGTGTATCTCAAACCTCCAGGATTACTGGGCCAATACGAGATGACCTTCTCATAACTTTGGGATCAAATTCTCAAGAACTGAGCGATCTTGCAGTTTCTTCCAGAAACCGAATGAGGAATTTGGAGGTGGTTACATTCTATGAAACTGAGACGATGCCTGGATTATCTGAATTAGTAAGAGCCTTCCGAAACATACACCAAAATAATTCTCTAAAGTTGATTCTAATTATTGATCAATCTAGATCGTTGACCGACAATCAGCCATAATGGAGATACCAGGTGAAGACATAATACCACTTTATGCGAATCATCGAACTATGTGCCGCTTTCATGGAACAACAGATGACAATTACCGCTACACTCTGAGGGCCATTCAAAGACTAGTCAAAGCAGCTCTTCGGAACCAAGATTTGGCACGACAAGTGGATAGTAAATCATCTAACCGGTGTATGTAATGGACAGCCAAACCAAACTCATCAATAGCTAAACAATGGGCTAGCGTTTACGGAAATCGAAAGAGCCTGTATGATTTTGCTAAACTCAATCTACTTGATAGAATACCGAGCGGAATTACCGAAGCCGGTACAAGGAACGTGCCACTGGGTATTAACGGACCCATCATTTCGGACTTGGGTGACTACGGAAAGAACAAAACTCCTGTGGATCACAGGGGAGCCTGGATGTGGAAAAACCATGCTCTCGACTTATCTGATAGAGCATCTAACACTGGGACATGCTCCCAATGTTAAGTCTCAAGTTTTTTATTTCTTTTGTGACGACAAAGTGAAGTATCAAAGAGACGGAAACGCTGTACTTCGAGGCATCCTGTATCAAATCCTACAGCAACATCGAAAGCTTATCAAGCACGTCAAAAACCGGTTTGACGTTGACGGTCCTAGCCTAGCAAATTCGTTTCCGGCACTTTGGGAGCTCTTCCTGAAAGTAGTTACTGATTCAACCTTGGGACCTATCGGGATAATACTAGACGCGGTTGACGAGTGCGAAACCAAAACGCGAAACAGCTTGCTGAACGCTCTAGCACAGCTAATCAAAGAATCTGGGAATAAGTATGCACAGTCGAACAACTACATCAAGTTCTTGATAACTAGTCGTTCATCCTTTCGTTCTTCACGCAGTTTCGGAGAATTAATGCGACACCAAATATGCATCGAACGGAACCAAACAAATACCAACGAAGATGTGAAGTTGGTGATTCGAAGCAAAGTACATGAAATTGCGGAAAGATTCCATTGTGACGATGCAACAAAAAACTACTTGGAAGAAGCATTATATTCAAAATCTGATCAGAGTTTTCTCTGGCTGAATATGGTACTTCATAGCCTGGAAAGAAGTTCAAAGGCATCTAAGAGGGACTTCGAACGGATCATTAATACATTCCCACAAGATCTCGAAAAGACTTACAGCAAGCTTTTATCTGATATACCACCTGTGGATCGGAATGACGCTGGGAAATTGCTTCGGCTACTTGTAGGAAGTTCGAGGCACCTGACTTTAACGGAGATGAATATTGCATTCACAGTCGATACGAAACATGAATCCGTAGCCGATATACTGGATGATTTGCAGCTTTCTATTGACGCTACACTGCAGAGCGTAGTGGGATCGTTTATCCGCATCAAGCGAGTGAAGGAACCGTCGTACGGAGACTCGAAAATTTCCTTGATACACCAGTCAGTCAAAGAATATCTGACAGACTTTGCGCCCCTTTCTCCAGTCGGTATCATAAGAAGTCTGGCAGCTCCTCTGAACTATGCTGCGCTAAGCATATCCGGATCGTGCATCGCATATCTCCTTTTGGGTGATTTCCAATTGGATATATTTGCCCCGAGACGGACTAGCTTTGAACCCAGCTCGTCCGAAACCAGCTCGCCCGAATCTTTCCATTCTTTCCCACTTGATGAACCAATTTCAAGCGCCCTTTTCGGCCAGGACGATGATCTGGGCTTAGACTCTTTCTTCGGAGACTCGCAAAACGTGGACGAAGAAAAATGTGCTCAAATTGCCCAGAAATATCGATTCTATGACTACTCTGCGATTCACTGGGCCGAACACTATTCGCTATGCGAAAGCATTGCGCCGAAGCACATTCGAGATGCTGCTTTTCAGCTCACTGAGTGCTCTAACTATCTCGTAAAGAATTGGTTGAATTATTACTGGACCAAACGAAATATGGAATATTCATTTCCAAAACGGTTTACAAGGGTTGAGTTGGCTGCGTTCTTCAACTTGCCAGTGTTGCTTGTTGATACTCTGGAAAAGGCGGAGTTCGATAGCAAAGAATCCATAGAACGGGCATTGTTCTGGGCTGCAAGAAAATGCTCTATCGATTGTATCCGAGTCTTGTTACGATATAACGCCAACCCTAATATCATAGGTATCGACAGGCAAACTCCATTGACTGTGGCTGCACAATATGGGCATTTGGACGCCGTCCAGATGCTTCTGAATGAAACTCGCACTGACTTTACTGTAAAGGGAAGATCCGGAAGATCAGTGTTGTCATTTGCAGCAGGGAATGGCCATCTGGACATTGTTGAAGCGCTTTTGCACCATAATGCCTTCAGCAATGACGATCGAGATAACGACCAGTGGTCGCCAATTTTCTGGGCTGTACAAGGGGATTTCACAGACATTGTGAAACTACTGTTAGAACAAAGGTCGCTTAACGTTAACCAAGTCGACATAACTGGGCGCTCAGTTCTTTCCTGGGCCGCAGGGGAAGGTTGTAGGGAAACCCTGAAAGCCTTACTTCGCCACCCTTCTATCGACCCCAACCTGAAAGATTCGAAAGGCCGCTCTCCATTGTCCTGGGCAGCAGGAAATGGCCAAAGCGAAGCAGTCAGAATTCTTCTACGCCAAAACACGGTCGACAAGGCCAGCAAAGATAAAGACCTCAGGAATGTCATCTCATGGGCTTGTCAAGGCGGCCACACAGATACTCTGCGCATTTTGCTGAAGCATGGGTGCGACGGCGTGGATGATGCAGATGCTGACGCTTGGACACCGTTGTTATGGGCTCTTTTCACTCAGTCAACTACAACGGTAGAGGTGCTTCTTTCAAGTCGCCGCGTGCAGATTGATCGCCGAGACAGCTTTGGTCGCACGGCATTGATATGGGCCGCAAGTTATGGGTATCTGGATGTGGTGAAGTTACTGGTAACATGGAATGCTGATCTACATGTGAAGAACCATAGGGGAGAAAAAGCGGCTGATGCTGCAAAACTCGATGGACAAATGGAAGTATGGGAATTCTTGAAAGCCCAAGAATCTGAGGAGTCTAGTGTCTAGGAGCCAGGATTATGCAGAAGCTTAGCTTTACATTCAAAAAGGCGCTTCTCACACCTTTATTCTTGTACCTATTGTACGTATATATGCATGTTTGTGTAAGACGATAGTCATGGTGAAGGCGAGAGTAAGTTGAGGTTTGAGCGGGTTCGCAGCGTCCATCTGCTAATGATCCGCGCAGCTTGAGGCAGCCTTTACCCATTTACGCTCTCGACAGCGTTGCACAAAGTTAGTGCAGTCTCGCAGAATGCCTGCTCTGATTGACTTTGCGTAACTAGTACACAGAACCTCAAGTGCTACGAAAACTCTCCGATCCTTCCATTGGGTCCCGACCCCCATCCGCCGTATCTCAACATTGTGCAGTAGAACAACCTGGCCCATCCGACTTCGGACAACGCGAAGCGATGTTTTCCAAGTCTTCGAAGTATCGTCTCGTCATACCACGAGGGACTGGTTTGCGATCGACGAAGGAGGTTGAAGTGCCAGCCAGGTGTCTGCTGTTACGCAATACCGCATGGTCGAGTTGCGGCAGAGTTGCGACCGGTGTGAATGACACGAATTTTTGCACATGGTGCGGATGCGGGAGAGTATCACTATTGCAGTGAAACGTAGAAGAGATGTGGGTGTTGACTAGGGGATTGCGGTCTTACGGCGCTTAGATAGCTGCTTGCGACTGAAAGGTTCGCTGGTGGACAGTCAAGACCGAAGGAGACCCGAGGAAGTTAGTCATTATTGTGGCTAGTAAGTGTGGCTAACCGTTTCGATGCTTCGGAATTGGATGCTCGCGTTCCGAGCTTCAGTCAGCCACAGACTCAACAGCCACAAGCCTGGGCTATGAAACGAAATTAGCTACAGTAACAATACGTGGGCTGAGTTACAGTGGTCTAACGTGCTTCCTGGGTCGGGAGACAACCGCCGTCGCGAGACGGTTTGCAAACCGGACCTCCGGCGTGCTTTCTTCGGGAGCTGACGAAGCTGCAACTGCGATGCATCGATTTCACAGCTATTTCCCCCTTAGCAAACGAGTCCCCGATAGAAATTGATGCAATGTTGGACGTGCTGTTGTTCAATTCACACACGCAAATAATAAGCTCTCCTACTATACCCCCATGTCCATCTTTGACCACGAAATCTTTAATGCATCTCGGTGAGCTGTCGAAAAAGTACAGCCGCAAAACAATGTGACATTGGAATTCAGAGATATTTTGACCTTCCCAATGTATGTGCCGGAAGTTCCGTTGCGAGCAACGCGAGGTCCCTTGAAAGCCTCCCGACGTGGCGAGACGGCCTCGCGTATTTAGTATACGCCGTTCTGTATTAACGCACTAGCCGCAACCTTGTACCTTACCGTACTGAAAGCCGCGCTAGCTTCTCTGTAACTGTCCCTCACGGCCGTTCTGTATAATCGCCGAGTGTAATTTACAGTACCCGTTTTTCTCTGTAAGCTATGTCTGAGACTTGCGCGAGTTCGGATCCTATTCCGAAGCATCCCACCCTTACTAGCCACAGCGATGACTAACCCCTACTCCTTGGATCTTCTTCCATCTCGTCTGTCCAGCGGTGAACCCTTCAACTATCGAAGCGCCGCAAGACCGCAATCCTCCAGTCACCCCCCACATTCCTTCCACGTTCCACTGCACAACGGCGCTCTTCCGCATCCGCAGCATTTGCAATGTTCGTGTCACTCACACCGGGCGCAGCTCTGTCACGACGCGACTGTAGCTGCATTGTGTAACGGCGGACAACCGGCCAGTACTCCAACCACCTTCGCCGATCGTAAACCACTCCTTGGTGGTGTGACAAGATAACACTTTGAAAGCTTGTACAACATCGCTTCGCGTTGTCCGAGGTCGGATGGTGTTGAGCATGGAGTTAGGCAAAGGACGAGCAGGTCTCACGGTTGGCTTCTGAACTGGAGAGAATGTATTGTAGTAAGAGGTATCAGCTAGCGCGTAGTAACGGCCCATACCCTCAGGGTGCATGGCCACAATAGAACTCTCACACACACACACACGCCCTAATGGCAAGGTAAGCGAAAAACTTTTTGATTGTTGGAAAAGTAGGATATCTATCTCGGACATTCTTTTACTCGATTCTTCGTTGTTCGCTTAGCTAGTTCCCGCTGCAAGGCAGTTCGTGCGGATTACCGTAGGGCATAAATAGTCTAATAGTGCCTATACTCTAAACTTGCAATTTTTGTTGTTAAGCTGATTCGAAGCATTTATAAATCCAGGGAATTGTATAAGGAAGACTTCGACATACTACTGTCTACAGCAATTCCACTATTTGTTATCTAGATGCTAGAGGCTAATGGAACCTTAAGCAAGCTTAGCTACTTCTAGATGGCTCTCTTTTGCTGCTGAGTTAAGTAGTGCCCGATTGTCTTCTGTCAAGACTGTTGAGTCTGCTCCCTTTTCGAGCAGTAGCTTAGCTACTTCGAGATGACCCCCTCGTGTTGCTGCGTTAAGCTGCGTCCAACCGTCTTCTACTGAAGCTGATGGGTCTGTTCCTTTTTCAAGCAGCAGCTGGACTACGTTCACATGACCGTGAAACGCAGCTTCAGAAAGCGCTCTCCGGAGCTGGTCACCAAAAACTGTAAGATCTGCCCCGTTCTCAAGTAGTAGCTTAACTACTTCAAGATGACCCCCTTTTGCTGCTGAGATAAGCGGCGTCCAGCCGTCTTCTACTGAAGCTGATGGGATTGTTCCCTTTTCAAGCAGCAGCTGGACTACGTTCACATGGCCGTGAAACGCAGCTACAGAAAGCGCTCTCCGGAGCTGGTCACCAAAAACTGTAAGATCTGCCCCGTTCTCAAGTAGTAGCTTAACTACTTCGAGATGACCCCCGTGTGCTGCTGCGTTAAGCGGCGTCCAGTCATCTTCTGCGAAAGGTATTTGTGCTGGGTCCGCTCCCTTTTCAAGCAGCAGCTGGACTACGTTCACATGGCCGTGAAGCGCAGCTACAACATGCGGTCTCCAGAGAGCATCGCTAAAAACTGTAAAGTCTGCCCCATTCTCAAGTAGCAGCTTAACGACTTCCAGATGACCCGCTCGTGCTGCTGAGATAAGCGGTGTGTAGCCGAATTGGTCTCGGGATTCAATATCTGCTCCGTTCTTGAGCAGTAGCTTCGCAATCGCCTCGTGACCTCCAGATGAGGCCGCCCCGAGTGCGTTGCCGTATTCTTCGCTCTCCGCGTTGACGTCGGCGCCCTTCTCCAGCAGCAGCCTCGCAATGGTCTCGTGGCCTCCGTATGAAGCTGCCCGGAGTGCGTGTGCGTAGTATGCGCCCTTAGCGTTAACTTTGGTGCCCTTACTGAGGAGCAGCTTTACTATCCCTCCATATCCATTTCTTGCCGCCACACAGAGCGGTATCCAATAATCGTTCATAGCTTGATCGTGAATCCTTTCCTCCAGCAACTTCTGAGCCGTTCCCTCTTGGTCATTCTGAGCAGCCCACAATAACGCAGAGCTCTTAGATTGCTTTATGTTGTAACGGTAGAGGTAGGGATTTAGTAGACGGTAGATGCGGCAGTTCGCTTGTGTAAAGGCGTTGATATCTCTCTCTAATTCGAGGTTTTCTGCTATACAGCACAGGAGCTCATTTGATAGATGAAGAAGCAGCATCGCCAAATAATTCTTAGTTAACGAGCGATATGAGTACTCTAGAGAAGCGAGCGGAGGAGAAGTAGGAGCCTAGAGCGACTAGGCATCGACGTTTCAATATGGTATGGCTTATGTAAGCAAGCCACCGTAGATAACGTGTTTCATCAGTCATCCGCGCATATCAGTCATCCGCGCACCCCAAAAACCACCAAAAAAGAGAAAAACAGCCCCCCTGCCATCTCAACCACAGGGCGTATTTACAAGCTGTAAACGTATATGTAGCTTTCAACACTTGATTTATGCTCTCTAGAGAGCTCATAGATGCTGTACCTAAATATACCTATAGATATCACTTCTTTTCTGCATTTTGGCCTGTTTTAGCCCCCAAATTAGGCTGGGAGCTATGGCATATACGCAGATCGATCATGAAATGCCATTTGTCCCCAAAACATCCTCATCGCCTTCAGGACAATTGCAAAGGTAGCTTTTGCAATTGTAAGCTTGGAGAGGCAGCATATGATCTGTGGCGCTGTGGCGGTGCATCGTGTCGTTGCTGAGGAGATAGTGCCCGCCGCTCGGACCAAGTTAGAACGCGTCGCGGCGTCGTTTGAGAATGAGGTCGCTTCTTCCCCCCCCCCACATCTACAGCTTCTGCAATGACAGTGCCTTCATCAGAAGCATATGTTGAAGAATGGCTCTCCACGTTCTCCAAAGAGCTTCGCAAATATCGATCAATACCTGCGCAACCGCTCACGCCGTCGTCGTTACGCTCGAGTCCTTCAGTTCCCGCCCAATCAGGCAAGCGAAAACGAAGTAGGAGCATGCCCGAGCCTCGATCGCAGAGCCCTCAAAAGCGCCAGAGAAGGTTATGCATTGACGATGATATACTACCAGATCAAAGTGCTTCAGACGTAGGGATCACGGAATTGTCGGAAAGGACGAGACTGTCTCGACCGTCGCAATCCGCCGGATCAAGTCCGAAGCGTACAACAAGCCCTGTTCGGGACCTGTTGAACGACTTACGCGTGTCGAAACCCTCTATACTTTGCGAGATTCCATCCTCAGTGATACTTCCTGAAAGTGCAGCGGCCCTACAGCAAAGTCTTGTGGACCGCCTGGAAGAAGGGTTGATTCCAGCAAGCCTAAAGGTAAAATACCCAGTCAGTCAGATCCCGAAGTTGTCGTAATCAACTAATAATATTCGTCCCACAGTCCAACATCCTCGCCAAATATCCATCTATAGCAGCAAGCATCCCAACTGCTGCATACGATCTTTCAGATACGCGATCTGCGAACGAACTCGGTATAATGTGGGATAATGTGGAGGAAATACTGAGCGAGAGCAGAGACTGTGGGAGATATCAGCAAGATGAGAATGCTTGGTGCTTGAAAGTGGTGTATCCTACGCTGCGCCTCGCACTTAAGGGCAACCATACTTTGAAAGTGGAGAGCGTGTAAGTTTAATCTCACTGACATATTCTATCCAGAGCTTCTCTGATTCATACAGGCAAACACAAGCAATCAACCCTGAGGTATTGCCAGTAACGCCCAAGAACTATCGCGTTCAGAAGAAAGCAGACTAACTTAATGCAGACTCCCCCCTTTCCCTACTATCATATTACCAAGGACAGCTTGCATGACTCTAATGTTATTTGGGGGCTGTGAGATAGCTTTGCAATTGTTCCACAAAGCATTTCCAACAGCTCTTCCGCGCGCTGAGGTCCGCATACACTAAACCGCCTTGCTTTAGAATACGTCGTATAGTTGCCAATCCCATAATCGGGATGGAGTCGTTAGCCTCGAACGCGTACAAGAACACGATGTGCGCCTATACGACGCATGTTGCAGGGTTTGGTGCTGGTCCCAGTCACCCGGTGAAACGAAGATAGAATCTCCCCGACACGACGTGCCCGAGTTCCTCCCGACGCTAAGCTAGTGCGTCGGTTAGTCAGCGTACCCGTATCCGTATCCAACGCTGTAAGAGTAAGACTCCTTCGCCGCTTTCTGCATTCCTGCCTCTGCGTATTTCTATTCATCCCCCTTTCGCTGATCAGAATTGTGTATACTAAGGTCCACTATGCCTCCGCGCAAGGTTATACGGAGATCACACAGAAAGTCCCGACTGGGCTGTCATGAGTGTAAAAGACGCCACATCAAGGTATGCAACCTGCATGATCATCTTGAGCGCGGGTACCTGCATCTACCCAGGTACGGTAGCACTGCAAATACGAAGCATGCTGATTCTTCTATGTGTAGTGTGATGAAGCACAGCCCACGTGCGAAAGTTGCATGCGCGATGATCGTACCTGCACGTATCAAAGGCCACCAGACTCAGCCCGACGCACAGTATCCAGCCAATCAACAGATGCTATTTCCGAAACTACATCGTACACAGGAATTCCTATGTCGCAAGGTGTATCGAGTACAATGGAACACAGCAATACAACGTCACCATCCGTCACGACTTCCTTGGACCCGCGCTTCCTGTCTCCAATAACGTCCTCACTGCAGAGCTCAGACCTTTCATTCAACCTACGCCATATGCAGTTGTTTAGTCATTTCATCTTCGAGACGTTGCCAAGCCTCGCAGAAACGGGGTCGGTGGACCATAACCAAACACGTACCATGATGCCGATGATGCTCTCACAGCTGTACACCCTGTACCAACTTCTGGCCCTGTCTGCCATGCATATGAGTTACACACACATGGAAGAGGCAAGCCGGCATCTTGAGGAAGCTAGAACTCTCCAGACCCAGGCTTTGTGCGCGTTCAACGATGCTCATATGGAAGTTACAGTAGAGAACTGCGTGCCCATGTTGTCATTCTCTACCTTCATTGGCTTGCACGCCCTTGCTGAGGTCGCTGGAAATGCCGATGCGGGTGCGGGCGGGGTCTTGGACGGGTTCGTCACGTACATGAACTTGCATCGAGGGGTTCGAGCTATTATCTCGCAATCCTGGACTTTCCTAAACCAAACCAGCGTTGCCTCCATCATAGAATGCGCAGAGAACGCGATCAACCATGCATCGTTTTCCCATCGGGAAACAGCAGTAGCAGTCGCCCACCGCTTGCACACCTTGCTAGACCAAGCGGACATGAGCGAGCGTTCTCGACAAGTCTGTCGTGTGGCTGCATCCCAGCTGAATATTGTTTACCAGACAGATTCGGACTCAGCAGCGCCTGGATCTGGTTTGATTTGGGTGTGGCCTATCAACCTGTCTAGCGAGTTCACGGATCTGTTGTCCATGCGCAAACCGGAAGCACTGATCATCCTTGCCCACTACGCGGTGCTGCTGCATCGCCGGAGACGCGTGTGGCTTGTCGGCAATGTCGGCGGGATACTAATCCAAGAAATTTCCAAGTTTTTGGGTACCTTCTGGAAGACTTGGCTCGATTGGCCGAATGAGATAATAGCGCAACACCAGGGCGATACGTCGTAGCCAGCCAAGCGAAATACGCCGTATACGTTGACTCGTCATCATCTCCTCCCGAGCATCGACCACCAAGCGCACTCGCACGCAGTTCAAGTGAAGATACTGCGGGCAGCTTGGTAAGAGCTGTTGTATCCTGTCGCTACTTATTTAAGCAATGTCGCCAGACTTTCAATCCATCATCCGACTACAGTCTCTCGTTCCACTCTATAACATGATGCAGAACCTCACCACCACACTGTCAGCCTGCAACGCCAGCTCCATCCCGTACCCCGTCGTCTTCGGCGCCAATGTCCTGGACCTTACCGCTACGCTCGTCCAAAACTACACGGGGGCTTTTGACCCGGAAACCCAGAGCCATTCCATCGCCGCGCGCAACATCGACTTTTGCAACGTGACCGTAACATACACCCACGAAGGCCAGAACGAGACCATCAATGTCGAGACGTGGCTCCCAATCGACAAATGGAACGGACGACTGCAAGCTGTAGGAGGCGGAGGCTGGGTTGCTGGCCGGTTCTCTATATCCTACCTAGCCATGGATGACGCACTAGGTGAAGGCTATGTGGCGACGACGACAGACGGCGGCTTAGGCACATCAGCTTCTCCTGATCCGTGGGCGCTCAACAGCCCTGGCAATGTTAATCTGTATGCCCTACAGAATCTCGCCTCCAGATCTCTCAGCGACCAGTCTTTCATCGCCGAAGACGTCACCAAGTCTTTTTACGGACAGGCTGCCAAGTTTTCGTACTGGAACGGATGTTCTCAAGGCGGTCGACAAGGCTTTATGCTCGCGCAGCGCTACCCTGAAGCCTACGACGGCATTGTGGCGGGAGCACCTGCGATCAACTGGAACGAGTTGTTCTTCAACGCAGCATGGGCGCAAGTCATGATGTCAATGACAAACCAGTTCCCCACGAAGTGCGAATTGGACGCCCTTACTCAAGCTGCTGTCGCCTCTTGCGATCTTCTTGATGGTGTCGCCGACGGCATGATCAGCGACGTGGACAACTGCTTCTTCGACCCGTTCTCGATGGTCGGCAGCGTTCGCAATTGTACGTCGACTGGAAAGGCTGTCACCATTAGCGAAGGAGCTGCAGTCATCGCAAACGCTACATGGGAAGGCCCCCGAGGACCTGACGGCGAGTTCCTCTGGTACGGCGTTGACCTCGCGAGTGATCTGACTGGTAGTGATGGATCGGACGGTTCTCCATTCCAGCTGGCCATTGCAACAACCACATGCAACGCGAATGGTACATGTACCGGAGCTCCTGCTGGCCTTGGTGAAGCATGGCTACAACTTTTCGTCAAGAAGGACCCTGAGTGGAACTACACGCTGATCAGCTCGGTGGAAGAGTACACGCGTCTCTTAAAGTCGGCAATCCAGGAGTACGAATCCATCATCGAGACTGCGGATCCAGACCTTTCGGAGTACCGCAAGGCAGGTGGCAAAATCATGACATTTCACGGCTTGGTAAGTTTCCCATCATGTGCCCTTTCATTCTCATCGCCTCCGACAAACAAGCTACTCATTCAGTCATTGCGCCTTTCTTCTTAAAGCTCTGCTAACCTCTTGTTCAGGCCGACGGCATTATCCCGCACAAGGCAACTGACGACTACTATCGTCGCGTGATGGACCTTGATACCAACGTGGATGACTTCTTCCGCTACTTCCAAGTCCCCGGACTCGGGCATTGCAAAGGTGGTCCTGCCGGTGAGCCTCCCGCCACGTTCCATGCGCTCGTCGACTGGGTCGAGAAGGACGTCGTGCCAGAGACCTTGCCCGTGAGCTTCAACGATACGGCCGGGACACACTACGACAGGTTCTTGTGCCCTTACCCAATGAAGACACGCCTTATCTCGAAGGATAGCGATGTTACGAAGGCAGAGTCGTACGAGTGCGCTCTTTGAACGTGCGACGGGGTATATGCAGAAGCAGCTTTGCTATTTGATCTTTAAGATGTACTTGCCGGTTATATAGAGGAGTTGTGTTCGCGTTCAATGTTGTAATAATAGAAACTATTCACTTTCGCTTTAAGCTCTTCGCCCACGTGCTCTGCGCACGTTATTTGAGCGAGCTATTTGCACACGTTCTCTGCGCCAGTTCACACCATAAAGCGCTCTCTTATCTCGTCTAACATGTCTAATACGTGGTCCACCTTGCTTTTGTTTGCAGCACAGACTGCCCTCTGTATAACAAGTATCTAGGCAATCCTAATAAACTTTAATAGATCTAGTAAATAGTTTAAAGGGCTATAAAAAACGCTATTAGGCTTCTTATTAATTTCTAGTACTAGTGAGTGTATTCCGGTCTAGTTGCCGTGTGGCGAATAACGGTACCGGCAAAGTACTTGAGCACATGATTACTCAAGCCGGGCGTGTCAGCACGTGGCGGTGGCGGGGCAGGCAAATTGTTACCTGCAGCAATGATGATGGCCGACCCGCTCCTACCCTGACCTTGCGCCGATGGCGAACAAGTGGATCTGTACGTGGACGCATCGTTGAGAAACGGCAGGGCTGGAATTGGGGTATTTGCCATGCCATCGCGAGTGCGCTTGTCGAAGACAGTGGCAAGCTCCGAACAGGCGGACCCACACCTCACGGAGCTGCTGGCGATTCGAGAGGCAGCCAACTGGCCGTGGACTCCGCAATGCGTAGCCTTTGATGGCGACGGCCGCAAGGTGCCGGCGTCGAGCATTCGAATCTTCTCCGACTGCCAGTCGGCGCTGCTGTCCGTACAGAGCTGGAGGGCGAGCGCATGTCAGAAGGTGGTGGCAGAAATCGTCAAGAAGCTTCGAATGGTCAACGTCACGCTGCACTGGATTCCAGGACACGCAGGGATCGAGGGAAACGAGGAGGCAGACAGGCTGGCAAAGGCAGCAGCAAGGAAAGAAAGCGATAGGCCGCCACGCCGTAAAGGCATCCCGTGGTATCTGATGCGTCTAGCGCTGGAAAAGGCCAACATAGCAGGAGAGTTCCCTCTACACAGGACAGCAGAGACAGGCATGTTCACCAAGAAGATTGACGCAGCGTTCCACCTAGGCAAGTCGGCAGGGATGTACCGGCAGCTAAGCAGCGCTGAGGCTGCCATCCTCACGCAGCTACGGACCGGCAAGACGTTTCTCAACGAGTATCTACACAAGATCAAAGCATCAGAAACCGCGTTGTGCGATTGCGGGAGCATAGAGTCGATAGCGCACTTCCTCTTCGCGTGCAGGCGATGGAGGCGGCAGAGAACACAACTAAGACAGCAGCACGGGCAGCGATTCGGAGAGCTGTCGTACGCACTGGGAGGATACTCGAGCAAGCAAGAAGGCGGACAGAGCATCGACGGACCGATGGAGCGGTGGAAGGCAGACATAGCGGTGGTCAGGGCCACGATCGAGTTTGCAAAAGCCACTGGGCGACTACAGCCAAACGCACGAGACACAGCAGATAGGGAAGAGGCAGAGGCGGAGGAGCGAAGTCAGCTCCGAGCGCCGTCTCCTACTGAATAACTACAGAACAGCAAGCTGCCCATGAACGTGCCTCGGCCAGTGTGCTGCCGATTAAGAGGCACACGACGCCGGAAGCGCCCTGCGGACACGAAGCCTCTACAGCTTAACAGCTTGCGCTGAAAGGTGATGTATTCTTCTCTTGTACTATATTTTCCTATGTTGAGCATGGAGTTAGGCAAAGGACGAGCAGGTCTCACGGTTGGCTTCTGGATTGGAGAGAATGTAATGTAGTAAAAGGCATCAGCTGGCGCGTAGTAACGGCCCATACCCTCGAGGTGTATGGCCATAATAGCACACACACACACACGCGCACGCGCGCCGATGGCGATAATCCAACGGCTTGATAAAGAGTGCTATATGCAGCTCGTGTATTGTGTAGGGTTCTTGCCATGCATGACCACTACCACTGCTATCGCTCTATTAGTACATATAAATAATCTAAAAGCACCCTTTTTGACCCTAGAGATTGCAGTGCACATGCAAGGAGCTGCTGGTTTTTTTTAGCTGTACAACTGCTATATCACCAAAGCATGCAAGGACTTTCTATCTTCGTATGCGCTTGTAACGGCGGCGTTTCGCCAGTACGCTCCGTTGGACCCACTTGTAGAAGCGCAGGCTTTAGTTTCCAAGGCCGCCATGCTCTATATTATCATATGTCTTTCCTATCACATCGTGTTTCTTTCCCATGAGCGGAAAGTACAGCTCACTGCAGCTTGGTCTAAGAATCGGCGCTGGTGGACTCGAGAAGTATGAGGATGCGGCGGGCTTGATCGGGCCAGTGGAGGGAGCAACGGCAGATGTCGGAGCTCGAAGGTATGGCATTGGCGTGCCTCCGTTACAAATCGGTTATCGCTCTGCGGTTGGACTGTATCTCTACGTATGCAGCATCGTCGTATTAAAGCTGGTTCTGACGCTGGAATACAGAGAGCTGACGTTTACACATAAGAGTAGTAGTTGTTGGTACAAGGTGAGGTAAGAGCTTGTACAGGCTCCTGGGTATGCGCAGGATTCGTGCTAGGGACATTGAAACTCGTTGTCAGACCCACTGCGAGAGCCAAAAGACAGTTCGTAGGGATCAGGACTGGCTCCCGGGCTGTTTGGTTGTTGCGCGATTGCATCCGTAGGCTCGGCGCGATAGCCACAGCCAGGATCGCTCGAGTTGTCCGAGCGTTACTATAGTCGCTCTTGGCGTCTCCACCGATCCCAGCGTCATGTTCACCGTCCGCACCACAGTTACTCCTATCATGAACTTCATGCCATGAGCACCGATAACATTCCACATAAAACTACATCCGCGAGTAAGCTCCTCTTACGTGCTGTAAGAACGCCCCCAGAGAGCCCGACACTTTCTGCACCCGAAGTCGCCGGCACGTCGTTGCCGATCTCCCCGCCAGCTACGGTCCTCATCGACTCTTCACCTCGACCCCTGCCGCACCTCATTCGTCGCTTATACCATCGCATACAACAGCGCTACCAAGGGGAGTTGTTGAAAGATACTTGGGAGTGTGTTCGCATATCACCACGAGGGTATCAGGTGCTGCAGAATGAGTTGGAGAAAGACACCCGCTTCGGAGCCTGGGTCGCAGACAAGCTCCGATACGACTACGATTCGGCCGAGGGCGAACTCGTCCTCCGTATGCCTTCGCCGTTACATGACATCTTTGCCATCAGGCTGCAAGAGGTGATTGCCCGGGAACTGAAGAATTCCACGACGCAGGAAGATATACGCCCGGTAATAGAGCGTATTAGGATCGCGACTACATCGGACATTCGATTTAGTGATACTTCGATAGAGGGGAAAAAGTCTCCGGACGGATCGTTCCGCTTCACGGGCACCAAGTATCCACCTCTGGTAATCGAAGTTGCCAACTCACAGAAACGTCGCGACCTGCCGCGCCTCGCTGAATCATATATCGAGCGCACCAAGGGTCGCACCAAGACTGTGATTGCCATAGATTTGGAATATCGCGATCCTAGTAAGCGTGCTGCTCACTCGTTGCCACCTCGCTCAGCGGTCTATTCCATATATCGCTATAGGCTGGTCCGCGATGAACAAACGGGGGATTGGCAAAGGGAGGCACACGCAGAGATCGAGGAGCAGCAATTTTCTACAGAAGATACAGTTACAGCTGATGGGTCCATGTGCCTCTTACTTTCAGACTTTTGCCCGGACGGCACCGTAAGCGAAACCAACGATCGGACGATCACTATTTCTCACGCAGAACTGGCGCGCCTTTTGACAGAGGCAGAAGAGGAAGAAAATACTGCGGAAGCACCCTCCAGCCCTATCCTTTCGGAGAAGAACATTCCGTTCGTGTCTAAAAGGAAGCGTACACCGACCCCGAAATTGGTGTCGGAAGATGAGGAGGCATTTGAACAAGCAGAAACTGCGGCAAAGATTCGGGAGTCAGCTGAAAACAGCTCTTTTTCCTCAAGCGATGCGGCGGATACCATAATAGAGCGCATTAAACGGATCAAAACAAGGTCACAACCTGACTCTGAACCAAACCCGTGAGATACAGAAATAAATAATGAAGAGAAAAGGGATGGTATTCCTAACCCTTTTTGATATTGATGTTCGCTCTTTACCTTGTCTGCTCATATGTGAAACTCAACGCCTGCATGGTCAGGGCCAGTGCGGGTCGGCCATCATCTTATGCTCTCTCACGCTTCGCCTCGTTGCCTATCCCTTGGCTACTAGTCCTGTTCTGGATATAACACGACTAGCCTGCTCAGGTCGGGTTGCAGAATTCATTAGGAGATTGCCATGTAGCAGATATGAACGACGTGTGGATGTGCGGGTAATAGTATTGTTGTTGTTCAATGTCATCCTGGCTTAAATTCTTTCCCTTTGCAATGTGAGGCGTTGGTGACAGTCTCAACGGGATCTTTGAGTGCCGAGATTTGGGGGCCGTTTTGTGGACGAATAGCATGAGCTCATTTCTCATTGCAAGAGGTGATACAATATACGAGGACCCCACCTTTTTTTTCAACTGGGGATATATCTAATGAACAAACCCAAAGTCCGTTCCTAATTCTAACTTCTTCGTCACGTATTTTTCCTCATCGGTCTCTCCCCACAGCCTTCAACCATGCCATCAACGTACCCGCAGTACGATGAGGTATCCCAAGAAGACCGGATTGTCAACAAACAGTTATCTGATACCCTCATTACAGATCCACCAAAATCATCTGAAGAGCAGCCACAAGGCTTGACAAACAAGATTGCGCTAGGCGATCCTCCCTCATCCCACGCATCAGTTTCCCATCCTATTAGCTCCGATGACCAGCAGGAATATGCGGCGCAAAGAATACACTGGGCTTCACCAGCCATGATGATGATCTCGCTCCTTTGTGGGGTGGCGTTGACTGCCGGGCACCATTACTACTACAGCACGTTGAATGATCAGGAAGCTGGGTCATCGGAGCGACAGCAATGGTCTCTAAGGTATTCTAAAGTCGTAGAAAAGATCAAGAATGAGCCGTTGACTTGTCTCTCAGATTCGGGAATGCTTTTGCTGTGAGCGCGAGTCTGTGCCTGAAGACAGCGGTCGGCACCGCCTATTTGCAAGTCCTTTGGAGACGTCTTAGCAAAAGCCACACATCCGTACGCACTATAAATTCAGCTTTCGATATCCCGGGCAACGTCCTGTCTTTTTTCAATCTCGAACTTTGGAAAAAGGTACAGATCGGCGTGCTGCTCGCATTCGTTCTATGGTAGGTATACCGCCGCCAGCTTCCGCTTATCATATTGATATATAACGTATTCAGGTGTCTTCCTATTTCGACGCTACTTGCCCCACCTACGTTATCAGTTCGCCAGAAGCCAGTGTCCAGCTTTCAGATGCTTCCAGTTCTCACGCTAGATATGAACAATTCCGAACAGTTCGCGTCGCTGCGGACTGATAGGGATATTGAAATGGCTCCGACGCCTCAGCTTAAGAGACTTGCTGCTATAGTAGCATATAGCGGAGAAATTATGCCCTTCGAATCTCCTTCTTTAGCTGCAAATGCATCGTACCGAGTCACAGCATATGCGCCTCTGGTTCGATGTCAAGCCGCCAACAGCACAGAACAGTTCCGGCTGCTAAAAGGTGCATCTGACATGGGATTTGCACCTCAACTAACAGCAAATAATAGCGCAAAATGGTCTTCCACTGCCAAGTTCAGAAGTGGTGAGATTGGGTACTTGGCGGTATACGATGAATATGATGACGTGACGATGGGAGAGAATTATGAGGTTTTCCAACCTGTGATCTTTCAGAAGAGGGTTCCGATTTACGACAGTATCTTGGTAGCGCTACAACGCAAAAACACCTCGTCCGAATATCAATCGGATACCGAATATATAAGCTGTCATCTTTGGAACAGTACGCTCGAGTTCTCAGTTAGCATCATATTGGGAAGATCGAAGGTAGAAAACGTCAAAACTACTTGGCACAACAGGATCAATGCCGATATCCGAAATCACCCTGGAAACCCTTTTGGCTACCTGTATTACTTTTTAACGGTTGCGAACTACGTGATTGGGCGAGGACAATATTATGCACAAGACTCTGATAGATCTTATACCAACTTTACAATGGCTGGAGATGTATTCGGATCCACGCTATCATTCAACTCACAATTCCGCGATATGGCCATGGAATTAGCCCTTCACTCCGGTTCCAACCTCACTCGACAGACAGTCAACCGTGAGACTGTTCGTAACACGAGTTTCGGCCAAGATCTGGAGCAGCTCGCACTCAATACTTCCATCAGTCTGTTTACGGACTTGTATTTCAGGTGAATTCCTGTCGAGACATATCTTTCTTTATCACTCGCTAATTCGTCGTCCCAGCAAATACAAGTCCACCAACGTGACTTCGCAGACCACACTCACCGTGTACGCATATCAACCTCAAAATCTTTTCATATCCTACGGCTTTGCTATTCTGTTTTCCGCTTTCTCTGTCGGGCTTGGCTTGTACTCGATGTACCGCAACGGCGCTAGTTACAATGCTAGTTTCTCCAGCATCGGTGTTGCCATGCAGAATGAGAAGGTCAGTCGCCAATCAGATTGACGATCATAATCGCGGAACTAGTGATTGACGTGAACAGGTCATAAAGTTGCTCGAACAAGCCAACACGACTGCCGCGCAACCACTGAACAAGCAGGCGGGTACCATCAGACTGAGATTTCGCCCTCGAGAAGACTTTATTGCTAAAGATGTGCAAGATCATGATCCTGATGCATAGTCGAATCCAATCAGCCACTAGCAGGGCGAAAGTAATCTGGCATTGATCTGTCAGAAACGAGTCTTGGAAAGCAGATCCCTTGCGAGCACCTCCTTGCCCTGCGGTTTGTTCATGCTACGAGTTCTTCTTAAATTATGAGCAAGCCGTGCAGCAGACGGTATAGTCTCATTTTTGATATCCATAACAACCTCACCAATGTGTTTCCTCAATACCCCGGGGATGATAACACGATGTACAAATATGACGTATGCCGCTTGCTGTCTATCCATGTCTTTCGTCCCGAGTGAGACGTGTAGGCGCGGGGAAGGGCGCGTCAGTCGTGGTTCTATCGTAATGAGTGGCTGTGGGGGACGCTTGAGATCGAGGAGGCTCAGCAGCCTCTAGCGATTCTTGCTGGCGATGAGTGCAGGGAATGGATGAAGCTTGATCTCTTATTGCGGGCTCCGTGTTTGTGAGAGGAGATTTGGTATTGTTGAGGATTCGTTGGGATGGAGAGTGTGATGCTGGAGGACGTGGGAGTGTGCAGCAAACGCGCTTTGGAGACAAGCAGGCGAACTCTGGTTCTGTAGAAGTTGCTGGTTTTCTAACCATAAAGCCAAAAAGATTAAAACAATGTTTTCTTTGTTAGAAGTGTTCGCAATGGAACATTAATGTTAGTGACGTTAACTAACTAACAAGTATAGCTAGCTGACTAATGACTTGCTGCAACGTCGGATCTTAAGTTCAGGGCGGAGATTGATCTCTTAACCCAGCCCCACCGTGTTTGTAGCAGGCTCGCACACTGAACCACGGCTTAGCTTTTGATATGATGGAAAAGAAATCGCCTCTAAGGCAAGGTCAGGGCGTGTGTGTGTGTGTGTGTGTTCTATTATGGCCGTGCATCCCGAGGGTATGGACCGTGACTACGTGCTAGCTAATACTGATTACTGCACTGCATTCTCTCCAGTTAAGAAGCCAACCGTGAGACCTGCTCGTCCTTTGTCTAACACCATGCTCAACGTAGAAAAATCGATATAAAAGAAGAGTACTGCATTATCTTACGGCGCAAGCTGTTTACCTAGCTTGAGAAGCCTCATGTCCGCAGGGCGCTTCCGGCGTCGTGTGCCTCTTAATCGGCAGCACACTGGCCGAGGCACGTTCATGGACAGCTTGCTGGTGGTTATTCAGTAGGAGACGGCGCTCGGAGCTGACTTCGCTCTTCCGCCCCCTGAACCGAAGAAAAAGGGATTCGATTTTTGGACATGACTTGAGGGCTTGGTGTGTTGCGCTGACACCACCAAAAGATGGTCTGCCCCATGGAGAAGTGTTTGAAATCGAGGTGGGACAGGTATCGAATAACGACCAAAATTTTCCAATGATGCATAGACTTGAAACGCCTAATAGGAGTATGTAACAACCGAGATAATGCATAACAAAATAGGACAGTTATTGAAAGCCAGCAATAAATGCACTGTACGATCATAGTGATATCAACAAGAAGAAAACCCACGTATGAAGCCTTGATATGACATCCATGAGATGCCTGACTAGGCATCCGAGACATGGCCACTACACTGTTATGGATCTTGGCCGTAGGCGGACCGCGATGGGGTCCGAACATACGCCGGGAACAGCAAAATCATCGCAGCCAATGTCATGTTAGTACTAAGATGTGACTTTCAGTTCCGTGTGAGCGTGAGCTGTGCAATCTAACCAAGTACTTATGCATTTCATCCACACCGCTATCTACTCTATTTTTCTAATACAAAATCATGGATGGTATACTTATTGGTCGTCTCTGGTCAGAAGTATAGAGGTGGATGGAGAAAGACGCATAACGCTAAGACGCGAAGCGACAGAGGGGTGGCGCACAGGTAATTACACTATTAATAGCAAGAACTGCGCTGCAGGCTCGACGCACTCTCTTGCGCATCCGTTAGTCAATGGAGTTCTCGATTGCTGGATGGCTAGTACGTATACGTGCAAAATTAACCACAGATGAACTAATAGCATAAGTATGTACATGTATGCACGTACCAGAGCACTGAACATTGCTAGACTGGCCAAAGTGCAAGTTTAGTCGCCGCAGGTGTCCTTGCTGCTTTGATAACTCTCCCCTTTCAAGTACGAGGCCATCAACGCAGAGTTTGCTGGGAAATCGTACAGGGTGGGTTAGTTTCACCGGAAAGCTTGGCTGCCTTGATCCAGTAGGAAGGCGCAGGGCATCCTCGCTTCAACGCACCGACCACTCAGGTAGGCCTCTTGCTTCGACATTTTCTCCAACTCGGCAATTAGGCAACTACTTTCGTGCCCATCACAACACATAGATTCTCGCACTTCCGGTTTTGGGTGCGAATCAGCTTAAACAATCTTTGCGAGATCTGGCGGCAAGTGTATTGCTGCTGCCCCCTTTTTTTGATTTCTTATTCATTGTTTTCTTGTTCGTCTTCAAAACATGCCTTCGTTTATGGAGCTTCCGCAGGAGGTGCGCGATCAGATATGCGGCGAAGTTCTACTTTCTCCAACCGCAGAGGCACCCGACCTAGGGCTCTCGTACAAAGCCATGATCGAAGGCCGGAAAAGCTATAATTGGCCTGAGACTAGCGGTCGGGATAGCTCTCGCTATTGCATCAGATACCTACCGTCGGCAAGCACCACAGTCGCAACATGCACGCCCCTGCTGCTCGTCAACCATCAATTGTATGCCGAGACCATGGCCAATCTCAGCGCCACGCCTCAGTCTAGTACATACGACCTAGATCTCATTGTCCTAGACGAGAGATTGCTGTGCCCGACCTGGCTGCGGGTGCCGGTACTCACAAACAACGTTGATCAGGTCAACGTCCAACTCCGCGTCGCAGGGTGTCATCCAAAAAACGTAGAGGAGTACCGCGGAATCGATATCGGTACGCGCAGTTTGTTTGCCCGGGGTGACGGTGGGCCGTCCCTCATGGTGTGGTGTTTTTACGCCGTGCTCGTCCGCTTCCTCCGCGTCGGACCAACGGGGGAATGCCAATCGAACCGGAAACATCGGAGCATTGTCCTCAAAACCCTCGATATTGATGTTCGGACTCCGCCAAACATCGACCCGAGCCATTTTGTGAAGCCCGGATCGAGCAGAAAGAGAAGCGCGAGCAAAGACATAGGTTCTGTCGTAGATCCTGATTACCTTGCTCGTTTCCTCACAGGCTACATCGAGTACCTACTCAACATGGATCATCACGCGGCGCCTTATGGCAAAATCTTTTACATTCTTATGAACGAAATTGTCTTGCGCCGCGATGGAAAGGTGGTAGAGAGAATCAATATAGCTTCGAGGATACCTAAGCTCGCGTACAACAACGGCCGCCCTTACCACCCTTATGAAGGCTCCAGTGAGAAGAATTTGAACGACTTTGCCGAGTGGAAAGCTCGCGCAATTGAGTATCGGAAACAAAGAGGTCTTCAACTCCCGTGACTGGGAGATGGATCGTGACAACCTGTCCTGTACTGAATCTATCCCCCTGCTAAGCTAAGTAGTCAGCTCTATATTGCTTGCTTTCATCTATTCTCCTTGCTATAATCAAATGGATAATTAATTGGGAGACACGTGTTCTCCCATCATCTCGTTTCCGTCTGCCCGCTCTGTAGGCTCGAAGCTATACCCCGTAACGTATAGCAGTAGCTCGTACTGTACCAGCTGTGTTGCACTATGTCCTTGTCGTGCGACAGCTGAGGTGCAGCGGGTCGCGCATCTGCCTGTAACAGGTCGCGTTATAGCTTTCGGCAGTTGTGATAGTCGCTAACCTTTGATGACCTTTGCGCTCGGCTTCCCGATGCGCCCTTGTGGCGTCTCTATTGGGGGCCGGCGCGACGTTCGGTAGGCTGCACTAGCTGCCTTGGGTACTACCTAGGTAGCTAAGCGAGCTGCGAGGTATATCACTTTTCAAGAATCAACATCTCCTTCTTTTGCCATCGGCGCAAGGTCAGGGCCGGTGCGGGTCGGCCATGCTGACGGTCACCAGTGGCGACATGCCAGCGTATGTACCACCGACGTGCTGACAGATCAAATCACGCTACCACTGCCTCAAGTATCCTTTACGTATCTTTCTGTGCCTGATTCCTTGGATCGATATCTGTAAATAAGTACATTGTAATATGCACCCAAAAGTCAGCTTTAGCATCTGCTTAACACGAACCTATATAGGTATATAAACACAGGCAGAATGATCTGGCTGGTATTAGCTATCTAAAGTCAAAGAGCCGATGCCGGCTTCTCTTTCTCCTGGTTTGTAACGGCCCTTGAAAAAGCTGTGTAGGTTAGATCATTATTTATATTCTGCTCCTAGACAAACTCGAGCAAGCAGCTCGTACATGAGTTTTACAAATACATTGCCGATTGCACTTGTCAGCCTCCTACTTTTCCGCTTGATACCCTCCTATCTCATCGTTATCCCACAACGGTATACTGAGATTCCTCCCTTCGTCATTGGTCGATAAATACTATGAGTAGGATGTCTGGATACATCCTGTAGCCCACACTCTCTTTCGTCCATTCGTCGTAATGAGCAGACTTTCCTGCTTGTCGATATTGGTCTACGAACCAGTCTCCAATGCTCCCTGGAGTTACCAATCAAGCGCACTCATCGAACTCGACTTATCCACAAACATGAAAACACTTGACCTTGACTTGTCGGATGGTCGGACCCGCCAAAAGCGTCTCTAGTCGGAGATAGAGAGCAGCCTCAGGCGCTAGCTTTGGCTTGAATATGCCCGGCTTATTCGGGCCAGGCATTAGAAATCCATGACAATCAATGCTGAGCGTGAAGCTTCCCTTCGCCGGGGATTGGTCGTTTGGAAGAACTAAGTTCTGCATTATGAAGGAGAGATTTCTAGGCTCCAGTTAGTGCTGCTGAAATGATAGCTTCGAATACTTGCCTTTATAGTGCTATTACCGTTTACAAGGGCAAAGGTGATTGAAAGGCCTGGGTATGACTACAAGCGCTAGGGATCTGTGGAAGAAGAAAAAGATTTAGAAAGTAACACTGTCATCTAAGAACAGCAGGGGAATGATTTGGGCAGTTTGAGATCACGAGCTTAGGCTAAGTAGTTCTAGAGTAAGTTCGTATAGCAGCAGCTCGACTAGCGAAAGCCGGGACACTGAAGTACCGAGGGTTAATCTTGTTTTTTTTTTTACTTGATTCAAGGAATTCCGTATAGGTCGGTTTTAATGACTAGTTTGTGTTATCAGCTCACACGTCCGTTGAGAAATAGAGTAGATTAAGACGATAACGTCTACTTGGGGCTCACACCACCATCATGATACGATATTATCGTATTGAGCATTAGGTAGTTTTAATCCGTAGGGCTGAGAACGAGAAGATTTTCCTTTGCATGGAGATGCTATTACTGACATTGAAAACAATAACTGCAGCATCACATTGTTACACGTAAAAATCGCTAACTGTACTGTGTACAGAGATAATTATAACCCTAGGGCTTGACGTATTTAGAAGCATATATCTAAGTGCAAGCGGTGTAATCAATCTCCCCATCTTCTCTACAATCAGTCAGATTTTCCTGGAACATGGGCTGCTTCATATTCCGCTATCGTGTTCAGCTGATCAAAGCAAGTTACAAACAGGCTTCCATACACTGCAGATCCTTGTAACGATCCTGAGTAGAAAATTGGATCCGAGCGAAAATCATCAACGATGAACTGCTGCTCTTCAAAGCCTTGAGAATGAGCGTTCGTGATGGTGTTGGCGTTGCTACCATATCCCGGTTGTTGCCAATCGGCATACACCTGGTCTCCGACACTGTACGGATTTTCCAGCGCATGAAAAGTGTAGCGAGCAAAATCTCCCCTTTCGTCTTCAAACAAGTCGACAAGACCATTGGAAACGTGTGGAGGGCTCTTGACAAAGTCGGCGACAACTCGAAAAGCCTCTTTCGCTACGGCGTTGTTTTGTCGCATAGAGCGCAGCCATGTGACCAGCCTGCTAATCGACTACAGAATTGAGAGCTGTTAGTAGCCTGTGCTCTGTTGTAGGATATCTCAAGCAGGAGAACCATAATTGCCTGCATGATATTGTGCACAATGTACCGCCATGGGCCGATCTGGTATATCTACGACGGATTGGGTTCATCGGGTAGCAATAAACTTAGGTCATGAGCGGCCTGGACGCACGTTTCGGCCAGCTTCCGGTTGAAGCTAGCCAATCGGCCTCTCCGAGTCTCCGTGCATCCGTATAAACACATTCCGTGCCACCTGCTTCACACCTCCGGCAGCATAGACGCTCACCGGTGCTCCGGAACTTGCGAGACCGACAACGGATACATGCCCTCAGACTGCGATCTTTCTTGCCCTGGAAAACGCTCCGCCTCGAAGTAATTGGGTTTCGCAATCTCTGGATCGCAACCTTGGGGTTTGGCCCAGCAGATTCCATGATTGAGAGAAAGTGAGATTGTGGCTTGAATCTGCGGCGCAACTACAGTTTGTTGTGATGTCTGCTTGAGGAAAGATGCCAGCTACTCCACGTCTGGGATGACACCTGGGTAATTGCGGCGGGGCTGGACAAATAGATGGCCAATGGCAACACAGCGCAATCTGACAGGTATGGCTTATGACAGAGGTGGCAAGGCTATGTCGCTTCCCCCATGAATTTTTGTTGCAAGCGCATGGTGCACTTTCTCCAACCACCCGCCAGAAGGTATTGTCCAAGGAGCGCACCCAATTTCTTCTGTGTGGCCATGTAGTTAACTTCCACAAAATACTGCAGGCTCTGCAATATCTTTTGCTTCGACTTCAGCCAATGTTTGATTTTCTCCAGGCAAGCCGCGAGATGCAGGGCAGCTGAAATAAGCGGGACCGCGCTCAAAGTAGATCCGATTTTGTGTAAAAGTTATCGAGTCGCACATGTTACATAGCACAACCAGACGGTATAACCTGGGTTCTGACCTCGCAGTTTCAACCGCTATTTTATCGTGAATTTGGATGGAGTGGCAGAGCTCAAGCAGCTCGGTGTCTGATAATATCGGTTTGTGCGGACTAGAGTCAAACCTAGCAGCCAGCTGCCTAACACGAGCTTGAAAGGGGCTTTGGGTCATAGTCATTTGATCGGCGCGTTCGTGTACGCGACGTGATTTCAAGGTTAAGCAAGATGTAACGAAGCTGATAATGTTCTTCTTACAGTTACTAAGAAGAGTAGCGCAATGATCTTATACCAATACGCGACTAGAGCTATCTTCCCGGTAACTTGAGTCGAGAGCAGGCCGCATAGCTATGGCTTGCATTGTTTCTTCGCTAGTTTAAAGAAGAAAACATGCTTCCTGTTCTCGTCATGCAAGATTCAGTGGTCTGGATTATACTCGACTTGGATCGGGAGGATTCCGGGAAAAGTGGCGTACATCATGTGCAATCAAGCGAAGCCTGCAACAAGCCCTAGTCGGTGTTACTCGGTGAATCAGGCCGATCGGATCTGCACCTTCTAGAGAAAGTTCTGGGAGGCAGGCCACCATTGTGATCACAGAGTCAAATCGCAACTGGTGTGGTTGATGGCTGAATATTTCAGGTAGTGCATGTCTGTACAGCACATTAGACCGAGTTCTTGTACATACGCTTGCTTACCTCACAGCAGGCTGACAGATGCCGGCGGGAGCTCGAGATATTCCAAGTCTAGTTTAAGCTCTTACCTCATGTACCCTAGTCATGTATACGTATCCCATCTGATCTTGACCTTGAAGGTAGCCCGATTGTGGGAATATGGCGAATGTAACATGTCATCATAGCAGCCATTTGGACGCAGTGTCATTATTTTGCAGTAGCATTCTAGGCTTGCCTTCTGTTTCAGCAAAGATACTCGCTAATTTAGCTACGCCATCTCGCGAGACCCGAGTAGCAGAAGCGAGTGTGGTCGATCCAAGCCGCGGCTCCAACAAGTTGTGGCCTAACCAACTGTCAGCTTCTCCGATCGTACACCCTCGGTCTCTCATTTCCACCTTGGCAAAAAGAGTGCAGCTGTTCGAAATCGCTGCGTACGTCAAGACTGCTATATCGAAGAGCTAGAAGTCGACAAAAGAAAATAGTGGCCAAGAACAGCCCACCCAGAGACAGCATCAATCTTTAACCCAAAAAATCGATGGCACTTCGAGAAGACGTTATATGGCAAGCCGGAAGCGGTTTTGAAGCTTTCAAAGGGTACATTTCAGAGCATGAAAGCCATATTTTCGGCGTTTGGATATCTATAAGCCTGCTTCAAGTAACCGGTGTTAGGCCAAAATGTACTCAAATGTGTCTCAACTGTATCGAATATACCGATAGCTAGCATCGCGCATCAATGCGAATGTTTCCGATTTTTTGGGTGAGGACATCGACCACACTGAGGATCCTGCAGCGCACAGTATTGATGCGCAAACACCAGCGGGAGAGTACCATGGAGAACATCTCTTCCCTACTGATTTTGATTTGCTATCGGGAGCACCAGACAGTCAACTGGCTGCATTTGGCAGCCCCCAAGCAGATTACATGACCATGTTCGCATACCCAGTAGCGTCCACTCATTCCGAAGAGATATTGCCAGAGTGCGTGGGTCGCCGTGAGACAGCTCGTCCCAATCCATTTCAAAATAGCCCACAGCTAGGCGATCCGATCATGGCTCAGTATGACGAGCTGAGTCCCTTTTACCCTGCTGAGGATACTGTTCATACGTCTCCATCCTAAAGTTAGATGTGCCATGCATTCGCCACGAGTAGAGGAGCAAGTCAGGCTTAGATAGATTAATCAACAGGGGCCTACAAGGGACACCAGAAGGTCTTTTGACTACGCATATCGCTTTTGTTGGCCGAAACTGAACTGAAAACTGAACTGGACATCTTGCATTTTCGACGGTCCTAAATCGCAGTATGCTGCATTTGCCCTGTGCCCTGTTCGCTAGATGAAATGATAGACGTTGTCGCAGTGCAAGTGAAGGACCGGTCGTCGGCACTAGGGACAGTTCCCCGAGACACTAAGACTAGATCTGCATTGCAGCAGTTCCGGTGCGGAAGCTTATTCCAACATGAAGTTGACGACAGCACCGATTGCTATACCCAAAGGGGATAAGTGACCGCTGCGTATTGGTTAGCTCGTCGGTCCAATGTCCCATCTCTAGCTCACAGCTAATTGGCCGGAGTCGCTCTTCAGGCAGCTATAATTATTGCTGCTACCCACTGTCCGCTCTCACGCACTTCTTGCCTCCCTGCAGCAGTATCGGTGATGCTACAACGTACGAAAACAGCAGTAAGTTCATCACCGCAGTTCATGTCCTTCAGCTGTAGCTATGCATTCACCACAGGTGGCATATATTCTTAGCGACACACATCAGGGCCCTGGTTATTCTCATCAACGCGTCGATATGCTTCCAAGTACTTGTGACCAGCTTCATCGAACGACTAAATTAGCCTTCTGGCTTTCGATCATCCCTACACGACTATAGCGACAAAACTATATCTTCGTTACAAGTACGACGAGCGCATGCCTAAAACAGTCACCATGACTGAAACCTTGCTTTATCGAGCATCTGTTCAACAGACTTGTTCGCCCTCTAAAGAATCGGCACCAATTTGGCGTCAGTTCACCGGCGTATCACAGTATGGACAGCATTCTCCCGGTACCACCCATACAGTGTCGCCTTTTCCCAAGCAGGCAGGACAGCGGCGGCCAGGAACCTATACATGCCGGTTAATGCTAGTGCGATAGATTACAGAGGAGGAGAAGGAACATCCAGACCAGCGAGATAACCATGATCTTTCCTGGCATTTCAACCAGAATCTTCATCTCGACAGCGTGAGTTTGGAGGGTTATGACAGGTACTGGCCGCATGTCAACTGAAAGAGACAGATGCCAACATGCAAAAAGGTTAGAAATAGCGTAGCGGCTCCAACGTTGGGACAAGCGCAACTCCATACTCGCCATCGCTACCTCTTCGGCCGGACTATCACGCCATGGCAGTAGCTCTGCAAGGTTCTTGATATCTGTACGTGGTGCATCCTGCAGCAGTGGCATTCATGCTGACCAATCTATATATCCTAGGGCTTGCAGGCTTGATGTGTCCGCTGCCGCCCGTAACTGCACCTATCGCCTCGCTGGTGAGCGCATACCATCCGTACCCGGGTGAATGCAAAGGCATGAAAACAGAGACGCAGTTTCTTTCATCAGGCATTCTCCTGCGACGCATCAATCGAGCAGACAGAACCAGCGCGGCCTGCACTATCGACCAACAGCAGTGTGCCTCGATCCTTGCGACGCCGACGCTGTAGCACTGTGGCCTGACTTAATCTCTCCAGTTTCGACCGTTATTTCAGTTGTTTGCACGCATGCATGGGAGCTGTTCCCATTGGCTTCACTTGCCGACTCTCACAACATCCCTGTCGATCGAGATGTGGCAACTCTGCTCGTACAGTCGACACGCAGTTTACCTGTTTCCACCGTGATCTGCCCCCCACGGTCCATGGCTACAATCAATCGGATGCCTCCGATCTCAATTTCTTTTTTCTGTCACTTAACCTAGCTATCGGTTGGCAAAGGGTGCCTGATGCGCCTTCTGACATCACAGTGTAGCGACCTCAAGGAGATCGCCCATGCGCGGTAGCTGCGTACATCGTTTTTTGCGCTAACTTGTATGCAGTCATCCCTCAGTCTCTGGTGACAGGATCGAAGCTCGCACATAGAAGTACGCCACCAGACGAGTGTTCTCGTGTCTAGACCTCGAGAAGATGCGCAGCTATCCTTTGTCCCTAAACCATGGTCACTCCGGACGCTACCCTTGCTATCTATCCTCTCCTGCACCAATGCTCCCACGGACACTAGCTTCAGATAGCCAACTACTGAATTTTGTACCAGGCAGCGAATCCTGGCTCCGGCCAACCATGTATGGTCTCGCCGTTCCTTGACCTCGGAGGCTCGAATAACACGAACAAAATGTCCTTATCATATTTGTAAGGTAGGCCCTAGCCTTTGGGCATGATCAGTGGGGCGTATGACGAGTGGCTTACTTCGATCATGAGTCTCTCCAGCCAGGATCTAGGTTGTACCGGTGTTTGACCAGCGAAGCATCGTTTTCGTCTCTACGAAGTTTCCGAGAAGCAAAAGAAAAGCTACTTTTTATGCTTATTGAAACAAGTAATAGCAAGCCGTGACTCCTAGTTGTTAGAATACAAATAAGTCTGCGCACTCAGGATGACCATGAACGTCCGCTATACAGCCTCAACGACACCACAAAATACTACCTATCTCTCAAACCCTGTTGGATTTGCGTGCATGCATACTCGATATTAGAGCAATTACCTCCATACCTCGTACACAGCCCGAATAACCATATCTATGGCAGTCGAGACGCTCCACCTTTCTGTCCTCGACCAGTTTGCCGTGCGATGCTACACCCCAGTACTGAAGATCTTTCCCTTCCCTAACCAAGGTCGGATTGGCAGTGCGACTAGTGCAATCAAAGCAGGGCTCCAGCTTGCATTGGAAACGTTTCCATTCCTCGCTGGCACTGTCCAGCCAGCCAATCCTCAATCAGGAAAGTTATCAGTAACGTACGGGCACGTCGTACCGGACGTGACAACGACGAATCTCTTTTCATCTAGCATCATTCTGCCTTCGAAAGAATACCCCCGCACCTACCAACAGCTGAAGCGAGATGGTATGCCTCAAAACGCCTTTACGGGCAAGATGTTTTGCCCCAATGTACTGCGTGGTCATCCGGGTGTCCTACGAAACGCTGAGGGCATAATGGATTGCAAACATGCTGTCCCAGTCCTTGCGGTCGAAGCCTTCTTCATCTCCGGCGGACTTGTCTTGAGCATCTACTCTCATCACAGCGTATGCGACGGTGTGGGTATCCACAATTTCTGGAAGCGCTTTGCCTCCAATGTGTACTGCCAGCGACCCGGGGTACTTCCACCTTGCATGTATCTCCTGCATTCATCACTCTGGTGCGCTACTAATGTCTAGGTATAGCTTTGGAGAATTCTATCGACGAATCAGCCTTACGATCACAGATAGACAGTAACATTCCGACATTTGGAAAAGCATCTGGAGTGGATCTCTATGACGCTTCGAACTATACAAAGACACTCCCTGATGGAGCGCCGTGCACTGCAAGGATCTTTGCTCTTTCTGCAGAACGCATCCGAGCGATGCGAGGTGAATTAAGAAAGCACGTCAATACAGTCACGCCTATCACCCAGTGCAATATCCTCGCTGCTTTGGTGTGGGTCCACGTTACCCGTGCACGACATGAACGCCTGGTAACGCATGGCCATACAGACACGAACATTGGCATTGCAGTCAATTTGCGCGAGCGAGTAAAGCCTCAGCTACAGCCGTCGTATATGGGAAACATGGCCCTTATGACTAGGGCAACAGCCTCCATTGCAGAGTTCAGTACCGAATCATGGTGAGAGCGCCTTTTATCATCATTATCGGGACCTTCAGCGAGCTTTTCAGTGTTCGCAGGCCACAATGTGTCCCTTGTGTCTCTTGCTGACATCTAAGCGCAGTGTGACTAGCGCAACTATCGCCCCCGCTATTCAAGCAATCAATGGCGCAATCTCGAACGCAACGAACGCATGGGCACAGCGCCATTTTGCACATTTCCAGTCTATCGATCGGATTATCGACACTGAAATCTCGCTCCAATTCAATCGCGGCCCTGACTTGTACATAACCTCATGGATGCACTTCGGCGCTGAGTGTGAGTGGAATATCCCGGGTACAACGTCCAAATCGCCTGAGTACATTCGCCGAACGCACAGCCCAAGCGACGGCGGTGTAATCATCATGCCGAGACGCAGAGAAGTCGGCACATACAGCAAGGAAGCCCCGTATGAGGTACTTATAAGACTTGCTGGTGAGGATATGGAGAGACTCGTGAATGAGGAAGGCGGCCTTGCTTCTTGGTCAGAAAGGGTTGTTGGGTAATGGCTTGCGCACCTACATTTGCGAACTCTCATACTTGAGTGTCCCCCATATTCTATTAAGATCTATGTGCTGTATGATTCTAGCCCCTGCATCTATTTAATTTCCATAAGATACCACTTGCCTCTATGAGCGGCCATATTAAACCGTACGCAGCCTGGCATTGCGAAAGCACATGTTAACAACAGCACTGAGCAGCCATTATGAGCGGCTTCTTAGCCGTTTGGATGCCCTGATATGTTAGGTATGCCGCCACTGCATCAAATCTACCATTGAATTCTCCCCGCCTCGCAATGCGAGCCGCTTTGTTGAACAGGGAGGGGTAGCCTGCAAGCAAACCCCACTATCAGCAAACTCTCAGATAGGCGGTCTTTGCTGGAGGGTACACATGAGAAGTAGCTACTATATGGCATATTTGACGTCAGTTACGGCACCACTAACTGGTCAGTAAGCATGTGTAAGATATCAGCCCCTCTATACTGTTGGTGCCACTGTATCCTTTCTACATTCCTGGCTTTGATAGCACCTTTACACACTTCAATGTCTCTTTATTGTCTACATTGCACAGAGTAGAAGTTGATAGTTAGCCCAAGGCTTCAGTGACGCGACTAGAAATGTAATCGAGCTTGCACCCAGCGACAAATCATCTATTCCCTAATGCCATCAACAGCCATTCACAATTCATCAAAGCACCACGCTGACTGCAGACTATGAATCTACTGCAATGAATCACGATCCTTGAACCCTGGAAACTGTACATGCATATCGCCGCTGCCGTTTTGTATGGCACCAGAAGGCGATGGAGGAATTTTGCAGACTGGTAAGACGCGCCGCTAGACCTGCGTCTACAAAACGACAGGATCGAACTGTTATCTTTAGGGATACAATATAGTCAGGACCCGAGGATCTGTTTCCATCTATCAATCCCTACATTGTACCCTAAATACCCTGTCTGTTGCACAAGCACAGCACACTCCATTGGTTACAGACTGAACTGGTTACAACCTAATAACAACGCCGTTCTCTAGTTACATATACCCATGAGAAGTTCTAGACATCAAAAAGTAATTATTTAACACAAGTATAAATACCACATTGGATAACTAAATAAATGGATGTTTTAAGCAATCTTCTCTACTGGTGCAAACTTTTGCATATAGCCCAACATTCAGATATGGCCAGCTCACCTGCTTTCAGTGCATTCCATCGGCGTCAGAGCTCTTCACGGCTATACCCAACTTTTTACAGGGCTCAAAGATTTATGTGCAGCACACATACAGAACAGGAACGGTACTGGAGCCACATTCCTGCGTGGAAAGATGTGGAACGCAAAGAGTTTGTTAGCTACAGGTTCCAGGTTTGTGCAGACCATTTACGTAGCAATTACTCTGCATACTGAGGTTTGCTGGACTTGCTTACTTTTCGTGCAGCTTCGAAATACTGTTAATCATGCCAAACTCAACAAATTTCTCATCGACGTGCTTCCGGATACACTGGCACCATCATACAATCTCCAATTACAGCATATCCAGACGAAGCATGATTTCATTGAAGATGCTAATTCTGGATTAGAGGTTGCACCCATGGCTGTTAGACTTACGCCCCATATACTTTCTCGGATTAACTGGGCAGCCCCCCTCGACGATCCCATTCGACGCCAGTTTCTCCCTCTGAAAAGCAGCATAATTGAAGATCACAGGTTACTAACGCTGGATTCGCTCGACGAAGAAGCCGACTCGCGTGAGAGTCTTTCTTGCTGCCCATAAGTCCTAACGCTGATAAAGACAGCTGTCCCCGGCCTGGTGCATAGATACCCTGGCCGAGCGCTATTTCTAGCGACATCAATCTGCCCAGTTTACTGTCGGTTCTGCACACGATCGTACGCAGTGGGCGCGCCTACGAGAACAGTATCTAAGTGGCCCCAAAAACCGTCTAGGAAGCGCTGGGAGAAGGTTTTTCAGCATATCGAGAAAGACCACTCTTTGCGGGACATTATTATTTCGGGCGGCGACGCGTATTACCTGTCGCCCGAGGATCTCCGCGAGATTGGTGAGCGGTAAGTTGATACCTATCTCGTGGATTGTAAACTGCTAAAGACGCATAGTCTTCTTGGGATCCCACACATTCTACGTTTTCGCTTCGCTTCAAAAGGTCTAGCCGTGGCCCCCGGCCGTATTCTGGATCAAACCGACCCTTGGGCGAGCACACTAATTGACCTTTCAAACCAGGGTCGGCGGATAGGCAAGCAAGTGTGCCTGCATACGCATATAAATCATCCGAACGAGATAACATGGATTACGCGAAGTGCAGCAAACTATCTTTTTGCGAACGGTGTGATCGTCCGAAACCAGTCTGTGTTGCTTAAGGGCGTCAACGATGATGTTGAAACGATGGGGAACCTGATCAGATCGCTGTCTGAAATAAACATCCAGCCTGTAAGTAACTCTCCGTTGCCATGCGGCATGCTCCCAAATACTTGCAAATGGAGTATTTCTACATATATTTCAAGCTGACCCAACACAGTACTATGTGTATCAATGTGATCTTGTACGCGGTGTTGAAGATCTCCGGACACCTCTTGGGACGATGTTAAGGATAGAAAAGCATATTCGCGGGACTTTCTCTGGATTTATGCTACCTTCTTTTGTAGTCGATCTACCCGGTGGAGGCGGAAAACGCTTAGCTTCGACCTTCGAGAGTTACTTGGATGGCATTTCTACGTGGGAAGCACCGGGACTATCTGGAGAGAAAGGAAGAAAGCGATATCTTTATTACGATCCCATTATACCAGGTCGCATTGCTCAGTTTCCGAGGATATCAGACGGGGAGAGTACAGGTTAACCAATCGTATTCTGCTTCCGAAGAAACGCAAGGCCGGAGCCCCTTGGAGCCATGGAGTAAACTTACTCATTATGTAACGTCCTTTCATTCACACGATGTTTGATGGTGCATTTTGGTACAAAGATAATTCCATCGGTTGCAACGTCAGCTGTTCGTGTTTTTCAAGCATCCGCAATACTTCTCTTTGCACGAGTTAGAATCGTTTTCGACTACGAAAACTGGGGCAAAATAGAGAACGATGGCGCAATGCAGGAGTGCAGCCTACACTATGCGATTAAGCAGATTCCGTGTACTTATGTTTTGCTTGGTAGGTCTGCGAGGCAAACAGTAGTACACCGAAAGTACTTAAGGGCGTTGTCGCGCGGACAAGCGCGTCAGCACTTAAATGCCAGCTCCGCAAGCCGCGTGCCGGCACAGTAAAATTGAATAACAATATCCCCAGATGCTTTTCAGGTACTAGAGTCCGCCGCGCGAGATGCAGGGTGGTGATGCGAAAACCGCGCTTTAGCATCTCTATCCAGATAAAAATGCTCTAACTGGATGGAGCAAAACATCCGCAGAGTCCAACTATGCCAGGAAGTTGCCACTTGAGGTAACATCACTTCCGTGGACGGCTGAGATCTCGATCCAGGTGGATGAATAGTTGCACCGAAGCATGCTGATGCGCAAATTGCCAAGATCAGCTTCTGCGCTGGACGGATCCCAAAACAGAACAAGCACTATGGGGAACGTTTCCTGCTAACTACGAAATTTCACAATTGAAACCAGTAAAGAAGAACGGGTCGGCCATGCTGACGGACGCTAGTGGCGACCACATTACAACGCACCCAAAAGCCAGCTTTAACATCGCATTGATCTAGCTGCTATTAGCTATCTAAAGCTACAGAGCAGATACTGGCTTTCTCTATTTTCCAACCGAGTGAGGGAGCTTAAAAAAGCTGTGCATGAGTGTTTATCATCCGCGTCCTACTCTTTGACAGCCTCGAGGAAGCAGCCCGTACAGCTGCTAATTGTTCGCTAATTGCGCCTGCGAATCCCAAAAACCTCTACTTGATATCCTCCCGTTTGTCTCTATTCCACAATGGCAGGCTGAGATGTCTTGCTCCGTCATTGGTCGATGAACAATGTAAGCAGTATGTCTGGATCATTCCAATCCCCTGCACTATCTCTCGTCCATTTTTCGTAATAAGCAGACTTCCCTGCTTGTCGGTATTGGTCTACGAACCAATCACCAATGCCCCAAGGAGTCACCAAGCAAGCGCCCTCATCTAACCCAACTTCCCCACAAACGTGGAAGCACTTGACCTTGATTTGTTGAATCATCGGAACCGTCAAGAGTGTCTCTAGTCGGAAATAGAGAGCAGCCTCAGCCGCCGGCTTTGACTTGAATATGCCGGGCCTGTTCGGATCAGGCATCAGAAGTCCATCGCAATCAATGCTCAGCGTAAAGTTTCCCTTTGCCGGGATCTGGCCATTTGCAAGGACTTCGTTCTGCATTTTAAAGAAGGTATTCCTGGATTCTAGTTAGTACTGCTTAAATGAGAGCTTTGAATATTTGCCTTTGTAGTGCTGTTTCTTTTTATAAGAAAAAAGGTAATTGGCAAGCCTGGGTATGGCTACAAGCGCTGGTGATCTGCGAAAAAGTGAAGACAGCAACACTATCATATGTGAGTAGGAAAGGGATAGCGTGGGCTGTCTGACCTTAGTGCGAAAGGATGGTCTAAGAATATCACCGGCTCAGGCTAAGTGCGGGGGTATTCTTTCGAAGGCAGAATGATGCTAGATGAAAAGAGATTCGTCGTTGTCACGTCCGGTACGACGTGCCCGTACGTTACTGATAACTTTCCTGATTGAGGATTGGCTGGCTGGACAGTGCCAGCGAGGAATGGAAACGTTTCCAATGCAAGCTGGAGCCCTGCTTTGATTGCACTAGTCGCACTGCCAATCCGACCTTGGTTAGGGAAGGGAAAGATCTTCAGTACTGGGGTGTAGCATCGCACGGCAAACTGGTCGAGGACAGAAAGGTGGAGCGTCTCGACTGCCATAGATATGGTTATTCGGGCTGTGTACGAGGTATGGAGGTAATTGCTCTAATATCGAGTATGCATGCACGCAAATCCAACAGGGTTTGAGAGATAGGTAGTATTTTGTGGTGTCGTTGAGGCTGTATAGCGGACGTTCATGGTCATCCTGAGTGCGCAGACTTATTTGTATTCTAACAACTAGGAGTCACGGCTTGCTATTACTTGTTTCAATAAGCATAAAAAGTAGCTTTTCTTTTGCTTCTCGGAAACTTCGTAGAGACGAAAACGATGCTTCGCTGGTCAAACACCGGTACAACCTAGATCCTGGCTGGAGAGACTCATGATCGAAGTAAGCCACTCGTCATACGCCCCACTGATCATGCCCAAAGGCTAGGGCCTACCTTACAAATATGATAAGGACATTTTGTTCGTGTTATTCGAGCCTCCGAGGTCAAGGAACGGCGAGACCATACATGGTTGGCCGGAGCCAGGATTCGCTGCCTGGTACAAAATTCAGTAGTTGGCTATCTGAAGCTAGTGTCCGTGGGAGCATTGGTGCAGGAGAGGATAGATAGCAAGGGTAGCGTCCGGAGTGACCATGGTTTAGGGACAAAGGATAGCTGCGCATCTTCTCGAGGTCTAGACACGAGAACACTCGTCTGGTGGCGTACTTCTATGTGCGAGCTTCGATCCTGTCACCAGAGACTGAGGGATGACTGCATACAAGTTAGCGCAAAAAACGATGTACGCAGCTACCGCGCATGGGCGATCTCCTTGAGGTCGCTACACTGTGATGTCAGAAGGCGCATCAGGCACCCTTTGCCAACCGATAGCTAGGTTAAGTGACAGAAAAAAGAAATTGAGATCGGAGGCATCCGATTGATTGTAGCCATGGACCGTGGGGGGCAGATCACGGTGGAAACAGGTAAACTGCGTGTCGACTGTACGAGCAGAGTTGCCACATCTCGATCGACAGGGATGTTGTGAGAGTCGGCAAGTGAAGCCAATGGGAACAGCTCCCATGCATGCGTGCAAACAACTGAAATAACGGTCGAAACTGGAGAGATTAAGTCAGGCCACAGTGCTACAGCGTCGGCGTCGCAAGGATCGAGGCACACTGCTGTTGGTCGATAGTGCAGGCCGCGCTGGTTCTGTCTGCTCGATTGATGCGTCGCAGGAGAATGCCTGATGAAAGAAACTGCGTCTCTGTTTTCATGCCTTTGCATTCACCCGGGTACGGATGGTATGCGCTCACCAGCGAGGCGATAGGTGCAGTTACGGGCGGCAGCGGACACATCAAGCCTGCAAGCCCTAGGATATATAGATTGGTCAGCATGAATGCCACTGCTGCAGGATGCACCACGTACAGATATCAAGAACCTTGCAGAGCTACTGCCATGGCGTGATAGTCCGGCCGAAGAGGTAGCGATGGCGAGTATGGAGTTGCGCTTGTCCCAACGTTGGAGCCGCTACGCTATTTCTAACCTTTTTGCATGTTGGCATCTGTCTCTTTCAGTTGACATGCGGCCAGTACCTGTCATAACCCTCCAAACTCACGCTGTCGAGATGAAGATTCTGGTTGAAATGCCAGGAAAGATCATGGTTATCTCGCTGGTCTGGATGTTCCTTCTCCTCCTCTGTAATCTATCGCACTAGCATTAACCGGCATGTATAGGTTCCTGGCCGCCGCTGTCCTGCCTGCTTGGGAAAAGGCGACACTGTATGGGTGGTACCGGGAGAATGCTGTCCATACTGTGATACGCCGGTGAACTGACGCCAAATTGGTGCCGATTCTTTAGAGGGCGAACAAGTCTGTTGAACAGATGCTCGATAAAGCAAGGTTTCAGTCATGGTGACTGTTTTAGGCATGCGCTCGTCGTACTTGTAACGAAGATATAGTTTTGTCGCTATAGTCGTGTAGGGATGATCGAAAGCCAGAAGGCTAATTTAGTCGTTCGATGAAGCTGGTCACAAGTACTTGGAAGCATATCGACGCGTTGATGAGAATAACCAGGGCCCTGATGTGTGTCGCTAAGAATATATGCCACCTGTGGTGAATGCATAGCTACAGCTGAAGGACATGAACTGCGGTGATGAACTTACTGCTGTTTTCGTACGTTGTAGCATCACCGATACTGCTGCAGGGAGGCAAGAAGTGCGTGAGAGCGGACAGTGGGTAGCAGCAATAATTATAGCTGCCTGAAGAGCGACTCCGGCCAATTAGCTGTGAGCTAGAGATGGGACATTGGACCGACGAGCTAACCAATACGCAGCGGTCACTTATCCCCTTTGGGTATAGCAATCGGTGCTGTCGTCAACTTCATGTTGAAATAAGCTTCCGCACCGGAACTGCTGCAATGCAGATCTAGTCTTAGTGTCTCGGGGAACTGTCCCTAGTGCCGACGACCGGTCCTTCACTTGCACTGCGACAACGTCTATCATTTCATCTAGCGAACAGGGCACAGGGCAAATGCAGCATACTGCGATTTAGGACCGTCGAAAATGCAAGATGTCCAGTTCAGTTTTCAGTTCAGTTTCGGCCAACAAAAGCGATATGCGTAGTCAAAAGACCTTCTGGTGTCCCTTGTAGGCCCCTGTTGATTAATCTATCTAAGCCTGACTTGCTCCTCTACTCGTGGCGAATGCATGGCACATCTAACTTTAGGATGGAGACGTATGAACAGTATCCTCAGCAGGGTAAAAGGGACTCAGCTCGTCATACTGAGCCATGATCGGATCGCCTAGCTGTGGGCTATTTTGAAATGGATTGGGACGAGCTGTCTCACGGCGACCCACGCACTCTGGCAATATCTCTTCGGAATGAGTGGACGCTACTGGGTATGCGAACATGGTCATGTAATCTGCTTGGGGGCTGCCAAATGCAGCCAGTTGACTGTCTGGTGCTCCCGATAGCAAATCAAAATCAGTAGGGAAGAGATGTTCTCCATGGTACTCTCCCGCTGGTGTTTGCGCATCAATACTGTGCGCTGCAGGATCCTCAGTGTGGTCGATGTCCTCACCCAAAAAATCGGAAACATTCGCATTGATGCGCGGTGCTAGCTTTCGCAATATTCCAGAAGCCAAAGAGTAACCACGATCCGCCATTGCGTTGTTTGTTTTCATTACACTCAACCATCGAACGAGTATCTTGATGCGTGATAAGATCTCGTCGTCGCTGCAAGAAACATGGACCATACCAAAAGACGCCTCGAGTAGTAAAACGGTGAGTGCTTGCATGAGGTTGTGAACCACAGACCACCAGGGACCGATTCGATAAAGGTATGGCACATCAACAGTGTCTGGTAAAAGGCCCACCATCGCCTCAGCTGCACCGACGCAGATCTTGGCCGTGTCCTTGTTGAATCTGTCTGAAGCCTCTGTCTGATTCTTGATACGATCATCCAGTCTACACAGGCAAGGACGAGTGATGAGAATCTTCGTTCTGATGTATTGCATGTTGAGAACTAGGCGCTCGCGTTGAAAAGTAGCGTGAACGGTCGGTTGCGTGAAATTAAGGTCGGATGGGAGTGAAGCTAGCCATGTTTCGAGTTGTTCGCGTAGACCGGAAATCTTCTGCTGCATTTGTTTCCACGACATTTCAATTGCTCTGGCAGAGTACAAGCCTGTCACGACTTGTTGCGTGATCGCGCCCATCCGGGCTCTGCTCTTCAAGTAAGAGCCTGCATTTGAAGGCTCCGAAGTAGCTACCGTAGGTGATTGGTGAATAGTGCACCCTTGATATTGTGCATACATCGAGGAGACCAATGTCTCGTCAGACATGCGTTCCAAAGCCAATGGTAGCGGCAAAGGCGCGGAGCAAAAGTCCTCGATCACGAAACTTGGACGGCCCACAGTGGTGCTTAGATTTCCTTCAAGAGTGTAGAGACCCCACCAGATCCTTACCAAATTCTCTTTCTGTGATACTGTGGTGCCTCGATCTTCGTTACGAACGTGTAGCCCTAGCGCATGAGCATATCGGACAGAGATGCCGATGGCGACCCACGCTCTGTACAATCAGGGATCAGTTCATTACGTTGAACTATGAGAAGCGACCTTACCTGTTGGCGCGACCCGTCGTTAGGAAGTAGAGAGCAAGTAGTGCCGTAATCTGTACTTGCATAAGGTCCGGATGTGAGACCAAATCGGGCGTGCTCAGGCCTAAGATGTGCGCGCGAGAAACGTAGGTAAGATGATTGAAGCCACGTATGTTCCAGGATTCTTCCACCAGATACGAATACTGCGCTCCGATTGCAAACACTAGGTTCAGCACTGCCAACCATTTGTCCGGCACGGAATGGAATGCTCCATGCTCCACGGAAGCGTATAGCTCGTGGACGGTTTCCATGAAACTGCTCCTCGATAGTATTGGGAAAGAATCCTGCACGGTATCCATATAGCCTTTGATCAGACCCTGAGCGACATCCATCGGTGGCAACTCGAAAGGGTACACAGTATAGTCGACTTCTAAGCCTTGGTCGTCTACATAGAAGGTCGAGGAATTAAGCGGTACGTGGGTATTCGGATCTGAGTGTTGGCGCTGTCGTAGGGCATCGAGGCGCCGTGAAGATGCTTCTGCACTAGTGCCAGGAGGCCCATAGGGACCGGATCCGCTCGAGGGAACGACTTCATGATGCTCTACATCTTGTCTCAAGCGTCGAAGCCATTGAATCTCCGAGCTTTTGCCAACGAACCCAGCAGCTCGGGAGTCCTCGTTTCGAAGCAAGTCCTCGTCTACAATATCCAACTCCTCGCTAGAGCCGACATCAGCGGAAACCATGTCCTCTCCATCTCTCCCTTGCAGACCGGGGGAGTCCCGCTTTCTGAACGACGACGCTGCCTCGGATACATCATCTGCGGCCTTCTTTTTGTCAACAGTGGCTATGCATCGAGATGCGAATCGTGGAAGCGTAACGTACCCGTCTTACTAAGTCATCTATCTGTTGTTTCTTCTCCTCTGTGACGCTATCTGCAAGCTCTTTCAGGAGTACAATCATCTCTTGGTTGTACTCGATGACCCTGTTGACGATGAGCATGATCATGCTGTTGGGACGAGGAAAGAACTGACGTTTTCAGGTGGTTTCTGCGACTTGGCTTGTAGATACACTGCCGGTGCTTGACCAGGCAGTTTCGACATTGCGGCTGAACACCGTTGCATCTCACTTTGTGTGCTTGGCATGCCGAGCAAGCCCTTGAAATCCTTGATGCCCTCCCCGTGTCGTAAGGTTGGAGTGTGCTGGGTGGTGGTTCGTCGCTCGAGCGGGCTAGGAGCCTCCTGAGCGGTCGGTTCAAGTCCGTGGCTTGAGAGACTTCAAAGGACATGTCAACTGAAGGATGGTGAAGGAGAAGCGTGATGAAAAATATTGAGTCGAGACCACTTCTAGTTAGATAGTGGGGAAAAGACAACTATAGTCAAAGGAGAGGAAGTGGAGCGTAGCAACACGGCCAGTTTCGAGCGAGACCTGGGTTTTTGCCAAGGGATACTGGGAAGACGCTGGGCTAGAACGGGGTGGATGGCAGAACCATGGCAGTTGTCGGCCACGAAAGCTGCCGACTTTATTTTCGGGGAGAACTGCTTTCGTTCTTGATCGCCATGAGTACAAAGTCTTCACTAAAAAGGCAAAGTCATGGTTTGTAGGGCAGCTAGAATAGTTGAGAATGCACACCACCGCTACTCACCCGACACAGCTCCCGCAGCAGTCCCTCAGGGCATAGGCTGATCAAGATGCGCACATCCGTCACCCACAGCGTACTATAAGCCATAGCATAGACAACCGACCTAGTGGCGAGACACTCCCTAATCCGGCCTCCAGCGCGTTGTGGCCCTGCGAATTGGTGCTGTATAGGACATCTGGCTAGTGTTAAGTATAGTAGTCGTGCTTTTGCATACCAGATATTGCGCAAACTCTTTACTTATTGACGCATGAGAGCGAGTGCGAATAGGTTTAGCAAACAGTACGGCTAGCTGATGCTCAAGTGCCATATCTTCGTCGGCGGCTTTACAGAATGGTTTATTACAAGACTGGAAGAAATATTAGTACGTGGAAACTTGGGTTTAGCTTGATAGTATGGGTTTTACCGTGCTGTTTAAGGGATATGTCTGCATTGGACAACTGACTAGTTGACAAGCACATTATTCTACGGCCTATTAATGATTAAGGCACATGGCATGCCTATGAGTTAAGGCGCTCGCGCGCGGTGTCGGCTAGAGCTATGCCTTTCCGCACTCAGCGCAACAGAGTGGCTGCTACCTAGCATTTACACATGTTTTGTTCCTGATATAACACTGTAAATTGCGCATTGTGAAATAAGGTGAAACTATAGCACTTACTGAAGGATTAAGTAGGCTGTGATGTAATGCGCACCTGGTTAAGAAATATAGATAGGTGGATGTAGTCTTGTTCTATGCCAGAGTAGAACGTGCGTCACTCTTACTGAGTGCGCAAACACTCAGATACGCCCATTCAAGATTCCAGGCTGTTGGCTAAAGGATCGCATGGAAGCAGTATGAAATGCTGGGTAATTATACCGCCGCCTCTGCTGATTTCGTTTGCTAGCCTTGGAAGTCTGTCCGTCTAAGCTGAGATTGTCTGTAGGGGTTTGAGGGTGCGATAACTTAGTTTTCTAGTAAGAAGGGTTTATTTGACCACTTAAGTTGTTAAACACGAGACGCATAGCAAAGTTAAATAATTCTGATGTCTTTAGGCTTGCGAGGAACATAGAACGTATTGTGTTAACCTCGCAAAATTGGCAATGTCGCACAGATATATCGCAGTAAAGAGCGACTCCGCGGTCATCGAGATGAATGACGTCATTTGAAGTCATCACATAAGTCAAGTACTCTACGGCGCATAGATCTATAATATAATCACGCTTTTCTTCACCTAACAACTTCTATTTTCTTAATTCCGTTTCCGTAACTTATCTCTGCACTGAGCTTGTCACATTGATCTTCTTGTCTATTCGATGTACTGCATGTCTGTGTCCACACGGCACCCGACTTGAAGAGCATCCTCACACGCCTTCCTGAACGTAGATTACCAGCTGGGCTACGACTCAAGAAAAAGCCATGTTTTGAATACTCCACAATTACGATTGATGCCGGTCTAATTATGAAGTCGGTTGCACCATGTATAGTATGCTCTCGGTAGTCATATTGACCACCTTATAATATCTTGAAGTGCACAACCAGAACAGAAAGGCGCCATATCGAACGATTTATTTTTCTCCCGTCCACTCCTCGTATGCTCGCGTGATTTCTCATGTTCTATCAAATAGAAACCGCGATCTGTCGGGCATGCTAAACAGATGCCATGTAACCCCGGGCGACGCACTCAAGTGCAAAGCGATTGAACAACGTAAACCAATAGTAAGCCCCAAGCTGGCAGTACCCTCGAAGCGGGATGCTATTTCTAACCAATCACAGCCCCTGCAGGCCGACACATACAGCCATTGAGCAGCATGTCCTACAAAATCATACTTAGGGCACACGCTGTCATTATGACAAGAGCGACGTTTAAGCATCCGCTTCTATTGTTGAATAAGCATGCATCAGGGCAGCTTAAACTGTGGGGGCAGGGTGTTCAACGGTGCTGTATTGTCAAATGCAGCTTTCATCGACTCGACGCCTTGGCAGTGGCGCAGACTAGCTCGCAATTGTGCTGCTGTTCTTTGCTGTAGCCCCCCACCCACCCCTCTACAACTATCTCGACCTTGCGCCGCGGCATTTCCGAGTGTATCTTCCCCGTTTCTAAGCCTACATGCCGTTCCCAGCTTCTCAGCCTCCAGGGCCGGGCCTTCCATCCAAGGTCGCGATCCCACGGCTTGCGAGACAGCCAGACGACGACAAAACGCCTGGTCAGCGCAGATCCAACAGGACACCTAGGGTTTCCATGGCATGTACAGGCTGTCGAGCTCGCAAAATAAGATGCAATGGAGCGCAACCACGATGCCAGAACTGTTTAGCTGCCGACCAGTCTTGCTCCTACCCGCAGGGCCGGAGAGATCGCTTTAAGATGTCCGCTACATCCATAGAGCAGTGCAACGGTGTAAAAAACTGATTGATAACAGATCCACCCAGCAGAATCAGGACATGATTGCTATGCTGGAGGATTTGAAAGGTCGTGCTACAGAGCACGATAGAGAGTTAATAAACGACCTGCTAGCACAAGTATGTTACAATATTCAATTTCCACGCGATGTAGTCTGACAAGCGTAAGGTCTCAGACAATGTTTCGGAGGCCGCTTCGTCATTGAACCTCTCGGACCCCTTCCAAGATGGCACACAAGGGGAAGCCGATACTTCTGCTGAGGTGGGCTCTAATGGAGGCATGGACGTCTTAGAAGAGGACGTTCTACAAACAGAAGCAAGCCGAGCGACTGGATTTGTTGGGAAAAGCTCAGAGGTGCGATGGCTGAGGCGTTTGCAACAAGACACTGAGCGCCTTAACGAAAACACATCTCAACTCGAAGGACCCTACGGGCCTCCTGGAGATAGTGCGGAGGCCGCTCTACAGCGAACAGATGCGTGGACACAACGCCAACGGCAAGACTCTAGCGTTCGAGCACAAACTAGTGCGTCGACGTTCTACTTGGACAGCAACGATACGGAAGTCAATCGTGCGGTCAACCCGTTCGAGCTCCCACCCCGGGAGACGGCGCAGAGGCTTCTCGACGGATACATTGCCACGGTTCAAGATTCGTTCCCTGTGCTTTCAGAGACAGTTTTTAAACATCAATTTGAGCAATACTATACTTCTATGCTGCAGGGAATACCTTCTGCTGTGTCCCATAAATGGCTTACAATACTGAACCTTGTTTTTGCCATCGGGGCAAAGTACTGGCAGCTAATAGAAGCAGACTTGCAAACAAGCAGTCAGGATCATCATACTTATTGGTCTCGCGCGCATGTTTTGGGCTTAGATGGATCTTCTTTGGTCGCTCATCCAGATCTCATGCAGATCCAAATTACGGCCCTTGTTGCGTTCTACTTCTTGTGCGTTGGGCATGTGAACAGGTGAAGTCTTCTTCTCCATCACTCTACCTACCATTTCTGATTTGTGAAGAGCCTGGGTTGTTATAGGCTCTTCCCTCCGTTACGCACACGCACTTGGACTACACGTACGAAACGAGGACCGAACTGCTACCATATCTAAAAAAGAAACCCTGTTGCGGATTTGGTGGAGCCTATACTCTATCGACAGAATCCTCAGTACTATTGTAGGCAGGCCAAGTTTCGTAATTGAAGAGCATTGCTCAGTGCCATTGCCATTGCCGTTGGCGGCGGAGCAGTTGCTAGACGAGGCTTTGGCACATCAGTTTCATGAGCGATACAGAGGAGCCGAGCTTCAGCATGACACGCCCCAAACGGCTTGGGCGACTGACGAGCCTTCAAATGCAGGCTCTTTCTTGAAGGCCAATGTACAAATTGGTTTGATTACCCAGAATGCCATGGCTAGACTGTATTCGGCAAAGGTAGTCACGGATTCCTGGAAACAAGCCCAGCAAGCAATAACTAGTTTATCCGAACAACTGGAAGCATGGTTAGCATCTCTACCATCCGGTCTCAACCTTTCCCAATCCAGCTTTAGCACTAGCCTCCGACGGGAAAGGTTCATCCTGCAGATGCAGTATGCCGGAGCCAAAATCCTCATCACTCGGCCTTGCCTGTGTAGACTGGATAGACGCATCGTAGAGCAATCGAAGACTTCGGACAATTTTAACAACCAAATTGCTCGGAGCTGTGTCAGAGCTGCAATGGCAGTAACGGACCTTTTGCCGGAAGAAGTCGATACCACTTACCTATACCAGATTGGACCATGGTGGTCCATCGTCCATAATCTTATGCAAGCTCTCGTAGTGCTGATGCTGGAGATGTCCTATTGTTCCGCCCATTTCTCTCGCGAAGGCAAGCAGATCTTGGCGCCCATCAAGAAGTTGCTTCATTGGTTGAGGATTATGTCAATTCGCGATGACATAGCAGACCGGGCCTATAATATGGCCTTTGGAGTATTGCAAGGGCTAGCATCCAAGCTCAATGTGGACGTATCCGAATTTATACGGGAGGATACTACTCAAGCCAAGCATCCAATCGCATTCCATTCGGAGAACCAGCAATCTGCAGTCGGCTCTCACGCGCAGGAAAACATACTCTCGCCTATAGAACATGCCCAGATATTTGGAGAACAGGGGATGTGTGCGAGTGGTTTCTACGGAAGCAAGCCTGGCTACGCATCAATGTTCGAAGTTCCGACAGTACAGCCCCAGAACAGCCCATGGATGGTGGGATCGACAGGCGCTGGAGGAGCAGCATTCCCAGATGTTTCTCATTCTGATTCAATGCTTAGTAATTCCTTCGTGACTGGTTACGAAGAAGAGAATCCTGTTATATCTGGCAAAGATCTCTTTGGGGCGTATGCCTCTAATTCCAGGTTTCGCTACCAGTAACCCACATCCGGACCTATTGTGCAACAATAGACGGCTATGAGAGAGTAGAGGAAGAATGACGTCAGAGTGCATCAAGATTGATTTGGCGCTATGGGTTGGGTGAGCTGTGATGTCCGATGGACCTGACTGTACTCTGGCTATAAATACCACCTTGTGTATTCACCATACTCTGTCACAGTACTTTCGGCGCAGCGGCCCATTCCACCCAAGTGCAATGGAGTACTACCGTAAGAGGAAAACATTCCGAATGTATGGAAAGCAGCGAGAACTCTTCTATCCAATTAGAGCGCGGCATTTGCAATAATCGTACGGTCAGAAACAGCTAAGCTAAGCCCTTCTTGTAATGGAGGATACTCCCCGTTGCAAAGAGTGCAGCCTCACACGTTGCTTAGTATCAATGCGAGGCAAACAGTAGTACACAGAAAGTACTTAAGGGCGTTGTAGCGTGGACAAGCATGTCATCATGCAGGTGTCGGCTAAGGTGGTATGTTGCCACCACCACCAAACAAGATGGCCGGCCCGCACCGGCCCTGACCTTGTCCTGGAGGCGATGAGGATGCTTTTGGGACAGATGGCATTTCTTGGTTGATCTCCGCACGTGTCATGGTTCCCGGATTTAGCTCCCGCAGTGGGACCCGCCCCAGAGCGTTACTCATCACGGCAAACCCATAATATAGCTCCGATTCATAGCATTCGACTGACCCTACGTCATGAACCCCCACAGAACACTGACAGATCCCAGTGCTGCTTTATCCTCTCTCCTGACATACGAAAGCCTGAGCTCAAGCCCATAACATTGTCCGAATCAGTACATTTGCGATGTGTACAGCCAGCATGTGTTCCCCCCCTAGGCTCCGTTCGAAGTCTCATCGTTCAGCTGACGAACGACTCGCCAGGCCCTCGACTTCGAGTCGGCACTCTGCCACTGCCACCGTATTAGGGTCAGCGAATCCTTGCTGCAAACAAACTTGACTTGCGTACCCGCATGTACCATTTTTATCACGTTTCATTTGACAAGCCGCAGCTGTTCTTTCCATCAAATCCACCAATTCCGCAAGCGCTGGATCTGCGAGCGCTTGCATCACAGCCGTTCCGTCCGCTTGTTTTCGGTGGTCATATGAGGACGAAACTGATGTAGCGCTGCTGCCAGGACGACTGGCAACTGTGTTCGGTGGGCAGGAGGGTGGAGTCGAGGAAGGTACCGAAGAGATGCTGCTATCACTAGCCATTGTAGAGGCGTAAGTAGGTTGAGGTTCGAACGGGTTCGCAGAGTTCATCTGTTGATGAGCCGCGCAGCTTGAGGCAGCCTTTACCCATTTACGCTTGGGACGACGTTGCACAGAGTTATTATTGTAGTGTCACAGAATTCCGGTTCTGATTGAACTTGCGTAACTTGTACACCGAACCTCAAGTGTTACGAAGACGCTCCGCTCCTTCCATTGTGTCACAACCCCCGTCTATCGCATCTCAACATTGTGCAGTAGAACAACCTGCGCCCGTCCGACCTCGAACAACGCGAAGCGATGTTGTACAAGCTTTCGAAGTATTGTCTTGTCACACCACCAAGGAATGATTTACGGTCGACGAAGGCGGTTGGAGCGCTGGCCAGATGTCCGCTGTTACGCGATGCAGCTACAGTCGTGCCGCGGCAGAGTTGCGCCCGGTGTCGATGATACGAACGTTGCACATGGTGCGGATGCCGGAGAAAGTTATTATTGCGGTGGAGCGTAGAAGGAATGTGGGGGGTAATTGGAGGATTGCGGTCCTGCGGCGCTTCGATAGTTGAAGGGTTCACCGCTGGACAGACGAGATGGAAGAAGATCCAAGGAGTAGGGGTTAGTCATCGCTGTGGCTAGTAAGTGTGGGATGCTTCGGAATAGGATCCTCTCGTTCCGAACTCGCGCTAGTCACAGACATAGCTTACAGAGAAAAACGGGTATTGTTGTAAATTACACTCGGCGATCATACAAAGCGGTCGTGGGGGACAGTCACAGAAAAGCTAGCGCAGCTTTTAGTACGGTAAGGTACAAGATTATGGCTGGCGCGCTATTACAGAACAGCGTATGCTAAATACGCGAGGCCGTCCCGCCACGTCGGGAGGCTTTGAGGTAACCTCGCGTTGCTTGCAACGGAACTTCCGGCACATACATTGTGAAGGTCAAATATCTCTAAATTCGAAGGTCACATTGTTTCGCGGCTGTACTTTTTCGACAGCTCACCGAGGTGCATTAAAGACTTCGTGGTCAAAGATGGACAGGGGGGTAAGTAGGAGGACTCGTTTTTTGCGCTTATGAAATGAACAACAGCACGTCCAACATTGCATCAATTTCTATCGGAGACTCGTTTGCTAAGGAGAAGATAGCTGTAAAATCGATGCATCGCAGTTGCAGCTTCGCCAGCTCCCGAAGCAAGCATGCCGGAGGTCCGGTTTGCAAAGCGTCTCGCGACGGCGGTTGTCTCCCGACCCAGGGAAGCACGTTATAGTAAGTAGAGAGTCTGTGCCATATGATTTCTCTTGACCAACGAAGGATATACATTCACACCTTATACGAGATTGCTCCTTTCACCAGGCGTCCATAAAGTAAAACATTCTAGCGTAGCAAGCTCAACATATGGCCTCATACACTCCTTTTCATCCCTGAAAGATGAAACGTATCGATGCTTGATATCGGTCAGCGAATCGCAACACCATCTCAGGATCGACGTCATACCGGTCTTGAAGTCTTGGAGATACAAGATCTTTCCAATCCGAATATATCATCCAAAAAGTCTATTAGAATCTTGCAACCACTCCATTTTTCTGGATTTTGAAGACTAAAGACTTGATTACGCGATCTTTGGTCTCTTATGAATTCTATAGTTCGCTTTTCTACGGGGTGTAGGCGACCGTCCATACATTCCAAAAGCACTATGCCGAGATCAAAGAGATCACAATGCTGGTCTATTTCGTTTTTCGTCGCCGACTCGAAATCTGCTGTTTAAAATTAACCGCGATTCTTTGTTGACTTTCAAGGTATCGATCGAGCCACTTACACAAGACAATACGTAGATCCGGGGTTGTGACACGAATTGATTTGGTGGTCACCTTATGGTGTGTGATATGAAGGCTCGCAATGTAAGCAATTGCGCTGAATATCTGCCCTCATTAGCTGCGCCGACAATTTCAATAACATGAACCTACCGATTGGGCGATGTGTTTGATATGATACTCCTCGAACTCGAGGTGCACATGGATCAGTTCAGCTAGCGTGAACCTGCAATACTCAATTGAAAGGTACATTTGACCATTTATCCAAGTATAATGCAATGCTTTTGTTATATTCTTGTGACGCAGATACGGGAGGATGGACTCGACAGTCGTGCCAGGTCCGCGGTTCAACTTCTGTACCATTATCAAACCATATCGGCCACGCTGAGCCCTCACAGTCCATTCAGTACCATCTTGGGAGAATTTTCCAAGCGTATATATCGGATGAAGGTTTTGCAAAACTTCTGGGTTGGCATAGTCAGTCGGCGATGTTGGGTGTAGGGCCGATAATGACGGCTTTCTGTTTGCGGGGGACTTCAACGGTGGGCTGAGTGCAGACCCTGTAGCTGATTTCACGGGACTTGGTACTCCTTGCGACTCGCCCTCATTCTTGATCATAAGAAGTGATGTTCGGGTAGGCAATATTGGGCGGTGCGGCACTAACGCTCGCTGGGGTCTTGGTAAACGTTTAAAAACGTTGTCAAGAGAATTGCTGGTTGAATCTGTATGGGTTGATTCCTCTGCCATCTTGAAAACGACTGAATTTCGTCTGCATCAACAACTTGTCGTTAGGCCGATGAAAAAGAGGTAGAAGCAATGATTGTTTCCGAAGACTTCGTTAGTAAAGTCAGACACAATACATTACCGATCGACCTCTAAGGGTCAGAGTAGATCGAATCCCAACATCTGAATATGGAATTTGGAAGCTCACAAGCTACAATTTGCTTGCTCCGAGGCGCACAGACATTTCAGAGAGATTTATAGTATACTCACATTGTACGTGTTCCTCATCGAATGCAATGTCTCTAGCACGGCATAGTCTCTCTTTGAAGATGTCTTCGAGAAAACTCCGTCAAGCTCTCCAGCCAATACGTCCCAAACGACCTGCAGAGGACCTCATACTAGATGAGCAACCATTACACCTCTTGACTGCCGATAGTTTGAATAATACACCCCCTGATGATGGGCAACAACAGGAGCCTAGCAAGCAAGCCCATGCCATGGAGTCTTCTTATGATGTAGAACCAGCCGATCCTGACGAACCGCCGTCGAATCAGGCTTCTTTACCGCCTGCATCAAATGTTTTCACGCCTACGGTAGCTGAGTCAAATCACACAGAGCCAGCTGAAACAATGCAGTTTAACTCGATTCCACATCAATGGCCCTCACAGCTAGCCAGCAGCAACAGTACCATGTGGCTCCTGCCACCCTACACCGATCAGTCTACTGCCATTGCTTGTCTATTGAAGACAGAGATACAATCCCATAATATAACAAAAGAGATGCTCCATAATACGGAGCAGCGACGACTTGATGCGGCGAGACAATGCGAAAGACTGCAAACTGATGTTAATGCTTTCAGCATGGCTTATAACAATGCATCCGCGTCTCTTCAAAAGTGTGCGGAAGAATTTGCTCGATTGTGCGAAGATTACGCACGAGTGTCATCGGAGAATCTGAAACTGAGGGACAGCAACTTGTACCAGCAGCAGGTATGACTCTGAACTTTTAGATAATTCACATCATAGCTAACGAAACTTGAGACTCATCACCACGCGCAGAGTCCAAGCAGCAGTATTACACTGAGAGAGGGTGAAAGTGAAATGAGGTCGAAGCCGAGTAGCCCATGGCTACGTGGATCAGAGTCTAGTTACTCTCCCGAGTTATGAATGATTATTTTCACTCGATGTATGTGTCTTAATTAGGAACAGGCGATAGAGCCTCGTCTATTCACTCTTGGATATGTCAAGGAACATTTCGTGGCTTTGAACGGGGGCTTGAGTGAATTGTGAAAATCATTTCAGGAAATCATTTTTTACTTGAGATGTGTCTCCTGTTGTACAAGGTTTACATTCGTAGTAATTACAGCCTCTCTGCAAGGATACCATGATCTTTGAATAAATTTACTTCGCATATGCCGTGTATGTCTAAGAATTGAAGTCGAAACTCAACCTTTGAGTGGGCGATGGCCCTTATATATGGTTAGGGTGAAGAGTTGGGTCACGTGACCCCTGGAATCGCCCTTCAAACAGTAAACACCCAACCACACTCTATACACGTCAAAAAAGAGTGTCTGGCATAAGCTTCAGACGGTTGAACTCCATGTGTCTTTTGAAAAAGTGATCCTCGTTCCAGGGCTTGCTATCACAACATAGGAGGCAGCTGCCAGAATAGATAACCAGCGTCTGCCAGTGGCGTCGTCTAATATCTTACGTCCACTCATAACTAGACACGTATGCCTTGCCACTGGATACAATGAATGTATGCCTTGCGCACTGTCCGCCCTGATAGATCGCAAGGTGGTGTAGGGAGGAGGACGATGATTCGATTGATGAATGCGAGGATGCAGCGACGGCGGGGAGATGAAACACTACGGCGACAAGTAGATTCCGATTAGTCGAACTAATGTGCGTCTGAGAATCGAGATATTAACCCAAAAATGGAGTTGAGGAAACGAGTTACCGATGAGAGGTTTTCATCTGACTCAGCACGTAAAAATCAGTAGAGGATTTTCGTCTTCACTTTTCTCAAAACATTTTTTTCGTTCCTTCTCCCATGTGCCTTTCTAATACGTTGATTTGAATCCAATTCATCCTTTTTCATTGCTCTCTTTGGTCTGTAAATAGGTGCCGTTCCGGCTGGTGGTTTACAAAAGCTGATTGCGACAAGCGAAAACAGGCACCCATTGGCACTTGTTCAAACCAACTCCACGACCATCTTCTCAAGGCTATCAAACTACGATTTGAGCTTGAACGACAGTGTCCACTTAATCTTTTTTGGCTTAGATCAAGTGTAGTATCTGTTCTTTTTAGTAAGTCTTATCTGCCTTCCAACCAATTGCATCGAGCGTCACTAACCTAATCCGGCAGGTTTAATAGCTAAAATGTCTCTAAGGAGACTTTACTATTATCCTTATTTTTAAAAACAGGCCTCCTCTCCCTGGGCTTGCTCATAGTTGAGGCCACAGTGTCGATGTTTGCCCTCCACTACGGCCTTCTGACGCGACTTTGTTTTTATACTTTTTTCATTGAGTTCCATTAGCTTTTGTAGCTGATGGCTTGAGGAAGAAAGACTGTCTGAGCATGAATAGGTGCCTCTAGGATGTGAAATTCAATTCGACTTTTAACATTTCAATTCTTGTTCAATCGAACTTGCTGTCAAGTTGGTCTCAGTGTCTCGGTCTCGCAGCTATGGCTGTATTAGCCCAGTTCATGTTCGTTCTCGTCCGTACACCACTCGTCTTGCTCTCCCCCGCCGCAAAATGTGCCATTCAACCATCGTGCCCTTGTACAACTTGTGCCTGCTCTGTTCGCTTGGACTTCCATGTCAGTTACGTTGTTGTCCATCAGAATCGGCGTATCCTGTGCATGAGCCAAATCCACCGCATCAGACGCATCTAAGATACGGTAGGCAAGCACGCCTGCGTAGTCAAATGTGAGAGGCCACCGAAACAATGCAGCATGATATACGAAGAGGCGGCCGCACCTGTTTGTGCACTGAATCGCTACTATGCGGTTCCGGGGCCAATGGAGGTGGATTGTGTCCCGGCACTATGTAGACTCGGAGTTCAGCGTAAGTTTCGTTTCCTCCGGAAGAAATGCCACTAGGACCTCCTCAGCTGACGGCAGTTATGCCTTGTGCCTTTCTGGAACGAATATCGATGTACACCTTTTGCGTGTCTATTTCTGGGTAGCCGTCCTTGTGCATTGGCATGTTCCAGCGAGCATGAAGAAAGAAACCGTAACAATCCGTGACTAGAAGATCTCGCACGTACGGAATGTATGTTTGATCTGCAATGATCGCGGGGATCTATGAGGTAAGTTAGTTATCAATGCTCCAAGCGTGCGAGGAAGAAATACTTACGTCGATGGCCATCGGAAGTGGACGTAGGAGAACGGCCAGAATCTCGGCCTCCGGGTTGATGGCATCAACGAACACTCTGCATTGCTCGTTCGTCTTCAGTTGGCGGAAGCTTGATTGGCCTTTGAGTTTGGAAGTCTAATACTTTTTGATAGCGTCTTCTGCTAATTCCGGCATCGCTACACATCTATAGGCTTTTGTTCTAAAAGCTTGTGTGAATGCTCCATCGTTTCAAATTTTTGGTAATCGCTCGTTTTTTGTACCTCTATTGTCATAAACCCATCGCTGTGAGTAGAATCGCTTAAACTCCAACTTGAAATCAAATCAAATACAACTATAGTTGGAAAGTATAGAATTCCATACGTTTTCATGGGGACTTGACATACTGTAAGGCTTCTCCCGCCTGGAAACTGGCGCCAAAGAGCCCTGCATCACAGCCCGGACGAATAGTTCTAGAACGGATTTGAATGGAGGCTGGAAGCGGGACCCCCTGTGTCATGAACACCAGTTCCTCGTATTCAGCATGCAACTGCGGAGGGTTTATTGCTTCGGCCTAAACAACCTCGACCAAGGCCAGATGTTTCGCTGTAGGACTTTAAAGAATACACGCAGGAAGATGCATCATTGCTGCTATTGTGAATGATATCTAACAAAATAAAAGGGGGGGTAACTAGCAGACAATTTTATAGACACAATCTCTTACCCAGTAAATTTCGTCGCCTTGGCCTACTTGCGCTGTACCAGTTATCTTTCCATCTTCTCCAGTAACTCGTTTAAGCCCTACTTCACCCTCTAGTACATGCACTTCGCCATCGCTTGCAATTACATCCCATCCTAGTCCAACCCTTGTGTAGACTGTTTCGTGAGACATCGTCTAGATGTCTAGTGGTATGAAGATAAGGTCTTCTGCCGCTTTGGGCGAGAGTAAATACTGTTGGAAATGCCTACATATGCATTAGCCCCGTGATGGTTGGTGCTTTGGTTGATCAAAGAGTATAGGTTGGCGCAGATAGTAGGGAATACGTGCCTTATACAGACGCCGAGTTTGGAGTACAGATTTGTACTGCGTCGCCGTGAAAAGATTGAGTATGGTGATGATGACGTGAGCGGCAATAGCCAATGCAGCACTGTAAATTCAAAGCGTGTGAACTGATCTTTCACCGACCTAGCTCATGTAAGATTCGCGGTTGACGTGGTCTTGAGATTTCCAGCAGATGGAGTGAAGTCACGAGAAGATGCGGGGCTGAACTTCTGCCAATCAGAGAATTGCCTTGGCCAGCAAACCATTTCACTATCTAGACAGATCGAAAATACATGATTTGGAATCGTACACAAATACCCACATCCTAAACCTCCCCTTTCCACCTCCACATACTTGCCAAGGTATACTCGATATCGCAGTAAGACAGTATTGCTAGATAGGTAGGGATAGTTTAATAGATTGTTATTAACTCTTATATTCGCAAGGATAATTACAGTACACTATGCTTCTGCTATATTAGATCTTAATACATTATTAGAGTACCTTGCATGTTGTAGAAGAGTGTAAAAGGAGCGAGTCATCAAAAACAGCAGTACGTACGTACGTACCGCGACGCTGCAACGCCGCAACGGCACACAAAACACACAATCTCCGTCTCAGTCAGTCCGCCAGTCTTTCAGCTCAAGAAAGAAAGAAAGGAACAGAACAACAACAAATACGAAGACGAGTACGAGTACGTACGTTAAGTAACAAGAGAGAGAGAGAGAGAGAGAGAGAGAAAGAATAAATGAGAGGCAGAAAAGGAGGAAGGCAGGATAGTATATAGTAGCGCAACACGTCGTTGGAGTTAGAAAACTCGACGTCCACCTTGACTATTTTTCTCTATCCTATACTCGCTCTGCTATGATGCTATGCACACACGCCTATCATGCAATCAATCACTTCATCATAGAATCATGGTTACATCACTGCACTCGTCTCGCGTCGTCGACACCACAAAAGAAAAAAAGATTTCGACAAATTTGGAACCATGATATCAAAGTGTGGAATAATCGTTTCAAGCAGCAAACTATGATAGATACCATAACCACAAAAAAACCAGTTTTCATGGCTACGCTACGATGATTGTTGTTCGAAATGCTTTAGCAGACGATGATGATGATGATTGCGAATCTTGATAAACAACAAAAACGATGATTGACATAGGAAACTAAAGACACGCAACGATGCTAGCTGGCCAAGTACAAGAAAATCAACAACAAAAAAGATATCAAAGAGAAACAAGCCGTCACAAGCGCGCGCACCCAAGCAATGCAAGACCAAAACAAAACTAGAAACAAGAGTAGGTGGGGGCGGAAAAGCCAGGGTGATTTGAGCTACCGACGATACAGGGACATCAGAAGTGGGAACATCTGAAACAAGGAGGCCAAAAGGTAAGTAAGAAAAGACAGGGTATATTGACAACTGTACATGCGAGTTCTTATTTGCCTAGCACTCCTTCTATCCTCCATATCACCATCTCGCATCCAACCTTTCTTTCTTCTTTTTCTAACACACGCAGGAAGCCGAACCAAGATAGGAAACAAAATGCCGGGTAAAAGTGGGGATATATGACAAGATATGCACGCTCGAGGGTTTCATATCAATGAGATACATAAAGAAGTGAAAGGTGGTTTTCTTTCAAATGGCAATGCGCAACGTCCTCAAATCTTCAACCAACTAATCGCTTAGTAGGTGTTGCCGGGCTTGCCGTAGGATTCACCGGCAGATGGGGCAGGGGGAGGGGGGACCTGGTTGTAGGTACCGCCGGGAGCGGAAGCAGAGGGGGCGGGAGCAGCGGAAGAGGGAGCGGCGGATGAAGCCTTAGCGCTGGAGGAGGGAGCGGCGCTGCTGCCGACAGCCTTGGTGGCCGAAGAGACGAGCGAGAGGCTGGGGAGAGCAGAGTCGGAAGCGACAGAGCTGGGCTTGACAGCGGCAGAAGAAGAACCGGAGCCGACAGGGCGGGTCTTGGTCAAGAAACCAGAGGCACCAGTGGAGATGGGGATGGTTCCGTTACCGCCGGGAAGGGGGAAAGGAGCACCACCGGTAGGCTTGGATCCAGGAGCAGTGTTGACACCAGCAGTCTAGGTATGTTAGCTTGAGTTGCTTGTAGTCAAATGAGTGGGATCAACTTACGACGTAGACGGTCTCCTTGACGGTGGCAGTGACGGTAACAGGGGGAGCGCAGTCGGCACCATCGGCAGGGGTGTTGCCAGAGTTGCCACCAACAGGGTAGTCAGAGCCCTCGCCGGAGCTAGCGGGAGCAGAAGCAGCCGGGGTGGGAACGACAGTGACGTACTTGGTGGACTTGGAGGTGGTGTCGATGACCTTGGTGGTGTCGGTCTCGCCGTTGCCGCCGGAAGGCACCTCGGAGTCGGAGGGAGTCTCGGAGTCATCGCCAGAGTTACCGGTGACACCAGTGGGCTCGGGGAACTCGCCAGCAGGCTTGGTCTTGGTGACAAAGACAGTGGAGTAGATGGTCTCGGTGGAGGTGGACTCGACCTCGGTGGTGGTCTCGTGGGCGTTCTCGCCGGTGCCGACAGTGTAGGTGAGGGTCTCGGTGATCTTGTGGATGGAGGTGGAGACGGGGGTGGAGGAAGCAATGGTCTTGGTGGTGGCAGCCTCAACCTCGCTCTTGGGGCAGACGGTGGTGGCAACGGGAACAACGCTGGTAACGAGCGAAGTGGCGCTGGCAGGGCAGTTGGTCACGGTTGGGGGGCAAGCAGTGACGGTGAAGAACTGAGTAGAGTAGATGGTGGAGGTGGTCAAGTCAACACCAGCAGTGGTGTTCTGGCTACCAGTGACGGGGAAAGAGCCAGTGGGCTTGAAGGTGAAAGGAGCAGTGCCAGTGGGCTTGAAGCTGGAAGCCTTGGAAGACTCAGTCTCGGCCTTGACGGTGGTGGACTCCTTGATAGGAGGGTAGGGAACGCCTCCAGATCCGGTAGGGCGGACGGCAGAGGAAACGCCAGCAGAGCCAGATGGCTTGCCAACGGGAGGCTTGACGCCGGAGGGAACGGATCCAGTGGGGACACCGGAGGGTGGTGGGTTGACACCGGAGGGGATGTTTCCAGTTCCAGCAGGGGGGTTGACGGGCATGTAGCCGGAGCCAGCAGGGGCAGTTCCAGAGGGAACCTCACCAACGGGCTTGGTGGCGCTGGAGGGAACAGCGGACGAGCTGGAGGGAACGGGAACAGCAGCGGAGCTGGAAGGAACGGGGACGGCAGCCGAGCTAGAGGGAACGGGGACGGCAGCAGAAGAAGAGGGCTTCTGGTTTCCGTACTCGCCGCCAACGGGAGGCTGGCTGGAAACAGCAGGGGGAGCGGAGGAGTTCTCTCCTACAGGCTTGGTGGCGCTGGAAGGAACGGCAGCAGAGCTGGAGGGAACAGGGACAGCGGCCGAGCTGGAAGAAGCAGCAGGAGGAGGAACCTGGCCGTATTCACCGCCGACTGGGGGCTTGCTGGAAACAGCTGGTGGGGGAAGGGGAGCGGAGGAAGAGGCTCCCTCAACGGGCTTGGTGGCGCTGGAGGGAACAGCAGAGCTAGAGGCAGCCGGAGGGGGAGGGACCTGGCCGTATTGACCGCCAACTGGGGGTTGGCTGGAAACAGCTGGTGGGGGAAGGGGAGCGGAGGAAGAGGCTCCCTCGACAGGCTTGGTGGCGCTCGATGGAACGGCAACAGAGCTCGAGGGAACGACGGCGCTGGAGACGACAGGAGGGTTGCCGTAGCTGCCACCAACGGGAGCAGAGGAAGAGGCTGCCTCGACGGGCTTGGTGGCGCTGGAAACAGCTGGTGGGGGAGGGACCTGGTTGTACGAGTCTCCGGCGGGTTTGCCGTAGGAGGTACCCTGGGCATCAGCGGCGGCCAAAGCGGCCAAGAAGGCAACGGTGAGCTTCATCATCTTGAAGAGTATGAGTTGACGGGTGTTTTTCTAGCGAGTCGAAGAACGGGACGATAACGTGAGAGAGAGATTGCCGGATATTGATGCTGCGAAGAAAACCAGGCAGAAGTCAATTCTGCGAATGTTGGATCGGTCCTGGAAAGAGTGACTATGGTTGGTAAAACAGAGCTTGGTGTCGCGATGACAAACGAATGTGGTGGAAGCGAAGGTGAGCCTTTGCAGTGAAGAAAGAGAAGGAAAAGAAAGTCGGGTCAGCGACGAGGCGGGCGGTATATGAAGGGCCGGCGGGCGTGAGGGCGCCCCTTTGGCCAAGAGGTGCGAGTGGGTCGGCGCCTGCCCTGAATGGAGGCTGGAGGCTGCCGCAATTTCGAGAAAGGAGCGAGTGTCGGCCTGGATGGGCAGGGGCAGACCCTGTCGCGCCCACGCCCGCCCGACGGTGGCCCACGCGGCGGCCGGCCATTCAGGGGCGCTGTACCTGCGTTGTTTGCCAGCCCCTGGCCCTGCCCTGCGCTTGCTGGCGGTCCCCCCTCTCGCCCTCTCGCAACACACAACACCACACTCGCACCGCTGACTGGCTGACGCCAGACGTCGCCTGCGCCAATGTGCCTACGCAAATGCACACGCCTGGTCGCTGCTGCATCGCCGAAGCGCCGTGAAACACCATCTGGATAAAACAACAACATCATTATCATCATCATCATCTACTGACTGTCGCATTGCATAACAAACGGCTCCCCCGTTGGCAGCCTGCCTGTCTGTCGGTTCGTTCTTCGGCAGCAGCGTTGGCACGCCTTACTTGCTCGTCACTGTGCAGAGTCTGCCGGTCCTTGCGCAGACCGACTCCGTCCAGAACGTCTCCATAGTTTTGTTTCTCTTCTCCTCGTCCTCCTCGTCCATGTATAATGCACTGTTATTCCAATTACTTGATTTCAATCCCATGATATGGCCTCCCCTCTGATGATGTTACATGCACACGTACACTGGAAGCAATGGTACCTGACTATCCAAACAATCATGCCTAGTGCGCAATCCCATGGCCGTCTAGGCTCGTCGCGCTGATTGGCCCGCTGCACTGGCGACGTTTCAGTCTTGCCAGCATCCCGACCGCCCAATTTCCGCTAAGCCACTTTGGAATCCCATCACCACATGGGCGTGAAACTCGCTCTTCCGCCCAACATAATGCGTTGCACTCTCCCTCGCTATTCTCGTGCCTCTGAACCTTTTCCTCTGCCTATACCGCCGTCTGTTCTATCCTGTCGCATGAATCACTTGGACCACGATCGCAAACATCGAACCCACTCCACTCGCTCCTCCTCCCACCCCCAAAAATACCCGTCCTCCAAACATGCCGTCAGCATAAACCTAAATGCTATTTTTGTGCAGCCATCTTTCTCCGACTGTTTTGCGTGGCTTCTTCCCCCCATCCCTCATCTCCACCCTTATCCGTTTTCCCACGGCCGAATTTCCGTCCAATCCTCCTCCGCCCAGCCTGCCCGCAGAAGCTTGATGCCATTGCCGTGCCACACAGCCCATCTCTGTTCCTCTTCTCTTCTGTACTCCACTCCCCTCGCCAGTCTGAGGCTCTCTTGTCCCGGTTCTGGCCCGCTGTCTGCACCGACTAACCCCCGAATAAGATCTTCCAACATCCTCGTCGCCTTCCACATTGGCAGTGGACCCACCCACTTCTCAATAATCCAAGCGTCTGCCGGGAGATTGCTGTGGAGCGCCACCCCTATCATTCATTCACTGCTTGTTCCATTTCCCCATTGCCTGCCATCAGAACTCAATCTCTCGACTCCCGCTGCCGCTCTGCCACCCAGTCAGTGGCTCAGTCCCCGTTCTCATTAGTCGACACAGGCGCTGGTCTAGCCGTCTATTTGCGTTTGAACTTTGCCTGGTGTTGATTGCGTTTTTGTGCGTCACGCCTCCTCCACTCGCCTGCAAATCATCTCATCTGACCCTCTCTCTCTATTCAGAAAAACGAAAACAGTGGTGGTTATGCAGGTCAAGATTTCTCACGGGCGCTACCAACCTTGCGCAAACGCTCATCTCATCTCATCTCGTCAACGTGTGAGCGAGCCGCCCGTTTAACGCCGCCCTCCCCATGCACCCTCGTGCTGACTGATTGGACTGACCCCATCCAATCCAATAGCCAACTCAGCAATTTCCCTCCCTGATGACGTGACGTGATGCTACGAGAATAAAAGAAATAAATAGCTATCTTCATCTACACACTACACTTGGTACACTACATATGCATGCATGGTTGCACGACCAAGATTATGCATGTGTTGGTGTCATGGTGCATACGCTACATACCGGTACACACCCATCCGTCTCCTCGTGTCATAGTCATACACATAGTCACACCTAAACAACCCAAGAGTCAAGTCAAATCAAAACTCCAATATTGGATTAGTCTTCTGTACTGCATTCGTCCGCGTCACTGTGGTGTCTAAAGAATTCCCGCGCCGTATTCTGCCGCTCGCCAGCCCTTCTTAGCTTACCTTGTCTACCCGGCAGCCCGTACCCGCCTTCGTTTCGAAACATCGATGCACCATGTGAAACTGACACACTTACACATACACATCCATCCCCACTCTCTTACACACGCATGCTCATCTACACATTTCCCACCAACGACGACGACGATCTGAGGAGATTCCATGTGGAGATGGATACTCAGTCTGGGGGAAATTACAACGCCACACACACTCTCTCTCTCTAAACCACACCCATGTTTCTGAATTTTTTTTCTTAGAATCCAACAACAACTCCACATTTTATCGCATGAAACGAAACATTGTTTATACCTAACCCATCTCCTTGTCATTTGTCACCTACCGTACTTGAATTGACAGGTAGACACAGACAGGTAGAAACGTCAGAATGTCAGATCTGTCAGGATGAGACACAGAGATTAGAGACTTGGTCTTGGCGGGGCCTTTGTTAATCGGAAACGTGGCGCATGCACGGCAACTTGTTATTTTTCTTTTTCTTTTTGCGAAACTTATTACAAACCACTACACTCACTACAAGAATAACCATTTCGGTAATCAGAGGTTAGACACCTCCTCCATCGTTTAAAGAAGAACCTTGTTCAAAGGGACAGGGGAGGGGGAGTGTTGCGATGAAACGCGCAACGTTGGAGTTTTCTTTTTTCTTCTTTTGTTCTTTCTTTTAAAAGAACACACACACAATTTTGTCAATGCTATTGATCTAAGCAGCTATAGCATACAAGTTAATGGCAAAGAATAGCCAAAACATGTTTTGGACAGGGAAGCGAATAACAGCAATGGTGAAACCTTTGAGTTTGGATTTGAGGGGAAGAGAGAAGGATGGATTGTAAATATAGAATAAATGGCCCAATTGACCTGCGTCTGCCATCGTCATCGATCGATTGTGTTTTTAAGCAAAGAAGGAAAGGAAGGAAAAAGAGGGCGATGACGATGGTGAGAGTCTAGGCTGCGGATCGATCGTGATGTTATTCATGTAAGTGGAGCATGCCTACATATCTATGTGTGCGTACCTAGCTAAGTTTGCAGCGTACATGCCAGCCCGCCAACAAAAAAAAGTAGACAGGATAAGTAGTGATGCAAGCATCAATCCTTGCGAGTAGGTATCCAACTACTACGCCGCGCATCGCATGACCTCGCATTGCCTGTTTCCCGCTCAACAACAGATGGACGGCGAGGGCAATGCCTACTACTGTAGAGCGCCATTGTATTACTACTGCAACAACGATGACAACAACGTTGATACATGTGCGTATGGAGTACGTATGATCGGGGTTGGTTAGCGTCAGATCCAAGTCACGCCATCGATGCTATCAATGTCATGCTATGTGACGCGGATTGATTGCATCCAACATCCCACACCTTCCCTCAAATCACCAGCAGGAAAGAAGGAAGGAAAGCATACAAGGAGTTCGCACAGCCACATACATCGACATCTGCTCCAAACTCAGCCGCAGCACCAGCACCAGCACCAGCCTACCTACAAGTCCCCATCTCAGTCCCCAAACAAAAAAAAACGAGCACGCACGTCCAACTGCGCTCCCTCTTTTTTCTCTTTCTCACTCTTACCGGAGAATTTCTTCAGTTTCGAAACAAAGCTTCAACCTCCTCGCATGTAATTGCGCAAGCAAGCTCAGCTCAGCTCAGCCTAATGGCTCGCCTCGCGCGGGTAGGGTAGGGTAGTCCGATAAGGCGTACACACGCACTTCCTCTCTCTCTCGCTCTTTCTACTCCAATCCCCATCCCATCGCATCCCATGCCCTCCCCTCTTGACCTAATCTTTTCCTTTCCATAGACCCATGTCACACAAACCCGCATACGTTACCAAAAAAAAACCCCCCAAAACAAGAATAGAAAATAGAAAAGTAGAAAAAAATTCCAGAGAAGAAAACGCGGGAACAGAACATGACGAAACGGAACGGAAGGGAGGAGTGAGGGACGCTCCAACGGACTTCGGTAACCACCCACACCCACACCCATCCATCTTACCCATTCCTATTTCGATGCCGGAAAACGAAACCAAACGAAATGAAATGAGATGAGAGCGGTATCATGTTTCGTGCATGGAACGCAACGCCGCCGGAAGAAAAAAAAAGAAAGAAACTGGCCTTGCATATGGTATGCCTGCTGTGGGAACTTGCAAAAGGTAAGGTATGATGTTATGTTGCAAATAACATATATATTAAATCGTGTTTGTGGTCGCTTCTAATCTCCGGCCGTGTTGGTTGGTGTTTTTGTGTTTTGCGATGCGGTGTGGTGCGATGCGATGCGCGAGGGATGATGTTTTGGACGATTAGCTGAGCGGGGGGAATGGTTGTGCGGGAGGATTACTGTTTGTTTAGTAGTTGTGTTGTGTTGTGTGTAGATATAAGCTATAGGTGGGTGCTTGGTGTTTTGCTTGTTGGGTAGAAAGTGGAAGGCTAAAGGGATGGGTGGCCTGGTTTGGCGTCCAGCGACCAATGTCTTGTTCTTTGGTATGGTTACTGTCTGGCACTTGAGTACATGAGTGAATTATGCCGGTATTGACAAGTGGATAAGTGCATTGGACACTACAAACGCACTCGTCGAAGACGTCATGTACCTCAATGATGAGACATCTGGATGTATACATGTATTATTGTTCCTATCTTCTCTATAATTGCCATCCCCATGTCTGGTTATGCATGTGTTTATATGTCAAGTCTTTTCGTTTTGGCAAGTACCCGATATGATTAGGAATTTGGGAGCGCCTCACGCCATACCACCTTTTTCCCTTGACGATGAGGAATAGGCGCATCAGTCATTTCCTCTGTTTACCCTGGACCAGAGAACTCAACATGCAGTGGGAGAGATACCAACATACGTCTTTAACCACAAGATAATGCAATAGACAAAATACGAATGGAAACTTTGCACCATTCATTACGAAACGCGTTGCTGCATACCTGGCACCACGGAAGATCCGACACGGTCGCTCTCGCCAGAACCCGATGTTTCCTCCCCAACTGGTGCACCCATTCCCATAGATAGAGGGGGACCGACACTGAACTGCCGCGGATCTGGATGTGTATTCGCGATCCCGTTTGTATCCCGCAGCGCCGCTGCCCCTACTGATGATGGTGGTGGCGGGTCGGTTTGGTGGGGGAGAGGATTCTCATCCTCATCGCCCTCGCCATCGTCATCAGCCTCGTCGTGCTCGTCATCGTCATCGTCTTCCTCGCCATCTTCGTCTTGACCCATCACAGCGGTCGATGTCGTAGCAGAAACTTTCTTTTTTCTTGCGCGGCTCCTCGACTTAGGCGCGTCCGACATCCGCTTGACCAACTCTCGCCCGATCCTCACATACCCCCTCTTCCTTAGCACACCACGGACAGCATACTCGCCTACGCCCCAATTCGCGAAAGGTCCCTTGGCCAGCTTCTCGTAGCTCATGTAGCGGCCTTGCTCCCAGCCTTCATCATTGATGCCGGACGGTGCGGGGCCAGTACCACTCACAAAGGCTTCGAGTTCATCACACTGCACCTCGGAAAGCTTTTGGGGGCGGCCGGAGCGCTTTTTGGGAGTTAGCGAGCCGCTACGGATTGTGTAGCCTACTTGACGCGATGTGATGCCGAGCTGGTTGGCAATGAAGAGCTGCGTGTGACCTGCGCCGTGAAGAGTCATGATTTGCAGGCGTTGATCGCGGGTCAGGTAACGATGCCGCGGAGAATGGGGTGGAGTTTTTGGAGCTTTCTGCCGCGGTTGCTGTTGCGATTGTGGTTGCGATTGCGGTTGCGGTTGTGATTGTTGCTGTTGCTGGACTTGGATTTGCTGAGGTGGGTGAGGGGCTTGCTGGACTGGCGATACCTGTTGTGGTGAGTGTGGGTGTGGGTGATGGGGATGAGGGTGTGCGAAAGGGGGACCAGGCTGCTGGGGTGCATGATAATATGGGCGCTGTGGTTCTTGTTGTTGTGTGTCTATGTGATGAAGATTGGGATGATGCAGGTTTGGTTGATGTAGACCGGCCTGATACATGTCGTGCTGATGCAGTGTGGGTTGGTACATTCCATGTTGTTGTTGAAGCCCTGGGTGATATAGACCGGGATGATGGGATTGGTGCAGACCTTGCTGTTGATGAAGAGGTTGGGGCGGGCCTGGCTGGTGGAAACCTGGATGATGCTGCGCAGCTGGCGGATGGAGTCCTTGATGCTGAACTGACTGATGGAAACCTTGCTGCGGTCGAGATGGTGAATGGATGTCCGACTGCTGTCTTGTGTGGTTTCGCAAGTCTGGATGAATGTCGAGTTCCTTGCCTGGTTCTTGTTTCACTAATTGTGGATCGGTTGCATGGTGCAATGCTTGCTGTGCCGTCGGTCCTGCTGCGGTAGACGTTGATTCTGCTGGCGGTGGTGTTGACATAGTGTTTTCCCCTCTGGGCGCAGTCTATGCTACATGCAATCGCTGCTAGGTCTGCGTATATGATTGTGTTGGAATCGCGTATTTGCTCGATGCTTCCAATTGCTGCTGTGTAGACGTGTAGCTTTGTATATCAGGCCGAAGTAAGATGCACTGCCATCAATGGCATGTAAGTAGTGTAGAGGCGATGCACGTCGCTCAATGTCGCCCGCGGCTGCTTACGTGGCGCGTATCATCGAGTGCCTGTCTCGTCCTATCGGCGTTGAGGATGGGAGCCGCAAATCGAAAATTACGCGTATTCTATTTCACCATTCCGTTCTTTCCCTCTCTAGTGCTTCCGAACCATCCGCGGGCAATGCAACACTTTGCCCTGATTACCTGCCATGTAAAATTCAATCAATCACTTTATTCACCGAGTCACAATGTTGCGGCAAATATTCACCTCAACTAATTCATGATGCCCACGGCGTTTTTACAATAATTCCTGCATATTGTCACGACACTCGCGTACCTATTCCCCGCAGATCTCCTCCACTACCATGATACGTGCTGGCAACCATCCGTATCGTGATGGGATGTGCATGCTAGCGCTGTGGGGATTGCGATGACGATGTACATTTGTTCCATCAATAACCGTGAGGACCAGTTTACCATTGCGCACCATCATCCATACCTTGAAAACTTCGAAAGCTTTCGGCATCATCCACGAACGAGAATGGCGGCAAGAGAGGTGAACGAGTGAGTGTGTTCTTCGTTATTGATGTACCAGCAGGGTGCGTAGAAACACGCCGAAATTCGCGCTGAGAATTCATCTAGTGCTCCATAGAACAATCGATCCAAATATGTGAATTAATCTCCGAAGCGTGATCTGAACAGTTCAAGTGCCGAAGTAATTATCCAAGTAAGGAACAATAGAGATCCCCCGACAGGAAGTGCGATCAACCACATCATGTGACCACGCCAGATTGCAAGAGCGACGACTCCGACGATCACAAGTATAATGATGAGTGAAGAGAAAAAGCCGAGGAGGCTTTGCCTTTCCAACCAAATCCAGTGGAAGAGCCGCGCGGGAAGCCGTATACAGGCATACTCATGCTGCCAAAGCGGTATACGATCGTTGAAGTCTCGAAGTTCGGAGCGGATTTCTACGTTGTTCTCGACGTTTGGAACGAGCGGCGTGCTTTCGTCTGCTATCGCAATCTCTGGGTCGAACGTTACGCAGTTCAGTATTGTGCATCAAATCATTGACGGCGTCAAGCTCACTCCGGGTGGGAATGCATTTCTCCTCCCAACACGATGGAATTGGCGCCTAATGTTCTTCATGCTGGAAGCGGTCTGTTTTCACGGACCCAGAACTGCTGGATCGTTGTAATGGAACGCCCAAGGAAGCGCTTCCAAAAAAATTAGCTCACGTCGACACAGCGTGGGGTCTGAAATGACTGAGGCTATGGCGATCAGTGAGATCCGGCACAACACAGTACGAAAAGGGGTCTGGAACGACTAACATCGATTTTCGCATTACATGGAAGACTTCGAATTCGTCTCAGAAACTCATCAATCCCCCAACATCTGTTTCTATGGTTGACAGTAGAGGGATAGGAAAGGCTGCAGCTTGGTATTTACCCTGTCTTCAGCTCTGCGGCTTAGTCAATGACAAGGTTCATCGCTTAATGAGCCCAATAGATACAGTCTTTTCAGCCAAGATAATCTAGCAAATACGAAGTCATGTCCGACAGCCTTGTGCCTTCTGAACTTGTCCACGAAGGCAGACTCAACAAGCTGTCGGAGCTCTACTCAGTCCCTCGCAATGGCTGACCCGATCTCAGTAATCGGGCTGGTTTCTGGTATCATTACTTTCATTGATTTCGGATACAAAGTGATTTCTGGAGCGAGAAATGTTCGCAGCGCTTCACATGGCTTCACGGCCGACGTCCATGAGCTGAATATGATTGTCGAAGACGTTCAAAAGTTCAACAAGATCGTCAAAGAGCAGGGAAAATCCGGTCAGCAGCTGTCAAAAGATGAGCGCAGTATGCTGGAAATGGTAACTGAGTGTGATAACTTGGTGTTCAAGATCAGAGATATTGTCAAGACTCTTCGAAAGCGAGAAGAAGCTCGTTCGAAGACTCTTGAGAGTGCACGCGTATTTACTCGCAGTTTCTTCAAACAGGGAGAGCTCCAAGCGTTGCAGACTCGCCTGGAGAAGCTCGACAGCCGGATCCGAATAAACACAGCAAATGCTCTACAGAAGTAAGTGTAACACTGGAATCTGTACATATGGAGCCTGGAGTGTTACAGGTTCAACGATCTGGGCTGACTTTAGCTGTATGTCACTAAAGAGAACACAACTCTTCCATCACGAAAAAGCTGGGGGATATCGAAGAGTCCCAAAGAAGCATAGGTGTGAGAGAAGAATCAAGGCTGGACGCAATCCGCGATGACATCCAACGTCTTGCGAAGCAGAATCAAGAGATTGGAGAGGCGTGGACTGAGAAGCGAATGGCGGGTCTCCAGAGTCTTTTGACCAAGCTAAGAAGCTTACAAAAAGAACATGATATCTGCTCCCAACAGATCAAAGTACTGGAATCGCTATACTTTACAGAGCTCCGGCGTCGTTGGTATGTTAGATTCTAGACATTCTACGGAGTGACGGGCTCTAGTCTGTTGAAGACCGCTGACAATATTAAATCCGCTTTATACAGGTATCTGATTCCATATGCAGACCAAAGGACGAATGATTGGGTATTTAACCCTGAACAAACATATTTCAAGTCATGGCTGGAGACAAAAGATGAGGGAATATTCTACATCACTGGCAAAGTGAGTAAAAGTACTGGGTGAACAGTGACTTCAACCACGGCTAATGCATGATGTAGGCTGGAAGTGGAAAGTCCACACTGATGAAATACATCTCAGAACAAGATCATACAGAAGACAGTTTGAGAAAATGGGCCGGCTCCAAAAAGCTCTACACGGCAAGCTTTTACTTCTGGAACCAAGGAACCGACCTCCAGAAGAGCAGCATTGGACTTTTAAGATCCTTGTTATATCAGATACTGAGATCCGTGCCAGATCTCATCAGATCTGTGTGTGAAGATCGTTTACATCATGAAGAGTGGGAATTGGGGCAGCTCAAGAAGGTTTTCCACAAGCTCACGCAGCATACGGAGCTAGATACAAACTTTTGCTTCTTCATCGATGGGCTTGACGAGTACGAGGGAGAGGAGAACGATGTTACTCACCTCTTGGAAACGCTTTCAATTTCTTCGCAGATCAAGATCTGTGTGTCCAGTCGACCTGGACGCCAATACGAAGACATTCTCCCGAAGCCGCATCAAAAATCCACCATCGATATCGCTCGTTTTACCAAGCAGGATATGGAAAATTATATCAATACCCACCTGAAAGGTTGCTCAAATTGGCTCAAGCTTAGGCAGCGTCATGCTGCTCAATGCCAGGAGATTATTCAAGAGATATCAGCCCGTGCTTCGGGAGTGTGGCTTTGGGTTTCTCTCGTCACCACGGATATTGTCAAAGAAGCGGAGAAGAATGAGGGCATCGAAACACTAACAAGAGTGGTTGACAACTTCCCCGACGATTTACACAAATACTTCGAAAAGATCATCCAGAAGATACCAAAGATACATCGCGAGGAGATGGCGCAAATTTTCCTAATCGTTGCTGAAGAGCTTCAGCCCCTACCCCTGTACGGGTTCGCGTTGCTAGCACAGGAGTCATCAAACAGTGATTACGCAATCGCTCTCAAGATACAACCCCTTGAAGATCGGGATGTGAGGGCGCAATACAACGACTTGCAAGATCGAATCCGCAATCGATGTAGCGACCTTCTAATTGTGGACGACGGCTTCCATCCGCTTTGTTTAACACACACCGTGGATTTTCTACACCGGACCGTCCGTGACTTCCTGCGAGATTACCATAGCCAATTACAAGTCAATCTTGTCAGAAACTTCAACCCTTTGATATCGCTGAGTAGGATTTGGCTTGCTCTACTCAAACATCTCCCCATCACGAGTTTCCAAGACCGCAGGACCGCAAATAAGATCATCGGGATCACGGATGAAATACTTTACTACGCACGTGAGTTGGAGAAGAGAGGTACCGATGACGATCAAATCTCCATGATCCGTCTCCTTGACGAATTGAATGACACCAATCGTCAACACGCCTCCTGTTCTTCGTTTAGCAATCACTGGACGAACGCCCGAGACTCACCTACTCAACGAGGGCTTGACGAGTACAATGAAGGCGGCCAGTGTAATTGGATTGCATTGACAGTACAAGCACGTCTTGTAAAGTATGTGCGCGCGAAACTAAACTCAGATCCGCGGATTTTGCACAAGCGGGGACGACCGCTCCTAGACTACGCATTACGACCTAGGCGAACAACACCGATCTCGATGCCTTACCACTCCGTGAGAGACGACCCCAGCGTGGACACTGACATGATTTCAATGCTCCTTGAAAACGGTGCAGATGCCAACCAGCCTGTTCATATAAATGGTGGGAAGTCGGTATGGGCGTTGTTCCTTCATTCCATATACAGTGATCATATGCGACTGGGAGGAGTGACCTCAATTCTGAGTGATAGTCTCAACAAAGCTTGGTATCAAGCCTGCAGATCGATGATTCAAGCAGGAGCGCGTCAAGACTGTCTTCCGGCGGGAGATGTCGAAGAAGTCTTTCTTCGCGTTTTCGGGGAAGATAGGGCGGCTGTCTTGACCCAGGAGTTGGCAGAGAGAGAAATGGAGCAATCACACGGTTCTTGTACGATGATGTGACGATATTTGCCACGTTGGCGATGGGGTATAATCACATCGAGGAGAGTGTTTTGTGCAATTAACAGCTCTATAAATCGTTCTGGCTGTTAGCGGGTTTGAGTTGGATACCACATCATATGTTGTTGTTTTGATAAATTCGTGTTTTAGATGACCATTTTTCAGTTGAAGCATGACACAAAAGAGCCATCTCTCGAGCTGTAGTATGCTCAACTATCATTAATATCGTATAAATGCCCATGACATCCGTCTTTCAAGCCAAAGGCAATTTTCGGTACAGTCAAAAACCATCCGGGATGCTGCAAGATCCATATCAAGCATTATTTTCTACCTTTGTTAAAATTCACATTTCATTGTTAGCCTAGTCACAGCTCAAGTATCTTCCTTGTGATATTGCGGCTCTGAAAGTCCCTGCTTAGACAAGTGATTGATTTAACGCATGTTACGTATTACTAAAGACCGACTTGACTGGAGATCTTTCACTCTAGCCTCGGTGCCTCCAACGTCGCGCCCATCTTATCGATAACGACGCGTCGTTCGTACCTGACAACCTCAACCTTCGAACGTTGTACAATCCAAAACGGAAACAACAATGCGAGCAGAAGACTCAGGGCAGCCATCTATACGCATGCTACCCTCACGGTGATCTCCCGCTGTGCCATCAACTTTCAACTCTTCACCCACTTTGCGGAGAAAATGCCAAGCAAAATCAAACCCGCCCACTATGACATCGATTTCACTCTTCGCCGAGTATTTGGCAAAAGAGCTTTCAGGTATGAGATCCTCACGGTTTCTGAAAGTATTTTCGATCTTATGCTCACTCGATTCGATGCAGACCCACCCAACGGGAGGTGATCATGGCGACGCTAGAAGGAGAAGATGTGTTTCTGCAGGCTGCCACTTCGTTTGGCAAGAGCTTGTGCTATCAATTACCCGCCATCGTAGATTTTGGCAGTATGTAAACCAAGGGATGCCATTGAACAGTCAAGCTGACGTTTGTTTCCAGTCACGATCGTTGTATCACCTCTGTTAGCATTGATGGTAAGTTCAACAGGACCCTATCAAAACGCCAACTAACGACAAGTTAGAATAACCAAGTTGCTTCAATGCGAAGAGCCAATATCAGAGTGGAAACGATCAACAGCACAACAACAGCCACTACCAAGAAAATGATCGTCGCAGACCTACAATGTGGACACCCTCTTACACGCCTGCTCTACGTAACTCCAGAGTATTGCCAGATGGATTCCTTCCGCAAGCTCCTCCGGATAGTCCACTCCCAGCGAGAACTTGCCCGTATCGCCATCGACGAAGCCCACTGCGTCAGCGAATGGGGCCACGACTTCCGGCCTTCTTTCCAACAGCTCCGCTTCTTCAAAGACGAGTTCCCCGATGTCCCCATGATATGCCTCACAGCGACCGCCACCTCGCGCGTACGAGACGACATCATCCAAACCCTCAACCTCGACGCCACCAAGCTGAAAATGTTCCGCATGACCACCAGCAGGCCCAACCTCCACTACGAAATCCGCTTCAAGAGCGACGAAGAAGACCACTACGCCGACTTCCTCCACTTCATCAAAACCACGCATGCGCGACGCGCAGAGAACCCGGACCGCGCCACCCAACTCGCATCGCAGAAGCAGCGCGCAGACAACGTCCCTGGAATCATCTACACGCTCTTCCGCAAAGACTGCGAGTCCCTCGCCGCACGGCTCTGCGCCGACGGCATAGGCGCAAAACCATATCACGCCGGCCTTCCGCATACGGACCGCGCCGACGCGCTCGCGGGCTGGGTCGACAATAAACAAGGCTACGACATCATCGTCGCCACGACGGCATTCGGCATGGGCATCGACAAGGAAAACGTGCGGTTCGTGGTGCACTGGCAGATCCCCAAGTCCTTCGAGGGCTTCTACCAAGAAGCCGGGCGTGCAGGCCGCGACGGGAAAGCGTCCCGCTGTATCCTGTACTACGGCCGCGAAGACCGTGATCGTGCTGCGTCGATGATGGCGCGGGATCAGGCGCGGCAGCCGCAGAAGGGTGGCGGTGTGAAGGCTCAGCAGATGCAGATGATGAATCGTGCAAAGAGCTTGCAGGCGCTTATTGAGTACTGCGAGTCTACGGAACAGTGCCGGCATAAACTCATTGCGAGGTATTTTGCGGATGAGGGGGACACACCGTGTGACTTTGCTTGTGATTGGTGCAAGGATGCGGAGGCGTTGGTGAGGAGGAAAGAGAGGGGTTTGGCTAGCGAGGAGTGGTGTAGTACGCAAAGGCAGATGGGGAGGTATGAGGTTGATGAATATGAATGACTGGATGAGATCATGGGTATGTTTTAGGGAGTCTGGCGTTTGGGGCAATGCGAAATCAAGGCAGGATGGTGTTTTGCATATTCCATTAGTTGCATCTATCTGGAGTTTCATGAAGGCTCACGATAGAGTATTATTTTAGTGTGATTGGAAATGGACATGTCCGAAAGATTTTGTTTGAGAAGAGCTTCATCGTTACTCGTCATAGATTGGTCCAACTCCCATAACCCCCTCGCTTTAACCCACGATCAATGCAGCGCTGGGAACCATACCAGCCTCCTTGAGAGAAAGTCCAAAGTCGGACTTGTCGTAGACCTTCTTGGGGAAATTCTGCGTGAAGGTGTTGACCTGAAGGCCATCTTGCTCCAACGCATGCGCAACCTCAAACAGCGTCGTCTCGACCGGGAACGTCTTCATGACGCGACCACCCGGCGTCTGGAGCGCCAGCCTCGCCTCTGTATACGCAGACGCAGGTTTTGACGTCGTAGGTCCCGAAGACGTAGCAGCAGCAGGTTCCGCAACAGGCGGAGGTGCCTTGCCAGCGCGGGCTGCCTTCTCCGCCTCGACCTTTCTCTTCCTCTCCAGCTTATCGGCCTCCAGCTTCGCCAGTACGCGTTTCCTAGCCTCGGCTTCCTCCTGCTTTTCCTTCCTCTTTGCTTGCATCTCCTTGAGCTGTTCCTTCTTGCGCAGCTCCTCCTTGATATCCTGACTCTCCTTGGTCGACTTCATGCGGATCTTCTCGTTCTGTTTGCGTTCCTCCTTCTCCTGCTCCGCCTGCGTGGCACGCTTAGCAGCGAGCCTCTCTTTCAGCTCCTCGAGCCGCTGCTTCTTCTCCTCCTCTGTCAACGGCTTGATCTCCTCGGTCGATTCAGAAAAGTCGACGTGCTCCGTCTTGGATGCGTGCCACTCGGCCTGAGCCTGTGAGCGGAACTTCTTGCCGCAGTCGTTGCAGACGAGGGACTGGGCGACTTCGCCGGCCTGCAGCGCGGGCGGTTCGTCTGAGGTGGATGCTTGGGCTTGTGCGGCTTTGAGGTCGTCGATAGGGGTCTCTTGGTTCTTTTCTAGCCAGTCGATGGCGTCTTGGAGACTGCCTGTGGCTTTGGAGGCGAGAGTTGCGCGTTCGTTGTCGAAGCCCATGTCGAGCAGTTGTTCTAGATCGGTCGGCATGATGGTGATGGTTGTGTGTGGGATGTGATATGGGATGGAGTGTATACGAGGTCCGAGTATGATGGACGGTTTTCGGAGAGTGGGTTGTGGAGAGAAGAGGGAAGCTCCCTGACGAAGGTAAGTAGGGTAGGTAGGTAGGGATTGTGAGGGGCGTTCAGGCAGTAGCGGGGCAGAGGCGACGGTTGAGGTGAGAGAGCGAGACTGGGGTACCCGTGGATTTATAGGGAAACAAGTAGAAGGGTGGAAGCTTGGCACAGCCGAATATTGATTTCTATAGAGGGTGGAGATGATGATAGCAAAAACACAGATTGGTGGTCACGACTGGAGTAGGTGACGAAGCGTTGAATGGCGGCTGATTCGGGCATAGTCAGGTCCGTTGATGTCACACCCGCTACTACGGTCGTCTGTCTTCACAATCCTGGCTGGCTGGGCTCACTCACCAAGAAAGCCGGCCAGCCAGCGAGCAAGCGAGACGCATCAATCAATCCGCGGCTGTCTCGCCGCCCTCTTCTGCTCCAACACACCCGCCCGCACACAAACACACACATCACCTCCACCACCACCGCGCGCCTCTCCTACGTAATTCTTTATTCTCTTTTACTTATCTGCCCTCCTACTCCTGTGCCTCCTCCCGTGCCCATCTACCTACCGTCATCGACCGCCTTCTAGCGCCCAGATTCACCCTGTCGCATGCGCGCTTGACCGTGTCCTTTGGCTATCCAACCTCTGATTACCAACCTCACTCCCCGTCCTCCGAACTGCGCCCCCAACCGCCATGTCTGTTGTTCTCGAGCCCGCCGAGCTTGGCTTCAAGCGTCAGTATTCCCGCGAGATATATTGAGCAGGAAGACCAGCAATACTGAGATCTCGCAGGCCCGTTCCAGCATGAGGTCACCCAAAACCTCCGCCTTCGTAATCCCCACTCCGACCCCGTGGCTTTCAAGGTAAGGAAACTGCATACGCCTATCCATATACACACAGGATGAAATAGACTGACCACCACCCGCCACAGGTGAAAACCACCGCTCCCAAACAGTACGCGCCACGCCCACCCATTGCCGTGCCCCACCGTCCACTGACACGACCTGACATAGGTACTGCGTGAGGCCTAATTCTGGTCGCATTGATCCGGGCCAGAGTGTCGAAGTCCAGAGTAGGTCTATTCTTTGAGCGGGATTCCGGGGCACGCGAGCTAACATGACATCTACAGTTCTCCTCCAGGCCATGAAGGAAGACCCCCCACCAGATGCCAAATGCCGCGATAAATTCCTCGTCCAATCCGTCCTCGTTACTGCAGACAAGGAGTTCACCAACGTCGCTCAACTGGTATGTACAACAGTGGCGTCATTTTGAATGGCGAATGCGAGCAGTAACTAAAATGGCGGCAGTGGTCCAACATCGAACAGACTTCCAAGCAGTCCATCCAGGAGAGGAAGATTAGGGTCATCTTCCTGCCCGCTGACGACGAACATCTCACCACGCCATCCAAGACCAATGGCGCACACTACGACGACCAGTCGACCCTCTCGTCTCCATCCATCGATTCGGCTGTAACCCCCCAGCGCGGCTCCTCCGAGACACCGGTTGGATCTGTCTCGCGCCCTGAATCTCGTCCGACCGGCAGCAGAAATCTTGGCGAGGCTCGTGAGTCAGCATTCAACCCCGCCATGTCTGGTGGTGCCACATCCACCGTCGGTGCTGCCGCCGCCGCTGTATCGAACGCGATCCCGTCCACGGCAGATCTCCAGGCCCAGCTCAACAGCGCCCAAGCCACTATTCGCCAGCTTCAGAAAGATGCCGCGAGCGGACTTCGCCAGCGAAAAGTGCCTGGAACCTCGGAAAGCACAAAGGATCAGGGACAAACGGCCATGGGCACACAACAGGCACCTGCTGGCGGTGTATCCGTCCAGATCACGGCTCTGTTGTGTCTAATAAGCTTCCTACTCGCTTACCTGCTTTTCTAAAAGCGACGTGCACCCTTCGGCTTTTTTCCAGAATGAGTGCAAATGAAAGTTAAACAGCGCCGCGGCCATGCTGAAACTGTGAATCTAAAAGCGATGGCGATTGGAAGAAGACATGGGTACGCAAGGAAGACAAGAAACACATGCAGCGGAAAGCCATTTCTTTTGTTGTTTGGGATAAGCTGACTGTGACGGGGGAGATCACATGCAGAACGGGCGGCTCCAATGTTGATTGTGAGTGAGAGGAAGGGGTACGGCAAAGAAGCTGTACGCGATAGAGCAGTGAGCGATGAGGTTTTAGTCTAGTAATATGTTGTTCACAGCAAAGGCGTCACCACCCTGTATCAACAAGTCCACGAATATGAATTGTTCTCAAGCAAGCGAAGAGTGAATTGGCTGATTGATGGATCTGTATGTAAAGAAAGGTATGGGTCACGGAACCAGCAGAGTGGATCCAGAGCGAATTGTGGGGGAACATGTATGTATGTACATGGAGTGCACGCCCTACATGGCATTTGCCTTGTCGGGTCAATGCCCGTGCGACGCGCTGCAGCGTGGGACAGCCGATCTTGGAGGCCTTGACCGTATCCATATAAGGGCAATAGAGAGCAATCTCATGATTCTGTTGTGGGTGGTGTCTGCTCGGAATCCTCGTAGTGAACTTGGCACACTGGTGGGGCAGAGACCGACGTATGTGGGCAGCCGATACGCCTCCGGCGGCGCTACGCGACTGAGTCAAGCTTTCGTAGCATTTTCTTTGATACCAGAAACAGTCACAATTGTTATCTCAACAGTCACAGCTTTATAACCCAATTCCTCCCCCCTCCCTTCTTGTCTCTCCTTCACTCTCCCACTTTCCCCTCGCAATTCGCCTGCCATCATGTGTGGAATCTTCGCCTGCTACAAGTATGTGCTCATGCCGTCCATCGTCTACTTTCACCCCTCCAAACCCCTCGCGCGTCACTGCTCGTTTTGGAGAAGCAATTGCTAACCTGGCGCAAAGGCACCCCGATGTGCAGAAGTTCAAGCCGACAGCCCTGAGAATGGGCAAGGCGTGAGTCTTTCTCGATGACTTCCGCACCTCCAATTGGACCCTACTGACCCAATGCGACAGCGTCCGACATCGGGGCCCTGACTGGAGTGCGTTGACCTTTGCGATTTCTGCGCCTGCGGGACGATAACTGACGTGGTGGTGCAGGTGGCAACCATATTGCGAACGACACAAGTATGTCTGCGGGAGACAGTCTCAATTGCGGTTGCTTGGGCTAATTTTGGCGTTTAGTTCTCGTTCATGAGCGTCTTAGCATTGTTGGCGTCGGTATGAGGTCACACGACACCTGCTTTCCATCTGTTGAAGACTGACGAAGCGCAGAATCCGGCGCACAGCCGCTAGTCAACGATGACAAGACCGTTTCTCTGGCTGTCAACGGCGAGATTTACAACCACCGTATCCTACGCAAGTCGCTCAAGAAGCCGTACAACTTCAAGACGCATTCGGATTGCGAGGTCATCATTCCATTGGTATGCATGAGATTTTTCAAGAGCACGATAGACTCAATTTCTGGATCTAATATGTCCCTCACAGTACCTAGAACATGACATCGATACGCCACGGCACTTGGACGGCATGTTCTCGTGGGTGCTTCACGACAAAGTACAAGACCGAGTCCTCGCCGCGAGAGATCCCATCGGTATTACCACCTTTTACCTCGGACGGTCAAGCCAGACACCCGGTGCCGTCTACTTTGCCTCCGAGCTCAAGTGTCTACATCCCGTGTGCGACGACATTATTGCATTCCCACCGGGTCACATCTACGACTCCAAGACCGACAAGTTGACGCGATACTACGATCCCAAATGGCTTGTAGAGCCGTCCAACATTCCCACAAAACCAGTCGATTACAAGGAGCTGCGGGAAACACTCGAGAAGTCGGTCCGGAAGAGGCTTATGGCCGAAGTGCCATACGGTGTGCTGCTATCTGGTGGTCTCGACTCCAGTCTTGTGGCCTCCATCGCACAGCGTGAGACGCTCCGTCTCAACGAGGCTGCGAGAAAGCAAGCCGAAGCCGGAAGCGTCAATGGCGATGCGGAGGAGCTTGTCGGTATCGACGACGACAACGAGCTCTCCACCATCCAAATGCTGCCCCAACTTCACTCCTTCTCCATTGGACTCCCCAATGCTCCCGATGCAGTCGCAGCGAGGGAAGTTGCAGACTTCCTCGGTACCCGCCACCATACTCTGACCTTCACACTCGAGGACGGATTGAACGCCCTCTCGGACGTCATCTACCACCTCGAATCCTACGATGTGACCACGATCCGCGCCTCCACACCCATGTTCCTTCTCAGCCGTAAAATCAAAGCCATGGGCATCAAGATGGTGCTTTCGGGCGAGGGCAGCGACGAAATCTTCGGTGGATACCTCTACTTCCACGCAGCCCCCGACAAGGCAGCGCTACACCAAGAAACGATCCGCCGCGTCGAGAACCTCCATCTGGCTGACTGCCTGCGAGCCAACAAATCAACATCGGCATGGGGTCTCGAAGCCCGCGTCCCGTTCCTGGACAAGAACTTCCTCAACACGTCCATGAACATCGACCCGGCCGAGAAGATGATCACAAAGGACCGCATCGAAAAGTATATCCTCCGCAAGGCCTTCGACACCTCGGACGAGCCGGACACGAAACCCTACCTACCGGAGAAGATTCTCTGGCGCCAGAAGGAGCAGTTCTCCGACGGTGTCGGATACGGGTGGATCGACGCGCTCAAGGACCGCGCCGAGGAGGAAGTCACCGACGAGATGATGAAGAACCCCAAGCCTGAATGGGGCAGCGATATCCCCGACAGCAAGGAGGCGTACTGGTACCGCTGCATGTTTGACGAGCACTTCCCGCCGCACTGCGCGAAGACGGTCATGCGCTGGACGCCGACGTGGAGCAAGCAGACGGATCCTTCAGGACGGTATGTATCCTTGTTTCTGCTCCCCCTTTTTTTTCTACAATCAGGGCTGTACTAACTCGTTTCCCCCTCCCTACAGTGCCATCCAGATCCACAACCAAAAATACGACGAGGAGAAGTAAATCCACGTTCTCCCGCGTTAATTGTAGAATGAAGGGGAGGGAGCACTAAACGATTTACGCTTTCCAAACTCTTCTCTCTCGTGATTTAAGATTATATATCTCGAAGAATGCAAAGAACGATTTCAAGCTTTTTTTTTTCTTTTTCTTTCTCTCTCTCTCTCTCTCTCTCTTCCCCTTCTTTGGTGGCATCAAATCAGATCAACATCTGTTAATCTACTTGTCTTTCATCTACACTTTCGTTTCAAGTGGAACTTGGATACGTGAACCTTCTCTAGCTTGCTTTATTTCGCTGGACCAAGGGGGAAGTGGTTGATGCATAATAATCTTTAGGATCATGGCAAGATGAAAACTAGAGGAAGGGGGTGAGGGGAATGCAAAGAAGGAAGGGCGCCGTTTCAAAGATATAGAGAGAGCTTCAACTCTCATTCATCACAAGTGACATATCTATATACCCTCACTCATCCCCCCTTCCCCCAACCACAGAAGAAACAAAACGCCCACGAACCCCCACGCTAATGAATAACAATGCATACAGAAACAACATCATGTTCTTGATTTGACGAAGAAGAAGAAGAAGAACAAGAAGAAGGAAGAGGTCCTCACTTCCTCGCCCTCTTACTAACCCCACTCCCCACACTCGCACTCCCAGCACTGAATTCACTTGCGCTCCTCTTCCTCCCCTGCTGCTGTTGCTGCTGGGTTGAGACATGTGCCGGCGCCTCGCTAGGCTGCCTGCTCTCCTCTTCGCCTTCTGCGTCCTCGTCATCGCCGTCTTCTTCGTTGTCGCGAGGATGCGAGGTATCAATGTCGACGACGTCGTCTTCTTCGTCGTCTTGGTCGTCGTCTTGGTCGTCGTCTTCGTCGGGGTTGGTGGTTGTGGTCGGGTCACGCGAGGTGCGGCGGGTGGAAGATTCGTTGTCGAGGGGGGAGGCGGGGTTTGAGTCTGGGATTTCGTTTCGTTTGCTGGTTGACGTTGTGGTACCATTGTTGGTAGTGGTCTTGGGGGTAGATGCGGGAGCAGCAGTTGAGGAACGACGGTCGGCGGGGGGCGCGGAGATGGATGTTGATCTCTTGTCGTCTGTTGCTGTTGCGTTGTTGTTGCTGGAGGTGCTGGAGCCGCCTTTGGCTTCCTTCATGGCTTCCAAGACGCGGATCTCGCCTTCTTCCTTTTCCCTCACTTTCCGAACATCTAGCAACTTGCCCACTTTGCCAATGAGTGATTCGAATGCTTCGCCCACACGGCTCGTCGGTATGGGAATCAAATCGGGAACCCCGAGCTCGTGCAGTGCTGCGGCGATCTTCTGTGTCTGCACGTTGCTCTTCGCCTGCCGCATCTTAACCAGCCTGTCGGCACCAAAGGAGACACCGGACGTAAGACGGTCGTGCGTCGACACATTGTAGCGGCGCTCTTGTTGTGGTGGTAATGTGCGGACGGGAGTTTGCGCTGCTGCAGATTGTGGGAGTGCCATGGATTGACGGCGGTTGACGGCGGAGATGGGACCAGGGACAGTGGAGGCGGGGGTTTGCGCAAGGTCGTTTGTGTTGAGGGAAAGACGTGAAGGACCAGAGCCGCCGCCTGAGGCGCGTTTCTTGCTGCGGTCTTGTTGAAAAAGTTGGGAGAAGAGCGTTTGCAGGGCTTGGCTGGAAGTGAAGGACTGGAGGCCGGCAGCAATTTGCGTATTAGGCGCCGGAGCGTCCAGGCGGGCGCGGAGCTCCTCGCGTTCGGCATCGAGACGGTTGGCGGCCATGTTGATGCGCTGGAGTTCTGTAAGGAGAAATTCCTCTTCTTTCACTTCATCCATGCTGCGGTTCATGAGCGCGGAAGCCAGTGCTTTTCTGTTCCGTTCCAATAGAGGATCAAACTTGGAGAGAATCTCGTAGGTGCTATATTGATCGGCGTCCATCTGCATCTCCGGTATTCGCAGCTTCATTAGCTTCGCCGAGATATCGTAGAATCGGGCTTTGAGATCCTCCACGCTTCTCTGTTTGGGCGGTGCGAAAGGCATCGCAGCCAGAGCATTGCCATCGTCTCCATCCACTCCTTCTTGCGACAGAGCCGAGTTGTTTCCTGGTTGATAGTCGTAACGATCCCAAACCACTGCCCAACGATACGAGTAGTCTCTCACAACCTCAAACAAGTAGTCCGTCTCCTCGCGACTCCAATCGTTGCTCCGTAGATGCGCCTCATACTCCTCGTCCGAAAATGTAGGAAGGTCCACCGAGATGTTGTACTTGTTAAAATCTCCACAATTCTCAATATACGGGCCAGTGATGTCTGTCTCCTCCATCGCCGTATCTTCGCCGTCTTGTACCGGGGGAGCAGGTGCATGTTTTCGCCGCCAATGCTTGAGAACGAGACCGTCGTTGCGTGCTTGGTTCACAAAGTCCTGTTGTACCCTACGAATTCGCCTGATTAGCGCCAGCCTTCTAATGTTCAATTGCGAGTGCTCCATACCATTTTTTAGCCGGCCCAGTGTTCTGTCGTTTGGCGCGATATGTTTTCTCCTCTTCGTAGACTGCGACGGGCGGCGGTCTCTCACCGTAGAGCGCCGCAACTTCGCGCGCAACACCCTCTATACACAATCGTTAGTCATTGAAACTGAATCCAACCCATGATAGAAAGCACATACGCATGCGCTTCACGCCGCCTGTTGTTTTCGACTTCTTCGCGGCCTTGGCTTGCTCTCCCGCACCTGCGCCCATTGGCAGCCCCAGCATATCACGAACATCGCGGCCCGTTGCCATCGCGATATTATTTGAAATCGATTCGAGATATACCGAAGGACGGAAACCGGGTGGGTTGATGACTTTGCAGGGGTGGGGTGATATAGTAGAAGTCGTGAAGTTCGCGTTGGAGGGACTAACAACTGCGGACTCCCGGGCGGGAGCTCAACATATAGTCACGTGGTGCCTCTTAGTTTCGTCCACTCTGAGCAATCATGGGCCTTTTACATGTAGAGCGATAGCGATTCAGTATTTCACAATTCATAATCCGGATGGCCATGAAATATCCACGACAAAGCGCAATGGCATGCATCTCTGCATCTCGTCGCTAAGCTACACACTTCGTCTACCAAGCAGCGTCAGAAACACAAGACCGAAACTTTTGACATGCAATCACATCACGACGCAAGCTCAGCAAAGTCAAGTTTCCATCTCTCTGAATTGACAACCGGTCCGCACCATCTAACTCAAGCATAAGAAACACTACAACGTCCCCAGGGCCAGTCTTCTTCATGGCCAAACATCCCCACAAGCAACTTTGTAGCCCTCCACCAGTTCCCTCTCCACTCGCTCCCTTGCAACCGCCGACTGATTACCAACAAAAGGGAAAAAACTCCAGCTTGTAGTCCATTACCAACAACGCCACTGACTCCTGCGCAAAGGCCTCCGTGTCCAGCGCCAGCCGCTTAGCAACTCGCACCAGAAAGGAAGGGAAGAACTTGAGCAGCAGAGTCGAAACCCTGGCTGCTGTGCAAGGCGATCGTCCATTACTTAACATACCGTAGGAAAGAAGATTTTGCGATCCCGTCTATGAATCATTACAAGATACCTATACAGGAAAGAAACATGATGGTCCGCAAGCTATTATATGAATTGATCGCTCAATGAAGGACTCCAGAATGCAACAATGAAAGGAAAACGAACAAGTCGTCGAGGCTCAAGATCTGCCACGGCAGCAGGGGCGGCAGGGGCAGCAAAAGCTCAAAAGGCAGCGCAACTAGCGGCAGCAAAAGATTTTGGCGAGTTTGTTGCCAAAACCTTGCTTGTCAGGCTCCGCCGGTCTCGCCTGTTGAAGGTTCGGGCTGGCTGCGGGTGCTGCTCGGTTTGATGACAAGTTGGGCTGGCTGTTCTGAAACTGAGCGTGGGTAGATCCGTCGGGTGGTGCTAGCTCGCCCATGCTCTTTCTCTTGCCTGCATCCTGATGCCCGTATTTCGCTTGTTGAATCTCCCTTGGGCTTCTTCCGGGTTGGCCCCGATCCGCTCCGGGCTTTGGGAGATCCGCGTTTAAACGGCGATGGTCGACGGGAAGCTGCGTCTTCTGTTGCCGGTGGGTAGTACCGGGCATGGCCTGGGTCGAAGAATGCCCCAGGTTGGCGTTGCTGGCGTGGAGATGTTGGACGGGGTGCGACTTCATCGCCTCCCAGCCCTTGCCGTTGTTCAGTTTCATCCAGTCGTATTCACCGTCTTCGACTTCTCCAGTGCTCTTGAGAGCCTGCGTGAAAAGCTCGCGCAGATAATCGTAGTCGGGGGTGTCTTCGAAACCCAGGTTCCTGACGTAGCTGAGATACTTGTTCAATTCCTCTGCAATATGTGTTAGACGAGAGCAAGTACGTGAAGAAGGGGAGTCAAATACCTGGGAAACTATCACAAAGGTCCTTGATGGGTGTCGTCTGCTTCTTCTCGCCAATCTTTTCGTACTTTTGCTTGTTGGTGGCGGCCTTGAGGCCTTGCCATGGCAATCCACCTCTGAGGAAGTACATGAAGACGTGACCAAGAGCCTCCAAATCATCTCGTCGCGACTGTTCTCGCCCGAGATGGGTGTTGATACTCATGTAACGGGCTGTTCCCGACAAGGATTTACGCTCCCTATACGGAATGTGCTGTTTCGTCTTGGGGTCGCGGTACTGCTTGGCCATGCCGAAGTCGACTACGTGGATAACGTTGGCACTTTTAGAGCCAGGACGACCAATGAGGAAGTTGTCAGGCTTGATGTCGCGGTAGATGAGATTTTTCTCGTGGATTGTTTGGACCCTCGAGAGCTGCGGTGGGTTAGAGAGGTGTGCAGCATAGATATATGGAGGGAGGAAGGTCATACCATTTGCTTCGCTACCATGACGACGGTCTTGATCGAGAACTTGCGGTTGCAGTGATCAAAAAGGTCCTCCAAGCTGGGGCCAAGGAGGTCGATTACGAGGATGTTGTGGAGGCCTTCTTGGCCAAAGTAGTAGACATTAGGAATACCGGCTATGACAGTGTCAGTCCATTCTGGGTCAGATAGATGGGGTGTGGTTGTGACGAGAGAGCGGGCACCAGAGGCCGCTAGCAGCAATCCAAACGGCAAAACGCCCAAACAGGCGACGACAGCAGTGGGAGGGTGCTCGAGTTGATGGCGGCGAAGCAAGTGACAACAAAGACGACAGGGTAGGAAAGTGCCAAGCCCTCGTCGAGGGTTCAGCTCGGCCGTGCAGGCAGGCAGGCCGAGATGGGGAATAGGAGAGATGGTGTAACTCACGGCAGCCGACCAAGATCTTGTAGGTGCGATACTCGTCACGCAGTTGAGGTGCGTCGCTTTTCCTCGGCTCAAACTTGATGGCAACCTGCTGGTGGTTGAGCAGGTTGGTGCCCTCGAAGATGACGCCGAAACTGCCCTCGCCGATCTTCTTGCCGACGCGATAATGCACGCCCACGACGTTTGACGACGTGCTTCCGCTCGCCATTGTGTCAACGAGGTGGAGTGTTCAGGGCAACGGGGTGCGATGGAGGAGGAGAGGCGTGGTGGTGGTGGTGGTAGTGGTGTCGTGGACAGGAGGCTCGGAGAGCCGTCTCCGGATGTGTGCCGATTGGGGGCTATGCAGGCGGTGATGGGACGGTGGAAGGTGGAGGTCGAGGGAGAAGCAGGCAGGCAGGCAGGCAGGCAGGCAGGCAGCTGGGAGATGGGAGATGGGCGAAGAATGGCAGGGCGTACAATGGCGGCGGCGGTAGACACAGAGGCCAGGTGAAGCAGCGGTGACTGCTCGGCCGGGTCGAAGAATGCGAGGGAGATGGGGTGGTGAGGAGGACGACAGAAGACAGACGAGAGAGAGAGTGAGTGAGGGCCTGCGGTGATGGGCTTGGTGTGAAGGGGCAGGAAGGCAGGAGGTAGCGCTGGCACTAGGCCTGGACCTGGCTAGCGCCGCTTAAGCCGTCCTATTGGAAATGAGGTTCCAAACAAGCAGGCAGGAGACGAGATGACTAAGTCGCCGGCGGTGCAGGCACAGTCGACGAGCCACGGTTGGATGTACCTGTTGTTGTTGTTGTTGTTGTTTCGCAGTACGTGTACCTGTCTTCTGTGTGGGTTTCTGGCTTCGATGGCAATGACGATGATGACGATGAAATGGTGTTGCAACCTCCCTCCCTTATACACTCACTCACACTCTCTCGTACCCAGGAAAAGTCAGTAAGCCTTGCATTATTTGGTTGTCATGTCTATTCTGGATAGCTTCCATTCTCCAGCCGGCAAGCGACCAAAGCGGACAATGTATCTTGGATGCCGCCAATCAGGCCGGCCGTGCATGCTGCCAGCCTACTGCCATCGCGAGCATATTCATCACCACCTCCCAAACCTTCCATGATTCGACCCGCACGCCGTGTCTGTCTGGTACTGCACATACAGCCATCCATCAGTCCATTCCTCTGGTCCGTCAGTCGGTCAGTCAATCAGTGTCTCATTCTCCGCAGATGTCATCTATGCGCCATTTCCCCCATACTTGTCGCGTCTTGCTGAGCCCCCCTGTCCTGCCGCTGCCGCTGCCGCTGTCATGGTCGCCCATCCAGCGGCGACTGTTTGCGCCCCCGCCGCCAGCCCGGCCATGCTCTGCATACTTACTTGCCTATCCGCCATGCTACTATGCTATTGCACGTCTAACTTACCTGGTGCCATCATCCACTTCACCTTTGTCCCTCCGAGGCGCACTCGGCGGGCAAAACCGAGGAAACTGATCCGAGCCAACAACACCCCAGGCACAACATGGGGCATTGCGGCGTAATGCATGCCACGGCAGTAGGCGCAATCCGTCCTGGTGTCCTGCTGCCATCGCCCTGGTACTCTTCTTCCACTCCACACAATCAATGCATGCATGCATCTCCTTGCGCGCTAGCATCCATTCTGCAGGGCAAAAGACACAAGAAGGAAAAAAAAGCCCTCTCCGCTAACCCGCCACTACCTCTGTTCGTTATCATTTTCCCATCCCTCCCCATATTTCATCTCTTGAAATCTCTTCCCCGTCGTCGTGAATGCTCTACTCCACCCAATCCAACTCCACCAAGAAAACGCACCGAGAGAGGTTGTCTTCTCCCGGGAATGAAATTATAACGAAGAACCGTCCGTTTTTTTTTTCTTCCATGCAATCCCCAGAACCCACTTAACCTCCCTTCGCCCCCAACTTTTGTTTTTTCTCGATTGATCCACCTATCATTATCGCGTTCCTGGCATTACATTTCCTTCTAGAGAGCTTACAGAAGCGTCTGGGCCATCTCTCACATATTTATTGTGGAGCACCGGTGTCTCCCGCCATTGACATTCTCTTTGTGATGATGGTGGCATTGCGTGGTTCGGAAATGCCAATGATGTTTAAGAGTTTTTTTTTTTCGTGGTTTTTTGCGGACACTATCGGCTAACTTAGTATGTACAGTTAATCTTCAACGTTGGTGTACAAGCCTCCTCCCCTTGATGGCGATTAACGCGTAGTGCAATCTCTTATCATTGCATCAGTTATCCATCCCTCATTTTTCGCATGTCAACATAAATACATAAATACACAAAATCCCTGACCCAAAGACTCGGTATCCATTGTATCGATTCTAGGAATGAAAACACACTACTCTATCCACCGAACAAATATCTCGAACAGTGAAAAAAAAAATGCAGCAGTAAACTCGCTAATCCTACAGTCTCTACAGTTCCCATAACTGATCTTCATTTCATTCCCATCTTCAAAACTTCTATACCATACTCGGATTCTTCCCCGTCGAACACGGATAATCATATTCCCGCACCCCCTTTAACCCCCCTTTTCCTTATTCCTATTCCTAGTTCTGGTACATAAACAACGCAACTTGACAAACACTGCATAAACCAAGAATACAGAAGTAAAAACGATAATAATTTCCATGCTGGACAAACGAAAGTGAATTGTTGTTAATCTTATCGGGTTTTCTCACCCTTTTGAGAAGCAGATAGCTGTGTTGGCTATAGATGTAGATCATATAGTATCCTTAACTTACTTGTTCTTAGTTATCTTCAGGGTCATGTCAGTTCATGGTGCATGGAGACGCTTGCATATGTACATTCCTACATTCATCGTCACTGTTATGCCTCTGGACCAAACTCTCGCTCTCGCATTCATGAATGAGATTATGCATATAAAAAAGGAGAAGATAATCAAAAGCCTTGCTCAAGACCGCGCACCGATGCAAATGCAAAGTCCCTGACGCCTTCCACGACAACTGTCGACACCCATCCACCGTCGAATATCACCACAAACGCCGCGTCCAAAACGCCCAACAAGAGTCAAGCCACCATAAATCCAGAAAAAAAAATGCAATCGCTAAAATAACAAAACATTAAGGGAAAAATAGAAGAGTGAGCGACTACACCACGCTCGCTTCCAACCTCGCATCGCCACCCTCCACCAACGTCGAACCTCCACTACCCTCGCTACTCGTACTCGACGACGCTGGCCGCGCCTCCTCGTCCTTCTTCCCCCCTTCGGCGAGCTTTTTCTGCTTCAACCACATGCATCTAAAGTTCCATGCGCCCCACAGCTGCGCGGCGCTGAAGACGACGTGCAGGAGCGGGGTGACGACTTTGAAGGACAGCGACCAGCGATTCCACAACGAGCCAAAGAGCCACATGACGGTGATGGTTTCGATGACTGTGCCCGCGAACGTGGAGATGCAGCAGAAGCGGAAGACCTTTTTTAGGAAGGCGTGGGCATCGGGGTAGATGCGGTATTGGATGATGGCTACGTGAGGCCAGAATTCGGCGACAATGTCGAAGAAGCCTGTGCAGTGATGTGATCAGCCTTGGTCCATTGGGATATGGGCAAACGCATGCGCATTAACGAGAAAGTAAGAAGTGCACGTACCCCATACGAAGCACAGCATGAATTCTATCATGGCGTCGCGTTCATGATGCCAGTTCAAGCTTATAGCGACAGCGCTCTGAGCGATGATAACCGCGCCGATGTGGTGCAGCACGGCAACGGGGGACAACTTGGCGCGGAACAAGAGCTCAAAGACGTACATGGCGATGAAGATTTGGTTGAGGACGAGTAGCACTGGGGGAGTAGTCAGCTTCTGATTTTACCCGCGAAACAAAGTGGTAACCGGGGAGTGAGCAAGCCTACCATCGCCGAGAGTCACTATTTTGGAGCCTCCAAAGGGTGTCCGCACTGTCGCGTGCCCGAAAGCTATGGAGAAGAAGGGGTAGGCGCCCACGATGGCCATGATGATCTTGACAATGCCAGCGATGTGGTGATTGACGAAGCCTCTGCGGTTGACTTCGTTGAGGCCGGCGTAGCACTTGTAGTATTTGGGTATCAACCAGGACTCGAGCAGGTAGAAGCGGACGAGGAAGAAGATGACGAGGGTTACGGTGAGAATGAGGGCGGCGAAGGGCGCCAGACTGGAGATGGATTCGTTGACCAGGTTGGCAACGTGAGGGTTATATTTTGGGCGGCCATGGTGGTGGCCCTCGAGCGACGCCATGATGTAGATGAATGGCGGCTTCACAATTGGTAGAGTGTAAGAACGAATGTGGTGAGGTCGAGGTAAGTGGTGGGTACGAGTGTCTTGACGATGGGCTCGAAGGTGACAAATGAGAGGACGACTGTAGATGGACGACAAAGGAAAGCGCTCAAGAGTCAAGTGAGATGGTGGTACAATAAGGAAGGAAGGAGCACAGGCTTGAAACGCCGGAGTACGCAAACAAGCATATGATAGAGTCCAAGGAGAGGGAAGTGGTGAAAGAAGCCTTGGAGAGAATGCATATGTATGTATCAATGTTGACTACTCAGTACTTAACCTCGATTGATACCAGCGTTCGCAGTCACCCAGCGGCAGACCATGTTCGATCCAGGGCTGACTGCTCATGTCGGTTATTATGAACAAGAGATAGCGTGCGTCATTTCCGGGGCCGTCGTGTGTTTGGCACTCTGGCCACGGATCTGCCCTGTGTCGCTATTCCCCATGTTGCACGTTGGTGTGAGGCACTATAACACATGCTCTGTGAGAACTGAACCATACACCGTTGGGCTCGGATAGCCCAGCCAATGACAGCCCGTCGTGCCGTGCATGCCTGCCCCGATCGTGCTAAGCTTTCATCGTTCGGCAAAAAGTGGGTCCAGCTAAGCTAGCGCGAATGAGCCACCGGACCCTGTTATGTCCCTCCCTTTCAGGCTTTCATTCCCAAACTCCCCTCACCGGTCCATCTCAATATCCTCAGTGTCTTACCTATCGACGACACCTGCTCAGCTCATCACATCCAGTAATCTGCCTCGATCGTTGCTCTGTTGAGTCCTCACTCCGACATTCATCGCCCAAGCTGCTCTGTCTACTACATCTTCTAAGGTAGCAGACAGTCACTGATGAGTCTACCTTTCGCCCTCTCGGTCACTACGCCATGCACAGCCCCCCCATACTCGCTACCCCAGCGTCGCTTGGGTCCCTTGATTGCTGTCAATATAGCCTATAGCTCTGGTCATGTCGGTCTCCGTACACAAGGCCAGTTGACAGCGCCATCGCTGCAAACAAGCATTCTCGGTCCGGCACTCCTCGCCTTGGCTATATGTGTCTTGCTACCTATCCCCTAACCGTTCTAAAGCCAGATGAAACCATGCAAACAATCATTGTCTCTCTAACCTTAACCAGCATCCAATAGCAGAGACGCTGCTGTATGCAGACTGGTCAAGCCACACGAATGGGCGTGGTGAGACTTTCGGGGCTACGGCGGCCCTTTTGGCCTGCTCAAATCTCGCAACACCAATGCAGTGGAAGTATGTCCGAAGGCTGAGCCTGTGGCTCCGGCGTATGGGTACCGCATAGGTACAAGCTCCATCAACCACCAAAGGGACGACTCCAATTGTAATTTGACCGACCCGTCCTTCTTCACCACCACCTTTCGTGAACTCTTCAGCTGCTTGAGCTATCATTTGCTATATATGGGACAAAATCCGGGGACAAAAGGACCCACATCATGCGTGAAGACTACACCTCAAGACTCAATTTTTGGTGTGCACCTGACAGACCCGAATCCTTGTCTGGGGCAATGGCAATCGTGGTTCCTTGGGCACTTGCGACGAGCAAACAAGCTCCGGCTGGTTCGCACACAACCAAGCCTTTCCGAGCCACAGATCAGTCAAATGCCCCTGAAACGTTCCCCAAACTCTGGATCCCCGCAGCTCGATTCACGATAAATCCCTCAGCGAACAAGAGCAGGCCATCGGTAACCGGGAAAGCAGCAAACAGCATTACGCGGCTTGGAGCATCAGAAATGTTTTCAGCCACCAATGCCCTTAATAAATAACATTCTGGCCGCGCCACACACTAACTTACGTAGACACTTATGGCCAATCTCAACGCAAGCTAACGCTTGTGAGGCTTACCTCAACCAACGCAATTCATCCTATTGTCCTTTGATTTCCGCGAATGTCGTTCGACATCAACCGTTGGTACAGGATGCGCACATGCATGCATATCGTGCGGTGCGTATGTGAGCACAGGCCTGCGTAGCCACAGCTCGCACTCGGGTCTAGTCTGAACATAGGTTTAGAATCTTAGAGGCTCATCTACACCTCAGCTCCTTTCCGTCGGCCTTCACTCAGAGAACATGTGGATGGTGTTTGCAGGCCCGATAGCCTCCAACAAGCTTCTCTCGCTTAAATAACTGATTCAGCGTATCGGGACGAGGGGAGTTGGAATGTCGAACCGGAGATCATGAGCATGTCGTCAACGGTGGTATGCAATATGGCTCGGCTCTTGCGAAGGCTGTCATGTTTGAGGTATTTTCGAAGGGCACTACCCGAAGAAACTAGGCATATGTCTTTGTTCAAGTCTTCAAGCCAGACTTTGCTGACTGCTTGCTTCATCTTTCTGTGTGGGATAGAATGGCCTGGGCACCTCATAGCTTATAGCTTATGTGCTCGATGTCAGGATCTAGATGTCTTTTCACAGAAGATAAAAACGATTGATTGAGACGAGATACCCAAAATAGATCAGTCATAACCCAGTCTACCTGAACACCATCTTGTTCGCTCATAGAATGACAGTCCCACAAAATAGACTGGAAATGAGAGGAGAGGGGAACTCGGAACTCTACTCCCAGAATGCGAGATCATATCCGCCAGTGGAGTAGACAACGGTAACCCGTCCACTCTCTAAAAATCCTCAAATTCAACCACATACTCCTTGACCCCACCAACCCTCCTAACCTTCTCCAGAGCCTCAGACACTTTCCCCTTCTTCGCATCCAGCGTATCGAGAGTCTACCAATCCCTCACGTTAGCCAATCTCCCCACCCACAAGCAAAAAGAAAGAAGTAGAAGAAGAAAAAAGGAATGTGGAAAGAGAGAAGTAGAAAGAAAAAACATACCTCAACACCCCCCTTCCACCCCAAAAACCCCACCCACAACCCCTCCGCATTCTCAATCCCCTCGCCCTCCCACTCCCCCACAACACCGTCCTTGCCCTCAGCATTAACAGCATCCACGAGCTCCGCCCACGCCGTCTTCACCTCCCCACCATCGCTCCCCGCGCCCGTCTCGCGGAGGAAGAGTTGCGTCGCGCCGTGCGGCGGGTTCGGGAAACTCGCGTTGGAAGTCGTGTGCGTCGACAACGAAGAAGGAGGGAGGGGCTGGAACAGCAACGGCGTAGCTTTGGCAGCGACATACGGGATGACTTGTTTCATGACTTCCTGGAAGATTGTCGCAGACGGGTAGATGTTGTGGAATGCGGTTGGCGAGTCCCATTCTTTGATCATTGCCAACCATCATGTCCTCGTTAGCTAGCTGCTATTTCTTCTTCTTCTCGTCCTCCGCGAGTAATGAATGGGATGGGGAGGAGAAGGAAGGAGGGCTTACCGAGACTCAGGACACTTTTCCATTCTTCGCCCAAGGGTTTCCCATCTTCTCGGGTGATCCGGCCGATGCGGTGGTGCAGGAGCCCTGGTTGGCCCTTTATGGCTGTGAAGGCTGTTTTTGCGACGGCGTGGGCTTCTTTCGTTAGGTTTGATTTGAAGGTTGGGAAGATGATTTCTGTGATTGGCATTTTGGCTGGATGTCGGGGGTTGGTTTGGTGATAATATGTGGAGTTTGGAGGATGTTCTTTGGGAATTTATTTGCGTTGTAAAAGTTCGTGTTGCTTGACGGTTTGGAGTTGAGTTGTATGCGGTTGAATAACTTGTAAAATACTTGTTGTATGTGTATGTATAAGCCTGAATGCTTGTGATGTGAGAAGGAATCGGGGGATACTGGGAAGGTATTTATATATAAGAAGTCGGATTGATTGATTGCATCTCGCCGACTCTGAACTCGACTGAGTGTTGATCCATCCCGGTTCATTCTCTTCGAACAGCACAGAAAATTCGGCATGCAAATCCTCGTAGTCATCAAGCTTCCAGATTTTGTAGTCATCCGGGAGCGCGCGCGCAGTGGAAGTCCGTCTACAGCGCATAGAGCTAACCCGGATTATGTTTGGGGGCGGATGACGATCATAGAATAGCGAAGTGGAAGTCCACTCTTGGCGGACTTCCACCACCAACATCTGTGCAGACCGATCTACATATCTCTCCCGGTTTACCCCGAAATGTATAAAATGTACGATGGTGGATCTGCAGGAGCCGCAATGTGTGATTAGTGTAGTGGGTTACAAATATGTTCGTGATGATTGTTGCTTGGGCCGAGGTATCAAATACACAAACATCACCATGCATAGGATGACTGCAGATGCACTGTAATACGATCGACAGTTATTTTGCGTTTTTCTAATTTTCTGCCTCAAGTTTCCTTTTTTGTAATCATCACATCATAGCACGTCTTCATCACTGCTTCCGACGTTCCGTTGCCGGCTTCAATCGCCCTCACTTCGGCTTGGGTTTTTCTCTTCTCTCCTCTCAAGTGAAATCACGATTTATCATGCCGCGCATGAAAACGGTCGCCCACCCGATCCACGCGAAAGCTCTACGCTAGATGACCACATGCCCATGATGCACTGTTGATGATAAGTCAGTACGCGCCAATTCAAGCGGTTGGGTGGGATATTCTTACAATAACAAGCCCGAGCAGGGAAATAGAAATGTTCAATATCGTGAAAGCGCTCCTTGTCTTGGTGTCGAACAAGTGACCGCGATATTGATAGAGAAAGAGGACCGGAGGCAACGTATCTGTCATCACATCAGTCTCAACCTCCCTCATTGCGATATTCCAATGCATCAGAATCCATAGAATATCTTGAGGAAAGCAAACAGAGGGTGCAACTCACAACTATACCATGACCCAAACAACGCAGCAATAAGCCCGAGCAGCAAATTGAAATTGGGAATCGCCTCCGCAACCGCCCACGCACATACCCATGCTCCAGCGCAAATTGCGACCCAGCTCCCCAAGCTCTTCGCGCTGTTCCTATACACGACGTCCGTGCCGGCCCACAAGCGAAAGTATACATATTTGCACGCGACAGATCCGTTGATGACACCTGCGACCACGATGGTGGGTAACGCGATGCCGTACGCGATCTTTGCAACGAGGGGCGGCGCGGAGCCGAGTGCAGGAGAGGCTACATTGGGTCCTGCATAGTAGTAGATGGTGACGGACATGACGAGGTAGAAGCAGATGGCGAAGGAGTTCATGAAAACGAGGGACTTGGTGAATTCGCGCGGATCACGGAGCTCGGAGGTCAGGGTGAAGAACGTTACATGGCCGGCTGGAAATGATGTTGTTAGTGATCTGGTATGAATGGGAATCTATGAGGAGGGAGGGAGGTTTACCGTAGGCTAAGACAATGTTCATAACTGGTCCTATACCCTTGAGAAGGGGAACATTGGGCTGTACTGCGACTACATTGCCCATGTCTTGCTTTCGGATCGCGATGGCTACCATGGATACTATCACGGCTACGAGGATGGAGATGCATGCTGGAATTCGTTAGTTTTGGCCGGTCAGACATAGACCTGTTCAAGATCGTCTACTTACATAGTATCGAAACGTAGCTCACGTTTTTGAGCGTGCGCGGCAAGCACAGAAGAAACGAGACGACCATGCCAATTGTTGTGAACACAACAGTACACTGGCTATGTTCGGTCATGACATTCATGGCAATGCCAAAGCTCAAAACGTGCGCAGCCATGATGAACAGCAATATCAGGACCTGGCAAAAGGCCATGACCTCCCGCCCGACACGTCCAGCGATCAATTCGCCGCAGTCAGCGAAAGACTGCATAGCTGGGTACGCGATCTTGAACTGGCCAATCAAATAACCAGTGTATGTGGTGATGAGACCGAGGCCTACGATGAGCAGAATACCGGGTAGGAGACCGATTGAGGCGAGGGCTTGAGGAAGAGCGAGAACCCCCAAGGATATTATTTCCGCGATCATGATGATTCCGGTATGCCTACATGTCGCACCGAGTTAGCAAAGACTACATAAAATGCGTCCCATGCTTCAACGTACCACCACTCGCAGGTCTTGTATTCAATGTCGGAGAGCGCGCCCACGTCATCGCTGCCAGTTTCCCAAGGCTTGAACATGTTTTCTCCGCCGGGAGTGGACGATTTCACGTTTTTTTCTCCTCGTTGGTCGAGAGGCAGCGCCTCAGGAATTGTTATGTCGGGTTCCATGATAACAGCAGTTCGATTTTGTTCCGTCCTGTGTAGTGTCGGATCAGCAGAGACTGATGGTGCGATGTTGAGGTGTAAGGTGGAAATTGTGGAGAATATTCGTCGAGTCGACTTGTATGGTAGTTGCCATGTTGGGTCCAGATGCTCTGATATGTAGGAAGGAAGCTCAAGGGCCCATGGGGAATAATCGGCAGGGCATTTTACAACAACATGATTCTATGCGTGGGAAGGACCTTGTCGACCAAACATGATGTGTAGAGGGAGGAGACAGAAGTGATTCACATTGTCCAGAATCTGCGTGAAATGTGGATGCTGAAAAACTAAAGCCCCAGAATCCTGGATCCATGGGTACATTGTGGGTCTGGCCTCACTAGTTGTTGCCCTGTGGGAACACTGGAAGGACAAGGCATAAAGGGCGAGGGCAATTGCGAAGAAGGTAGTATATTATTGAGTAAGTTGATGTTTAGGACGGCAATTCAAAAAGACTTCAGCGAGACCGTAACGAAATAGCGACTATCCGATGAAGTTCTTTGGCAGTGTGCATACGCAACGGGAAGCGAATGGGAGGACGGATGTGCGGGATCAGCTCCAAGCGGGGCATTCCATTAGCTAATGGCAGGCGTGACTGCCACAAATGACGCAACAGGCGTGGCTGGACAAGGCGACGGGTTAAACCGTTCATGTTGAACGTGCAGAAAGACGAGATGATTGTTAAGCAGCCATGGAGTCGTTTGAACGTCGACAAACAGACAGACATTTGGGAGGTTCGGAGACTGAACGGAGGCTCCCGTGTTAGTCAGCAGCGAGCGGCAGCCATTCCCAGCCGGGACTAGGGCCAAACCGAATCCAAGGTTCGCTACACCTCGTGCAGTTCACCTCACTTCGACCCTGGATGACGGCCAACCTCCAATCAGACGGCCTCTGCCCGCCATCTCCCTCGGGGTAGCTGAATGTGATCCCCTGGAATCCGGCTGGCCCATCTGCCTAATGTCGATAAAGTATGCATGGACGTGTGCCAAGCTGCTGAGGGAAGAGGAGGTTGGTATGGCCCGACTTGCTCTCGTCGTCTAAATGTGAATTGGCCTCTCTCTCTCTCTCTCTCTCTCTATTCTACATATGTAACCCTTCTCCTGTTCCTCCTATTCCTCGCCATCAACCCGCATTCCTTTCCTCAAACCAGTCACTTGTTGCTCCTACCAACTCCGTGATAGCGTAGACGTAGCACCGCAGGAGCCATCCATCTTACAAAGGTACCCCCGTCCGACCCCAGACCAACCAACCTCCCCGTACATTAAACACCTCAACTGTTTCCCCGCCTCCGTCCAACTTGCCCATTCGCACCATTCCGCCCACGCGACTGTATCCTAATCATTCATAAGCTTTGCGACCGCCCCCCATCTCTCAATCGCCATGGTTGAGCTTCGTAAGCGCAAGACGCCCCCTCCCGCGCCAGTGCGCCCTACCAAGCAGAAGAAGACCGCGCCCAAGGGCAAAGTCGCCCAGGCAAAGGACGCCGTCGTCGAGAAAGTCGAGGCTGTCAAAGAAGCGGTGACGGGCAAGTCCAACGGCGACGCTGACACTTCCCCTGCCGCTTCGGGCGGTGTCCCCAAAGTCGGCGATACCATCACCCTCACCGACTTCGGCGGTGAAATCGAGACCCACGAGGGCACCAAAACCACCCTCGCAAAGCTTGTTGAAGAAAGCAAAGCAGGCGTCGTTCTCTTCACGTATCCCAAAGCTTCTACACCAGGATGTTAGTCTTCCCTCCCCCCTCATTCCTCGTACCACACCAAGCTGACAAATTCCCACCCCACAGGCACCAAACAAGCCTGTCTCTTCCGCGACTCGTATGAGCCCCTCACCGCCGCAGGCCTCTCCATCTACGGCCTGTCCAACGACTCCCCAAAAGCAAACACCACCTTCAAAACAAAGCAAAACCTCCAATACCCGCTCCTGTGCGACCCAGCCCAGACCCTCATCGCTGCAATTGGCCTCAAGAAGGCGCCAAAGGGCACCACACGCGGCGTCTTCGTCGTCGATAAGCAGGGCAAAGTTCTGGCCTCTGAACCCGGCAGTCCGGATGGCACTGTCGCGGTCGTCAAGAAGATTGTGGATGGCGGGAGTTTGAGCGGCGATGCTGCTGCTGCGGCGCCTGTTGATAAGGAGGACAGCAAGGCTGTCGAGGCTGCCAAAACGGCTGATGAGGTTGCCGATACCGCTGCCAAAGTCGACAGCAATGAGGTTTGATTGAGCGGATACTATCTTTCTCCCGCTTCTCCGTCCTTGCTCCGTCTTGATTCGTGGCGTGTTGGTTACTGTTTAGGGTCTTGTAGGATATCCCGTTTGACACACGGCGTTGGGATCCCATGATATCAGCAGGAGGGGAAATTCGAGGATTCAGAACCGGCCTTCCTTGTTCGCGCTATCGACGTGCCTTTTTCCCCTCCTCTACTGCTTACTCTTTTTACGTACAATGGAACTTGTCTTTCTCCCAATCTACCCGTCTATTGGCTCTACACCCTCCCGCCTTATCTCGCTGCGCTTCTTCGTGATACCTTTGCTCATTTCCCGCCCTCCCGTCTTTAATTTCCGCCGTACGTTAGAGGGTTTATTGATGCCTTACGCTGCATTTCTGGATTGGGCTTTAGCGCGGGAAATTGGGGTATATAAGTCCCCCTCTTGTCCCTTCTGCCTCTGTCTTTTTCTTTCTTTTTTTCCTCTCAAAGACTTTGACGGACAACAATTTTTGAGGGGATCAAAAGTTTAAACTATCTTGCTGTACACGACATGTGGACTATGTTTTTTGGGGGAGAGATTTGAAGACTTTTTGAAACACAATCAAGACATCGTCAACATGGACTATTTTTTGAGGGGATTTGCAACAAGAATTTGAAAGATTTTTCAAAAACCTTTTGGACACAGTCCATGTTTGTTTTGTTCAAATTGATTCGAGCGTGGATCATGATCTCTGGACAATTTGTGGAGGATGTGCAAATGGTTTTTGGAGGATCTAGTACAATGCTTTTTGGACCGTGTCCGTTGTTGTTCCTTTTGTTTGAAACTATAAGGGTAGTGGATACATGTTTTCTGGAGTTTTTGGAGGACGAACACAATATTTTGAAGGATAAATCTGGACAGGAAATGAACCTAACCGATGTCGCCTTTGGGCGAAAAGAGCAACATTTCAAAGATTCATGGTCTCTGGAGTTTTTGGAGGATGTGCGATTCTCAGGAATAGGAGGGGGGCCTATCGAAATGCTAAGACGTAGACGACGACGACGACGACTATGTTGTGGTTGTTCAAAAGCGCGAAAGGTCACAATGTATGGAGTCCGGAATTTTGGAGGGAAGATGTCATTATTTTGTTGGATCGAAGGGATCACATGCATGCCACATGTTGTTTTCTGGACTGTCTGGAGGGCAAGACGTCCCTCTTATCAAAAGGTTATTGGAATATCATTTACACTGTCTCTGTGTGGCTTCGGGGCGAGCACAAGGGGAAAACATTTTCTAAAAAACGGAATTCAAGACCTGCGTATGTTGTTTCTAGAGTCCAGAGAACGCGAATCAATCAATCGACATCATGATTCCAGCTGAAAAAAGACAATTCTTCAGACACATGTTTGTTTCTCTGGTTTTGGGCGAAGTGGGAGATTATGAGAACCAGAGACAAAACATCATGTTGGTTCCCTGGCATGGAGGGAGTGAACTTTTATCAAAACCGGCCTCCCCGCTTCGAAATGTTTACCCCCTGGCTTTGAGAGACGATGCTATCAAACGAGGTGAGAGTGAAGTTTATGTTGGTATCTCGTTCTGGAACGGGGACGACATTATTAGAGAATTCAAACCTTAAAGACCATGTTCGAAAGCGGTCTATATTTAACTTGGAATGCTATCAGATATAAATCTCATTTCAAAACTTCGAATGGTGTCTCCCTCGTCCGCGAGGTGGAAGTTATATGGAAAAGCAACGTATTTTTGGCCTTTTGGTGGTGTGAGAAGACTCTATGTTATTACTAAAATCGGTAGGAGGCACGGCGATATCAATGTATATGTATATGGTTACAGAAGAATATCCTCAAACAAAATGACCTTTTGACCAAAAATCCGCGTTGTTCCTTGTTATTTTGGGCGTTAGATCCCACAAAATGCAAAGCCTACATTGGCGCGTTTGGATGTCACCTAATGAGAATCAAAACATACGCTACATGGTCTAGGATGTGTCTTTCCGAAATATTTTGAATTAAAATGAATTTGAAAATTCAATAACATTATGGAATCATGTTGTTCGTCTAGCATCTAAGGATCAAGACTATGTTAAAAAAACAGTAACTGTCTGTCGCTAATGGTGTTGTTTCTGGTGTTTTTGTTAAAACTAAAACACGAAAGATCACTATGAACGAGCTTGTGATGTGATTTTGTGAAAAGAAATTCAGAAGTATAATGTTATTTTAAAGTAACAACAATATATTGCACACATTATATTTTTGTTTGCCTGCGTTGGACAAAACACAATTGTATTAAGATTAGTACAACAATTTCTATGTTTCTCCTGAGATCAGGGCATTAATCAGAGCAACAACGATGTGTCTACAATGATTTCCCTAATATGATTGTCAACATTCTATCTCAATCAATTACCAAAGCTTTCATGTTGTTTTTGGGCTGGCGGGATTGAACTTCCACTAAATTTCAGACCACATTTATGTTGGTTCCTGTGTGAAAAAACCGAAATCTTGTTAAAACAAAATTACCAGGGCTCATCATGTTTGCGGGTCTTGGTCCAGAATATTTAATAAGGGACTAAATAGCGTATATATGAAATGTGCAAGAGAATATTCAAGTCCCTTCAGTCTTGCCATATGTGGAACGCTGGTGTGGAGCCAGAATGATGTTATGAAAAAACTACCACCAAACTAGAATGTTTGCTTCTAATGTGTATGTACAAACATGAGTTATATGGGTACTGTCTTTAAAGACGAGGATGGCGATCGAGACCAGCATATCAAAAGCCAGATGCTGCTCCTGATGAGAAGGAATGGAGGGCTATCATATCAAGATGTAGACTCTAATGATATTTTTTCTGCAGTTGAGAAGATAACATGCATCTCTATGCTCATCAACACATGTGAATCAACAAGTCTGTTCGAGTTTCTATACACTGTGGATTTAAGTTGGTCTTAAGTGTGATGCGCGGAATTGCGTGAATATCAACCCGTTGATATGGCAGAAGACAAGCTTTGAGATCATTATAACATGAGCGTTTGGTTGAGTGAGTAGAAACATTATATGGAACAAAATACCAGAGGCAAAAGTAACGATGTTGTTTCTCTAAGGAATCCGGAGCATGTACCTCTGGGTACAGGCTGACATGTCTCACGATGTCCTAGAAGATGGCTGATGTTGTTGCCTGCTGGAGAGAAAAGGACTTATAGTGTTTATTTTGTTATAGTTTAAAAGAGACATTGAACCTTTCATGTTTATGCTGGGCGCTGGTGGCATCTTGATTAGAAAACAATCTGGACGGAGTCAATGGTCCAGTGCGAGAAACCAAAGGAACAGGATCCCGCTTCATATGAGTAAATTCAGAGCACGATACCTAATATCCGAGAAATTCTCTCTAATAAAAATTCAGAACAACAGTCATGTTATATCTCAAGCATTCCGAGCTGCTATTTCTGCAACATTGTTTACATTATCTACATGATAAAGCATCGGACGACATCCAAGTGTCCATCAACTATCCTAGTGTTGTAAGACATGATCTTTCTAGTGAACAACACGCCCCATAAGGCTACAGCTAGACTTTCCGTGATAAATATTTCCAACGATTATAAACAGATTTGAAACCAAATCCGCTCCTAGACTACGCCGTTCGCGCTTTTTGAGAAGCCATATCCTGCGGCGAATGTTGGTGCCTTTAAATTATGACTTAAAGAATCTACAATTTCTTGCGATGTTAATCGCAAACTCTTGATGAGGGAAAAAAGAAAACAACTCTGCAGTATGATGTGGGAAAACATCTAAATTTGTACAAATTGAAGTTGGGGCTCTTTCGTCCGGAGCCTCTGAATAGAAAACCCACATTTCTGGGACACATGTGTTTCCTGGTGGTGCTTTGCTATCCGTATCTTCTGAGCATGGTTTTTGAGACCTACTAGATTATTGCAAAAGCAATGAATGAAGTCTGATGGCATATTGATTCTAAACGGAATTACTATAGGAGGAATAATATTATTACAACTACTATAGTAACATCACCATGTTTTCCTGGGTTAAGGTTTTTTGAAATTAGAATGAATTATTTCATATGAATGTCAGGTTCAACCTGATGCTTCGTCTGCTAGTAGCTACCTTTAAATTGTTCGACAGCTACTCGAATGATCTGTGAAACGTATTATTTGATTGGAAATAACTGCTGAGAGCGTCCTGTGGAAATCAGTTATAAACAGAATTGCACTGCCGCCAGAAAATGGGATCCAAAACTATGACATGTTTAATGTCTTTTTCCAATATAGTCATTTTTAATAGATGTAAACAAGAATGCGATGTTCTTTTTTCTAGCCTGTCTCATTGAACAGATATGTAATTCTACTATCTATGCATTGAGTACATGTTTTGTCGGCGGTTCTAAGATTGAAAATTCACGGACCTACCTCATATGCGGAGATTGAAAGCTGACAACACGATATGGCATGTTGGAAGTGATTTCCTCAGTAAAATTACAATATTTTGAAAAGGGCTAAAGGGGTTTTAATATAATAATGCTGTGTTCGGCCTTGTGTTCCAAGTCGCTGGGCAGAATACACATGAACTAGACCTAAAGCCCATGGAATTCGCAGTGGGAATCGAAAATAAAGAACACGTGTAGGAAAAATGATGGAACCAGAAACATATGGATCTCAATGCTATGAGAGTGAATAAGCTATCTATGATACTTAAACTCCAACTCAGATAATACAAAACAGATGATTTTGTGGGCGATACCCTAAAGTTAATATACACTAATTAAACACAAATTTACAACATCAGAAACAATGTTTGTTCTTCTCTTGCGCAAGACCCAAGTTATTGTAATTTTAAGAGAGGAGGTGATAATGTTTAAATACGAAAAAATTCTATTGTGATGACATGGGAGACAATTTTTTCTTGAATGGAAAACTATAACCACGCTATCATTATGATGGAAAATCTAGTATATGACGAAAATTGTATAGAAACGATCATCAAATCAATCCACCCAAAATTTCCGAAAGCACAAATAGAAAGCGCTCATGGATCTTCAGTCCGTAGCCCCTCAAATTCATGGCGGTGCCGCGCTCCGACTTTCACGATGATGATGCTCATCATCATCATCATCATCGTCACCAGCAGTCTCCCTACCATCGTCTCTACTTGTCTCGATCAACCCCATTTCTTCCTCAAAACGACCCCCGGGCACTACTTCTCTACTCATGCTCTCCTTCCCAGCAGCGTCGCTCTTATGCAACGCAACATAAATTGCCGATCCCAAGATCAGCGACGACCCCAAGATGGAGAGCGCACTCGGTGTAGTGCCGAAAACGAGCTTGTCAAACGCGAGAGCGAAGAGCATCTGGCAGTACACCATATTCGTTGCGCGGGACGACTTCTCGTACTGGAGGCCTGCCGCGAGGAGGAATTGCTGAATGAATCGCGCAAAGTCAGTACCAGTAGAAAAAAGTGCGAGAGAGGAAGGGTGAGGGGGAAGCAGCATACCATGACAAACCCGCAGATGCCCAAAAACACAAGATACGTCCAGTCTTTGAGGGATCTCGGAAGCAGGAAGCCTACACCAGGAAGCGCAAACATCATGACCAGACTAACAATCGTGCACCACACGGCAAAATAGTTCACAGAAAGAAGCGGGTGCGCTCTCTTACCGATCCATCGGATAGTAGTATACGCTCCCGCGGCGCCCAAAACTCCCAGCATGGCGACGCCGACGCCTGCTGCTCTCTGCGCGGGCGTCACGGCGTCGTAGTCGGATGCGAGATGCGGGAGTGGAGCGACGGTTGCGTTTGTAGGGATGGTTGGTAAAGAGTCTGCATCTTTTTTGGATTCCGAGACGAAGGAGAAGAAGGAGAGGGGGCGTGCGATGAGGATTACACCGAAAAGGGAGATGTAGGCTGCGATTTGTTCCATGCGGGTGAAGGGCTCGTTGATGAGGTAGGAGCAGGCCCAGCAGGCGAGAGAGGGGGCTAGGAAAGTGATTACGGTGGCATCGGCGAGGGGGAGGTATAGGAGGGAATCTGCGTGTGATTAGCTTGTTGTTTAAACTCGACGAAGATGGTCATATCGTTCAGTGACGAGGTGCGGGTGAGTTCTCCACTGGCAATAGCGGAGAAGTGCAGCGCATGGTGGATGGGGAAACAATGTCAAGATAAACTTACAATACATCCCAAAGACCCCAAAGAACCCCGTCAAACCTCGAGCAATGAGAAGTGGCCTTACCTCCTTCATGCCGAACGGGAAATGCTCAGTCTTCGTTCGCCACATGTAAAAGGTAGAGCACATTACAGTGATGCTCATTCGCGCAAACAGCACCTGGAACGGATGGAAACCTTGTCCTATATTTTGAATTCATTAACCACGTATTCACTCTACATGCCAATTCAGGTGTTCTCATCTCTGACTAACCATCGTTTCCCTCAATCTCCAACATCCTCGTGGTGACGTTCATCAGCGTCCCAAACAGCTGTGAGAACAGCACCATAGCTAGGCCCTTGTTCTTCGTCCAAAACACCTCTACTTTCCCCTTCCATGTTCTTGGGCGCTGCGGAGGGGCCGGCGAGCGCGAAACATGATGCCTGGAGGCATACCTCGATAACGGCAAGGAAGCTACATTGCGACCCCAGCGACCACCGTCATCGACGGAAAGTAATGATGGATCAGGTGAAGGGACACGAATAGCGCCGCTGAAGCTGCTGACAACGTGGAGCGAGTCACCACCAGACTTGACGGGCAGGCCGTGGGGTTCAGTGCTGTCAGCAGCTATGACGACGTCATGTTTATCATGGTTCTTTGAGGTGGCGGGCGGGGGCGGGACGGTCATTGCGGGTGCATCGAAATGAGGGTGGATTTTCCCGTCGTCGATCCAAACTGTTTCATGGAGATGAGAGTGAGGAGTCGTCGGTCATTGCGATCGATGGCAGGATACAGATTCATCATTGACGTGCGCATCTCTGGGACGGCAGTGACTCGAAGCGCCCGGTAGTGTCCGCGGTACTGAAGTTGCAGTAGCGGCGGCAACATTATCTAGCGATTTATTTATTGTTGGAGATGGACGAGTAGGAGGCAGTCGAGGCCAAAAAGCACACGACACTCCACTTTTCTCAGAGTCTCGCCTCCAGGTTTTCCGGTGCGGCTTTGCCGTGAAGGGAAGGCGGCTACCGAGTTCGCTAGGGGAGTGCATAATCGCGGACGGAAAAGCCGCTGCGATCATTTTAGTGTCCAGTCTTCGACCTCGCAACCGCTTTTCCTTAAGCCACCAATGGGCATCCAGAGCATGTGCAATGGGACAGCCTTGTTCTTGCAAATCACGGCTCCGATTGAATACCTTTTTTTTTTACCGAGGGTAACGACGAGCTTTGCAACTACATGTTGCAGAATAGAGGTTTCGTGTCGAGGTGAAATGCAATTTTTCATGGGTTGTTACAGATGTTCGTAACGAGTCAGGCCCGCGACTCAGTGACGAAGCTTGTACAATCCACCATACGCCTCATGTACGCTTGTTTCCAAATCCTTTGGCCAAATATCGAAACCGCATCGTCACTGTCTATGCATATGCGTTAAGATTCAAATACCTAGAAAGGGGGGTTGAAGCCCGATTTTTTCAACACCTCTGATGTGACAGCGGTCGACTAAGTGTGGAGCATGTACACTGTGACCACATATCGGGAATGGCAATATTGGAATAACCACCTGCTTTTGTGATTTCGATGACTAGATTCTTCATGCACCTGAGTATTGGTCAACCAACGCAAATCTACCTACCTCTTACAAAACTCAGTCATGGTTACACACGACCAGGCAAAGAGTCACTGCAATCAACGCCATGTCTACCTGTCTGTACTAATCAAGGATAGTCAAGTGGCACATGGATCCCCAGAACTAGAATCCATTATTTCAACCAAGATGAAAGCCAGAGCTTGGGGTCAAACTACTGGAGATGCAGCGTGAAGGATCCCATTGACGTTCTTCTCATTTCCATGTTGGACAAGAATGCAGTGTTAGCATGTGCACCCCACGCTCTAACCCTGCCTAGAAATTTCGTCCTCGGTAAGGGTGTGAGGGAGAAACTCTGTCGTTTAGTGTGTGTAATTGTAATTTCTTTTCTTGAACGTGTGTACTCTCACTGACGATGTGACCGAATTCCATTCTTTTGGGACAGCAGCAAAGTTTGTACTGTGAAGCTGTCGTGGAACCCACCACAAGTGTATTATTTATCATGACATGTTCCAAGAGTTCTTTGCATTTTCTGTCGGTAGAAATATGGTGTAGTGTGTCGCAGCCGTTGGCGCTAGCGATGTCTGACAGCGCAGTCACGCAAGCTTTAAGGTTTGAAGGGATACTATGTCGAGTGGCGGATGCAGATCGCTCGTTCCGTGCAACGTCCTGGTCAAGCCCATGTTATTACCATGGTGGAAAATCCGCCTAGAATTTCATGAGCACGTTGTATATTGCAGTTGTAAACGAAGCCGGTTTAGCAGCGATATGACTATATGCGTGAACCTATGAGAATCTGACGTTCAAGCTCGAGGGTGATTGAGGGTGTGATGGTCCCGGGCTTTGCCGCTCGCATTGACAACTCGACGCCTGGATATAGTCTTCTGGCGCCACTGACTCCACATACCGAACTTGTTCTGCCATGGCCATCGGTTGTACGGATGTCGTATTGCGCTTGCGGCGGCGTGGTCAGTCTTAAAGTTTACCCCCCTCTCTTATGCCAATCTCTTTGTCAGATGACAGCGGCAATACTTGATTGCGGTCAATGGAAAAGAGGGCCATATATTGCTGCAACCTTCCCCTTCTCCCCGTGTGGGATGTCGAAGTGACTAGCCAGGAACAGCGACCAGCATTGAACGTGTATGACATGGGTGATTTGATGCCCGCTGCACATCGTTTATATTTGCAGCTGCATCCTCGACCAGGGTTGACAGACACGCAGCCAAGCGCTCAGGCACCCGGGGTTCGCTGTGCTGGATCTTTTTAGATCGTGGAAGGTCGGGGGGGAATAGAGTTTTGACAATGCGTTGCGAGTGGACTAATCAGTGAGTGCAACGACACGGCAGCGAAATTGATCTCAAGTTGTGGCTTTTCTGCTCGTGTATGCAAGATGGGCAATGCAAAACGTCATCACTTTCGAAACGTTAACGGGAAGTGTTGCCTGCAGTCAGAGTAGAGCTATATAGCGTCGATAATCAGGCTTGCGACGAAACAACGACAGCTGTAGGGATCTCGACTGATAGACGCATAGGCTCATTGCTTGAGGATACACTGTCATGATGCCTGCAATAGCATGCGATTCGCCGCAACCAAGGCTGGATTCATGCTCGAGTACATAGCCGATGCTGTCATGACTGCCCCCCACATCAGTAAGAGCGATAGAAGGCGGGGCTTATGGACTGACAAGGTGTGTTCATGAGCGCATGACCAAAGCGCCCACTTACTTGCCTAGCCACGCTTACCCTGAATCCCGACCCACTTGTACCTGGTTGATAACACAAAGATATATCAACCAGCCTTGATAACTCGATGCGTCTTGACGGGCATGATTTACACGGGAAAATTGGCGAGATACCTGTGCATGTGGCTTGTGACTGACGGACGGACTGATAGGATTGATCATTGGAATCATGCTGTGCAGCTATTGACGAAGGATGTGCCACAACCGGCGCAGGCGGTATTACAAGAAGACAAGAGCCGAGACACGTACGAGACGCCGGGAAGTATTGAGTGAAGCAAGGTTTCTGACAATAATAGGAAAAACGGATGCTCGTCTGTAAAAGTCGGCCGAGCGCAAGCAGGATACTCAGAAGCAGAAATCAGGATGTACATGGGGTATAAGAAAATAAAAATAAAAGTAAAGGCTGCTCCTATCGGGTAACGCGGTATGTTGGGGTTCTCGCCCAGGGGTATTGTCGGTTGGAGTTGGTCGACGCTACGGAAAGTTGCTCAGAGATTCATGCGACAAAGCCATGCTTACGCATCATCTGTTTCATCAACTCAAAATGGGCCCCTGCCCAACATTCCTTTGATACTCGATTCCGCGAACAGTCTCGTCTCTTCTTGTGATGCTTGTGTGATCGTTGCTTGGGTGACTTGCGAGCTATCGTCAATAAATTCTTGGTCATACGTGATGGAATCATTGGCCGCTACAATGTGACGCCGATAAAGGTCTATGCCACTAGCATTCAGATCAACAACACCATCTAGTGAGAGCAGTTGCTCAGTTGATCCGGACCCAAACGACTTTTTGAGGGCTGGGGCACCCAGATAGTGCGCTGTTCCATTCTGCCAATTGTTGCTTTGACTACCGATGAACGCGAGGGGTGCACGGTGGGAGGCAAAGTCGAACGTTTGGACTTCTGTAGGAAAAGCGAGAGAACCCAATTGTTGTACATACTTCCCCCGGCCCATTTTTGCATCAATAGTGAAGTTGGTATCAGGGAGGACATTGTACGAAGAAATGACCCAAAGAGGATAGTCGTATGACCTGGAGTAACCGTGCGATGAGGTAGCATTTCCGATGGTAGATTGCGAAGTACTTTGGTCGTTCCCGCCATTGGTGAGCTGGCCATTGAGCCAAAATTGGAGGTCTTGTGACCACGTAACCAATTTGGAGCCTTCGGATGTCTCGACGTTCGAGCTGAGAGAGAAAGTTCTTGTGGCTGTCACAGAATAATCCAAGGCTTTCACCGTTCCATTCTCAGCGCGGTCCACGTGCGAAAGAGCATCCAAATTGGGGTCTGGAGCCGATATTACTGGAGTCGTGCCTTTTGTGATACTCCCAACAACATCTGACCAGATGAATATTTTGCCGCTAACGACCCAATTTGAGCCCACAGTACTGGAAAGTCTCGCAGAACCGTTCACTGCATTATCAATGCCAGCAACTCTGATCTCGAAACTGTGCTCAGTCCCGTCACAAAGTACAGGAAGAAAGGGCGTAATATCGATCTCATCCTCGAGCAAGTCAAAAGCATCGATGCCAACAATAGGCCGCCAAAACCCCGGGACGATACCCCCAGTAAAAATGACAGGAAAGGGCCAAACTACACCGGCCAAGCTGTCGTCGATGTAGAGCTGTACTTCTCTGAACGGCGAGTATCCGTAGAGTGTGGTGCCATTGCCGAACACATTCGTATCCGTGGAGAGGACGTTGGCCCACCAAAATTCTTCTGCAGCTTGACCACTGGCAGAAATCGTGAAAACAGCTTTTTTGATGTTCTGCGGCAGCGTCAAGGCCGCTACTGCTGGAACTTCGGGTACAACAAATTGCGAGGGCTGGTCCGAGCTAGACTTTTGGGCGGATACTGGGAGGATGATGTTGGCGGGACCGACATCGTCTCCGGTAAAATAATTGGCAGTCAATGTGGTATACCAGCTGCCGGTGTAGGTATCGTCGATAAGATTTCCCAAATCAAAGATGAGTTTCTGTGGCTCTTTGAACAGAGACAGATAGCTGCTCATGTCTTTCGTATAGGTCCATATGATGCCGTTCTGCGTGGGCTCTGCCGTAGAGGTCCGAAAGATCTCGGTGTCATTGAACCAAGCGTGGCCCAGACGATCAAATTGTCTGCCGGCAGACGTAACGGTGAAGTTGATGGTGACGCGGTTGAAATCGCACGCAGGCGGGGCATAATCGGCGACAAAAGGCATTCCGTAGGACAGACCAAATGTGTGGACCATCAGAGTCTGTTGGCAAGCATCCGGACTCAATACGGGTGGTGACACTTGCAGACATTCTAGAAGAGGCGTGGAGGCATTGGGCGCACCGCTTTTCAGCACTTGTGCGCCTACGGAATGCTGTGGGGTGAAGACGGCCGTGGCGGGTTGCAAAAGAGACATTAACATTAAAGAAAAGCATATCACAGGCAGCCTCGAAGCGATGACTACTGTTTGAAGATAAATTCGCTCCCATTGCAACCAATTGGTGCAATTCTCCTGCGTTTGATCGTACATTAGTCTGCTCAAGAACGTCGTGAGCCTAACCGGGTATGACACTCCATTAACGCCGCGCAAAGGTATATTGCTCATCGCGTATGAACCGGAAGCGCCAGAGATTTAAAAGAAAAGAATAATCCCGAGATGATGAAATAATGAGAAAGATGATGACGATGATGATGATAATGACGACGAAGGGCTGCCGACTGGTCAATAAGAGGAATCGGGACAAACGGGGAGCAATTGAGCTGACCTTGCGAGAAGACGGAAATGATGACAAACGGACGTGGAATCAGCGTGGCACTCGGTGATTGTCCCAGAAACGTTTTATCGACTTTGTGATGATGTCGTTGTTACCGAAGCGGGAGCGGTAGTAGTTGATGAGGGCGAATTCGTCGGGAGGGAGGATGTAGGAATTGGGTTGGGCCTGCAGCTTGGCCCAGACTTCTGCCAGTTTCCGCTCGAGGTAGTTTGCGAGGCGCTGGTCGACGCCGGATTCACTGTTCTGAGCGATGCGTACAGCGTCCGAGAGGAGGATGGAGCCGTAGCCAGATATATATTCTGCACCCATGCTGGATCAATGTAGTATAGATTGAGAGGTGACGCGGGGCTAGACGAGTATGGAAGGAGAGACGAGATCAACGCATGCAGCAACGATAAGGGCGGAGCAGAGCAGAACAGAGCAAAAAGGTTGGAAGTGGGCAGCAGTCCATCACATGAGGCGGAAGAGGGTCGACAGAAAATATAAATACACGATCCAATTCCAAGCAGGTGCTGGGCCAAACACGTGTAGAGCGAGGCAGATCCTGAGAGAAGCGATTCATGCACAGTTGTAGGGCAAGACTAGCCACAGGTCTCAAACACGGGAGCCTACCGCTTTGGGACCTGTCAAAAGAGACGCTGCCGAACGCGTGACGAGCAGGCTGCCCTGGTCGTCAATCCTGGTCGTAGCACCCCCGGATGCATCCAGCATGCAGAGAAGAGTGAGTGTACAGGTAATAGCATATGCACCGCACCCGTTTGTGTCGTCGAGCCCTGTCAACGGTGCTTGCAACCCCGTGCCATCCCGCTAGCACCATGAGTCGAGAGGAGGCTGCTGAGAAATGAAGAGAGCGCGCAGCTAACGGCCGTCGTCGTCGTCGTTGTTGTCGACAACCATCTCATGGCCGTGTAGTCGCCGCCCGCCTGAGCGTGGTCCAAGTATAGCCAGGGGCAGCTTAGTATGCTGCTGCACGAGATACCGCTCCCCCACCCGTCAGAGGAATGGCCAAGAGCTTGCGACTGAAGCTGTTCGAGGGCAAACAAAGTTTGCGTGCGTGTCTTCGACCCCTAGCTGCTATTACCCGGCCAGCAGGGCGAGGGCTGGACAGAGTAGAGTGGAATGAAGCCAGATGGACTAGCAGAGGGACAGGCCATGGAGACGACGAGCCGCCGCGACGGGCAATATCAAGGAGGATGTGCCGTGTGTGCGTGCGCGTGAGTACAGCCAGTGTGATTGTGGCCCATCCATGTGGTGGTGGTGAGGGTGGTGAGGGTGGTGGAACCCCCGACAGATGCAATGGAAGGGCTTGCAGGATCCCGGGCGATCCTAACAGGCTAAAACGCTGCACTCCGTGACATTTCAAACGTCCATCCTCCAACGCGTATGCGGTTCATTACTCGCTGCGACGACCTGCACCGCGCAATCATCGGTAGTCTACAGTACATGGTCTCAAACATTGCCCAAGTCCTGCCGTGGGTCGGCCCCTCAATTTAGACTTTGCCAGAGTCGCGCTGCCCTTCGTCAGTCTTACAGACCACCACCATGACAATCATAGTCGTCAGACTGCACCCCGAGCTAGGCGCCGTTCCTTCGCACACATTATTCCGAAACACCACCCACACTGATCCTGGCATCTGCCCAGTTGCAACACTGTAAGCGAGCTTGCCAAAAGCAAAGGGACAAAAAGTTTCGCGAGCGAGCCTGCAGAAAATCCAGCAACCAGATCCTCGATTTGCGCGTGGGATGACGGCGAAGCGAGCAAATTTCCCCTATTGGCCACTGGCCAGCAACAGCCCGGCTGGGATGTCTTCTCCTCCTCTCTCCACTACACTGCTCTAGAGCTGTACGTGCCATCATTCTCGACACCCACCGGCGTCTCTTTGCGCAAGGAGCTCCCTTGGGCGGTGGTGACAGCGTCCCTGCGTTTTGCTTCCACTTCGTCAAGGCCAAACCCCATTCATTGGGGAAGCATGGTGAGACTGTTCACCACAGAATCAAGGCAGACAATAGACAAGTGACTAAATGGCGACACAACATTCAATAGTCTTCGTCCCGATATGCCATCATTCGCATTGGCGAAGAAGTGCAAGTGGAGACGAGGCTCGGAAGTTTGAAATGGTCGGTGGAGAAAGGGCACTGACATCAGGTCGCTGCGCGGAGGTGACGGCTGGCGGCATCATGCCATTGCTTCGTGACAAATTGATGGTATGATCACTGGAATTGATAATGAGAAGACCGGCAGTGATGTTGCAACCGCACGATAGATGGATACCTCGGTTGGAGGGGAATATTTGATTTCGGCGTCACGAATCGTACAGGAATAATTTCGTTCAACGTTAGTCAGTCAGTCGGCCAGTCCATCATACAATCGATGCAGCCATTTCCAGAAGAGCGGTAGAAGTAGTCAGCATGTACCGGTTTTCAGGAGAAGTGGGTGGCTCTGCAACCGCATGTCGCAGAAGACCAGGAGAAGGCCAGGTACCACCGTCGAGCAAATCTGCACGCAAAGCCAGGAGCGGGAGCAGGAGCAGATCGCCCGTGCATGGGAACCCCGTCGCAGTGATTTTAAAGTTCGAGCTTTGTTCCAGCACCCGTCTAAAGCGGGGTGTCTTTGATGGGACGGCCACGGCGATGTGCCTCTTCGGAGCCTCCCGGAAACAAGTCGGCCCGTTCGCAAATAATTTGTCCCCGTGACCTCCAACTTCGAGCTCAAGATCACCGTTGACGCTGTCAATTTTGTTTCCAGCCTGCAGCAACCTACCAGCTAATTAACGCCGACAACAGCAATCCCAGCTCGCACTCCCTCCCACCACGTCCGCGGCATATCCTCGCTGTCCGCTAATTGTCTTGGTCTGATGAACACATCTACGCGTGCCCTCACGCCCCTTTGGAGGGCGTCTTTGTCGCCTCTTTCGCGACAGGCAGCTGTCACACCGCCAACGATCTTCGCGCGTACCCTTCAACGCAGCTTCGTCTCTACTACGCGGCCCGTTTCCAGATCGAAACCTACCCTCCCGTCCTTCCAGCAGACCGCTAGCTCACTCCTCCGGGGGCAGCGGACATGTCTTCCGCGCCGCTCCGTTCGCTTTCAGAGCCAGAAGAAGCCTTCACAGTCCCCGGACCCAACGCCCCATTTGGGAAGTCCTGAACCGGTATTGTCGCTCAGCCAGCGGCTGAAGAAGCTGGGCAAACAATATGGGTGGCTCGCGCTGGGAGTCTACAGTTTTCTCACTGTTCTCGACTTTCCTTTCTGCTTCATGACCGTGCGGTTACTGGGGCCTGAGAGGATAGGCCACTACGAGCACGTTATCGTTGAAGGGGCCAAGAAAATACTGCGAATACCGTTTCCTAATCTATGGAAAGAATCCGAATCGAGTTCCCAAGAGGATGTTTTGGAAGCCGCTGCAAGAGAAGGATCTCCGGAAGGCTCTGCGACGACGACAGGCCGGGCCGAAGCATGTATGAAACCAAACATCAACTTCTGCGTGATCACTACTGATTCGATTCACAGCCCTATGGACTCAACTTGTCCTAGCCTATGCCGTACACAAGAGTCTCATCTTCATCAGGATCCCACTCACGGCCGCCCTACTACCCAAGGTCGCTAAGCAACTGCGAGCCTGGGGATACAATGTTGGCAAAGCCAAGCCTACATGACCACCCATTGCACATTCTCGCGCCAATCTGCTTCTTTCGTGACGCTCTATAGAGCAATCCTCACTCCGCCTCCGCCTTGCTTTGGTGGTGTATACGTAATTGTACCATAAGTGTAAACATCTCTCTTATTCTGGCTGTGAGTCAAGCTCCGGCAATATCATTTTTTCTTCTTCCTCTCTTCTCTCCCTCAAGGCCACGTGTGAACCTTCCATATCGAGACCATCGCCATCTGACGTCGCCGTATTCCTGTGCCTTTGGGGGAAGCGACTTGAAACTTGCAACCTACTTGTTTCTGGCACATCTGAAACCACCCTTTCCCTCCACATCCCTATCTCACTATCCATGCCACGCATCGGCTCGATAAAGTTTCTCGCTTATCGTCAGCATGGTTTTAGCCTGCTTGAAGCTCGAATGAATCCTTACTCACCGCCACTCATCTTCCGTAATATCAAGTCAAAATCGCCACTACTGTATGAACGCGCGAGTCGACAGGTCGCGGCTTTTGTTTTTTTGAGCCAGCATCCCCTGAGATAGATGGATCGAGGACGCATGACTGTCCCGCAAGTTACAGCGCTGTCGAACGTTACAGCATTGTCGTTCTTCAAGCATACATCCTGGCTCTCGAACATTCTTTCGAATCTTCTCCGCATATGTGGTGCTTCTAGTCTCGCGTCGGCTTCGGTCCTGTGCCGTCGTCCGCTTGAGTCTAATGACTCACGGCGGCGGCGTTCAGGACACGTACATCAGTCAGTCATTTGACGTGGTCAATGTATAATGTTTTCTTTGGCATTGTAGGTTTTCCAGTGGACGTGCTGACGGTCCGAGGGTCTCGATAGTGTTTGAAATGGCGATCCGAGTTCAAGCATGTATTATCCGCTTGTGGAGGCAATCTGATTTCCTCGAGGTTATGCTTTGGTCCCGCCACTGCCGATATTTGTATCCTTTGTAAATGATAGTCGAGTCCACAGACTCTGTATAATTATATCAATCACAAGATTTTATTTGGCAGAAACTATCCCATCTCGCGTGAATTGATGTTGTTGATCACGGAAATATTACGTCCTTTTCAACGAACTGCGGAAGGTACAACTTGATCAGCACCTATCAAAATTCTGTCATTTGTTGAGTTGGATCTCCCGCACTCTGTTATTGAGAGCAAGGAAGACCCTCGAGTAATACATGACAATTTTCCTGGGTAGGAAATAAGATCGATAATGATGCTCGAGAATATAACGTATTTGCATAATATACAGCTGCCAAAACGATCGGAAAACCCCTTTATATCAATTGATAGAATTGAATATATCAATCACTGAAGGGCGACTCGAGCAATAACGAGGACATAGATGGAGTATATACAATCGATCTCCTGGACTACTCTGCTCTGTCCTCGGAAGGCCGAATGAAGCGAGGGAGAGTCAGCCAATGAAGAAGGCAAATTGGAGGAGAGGAATAAATGGTGCTGCGTGCTGCTTATTAAAGATATATATTGCACGTTGTTTGTGATACTTATCCGAATATCATGATGGCTGACGACAAGTGCGCTATCCATGTACACCTACATGTACTGACATAGATACCTAGGTAGACACGCAATTGGTTCATGTGAATCGAACAAGCATCAATAATGGAATGGCAAGTTGTACGAATAATCAGAAACGACATCATCAAATCATCACGATACAAAGACACATGGCAAAGGGTCGTAGTATGGTACAATTGAATGTTGTATTGTTACATATCATGCCAAAAAAACAATCGTGATCAAGGCTATACCGATCCTTGATTCATCATCATAAGAAAAGGTCGACTCATTTTATCCTAGCCGCAAGAAACCGTATTAACTCCTCTCTACCATTACATCATCATGCACACGCTTAGTCAAAAGGGTTGGTGCGGGTTCCCCAGTAGGTGAGGAACATTGAGAGACCGACAGTCTCAAAGACGCGGGCAACTGCGCCGATGGCGATGGTGTCAAGAGGGCGCTTCTCGGTGAGGACCTGGGAGACGACCTGTAGGGAGTATCATTAGCAATCGTTGGGGGCAGATCTGGGATGTGAATTGAGACTTACGGAAGGAGCAGAGGAGGCGAAGAAGATGAGAGCACCGAGGTAGGCAGAGCCCTTGTAGGTGAGAGTTCCGGTAGCGTTGATCAAAGCACCGACACCGTAAGACTGGATGGCGGAACCGACGAGGGAGCTACCCCACGAGGCGGCAGCGGTGGCAGCCTCCTTGGAGTTGAAGTACTCCTCCTTGGAGTTGGCGGCCTGCGCCTTGCGGTAGGCGTCACCGAAAACGGGACCAAGCACAGCGAGGGAGACGGCGTGGTTGAAGGCAGTGCCGAGGGCAATGGCCGAAGGCTTGACAGGAGGGAGGTCTGATGAAAAACATTAGAATCATGCTGGATTAATGGACGAAGGGGGGCTCGGCGATTCGCGTGAGTTGGGTGCTGCCATTGACGACTGTAAACAGAACGAGGAGTAGACGACTTACAGTGAAGAGTGGCCATTGTGATGGATTGGGGTGTGTGGGATTGAATTTGGAGGGATGTGTTATTTTTGTGGGAGTGAAGTAGTGAGGAGATGCATGCAAGGGATGCAAGAGGCTTTTGTACCTCCTGGTTTCTATGATGGCCTTCACCTGACCTTCACATTACGTCACAGCTACGACGTGTTTGCCAAGCGCCCTCCGGACCACGCAGGTTTGCGCCAGGTCGAGACCACAAGTGGGAATTCAGAGCTGTGCCCGCACACGCTGGAGATCAATGCGCCGGCTCGCTCATTTACGGAGGCGGGTTGAGTTTGACTTTTCGATCCCCACGTCATCATCCTGTTTGCCGGTGATGGATTGATGGCTGAATGGCAGTCAGTCACCGAGGCAATTGAGGTGTGGCCCAAGCTCCTCGAGCTCGAAGCAAGCAGGCAGGAAGCTTGGTCCCCCGCGTTGTTACGGGTTAATATCCACAAACTCTTGGGTCTTGGGGATAGATTGGTTCATGTAGCCACCTCACCCTCATCGTCGCCAGGGCGCGCTATCGCGCTTCGCATGTGTTGAACTCTACGCGTGCGTTGACCATCTCCGATGCGTTGTGAAGTACTGGCTTTTGTTGACCAGCGGCCATGATAACAGTGTCGCCACGATGCTATTCAGACAGCGCTCCATAGGCAGCTTCGTGCTTCTGCTCCTCTTTGTACTCGTTCCAATCTACTTCCTCTTTGGATTGCAGACGACGCCGAGCTCTGTCGATTGGTTTGCTCACAACCTGGCCTTGTCCCGAAGGCCGGCAGAGCCTCCTGTCCCCATCACTACCCACATCGTGCTCTTCCAGTTCAAGGAGAGCGCTAGTGCATTCCACGTTAAGGATGTAAGCTCCGTTCCACCGGTCTGCTGCTAAAAGTCAAGGCCCGTAACTGACATGTGCAAGATTACGTCTAAAATGCTTTCGCTGAAGAAATCATGCATACATCACACCACGCATCGGTCGTATATCAAGTCTATCACGGGCGGTAAAGATAACTCCAAAGAGAAACTACAGGTATGCTATTCCGTTTACACTTACTTGTACAAGCCCATGTTGATGGACCCGATCGTAGAGCAACCTGAGTCATGCTTTCATCCTTACGTTCGCATCCAATGAAGACCGAGATTTCTACGTCAACGATGACCCGGTGCACAAAGCATTCAAAGACGCAGCGGGCCCCTATCTAGAGAAGGCTGTGGTTGTTGATTTCCAGGAAAGCGTGTTTACTTGAATTGAACAAGGCTTGGTTACCTGTGATACCTATAGCTTTGCTGTTGCTACCGTATTTTGTCAGTTCGCGTCGGGTTATAGGAACTATGCTTCTTTGTCACACATCATAATATATTTCGCACTCTCATTGTCAACTTGTGCTTATAGCATCGAAGCCCACATCAAATCATCATCAGACCACGATTGTGGATGTTCATCCTGAACTCTACCAATCAATCACGCCTCCGTAGTAATACAGCGGCAGCTAAACCGGTGGGCATCCTACCCCACTTGCTTTCACTTAGCGAGCCCACAGTGACAGCCCATGCTCACATCAGACTTCAAGTCAGTGTCATTCGCACACGTTGTTCTCGGTCTCCTGCTACTGCACTGTTGAGCTGTAGTATATATACATCAAATGTGAAGAATTCACCATCTGTCAATGACAGCCACCAAGCTTCACAGCTTGATACGGTTCATCCTCCGTGGCGCAATTGGCTAGCGCGTCTGACTGTTAATCAGGAGGTTCGTGGTTCGAGCCCACGCGGGGGAGTCCTTCTTTTTTGCCAACATTTTGGTCTGATGGTCGTGGTCGAGAGCATTGGAAGCAAATGGAGCTCTCCAGCATGCATCATGCTTCCATCCTCCAATGTCACCTCGTAGACAAATTTTTGGACACCCCGATTGCTCTGGCACGACTCCATCGCTCTGGAGAGATAATTAAGCTAACGATTCTTGACATCAGCGCCTCTTACCTTGCATTACCGCTACGCGCAGCTGTATCGCCACTGTCCTGCATACCTCAGCACTTTGGTGTATATATCTCGATTACTTAAGACCAATCGCATAGCTGCAAACCCTAATTGACGCTGTACCATCAGACGTTCATTCCCAACATCGCTATACAATTTCGCAACTAGAGTAGAGGGCTTTGTCTTATCGCCACTATAATGGATGTGATACCATTAGCGTGTGGTCTATATCATCTGCGAGTGGATGAGAATGATCTGGACCCCAAGGATGCATTGCAACTTTTCCCCTCCTCTGCGTGGACGTTCATATATAGAACCTTATCGACGATTCTGCTACGGCCTTTGTTGCTGTATAGCTCTGTTCGGGCCTTAGGGTGCTGGGCATACTGATCCACTCGTAGACAGAAATTACAGTATCAGCAAAAACATATGATAGATAGAGGTATCAACCACTGACAGGCAAGACATTTCGAAGCACTTCAGTTGATTAGTGTCAGAATGCCAAGACTTCTGACCTCATCCAAACATTTTGCGGCGAACGCGGAGGTCATCACTCCACCACCAATCCTCCAAACATCCACATACTCCACTAGACAGAATGTTCGCAAGACGTGCAATTCCATCGGTAAGTATTGTGGTCTCGGGAGCATACTGTCTCTTTCCGTCAAACTCTAATATGTCCTAGGCCTTCAGCGCCGCGACTCGGGTATCGCGCCCTCTCGCCCCTACACCTCGGTTCCTCACCCAGATGCAAATGCGCATGCTTTCCGATGATATGCGCAGCGCAATCGACAAAGCTGTTGCGTCGGCACCTGTTGTTCTGTTCATGAAGGGTACACCGGAGACTCCGCAATGCGGGTTCTCAAGAGCAAGCATACAGATTCTGGGCATGCAAGGAGTAGATCCGGAGAAGTTCACAGCATTCAATGTGCTCGAGGATAACGAGCTGAGGCAAGGTATGTTACTCTACAAATTCATTACCGGGTCGATGTAGCAGGTGGTTCGATGACGTGGATGGTGGCTAACAAGTCATTGGCACAGGTATCAAAGAGTACTCTGAATGGCCCACGATACCCCAACTGTACGTTGAGAAGGAGTTTGTGGGAGGCTGCGATATTCTCGTCACAATGCACCAGGACGGAACACTCGAGAAGCTGTTGGCTGAGAAGAAGGTGCTTGTGCCGGCACAGCCCGAAGGTGGCGAGACGAAAGCTTAGGGGTTGTGGCTTAATACACAAAGGGGATAAGATATCGATTGCAAGACTGAATCAAAATTGGCATAGATTTTATGTCTAAACTGGTGAAGCGGTATGCCCAATTCGGATTGTATATTCATGTATTAAAAGTACGATAATTTGTAGACAAATCGTAAAATGACGCGTGGTTCGCTAGCATCATCATTGACAACTGATTGCGCGACAAATAGAAATGATAATGTAGGGTCATGGCAGCAAGAGTACATGTAACTCACCTTCACATCTCATAACTCTCGAGAACAGCCTTGACATTCGCTCTCTATGTCGGTCCCTGTGGTCGCACTTGCCGTTTTGGATGTGCTCCTTCCATTTCGTTCACTACTTACGCATTCTACATACTGCCACATCTCCAACAACCATCACCATCGCTTTTCCTCGAAGTCTGATAATGGAATCCAAACGCACAAGCCGCGCTTCGCGGGGTATGACTCGTGGTAAGAGGGTTACAATCGCGTCCTCGCCGCCAGCCAAATCTGTATCAGCCAGCGCAGTGTTCAAACGGCCAACCAATGCTCAACGGGTACGCAAGAGAGATGAAAGAGCGCAATCGCCGAAGATCTCGAGCAGCCCTTCCAAGAAGAGCCGAAGCGCCTCCCGCAAGAAACAAGCTCCACACCCGCTTGCCGAAGCATTTGAAGGTGTGTACAACACGAAGCAACAACTTGCAGTCTAGCTGAACTGACACTGTCTCATCCAGACGCGACCTCTGAGTACCGTGACACCCTCTTATCTATGGGCATAGCAGCCCTCGACAAGTATCATGCCTCACTCGTAGCCGCCCTCCATGAAGTCAACCTCGAACAGCTCTCTTCACCAACGGCCCAGGATCCCAACGCTTCCCCTATCCGACTGACTCTAGCCGCCAAATACGAACGCTCTCAGCACAAGCTCCTCAATCGAGTTGGCGAATACCACATCCGTCGTCGCATTACGAATGAAACAGGCGAGACCGAAGCAGTCGACGTCTCGATCGAAGAAATGCTGGCTGGCTTTCAAGACCGCTACCTCGCCGAGGTAGAACGCCTCAGCGCATTGCAGACCAAGTGGGAAACAGTAGTGGGCGAGATCTGGAAAACGGGCGTCAACTACTTCGGTGAGGACGTGATGCAGGAGCTCTTCGTTGACGGCGACCTTTCGAACGCATCATCTCCTGCTCCCGACGATCAAATGCCAGGCAACCACTTGGATGACGCGGATTCCCTCTTCGTGCCAGAGCGCTCACCGCAAGCCAAAACCGCCAGCAAGAAGCGCGTCACGTTCCAGGAGCCCCCGATTGAGCTTCCCGAGTTTCTCACCAGCGCATCGAGGTTCAAGGGGTTGCCGCGTCCGACTGAGCTTCCACACACAGAGATCAAGGCCCTCGAGCAGGTTGTGGGTGAACTGGGCAAAGAACATGTTGCGGAAATGAAAGGCATCGATAAGGAGTATCAGAGATTCTGGGAGAAGAAGCTGGGAAATATGAGGAGGGTAGTAGTAGATGATGAGTGAACAGGTCCAGTCTGTTGTAGCTGGATTGCCTACAGGGGGGAATGGTCCGGAGAAGTTTTTCAAATCCGAGGAAATTCACGCGGAGCAAAGGATCGATGAATGGATGTTATATTTGAACAACTCAGACGTGAGGACTTCATGTTTTTACACACGTCTGTCGTCTCCGCAAGGGCTATAGTAGTATGTCAAACATTCTCAACATTCGTCGTGTCACAGAGAAGTGGATCTAGAAAGCTGGAGGACCATGTGTCTCATTAGATGGAATCATACATGTAGTGCATGAATATCTCGCGGACCGAACAAGAATTATGAGATACCACATGGACATGTAGATTATTCAAAAGTCCAAACGAACTATTCGCAAAGAATAACCCCAATCATGAAAGAGCTCACTCGTACGCAAAGAAAGGAGACGATGGAGGAATCCGAACTTGTTCTACATATGCATACAACTCATACAAACAATGCTAACTAATACATGTCTAAGACAATAAGCAACCTCATCTAGTCTAGAGCAGCAAACAAGCAAGGGAGAGCAGCTGCTGTGGAGGGGTATACACTCGCCTCTCTTTCTCTGCCAACCCTCATGCTCCTCTTCTTCTAATCATACGCTGTGCAAATGTAACAAAGGAAAAAGGAAATGTCTATCGCCAAAGTTTCCAAACGAAGAGTTGCCCACATTCATTACAGCTTCCGATACGACAGCTTAATCGAACGAGCTCTTGAACGTCCACCTCTGCTCCTCGGGAACAGAGAACGGCACACCGAGCTCAAAAAGCCTGCACACGGAGTCGGAAAAGTCCTTGAAGAACAGATCGTTGTCACGAGCATACTTCTCCGCCCAGGAACGGAAGCTCTTGTCCTTGATAATCTCCATATCAGTGGGCAGCATCATGAGGCTCTTGGTCTTGACGTCCTCGAACTGGCGGGGGCCGTTCCACTTCTTGTAGCTCCACTTCTCCTCGAGGAGGAGCTTGTAGTAGTCGTTGGTGAGGGTGGTAGGGGAGAAGGTCCACGGGCCATCGAAACCAGAGCGGTCATTGTGGCAGCGGCCTAGAGCGTGGGCACCGGATAGGGCGACCATTTCCTTGTCCGAGAAGCCCATGCGGCCGAAGATGGCGCGGATGTGCGAGGCGCCCTGCGAGGCGTCGGGGAGACGGCCGTCGGGCGTGCAGAAGGAGACGTCACGGTCGCTGCGGCCGGGACGGTAGGGAACCTTGGGACCTTGCATTTCTTGGATTGCGCAGACGCCGGCGAGGATCCAGAGGTCGGAGTAGGTAATCCATGGGTTGGCAGCTTTGACGGGCTCGAGGAAGTCGCGGGCGGCTTTCAGACCGGCGTTGGCACCGTGGTCGCCTTCGGGGGCGAATCGCATGGTTGCACCGTTGGAACCGCCAGTGCCGGTTTGAGCATCGTAGCTTCAAGGTATAGTCAGCGATATGGAATGGATGGAGAATGGATGCTAACCAACTTACGTTCCAGAAGCGTGCCATGCCAATCGCAGGAGAACAGGGCCGTAGCTGCCATCATCGTAGTCGTCCTTCTCCTCCAACCTCTGGGCAATCTCATTGTATACGCGCTGGTAGTCGTCGAACTTGGGGGTGATGATGGCCGTCTTGGCCTTGCTGTCTTTTCCAAACCATTCTGGCTTCGATAGGTAAGCGCCATATCCGGCAGCAATGGCGAGCAGAGCACCAGCACCCCAGATCATACCCGATGGGTTGCCCTCATACTTGTCAGGCTGCTCGGGCGTGGGTGTCGAATAGGCACGGCGCTGGTAGTGGTGGCGGATAGGCTGAGCACGAATGGCAAGGCGGGCCGAATTGGAGGCGCGGATGGGAGTTGCGGAGCGCAGAGCGCGAGTGAGGGTGCGTGAAGCAGATGCCATTGTGATTGTGATGTGGCGGGCACCGTGTATTTGCGGGTGGTGTTGACAGCGGGATGGGGTTGATAAGGTAGTTTCCCAGAGCTGATTGCGTGTTGATCTTGTTGATAAACACGGTTGGTGGACAAGGGAAGTAAAGGAAGGAAGGAATCAATGGCAAGATTGTCAAACGACGATACCTCAGTAGATAAATCACAACAGCACCTTGGTAATGCGACCTCGGTCCAGTACAATCCAGGCAAGGAGGTTTCGCTAAGCAGCACTTTTTCTTCCACGCCTTTCTCTTCGTGCTTTAACGTTATCGGAGTGGAGCCATGCCGGCCAATCATGCTGCCGCTTGTGCTCGACTTCTAGATCCCACATGCTCAGCTAAGCCGCTCGTTCGCCGTGAGCTGACCGAAAGATGGAATATGAAGCTCCCAAAGATGGTGCATTTCCGCGGCATATCGCGACATCTCGGTAGGGTGAGATCTCGGTCGCGTGTAAGTCAAGGGAGAAACAGGGCGGTAGATTTTATTGCCGGTAGCTGGGGGAATAATGTAGGCAGCAGAGCCTCATTGACGTTCGCCTTCCCCTCTTCTTGTCATGCGCATTCCGAAGCCTGTGATTTGTCGCCTTCCGGGACCACGTTAAACTCTTTGTGGCCAACCCAGTTGACTACACCGCTCGCTGTGATGTTTGTGTATACAATTGCATGTACCCGGCTTCATCGGTAAGCTACATATGTTGACGTGGTATTAACGAGGGGCAATCACGTGCATATCTCATTGGTGTCAGCTGGCCACCTTGATGTCGAGAGATACATCCAGTCAAGCGGTGATCCCTTGATATTCAAATGTTCATTTGTCTTGCTCATTACTCTCCAACCAAAGGCCCTTCAGAGTAAGCAGCAAATGTGCTTTATCAAAGTCATATCGTCGTATCAGCACTACCTAGGTAGCTAATTGATGCACGCTTAATCGCCATAATCCTGATCTCCTGAGAATCCGTCCTGTACCGGGGAATTATAACCGTGAATGCACCATACCCAGATAAACTCCTTAATCCATGCCTTGCCCTGACCATACCGAAAGAGGGAAACGATTAAAATGTAACAAAAAGAAACTTGCAGGCCCATGCCATGCCGACGCTAGTAGAGATCCGTGCAGGGAGTCGATGTGCCTGACATGGGGAATGTGGGCAGTTGGCTGGGAGCACCGCCCGTAGCTCGCAAGTCTGCAGCCTCCTTCTCCAACTTGGGCTTGAGTTGAAGCCATGAAGTCATGTTGGGTTCCTTTGGGATGGCAACGGCACGCCGATACGATGGGCAGCACTCCATATCTCGAAGATAGACGGGGGGAGAGAGATGCGCAGCCTTCTCAGCAAAGTATTCTTTCCGTGCCTGCTTCTTCGCAAGGTGCTCGAAACTCTTGGATGCCCGCGTGGAATCCTCCCAAAGCTCCATCTTACGAGCAAACTGATGCCTCTCCTCCACCACCTGTGTCTTGGCCGCCATCCAAGTACGCATATCCCAGGGACCTCCTTTGACTATGCTCTCCTGGTTGTACTCGGCCACGAGAGCGTTAACGTCCGAAATCAGGTAGACCGTCTTGTAGGATAGAGTTGCTGCCGGGCCTACGCCGACGAAGTTGCCCCATGAATCGAAGATGCCCGAGGGCAGACACTTTTGCAGGAAGGATACGTCCTCGCCCTTCTGGTCCTTGAACAGATCTATCGCATCAACTTCCTTGATCGTCTTAGATTGCAGGCAGCTCTTGCACCACCGACGGAGGAAAGCCCAGTACGTCTTGCGAGTAGACGGCGTGCCGCAGCTCATGCAACCATGGCCGTGTCGCAGATGCGCATACTGAAACTCGGTAAGTTCATGTGGTGGCAAATCCGGAAGCGTGCCACGATAATAGTAGTCGCGGCTGTGTTTCCACAACATGGGGTTGTCTCGTAGGAACCGGTAGCAGGACGGGATCTTTGCGCGCATCTCCAGAAGTTGAGCGGGATCCGAGAATGAGAGAATGGTGAACCAGGAATCCAGATCAAGTGGTTTGCTGACAGATTTGCCGCGGCGGAACTTTGTTGGCATGCCTGTCGAGGGCTTTGCGGCTATGAGGCTGCGCCTGCCATCCGAAGACGTGGGCGCGGTACACGCTTTTTTGGCGAAAGGGCCTTGGTCGACTCCAAAGGCAAGGTCGACATCATCCAGGAATTTCCGTTTCTGGGGGAGTTGTTCAGGACATGGTACACCGGGGATTTTGGTGAAGCGCAGGGTCCTCAACTCCTTGACATCCCCACCCCTCTCTTTCAGAGCCAGCGCGCGCTTGCCGGCTGGCTTCCGACAGTTGATGACGGTGCTGTAGGCCTGGGGCGGGGGCCCGTTTGCGGGCGTTTGCTTGTTGACCTTGAAAGCAGCATGCTTTGAGTTGACCATAGCTAGTCGGCACCAGAACAGCCGGCGGGAATGAGGCGATGGATGGTGCGCAAAGACTGGCAAATATCGTCGTTTGTGACGCTGTAGTGGCTTATCATGGAGATGCGGAGTGTTGCTGTTTGGAGAGTAAAAGCGGGTAAAGACAGTCTTATGATGTGGATGTGGCGGAAGGAAGAGGAAAGTGAGAGGAGGAGGAGGAAGGGGGAGGTGCGGTTGTGGTAGTTTTTGAAGTTCCGGCGCTTGGCTTGCACCCGCCCAAAACGCAACTACGGTTGTGCCTGTGAGCTTGAAACCATGTCACTCTTGGACATCAGCCTGTAATGAATGCGCCGTTCGAGGGAAGATGCGACGTGCGAATCCAAGCGGTAGCTGCCTGGCAGACCAATGCGGCTGCTGGGTCTGCAAAGAAGTGGTTGAGTGTGTTGGAAGGTCGAATGGATAGATGCGAAGATGGATCTGCTACGGAGCAAATACGAAACAATTGGTCTGGTCACTCCGGTGGGTACAAGTGTAGGAACAACCATGTCGAGGATCCTCTCGGCCCTTTTAACGCATTGGACCAACATGGTAAGCGATCCGACACGATATTCTGACTGGCCTGGCCAGCCGTCCATCGCTGCTGCATCGCAGAATCCCTTCCCGTGTGAATGCCATTTGCAACATCATCGTACGCAGCAGGAAGCGGCGTACATGTATGGAAAAGTGCCGAATAGTAAACACCGGGCATTATCATCACTCATCCTCCTGGCTGACTACATGTTCAGTTCAATGGAACAGTCCAGCCAGACATCGCGCACATTCGTCGTCCTTCAGTTATGACTCGGTTATTACAGGTAGACGGTTACCATCAGCTTAGGAGCAATCCACATTGGAACACAATCATCACCTGATGCCTACTATGGTAGGTCCTTGCGTTGGCTACCACCAAATCTGGCCGGCCACTCCGCGCATCACGATACCATTCCGACTTCGCCACGGTTGTTCGTACTTACGGGGTTGGTCTACCCATAAGTGAATCCGTGATACGGGTTGGTGCGCGAGAACAGAGCTTGGGATTGGCATCATCAACACTCGGCAGCACTCCGGCACCCGCAAGACTAGTAATGAACGACAACATGCATAACTCAATCTGTCCCTCTCATCCCTCGAATACCTATATCTTCTTGAACCTGCTTCCCTACTGCCATCAATTGCGCATGACGGGCAGCTGGACAGAGTCATCGTGCACCCTACGATCCCTTCCCCATAGAGAGCTAGTCACGGTAAGCGGAGCGCCATCCAATGGCAGAATGCGGGGGCAAATGCGGGTACCACACGACGAACAGGTTAGCTGTGAGGTTGCCGGCAGGGTGTAGCGATACTCCATGTCCCGAGGTCGGCTTTTACAAATCACAGTCATGATCAACAAAATCCTCTCGCGCCCTCGCGCCGTCGTCAGTCATCTTTTCTTTCCTCTCATCTTTTTCTGGATAGAATCGAACACCAGCTGCCACTCTGGCTGTTGGATTTCCCCTTGGACGTAACTCGGGCAGTCCTTCAGAGCTGCCACGACTATACCGAGCTATCCTCCCGTCTCTTTTGCGGAGAAACGTTTAGGAAGCATTACGTCAACTGAGAAGCCATCAACCATGTTCTCCAAGAAAGAGAGTATGCGACCATTCCTTTTCATGTATCTTGACAGAATTGCACCATCTAACGCTTCCATAGAAGACGAATCCGGGTCTCCCGACTACAATACGAATTACGAAACAAACTATGACGATGCGCCGGATGTCGTGGAATGCCCACCGCACACCACAGAGAGTAAACTTGTCACCCGCATCGATCTCCACGTCATTCCGTTTCTCTGTATCATGTACCTGCTTGCTTTCCTCGACCGCGTCAATATTGCCAATGCCAACGTCTTTGGGCTGTCGAAAGAGCTCAACATGGAAGTCAACAACAAGTACAACAATGCCCTCGTCATATTCTTCGTGCCCTATATCTTGTTCGAGATTCCGAGCAATATCCTGTTGAAGAAGCTGAAGCCGAGGGTTTGGTTGAGCATCTGCATGTTTGGGTTTGGTCTAGTCACCATGTTGCAAGGATTTGTTCAGAGCTACAGCGGTCTGCTGGCTGCGAGATTCTTCTTGGGAGTCTTTGAAACCGGCATGTTTCCGGGCGCTTTTTACCTGATTGGAATGTGGTATCGGCGACATGAAGCGCAGAAGCGTTACACCTTTTTCTTCTCATCCACGACGCTTGCGGGAGCCTTTGGCGGCTTGTTGGCAAGCGCCATTGGCAAGATGGATGGTATGCGTGGATACCGCGGTGTATGTGGCTTTCACCCTCCAATTCGAGTCTCCGATTGCTAATTGACAAACAGTGGCGCTGGATCTTCATTCTCGAGGGTCTCCTCACCGTCCTCGTCTCGTTTTTCTTCTTCTTCCTTCTCCCCAACTTCCCCGAAGAAGTCAAATGGCTTTCAGAAGACGAACGCGCATTTGTCAAGGCCCGCCTACAACTCGATCAAGGCAAATCCGCGCGCGAACGTCCCATCACACTCACAGACGTCGGCCGCGCCCTGCGCGATCCTAAGATCCTCGTGGGCGGCTTCATGTACTTTGGCCTCATCGTGCCCGCATACGGCTATGCCTACTTCTCGCCTGCTATCATCCAATCGTACGGCTACTCGCCCATCCAGACACAACTACACAGCGTACCACCATGGGCGGCGGCATTCGGTTTCGCTATGGTGGTGGCGTGGTTCAGCGACCGCCTCAAGCATCGCTTCCTCTTCGCCATTTTCCCCATCTGTGTGTGCATCAGCGGTTTCGCAATTCTACTGGCCGTCCACGACAACCACAGCGTGCAGTATGGAGCACTCTTCCTCATCGCAATGGGCGCGTACACAGCCATGCCCGTCATTGTCTGCTGGTTCAACATGAATCTCGGTGGTCACCACCGTCGCGCTATCGGCTCCGCGTGGCAGGTTGGTTTTGGTAATATTGGTGGTATCATCGCCGTGTATGCTTTCCTGAAAAAAGACGCCCCGCGCTATGTTCCTGGATATTCCATCTCGATCGCATTTGTCTGCTTGAGCGCGCTAAGCTGCATGGTGTACTTTACCATGTGCACCTGGCAGAACCGCAGTCGCAACAAGGCGGCGAGGGATTTGGGATTGTCCGAGTACGAGAAGACGGAGTTGGGCGATATGAGTCCGGATTACAGATACTTGCTGTAGGCTGGAGGTTGTAGGGCAATTGCGGATGGCGGTTGGCTGGTGTAGGCCGAAAGGCGTCGTACATAGAGATTTAAAAGTAACAGAGATTACAAGTCATGTTTCATACCTGCATATCTTCCTTGCTTTGTGTCTTCGCTGCGTGTTGATCGTGACGACTTGATCTGGAAGGGCGTGGCTCGACATCTCTCATTGAGATGTACCAGGAAACAAACTCACACTGCGTGTGCCGGCATTGTGACCTCATCCTCTTCTTCAATGTCTACCGATACCGTTCTCCCCACAAGCTCGCTCTTCAGGCCATACTCGGGGCCGTAGTAACACTACCAGCATCACCACTCTCCCCGTCACGCCAAATCTCTTTACTCTCGCTCTCCACACCCTTCATCGCCTTAGCCACCTCCTCCAAACGGTTCACAACCTCCAACACGCCCTTATTTACCTTTTCAAAATACCGATCGTTAGCCTCCCTCCGCTTCCGACTAAGCTCGATGTCCTTTTCCGTCTCCCCCTCCAACTTCCGCCCCTCAAAAGCACCATCTAACCCACTCCCTCCAACTGCCGCAGCCACCACACCATGTCCACGACCACTACCCGCATGCGCCGAGCCCGAAGCCGCTCCCCCAGCAGCCGCAGCAGCAGCCGCCGCCGTCGAAGGAAGTAATCCCGCAGGACCCCCAGCAGAACCGCCTTCAGACTCACCCGCCTGACTCGACTCCTCAGCCTCAGACCGGGCCCACGCCTGAGCGAGATCGATCTGCGCATTTCGCAGTGCCTCGAGTGCGCGCGAGTGCTCGCTGCCGAATACCGTCATGCCGGGCCCTTTCGTAGCGCTAAGCTCAACTTCTTCAAGCGTGTTCTGCATCTCGGCCCATATCGCTTCAGCGCGGGACGACGCGTCAGCATCTGCAGCTGCACTCTGTTGTTTCTGACGCCGTGTAAAAGGCGCACTAGGGTTGGAGGAGGTGAGACTGAGGGGGTCGCCGCCATCGTAAGGCGCGGCTGTGGTGCTGCTCGCGTGTGGTGGGGCGGGGGTCGGTGGGGGTGCGCGTTTCGAAGCATCGGGGGCGAGGAGGGAGCGTTGCCGTGTGAGAGGATTTCTTGTGGGTTTGTCTGAGGAGAGAAGGGAGGCACTTGAGGCGTTGTGCGAGGGAGGTCCGACGAATAGTGCGGGTGCTGGGAGACGGTTGGAGGATTGGGGGGGTTTGTTGGAGGACATTGTGGGCGATTTGACGGTGAGTAGGGCGGTGTGGAAGATGAGGTATATTACTGCGATCTGGATATCGTACAATGCAGAATTATGCAGAATTAGAGGCACGAAGTGGCTGTAGTTAGATTGCAATCATTACAAAGTAGTGTGAAGCAACTCTACGACAGTACGCGATTGACATGTACACGAAAGTCGGACGATGATGTTCCGGCAAGATGATCTGATAAGATAACTGGATTTGGCAACTGCACCGCGCTAGCTCGCTTCTATACTAGCGCCGTTAGCGACTCGCCAAGCCCACACGAAAATCAACGCTCAACTGCATCTTCGACCTTCAGTCCGCTATACTAACAATCTCCCTTCCCCAGCACATTCATCGACAACCGCCAAGATGGGTAAAGGTACGCAATCCTCTCACGCACGCAGTTACGAACGCACAAACGCTGTCAAATCACTACATTCCAACGTCCCCGCCCGTGCTCGTGCGCCCCAGAAGCCATATCCAATGCTCACAATTGTACACAGGAAAGCCTAGAGGTCTCAACGCCGCGCGCAAGCTCCAGAACCACCGCCGTGAAAACCAGTGGGCCGATCTCAACTTCAAGAAGAGGCTCCTCGGAACCGCCTTCAAGTCCTCCCCCTTCGGTGGCTCTTCCCACGCCAAGGGCATTGTCCTCGAGAAGGTCGGTGTTGAGGCCAAGCAGCCCAACTCTGCCATCCGAAAGTGTGTCAGGGTTCAGTTGATCAAGAACGGAAAGAAGGTCACTGCTTTCGGTACGTCGTCGCAATCCACCGCGGACTCGCCAGAACCAACCAGTGTGGCGAGATCGGAATAGAGACAAAGGAAAAATTGGCTGACTTAAAACAGTGCCCAACGATGGTTGCTTGAACTTCGTGGACGAGAACGACGAAGTCCTCCTTGCCGGTTTCGGTCGCAAGGGCAAGGCCAAGGGTGATATTCCCGGTGTGCGTTTCAAGGTCGTCAAGGTGTCCGGTGTCGGTCTGTCGGCGTTGTGGAAGGAGAAGAAGGAGAAGCCCAGGTCATAAACGCCTTCACCAACAAGGCAAAGACAAGGCAAAGCATGGATTGGGCTTGATACGAAATGGGAAAATGGAGCGCATATGACAAATGACGATTTTCCGAGGTCATACATTCATCAATGGGAGGCTTCCAAACCGGAGTCTGTTAACACATCTTTTGGGATTCATCTTCCTGTGCTTCTTTCCCAGATTTCCCGCACTGAACAAAAGAGATTATGATCAGTTTGGACGGTTAGATAGAGGAATCTGACCAGCTCAAGCGTCCACTTGTTACTGCTGTTCACTTTTTGTGACGTGTGTTTTGTGACTGATGTCTTAACCCCGAGTAGTTATCACGGAGGCTGGGCTGAACGATGTCGTACAAGGGCTCGTGCAAAAGATCTTACTATCACTGTATTTTCCACTTCTTCCCAGCCGCAACATTCTTGTTCTCAAAACTCCCCTTTCCCATTCTTTCTCTACCTATAATAGTACCCACCTCAGACTGCACAATTTCATCCTTGCCTACATTGTTTGTCTATCTGCTTACGCCACCATTATGCACGCCACCGATACCAGCCATCAACGCGCTTCTCCCTACTACTCACAGTTCTCCGCTTCGTCTCTGCGTCATAATCTGGAACACCGAGTCTGTAAAACATGCTACCATTCTCAAATGCACTGCTCTTCAGCTATAAACCTTCACTGTTGTGAACAGAACCCAATCAGAACAAGAACAAGTCAGATCGTTGCTTTCCACGAAGCATTATACCATTGAATGGTCTGCGCATTCTAATGTTTAATCAATCGAATCGGAAGAAATGGGCAGACCTTGTATACATATGACATACCGTAGGTCCTAATATCCCATAGACCCATATGTAAACGATATCGTTTCGTACTTCAAAGTCCCATCTTCTGAAACGTACTCTCAAGCCCATCGACATTTTCCATGTATTCATCTTCACCTTGCATATTAACCCTCCTTTTAAACGGATCTCTGAAATTCCGGAGCAAATGCAGCCTCACATCAGAATGTTCCAATACAAACTCATCCCACTCCTCTATACTTCCCACGAGACGTGTTTCAACCTGGAAATATACAGATAGGAAATCAAAGTAGAAACTCCTCAACTTCGAATTTGGAGTGGTGTTTTCACAGACGTAGCCCACCTCATCGGTCGTAACTGCAGGGCCGCCGATATAGGCTGCTACATGGCTTGCGTAGAGACGACCCATGGCGTAATTCTTGAACTCGCTGGAAAGTAATTTGTCTCCCAAGATCCAGCATTGCGCATGAATACTGACATTTTCGTGCAAGACTGTAGCCTCTGGGTTCGGTAATGTGAGGGTGTAGTAGCCGTCGTACATCCATTGCACAAAGAGACCAAATATTCTCACGTCGTCCTCGGGGAGCTCGATTCTGCCTTCTGCGCGCTCTTTGAACTCGCCTGAACACGCAGCCTTGAGGAATGGAGAGAAATGCGAAATAAGTTTTTTGGGAAGAGACCAGGTGTTGTCGTGAGTGGAATTGGTGGTGGTTGTAGTTGCTGTCGTCTGCTGAGCCGTGGGTATTCCACCAACAATTATCTCGATCTCTGGCCCTTGCATTCTTTGAACTGTTATTTAGCAGTTTGAACATCTCATGGGGTGACATAACAAACGTACAAGGCTAGGTGACCCCGGCGCTCAATGTTGGTCTTGGGCAATGACGACTCAACATCTGCGCTCGAAGCTACGATAGATTCGCGCGCGCCTTTTCTTCCTCGCTTGTAATCAACGTGCCTTAGCTCTTCAACACTGAAGTTTCTGTATGTACTTTGAGCGCTGATGGTGTTAAAAACTTCTGTCATCATCCCCGGCTCTGAAGATCGCTCCGAGTATGACTCGGGGGGCACCGCATCCGTACCAATTTCTATCGTGATCGATTTCCAAGTTGGTCAGCCATTGCGATTATTAGAAGGCCGAGAAAACGACCGACATCTATACTATATCCCGGAAAATGTTTAAGAGAATGGGGCTGTACCAGTACCATGTTGCGAACTAGCGAACGACATCCTGCTTATCAGGCCGGAATTGTATGGCCTGTCCAACCAACGTGGTTTATTGTGAGGCTCAGACAGCCTTGAACTGTGCGTAACTTCTTCTAATTGGCGTCTTGTGAACCAAATGATCTTGTTGCTGGCGATATATTCAAACAATAATTGGTGTAGTCGAGAACGATTGTCATCCATTACTCGGCTGGGGCGTGACTGTGCCGCACAGCCACAGGGTGGGGCTCTACCAAAAGTAAGCATAACTATCTGTTCGACATTTGGCTAGTAGTCATTTTATTCTGTATATCAGATCGCTAGTCCCTATTCATTTCTCCAGGCAACAACCAGACATGATATTTAAGTGTGTCCCACATTCCAAGTTTTTCCAACGACTCCAAATCTTCTTTCGTCGTCCTAATTTTTTTCTCTCGCATTCAGAATCGTTCCCATTCTACCTATTCTCATTCCAACCTTCAACGTTCCTATCATTTGCTGTCTAAAGCTAAATCCGAAACTTCGCATCCGACATGACCAATCTCACCTCCGATGAAAGAGAATCCCTCCTACACCATTCGGTATACGGCCGAAAAGGAGAAAGACCGACCGAACGATTCAACCCGATAGAAGGATGGGAAAAACATGCAATGACAAAACCAATCACCTCTGAATGGAACCAGCCAGTGCCACGAACTGAACTCGTCAAATTGCTCAATGGCTTCCAGCCTCGTGAAATGGAAGACAAGTGGCTTGTCTACGCAGACGGTCCAGATGCTCAGGGAAACGCATCGGTGTACATGTATCGGAGCTGGACTCATTATCTGAATCTGGAATTGAAATTGGTCATCAATTTGGATGAGAATGGAGAATTTGCGGAAGACAATCATCGCTTCACGGAGATTATTTGGGAGTCTGATCACGAGCGGGCGAGGCAACAAGAGGAACAGGCGAAGGAAACGGCGAAAAAGGTTTGCGAGTGGTGCATGGATGTTCGGCTTCCGTGATAGATGTCTTTCTAGTCGAATAAATTGTCAGATTGTATGCTGCGGACCACACTCATGAAAGCTTCCCAAGTACAGAGAAAGACAGCGGTCACGACGACGGTGATTAGGAGAACTATGAAATAGCACGTACATCACGCTTTTGTCACAGCAGGCTCAGTAAACGATTTTTTCTTTTCTTTTCTTTTCTTTTCTTTTCTTTTCTTTTCTTTTCTTTTCTTTTCTTTTCTTTTCTTTTCTTTTCTTTTCTTTTCTTTTCTTTTCTTTTCTTTTCTTTTCTTTTCTTTTTCTTTTTTTGAAACCAGTAGTAATTTGATTGAAATACGGAATTCTAGACGGTGCACACGCAGAGTGGTAACACCTTCTGGTCGACTATCTGCACAACAGCTTCTTTTTCTCGCAGCAGCTCACGTCTCGGGAACACCACTCTGAGTCGGTATGACTACTTCAGAGCGACTGAAGATGTCAAGAATGACATCTGCGAAGTCGTTCTGGGTCTGCTGTAACACCTGTCGAACGTAATCCGACCTGTGCGACTCGTTAATTTCGAAACTAACCGTCACCGACTCTGGGAAATCCGGAGCCACCAAAGAGAAGTGCAAGTTATGGAGCTTCATAGTCCAGGCACAACCCATGAGATCGTACTCGTTGGAATCCTGGGCATTCAGGACCCCCGGTATCTTCTTAAAAGTGATCTTTAGATTCCCCAGATTGGTGAATTGAGTGTACCAGTCTGTGTTGATCGGAGGGGCAAGGGGATTTTGCAGAGGTACACTAAATCCCATGCTTCGCTGTATAGCAGAAGAGATTGGTTGCTGCAGCTTGAAAAGATACTGCAGTAGGGTGCCACGATGTCGGGTGAAAGCACGCGCGCTACTGCGTACATCATGGTTTTCCAGGAAAGGAATCACGAACTCGAGATTGCGCACTCTGCCGGCAAACGATGGAACGGCCAGCTCCTGTCTGCTCCAGAATGGTGGTGCCTCCATTCGAAAGACATTGGAATTATAGTATTGGTTCAAAACTTCTTCGGACCATGACTCTCCTAGACTTTGGATCAGTGGCAGCAACTTTTGCTCGAATATCTGCGTATGAGCTTCAGCAGTAATAGGGTAATCATATGAAATGTATGATCTTATGATTTGAATGCGGAGTTCCGATGGAATGTGGGGGTTGTTGATTTGGTGTGACATGATGGGTGATTGCGTATCTTGTATGATGGGTGAGTGTAGTTATGTGAATTAATTTCTAGGTTCTCGTCGATACTGGCATGTTTATATAAGTTCTAAAGCAATAGAATGCGAGTAGCATTGTGAACTCACGTATGCATTGTGACTCGTTATACCGATGGAGAAGTGTGACCATATCCTGATCTCGATGACTTTGTCACATTGTTCATAAACATCCTAATGCCGTGTCTGGACAAGCTCATCAGTGCTATGATATGAAACTCATGATTATCTGTATTTTTTTGATGTATTCAGTTCTTGTTGAACATTTCGGATTCCTTTTAGCCATGGTTGAGTGATAGACGTATGTGTTCAGAGGCGAACGAATCTACGATGCGAGTTTGTAGGATGGATGTACGTGAAGTCGGCTGATTTGCCACAAAACCAGTCAACAAACGATGTCCCAGCTGTGTGATCCAGGAGCTTCTAATCTGTTTGCTTTTGGATTCAGTCACTGAAGAGAGATGTGTTTGTCTCCACATGGATCAGCGCTCAGGACAGTGGGAAGTTAATCAGGGGAACAAATACCTTGTTCTGTCTAGTTGATGCTGTCGGGCCTTCCCTGATATACCGAAATATTGGCTGTGCGCTTTCGTAGAGACGGAAAATTTAATAGTCGCCATCTCGTGGTATACTACCGCCCCGACAAGTTTATAAGACGCGATGACGCGCTTTTGCGAGATGAAAATTGCATATAAGATGCATCAAGGCAGATTCGGGAGCCGGTAGGAGGAGGAAATAACATTCACTTTGAGGTGTTGATGACCGTGGCGAGATCAGGTCTACTCCGTCCATTATGCATAGAGGCTGGATACGGTGGCTGTTGGGAAAAGGAAGGCAAAAAATGTCAAAAGCCGTCGTCATGTCCGAGTCTCGAGCGCACGACAATGCTGAATACCTTCGAAAGCGGACCGAACCTTGCCCCTCGCATTTTCCTATTCAGTATCCGATGCGGAGGTGTGGGAATTGACATGACAGCTGCGCTTGCCGTTTTCCATCTCTCCCAACCATGAAACGCGTCTTGTAACGCTGCGTCCTCCGTGGATGAAAAGACATGGGATACGTTGGAAAAGAAAAAAATACAAATCAAGTCAAATATTGACCCCAACAGATGAAACACAACAGACGATGTGATGCGAGCGATACGGGAGTAGACATAAGAGGATTTTGGTAGTTGTGTAGAGTTATGATATGTCGTTGAGCTTCGAAAGGTGAATCCGGCAGGAACGCGTTATGGTGCTACGCCATGTTAGCTGCAACCATAGACTGTAGCAGATACTCTAGCACCGCTTTCTCTAGCTGCGATTGGATCAGAGTCATGAGCTGAATAATTTCTACCAATGATAGCTTGCATTGGCGATGCCGGCGTGGTCGCTAGATGCCGGATTGGACGGTACTGCAATGATCAGATCAGCAGCAGACACTACTGCCCGACTGGCATCGAGCATCCAATGTGATAGGCAAATCAGATATTAGTGATCTTTTCAGCTCCAATCACGCCTGCTACCAGTATCATCGACTGTCCCATGCCAGATTCTACAGGAGCCTTAGCGCATTCTCGGTGCCATCTTGGTGCCATCTCCAGGCTTAGTATTGACGTCCACCACCAATCAGTCATCGCACGATATCTCAGGGTCGTCTTAGTGCCACCATATAGGTAAGTGTAGTAGCAAGTGGCTGCCGTTGAAGACGGCTCAGGCCGAACTGCCCTTGCGCAAGGCTGATCGGTGTAGGCCGTAACTACCACTTTCAACACTGAGCGGGTAATGCTGCAAGAAGACGTACAACGAGGGGATACTATCACTAGATGATAGGGTCTCGAGTTATCATGCTGCGAGCCACTGCAGGGCATAATATAATCATACAGAAACTACAAGTGGTGGATCTTGTCTTACACCAGAAGCAGAGGAGCCAGCCACACAGACACCCGCACGTAACGTATAGGAGGCCATTGAAGACGCGCATATAAGGAGGCAGCCTGAAGGTCTCTCTCAGAACGATGCCGCAAGTGTTGTTGCGACCATTAAGTTGATGCATACCGTGCATCTCTCCAGATTGCGCGATCACACATGCAGATGCTCATAGTTTCTGCTATCTTGCCCGGGATGCGTACTGAGATCAAATGAAATACAAAGAAATGAGTGCCTGCCATGTTTCCCCACCGCTGACGTATCTCTTCCAATGATGCAATTTGTGGGGACGTGGGAGGTGTGTCGTGGGTAATGTCTTCTATTCGGGCAGGTGTCGAGGCTTGCGATTGCCAACCTAGCTCTTCCCACGCATCTTTGAAGTTCTTATCCACCGAGAGTATTTGGTAGTTGATTAGATGACTCTTGAAAGATTTAGGGGGGCAGCCTCAGATCGATGATCTCTCTCAATGTCATCCGGCCTTTTGTGCTGACAGCGTACGAAAGGCGGAAGACAGCGGGTTTTGTGAAGTTTCAAGGTATTTGATACCATCTCTTCTAGTCGGACCTGAACATGACCAGACGACGCTAAGATGGCGCTATAACCTGGGCCGTAGATATACAGTGAAGTCGTGCAGGTAGACAGCACGCTAAAGCGATAGGTTTATGCTGTGACTGGAGAGATCAGTCCACTCCACCCTTTGTGTCCAACCACGATCTCAGGCTAGTATTTTAGCGTATCTTTTACTTCCGCAGTCTCACGATACCCTCATGGAATCTAGCATCTAGCAAGCGCGCCAACGTAGCCGTCCAAAGCCTTCATTGGACTGTCCATCAGCTGCGCAATATTCTCCCAATCACAGCTCACGCTACCGGCGCTGGCGTGCTTGCTAAATGCCACATTCCACGGTACAGTAGATTGGGTTGCATCCAACATTGCGTGACGCGATAACGCGTTCCTTCTGGAATAATCGTACGGAGTGGTGGTTCCGGAATCACCAGCATGTCCATGGGCCATTGTGGATAGCAATTGTGTCCATCAAGCCGTGATATAAGAGGGTGGGATTGGGCATCGGATGCCGTAGAATCGCGCGGCATGTGTCTTTGCCTGATCCTTTGGGCAATTCACCGTGTTCCTTACATATATTGCGTTGTGTCAAATCTCATCCATCGCCATGGCCTCAACCTCTTCACCAGCAGAATCGCGCATGCTTAGCTCTTCTATTTGAATTGCAATGGTGTATCCACCCCTAGAACAAGGCTTATATATGACACACTCAACCTTCAAGGATTCCGCCGTGCGATATCCCGATGCAAGACCTGCCTGTAAGCTGGAAATTACGACCTGGATGCTGCATCTGCCGGCTGGGGCTACTGGACATGCAGAAGCCTAGCAGGGGACTAGCAACACAAGGCGTATCTTTATTGGTACGCAAATGTAGTATGGATTGTTGAGGTGGCCTAGGGCCAATATTAACAATTACTTCAGGGCAATTGATGTCATAAGGCAGCTGGCAGCGTGCCGCATCAATATACGAGGATCACGACCACAACAAGAGGTAGCCGATAGGATGTTTTCGATGAGAATTGCCCTAGTCATGGTTCACTGTTCTCATGGTCCAAACAGAACAACGATTGGTCAAGTCGTCACTTCTCACGACAGGGAGCATGTACCATCAGATGATCCCAAGTACTGTTCAAGTGCTGAACGGAAAGGAGAATGGAAAGGACTAGAATGAAGAAGTGGGTATTTTCCCAGTCGGTAGGGAATAAGTTGCACGCGGGGTCAGGGTTGCAATAAGGCTATAATGTTTTCGGAGTTACGAATAGCAGAACACAACCCCGACTGCAGGCAAATGTCTCCTCGGGTGTAAATGAGTTCGGTCTGGTATCTACATACTTATTAAAGGGCAGCAGTTAACCTGCATGCCTGATGTCGCCGTCACCGGCGAATTTACTGAAGCTTTTCGAGATGACTGCCTGCTCTTTCTTTTGGTACCGTTAGAATAAGCAGTTGCCATCCGGACTAGCTCCCAGCTAGACCTTGGTGTAGTTGGTGGGAGCTAGACTGCCCATCTAGCGGCCACCTATGCGAGGTCAGGCGAATGAAAGCTCTCTGTAGACCCAGCTAGCGGGCAATCCACGCTGCAATAAGCTCCTCCAGTAGCGTTGGCCTGAAGCCAAGGGCTTTAGCATGCTCGGTACCTGCGCCGCCATCTTCTAGTCGGAGATCTAGCGCGGGTTCCAAGGTTGTGAATCGTGATGCGCCTGCCGTTGAACGACTTCCTTATTTCCATCCAATTGATTCCGGATTTGGATATGCAGACCATGTAGTCGTATGAATTGCTTTGTGAAAAACCCGTCATTGAGCCATGAGCTGCATCCGACGTTTTTTGTCTATTCCTGGGATTGTTTAGCATATATTGTAGGTTTTGGGGTAGCATATGCCGTGGTGAGAAGGGTAGGGTAGGAAGGAGGGGTGTGATGAATTAGGGAAGAAGCGAAAGCAGCAACAGCAAGCGGAGTGGGAGGCGGATGAAGTGACGCTTTACCGGCAGGATCTGAGAGCTTTGCGGGAGAAACTTGCTGTGAGCTTTGTGCTCTTCTCTTCATACGCGAATGATGGTTTTCATTGACATGACCCTAGAATCGCGGTTCAATCGTCGCTACCCTGACCCTGATCCACCTCCCAGCAGCCTTCCCGACATGGGGCGGCACTAAGCTAGCGCCCGCATCATGGCCTTCTAAGTTTGGAAGTGCATACGCTGGTTCTCCCTTCAACATTCATCCTCGTCCAGTCGCGCACAACTCTATTCACGATTCGCATCCGCCTCTCGCCACTATCTCAAACCAACTCCAAGCATCCATCTTACATCACGCCATTCCCAGACTACCCGTCCCGAGCCCTCAGAGGCATCATTGGACGATGAAGTGAAAGAGCTGCCGTCATCGCAGCGGGGTGCTCGGGCTGGCTTCTTGTCTTTTCTGCGTTATCGTATGACGCAAAGCCTACCCAACACACAACATGCACAGCTTTGAAAGGAAACAGGGGTGATCGCAATACCGTTGTACGGGAAAGTGTGTCTGTCATCGACGAAGGGAGAATACGCCGATGTAGATACTGTAGAATGTGGCATTTACTAGTTGCACGATCGCAGTCTGTCCATGCTACGATAGAAGAGAGAGCGAGTGCAAAAGAGGGATAGGTAGATTGTTCACCTGCAATCACAGCTTTGCATCAACTGCGTCGGTGCTGCCATTAAGTGCTAGACTCTACACTACCGGTGACTAGCAGACATCGTGGAGTGTCTATTGGACAACAACAGGGTGCACTTGCCTGTACAGTGTACCGTCCGCATTAAAGCGAGGGGGGAAAGTCACTTGATGAAGGTACGCCATGCCGTACAAGATCTCTAACGCTCTTCGCGAAGCATTGCCATTGGAGCAGAAGAAGCGGTGGCTTCACCTGTCATGTATCCCTGCCTGAGGCTTTGGGCAATCCACTGTGTTTTCTTCGTATCGCCAGATCTCATTGACCGCTATAGCCTCATATCAGTGGATCCACTGCACCGCCTCATGAACGCTGACATGTCTTCCGCATGCATTATGACCGAACCTAACGACGCTTCGCTCAGCACATGAGGCACCATTCGGACAACTGCTAAACCATCGCATTGAGGCCTCTGTGCAGGGTTTCACATGAAACTGGAGCCGCGGCTGAGATGAGCAGGCATTTGGTCGGTGGGCTGAGGGCTAAGACCAAATGACAACTTGTCATCGCGCAACCACACCTGTGGTGACTGCCCGGCGTGCTCAGACTAGATTAGACTGAACAGGGTGTTTGGGCTAAGTATATAGCGGGGCTTGGCGAGTGCAAGCGAGATCTTAGACGGTGGATAGCTGGTCGGACTAGACTGGTAGAGGGGTCTATCTTCTGCTAATGCAATGCTTAAGCTAGATAAGCATTGCTAGCCAGGTAAGTAGCGCCGTTTAACTTGCTCGCGAGATATCAAGACTAAGCAAGCTGCTCAAGCTAGACAGAGGGCGTATTCTAACTCGCACATGATAGATAATTTACTTGCCGGAGCCAAACAGATAGCGACCTCTAGCGGGTATGAACCGAGTCTTTGGATCGGAATAGCTATCTAGACTCTGGTATTTGGCGGCTTCTAGCGTCCGCGCCACATCTCTGAGTGGTCAATTACCACACGCCATCTCAAGCGAGACATGCTCACCTCCAGATCTCAACACCATTTACATTATACGTGAAAGGCCTATACATCGCATATGGGTCGGTACATATTGTCTGAACCATCTGATCTGAAAGTGTACAAGGGTGTGCAACAGTTCACCCCTCCGCCCACTCAATACTTTCTTTTCTACGGCATCGACAGGATTGTGGCCGCGACACCCAACTCAATCTCTCAACCAACGTGCATGTGTTTCGGGCTGCGATGACGCCTCCAAACTCATCTGAAGCAACATGCAAGTCATCTCTTGGTCGGAGCAGTCTGCAGATATGCGAATCCCAGCTGTGTTCCCGTCAGTCTCATCGTTAGAGTTGGCTGGCGATTCGCCGTATTTTCCAGTTTGTGCCCGTCTCACTTCTCGAGTGAGACGGGCAAACTGCAGGATTGTTGGATGTTGTTTTTGTTCTTGTTCCGTGCAGCATCCAAAACATTAAACGGTGTCCCAGGTATATCATCTAGCTATTTTCCACTCAGGTTGAAAAGTGTCTATTCGTTGATTAAGCCTCCCTCAAAATGACCTGACTAGGCTGTATGTCTTCGATGCTAGTGTTCTTCAACAATGCAGCATTGAAAACATTATATACACCCAACCATAATGCAGTGCGAGTGAACCAAGTTTGCCTATATAACGAACATTGAGCATTGTTAACCTCTTAAGCTGGTATTTAAATTCATCCAAATGCAACCTTAAGCATTTCGGAGCACCAAATTCAACAACCGCCTTCGAAGATCAATCAACACCACCAGATCTACGATTTCAAACTTACAAAAATTCAATATCTGCCAGTATGGAATTGCAAATCCCAATTCCACACTTACCTAACGAAGTTCGCGAAGAGGTTTTTCGGGAATTTGTCAAGCAGGATGATATAATCACCCCAGGTGACCACAGCCAAATCCTTGACACAAAGTTGATGCCGCTCATGCAGGACATGGGCGAGGACTGGGCGAACCGAATTCTCGACATGTACTACCAGGAGAACACCTTCCAACTGGTAGCACCGGCTCTTAATGATCTGAGGCCACTCCAAATTCCCCCCTTCGCCCATCGAGTCCGCAGTGTCGAGCTGGTCCTGCCGATTGTGGGGTTCTGGAACGACATCCACCCGTACTTCCACAACTTCACTCGGGATCGTGGATGTATGCTGCAATATCTCTTCACGATGCAGCGGCCGCTCACACGGGACGCCCATACACAGATCGGCCTTCACCCAGTCACGAACAATTTCGCGGTACAGCAAGGGCCCCCAATCACCACGGAGTGGTGGGATAGGTTTCCCAAGATGGCGAACCTCACCATCAAGTTCTGGAAGCCAGCTTCATGGGGTGACTGGTTCGACACGTGGTTCGAGACGTCCATGGGGTACCGCGAGTGCTCGGTACAGCTCGTAAAGCTTCGCGAAGATCTGCGAGCTCCTCGTTGTCCTAACGTATCGTTCAAATACGAGGACGGCGAGGAGAACGTGGGACGCAGAGAAGAAGTCGAGGCGGAGATGCTGGCCATCTTCGAGAAGTCCCGGTCCAAGCAGGACGTCGCTTGAGCTGGGCTTTGGGCTGGCGTGGTGGTTTCGGATTTGGCGAATCTTAAAGCAAATTGTATAATCAAAATTCAACTTTCTTTTCATATGCAACCTCCTGATACCAACGTGACTAATGTGAGACTGAGTGACCTCCACTCAATGTGACCATTAAAGAATTTTTCCTAGGCAGATTAGTTCTTACTAACAACATACTTCCCTATGTCGATGATCTTCACCACTCCGTAATCTGTATATCAAAACTTAAGAACTATGTACTCCTACACTTGCTGCTCCCATAAGAACGCATTTCTGTACATTTAAGATTCTTTGGCGGTCCTCTGTTTGGATGTTGTCAATGGGCTGAGGAAAAAGAACAATTCGAAGGGAAGAGGTAGGGTATTTATACCTACCCACTCCACCTGCATATACAAAATTCGAGGCTGACAAGATACGGCTATGTATCGATGGTGTTCTTCACTGTTGCCATTGCCAGCTTCCAGAAGATCCGACATTCACATGCACTAAAATTTTCATATACAAAAGAGACTTGATACCCATACTGTGAGTTCTGATTTTCCATGATCCGCAAATGGCAGTGTTAAAAGTAGGGGTATTGCTAGTAATAGAAAGGACTTCCTCTCTTCCACACTAGTGAGAGCCCAAATATCAACGAAGAGTAATAATGATATTTCTTGTCATTATCACCACTGTCAACTAAAAAAGAATAAAAAACTGCGCGATATGTTTCACATAAGCCTACGCAGAAGATCCCACTACAAGAATAACACATAATTGCAGTGCAGTTCCTATTCTGATCGTCTCCTTCCTCACATATCTATGGCGGTATAGAGGACAAAAGAACTGCTACTTAGGAAGAGGAAGACCTGTTTATACCCTAGAATGCCAAGAAATAGGAACCAATAGTGATAGTGAGATATGCATCCATCATCATCACTTGCGACCCTCGATTGACTAGAAACTGGGCAAGACAATGTGCTCATGATGTACCTGTAAGTTCAACTCCACCACAGGAATACATATTTCACAAGTTGGTGCAGTTGTAATCTTCTCATGGCATCGTCTTTTTTGATTTTTAGCAATATGAGAGAATGTGATGTTTAGAAGTAGAGGAAGTAGAGGAATCAAGTGTATATATACCCTAAATACTAAGGAGAAGAACTAGTCAATATTAATACTCATGCATCACCATCGCCATCGCAATCAAAGCCTTGAACTAGAACCAAAGTTTGATTATTCATGTGATCACCACTCATTTTAACCATGCAAGTTCCCGACATTGCAAGTGCTGGTCCATTATTCTTATTACCTACTTAATCGTAGTAGAGTAGTGAAACGAAAAGGGACTCAGATTCAAGCGGAAGAAAGGGGTATATTTATACCTTAAGGCGGCAAGCACGCTAAAGACAAGAATCTGTCAACGAAGGCGATGATATGATTCACTGCCAAACATCTTTATCACCATGGCCCTGCAACTCATAAATAACTTCAAAATATATATCGCTGTTGATAATGTGAGCATGTGTCCTTTTCACCAAAACAACATTGCTTGGGTCTCGTTGGCCTTTCTCTTCCAACCCCCCTCTCCGCGAACTTGCAGCTATTCATGGCGTGGTAAGTATAGAAGGACAGAACGTCACGAGAGGTTGTATTTGTACTCTTGGGGATCTATCTAGATGTAGCCGGTAATGATGATTATCATCACAAAACTATGACAAGAAACTGGAGACTACTACATTCTTTTCGCAGAACCACATGTGTTGGTGTTAATGAATGTGACAAATGCAGTTTCTCTCACTCTCCAAACCATAGCAGTTTGAGGAAAAGAAAGACAAGAAGGAGCGTAAAGGGGGCATATTTATACTTCCTTAGCAGTATGCCAAGAGCAGAGCTGATAGTGATGGTGATCATCGTCGTCGTCGTCGTCACTGCTGAACTAAATTAATGTTTTATGCTCTGTCCCTCCCCCCACAAAACCACACAACATTATCAGCCGCAAAACTCTCCTTCTTCTACTGCGTACTTGTAGTAGTGTAGTTTAGAGGAAGAGAGAATGGTGAGCAGGAAGGGTATATTTATACCCACAGCAACACGCTAAGAACAAAGCTAGCAATCATATTTGCTGTCATCATCATCATCACTTAACAAGAAGAGTCCAGAACCGTGTCTTGTGTTCCCGCAGAACCACATGTGTTCATGACGCATTTGCTTTAGGCCCTCTCTCTCCCTGCCAGAACTGATGGTAGCGTAGAAATGAAACAAGAACAAGAGCGCATGACAGAGAATATTCCTACACATCTTAGGCGTTGGGACTTCTATGTCAATCAGTAGGTTGTTAATAGTGATACTCATCACCGTCATTGCTCAACTAGAATACTAGAAACGAAAACATTCCAAAATTGGTGTCCTTTCACCATCCCCAGAGCCACATCGCTTCATGAAACTTTGTCTTCTAATCGCCCATTTCTCCAAATATATCCCTGGTAATTTGAAGAAAAGAGAGGCAAAGGAGAACGAAGAGAAGTTTTTATACCCCTTGTCTCTCCCTATTAGACACACGTAGTCATTAAAAAGCCAGTTAGTCTACCTGTGGTGATGGTGCTAATGATGCTCTTCTATCATCGCCCTTATCATGAATTCGAACAACTAAGAATAAGATAAAGTCATATACCCTTCCTCCCTCTCTGTCTCCAAAGCCACATGGCTTATCGTGCTCAATCTTTTTATATCCTCCCCTCCCCTACCGCATACTCGTGGCAATGTAGATGACAGAAAGAAGAGCAAGAGGGGGAAAGAAGAAGAGAGGCTTATTTATGCCCTCGGTCTCTTAGATTCACGTTCATTTGTGGATAGTTCAGCTTGTTAGTCCTTCAATCAATCGCGAAAATGATGAAACTCATCATCATCATTATCATCATCACAACCGAATGAAAAAGTGTGAAAAGAACAACTCATGCACTTCACCTTCCCCCCGCTCTCTCACAAAGCCATTTCAGGGTTAGACGTTCCCGTTTAGTCTTCCGCTCTTCTGCTACACACTCGTACTAATGTACGAAGAGAGAAGATGCTCAGATAGGATCACGGAAGGGGAGGTATTTATACCCTCACGCTCTTAGAAGCACGCTAAGGCCAGAAATTGGTGATGATCATCATTATTGTTATCACCATTACTACTGGCACATCAGAAAACGAAAGATACTAAAACTCATGTTCCTCCTCCTGTTCCTCCTCCTGTTCCTCCTCTTCGCTGGTTCCATAGGAAACATCACCACTTGTTTGTTTTTGTTTTACACCTATCCCCCCTCTTCGGCTATTAGTAGCAGTACAGAGAAGAGAACAAGAAAGGGAGAAATAAGGCGTATTTATACCTTTTTTCTTAGTAGATACGCTAAGACTAGAACTTAGTAGTATTCATCATCGTCGTTATCACCATCATCGCCATCACGACAAAAACAAAAATCTAGAGACTTTAAAAACCATGTCCTTCTTCCTTTGTCCCACAGGACCATATCGTCCTTGCATGTATCTTCTTTTCTTTTGTAGAACCCCCAGTCCTTCCCCCCTTCTACCAGTAACAGTGTAGAGGAGAGGAAAGCAATGAGAGAGAAAAAGGGGAGATATTTATACCTAGAGATAGATACGCCAAGACTAAAGATTGACCATAAGAAGGACTATGACTATGATGAAATGAATCATCATCACCGCCAATACTACTAGAATTGACAAAACTGTAAAAACGCATGTCGCACACAACTCTTCCTCCCCCTCTCTCCAACAGGTCCACATTCAAGTGCCTCTAACGCTTTTTAGGTCCCTCCCACAGGCCCACTTGAAGTGATGGTCAAAGTAATCTTTTTTTGAGTTTTTTTTTGATTAGATGTTACAGTGGTTCCTACACTTAAAAAGAATAACAGAAATGTTAAATAAAAAGTAGACGGGCACAAAAAGCTTTAAAAAGGGAGTTTTGCTTTCAGCACTGGGCCAGGGATGCAACACCTGAAGTAAGTTTTTTAAATCCTACCCTTCTTCCCCTGCTACATATCCATAGCAGTGTAAAGTAAAGAGGAAAGAAAACGAACAAGAAAGAGAGAAGAGAGAAGTATTTATACCCTCTTAACAGCATGCACGCTACGCTAAGGAGTCACCAATAACAATACTCACCATCATCATCACCATCCTCCACATTCAAAAAAAGACCCATAAAGGAAGAGAAAACTTGACGTCCAGCCCCCGCTCCCCACAGGAACACATCATCAGGTCGAGTAGAAGGTTATAGTCCTTCCCACGGAACCACCATTAGGAAGCTGTGGTCGCGTCTTGGAGCCTCACTATCATTCTTCTGTTAATACAGGCGGTGATGTGAAGAAACAGAAGAAGAGGAAGAGAAAAGGGAGAGAAGATACGTCTATTTATACTTTCTCCCCGCGTTGGTACGGTGAAGACTTAGACATCGATGATGATAACAGTGATGGTGATACACATCAACCCACTCTTTAAAACAAAAGAGTAACTTAACCTCAATTTCCACACACTAGCATCATCCTCCAACAACAACCCAACAGACCAAGACAAAGCCAAAACAAGACGGCCTCTCAGCACATTGAAGCCTTCCCAAGATCGGTTTTGATAACGCCGGGGGGTTATAACGCAGCGGTGTAGTAGGGAAGAAGAGGAGGAGGAGTTGCTGTAGCAATCCATCCGCACAGAGAGGAAGTATATATAGTGGTTTGTTTATCCAATTGCATTACCCCCTGGGGAATGTGGGGCTGGTTTGGGGGGTGAATAGGTGACGTGGTTGGGGTAGGCGAGTAGGTGAAACAAGGATTGCTGGACCAGGGAGAGGAATGGATGGAGAGGCGAAGAGAGAGAGAGAGAGAGAGAGAGTGGGGAAGGATGGGCGAGTGGATTGGAGAGCCGATTCACATGATAGCTTGGGGGTTACCTGCTATGAGACACAGGTGTTAAGTGTTGTTTTGTTTTTTTTTGATGTGAAATGTCATAGGGGGGTTTTTGGTGGGGAAAAGGAGAGGCACATTCACGACAAGCAGAGATGGAAACAAAAACATAGAGCAGAAATGTAACCAAAAAGATTCGTATATCGTAGATTACACTAAACGGAATCCTAGCCGTCATCTATCGTGGGTCTATGAATAGCGAGCGGATGAAAACAGCGTATGTCTAATGCCCATCTAATGCTGTTCGCACACAAGGATGACTGAGGGTATTAAATGTACAGAGAAACGCCGTGGTCTGAAAGAGACCGGACTTTTTGGTGTGGCTAGTTCAATAGCCAATGCAAACCCATGCTTCTTCTTTTTTTGTAAACCAAATGATTACGCCTGCATTCAGCCCGTGGACTGAGATGCTATGAGATCGCTAAATGCGGGATGAGGGAGGAGCCAAGAGTGGAGTGGAGATCCGATGACTTTTTTGTTCGAGAAAAGGAGGTGGAAACCGTGAGCAATACGCGTCTTGGTCGCTTTAATCGGATTACATCCGGATCTCCTGCAAGATCCGGCTGTCCTGCTGCAGCCGCAGGATGTCTCTCTGCTCCTGGAACGCCCGTCGACTCATGGCGAGCACCATCTCGAAGCCCTCACGACCCTTGGCAGCGTTCTGTTGGAACCTTTCCACGGTGACCTGCTCGATGCTGTTCTTGATCTTCTGCCATCCACCGCATAGCGCAGTTATCTCGGCGCGTTGCTGGAAGTTTGTCTTTGAGGTGGGAGATGAGGCGGAAGGTTCGTAGATGCAGGTCTCGCGGACGTTGAGGAGGTCGGCCCACGTCAAGTTCATTGAGCAGAGGGTGACGCGCTTGGCCTTTGGGTCGACGTAGGAGGTCTCGTAGACGAGCGAGGTGTCTTGGCCGCCGAGGATGGATGTGACGAGCTTGGGAGCGTTTTGTTTGCAGGTAATCAAGCGTTCAGTGCGCAGCTGGATGACGATACGTCAGTATGATGGTGAAAGACGCGTGCAAGAGTGCAACTCACGATGCCAGTGTTGGGATCCACTGTGCGGGAGAGCGTGTCGACGGCGATCACATGTGGTGTCTTCTCGTTCCACGGGCCGTACTTGCGCCAGTTGGAGGTGGACACCTCCTCCCACGAGTAGTCAAACTCGGTGCTCTGCTGGAAGATCTTCATGGTGAAAGTGCGATTGGGTTCGGTTCTGGCGTGGATGGATGGATGAGATGGCGAAAGGAGGTCTTTTAAAAAAAAGACTCCTGGGGAATGGGAAACAACGCAGGGGCCACCGCCGAGCGGAGGTTAGCGATAATCGGGAGCGATAAGCAAGGGCACGGATGCTTGGAGAGCGTTATGTGACTGTGACAGTCAAAGACGAGGTGTTTGAGACAAACGGCAGGAATGCAGATGCCAAAAGAGGGGGACGGTTGAAAAAGATTTCAAGTGCGCACGCGAGCAATATAAGGGTGTGGATAAAGAGAATGTGTGTGTGTAGAGAGAACGGATGGTTGAGAAAGTCTTTGAAAGGGTTTGGGGCGGGCCGTGACTCGTCGGCTCCTCGGTTGCACGAGCCAGACAGAGCCCAGCAGGATCCTTTGCCACACTTTTCCCACAGTCGCCCACGCTCCACCAATCAGGGCCGGTGCAGTGTGCGGATAAGCATCGTTTCAGCCCGAGTTGGCCCGATGACGCCCCAATGGTGTCTTGCAGCCGTCTCCTTGGCCAACAGGGCAGAGATCTGCATGTGATTGGGGGTTGATGTTCAGATCCGTTGTGGAGATGCATTTGCTGCGAACAGCTATCCAAAGCCGATCTTGCTCTTGGAGTGGGGATTTGACGTCGCCCTGCGAGATGCTTCGACAAGTCCAAATGCACTGGTAATGGATCCTGTTGCTTGACATATGATTGGCCCAAAGCCGAGCCGGAGATGCATCGGACAATCTCGACAGTCAATATACATAAACACATACAAAGTAAAAAGACTGTCATACCGTGTTGAGTTCAAGTTGATTACTATCGCATTATTCCGAGGAGTTCAAAACTCAACCCAAGATGAATAGTCATACAAGCCAGCCCGTGCCAGCATATAATACAGTGTCAACGACGTCTGCAACGTGTGTGCCCGATCCACCACCACCAGAGGGGGGTATAGTACAGGGAAAAGAACAGCCAAAAAGGCACTTGTTATACATTACTCGTACGTGTCCAATGGCGCGATTCCAGCCGCCACCAAAGCACACTCGACAACTTCGCTGCGGTCCCAGTAGTACTCTCGCATCCACGCCGCCACCATGTCGAGTGCAGTAATGGCCGAACCGCTGCTCCATAGCCTTTCGTGCCGTGCCCATGGCATTTCGAGCCAACCAGCTTCCGGAAACCGTTGCCGGAGACTGGGGAGCAGAGAAGGCGGCCCGGTACATCGTTTTTGGCGCAATAGACCCGTCTGTCCCAGGTCGAGAATGCCGGATGCGATACACATCACAGCCATGAGTGCGGGATTCGAGCATTGGGTCGTGAGGAATCCTCTTGCCTGCACGGATAGTTCGCCCGATGAGAAAGACCCAGGGATGACCAGAATGTCGAACTGAGGGGCATCCTCGAAAGAGTTCTATGCTTGGCCGTCAGCGTCATGTCCTTTTCTTCAAACTCGCCGGAGAACGGATCGGGGCATGTGGTAACCTTTATCTCCTTGCCAGACTCTCTCAGTTAGCTAAAGCGAGACCATGGGAATCCGGCGCGACCAGGAAGGGATGGTTCTTGGCCAAGGAGGCGTGGCTCTCTCTGGGTTTGGTGGGACATCGTGCTGGCTCATACAGGTGAGCTCACCGTCACTGGCATACGAACGCCCGAGGTGATGGGGAACGATCCCTCGCCGCTCTCGCTAACGTATCGTATGTCGACTTCGTCTACAGCTCTTTCCAATGTTCCTGCTGCCGCATTCAAATTGGCGATCCTGTTGCGGCCGATATTCGCGAGCATGTCGACCACGGCCAGATCCAGCAATTGAACTTGACCATGTCCGAGAATGAGCACGCCAACCCGCAGCGATGACTTGGAAGGAGGAGCGTAGTGAATGTTCAGGTCCTCCTCCGAAGTGGAAGATGTGGTGCAGAAGTAGAATAAATCTGCGGAGGATGGAAACGACGTGTACCCTCTTGGCGTCGACATGAGACTAGTGTGGCGTGAGGATAGAATGACTATAGAAGGAAGATGTAAAAGAAAGCAGGGGTCATGTGATAGGGTGGAGTGATGGAGGTGGAGTGATGAAATTCCATGGTGGCCTCAGGATGACTCTTATAGCAAGAAAAGGCCACGAGAGTTGATATCATCGACATGGATTCGACGCGGGAACCATCACTGCATCCCAGCGCGTGCTAAATCAGAAGGGGACATTTGAAGCACGTCCTCTGCCTAGCATATACTCATCAAAACGAGGGGAGCGTAAAAGAAGCAGTCGCAATAGTTCAGCCCTTGTGGACGTCGGTGGCCCTCTGCTAATTTGGGTACCGCTACAACCGAAGCGAGACGAGAGATGACTGCTCGGACCTCTCGAGTGCGTGTCCAGTGTACCATTATGGCTGCCTAGATATCGAAACAGGTGTTCCAACCCGTCTGTGCATTGCTCTTTGAAACGTTTGCTCTCTATCCTCTGCATATTGCATTGCGCGTACCTTGTATGCGAGTGAAGACGGTTCTTGGAGGCGCTCAGGCAGCAGCATTCGTCGACATCTGGTTGGAATAAGGTTGATTCGGTAGACGGGGTGACGGCAATAGAGGAAGCGGATCCCTGGCGGCGGACGGACGGTCAAGGACTTGCCAATACGCGAATGACCATGAACGGATTACGAGAAGCGTGGCTGTGTGAGGGAGAATGCGGAATGCCACTCAGCAGCTACCTCTGTCAGGAAACCGGTAGTGAGCCCGAATCATCAGGCACAAATCTCTGACGGTCATCTGCCAAAAGTGCGATGAAATACCGGAATATTTCATCGTGAGCGTGTTGGGTGAGTCAAATGCTGTTTTCCCTGTTCCGAGTTCCTCCGCTGCACTTGATCCGGCTTTCGCGCGAACGCATTGGATTTACTGTAGCAGTAATTACCATGTAGATTGTCCTGCAGCAACATGGTCTTGACAACATTCTTCCCAAACCGGGGTCGAAAAGGTTGTGTCACCAATGAGAGTATCGCCGATTCACGTTCATGTTGGCTGGTGTCACACGACCGGTTCACTGCAGAGGGAGAGATTGATTGATTATTCATGACCGAAACTCCATTCTATGAGCCTCATCGGCAACCCAGATGCCAAGCAGCTCGTGGAAACCCATCGAGTGTGGGGGCGCATGTCTTTGCCCGCTAACCACAAGAAAACAGCAATATCATAAGTATGTACAGTGCAACCAAAGGGCCGACGTGGCAGCTCTAGACGTCCATCGGTGAGCCGTCAGCTTGTCCAGACTTGACGGCCTTGCCCGTCTTCTTGATCTTCTCCAGGACGGTGCCGTAGTCGAGCGACTCTTCTGTGACGATTTCGGCAGTCTGGGACTCGAGGGACACGTTGTATGACTTGACGCCTACGACGATTGTCAGCTTCGGTGCACACCGGAAATGATTCCGTGGTGCGGCAGGGGCACATCAAACATACCGTCAAGTTTCTTCAGAACGCGCTCGATGGCACCAGAGCAGCCGCCGCAGCTCATGGCGACTTCGAATTTGTAGTTGTGCTCGGCCATGGTTTAAGGTATGAAGTTGGCGGGGGGTGACAGAGGTGTGGAAGCGGGGTAGGAACTGTAAGGTGTGTCTGCGCGAGTTGCGTTGTGTATGAGGAGAAGAGGAAAGTGGCGTTGAATGGACAAAGGCAAGCAGCGGGGAGGAGTGTTTTATAGGAGAATGGGTGAAGGAAGTAGTGAAGGTGGGTAGGTTGCGCAAGTTTCGCGATGGTGTTGCAATAACCCAGATTGCCTTAGATTACTCCGCCGTCTAGCTGACATATCGCCTGTAGGAGAGACTGAGACTGGCGGCGCTTCACCATGGTAGCGTGCCGGGTCTCCCAGACCGCAATGTGTCCAGCTGTGGCGCGAAACTTGCTCATTCTGCTATTCTTTGTTGCGCTGCTGAGCAGAACGCCACACTGTATAAATTGACATGTGTATGAGGCTCCGTTCGGAAGACAGGTTGTTGGCCGTCAAACTCAACGAGAGACATGCACAATATTCCATCGATCTCGAGAGAAATGTGTTGAGTATTGAACAACGCACTGACAACCTGAGGTATCATGTCCGAATGCCCAATAAAATGCACTCACTTTGTGTATCTACTGAGGCACTGATATTCACGCGCGCGTGTGCAAACTGGGCGATTGCACCAATCACTCTCGTTTTGCTTAGCTGTCCCTGAATCTATTATTGGGCTAACAGTTGAACCCTTGATTACTAAAGTGTGATCATGTACCATCGTCGAGCACTGTCTTCCCAGTCCGCAGTCTGCGAGAGGGTGCAAACAGGCTAGGCAGTCAGTCAACTCAACCCCACGTTCCCAGTTCGGCGGCGGCGCAGACGTCACACTTGGACCCCACTCTCCGCTGTCAACATCACCAACTTTCTTCTCTCCCATAATTATCCCTCCACAACAGTCGCCCCGTGGCGGCAACTTATCAACCATGGCCTCGTAAGCCCTCTCAGCATCTTCCCAGTCTCATCTAACCACCATGGCTAGCAATATCTTGTTCCTCCCTTTCCGCCGCTCCCATTCCATCAACCTTTCCGACGCCATCAAACAGTACATTTCATCCAAATATGATCAACACCCAGATCTGTTTGCCAAAGATCTCGAGACCATCGAGAAGCTGCGTTCAACCGCCATCCACGCCCAAGAACCCCACCCTAGCCATATTCCAAAGCTCCAATCGTATGCTGCTCAGTTGGTATGGATCAGCGGCAAGTTTCCCATCGATATCGGCGTCGAATTCCCTTGGTATCCTGCCCTGGGATACAACACAGGCCGTCTCATTGCGAGGAACAACTTGCGCTTTGAACTAGCCAATATCATCTTCAATCTAGCGGCCATGTACTCACAACTCGCCATGTCGTCGAACCGAAGCACCCCAGATGGGTTGAAAGTTGCCGCCAATAACTTCTGTTTTGCCGCCGGCGTCCTTGCCCACCTCCGCGATAATATACTCCCCGAATTGAGGACAACGCCTCCCGAGGACATGGACACAATGACTTTGGAGTGTTTGGAGAAGCTCGTGCTGGCACAGGGCCAGGAATGTTTTTGGCAAAAGGCAGTGAAAGATGGGATGAAAGACGCCACCATCGCCAAGCTGGCCGCGCGCGTGTCGGACCTCTATAACGAAGCCAGCGAGGCCGGTATACAGTCGGATTCCGTGAGCAGTGAATGGATACATCACATGGCAGCAAAACATCATCACTTCGCTGCCGCCGCACAGTTCCGTGCTGCTTGTGATTGCTTGGAGAAGCGCAAATACGGCGAGGAGGTTGCAAGGCTACGCGACAGCCTGACGTGCGTCAATGAAGCTCTGAAGGAGCAGCGGTACATCAGCAAGCTGGTTTTGGCAGATCTCAACGGCTTGAAGAACAGAGTCACCGAAGATTTGAAGCGCTCTGAGAAGGACAATGACATGATTTACCTGCTACCGGTCCCGCCAAAAACCGAACTCAAGATTCTCGATAGGGCGAACATGGTCGTTTCAAGAGTTCCCAAGGAAGTCTCCGAGTCGAATTCCATGCTGGGTGATCACGGACAGCTTGGCCCGGCCCTCTTCTCGAAACTCGTCCCCTATTCTGTGCACCTTGCCGCCAGCATATATTGCGATCGCCGGGATCGATTGGTGAATAGTACCATCATCGAGGAGCTGGAAGTACTCACTGCCCAGGTTCACGACGTTTTGAGGAGCCTCAATCTTCCCGGGTCCCTTCAAGCCTTAGAGAAACCGCTGGGTCTCCCGCCAGGTTTGATTACACACGCCGAGGAGATTCGGCAACAAGATGGACTGAAACGACTACTACGATCTATGGAGGACACCAAAAAGCTGAAACAAAACGACATGGCCATATACCAGGAAGGATGTAGCATTTTGAACTCCGAGGCAGCAGAAGACGAAAATGCGCGACGCAAATACGGAACAGATCGCTGGTCACGGACTAGCGCTGAACAAGCAGCTCCCAAGTTGTATGCACAAATCGGAGAGATTGATGGGTACTTCAAGGCTGCAGTGAACAGTGATGGCGTTGTTGCGACCAAACTCAAAGAAAACGAAAACTTGATACGACTTCTCAATGGACCAGACTACGATCTCGAAAACTACGTACCCAGCGGGAGGCGTCCTGCTATTACGGGTGACGTAGAGAGGGAGGCTGGGAAGCTTCGCGGCTTCTTCAACGAAATAAGTCGCTTGGAAAGCCGTCGCCGGCGGAAGATTGAAACTCTGCGGACCAAGGCGAAGCAGGACGACATCAATCCGGAATTATTGCGCGAAGCAGCGCGCTTAGAGCGAGAATATCCAATGCAAAACATCGAGGCTGTGCAGTTCGAGAATCTGTTCGACAAGAGGCTCCAGATGTACGACGTCGACCAGGACATGGTTAAACAGGAACTCCAGGATCAGTTAGAGGCAATCAGACGACTAGAAGCCGCCAATAACGCATTCGTGAACGCACGACGAGGCGATCAGTCAACCAAACAACGCGAACAAGCTCTGCAAAGTCTGGAGAATGCTTACTACAAGTACAAAGAGATCATTGCCAATCTCGATGTTGGGCGAAAGTTCTACAACGACCTCGCCAAGATTGTCAACAGATTCCGGGATGACTGTCGCAGTTTCGCCTATCAACGCAAGCAAGAAGCGTCTCAGATAGAGGGGTAAGTGCTGATACTTGTATTCCAAAGAAAGCATGTGGAATTAATCTCCCCCTAGCGACATCGCCACATCCATGAACTCGCTCAACCTCCAACAAGCAAATTCAAGTTCACTCCAGCAACAAAAACAGGCAGACGCTCAGAATCCTCAGTACGGCGCAGATGCCCATGTAGGCGAACCTCTGACTGCCCCCACGCCCACACGTGCCAGCGTCGGCCCACAATCCGGCATGTGGACCCCAGATATGGGAATTCGGTTTGCACCTGCGGGTGGGACGCGACCTACCAACGGCCCGGCGCAGGATGCTCGGTGGGATCCCACGCAGGGGCTGAAATTTGGATGAAGGATATCGTGTGCTTGAGGATCAGTTGGATACAATCACCCGGTTGTAATGATAGGAAAGAGGATCTGGCGCGTGATCCAGAAAGTTGCTTGTTACTACCCAATGTGTTGATGAAGTACCATCATCTTCAGTCGTAATATACATACGCTTTGTAATTATATCGGGATGAGGCAGCCCCCGAGCGAGCATTGGGAAGAAGAGATGGTGAGAGTTGCCTGCACACCCACATTTCCCCATTGAAGCGCAAGTATCGCAACAGTGATGTTGATATATACCCATGTACTCAGTAGATAGATAGCCAGATCTATCCTTATACAACCTACTTCCGAAAAAGAGAGCCATGCCCCAACAGGCTAGACCTCACGAGCGCAACATATCGACCAGAATAGGAAGCTGAGACTTGTCAACGGACGTCCCTATTTATCCCATACCTATGTATCGGCATGTCCGAGGAAATGGCCCTAATCCAATTACCCGTCAAGTTTGGGGGAAAAGCAAGATCAATGACATTTGAAACGCGGAGGCGTTCCCAATAGTGACTTGCATATCGAGTATGTACGTCTCACACAGATTGTATACGAACAAACCAAGACAGACTGAAGAAGCTTACGCAAGCGTTTCCTTTTGCGGGGCAGTTATTATATTGGCAAAACGGGATTGTGGGGGGAGTGAAAGGCTTGCGTGGACAATTTATTGAATTGTGAATGAATGCAATTGAAAGGGCGGCATGGTCGTATTGTGAAACTGATCGATAAATCGGCTGCGAGAAGAGGGATTCGCGTTCAAGCATCAGAGAAAGTGATGGATGGCAGGGGAAAAAAGGCTTGCGTGGACTTATGCATCCAAGAAATCTTGGATTATCGAGAAAAAAAAAAGAAGGAAGAAAAACCCCGGTTTCTGGTGCGATCGAGATTTGAAACTGGTCGATAGAACGGTTTGCGGGAGAGCGTCCATGCCATCAACGTTCAAAGAGTGGCTACAATGAATGTGGCGGGGGGCCAGAAACAGGAGCGTTGACAATCGAGTTCCAGCATCGATCCGTCTTTCTAATCAAATTGGCCACTGAAAATCACTGCATTAGCGAGCGAGTGGAAAAACGAGCTGTAGGGTGAACGACGGGCAAAAAAAAGACAAGTCGGGTAATAAATCTGCCTCGTTGGGGGTCTGTTGTGTGCGCCTCGTGCGTACGTCTTCTTTGAGGGCTTCGGAGGGGGGCTGTGCAAACATAGTTAACCTAACATGTACCTGCATGCTAATGGGAAGATCGTTCTCACCAAGGGTTGGAGGATGATGACCTCAGGTACTAGTCAGGTCAAAGACGAGAGAAGAAGAAGGAATAGCGAATGCTTGATTGCCCTGTCCAATCAGCGTGGGATTGCAAGATTCGCATTCTTGATTCTCTTGGGTTGTTCATGGGAGGTTCATGTCCCGCACGAAATGCATGTCGTACACGCGTTCGCAACTTGATAACTCCATGGGGATTCTCGATTATCGCGCGGGGTCCGGAGCGCCGGGCTGTTCGACGGCCTGGTGCTTGTGCTTGTTGGCGGGTAGCATGATACAGCAAGGCTTCTTTCAAAGGGTGAGTGATGAGTAATGTTGGGGAGAGCGGGTTGGCGAGTGTGTGGGTTTCCGCGAAGACGGAGTACGAGACGTTGGGGATGTTGGAATAGACATGCTCCGAATGTTGCACAATGGGCCTGCGCGAGATGTTAGTCAACGGGTGTGGTGTATACTGCCACCAATGATCGAGCTGGAGTTGTGGGCATAATTGCTTGGAGTGTGGATTGCAGGGTTCGTGCTGAGGGCGATTTCTTGATCTTCCAATGTTTGGTAGGTGATGAATCATGAAATGGTGGATGCTAGTCTTCTCTAGCATTCACTGATGATCTGTCGACACTGCAGGATAACTAAGAATATAGCTTGAGGCTATTTCCATCTTGTTGCAGTAGGAAAGGACCTATTTACAGCGTAGAAAAAAATATTAGAGTTGGTGTTCTCGTAGCGCCAACACGTGTAGATCCTGCTGCGGTGACATGGCGGTTGTGTAATACATGCGTAAAGGGACTGTCAATCACTACACCGTCTGGCACAGCCATGCCCTATTGAATTGGTGCTGTTGCTACATATGATAGCATCAATTGTATGAAGGATATCAGCACAACTACATCTAATTACAGCAGAGTCGGGTCATCTCGTTCTCGCGCATGGGCAAGGGCACGGGCGGGAGAGGCAAAGATGAAACTCGAGGTATTCCAAACGGTCGCCGGTCGACTCGATCACCATCAACGTTGGGCTTGGCGAGGCATACTGTAGTTTGCTTCTTTTTAGAAGCGGTTAGCGCTGGGAGGCTTAGACATCCACCTCGCTCGCGCTCACTTCACCCACCAGCGAGCTGTCGCATCACCCACACGACATCGCCAAATCCCTCCTCCACCTGCATGCTGGACTGGCTTGACTTTCCAGCAACGACTCTCACGCACTCGACGGCACAGCATCTGCACAGCCTCTTTCACCAGCCTCTCTCCACCACCCGCGCATCGGTGCATTGGCCTCCTCGCCTGCCGCCTCAAGCATCTCGCAGGAGGAGTACTTGCCCGTCCGGGTAAGGCTTGGCGGATCGGGTCTGTGTCCTTTCAGGGCTCAACTTACCCTACCCGACCTGACCTGACTGACTGACTGACTGTGCGTGCGTCGTGCGTTCACTCCCGTTGTTTGTCGACACCCAGAATAGATCCTCTTGCTGTTCCTCCTCCCAATCCTCCTCCCAAACCTACCTCCACCACCACCATGGAGCGCGGACGCTCTCGCAGCAGCTCGTCCGTCAACAATATAAGGAATGCCTCCGCCTCCCCTCATGCTGCGCCATTCCCACCCGCCGGCTTAGGTCTTGATCCTTCTCTCTCCGACCCGCACGCCTTCAACCAAGTGACGACAGCGGGGCAGCCTTTCGAGCCACAGTACTCCACCGCCCAACCTCAGCAATTCCCTCACCAGACTGCCCTCGACCACTCCTTCCTGCCCTCCAACGGCCCCATTGCCCACCAGCGCAGCCCGCAATTTAGCGCCCAAGGCAACAATCTTGCTCCCGACTCTCTCGACCTCAACGGCAACCCCCACGCCAACAACGTCGACTTCAACCTCTTCCCCGAGGGCAACAATAACAACAACAATAATAGCTTTGGTCAAAACCAAGCAATCGACCCCTCATTCCTCAGCAACACGCTCGACCCGCAACTGCTCGACTCTCAGACCCAGAACCAGTCTGTGAACCCCACCGACCTCATGAACCAAATGGGCACCAGCCAGGCGCATTCTCCCACCCCACCGCACCTGCTGCCGGGCATGAACCAAGGCAGTCCCAGCCCGAATCACTCTCCGAACCTCAACCAGGGCGCTTTCCCTTCCCCAGGCCACTCTCGACATGCTTCGCTAGATCCCAATACCGCATACGGGCAGGTGCAGAGCAACGAGTGGGCAAACATGGCGCAGTTTCGAGGTCACAGGCGATCGCCGTCGGAGACGTACTCGGATGTCTCTTCGGCACATGCGTCGCCATACATGGGCAACACCGACACGTTTGATCACGACAACCCCTCGCCCCTCCTCAACGCCCAGCAAGACCCCTCGTTATTTCAAGAGGTCATGCAATTCGGTCAATTCAACCTGAATGACAACCACTCTCACATTAGCCCTGGCCACAGCCCGCACATCTCGCCGCGATTGATGCCGCAACAACAGTCGCTCCCTCAGTTTCAGCCAGGCAGTTTCGGTTTGGACCCCAACATGAACAATCAATTTACGCATCAGGGGATGGGCGCGTATCAAGGCCAGGGTGTCGAGCCATTCCCGACAATTAACCAGGCCGGCCCTGAATTTGGCCAGGCAGACACCATGTCTCCGCCCGAGATCAACATTGATTTCGCCCCACCTTCTCGCCAAGCTAGCTTTGAACCCCCGAAACCCGAGCTCCAAACAGATGCGCTGAGTCCGCCCGATCGATGTAAGAACCTCGGCGAACAATATAATAAAGACGCACAACTAACCGTGAACAGCTCGAAGCCGCAACCGAATTCGTGCCAAGTCCGACCCGTTCAGCAGCGCCAGCGCTCGTGCTTCCACCCCTGGAGTAGAGAGTGTTGGGTCGAACAGGTCGTTATCACCCGCAGCTGCAAAAACTTCGCGCTCGCCATCACCTGCCACAAAATCCTCACGTCGCTCATCCACCTCTAGTGTACCCCACCGGGACTACATATTAGACTTGGCAGATCCGTCCAGGCCTACCAACGTGACACCCGATGGTGCTGGAGGACCCAAGCGCACTCAGAAGCACCCCGCGACTTTCCAATGTACCCTTTGCCCCAAGCGCTTCACTCGCGCTTACAATCTTCGATCGCATTTGCGCACCCACACCGACGAGCGTCCATTCGTTTGCAGCGTCTGTGGAAAAGCCTTTGCTCGTCAACACGATCGCAAGCGACACGAAGGTCTGCATTCGGGAGAGAAGAAATTTAGATGTCATGGCCCACTGAAGGAGGGCAACCATTGGGGGTGTGGTAGGCGATTTGCTCGCGCTGATGCTCTCGGTCGCCATTTCAGGTCAGAAGCCGGTCGCGTATGCATCCGGCCCCTTCTTGAAGAGGAAGCCCAAGAAAAGGCTGGTTGGGACGGCCAAACTCAACCCATGGATAATGGCAACGGCATGTTTGCCGGCCAAATGCCTCCTCAGGGCTATCCTGGCATGATGCCTCAGCAGGGATACGAAGCTTTCCCTCCCGTAGGCAACATGGACCATGCCCCTGCCCCTCCTCAATATCTTCCAGCGGCATTGCTTGCTCAGTTCCCAGCACTTGCAGGCATCCAATGGGACCAACTACCCCCCGGAGCGCCTGACGATGTGGAAGGCGACATCAGTGGGAGAAGCAGCTTCGATGCCAGTAGTGGAGGTGAGCTCTTCGACGACGAAGGAGACTATTCCAATCAACAGGCTGTGTATAATGGTGGTTGGGCAAGTGATGTATGAGGCTAACGCGAGGTGAAGGCTTCGCATTCTCTTAATCCTACTACCGATTGGTCTTTTCACTCTGTACGCCATTCACAAGGCTTTAAGATTTCAATCTTTTCTCCTGGCTCGCCTTCTACTTTTCTTTGGCCCTCTTCATATACCTCTTTCTTCTTCCTCCTCCTTCATGGCGGCGAGCACACGATACAGGATGATTGGCTTTTTTCTTCATTCTCTTTTCTTCCTGCAACTACACTTTCTTTTCTATACCACCTATCGTTGGATGCTATTCGATATGTTGCCATGTTTTATGCAAAATGGCGGGGCTTTCTCGGGTTGCTAATACCCTGGGGTTTTCGATTGATGACTTTTCTTACGACCCGGAATGAATCCATCATCGGGAGAGTTGATGGATGGGGAGGGGTTTTGACGTGTTTTGTCATGAATGACTTTTTTGTTTTCAACATAGACGGGATCAAGAGAGACGTTAGAGAATTGTCTCTCGGGTCGATGAATAATCAAGTTTTATGGGAAACTAGATTTTATTGATTTATTTGAGTGATGATGAGTGGTTCAGTCTGAGAAGCTTGACTCGGCTTGTATGTGATGGCATTGCTTGGCTTCTTCGCTTTCTTTTCCTAACGTAGGTCTTGTTGAACATTGCGTCTCTGGACATATAAACGCACTCGCCAAATCTGTATCCTCTGCTATAAATTGTACGTTTAGTGTCGCTCAGCTCCAAGATCCCCAGCATTTACCAGCTTGATAACCCTCATGGGGAAAAATCATCTGAACTGGTGGTCAGTTTGAGATAGTGAGCGTGGTACTATTGATAGTATATTGCATTGTACCTAGTATAATAGGCCCATCTGTAGACACACGGACAGGGCCATCATTCAACGGAAATGAGAGTGTAGAAGAAAAAAGCCAACCCCAGAAACGCCCCAAACACCGATGCTGGTATACCCTAAAGATTACGATGAGCACTATGCCAAGCAGAAACACTTCTCAAGCTCCGTCCATCATCGCTTTCAATCCAGCACGACGGCTAGAACGATGATGACCAGTACAACGGCAAGGATCAGAAGGAGAATGCAGGCCTTGCTTCTCGCGCTCTTCTGGTAGTTGCTAGCTTGCTTCAAATTGACGTGTGCGCCGCGCGAAGCGTCATGCGTGACTTCGACATTCTCCTCGATGATGTCGAGCTGAGCGCCCTGCTCGTGGACCATGTGCGCGACATCACGGAACAGCTCGTTGAGTTCACCGACAGATTGCTCGATGTTGCGGATTTCGGATTCGCGCTCGATGATCATTTGCTCTTGAAAATCGACTTCATCCTGCGAGGCCAACCGCGGCTGCTCTAGCTCTTGCAGTTGTTGCTGGCTGGAGCCCCGTCGTTCTTCTATTGGCGACGATTGGTCCTCGAGGGCTGCTCTTGCTGCGGATGCTGAGGCTTTTTCCTTTTCAAGGGCTTGACGCTGCAGTTGCTGAAATTCGGTTAGGGTTGCTTTGAACTCGCGACTGAGTTTCGATTGGGTGAATCGTTGCGAGGGCTAAAACGCTGTTAGTTTCGAAATGCGATATCAAAAATCATGGGGTGCAGTCGTACGCCAACATCAGGCCAAGTGGTGAGCTTCTTGAGCCTCTCGCCGATGTCCTTGAATGAGTCTGATGTCTCTTCCACTGAGGTCTTGACCCTTTCCCTGATCCGCTCCGTCTCGCGTGACGTCCCTAGCTTCCCAACTTCTTGCGATAGCCGTGCGATGCTGCCGGTGAGGGAGAAGAGATCGTCTCCAAGCTTTGCAGAGAAGTCGCGGAATTCGGGATCATCGGCGTATTGGGGGTCGTCTTCTCGTCGCCATGTTGTAGGCTGGGACTCGAGGGCCGATGAACGTTGGAAGGACATGTCGCGGATGTTTGAGTGACGATGTGTGCGTTATAGAGCTGAAGAATGCCTACCGTCGATATTTCAACTGAGGCGCGCTATTTTCTCTTGCTGTTATAGTAGGCTAGAGGGGTTGTGTAGAGTAGAAGGAGTCGTTACCTAGAGGGAGCTAGCAATGACGACGCCGCGATGCACCTACCACCCACCGCGATTGCGCCGGGCCTTAGGTAAGCCCTGTAGCCAATCGAATCCCACCAGCGCCGCGCACCTTGGTAGTGTTTTGTCCTAAACAAACTTGAGCTTCCTGAACGTAACGGTGCTTGCTCTTCGTCGCTCCCCCTCTCAGGCGCCACGACTTTCACCCTTCCACTCTTTAAATCTCTTTTTCCTGACTCGTACGACTGAGGTTCCTCGACGTACGCTTTGCCATGATCTAATCCTGAAATTCCTTTCCACCACCGCCATTGTCTTCAACCTTTGTTTATCCACCTCATCATGGCTCCAGTACCTCCGGCGCGACCGTACCGGGATTTCCTCACGCCAGCCCTACACAAACGCTTCACAGATGCTAGCCTGTACACATTGCTGCTATGCTATACCATCTCAATGTGGATGGATGACTGGAACCACTGTGCGTCTGGTCTCTCTTCCAACCACGCTCCTTCACTAACACAATTTCCAGACCTTTGGGCATGGTTTCCAATCGGTCCCGCAGGCATACGAGCGCTGCTCATCTTCATCCCAGCCCTCGTCGTTTTCATTTTGCGCGTTGCGCAATGGCACGTCGGCCAGCGGAACACAGACAGACCACTGGATACCTTCCGCAAATATGCCATCCGGAAGAACACCGTCCTGACGCTGACCGGCTATGCGATTTCGGCGTGGTTCTACAGTGAAATATACATATGGACTCGAGCGGGCAAGTCTAGACTCAGTCTTACCGACCGTGGTGGTCGCCAACACGATTGGATCAGGCTGAATGAGCGTCCGCTTTACTTGCGATTCATGTTCTTTATTCTGGCCATGGTGCAAGGAGTGTGCCATTTGTGGTTTGATTACGACACAATTGATTTGCCTGCTATGAAACCCAGGAACGACAAAAGCACGGATGCAGAGCGGCCTTCCAAACGGCCCAGCAGGGTCCTGATGCAAAAGCTCAAGCCGATGGGGCTGATGGCTGTCTTTCTTGTGCTTTTTACATTCGTGGCGGGGAATATCCTTTATTTCCTCGGATTCCGAAATATTCTCTGGGAGTATTACTACTCTTTTGCTGCTATGATGGTGAGCCTACGACGGTCCTCTACGCCATTCGGACTTCCGCCATTCGCTCCATTGGTCGGCATGTTTGTCACTCAAGGAGCGCTCTTGGTGTTCCTTTGGCAATTGGTCAACACTGCATTTGGTATCTATATTGCGCAGGCCCCGCTGAAGAAGGGTCGACCGATCACCAGCGACTCGAAGGATCCGAATGGCAGTTTATTGAGTGGTTTGAAGGCCAAGAAAGAAACAGTCAAGGCAATCGCACTTTGGGAATTGGCTTTGATCACCGATCGCTTCCCCGAGCGCCGCAGGACCATTTACAGTGAACTGGACCGTAAGACGGCTTCTACATCCAAGCAAATCACAGACATTTGTCTTGCGGAAGTGCGTCTTCTCATCACACGCATTAGCATTGCTTTGGATCCTCAATTCCGGCCAGCCGATGAAAACGGTCAAAAGCAGGAAGTCGGACCCCTCACACTGGTTCCCAAAATCGCTCGTCCAATTCAAAATACACCTGTGACCCTTGATGGGCCGGGTCCTGCTCGAACCCGTTCAGAGGAGGCCGGACAACTCGTTTCAGGCATCGCGAAGGATCTCAGCTCGCCCACCAACAACAACCTCCGGAAATCGCCATATGTTCGGAATGGCTTAGAGAAGACACAACTCGCGATCAAAGAGAATACACAAAAAGCCGAGGCATCCTTCGAAGCTACAGGAATTTGGCCAGCATTGATCAACTCGTGGGCGGGTCGCCCATTCCGACAAAGCCTGCGTCGCTCCGCATCTCTAATAGTAACCGGCGCGCCCTACTCTCATCTGTCGCCTCTTTGCAACGCCATCACTGCTATCACGAATCTTGCCGTTCTATCTCTAAAGGAAGATGACTGGGGTCGCTTCTCCAAGCAGGTGCCAGATATCATTCGGTCCTTCACACTTGCGCTACAAAAATTGGAGGAGTATGTGGATTCATTGACGGTGCATTGGACGGATCTCGAGATGCTCAGCAAGCCCGAGGAGGAGAGGAAGAAAATTGCCGAGGTGGAGCAGGTGCGCGAGTGCTTGAGGGAAGGACTACGGGGCATTCTAGGCGTCTTTGCGGAGTACCTCAGGTCTATTGATTTGGGGATTGTGGAGATACAGGAAGCAAAGAAGGTCGTAGCTAGGGGACCCGAGATGGCACATGTCAGATAAACGCATGACTGGCGCTTGTTCAAGTACATGTGTACGGATGGAGTAAAAAGCAATGGGAAACAATCGTCATTCGTCCCAAAAACACATGACCATGGCTGCCTTCCGCGTGCTCAAGTGTAAGAAACTCGCCATCCCCTCCCCTGCTCCAAGTTCCATCCCAGCATCCCAATCTAACTCATGAATCTACCTACCCATTGTTCTCATCATCAACCGAACTTCTTTTGTTTGATTGGTAATAATAGTAACTAGTAGGTGGCTTCCTGGGCTGGTTTAGGACGCTAGGATGGAACTTGGAGCAGGGGAAGATATGGCGTCTATTATGTTTGGGCTTGCGGCAGGCGGCAACATAGCTATGTATTTGTTGTTAGGACAAATCAGTTGTTGAGTTGATAATGAAACTGAACCAGAAACCCCCTCCTCCGCCTCCCCCTTGTTGTTAATGGGCACTGGCGTCCGTTTTAGTAACGCTGCTTAGCACTATGAAGTTTTACGTGCTGAGTGTGCATGCTACTACTTTGTGGTTGCTCTCCAGTCCAGAGCTGATAGTAAAACAACAACTCGTTAAACAAACATTTGTTTACACTACCTACTTTCTATATAGTCATTGAATTAGCCAATTGAGTCTTGGAAACGTTTCAACCTGTAATAAAAAATAAAAGTAATGGTTTGATGGCGACACAAGCTAGATATATCTAACTGGACATGGGTTTAAAGGGATACAGTCTTATACTGAAAATACATTTCATTATGTCGAATTCATGGCACAATCCATCATCCACAATCTAACGCCTTTTGCGATGCTACGAAACGTACTGACGAATACTGAAGGGTATATATTCAATGATATGACCGACGCGCTTCCGCCCCCCATCAACCATCTCCTCACCACGCATCACCCCATCCCTCTTCTTCATCTTCATTACTCTTCACCTCCTCTTTCTTGACCTCCTTTTTTGGAGGAACAACCACCTTCCGCGTCGCAGACGCCGTCGGTCTGCCTCCTACGATCGGTTTCTTAGCCGCTGCCCCAGATTTAGCCAGACCCTTTGGCAGCACCTTCGCAGCCGGTTTCTTCGTCTGATTTTGCGCCGCCAGCCACCCCGCGAAATCAGGCTCGCCTTCATCTTCAAAAGGTTTTGATGTTGATGTCGTCGTGGAGGCAATGGCGGGTGTACCCCATGGATCATCGTCGTCGGGCCCGTCTGCCTTTGCCTTGTTCGAAGAGTCGCCGAGCCCGTCGTCGTCTTCGAAACCGCCCCAATCGCCCGAGAAATCTTCAGTCTCGTCGTTGAAGGCGGCTGATGGATCTGGGGATACGATTGTTGGGATCGAAGCGGCCGACTTCGCAAGAGTCATTCCCGGTCTGGGAGCAGGTGTACTCGCGCTAGGTTTGTTGGTGCTGCCGGCAGCTGACGGTGGAACAGAGGATGGCCGTTGTGCAGTGCCATTCCCGTTGGTCTGCATTTGACCGCTTGCAGAGGCAAGTTTGTTGGTGAATGACGAAATCGCCCAGCCAGTCCAGGTGTTTTCAGTTGTAGGTGCGCCCATACGGGGCGTGCTGGTGCCACTGGCTGATATGCCGGGCGAAGGCAGGACGCTATCGGGCATCGTAGCAGTATATTTACGAATTCTTGCTACATATATATCGACAGTCTTTTGGGCCTGGTCGCGAATCATCTTTTCCTTGTCTACGAGAGAAGGACACATGACAGGCAGCAACCTTGTCGCGCATTCTTCCTCGCCAAAGAGATCGGCCGTTGCGCTGAGGGCCAGTAGAGCAGCATTGCGAGCGTGAACAAAGGGATCCCGCAGAGATCGCGCAAAGGCTGCGGACAGTACTTTTGCTCGATTCTGTTCGCTGTCAGTCAAGTGAAAAACTCTTGCGTGTCGGAATCCTTACATTGGCCCCTAGATTTCGAGCAATCTTCCCTAGGCAGATAGTGGTGTTAGTGCGAATGCCAGGCTGGTCATCATTTGCGGTCTTTGCTAAATGCCGAAGGAGCTCTCCATTCACTACACGATCAGAAAGCTTCGGTACAATGACGAGTACGGATTTGACCGTTTCTTCCCTCACAATCGGCGCAACGTCGCTGAAACCAGTGACCTGAACACGATTAGCATAAAGTTAAAGATGGACGCGCAAGGTGGCAGTACCATCTGGGGAAAGATCTTGTCGTTGACTACTTTCTGCGGCAAGTGATCTATCATCAGAGGCAGGTTGTTCAACAAGAACACTCGAATTCCACGGTCGGGGTTCGCGAATAACCGTACGACTACAGGCATGATTTGTGACTCGTACTCTTCATCTGACAGTTTCGTCCCTATTTGCATGACGGTCGAGAACACTTTAGCACCTCCACCGCCAAACTCTACAGACTTGAGTAGTTCGGGTAGAACCTTCATTTTGAAGAAGTCGGCGGGGAAGTCATCGGCCACTTCATCGAGTTTGCTGAATTCGCGTTAGTTTCAACCAGTCGTGAGATGCGCATTACATACCCCAGCAATTCATTCCGCTCGTCTTCAGCTTTGATCCCCAAGTTGTCAATGTCGTCAGTGACTTGGATCAGTGCCGTTTGAAAGAAACCACCCAATCGCTTTCCTTGATCTAGAAACTGCCCTACACTCATCCTGGATTTGGGGTTCGCATTGAGCAGTCGTTTGTAGGCCTGGTGCATACTCGGCGGTATATTCCTCATCTGGGTCAACTGCTCACTTCCCTGATAGCTGCCGTTGAAGACCTCATAAATCAACGTTCCAAAATTGTATGCATCGACTGCGTGTGCCGGGTTCTGTTTGATCACCTCCCATCCTCCCTTGGATACCTCTGGCGGCATGTATCTATGAGAATCTGGAATCAGGCTTCCGTATGTTGGCAGAACCGAATCATCCTCCTTCATGGAGCTCAGAGCATCGAAGCCTCCAAGCTTCCACTCGCCGCTTTCGCTGAAGAATATTGACGCGGGCCGTATGCATGCGTGAACTGAAGTCGCTTCCGTGTTGATGAACTTCAAAGTTTTCGCAATGTTGTGAAGCCCCCATTTGGTCGTCTCCTCGGTCAAGCTCTTCCTCTTCACATGCCAGCTCAGAGGACTCAACCTCTCCGTGGCAATGTAAATGTACGAATCTGTCTGCACACACTTAGCGACTGTTTCCGTTTCCACTGTTCTTTGAGGGTTCCGCATACTTCTACCGTATCAAGGACCTTGACAACGCCTGGATGGCGCAATGTACGTAGCTTGCGGAGGGCATTGCGGGCGAGGGGTAGCCGAGACTTGTTAGCGTTTACGTCGAAGGAGAAGATGCTGCATTTGGAACCGTCTTCCTGGGGGAATAATGTTAGCTGCGAGGCCAGGGACTCAAGACAGCCCGGGCCATACTCGCTTTGTGCCGTTGTGCAACGTCCAGATAGACTCGTCGATGTCTACACGATCTCCGAAACTGTATCCAAATGCAGGACCCTTTGAGATGGCTGATGCCACGGCTGATTTGAGGAAATCCATGACTGTCGGGCCCTGGGAGAAAAACCAAGACCGTCTGCAGTATCACAAACTGGAGACTGTACTTTCGTATTGCTGCCCGCACTTCCCTTCCACAGCTCGGCGGGATGCCACATTACGATACGCTAGTCTGGCATGAGTATAGCTCCCGTTCACGTGATAACGTGCGTGTAACCCGCGATTGCACTTCCTGGACTCCTCACACATGTTACTAACCAACCGCGTCTACTTGCGCGCCTCATCAACAAAATCTTTTCGCTGCAGCTATTCAAACCGTCAGTGCAAACCCCCGGCTCGCACAGTTCGAATGGCTGCGTGCAAATCGCCCTCCTCTCCAATATCCTCCACTGTGTGACCTGGTCACCACAAGTCCCACCATCTTGCGGATGAGGAATGGCAGCTTGGGGACTGCTTAGTTTTGCGAACAAGCATATTCAAGAACTGTGCGAGAGAGGTTCCAAAGGTATGTGACAGCGCGCCTCATAGCGCGTTCCTGCTGTTGAGTGAACCCTCTTTTCTCTCTCAACTTTCATGATGACTTCTGGTAAAAGGTCAAATCGCAAAGCACTCCAGATGGTTCCTTCGGAAGCCTCGGCCGTTGCGACATGCTGGTTCTATAAAAACTAAAAAGATCTGATATGAAAATTACACGACGTCATCTCAAGACTGTTGCTGTTCTTGTTTTGCTTCTAACGAGATTCCTGCAGGGTCGGCTACTGTGGGCGTAGTATGTCCACTACCCCGAGCGAATATCTTCGAGAATGGAGACGTTTAATGAGCGCCAAAAGGCCCTTGGCCAGTCAGCTGCCGTCAATCAAGAGCAATTAGATGCCCGCCGTGCTGCGAATGCTCCCATATCACCCCCGCCGTTGAGACGACTACGTCATCCACTTCAGGAAAGCTTCGCCTCTGGTGCAACAGACTTCGTGCGGCAAGCGCCGTTCGATGTAAATGTTGCCGCTAGCAAGTCATCGAGCCGAAATTCAGGAAATGCCGCATCAGAAGCCAACGCGTCCAGCTGGACGGGACAGGTCTGGAAGTGTTGCTCGTGCCAACAAAAAATCGAGAAGGGCTTCGACCCACTGGTGCGGTGTCATGAATGTGCGAGACCTTACCATGAATCCTGTTTAGGATCCATGGCAGCTCCAAATGACTGCCAGTAAGTGTTCACACCCCGAGCAAGGGCGCGCTTCTGAGAAACATACTTACAGAAGATAGTGGTCAATTGCGATGTTTCAAGTGCGTCTCCCGTCGGCAGAAATCTCAAATGCCACCACCACATAGGCCTTCATTCGCTCATACCGCTATCCTAACATCTAGACAACGAACCATGCCCAATCCGACATCACTCATATCAAAGAATGCACCGTCGCCGAGATATCGAATCGAAGTCCCCGATACACCTGAGCACCCTCATCGGAGTGGTGAACAGACCGCAAGTTCCAATCCGGTAGACGTGGTTGAACAAGCTGACGCACTACCCGAACTGCTTGACTCCGTACTGGGTATGGAGCAGCTGGAGGTCGAAGATAGAGAAATCCATCCAAGCTTATGCTGCATATGTAACAAGACGCCGGTCCCCAAAGGCGACAGTGGCAAAGGCGTCAAATGGTAAGTTCCGACGAAGATGAGTGTGGCACAATCTGTAAAGGGACTGACGGGCACGCAGTCCACAATGCAGAATGACTGCGAAGAATCTTGCGTCGTGCCGGATCGATTTGACTATTCCAGAAACTCCAGAATCAACACTACAACCTGTATCTAGCATTGAGGCCCCCTTTGCATTACACAGTCCAAGTTTGAATGTGTCTACTACAGCATCCGATCGCGAGAGCCTGGTTTTCACCGAGCATTCGTCCGACGAAACACCAGGCACTGAAGATGCCAACATGGCCGATATAATGTCACCTGTTTGTGACTATGTAGAACGTTTGCAAACAAAGTCCCCATCACCATCCGGCACCCTACGGCAACACCCTTCAATAGGTGAGGAGCGACCACATGAGCTGGAACAGCTCATAGCGATCGCTTTGCTTGCGGCACAGGGAGATCCTCAGACGACAGCTCAGATCCACACTTGGCTGAACAATAACTGCACAGAATATTGTCCCAACAAAGATTGGGAAAGATTGATCAATGCACAATTGTCATTGAGTCAAGATTTCATAGCAAACAACGAGGGGATAATACCCATCCTATCGTGGACTTTTGTACACGAAGAGTGCAAGGCCAAATACCAAAGAATGTATTCGCAGTATCCTGCGCTCGTCGCATCGAGGCAACGGGCCGTTGAAAGGCAGAGTACATCCACTTACCATGCAGGTACCTCGGATACAGATACACCTACACCTACGTCACCCCAACCAGATGAGTCACCGGTAATTGATCAGGAAATGATGGATATCGATGAACCGACTTGGAATACTCCTGGCTTGGTTGAGGGAGGAGATATCCCAGATATCCCCCCAATATCACCTAATCTTTCACTGCCGGTGCGGCCTGATGTGCGACTGGAGTCCAATTTCTTCAAAGCCTTCCCGCAATACATCAAGCCTCATATCGATACTATGTCAGAAGAAGACAAGAAAACGAAGATTACAGAGATCCAGAAACGCCCCTCAAGAAAGGCAGGATTTGGTGCCTGCATACGTCCCGGTTCTCAAAGAGCTTTACAGCCGGATGTGCACAACGAGAAAAACCTCCCAGAACCGACTCACCCCCTTTTCGTGTTGGACAAGGCTATCACTGCAGAGGGTGAGAATGAAACGGATGAGAATGAAACGGACACGGTGCCGACGTTATCTGACTTGCAGCTTGCCTTTCGTGATGGTGGTACACAGGTAAGACTAATGGTCGTACTCCAGTGCAACCTCAAACTAATCTATAGCTTAGGTGGATGGCAGAATGTCACGCCCCAGGAGGAAAGTGTACAAAGTCGGTCGAATCTTTGGCAGCAGCTTACAGCTGTAAAGCCTGTTGTCTCACGCACAGATACCCTGTCCCGTTGTGCCATGGCAGAAGGCACCGCGTCAGTGACATTCTATTGTTTTTGACTCAACTACATTAATACCTTTTACCTGTACTAGTCGATGATTGTACTGCATTGCATTGCATAAACCTGCGAGGTTGGGACTTCTCCGATGATGACGCCTTTGTATGAAAATAGGGATTCATTAGTTGGGACGAATTATGATGTTTCAAAGAACTCAAGTTTACTCAGCGCAGAGCAACTATCTCCGAGCGATCCGTAACTCAACCACATGGCGATATACAATCAGCAACACATCAATTTCAATTTGTCATGTAAGACGACTTGCAGAGTCGCCGATGACAATTCCCAAGCCCAACATACGCACAGACACGCGCATCGGCTATCAACCCCGTCAGCATTGGAGAAGAAGAAAAAAACTTGCCCATTAACACGTCCCCTTCGGCAATCCTTCCATCACGACCCATCCAGCCCATTTTCCCCACGGTCTACCGTAAGGCTGCAGCTCCCCAACTGGACCATCATCCTTCAATCCTGCGTCCAGGCTAAACGACACGAGACGGCAAGGCGTCGCTTAAGCGATCCGTCGGACTTTTTTTGTTTTTCTGACTCTGCCGCAAGGCGCCCCGATTCGGGGGGTAATGCGCGTGTGAGCCCATGGTATCCCAACAAACCCGCGACTCATATAGAGTACGTAGGTGGTGGTGGTTGGCGTTTAAAGGGATGATGAGTGTACCCGGTGCTTTGGGTCCGACACGCGATCAATGTGTAGGTTTGCGTGGGGGATCTTTTTGCGCGCGTTACGAGGGCGGTTTACGTATGTTTTTGATGTGTGGGTGGGTGGATTTGTTTGTTGGAGGCTTGTTGGGTGAATGTGACTATGAAGCAATGGTCTATGGAATGTTATTGGAACTGCTGCAGTTCTCGCTGGTTTTATGGAAGTACGACATTGTTGAGTGGACTAAGCAATCTAATCACGTTGGATTTCTAGTTGAGAGGAGTTTGATCCACGATTATCAATAAAACTACAGAACGGGAAAGCTTTGTTTTGATAGAAGACGAAACTCGATTGAAAAGCGAATTTGGAATTCCATGCCCAGTTTCTGCGCCCAACGCAACCGGAAGGAGACAATTCTAACGCAGATGTTTGTCTATTACACCGTCTACAATGCTAAGCGTAGTCGCAATCACATCCTACAGCAACCATAGCATACTCCCGTCTAAAGCATACACCGCATACTGATGCATCAAGACTGACGTATTAGTGATATCAAGAATCTAGAACCAAAAAGCACACGAGTTCAAGGCAATCCAATTCATTTCGCCCGTCCCCGGTTCTACGTTTCATCAGGCATAAGGTACCGGGCATGGGTGTGACCAGGATCCACGACCCTCCAACGGCCCGATGAGCAAGAAGAAGCGTGGCGAACAATGATGTCGAAAACGTGGAAGAAAAAAAAAAGCACGCGAGCGATGGTGGGTTTCGCCGTTCATCCCCCGCTCCCTTAACAGATCGTCGTATATGCGAAGGGTAGGTAGTATACTGATACTTGCGGGTCAGCATGTACGACCAGAGGCCTTTCTCTGCAGAGATTGTTTTGACTTGTGGCGTTGTGGACGCGTGGATGTGAGGTGAGGATCTTCAATTTCCTATTCCGAGGGGAGCAGCGGAATGAGGTCTAGGCGGAATCAAATGTGAGAATATTTGATTAGAAACGTAAGAGTCAGGGTGGAGGAAGTGAGGTGGGAAAGTTGAGGTAAGAAGGTTAATGCTCCTGCAATTGTCCCTACCCCGAGTATAGGCGCCCGAATCCTTACAGCCAGAAACTCCGTGTATCATGAGATTGGGAAAGTCGAGGGAATTCAATTTTCTTGCATCTCTCGTGATTGGATCGGAACTGTGGAATTTTGAAGAATTAAATTTCTCCTTCCCTTTTTATTTTATTGGCAGGCAATGCGAGGATTTGTAACTTGGAACGGAATCGGAAACACCAACCATCGAGACAGACCCACACTCAAGGGGGCCTTTTTTAACTCGTGAGAGAGAAAGGATCGAGGCATTGAGCTGTGGGAATTATGGCCTGATGTTTTCTCACTAAAAGGAAGGATTTTTTTTGCATGCCGGGTACTGGGAGATATGTTGGGTCCAGGGTGGTTGGCTGATTGAGTTGGTAACTAAGTCAGGTCAGCCAGCCTACACAGTCCAGGTCGGCCGTCGCAACGCGGGATGAGGTAAGCGGCGAGGTTAGAAGGAAACAGAAAAAAAAAGGTACATGATGGTCCATGACTCGCATGGTTAGCCATGGTCAAACCCTTGAGTCGTGCTTTGCCTCCAACGCCAACATGAATTTTCTTCCTGTTGAGGGTTTTTCTACTTCCTTTCTGTGCATCGAGCGAAGAAGGGCTCGGGAGCGTGCTTAGAAGAGTGTTAGCTGGCTGCGATGTTGATTAAGATAGGACCGACCGTGGGCCACGGACCCTGCGTTGTTGAGGATTGGTCTGCCCGCATCGCAACGCACGGCGCGGCGATGCCCACCTACTACTACATTAGGACAACGCACGCGGATACCTAGATCGTTAGGAGGATGATGATCATGATGATGAGGAGGAGGAGTATGATGACAGATGCCCGACAGGACGGTTTCGGAGGTCAGAGAAGGAAAGCGGCCGAACACAACAAGGCATTGCATGACACGGCATGCATGTAGGGAGGGAATGGCGAGAAGAGGCAAATGCAGGCAGAATCGAAAGATGATCCAATGCAGCAACGCTCGTGTTTCGGGCAGAAGATCTTGGGATTTGCGCGACCCTATATCCTTCGCGGATGCTGGGCACAGCAGATCTTCTTACTATTCCACTGCAGCCACGTGTGCGCTGCCGAGTTTGGCCGGTGCGGGATGCCATGGCCTGCCTGCCTGCCTGCCTGACATTTCAAGACACACCCGCAGCCAAACAGCACCGTGGTCGCCAGTAGTTACACCGTACATGGAGACTCTGAAAGGTCGGCCCGTTGACATCCAAGTCGCCAGCTTGCTTAGCCTGGCGCCTGCTCAAGCTTTCGGATGGGAAGGCGCTGTTTCGATCTGCTGTATGCTGCGACGATCTCAACGTGTACCCCCGCAGACACGACGCTCAAAGGGTTCAAGCCGTTCCGCTAGAGAGAGAGCTTGACAAGGATCGATGAGAAGAAGAAAAAAATTGCAGAGCAGAAGAAAACTGAGATGGGGACCAGGGGGAAGGTTTATTTCTCGCGCCCGATTGCTCCAAGTTTTAGGTTTGGCGGGTATTGTTTCCTTTTTTTCCCTCTTCTTCTTTGACCCCGTTCACCGACATTTCCACGCTGGCGAGCGAGGATGGGTCTCGGCAAAAGGTCGCTACGAAGCCGCGAACAAACTCTGATACGAAAAGGCCAATGGCAATGTCACTGCAAGGAATTCCAATTCCACAGAGGCAGACCGTTGACTGATCAACAGGAAGCCACCGCACACCGTAAATGAAGCAGGACGGATTCCTAGTATGGGTTCGACCGTATTGCCATGCAGCGGAGCGGGGACGTTATATTGCATGTCGTGGATAAATCATCATGGCCGCCATGTGCAGCGCAAGGGTGGTTATAGCACCATGTTTTGTTATTTCTGACAGACCTCGCCTCTGTCTTGGCCCACTCAGCACGAGAGACGGGTGGATCGGAGGCTGACACCGGTTCCGTGCGATGCGTGTGATTGAATCGCAAAGTCCCCAGAAAAAAATCAGAGTGGAAGCAAAATAGAAGAGAAATCGCGAGATTTGGCCGGTGGGAACAAAACCTCACAAAGAACGGACTGGACATGGTTCACGCCAGCGGCCCGCGATAGGCAATCGAACAGACGACGGAAGAGAAACTCGGCTGCCACGTGTCTTCGGGAATCCTGGCGCCACCCACGCGATTCATTCACTTTTGACACGATTCATGACTCACGACAATGCATGGCCATTCATCGTTTTCTGCCTTCTTCAATTCCGCGACGCCATCTTCCGCCAAATGCTTACCCACATGTACGGCATCACCACAGGCATCATGCGCGATTCCGGGTGCGCCTTTGTTGGGATGGATTAGTGCATGCTGATGTTCTACCTGCGGTCTTCTGCAGATGGGAGAGGGGAGCACGGCTTCTTTGATGATATCGTGGATATGCGGATGTGGTCCACGATGCGTACCAGGCTTCACTCTTCAGCCACTGAGTCATGGATACAAAGCGACGCGTGGGCTTGGCGGGCTACTCATGGTCAGGCCGCCTGCGAACTGATGCACATGGCATTATAGTTTGAGGGGAGATTTGTCGACCGTGTCGCGGTTGGGCCGGGTTGCCTCAAACGAAGACGTCTGGCCAGACGGTTCGATACAGTAATCGGATTGATTCGCACCGTCACGGGTGCGGTGCCGAGAAAGAGCACCATGTATGCGCACATGGACGGTGCTGCAGGTAAGGTATGTAAGTATTCTTCCTTACAGATTGAGCGATCCGCACGCAGCGTTGCGCAGACCGAAAACCCAGGATGGACGGCAAAAGACGGCTGACAGGGTCCGGGAACAAAACCCTTTGCTGGCGCTCCGCATCTGAAACGTGGGGAGGGGGGGAAGACTGAGCACACGTGACGAGGGGCTTGGGTGCCACGCTTTCGGATATTTCTTGTCTTTGTCGTCCTGCTTGCCTGACTAGCGAGCCGATTTTCGGTTTGCCAGCTCAGACCAGCCATGACGCGCGCCATCACAGCTCATTGCTCCCTGCAAGGAGGAGGATCAGACAAGAGGCATCTGTTTGAGAGGGCTCCTAGGACGACCATTTGTCGACGAACCCCTGCTGCTGACGGCCAGCGACAAGCGGAATAGCTTGCTTTTTGGGGGTCTGGCCGGAAACGGGCTGGCGTGGGCAGCGGATGGTAGAAGGGGTCCAGCTGGCTGCATGGGGCTCGTTGAGGTTTATTGGATCATTCATCTACTCCATGTACGTCTTGCAGCGAACCGCAACGTGAGTCTGGAGGTGGATTCATTCCTACAGAGTGCATGTGCAGCTATTTTGCAGACGTTGTCTTGGTGCATCGACGACGAAAAGGACGGGAAAGCACCAGAGGAGCATTGGCTGGCTCCCTGGCTGCTGAGGCCAGAAAAGGGGCCGTCATGATGAATGACGGTCAGCGTGCATGGATGGACAGCTGTTCGCACATGGCAAAGAGTAAGCTCTCACGGGGGATGGAATGGTGGGTGGGTGGAGTGATGGGTGGCGAAGGCGTAGAGACGAAGGGGGAGCCAGGATGGAATGGGATGATCGGTGCGATGGTGCCAGGGTTGTAACACGTGGGAATTGGCACGTTGCTGTGCTATGATTGCCAAAAATCTCTCCGCACCTCTCGGAATGGATGAGCTTGTGTAGCGCGACGGCTGTTGAGGGTAGTGCGAGGCATAGCTGTAGGGTACTCGTGGAGAGCAGTCCGCTTTCGGGCGTGACACGGGCAGCGCAAGAGGGGGAGGGAACGGTTTCGAATGCAATGTGTGGATGCACACGCACACAGACACACTGGCTGCGCTGTAGCACCAAAACGGGGCCAGGCAGTCGAGCAGCAGCAGCGGGCAGGCAGCCAGGGTTGCGCAAACGGCGGTGCATGTTTGGGATACCTGGTGGATGAAGTTTTTTTTTTGATTTCCAAATCATGATGAGAGGTGAGGAGATGTGATGGTGGTGCTGTTTTGTGCGAGTTGGAAATGAGACAGCGCGCGTGTACCCACATGGGCCCATGAATGATGCTACTTGTCTCTTCACACACACACACACACACACACACCGCAAGTGCTGTAGTCCCATGTGCACTGCGGCAGCAAAGAAAGGGAAAACAAAAAAGAACCTGGGACGCGGGCAGTGTACAGCAGTGTACACAGACATACACAGGGCACACGGAACCGGGCATTGGAGGCAACGCAGTCACGCAGCGCCGGCAACAAACAACAACGGCAACAAGGAGGTCAAAGAGGACGACTGCTAAGGTACAAAGGTACAGGACTAGAATAGATGGCGCGCAGTAGTAGAACAATGGAGGCGCTTTGTCGGTGGTGAAACAGGCTCGCCCGTCCGTCCGTCCGTCGTTGTCGTCGTCGTCGTCGTCGTGTCGTCGTGGTTGTCGCCGCCGCCGCCGCCGCCGCCGTGGTGGGCGGAGAAGGGCAGGGCAGGGCAGGGCAGTTTGCGCTCTGGCAGCACGGCGGGCTCCTCGGAGCAAGCAGCACTGGCTCCCAACAAGGGTTGCAGGGATGGCCACGAGGCGCCATGCGATTCCCCTGCAAGGATGGTACTCGCCCCATGCCGCTTGGCTGCTGGCTGCGTCGGTCAGTCAGTCGTCAAGTCAGTCAATCAGTTAGCAGCGCACTCCAGCTAGCCCGCCAGCCCGCCAGCCAGTCCTTTCCTGTCCTGTCGCGCCCGGTCCTGGTGCTCTCCCAGTCCGTCGCTCCTGTTCCTTGCCCTGCCTTGCCTCGCCTTGCCTCACCTCACCGGGGGGTGTCTGTTGATTGTCGCTCTCCATTGCAGCCAGTGTGTAGCCCTTGACCTCCTCTGCCTGTCTCGCACTAGCTCGCTGCTGCTCCCAAAGTACCCACTTTCTCCCCTTCGCTTCTCGTTCTTTGACTTCTCCAGACCTCTTGCTTTGCCTTGAGTCCACCCAGATGCCCACTACCACCACTGCTACTCCTGGCTCTCTTTCTGCCTCACCTGCTTCTCCACTCGTCAACCCCCATCCCTCCTCCTCCTCCTCCTCCTCCTCCTCTGACCCTGATCCCCTCGCAGACCACCGCCCTTCCTCTTCTTCTTTATCGCGAGGAGACGCCCTGTCCGGCTCCCGTTCGCCTTCCACTTCCACATCCAGCTCCAGCTCTACATCCAGCACCCAAAAGTCAAAGACAAAGCCGCCGACACCGCCCGCTGCTGCTGTCGCTGCCGCTGAGCCCGTCCTTGCTCCCAGGCCAGTCCCGACTGTCGCCCGCCGCTCGACTTTGACCTCCCGCTTTCCGCTGCTACGCAAGTCCAGTCGCGAGCCCGCCCACCTCACCCACACCAGAGGCAACAGCAACTCGACCAACTCGACTCACCTCCTTCCCACCGCCGCCCCGCGTGCCTCCATCTCGTCTTCGCGTGGCCGACAAGATCCCTCCATTGATCAGCCTAGGCCCCGTAATCCGTCTACGGTCAACAGCAACAGATCGCTGAGCCGCGAGCCGGAGCGCTTCGCCCAAAACCCCCCCGCACGAAGCCCTTCGCGCGCTGTACCCTCACCTGCCGCTGCTCCTATCCCACCGCCAGACCACAAAATGCATCAAACTTCCTCTAGGTTGCTCCGCATGACGGACGATGAGCGGCCTTTTACTCGGGTACGTATCCAGCCCGGCTTCCGGACTCTTTTCATTTCGGAGTAACCCTGCTCCTCCGTTTCTCCCTACTGTCATTATGCATCTTACACTTTCTTTTCTCTTTCTTTCTTTCTTTCCTTTTTCCCTTTGATCGAATACGTTTGGCAAGCGGCTGCCTGGCTTGAGTGGCCGGCACCTGCTCCATTCGGCTACACCCCGCTTTTCTGGCATTTCCACCCCAACATGCCACCAGACATCATCTCTGTGCAGATCCTGGCAAACCCTATTCTGCCTTGCTAGGTGCTGGATGTTGGGTTGCGTCACACCGTATCACCAATGCATCACTTGCCTGAACCGCGTCCGCTCCACGTGTACCTCGTATTTGCGGGCGTACGGTGAGGGTGTAGCTGTACCTTTGGTTTGATGGCCCGAACTTTGATCCGATTCGCCCGCCTCGTTCCCATCACCAGCTCTGCCATGTCGAGTGCTACTCACGTGTTCAATTCGCTAATCTGCTTGCACAGGACTTCAAGGATTTGTTTTCGACCCTCATGGTGTCGTTGCCCCTTACATCCCATCGTGTCCGCTTCAGGATGATCGATTCTACATTTACTTCCGACGAGGCCATCACAAATCTGGGCTCCCTCAAATTCTCCCAATCGAACCGCATGCCGGATCCCAAAGACTCATCCCGTGTTGTCACTACTACCACAACCACCACCTTCTCCATGGCCAAGGAGATGGCCCGATCCGTGTGTCAAAAATTCCTCGAGGCAAAGTTTGTTGAGTCATGTGAAAACAAGGTCGATTTCCAAAACAAGAGCTCTGTGTGGCAGCTCTCCCCCAAGGGCATCCACATCTTGGATCGTTTCTGTTCCCGCAATGGCATTCAGTCAGCTCACGTCAAGAACGTAATTGAATCTCCTCGCAACGCACACCAACTCGTCATTCTGGAGAGAAACACCGAGACCGACAAGCTGCACAACGACGAGCAAACGGTCGAGATCATTTTCCGCCGCTTTGTGGGTCACACCGCCAACGAGGTCCACTCCGAAACCGAGTCTGTTCATGAGTTTTCAAGGTGTGATACTGGTGTTCGGCTTGTCAAGCACAAGCCTACATCGAGTCGCCCCTACGAATACACGCTTAGTGGAAGAACCGCTGCTGAGTGGCTTATGGACTGTTCCACCATGGTCGATCGTCGGGAGTCGTTGGAAATCGGCTCCATGTTCTTGCAACTCGGCTTGATTGCCCCTGTGGATTCACGCAACTCGGCCGACAAGTTCCAAGCGCTCAAACAGGTACATTACTTCATCACTCAGCACGGTGAGCGTGTCGCCGGATGGAACCTCAGAGACGATGTATCGGTCAACTCCGAGTCCAATCCCAACAAAGCACGTGACGGTGCAGCTCGCGACTCCAACAGCAACCGCACAAACGTCATCATTCGCAACCCATCGTGGCGTTTGCTCTACCGTGAATTTCTCAAGGACACCATGTGCGAAGAGAACTTGTCTTTCTATCTCGATGTTCAAGAGTTCAACCACCAATATCGGGCTGCAGTCAATGCTTCTGGTGAGAGCAAGATCGAGACTATCCGGGAAACTCTCGCTGCTGCATATGGTATGTTGTTTCACGCACTGCTCTACTTGCACACGCTAACAATAAATCAGGCTTGTACAATGCTTTCCTAGCCCCCGGCTCGCCCAACGAACTCAACATCGATCACGCTTTGAGGACGCAGCTTGCGACTCGCATGACCCGTGCCGTTGGTGATGATCAGGCGATGATGCAGAGTTTGGTAGAGGTTGCGTCCCTTTTTGAGAAGGCACAGAACTCGATATTCAAGCTCATGTCTAGTGTGAGTCATGGTCCTTGTACTTGCTCGCATTTCAACGCTGACTGTTTACTAGGATTCCGTCCCGAAATTCATCAAACATCCCAAATACGGACCCCAACTTCGCGGACTCGATGCTGCTGCCGCTGCAGCCTACGGCACTCCCAATGGAAACTCGCGATAAGAACGAACGGCTGGTGGATGCTGATGTCACTCTTGCCGCTTTCAGTCGCTGAATGTATCACCTTTCTCACTCTTCTAGGCCACAGTTCGCAGCAGGCACGATGCATTATTCCCCCATCTTTAATTTCACATCTCGTGCATGTCTTAATCACCTGCTGCTAGGGTTTAGACATGTCCCAGGCGTTCCGGGCCGGTCACCAAAACATATCAGCATTAGGGTTGGTTCTTTTTTTTTATACTTTCTCGCACTCAGCATCTACGCCGCCGTTCGAACTCCAACATGCGGAGTTCACTTCGTGTTCATGTTCCTAGCGACACAGGCCTAGAGAACTCGACAGTGACCCTGCTTGGGCTTGGATAAATCTTGCTTTGCCAATATATTCGATACTTTACGGTTACACCGTTTCGGACCTCCACCCCTGGAAGTCCGTAAGACGACTTGGCATGTCCATTCACCATGGGTTCCCTTGGTTGTGTATGTTTGTAACGCCCTGTCTGGAAAAGGGGTATTGTTTGGCTAGATCGATTCCCATGATTTCCTTTGATGGAGAAACATGGTTGAATAAGAGGGCTGGGAACTAGGGAGGATGGGCAAAAGGCGATGATGGCTTCTGGGTTCAGCGAGGAAAGTTTTTTGGATTTATCTTGTCTTTTTGATCATACCGGGGTACACAAAGTAGTGGTTGTGTGCGTGTCCTGGATTTTACCTATATTTGTCCCGCGGGTGCGGGTTATGGCCGTATCGGTGGTAGTTGCCTTGTTGCCGTGATGGCTGTTGGAATATTTCTTATACTATTGTGTTCATTGTTATCCCCCTTTTTGTTTGTCTTGGAGAGATTTGGGTGAGAATCTTGCTCGATTGATTAAGAATGGTGTTGTGTTGGTTCTATCCATATCTGGTTGGTTGTGTCTAGTAGTGAAATGATGATGACTCCCTCCTCTCTATTCCAATCTTTTTTTCTTATTCTCTTTTCCCCCTTCTACCTAGGCAGTCACCTTATCTTCTAGTTTGCAACATGCGACAGTAATGTTTAGTCTGTTTTGAACCAATCATTTGCGCTTATCCCTGTTTCTCTCGACTTGTGAAGAAGACGGCTCCCCACGTGCCATATCTATCCCCCCTTCCTTTACCAAGCATGATTTGCAAGCTCAACAAATCACGAGAAGGCAGCTTAATATAACGGAACAAATTCTTCTAGACAAGAAAAAAAATCCATTCCATGATCTGTAGCTTTCTCGTTCAAAAGGGAACTACGTACAGCGAATACCTTTCTTTCTAAGCTAGGCTATACTGATCCGGGTTGAAAAGCCAAGTGGCAAAAACAAAAGGGGAGAGAGAAGGCAAGAAAAGGGCCGGTGGTTAGTTAGATAGTAGCAGCGTAACAAGATTTGAAAAGAGAGAAGAGCAAAAAAAAAAAGAAGAAAACGAGTGTGCTAACAAGAGAGACGATGTTTCGTTGGCGGGATCTCGTTCCGCCACCACCACCACTACTACTACTCTTGGCTCCACTGGAAGTTGGTTATGTTTACATGTCCCTGTGTAGATGCGTACGTACGATGACGATGACGATGAAATGAAGCACATATTAAAGATTATGCCATGTGCTTCTCTTCCTTTTTTTTTTCGCCCTTACTCATTTTGGGCTGGATTTAGACTGCATGTTGGAATTGGGACTTGTGGTTTTAGTGTACCAGGTTTTGAATGCATGCATGTAGTCGTTTAGTTTGGGTTGGTTGGGGGTCTGATTGGGTCTCTCTACTGGCGGCTTTTTTTTATTCCTTTATTTTTCTCTTTTTCATGATCGTTGGGTAAGGAATGCACGTGGATGGCGTGGGGTTCCGCGCTCACATGTCTTCTTTCTCTTAGTTCTCCCTCTCTTTCTTTGTCTTCTTTAATTTGAGTGTAGGTGGGTGGCGTATATGGGGAAGTTGGACGGAGAAAGTTTGGTTTTGTGGGGGGTGGGGGATGGCAGAGAACTTTGTACCGGTTTAGCACATGCCCTTTGTTATTTATCCCCGCTATGGCTCAGTCCCATGGTATCCGGGGTCCGGGGGAGATTGTGTGAATTTTTGGGGTCCTAGATGAAAATAGTAACCTCAATAGTTCAATAGGATTCGTGGGTATTGTTTTCCACCCCCAACGGCGGAGAACGTGGGGAGGTCCCTTGAGTTAACAACATTGGATTTTGCTATAAATATCAATGCTTAGTCAAAGGAAACGGAGAGAAGTGGGTGGATGGACTTGTGGAAGGTGATGTTGGAATCTCCAGCTGTGTAGCCATGGTGTTCTTCTTCAATGTGTCGTATTTGCTTCCCGAGTGATATGATTCTCATGGGGCGACTTTCGGATGAGAGACAAAAACACTCGTACAGTATCCGCAGTATCCGGGCATTTTCACAGACAGATATGCACATGGCACAACATTGGCTCTCCGGCGAAATCCGGTAAATGGACAGTCATGCCAGACCTATCCGACCAAAGCCATGTGGAGTCGATCTCCCCAACACAACGGTCAACTAGTCTAGCTTCCTCAGCTGAGACGCAGTAGCTTGAGGCATGGGCTCATGTAGCTAGCAGTTTGGATGGCACGATGTGTGCATAAGCACCAACGCGTCCGGTTTCGAAGCCGGTTGCCATCACTACCTGACTGCTGGGTCGCGGTAGCATGCCGCGTTTTGAGCGAGTTGTATGGCGGTCCTGTAAGATGGTTTCCTTTTGTCCCCGATGTGCAGTAGGTTGCGAAAAGAAAGTTTGCCGAGACAGACTGGACGAGATTGACGTCAAGTGGTGATATTGGATGAAGCATATTTGGAAGTGGTTTAGCTCAATCAGGTGATCAGGCGCCTTATCGATTAGGAAGTCGCGTGGCCTAGTGCGCGTGGGATTCAGACTGTTGTGTCTGGGGAAAGGCTGTTGATGCGGGCAAACTGCCCAGGCAGCAGTCCACAATATCTCCGACGCTCTCGTCGTTTTTCTGGGTTTCATATCTTGTCAGTCTAGACGTCTTTCACCATCTTCCGCTCGACGCTTATTGGATTTCGCTACTGCCACCATGGGCGCCCCACCACCGTCAGTAAGTCGCGTCCCGTCTAAGCTCGTCTTATCGGTTTTGAGAGGGAACGTGATGAACATGTCTAGAGACGGAACTCCACATAGCTGACCATCTACTCTCAGAGTCAGTTAGCACCGCTACCCGCCGACCTGCCCTTCCAACTCATCAGCAAAACTATCGGCCAAGGCGCGTATGCATCGTATGTGTGTACATTCTCACGGCTTTGCATGCGCTGACAGAAGCTATGTAGAGTACGGAAAGCGACTCCGCCAGGTCGAACGAATCCCGTCATAGCCATCAAGTTTATCAACAAGGACCATGCCTTCAGACAAGGACGCCTATCCCCGAAGCAAATCAGCATGGAGATAACACTTCATGCACATCTTGGCAAGCACCAAAATATCATACAACATTTGGGTCACGGCGAAGACACTCTTTGGACATGGATCGCCATGGAACTTGCTGAAGGTGGAGATTTGTTTGACAAGGTGGAAGCTGACGAGGGTGTCTCGGAAGATATTGCACATTTCTACTTTACACAGTTGATCAGTGCAGTGGGATATATGCACAGTATGGGCATTGCGCATCGAGATCTCAAACCAGAGAATGTCTTGCTGAGTGGAGATGGAGACTTGAAGCTTGCAGACTTTGGGCTTGCGGCGTTGTTCAAGAAAGATGGCAAGGCACGGCTTTGCAATTCAATATGTGGAAGCCCACCTTACATCGCCCCGGAAGTGGTCAATGGACGGAAGAGCAAGCGGCACGATCTACTGGATACGGGTTACATGGCCAATATCTGCGATATCTGGAGTTGCGGGGTGGTGTTGTTTGTGTTGCTGGTGGGCAACACGCCTTGGGACGAACCGACAATGAACAGCTGGGAGTTCAAGGAGTACGTGGATACAGAAGGTCGAACGAGTGATGAGCTATGGCTTAAGATTCCACCGGCCGTCAATTCCTTGCTGAGAGGGATTCTCAGGGTGGATCCGGAAAACCGCTTCACACTCGACGAGATACGAACGCACCCTTGGGTTACACGGGACAATCGTTATATGGATGTCAGGGAGAGAAAGAAAGCGCGCGTACAGATGGCCACCGAAATGCTCTCGTCTCTCCGCATCGACCTCTCCCAACCTCCACCCTCGCAGTCACAGCGGACATTCTCCCAACCTTCCCAAGATCCCGACGCCATGGATATCGACTCGATGAACTCTACACCACACCGATCCCGCGCAGACCCATTCAACACCAACAAAATCACTTCCACGCAACCCGAAACACCCTTAGCAGATACCCCCTTTGACTGGGAACGACCACCGCGCCTAGCCACACACGACGGCCTATCCGCCTCGCAACCCATAACCAACAACAGCAACCCCCAAAGCTCCATCCCACTAACAGCACCCTACCCTGTTCAATCGCTCTCCCAGCTCTCCCAAAGCACACAAGACATGCTTAGCCAAGACCCCTCTATGTCGCAATTCGCATCTACCCCAGGCGTCCCCCTCTCCCTCACCCAAGCCGCAAGCCGCTTCAACGACATCCTCCCCCAATACTCGCTCGCGCGCTTCATCTCGCCCGTCACCATCTCCCTCATCGTTCCGCTCCTTCTCGACACTTTACACCGCCTCGGCGTGCCCGTGCCGTCGCTCACTGCGAACAAATCCTTGGCCGAGCAGGAGGCTGAGTGGGAGCGGCTCGGCGAGGCAAGCATTCGCGTCAAGATGGCAGATGGACGGCGGCAGGGACTCAACGGGCATATTGTTGTCGAGCGGGCGTGGGTCGATGGGCAGCAGATGAGTGAGGTGAGGTTCGTCAAGGCTAGTGGAGATCCGCTTGAGTGGCGCAGGTTCTTTAGAGATGTTATGAGGAACGTGGGGGAGGTTGTGTTGAAGGGCGTGTAAGAAGAATGAAAATAAGTGGTGGATCATCGCCTGAAGAAGGATTTTTGGGGATTACTTCTCCCCCTTTTCTTTATTCCGCTTACGTTTGAGGGCTTTAGGACTGTGGATAATTGGAACTGGAGGTGTTATAATTAAGTGGTGTTGGTGTAGGCTGAAGAGAAGACTTCGTATTAGAGAAGCGTAATTTCATCGAGACAGTGATGTGGTGATTTCCACACATCATCATAGAGCAAAATATCCAATCCTTTTTCATCCATCGTTCGTTGTGTTCGTCAATCGTGTGAGACAATTAATCAACGAGATCTCTCAGCGATAATTCGAATCTTTTTTGATGTACCGAATATCTTCTGTCATATACGGTTTATGTTCTGTTTATGTTCTGTTGCGTTCTAGACGGAGGACGTATCCCCATCAATCGAACACAGAGAGAGAAAGTGAATCAAATTCACCATCATCAGTACACATGTTGCACATTGGACACACTCTGTTCTACACAGAGAAAACGAAAACACCCGGACGGATTTGACTCGTTCCAGCCGGACCAAATAACTCCCCAAAAGCGTCAATTCATCTCTATCTACCTCTTCCCCGTTAGTCGCATTACGAATAGGGATGATGCATACGTGAATGCATAAATTCTCTCTTTCCCTCTAGTCATTCCATCTATGCTCTTTTAATTTTGATGCCGACACCGTGAAGAAGAGCCAGAACGCTGGAAATTCCGCTGCCCATCTGTTGTCATGACTGGAAGCCATGAAAAGGCGAATAGAGAAAGGGTAAGAAGTACGGAGGAGGAGGAAAGGCTTTGAAGTTTCTCGTCTTCGACGAAGAAAACGGTCGTCCTACCGCATGAGGCTTGTGAGAAAACAAAGAAAGGAGAAAGGAAAAGGTAGCATATTGAAGCAATACGCCAATGTGCGCCCCTGAATGGAAGAGAAAAGAAGAAAGAAAATCGTGTTTAGTGGTTTGTTTTCTCCCATCGAGGTTCATCCATCGTAAAAATCATAAGTCCATGCCGACACTCATTCCCTCACACAACCACCTCGTCTACAATCGTCTGTTCCTTTTATTTCTTTCCCCTCTCGCAAAAAATGTCATCGTAAGTGTACCCAGACCCTCTAACTCGAAAAAAAAATGAAATAGCATGGAGCACTACTTCTGATTCTTCGGCATTTTCTCATACGCATTCGGACTCGGTTTTCTCCGTTGGCGGCGCGGTTTCTTAGGCGCGCTACCCTCGTCACCATGCGGAGGATGATCACACTCGCCTTCACCATCATGTTCGTGGTCGTGGTTATGCGGTTCAGGCCGTTGCCGACGACCTCGAGATGGACCTCCGCGCCTCCCACCCGCGGGCCGGGCAGTGCTGTTATCGGGCTCACTGTCGCTCTCGTCCGATGACGAGGAATCCGAACTCGATTCGTCGGAGGACTCGCCGACTTCGCGGGGCTTGTGGTATATGCAGCATACTATGATTGATCTGTGTCAGCGGTTTCCTGGTGAAGGAGAATTAATGTAGGCTCGTGCGAACGGTGGGTTCGTATTTCTTGAGACAACATGGGAAACGACATGGTGATGACAGGGATGTAGGTTCGGGCGCACCTTTTGAGGATTTCTTCCCCATCCCCTCGTTGTCAACTACATCCTCCGCCCACTGTATATGCCGCCGCTCTGCTGGTTCGGTGGCGCGTAAGCGGAGAGTCCCTGATGGCAGGGACGGTTGGGACGGCGTCTGAGTGATTGTCACACTACCATTCGTGGGTGTTGCTACTTGTAAAGAGGGTGCTGTGGGTTGATTCGACATGATTTTTTGGTGGTGAGGGAAGTAAGACGTAGAATTGGTGTTTGACGAATTGGAGGTGATCGCGGGCGCGCTCTTCGTGAAGATTTTAGCTGGGCTTCTGTAGAATGTTGCGCGCAATTTCGTAATTTTATGAAGACGAATTTGGAATGATCTTTTCCCCGCGACTGTGTGTCTGTGGAGGATTCCTGTAGAGATGTACAGACTGCTTTGTTAAAGTGGAGTGGAGTGATTGATGATCCACGTTGGAGAAAGGTCTGTGCGTCATCGCTGGTGTCGGTTATACTTTCCCTGTTACTCATCTCACTGACAGAATACGACCAGAATGATATTTTCAGACCCCATAATTCATAGTAAAGATTCATCACCCATTGAATGATTCACCCATTAGTTGATCATTCACCTACGTGCCAGCTCTTGAAGTGTCGCCGTTCCGAACAAATGTGATTCAAGCGTGATTCACAGTCACCAGCCTTGCGCGTCCTTATTCACTATATTACTTTCGTGGTTTGCCGTCTTCTGATTCATGGTTCGCTATCACCGTTTTTATACATGCATGCTTGTCCGTCTCAAAGAGTAGGTTTCTATTTCTTGTCTTATCTTATCGTTTTATCTACCCGAGGTGAACAGCACAGCTTAAAGAGAGCACCCCATAGTCCAAATATCGAGAAGACAAAAATGAGAGATAGAGAATGAAAATGCAATGCATGGGTATGCGAAGAATGAATAGGAGACCTGAAAATGTAAAGAACGCCATAAACTCCCTCAATGCAACACTGTAAATTGATTGCCAATGAGAAAAATCCAAGGCTCGAAAAATGCGAAAACCTTCAACGGTATTCCTTGGAATCCAGCCTCCAAGAAGCTTCAAACTTGACAAATGAGAGGGATCGGAGTCCCAAAACACCATGATGCACCATTTGCTCCGAAAACAAAGGGAAAGCATTATTAATGTCAAACAATATGACGACTTCTCCAATCAATATCTTTGCATACTACACAGCAACTGTTGATCGCATACCCAATAATCGCCAATTTCGAATAATTCGATCAAGAATCTGGCGTCCTCTTCCCCTCAGAACTATCATGCTGGGTTTCCGAGCTATTTTCTCCAAGCTCCGAGCCCGCCATGTCTGAATTCCCTCTCTTGGAGCTATCTGGCTCAATCTCAGTGGACATCGGAGGCGGCTTCGTATGCAGGGTCGGTGGAGGCGTCGGTGCAGAGATACCATGTAGAGGATGAGGGGACGATGGCGTTGAGGACGAGGTTGTTGATATCGACAGTGGCTTGTTTCGCAGTTGCCTGTGCGGTATTGGCGGGAATCGCTGCAGTGTGCTGTTTTCCATTGCTGCTGCCACCCCGTCGTTGGGGTATTGAGAGGTAGGAGAATTGCTGTCGTCTGTAATGTACGCTATTGGGCCCCATATGCGCCAATGGATAAGAATTATGTGGCTGATACGATAGGAAAGATCGACGACCCGGTCGGCGAAATAGGACAACGTATTGGTGGTAGGTTGAAGAAGAGATGCGGGTGATGTTGGAGCGAGGACTGGAGACGTTGATAGCGGCGGCGTGACTAGGTTGTTGAACAGTTCGATCGGGGAAGCGTTGGCATAACTGCTTGCGCATGCCATCACTTGCGCGAGGACCGCGGCCTGAACTTTGGAAGCGTAAGGTGTAACGTAGTGGCGGAATATGTTCTGAAGATGGTCGCTCGCTCTCCCTAGCTCGCTCGAATCGCATACGAACGGCTTACCGGCGAGGATGATGGCTTGTCGATAGATCTCAAGCGACAACGACTCCGAGTGGAAGATCCAAGATTCTGGTGCGTGTCCGGTGGTTTCGCCGATGATGGCTGAGAGAGCGTTGCGTAGTTCTGATCGTGCAGTGTTGGAGATGGGTCCGTTATATGCGAATTCTCTGAGGCATTGCCCAAACATGTCGAAACATATTTCGAAATGAACTAGATCATCAATCTCCAGTTTGAGAACCCACAATCTATCTCTATCCAAATAAAACGTATCTGGAAGGTCTTTACGGCTGTCTTGCGCGAAAAGGTGGTCGACCACAGCCCGCGAGAAAGTTTCAAGCCGATGGTGGGATACGTCTTTTGCTGCAGATAAGTGTGTCCGCGAGTCTTGATCAATAAGCGTCCACCACTCATGCGCCGCGTCGATGTTTACTTTCGAACGACCCCTAACGAGGCGATCCAGGTGATAGTGTTTTTCGAAATTTACGGTGTCTTCAATGAGCAGCGTCTTAAGATTTCGAATTTGGTGATTGGCAACATCCTTTTTTCATGTTAGTATTTTGACCGTTGTTCAGATTGGATGCGGAAAACATACGAGCTTCATAGCCTCCAATATCCCCAACAGCTCTTTCAGTCCATTCACAATATGACCTGTATCATTCTTTGCCACACCAGTCTTGGTAGTCTGCACCATCTTGTCCACGAGACCATCACGCATAGGTGCGCAATGCTCTTTGAGCAAGATGGCGACCCACTCCACCCGCTTGACCAAATCGCAAACCCCACGTTCAATTTCCTGCATGAGCATACCCACGTCGAAGTGCTCGGTTACTCTTGCGTGATCCCGATCCGGCACAAGGCTCTCCAATACTTCGTGCAATGTCCTAAACACCTTTGGTATTCTGCGTTGCGCATGCTGAACTAATGCCGTCCACTTTGCTTCTCCCACGTTCTGTATTGAGGGTGCCCTCTGAAACAGCAAAGTGTACAACTCCATCTCAGCAACCAGCGCCCGCCAATAATTGTCCGAATGCCTTCTCTTCTCTTGTCCCTTGGGTCCATCGAGGTTTGGTCGGAAGCTCAGATCCTTGTCGAAGTTGACGTCGTGCCGTAATTTGATGTTTGTTATGATATTCTGGATGTCCAGTTCACCCAGTGATTGCTTCGTCACAGGAGGCAGATCAGCTGCGCATAGGAACGCTTCCCCCAGCTTTGCGCCATCCATGCCTGGAATGATCTCCATGAGAAGATCAGCAAGCTGCTCTGGGATAGCCCTTTCTGCGGTATGCGAGGTCCACGCTGCACTCGAAGGTTCTTCTCTTTCTATGCCTGTGCTTTTGTCGATCGGTTGTTGTTCTCCGTCGTAACTGGTAGACTCTGCAGGGTGCCATGCCGTTGTCGTGTCCAAAACGCCCGGCATGGTTTCGACATCGTCGGCCGTGGGGAGGGAACAATACGCTCCGGCCGGCCTGAAAGGAACGCTGCTCCCAGCAGCGTTCGGTGTCTGGGCGTCCATGGCGGCTCCTCCCGGGTAGCCTTCGCAACTCTTCTTAAGTGAATGTCGAGCCTTCATCAGGTTTTAAGCAGGCTAGCGGATGATGGTTGAGGAAGATAGTTTGAAGACGAAAGGAGGTGAGTTTCCAGAATACTGAGTGGTAATTATGATGCAAGCGCACAGTCAAGCGCAAGTGTTGCTCCTCACTCACTGCGACGCAGTCAGCCACCAAACGATACAAGAAGACGCCTGGTTTGCAGGGACACAAGCACAACACGTGTACACGGTTGTTTGACTGTGTTTCGGTTGGCCACATAAAGCAGCTAGTCGATCCGAGTCAGACAGAGGGATTGCGAGACGAAGGATAGTAGAGGATGGCTGGGCTTGTGCAAAAAGGGGATGGGATTACCTTTCTCATCAGACGCGATGGCAAATCTTTGACGAAAAGATTGGCAGTGAGAAGAGATCAAGAAGAGTGTCGGACGGACATGATAGGAAAGCAAGCCGGGCTTGAAAGAAATGCAAGTGATTGTGAAGGACGTTTGCGGAAGGAAGCTCTTGACGAAGAGCTTCGGAAAAGAAAGAAAAGAATGCTTGGCCGCTAAGAGCAAAGCAGGATATACGCAAAGAGAAGGTGCGAGAGAAACAGACAGGCAGGCAAAGAAAGTCGGGGGCTTATTCTTTGGATGATGATAGATGGTGGTGCCAGCTAGTAGGAGGTTGATGAGGTCAGGTGAGACCGAGACTGCGAGCGAGGTATGTATGTGTAGCTAGGTATGTAAGGTCGAGGCAAAGTAAGGCGTGTAGATGGATGTGTATGTAATAATGTAATGGTGCAGCGCAGGGGAAGCGTGGCTGGCAACAGATTGGGGAGTGATGTTGCGGGTAGTGCGGTGCGGTGCGGTGTGGTGTACAGCAAGTAAGTGACCAAGTAAGTAGTAGCAGCAGTAGTAGGTACGTGGTGGACGGGGAGGGAGGAAGGGAGAGGCAGAGGGGGGACGGCGGCCCTTGCATGCTTGTTTAAAAGGTGGTAGCTTTGACCACCAGGGCCGTTTGTTGGAACTCAATGTTAATAATGCCACACAATAGACGGTATGGTATGGCTGGTATGTAATGGCATGTGTGGTAAGGCGCGCGGAGGCGTATCGCAGTGCAATGTGAAGCGGGAGCGCAGGCCATCCCAGGTGGCACACCGCTACAATGACACGGCTCCACTTCCCTCTGGGCCATGCCATTCAATCCCTCGACGGGTACCTTGATACATATGTACATGCATACACATGGTACATACACGGTGTCGGCGTGGTGAGGTGGATTGTGCCATCTCAGAGAGAGGCCCACGGCGGCTGGCAGGCGTTGGAGGGAGCAGAAGCGACATGGCAGGCGTGCCTGCGTGCGAGTCAACCAATCTCGCTTCGGCTCGGCTCCATCACTCGGAGCTCATCCCCATCGCATCGTCGTCAGCCTCACTTTTTCTTCTTCCTCTCGTGGCCAGATGCAAACAGTCCGGCTCACCACGGCAAGCAACCAAGCGGGAAACAGGGCGCCCGCACGTTGTTCTGCACTGCACATCCTCATCAGCTACCAACTGGGACGCCGTCTCCATGCCAGGTGCTGACTCCATTCCCCAACTCAATACCAAACCATGCCATCACTACAAAAAGTCAATCGCCACAACCACAGCAACCATTGCAGTGCATTGGATACCCCGGCCAATCACCCATCACTCGTGTTAAACACTCCGCCTCCGCCCGTTTTTAGCTGCGAAACCTAGACTGCCCCATCCCCATGGCCTCTCTATTGTCCTTCAGATCCTGTATAATAACCATGCCGCACCTCCGTTCCATTCATGCACTGCCTGACTGATATGGGCCTTCTTCCCTTCTGGAGTCATCCTGTATCCGATCGTCGTCGGACCATCGATGAGTACGACTTACCTTAGTCAGAGAGACATTACGCCATCGTGGACGGCAAATACTTGATGAATCATTCGCCAGCAGAGAATGACTCGCCACAACAAAACTTGTGGACCGACAGCATTCATCAAGAGGCGACTTGCAGCAGCAAAAGCAAATGCTCCAAGAAAGGTGAAGAGTAGAGCCCCCACGTCTCTCGTATCTGAGGCGTACAGAAACGATAGGGCGACGAGCCACAGGAGCTGATGAGAGCCGGACTACAACGTGGACGCTACCATGCCGTGGGTGCAGAGTAGGACCGAGCAGCCGGCGTACCAAGCCAAACCAGTCGACAGAGCAGCAGTAATCATTGCCGTTCATTGACATGTCCGAACAAACAAACGTACATAATGGGCCTGAAATCCGTCTGTCTGCGGCCGATCAATCCATCATTCCACATCCAAGCAGGGGAAACCAAAAGACAAAAAAGACAAGCATGTAGAGGTACACCAATCAGGATCATGCCTGTTCATCGCTATCCAGTCCAGAGCCTAACAATATTGTATTCGTACGGAATCCGACCGACCAACCAACATCTCTCAACCTCGGGACTTGAAAAATGTCCGACTTGCAAAAAACTTCCTCAAGACGGGAGATGGTAGACAACTTAGGCCATCATTACCATGCTCAGCTCCACCATAAGGCCCGTATCCAATATGAACGACATTGCCGCACGAGGCCAAAGCTCTATATGTTGAGTGCCTACCAGATTGTGCGCTCACTCTCGAACCATTCGTTGCAGCAACCGCCAGGGCTATCAGAATGATATCCACAATTCCACCCAAACTAAACCAAACGTAGTCAGTCCCAAACTACAACTACCCCAGAAGCCTCACTCAATTAGCGAGGGGAAAAACTGGTCCCCTAGTTTTGAAGTCGTTCGATCCATTCCACATCAATCGCAAGGAAAGCAAAACCAAAAAGTAAGGCGAGACGCGAAACAGAATCGCGCTGGTTTTCCACTTTTATTTCTTCTTACCAATGTTTGTTCGACCAATATACAGCAGCGACATGATTGACCTAGGTATTCGGACATGATCCATCCGATGCCAATCAGCATACCGCACAAGTATCCTTCCCCACTCGGCTGTTGCGAGGAAAACTGCCGTCCCCATATTTCCGCCTCACGTTATTGAGAAAGCTGAGACACTCAAGACTGATAGTCAGATGTCAAACATTACACTAACCCACAATGCTAAGCTATTCATTCAGAGATAACGAACCAAGAAAATTCCGGAAGGCAAAACCAAAACAAACTGCACTGTCAAACTCCCTTGAAAAACAGCAATATGCGCAATCCCTTCTCTCTTCACAATCACCCATTTCTTCCACACACCCATCATCCACGCTCTCTTCACAATAACAAATCCAATTTTAGAGTTAGAGTTTGGGTGTTTCAACACGCAGTAATATTTGCAGCAATGACATGGTACTGGAAACCAGACAATTACTCGGAAAGACTCGCGATTTACGCTTTTACACAAGCTTTTACAACGCAACATTGCAACAAGCAAAAAGCAGGGATTAGGAAGCATCCAGTGTAGCCGTAATAGCTGTAATTACTTAGGATCAGTGCCACCAGCTACAGCACGAATTTTCCTTCGGATTTTCGATATTCTCAGACGTTAGTCATGTTTCGATAATGGTTGGTTGCAGTATTAGGAACGCTCAATCAACGAAAGGTTCCCAAACTCTGAAAAAACAACAGTTTTGCGGTAGCTGGCAGCACCTCCCTTGCAATAATAATAATCGATTTTTTCTTCCCATTCTTTATCTCCTCGCACTCATCCTCCTCCCCTTTCCCTTCCTACTACTTTCAACAACACCCTTCAACGCCCGACACCACGCACAATCCCCAACCAAAACCCTCGTCCGCGCCCGCCGTTTGCCGGGCGGACAGCATGTCATCATACCTCCTCCCCCTCTTCTCCTGCCGCAGCTTCTTGTCCCCTGAGTTGTCCGATCCTCATAGCTGCTGCTGCCGCTGCAGGCGCATCTGGTGGTGGAGTAGATGTAGGATTCAAAGTCGATGGAGATGATGCTATCAAGCCAGTAGTCGAAGTAGAGGTAGAGGTAGCCAATCCGCAAGGTTCGAGAAACGGGTACGGGAAAGGTGTAGGCGGGCAACCGCATGTGAAGAGGGCGAAGGTTACATAACACATTGTTGCTTAGCTGTTTACCGGATTTCTTGGACAATGATTTGAAGTAATCGCGGGGATTCTTGCTCTGGCGATGTTTGACGGGTTTCTTCTTCTTCTTCCTTGTTTTTCGTAGGTGGGTAGGATTTGTAGAGAGAAGGAGAGAATCCCTTGAATAATCGTGGCGCGTTTCCCGTTTCTCTTCTTCTTCGTTTTCTTTCTTGCTCTCTTCTTGCGTCTTGAAGAATCTCGAAAAAGAACCTTCAAATCAACAATTCAACCATAAACAAAAAAAAAACCAATAAAAAAGTACAACTCAAATCTTCCCGGTCTTTTTGATCTTCATACGTGACCTATACAAATCCTCCTCTCCTCCACGCAGCAGAACAGCGTGATTCTTCTCCGATACACAAAAAAAAACAAGTCTTGGAAGAGCGAGAAAGCAATCGCTCACGTCCTCGCTTGAGACGAGACAAAGCGGCGTCCAACGTGATTCATATACCAGCTTGTCTCAAACACATGGGGGATTCGCTTCCCCCCTACGTGGATGCTTGCTTGTCTGATTGCTTGAGTGCTTGCTGGCTTGCTTGCCACATTGCCGCGGTGCTACCATGTCACGAGAGAAGACGTTTGTGGGGAGGGGAATGGTGCGAGTAGAATATAGCAAATACTCAACAGTGGATTCAGAGATGGCGGTTTTGGGAACGTGCGGTTCATTTTGTTCGTGTAGCAGGTGAGTGAGTGGGGTCCGTGTCATAGCAATCAACATCAAGAACGAAGACGATGTAAAAAACAATATCTAAGTTGCCGAGATTTGGAAAGCGAGGGAAAAAAAAGCGCGAAGGGAAGAAGAGGACAAGAATCTCTATTACTGTATCATATCTGTACTGGATTGCGTCAGCAGCTAACAGCACAGCACACGTATGTTTCACTCCAGGCATTACCGCGCACTTCTCTCGCCGTCACATAACTGCAATAATACATCCTACGTCGAAGTCGGAGTTCTCCAGCGAGTTCATCTCAATTGCACACACATTAAGCTGAATCGGGTCGGAAGGGGACGCGCAAGCTGCCTCACTGGTTGAGAAACAAGCAGTTGGGAAGGGTAGGAAAACTGAAAGGTGGAGAAATCAAGACGAAAACCAATGAGATTGTAGCGGGATCTGTTGCAATCTTAGGAGGAAAATAGTAGGAATAGCAAATTGTTACATGTGGCGGTGCATGTGCGGTGCAGGCTGTGTGTATTTTACGAACGCACATCCATGTCGTCGGTTGCTGCCGACGATTGTTTGCCAGAGCGTCCACGCGGTGACCGTTCGTCCTGCTCGCCGGACTCGTCATCGCTCAGAGGGCTTTGTGGCCTGCTGTCGTTGAGGTTTCTTCGACTTCTTGCCATCTGCAGCATATTGTTAGTCTAGGCTTCTTACGATTGCTCTTGAGATGGTGTACATACCCATGAACGGACACCGCCGATCAAACCCAGGCTGTACCCAGCCGCAAACTCAGAGGATTGTCTCTCTTGACCGCGGCTAGGGATGTCGAGATGGCTCAATCGCGACAGGGCGGAAGGAGACGTAGCACTTGCGGCCAACTCTTGTTGCGTCCTTTCTTGAGTCGGCGTCCTGGCCGGACTTGCAGGTCTGCTAGACTGCCAGAACTGACGGAAGTCTTTGGTGAGCTCTTGGCCGGTGGTCGCCCAGTTGGATTTGATGCTATCACGTAGATCGGCCATGTTTCGCTTGAAGTCCAATTCGTTCTTTTTCAACCAAGACACATTCAGCTCCTTGCGCGATGTGCCACGCTTAAGCTGGCGATCGATATACTGGTCGTAGTCCCGAACAATCCTAGTCGCATGTTAGTGGTGTTGGTTTGTATGGGCGCGACAGGGATCCCTACTTTGTGATGATACCGGTAGTGCTCAGGCCCTCCGTTCGCTGAGTTACCAGAAACATGCCCCTCTCCTTGATAGGCCCATAGATGTCATCACCCTCATCAGCACCATACGGCAGGTCGTCGTGGGCGACGTAATCGAGCTTGTGCTGTTCCAAAAATTCCGTTGTGACGACCCATGGGCAATCTTCAATCACCTCGTCTACCCACTTACAGTGTCGCACACTTTCGGCACGCTCACGCGCCGACAGAACGGTGAGACCCTTTCGTCGATGTGTCTCCTTGTCGCCGGTGACACCGACGATAAGGACGGTATCTGGGAAAGCGGTCTTTGCTTGCTGCAACTGGCGCATGTGACCAATATGGAAGAGATCGAAGACACCATCAGCGTATACTCGAACGGGTCGTCCCGGAGGCGGAGGGTTGGTCTTGTAACCAACAGGGTCAACCAAACCTGCCTTTGGCGGTTCCTCCATCCTCATGGTGCCCGCCTCACCATTCTCGCCGTGCTCGCCATCTGTGTCCTCGCGCTTGGTTTTCTTGGCTGCACGGTCGGCCTCTTCGTTCTCGCTCTCGTTGTCGGCGTCGGCGTCGGCAGCGCTCTTCACGGAGCGAGTTCGTTTGGCGGGAGTGTGAACATCGGCCTGGCGTTCTTTTTTGGACGCGACTCGCTGAAGAACGGGATCCTCGGCACCTTCGTCAGAGGCGTCGCGAGAGGAGGGCTGGGCAGGGTCCATGTCTGTTTTTTTGATCGAGGACACGGTGGTGGATCTCTTGCGCTTCGGTGGCATTGGCAGAGGGTTTTGTGATGTTGCTACCGGTGAGGGTCAGATGGCGCGCAGGGATGTGCGAGGTATTGAGGTGTGAAGTAGGTTGGATGGAGGGGATGCAGGGTGATGAGGTCAATTGAGTTGGGACAGTGGATGAGGGCCGGCGACAGCTCCGTGTGCGATGAGGGTTGAGTAGATAACAACGCGCCAGAGAATTAGCTCCAGATGACGTGAAAGGCACCTCGTTACATCAGAAGGGTGCAAAGAGGGTTGCAAGTCTTGAACGGACGTGAGAGAGAGGAAGGATAATGTAGGGAAATGGAGAGGGATCACATCAGTCCATAATTTTGGTTTTTGGCCGTTTCCTGATTCGACGTCGAGCTTGGCAATGACGAGCGACTCTGTCGTTGCGTGCTTGCATGGATACAGCAGTATCCCGAGCTCCAGCTCTGCGACGACTTGCATAGCTCCAGATGCTTGTGAGCCATCACCACGTGCCCGAAGCTCTCTCTTCAATTCACTGCTGACGTGCGAACAACTGTCCTCTTTCATCAGAATACACCAGATAGTATCTGGACCGTCGCGGCGACGGCGTGGTCTCGGTGCCCCTTTTTCTTTTACGCGACAGTAATCTCGGGCCAGAGAACGGCACCTACACACTATCACATTTATGTACCTCGCGCCTTCATTAGTTGCATTTATGTATGGTATTGTCGCCATGATACATATACGTGTACCCGTCTATGCAACCATTTCATCGCCCTTTGCTACTGCGCTCACGCCGCTCTGCTCGTTCAGCTCCCACACCTTGACTTCACCATCATCACCGGTGCTGAGTATCACCTCTTCGCCTTCCCACCTGACTCCTTTGTCCTTTCTTGGTGCCCAAGTAACATGATTGATCTCGAACACCCCATGCGCTTCCCATAACTCTGCAATCACCACCCATTCGGCCAATGTCCCATGTTCGTTATGCGCTTGAAATGGAGCACTCTTCCACCGCTCCTTATACACCACTATCTTCCCGTCGCTACCAGCCGAAACTAACAAGCCACTCGTTTGTGACCAGGAAACAGAGTATATCGCTCTGGTGTGCTGCTGCGGAAGAACGGATTCCTCGAACCACTCCTCGTCGATGGCGGTGCTACGAATAATGGACGGCATGCCGCTGGACCCCGAGTTCTGGCCCTCTCTAGGTTTTCTTCGCCATATCCGCGCGGTACAGTCGTCGGAGCAGGTCGCCAGTCGTGGGCCCGACCGCTCCAGTTCCTCAATGTAGTTGCGCTGCCTCTCGTCCAGGCCCTCTCTCCCTTTCCTCCAGTCTTTGGATGACATGCCGCTGCCCTCGAACTCAGCCCACCACACCGTCATCTTGTGCCCGTCGATGGAAGCAACCTGCATCCAATCGTCGCTATCTTCTTTATATAGCCTGACCGTATCATCGTAGCTTGCGCTGACCAGCAGGTCCTCTTCGGGGTGCCAGTTCACACATTTGACGTCTCCATCGTGCTCTTGAAGTACAGCGACCGTCTCAAAGTTGTCGTCCTCGAGCTCCTCCCATATCCAGACTGACTTGTCGCGCGAGCAGGTCGCAAGGTATTGACCAGACGGCGACCAAGCCAGTGATTTGATTTCAGATTCATGGCCATCGAGAATGCAAGCGAACTGATACTCATCATCGTCATCATCCTCTTCTTCGTCTTCTCCATCGCGTCTTCCGCCGTGGTTTGTAAAGTCCTGCGGGTCTTCGCCGTCGTCGCGTCGTCGCCAGATGCCTGCGCTGGCATCAAAACTGCCCGTAGCTAACACGCTTTGCCCTCTAACTCCAGGCTTCCATCCCACACTCCGTACGCTTCTTTTGTGTCCGCCTGTGATGGAATGCAACAGTGTGAAAGATGTAAGGCTGTACACTCGCACGCTACGATCGGAGCATGCGGTTGCCACGATGGGCTGTGAAGGATGCGGTGCCGTTTGCCATGTTCGTGAATTAGATGGCGGGGAGAGCGTGGCGAGTGGTTGAAGGAGGTGCGAGTATTTTGTCTCGTTGGTAGCAGCCATGTTGAGAGGAAGACTGCAAGTTGCCCCGCGGGGGTTCGCTTTGTATGTTCTTTCGCGGGAACCTGGTGCAAGATGGGGAACTATTCAAATATGAATAAACGAATGTTTCTTTCGAAAAGTATCCGGGGGAAACAGTCTCAATTTCCCATCGTTGCTCGTGGCCGTGGGTGTGCGTGCAGCTGAACGTGGGGCATACAAAAAGTTCCCACTGACGTCTTTCAGCGCCAAGCTCGGCTTGCGTCCAGCAAAAACTCCCGAGCCGCAGATCGGAGCATCTTATCACGATGAGCTATCACGATGAACTGTTCAGTAAACAATACATGTATACATTATCGCAAGCTAACATCATTGAACAACTGCATGCTGCTCATTCCATATCGCATCCCATTGCAACAACACTCGTTTCAAATATATGTACAAAATCATTCTTCCTGGGGTATCATTTCTCATCATGTTCAAAGTCAAGTCCAAAAGCGACTTCATTTCCGTCTCTGCTTATCACTTCTCTTGCCCATCAATATCCCGGATGGATGCTGTGATGGCAAGCAGCTTATCCGCCATAGTCGGTTGTGCAGCATCGCCCACGCCCGCTTCTGTTCGAACCCCCAAGTCTTGCAACTCCATCACCATGTTTTCCTTCACAGTGTCGCTGACAACTACATCTTGGCTGACCATGATCCCACCGAATGAGTGACCGGGAGCGACGGAGCTGTTCATGGGTATGATATCGACCAAACTTTTCTCCGAGCTATTGTCCGGGCTGACGCATGAGTCGAGATTTTGGGTGCTATGAGTGCTGTGAAACATCCTGAGGCCGCTCCACACTGCGCTTTTCTTAGGTGGCAGTGGCTTTTCGGTATCCAGGATAGTAGATGTAAGCAACGAGCTGAACTCTTTGTGGTTCTTCTGTGCCAGGATGGCATGATCGGGGCTCCCGGGACACGACCTCAAACTGGTGCGGAAGAAAGAAAGTGGCATAGATTGTAGATGAGCACTACGCAATGACTGGTGATAGATTTCCTTGATGCCGCAGAATGCAAAGAGCGTTGCCTCCGATGGATTGTTCAGGGTGCTGGCTCCATGTGCCATTTTCAGCTGCTGCGCAGAAAACACTGCTTGCTGTACCGCAGGATCCGGGCATTCAACACATAGTTCCTGGATCTTTTTGCGGAAATTGGCGAGGAAGAGGCTATCCCCGGGCGTGTCTCCAGAATGTTGTCCGATCTTGTCGAGACACTCTTTCAGTGTCAATCCAGCGTACGCCGAAAGAAGTTTGACTTCGTTGTCAGTGAGCTCCCTAGTAGCCAGTTCCACCATAGGAAGACGGTCTGGATATTTGCGTTGTACAACGATGTCTAGGCCTTCCATCGCAGGCGATGGCTTCAACAGGAATGCCGCTAGATATGTTCCTTTACAGGGAATTGGCGAATCTCTCGCACAAGAAGACTGAAGGCGCCCGATTAGATCGTGAAGATCACCGCGTGAGATCTGGAGACTATGCGCCAATTGCTCTTCGACCTGCTCGATGCCTGCGAAGCGGAAACCGCGGTTCTGAAAGCGACTGGCTTCATCTGCATCCACTCTGCGAGTAAGAACCAACAGCTGTCCCCTGCCAAATACAATAGGATTAGAGTGTCCGGCTTCAGGGTCTGGCTGCTCAGTAGTAACTTCTGCCGCGAGTATGGGTTTTCCGTGCGTGCTCGCGAACAGATTCCGAGCGTTATGTTGAGTACCAGTAGTTTCCACATTCTCATAGAGATGGCCAAGATTATGAAGGCGAGTTTCCAGACTCTTTGCAATATCCTGTGCAGCAACGCAGAACATCTCGCGAAACGCAGCCGAGTAGCTTGCATCGGTATCTTCTTCAGTGTCGATTGATTCTCGGCTTGCGCCGCCCGTACCGACCTGAAGGTATCCTGTGTGTCCCAAGTGTTCTCTCATGGCGGGAATGAGGTCGACAATGCCTCCCCAGTTACGAGAAACCTGGAAGAGCCATTGGAAAACGGGGTGTCGAACGTTGAAATCGTCATCGAACGTCTGCACAAGGTGTTAGTCTCGTGTCAATACTGCTATTCTCTGTGATTCTCGACTGACCCTTTGATGGAACTGCCTGGTAATTGTTTGGCAAGGCAGAAGACCCGCAGGTGTAACGAGCACCTTTCCTGCCTCATCGAACATGGCAACGGCGAGGACGACCTGTTCGGCTCGATCTCTGAGCTTCCTCTTGTGTACTTGCTTCAGGAAACCCATGGCGAAACAGACCACACATGCACCCAAACACTTGCTATGTTAGCTGGCTGCTCATCAGCATCTCGAGGGAAAGGAATTTCTCACCAAGCACACAGCAATTATCAAGTTCACATTGCGTGCTTGACCACCACCCGAATGGTAGCCTCTCACTTCATATGTAGTTCCAGCAGCAGCAGTCCTGAAATGCGGGGATGAATAGTCAGTAAAAACATTTCCGGTGTGCATGGGTACCTTCATGATCCCTCGTATACTTACCAATGCATACCGCTGACAGCCATAGCTAGAAAGGCAGCAACGAGAAAACGTCTCCAGATGTTGTTCATCCAGTGCACGCTCCAGTGGAAGAACAGACTGAACGCTATCAAGCAAGCACCGACAGCAATCAACGTAGCGCCAATGACGAACTTGAGTTGTGGTATCAATCGATAGTCTGTGGTTCCTTTATTTCCAAGATAGTGCATGGCAGTGACTGCGGCGCCTGCAAAGATTCCGCAGATCAAAAGTGCCGCGTTTCGCGTCATGCTTTTCCTGTTGCCCCTATAGAAACGGTCGGCGGTTTGGAGACCGAGGAACATGACGACCATTGGTAAGATGGCCGAGATTGTGGTGAACGTTGCGTTGTAGTAGAGCTGTATCTCGTCCTCGCCGTCGCCCAGGACGATGGCTCGGTTGCCAACAAAGTGCATGCACCAGATGGCGACGAGGGAGAATGAGATTGAACATGCAACCAGTTGTACCCTGAGCGTGTTAGTATTGCTAATTCGGAAGTCTGGGTGTCTCGTACCAGCTGCGCCATGACGTTCCAGATTGTCTTCGGTGAAGTAGTTCGACTGTCGTGTATGCGCCGATGAAGCTCACAATGTAGGAGAAGAATATCACATAGGGGATGTAATGAATATCTGGTCGACTCCCTATAGGGTATTTATCGTGGATGCTCACGTCTACATCGACTTGTAGAAGCATCATCTTAGCCTCTGACATCCAGGCTACATATGTTAACTGACTGTACTCTCCTGAAAAGCAAGATAGTGCTGACTGATGTAGAAGACATGAACATACCAGAGTGGAAAGATTGGTCAAGAGGGGTCGAGTCTCTCCGCGTACACTCTGTGCACGGTACTAATATAGATTCTGGGAACTGTGGCACGTCGGGCGCTCTCACGAGTGCAGTGAGGTAGTACAGATATCGCGATCGATCCAATGAATGAAAGTGGTGTTTGTTATACGAGCGAGTGTTTCCGAACGAACAGCAGTGCCCGGGAGCTGATTTTCAAGAGGCTCTCAAGATTTTACTAATGACCTCCCCCAGTAATAGGAGAATTTTAGCTACTGCCTTGAATGCTAACATGGCGTAACGCCTAAATCGTGACTTGAGCACGTGTGATGAGCCCTTCCGACAGGAACCCCCACAAAATATCCACTACCATGCCGTCCTGATATATGCAATCATCTACCGAACCGTCACGAAACTGATCTGCTTGGTTGATTCGTTCGCTAGACCTGGACTTGGATACGACGGACTGTGCCACGCTAATCCAAGGCATCCGGGGGTGCCGATGGTGTGTTGACGGGAGGATGGTACTACGCTACTACCCGAGCACTACGGCTCACTATTGACCTTCGGTTCCAGCTAGAAATTGTTCATAGTCTGTAAACGATATAGGAACGACTTCTGGGCCGCCTGGCGAGCAGAATCTACTTTGTTAACCTCACAAAACCATTAGACGTGTAATATACAGTCCAATAGGCCCGGGGTGCAAAACTTTTACTCCTGTTTCCCGAAGACTACCAGCTGCATGAAGTGTATCAGCACGAATCGTATTCTATGTGATGCTGCTGTCCGTAGCGTAGTGATGATGGCTTGACAGGGGCAATTCCCCGTCGATCTCGGCTCAGACGGTGGAACGGAGTCATGACCTTGCATCATGGAAAGCATATCCTGATTGAGAGTGTCTTGCATTTTCGGGAATGTCATGCAGGAACCCCTACAGGGATTCAAAATATAACAGCTGAGATCCCCAAACCTCATGATTTGCTTTACTCGTAGCCTTCCACACAAATGGTCTATATCTATAGTTCCACGTCGGCGATTGTAGTGTATCAATTCCACGGGTCTGGAAGGCCGGTGTGGAGAATAACGACTAGTTGCCGGATGCGACAGCGGCGTTGAGCACATCGCGTGTAATCAGTGAGAACAAATCAATAAAGGGCCGAATAGCATGAAAAATATCAAACGTTCTATGCCCAAAGACACTCGGAGGTCATGACTACATACCCTCTCCAATTCAATCTCGGTATGGATACGAGTCGTGCCCTACAAACGTTAATGTCGCCATCATTGATCTGTTTCCAGTCCCTGTGGATCTCGGAAGATTCCCAATTTAGATTGTGTACCTCATGCGCCTATCACACACGCTGACAAGAGCCACCACACTCTCCTTCTTAGCAGCCTCTTTTAAGATTTGCAATGTTTCCACGGCCCGTTAGACGCTGCCGGAAGTGTTTTCCGGAGGATCAGCTATGAGCCTCAAGTAAAAATCCATGCAGCACTGTCACTACACTTTTACTGAATTAGGTGATGTCTCCGTTTATCAGCTCGGCTGATAAAAAAAGTAGGTTTGGTAGCCTATCTTGGCCGATCTTTCCTGTCAATCTTGCCCAAATGGACTTGCTCACTGCTGCATTTTAACCCCAGCCTCAAAGCTAAAACGCCGAAGTTCTGCTCCAGAAACCTTCTCGGCGTATGGTGTCAAAACGGCTGCCACAGAAAATCCACGTGTTGACTAGCTGTTAGCGAACTGTGGCCTAAGAACCGACGCGCCATCAAACGAGTAGTGCATTTATTAGTGGGGTAAGCAGAGAATCCAAATGGTCAACCATTAGAGATATGCCGTGATGAGAATTTTCGGTTCGCCTTTTCAGCTCTCCGCGGATCATCCAGATGGCAACACTGAACAAAATGGTTGCAAGGAGCCTGATGCGGGCCTCGAGAGCAAAGTCTTGTGAGTGTAAATCCAAGTGGATTTCGAATCTCGAGAGTCAATGTCATTTGTTGCTGCGTACGTCGTCTTGATTGCATATGGAGGTTCATCAGCAGGCAAATTGACGTAGAAATTGGTACTGGGAGCTTGTAAGTGCGATGTCTTTGCCTTTGAGATGATTCGATTAAGGGATGAGTTCAGAGTAGGCGCGAGACACGCTCTTTGCGACAGTGCCTGTGTGCCACAATCAGTATTTGGTGGCACAATGGCGCAGTGTCACGCACAGAGAGGAAACCAGGTCGCCACACAACCGGGGCAATATCGGCGAGTCTCGTTGGGAAAGCATTTGCTTTGACTTTTAAACCACCAGTTGCACCTTTCAAAGAAGTGAAAGCTGAAAAACGAACAGCCGCATCGACCATGTGAGAAAGTAGTCGCGATTCTGATCTTTCCGGCGTATCACACAATGAAAGCGGAGTGTCATATGTATCATGGCGTCTAATGTTACACGGCATATCTGCAAGACCTTCTACATGCACGTCGGGAAGGCTCACGGATCGTTTTCGTTTGCGAGGTCGAGGCATTGGTGCTGGGCTCGACGTCGTGAACAATATTTCTTCGTTTGAATCATCCCTGACATCAAGTAGCTCTTCGGAAAGTACGGGTGTAAGATCGTTGTTCTCGTGCTCGGCATCAGTCATGCCCTGAAACAAAGTAGGGGTGCTCTTAGGATTGGGTTTTTGCTGGCGCTGTCCAGAACCCTTGCTCATATTCTCTAGTATGACCAGATGGAAGCGAATTGAGTGCAGCGCAAGCGTTGCAATGCCGTCAGGAACGACCTTGGCAGTTATACGATGACATTTTTTAGCCCGCTCTTCGACATCATTGGGGGATCGGTCGAGATTGATGTGTATACTTTGATTGCTGATCTGTCCGTATTCCACTGGTAAAGAAGGCGAGAGCTTCAATTGACACCAAGCCTGGGGAGACTGTTAGCAGATGAACGAGTCGTGGAGATGCACTATCGATTGCGCTACACGTACGGGCGCATCCACGATGGCCGCGGCTAGAGCTTTCGTGTCATACAGATCCATTGGCTCTCCTCGCAAGCTAATATCCAATACCAGATGCATGCGTTCGGTGCCATAGACCCACACTTCTCCAGATTTCAGGAAATTGAGAAGGGCGGGAGCGCTGAGCTGTTCAATATCAAGACAGTGTTGTTTTGGTGAGAGGGTGATGTATGTAGTTAGCCATAATTCGAGCGATGCTTCTGTTGCACTGATGACAGCTCGAACTAGCTCAACAGTACGCTGCATACCGATCTCACGACATCTGAGTATCTCGTATCTTTATTTCGAATTGAACGAAAGTGTGGATGAGGTGAAACGCGGTGGATGCGAGAGACAGAGGTTGCATCAGGTATGGCATCGGTGCCAAGACACGATCCAGGAAAGTGCGGCCGACGTCATGCGGCTCATCTCCTTTACCACAAAGCATCGATTTCTCAATCAATACGCATCAATTGAATTATGGCTCAGGTATCGAAATCAGTGCTTCGGCGTTTCAATTCTATTGTCGAGCGTGGGAACCTGGCAACGCCGTCTTGCACGCGTTATCCGCCTCTATTTGCCAGGCATGCTCGTCTAATCCACTGCAGCAGTCGCCGTTCTACCGATGGTGTGTTTCGTGACCTCACAGCGCAGAGGGTGCGAACACCATGGATAGAGGCCCTTCGCAAGCAGCAGGCTGAAAGCAAGACCTCGGAAGCAGCCCCAGAAAAGCCGAGTGTTCCAAAGGACCGCGACTTGTCCCCAAAACGTATGGATGACAGCTATCATTCCGTCGTCCTGCCGCTCGCCCGGGATCCATGGCTCCTTGACACGTACCTCAATTCTTCTGGCCACATTCGTTTAGGAACCATCTTTATGGACTTGGACGCACTATCGGGTGTAATAGCGTACAAGCACACCGGCGAGGACGTGACTACGGTGACGGCGAGTTGTGATAGGATCGTGATCAAACACCCTCTGACTGAGATATGTGACCTCGAACTATCTGGGAGAGTGACTTACGCCACTGGGAGGTCTAGCATGGAGATTTCGATGCAAGTCGCGAAAGCGCCCAAAGAGGGCGAGCAAATTAAGAATGAGGATGTTCTAATCCAGTGTACTTTTACAATGGTTTCGCTCGATACCAATACCAGGAAGTGAGTTGATGTATACCCAGACGTAGCACGGACATATACGCTGCAGACAAATGTTCTAAGTCTATGCGCCGGCATATTCTGCCTCTTTTCACAATCTGAACCGTTTACTGATCTACAATCTAGACCTGTCAACGTCAATCCGCTCATCGCCGAAACCCCAGAAGAAAAGCGTCTTTACAACCTCGGTGAGCGCAATTCGAAGATTCGAAAACAGCTTAAGGAGAGAGCGTTGATCAAACACACGCCCAATGATCTTGAGTCCGATCTGATCCACGCGTTCTGGCAAAAGCAGCTTCAATACCACGACCCTTACGACGAATTGCGTAAACCCGACAACGTCCATTTCATGGATACCACGCGATTGCAAACAGCCACCATAATGCAACCGCAGAATCGCAACAGGCACCACTTCATGATATTCGGCGGTTTCCTTCTCAAGCAGACTTTTGAATTGGCTTTCACGACCGCAGCTGCTTTTGCGCATGCCCGGCCTACTTTCGTCTCCCTTGATCCCAGCACTTTCCAGAACCCGGTTCCCGTTGGTAGCATATTATATCTTACTGCAACCGTCGTGTATACCGACCCACCGCTCATTGGCGCCCCCGGAGAAAAGGTTGATCCTGATAGTCAATACACTAGAGTGCAGGTGCGTGTAGACAGCAAGGTACGAGACGTTGAGCACGGACGATCCAAGCCGACAGGGCAGTTCAACTACACCTTCAACGTCGAGAAGAACATTCGAGTCGTCCCGCGCACGTACCAGGAATACATGATGTATCTCGATGCACGACGCAGGGCAGAACAAATCAAGGAGACAGTACAGGAAGAGGGTATCGGACTTACTCCTGCGGTAGCAGAGCAAAGCATCACAGAATAGGTGGATGGAATAAAGAAGATGCGATTCTTCTAATGTAATGATGCTGAAATATATCAAACGCACTTAGAAACAGGAGCGGTCTACGGTATCAAAAGATACTTGTTCATACTCAGAAAACGCCGCACGCTAGAAGTCAGACCGAAGTCATGATGCAAGCAGCAGCAAGACGGAAGAAACCATGTAAAAAAAATATACTGATGCAAAAACTCCTCCTTTTGACTCCCAAATGAACTGACTGATGAAGATGAGACGCAAGCATGTAATCGGGTCCTGTGCAAATTGCACCCGATGACTTGCTGGTAAGGTAGCGCGTTTGAATGCGAGGAGCAGAGAAGAAAACGAGTCTCTAGCGCAATGATATATGTGAATGACCATCAAAAAGTAACATCGTGCGAAAAAATAAGAAACAACTAAGAAGCAGTTGCAGGAAGGGTGGGTCGAGAATCGAAGTGGGGGCGGGGAAGCGTCGCGAGAGGAAAGGCGGTGAGCGAAGCCTCTCTTAACTCCGAGCAGGGGGGCAGAAAAAACGGTAGGGTGGTGGTGAACATCTATGCATGCACCATCAGCTCGATTCCTTTGGCCTCGTTTCCCAACACAGCTGCTCCCTTTCCACGTACGAGAAAAGAATAGCAGGTAGGTAGCGTGCTTGACTCACAATCCAGACTCGATCCACCGCTCTGGCCGTTCGCGATCCCCCGACCGCGTCCTACAGCTCGTCGAGCTCAAACTCCAACGCGACGTCCTCGCTGCAGTCCGAGCAGTAGTAGTTTGAGAAGCCACCGCACGATACCTGCATGTTCTTGCACATGTCGTTGCTCCATGCGTCGTACGAGTAGCTGGACAGCAGGCGGTTTGCGCAGACTTCGATGCTGTTGGCCCTATATGTTCGCGATTGCCGTCAGCTATTTTTCCTTTGGCTTTTTTCTTGGTGGTGTTTGGCAATATGGGATGGGGTAGGGGGAGGAAGGGGCAGAGAAACGCACCAGATGTAGTAGTCGTGGTTGCAGTAGTACCACGAATATGTGTAGGAGCACATTTTTGCTACTTGAATATGGGTGGTGAAGGTCGTGGGAATGGAAAAGTGGCTGACGAGGATATGTTCGTGGAAACGCGTTGCGAGTGTATATGCGATTCGGAAGACGGAAGTGAATCGGTTCTGGATTTATGACTGTCAGCAAAGGATATGGAACGACTGTTTCCAACTAGTACTAAAGAAAGGGACTTTTGCATGTTGCGGTGAGCATCCTCGTCGCCGCACCCCTATCGCTGTGAGGTTCTAGACCATGTGCTAGAGGCGTGGGTATGTTGTACCCGGCTTCTCGCGACTCCAGGGCAAAGGGACGTCTGGATAGCCTTGTGTAACTCACCTCGTGTGGATATTGTGACTGGTTCTGCTCAAAGAGGGCAGCGTGTCGCTAGATTCTTGGGTTCGTTGACGGGACTCGTTCCTGTGTATCCGACTTTTTTTCTTCTTCTTCTTTTCTTTCCAGTATGTATATCTTTTCTTATTGTTTACTTGGGTATAAATTTTTTGTTGGGGTCCTGGCACAGGCGACAATCTAGACCGACGACACAAGGGAAACAAAGAGAGAAGGAGACTTGGAATCTGGATCCTTATAAGAAACAAAGAAAACCAAGCGAGAAAGAAAGAAGACGTGTGGGGGGACAAAGACCTTACTTTATGTACTCAAGGATAGACGCCGAACCACGTGGTGACCACCGCCCTTATCTCTTAGAGCTGACCGACAATCCTCCATTTGAGCACCCGCGTTGGAAACTCGGATTTAGTCCTATTATCAAAGAGACGGTCCGAGGGGGAAGGGGGGGAGAGAGGGAAAGGATTCGCACGAAGCGTCGGTGCCCTTGTCGGGCCACTTGCTCTGGTTGAGATTCTTGGTTTCTGATTTGAGGATGCAGTTTGGAAAAGGCGTGGCACCAGTCGGAATTGGTCGCTTGTTGGGGGGGATGACAAGGAGAGAGAGACCCACATGCCTGTCCTGTATGAGGATGTTCGGGGAAGACCCATGGTCGGCTATCCTGACTATCACTACTTACTTATCTATCAATCTGTCTTGGGTATCTTAGTTTCTTGAGGCCGAACGGCAAAGGCGCGCTAAAAGTTTCACTTTTCTTTGCCGCAGAACTTCTGGAAGCATTCCCTTTAGGCCGTGATATTCCGTCATGATGCGACATTGTGTGGTGTTGCTTGTGCCGGATCAAACAAAGAGGAGAGTGTTGTCTCGTGCCTGGAATCCTTCTTGCTCTCCCGCCGCCGCTTGCCCCCTTGTTCTCCGATAACCGGTGTGTGGAGATTGGACCCTGAATCTGCTGCACTCGAATCCCAGAAGACCCTGCGTCTCGGCAAACCTTGCTGCGTCTGATTGGCTGCTTGCGCAAAAAAGACCACATGGACGATTGCTACTCGTGATTCTAGCCTTTCTCCGCCATCTTCTTTGGAGCATCGTTCTTTTTGTGTGCGTGCGGGTATTATATCAGTCTTGCTTCTTTCGCCATTTGGCACCATGTAGATAGGGATAAATATTGGGGTTCCCTCCTCATGTCGACTCGTCAAGTACGGCCAAAGTAAGAAGATTGCGAACTGCACGATCGAAACCAAAGCAACATGAAGTCGCCAACCCGGATCCCATCGCTCCACCCCCTGCGCTGCCCGCGCCCTCTCGCCCCTCCCCCAGAGTGAACAGCATTAGCAACTACGGTCTCACGTATAAAGTGCTTTTGCATAGATTATGTAATAATTAGTACTTTATTAAAGTACTTATACTACTATAAAGTATTAAACTTTATATACTTTATATAGTAAAATTACTAACTAAGTAGCTACTACTACTTAAAAAGTATTATTACTATAAGTAAGCTATTTTAATAAGCTTTAAATTACTTTAAGTATTATATTATAAGTATAATAAGTAATTAATAAAACTTTTTTAATTTAAAATAAACTACTTTTTATTTTTTTGCTATTTTACTATTAAGTTTTTAATAAGTTTTAGCTTTTTTTTAACTACTGCTTTTATAGCTACTAGTTTTAATATTTATTATTACTTTTTTTATTATTATTCTTTTTATTATTAAAGTTATTAAAAAGCTTATTTTTAGCTTTATAAAAATACTTATTTAGCTTTAAAATTAGTTATTATAAATTAATTAAAAATAGTAAAAATAGCTAAGTTAATTAATAATAATGTAACATCGCCGCATAAGAGTTGGTGTTAAAGGGGATTGATATTGCCAAGGCGCTACTAGTTAGCGTAGGCAGCTTAGCGAGAGCGCACAAAAGGCGCACCTAGGGCACTAAATAGGGACAAGTGTTATTCTAAATTATTAGAAGGGGATACCTTCTAAGAAGAGCCATCTTTTACTATTACTAGTAGTGTAAAGCAAGTACTATTGCCTATAACTACGCCTTACAAATAAGCTACTATAGTAAGCTAAAAAGTATTAAGTTACTTTAATATTATAAGTTTTTATAAGTTAATAAAAAAAAAACTTTAAAGTACTTAATAATAATAGCTAGTAAATTATATAAGTTTATAGCTTTTTATAAATAAAGTATATATTATAAGTAAAGTCTTTTTAGTTATCGCCTAGTATTTTAGTTTATTTATTATTGTTACTTATTACTGTGTGTAGAATTCCCTTAACTCTACCTTAAAAAAAATAAAAAAAATATTATAAGTAAAAAGTTTAGTAAAAGTAATTACTTACTTTTTTTTATTTTACTTATAAGTAAATAGTAGTTAGTTATAAATAGTAATATAGCTATTAAAATAGTTTACTATAAATAGTAGAAAGTAAAACTTTAAACTTTTTTTTTAATATTTTTATTTTATCTTTTATTATATAAAGTAGCTTACTGTTTTTTATACTAATTTACTTATAAATTATTGCTTTTATTACTCCCTTTTTGTCTGTAACTATCCCCCTTTAGGGGCTGGTACAATCCTTATTATTCAATTGGCGACTACGATAGACCACATCCACCAATAACCTTTATCGATCAGCCAGAATCGCCCACGCATACTACAAGCGTCCGCGCCATCCTGCACAGCGAGCACCATCCTAACCACGGTAGCATTGTAGCTCTTCTCGCGAGTCTTGAATCCTTCTAGTCATCTTCACCAGATATAACTAGGATTAGAAGGAAGACGACCAAGCGCGTATGGCTGGTTTGTATGTATCGTATCCCTCGGTTTATTTGAGTAACATCTGCACATGCTCACCGCCTCTGCACGCCTTTTTGCCTGCTGCCCGGTCCAATAGCCTACCGCACCAGCTATACCTTTCCCCAATACTGTTGCTGAGATACCAGGGGCGTAATTCACAGATTTTCTCATGCGCACGCGCAACTGTGTAATCCGCAAAGTTTTTTCAAAAAACTTTCCAACATTTCCGTAGACTGGAGATGGATTCATGGTTGAGGCGGATTTTAACTCAGTTACCCGTTTCGGACAGCCAGCGTCGATCTTTGGCCAAAACTGTACACGAGACGTGCGTTTCTTAGTCAGGTCCCAGGTGGCGAACAAGCTGTAGAACCTCGTCTTTTTTGCTGTCTGTTGCCGAAGGGTTCCGGTTTCAAACCGGACTTCGGTTGATGGGCAGTGTCTCTTCTCTTACTTTTCCTCGTTCGGGCTCTTCGGATCTGCATCATGCAACCTATTTGGACCAAAGAGATGCTAAGAGCTGTACATTGATCGTCGTCTTCTGCTGTGGCGAGCGCACGTTTCAAAGACCATGAAGGATAAACATCTTAGGCATCGTATTCTCATGGAGCTGGCGATTTGCGCGATAAGATATCAATGTCAGACGGCAACTGAAAGCATACGGATGAATGTAGCTGCATGGGTAGACAATACTTGCAAGCATCACAAAAGAACTCTTGAAACAAATGATTTGAAAAACTCTTGTAAAAATGTCATTGATGAAACCCTTTTGCTGGATATTGAACGCCGAAACATGTATTGAGGATCGCATTTCCGCGGTTTTGCCGCTGCGAATGTGTAAGTTGTAGACTCTTCCTTAGGTGCTGAGCCAGTCGAGAAACTCTGGTGTGAAGTAGCTGACAACAATGGAAGCACCTGCGCGCAAGATTCCTTGGGTCGCTTCTTCCGCCATTGTTCTGAGATCAAACACACCAGCCTTCGCTGCGGCGTGGATCATAGCATACTCGCCAGAAACCTGGTATGCGGCAACTGGTAAGTCTTTGCCAATCTCTTTGGCATCACTGATAATGTCGAGATACTGGCTGGCTGGCTTCACCATGATTATATCCGCACCCTCATTGATATCGCGTACTATCGCTCTTCGTGCAAGGCCCCGTCCTCCAGGGGGAAGCTGGTAACATCTGCGGTCGCCGAATGAGGGGCATGAGCCAGCTGCGTCGCGGAAGGGGCCGTATAGACACCCAGAGAACTTAGCGGAGTAAGACATGAGCACCACCTGGTGGGCGATGCCAGCTTCGATAAGTTTAAGCTTGATAGCTCGTATCCGACCATCGTTCATGTCTGAGGGGGCTACACAGTGGGCACCTGCCGTCGCATACGAGATGGCCACGTCGCTGATGCGCTCTACTGACAATGCGTTGTTTAGACTACCGTCATCTCGCAGGATACCGCAGTGACCGTGTGATGTGTATTCGCAAAGGCAGACGTCGGCGACAATGAAAAGTTCGGGGAAGGTGCGTCGAAGGAGTCGAATGGCTTTCATGACCGGACCCTTGGGGTCATCTGCATTGGTTCCCAGGGCATCCTTTGCGCCCGGGGCTACAGGTACACCGAACAAGATGACCGATCTCAAGCCCTTCTCGACAAGCGGTCTCAGATAGGGCACGACTTTGTTCAAGCCACGGCGGTATTGGTTCGGTAGGGAAGGGATAAGAGTCTCCTCGTCGGGTTGGTCCGATATAAAGAGAGGGAAGATGAGCATGGACTTGCAAGCTGGTTAGTTGACGCGGGTTGGGACGAAAGGCGGGGCCAAGTGCTCACTTTTGTTAATTGACGCTCGGCTTGCCACGAGCGAGCAAGCGGATGGCTGTAGCCCCCGTGTAGTTGGCTTGAGACTTCGCCCGAGATGCTCACGCTGGTGGCAGCTGTGCTAGCGTACGAACGTGTCCTCGACATCTGCGAGCGCATTTCCTCTCGGTCTGCGCTCCGGCTGGCAATATCTGAGACGAGTGAAGAGAAAGACATAGTGGCAAGGATGTAAGAATGAAGATGAAGTGGAAGGAAACGGGTGGAGTGGAAAGCGTGGAGTTGGTGACGAGGGAGAAGGGTAATTATGGGGGAAAAACAATTAAAGGTGGCGGGGCCGGGGCTTCTTTGCTCTACAATTGTCCAACACTACTCCGAAGGGTCGGAACAAAAGTTAAAGCTTACAGCTATACGAGCACAGTATGTCCGAGAGAGGTAGCCTTTTGAACCGAGAAATTTGAGCTCGTACGAGGAATTCAATGCCGAAAGATGCAATCATACGGTGGGGTATTGGTCGGTGAAGTGAGTAAGCATGCAATCTGATTGGCTGTTGCTAGCGCATGCGGACCAGGACTAGCGAATGCAGTGCAGCAACGACATCACCACCACCACCACCATTTCTACTATCACTGCTCACATTTCATCTTTCACTGTACGCACAGCTTGATGTATGGTACCGGTGGCTCTGGGATGATGTGCTCGTGGCAGTGGTTCGAATACGACAATATATCTCTAAAGTCATGAAGACTTAAGATATATACTGTCGAGAGGATGGCAATGCGAATCCGTTCTTTGACGGAACTCTCTTCCTTTTTGCCTGAAGTCTTCGCTCTACAAATAATTCTTCTAGCACGAATAGGCTTATCCTTTTCTTACTGTTTGATCCCACTATGGACCCTGCATATCCTTTCCAGCGCAAGCTGTTGGCTGCAAAATCGACGCCTAATTTGAAGGGATGGCGGGAATTTGGCAACAGTTCTAACGCGCAATGATTCTATGATGACTACCAGGGGTTAACTTCCATCGGTTATCAGATCCTAGAACTTGGCTTGATTACTCAAGTGTATCCACAGTCAACCATCCTTCGCTCAACTAACTTCTGTTTGCGCTTCTCGCTCTGGGCTTGAACAAGTACTCTATGGCTACCAATTGAGAAAAGTTACTTGATCAATCCCACTGTATCCGTTCTGCCTTTATCGCCATCCCCAAGCTCGATATCCACGTTGACCATCTCCCTGACGGAGACCGAATTGGTGCCCTTGGAAGTGGTGGTGAGTCTAGTCATCGTCCTCCTCAACGAGGACGCGATCTTCGGGAATACCAGCATAACAATTGACTTTATACTAGGAGCACATGCTACTATGATGGCAAGATGGTTCTCCACCATAGCCCAGATCATAGCATTGGCAAAACGATCTGAAGAATCCAATGGGTCAGCGTTTTTTTTTTGGAGGAGAGTAGCTTTGAATGGAACGAGGGCCAGTACATAATATCTCGGATGGAGCAGCGGACACGGGAAACTGATGAAGTACACAAAATGAGAAAGTGATTCACAACTCACATGAGAAGTCTGCATCTTGTGCGAACATATGCACCGTGTGAAGTCGCATAGCACTTGCTCCAAGTACTAATATCCCCATCCCAAACATGGCGTTCAGGCCTAGCCTCTGCGCGCGCCGTAGCTGCAGGTTCCATGTGAAGATTACCGGCATGAGGTATAGGACCAGGTCGGTGACGAGCATGATGCTGGAGTTCCAGTACGAGAAGAGGATAAAATCAATGCACGTGCCATCGAGCGTAAGATACCACGCTTTATTAACCGGCGTGCATTGGAATACCGTCACGAGGATTGACGACAGCCCGAAACCGAAGGCAACGAAATGCATGATATCTTCAGTCGCCGTAAGCAGACTACCTCACGAATGCCATGAAGCAGTGAATAAACTTACACATCAAAATGCGATGAGATGGCTCGAAAGAAATCTCCGCGTAGAAGAGGAGGAGTGCGTGCTTTACAGCCCAGTTGCAGATGTAATATGGCATAGTCGCTGAGTATATGATCTTGAGTAGCTTCGGCAGCGTTTCAGGCTCAACATATTTCATGTGTTGCCCAAGTCCATATCCTGTACCGTACATTTGTAACATTGAAGTTGTCAGGGCGTTAACCTTACTCGTAAGTCAGTAAGAAGCTGTGAGGAGGTTTTGGGTAGAAATATGTACTGCGGCAGCTGTGATGAATACTGTTCACTCGTTAGTTTCACCGAATTTCGTTGTCGAGTCTGCGCTTCACTGACCGTCATGCCAACTGAACGAATGCACAATGAAGACTCTACGACCCACTCTCGAGCATGTTGCCAGTATGGTGAGAAAGATCGCGACAATATTGAGGCAGATTACGGTTGATCTGAGGTCATCCATCGTTTTTGCAACAACACGCTCTAGAACTGCGATACGACAAGCGAAAACCAGACGAATTAAATTATACTAGAAAAAGCAGCGGAAAGAGACGATTGTATGGAGAATTCGACTTTTTAGAGTCGTAGTATCCATTCATACCTTATTATATGAGTACCATTCAGTTGGGAAAAAGTAAATATTGAAAGAGACAGAGCGATCGAGCTAAAAAGCAAAGAACGCTCAGCTCATTCGTTGCGCCACCACCATCACCATCGGCTCTCCTCAAGTCGCTGTCACATCGATTAGCATTTCAGAACTCTTGTATTCACGCCGATCGACTCGAAGGATTTGTACAGTGTGCTTTTGAGAGCGTTTTTGAATTTCGTCTCCCATCACAAACACTTCGCTGACAAGTCAGGGTTATGTTAGGCTGCAAATGTATGCCAAAGCATTATGAGCCTTTATCGGTCGATGTCAGGTCGATCTCGGTCCTACTGTCATCTAAACAAGCCAACATCACATTCTCCCACAGAGAAATCGAACGCCTATGGAATATTGAGCGACGCCTACATGTCATCGACGCCTCGTCAATATTCCATGATTTCAGCAAAACTAATACTTGAGAAAAGGGGTCTCAAGCTATTGGTGAGGTCTTAAGACAAGCGCATCCTCTGTGCACTTATAGCGTGTGGCTGAACCTCGAGGGGAAAACTCCTATTGGATCAAAGGTTTAATACATGAAGTCTTGACCTATATTTCAGGCTGAATCGCTGCTGCTCGAGGCTTGGTGTAGATGTCGGCTTGATGAAGGAGAGGGGTAGGGTGATTAAGGTTCGCGGTCCACCGATTTGTTGACTTGTCGGCTATGGTATTCGAATCTACATGTAAAAACTGTTCGTCGATTTTCTGTCGCAGCAGAGTATATTGCGGATGTGAGTTATAGCAATCATATATGCATAAGCATGATAGATATGATTATATGTACAATTACATTAACAGAGGATGCAATGCACTAAGTGTGTCTCTCTGTTCGTCGTCACTTCTCCAAAGACAACTGAGCACAGTAGTGAATCATCGCATTTCTTTGCGGCACAAACCCTTGGTATTATGAAACACGATAAATCTGCCTTCGATCTCCAGGCAGGAAATAAATTACAGACTCTTTAATCTTCGAGAAGCTCTATAGTAAGTGATGACCTGTTTTGTTGTTGTTCTGGCCAAACTAAACCACATGCATGCGCGGCTGGGTATGAATTCATTTATCACGTGATGTATCCATACCTACCCGGGCACTCGCTGCCAACAACTACCCTTTATTTCCAATGGTCGCACTTTGAATCATATAGAATTTTGAATATTTAGTTATTCTAACTTTGACTCGCATCACTGGAGCGGTATATCGGCTAACTTTCTCCGAGCTCACGCGGGGAAGCCGGCCAATCAACCGACTTGTTGCTCTAATACCTCTTCCAGTCTCTCCCAGCCACCGATCGGATTTCCAGTCAAGACCATACAGAGCTCATCAGAGAAATAACATTCCCAGCAATGTCGGAACCCCAGTGGTCGGGCCCAGGTATCATGCAGAGCTTTGTTACTCTGAAAGAAGGGTCGAAGATCACACAAGAAACACTTGACAGATGGTTTGAGGAGGTCTACGTGCCGGAACTCATCAAGACTGGAATCGTCACCGCGGCTTCGATTTGGAAGGCTGCGAACCCCGCGTACGAGAAACAGAACATGATTCTGTATGAAGCTCCAGATCTTGCACCCATCAAGCAAGGGAAGCTGAGAGAAGATCATGTGTCGAGAAAGAGTGACATGTTTCCGACAGACGGCCCTGTGGATGATTTCGTTGATGTGGAATCGAGGATTTTAGCAAGGGAAGAGTATTACGAGATCGAAAAACAACCGAAAGGTGCGTTACGTAATATCGGGGATGTTCAGTCGACGGACACTAATCTCAGGCTTTAGACGTGGCAACTACCGTAATTTATGCTGCTATGCAACCTAGTCCTGGAGGCGAAGTCGACCTGGATAAATGGTATCGCGAAGAGCATAACGAGCAAATGTCTAAAGAGCCCGGTTGGAAACGAACAATCAGATACCGACTGCTGTTCCAGACACGAAATGATGGAAAGGAGGCGGAAGGTCTTGACTTTTTGGCCATTCATGAGTTTGATGAGAAAAACAAGCTCGGGCAGAATGTACAGCCCCTGGAACCCATCACGGATTGGACCAAGAAAGCGATGAGTGAGTGCAAATCGATTGATGCTGCGATATATCACAAGGTAACTTCTTCCTTCCGCCTCGCTGTGTCCCGCTGATGCAAGACCAGGTGAAAAGCTTGACATAGCTTGAGTTGGACGTCAAACGGTTTAGCTTGCATCAATACATGACGCCCGCATATATCTATACTAGTAATATAGTTAGACCTCGTGGATGGATATCCAATTTTCCAGTACGGACATGTTGCTTACTGCGCCATTAAACTAGTTCAGACGTCTGTTTCTTCTTGGGGGCCCAATATATCTCATTGCGACGATGGTATCAATTCCCATTATACCCAACGATTGGCATCATCAACATCACCGAATGCTTTCTCCAAGAACCCATGGTCAAATTGGAAATTTGATTGCATCGTCTTTCCGACCAGTTTCTCAGGACGGATATAGTAAGGCATTTCGACAGAGTTCGGATCATGTCTCATAAGCTTGAATCGTTTTGTGATCTCCTCACGTCGACTCAAATGCTTTTCATGCCCTCCAGGCGTCGGTTTCCGAGCAAGCCGACGACACGAAATAATGAGTGATCCGAGCCCAGCTGCAATAGCAGTAGCAACAGAGCTTCCCATAATGAGCTCTTGCGACTTGAGGAAGGGGACTGCTCCAACAAGGACGTCTTTGCCTAGAAGCTGGTACTGGTAGCCCTTCTCTTTACTGATATTGAGGGGCTTGCCTTGTTCGTCGCAGGCTGTGATGGCGAACACTCCTTTTTCGTAATAGTCCGCTGGAAATGACGGGCCGATGTTGTTACCTTCGTCTGCCGTGCTGCAAAACACTGCGATATCCTTAGCATATGCGGCTTCAATAGCCTTCTCTATTTCTTTGTCTTTATCTTCGTAGGCAACCAGGCTCAATGATATGATGTCGACTTGGCAGTTGATTGCCCATCTTATTGCCTAGAATAATTTAGCAAAAGTAATAACAAGAGAAAGAAACCTTACGCTCGCAATCCTACTGGACGACATTGCAGATCTGCTTGTTTCGCCAACTCGGGCTACGCAAACTTCGCAACAAGGATTGATCGCACAGATCAGGCGAGTCATTTGTGTTCCGTGCGGATCCGATGCCAAATACCATGGTAGTTCTATGCCGTCTCGGTCGTATACAAATGAACGGGCTTCCACGATACGGCCAGCAAAGTCGCTCCCATGAACTACAGCATGCTGTCCGTTTGCCGTAGTCGAAGGCTCCGGGACACCTATCACGCCGCTGTCAATTACTGCTACCTTTGAAGAATGCTTAGATTGCCGTAAGCGATTGTGGAAATCCTTAAACTTTTCGACGAATTTTGCGGCGTTTGGTCCAATCGCGGATGCGTTACTGACGCAGTCAGCTTGTGCAATAAAATCACACGCCATCAATATTAGACTCACATTTCTCCAAGTTTTCGTTGCTCCATAGCTTCAGCTGTGTTCATCCATCGAACGCGTGTGATGTTGAACTCGAGAGAATCGGTAGTCTTGAAACGCATTTCCAGTTCGTCCTGGACTTGAAGCGTACAGGCAGCGCTCATAATGTCCTGAGCCATCGTTAGCTCAAGCTTCGTTCAGTGAAACTAAATCACTTTCCTCAACTACGTAAATATCGACCTGCCGTAGCTACTTAAGGTCAGTATCTAGATGTCTCCGGTAATTATCAGCAGAACTTACATTCTTGAGCAGCCTCAGATGTGACATCCAATGATCATGAACAGCTGTATTTCCGCTGGAATAAAGCGTGAGTTTTTGAAGAGACGCAGCCCAGCGGTGTGGAAGAGGTTTCCAATCCTCGTCGTAGTCAACCAGATATAAATCCAGCTTCCTCCAGTCCAGCGTCTCGACCTTATACTTTTGTACGAAATGCCTGACCATGTAGTCTTTATGCGGAGAATGTAGGCGATCAGGCACTTTCAGGTTAATGATTTCCTCAACGCCCTTCTCGTTGGAAAGCCAATGAAGAACATCTTCAACCTCTCGATGATCTTTTCGGACATCATCCACGACACTCGATCCGAGCTGACCATTAAGGTCTGGGAAATCGACTGATTTAAGAACCCGTTCAAACCTCAGACACTGAAGCCGTGATGTTTCCGTAGTCCCGCCTTCCCCACGTCCGGTGAGACCGGATATGAAATCCAGAAAGTTGAATTGCTGAGCATTGAACTGTGACAAAGGTAGAGTTATCTCGTTCACTACACCATGTTAGACAAACAACAATAATCGATGGCACGTAATGCGGCATACCGTGGACTGTAATACTGTCAGCAGAAACACTGGCATTCATCTTGCGTGCCATCACACTCACCATTGGAAAGGTCCAATATCTTGCGAATTATGTACATTTTCCCCATGCGCAACATTGTCGGGAGAAGAAGGTTACGGATTTCCCTACACGTCCCGTCGTCTTTGTCGATTGGTAGTGCTTGCAATGGATATTCATCCTTGACTTGTAGTACCGCTAGTATGGGGCATTGTTTGAGAATCCATCTTACAGCGTAAACTTTCCCATGTCGAACGGCACTCCGTAGAAGTAGGCCAGCGTCACTATCATCATCATCAACTATCCAGCCTTTTTGATCCCCAAGAACCTTTTGGCAATATATATCCCACATGAGCTGATTCCCATGTTCAAGTAGATATTGGGCGGATTCTACGTTTCTTAAGTAACCTCGTAGATTTCGGGAATTAGGCAGTTTCTCCTCGGTGTCATCGATATAAGAGACGACGAGATGTTCGAAAATGAGCGATGATCCCGGTCTAATTGCTTGCTCGTATGTGCTCTCGCTGGCTAGTTGCGGGTTTGTTCTTAACAATGTGTCGAACGCCTTCAAAGTATCCTTATCTGTTCTTCGTTTTTCGATCTCGGAATCAGTACGGGGAGGTGGCCGGTTGATATCTCCGTTGGCTACTAGAGCAGTGTCAAGTTCAGTCAGGTACGGACTTCTTTGGTCTCTGGCAGCATTCAGCCTGACCATATGTCTGATGCGTTGGTCGGTGGCTAGACTGTGAAATTTCTCGAGGATGGCTTCCATGGCCTCAATCCGTAGGGAATCCGTTGCATGTTGTAGGGCTACACCCATTTCAACGTCAAGTTTGTTTCTTTCTGTATCCTTCGGGCCTAAATGGGCTAAGATATCGACAACGATTCCAAGCAAGTGTTGTACCAGAGGCGTAGCTCCGGTTGTTGCAGCTTTGTCAAACATAGACTGGTTTCGTAAAGGTCGAAAAGGCTCTCCTGGGAAAGCATCGCTTAGGGCTTTGCATGTAATGAATGGTGGATAGTTGGTAATCTGATTTTCGCGCCAGTCCTCCCGCTCAGCATCCAGCGCTGTGCTGAAAAGAAGCCATCGCTTATCGGGTGTGTTGCTGACCGATGGGCATTCCTTCAAGAGTGTGCAAAGCTCCGGTCCTGGATCCCGTTTGTTGCTGTCAAAATCTTCATAATACGCAGCTATCGCTCTCTCGATGGAGCTGTACCACGGTACCTGGCGAAATTTGATTGATTTTTCCCAGATATTCCAGACTGCTTCACGATTCACTGCACTGTTCCTAAAGCATTTCAAGAAGTCGATATTGACGTCCATCTGGATTAAGGGTGTCAAAATTTTCGGCAAGGCTGCAGCATGCAGTATCTGAATTTTTAGGCGGGATGCGCTTAATATAACAGCCTCGGACTCGAGGCTCTGCGACGCCCCAGCCTGATGCGTCGAACACCCCCAACGATCCTTGCGGCTTGCAGCTCTTTTGGAGAACCGGGGGCCTCGCGAATAACTCAGCTTCGCCTGCACCCCAAGCTGAACGAACAACTCATTTCATCCACGTAAATGTGTATATCGCAATTAGATTTTAACAACAAACATCAAATATACAAGATTCATTTCGCAAGTCAGAGACCAAAAAAAAACAGAAGGAATACTAGTGAGGCATTCACCTAATATTTGGGGTTAAATGGCTCCAGCCCAGATACTAAACCAGCCTCAATGTCGCTGTACAGTAGCCCAGCCAGCACTTCATCGTCCACAAGCTCACCCAGTGCGTCTTTTCTTATGAGTTTGATCTCTTTTCCTAGACTGTCTTTGACAACTTGGCCAGAGACATCTCTTTTGACACTTTCTGTCAATTTCTTCGCCTGTGGACCGCGGATATGATCTTCCAATTCCGGGTTGAAATACACCGGATCATCTTCAGGCTTGTAGAGCCTAAGAAAACGACGAATGCCTTCCTCAACATCATGCTGAAAGCCTGCTTCAATGCGCATATCAAATATGCCCTGGAAGTTGACGCCTTTCCCATCTGCATGATTTGATCGCTTGACCAAGAGGGCGAGCTTGAAGTCGGGTGCGACTCCGTATTTCTGAAGATCGTTTTGCTCCATATACCACTGAGTGCCGACAACATTCCCGCTCTTTTCGTCTAAAATCGGACCGCATGTCCCTCTATCGAAGTGTTTCTGAGTGAACGAAACCTCTTTCTCGCCATCAACATTGCCTTCCACCTTTGCAACGTAGTCCACGCCAACTTTACCGCCACCTCCATGTTTGCGCCTGATCTCTAGCTCCGTGTCATTCCACTTGGCCGTCTTCGCGAATGGAGCAAATGCGACTACCTCTGGAGAAGCCTTCGCATGGCTGTCAGCAGTTGAAGCGAAGGAATCTTCTCCAAATTGGAACCAAATTCGACTGGATTGAATCCGATACTTTTTATCGTTGCAGCTGAGGTGGCAGTCAAAGACCATCAAGGTCATAGGTTGTTTGTGTGTCGCATCCTCCCAGCCATGGATACACAAAATCATCTCAATACGCTTTTGGAACTTTGATTTCGTCGGGGACAGCCTGATAAAAGATCTCTGAAATCGATTGTCCGCCGGATTGTGTGTGCGAAAACCTCCTGTTTCCTCATTCTCTTCTGGGTCTTCTTCATAGTAGAAGTCATTGTCAATTGTCGCCTCGATCAAGTCTTGTTGCGTGTAGCCGACCATGGCGTTGAGAGAATAGTGATGAATTTGATATTTCTTGTTGATGGTGTCGTACACTGAAAGAGTCGTGCTCTTTACCCTTCTGCACAGCCTTATAATTGCTTTTCATCACCACTGATACTCTCCCTCCCGGTACAGCCACTTAACAGCCAGGCAGCGAGCTGAAAACACCAACACGGCCGCATGTGGCTAGCGACATTATGCCACTCGTATTAACCGATATCAGATACTAGCGATTGGCCGCGCTCTCGTATTTCGCGCGATATAACGTGACATGGGACCCGATTTTGTGGTGGGTGGAAACAGTGCGCGACTGGACAGTAGGATTTTACGGCAAAAGCAAAGGCAGACAGACTGTCGCTTGGCCCCCGCTGATGCAGCCAATGCCACATTGATGACACAACGCCCTCGGGGACTCGAACGTCAGCGACTGAGTTGGCAGGCTGTCTTTCTACTACTAGACATGATTCAGGCTCATCAAACGCTCGATAATACATCAAATGGCAGAAATCGGCATCGCGAGGGGTGTCATAGCCGGGCTGGATCTTCTAACCGCACAGGTTAACACGTGGTCAGCGATCTGGCAGAACGGGATTCAAACCGGACCTTTGCAAACGAACGAGGCATTTTACTGCGCGCATAAATTGCAACATACAGTTTTAAAGCAAAAGAGCATCGATCCGGCCGCAAGGAAGAATGTGCAACTGCTCGTAGAGAGTGTGCAAAGGCTGCAGTCCTTATCGCAAGCCCAACTGGAGAAAGAGGACCACAGAAAGACAGTATGGAAAACAAATAGCGATAGAAGATTCCACTGGCCTCGTTCCTCAAGCGCGGATCGAAGAATGCTCCTTGGGATAAAGACATCTTCGGAGTCAGACCAGAGTCAGCGTCGTTCGAGTAACAAGCGTAGAGATTCTGACAGGGACAACATATTTCCATACGATAGGATCACTGAGGGACTCGAATTCACTGTACTGTGCATCAAGACTCTCACGGATATCTGTGATTTATGGTCGAAGTTTGATAGAGACGCCTATGCACAGTCGAACACGTACGATTTCCCCTCAGCCAATGTCGCCAACTAACGAAGCCTAGTACATTCCCTTCTCTGTCTGATCAAACAGTTTTCAAGGCACCTATTCCCAACGTTCCTGAGCCACCCTCGACGCCCCCAGAAGGACCCCGATCCCAGATCCTCGATCGCCTAGATCGCCTCAAGACACCGGATTACGAGTGCCGCCATCACAGATATAGAATAGCCGCTGATACTCGGCTCAAGAATGGACAAACATGGTTCATGAAGACGAAAGAATACTCGTCTTGGAAAGAATCAAGCGGCCCAAGAGTTTTGTGGCTGCAAGGAAGATCAGGCATCGGAAAGAGCACTATTGTGTAAGGATACCATGGAAACATGAGTTCAAATGAACAAAGCTGACCTACTTGCGACAGTTCCAAGATGATTCGGAGATATCAAGAGGACTCTCAGACAAATTTAGCCTACTTCTTCATGGGCATGGGAAAAGTGCAATCAGCAGAGGATGTGGCAAAAAGTCTCCTGAAGCAGCTGTGTACACAAAGGCAGATATTACCATCTGATCTGAAACGGCATTTACAATCCGAGGACCAAACCGCCACAATGTCACTGAATGTCATACTCAGCGCAATCCAGGAGCTTGGAAAATCGTATGACAGCATCACTTACTTTCCACCCTTCATCTTCCTCGATGCTTGGGACAGGGCAAATATGGACGATCGCAGCAAATTCTATGACATCGAGAAGACCATATTCATGCTAGGATGGAAAGTGTTAATCACGAGTAGGAGTGCTCCGTCAACCCAACAAACGCATATGAATGACGCTCTTATATTCACCGTATTCAACATCCAGGCCTACGACAATCAACCTGACATAGAGACATACGTTCGGAACCGCATTCATGACAATAAATCGGTGTCAAAGCTACTTGCGAGGGATGACACCTTGCAAAAAGATGTTGTTGATCGCATTGCGGAGAGCTCTCAAGGATTGTTAGTTTGACCTCCCATTCTCGTCCCAGGCGCTAATGATACATTGCAGATTCTTTTGGGTTGATATACTCCTGACCTTGGTATTCCAGCAAGGGACTCTGACTGGCCTTCGACATTCAGTAAAGACAATGCCGTTCGACCCAGAAAGCATTGTAGGAAAAGCTCTAGACATCATTGAACTCCAACCCGAGGAGCCTGCAGCTCTTGGCCGGACTGCACTCATATGGCTTTCCATCATAGGTGCCCCGCTAGATGTAGCTGGATTCTGTGAGGCTTTGGCGATCGCAAATCATGATAGCCAATTTCTTGAGCCTTCTCTGGATCGTGAGAAGATACCCACGGTCGAATATGTTGCAGATTGCTGTAAAGCACTCATAAGCGTCGATCCAGGCACCTCTACTGTGGTGCTGGCACATGAAGAGCTTGCAAATACTGTGAGGCATCAATGGGGAAAACGTTTCCGAGAGGAACAAGTTCGCCTTACTTCGGCCTGCCTGAACTATTTACTCCTCGACGACTTCTCCTCTGGACCTTGCGACGACTTGAAATTACTCAAACTGAGGCAAAGAGAACACCCTTTTTTCGAGTACGCGGCCAATGCTTGGGCAAAGCATTTGCAGAGCTTGGGTCCTGATCTGCCCCCGGACATCATGTCTTTAGTCATACAGCTCTTTGAGTCGCACAATAATCTCGAGGCTGCTGTGCAGGTGTTCAGAGTCGGCAAGTATGCAAGAATAAGTTCCTTGGGTGGCTTTCTTTGGCCTCAATACGTTCGCTCCATGTCCAAGCTACAGATATCCACAAGATTTTCATTGACCACGATGACCAAGGATCTGTTGGCAAAGGGACATGATCCATTGCAGCAGGATCGATATGGCAGGACACCGTTACTAGAAGCCTGCAATAACCGTTCATCAGAGATTTTTGAGCTCCTTCTCCAGAATGCGCTGCAAAGCCACTCTGTTGAACATCTGCGAGATATCTCCGGATGGACGCAAATCCAGGAGTATTATGAGAGGGAAATTCAAACTACGAAATCCGTAGTAGCAGCTTTAGGAAGGGGAGATCTGACTGCACTCACCTTCATGATCACCAATGATCAGGGCAGTGCCAACACAACAAACGACGCTGGTACACCTGCTCTACATTTGGCAGTCAGAACAAGAAACGAGATGGTCATTCGGCTTGTCTTGACCCCTAAAACGGATGTGAACGCTTCCGACAAAGATGGAGTTACTGCTCTCCATGTCGCTGCATCCCTGAGGTCTGGGGAGAAGGCGGAATCAACAAAACGTGAACAGTTTGTGGAGAGTCAGATCAAGATTATCGACCTTCTTCTGGAACATGGCGCAACGATAGATGGAGTGGAGGGGTTAATAAAATCTCTCAAACGCCGCCATTCAACTAGGAGCGTGGTCAGGCATGACGATATCGATAATCCACGGAAGAAATCGCTCGACACTGTTCACGGTAGTATCCTAACAGTTCCGAGAAACCCCGAGGATACAATTACCGGCGTCGCAACACCCCTATTCACGGCATTACAGATGAAAAACGCAGAGGTGGTCAAACATCTGCTCACCAAGGGGGCGGATCCGGACCTGGGCCCCGACAACAAGAAGCCACTATACTGGGCAGCTCGTTCCAGAGACTCTGAGATGATCAAACTTCTAATGTATTACGGTGCAGACCCAGATATACGAAGCAGTGTTCAATCTTCTGTCCTGCATGAAGTCACAAAACAATCCGATCACAAGATGATCTCGCTTTTGCTAGGCAGTGGTGCCGATGTGAATTGGCAAGATGCAGATGAACGGACTCCGCTGTTCTACGCTATTGAACAGCAAGATGTTAATATCGTGAGGCAACTCATTCAGAGTGGCACCGATGTAGAAATCCGGGATAAAAACAAGATGCAGGCTTTGCATGTTGCTGCCAGATATGAGAATCAGGAAATTTTTGCCATGGTGTTGAATGCATGTGGTAGTACCAACAATGAGGATGCAGCAGGGAAGACGCCTATGCATTATGCGAAAGAGGCTGGTCACGAAGGAACTTTGAGGTTGCTTGAGGCCGCAAGTTCGCGTTAGTGTGAGTATGGCTTTCTTACAGTTTTTACTGAAATTTCAAGTTTTTGAGCGAAGGCGTTGGCTAGGCGCAGATTTCCAACAATCTTGTTCTTCCTTATTGTCTCTTCTTTCTTCAATTGTTGCTTTTCTTTCATATCTCTTTTTTCTCCATTCTTCTTTTTTCTTTCGTTTTTGCTTTTGCTTTCTCTCTACCTTCTTCTTGAACATCAGATTGATGATGAGATATTCTACATCCCGTTACAAATATAAGAGCCAAGGTAAATTGATTAATTTATCGTGTAACCCTTGGATGGTGCAGGAACATATGACTGCCACGAAATAAGAAAATTTTACGGACGCTCAGATTTCTAAGCTGCAACGTGCTCATGTTGACATAGTAAATTATATATATACATAGATATTTTCAGGAACAAAGTGATTGTACCACACCCCTGAAGGCTGGTTACAGACGAACAAGGAAAGATAAAAACGTTGATTTGTAAATCAAATCAGTGAAAGAATAAGGCGAGCCGTCTCGCGTGACGAAAAAAGCGGAAATACAGTAAATTCTTACCTGCCGTATCAAATTGAGTTTGATAGATGCCTCGGATCTCATCACCCAAGCCAGATGTATTCCAATCTTCTATACATCGTAGCAATCGCAAATTTAACGACTTCTTTACAAAACCCGAATGTTCTTGACTTCACCCTTCAGATCGTGTTCGCGGACAGTAGATTATAGAAGCCATTTGTAGCTATGGCATGCACTTCGGCAAAGTCGACAAATCCATATTTATCCTTGAGACAGCCATGTCAAAGAGCTCGCACTCCACTCACTTTGTCAGGAGGCCTTACGGTGTACACCGCTCCACGCATGACTGAGGTCCCCTTCGCATATGGCAAGTCGCACTTATTTACAAGAGATATCGTATCCGCGAAACGTGAGGGCGAGAAATGTGCATAAACAGATCTTTCTCGCCAGGTCCAAGAAAAGCAATCCATCAGTGCCTATGAATGCCTCAAGCATTTTACCAACTCAGTTGTCCTGCTATTAATAAAGTGCGCCCGGAAAATCTGGATTTTACGGCGCTTGCCGCAATTTAATTCATCTGTCGGAGTAATCTCAGTTGATATATGGTCAGCCAGCTTGGTAGGCACACACTCACAATGTTTAAAAGCGGTGATCATTTTTCTCTACCTCCTCATCAGAACCATCATCAAAAGCATTGGGCGTCTCTAGCACATCACCCGCTGTTGAGGATAAGGTTAGAACCATTGTCAGGGCTGAGACTAAGTAGTACCTACCGCTCATGAGCTCGCCCGATGTATTCCAGGTTAGAAACCGTCTGCCGATATGATCTGATATGTCAACACCTGGAAAGGCAGCCTTGAGCTGACCCGGTACATCCACACTATCGTTTGGATAGTTGGGAGTTCTCGTGTAGTTATCGCTACCCTCATCGTGACGCTCGAACCCAAAAAGCCGGACTGTCTTGAGTTTTGGCCACTCTTTACTTTCTATGAGAGTAGGAAGGACCATCTCGACAAATCGCTTGTAAGAAGGCCCATTTGCGCACTGTCGCATAAATTCATTGTTACCAGTTCCATCGGGTTCGTTCTCTTCCGCCGACGGGCGCTGATCCAGTATAACGGATTCGAGTGTCCCACGGGTGGACGTCAGAAGAGCGTTCCACTCTTCCAAGATTCTCCTGTCAGATGGCTCAGAGAAATAAACCTCGCTGATTGTTTCTTCTCCGCTGGAGGGTCGACAAAGGTACAGCGTCTTCAGATTTTCAAACCGGCGCATGATATCAGGTGTCAAACATGCCAAAGCTCGGGCTCCGACATACATGTGGTCCAGGTTCTCGGTACTCTCCCAGTATGCACGTTCTCTTTCCGATAGTTGATCCATATCGTATGGGTGTTTATTCTCCGGTGGTGGCGGATTTTCCCACCCGTCAGGTCCCTCGCAGTTACCCCCAATCGGCCTGTCCAATACCCCCAACTGTAACTCTTCGAGACCTGCTGGCTCTCTCAACAGCCACTGCACAAACTCCTTGGGAATATATCCACGTAGCTTTAACACCCGGAGCTTAGTCAAGCTACATTCCGGTGCCGAAAATTGCATTGGGTCCAAATAAGGTGTCCAAAACGCCGATATCTCCAGATACCCAAGATTCGAAAAGTTCTCGAAGCATGTCCACTCACGGAATTTTGTTTCTTCATCATGAACTGGCAGACAAAGAGACTTCACCAAAGATCCCAGCTCCAGTTTGCTGTCTTTGGGAAACCCATTGGGAGAGAAGATTTGTAGAAATTTCTGCACCCTCTCCGCACTTAAGCTTGAACCGTATCTTTTGCCGCTGTCTTCTGGACCATTATCGTATGGTGGTTCTTTCCGCTTAGCCACCTCATCTGCATGAAGGGCATCGTGACAGATCCTTGAGTGAAAATTCCGATAATGCATTTCGATGTTTGACCAAAGGAAGGGTTGCAGGACGACATGATGAGCTTTGGAAACTCTCATCAAAGAGCATAAGTCATTGCTACTCAGGTTGGCAACGACGGATGCTAAGAGTTCGGGTGGGAATTCTTCAATTGGGGACGGCATTTTCGGTGGGCACTGGAGTGATTCAAAAGGTATTTCCAGTGGGTAGAGCGGGGAGAAGGTGTTTAATCAACGATATCATGGTGGGCTGAGATTTCCTTGGTTATTTCTGCGGCGCAGTTGTAACATGTTATGACATCAGGTGCCGTTGACCGTCATTTGTTGGTCAGCTTGCCCGTGCGTTCCGCCCAGAGTGCTTCTGTATTCATACTACTATGTTCGACAAGGATTGATCTGATTGATGTTCTTGGACCCCAAATCCCTCACACAACGCCTAGGCAAGCCTGCATGCCCACCCTGAATTGCTACCACAGCAGAATTTTGCTTTCTGATTTTATTGCTTCGCTATTAGGTGAGCCAAAACTAGTTGTATAATAATTTTCTTTCCTTCACATAGCAAAGTAAGTTATCAATCCTTGTGTGTCTACGCAGATATGTTCGTTCGGCGTATAACTAGAGTATATTAGTAGTGTGGACAAAATCTCGAATTATCAACAATTTGCAGCTTGTCACGGCAGTACCGGCGCCAACAAAAATGGATAAACACTGAATGAAAGCCACCTAATCGCCAATATCTTTGAGCATCCTACATCAATACATTTTTCAAATCTATCACAGCTACATAAAGCTAGGAAGTTGCATTTGTACGCAATTTCACGCTGTCAGTAATGATCTCCTCAAGCTCCATAAAGCCCTGCCGATCGAAGTCACTCGGCAGCGCTTCCGCCTTCTCTGAGAGTATAATCTCGACGAGCGGAATATATAGACCTGGGAGCTTCTCGTGGTCTTCTTTATAACCAGGGACGACCTTTGCAAATATGTCGAAGCAATCGTTGGTGGAGCGAGGAGCAGCAAATTTGCAGTTCTCAAATGTACACACGAAAAGAGAAGGAATCGCGTAACACCTTGAACGCTTTTGATGGACTCATTGTCGTCACTGAAGATCTGGAACGGGATTTTCGAGGTGGACGGGAAACCTCAGTACGCCACGTACAGTGGACTCCCATAGATGATCCAAGGAAGTATTGCGTTGACAGAGAAGTGCGGACTTTAATCCCGTAACAACGCACATAAAGCTTTTTCGGCTGCAATCTTGGAAGCAAAGTAGGCAATCATGAATTTCTGCATCGGCGCAAGGGCGGTCGGTAGGTCATTGGCTCAGGCCAGCGTCTGCTCATTGCACTCATTCATTGAGAATCCTATCGGGTCAGGTAATCTCTATGTTGATCAGCGCTTCATGCTTTCACTCACAAGCATAAGGGTAGATGATAACATACCCATCTAGCACCTGTGACTGGCCAAATATGTAGCTGTTCATGGATCCGGCCAAAAACACAACTGCATCAGCTACCTCTTCAGGCTGTCCCAGTCCGCATTATCTCTAGGGCAGAGCGAATTGATACAAATCTGCTTCGGTGTATACAGAACACCTTCAGAACGCGTCAAACCGAGCAAAGTATGACTTCCCAGTACACCGGGGGTTCGACAAGCCTCAATCATCGGCGCTAGACAAGACACCAGAAAGTGCTTGTGATGTGTCTCCTTTCATATTAGATATGCTGCATGCGCCAGGGTCCACATTCTATACATATACAGCTAAACCTTTAAAGTGATTTGATCGAAGACGCACTGGAATTGGTTTCATTGGAACGCTATGAGGCATCCGTAACTGTTAAATGATTGTTCCGTCAGAACCTAACAAGACGAAAATTTAAGCCTACCTGGTTTGCGTATGCATGAGTTTGGGACTGAGATGGAAATAAGATACGGAGATATAATACGCAGATGAATTCTGATTCAATTCGAGATCGAGGTGTTGAAGGACGAAAAGATTCGGGTTATATTCCCGTGTGACTACGAAAGAAAAACCACGAACTATCTGGTGCAACAATTCTATGTGATTGATTTCCGTATATCGGATGATGCGTCTATATTATGGATTAAATATTCTAGCGGCAGTCAAATGGATTCGAAAACGACGTCTGGACTTTTCTTCGACGTTGTCCCGGCAAGCTCCGGGAACTTGTGACGTCAAAGTTACCCACGAAGCTTAACGCTACCCACGCATCCTGTTCCAGCCCAGTCTTCCACGATTCTTAAATACTTTTTTGTTCTGGACAGTAAAAGTCACGGAATCAGATTCAACACTTTAACATACATTCACGCGAACATACATTACAATGGCGGATAACTTGGCTGCGTTTCGTGATGGCCGGAGTGGTCAATTGAGGAAACTAGCAGAAGAGCATCTTCAACATGAGTACGTACCTCAAAGTCCCCTACTATTGAATCATCCAGAGCTAACATGATTCAATAGCTTGAATCAAAGCGATCGCGATATCCTGAGAAGCGCAGGTGGCAAAGTCTCAACGCATGCCAAAGTGGGATCACTCCTCGGATTAGGCCTTGGTGTTTGGTGCGCGTTTCGATTGCGATCAATGCGATTGGCATACTTCAACGCCTTCAGAGCAATGGAAAAACCTGTAGAACTGAAATTCGCAGATGGACGCACACGTAAGTCACCCACGATCTCCCAAGTCTCCGTTACCTTTGCCCGAATTTACTACCATCTACACTTTGACGACGACGGATGTTGAGCTGACTCTTGTACAGAACCAATCCCCGATCTCACGAACCAGCTTGCGCCATCGAAATGGGGCGATGCTGCGTCGTATTTCTTTTTTTCCGTGGGCGGGCTGTTTCTCGGAGGTGAACTCGGCTTTATAAGTGGCACTGCGTCGGCTTCGCGGGCGATCACGAAAGATCCAGAGACGAAAGAACGCATCGAAAAGGCGTTCAAGAATTATCGCATAGATGCGATGAAGCAAGAGATCAAACAGCTTGAAGGGAAGAGCAAGTTCGAGGAGATGTTTACGAGCGCGTAAATCTTCCGTTCATCAAACGTGAAATTTTGGGGGGTTTGAACTCTGGATGAGCAATCAATATGAAACATTGCACTGTACTTGTACTTGTATATACATAGTAGTTTGTTATCCCAACTGAGCGATTAATCCACAAGTTTTCTTTCTGACGAGGTGCTTCTGTTTGTGAAGGTTCCCCTTACGCTTGATCTACCCAAGTCCAAGCCGGGTGTTGGTCCCCGGTCGGCCGGCCAATTACGTGTGCAGTCCCCGCATTGATCTCCTTACTAGAAGCCGCCCAGCCTGTTGAATCCGCTAAGTTGCGCGGCTCTGGCAACGTGTGGCTAGAATGCACATGGATCAGAAGCTTAAGGGGCGCCGTGTGGGGCGGCGGACGTCATCGCTGAATCTGGATTTCCGCCATCTTTCCGCGGCTTGGAGACGTCAGTTTCATTTTGAAGGAGCTCAAGAACTTCAATTCTGCTTTTCTTGTTTGATTCGTACAAGTCTTTTCTCTCCAAGTTCGATTTCGTAATGCTTAATGTCTCACGGCTTATGATCCATTGATTTCATCGCAATATTCCTCTTCGAATACCCACTCAAACAGCCAACAAACAACACTACCGCCAGCTCATCTTTCAAAACCGCGATCATAGAATTGCATCCTTTCATCAATCGTCCTGATTGCTTCAGATACCCATTGTGCTCAACATGAAGAACATAATATACTATCTTCCTCTAATAACCACCTACGCATTCGCTCAATCATCCTCACAATCCATATCGACCGTGACCGGCTCTGCAAACACGTACACGTCGGGTCTGGACTATGGCTCGATATTTACACTTCCACCCACAATCACTCCCAGTAGTTACACAAGTTTGAGATCCTCTGGCGCAACCTCAGGAAGCTCAGGCTCATCCAATGCAACAACCTCAAGCGGATCCTCCAACTCAACAGTAACAACATCCTCCTCCACCTCTGCCTCCCGAACACTCTCTCAAATATCAGGAGGAACCCGAACCCCAGGAACCAGCGCAGCCGCCGCACCCCGACCCTCCAACACCCAAGCATGCAACGGCTACCCGGAATTCTGCACCCGCAAATACTCCAACATCACCGAAGTCGCCGCGCACAACTCCCCCTTCGCCCGCGAGCGCAACGCGCAATCCAACCAACAATACGGCGTGATCCAGCAACTCGACGACGGCATCCGCGTCCTCCAAGGCCAAGCACACATGATCAACAACACCCTCTACTACTGCCACACGTCGTGCGACCTCCTCAACACGGGCCCCGTCGAAGACTACCTCCGCGACGTCGCCGCCTGGCTCGACCGCAACCCCTTCGAAGTCATCACAATCATCTTCGGAAACTACGACTGGAAACTCACAGACGCCTCGGGCGACGCCAAACTCGTCACCGCAGAGAACTTTGTAGCGCCCATCCGCGATTCGGGCCTCCTCGAATACGTCTACCAGCCCCCCTCTAACGCTATGCGGCTCAGCGACTGGCCCACCCTCGGCGAGATGATCATCATGAACAAACGCGTTGTGACGTTTATCGATTACAACTTCAATACCAATGCCGTGCCGTGGCTGTTGTGGGAGTTTTATAATGTCTGGGAGACGCCTTTCTCGCCTACGAATGTTAGTTTCCCGTGTACGGTGCAGAGACCAGATGGCATTAGCAGGGACCAGGCGAAGAGCATGTTGTACATGGCGAATCACAATTTGAACACGCAAGTCACAATTGCGGGGATGAATATTCTGATCCCGAATGTGGCGCAGTTGAGGGAGACGAATGGAGAGGAAGGGAACGGGAGCTTAGGGAAGATGGTCAAGGATTGTGAGGGTAAGTCGAATTATTTCTCGTTCTCGGTTGATTGTTCTTGAAGCACTTTTTGGAGCATGTTTCCGTACACCATGTCAAAATGCGTTGGACTGACGGTTGTCAAACAGATATGTGGGATGGCCGCCCTCCCAACTTTCTCCTCGTCGACTACTACAACTATGGTATACCTAATGGCTCTGTCTTTCGCGTCGCGGCCGAAGCGAACAACGTACCTTTCAACGACAGACCGTGTTGCGGCACACCCAGCTCCAGTCTCGCCTCAGGGCTCGAAAGATCAATGGTCACTGCATTGACGGGAACATTGGCAGCAGTAGCAATGGCAATGTTCATGCTGTAGGGAATTCGATTGGGAAACATTTTAACTGTAAATCACTCGGAGTTCGCATCTTACAAGGAACCGGGGGCATCTTCTGCTGGAGTTTGAAGGCATTTGCTATTTTTAGCTAGCGAGCATGCATAGAGCGAAATAGACCACTCCTACTAATTGCTACTGGACGTCGGAGATTTGTCCAATCTACTCCTCGCGAAGAGATCATTCTTCATCGGGCAAGCGATATGAGACATTAGACCACATCCATTTCCTCCCCACTCCTTCCAATTAACTCTAGTCGTGAGCGGTAAAATAACAGCTCTTTCTGATTCATGTTTCTATTCGGATAGTGAGATCTAGTGATCCCAAGCTTGCGTCTCGAACTTCTTCTCCGGGTAGAATTGCGCGCGGATGTTACGTCCCCGAAACTGGTAGCCCTCGTCGAATCGGTTGACAGCCTTTGGAAGCAGTTAGTCATGTCGAGGTACCAGGTACGATGAAACTTACGTTAAGAGCGCTGAAGACAGACTGAAATTTGATATAGACTGGCTGTCCCTTGCCGTCCTTGTTGATATAGAAACGCTCGACTTCTCCAAACTGCAGCTTGTTAACAGACGTTTCAACAGAGCAAATGAAACACTTACCTTTGGATTGAATACGTCTGCCATCTCTTGAATGATACCGCCGTCAGAGCGCTCGGCATCCGCCTCCCAGTCAATGTCATCGACGCAACCCCAGGCAACGATGACACACGAGTCTTCGCCAAACCTAGCAACCTCTTTCTGCTTAACTGGAACGCCACCAAGGATGTCAAAGACCGGCTGCGCTTTGGCTTTCGCATTCCAATCGTCATTGTCGAAGCTATTGAGTTTTGAAACACTTTGTTTGGAATCCCCTTTCCGGACCTTATGGTACAAATGGCTGGTAATTCCGTCGTTGTTCTTGCCGAGTCCCTGGCCTTTGATGAAACCCATCTTTTGCATCATAGCTTCCGCTGGGGTCAATTTTTGTTTCTTCGCAGGTCGCTCATCTGCAGCAGGCCTATCTGCGGCGTTCTGGTTCTGTTTACTAGGAACATCGTAACGAACAGGCGGTGCGGATATAGTGTGAGAGTATTTGATAGGAGGAGCTGAGATGGTAGCGCTGTATGGAGCGGGCTGTGTCGGCTGTGTCGGCAGCGGTGGTTGCGGCGAGTTGACAGGCGCCAGGGCTGACGGGAGGGGAGCTACATGTGAAGGCGGAGGTGAGGCAAGAGATTGCACAAGACGAGCTCGGCGGGCAGACGCATCCTCTCCAGACGCAGCCTCAGTAACAGGGCTAGGGTTTGCGGCAGGTTTGTCTTGGTCATAACTGGCCGGTGGGGCAAAAGAAGGCTTAGGCTTGACTTCGTGACTTTCAGAGGCTGGGGAAGAAGCTGAAGATGCCGGTTTGATCGGGTCGCTACTAACTTCGGAGGAGTGCGTAGGACGAAACTGCGTCAGGAAGGACGAGAAGCCTTGCAACCTCTCTCGGTAAGCGCCGCTGGCCCTAAAGGCTCGGAGGTTGGATGGTTTATCTGCCTTGTAGGGCATTTCCGGATACCAGTAGCCGAACTGTTTGTGCAACTTCTTTTCCCTCTTCTTTTTCTCCCTCTGTTCCTGCTGCTCGCGCCTCCTCCATTCCAAAGTAGACGCATCGTCATCTGCTGTGCTGCGCCAGTAATCTATGCTACGTTGTTCGTTGGGTGTGGCCGTAGCCGCGGGATCGGACGAGACAACAGCAGGCCTGGGTGCCATGGGGGGTCTCTTATTGGTGACAGCACCCTTAGCCACGGGACGCTTGATATTGTGGGGATTATGAAAGGCTGTAAGACTGCATGAGTGGAATACGATCAAAGGCGCGATGAAAAGCAACTCGAATAGGTACCAGTTGATTTCTTGGGTTCCGCCTTCTCATCAGAGTAGCGCACAGGAGCGGACTCGGCGACGGTGGCATGCGCGTACGGATTCGGTAGGCTTTTGGCGGCATAAGGATTAGGCAAGCCTTGCGACTTCTCCGGCGGTGGCGACGCCATAGTATTGCGACTCTAAGAAGAGGGTAGGAACGAAAATTGGAGGTAGGTATGGATGTATGTATAGGAAGAGCTGTGGAGAGTCGGCGGCACCGGGGTGTGCGCGCGAGGGAGGATATTCGGGGCTGTAAGGCCTTGATTGTTTCTGTATCGTATATATCTGTGCAGAGTGAGCTTGTGTCCTTGTTGCGGTGTGGAGCAAAAGACCCGACCACGAGAGGGTAGCTGGAGTTGTTCAAAGTAAAGGGCACCACCAGCTCGCTGCCAAGACGCGCTAAGAACGCTTGATTCGGCCTTACATAATGCAGACCTTGGGGGAGACAGTCACGTGCAATGACGAGATATCGGATGTATCGTGTAGCTGTGCCGGCAGTCGGCATCACGCTCTTCGCTGCTGTAGTTGAAACAAGTATTTGCATACTAAGAACAGATTCACATCTATGCCCATCTGAGCTGGTTCTCTCGCATCGTCTCTGCTCCTTGTTCAACATCAATTGATCATCTGTAACTCTTCCCTGTCATCCGTCTCGTATCCCTTGCATACACCTACATACACCATACATATACATAGATTAGCCCAAGACACTCGCCATGGCGCCAACCACGCTCGAGAATGCCTTCTCTAAGGACTCATCCTCCACCGCCATCGTCGTTCCTGGTCAGTCGCCTTTGACCATCTCGTACCAAAAGCTAGCGACCGACGTCAAGTCGTTCCAGCGCCAGCTCGCAAATGTCGGCGTCTCTGCCCAAGCCGCTGTCTCCATCGCCCTGCCCAACACGTACGAATTCATCGTCTCCTTCATCGCCGCTTCATGGCAGCGAGCCATTGCCGCCCCATTGAACCCTGCGTACAAGCAGTCCGAGTTCGAATTCTACATTGATGATTTGAGTTCGGCCATCGCTCTGGTTCCCAAGGGCGCATTCGCCCAGGATGCCGCAGCCGTACGGGCAGCAAGGAAATACAACGCCGCCATCGCCGAGTGTTATTATAACGGAAAAGAGGTCATTTTGGATGTCAAGGAAGCTGGAAAGCTCGCTGGAAAGTCCGCCCCGATCGAGGCTGCGCAGCCCGATGATGTTGCTTTGGTACTACACACCAGTGGAACCACTGGGCGCCCAAAGGCGGTGCCACTGTCGCATCGCAATTTGCTGCGCACCATGAAGAACATTCAGGCCACCTACGAACTATCCACCAAAGATCGCACCATGCTCGTCATGCCGCTGTTCCATGTGCATGGGCTTTTGGCTGGCTTCCTCGCCCCACTCGCATCTGGCGGCTCTGTGATAGTCCCGGTCAAGTTTTCGGCATCGGATTTCTGGAAAGACTTTACTCAACACCAAGCCACTTGGTACACGGCAGTTCCTACCATCCACCAGATCCTGCTGCGGAGCCCTCTACCTAACCCTGTGCCCAAGATCCGCTTCATTCGATCATGCTCCTCTCCTCTCTCTCCCAAGGTTTTCCATGAGTTGGAAAAGACCTTTGGTGCTCCAGTACTCGAAGCCTACGCTATGACGGAAGCTGCGCATCAAATGACGAGCAATCCATTGCCTCCTGGTAAGCGTCAGCCCGGCAGCGTCGGTATTGGTCAAGGTGTTGAGGTTAAGATCCTCGATGACAAAGACAACGAGGTGCCACAAGGAAAAGAGGGTGAGATTAGCATTCGTGGTGAGAATGTTACCAAAGGCTATCTGAACAACCCTGCTGCGAATGCTTCGTCGTTTACCAAGTCCGGGTTCTTCCGCACTGGCGACCAGGGCAAGAAGGATCCCGATGGCTATGTGATCATCACTGGTCGAATCAAGGAGCTCATCAATAAAGGTGGTGAGAAGATCAGCCCAATCGAGCTCGACAACATCATTGCGCAGCATCCAGCTGTTTCTGAAGCTGTCAGTTTCGCCCTGGAAGATGAGATGTACGGGCAGGACGTGGGCCTCGCAGTTGTCGTAAAGTCTGGCCAAAAGCTGAATGCTGGAGAGCTGAAGGCGTGGCTCACCGATCGTGTGGCCAAGTTCAAGCTCCCGAAAAAGGTACTTATCAACACTTGTACGAGTTCCGAAATAGATTGCTGACTACCGTAGATCTTCTTTACAGACATAATGCCAAAGACAGCCACCGGAAAGATCCAGCGTCGTTTGGTCGCCGAGGCTATGCTCAAGAAAGAGCAATCCAGCGCTAAATTATAAACACCTACCAGATCGATGTACCTTGTAAGATATAGAATAACATACTTTTTGATGTAGTACCATCTACCCCCAGATATGAATAAAGCCCGTACATATAGACTCATGCAACGATGCTTCCGCGTCATAATGGGGCGTTTGGAAACATCATGATCTTCGTTCCGCATTCGTTTCAGCGGAGCGATGGCGCTATCAGCCACTACCCGCTTTACGCAGGCATGCTAACTTGACCGCAGCACCTGACCCACGAGCATTTGATGATGATCCTGTTATTGAACAAACCCCATGCCAGAGCTGGATATATCCCTTCAATCAAGTGTTGTCATGTTCAATTGTAGAAGTTTCGACTTCCTTGAAGTTTGATGCGATGCTCAAACCGAAAAAGCAGCGGGGGCCGAAAGGAAATACGAAGCCCTAATCGTAAGTGGACTCTCTATACGAATCGTGCTTAATATATCAGATGCGTGGCCCACATCGACACGCCCATTAGCGAAAGAGCTGAGTGTTGTCTCAAACTGTAACTCAGCTTTTGCGCTTTCTTTGTCAAGCCTCGAAGCTGGTGGAAGAACTATTATAATGGTATTGGTAATGTACCTCCTTCTTCGACTATCGCGCTTCTGTTTCGCTCTTTATCCTCAGATGATGAACATATTTATTGCCGCTACCCGATAATCAATACATGTCGGATATTTCCAAGAGAGATCATCGCATTTTTTCTGGACCCCTTCTTGGACCCCTTCACCGGTCCTTGCCCCACAACGCTTTGCTTGCGACTAAGCGATCTGAAATTACGAACGTGCAGAAACTGCAAAAATTGTGGATAGAATTGTCACTCGTCATTTTCACTTATTCGTTGATCTTGTGTCCTCACCTGATTCCGAAAATAGACATCGCCGCACCAACAGGTATGATCCCTGTTCAACATATCCACAGTACGTCTCGGGTATACACAAGAGTCATGCGGCCTTCAAGCAATTCGTCCTCTGGATCCGATTATAATGGAGGTACTTCATCTCGCGGGTCCAGCGAATTTGCCTCCCTTCCTACGGGATCTCCTCCTTCCGCGCTAGAGTCGAGCAATTCGTCCGTCAAGTCGGGGTCGGTCGCATCGAGTTCAATCAATAAACGACCGGCGCTCAAGTCTGCCTTAAAGACTCACAGGTCTTCCCCTAGCTTAGGCGTGCGATTTTCTCTTCCCGAACGACCACCGGATTTTTTAGAAATGGAGGACGAAACACCTGTACCGCCTCTGCCGGCAAAAGAGTGGCCTCTTCCTACCACTGGAATCGAGATACGAATCAGCAATCCATCGAATGTCACTATCACAAGAACTCAGTCGAATGAAGGACCAGTTCCACAAGAGAATGTACAGATGATACGACCGGTTCTACCTAAACGCTTCTCTATGCCAGCACCGATCTCCCACAGAGACAGAAACCGCAGGTCTGCGCCTCCTTCACGATACTACGCCTCCCAGCCCAGGGTACCCGTCCCTCGAGTCTTATCATATGAATCTACGGTGTCCGCACCAGCAGTTCTCGATACAGAATCTTTGCCAGTATCTCCGTCACAGCCCCCCTCACAATACAACCCGCTACAACACTATGTCCCGTGCCAAGCACCGTCATGCGATAAACACTACACATCGTTGCTACTGGGACCGACATTCTACCTCCCTCAACAACCATACCAACTCGTTCGCCTCAAAGGTCTTTGCGCAAACTGCGCAAGTCGGGATTTAAACCTCGCAAACGAGAAAACAAAGCAAACGTTTGAGTCTATGCGACAAAATGCCGGTCGTAAAACCCTCGGACAAATCGCCGTCGAGTTCGAAATCTACAAGCAGCAACTTCAGGAAGATCGCGCTCGAGAATCTGCAGCTCTAAAGACCCGCCAAAGAACCAAAGTTCTCAAAGTGGCTGAAAATGGCGTTTCCAAGAAAGCAAAATCACATGTCCCTTCCTCAGCGGGCGGTGAAGGAGATAATGAAGATGATGTTTGGGATTGGCGATATACTCCACGTCCATGTACCCGCGCAGACTGCCATACACAATGGTTCTCTCCATTTGACAACAAACTCTACCTACTCTACCACACACCACGGCCTTCCAGTCTTATTCCGCTCTCAACGCTGTGTCCGCGCTGTGCAAGAACTGATGTTGAGGCCGCAGAGGAACGCATGGAAAAGCGGAAAAATGAGACTGCTACGGAATCAGAAGTGGCCTGGGAAGAATGGTGTGCAGAGATGAAGCGAGATCGAGTAATGGAAATTGAATTCTCGGAGAAGAAGCAGGAGAGCGCTGTGAGGAAGGAAGGAGTTGTATTCAGTGGTGGAATTACCGCGGAGATAAAGGGCAAGGAAGTGGTTGTGGAAAGCGAGGTGGCTGGAGAGAGCAAGAAGAAAGGAAAAAGGGGAATCAAGGGTAAGTTGGAGAAGGTAAAGGATATCTGTGTTGTTATGTGATGTCGTCTCATATTGCCCACACTCCTTATTTCTGAACCCTTTCTTATTTCCCTACTAAACATATACCAACTCATCACACTACAAATGCCAATTCAATCAACAAATCGATACAAATTCAATTCAATCCAATTCATCTCCGACACTCCGTTCAAACACATCTCAAAGCTTAACAGCTTTATTCTCCTTCCTCCAAATACCCTCTTCCTCTGTCCCAGGCATCGGCGGCACAAGTCCCTGTACCTTCCACAAATCCCGCGAAGTCTCCAAAACACTATACTCCCAATCGTACCCTTTATCCTCAATGTGCGGTTTTAAAGCGTCATCGACACGCGTGAGGAACCTGTCGCGGACGGTATCGTTCCCTCTGTCAACCATTACACGGTTTTGTCAGCTTTATACGCATTCCAAAAACTTTTTCTTTCTTCTTCAGAGAGTAGTGTAGGATCCGGGGAGTGTGTTCTTACATTTTCCGCGCGATGTTTTGAATCGTGATGCGCACAAAGGGGATGGAAGGATCTCCGCCTGGTTCGTTGGATGAAGGATTCTGTGGGCTGGGGCGCGGGATGCCGCCGACGTAGAAGTTGGAGGATTCGAGGGCGAAGAACTGGACGACTACGTAGACTGTAATTGAGTTCAAACAAAAATTCAGTTACTGTTTTGAAAATTGATAGGTTGTGTCTTCGATAAAATGTGGGAAATGTGTGGTGGGGTAGAGTGTTCCAGTATACACACATTTTGGGAGCGCGGGTCCGGCTGGGTTGGTGTATACTTTTTGTGGGGTTAGTAAAGTGTAAATAGTGTTGTGAAAAGAAAGAAAGAAGAAGGATGTAAGTGAATATTGTTTGAAGGGGGCGTTTGACATACTATCAGTGATGGCGGCAACCAACGCTGACTTCTCGGCCGAAGTTGTAAAGGTTGAGGGAGAGTGATAGATGGCCCACAGCGGCATTTTCAAGAAAGATGGTTCTAGTTTTTGTTGTAAAATGTAATTCAAAAGTACTTTAGTTTGTTGGATGTGAAATTCAAAAGTATTTGGATACGATCGGTTCTTTATGCTAATCTTGAAGTCTATGAAGCGTGAGTCAGTCGCACAACATACGCGTCTTTGTGCCACGTCGAGAATGCACCATAATGTGCACGAAGAGGTGACCTAATTTGGATAAGCAGTGACTCCATGTAGGATTCATGTATGTCGTGGTAGTGATAGAGAAGAATTAACCTAAAGCTGTTCAGTAATCACGGCACGTTCAGTAATCACAACGGGCCGAGCATACGCGTCAGTGGCACCTACTGCAGCAGCACCGAGCTATGTTCCCGAAACAGTATGAAATAGTATATACATCGGTATATTTAAGCTGCTATAGAGCGCAATGGTTTTGTACTACTGGGTGCACGGGGCTCAGTAAGCTCAGTAAGCCCACCATGCATCTGACGTGCTTGATGCACAGTGATCTATCACCCCACCAAACTAAGCATCCACCTTTTCTACGGCCCTTCTAACAGTCTCTTCGAGATCCAGTGTTTTAAGACCCAGAAGATCATTCGCGAATCCCTTTCTGTCAGACCAATCAGCTGCCACGATTCCCCAGACCGCGACAACTTCTTCTCCGGCGTCATGATCACCCTCCAACATCTTTGGTCGTGCCTTCCTCAGTTGTTCCTCACTGCTCTCATGGATCTTCTCCCACTTCGTACCTGTGACCTTTTCCAAGACGCTCAGTATCTCGTTCTGGGTGACGTGGTGGCTGTGTACGTATAGCAACTTGTTTGCCGTCTCCTCGGGCCGCTGCAGAACTCTAACCACAGCCTCCGCAATGAAGTCCAGATTAGAGCCACTGAACTTGATATCGCCGCCATCGATAATGTATGCCTTACGAGCCTTGACGTCGAACTTCAAGAGCAGGTTGCTGAAGCCCCAATCAAAGAAATGAGCGGTGATCAAGCTGGTCCATGTCAACTTGCCCTTCCCTTCGAGAGAGATCAGGTAGTCGCGAACAGACTTCTTCCCCGCCATCAAAGGGAGGACTTCGTTTGTCTTGTCATCGGCAGAATCACAGCTTCCAAAGTCTGCGGGGAACACACGCTGAACGCCTGCATTGAGTGCAGCTTCGATCAACTTCTTTTGCTCGGTGACGCGGGATCCTGCGATTGTGATGACCAGAGCATCAATGGAATTCTGCTTGAAGAGCTCCGTGACCTTGGAAACATCGAGATCATCCGGGACCGTAATGACATTGACGTCGGGATAATTTGACTTGGATGATTGACGGTTGAGAACGCTGACATTGAACGAGGATTCCTTCAAGCCTTTGAGTACAGGTGCACCTAAAGTTCCAGTGCCGCCTATCAGAGCAACATTCTTGATGGACATGGTTGGATAAGGTTGGTCAAGGTAGGATGATTTGGTATTCGGTGTTTGTTGTATTGTGTATGTGTTAGGCAGCTTTTTGAACTCTTGGTCGATACTTCCTGAACTCTTATATGTCTGAATACGGATTGAGATGTGGTTGTGAGGTCTGTCGTCGATTATTCCGAGGTTTACTCCGACCAACTCAACAAGCAATGATACCCCACTTTGCAGCAATGAAGTGTAAGCTGCACTGCCTTCGAGAATTTTCTCGCACGATTAGTGAAGATTCTTTTGATGACGGAATATGATGAATAATTCAATGCGTGTAAATTCCGTGCGAGATGAGGTATGTGGAAGTCGTCGTGATTGAGGTTGCTTGATAGTATTGCTACCACCTCAACTGCCTACACTAAACAACGCTAGTCTAATAGGAGAATAGTTCATGACGTCGTTCAGGTTCACCATCTAACCATCGTGACACCTCTGTTCAACATTCAAATAATTGACTACTCCCGAATTTATTCACTTGCGCTTCCCAAACCTTTTTCTAAAGATCCTAAGGCAAAGTCTAATCAGAGCCAAAGGATAAAGAAGAAGCCATCGCAGCATATTTCGAAAAAACATCCGTCTATCAGGAGGAGCTTTTGGCGGAGGGGACATATTCCGCTCCTCGTCTTCAATGGTATTGCCAAAATCCGACGGAGTTCTAGGGGAAAGATCTGAGAATTCTGATGAGATTGGAGATGGTGATTCCATACTTGATCTCGGCGAACGGTGTTCAGATCCTCTTCTTGGTTGATGCCGTCCGTTGATGCTTGCCATTGTCGGCAACCCTAGTCTGGGTATAGGGCTTTCTGAAAACGCATATTGAGGCCCAGGTTCGTAGTTTGTAAGCACTTTGGTTTTGGCTAACAAGCGGATCATGGAATCACGATCAAAGTGGAACTCTTCCTGCCCTGGAGTATCCGGGTTTATGTATGGCCTGAGATATTTCCAATCAATTTTGTAAACACTTCGCAAATTGGCATACGAGTCCCATCGCAGCATTGCCGAATCTGCTAGCTCCAGAGTTGGGAACCGTTTTCGAGTTTTCTTAGACGTGGCGTCCGGATGTTCTGGTGATGGGGAGATGGGAAGATACCAGGAGCGTCGGCTGGCATGGAAATCGTTGGATCTGGAGTAAATTTCATGCAGCTTTTTGCCTTGAAAAGATGTGATCTGTACTATTTGTGAGCCTGTATCTATACTGATCTTGGGTAGGGACATACTATCTGGAAGTGAACGATATCACGTTCATCAGCTGGGCGGGAGATTACGACCACCGGGTGATTGTATATTCCCTCTTCTATAGCGCCCTTCCCGTGAGCTCGCCGAAGTGCTCTTGGGTTTACTTCTTCTTTCGGGGGCAACCAAAACAGTCGGCCCTGGACTATGTCTTTTTCCTCGACTTTCTTCGGATCTAACTGCGATGTGTGTCTCTTAGGGGATCGAGGGTGTAATTGGCTAGGCGATGTGTTTCTATATTGCGAGGTCGCCATGATGTTGGTCTTCTATCGTGTTGTGTTCGATGGTTCCGGATCGAGCGTACAATGACTTCTATATAGCGACCGTCTCCGCCCTTTACGACCAGTGCCCAAGACACCCATTGGCGTCATGCGAGAGAAAAGTCTACGCATGCATACTCACCATCGCATGAGCCACAGCTACCGAGCTCCCTCGGCCAGTAGATGTGACCGTGCCGTTCATTTACTATCCCCCTGTGTGGCTCACTCGACGCCTTACTACCAAAAGAGACATCTACCTTGGCCTGCTTAGGCAAGCAATCCTACATACCACACAAACCGCCCTTTCGGCGCCTACCGACGACAACATTGAAGAAGAATAATGCATAGCAAATGGATCTGAGCGTATGCTGAAGGATTGAAAAGGCGCAATGCTGGCTCTGCTGGCAGCAGCCTCAGCTTACATGGCCCACGGACAGCGCGAAGCGCATACAAAAGCGAGGGTCCGCAGCCAATCGCAATAGGAACCCTAGCGAAATTACTCTGCGCCTCGGGTGGCGGTGCGTCCCATTCGTCTCGCTAAATGCACTTGGCCGGGGACTACGAAGAGCCGCATCTTTCTCCACGCGCATTTAGACATCTGACGGGTGACGAGTGTGCAATTTCCGTTTTCTCTTGACTCGTTCCTGTAGGGTATGCTCCGTGTAACTGCGCGATTAAGGGACCTGAGAGTGACGTTGGATCATCTCGGCGAGACCCCTATTGAATCTTCTCCTTCCGCAATCTCGACTTTTTACCTTGTGAGGCGTATTCAGTTGGCCTCATGCCGCAACAATACATCACGAATGTTGCACCACCGGCCTACGGACTTCATTGTAAATTTCATACCTCAGCAAGTATCTCAGCTGAGCTAGTCACGTTATGATAAAGCAGGCAGCAAAACTCTTTGCACCCTTAAAACTATAAGGTCCTTCTCGAAAGAGCATATAATTCGATAAGTAGATGTGATGTTGTGGGTTGTAGGTACACAACTCCCAGTACGCTGGAACTGTGCCGCTTGTGTCAAATCTAATGTATTGCGGTTAAGCAACTACACTCATTCCAGGCATCTGTCTCGGGCGTGTGCTGAAGTTTGAACAATGTGCCAATGACCACTACGACTGTATTGACAAGTCAGGCTTGCCCTACTGGTCTACTGGCCGACCGACAGACACGATGCTTACCGTCATCTACGGCCCGCTGTAGATCTCTCACAAGATACAAAAGTAAGACCGAGTTCCTCCATCAAGACAGTGCTGTCCTAATTTGCATCGAACGATGGTCATATCTCACATTGGCGCTGCCCGCCTAAAGCGGCGTTTCCGACCTCGGTTTAATCCCACTGCTGCACTGCATCATCGTGTCATTACAATCATATACTCGTGCACAGACAAAAGAAACAACAGCCTAGGAATCCCCAGGTTTCCCTGTTATCGATTCCACAATCCAGTGACCCTCTCGCCTAGGCCCGAAGCCATAGTGCTCAGTCGCCTACCGGCGACCCGATCCCTGAGTGATGACCTCCCAAAGTCTATCCGAGACTCGACGCCTCTCAGGTCTACCTTGTATGTCTCCACCTTTGCGCCAATCCCTTGGAGCTGCCGCACAGGATGCGCCACATGCCTATCCCACATATCGTCGCTGACCTCCCTGGAATTCTGCCCAAGGCTTCTCTGCAACGGGTGCTTGAAGCGGTCTCCGTCGAGATGACTGTTCCACTGGAAAATCATAACGAGTGTCTCATCCTCCATATTCCGACGCTCATCATCTTCAGCCCAGAAAAGAGACATGTTCTTCTCTTCGGAATTGGTGCTTATCAAGCCCGGTCTTGATCCTGAGCTCTCCCATCCGCTTCCAGCTGAGGAGCTGGATGGTGACGTGGGATCTTCCGAGCTCAATTCTGCCCATGCCCAAAAGTCGCGGATGAGATCGCCCGGGTGGCTGAAGCTCCCGCCCGGCGCCCCAATCTCGGCCTGGGAGGATAAGGCAGACCTTTTGGGGTTCCATCCAAATTGCCTGCCTATTGCGCCTGCCACGCCTGGATTTGGCGCCCGAACTATCATAACGTCGGACGCTATTCTTTGCTCAGGCGACGATGCTGCAAGAGAAAGAACAGACCTGTCCAGGAATATGTGCTGAACGCCTGGGGGTTTCGACAAGTACTGTAGTATCGGTTCGAAAATGGTCGAAGTTGGGCTGTGGAGAGTTTCTGCTGCTGTACTAATTATCACCGCGGTCTTGGGATCTGAGAGGCATGGTGACCACATTGTGAAGAAGGTGGGATGTGATGTTGATTCGGCGGCATCGGTTATGTTGTTAAGCATGGTATTGAGCGCGACATAACTCGGTCTGTTCGATTCGACGATTTCGGTTTGGAAGGTGAGGGTAATGAGGCAAACATCCAGCAGTGTCTCTGTTGTGTTGGTAGCTAAAGCATGGTTCCTGTGATCACAGGTCCGACAGCAAAAGGACATGCTGATAGAAGACGGATCGGTAGCTATAGGATTGTTGAAAACGTCGATTATGTCGAGTATGAATTCAATAATTTGGCTTGTAGAATAGAAAGTAAGTTGAAAAAGGATGGATTCGAATCTGCGAAAGAAAGCAGTATTTGGAGTGAAGGTCCGTGTAATCGGCCCTAGCAGAAGGAGGCGGCTGTGACCTTTTGCCTTTTTGATGATCCGCAGCGATCGCCTCGTGTAGTAGCGAATGAGTGACGATGTCGAATTGGGGAGGAATCCTTCCAATTAAAATGAAGCGATAAGGATTCAGAAAATCAGATAATGCGGTTAGAATATGGTCTTCTAGATGCACACAGTCAAGCAGAACGCGAGTGTTTATAGTGCAATGCTGTTTGACGGGTGTGGCGAGCTAGTTACGGATTCGGACTTCAGCACTGCCTCCTACTAGAACACGTAATCGGACAACCTTACCTTTCAATAGTGTGTATGCTTTGAATGACCAAAATAGTAAGCGAATGATGGGGGTAATGCGCATTCGTGGTTTACCGTTTACTGCGTTTAAAAATCCCGCCTTGTGTCGAGTTGTGTACTGGACCTACCTAGGTATTCATACAAATTCATCAGACACGAGAGGTATTTTGTGGGAAGAAAAAAATATCAGAAAGCTATCGAAAGGTCAACTGGCAGGGAAGTCTTGCTAGCGATGATGTAAGAGTTTTCCTTTTGCGTCTCAGATATGCACAAGGTTCGGCCTGCGACGTGGACATCTGGATTTAATGCGTACACCGTAGATGTGCATTTGCAGATTGCGGAAGTAATTCCACCCAACCTTACCTGCAAAATGGCAAGAATTTACGCGTGGCCAGTTTTACGCATATGCGCGATGATACACATCAGTCTTGGGTTTAGTCAGAGCTGGGGTGAATATATGACATCACGTGACTTAGAAACACATCATGGGGCCTTTTCGTATGCGCGTACAGGTAGACTCTAGTCTCTAGCATGCGGCTTACTAGCTCGTTAGTGTTTAGAAACTGTATGCACCTTGATTTGTCAGTCAATTTTTAGCCGTTCTGCCTTTTGCAGCATTCATTGACAGAACAACTAGGCTGCCTTATCTACACACACAATCTTACTTGCGTCACTACCCGGACAGAAATTGATTTCTTTCGAGACTTCTTCAATAACCGTTCTCACTTCCAACGCACCTTCTGCAAGAAAACACGCCTGTAGGATCATATTTGTCCTTAATCTCCAGAAGGTGTGGATAATTCGAGCCAAAGGCTTGGTTCTGCCAGTCCTCTTCAAACTCAGACATTTCATTATAGAAAACTGCCTTGCCAAATGTAGCCTCCGCGCTGTCCCGGGTTTTCTCCATCAACGAATTTTGTAGAGTAGACAAACCGGACCATGGGCCAGGAATGCTGAAACGATGTCAGCAGCGCGGCCTTACTGTAAAAACCCCACATATGGAGAAAAATGTGATGGAGATGAAACTGATATCTGAAAATAGAATGGGGGCCGGTTTACCTGAAGTCGACGAAAGCGAAAGCATTCCGCCATTCTGGATGGACTGCAGTGGCTTCTGGGCTGATTTTGCTCGATGCATCACCGACGGCTTCGAAATCAGGTCAGTCTCTGTCATATTATTCAAGCGTTGACAAAGTAAGCATACCGTTCTGCCAGAGCAAAGATACTCCCGGGTCTAGGTTGGTAAGATAATCGATAATCGTCTGTAGCCTGGTGTCATCGGTTATGATATCATTGGAAACCAAACGAGAGCTAGCAACTATGTTATTTCCAGCAGGAAGCGATGGTTTGATTAAGTTGAGAAGATGCTTCTGATACGCTTCGTTCCAGCTTGTAGATCCGGTGAACCGCTGAACGTTCAGTGCGCCCTCGCAGCCGGTCACATTTTGGAATTGTTGGAGCTGTTCGGAGAAGTCGCTGTCTCCATATCCAGAGGGACGAATGAATACCATCGGCGACATAAGCTTTCCGTTGTCAGATTGCCAAGCTCCAGTGATGCCATCTTTTCGTAAAAATGCCTGCGCCTTGACCATTCGGGTAACAAGCTCTATCCAGCTCTCTCTTCCTTCGCATTGGACTACACCTAAGGCCGTTTGAACGGATTCAAAAGCGGGATAGGTCTTGAGATACGTCTTAGTGACTACCGCAAAAGAGCCACCACCTCCTCTCAACGCCCAGAAGAGATCAGTGTTCGTGCAGGCGTTGGCGATCTCTTTCCGTCCATCTGCAGTTACAACCTCAAACTGCACAACATTGTCAACTGCGAGCCCGAAATAATTACCCAGTGGCCCTGTACCTCCTCCGAGGACATAACCACCTCCAGCGCCAACAGTAGGTCCAAAGCCACCTACTGCTACAACACCATGTTGGGCTCCTGCGGCATACACCTCTTCAACGAGAGTTGCGGGACTCAGAGCCAACACATTTTCGGCTTGTGACTCAGGGCAAGCTTTGAACCCTTCAACAAAATCGATGCCCTTCATGTGTCTGGTCCATAAGGCGAAGGAGTCCTCACCTGCAGATCTTCCAATATAGTCGTGGCCAGTCTGTTCTCCTTAGTCAGTGTCTTAAACTCAGAACTCAAGAAGCTTACGTTTTTAATTCTGAACTTCAGGTTGTGCTTTTTGACGAACTGCATAGTCTTGACAACGTCGTCCACTTCCGTCGCATTCACGCTGTAAAGGCTCATACCGCCAAGCTGCGCATGTTAGCCTCACCACTAATATACGGCATAGCAACCATACTGCACATGTTCCATTGGTGGCTGGCGGAGCTGATCCATCAGCGGGTAGATCAGGAACAGGGCATCCGTTGCCTTGTTCATCCTGTTCCCAATTCGGATATACCATGGCCCCAGGAAGATCAAACCGGTACTCATAGCTGCGCTTACGAGTGGCAATATCCTTACAGGCCGCAGCGTCGTATGTCGCTGCGTAACATGGGGCTCCGTAGGGAGTGTTGCGGATCAACTTTCCATTGAGACTGCTGTTGAAAGCTTGGAGTTCAGGCTCAGAAGGGAAGCACGCGTCGTTTGGTAGACCTGTGGTCGCAGGTACAAAGTCAGTCAAGTCCGAGCAGACATGTTGCCAATGAATTGTCGCGGATCCACTGCAACGGCTATACACCCGGTGTATACGAACAATATGGTGCAGCGGCTTGAGCAAGACCAGTGAAGGCAGCAATCGGGATCGCAGTGAGCGTCGCAAGGATTGGAATCATTGCTTCTTTCACTGATGACGTACGCAGAAGCGTCGCAGGCTATGCAGAGAGCATTGGTCATGAGCAGGGAGGGGCGGGATATTTGCCTTATATTAAATAGATTCTCTTGCCTGCTTTTTTTTTTGGCCATTTTGAACAAATTCAGTTGCCTTGTACTTAATATGGTAACACGAAGATCGATAGTGCATTAACTCAGTGTCCGGATGCACGGTCCTGTGGCTGGCAGATGTTGCCATGCACGATCAAGATAGGAAATTTGCGACATCGGTGAAAGCTTCTTTCCTTCTTCTGCCGGGTATTCGGATCTTGTCCAGCAAGCTGTGCGGATATATTGCAGTGATGCAAGCTACAGAATTGGCACTCACCACAGTAGTAGGATTTATATCATATTCCTTTCCCTAATTACTGCGAGAGACTTCATCGTCATATAGATCACTGCTTGAAGTTTACCTTGAAGCGGGCATGGAGTTCAATAACATCTCAAAATAGTATAACAGGGTACCTCATCCTTCTACAAAAAAAATTTGGCTCCTGTAGTCCCATCATGCAGTGTTGTTTATTTGCCTCATAAAGTTAATATTCTGCGAGTTTTGATGCGCTAGCCCTGGTTGGAAACCTTGTAACTATCCATGTAGTGCAGTACCGAGACCCTGTTGCCATGTGAAAACTGAATACAGTCTCGCCTCAGAAATCATGTATCGTTCATTGATTGTAATTCATGTAAAGATCATGGACATGCAAGTCATTCAAATCGTTCTTCGTCTTACAAATTTCGACAGGATCAACAGGGCTCCAGAAACAGTGAATTCAGTCAACATGCTAAAAAAAAAACAATCAAAGTATCTTGGAATGACCATTTTCCACAGTACACGTAGACTTGGTTTCGGACACTCATGTATAGCACAACATGACCGTGCACTCTACCAATTATTCACATTCACCTCGAGTTTATGAGAGTGACCAATAGCGTCCATTTGTGGTCGACAAAGCAATCTGATTTGGCGGAGCCCGACGAGTCACGTGGGTTAAGCGAGAGCTAGGAAGCCAAGATTTTCCGGATCCGGGATACCTATATCTCCCCTCCCCACACCCTCTCTCCTACGCTCCTCATGCCTTGGACACTGCCCCACATGGTGCTATGCACTATGGTCCCTCCATCATCCCCTTCCCCTTCCCTTTCCCCCTGCCATTTCCCTTGCCATTCCCCTTCACTTCACATTTATTATTTTTTTTCTGACTTGCTGATAATAAATCTAGGCACTGGCCACACCCAGGTCCACATTGTTGAGCCTCAGATATTTGGCACCATCTCTTCGAGTGGTGTTCATGACTGGCCGGATAGGTCCTTGGCGGATCCCAGTTGAGACTTGGTTGTGCTCTTACTAGTATCCTAGTAAGGCCAAGTCGACGGGGTCTTGTATACTTGGGTGAAGACGGACACGTTCCAGACGCCCGGTCTTATGGTCTCCTCTATCACTTTTATGTGTAGAGTGAATTTGACTACCCTCTATAATCTCAGGTTCATTGATTTTATATCTTTGGATGACACCTTGTTCTCCCTGGGCTTTGCTCATAGACATGGTAAATAAGGGTCGTTGCCGGCGGGCTTCAGATGCTTAGTATAACCAAATTTTTTATAACCACTTTTTTCTCAAATTTTTTTTTTCGTCGATCGTTCTGGTTATCCATACCGGGCTCTCGAAGAAGGAAAAGAAGAAGGTCATGATCTTTGTACCCCCCACCCTCAAGCCAACCATCTTTTGGCATTGCCCTTCGTGGCTTTGCTTGATTTGCCTTGTGAGCACCCCTACTAGAACATCTTTGTGCGTCCCCAAAAATAAGCATGAGCATCACCGTCATGATCCCTCGTGCTCAGCTGCTCGCTCACGCTCAGTGCAGAGCATGTGGCATGCGATCTTGCATTTGGCCGACGTCACCTCCCGTTCATAAAGGACGGAGGGTGGGAAGTAGACATAGAGCTGCCCTGTCATTTCCCAGGAAAGGATGTCAGAATGGCAGTTGGGTTACTACAGCACTATTTGGTAGAATGCACATACTTCAGATGCAGGAAATGTCTTCGTCGTGTCTGAGCCACACTGAAGCTGCGTATCCAGTGATCTATTTGAAAAGCATCTGTGCAATACTGTCAAGAAAGCACCCAGATGGCGCAAAGTCATTGAGCAAACAACGCCTCAGACCCGTGGCAAGACCTGCTCGTCAGAGCAGAGAGCACCACACTGCCCACCTCGTTCCTACCCCAATCGTGCCTTCTCGTCCTTCCGCGTGGTCCTCTGTCATGCCATGCCATCATCTCTTCTTCCTGGCTTTCTTCTTGCTCGCGGTGTCTGGCTCTTCCACCACGGCCACCCCGCGCTTGTTCTTGCATGCAGCAATCTCTTCCTCGCCCTCATGATCATGATAATCGCAAAGATCGAGCTCGAACTTGATCATCTCGCCCTTTCCCGCGCTTCCTGCGCCTGCGTTGGTGCTGCCAGTGGGACTCCTCAACTGTGCGTACTTCCTCATGACACCGACCAGAAACTCAACCGGCCAGTCCAACTCGTCGTCCATCTTAATCCTCGTCTTCGCATCTCCATCCTGCTCCGCGCGGACCGCGCCCGTCTCAGCAGCCAACTCCTCACCACCGCCGCCGCCGCCACCACCACCACCAGTGTAATTCGCCGCACAATCCCAGTAACACCTTGAATCAATCAACAGCCTCTTCAACGGATCGTCCTTCCTCCGCAACATCCTAAACGCGCGCCTCACAATCTCACACCCAGCAATCCTCAACTCCCCACTTACCAGACCCTCGAAATACACATCCAGCACCACGCTCTTCAATCTCTCGATCTCGTACTTGTACGCGAACACATAGACTTCAAGGAGCCCTGCTCCGTTGGCCTCGCTGCGCGTGGACTCCCAGATCTTGGCCAGGTTTGCAGGGTCATTGGGCCCGGAGGGAAAGCGGTCGTAGTACAGCCAGTGGACGAAGATTTCGAAGACGGGGATCGTGTCTGTGTGGAGGTGCAGGGTTCGTGAATGGGACTCTTGGTGGGAGCCTGTAAAGGCGTTGCGGAAGAAGCGGGATTGGAAGGTTAGGAGGGAGGTGTGGATGAGGAACTCTTGTTGCTGGTCTTCGGGGTACTGGAATTTTGGCTGCTGCTGCTGCTGCTGCTCCTCTTGGGGGTTTGGGGGTATCGGGGATTGGGTCTCTGGTGAGTTCACATCTTTTTGGGGTTCTGGATGTTGCGTTTGTGTGGATATCAGAGATTCAGTCTGCGGTGGGTCTGTATCCCTGTGCGTTGTTTGGTCTGGCTGCTGATACTCTGTGAACTGTAGGGACGTATCTTTTGGCTGGCCTTCATCTTTCTGAATCGATTGATCCTCGAGCTTCTCTTCATCCACTTTTCCCAATCCGGAGCTCTTGGGTGGATTCGGACCCACGACTATCGTCACGAACGCGTTCTTCTTTGCACTATAACACAAATCCCTTCCGTCAGCAGCGCTCAAAACGTATCTCAAGGACTTCTGCGGTTGGGAACTTACGTGATGATAGGTCTCCGTCCCTGCGAGGTCACCACCATCGTGCTTTTTGTCCGTTCAGGTGTGTCTTGGGTTGGAGAGGAGAGGTGTATACAAGGAAGAGATTGCTTGGTTCGTTGTTGCTGGATTGTGCTTTAGTTGAGGAGAGCATTGATGGGTCCGAACTCGCGCTGAGCGTTATCAGTACCTTGACTTGCGCGAGGCGAGGTGAAAGTAAGAGCGTCGGTAGAGGAATAGCGGACGCGAGGAAAGAGAGATATGAGAGAGAAGAGAAACAACATCAGGTGTCTGAGGAGTTGACTGGCTCTCAGTTGATCGTGTCTCTCTCCCTCTTACTTGTTTCTACACATATACAAGAAGACTACACACAGGCAACCACACGACAGGCAACCACACAACCGCTAGCCAAACCATCCACACTCTCCCCAAGGATATAATAACCCGCCACATCTTGCCCAACGCCTCCTCAAACACATCTATGAAAACAACACACATTGATCTCCCCCGCATCTCATTACCCCATGCCAGCTGAGCAGACAGACAGCGTATACAGCATCTCTAATTGTCCAGTCGACACAACAAAACAAGATGATTCACTACATCACAAAAGAACCCACTATGCTACACTTTCGATAGAACAGAAACAACACTGCGGATGTGAACGAAAACAAGAATACCTCGAAACTTTGGTGTACTGTATACATGGACATACATCGTAAATGTGTGCGTGTGTGTGCGCGCATGTGTGTATATCTGCATCAAGAACCCCGACACCAAGCAGCCAACAGTCCAATCTCTAACCCTCATCCAGCCACATGAAAACATTCGACCACATACACAAAGAGACAAGCCATTCCATCGAATGGGGTATCACACCGCAGGAGAATAATAAGTGTTCAATCTTCCCCGTCTTCCTACTTATCAACCTACAGAATCACACACCAATTCATCTCTAATTACATGCTATATAACTAACCCATCACACACAAAGCTCTTCTCCCTCTATTTCTTCCTCGTCGTATATCTCCCACTATGTGGCCGAATACTCGAACGGTATGTATGTACGTTACCAATCGATATTATACGCGTGCGTGGAGACGAGGAATGGAGAGATGATGATGATGTAAGCTTTGATTGCGAGAACGCGGGAACGGGACGGAAAAGAGGGGTTTTAGGTGGGATGGATGAGAGGAAGGGGGGGTTGTGAACGATTGATACATGGAAGGGGAGGTAAAGCGGTGATGAGAATAATGGAGGGAGTTGGGATTTTGTGTTTGTATCGATGTCGAAGAACATAAGGGGGTTTGCGAGGATAGCATTGTCCAACAAGTACGTTAGTCGGCTATATTTGCCAAAACGAAAGAATTGCTTCTGTGAGTGGGAATGGCAGAGTGCAGGAGTGTTGTGCTGATACGGAATCGTTCATCTTCAAGACTCTCCCGTCACCAAGGAAGAGAAAAGAAAACAGAGAGCAAATGAGCTGTAAGATGTTGCCAACACCGTAGAAACAAAATACACATATGAGCAGATATAACATAATAGAAACACTTTTTTTTCTCTCTCCATTGCTTTCGAAGAATTCACTACACTCTACCATTTCCCACCAAGCTCAAGCTCTCTACTCATTCTTTTGTGTTATCTACATACAAAGACACCAACTCCACGACGACGAATACAGACTCAACTACCTAGGTAGCCATGAGCATCTAAGACCCATCTTCCAAGCAATACACACACACAGTCTCGCTGTCCGATATCCTCATCCACGTTTCCCGACTGATCCCACCGTCTAGTCGTACCCAGTCCCAAGCGTCCTCCTCAACGATTCCCCAGATGATAGAACCACACCCCAAGGAAAATTTGGCAGTGTAGGTTATGAGAGTGCGGATGTAAAGTCAAGGAAAGAAAAAAAGTAGTGCCAGAAGATGGCGACAAAATGAGAAAAAGGGTATTACAAAGACGTATTCGGACATAAAGACGAACTCGACGGAAGATGAAAAGAAAAGAGAGAGAGAGAGAGAGAGAGAGAGAGAGAGAGAGAGAAAAGCATAAACAAGCAACTAGGAAATGTGTCCGGCAGGGACAAGAGTGATGATTGATGATGGTGGAAATAGACCTGGAAAAACACATTCCAGTCATGTTTGGTTGATTAATTGCAGACTCGTATATATGTACGTAAGCCTTGCTTGACATGTTGTTTGAACACAACGCAGCCTCCGCCTAGAAGACAGAAAGACCAGTCGCTGATATGCCCGACAGGCGACGAGGCAGACAGCTTCGGGCCTCTGCGAATCGCGAGACCGGGAGAGTGCCTAGGCAGACCTGTGTCCTCGCATATCCAGCGCCCTTCCCATGCAGAAAGTAGAAAGATGAAGATGGGACACGATTTTAACGCCCCGATAAACGCCGCCGATGGATATGTAGAGCAGATGACGAGATCATTCAAAGGAACAGATAGGAAAGAGGAAAGAGGGTGTATGGTTGGTTAAAAGTTCTGCGCGATGCCACTGTTGCCTTGCTGGGGGAACACGGAAGGACTCTCGATCCTGGTATTCCGGCGCGCAGACACATCCCGGATGATGGGTTGCGGTGGAGCAGCGCCGTATCCGTTAGGATCGTACGGACTAGCATGGTAATATCCTTGGTTGTTGTCGTTGTAAAGTTCTTGGGGATGGTTGGGAAGCGGGTAGTCTCCCGAGTTGTCCGATCGTTCTGCTGCGGAGTAGGATGATGAAGCGTTGGAGGTGCCGCGATGCACACCATTCTGATTCTGCTGGTTGTGGTTGGCATTGGGACCCGCGCCGAGCACACCAACACCATCCATCAAAGGCTCGCCGGAGTGGGCGTCGTTGAAAGCGGCATTGGTGGGAGATCCAGGGCTGTGGTAGCCTCCAGGGTTGCTGTTGCTGTCCGAGTAGGTCATGCCGCTGGTCAAGGTGGTGGAGGCTTTGCGGTTGGAGCTAGTGGTGGTGTTGCCCCAGCCTCTGTACCCACTCTGATCCTCGGCCATCTCCGACTGCATACCCACGGCAGGGAGAGTAGGATCGTCGTTGGGGTTGAAGCCATACTCCTCAACCTCCTTCCTGCGCGCTTCCTCGGCGTTCTTCTTGGACTTGCGTCTTCTCCACAGTAAGATACCGCCCAAGACAAGCAGCGCTACGACAACGACGGGAACCACTACAGCAATGGCAGTCTTTCCTCCGGTTGACAATCCACCCTCAGCATCTTTCCCCTCGAGATTCTGCAGGCCCGGTGCCGCAGAATCGGAAGACGAAGAAGGCTTAGCGGCAGCTCCACCGCCATTGGTGCCTTGGGTGTTGCCGGCCTGGCCAGGGGCAGTGCGAGTGATGATCTTTGTGGAGACTTGAGGGGTCTCGCCCGGAGCTGTAGGGCTGTTGGTAACGATGGATGTGATGATGTCTGTGGTTGACGGGGTCGTCGTAGGCGCAGTTACGGTGGAGGCCGGGGGGTTATCGCTTGAAGATGGCGACGGTGCATTGTTGCTGGAAGGCGGCGGTTGAGATGAGGCGGGCGGTGGGGAGGGACTGTTGGACGAGGGTGGCAGCGAGGCCGGGGTGGATGCCGGAGGAGGTGGACTAGAGGTGGGAGGGTCGGCTGAGGAGGGAGGCGATGTTAGAGAAGGTTGCTGGGATGGAGGGTCTGAGGATTGGGGAGCGGGCTGCGAAGACGAGGGCGCAGGGGCGGCAGAGGTGGGAGGAGGGTCTGCAGCGGACGAGGTTGGAAGGGGATCATTTTGTTGTTGCGAAGAGGGAGCGGAGGCAGGCTCGGGAGCAGAAGATTGAGAAGGAGAAGGGGGAGGAGAAGAAGAAGCAGGAGGAACGGCCAGCGACGTACTAACGGTGTTGTTGCTCATGGCGACAACGTGAAGAAGAGGAGCAAGCACAGAGGCGAGAGACGAGAAGGACAGGCAGGTGATGAAGAGCAAGAGGAGGGTCGGTGGTTGAGGATGTGTCCGGGTGTCTGTTCGAGGTTAGAGCGTGTCAGTCAAGCACTCCGTGTGTCAGGCAGTGCAGGTTGATGGGGCTTCAACGGAAGGCGGCAACTGGGAGGCCGTACCAAGTCAACAAGGGCAGTCGAGTCTTGACGGGATTGACGACGTCTGCGGCGATCCGTCAGAGATGGACAGACAGCGGCGAGGATGGGAGGTGGACGGGAGTCTGGTTGGCAGGGCGAGGCGCAGGAGGAGTGGAGAGAGTTTGCAGTGCGCGGGTGGAGTCGCGCCCAGGCAAAAAGGACCGGCGGCCGGTTGATCCCCAACCAAAGCAGAGCAAGCAAGGAGCACGCCGTAGCGAGGTGCCGAAGCTGTCTTGTTGCTGGGGTTGCTCGTGCGCGCGCCAACAAGATTTTAAATTGGTGTGATTGAATTCCCTGTTTTTTGCTGCTGCTGTTTTTGGTTCTGCCGTCGTCACTGTCACTGCTGCTGTTGTAGGTTCAATTGATGATGATGATTCACACGTTCCAAGCAAAAAAAAAGGAGACGACTGGAAGAATGGAAGAAGACACAGAGAGAGAAGACTAAGCATGTCAATCAGCTGCTAAAACGACGAGCTGTGCCGCCAATGCATTCGCGCGTCCTCATCCAGCTAGCCAGCCCACTGACACCCTCCCTTTTGGGACACCACACCGCCCGTGGCTGTGTCTCTGGCCTGGCTCACTCAGCAAATCACGCATGGTTGCACTCCTTCATTACCACCATACCATCCACCACCATCATCATCATCATCGTTCTGCTCCTCGTCCATCATCATGATCCATACCAACATCCTCGTCTACTTACCTACCTAGTCTATCTGTTAGTCATCGCTGATCCAATGCAACTCCAACAGACAGACAGCACACGAACCAAACCCACGCGGTGCTCGCTCCGAGGCAATTGACAAGCACGCCGTCACCCAACATCAATCTCGTGGTAATCCCCACAGAACTACAGACCTTCTACACCAGTTACTCACTCGTCCGTTCGTTCGTTGCATGTGCGCCATTCGAACCCTGCCTCTACATCCGCATTCGCCCTGCTTGCACATGCGCACACACACATGCATATGTACATATATACACATCGCCAAAAAAGCAACCACTCCCGCATCTGCAATATATTGACCGTTACAATCAGTCGCTGTCCACATGTCCAATACCCTCGGTATGCATCTTGCCTGCATGCTTAGTCTCTCTGCCCAGCTGCCTTGCTCCATCCTCGCGTCATCTCTCGCCTCTCTCTTTCTCGCTCCATCCAATCCAGCCCACAGTTCCCCCATTGGCTCAAACACCCCCGAGAATATCTGGAACATGGAAAAACGATTCCATGCCCCGTGCGCTTTTTCCCGAGCTCGAAACGCATGGTGTTTCTCAACTCTCGCTCCTGCTGCCGTCTGACAGCCCCCGATCAAACAACTCGGCATAATGCGTGTTTCGAGTCATGCCGTGTGAGAGCCAGTGGGCCATCGTCATATTCCATTGCGGCGTTTTTCTTCATCTTCTCCTTCGTTGGTTCGCTGATAGATAACACGGCACTTACATATACAGGCACCAAAACTCGGGTCCCTGCTTGCAGAAGGCGGTCAAGTGTAGGTAAGTGTACATACATCAATTCCTCGAGTAAGCAAGCGACGCACGAGGGGAAAGAATTGGGGAACTCGGTGTCCAATATTCCATGCGCTTTCGTATTTTCCAATATTGATTGCTGTTTCCATCGGTAGTCTTTATTTCTTACTCATCATCATCATCCTTCCCCTCGCTATATATATACCTGCCTGCAGCCAATCGCAGCCATCTTCGCCATGCACGGCGCAAGTTACAGTAGCATCTACTACCACTACTCTTACTGCTGCTGCAATGCACATCTCCAATTGCAGAGTTATGCCATCCTATTCGAAAAAAGGACCATGGAAGTAAAAACACTCTGAACAAAGTACATACATAGGTACGTAGGTACTTCGGTGGTCCATTCTTCCGGATCCAACCCCACCATGTACCGTCCCCACAACAATGACTTCACTCAACAACACGCCTTGAAGAAAGAACAAGAAGAAAAAAGAGGGGCGATTCGCGAACCCTTCCCGTCGTTTTAGGGAAGAAAAGGAAAGCAACTGTGGCGGAATTACACCGCCGCCTTTGCTCGTTTCCGATTTGATTGTTGTGGGGGTGGGTGAAGGGACCGTCGCTGGGTCCGGTGCGTCTTAGTTGCATCGTTCGAGGGGACCTTTTGATCACGATGCCCATGTGCGTTATGCGTTCTGCGTTCTGCCGAGGTGCTTCACAGTTCAAGCCCCCTTTTCTTTTCTATCTTGTTTGTCCTGGGGTGGAGAAGATTTGGTCTGTGGGTTCGGTCAATCTACACGCTTCAGAGATGTAATTGCTTGAAGAGGTGATTAAAAATTATGTATAATAGAGCAAGTACGGGTCATCCCAGAGTACGGAAAAGCAAAAGATGAGCATGAAAGAGTAAGAAATGGAGCTCCAATCGCCCCCCAACAAAACAAATAAGCTTTTCACCTTGTTAGATCAGCCCTGGAACCACAGCCTTTCTGTTCCCCAGCTTCTCTTTTCCAAATTTCTTTTCGTACCATCTTTTCCCCTGCAACGCTCGCGGCAGCATGGTCGCAATCTCGTTCACCAAAAACGTCTTGGCTGGATGACATGCCCATCCACCCACCATCCAAAACCCAGCCCACTCAGCCCACTCGCACAGGTAATGCGCATACAGCACGTATCCAAACAGCCCATTCTTTGGGATCATGTAAACTTTCTCCACACCCTCGAGCGGCTTACCAGTCTTCTCCGCCTCGGCACGCTGCTTGCGGTCCGCTGCACGTCGAATCTCGCGCAGGTCGTCGTCATGGAAAGCGTTGCCCAGCAATCCCCAAGCCCACAGCACCAGCCCAACTTCCATGTACACGTAACGTCCCGCCCAGTCGCTATCCGTGGTAGGGCCGTACCCGGCGAGCCAGCCGCCGATGGAAATCCCATTGAACAGCTGAAATGAGAAGGCCATGAGCCAAATGAGGGGATGCATGGGCGCCATGCTCGGGTTCAAGACGAGAGGGGAGAGGACGGCGCGGTAAATGTAATGGATGACCTGTCATTCCATCGTTAACATGGCCTTTGCCAAACGCTAAATGCGTATAACACCTACAAAGCATCCTGCCATTGTCCAATTCCCCCACGGTAGAGAGGAGAGACCCAGCTCTGAGGGGAGCGTGAACATGATGTATAACAGCGCGATGAAGCCCGCGGATTCCATGGTGCACCACCCCCATTTGCCAGAGATGTTGAAGCGCGAATTGGTCGAGGTTTTACCCTGCGGATACCAATCAATGGTCCATTGGATTGCAGTGATCTGAAGTTATTCGCGTCAGTGGCCGTGTACTTTGCCAATGCGCCATATGAATGTGCCTACCAGTGGAAAGTAACCGAACAGATAACACGCCCATTCCCACGTCTCGCGGGACGGCGGGAGCACACCTGCTATTATCGTCATTGCAAAGTATTCAATCGATCGTCAATTCTTCTCATGCGGTATTGTTGTGGGCGAACATCGCTTATATCTTGTGTAACATGGAGCGTAGAGAAGATCATGAGGTCATAATCCAAAACATTTGGTGCGCCCGGGCCAAGCCGAGCCAATCAACGAGTAGCGCGCCATGTTGTATGACTTGATCATATAGCTGTTGAACTGGCAGAGAAAGCAGGATGATTGCCCAAATGGCTATAAAGTAGAAGGGACAGTATGGACAGTTGAGTGTAGCATTGGCATGTACATGTAGTTTATCAGAGATTTAGATGATAGGACGTGGGGACGATCTGACATCACCGCCGCACTGCCGCATAACTTTACATAAGCGGGTGGGATTATCAGACCATACTCAATACTCGAGTGCTGGTACCGCATGCAGTAATTTTTTATGAAGAATCAACTTCGCATAGTATTGAGAAATGCAGCCGAAATTTTCACTTACCTGAGACCTTCGCACGGAATACTGGCAATGTGTTGATTTCACATTCCCGATACCCTACATTTTATCTACCCCGTCACCCACTCCTTGTTCTTCGGGTGCCCAAGACTTGTCCTCTTTGCTGCTCACCACTTCATGCACATCTAGCCTGTTCTCCACAATCTCCTTCCCATTTACAAGATCATTCTCATCAGCCCGTCTGCCCGCAGCTTCCTCATTTTCGGTGACCCCAGATTGGACGTGCCTGTGCACAAGCCTGCTCCTCGCGACGTCAAAGTCGACCTCAACAAACCAAAGCTCATCCATCAACTCAGCCGCGTCCTTCCAAGGCGATCTGTCCAAAGACAGATAATTGCCCTCAAACACAATCAGCCTAACAGACGGCGCAATGGCGATATCATTGGCCACAGGATCCTTCTTGGCGTGATCGAAGCTGGGTGCAAACAGCGTCTGCGATTCCGGCAAAATCGGCTCCCGCAATTTCCTCACCAGATCCACAAACGATTCTCCGTCAAAGGTGAACGCTGCTCCTCTTCGAGCATGTGCTGTGGTGGGATCCGGCATGGAGTCGAGTTGTGCTCGGGACAGGTGATAGCCATCCATTGGAATAAACGCTGCTAGAGGGCTTCCGTTGTGCGTGCCGGGAGACTGGGCGGCATGCACTTCATTTAGACGGTTGGATACCATGGCTGCGAGTGTCGTCTTTCCGGATCCTGGGATGCCGGATACCGCGATGAGGTATCGCTTTGATTTTGGCACGTCCTGGAACTTGTCTGGTTGAGCTGTTAGTCGTCGCAATGTACTGTGTGGGTTGGTATACTTGCCCCATGTTTGCTTCACCAGACGTGATATTTGTTCCTCCATTGCGATGCGTCTCGGGTACGTGAATTTGTAGGTTGTCAGGTTCAGGCTTGTTGGGGGCCCACAGAAGACCTTGAAGAGCTAGTATGAGAGCAGATGCCCTAATTTACAAAAAATATGGGGTGGGAATAGTACCAGGACTATGGAGGTGAGATGAACCAGACAGATAACAAGAAGTCTATATAGTTTGGGTACACGATGCTCTGCTGTCCTACGTATCTGCACCTGGGTGTCTTGCCTGATCAGTGATAGGCTATTAGTGTAGGCCTTAATAATTCGGGTGCGGGATAGAGCAGTAGGCTATGGAATCTCAAGATAGGTAACACATAGGATTCTACGAATCAAAAGCTCCATTACTTGTTTTTAAGTCCTCGATTCGTGATCTTCTTCGTTGTGCCACTAATATAGATGTGGCTTGCATGAGATTCATGTGCTTGTTTGATTTTACTGATAGCCCCCCTCAGATCAATTGGTACTACAAATGATAGCCCGAAGCTCTGGATTTACTTTTTTTTTGGCATCTTCTCAGTGTATGGTCCCTAGGCGATATGTCAGTCAATATGGAACCATGGGTTGAGTCGACACACAATCAAGGATATTGTAGTTCTAGTATAAATGACGTCAGTTGCCGGTCTGGAAGCACTACCACATTCGTATAGCTGCGGTGCACCTCCACCCTCGATTGTCAATATTTACACCTATAATATGAAAAAACATCAAAGTGCTGTACTTGAATATTACAATGGATTGAACCGGTGAAGATAATCTCTTTAGCTCCAAACGTTTCCTCGAGATTGCGATCAATTGAAAGGCGACCCGGGCTGTCAAGATGGATGACCAACTCCGAAGTTGCGACAATAATGTATTACAAGTGATCACAGGCAGAATGGATGGCTTGTGATGACGGAGCAGCAAACTATTACGCATCTTTCTAGTAGAGGCCAAAACTAGCATTCTCAATCCACGAAAATTGGAGAGTGATAACACTTCCAATGATATTCGGAGCGAGCATATATTCATGAAGCATGCCTTGGGAATTCTATTGCACCGGAAATGACCAACTATGAATATGAGTGCTCATATCCGATGTACACGAGCCATCTATCAAAAATTGAAAGAAGCCGTCGACCTCAAGTTTCCAGGCTACGGGGGCTTGTACTTTACTGCTAAGCTGCCGCCGGACGTGGAATCTTGCATTGATTCCCATTGCGGAAGTATGCATTGGAACTGTAGAGAGATCTGGCCATTTGGCCTGCAGGGTCGAGCGTCTAAACTTAGCTGCAGACGAGACGGATGGTCTCCGGTACGGACTGGTCATCTGTAAATAGTCCGCTTCACTGCATTTTTAGTACGTGGAATACGGATTCCGCAGTGCTTCTATTGGACTACGGAGGAGGGTCTGAATGCTTCACGCGCTTGGAGGGCTCTCGTTGCACGGAGTTGTTGCTCGAATCCATCACGAGCAACAATACTTCGTTTTCCAAGAATGGAGCGCGCGTCAATGCATTAATTCAGGACTAGACGAGGTTGTATTTATTTATACAGCATAAGGAATGACCAGTAGAAAATTTGTTGATTGAAGCTAACACAAGATTCGATTTTGCTTCTACAGATGATTAGTTCCACTCTGATCCTACTGTCCTAGATGGCATTGATCAATCCCCAGTCAATTGATCAATCACATAAACTAGCTTCTACCATGCCTTCAGCTGCGTGATTCTGAATGAATAAAACGCCCGAAGCCAACAGCATTGGTGGCAAATTTCGGTTGCCTCTCATGAGTGTTGTTGTCCCTTTCGAAACACACCGAACAGTAATTGTTCTATAGGCACTACTCGAATACATATAGTAGTAAGAGCACCCGAATCTTGGGAAATGTAGAGGCACCTGATCATCGACGGCCCCCGAGAATGCTGCTTGATCGCTTTTCACTAAAGGACGATTATGGCAGTGTTCGGCACAAACAGTAATTAGTTTTACTATAGTAATAGCAATGATATAAGCAAGAAAAATGGTATTACTACAGTAAATACTACAGTATTACTCCTAAATGCCGAATTGAAATGAAATAACTACATGCCGAACACTAGATTATGCGATGGGTGTCAAAATGCACTTGCGGGTAGGGCTGAATCGGACCAATGAAACGCAGGAATCAAAATGTATCAGCCTTCAGGGGGCTCATCGCATTTGATTTGCGAGTGTACACCAGGCGCAGCATCTCAGCTCTCCACTGGATGCCCGCCTTAATCATCTTCGAAACAAAACACCATTTCCGATTTCTGCTGCGTGGACAATGTCTCTCGCCTTCAACTACCCTCGCAAACCCGCCAATTAACCGCCGTCGAACCTCCGCACGCGAGCCACGAATCCGCCGCATCGAGCGCATTTATTGACGCGTTGCGAAAATGCAACTACCCACCACCCTCCTTTACGCCATACTCACACTCATTCCGCCCTCGCTGTCCCGAGACGAAGATCCAAACGGATCATACAACGCATCACTACTATGGGGGCCCTACAGACCCAATCTGTACATGGGGATCCGCCCTCGTGTGCCAGACAGTTTGTTCATGGGGTTGATGTGGGGAAAGCTCACGGCGAACGAACAAGGTGCGCAGCAATCTGTGGGCGGTACTTCAGGTTACGTGGCTAAACATTGCTCAGATCTTCGTCATACCTGCGACGTTTCCGACGATATAACCCATCATGGGTGGGATGTGTACGATAGCCGGCGCGGCGGTATCCAATCGATATACGACAAAAGCAGCGACATGATGATCAAGACCTCCTTCGTGAAAACATCGGCGGGCCCGGGCGCCGGAAACTGGGCATTGCGGATTACCGGGAATACCACTGGCTCGAAATCAAAGGGACAAAAGACAAGGATGATATTTTATGTTGGCAAAGAAGATGGCTGCAAAGAGTGTGTCCTCGAGGCTGCGGCTTCACAACAAGGACAAGATGGATATGTGGAAACGGTCAATATTCACTCCGAACATCCTGAGTTGGGCACCGCTGAGATACGGATACCGAGGCCTTTCGATGTGGATGGGAGCGCTAAACCCGGCTATACCGCAGTGAAGAGTCTACAAGTTCCAAAGGAGAAGTCCATTTGGGAGGCGAAATGTAAGTGCTATTCTAAAGAATAGTGTTCGGATGTCAAAATGTTTCGGAAACTGACTATACCCGTGGAAGAAGCTCTCTTTTTGGAGGCTTTATCGTCGGATGGCAATAATCTTGCCAATGATCCAGGTTCGGGTAACATGCATTTCGTGCAATTGATCTTTCAGGATAACTTTGAAGTAAGTCTACACAAACAACGACCGTCCAGCTCTGATACTCACTATCTTCAAAGTTCGATATATTGTATTCATCGCAGTCGGCAACTGTAGCCATGTCGTGTAAGTTCTCGTCTTATGCATATATTGCAATCCTGTTAGCCAGTCATGCCACTTTGTCTTTGACACTGTATCGCTATATCTACTTAATCCAACGCTGACAATATATAGCGAACGATGCCACGAAAGAATTAAACAAGACAATAGAGTCATTCGACGCAAAGTTTGCTTCCGTGTATATCCCTAAGCCGCCTTTCGGCACAGAAGCATACGCCACCTTTGGTAAAACTCTATTATCCAACTTGCAAGGTGGCTTAAGCTATTTCCACGGCGACGCAAAGTACGATCTGTCAAAAAACCATGCGTTCGACGAGGCGATGCCGAAATTCTGGGAAAAGACCGCCGCAGCTCGCAAAGACTCGAAACCAGAGACCAAAGGACCTTACGAGTTGTTCAGCCATGTGCCTTCGCGATACAGCTTTCCACGCGGATTTCTCTGGGATGAGGGATTTCACCTACTCCCGATTCTAGACTGGGATGCAGATATAGCGCTGGAGGTGGTGCGGAGCTGGTTTTCGTCCGTAGACGAAAATGGATGGATACCTAGGGAGCAAATCCTCGGCGAAGAAGCCAGATCAAACGTCCCAGAGAGCTTCGTTGTGCAGTACCCGAATATTGCAAACCCACCGACGCTTTTCTGGATCGTCTCGAAAGCCGTCGATATTCTGCAAGGCACAGCGGAGTATGTCGGCCAAAAATCTCATTACTTGGGTTCGAAAGAGGAGGGGAAAGAACTCATCACGGAACTGTACCCTAAACTGAAAAAGCACTACGAATGGTGGCGGAGATCACAAGAAGGCGACGTAGAAGCGCACGGTCAAACCCGCGCCAATGTCGACGAGGGCTACCGATGGCGAGGACGAACACCCGAAACCAACTTCGCCAGCGGCCTCGACGACTACCCGCGCCCCGAACCCCCCAGCATCACAGAACTCCACGTCGACGCCCTCTCCTGGGTTGGCGTCATGGCCGAAACCATGGCCAAACTAGCCCGCTACACCAACAACGAAGCCGATATCGTAACCTTCCAAGCCCAACACCGCAACATTCGTGCCAACCTCGAAACCCTTCACTGGTCCGAACCAGACAAAATGTACTGCGACGCCTTCGTCTCGCCCTCGGACAACCACCGTTCATTCTTCTGCCCCAAAGGCTATGTCTCCCTCTTTCCTTTCCTCACCGGCGCCCTAGGTCCCGAACACCCCCACCTCAACGCAACCCTCGACCTGATCCGCGACCCAAAACACCTTTGGTCCGATCACGGCGTGCGCAGCCTCTCTCCCGATTCCCCAGCCTACGGCACAGCGGGGAATTACTGGCGCAGCCCTATCTGGATCAACATCAACTACCTCATCATAGAACGCCTACTTGACCTCGCATCCCGCGAAGGTCCCCTTCAAGACCGCTGCCGCGAAATCTATATCGAGCTTCGTGCAAACGTCGTCTCCACCGTCTACACCTCCTGGACCTCGACCCACACTGTGTGGGAACAGTACGATCCGCTCACCGGTAAAGGCCAGCGCACGCCTGGCTTTACGGGCTGGACTTCGCTTGTCGTGAAAATCATGGCGTTTCCTGATCTCGATACAAAATCTGGGTTTGGCATGGGCTTTGGGAAGGGATTTGCGGGACATTTTGGTGCAGCGGATGTGAAGGGGAAAATTGGCTGGGCGATTAAGGAAGCGGAGGAGCAGGGGACATGGGGGGCTGGCGGGTTGCTGGTTGTTGTTGGGGCTATGGTGTTTTTGGTGGTGATGAGGAGGAGGGTTGTTGGGAGTTTGAGGAGGATGAAGAGGTCGATATGAGCAAGTGTTTTCTCCATCTACTTTCTTCTCATTGTTCTACGGAGTGCGTGGGTGGCTGGATGGATGGTATAAAGGATGCCGCTTTTGTTTGTTTGCTTGTATTGTATAGATGTTGTGTATTTATGTATATTGTACCAAGCGAAACCTTCCTTTATTTTTATTTCCCTTGAGTGTGTAACGTAGTCTTCATTTCACCCCTGTCATCTCACCGATAGCCCATCTTTTTTCCCTCTTTTCGTCCCTTCCTTTCCCCCATTCTTCTTCTTCTCCCCAGCCTCCATACTACCAAAACCCCCCATCTCAACCCTCCGCCTCAACCCCGCCAAACTCTGATCCCAAGCTACAAACGCCGCAGCTTGGAGGAAGCAATCCGTGATATCATCGATTTTCTTCTCTGTTTTATCTACTACTCTTTTTTGCTTTTCTGCACTTACATCTTTCTCGCCCCTTTTCTTCCTGGGTCGAGGGGTAGTAGGAGTGGAAGAAGGGGTGACGGAACGGAGAAGTGCGTCACGTGCTAGGACTGGGTCGTCATCGTCGTATGTTGTAGACGATGATGATGAAGAGGAAAAAGGGTTAGGAGGAGTATTCGTTCTGCCTTTGAAACGAAAAAAGATGTGTGGACGGGGGAGCAGGAGCAGTGGTGTTTGGTAAGTTTCGTGGTACTGCTGATGTTGAGATTGTTCGAGCGATGATGGCGGTGGAGATGCGATGGTCGAGGGGATATCGGCACCGAGCCATGTACGGAGGATGTGAATTTTTGCTTTCTTCTCTGCTTTGCTGCGTGGTACAGACTTCTTTGTGGACGAGTCGATTTGCGTGTTTTCTTTTTCCAGGGGTATTTCCGTGGATGATGGTGGCGATGAGGTTTCACTATCCCTGCCATCGGATTTCGTCGTCCTCTTCTTTTTTGGTGGAGATGCAGATTCCGTAGCACTAGAGTCCAGCATCATACTATCCAACCAGTAATTCCCCACACGCTTCGGATCAACGCTATACACAGTGAATTTCCCACCTTCCCGCGCCGCGGTATCAGAGGAAGAACTAGTCGAAGACGACATCTCGCGGATCGCAGTGAATGTGGCCCATAGCATGGCTTCCAGGGAGTTCACTCTAACAGTCCATTGTTGAATCGCGCTGGAGCTTGCGCTGCGCCATCGCTGACGCTCGATCAATATGACGTCTGGGTCGTGTTTGAGAAGCTGGCGAACTAAGGAGAAGGCGGTTGAGGAGAGGTTTTTGGGGGAGAAGAGATCTTCTTGGTCTGTTGCATTTTCTGTGGGGGCTGAGTCCGGGGTTTGGGAGGTGGGAAGATCTGCGATATTGCTGTGTTTCCACGCTTCTTCCGTGAGATCCAGACGTTGCCAAGCTAGGATATCCATCGTAGTGGCTGTAGGCTGTCGCGTTTGCCCCTCCCCCTCCGACGAAGGCGTGACTTTTGCTATGCAGTACGCTAGATTCTTGATCCCCATATCAATAGATAATATCTTGGTTTCTTTCCTGGGGTCCATTGTTGGGGCAGATGTGACTGCTTGCGAGATGCGATTGTGTAGAGCGTCTTTTCTGCCCGATGTCGCGCAGCCAATTTGCTGGAGGAGAGTCTGAAGTCCCTTGACGGTTGGAGCGCTGGACGCAAGAAGAGAAGATATTGTTTTGCCTGGAGCCATGGTGGAATGAGTGGATCGAAGTTGGTAGGGGTAAAGCGAGCGGTTCAAGGGGAATCGCATTGCATGACAGCGCGTAGGAGCGCGTGCGGATATGCACGCGTGGTGAAACAACCAATATGATTCAGTATTGTCACGCGGGCGAAGTTTCCAGGTAGGAAGTGGAACTGAAGCTATTCGATACTGATGATGGGATCACAGTGTGGATTCAATGGTGTTGTCTTCGTGATTACTTTCTGGACTTCACATCACGCTAGCGTGTTCTGGGAACGCTTCGAATATTCTCTGTAGCAACGTCTAGGAGACAGACCATCAATGTGAACTTTGAGAATTTACAATTTAGAAGAAACATGATAAAGGACCTTTTGGTAAACTTCTTTTTTTTTGGTTCATTTATCGTCTTCATTCTATCGCTGTGTGTAGGATCACCCAAACTCCAGTTTACGAATTATAATTTATTTATGATAAAGGACATATAGATTCCACAAGAGGCTCTCAACGAGATCAAGTTACAAGCTCAAAGGAATAGACTTCAAATATTTCAAATTACTGGAATAGCTGCACTGGAAAGTATCATGCCATGCGCTTCAGCATCAAAAACAACAACCACAACTACTTAGTAGGTATTGCATCTCGACTCCAGTCTATGAAGTGAGCCCCATCAGCATTCATCATAAGGTCTGGGGAAAACCGGGGTATCACTAATCACTCATCCGTTCGCTACATTCTCCACTCCCAACCTCAGTCGATATGAATCAATCACTTCGGTTCTTGGGAGGAGCATCCCCCATCATCTCTGCAGGCGCACTGGTATCCTGCATCTCATAAACCTGGCTATTTCCCGCCATCACAGCAGCTTCGGACCCTTGGACTTCGGCAACGGCTGGGCCTCCCAACTCCGCCTTAGTACCGTCTCCTTGCAACTCGCCAATCGATCGACTATCAATCTGAACACTCTGGAAAGCATCGGTGTCGCTGATCTTCTTTTCAGCTTGTTCGCCAGGCAACTCTGCTTTTACCAACCCAGGTTCATCCGTGGCTTTGATGTCTGTCTTTCCCTGCCGCAGTTTTCGGACACGCCGGAGGAGAAGTACTATCGTTATGATGACGCCGATTAGGAACAGAACGCCCAGTCCCACACCTATTCCTATGTACATTTTGGTGTCTGTGCTAAGCGGCTTGCTGACCGTGGTATCCTGGATGAGAACGAGGGGTTGCATCATGAGTTGATGTGCATGGTCCCTACCAAAGAAATAGCCGCGATCTGATTGCTGTGGGAATGTCGATTTGTCTTCATCGGCCTCCCACGAATATACTGTTTGCGATGTCTTAGATTCACGGTTTCCAAGGACATCGAGTGCGAGGATATCGTTTACTTACTGCACAGCGGTTTAGATGTGATGGACGGGGTTTCCCCAGACACGAACGGAGTCGTGATATTACCAGACTGAGTTAGCGTTTGCCCTTTCATTGTTGTCATGGGTAGTGCTCGGACGAATGATTCGCCGATGGGAGCGAATGAGCTACGATGAAAACGTTAGTAGACAGAGCAAAGATTGTGCGAAGAACAGTCAGGGAACTGACTCTAGACAGCAATACGCTGTTCTGCGCGTTCCGGCAACTTCAGCCAATGCTTCTACGTATGGCGTTGGACACGACTCGGCGGACATGTAAACCATGCGTGTGCCGCACAGCGATGATGGACCAGGAAGACAGCTGTTGAATTGGGTTGGGGCCGGTTGCGTCAGATACGTGCTGTTCCCGGAACTACTAAAGCCTATGTGTCTTGAGTACATGGTGAAAGAAACTGTCTTGGTAATCGTCCCTCGGGTGGTTGATCCATCTTGGCCGGTTTCTAGTTTTCCGATAGTGGTAGTGGTAGTTGTTGTAATGCCATCCGTAGGTAAAGCTCGGCATGCTTGAGAATCAAACGTCCAGGAAGGATCGAGTGTACACATGGTGATAGTCAGTGTGGAAGACCAATTAGCGATGGGTGGGGTTAGCTTTATATAAGGGAACGATGCATGCTATCAATAAAGTAAGTCCCCTGTGAAAGTCCTTGGCAGCATGCAGAAGCCTGCAATCCTTATAACAATGACGACCTGGCTGGCAGCATAAATTTTTGCCTCCATCAGGCTTATCGTGATAGTCATGCACGAATTTACGTAGACAAAGATACACTGTACAGTCCAACCTACCGCTCCCAAATGAGTACTGTATTCATTTGAATTGCACACGTAGAGAGTGCCAATGTGTCACAACTGATCAGAGCGAATGGATCCTTCGAAAAGCGTGCAAGTAAGCCTCGGTTCTAGGTCGTGGGGTCCAAAAGCACGGCAGCTCTATCTATAATCAGACCGATGACGTCTACCTACAGCGAGTGGCCAAGATCGGGCGTCCAGTAGCTCCAATTACGAGCTTGTATTCATCTGTTGTCTACTCGCTTCGCGACTCCTGCAAGTTTACTTCCCCATCGACGTCTTTAACCGACACTGAGAGACATGGGAGATGCAATGAACAATACAACCTCCAATAGTGTCCTCGCACGTTCCTTTCCATAAATAAATCGTCGTGTGACTTCTTCGTTTCCACGCTTACATTTGGGCAAGTCGTGATTCTTGTCGGCGGCGCTCTGAACTCTTCCAACAAATGTTGTACACCTGCGCACCTCTTACTCCTAAGCAAACAATAGGCTCTATGTATACTCGATATGTAGAGCAGCGTAAATCCTACGCAATCTGTCTTTTCCTTTCGTCTCTCAACTAACCACCAAGGCAACCATATGATAACCTCTTTCCCAGCCCCCTCCAACCATCCATCAACAGACTCACCCAGCGACCGTTGGCGCCTCAATACATCTCTCAATTCAGTTTCTTCCTCTCGTCATTTCCCAAAGGGTCATGACCGAAATGAAAAAAAGGTCCCCCCCAATTGTCTGCTGTTCGCCGTACGTACATACATACATACATACATGGCAATGACAACTGACGGAGCGTGCGTGTGTGTTCAAAGATCCATATCGTCAGGCGTGAAGCCGGCGTCCGTCGGTCCATTCAAGATCAATCCACCGGAGCTCACAAACCAGTTTGTGAAGTCTATCCCACGCCATTACATTCGTTCGTTATATTTTGTAATCAGAGATGTTGCTTTTATCTTCTGTACATGCATAATCTTTAGTTGTACATCATATACATTATACACTTGCCTACTTAAACTCTTCCTACGCCTCCCTCCCTGATTCACAGTGCCCTAACTCTATACCACACTGGCGGCATTTTTTAGTATATAGCACTTATTCGAAATCTCAACTTCTCCGCAAAGAACCAAAGTCCCTCTCCGACCCACGCAATAGGACCACAATTGCAACGGAAGTAAAATTGGACCGCATCTTCCAAAGCACCAAGCACCATTCATTGGCTCGCTCAGAGACTTTGATCTTCAAAGACATCATCATCACACTAAAAGCCATCATCTGCCATGTATATCATTCCACCTGCCGCCCTTCTTCTCTCCTTGACATACCCATCCCACTATCTCACCATATCCGCGACCAAGAAAAATGAAAAGTCCTAACCATGCATTCCGCACTCCTCAAAAGCGCGGCCTTCATCAAGGGTCTCTTCGCGCCCTATATCCTCAGCGACCCCAATCCCCACGACCCTCTAAACCCTCACGTGCTTTTGATGAGTGCCGTGGACCGGGGTACGTGTGGGACGACTGGGAGGTGCATGTGGATTGATTGGACGGAGAGGGATCGAGGCTGGAGAGTGAGCGCTCATGAAGGGGATTCTAGAGTCAGGGTGCGGGGGTTTCTCGTGGCTTCGTACTCTTACCCTTTGTGTACTTACTCATTAAATACTCGGCCTCGAATATGTAGAACAGTGCCAAACGATGGATCAAGATAGGCAGATACGAATTACTTGATTCCCGTATGAGTTGCGATCATCAACTAAATTCAATTTATACTCTCTGTTTATTTCAAGCTGATTCTTTGTCCCGTTGCCATGATGCTGTCTCTACTACGAGCTTCCTAAGTCCTGACCTGGATCGATGAAATGCAGCGACTTCAAGGCCCAACCGGAACATGAATGCTGTAGGCCAAAGCAAGCGTTCAATGTGGCTCCTTTTTCCGCCAACGTTAAGGGATGAATGATGTGGACGCGGTGTACGGATTACAAGATTTTTATTGAAGATTATCCATCATTTAGCCTTTACCACGGACCGTCACACCATCTCTTCTTCCATGAAGAACCAACCCCCACAGCGTGAATCTTCACTAGAGTCTTTTCAACACATCTTGGTGACTTCTTGATCGCCAGTCGTTCACTCATGGATAGCCGTAAATTATCGTGAGTCGCACTTGGACGCCCTTCCCCGGGGCCGACATAAAACTCCATCCAACAACACTTCTCCGCTCTCTTCATCATCTCGAACCATTACGGGACGTTGAGCAAAACGCATGAGTGCCCAGTTTACCACTACCGAACCCGATGCCACGGCATGCTACGCAGTCTATTCGGATCTTGCGTGCCGTCATGGCATACATTACAAATGCAGATCCGTCGATATCGCCAAAACGCAGTCAAACTAATAAAACTCCTGAGTTGCTGGATACCTAGGTAACGAATAGGTCAATCACGCGTCGCAGATGAGGTCGAAATCAGGGAACTGCGGATCGGGACCAATATTCGTAGATGCGATGACGCCTGCGCCGTTGTTGTTGTTACCTCCGCCTCCACCAGCGTTGGCATCTGCTTGGCCGAAACTCGTGACTGTTGCGCTCTTTTGCGCGTCGTTACAAGCATCTAATCAGGGCAATCAAAAAAATCAGTTTCGAGATCTCCTCACATCATTGGCAAAAAAACGGAAAGAGGATTGGTAAGACTTGGGAGGGGAGGGGGAGGCAGGATACTACATACTCTTCTGCTGGTCACAATCATTAACTTTAAACTCTTTATTCCCGCCGTCATTCGCAGCTTTACTGCACGCATTCGCCTGTCGATCGCAGCTCCTCTGCGCGGCGGTCGCGAAATCGTTGAACGTGTCGCCGTCGACTTCAAAGGGTCGCTCCGCGTTGCCGCTCGATGTGATGGGCAGAGCAGATACACCGCCTAGGCTTTGCGTAAACGTTTGCAGGTTCGAGGGCGAGGCCTGCCGCCGGAAGAAGAGCGTGTTGTGCGGCATTAGGTGGATGTAATCGTCGAGGACGATGGCAGGCGAGGGCGAGGCGGTGGTCGCGTGGGTGGAGAGGGAGAGGAGGAGAAGCGATATCAGGGTTGGTGGGAGCATTGTTGGATATGTATTTTTTGATGATGCGCGGTAAGATTATGATTATCGGGGGATATCTGGTCGGGGTTTCTTATAGTGTCGAGGATGAGTGGTTAAGTGCTATTAAAATGGTTTGACGTTGAAGTTCGAACAGAGAATATACGCGCCAGCGCTTTGTGAGGAAAAAGGTGCCAAAACGTCAAATCGCGGGGACAGAAAAACGGCCAATAAGTACTTCCAGAGTGAGGCAGAGAAGAGAAAGAAAGGGCAGGCAAGGACAGGTAGAGAGAAAGGTCAGGAATTCAAGCGCCCATCCTCACCGCGAATGCGCATCCATGTTGTATGTACCTGGCACCACTCGGCTGTAGCAGAAGCCGTTTTGGTCGTCTAGCGAAGCCACTTTTGGATGGGCGGCTAGGGCTGCTGCGACGGTCCTGAAACGCGAACATGCTATCATGACATGTGCCTACTCGTTTTGATTAGCCGGCATCAACCTTCCTTGACATTAAGCGAGTGAGACAACATCGTGTTGAGAATTATACAAGCACTTGAGTGTAGGCGTGAATGAAGGTCCTGCACAAGACAAAAGCGTGGCAACCCGCTTCTCGCCTACATGGGGTGGGAAGGGCCGAAATGACGGGAGGGGCGAACATCGCGAAAGAAACAGGGGTTACTTTCTGGGCGCATTGCCCCGGGGTCCACTCGAGGACAATGACAAGCTTTTATGACGACATGGGCACGTCGATCTCAATATGTTGCTGGTGAACGAGAGAGAGAGAGAGAATGTTGGAGTGGGATGAAGGGTGGTTTTGATGGTATGGTTGACATTGCTGTCATGCTAGCTAAAGAACACTACATGGGATATGATGAGAAGAGGGAATAGAGCATTAAAGAAATTACGAAAAAAAGCCAAAGGCAACTTGGGTACGCCGCACCTGCCATGCAATATGGAAAAGCAATATAGCCACCCAGCCTCTTGATGCTGGAGCAAACACTATCTGAGAAGCTACCCGTCTAGTCGTATGTCGACGTGCTCGGGGCGCCATATGCCAACTCGTGCCAGATCCAGAAATAGTCGTCAGAAATCATTTTTATATGTACAAGGCGATCCATCTAGGAAAAAGCTCGATTAGAAGTTGGCAGCGGCGTTGGGTCGGCCACCTGGGTTGTGGTATTGCTCGAGATTGGACTGGAAAGGCGTAGAGTTCTGGGGCTTGTCACCCAGAGCAGCGCCGGTGCCAGCCATCAAGTCGGCATCGTCCTCGGTGACACGGTTCTTCTTCTTGCCCCACATACGCCAGCACACGAGCGCGATACCTCCAAGCAAAAGGGCACCGCCAACACCTCCAACGACACCGCCGATGATGGACTTGGTCTTGGAGGACATGCCGTCACTGCTAGACCCGCCGTTTCCCTGGGTGCCGGGCAGCCTGGTGTTGGTGGCCATTCCAGTGGTGCGGGTGCTGACTTGCTTGCTGGTACTGGTTGCGACAACGTCCTGGCCGTTACTCTTGGTGGTGTAGGTGGTGACAACATCGCTTGTGGAAAGGGTTACCAGCGGAGTGGTCTCGGTGACGGGAGCAGTTATATCGCTGCTCGAGGAGCGCGGAGGGTTGGCACTGGAAGTAGGTGGAGCGGAAGTGGCCGGATCTCGGGAAGAGGCAGGTGGAGAGGTGTTGTCGTTGTTTCCAGACGAAGGAGGGTTATTGGAGCTAGGAGGGTTGTCGGTCGAGGGTTCCGGTGTAGGGGTGGGTTCGGGTGAAGGTTCGGGGGTGGATGGTGGTGCAGAAGTGGGAGGCGCCGAGGTAGGTTGCTGTGTGGGAGTGTTGCCGGTACCCTGAGCCTGGCGCTTGACGCCGTGGTTGAGATATTCCTCTATGCCATCGAGGTTGAGGTCGCCGATGTTGAGAGCGGAAGAGAAGGCGAAGAGAGCGAAGAGGGCGAACAGCAGCCAGGACGAGCGCATTGTGCTCAGCATGATGTTTTGTTTGCGGGTGGAAGAAACGAAAGTGGAGAGACGGCCGTAGAGGACGGCAGAAAAGATCAAGGAAGGTAGCGGAGGGTGTATGGTATTATGTATAGTAAGAAGTGGCTGTGGGGCGTTTCAGGCAGGGTGCGTGGGTGAGTTGATTAAAGGAGGTGGTAGCGCAGACGCGGCCGTGAGTGGTCGAGTAGATGGACAGATGGAGAGACAGCTGGGTGAAGTAGGTGATTGTGTGGAGTGATGATTGCAAAGCGAAGGTGAGAAAAGAGTGTGTGTGCTGGATGCAGCGTAGTGTGTATGGAAGTATGCAGGTGGGTGCGTAGTCAGAAAAAGGTGAGTGAGAAAGAGAGTGAGGACGCGAGGGTCAAAGCAGAGCAGAGCAGGTGACACGCATGACCCGGAAGGAAGGCGGAACAGCGCGGTGCCAAAGAAGGGCACCAGCGAGTAAGCGCTCCGCCACTGAGTGGCCAGTGGAGGGACACCACGCAACGGGGCCGGCAGAAACAACAAGAAGTCCTTAGTTGGACAAGAAACAGGCTGACGAGGACAAGGGGAGGGTGGGTTGCTCGAAATAGGGATCCATCAATACTGACTGCCGCCATGCTACCTAGCTCCAGGGCAACCATCCCCCAGGGTCTAGCCTCTCTTCCCGCGATGCGCCGCCGCTGTGGAGGACCATGGTCATGCGATACGAGAATTCACGCAGCCACCAGATAAAAAAAAAACCCCAGTTTACACAGCAGAGAGAAGGGAAAAGAAAAAAGAAAAAGAAATGGCGGTGCAACTGTAACTTGAGAACCCGACTTGAAGTTGAGTTGGGAGAGACACTTGAGTGGTGTGCTGTCTCACGTATAAACGTGAAGAAGGTAGTCCGAACGGAGACATGCAACGACACCTGTTCCTTTTTTTTTTTTTTTTTTTTTTTTTTTTTTTTGTTGGCTTCTATTCTTCAATTTTTTCTTCTTCTCCGCCCCAACAATCGCATCTCCTTTCCCATTCAAACTCGCGTCCGGTGACGATGAAGCGCAATGGAGAATCGCGCTCAAAAATCTTCCCTGCCCGTCCCCGCTCTCCAGCCAGGCCCTGCACACGAGTCGTGGCCCGCAGCCAATCACGCGTCGCCTATTCGCGGCTCTCGTCAACTCTTGGCGTAGCTGCGTCATCCCCGCCAGCTTTTCATCCCAACCATCCATCCATGCAGAACGAGCGCGCACTCCAGCCCGGGACGACGACCAAAACAATACGTGCAGTAGAGAAAAGGAGAAAACGAGTCCACGAGACAGCATAACACCGCCAGCTTCCATCCACCATTCTCCCCTCCATGCCGCCTTGCTAGACACCACTCTCATGCACAACATCACCACCACCATGCTGGCCAACGGCCCGCACCTGACTGCCCACGAGGCTTTGTCTGGCGTCTTCGGCTCCATATCGCTTGCCTCGTGGATCTTCCTGTTGGTGAGTGGTTTTTCCTACCTGTCAACCCCTCGGGTGAATGCGTGATGCACATGTATTCTAGCGACATCGGACAAATCAACCCCGTCTTGCACCGCCAGACAATCACCTGCATGCAAGCATGCCAATTCATTCTCATTCGTCCACCTCAACCCCACAAAACACCTCGACGTTGCTACTGTGACACCCCCACAACTAACCCGGTCCTCAGGTCCCCCAGCTCATTGAGAACTACAAACAAGGCTCTGCCGAAGGCATCTCCCTCGCCTTCCTCGTTGTCTGGTTCATCGGCGACATCACCAACCTGATCGGTGCCATCTGGGCCGGCCTGGTCCCTACCGTCATCGCTCTAGCCATCTACTTCTGCTTCGCCGATCTCATCCTCATCTCCCAATGCATCTACTACAATGTCAGGAACGCCCGTCGAGCCCGCAAGGCTTCTACTCGCACCGAGGACAGCGCCGACCAGCCTTTGCTGGGTAGACGCGACAGCAGCAACGTCGGCTTGCCGGGGAGCCATAGGAGAAGGAGCTCTGCCCTCAGCAGGCGCCGACGCGCAAGTTCGTTGCCAAGCTTGAAGGCACAAGAAGACGTGAACAATGAATGGATCAAAAATTCTTTGAGCATTGCCGGCGTCGCTGTCGTTGGCGCTGCTGGCTGGGCGATTGCTTGGAAGACTGGCGTTTGGATTCCTTCCGTCGAGGATGACGCGTCCGGTAAAACACCCATAGGCGCTGAAATCCTGGGATACGTGAGCGCCGTCTGCTACCTCGGCGCCCGTATTCCCCAGATCATCAAGAACCAGAGAGAGCGATCCTGTGAGGGTCTTTCTTTGCTGTTCTTCATTCTCTCCCTCATGGGCAACGCTACGTATGGTGCAGGTGTATGTTTACCCTATCCCGATACTGCACCGCCATATGCTGACACTACTCAGATTCTGTTCCACTCCACAGAGAGGGAATACTTCTTTACCAACCTACCATGGCTCATCGGCTCTCTCGGCACTATTGTCGAGGACGTGACCATCTTTATCCAATTTCGCACCTTTGGAAACGGGGAGCAGACTTCAGCCGTCGATGCATCCTAATGCAGGCTCACTGCGTATCCATCTATGTTTGTACATGTCGACCATTTGAAACGTTTTGCATCATCACCCAAAAGTTATTCCGTCGCTGTCATTTAACGCAGTGTATATTTGTATGTATGTGTCTGTATGTGTATTAGGAGGATCTTTGATACCCAGATTCGTAGCCGACATCATGTCTTGTGGATCAGGAATTGCAGCGATGGTTTTATGATTAATGTGTCAATGTGTAGTCAAAAATATCATGCATCTACTCGACTTTCATAGTTCGTAGACCCCGTCGTCAATGTGTCTACCTTGGTGCCTTTGAATCAGCAGTGCCATATCATCTACGGAGTACACACGTAGTCTTTCATGCTGCCATGACCACACTTACAAATACTGATGAAAGAATAATTAGGTTGGCCATGTCGGTCTCAGATATGCTGAAAGGTGGCAGGAACCGCTATCCCTTGCTCGGCTTGCCCTCTCAGCCCACCCCCAACATTCCTCCAGATTTCTTTACAAAATGCAAGGTGACCCCGCATGACGCGAGAACGCGTTGACCGCGATCGAAATTCCATGGGAAAAAAGATGGCTGTAAGTTTGCAAAGAAGTCTTCATCGTGACCGCCCTCTCTTATACAGTCACATCGGAGGTGCTTGAGCGAACACCGCAATGGCGAGGATACGGTACGTCAAGCAGCATAGGACCTCTCCTCACACTTTGCAAGAGAACTAACATGGTCCAGTCATCTTTTATCGGGCTTGATAGCCGCTCTTACTTTTGCCAATGTCGTCACAGCATCTCCACAGGTCAATTATCCTTTGAATCTCCAGCTGCCACCAGTCGCCCAAGCGGGCAAGCAATATAACTTTCAATTTGCGTCGACTACGTTCCAGCCGAATCCAGATCAACTTCAGTATTCTCTGGTGGGGAATCCTACATGGCTTCATATCAACAGCAGTAGTCGAACCCTATATGGCACTCCAGAAGACAACGATGCAGGGATCGTGTCGTTCAGCATCACTGCGGCCGGCGAGGCGGGTGCAGTGGCCACCATGGAATCAAAATTGATGGTCGCAAGGGATGGCCCTACGGTGGTCGGGGATATATCGCAACAGCTAGCGAAAGCTGGTCAGCTCACAGGGCCCGCCAACCTGACTCTCCTGCCTTCAAAGCCGTTTGAAATCAGATTCGATAAGGACATTTTCGATTTCAAGGGCAAGAATGTAGCATACTATGCAACTTCAGCAGACCACACCCCGCTACCATCGTGGATTAGTTTCAACGCTCAATCATTGAGCTTTTCGGGAACCACCCCTTACTCTCCAGCGCCCCAAGTGTTTAATATCATCATCATAGCTTCCGATAACCCAGACTATGCAGAAACATCGGCTGCTTTCACCCTCGTGATCAGCAATCATCAGTTGCTGTTCCAACCCCTCTCGCAAACGATAAACATGTCGAAAGGCGACAGGGTTCAGATTGCCGATCTAAAGCATAAGCTTTTTCTTGACAATGCTTCAGTCACGGACACCGACATTCAAAATGCGACAGCCAAACTGCCATCCTGGTTGACCTTCGACGAACGCTCTTTCGAAGTGGCTGGCTTACCTCCAGCTGGCCTCATGGCGCAAGACTTTAGCATCACGGTCACTGATAGATATGGAGACGTCGCAAAACACACCGTGCACATAGCTTTCACTTCGAAATTATTCGCGGCTGGTGTCGAGCCTCTCAATATAACAGCAGGAGAGCCCTTTCAATACACCATACCAAAGTCGATACTATCCCAAGAAGGCGAGTCCGTCGGCATGGAAATGAAGGAGCTCGGAGAATGGCTCAAGTTTGACCCAGACACTCTATCAATCCAGGGAACTTTACCAAGTAACATTAATCTGCAGGATGCAGAGCTGACAATGACTGCTTCAACAAGCGACGGGGCTGTCAAAGACTCCCAAACCATACCTGTCCGGGTTTCCACTGGAAATCCCGGGGTTGACACTGGTTCCCAGATCGCAGACGACCCAGTCGCTCAGCATAGCTCGTCGCCCCGAAAGCGGGCAGGTATCATTGTCGGCTCCGTCATATCAGGATTGGTGGTCACAACAATACTACTATGCTTGATCTCATTCATATGCCGGCGAAGAAAAAAGCAAAGGCAAGGGTATATCAGCCCCAAATCGCCACGGAGTCCTCGAAAATCAGACATCTCACGACCAATTCCTCCCGTCGTGGCAGACTTTGGCGAGCTCACTGCAGCTCAAGATGCGGACCTCGAAAAGGGAAAAGATGTAGTCAGAGTGCCTGCCCCTGTGTTAGAGCCCCGGCCTCCCCCGAAAATAGATTTGCCGTTGCGAAACAGCAGAGACCATTCTCCTGCCAGTTTCCTCGATGATTTAGACGACCAAATCCTGGACGATTTTAATAGCTCACCTCATGGATTCTCGCAGCATGAAGCTGGACCATCGGCATGCCCCGGTGATTCTATGAGGGTACCGAACGAGATGCTTCGAAGAGATTCAGAACTCTTCATGCACCCCGGAAAGAAGCGGAAAAGCCAAGTATATAAGGACGCGAATAGCCCGAGTCACTCGATAACTCGTCATCAGAGAAGCGTTCGACGTGGACCTGTACGCCTTACATACTCCTCGTCTCAGAGCACAAACTTCACCGCCCTGCGTCGCCGATCTCTGAAATCTAGCTCTTCAGCTACGAATACCTTGAGCATGGCTTCAAGTACGCCTATCGCTGTTCCTCAGCCTACCAAAAACAGGCATACCACCCAGGTGACGACACCTTTGGAAACACAACCCAGTATACGCGTCGTCCCGGAAATGGACCCCCCGATGAGCGAGAAGAGAAACAGTTGGGCAGATCGGCGACATAGCTATTTCAGTAAACGCGCTTCTTCGCAGAAATCACCCTTCTTTGGCGGAGCAGCAGCTCGATCATCGTCTGGTAGCTATAGCTACAACAAGCCGCCAGCATTCCATGCAGATACCTCTCTTCAGCAATCATCAGCCAAGGTTGTCGGACCGCACGATGGTACTGTACCGAACGGTGGGACATTTCTCGACGCTTCAGACACCCCAAAGATTCGTAGACCCGCCGAGACGCCGTCTCCCCACAGCGAACGCGGTGAGTTTGCTCGGTCTCTTCGCCACAAACGTAGCTCTCTCATTCGCCGTCATATGGAAGGAGCGGCGTCAAGAAAGATGACCTTGGAAGACGTGAAAAAGAATATTATCCCAAATCCTCAAGCAAGGGACCTAAAGACGGGCCTGAACAAGGCCATGCAGGAGGAAATTTACGAGGACTCTGAGCGAAGCGAAAGCCAATACTCGGATGAAGAAAGTGACATCGAAGAGTATGATAATCGCAAAACTATCACACAAGCCGACTTTGTGCAGCCATTGGACGTGAATAAGATCAAAAGCAAGAAGGAGAAGGAGAGGCGGAACAGTCAAAGGAGGGAACTGAAGTTGAAGCGTGCCAGCGAAAGAGAAGCTACGCCCTACTACTCATTGTCTAACGAGCATGGCGGCAAGGAGAACCTCACTCCCTCACCCAGTAGCAGCATATATCAACAGAGAGACATTATATCGAGCCCCACCCGAAGCTCTCTGCCAAAATCACAGTTCTCTACATCACGGTCGCCTACACGGCCCAAAACCTCAATAGGCTGGCGATCAGTCCAAAGATCACCGCCGCGAGTCACCCGCACATTCAGCAACTCAAGCACAAAACGTCGATCCCAAGGACGTCGCCCACTATCTCAAAGTCATTTGACAGCAACAGATGCCCATGAACGTCACTCCCGCAGATCCATTCACGCACGCCCACACTCGCGACATTCGCCTAGCCCAGCGACCAAAAAATCCCGCGAACTCTCCCGCTCACAATCTTCATCTTTCCCACACATTGCCTCTAGAAGACGCTCCGCCAGGAAAGAAGACATCACCACCGTCGAGAACACCGGGCCTCCTCTCCCCAACCACCATCACCGCTCCCGTAGATCAGAAAGCAGCACCCTCCTCGTCAACTACCCACACGACCGCGACATCTCTGGGAATCTCATCATGCACCACAACCCCTCCCCCTCACCATCCTCTCACATCGCACTCCCATCTCCGCCTACCCTCCCACCAAAAAGCACCCGCAGAGCCACTGCCGCGCCTGCCCTTCCAACAAAACCATCAAAACGCTCTACGCGCGTCAAACATCATCAACATGACGAGACGTCGAGCCCCTTCTTCCAGGCAAAACGAAGCACGGTAGGACTTTCATCTCCTTCTTATTTCTCGCCTCTAGTGGGGAAACGCCATGTCGCTGCTGCTTCTGCTGCTGCTAGCCCGGCATCACAGTTCCCTCCACATGAGCCATTACCTCCTACACCGACGTTAAGCTGGATGCCTGTCTCGGAGAGTTCAGCGGGGAGGTCGACGAGGCGGGAGAGGGAGAGAAACGGCAATAGTAAGGGGGAGAAGGAGAACGGGATGGTTGGGCTGGGCGTTTCTTTTGAGAAGGGGAAGAGGAGTCCGCTTGGGGCTTTTCGATGGGAGGGTCGTGCGGATCGGAGGAGTGGGGGATGGGGTGTTGAGAGCGGGGAGAGGCTTAGTGGGAGGGGGATTTGGGAGACGGATGATGAGAAGGCTATGCTTTGATTTTTTTTGAAGGGTGTTTGATGAGGTAGAGTGTGCGAGGTGCTGGAAATATCTTCTTATATCATTGTCTTTTGAAGGAAGATTGGAATGTGTTTTTTTTTGTAGGCTGTTAAGTTTTTTAATTCAGGAGGTGTGCTTTATGCTCCAGTCTTTTTGCTTTTTTGTTTTTGAGTAGTTAGCCAAAATCACTCATTCTCTCTCCCCTAATCAAATCACTGCATCTTTCCTTTCCCGTCCATCTCCTTTCTTTTGTTCCGTTTCACATTATATCCTACGCACGCTCTTTCTAATGACATCGTCAACCGCTCTCAATCCATCCGTTACAAAGGTATGTCGTGTATGTATCTTCATAATGAAAGAGACTCGTCAATTCCCACTTGAACATACTTCATCGTTTCACTACGCCTTGCCCCCTTTCCTACCCACCCATCCACTCTTTGCGTACGCTATCAACAAGACGTTATAAATAAACCGATCGGCACTCATAAAGGCGCCTTACCTAACCGCATGACTACTCTTCCTCCTGTCCATGAAAAGTACGTAAACGGTAAACCCTGCATTTCCAGAAAACCCAAGCAAAGAATAAAAAATACACTCCAACCAATTCCCTGAAGTGAACAAGATCTCCGCAGATCTCGCACCACCATCCAATCTCACGAAGGAGCTAGTCTTGAATCCCCCAACCCCAAGCGCGCGCTGAACACGGCCCTCAACTAGCAAGCGAGCGAGCCCGTGAAGCGCTGGCTCCACGGATCCTTCCAGAGCAGGCATATAAGTTCGATAGTTTAATTCGGTAGGAAGGATGTTCGTGTTCGACCGCTCCTAAGGCAGCGAAAGCGAGACACGAACGCAATCCTGGTTTAGAGCGTTCGTGTTCTCGCTTAGGTGGCTTGACGACTCCAGAGCCAAGGCGTACGCGGCTGAGGAGTGTAGAAGAAACAGCGCGTTTCGTTGGTTCGGATGGTGGGTATGAGGGCGGGGGAGAGAGCTACATGGTGAATTTGGTAGGGAGATGTGAGGGGTCGGAGGATCGGAGGGCTGGGTGGTGCTGGCTTGGGTGCTCGTATACTTAAGTAGTTGGCATGGGTGGTTTGATGAGTGGTGAATGTTGACCGGTTAGGAATGACTAGTAGGAGATGTTTGTGTATATATATAGGGTTGGATTTTGGCGATTCTTGATGATGTCTTTTTTCTTCGTGCTGTTTCTGGGACTTTTGGATAGGAGGTACAGATTTCAATCGCTCGTTCTCATAGCAACAGTCCTTCATTGTCCCATTACTTTCCAGAACTCATTTCACCAAATAAACCCCTACAAATCGCAACTATGCTCTTCCTCAAAGGAATCATCCTCTCTCTCCTCTCAGCCTCCGTCCACGGCTTCCAAGTCTACCAGAATGTCGAGTACGACTTCGGCATGATGCTCGCACGAGGTGAAGCCATGCTCGAAAAGCGTCAAGGGTACTGTAAGTTCAACTCTCCCACTCAAACAACACCCTCCTACTATCAAGCATAGACCAACGCTAACTGTTTAACAAAAAAAAGACCCAACAACGCGTCTCTGCGGCAAAGGCAAAACCTGTCCAGAAGCATGCGGAGCAGGTACTGAAGAGTGCCCGGCTGCGAGCAGTGGATTATATTGCTACGAGCCTAGCCGGAGTCGGTGCTGCAGCGACGGGTCTGGGAGTAAGTGAACATCCCTTCCCCCACACGCACATGTATACGCAAACAGAGAGAGATAAAGGTAATGGAATCGCTAACAAAAGGGAACACAGACTCGTGCCGAATCGGATACTACTGCACCACGGACGGCAAAACCACACCCCGAACCTACTGCTGCCCAGATAACTCCAACCTCGCCGACTGCGCGGCAGCCTACTCGCTGACCATCTCGCTGATCCGCGCATCGAGCACCTTTGTGCAATCTTCTTCGACGGTTAGGTCTTCGGTCGTGACTACGAGGTCCAGCACGGTCATCTCGTCAGAGAGCAGTGTGGTGGTTCCTACCGGCACTGTATCGATCCCGACGATTGTTGTCCCCTCGTTTTCTTCTGCTAGTCTTCCTACGGGACGCACCACGGGCGTTGTGCCGACGAATGGGTCGGTGACTACGAGTGCGCCGGTGCAGTTTACGGCTGCTGCTGCTGCCAAGGTCACGGGGATGGGTGTGGGTGTTCTCGCGGGAGTTGTTGGGGTTGCTGGGTTTTTGTAGATTATTTAGTTCTTCTGCTGGGGTGGGTGGTTGATGAATAGGGGGAGAGCATCGTGGAAGCGCAGCGGTTTGTAAATGGGATGTGTGACCGTTTCTTTAGTACATATATATAAAGCTTCAAGTAATATAAACATCACCACCGAATTCAAAATACCGACTTGACAAATATCTTAGTATTCCAAAAAAAAACTCACTCCCGCACGACCCGAACTCCCTCTATACCAAAAAGTCATTAAGTGAAAACCTCCATAACGGCACTTCAATCCTCGATTCCATCTATTTTCTTCAGTTCCCAGCAGGGCTGCGCCGCATAAACAAACCCGGGGGGACAAAACTTAGGCGTGCAGATCTCGCCGATGTAACCATGCAACCAAGACACAGCCCCCACCACCACAATCAATCCCCAACTCGTATATGCAGGCCTAAACGCAGCCACTAGTCGGTCAAAAAACTAACTAGATCACTGGGCAGATTCGGTGGCACTGCCTCAAAATTGTGATGGGCATGCGTGGGTAAGTTCGTCCTCGTGACGCTATCTAGCAAAGGAAGAGTAGGACGGTAGATTGTGTTCTAGATGTGGTGAGTCTTCTCTTCTTTGCACAGGAAGAATTTGAGAGATATATTGTTGATACGCGATGAGTGATGCGATCACTAAAAACTACCAAACATCAAAGCACTTTCATAGCGTGCAAAGGAAAACCAGACGACGCGTTCAAGTAGCCCGGAAGCTCATATCTGTATGCATTTTATCTAAATAGAATCATGATCATATCACTTCTTTTCACCAGCCCCATTCTCTCTTCTGGTCATCCACCCACCTTTCTCGTTCTTCTCGCTCTTCTTGAACTCCACATTACCACCACTATCCAGCTCAACAGGCTCAGCCGTCTCTTTATTCTCCAACTTAAACCGTTCATTAGACGCGTTTCTCCAAACCCCCTGCCCACCACCATGCCATTCTGAGTGTTGCGTCTGAACATCATGACCGTGGCCCATTGGCGTGACTTGGAAAGCCGGTTCGTTTTTCTTACTCGGGATATAGGGAATCGCATTGTTCGGGACTTCGAATAATTGAGGTTGGTCGTATTCTGGAGGAGATCGCCGTCTGCGACGCCAGAAGAATAGAGCGATGGCGGCGGCGATGGCAACAACGGCGACGGTTACGGGTGCGATGATTGCGGCTATGGGAACGGTTTTTTGGTTTGGTGGAGGTGCTTGTGGAGGTTGTGGCGTCTGCGGAGCTTGTGTGGGTGGGGAAGTTGATGATGCGATTGTCGATGTAGGGCTTGGGGTTGGGGTTGCGGTGACTGTGACTGCGCTGAGGCCGTCCGTTGATGTTTTCTCTTGATCTACAAAGTTTCGTAGAGATTAGGATATGCGCTGGAAAATTTAGAATTGGACAAGATGCTCACATAATGACAATTCGGTTTTTCGTTCACAGTAGGAATTGAAGACATCTATAGCTTCCATAACTTGAGGAAGTGGAGTTACAAGCGAGACCGGCCCGTTTGCCGTCATGGTTGCTTCGCACATAGATTGGACATCCTTTGATATTATGCTTGCCATCATACTTGGTGACATTAGAAATTGCTTGAATGCATTCGTACATCAGACATTCATCAACTTACGTAGATTGATCCAGACAGAAGCAACTGAACGATGTGAGACCTTGGTTATCCCCGCATCCTGAAGACTGCGCACGAACAATAGCGCTCAGTCGATTTTCGGCGCATGGTGGTAGTTTTGAATATTGAGGAATCTGATCAATGTAGATGGATGTTTTCCTCGCAGATATTGATGTAACAAGCCCTAGGGCAGTCCATAAAATCGTTCTAGTCGACAGCATTATATATTGCATTATCGTATCCTCTAAAGCTCCGGTAAAAGAAACAAACGTAGAATCGATCAAGATCACTCAAATCTGATCCACAAACACACGCAGGGTAAAAACACAGAGCTCGCGCATGGATGCGCGTACTCTAGCAGGTTTATACTCCCCTCTCTGTTTCCACCCTCCATTTACTCAGCCCCCAGATTTTTCGATGTCCGAACTCGACCCCGTAAACCATGTGTACAGATCAGTAGCGTAAGTTTACCCGAAGGAGGCTAGGCACTGCACATCAGTTTTCCTACTCTGAAACTTGTAGCTCCCGAGAGTGTAGCGCAAGGTTTCATCGTTTCGGGAACCGATGCCATCGTACGGAGTTGATTGTACTCCACCTTGCGAAGGCCTGTCTTTGATTTTTGTCTGATCTAACACTTCACAAATCTTAGGCAGTTGATTTGTTAGTCACGTTAGATAAATTTGCTCGAATGAAATGATCCGCTCGTCTACCATCTTGTGTACTAACACTAGGCCCTTTGGAAACATTACCTTTCCTCCAGCAAATATTTCTGCAGGTCTTACTTACCGCATAGAGTTCGTTGCACGCATTGTGTTTACAGTTAGTCCGATCGCACCGTATTGTCCGAAAGGGGGGGGGGGGGGGGGGGGGGGGTCACATCTGTGCTGTGTTTGTGAGAATCCGTTGTCCCAACAAACGCCTTAAGCATCATAGAGGCCTGATGCTGGCAGGTCTAAACAATACACTGCGATGCGTACCGCCATCGTTATCTCCGGCTGACGCCGAAGTCAGCAGAAAAAAGTATTTTTGTTGCTTTGGTTTCCTCTTCCCCTCGCGTCCTAAGTCCATTGCGGGTGTGCAGGGAATAGAAGTTATGGTTGTCAAGTCAGTGAGTATGGTGCTACCATTTCCTCAGCCCGGCCCAATTGATTCAATATATAAACACGCAGAAAATAGGTGATCTTATGCTTCGTGAAAGGCGATAACTTGATTTGTGATTTTTCTGATTGGACTATGGGAACAATGAACCACGCTACTCCAAAAGAACACATTTTTGACTCGGTAGCTGAAAAGTCCACTCCATCGCTGCCCTGTCAAAAATACAATAATTGATGAGATCTCAGTGCGTAAGGAATCTGGAATATTCGCGAGGGTCCTTACTCCCATCTCGTACATAGGCTCGAATATCTAACGTTTTAAGCCAATCGTGCCATGCCCTCAAACGGGGACCATCGGATTTGTCACGCCTATCAGCTGAACTGGGGCCACCTAATTGATAAAACTTGCGACGTACACACTCATCGCGAAGCAGTTTCGCAAGAGCATTCTGATCATCATACCCTTCTTGCAAGAGTACAAAAAGGCAGAACTTGGGAGACTCGGACGGCCAGTAGTCTGGCTTTTCGACTACCACTGCTTCTTGCCAATTCGGCACGTCACCTAGCTTGAACTGAAGTATTTGTGTATTGGTATAGTCTTCATGAAGCATACAGGTCCTTTCTACCTGATTCAGATTGTTGGGAAACAGTAGATCGTCGTCCAGAAGGTCGGTGCACATCTTCATCGTAGATGGTTCTATGCCGAAGTCTATCGGAGGTCCCCAATCTGCAATTGTGTTGAATCGATAAAAGAGAAAGCAGAAGTCATGGCATGCTGAGTATACAGAGTGTTTGCCTGAAAGTGACCGTAGCTGTGTGACAGAAGACAATAGCTGATCAATCGGGACCGGTGCTTGCTTGTAAAGCTCATGGGTCCTTTCATTTGCCCGGTCATCCGCCTGTGGTTGATACAAATCCTTTGGCCAGATTATGCACTGGATTTGTCGAAAAATCTGCCAATCACGTGGTCTGCAGTAGGTGCGGTATAACAGCGTTACACTCATATTATCTTCTGTATTGTCGACGACTTGGTTTTTTGATGTCCAGTAGCGGACCAGCTGGTAGAGATCTCTGGTCTGAATCCTGATGGCAAGTTTTTTCAAGCTGAATAATTCCAGTCTGGACTCCAGTTGATGTGCTGAAGCTTTCCCGTCTACAAAATGATGCACGTTCTGAACGTCTCGGATTCTGAAAGAATAATTGATGTCGTTGGCATGTCTGATAGTGGCGAAGCTGGAGAACTTTTCTGAGCACATATGTGCAGTGGCCCATCTAGAAAAGGGGGCATCCGCGATAACTTCAGAATTTGCTAGGATGGGCGTGTCATCTGATTCGTGTATTGGTGTTGAAAATCGTTCTGGAGAAGTGCTGCCTGAAGCTACCAGACGGATCTCTTCTGTTGTTTCGATGACATCCGACATTATTGTATCTGTCGGCTCTGCTTGATATGATGCGTCCAAGCAACGGGTCACATAGGAACCTTGTCTGCTGATAGGCAGAGATTCTGACTGCCTTCGTCGTGCCTCGCCGATAAGACATGCTTTGACTTGTGGGCGAAAGATATCCCGAGCCCAAGTCCATATGTAATCGACTATCTGCAGCAGCTGCAATGCGCCGTCTTCACTTTCAATTGTGCCGTGCCAAAGATCGTAGACACTCTAAGACACATTGTCAGAGGCGAGACTATTCAATTAATTTGGTGTGTAACTCACCAGTTTCTCTTTTTCGTCTATACTGCCGGCGACGGACATTTCTCTGCTTGGAAGTACTCCAGCGTACAACCGCCACTCTTCCCCTTGGTAGGCAAAAAACCATACTAAAGGGGGCTCGTAACAATAATCCAAAGATTTATTTCTTAATTCGTCCTGGATATGTAGAAATCGACGTATCGGAAATGCTGTTTGTCGTTCTATCGATCTAAATCCTGGGGGATGTATTGCCTTCTTTGCCTCTATCACAAGGAATGGGTAGATCATATCTTTTCCATTCAGTGGCTTGTTTTCTAGACTCCATTGACATCTTGATAGACAATCGCGTATTCCTGGAGTGATGTTGAGTCCTACTATGCCGTCCGGTTTCATAGGAATGTTTCGAGTTTTGAGATAGTTATCATGTTCGTTAGTGTTGGAATGTTTAACCACTTCCTCTGTTAGATATTTGAACATATCTTGAGCCTCGTCGTCCCTGGGGAGTCAGCAAAGGCCTAATATGTGTGAGGGTAATGCGGGTCCTCACCCATCGACAATATCTGTGCCTTCGCGCTGACATTCACAACGTTTTCGAGTTCTCCTTTTTGATTTCAAAACTTTCTTTGTGTTCGAATCATACGGGACAGCCATATGATCTGGGACATGTTTTTCATCTCCACAGAAGGGACTATTCTGCTGTTATTCGGTGAAGAAGTGACAAAGAGGTCTCGATACTAACGAACCAGATCACTCTTTCCTCAAAAATCTCTATCACGACCGGCTCCACCTTGGCCCGCCATGTTGACTCGTTGATGTGTAGATCTGGTCGCAAGCCGTACGCTATCCTACGTAATTTTTCGACGCGCTTTCTCTGTACTTCCTTTCTCTTTGCATCAACATCTGTCTGAGCCATATAGTCATCGTAGCGAGTGCTGAATATATTGCGGATGACTGCGAAATGATGGCTGTATAATGGAGGCCATTGCTTCGGGGGAACGGGACCCTCGAACTTGATAGAGAAGCTTTCCATCAAATGTTTGAAGTCATCACCGTCCTTGGCCACCTTCTCCTTTCGTGGTGGCATGATTTATTTTAACCGATACGACGAGAGGATGTTTTTTTTAAAAAGTAAACAGTCAGGCGAGTAATGTGCAAACTGGTGGTATGAGAAATGATCGGGGAAGCGGGGCTTCTACGCTGTTTTAAGGAGGCGTATCAGTGTACCCTGCAACGTCGTTTCGTGTGCCAGGGGTTACCCAAAGTATCAGGCGAGCGCCTAATCAGTGGTTGCGCTTACATCACACATACGCTCTACTACAGAATACAGAAAGTTATCAGTGAATGTAATTAGGTTCGGATTTTCTTGGCTTGTTCCATATGCATTGCGACCCATAATCTTGCCTCGTAGCATGCATTCATTATCGTTGACCTCATATATGTGTCACAGACTTCACGAGTACTCTTTGGTCCCCTTCGACATGATCGCCCTCTCCCAAAAACCCACTGTAGTTGACCGTTTGACGATCACATGTGTACACACGAAGTCCTGGAGCTACTGGAAGTACTACTCTAGGGCCCCCGGCTTGATCATACTCGTTCATCTTTTGATTTCTGAGATCTACTGGTTCCATTGTCTCAACTTCGAATGTTGAACCTGGAGTTGGCCAGATGTATCCGACTGTATCCTTGGTTATCATCAGAAGCACTCTGATGTCGAACGAAACAGTGAATATGCCTTCCAATTCTCGCCTGAGTACCTCTTTACATTCTGAATACTCTTTCTCTGCGATTAAAGAAGCCAGAATGTCCAAATTTTGCGCGGCAAGGTTTGCAGCTTTTCGTGGAATCACGGTGTTGCGGAAGTAGTCACTTTGGACAATTGATCGATGGGAAGCAAAGTCAATACTGCGTAGAACATTCTTATCACCTGTTGAATCCGTTAGCGCTGTGAAAAGACTGGCAGAGATCGACGCACAAGCTGCGGTAACCTGGTTTCTATACTCATCAAGCAGTGATGTGTTCATCATTTCAAAACACCGAAACTCCTGACCAAAGACGTCCTTACACACCGCAGCGCCTATTAGAGCCTGAACAAACCACTGTGGGGGGATATTGTGATCCAATAAATAGCCTAGTTGACTAGTATAGGAGTGCAAATTGTTGCTGAGGGCCGTACGCGTCAGTTCTAGCAAGCCGGCGCTCCATTCCACTGTGTTTCCTCTTCCATCAGGATATTCGAAATCCAATATATGGTCGAGTGCAGCGATTTTCCTCTCCAATATCGATACTTTTGAACGCAGTGTTTCGATATTCAGTTCCCCGTATCCCCAATCGCAAGAGGGTTGCAACACTGATTGGCTGCTAACCTGGATCTCCAACTCGGCGATTCTAGCATTTTTTCTCCTTATTTCAGCTTCATAGCTGAAGGAATAACCTTGCTTCTTGTCGTTAAGCGCCTTTTGCTCACGACTCTCCCGCTGAAGCTGCTTAACGACTGCCTCGGCTTTGTCCCGTTTTTGTTTGAAGTCTGACAGGTCAAGCATAAGATCCTCATATTCCTGGACGTCTATTGCGATTTTGATGATCGACTGTGGGGATTCAGGACATTCTCCCGGGGTTCTCTGGGGACAATCGAATTGAGCGGCATCGGGTGTCAATAGGGTGTTGATTGGAGGCTCATCGGTCAAAGACCGGTACGAATCTTCATCCATAGAATCGCTGACTTCAGCCCGGATTGGATGCAAGTTTACGTAAGTCCGAGAAATTGACGAAAGTTCTTGTTTTATAGGTGTTATGACAACAGAAGGCGATGTTTTGGAGGTTCGGCTACGGTTGTACCATCGCTTCGACGAATTCTGTCCAGTGTCAAGACGTGAAGCATCTTCAAGTATGGAGCAATTGGAAACACGGGTATCATACATTTAGAGGGGTAGTCTTCCTTGATTTTGACTGACATCTTGTTGTTCTGGAGGGCGTCTTGCGTCGTTTGCCTACACGTTGAACAGGTGGCGTTGGCGGTACAGTTGATGGAGCAGGACGTTTGGAGGATCTTCTTGACCGTGGTGTCCCCAATGAGAGCACAGTATATCTTTCTTTCACGCGCCTTCGGATACCATCACTTAGGGCCATCATTCGCGAACTCCCGTTGCAAAAAACTTGTGTGAAATTGGATTCCCACCATTTGGATGGGTCGCCTTCCTTGTACAAGTCCAATAGTTTGCGCTCCACCTGGCGAGGAGTATATTTTCCATCTATTTTCTTGCTCAGCTGCGATATGACTTTCTTGTCCGCTTCGTCGCGCTGGACTTTCTTGTCGAGGACTCTGGATGTTTCTGGCCATTCGACAAGAAAATCGAGCTGTGCTAGTAACTCAACTACGTCATCCTCGGGCCACATAACTTCTTTTCTGTCATTTCGGCTTGACATATTAAGGTAAAAGCAGCATGAAACCGGTGAAAGAGAATGGGAAGCAGAAAGCAGAATAACAAGGAGAAATGGGACAGTCAACTCGCAGATGACAGTTAATACAAGTACAAGTCGGCTTTGACCCCCTTGCTCTTTAACGAATTAAGAAGGCGGTGCAGTTGGGGGCTGGTGCCTGATCAGTCGATCACGCATAGACGCGAAACGCTTCGCGCATGGCAGTGCTTGAGCTTTGAAGCGACTGGCTGAGGTTGAATAAGGGGACATGGATTTAGCTGAGAAGCGCTCCATGACACGGACTTCGACAACCCGTTACAGTGGGAATGAAGCTATCTCCAAGGTAAACTAAACGTTTATTGTATGAAGTTTAGCCGGGGTTTTGACCTTAGCTAGGCAAGACTGGCTGATGCTGAACGTATTCAAGGCTCAGTATATAGACTGAGCCTTATCCTTATGGTTTGACCTCTGATTTTGTATAGTGTAGTATTCTCTATGTAACGGCTTTGATTCGGCAGCATCCGTCTAACATTAGTTCGTCAGAGTCTCCTTACATTACAACGTGATCACGGAATCGACGATGGAGGAGTTCATAGTTTAATTCAATTATTGTTCGCTTGGAAGTGTTTCGCATAGAAGCCGCAATGTTCAATTGAGTCGTTTTCTAGCCAATCTGAATGAGTTATGCAGGGGCAAGTCACAAGTATTGTGCTGTGCCGCAATGATGCATCGGCGCTTCGAGCCGCCTGAAACAGTATTCCAAGAACAACATCTGTGGGAGCTGGGAGTGCGCTTAAGGCCTGAGGCTCTATGGTAATACTTTTAAATGGTGCAACTGCAAATCGCTGTTAGTAGAATACTGAGTGCATATACCGCATCCTCAAAGTCTGGGCCGAAAGACTAGGTATCTACAATTGTCAGCCTCAACATGCAGGAGTACGACCCTGGTCCGATCTTTGAAGAACCACAGAACGACGGAGACGATAATGTCGATATGATGGAAGTAGACAACCTGGACGACGACCAAAAACCAAGTGATTCGGAAAGATTGTTGATCTCGGTGGACTTTGGTACGACCTTTTCATGTGTCGCATACACTCGCGTGCACAAAGGAGTTCGACCTGGTGAGGTGAACATCTCGCAAGTCAATTGTGTCAACACGTTTGATGACTACGAGCCGAGAGGCGAGATGGCACAAAAGAGAGAAGATGTCCCGAGCGAATTGTGGTACAATCCCGATTTGGATGACCAAGATGACGTGGAGCACGATCCGATTGATGTCGAAAACTATCCAAGCGGGAAAGAAGATCACTGGAAGAGCAGTTACGCATCATCTGACGAAGATGAGCCAGAGAAGCCTAAAGAGGTCCTTTCGCGACAACGAACCCTGGAATCTCAACCAATGACCTCTTGCCCGGGCTGCTGGGGCTTCCAAGTTCAGAACCGGCTCAAGGATGTTGATATTCCAAAGCAGGAACAAGGTCGCCTATCAAGATTCAAGCTTTTGCTCGACAATAGTGAAGTCACAAAAGAATATAGACATCGACTTCAATATACCTTAAGAACACTGAAGAGGAAGGGGTTGATAGAAGACAAGAACGACATTTACGCACATTACCTCACCCATCTACTTCAGAATGCCAAAAGGCACCTGGAAAGATCCAGGGAGCTGGAAGACAATCCATCTATAGAGTTCATACTCTGTGTTCCGGCAAAGTGGCCCATAAAGGGATCTCGAATCCTTCAACAAGCAATGGAAAGAGCTGTGTTAGGTGCGGGATTTGGATTGGAAGCACAGGAGAGTGTCCATAATCTCTTTATTGTCACCGAACCAGAAGCTGCTGCAACGTGTGTGCTAGCTGAGAACCGTAACGATATATACGTGAGTTCCACTGTGTTTTGTGGTGAAAACTTCAGCTGACCAAAGCCTTTCTAGTTCAACGAAGTTGTCCTCATCCTTGATGCAGGAGGTGGAACTGTAGACGCTGTCACATATAGAGTGACTAACAATGAGCCGCTCAGAATGGACGCCGAAGTAGTCCCACCAGAAGGTACAAACACTCTGCCTCTCGCATACAAGCACTCATCACTGGGCTAGGAAAACTATGCGGGGCAAGCTTCATCAATGAAAGATATGAGAAACGCCTGATGGAAAAGATTCGAGATGAGACATACTTAATCAAGAACGGAAAGACCTTGAAAAGCATCGTTAAAGCTGAGAGCATAAACTTTGAGAATGGCCAGAAACGCCTCATAGACCTCGACGAGATTCGGTCAGGACCCTATGTCGTGTACATAGATGACCTGAGAGAGGATAAAACGAAAGGTTTGAAGCAAAACCGTCTCATTCTAACACAGTAAGTCTCTTACAACAGTAAGAACTCAAAACTCGTCTGATGGGAACTTAATCAATGATTTATAGTGAAGATATGGCGAATAAAATATTTCTGGATTCATTGCGCGGAACAAGAGACATCCTGAACAATCAGTTGGAGCTCGCAGAAGGTCCTGAGAGGAAGGTCCAGGTAAGTGAAAGCGCTACAGTAAGCGTGACAGTAACCCGAAATGCGGGCTACAGTTGAGTTTGTTTGAAATTTTGCTAAAATCCTCGAAGAAAGTCATATTGACTGGTGGATTTGGTCAATCTCCTGCCCTAAGAAATTATTTAAGGGGGAAATTGGAAAAGTACAATCGAAGAAAGCAAGCAACCATAGAATTGCTGTATCCCAAATCGCCGTAGGTTCGATTTAAACTCCATACCAAATAAGATACTGAGTCGCCCAATAGTTCCACAGCGGTCGCGAAAGGTGCTATATTGCGTGCCTTGAAAAAGGGCGATGGGCCGGAAAGGATCACCCAATGCAGTTATGGGTTTTTACGAGACGAATTGTACGAGCCGGAAAAGTACCCCGAACACAGCAGAGCCCGAGCGAAGATCGACGAAGCCGACGGGGAGCAATACGTTGTCGATACAATCGATTGGCTCATCAGTGCGGTGCGTATTGGAAAAGCCTACCCCAATTCCCCAAAGCTAACCTTAAGTTTATAAAGGGAGACCGATTGCCCAACCGGAAAGAGTTCTCGATTCCTGTTATACACACATTTGTTCTGAACAGTGAGAAGCTTGAATGTGTAGAGGAATTGTATGTTTCAGAGAACAAACATCAATCTCATTACAAGAAGGGCAACGCAAAAAATAAAGGTAGGGAAATATATTCCCACTAATTCTACCTGATTTCTCCAAAAAATCACAAGTGACTCTACTCAACTTGAAAGCATTGAGTAAACACCGACTAACCCCCACCCAGGAGCTGAGCTAGCCGGTTCAATAATCGCAGACATGACATTTCTGCGAGATGAAAACCACATCCAGCCAGAGCGCCGGTCCGAATCCAGTGAGTTGGACGAAGAGCCCGAACTACTTCACTGGGCGGTACGTTTCGAACTCGTTATGATTGTCGAAGGTCGAAATCTTCGGTACCAGGCACGGTGGCCAGAGGCAAAAAATCTTCGTGCCGGACAGCGGCCACATATCCGAGCACAAGCTCAGGTCTGCATAGCTGCGGCTTTTCAACCAGGAACTGCATGATGACTGTTTTTTGGTGTTTTCATTATTCCAAGGCTTAAGATTGGCTCATGAGGTAGATTAATGGCACACACGAGGCTTTGCGGGAATTTCTTTCAAGTAGGTTTTTATTAGTAAATCGTATATATGATGACATTCAATGTGTTTCTTTGCGCTTCATTCTAGTACCGAAATAGTATATCGCTTTCCCCTGGGGGCTCTTGTGGCTCACAAATTTTTATGTTTGGGATGAGATACCTCAAGGTAAATTTTCCATACAAGGCAACAAGACAAAAGAGAGGAAAGATGCCAGATGATGACGCTGCACAGTAGGCCTGCTATGAAATAAAACCCGCATTATATTAGCTTATCTCGTCGTTTCCACCTAAAACGAGATTGCTCGATTGTTACATTGTAGAATGTCGATGCTTGGTCATCAATTTTGATACGAACAGAATGGACGAATTCGCTGGATGGAGTACATCTGCCAATTTCATTTGTACAGTCTAAGAAGTACACTTGCCCGTGTAAGTCATTCTAGATGCGCCAAACGTACAAATTACAAAGATAAATCCCGAGATCTACTTGCTCAACCCAGTCTCCAGTCTACTAATGCCATGCAAACCAACAACGTTCGGAGACCGCAAAAGTCTATACTGCCAACGTAAAAAAAGGTCGCGATTCTGCACTCTCTTTGTCTACAGCTTACTCTTGGCCAACCCACCAACCTTCTTGAACATTACCTCGCTCTCCGGATACGGATCCACAGTAACATCGTTCAACGGATTCAACTGGCTGGCACGATAAAACATATCTTCATAAACTTTACCATCGTACCTGCCCAAGCTAGAATCCAACACCCAATCCTCGAAGCCCCAGCTGTCGACGAGTCTCAACGCATGGGGTCTGATTTCCTTGAGGAGAGCCATGACGGTGTTGGTGCGTGCGAGCATGATTTGGTGCTTGCTGCACGCACCGCTGGCGTAGAATTCGGAACCTTCTTGCTCGAGGGTGTGCAGGGCGTGGAGACGGAAGAGAGACCAGAGGACTGAAACGGTTTCTTCGTCGAGTTGGGTCGTGTTTGAGGGGTTTTTGAGGGCTTCGTAGAAGTTCTTCATCACGAGGTATTGGCTGTGGGCTTTGGAGAGGCGGTAGAAGTCCACGAGGAGATCGTTCCTGCGGGCGATTAGCGGGTTTGGGTTGTGAAAAAGACGGGTGATTACATACCAGGGCTTCTTTTGCTCGTCGCGGTGCTTGGAGGCTTCAAAGGTGAGGAACGAAGCGCGCCAGGCGAAGGCCGCAACGATATCCTCATCAGAACCGAGAATATCGAAAGCGCAGCCAATGTTAGCGCGTGACTTGAATTCAGACAAAATGCGGGTGGTGTCGTTTGACGGTGGTTGGCCAGAAAGTACACTACGCGCAGATTTGAGAAGCTAGGATTGATGGGTTAGAAATAGCGGTGATAAAACGATAGGACGTTCATACATAACGTGCAACTTGCTGTGTCAGCATGTAGTTGTCGCCTTCCCAAGTAGTGGTTGGAAGGTAGTCCGCATACCAAGATCCAATTCCGCTGTTCAGGATTAATACCGAAAACATCCACAATGTGTGGTTATGCGTACCTGAAGCTGGAATAGCCATGTCCTCCGCATGCCCTACGGCAGACCTCAAGACCTTCGGCTGCGATGGTACTAGATAACGCCTTCAAACCACAGGAAGTAGCATGCAGATCCGCAAGGGTATCACTTCCGGATTGGGTTTCTTCGGGTCCGGCACCTCTGTTGCCCGTTTCTTTGTTGGCATTTCCCTGGCTCATGCGCTTCTGGTTGTCCTCGTACTGCTTCTGCATACCCTTGCCGGTAAAGTGCAAGGCAAATGTAGCTGCAAGGAGAGGCAAGAGACGAATCTGCACCATGGTGTAATTGAGAACTTGATTTTCACTCTTCTCCCACTCTGGGGCGTCCCGATCTTGGAACTGACGGCGGATAGCCGCGTACCGTGTGGCGATGGTCACACCACGAGCAAGCACAGATCCTGCCTGCATGACAATAGTGGATCGAATGTAGGTCAAGGTGCCGTAAATAAGGGATGGGCTACCTTGACGAACGTACTTGTTCGTTTTGGGGTCAACCTGAGAAAAGCGTGCCAGCATGGAGACGTAGGGAATCTTGACATGGTTGAACAGCAGAAACCCGTTATCCATGGTATTGTAACCGAATCTGGAAGATTGTGTCAGCAGTTTTGATTGACGATTTGCAAGAATTATGCGAATCGCACTAATTTGAAGCTACATACTTGGGCCCGATATCGCCAACATGGATATTTGGCAAAGGTTCGTGGGTCTTCAGATCTCTGATTTGAACGACAAAGGGGTGGGGACCATATGGCTTTCCATTGATGACAAGTTGTGCCATGACACAGGCATGGTTCGCTGTTCGCCCGAGAGAACCAATCCACCACTTGCTAGCGGTCAAGTGTGGTGAGTGGAGGGTAAATGTCTTGTCTTCAGGGTTCCAAGTGGCGGTAGTCTCAAGGCCACGGACGTTGGATCCATGACCCAGCTCCGTTTGGGCGTAACATCCGATGATTTTGTAGTCTTCTGCAGGCTGTCCGAATAATTTGTGTTGTTCGGGGGTACCTTGCTCACGAATGGTCACTTTGAACATACCCTCGTGGAGAGCGTACGGTCCAGGCTCTCCAACAAGCTCCATTGCAGTTCGGACCTCATCGGTCGACCAATTATGCTTCTGTCTCAGCAGCTGCAGCTTCTTCTCCCTCGCAAGGGCTCTCTCAAATCGATCAACTCTGCCAGAGAAGTAGTTTTGGGATTTGTCAAAGACTTTTTCAGACTTGAGGATAGCCAGTATCCTCTGCCGCCTCTCAATTGTCTCTCTTGTAAGCAATAGCTCTTGTAGCTTCTGGACCGGAATGTTGCTCTTGGCACGCTCGGTGGCAAGAAGCTCCGAGCCTTGAGGCCCCGAGGGCTTCAATTGCTTGACCCAATCTGGAACCGGTGCCATTGTGAGATGGGCGAATCTATGTGTTAATGTGGGATGAGAGGAAAAGAGATGCTGGGGAAATGTGGAGGAACGTGGAGGATGGCCACGACCATAAGTTTGGGGGTGAGAGCCTCGGCTCATTGTACGAGCTAGAGATGGAACGGGCGCTAACGTGTGTCCGAGGCACTCATGGACCTCGCCGTCGTTTAGAGTGGGCGACATAGCATGGCCAGTACAGCAACGGCTCCGATTGCTGCGTCCTTGAGCGGCTACTGGACGCTATGCATCTGATATCTACGGCGTCATATATCGTCGGTCCATTTAAGGTAGCATTGCCAAACCTGCCAGGGTTGGACATGTAGCAAGCGAACATGAAAGGTAGGCTAACTCGATTGGTAGGCGAGCAACAGGGTCTATGTACTGAGAGGCAGGAAACGAATGGTGGTGGATCTCGGACTGAGGGCGAGCCTCCGATGAGGGGAAACGTTGGGTAAGGGTTCTATGCACCATCAAACATTCACTGCAGGGACCAGCAGTACAGACCCCACAAGAAACAGATATGTTTCATGTACAAGTCCGATGAAGACAGCATACATGCAAGGCAAACACAGGAGGATACAGACAGCCATGGAGTCGACTGCGCATCTCTGAAGCGCCAGAATGTATCGGCACGGTTGTCTCGCACATGCTGGCGCTGAACTGAAAGAACTGAGTCACCGTACATGACATTTTGGACCAGTGGCATTGTCCAGCGCACTCAGATCTGTGTCTGGCATGGCGAAACTGACCGGATTTGCGTACGGCACTGTGCATCACGGCAATCCTGGCTCGCTTGAAGGCAGGATACGGTGCATCCGCAGACGCTGAGAGGGATTTTTGCCATGCGTGACATCATTGGGGGGGAATTGGAGCTGGAGATATCCAGCCGGTGAAAACTGGAGCAGGCCTGAGGAGCACAAGGGCGAAGACGTCGTGTTTGACAGCTGCTCGGTCCCGGCAAGGTGTAACGCAATGGCACGCGAGTGTCTGCTGCCTCTGCCTGCCTGGGGGAGACGAGACGAGATGAGATGAGATGAGGGGCGGGGCAACCCAACACCGCCTCATGGCGCAATGCCGTCCGGCACGGATCAAAGCAGTCGAGCAAAGCGCCAGGACAGATTGCGCCGTGATCAGCGCTGGCGGGAAGGGCAGGCAAGATGCAATGGGGGCACACGGGGGAGCAAAATTGCGAGCCAGCCGGCCATGGAAGGAGGATTGGCGGTTTCGAGTCTAGAGGTCGGATGCAATGGCTGAGCGAGACCATACACGCCCGAATCCGGCTTAGCCTGCCTCCAGAAGCACTGGATTCGCAGACGACTGTGAGCCATTACATTCACACACGACACCCTCACCACCCGCAAACTCTTCACCTACGCGAAGGGAGACTGAAATCTCTCCTCTTGGAACCCCCGTTTGATCCCTCGTCTTGTAGCCCGCGCACACTTGCTTCCACTCTTCCCTGCTGTTGCCGCCCGCCACCATTACGACAGTACCCCACACCCACAACAGTGACGCTACACAAATCTATGCCCGGCAAGTTTGACGCGCTTGGTCTCGACTTCTCTCTCGTCCCCTCCACCGAATCCTCGTAGCCCGCGAACAATATGGGTCAGACGCTCTCCGAGCCCGTCGTCGACAAGGTAAATCCTCACAATGACATCTTCCCCCGCCCCGCACTGCCCTTGCCCTTCCCCCAACCGCCGCGACAACCTTCCCTGTGTCCCCCTCCCCTGGGCCACAAACTCCCGCATCTTTTCCTCTGAGAATCACGTACTGACCACCGTGGGAGTAGCACTCGCAAAACGGCGATGGCGACGACTTGATCTTTGGCGTCTCCTCCATGCAAGGATGGCGTATCAGCATGGAAGACGCCCACGCCACCATACTGGACTTGCAAGCCCTCCAGGAGGGGAAGCCCACTGCGGCCGATAAGCGACTCAGTTTCTTTGGTGTATATGACGGACACGGTGGTGATAAGGTCGCGCAATACACTGGCGAACATCTTCATCAGATCGTCGCGAAACAGGAGGCTTTCAAAGAGGGCGATATTAAGAAGGCGCTACAGGATGGGTTTCTGGCGACAGACCGCGCGATATTGAGTGGTATGTTTGTTCGCCGTCTTGACTACATTGGCCAGACAAGGCTGACGAATGGCATCCAGACCCCAAGTACGAAGAGGAAGTCTCCGGATGCACGGCCTCGGTCGGCATAATCTCAAAAGACAAGATCTACGTCGTACGTCAAAGTCTGCTCCCGAATCTGGACTTGTTACTGAATGTAATAGGCAAACTCGGGCGATTCCCGTACCGTTTTGGGTATCAAAGGCCGAGCGAAACCCCTTTCATATGACCACAAGCCCCAGAATGAAGGTACATGACCTTCCTTCCCCGGGGAAAATAACAACAACTGATTGCCCCTCTAGCCGAGAAAGCGCGGATTCAAGCCGCCGGTGGTTTTGTGGACTTTGGTCGCGTGAATGGAAACCTTGCTCTGTCGCGCGCCATCGGTGATTTCGAGTTCAAGAAGAGCGCAGATCTTCCCCCTGAGAGCCAGATTGTCACTGCGTTCCCAGATGTTGAAATACACACCCTGAGCGCGGACGATGAGTTCCTAGTAGTCGCCTGCGACGGTAAGTGGGGATTGAAATGTGCTCTCGTTACAACACTAACCAGGCTACAGGTATCTGGGACTGTCAGTCTTCGCAAGCCGTGGTAGAATTCGTTCGACGGGGTATTGTTGCAAAGCAAGACTTGGCTTCAATCTGCGAGAACATGATGGACAATTGCCTGGCATCCAATAGTGACACTGGTGGTGTGGGTTGTGACAACATGACAATGGTCGTCGTTGGTCTTCTACAGGGTCGGACGAAGGAGCAGTGGTACGAAGATATTGCAAAGAGGGTCGCAAACGGAGAGGGTCCCTGCGCCCCGCCGGAGTACGGCAAGTCTGAATCTCCTGTCTCTTCCGCCTCTGAAGGCGAATAGTTCACGTCTAATATATTATTAGCTGAGTTCCGCGGTCCTGGTGTTCACCACCGTATTGATGATAGCCCCGATGATATCGACATGGACCTTGAGCAGCGCTTCAGACCCAACAGTGGCAATGGTGGCCGCATCATCCTACTAGGTGACGGTACGGAGATAACCACCGAAGCTCCCGACTCCGAGATGTTCGATCACGAGGAGGACAAGGACCTCGACTCGCAAGTTGACAAGTTCAACAAGGAGGATTCCAATGGCAACACTGCTCGAGAAGGAACCCCTGGCCCGCAGTCCGGCACACTCAAGGAATCGACAGAATCTCCCTCATCAGTCAAGACGGAAAAGTCAGAGGATGCATCGGCTACCACAGGAAACGATAGCACTCAACCGGACAAGATCACGACCGGTACTGCCACGACCAGTAAGTAGGACCTTACGCGTCACTCGTGCCTGGCCTGAACGTCCCACTTTTTGGTTCAACTCCTATTTTGCCTCCTTATCAACATGTTTTCACCAACATGTTATTCTGTGCGATGGATAGGACTGTTATGATTACGGAAGATATGCAATGCCATTGATGGGTCACACGAAGGAACCTCAAACTACCGCAAGAGGTCAACCTCAGAATTACGAATTGATACCTGACGTCGCCTTTCTTTCGGTCGTCGTCCCCCTTCTATATTTTTGTCTCTTCCTTCCGCCCCCCCTGTTTGCCCGGTCATATTGGCGTGCGTAGCGATGCAACCTCTTTTCTCATAGATTGTGCTAGCAGACCAGCGAGTGGAATGGGGAGTGAAAGGGAGGTGGCTGCACAATTCATCGATCTGCTTTTACCACGTTTTTTATCCAAGTGATGTACCATTGTTTTTGCTGGTGATTATGCTCGATAGCCATTGTATTCTTCATCTTTTGCCTGGAAAATTCTATCCGCACGTCATCGACTTATTGTTGTTGTTCGATCATAGTGGAAACCTTGAGACAGCAAACGTGGTATGAATTTAGTGACCGATCTTCACGTCATAAGAAACTTCATTCAAATGTTCCGAAGGCGACTGACCGCAACCAACCGCGCGCGCAGCCATGACGACAGGTTGGTTACGAACGGTGGAAGGCCCAAGCACGCCCCCCTATAACCCATGTCAAGATAACTGATATGCACTGCCAACGCAACATGCGTATCAGAGACCAGAGAGAGGATTTCGGCGTTTGCACAGCTCCCCTGCACCGAGAAGACGATTTTTGTCTGCCTCATTATCCAAAGCTCTGTAGCGATACTCGGTATCTTGTGATTGTCTGCACACCTCTTGATGCTTGCAATGTGGTTGGTCATTACCATTCCAGCTTTCGCGACAGTGTATTGGTGGTCGGTCATGAGGTACAGTACGCAAGAGATTATGAAATGCCCGCGTTATACCATAAACCTATATCATCAGCTATTTCACAAGATGTAGAACACCATAATCTATGATTAGGTATTTAATCATATATTAGATCAACGCACTGATTAAATCTTGAAGCTCTTTGGGTAACGAACCATTTTCACCTTATTTGCTTCCACAGCACTCTCCCTGAAGGTCACCTCACTTTCCTCCTACCCAAACGCAAGGTACGCTAAGTCCCATATAGGCATGTTAAGCGAGCCTCGGCAACGGCTGCGACTACAACCAGCAGCTCTCCTCCAGACCTTCTTTCTCTCTCCACCTTCCCTGCATGATGTAAGTCCGACACGCCGTCAAGCCCTCTCATAGCTTGATCTATATACTGACACACCACAGCCTTCCCCGAAAACCGGTGAGATGGGAATTGTTCGGGTTGGTCACGAGGATGTCCCAACATGGACACAACATGAAGGGTCCTCTCCTCTAATCCTCACCAGCACATAGGTAAGTACGGGCACTTTCTCGAGCGGCTCTTCCCAGTTCTTGTACGCTCTTCTTGAACGTATGCTGACTTACTCTGTTCTCGAAGACCTGAAGGTCGAATGCCAGGTAGGACATTGCCAGAAGCCACGGTTCAGCGTTGGGGTGCCAAAAACATGACAACCTGGCTTTGGTGGACGGCTAGCATCAGAAGCCACAGTTTGGTGTTTGATTGTTCTATACGGACATGAGAACCTGGGCTTGGTGGATGATCATCTACTGAAGCCGCAGTCCAACGGAAAGGTGCAATGCCATCAGAATCCAGGATGCGGTGAATGTTATTAGCCTGCGAAGTCGCAGACTGCGGCGGAGGCTACATTCAGAAGCCGTGGAGCGGTGGGAGTCAGTCCTAACCCGCCGAGCGGTGGATGTTATCAGCCCGCGAAGTCGCTAAAAACTGCGGCGGGGGCAACAGTCAAAAGCCGCAGAGCGGTGGACGACCAGCCCGTCAAGTCGCTAAAAACTGCGGCGGGGGCAACAGTCAGAAGCCGTGAAACGGTGGATGTCCAGGCCAAAAGCCGCAACATAGCGGAAAGGTCAAAACAATTGATGACCGTACCGGTCCTCTCCATTCAGTATTGGCGGAAGCCGCGGCAGCGGTGGAAGCAGATTATCATCAGAGATGGATCTTGCTATCAAAAAGGGTGGATGTCAATCTGCTTATCCTTAGCACAATACAGCAGGAGTCAACCTGTCAACAAATCAAAGGAGCCAACCTTTCCAAAAACTGAGGAGTCAACCTGTCTAAAAATCAGCCCCGAGATTTGCTCTACCTCCACGTGGTTCAGGGTGGGAACTTCATATGATGTTTACGCATATGATGCCAAATGAGCAATTGTATTCTAACACGCCTCATTTAATGGATGTGCGTGGCAAGAAGTACGTTATACGTTACACTTACATGAGAACTCGGATGAAGCTCCACTCTGTAATGCTTGCCAATGGCGGACCGCCACCATTACGCCGTGTCCTTTCCTGATACTAAAACACCGCCCTCCTCGCGACAGATCGTGACCGCCAGTCTTTCTAGTGATGCTGCTATTGAATCTGCCCTTTACTTAAGCTTAGCTTACGCATACTTTTACCGCCTTTAGGTGTGCTGTTACGCAATGCTGAAGTCGCATGTTTGAAGGCAGCATTGAAGGCAGGTGCAAATCCACGCACGTGTAGCACCTACCCCTTGAGACGTATATACCTTCCCAACTCATCCGATAGAATCAACCAGATAAGCAAATCAGCAAAAAGACGTTCTCACCCACTCGCTTGGTCCATGTACTCACCGATACTCCTGAATCCTATAGTGTTTATATATATACATTCTACGAGCCAAAGAATGTCAATAACATATATCGGACTGTTAGTTCAGTGGCAGAATATTCGCGCTATGCGTCGAAACGCCCCTTTGGGGGAGTCCTGTGTCTTACTTTACCCAAAGTTTGACTTGGATGCAAAGGTTTACGATAGCTTTGGCGGCGGAAGACCTGGTGTTCGATTCCCAGATAGTCCTCGTTGTGATGATTTTTTTTTCTTTCGTTGCGTGCACCTCCAACCTCTGCTATATCTTCTAGACGTCATGGATGCTGTGGCAATGAATGTTTTTGTAGTAGTTGCTTGCAAGATCATTACACAGAAGTGTGCGAATTCGCACCAATGTTGGGTCGGGTCTATATAATGTGAAGGGGTTTGGATGATTCTATGAGACCATGCATTGAATCACTCCATTGCCATACATTAATATACAATAATTCGTGTGTTTCCCGAAGATCTAAAGCTTCGACGTGACATGCAACAAAGGGTAGTCTTTGGGCAGGCTGTCCAGAGCGCTCCGATCAATCTCCCCAACATTCTTGAATCCCGCTACGTTCAACAGTATATCAAAGTCTCCCAGCAGGGACTTCATGACATGCCTCACTCCTGTTTCCCCCATGATGGATAGTCCCCAAATCCACAAACGGCCCACGAAGACGAACTTGGCACCCAGCGCGAGAGCCTTGAAAACATCGGAGCCACCGCGGACTCCTGAATCGAACATGATGGTTGTGTCTTGACCTACAGCTACTCGAAGTTAGTGACTAAGAATGCTGAAGTGGGTCCAGGAGTCCTTACCGTCAACAATATTCTCCAATGCATCTAAACTCGCAACAGCACCATCAACCTGTCGCCCAGCGTGGTTAGAGCACACAATACCGTCCACACCAAGTTCGTGCACTGCTTTTCTAGCATCTGCAACACTCTGTATGCCCTTTATGCAGAATGGTTTCCCGCCACTCAGTTCTTTCCACAGCCCCATCACCCACTTCACCTTGTCCCACGTGTGTGCCCGGCCATGCCAGACGTTATCGATCCAGAGTGCACCGGCTTCATTAGGCTGCGTGACGGGATCGATGCCGTGTTCCTTCAATCTTTCTTGAAAGACGGGGTCCGACAACCCGAGGTCCGCACCTTTGCCATGGTAGAAGGCATAGTTCGACGTACTAACATCCTTGTGTCGCCAGCCGAGCTGCCAAGTATCCACCGTCAATATGCAAGCCGAAAACCCGCTGTTGACCGCACGCGTTAAAAGACTCCGGGTGAGTTCGTCGTCGTGCGGCATGTATAGCTGGAAGAACCGGACTCCTCCACCCTGGCCGGCTAGTTCGTCATTCGCCTTGCCAACATCTTCAATGGGTTGCGAACCCGCCGTAGACAGACAGTAAGGCAGGTTCAATTCCCCTGCTACCTTGGCCACAGGGAGCTCCCCTTGCTCATGATAGATCTTGTTGATGCCAATCGGCGCAAACCCAATCGGTGCAGCGACTTTATGTCCGAAAATCTCCGTCGCGGTATCTCTCTCGTTCGTATCCACCAGCATCCGCGGGATGATCTTATGTCTGTAAAACGCCTGTCGGTTCGCAGTATGTGTGTATGACTGTCCCGCGTTGGAAGAAGCGTATAGCCATCCGTTTTCGGTGAGTTTGGTCTTTGCAAGGTCTTCTAGTGCGGCTGGGTTCGTGTCGAAAAGGGGGACTTGGCCGGTGTTCGTTTTCCAGAAGTTTTCGCGTTGGTAGAGGGAGAATTGGGGGGTTGTGCGGTGTTTGCGATTGGGGTTTTTGGGGTCCATTGTTTTCGCGACTCAAGTAGATGAGTGAGGAGGATCTTGTGGAAGGTTGGTTCGAGGAATTGATCGGACTTGAGAGTTTGAAGTTGCAGGTAGTTTCAGATCGTTTGAATGTGGGGATTGGATTGTATGTATGCGGAAACGAGACATCCTCGGAACGGTAGATGGGTTTATGAAGCAGTGGTGACGCTATCATTCGTGACGCCATGGGTGCTCGATCGACATCATGTTGTCAAGCGGCTTCCGTGCGATGCCTATTCGCGGAATCTTCTTATTTCCGTACCTTAGATGTGTGGCAACTTGGAGCCCTGAAGTCGATCTGACGAATGACTTTCATGACAATATTGTGAATTTGAACCTACGATATCTATTTCCGTGGTTGATGGGGAACGGTGAAAGTAGGGCCCGAGCGAGTGGTTCGGTGGGGGCCTGCCGAAAGCTTGGCTTGGGTGAATCCTAAATGGGTTGACCGCAACGGAATCCATTTCGATGATTTATATTAGGTCATGCTCATATGAGACACACCGTCTAAAGGGAGATTCATCCACGAACATTAGCTTATTAAGCAAGATATATCCTTAAGCTGTACTCAGATAGGTGACCGCCCGCGTTGAGGAGGTCAGTCCAGCAAGCCTGACCAATAGGAGCTCACCTCGGAGACAAAGCTTCAAGCTGCGCGCCCGCCGCCGACCCCACGACTCGCACGTACTCAGAGGTACTCAGCTATTCTCAACTTCCACTCTACACGGAATCACACTGGCAATATTTCACAGTTTCATTGCATTTGACTGTTGCTTTTTGACCTCCCCAATTTGTTTCTCCGCCTGCACACCACGTCGCATCGCAGCGAGTAGTCCTTCAAAACAGCATGTCGGTCATTCTGTGTACCGCTGGTTACGACCACACCATACGGTGCGCTGGATCGTTCCTGCGTCCTATTGCTGCCTGCTAATTGAATCCTCTTCACAGCTTTTGGGAGGCTCTCTCCGGTATCTGCAGTCGTACCATCCCACACCCGGATTCGCAGGTGAATCGTCTCTGCATCTCTCCCGACAAACGCTTCCTCGCCGCCGCAGGCCACCATACTGTTAAGCTTTACGAGATCAAGTCTACGAACCCTAATCCCGTTCTTACCTTCGAGGGACACACTTCCAACATTACGGGTGTCGCATTCCACTGCGAGGGCAAATGGATGGTGACGTCGTCTGAGGACGGCACGGTCAAGATCTGGGACACACGCACGGGCAGCATTCAACGAAACTACTCGCACGGGGTTCCTGTCAACGACGTGGTGATTCACCCGAACCAGGGAGAGCTCATCAGCTGCGACCGAGGAGGCAATGTGCGGATCTGGGATCTTGGCGAGAATAAATGCACGCATCAATTGATCCCCGAGCAAGAGGTCAGCGTAGCTAGCGTCACGGTCGCAAGCGATGGCAGCATGCTCTGCGCTGGAAACAACTCGGTTCGTCACTAACCAACGCTTTGAACTCACATGCCGAAGCTGACAGACAAAACGTGTACAGGGCAATGTCTACGTTTGGCGCCTCATCCAGCGCATGGAAGTCACCTCTCTAGTCCCCGTCTGCAAATTCGTCGCCCACAACACCTACATCACCCGCGTGCTGCTCTCCCCAGACGTCCGACATCTAGCGACCTGCTCGGCCGATCACACCGCGCGCATCTGGTCCATCGACACGTCGATTCCACACAACGTCGCCGCTGCAGAAAACCTGCTTGAGCCCAAAGAACGGGACCCTAATGCTTTCCCGCTCGAGACGACGCTCAACGGCCACCAGCGCTGGGTCTGGGATTGCGCCTTCAGCGCCGACTCGGCATATCTGGTTACCGCGTGCTCCGATCACTATGCTAGGCTGTGGGAGCTGAATAGCCAGAGTATCATAAGGCAATATAACGGGCATCATAGGGGCGCAGTTTGTGTGGCGTTGAATGATACCGCGGTTGGGAATTGAGGGGTTGTTGGGAGTCAACTGCTTCGTTCTCCTTCTTGCTCTTCTCTCTTTATTTCTTCTCCTCTCTCGTATCATCGTTGGCGTCTGGTGTGTTCTTCACCGTCTCTTATATCCGTTGCCTGTGCGGCTGCATCAGCGAGGGCGTTTTTTTCTCTCTTTTTCTTTTTCTGTATTTTCGTCTAAGGGGATCATGAAAATCTCCCAACCCACGTTTCTTCCAACTTGGTTTGGAAGTTGCTCAGGTTGTGGTGTGGGTTTGGCCGCAGTTAAAGAGTGGACTGGACGAGGATCATGACGAGGAGTTTCCTTGTGACTCTGGGCCAGAGAGACACTCCAAGAAGGAGACTTGAGTACTCGTCGACTGGGACCTGGACACACACACATAGACGCTCTTCCTTTTCCTCTTTTCTCGTGAATCGCACAAGTTCGTCTTTTTTTCTCTTAGTTCTAGTCACCTTTGTGTCTTCTGTGCGTGTTGCGTGTTAAGTACATAAGCATGAATACGTTACAAGGCCTTCGTTTCGCATCGAGATTTCGGAGGTAGGAGAGGGGTTGGACTGGACACCCGAAACGTCGAGCAAGTTTCCATCATGACTAAATTCGACTTTCTGAAGATGTCGTCCATGTTGAAAGTTTCAGAAAACGGAATGTAGCCACCGTCCATTAGACACACACAACCCTACAAAACGTACAAACACAAACATGATATCAGAAAGTCTTCGACATACCACTAAACACATAGATAGACATATAACACTCCTACTATACAAACTATTGAACTAGTAGTCGTGGTAGTAGTATCAACATTCCAAACATAAACACGACCGCTCACAGCGTGTGTGATATCTTCATAATCGATCCGCCACAATCCCAACCCACCGTCCATCCCATAAACCATACATGATACACCCACCTACTCCCCCTCCGTTGACCATTCCATTCCAGTGAAAAAAGTGCCACGCACAAATGCAATCTGAAACCTTGCACACATATCGAATATACGGGAAAAGGTATACGCGTCCCGGTAAAAAAACAACCAGAATAACAACGCCATGCACAGGATAAGAATAGCACAAAAAGGAAGAACGCTCAAAACGCCATGCCTGCTCGCATAAAAAGATGGAGAAAAAAGAACACCATAACTGGACCCCACCTAATCCCAAGAAACAGACTTAGAAAAACAGTCCCACCCGGAACTCTCGATAGATATTACATTATGTGATAGAGGGATTGGAATGACAACACTGAGTTAGAGGGGACGTAACAGTGAGATGCACAGCGATAGCAGAGCGGCGGTAGTTTCCCGTCCATCAACGCCCAAGAAACCCAGAGAGCCAATTCGCAATGTGTTTGGGATTCTTGCTCGGCGTAAAGGAAACCACGCTGTCGCTGATGCTCTCTGGGGTTTTCGGACTGGGAGTTGGAAGCGGTATCGTCTTTCCTCTTGCGCGACCTCCCAGCAACGGGGTCTTGGGGCTCGAGCTCTTGTTCTGAGCATTGGTGAGTGAAGATTTTGACGATGAATTCAACGGTGATGGTTGCGCTGCGATGATGAGTGTATGCGATTCTTCTGTAGGCGCCGAACTTGGCCGGAAGCAATCGACGCCTGACGAACCAACACCGGCCACTTTGCGCATAATGCATGGATCAAATTTCGTAACAAGAGAGCTGGTCAGATCGGGCGCCGAAGGTGGAAACGGAAGCGACAATTGCAATCCTGCCTTCACCCAAGGCCGCACAGTGTAATGGTGAAGCACATCTACACAGGCCATTAGCACCAGCAGGGGAGACGGATAAGATATATAGCTCAGGATTATGCAGGACCGGTAGCACCTTCTGGTGTTGCAGCCTGCTCTTCCGTTGCTTCTTGTGCCGCCTCGCCAGTCGGAGCTCCATCCTTGTTTTCGTCGGTGGTCTCGACTGCAACTCCCGCAGCGGCGGCGGCTTCCTTCTCTGCTCTAGCTCTAGCACGGGCGGCCATCCTGTCATGATTCTCTTTGCGAGCACGCTCATCTTTGGCTTTACGCAAGCGTTCCGCCTCCTCGACTCCACCCGTCTTCTTGAGCTTTCCTTCCTCGACAAAACTGCCCAACTCCTTCTTGAATTCACCCTCCCGACGGTTCTCGAGCTCGCGCTGACGGGCTTTCTCCGCGCGTTCGATTGCTTCCAGTCGGCTCTCGTGATTGGGCTGAAGCGCCTTAACTTCACCTAGAACGCCGTCACGAGCTTGGCGTGGATCAACGGCCTTGTCATAGTTCGCTGCATGTAGCATGTTGCGTCCGGAAGCCGAGCGCATGCCAGTGGTTTGCTCCTTTTCGGTCTGGAGGTTTTGCTGTTTCGTGGCTTGTTCCACAAGCTCGAGGGTTTCGGCAGCCTTTTCAAGGTCATCTTGCAGATCGGCCGCGAGTTCTTCTTGCATAGTGAGCAGATCCCTCTCTTCGCAGACCATCTGTAACTCCTGTTCCCAAATCTTCGTCCACAGCGGCTTCTCCTTGGCCAAGTATTCCTGCAGCTTCTTGAGTTCAGATGTGGCAGTCGAAAGGTCTTTGGCGGTGGTCTCGAGCTGGCGTGGCAGAGGGCGGACGCCACGAGCCACAACATCCTTTCTCAAATCTTCGACAAGATCTTGCAAATCATCGACTCGGTTCACGATCTTTTCGGAATCATCCTGTAGCGTTTTCTTGCCGGCGTTGACGTAAGCGCGACCAGAATCTCCCTCGAGAGTGGGGAGTGCTGTTTTGACAGCTTGAGTCTTGACAGCCGCAGCTTTGGTGCGAATAGTGGACATGCTAGCCTCGATGTCTCCAGCAAACGAAGCATAAGTCTGTCTGACAACGGCTAGATCGCGACGGAGGGCTTGAACTTCGCTAAGCTGGGCCGCGGAGGATATATTTAATTCCGTGGAGGTGCCGGTAGGCGCGGGCGAACGGGGTGTCATGATGGTTGAAACACGGGCAGAAGACAGTGTCGGTGCAGCGGCGATGCCAGCAATTTCTTTAGCGGCCTGCTGCTGGCGTTCCGCAACACGCTGAATGGCTGTTTGCTGGTCCTCGACAGTAGTTTTGATACTCTCCATTATGCGGCTGAGGCCGCCAAACTTGTCGTCGATGTGATGCTTGACTTCATCCAGCTGCTCGATATTGAGTACCAGGACAGAGCGATCCTTGATATCGTTGATGTCTTCAAGCTCATAGCGGACGCCGGAAACGGGATCTTGTATGTGAATTTCAGGAAGCTCGCCGTTGCGGTGGGTGTCCCAAGCAAACTTTTCGATGAATGCGAGCTGCAATCTTCCGATGGACAATTCCGCTCCGTCTGAAAACACATACTTCTTTATTTTGCTTTTGTACTGCAGAAACAGGGATAGCTCTTTGCCTGCCTGGGGTGATTGGTCTGGAATGAACTGCTCAGGCTGAGGAGATGGGGTCTTCACCCTGCGTGATTGAACTCTGGACGGGATACTCGAGGGTTTTCGAGGTTCCTTGACGGGACTATCTGCTGGGAGCTCAGAAGGGTCGCTCAGCGGACCATTCAGTGTTGCACCAAGGAGAGGCTGGTCACCCTCGGGGTACTTGGGCGCAGCGAGCTTGTCTTCTGGCGTCTTTGCAGTGGGGCTGTCGTCGGGCGCGGGTTCCGGAGGCGGCTTGATGTTTGGCGCAGAGCTCTGACTGCTTTCTTCGGATATACGCCTGGATACGTCGTTTGGCTTGTCAAGCCCAGTGTCTAGAACCGGTCTCGACCTATTTCGATTGTGAATGGTGGAGCCTCTGACGCGCACAGCGTTCATGGATTCGCGGACGTCCCTTCCTCGGTTCGGTATAGGCGAGTTTTGCACGGGTGGGAGCGGAATACCATTTGTTCCCAGGTGCTTCTGAATTTGATAGGCAGAGAAACGCCGAGAAGCTCTCCTTTCCAGCTCACCGCCACGCTGCAACGCTGCCAATGCATCCTGCTGTTTCGGGGGAGGTGGTGGCGGAGGGAAGTCTATGGGATAGTTTGGTTGTTTCGGCTCAGGAGACTTTGGCATGGGGTCCTCATCTGGGTATGGCGCGATGACAGCAATTTGCTGCAGCGTATTGCTAGACAGAGACGAGTCACTCGATAGCTGACTTGTGTCTGTGTTGCGGTTGGTGCGAGGATTCGATGGAAGCGAATCATACTTGGTCGGAGAAGCTCGACCGGGCACGGATGAAGAGCGAGGAGGCAGGTCAGGACCATCGGGCTGGTATTCACCTCCTTCTTGACGAACTGGAAGCCGCGTGCTTGAAGCCCTCGCTTGTTGCGGCTGGTCCAACTCGCCGGTACTGTCTATACTACCCTGCCTCGGGCTGCCGCCATTCAGAGAGCCGTCGCGTCCCGTTCGCTGTCGCAAGCGTTGCTGTTTCTTCTTCAAACCATGAAGGAGATTGATGATTATGTCGCGAATACGCGGGAGGAAGTTGTCGAGGCTGGCTTGGGTAGCTTCCTGGCTCAGAGTCTCTTCCAGAATGCCCCGCAATAGTTCCGGGACATTGCCTAGATCCTGTGTATCGACGCCGATGGCGTTGAAGGCGCGCGAAGCGATGTTGAACTCATAGCCCAGGCGCACGTAGACGTCGGATACTTCGCTTTCGGTGGCAGTCCCACGGGACCATAGCGTCAGGGTCTCGAGAAGTTGTTTGGTCGCGACAAGGAGATGGGTCACTGGTAAGGTTAGGTTCGCGAACGGGCAAGTGACGAGAGGATGTGGTACGTACCCGACTTCTCAATCTGGCTGAGCTGTTGTTGCGGCTGCATGGTGAAGATCAGCAAAGACGGCGGGCTCTACAAGCAAGAAAACACGGGAGACGGAGTGAAATGCAAGAAAAGTGAAGTGCACATGCGTGGAGGTCGGCACAATTAGCGGCGAAATGAGAACTCACCGTCTGCTGCTGGGCCCGCCTGGGATGGGGTCCGCGTGAGGAGCCCTTGGAAAGGGTACTAGCGCCCGACGAAGGGTAGTCCTCGGTGGAGAGAGTCATGTCGGCATGCGCAGAGGCGGAAACCAGCGTGGCTTCGGAATCGCGGGTTGAGGAATGTCGGACCTCTGGGAAAGAGGAGGATGGCATGAGGAGGGGGGAAGGGGGAGGAGAGGGAGAGGATGGTGATGTGGTCGAGGTTGTCGCCAACGAACGGCTTGTGATGGCGAAGGAAGGCAGGAAGGTAGGTGGGTAAGTAACGTAGGTAACGTGGTGGTTGCACTAGCTTAATCTGGACGGCCAACTTGTGTGTCCCATGTCCCTATCCGCCGTCTATCCAAGTGCCCGAGATATGTGTCTGGTTGTGTATGGAAGCATGCCGAATGCTTTTTTGACAGGTCGACAGCAGCGTGAAGATGGGGAATTCTTTTGCGAATGCACGGTGCAATGCAAACATGCATGCAGTGGGGAATCATGCAACAAGCAAGCAGCAGCAGCAGCAGCAGCAAAAAAGAGGTGAAATGATGAGACAGTTTCAGCTACCGGGCTAGCCTCGCGTCATCGAATGCTCCAGCTAGCCTACATGGGGCCTACCCGCTAGCCGCAGAGACCGGACGTGTAGCTGGGCTGGACCCCTTCAAGCATGCACATGTGCATGCAGCAGCAGCAATGGAATATTTGTATGTATTTGAACATATCCATATGAAAATAGCCATGGACAAGAACAGGAATCAAAGGGAGATGTGGTGAAGGACTCGCAGAAGCACGAAAAAAGAAACTAAGAGGGAAGCTAAAAGGAATCAACCTGGCCCTTGTCCTTGTTCCATTGCACCATGACATTTGACTTGGTGCCTTCTTTTTCTTTAGCAACAACAGATGAAAGCCTACTCGCAGGGTTCGTGCGAGGGTGGCTATGTTATGTCTGTACATGACATGTATGCTGATCATCTGAGTAGATACTCTGCTGATGTGGGCAGCTACAGACGTCCGTGTGTGGTGAATCAATCGATGGCACTGAGACTGAAAGCGACATGGCGTGGACTGGTACCGACGACTGTTTCTAGTTTCCAGTTTCCAGTTTCTACGGACGGGCCTGGTCGATTGCACCGTGTCGGAATTTGTTTTGCTGCCAACATGAATAAATTCTCCATGTTTTATTAGCTGTGAAAGAGAAGAAAACAAAAAAGATAAGCACACGAGCGATGAGCAAAGACGCAGAGCTGAACCATCACCAATTCGCCTCTGGCTTCCTCAACCCCCCCGCTTTGGTGAGCGAGAACGTTTATCAGTTCCAATTCATTGTCGCACTGCTTGCACCGCTCTGCATCCATCCACCACCCACCTACGCACGCCATCATCATCACCAGCCAAAACCCCCCCTCTGTGTCCTTCTCTCACTCTTTTTCCACCTACCTCCCTCCCTGAATACCCCTCCGACCGTGCCGCCTGCAGGACAACTCTCTCGTGACTCCTGCTGCTGAACGGTTTCCCACACTCTTATTGTTGCCCCGGCGTTTGGCTTGGCCTCGCTTCCCGCTCCACCCTCGGGACTCCCGACCTTTGGCGCCTCGTTTCACGTCGTCGTCGATCTTGCGCTGCCATTTCGCCAAGCCACACCACTCTCCTCCTTCCCAACTACTTCACCTCGACAACTTTCGTGCACTCCTGCTCTGCAGCCCCGTCTGCACTAATTGATCGCTGCAGCCCCGACATCCCACGCTGCCTCTCCGTCCCCCCGCGCCCGTCGCTGTATTTTGCCCTCTGCGCTGCTGCAACAAACTCCCTGTACGAGCTCGGAGGAGAGCAGCCTCCTGCCTCGCACGCACCCACCTCCCAAAACCCTCATGTCCACCACCTCCGTCAACGGCACCAATGTCAACGGCCCGCCGCTGGCCTCGACTTCCTCAAATCCCTCTGCAGCCCGAGCTCAGTTGAAGATGGCTACCCAAGCCAAAGCTGCCGACGCATCGCGCAAGCAAAGCCCAGTGGATGCTGGCCAAAAGTAAGCTCTTCCATTTCCTTCCTCACCCAATTCTGCCACTTCTTCCCCCCATCCTGATTTTCTGCCCCTCTGCCTGTCTGCTATTGCTCCACCTGTTACTCCTTTGGCCACGCCGCGGCTCCTCGTTGGGCAATGCTGCCTCCCGCATCGCTCTCTCGTGTGACGCGCACTCAGTCACATGGAGTCACGGTGCGACGGCTGGGTCCCTCGTCCAGCTACTCCACCTTCAATCCTCTCTCCCGCTTCACCCGTGAATGTACTCTTTGCGCCGTCGCATTTCTGACGCTGCACCTTTTACCAGGAAACCTACGCAGCCTCGTGCCTGGCAAGGCACCAATCCCATTACTCAACGGCCATCCAACGCAAACTCCAACGGCGTCGTCAACAATAACTACAGGCCCTCCCACGTTTCCACGCCCCTCACTGGAGAGTCTGCATCTCCAATGAGGCACCTTAGCGACAGGATGTATTTCCTCCTCGCGAATCTATCGGTGAGTCTGCTTCCTTGTCCACAGCACTCAAGTGAAAGCCATCCTAACATTCTATTTTTAGGGACTACCGGGACACATCACCTTGAAGAATGGCGAAAAATACACCGGCGTGCTGTCGGGCACCTCGCTCGATCCAGGCGAGATGCGCTATGTCTTCAAAATGGTGAAGAGGACACAGGCTGCTACTGAAGGTCAGACTAATGGCACTGCCGAAGCGTCCGATGATTATATCGGCACTGGAGACAACTATGTCATGTCTTTTGATATGAGCGATGTGGCTGATTTCCACGTTGACAACGTCATCCTCGACAAGTCGCAATCCAAGGGTCAGAACGGTATGTGTTACGATCGATTGACTCGTACTACAATTGCTGATAGCCAAGCAGGTGCCTCCGGCTTCCGCACCGATACCGATATTTCTGGCAACATGGCTATCCGCGAGCGAACTCTCCAGAAATGGGAACCTTCCTCCGATGCAAACGTCGACCTGTCACTAGAATCTACTGGACAATCATCTGGTTGGGATCAATTCGCCACCAACGAGCGACTGTTTGGTGTTCGCAGTGACTATGACGAGAATATCTACACAACCACAATCGACCGCAGCCACCCGCAATATGCGGAGAGAGCGGCACAGGCGGAACAGAAGGCTCGGGAGATCGAGGGCAGCAGCGCACTGAACGCGCACGTCAACGAAGAACGATTCCAGAACTCCGCTGCTGATAGAGAAGGGGACGAAGAAGACCTGTAAGTGTTCTGCCTCGCGGATCGGCCAAACAGCAAACTAACAGCAGAACAGATATAGCGGAGTCTACCGGCCTCTATCTACAGGTGCACCAAACACTTATACACCCCCGGCCCGCCGGCCTCCTAGTGGGCAACCTACAGTCAAAGGCGCACCTGTGGATCCTGCCATCATCTCATCGCAGCTGGCGCGTCCCGACTCAGCTACCGCAAAAACTGCCCAGTCTACCGCGAGCCCGTCGCCTGAGAAACAAGAGTCTGCCGAGCCTCCGAAGACTGAGGCTGTTTCCAAGACTACGACAACAGACGCCGAGATGCCAGCGTCTGAATCATCCAAATCACAAACCAAGCCTGCCGCTCAAGTGAAGCCTACCAGTGAACAGCCCCAGAAGCCAAGCAGCGCGTTGAAACCTGCTGTTGGTATTCCAGCTCGCAAACCTGGCAGACCTGACAATGCCACGGCCAACGTTGAGCATGACCTTCTCGATTCTTTCAAACAATTCTCTGCTGCAGAAAAACTGCGCATGTCTGAACGGCAACGCTCGATCGCGAGAGAGTCAAAAGCTGTCAAGCTCAACGATTTGAAGAAGTTCTCTCAGAATTTCAAGCTGCACACACCTGTTCCCACCGATCTGGTTCCTATCCTGGCTAAGGACGAGGGTAAACGGAAACTGATCGTTCAAAAGGCGCTCAAAAACGCGAAGGAGTCGCAGTCACCCCCTCCAAAAGCTGCACCCGCCGCGGTTGACGTTAAACCGGTACCCCCACCAACCAACGTCAAACCCAATGCCTCGCAGCCTCCCCCCAACGTCGATCAACAACGACATCAAAACCAGCGCCAGCGTACTGGGCAGAACCAATACAACTCTGGATCAGTACGGGATCGCGGAAATCACATGCAAAATGTGAATCAGCCACCTCGTAACCACGGCCTTCTCGGTTCTCGTCTCCAACACAACCAGCAACAACTCAAACAGCAGGGAGGGGTTCCACCCTTCCATGGTGTTCCTCAGCCCATCCCTCACCAGGATATGCGAAGTCACCCGCCCACTGGGCCATCCGGCTCGCCCAATACGGGCGGAGTACAGCCACCTAATGGAGGCAGGCAATTCAATGTCAAGGCACACGAATTTAAGCCTAATCCAGCGGCAAACACTTTCCAGCCAGGGCCAACTCCAAGCAACAACTCGAGTCCAAGGCCGGAATCTGTGGCTAGGCAAGAGCCTCCACGCAAGATCCCTATTACTAGTTTCTTCGGTGGCGCACCACCAGCCAAAAAGGCCTTAGATCTTAGCGTATCATTCAACCCTATTACTCGTTTGACAAAGGACGCAGCGCAGGATCCTCAAAAGGCCCGCCAATATCAGAACAACGGCGGCATCCAACCAACCTATCACACACCTCCAACCTGGGACTTCCCGGAGACGAACAAGGAGAAGGGCTACGAAGACATGTTCGAGCGTCCTGCTTCCGTTCCTATCTCGACTCCTCACATGATGGGCAACGGGCCTGCTCCTCACCAACACCAAGTGCCTCCGCAATTTCAGGGACCTCAGGGCGCTCACCAAGGGCAGACCCCCCACCACACTCCTCGTGGCCCACCAGTGCAACCTCATCACGGCCAAGCTCCGCATCACTTTGATTCTCAGAATATGCAGTTCTCGCATTCCAATTCTTCAGTTCACCCTTCGCCCCGTCACGTTCCACCTTACATGTACGGTTCCCAGCCACCATCCATGCCCGGCTACCCACAGCAAGTACCTATGCAGCCATATGCAATGAGTCCGAACGTTCAGCACGCGGGTCTTCGAGGTGCCCAAGGAGGTCCACAATTTGTGACTCCACCTGGTCCGGGAATGGGAGGACAGATGATGACCAATCAACCTTCAAACGGTCCCTACATGAACATGCCCGGCAACCCACAGATGCCCATGTATGCCGGTGCCCCAGGCCATGGATATCCTCAATATCCCGGTCAGATGCCAGCAGGGCCAGGCGCCAATGGATTCGGCAGTCCTAGGCACGGTGGTGCGCCTCTCATGAGCCATCAAGGTTCACAGCAGGGACATCAGCAGCACAACATGATGTACATGCCACCTGGCGGTCAGGGCCCGCCAATGTTCGCTCAAGCCCCACCTGGATCAAGTAAGCCTATTCCAAATGCATTTCAAAAACTGTGCTAACCCTTCGTCCAGTGACGCAAATGCGAGCACCATATCCGCCAGCACATCAACCACACTATGGATCGCCGCATCAGCACCATCAGTTCCCTCAGCAGCATCGTGGTACCCCGAGTGGTAGTTATTCCCAGCCCATGATGCAGCAGCACTCGCTACCACCGCAAGCACCGGCTGCCGGACCGGCTAATCATGGCCCCGAAGGTGGTGAGGAGGTCAAATGAAAAGCTCTTTGACCGTCCAGCGATTTTCGAATGGCAGCTGTGGAATACACCCAGATTTTTCGGTTTTCCGTATTTCCGGGTCTATTGCTCTGCATTTAGCGTGGAAAGTGCGACAATTTCCTCTTATTCAATTGACAATTCAGCATGAGCGATTGGCGTTGGTTGGAATAAAACGGCGTCAAGCGGGCTTCCTTTCCGGTTACAAAAGTCCTGCGTAGCTGGAGAGAGGCAATTCATACCGGTCGCCATTGCAATAGTAGCGGTCGTATCTGCCACTGACTGCGGGTGGGTGGGTTCGAGGAGAGAAGCGCTTTGGCATTCTCTGAAAGAGGAGGTAATTGATGAAGGAAATTCGAGGTTATCAGAGTGTCAAATATGTGTGTATCGGCTTCTCCGAGCGATACCTCTATGATCAAGGATCTACCACTTTGCAGTGCCGAATCCAACCAAAAATTCAATGCATACAAAATCAATCCAGCTTTCGACCTCATATGACCTTCGTGATAACATTATAAATTAAACAGGAACTTTTTCAACTAAATTATCCCCTTTCTCTGCGTCTCGCGTTTGCACGTCTGACACTTTCATCGACGCCCCATCCACTTTTCAACAGCCCTTGCGATTCTTCCAATGCCAAACCTGCCGTCTCGGGATAGATCCTCCAAATGGCACCTAACGCACATGCACAGACCACAGCATATAACGCAAATGTCCCCGTCGGGGTAAAGAACTCCATCATGGGCAAGAACGTCAGACCCACGACGGTATTGGAACCCCAGTTCGTCGCCGTAGCAAGGGCAGAACCCAATGACCGAACCGAGAGCGGGAATAACCTGTGTAGCAGACGAATAATATCAGCGACTGGGTTTGAGAACGGAAAGCGGGGTTAGGTAGATTGGGAGTAACGAGAATAGATAGAGAGGAACGTACTCAGACTGCTGCCACGGCACATTGCCCAATCCCACCGCATAGCCCGCTACATACACCACCATGGCCAACAGTATAACAACAGGCCACAGCATCCCTTCTTCTACTGTAATCTCCTTCGCTCCTATCCCACCTGCAGCACCAGCCGAGGCCGGTAGGCGGAGAAAGATGAATGCGACGGCGCAGAGTGCGAGGCCGATGATCATGATGGGGATGGAGAGGAGGAGAATCCTGCGCCGTCCGATGCGGTCGATGTAATGGAACGCTACGAGTGTGAAGAGGAAGTTTGTTAGGGCTATGCTGAGGGAGGTTAGGGCTGGGGAGCGGAAGCCGACTAGGGAGAAAATTGTTGCGCTGAAGTACATTAGGGAGTTCTATCGGGGGGATATTTTGTCAGTCCATCTTCTGTCTTGTTATGTATATAGATACGCATACATGCGAGGGTTTGAGATTGGGAGGACAGGGGTTCATACAAATCCACAGAGCTGCTGAGCACCTTGCAGCAAACACGCTATAATCAGTGCTCGTCTGTTTCCACCTACGTTGACAAGCTGCGAGAAGTTGTCTTGGATCTGGTCGAGTTTCGCTGCGAAGCCTGTTTTGTCCAGATCCCTGGATCCACCTCTTACTACGTCTTCTTCTTCCAAAATCTCCCTTTCGACTCTCCGGAGGACGCCGTTGACTAGCACTTGTTCGAGATTGCCGCCGTCGTCTGTGCCTTGATACACGCGGCTTAGTATTCGGCGAGCTTGCTCCTTTCTTCCGGTTTTGATGAGATAGCGAGGGGTTTCGGGCATCCACCACATCCTAGAATATCATCGAATCAGTACACACCGTATAGACAAAGAGATGAGGAGGACTAGGAGCAAGATCAACATACAGAATACACTGCAGAGCAGCAGGCGCAGCCCCCAACCCAACCATCCACCTCCACCCATGCAACTGCATCGAAAACAGCCACCCAACGATATACGCAACAACCTGCCCACCTGTAATGAACAGACTCGAGACAACCACCAACCGTCCTCGGAACGGTCCCGGTGACACCTCCCCGATATACAAAGGCACAACGAAACTCGCGCTCCCAACAGCGGCACCTACGATGCTGCGGCCGGCGATCATCCCAGGGACAGAGGTCGTGAAAGCTTGGAGTAGAGCGCCGACGACGAAGAGCGCATCTGCGACGAGGATAACGAATTTACGGCCCCATGCGTCGGCGAGGATACCAGTTAGTGGCGAGGCGAGCAGTGCGAAGAAGGATGTGGACGAGGTTATTAGGCTTTTGTCGAGTGTGGTTAATGGTCGGGAGGAGAGATCTGTATTGATTGATATCAAGGTTGAAGAGATTACGCCGGTGCTGTGAGGAGGTAGACGTCAGCATTTGGCTGCCATATGGATATCCCTTCGATATTTTTCTTCTCCCATGCCCTCGTTCTGACTACTTCGTAATTCGAGTTATGAAGAGAGCGGGAGTTATACGACGTTCTTCAACAAGCCGGGGGAATTCAAAAAGAAGCTTGGGTATACACTTACTCATATCCAAACAACAACCCGCTCAGTCCCGCGCAGCACGTAAGAACCCATATAAACATCCCAGGTGTACCCAGCAACCTCTCATCCACCTCTTCTCCCTCTCCGCGCTCCTCCCCATCACTGAACTCCCCTCTCTGATCGCCCTCCACTTCCCCATCATTGTTGTATGCGTATCCGTTCCGAGGGCCGCCGTGCGCAATCAGTGGTTCAGCGGCGGTGTCGGCCATGTCGTCCAGCTCTACATCCTCTGCTGCGGGCGCCACGGTCTATTTCAGTGCGCCTTTCTTGGCGGAGCTTGGAGGGGGGAACGGTGCGCGTGAGCGTGTTGTCTAATTTGGTCGTGTGCGTTGTTCGGAGTCGTGTGGTGGTCTGCATGAAACACTTCTGGGCTCTGCTGCATGTGGGGAGCGGTGTGTATGTCGTTCGGAACGCTGCCGGAACCTAGCCGGAACTCTGTTTCTATTGATAGACTACGACAACCGAGACTCCTTGTGCATGTACATATACATGTATATATACAGGATCAAATGGAGTACGGGAACGTGCTCTTTTGACATTTCGAGTAGTTGTGTATTCCAGACTTGTAAGACATTGCGCTTTTGATGAGTCCGACACTTTGAGAAACAACATGCATATATTGACAGAGATGAAAAGCTAGAAGCAGATTTGACAACATGCAGAATGACATGAAATGAACTCCTTAGAGCTTGTAACTCCCAGCACCTCTCCGAACTGCATCCTCCTTCACCTCTTTGCCCTCTACATCTGTCACCTGTCCCTTCTTTCCGATGACCTGCACGCCACCCTTCTTCAAATCGCCAATCAACTGCTTCCTGTCCTTATGCATCTTGTCTTTTCCACTCTCCTCCTTATCCTTTGGCTCGTTGAGTCCTGACTTTTTGATTCTCTCCTTTTCTCTCCTGCGTCTCCTAATTTTCTGCTCCCGAGTCAATTCTTCCCGCGCAACAGGCAGACCGCCCTTCGTAGTAATCTCGGTATTGGTAACCTTGTCCTCGCCCGGTTTGTACAGCTCCTGAGGCGCAAGCATGCTGGCACCTGCCACCTCACCACCAGCAGTGGGGCGTGCGTCTTCCATTTCAATGGCAGGCGCATCAACGCGGATCTCGAGATTAGCGGTCGCGGGCTTGGGTTTGAAATGGCTAGAAGACAGTGAATCAAGCTTTCCACATATGCTCTTCCACATCTCAGAAATCTCTGCATGTTCCTTCTTGAGCTTCTCGTCTTTGGCGTCTACAAAATTGGCATCAGTAGCACGTAGGTGCTCCTCCTCATAAATCTCGGCGAGACCTTTCGTAGCTTTCTTGTCGTCGAGTTCGAACTGGCCTCGTCGTACTTTGGGGCCAGTGGCGAGATCATCAGGACGTCGGCGTTGTACCTCGTCGAACTCCCCAGCTAGAATACGTCGTTTAATGAGTGATTCGATATCTTCACTGACTTCCTGTGTTATGACGGGTATAGGCTTTCCGGCTCTTTCGAAATCGAGCTCTCCTTCCTCTAGAAGAGAATTCATGGGGCGGTCGGCGGCACGGGCTTCTCCCGAAAGCTGCCACTCTCGCTTTGCTACGTTGGCAGCTTCGAGTTTGCGGATTTGTTCAGCTATCTTAGCTTGTCTACGCTCGTGGGTCGAACGTCGCGACATTGGGTCTGAAGGATCCAAATCACTGAGGTCACCGTCGGATTCTACCTCATCGTCATCCTCGAAGAGGTCGCGTTGCACCCGTGACATTGCTGCCTCAACTTCCTGCGCATCAGGTTTGTTGTTCTGTGGGTCTGCGGCAGACGGGAAGTTATGCGGATTGGGTCGCCCCCGCTTCTTCTTGTTCTTGCCAACCTTCTTCGCCGGCGGCGCAAAGAAGTCTTTGTACATGACGTTGTTTGCATTTGACATGCCCATACCATCTATGTCGCCTTCCTCGAGCTCGTCGTCATCATCACTGTCTCCTTCCGGCGCATTCAGGTCAACATTCCCAAATGTCGGGCCACCTTCTTCGTCATCTGAATCATCTTCAACGCCATCATCTTCGTTCTTTGCTTTCGTGGCGTTGACTGCGAATGGGTCACCTTCCCAGTCAATCTCCTCGTCATCGCTATCCGCTTTCTCTCCCTGATTATCTTGTTGCTCCAGGAAATCAGTTACCTTGTTGAACCGGTCGATCTCGAAGAATCCGTCGTTGAGTCCATTGGGATCGGGTTGGTAGGTCTCTGCCGCTTCGTCATCTTCGGAGGCATCGTCAGAGAAGATGCCGTTTTGATCATCTTCCATTTCGATATCTTCTTCGCCAGATTGTTCTTGGCCCGAGGGCTCTCCATCATCTGAGCCGCTCTCGTCGTCAAGCCCATCTTCATCTGCATATTCCCAATCCACGCCTTCTTCGCCCAACTCGGAGCTATCCTCATCCTCTTCAATATCGCTAGGTTCTTCGTCTGATGTTCCGTCCTCTGTTACGCCAGTGCGTATTGGTATAGCTTCCTCCTCGGCATCGGGTAACGCTAATTCAATCTCTTCGGCTGCAGCATCCAGAATTTTTCTAGTTTGTTCAAACACTTGATTGGTACCAAATCCTTGAAGGTGAACCTTCTTCAAGTGCAACACTCTAATATCTCCATCGTATCCTTCCCCTCTTTTGCGTTTCCTCCGTAAGTCCTGCTGTCTCTGAACTTGCTCCTCGCTCACTCCAGCTGCTACAGGGTCGAGGTACTGTTTAGCAGCGGCGAGAAACGAAGAATTAAGATGTTTAGTGGGCTGTAGAAAAGCAACTGGGGAGGCGAGGAGGGCAGCAGGCGATTGGGTAGCTGAGTGTAGCTCCATCGGAGGCGGTTGGGCCGAGCTGGCGGAAAGCGTATGAGAAGAGATAGATGTGTCTGGGGAGAACGATGAAGGAGCCATGCTATTATACGGTCTCCAAAAATCCTGCAACCCTGTCTGTCTTGTGGGTTGTGTCGCGATTGTTCTCTTGAAGCGGGCGAGAAACTTTTTGGTGGAGACTCGGCCAAGATTTCGGTGGACCGTGCCACGCGCGCTAGTGCCACCCGCTTTTGTATCTACGGTACTTAGGTACGTAAGCGTACCCTATGTATCATCCGACTTGACATCAAGACCATAATCAGAATTTCATGAGGAATTATTGTCTATCCAATCGAAGAAAATTCTAGACTTCTCCTACCCTGATTTCTGCCCCCGGATTTCGTCTTCTCCATCTAGAATGTGAAATACCGTCATCTCTCTGAATGAACACGCGTACCGCATCATAGTACCACCAAGCTATGAGCCCACAAAACAGCATCTGGAATAGAATAGCTGTCGAAACGATCCACGGAGCCACATGCCGAGCATCTCTCATCAACTGGGGCATCACTTCTGGTAGGTGGGGGAGATGGAGTCCCGCCAATCCCCACATCGACCAACAACTACATCGATTCATGATACCCCATTGAGTGACCACGACGATAGCAATGTTGCTAAGCGCACAGAATACATCTTTGGTGAAAACGGACCAGAATCGCCATTCTCTAACCCAGTGCTCGATTAAAGATTCCAGAATGAAACTTGCAACCCATATCACAAACCTTGTCCATTAGTATTAGATAGACCACGGTGAAGACTTGCGAGATACTCACATTAGTGTCTCAGGTATGTGACGGCAACCTGGTCCATGAGGAGGGACGTAATACGACAGCAGAATCGCAGTGACATAGCTTGCCTAAATGTGAGGGTATAACGTCAGTATAGTTTTTAGTGGACTATCCGCGATGTCTCATCATCCAACAACTCTGTACTCAAGATTTACGTACACCCACAACAACTAATGCAGCAACAATAAATCCTGACATGGTAAGATTGCTGATTTTGTGCGATCGTGGACGATTCCATTTGGTAGGTCGCCAGGCGTTCAGACCTCCTTGTGCAGCTCTTGCTTCTCCAGTACTACACCACCGGACTGCCTCGCGATGTGCGGCCGAAGGCCTTCGTGATTGAACTTGCGTCGGTGTTTCTGTCACTGTACTTGGGAAAAGACTTGAACTCAGATCTCCTACAGCAAGAGTTTTCAATTCGACATTCACACAGTCCAGATGGTACTCAAAACCTTGGAGGAGTCGAGGAATGGAAGCCTCCGTCTGGGAAACACCAATCACCGACGCAATCGCGACTGAAGACGTAACCCATAAATATAATCCTGAGAAGGCCACACTGTGGATTTCAACATTCGGCCAGTTAGTAGGGCTTGGATTAGATGCAGCGGCCTTTATGAGAGCGATGATCCAACCACCAATGAAGAACAATTCAGCGAGCGCGACTGGAAGAGACTTTGTCTGGCGGTCAGCTGCGAGGCAATCTGCAGTTTCTTCGTAAATGTGTCGAATTTCGGTCTCGAAGCGAGGGTGCTTTCGAAGTCTCAAACTGAACGCATGTTAGTGGCTGCGCGGTCAGGAGCTGGAAAGAGCTGCTCACTATGTACGACGAAATTGGCGTAGTTGCTCGTCACCCTTTCCGCAATCATCATATGCGACCATGATAATCGCAAGTCTCTTCCATGTGCTGGCATACTCGGGGGAAGACGGGCTGATCTTAGCTTTCAAGCATAGCTTCTTTGCCGCTTCCACCCTCGTGTGACAAATCGCGAGTGTCACAAACATGCTTACGATGGAGTCTATCGGGTCTCCAAGAACGTGGAATATCGTAGCCGTCTCGACACGGAATCCAAGGGGAGATCGAGGGAACTGACCCACGAGCTGGAAGAGTGGTAACTTCCATGTTACAATTCTTGTCCCTGTATACTTGAGTTGGTACTCACAACACCCTAGAGATATTACACTGACATATATCTTCTATTGGATATGGTGTCCATTTGCTCCAGATAGCACTAAAACTGCCGCTTTCGTTTCCTGTAATCACCTCGCATGCTCGTTCCGTCAACAGCCGCGTTCCATGGAAAAATATCTCGCTCTCTGGTAAACATGTTTCGTTGAGTTCCTTGTAAACTGAGACGAATGTGCCAAAATCGAAGCCGTTTGTGTGCTTGCTAAGATGCGATAATTGACAGTCCATAGGTCAAGTAAATGTTCAGAAACTACCAGGTACATTCACGATTCGAGAGTATAGACTGTGCTTTATAATAACCGCAATGCAGTATGTATCTTCAAAGGGTTCCAAAGGGTACGGTGCTTCAGCTACTCCAAATGCTCACAGGAATGTCCTCTGAAGACGAGGCGACCACTCAGATTCAAGCATTATCGACATGGGAAACTGGGCGCACCTAGACTTGATCCATTATGCAACCACGCCAGAACCGGCCTTCGTATGGGGAGGTGCGATGATGATGAAATCAAGCCAATCGCTAACCACGATGCCTTCCAGCTGCTTTCCGCTGCTCGTATTCGCATAAGATGTAGCCACTATGTGGCTTTGCAGACCGTCGCGAGGAGTGAAACATGGTCGAAAACCAGGGAACTCGTCAGGTGAGAGGGTGCCAAACGAATTGAGGGATAACTCGATCCAATCAAGACATATCGATATGCATCTGCTGGCCACTTCCACACGCGCCCGCAGCCTGGAATACGCAGTCCTGCAATCGCTTCGCCCTGTTTCATTAAGAACACGAACATGTACTCCAACCGAGTGCTATCTATTTTTGTGTACATTGGCTTTGAGATTGGTGCCCTTCACGGGAATGTATGATGCATCTTTGAACATAATCATCGATCTACAAATCTGCAAGGCTGTACCGTCATGGTCGCCAAATCTTAAGGGTAAGGCTGAGCTAGTTTGTGAAGTTTTATCTCATTCTAGTCACCGCCATTTAGGCTTCCACATCAGCAGGACGCCGGTTTTCTTCTATTGGTATCACATCAGCCTTTGGTGTTGCGTTGGAGGCCGGCTCTTCTGTTCGTACTCCAACGAACGGAAAGTTCAGGAAAACGTGCGGGCAACCAATCGATGGCATACGTAATACGAGATCATGAACTATGTACATTTCATTATCCAAGAAGAGGAATAAACAAGTGAAAAATATGATACAGCTTCAAACTTCAAGCTAAAGCACAATCATAGCAACCCCCACAGCTAAAGCACTAGATAAGAAACCCCACACCAACCCTACCGAAGGCATCACAGCCTGACTGGGCGCCACCTTTCCGCTCACCCCAGTCCCGCTGGTGGCTGTGCATTGCTCTCCACAGCTATAACCCTCGGGACAGCAGTTCCCTCCTCGGGATGCGGGACAGCTGTACCACGCGCTGGGACAGCTTCCCCCTTGTCCTGGTGCCGTTGTTGCAAAGCTGCCACCGCTTGGCACAACTATCGTGATTCCGTTGGAGTTGACCAGCGTACTGCTAGGCGTAGGTAGAATGCAAGAACCTGTAGTCTGGCAGTCTCGACCGATGCGGCAACATCCAGAAGGATAGAAGGCTTGACAAGCGTAGAAACCAGTAGGGCACAAGGATTCGGTTGGTGAGCCAGAAGTGGACTGGCTATTCGAGTCGGTCCCGCCAGTAGGTCGAACAGGTGCGGAGGGCGGTGCTGTAGAGCTTGCACTTGAAGTCGATGTGGAAGTTTCGGATCCTACGCAGGAGGCTCCTGTTGCACAGGTCCGCCCATTTTGACAACAGCCTCCGCCTAGACTAGCAGCACAAGAGAACCATCCCGTACTGCAAGTGTATGCTGATGTTGAAGTGGGGGTAGGGGTTGCCGAGGTAGGTGGTGGAGCACTGCTTGTAGACCGAGTGGAGGAGGTGGAAGGTTGGACATAGGTTACCGACGTTCCTGCAATGACACCTGTAGTAATGTATGTTAGCCTCGAGCCATTGATCTCGCTGCCGGGAATTCTATGAATTCCCCTTGGATCCATCTGCGGAACTAGCACTTACACCCAACATCCTGGCAACTGTATCCGGGCAAACAGCACCCTCCATTCGGACTGTTAGGGCAACTCGTATAGCCATTGGCAGTGTCACAGCTAATACTGCCCTCACACTGTTGACCTTCGCTGCAACATCCGACAGGACCAGTCCCCGTATCTTGAATGGATATACAGGTCTGGCTTGTTCCGCAACAGCTATCCGGTGCGCCAATAGAAGAGCAATCGTTCGTCCCAGAAGGGCATTTGAAGTCGCGCTGCATGAGCACATCGCGGACACGGAATCGGAGGTGATAATCGGCCGAAGAGTGTGGGCGCAATGGCGAAGCAATCTGGCTAGTAACATTGGAAAGCTCCTCTTCATCTACCTGTCTTTCGACGTTCTGATGATCTGGAGCAAATATCCAATTGTCCAAGAAGAACATTTCGCCTTCGTCACCGCTCATTTTCTTTACACCAATAGGCCGCTCTTTCATCATTCGAGCTTGCACTTCCAGACCTCGCTTCACATGCATCTCATCTTCGGGGAAGTACTTGAGGTGATTCGGAAGATTGTGTGGCCATTGTTGTTGTTTGGGCACTAATTCGGCGACGATTGGAGATGCGCAAAGTAGAATGACGGTAGGTGGAAGCGAGAGTAAGTTTGTTAATTTCATGGTAACGTGGATGTCGTCAAAACGTAAATCGAGACAGAGATAGACACGAAAGTATGCAAGACAAAATAGCGCTGGGATGCAGCAGGGTCGTCATTAAAGTGAGGGTGGTTGGAAAGCTTGGGGCGCGGTCGCTAGGAAAATGGCGTGGCTGGGATGCGTTGGCAGCGCAAAACTTGCTCTGCAGCTTTCGACGCTGAAACAACAGAATGTACAACTCAACATATCCATCACGCACAAATCAGTAGAGAGATCATAACTGGCAATGCGCCGAAATGGTTGAGAAGGAAGCCGAAAGAGCTGTGATATGATATCGGCAAACAGCGGCACCCCACCAAGTGATGGCATTCCGATGATTCCGAAAATCCGACGCAAAGTTTAATTGAGCAGATACATTTCTTTTCCAATGTAGACATATATCGATCTAGTCAGAATAATTCAGATCTTGAAGCTACGAGCCTTCTCTTACGTTTTTTCCAAACATTGAACAGGATATAAATCACGAGTACAGTGGCAATGGTAGACGCTGGAGTAGTTTTCTCGGCTATTCTTGCCATTCTTCAATGGCGCACCCACATCAACCCTAGGTCAAAGTGCAAACCTCTCTCTACCCACGCGTCCAACCGTGAACATGTCTGACAGCGAGGAAAATGATGTGTTTGGTGTCAGCGAGGATCTTGTGCCACCAGCTGTCATCAAGTCTGCCGGGATCTCGGAAGTGGACTTCGATGGAATGTTAACGCCGCCTTTAAAGCTCAATGAAGACTTGAAGAACGGCTGCGGTGGACAACTATGGCCAGCGGGCATGGTTCTGGGTAAATATATGCTACGTAAGCAACAAGAAGATCTAGAGGGAAAAGAGATGTAAATATACATGTTGCTATTGTGATGCGAGTTCAAAAAGCTAACAAGCGTGCAGTGTCGAACTGGGCGCTGGTGGCGGGCTGGTTGGGTACGTCCATCTCCAATCTGTCTTGAGACACTGCAGCAATCCTCACTTCGGCACCCCGAGACCTGCTAATCACGTTGTTCAGTCTTGCTGTTGCCATCAAGTATAATTCCGCCAAGACTCTCCATATCACCGACCAACTTCCCATGTACGAGCTCATGAAACAAAACATTGTACTCAACGGTCTGGAATCCAAGGTGGAAGCATCAATATACGACTGGGGAACACCTACCCCATTGAATCTTCCCAAGCACCCTGACATCATTCTGGCTGCCGACTGTGTTTATTTCGAACCTGCGTTCCCACTTCTCCAGCAAACGTTACAAGACCTGATTGGGGAGAATACAGTATGCTACTTCTGCTTCAAAAAGAGAAGGAGAGCAGATCTACAGTTCATGAAGGTAGCAAGAAAACTTTTCGATGTGAAAGAGGTGGAAGATGATCCTGACAAGGGAATCTGGTCCCGAGAAGGCCTGTTCCTGTAAGTTTGAGCGGCTACGGCAGGTCTTTCGCGGCTTACAAATTTTCAGATACAAAATCGAAAAGAAGAACAAGTGAGCACAAATTCAGTATTTGAGTACGGTTTTTAGCCCGAACTGTCCATCCTTACTTTTATTCCATATGAGAGAATATAATCGCAACAATTCGAATTGGTTCGTCAGTGGGAGTTTCATCTGTAGTGCAGTACATGGGTTGTTGCGTGTGGTTGCTCTTGGAATTTATCTCTCTTGTGGAAAGGGTGGTGGAGGGGGGAAAAGATCAATCTCCAAGATAGGGGCCCGGCCTGGACTAGACATCGGCATATGCCAGCATAAGGTAATTTACAGAAATGCTCAAGAGAAAGACTTGAATCTACATACAATTCCAGATGAACTAATAGATAGTAAAAGCGTATTGCTAGTTGATGCATGCATTGTGAAAACATGATAATAGTACAATCAAGAGTCACCTTACACCTATTCCGCGTTTGGTGCAAGCGCCTTACTCCTACGGTCTACTCTTTCCAGGTAGCGCTTCTCTTGCTTCTTCCGGTGCAAAACTGAATGCAGCTTGTCCATTGGTGTGTTGGCAGGTGCCTCCACACCACTTTCCGGAATGAATTTGTTAGGTATCGCCCAGTCCTTCGCCTCCTTAGGGTAGCGCAATTCGCTGGACTCTTTGGCTTCATGGAGGTATACTCTCTTGGGTTCCACGAGCTTTCTTTCGTCCCATCCTTGCTCCTTGCGATCTCTCATCGTCTCCACCATTTTTCTCAGCTGGCTCATGCCATTTTCTCGGAACTGGGTGACCTTTTGTATATTCCTAGCAGTAATGTCGTTGATATGATTGGTTTCTGGGATATTGGATAGTGTCTTCGCGGTCATGGCAAAGCGCATATCTTTGGGGCCATCGACAAGTTCCAAGATAGCGGATTCGGCCTGGTCTTCCTTTACGGGCTCGATGCGGAGGATGCGGGTGTATCCACCAGGGCGGCTGAGATAGCGTTCTCTTATGGATCCAAATAGCTTTGGAACCATTTGATTAGGTTCCTGTGATAGATGGTCAGCATCTTCAAGTGCGTCGATTCCCTAGGCCATAGGCGCATACATAGAATATCTGATGCGCTCTCCGCCTCGTAGCCTCTGTATTCTTCTTTCCCAGGGTTATCATCTTCTCGGCCAAGCTCTGCACCTCTTTGGCTTTGTGCCATGTTGTTGTTATCGATTCGTGCTTGAAGAGCGATGTGACGAGGTTTCGTAGGAGGGCTTGTCGGTGAGACGAGGAACGGCTGAGGCCACGGTACTTCATGTGGCCGCCCGCCATGATGGGCAATCAATTACTGGAACTCGGAGAATGATGATCGGGATGATTGTCGTAGAGCGAGCACTGCAATGGCCGGTTGCTGAGGTCGACACTAGCCGGATCGTGAAAAGTTCCCCCGAAACGCAGCTCGATGGATGCGTGGATGGATCAACGTTCCTCCGCAGAAAAATCGGCATTGTCGGCGCCGTCCACTAAGAAGGCGGGCTAACGGACTAAACCACTTAAACACGGGTTAAACACGGGTTGCTCCTCACAACTTACCAAGCGCGAAAACGCGTCGCGCGTTCTTAAGTTCTTACTTCTACTCCCACTTTCACTCTCATAACATTCCCCTCACCCCCAACCACACCCTCTAGATACCCCAACACATTCAGTTCCTTTTTGCTTTCAATATGTTTGTCTTCAAACGCGGTAAGTAACAGTCCCGTTCATCTTATTCTACATACCACTTTCCATCCACAATTTGCTTCACACGCATGTCGTCGCCAGCACTAACCAACGTGTGATCCGCAGATGGACGCAAGGAACGCGTTCAGTTCGACAAAATCACTGCCCGGGTGTCCCGCCTGTGTTATGGCTTGGATCCGGAGCACGTCGACCCTGCTGCTATCACAATGAAGGTCATCTCTGGTGTATACCAAGGTGTCACAACTATCCAACTCGATGATCTGGTAAGTCTATCGACGCCCTGCGTGCAACCATGACGTCCGCTGATCATTATTTGAAGGCTGCCGAGACTGCAGCGTACATGACAGTCACTCACCCCGACTATGCGATTCTCGCCGCGCGTATTGCCGTGTCAAATCTGCACAAGCAAACAAAGAAGCAGTTTTCTTCCGTTGTATCCGACCTACACCACTACGAAGACCCCACCAACAACAAGAAGCTACCAATGATATCCAAGAGCGTCTATGATATTGTCATGAAGCATGAAGAGGAATTGAACTCGGCTATAGTATACGACCGAGATTTCAACTACCAATTCTTTGGCTTCAAGACCCTGGAACGATCATATCTCCTCCGCATCGACGGCAAGGTCGCTGAACGCCCGCAACACATGCTTATGCGTGTGGCAGTGGGAATTCACGGAGAAGACATCGAAAAAGCCATCGAGACGTACCACATGATGTCACAAAAGTACTTCACTCACGCGTCACCCACATTGTTCAATGCCGGAACACCTTCACCTCAAATGTCGTCATGCTTCCTCATCGACATGAAGGAAGACAGCATTGAGGGTATTTACGATACTCTCAAGACGTGTGCCATGATCTCCAAGACTGCTGGCGGTATTGGTCTGAACGTTCATCGCATCCGTGCGACTGGTGCTTACATTGGTGGTACTAATGGCACCTCTAACGGTCTCATTCCTATGCTTCGTGTATACAACAACACTGCTAGGTATGTTGATCAAGGAGGCAACAAGCGCCCAGGTGCGTTCGCTATCTACCTCGAGCCATGGCATGCCGATGTCTTCGGCTTCCTAGATCTCAGGAAGAATCACGGAAAGGAAGAAGTTCGCGCTCGCGATCTCTTCTACGCTTTGTGGATTCCTGACCTGTTCATGAAGCGTGTCCAGGAGAACGGCGAATGGACACTGTTCTGCCCCAATGAAGCTCCGGGTCTTGCTGATGTCTATGGCGATGAGTTTGAGGCACTATACCACAAGTACGAGGCTGAAGGTCGTGGACGTGAGACTGTTCGCGCCCAGAAGCTTTGGTATGCCATTCTTGAGGCTCAAACCGAAACCGGCAACCCATACATGCTCTACAAAGATGCCTGCAACCGCAAGAGCAACCAGAAGAACCTTGGAACCATCCGAAGCTCAAACCTGTGCACCGAAATCATCGAGTATACAGCTCCTGATGAAGTCGCTGTCTGCAATCTTGCATCCCTGGCTCTACCAATGTTTGTGGACACCAAGCGGGGCGAGTTTGACTTCCAGAAGCTGCACGACATCACACAGATTGTCACTCGCAACTTGAACAAGATCATCGAAGTCAACCACTACCCAGTACCAGAGGCTCGCAAGAGCAACTTCAGGCACCGACCGATTGGGCTTGGTGTTCAGGGCCTTGCTGATGCCTTCCTTAGTCTGCGCATGCCCTTCGATTCTCCTGAAGCTCGCAAGCTCAACACGCAAGTCTTTGAAACCATTTATCACGCTGCCTTGACTGCTTCCTGTGGGCTTGCCAAGGAGCTTGGTCCTTACGAAACCTACGAAGGCTCTCCCGTTTCTCAAGGTATCCTACAATATGATATGTGGAATGTCACCCCTACCGATCTCTGGGATTGGTCCTCGCTCAAGGCACAGATTGCGGACCACGGTGTTCGCAACTCTCTTCTGGTTGCGCCTATGCCTACAGCCTCAACTTCACAGATCCTCGGAAACAACGAGTGCTTTGAGCCATACACTTCAAACATCTATTCCCGTCGTGTTTTGGCCGGAGAGTTCCAAGTGGTCAACCCTTGGCTCCTCCGCGATCTTGTCGAGATGGGCTTGTGGTCTGACAATATGAAGAACCGCATCATTGCAGACGGCGGTTCCATTCAGAATATTCCCAACATCCCTGATGATATCAAAGCGCTCTACAAGACTGTTTGGGAAATTTCCCAGCGTACCATTGTGCAGATGGCTGCCGATCGTGGTGCCTTCATCGATCAATCTCAATCACTCAACATTCACATGAAGGAGCCTACTATGGGCAAAATCACCTCCATGCATTTCGCAGGCTGGAAGCTTGGACTTAAGACTGGCATGTACTATCTACGAACCATGGCTGCTTCGGCTCCCATCCAGTTCACTGTCGACCAGGAAGCACTGAAGGTTGCCGACACAAATGTCGCAAAGACATTGAAGCGTAAGGGCGGTGCACCTTCGCCATCGGCTCCCTCAGTGCCTCGTCCAATGCATCTGACAAAGTCACCAAACGGAGCGCCGACTGATAATGGTTATCCCACACCAACTGCCACCCCTCCGCCTGCTTCTGAAATCAAGTCTGCCAACGTCGTCAAGAATGATGCCCTCGACCCAAAGCCTATCAAGGCTGATGTGGATGAGGGTGACAGTCCCAAGGTCTTGGCCGCCGAACCAAACGGCAAGCCGGTCGAAGAGGAGAAGCTTCCTGAGCCTGCCACCAAGCAGGATGAGGATGGGGATGAGAGTGCCAACCGTGAAGGCGATATCTACTCCGATGCCGTACTCGCATGTTCGATAGAAAACAAGGACGCATGCATCATGTGCAGTGGTTAGATTGAGTGGAAGCGGTTCATGATGTTACGTGTATAGGTACAGGTACGAGTATATGTGGATTCAATTGAGAGTAAGAGCTGCAAACTCAGATGGGGGTTTCTCCTTTTTTATTTCATCTTATGATCACGGCGTTTGGTTTCTGTAGGATAGCTCGAGTAAACGGATCTCGAGTTCGCCGATGGCTATGGCACAGGTATGCTTAGGTAGGATTTAATTCGATAGTAAACGATGGATTCAGTGCATAATTCACCCCACTCAATCACCTGTGGAACGTCATCATCCTCAATTACATCCATGCCTATTCATTCGGTCTTGGTTTTTCTTGACTACGAGCCTCGGCTTCGACATACCGCGGAACGGTTCCGACGCCCTACGAACGACAATCTACATGCGCCCTACACCGTGCGGCGTCATGGACATCGACTTAAAACTATCACCTCAATCTTAGTATCCTCGAGAAAAAGGTATTTTAAGTAACTCTAGACTTGCTCCACGTTCTCGACATCCTCCACTCACGGATTAGCCCCACAAACCGTACACCCACCTCTTGCGCTGCCACATAATCAACCACAGCTACCCCACATTCACCCCCACCCGTCTCTAACCTTACACACATTACATACATATATATACATACCTCGCCTACATCAGCAAAGCTCGCTCCCATGTTACTCCTCCGAGCCCGACCACTTCTCCAACGCACGAGGTTCCCACTCCCATCCTGCGCCCCCCAACAAACTCAACTCCCCTCGTCGATCTCATCAATCAGAAGAACCATGGCGTCATCCTCCAACTCGGCTGCTGCGCCGCTGCAAGAATGGCTCGTCATTGCGCCGGACCACAAGGGCGCGCTGGAGAAGAGACTTAGTGCTCGGCCGCAGCATTTGGAAGGCTTGAAAGCGGACCATGAGAAGTTTTGGCTGTTTGGCGGTATGTTTGACTTGTCTTTCGTATAACTTCGTCACCTTTCTAGTATTACTTGGGGGGTTTCTTTTTTCTTCTTTCATTTTGCTTTTACTCTTCACGGCCTTTTGTTTCGTCTCTGTCTATGGGATATTGCGAGCTGAAGAATGCCGGTGCTACTGCGTTCAATTTTTTCTCTCCTGCATTGTCTTTGGAGTTCACAAATATTGAGCTATTGCTAACAAACGACGTGAATTGTCGTGTTCACAGGAGCTATGCTAGAAGAGCCCATCAAAGAAGGCGATACAAACCCTCCCAAGATGAGCGGATCCGTAATGTTGATTGGCGCCAAGACAAAGGAGGAAGTTGTGGAGAGGCTCAAGAGGGACAAGTATGTTACGGGTGAGGTTTGGGATTGGGAAAAGGTGCAGATCTTCCCGTTCAAGTCTGCTTTGAGGAAGCCGTTGTAAGTGAGCTTGGGCTGGTGGTAGTGGGGGATCATGCATCGAGACGCTGGAATATGGTGGTGTTTGTGTGGAACTCTGTGTTGAAAATGATCATATTGATGGGAGTGCTGATTCTCTCCCTGCTGAGCGACCAGCTTATGTACATCTACGTCTATTCTATAAATTGCATAGACAACTATACGATGGCCTTTCCCAACCGTGTCTATACACGCTGAATGATAAGGCCGCCCGTTTTCAGGTTTCTCTTCGGATGTCCCTCGTTTTAGGTGAGATTGAGTCAATTAGTGCTCGCGCGGATTCGCACAATGCGCACTGCACCGTATCCGGATATGCTGACTCGTATCGCCTGAATGTTGCTGCCTTGGATGCCTTTTCTGTCCTTGATCAGGAATCAGTGGCAGAGTCTCCGTGGCACACTCTCCAGGCCGAACCTCTGTCACGCATCGCACGGTTTTTCATGGTACGCGCGGTTCCAGGCAAGCAATTCCGTGGCTGAGCACAGTATCTTTACGCGGTGGAGCCTTTGACATGCTACCGCTTTGGGCAGGGTTCTTCATTTGATAGTACCGCATTTTCGAAGATATTTCGCGTCTCCTATGGGCCTCTCCTCCGCTCCAAAGGAGCGACTTTGATGAGATCAGTCACCGTCGTGATCTGATAGCCCCTTCTCTTGATTTCGGGGATTACTTTGCGCAACATTGGTAATGTCCAGCTCCGCCTGTCGTGACAAATGATGATTCCACCCGGCTTCAACATGCTCAGGATATGCGCAGCGTTGACTCTCCAGTAAGGGATTTGTGGGTCATGTGGGTAGATATCGCCCAGTACAATGCGATACTGAAGCATATCCATCCGCGCACGCATGCGCTTGGAAAAGAAACCCGATCCCGGTCGGAAGAAGCGTGGTGGTCGTGCATCGGTACCCGAAGTATTGTAGGCAGTATTGATCATGCCATCCACTTGGTCCATTTGCATGATGAGTTCGGATTCGGGGAGTTTGACCGACGGTTCATCGTGCATGGCGTGATTCCCGAGCTCATGACCTTGTTGAACCGCCTCTTTCAGAATATCTTCTCGACCCGGAACCTGGTCACCAAGGACGAAGAAAGTTGCATGCGCATCATTTTCTTTCAAAATGTTCAAGATATCGCGGGTGTGGGTCGAGGGCGCATCGTCGATGGTCAACGCGACAATCTTCTCCGACGTGTTGACATGCCATATTACGCTCGGAAAGTGGTGTACGAATATGTTAATCAGAAATGTAGGGGGTTTGTAGACCAAGTAGAAGGGAGTTAGGAAGATGACAACAGCCATGGTTGCGACAAACATGGTCGCTACTCTGGAACGCCGGTTTCGACGTCGAAGTTTAGAGGGCAAGCGCAAGCAAGACGACAGTCGTAACATGGTTGAGGATATTGCATGCTACAAAGAAAAGGGTAGAGCGAGGATGAGAGAGAGAGACATTTTTTTGCGAGGCGAAGTCGAGTTCGGCGTGCAGTGCACTGCAATGCAAATGCAAATAGCTTGTGACAATAATGGCTGATCAAGGAGAGACGGTAGGATGAGGTCAGCCCGGAGACTCTCAAAAGGCAAATGAAGCTAGTCGAAGTGCGGTTTAGTGGAGTGCACGTGCACCAGATCCTTCTCTTAACAATTCCTTCGTCGAGTCTTTTCTTCTCTCCCACATTCGCAATTGTACGATACAAGGCGGTTTCTGTCTTGTTCTGCCCCCACCTTCATGTCTATCCCTCCTCGTCAATGATCCTTCAATTGCGCGTCAGCGTGTGCTACCTACATCGCCTCACACCATCGGCAGTTTAGCACGCTGCACAGCCCCGGCATTGGCAGGTTCACTACACATCTGTGCTCATCTCCTTCGAGCTGATGGGGCTAACCAGCACCATGCAGTCGATGTATCATGCCCGTAGGAGGGGCCCGATCGACGCAATGATCGTCTGAGTCGGAGACAGGTTTGAATCAGCCCCATTGGCATCATACAAACCCGTTGCGCCCGTTCAGGCAATCTACCGTGACTGCTACTCCTTTTTGCTCTTCAATACTATACCCACAACGACATGGTTGTTTTCAATTCCCATGTATTGATGGCAACTGTGATTTGTCGAGGAGTTCGGAACCAATTTGTCACGCTTATTCGAAATGTTTAATCCCACTTCGTTATAGGCCCTCTTAGAATGTTCCCAGAATAACTTTGAGCGTTTAATTGACCTGGCTGCCTAATCCACATGGCTACTCAGGTCTCATTGCGTTCGTACATCCCTAAATCCGTGCATAGACTGTTCAGTATGAGATGCCGTCAGCAGATGTGTGACAATCTATTCATGTTGTAAACGGGTATTGCATCCCTGGCCTCTGGTGCTGAAAGCAAAACTCCTTTTTTGAAGCTTTTTGTGCCCGTCTACTTTTTGTTTAACCCTTTTTATCATCCTTTTTTAGTGTAGGGACCACTGTAACTTCCAATCAAAAAAAAAACTCATGTTGTAAAAAGGTGCCTATGTAATTTGGCGAGTTGCAATGTGTGTTCGCTCGCGACATCTGATCAAAAGCAACTGCAGCGACATTCGTGGCAATACAACCAATCTATATATCTCGGGGTATCAGGCAGAACATGAAACCAACGACTATGAAACAGAAACAAACGTACAGATACTATATCCCGCGTTGATTCATCCCTCATTGCTCTTCCACTTCTTCCATGCTGATACGAATCCCGATTTATTCTTCGCCTCCTTAGAGCCTGATCTAATGCTGCTCTCCATGTTCACAGTCCCCAGGTCGACTAAGGGCACCATACTGGGCCTCCCATGCGCACAGACGAAGGGAAACACACAACCAGCCAACTTTTCTATTAACTCTTGGCAGGTCTGCAAACTCAGTTCGTCATTGAACATAATTGCCGAGCGACAGGCGCGTGAATTAACGAGCTCAATGAGACCTTCGGGGCATGTAGATAATTGCCTGACCCACGAGGTTGTCTGTTGGGCTATTTGATCGGTGGGATCCGCAGAGTCTTCCATGGCGATTGAGGTGGAATGCCCAGCATCTGTATATTTCCACACAGCTGTACGGAGGAACGAAATCAAAACTTGCGGATCTGCTTTGCTCCGCTCAGAGATGGCTGGAGGCAATGTTGTGACGGACAGGACGGATGGTTGCCTCCCCGAGACTGCAATGCTCGAGGAAGCTTCAACGTTGAACAAGATACCCCAAGCTGCGAATTTAGCGGCATTTATGATGAATTGTTGCTGCTCCTGGCCGGAGAGAGAGAACCGTATTGGCTTTTCCAAGATGACAAAAGCCACGCGGGATCGGTGGCCCAGCTGTGAACGGTACTCCGCGTGCGAATGGTTTGAGAGAGGAGGCCTGCAGAGCTCAGATAGCAGCATTTCGACCTGAATACGTTCATCTGCAGCATGTTGATCTATCAATACGAGTACTTTGTGTTCATTGTAATTCCCATGACCACGGTTGGATGATTTGTGTCGAGAATTTTGCATACTGGCAAGGATAAATTTCTTATCCAACTGGGCCAGGACTTGGGCACGTTTGAGGTCAGTCTTGGACAGCTTGCTTGCAGTGATTGACGAGAATTGATCTGCAGCGTGCGCACTTGCTTGATACAGATTGGAAAGGTCTTCATGAGAACAGGCTTGTTCTATGCTCTTTTCCGTAGGTTGGAAAACGGGGTTACGCCAAGTCTGAAGAATCGCGCTCAGCCAGGGATTGGCTGTGGTGGTTGTAGTTGTAGTATGCGGTCTGTCCGTGAGCCGCGTACGTCCACTGTATTCGTTTAGCGTACTGGCATGGGTCGCGCTCAAAGGTCTAGTCGGAGGCCGCCGTGTCAATACAACGCCTGTACGAGCGTTGAGTAGAAAAGTCTGTTTGGTAGTTGGTTCTGTTAGTGTGATCACCTGGTCGGAGACTTCTTCGGTCGTTGTTTGCGGAGAGTCTCTTTCCTCTGCTATCTTAGCCTCTACATTTCCGACTGGGCACTTGTTAAAAGTCGAGATTGAAGCAGCAGGAGCGTGAATGAGAGTAGAATCTCGAGATGATACATCTTTGTACGTCTCGAAGAAGTCTGCTTTCCCACTCTTAATTCGTGACCACTGAGCAAATGGATGAAGGCTTGAGTCTTTCATACGTTCAGCTCTTACAGGGGTCTCTCTCTTTCTCTTACGAGATTGTAATTCGCCTGAATTTTCAGATGAAATATCAAGTGCACTTGACGAAGATTGATTTGTGTTGAACTCAGAAGTCGAACCAGTGGGAGGCTTTGGCATATGATTTGTAGGAGACGAGTTTGTATCGGTCTTGTTTGCTCGTGATTTACGGGGTCGGAAATTATGCACCGATAGCCACTGCGTGATCATCGCGTTCAATACCCCTATCACTGCTTGTATGCTACTTTTATTTTCAAGTAGATAGTCCTCAGCTCGCGTCGAGTTTTTGTCGTTATTCAAGGCTATGCGGAAATGGAACATTGGATACCGGTCAACCCCTTTCCGTGCTGTGAGCTGTCTGTTTGTGTATCCGTCATGCTTGAATCGGTTGTCCTTCTGGCGCCTAGCGTTCTCTTCGGCGTCAACACTCTTGTAATCTTCTACAACTCCGAAACTAGACAGTGAGAATATGCGATTGACTTCATCGATCAACTCATTATGACCACTTTCGATGGATAGATTCCTGAGACCAACGGAGATGAACTGAACGTGTTTGTGTGGCGCAGGATCCAACGAGATGGCGCCTTTGATTGATATAGTGGAGGTGGATGCGGAGGTTGGAATCCATGATGACCAGTCACCAACTGTTATGTAGTTGGCTTTTGTAAGGAGATTGAGCATATAGTTCAATCTCGACGGGCTTGGGCTGAGACTGCTGTGGGCACTGGTAGATAGTGGGATATTTATCGGCGTATTGCCATCACCGTCTCGAATTCTCAACGATACAGGCTGGGTCCAGCTAAGCAAAAGGCCTGTGACGTCTCTTTTCAGCGTAGCCCAGAGACGGTCATATTCAGACTTTTGCCCGACCAAGGCGGCCCGCTGTTTAACCCTTACGGGCAAGTTTCCAAACAGATTACGAACAGTCACGCGGGTACCATGACGGGCATTTATGTCGTATTGGGATTGGGCAGGCAGCTGCCTGTCGATGACTTTAGAGTAGTGAAGAGTCAACAAGTTGTGCGAGCGATGTTGATGATGACGAGAGACGACATGTATCAGACACATGGCAGCGAGCGAGGCAAGAAAGGTACCATTGCAGCCCAGACAGGCCTGGCCTGGATAGTATTTGGACGTGCCTAGACCCGTAAGCCCGAAGAAAATTCATTTGAGGGCTTTGCACGAACAATAGAGTTTGCAGAGACCTCCATCCTGACGAAATTCGGATGGAGCAATACCGATGCCATTATCCTCGACTGAACAGGCTGCGCGCCCAAAGTCGACCGTGACGTCTACGTGGGTGGCATTCGCATCCAAAGCGTTTTTCAATAACTCGATGACAACTCCGGTCAATGAGGTCACGGAAGCAGAGGACTTGATCTGGGCCACAACGTCGGTCGGCAGCGGCTGAATGGGATTTTGACGGCTGCTAGCATTTCCCACTCCCTGCGGATTCATGACAAGCCAGCCATGGGCGCCCAGAAGCCCCTGCCAATGGGGAAGAGACGAAACCAAGAGAGCCCACCCAAAAGGGAGTCGATTAGGCAAAAGGGATCAGGGGAACAAGTTGTTGGGGTGGCTGGACGAAGCTTTGATACGACAACAAAAGGCACAGAAAGGGTGTTGAGTGTTGCATCATCGCCGGCCGGCGCTTGCCCCGATACGGCTTAGTGATCTGCGTCCCGCAAATCGGTGGCGGACCCTGTGTCTGTCGCTAGCCCAGCCCAGCCCAGCCTCCGTGCGGTGAGTGACGACTAGGGAATAATAATGCTGCTACTGTTCTCACGCCGCCGACGCTACACCACACACTACATCAGGTACACGCTCTACCCCCATAACACCACTCGACCCTCCCTGTGCGCTCGGCACTATTCTACCACAACAACTCGGCAAAACACGACACACTACTACGATCCACCTTCCTGTCGCTTCTGGAAGTCCCTACCTTCTTTTCGAGGCTTGTTTCAGACCACCGTCATTGTTCCTCCCCAAAACTCCACGTGGGCGGCCTTGCTATCGGCATACATATATACAGCCACGTAGGATATCGCATCACCAAGCGTCTATATACCCGCGGAGTATCGACCAAATCCGACCGCCAACGCTATCTCCCTTCTCTCTAGTGCTGCGAGAATGGCTACCGCCGAGGCCGCGTCCAGTCCGCATGGTAAGCTGTTCCTCATTCCACCTCCGTACTATATATCACACCCCCATCCCCCTCCCCAAACTACCACATGATTTTATAATGGTTCTAACATCCCCGGGCAAAGATCGCCATGCTCGCAAGCGCCCCTTCGCCGGCTTCATGAAGCGCCTGGCCAATCTCAAGTCCTCCACCACGTCCGACCACTCCGGCGCATCTGCCAAGAAGAACCAAGGCACTGCTCAATCCAAATCGAAGAAGACTGCCGCAAAGAACAACCCATATCCAGAGTCGGGCCACGTCAACGGAACCCCGAACGGAGCCGTTCGTCCTTCCTTCTCCAGCGCCGCCACCCCGCGGTCGACCGAGAGCTTCACTTCCGTGGAAGACACTGGCGCCCCAGGCCAGCACAACATTCTGGCAAAAAGTAACAAGTCCACCGCTCCCACCGTCGCCACTCATGCTGGAACCGTGCATTCCGGCAGGTCCAAGGCCGATACGGGCATTAGTAACACCGTCGGAGGAGGGAGCACCTTTTCCTCGCCGAATCATTCGGAGCGCTCACTGACAACCACTCTGACTACTATACAATCTACGGCTCCCGTCACTGTGCTGGCAGCAGGTCAGGCCCAAAGCACATCAACTGCCAATGCCCCACCTGTACAGTTCTCTCACCAGTTCCCCACCTCGCCTCCGCCATCGGCCATCCCCTCGCATCTTGCGCCCCAGTCCCAGCCGAATACATACCAAGCTGCAACCGCAAACAACATTCTTACAGATAACGCATCAATCCTGACCTTGGCCTCTTCATCAAAGCGCCAACGTCGCAACTCGCTCGATACGAATGCTTCTGTCCGTGCCTTGGCGCCGTCATCCGTCTGGGGAGGCAGTCGAGAGTCGCTGCCACTCAGTGTCTTGTCCGGCAATCCCGACACTATATACAGTCCGCAAAATAGGCCGGGTGGTGTCGGTGTTTTTGTGAATGCGGAACGGGCGAGCGTCTACTCGTCCTCGGGAGTAGCTGTCCCAGCACTCAGCAGCGAGCGCAACAGCTATTATGCCAACAAGCAGAACGCCGACGGTCTCAGCATTCGCAGCGGGCGATTGGGCCATGGCCGTACGGATAGTACCAACGGCAGCATTGGACCCAACCCTACGAGTCCTCTGGCTAGTCCCAGGGAGAGTACCATCCCCGGCAAACTGAACCTTCAAAGTGCGGAAGGAAAGGAGAATGAAGAGGGCAGTGCTGATGGAGAGGATGCCGAGGTGCCGGCTAGCCCTGTTTCCACCGAGCCTATGGGTAAAGGCAAAGCCAAGGCCGTCTCTGTCAAGTCCTCTGGCTTTTGAGACTGTCATGTTATGCGGCAGTATTTAGTTGGATTCAATTCGAGCGGGGGATTGCTAGAAACCCCTACAAGCTCGATATACACGAGCTGGCGTCCGAGCAATGTCAGGGGAAGGCGCGTGGTCTATGGAACTTGATATTATACCCTATGGATGCTGGGAGTTAGCGTTATCGTATTGGTTAATTAAATCAAATCAAACCAAATCAATGTCTGTACAGAATTTCTAATTGTGCGTTCTTCCTCATCAGATCTCGTGTCCGTGCAACCATAATCATCTTTGGGGGGGGGGGGGGGGGGTCTACTGCTGTAGATGCCAGGAACAACAGCGGGTAGCAACTTTGTAAGTGCATATACAGCGTGACATGAAGCTCTGCATAGCTTGTCTGAAATACATCAGTACTTTATCAGTGTCTTCTTGAGATACACCACTGGACGCATTGAGAATGGCCGACTTTGAACTTGACCATCGACTCAACTGCCTAAGTATACTTATCCATAGGCGATACCCGTGAACGTCAATTAGATGACACAACCAGTCATTACGATAATTTTACAGTTCCACGAACGATTTTGTCATGCCGGAGTCTTGTGAGTTGTGTTTCAATTTGGTCGAGAGACTCGAAAGGAGCTCGGAGACAGGTTATCTATATCCTCGCAGAAACCTGGTCAATCAGCTAGATATGCCTAAAGTGACCATATCGCAACTATGAAGGTTTTCCTCCTATGTTGCGGCAGTGTGATCATCCTCCGCATCGAAGTACTCCTCCTCGTCCTCTCCTTCCTGGTCAATTCCGGGGTTGGACTCGCGCGAAGGATTGTTGGTAGAGAATGAGGCTTCTGGGGGAGGTGAGCGCTTGTCGCTTCGGACGCCTCGCCGGCCCTGCGTTGTGGTGGTTGCTGATGAGCGCTTCTCCATACGGCTCTTGTTGAGAATATCGCGGCGAACAGAGAGTGAGCCCATCCAAGAGAAGTACCTTGAGACATGTGAGTGACCGATCAGAGTTAGTTCATGGAGGCGGGTTTAACTCTTACCAAGTGGTGCGTCCGTGCCCAAAGCGACAGTTCATATCGAAACATCCTCGGAAAGGTAGATTCTTCTTGATGAAATCGTCGTCGGGTTGTTTGTCACACTGGCTGCGCTCCATACAGTCCAAGCAAAGGCCGTCAAAAGCAGCCATAGTCTTCTTGATAGCAATCTTGACAGAGTTCTCGAAATTATGATAGCAGGCACCAGAGGAACAGGACTCCACCTTAGGAGTGAACCGGAACTTCTCCAGCTCTGCAGTAATCTCATTGATGGGGTAGCGCTGGACAGCTCGGTCAATTGGCCAGCAGTCTAGAGCGATGAGGGCTTCCTGGTAATCGAAGGCAGTCTCCTTGCGGCAATCGCAATCGGCGTTATGTAACTTCTTTAATGGAAAATACAGCTCCCTGTCTAAGGTAGACTGGATATGAGCTCGAGCATTGGTCAGCGGACCTGAGTAGAATTAGCACGATTGATTCTCTTTCATCGCTGATAATGACCAAAACTTACCATCGAGAACGCGGGCGTCGTTGTTGAGGTGCTGGAAGTTGCTGGGATTATGAGTGAATATATGGCCATTCGTATTAAAGGCAAGAAACTTGGTGAGCTTCATAAAACCGTCTGCGTGGTCGAATACGCTGCAAGGAAATGCGAGGCAGCAAGCCGTCATGGGGCTCAGGCCAGGACCGTTGTTAAGAGCGTGTTCGTAACAGTCGATGAACCAGGGTTTGAGTTTGTGTAGATTCTGAGGAGCGAAGCCGAATTGCTCACCCACACCGATAGCAACCCAGGCACGCTCCGTGTGAGTAGCTTTGAGATTCGGTGGCAGTGACTTGGCACCACCGTGTATCTAGAAAGTCAATCTTTGATCCGTGGCAGGGGCATCGAAGGTCTCAACGAGGTACGACGTGTGGGTACTTACAGCACGCAACCATATCTCGAAAGCGTAGCCGAAGCCGATTCCGCGATTCTCAAAAGTAGCCATGTGCTAAGAGGCATTAGCTGTTATGTAGAGTGTGCTGGATGGAAATCATAGACTAACTAAGTCAGGGCGGGTGCTGAAGATGCCTTGGAAGAAGCTCGAATGCTGCTCCAAGACTTCGCGAGACACACGAAACTGTACCAAACGCGTGCGCTTTGGCGGCGCGTTGGTGCCTTTCTCAAAGAGGGGCTTTGATTCTGGGACGAGTTGAACCACAAAATCTCCATCGTTTGCGACCGTGATTTGAAGAGCGTTGGCAGGGACGGCATCCGTATCTTTGGGTGCAACGGAGTCGTCCATCGTGTGCGTAACTGACGGCGAAGGTGAATCGCGCGATGTGGATTCTGGGTGAAGACAACACAATTAGAGGTAATGAAACTGAGCGTAGTGGAACTGGAGGGAGAAGAGACGGGGTAAAGAGAGAGACCCCGAGGTGAGGTGAGGTGAAGTGGGATGAGGTGAGGTTGAGGGGAGTGAGCTTGGAGGTGGGAAGGAGTTGAAACTAATGGAAGGCGCGCCCTGGCCGGATCGGAAAAACTAGAGTAACTTCAAACGACCTGGTCATACATGTATGAACCGAGTGAAAGCAGGTGGGGTAAGCTTGGAAAAGTCGATCCTAGTATCCTGTACATATGTACTCAGTGAATGATTGGCGAGCGGAGGGTTAAGGGCGCATGCTTAAGGACAACTAGAAACGGCCACAAGATCGAGAGAGTGCCCATATAGTGCATAGAGTAATTGCATTATTCGAGATACAATGGAACAGTAGCTACGATATACGTGATAGGAACATTAGAAAAGACAACTTGCATTGGCCCATTACCTGATGATCGGCTCTGTCCGCTGGAAACAGCTACCAGCGCACCGCCTAACTCAGATGTACGGATAAAAAGCATCTTCGTAAACAGCAGGGGAATATGATATGTGAATCTCATTGTGGTCAACGCAAAGAAATTGGGAAAAGAGCAAGACATTCGTCACGGCTGCAGCCTCTGATAGCGAGAGCAGTCGCACCAAGATCCGCGTACTCAACGGATCCAATCCTGGCGACAAATTGGGCATGTACCTAAAAACGAACGAAAATGATTAGTTTTCTTGTCTTCTTCTCGCTCTCAGGTCTCCTCCGCTATCCAGATCTCCACTTAACATTGGGGAGGGGTGGGAGCGAATAGACTGACCTTTTCCATACGAGCTCCGCTGGCTCTTGAGCCACGTATCCATGCAAACCTTGTGCACGTTGTTGCCGCAATAGCTCTTGCAGTACGTGATGTTCTCCTTGCCGGGCACAAATTCCATGTAGCAGATAGGGCAGTCCTCGCCTTCCAATGGCTTCCGCTTGGGGTCCGCAGGCTCGTCTACGATGACCCCGACGGATGGTGCGGCAGGTGCGTTGTCGAAGATGCCTTGCCTAGTGGGAGGAGTATAGAGTCAGTAGAACGTCAAGAATATGTGATGTTGAAGCTTCGAGGTATATGGACGGGGCTAACGTACAGTTCCGAGGAAGTGAGGGCGAGCTGGTATAGCAAGTGCGAAGTCTCTGCAACTTTGAGCACTTTGACCATGGTGTAGATGATGTGCTTGCAAGGAATGCGACGCATTGTGAAATCCATGCATGTGCACGACGACACATGGCGGATGTTAACGGTGTCTAGACAGTTACTGTATCAGCGATTGCTCAATAACTCTCAATACTCGCGTATCTGCGAAGGACATAGCGTAAAAATGATAAAATAGGTGAGGGGGACACTTACAGTCCTTTCCAGAATTACCAGCAATAGTAAATGTCTCACGGGGCGCTTCAAGGTTGTCGCAGCGCTGACGATCGACAAAGAGAAGCGGCTGCGAGAGCGCTCGATCCATATTCCCCAAAAACTTGCCCGAAGGTTGAGTCTGGAAGGCCTTCTTCCTGACTTCCGCGTCCTCGTCGCGATACTCGTCTACATAGTCGCCTGCGATCCTCCCACGCGAAGGGGCCGCTGGACCTTGATTACGCGACCTAGATCGAGAAGAAGAAGAAGAAGAAGTCTGAGACTTGGCCTTAGTCTTAGCTTTTCCCTTGGATTTCTTGTTGGAGGGCTCGCTGTTGGTGGTTGAGTCACGTGTGTTGCTCTTGGCCTTGCTGGCGGATGTCTTCTTCGCCTTCTTTGCAGGAGCGTCCTTGATGTCGGCATCCCTTTCAGTCGGCTCCTTGTAGTTGACAGCCCTTTGAAAACATCGTTAGCTTTATCCAGTATGTGAATGTAAACGCAGGTTGAACTCAGGCTTTCATACTTGCGCTTCCTAGTCGAGCGCTTGGGCGCGGTAGTGGTCGATTCCGCAGTCTCGTGATCAGAGGACACGGCGATCGCGGCGTGAACTGCACCTTGGTTCTTGCGGGGCGCCATCGTGCACGGATGGTAGGGTGCGGATGGTGTAGGTTGGGTGGAGGGTTGGGGGTTGGAGTTTTGGACGTGGCGAATGTTTGATGGGTGATGAGGTGACGTTCGCGACTACCCAATTGGGGGAGAAGGAAACAAACATGCAGGACGCGGTTGGCTGGTTGCACGGCCAAAAAAAAAGAAAAAGGGTCTTGGTATTTTGCGAGTACATGGGGGAACAAAGAAATATTGTTTATGATGTGGACTTGTGCAATTTCGAGTGAAAATGCATTAGGTGTAGAATGCTAGCTACCTACCTATGTAGGTATGACAGAAGGCTGGTTGTGAAGTTCAACATAACGTCTCCAACTATTACACCATGACATAAGTACAAATATATACCTAGGTATATAAATTAGTATATGCGAATGAATACGATATAAAGCGGAGTCGTTATCTTACTATGGTTTGTGATATCCAGCCGTACCGCAACTTAGCAAGTGTGTTCGGGTATTGCTATCTCACGCTAACGTCTCTATCGTGTATACAGCACTATACATACCCTGGTACGTACCTAGGTACCTACAGTCAGTAGTCGATTTTAAGCAGTACCTTCATCCAGCCACATGGTCACCTTACATTTGAGGTGCACACAAATGTGGTGTCATCTAATGGGTTCAGCGACTACACAACACATTACACAAGTAAATTCACTCAGTTCAATTCCTTTCGAGATACGAAGATACGTGATACAGACAGAAAGAAAGAAACTTTTTCAAAAGGACACAAGCTGCATAACCCCCTCTACACATGCAGTTCAGCGGCCTCGTTGAGCTTCAGCTGACCGGCGTCAACATATTTCTTCAACGCAGCCTTGACCTCCCTCTCGTAGAAGGCATCGACCTGCTGAGGAGCCCGACCAATAAAAGTATCGGGTTTGACCAGCTGATCCAATTCCTCCCAGATAGGGCGGAAGAACTGAGTCTTCCGTATCCGCTCAATCAAATCATTGTCTCTACCGAATTGTTTGACTTGAGCGGCTGCTTCATGTGAGAGGATGCGGATCTCCTCGTGTGCATCCTGACGTGAAACGCCCTTCTTGACAAGCGCCATGATGACGTTCTCGGTGGCCATGAAGGGTAGCTCGGCTCGGACGCGCTTTTCGATAACGGCAGGATATACGACCATGCCTGAAGAAATGTTGTTGAGGAGGATGAGGGAGGCGTCTGCGGCGAGGAAGGACTGAGGCAGACACATGCGGCGGATCGCGCTATCGTCCAGCGTGCGCTCCATCCATTGCGCTGCGTATGTAGCGGCGGCGTCGGCATTCAGATTACGCAGTTTGCGGCCAAGCGAACAGAGACGTTCGCTGCGCATGGGGTTGCGCTTGTAGGCCATGGCAGACGAGCCAATTTGAGTGCTCTCGAAGGGTTCTTCAAGCTCCTTGTTGGAGGCGAGGATGCGGATGGACTGCCCGATGTGCTCGCAGGTTGCGCCGAAGGAGGATAGGGCGTTGAGAACATCGACATCGATCTTGCGGGTGTATGTCTGGGAGGAGATGATGAAAGCAGAGGAGAAACCAGCTTTTTCGGTAACGAGTTCGTCCAATTGCTCCACCTTGGCGTGGTCTCCGTCGAAGATCTGTAGGAAAGAAGCCTGAAACTCGATCAGTCATGTTCGTCGCGCGTAAATCAACATCATTTATGTTTACATACCTGTGTACCTGTTGTGCCTTTGACGCCTCTAAACCTCAAGTCATCCCTAGCACGCTCCAGGTTCTTCAGATCCTTCAACAAATCTTGAATCCACAAGCAGGCACGCTTGCCTACAGTGGTCAATTGGGCGGGCTGGAGATGGGTATAACCCAAGCAGGGCAGGTTCTTGTTCTCGCGCGCAAATGTAGAGAGCTTCTCAATAACCGTGGCGAGCTTGGGAATCAAGATATCCAAGCCATCCCTCAAGAAGATCTGGAGCTCAGTTAATAAGATGAAGAATGGATACAGGGAAACCATAATTTACTAACCAGGTCTGCATTGTCGGTACAGTAACAGCTGGTGGCTCCCCAGTGGATGATACCCGCAGCTTCAGGTGCCTTGAGGCCATAGGCGTGGACGTGGGCCATGACGTCGTGCCGCCTCTTCTTCTCTTCTTCGGCCGCAATCGCGAACTCATCGTCTTGTATGACGCTGTGCTGCTTCATCTGCGCGATTGCTTCATCGGAGATATTCAGCCCCAGCTCCTTTTCGCTCTCTGCCAGCCATATCCAGAGGTTCCTCCAGGTACTGAATCGATTGCGCGGACTGAAGAGATACTTCATCTCCTGCGAAGAGTATCGCGAGTTCAGCGGATCTTGGTATGTGTCGTTGGCAGACATGGTGATGGATTGGTTGTTGCTCAAACCAACGTGGAGTGTGGTGGGGTGTAATGAAGTGGTGAGAATGCTACAGCAGATAGTTTTGTAGAGGGGCAGACGCAATTGAGCTTTTTTTTGAATGACGTGGTGTGGAGTTATGACCTGGGTAGTGACAGCGATTTGTGTATGCGGTCGGTGGCTCCACAAGTCGAGTGCCCAGATGCGCGCGGGGTGCAAAAAAATTATTGTCGTCGAGGTGAGTGGGGGATGGTGGGATGGTGTGGAGACGGTGTGGCACCAATCAGCGTGACGTATAACCTCCGAGATGCTCCGAGTACTGACCTGTTCAGGACGCGTAGACGGCAATCCACCTGGCACTGTAGGCTACGGGAGTATGAATACGAGACGAGAGGCAGCTGTTCAAGAGACTTTTATATATGAACGTATTCAGCCCGGTTACGCGCCAAGGCTACTTGTACGACTCGAACGCTGGTGCTGGGTCTCATACTATCAATTGATCTCAAGTAGATGCAGATTGGCCGAGGTAGATGGCAACGCCCGTCTAGCAAGTGGAATAAAACTTGCCAGTCAATTGTGTTACTCTTGACGACCTCAGAAGAGATATGAACCAAATCAGAAGTAGTGGCCTGGATGAAGGGCTGCTCATCACTATCAATTGATATCACGAACACCTCACTTACCACGGGATCTCACATCTAACGATCGATACAGAAGAGCTCGCAAATATCCCGCAAAGCTCGACTAGTTGAATAACTCATTAGCACACAGTAATGGCATTGTATTAGTTGCCGCCAGCCTATCGTCGACTTATCTATCCCGCAAACTTTTTTCAATAGTACCGCAACAAGAGGCTTCTTCATGCAGCGGCTGCCGACGATCTCAGGCTGGAACAATTCCATATGCGGTATACCATCCTGCAATATCAATCGTCTTTTCACGCGCTAACCAAGTTGCCAAGGGGGCGATTCCCAGCAGACAACGTTTTTTATTGCCCCGTGGTCAATGTCGGTAGTGGGGGCGGGTCGTTGGTCGTCGAGCCACGGAAAGCACGTCATTGCTGAGCATGCTCAAAGATCAACGGGAGTGAAATATCAGCACATGATTCCACCTTTCTTATTCCAAACGTTTCAACACCATTTTCATATGTACGTGAGTATGCTGAGTGAGCTCGAACCGTTCGTATAATCATCCATATACGTACCCCTTGTTTTCAATTTACGACAACCTTTCTTACACACACTAACATCAGTTTGATAAATGCATCGCAACATGACCCATATGCCAAAAAATGCTAAAAAGAAAACATAATATGTAGTAAGAATAAACGCCTGGAGCGTAATGCTAATAAACGTAGACATCATCCCAAAGGAGTAAACAAGCAAGGAAAGATCCAGAAAAGGAGGATGACAAAGAGCAGAGGGAACTGTATGATCCGGGACGACCCACCACCCACTAGGAGGCTCGGTTCCTGAACCACTTTCGGTTCTGAGGTGGAGCTGCGCCATCAGCAGCACTGTCACGCGTCACAGGTCCGTCGGCCTGGTACGCCTTCTCACTACCTCTCTTTCTGCCTTTTCTGACATCGCGACGACTGGCGCAGCAACAGCAAAGTCCCGTTTGTATGAGCCACGCGAAGATGGCGAATGCACTTGCTGTCCACATGAACCCGAAAAAGGTTGCTCCTATGCTTGAGCGGATGTTGAGTTCGGACACGCCGCTGATGACATTACGGAAGATGACGGCCATTACGGTTGCGATGATGGAAGCCACGGTGACGAAGAGGGCATTTAGAAAAGTGAGGATAGCGATGGGAAGGGTGGCCCAGCGGGAGAAGACGCTGATGGGCATGAGAAACATGAGGACGAAGGTGAGGCATGCGGAGGTAAGGAAGAGACCGAACATGACTTGCGAGACTTGTTTGACGAGACCGAGGATGTCGTTGATGTTGGCGGGCAAGTTGACTATCCAGTCGCGTTAGAACACCAGCCTAGCAAAGGGACATATGGGGAAAGACGTACTCGAGGCTCCAGCGAACAATTCATTTCGCAATATTTCAACTGGGTTGAACCAGTACAATACTTGTGGTGGCGAGCAGTAGGTTACGCCCTCATTCACGTATCCCTCGCAAAATCCCCACAAACCCACCTGGTAAAAGTCGTGTAGACCCAATGTTTGCGCAATGGTATTGAGGAGGGCAAAGTTGGGTACAGAAGCAGGGATGATGTTGCTGACATCGATCTTGATGAAATGCCAATCCCGGATGAGGTGGCTGTTGTAGGTGCCGGAGATTTCGACAAGTATAAGGAAGATGAGCGTGATGAAGAGGAAGAAAGAGCAGAGACAGGCGAATATCAATCGCTTTCGGGTCGCACGCTTGATTTGGACTTTGGTGAGATCGCTTTCAGGGGTCGCTGATGCACTTGGCTCATCGGGGCGGGTACGGCGAAAGAAGCCCATCGTGAAGGTGTGAAGGTATGATAGAGGCGGATGGGAGAGGTGAGGGGGCTTCGAGATAATAAGCAAAAAGAAAGTCAGTAATGATGCTAATGAGAGAAATAACGAAGATTCCGTCGTCTTCACGACGTGAATTGGGTTTGGTGACGCGGCACCCTTGACCTGCTTGCTGAAGTTTTTATGGGCCGTAGTTTACTATGACGTTGCCAACCTCTAGTTTCACTGGGAAGGGGGCGTCAAGCCACGCCATCCACAGCCGGAAGACATCCCCAGACGCAGATCTAGAATTGTCGGATCTGGGTCAAATAAAAACTATTGGGCGTCGTGGGCTCGCCGTATTTTCCGGGAACAAGCTCTACATCCTGCACGTTGGAGATCGAGCCTACGAACAGATGGCGTAGGTGAAGCATAAAAGGCGGTGGGTGACGTTCTTCACTGCGCCTCATGCGTACGCTGTAGAGTCGGACTGGTTATAGTCAGTCATTAGTCAAGGCATAGGGCACAGTGCCCTGCTGTCTAGGAACATGGCCTGTCTGGATCGCCGGCGCACGTGAATCCTTGTAAGATGCGAGGTAGATCGGTGCAACGTGCAACAAGTTGGAGAGGTTGGAGATCCCGGCGAAAAATGGGTTAACACGCGAATTGGCTACCTAAGAAGTACCCAACAAAGGCACTAGCTCGCAAAGGAGCTTCGAGTCGAGTGTGTACCACAACAACGGAGGAGCAATCGTTTAGAAGAGAATTCACCATGATTGTCTTTGACTTGTAAATATTGTTATTGTGCTTTCCAAAATTTCCGTACATGCTACAGCCTTCCGTGCTCTTCACTTAAACAAGATCACTCTGATTCTTACATTCCAGCACCTGCACCGCTTCGCAAATTCCACTGCTCGGCCACCGGCTCCACCACCACCAAAAAACAATGATACGAGAATAGAAATTACACAGAAAATAGAACGACGCCGATCGCCGCCCTCACCGTGTATGCCCTAAGGAACAACTGCCGGTCGTGTACATATGGTACCGCAAGATAGAAAATGAGTAAATGGTTGGTGATGCACCGACGAAGATAAGTGCCATGTTGTGGTGGATGGAGAGAATCGAATAAGTCACGCTGTCTATGCCATTCAAGGTCGTCATGAGATGTATCCACAGGAGGAGGGAAACCGAGAGCTGCTTTTTTTTTTGTCGAACAAGAAGCCCACGCAGTGAGCAAGTGTATGAAAAGGGCATGAATCTGTTGTTCTATGCCTTGGACACCATGTCCATGGTCGGTCGGAGTTGAGCGGACAAGTCATCCCTTGTGGTGACCATTTCTTTGGGAATCTTGCTGACACGGTATGCGCCATTTCGGACAGCCATTCTACCAGCGTGCGACATGCCAGAACGGTTGGATCGGATCGAGCCAGCGTCTGACATGTTGTCGGCATCACGGAACCTGGGAGGAGGAGCAAAATCAAGGGCGGTGAAAGTTCCCGATTTGCGGAGGAGATGACTATAGGGGATCAGTGAAGGCTCTCAATGTGTTACAAAGTAGTTACTTACGGGCTAGGCATCGCTGCTAGGTCATCATACGCGCTTGCCAAAGGCGTGTGCGGCCTGACCATCGGGCTGAACGGCCGAGGGTTGCCCAGTGGGCTATCTGGGCGCATGCCATTTTGCCTCTCACGGAAAGAGACGGGAGGAGCGAAGTCCATGGCATTGAAGAGCGCAGTATCCTCCTTCAGCTGTGCGGGCGTCGGCAGAGAGCTGAGCTGCACAGGTGGAGGTGCGGGCTTCCTGGGACCCATGCGACCGCTCATGGAAGACATGTTACGAGGAGGCGCGAATCGAGAAGACGATGCCATGGAGCTTCCAGACATGTGAGCTCCGCGGGGACCTGTGTTGCTGCGGAATCGCGGGGGAGCACGAGGTGGAGGAGTCATGGCACGACGAGTGACAGGCTGAGCAAATGGCGCTTGGGGACCTTGAGCATGTGCGACGACGAAGCTACCTGTTTCCGGATCAAAGACGGTACCATCGAGATACTCCGAAGTGTAGTCGTCGTAATAGTCGTTGTAAATGTTCGGGTTCTCAGGCTCGGGCTTGGAATCATCGAAATATTCCTTGTAAAACGATCGGATACGGTTTGCACGTTGTTCAGCACTTTCGTTCGTCTCCTCACTTGGTGGGGGGAGGGGTCGTAGGCTCATGGACAGGCGGTTGGCGCCGCGGGCAGATTCATCCACACCCAGGCCGAAAGCCTGAGATTGCCTTTCGGGGCGGCGAGGCTGGGGGGCCAACGGAGCGGGAGTAGCGGGATCGGCAGACTTATCGATTGTGGGTTTGGCCTGGGTAGGAGAAGGAGGAGTAACCTGGAAACCATCACCAAAGCTCGAATTGCTCATGAAACTGGTGGTTTTCGCGTCGGACTGAACAACAGCTTCCTGGGATTGCACTCGGGGGAAAGGCTTGGGGCTGGTGTTGGCGGTAGCCCTCGCTTCATGAACAGGTGGCAACGTGGAGACTGCAGGAGGAGGAGACGGCGATTTAGGGGCAGCTGGTGGAGGCATGGCTTCATAAGTGCGCGGGTTGAGAGGGCTCAGGGGAACAGCGACAGGGTCGGGGTATTTCATCTCTGGCGACTTGGACTGTGTCCTGGGAGGCAACGAATGGGGCATGATCTGGGCGTTCTTCAACAAGCCATCGTTGGGGGCGCTCGAGGCAGTGTAGACGGAGCTATTGTCGTGCTTGTAGGGCCGGGATGAACTGTGGATGCTGGAACCGTCGGCGCCGTTGTTGAAGGTGACAGGACCATATGGATCGTGCGGATCGTGGGTAGAGCGAGAGAGGGAGTGGAATGATTCGCGGGAGCTGTGCAGACCGGCTGGTAGGATATATGGGCTTGCAACGTCCATGTCGATCGACATTCCCTTCTCGTGGGCTGACCGGGTGCCAGCCTTCTCCATGTCGGTGTTGATCATCTCGGGTGCTCCCCTGCGACCCTTCTTGTTGGCTCCAGCAGCTCCCGTGGCGGGGCCCATGCCAAAGTCGAGCGACTTGTACTTGTCCTTGACATCCTCCTCGCGAAGCTTCCTCAAGTGTCTTCTGTGCAGAAAGAAGAGCACGACTGCAGCCAGAACAATAGGAACACTGCAGATGGTTAGCTGCATAGCTTAGTCGAGACAGATGATGCACATACATTACAGCCAGAGCAATGGCGATGGTGGGTGTGGACGTGGGTTTAGTGCAGCCTGGATCGGAGTCGTTGGTACATGTGGTGCGGGCGACGATTACTCTGGATCGCTCCATGGGGTTGGTCCTGGAAGGCAGCTGTCCCGGTACGACATTCTCGGCCGCTCTCGCGTGCTGGCGATGGTGCATATGTTGATGTGAGTGAACCATGACGTTTGGTAACTGCTACGCCCCCGTTCTACTGGCGAGGTTGTGCTCCTGAAATGGTAAACAAACGAGAGCTGTGGCGGTGGGATCGATGCGGGTCGAAGGGTTGAATATGTTTAAAGATTACTAGCAAGCTTAAGGGGGGTGAGGCGACGGGCGATTGGATCGTGTGCGGGTGGGCAAGCTGTCGTGGGGGGAATGAATGAATGTGGTGTTGGGTGTGAATAAGGAGTGACGGTGCAAGAAGGAAGGACAGAAGCAAAGAAAGAGGGTAAAGCAGCAACAACAACAGCAACGCTCGTGAGTCCTGGAAAGAGTGACAAGAGTAGGAGGATGCGGACTTTGAGGCGTGAAGCACCAAGAGACTGCGGAATTACTAAGTAAGGACAGCACGAGGTGGAGTGAGGAAGAAGGAAGAGACGGCGGGCGCCAGGAGAGAAGAAGAGCAACTGGACAGGCCGGCGGGTCTCCCTCCTCTCAAGTCCGCCGCAGCAGCAGGAGCAGCCTGTCTGAGCGCCAGATTGCGGTTTGATTGGCAGGCCCGCGAGTGGCCACCCCTGCCACCTGCTCTGTTCGCTGCCAGTTCTCGGGTGTTTGGGCAGGGGCTCCCTGCGCTCGTGTTTCGCGACTGCCCTCTGCTCTGTGCCTCTTTCTTTCCATGTCTCTCTTGGCAGTCCTACCCTCTAGAGAGTATCGTCTTTTTTTTTCCATCGTTTGTTTAGCACTTCATTCTTGTTAGGTTGATGGACCGAAAATCCCATCCACCAGGCGCTATCCCTCTGGTAGTCAGTCAGCCGCAGGATCTGACCGTGTACCCGCACTCGGCGTACACAAAAGCGAGCGAGAAACGTTTATTTTGGCAACCCGGGCGATCCATGCCGCCGCCTCCGCAGAAATGCAGGTACCCAGTCCGCTCTGGGCCAATCACCGCCCGCTCGGCTGTTCTCCACCACTCATCTGCCCCCTCCCCCTATCTCCATCTTTTCTCACCACCACCACCCACCGGTGCTGCTCATCAACATCCAACCGCCAAAGGAACGAATAAATCATCGCTTGCCTCTCCTGGTCATTCCAACTTTCTCTCTCCATTTCCTCCTCTTTCAATCATCCCGTCCGACATGGCACGAGTAAGCGCACGGCCGGTCGGCGTCCGTTCTTCGAGTCTTGTCAAGACATGAGAGTCCGAGCGACCTTCATTTCGCTGCCCCCTTGTCACTCGTGGCCTCGCCCTTCTGCCCCCACCGCAGCCCGGATAGCGAGCCACTCTGGGAGGCCCCGCCCGCCCAATGCGAGATCCATCTCAAGCTTCCCCCTTCGTGAAACCCCTCAACTATTTCCCATCCAGCATGGCGCGCGCCACACCTTCAATCTCAGCAGATTGTCCATCTCCTCGCCTCATCGCCATCGTTCCCACACTCGACATGCCAATGACATGTCATACGTCACCCTCTGTTATGCAACATGCTCCTTTTTATCTGACGCCTTGGAGCCGCTTCATCTCCTCGGTCCAACCGCCGTATGCCTTGGAAGCACTCACTTTCAACATAAGCATGGCAGGACGTGACTTTGCCTGCTTGGCTGTGTACCCAGATTCATTTCGTTGCATGAGCCGCTATTCACACCACATGCTTTCCACTTTACTCCAAGTCGCACAGCTTGTCAAGCAATGTGGGCAAAGCCGGTTTTTCATTCATGTTGTGAAGCTTATGTGCAACTTCCAAGAGTCTGTGGGTAGGCGGTCCAAGATATGATAAGGGCGTGATGGAACAGCCCGCGACATCGCTTCGCCTTCCGAGAGCGAGCTAAGATTGCATCTGAATCAGCGAGCTCGCCATCTTTCGACGTTCGATCCAGTCTCCCAGAGCACGGAAATTACTTGCCTTCTGCCGTGCCCCTACTGAGCACAACAGTGGCGCGCCTAACGTCGTCCGTCTCCCACCGGTTTGGATCCTTGGCCTCGGGGAAATATTTGTGGGTTTCGCATTGTCTACGCCTGAGCCGATTCGGTATGAATAAGAACAGAAAGTGTCTTGGTACTTGTGCCGCTTCCCAACATTTCGTGCGCCGCCGTACCGCAAGGCTCGTCTTGGTCTTGCTTCGTTCCACTTACCGTACCCGACCCCCTAATCGATTGATTATCCGTAGGTCGCGTTCAAAAATAGATTGCCCTCTATCCTCCATCAACTCACTGTGCCACAAGTCTCTCCCTCCTGCGTGGCTTGCACCGTTATTAACACGTGTGCCGCGTGCATGTACACGTGAAGATCTTGTTAGTGAGACATCAGGACATCCATGCAATTGATGTACAACCCGAAATCAACGCCAAAAGCCAAACTCTCTTCGTCTTGTTCATCAATTCCATTACCAATCATGACCCGCAGTGTGAGCAACAGAGGAAACAGGAAAAATCCGACGACTAGAAAGGGGAGTAAGCAACAAAGTTTATTCGCCATGTCAAACTATGCAAAAGACTTATGCAGGGTGAAGAAAAAAAAAAGCAGAGTTCACAAACGTCAAAACACGACTAAGTGAGTAAATCTCTGTGGTTTGACAGCTGCTAGCTTAGAGTTTAAACTACACACCCGCATGCGAATTGCCCCTGCAGGGAACCTCTACCGTACCTGAATTTGCTCCCGCATGGCTGTTGTCAACCCAACTCAATGAATTTATTTTATTTTATTTTTCGGAAACCATTCGCATAAATCAATGTTACCGCTTCAGTGAGGCTCTGTACACGCTTAACATTCCATCATTGTTTATAAGTGCTCCAAAACGTATATACAATATTGAAAACGGGATAGGTACTGCTATCTCCAAATGTTGGATTCGACAAATTGTTATTGTCAAAGCGATGAACGTGATTCTTCGCGCACACTGCACTATTTTCAACAAGAGTATAACAGTAGATGAACAATACGTATTAAAAATTAGGCGACGATAGTTATACGCGGAATAAAAGAAAAGGCTTTAGTCGGGTGATGAGAGGAGGACCGCGGAGCGGGCAGACAGTCGCTCCGGAATCTTATTCAATTCGTCATCAAAAGCCGAGACCTGGCCTCCGCAAATCATTTGTTACGAAACGAGAAGGGGAGTAGACTGATTCCTTAGAGGGAAGGAGAGGAGACATTTGATTGGATTATGTACATGAAAGGAAAAGAAAAAAGTGGTCGTTGTGTATCAAGGAGAGACGCATGTGTATAAGTTCCTCCATGTGTGTCGCAAGTCTCCCTTCACTTTATACAGGCTTAAAAGGACCAGAGTAAAGAAAGGAGGAAATGAGAATCCTCGAAACCGAGCATGACATGTCGTACCTCTCCATGCATGCATAACCCCTCCAGCCATTCATTCTTTCTCTCACCCCTTCACTCTCGGCATCTGCCATCGCTATTTCCCTTGTAACTCTCCCAGACTCACGAACCCATCGGCCACTGCGTAACACTCGAAGCCGCATATCCACTTCCCCCTCCTTCTCCTCCTGCACCACCCTTCCTGGCATTCTCCTCCGCCAAACCCGCTTTCTTCCCTCCGCCATGCCCAACAGGACTATTCACATACGTCGTCTCCGACGTCGCGAACGGCGGGGACAGAGGTCCTTGCTCTGCTTGACCTGCACGGTTTGCACGGCCGAGCGCAGGTGAGTGAGGATGAAACAACGAGGACAGACTCCTGCGCTTATGCGCTTTCCGTGTTGTTTGATCCGGAACCGTGCTCATGGTCGCGCGATATTGTCGATGTTGGTGGACCGGTCGAAGAGGGTGATTCTCACCGCTGTCACCAACGTTTCCAGAGGCGTGAAGTGGTGAAGCGGTATGTGGTCGTGGGTCATGGGAGTATGTCTGCGGAGTCGGTCGCGAGTCTGGGACGGTGATGCCTCCTGTCGGTGCTGGTGCTGGTGCTGCGGGACGAGGAGGATGGAGAGGAGCGGGTAAGCTGCTCGAGTGCGATTTCACGTAGATGTCGCCCGGCACGGCGAGGGTCCAGCGCAGCATCCGTCCTAGTTTCTTCGTCGCAGAGTGCAGTCGTGGATACCTGTGATGATCGTCCTGGGGGGTCCCATGGGGTTGAGGGATATCCGTGTTTTGCGGTTCTCGCTGCTCGTGCTGCTGGGATGGCACTTGCTGAGTCTGCGTTTGCAATGGTTGGGGGAATTGGCCTGGCGATGGAGCACCACGGATATGTCTTGCATTCTCCTCCTCTTGAATTTGCTGACGTTGCTGCTCCCAAGCTCTCTGTAAATTCTCCTGGAGCCTCTCCAATGCTCCGTTGATCTCGACTTGTTTCTGGAAATCCGGTTTATAAGCATCATGCGTGATCGCTCGAATCTCCTCACTATGCTCTTGATAGATCCTATTAATCTCGCTATGAGGTCCACGTTCTTGAGCGCCCTGAGCGTCTTCTACCTCACCACCACGTGGGACAGGTTCCTCATTCAACGTGGCAAGGACAGCTACAGGAGTGGACTTGGCCGCCGTTGGTGTCGTAGAAGCGTTGTTCCTCCGTGCGGGTTCAGCGCCAACGGTGCTGATTGAATCGCCTGGTTCGATTTCGTCGAAGTTGCCGCCGCTCCAGCGCGATCGCTCACTGACCGCACTGCGTCTCTGATGAGTTCGGCGAGGTGGGGCATCATAGGGGGAGAAAGGGCTCATGCGGCGGGTTCTCTTGGTCATGTCTAGTGTATCTCTACCGCCGCTTTCGCTCAAGAAGTCTGTATAGTTTATTTCTTGTCGGTCCGGGTGGGTGGGGGAAGTCGGAGTGACGGGTCCTCCAGTTGCGATCGAGGCATAGTCTAGGTGAAGTTCATCTGGGCGTGGTGATCGGTATGGGGGTGGAGGAGAACGGATTGGCTGTTCCGGAGGGATTGCTGTTGGGGGTTGAGGTGGTGCGTTCATTATGATTGAGAATTGTCTGCGATGTCCCCTTGCTGTACCTTCTTGACGTGGGGATTCGGTTGAAGGAGGAGAGGCGGACCCGTGTGTTGTGCTGCCTTCTGGTTTTGATGTTGCCGAATTCATAGGTATCTGGGGTGGTGGTGGTTGTCGAGGAGCTTGAGAGATAGTGCTCGTCTCATCCTTAGCAGACTCGGTGAGTGGTAACGCACTGGGGGACGTCGATTCCGCATTTCTGCGTTCATTTGAACCCTAGAGCGATGGGTAGAAAAGTTAGTAAAACGTGTATAAATACTCCATCGATATCATGATAGTGTTGTATACGGAATATACGTACTGGTATGGGATCCCAGAGAGACTTGAACGGACTCGTCCTCGGGCTGTCCGGTATAAAGTCACTGACACCCAGTGTGGAGCCTTCTTTCTCAGCGAGGTCCTCGGTATATCCACCCATGTTCTGTTTCAACCTTAATTCTGACGAAGGCCGTTCCTGGATTTTCCTCGCAAGCCCGACTGGGCTCTTGGATTCAGAGGGGCTCACTTCACCTCCAGCGCCAATCGAACTGTAAGACTCACTGCCGTGTACGCTTGTAGGCGGATTAGGCGGATATGCCACAGTGGAAGTGGCTCCAACTGCTGCGTCCTGAGACGGAGCTACTATCAGAGAAGGCTCGTCCGTTGGCTTTTCTTCTTCCACCTCATACTCGTTTGATGGGTTGGCGGCGTTCCAACTGCGAATGCTTGAGTCGATGGAACTTGTTGAGGCCGGTCGCAGACTCCCTCCACCCCGCAGATGGGCGTGCAACAATCCGTCGTTGGCTGTTGTCGTAGGCTTAGGTTGATTGACTCCCTCTTGTTTTTCGGTGGCAATATTGCCCTGTTCGATATCTGTCGGGCTTTGCTTCTTCGAGCTGTCACTGCCTGTTATCTGGTTAGCTTTGAAATTGTTCCCACAGAGATCCTCATGCAAGTTTGTAAGTTCCTGATCCAATTCTTGGGTTAATGTTTGAAGAAGTGGTGACACAAGGCCATCTCTTGTCTCGACCGGCGTTTCTGAAGAGGGCGGTGCTGCCGTGATTGTCAGACTTGGGGTCGCGCCATCATCTGTCTTGACTCCCACATCGATTTGTTCTTGGCCGCATATATGGCTATCGCTGCTTGCTTTCGGCACGACCGGGGGTGGAGACGAAGGCGGCGAGCCCGAGTACAACTCATGTCGGGGACTCAAGGGAGCTCTTTGGCGAGACATCAAGCGTGTGGGGCGAGATGCGTCGGACTGCTTGCCACTTTGACTTGTATCGTGCTGAGCTGTTATTTGCTTCGGAGATGAAAAATTCACAAATCTTGAGGGTACAAGCGGAGGTGTTGTGGCGGATTGTTTCCCGTTTGTGCTGGCTGGTGTGGTCGATTGGACAGGGTATGGGACACTGCGGTGATGTAAGTATTGGACGAAGATACCTCGACAGCTGTCTATCGATTGCCAAGACTGTACAAACAAACATAACGTATTCTGGGGCTAGTACCTTGCCCTGCTTGTTTGTCTCCATTCAATTCTTCCTTCAACTTCGATGCCGCAATTGAATTCGAATACGTAACGCGAATAAACCGCGTTGGCAATATTGAATCTGTCGACGGCTTCTCAGTTACTCTACGTCTTATTGTGGTATCAGCCACACATACATTATAGGAATGTGGTGTGGTGTTTTGCAGAAAACTCTCACAGGTAGGTACATGGACGTGACATATGATACTGTATGTCCTGGAGCTATCAATTGTCACTCTTCCATTACTACTATAGTATAGTGTGTAGAAAACGGATACCATCTCCTCCCAGAAACACAGACTGGTGGATAACGGTGAAAGAATTAGACTCACTACATGGCAAGCCGATGTACACGGCCGGTCGTTTCCTGATCATGCGTATATGGCCGACGTTGGCTGCAAAACCATGGCACGGGCGAAGATACAAAGTGCTCGACCCGAATAGAAAACAGGGCAATATCGCCAATGTAATAATATAATTCATGGTGGTGTCACACGCTCGGAGAGAGATGTGTTTGTGTAAGCGTCTGTCCTGTGACGATTCTCTGTCAGCCGGGAGATGCAATAATTGGTTCGTCTGGAATTTATTGTGTAACGAAGGCGCGGAGTTTTCTAATATGTGTAGCGGTGAGTATACTTCGAATTTGTTCTTGGATAACTAGAACCTCATTGCCACTGCTGTCAGCTATTCACAGTAGACTGGCAAAACCCTCCAGTCCCATGCCCGCGAGGATGTTGGCCCTGCATCAGACTAACTCAGCTTACATGTCGAGTTTAAATTCAATCGATAGCCTGCCTCCGATTGAAGATTACATTGGTCTCATTGGACTAAGTGTCAATGTGAACTAAACAGTGGTACAAACGACGAACTGATACACCAAATGAAAGGTCATGAGAAGGAAATTGACAGGCTCTCGAAACGTGGACTATAGAACATATGTTAGACCGACTGTCGAGAGTATAGCCAGACTTTGTCGGCGACACTTCAAAATTGCGATTGATGACTCCGGCCCTCCGGTATACAGTGTCACCTTCATCAGTTGGGCAGAACCAGAATGCCTATCCTTGTCCACCCCCCAATTCACACCAGGCTTCCCTTCCGTTCGTGTGAATGCTGATTTCCAAATTTGAACTCCGAGTACACCCAAACATTCCTATGTTCCGCGCACCTCGAATGATGTACAAGACAAAGAGATAAATGGGAACAAGGGGACGTGGCAAAAAACAAAGCTTGTATATGCTTACTGAAACGGGGATATCGTGCTCTCAGAACGTGAAACGCCAAACAGGAGACATCCGACGCGTGGCCATGATACTCTTTATGTGAATTGTCGGGACTAACCAATCCAAGCCGAAGCACAGCTGGGTGAGTTTAATCCCGGTATGTTTGCTAGTGGTGGGGTCAATTAATCCCACTGCCTTCGTTCTTCAGCTTTTGATGCATCGATCGCAAGGTTTCATAGGTCATCATCGTTGTCACGGCCGCCGGAACAGCTCGGACCATGTTTGTTCCCATGCCACTGTAGAAAGCACGCCATCCCTCCTCGGCCAAGATCGTTGTGCATGTTTTCAGGATGCCGCGGTATCGAGGGAGGTTGACCATGCCATCTGATGAAGAGGTGCCTGGTCCGCGAGTGAGATGGCCAGGCCCCTGATGACTGCCTCGAAAAGCGACGTCTTCATGTGAACTATGAGGTATTGTTCTCTGCTGAGTCTGTAACCGCGTACGCAAAACTTCGTGGGGGTATGTAGCCGACGTGGCACAAATTTTGCTGAATACCGTCGCTCCGAGGATGCTGACCCAGTGCACATCGGCATCTGCTTGCGTGTTTTGTCCCATTTCAAGGCCGGTAAATCTCATTTTGAAATACTCATAGAGAGGGAATTGGATGGCGACATGGGTTAGGCCGAGGAGAGCCGGAGTCAAGCCGGAGTAAAATGCCCGTATCCCCTCAGTAGTGTACATTTTCCGGAAAGCATCAAACGTATTCCGATAATGCCAGGGTGTACGATTCTCGGCGGAAGCATGGGAGCTTACTTGCGACATCAATCGTGTCTTTATGACCCATATAGGGTTGGTAGCCAGAGTCGAGCATGCACCAGCGGTGATGGATGCACAAACGCGGGACAACCACTTATTTTCTACTAGCTGGTCAGATATGTCGCAAGAGCTCTTTCATGGCGTGACAAACCTATTCGCGTATAGTAGAAGTCTTTGGAAGAATCATAGACGGTCATATAGACTGCCCAGGTGGGAACGTATCCTAGCAGCATTGGACCGAGTCCTCTGTACATGCCTTTGATGCCGTCCTCCGCCCAGATGACACGCGCAGTACCAAAAAGACCTTGATATACAACGCGCGATGGGCGCGCATAGTTCCGAGGGCGCCAGGAGCCTTGGCCTTGAAGTCGAGTTTTTATGACGTCGAGGGGGCACGTTACGATACCAGAAGCGATACCGGCCACAGCACCACATGCAGCATTGACGGTAGAGTTGGGCAGTGAAGCACTTTTTCGAAGCAGAGCCGAGTAAGGAGAGCTCCAGGCGGAATTGTGCACGAGGGGTTCGCCGGTGGGTCTCGTGGGTGTAGTAGGGGTCGGCGCATTTTCTTGTCTCGCAGTGCTCGGGGACGGCGGATCGTTTGACATTGTGGGAACTGCTGCACATGGAACAATCAATTCGTGGCCAGCAAGGGCAAGTCTCCCATGCCCGAGGCAAGAGAGAGCGACTTACAGGCCGTCGTCCCCTCCTCAGTGTGCGGACAATGGAAGCCCCGCAGCACTCGGTGGTACAATGGCTAGCGATTGACAGACTCCATTGACATGCGAAGTGGGGAAGATGTGGTGGGAATAAAACAGAAGATAAGCGCTGGAGCGACCGGAGAAGACGAGAGAGCAGAGTCAGTACGGCGCTGGCGAGCGCAGTTGGTGGAATACTGGACTGGAGTGAACTTGTCTGGGACACACGAGAGAGCTGTCGGGAGGGGAAGCTCGCCTTGACCTTTCGATATTGCTTGGGAAAGAGCTGGCGACCTGCAGCGCTAGCGCGCATACACATCACATGACGTGCTGATTAAGGCTTTTTCTGATTGGATTGCACCCACGAGCACCATCAAGCAGACGGACCACTTCATCTGGGCTCATCACCTCCCACCATCCACTCCCCAGCAGACCTCCCGCCCGCCATTGACCGTTGTGAGCATACATATCACTCGAGTAAACACTCCCCCACCGTCCCGCCACCATGTCCTCGCCCTCTCTCGCCTCCTACATCGTCAAGCGACCATGGCTCCACCGCTTCATGAAGCCGCTCGCAAATTGGTACGGCAACGCTGCAGGCTACAGACAGTTGGGATTGAAGTATGGAATTCCCCCATCTGGACGAAAAATACACAATTGCAGCTTTCTCGAAGCTGCAGGCTGTTTCGGAGCCTGTGTTGGGATGATGCGCTGACACCAATCTTTACACAGAGCCGATGATTTGTTGCCCGAAGAGAACGATACTGTTCTTCTAGCCCTCAAGCGCCTCCCGCCCAACGAGGCTTACGACCGCGTCTTCCGTCTGCGCCGCGCTCTCCAGGTACTTGGATCTCAGCAATGCAAGCTACCACCGCAGCTATGCTAACGTCCACAGCACTCCATGCAACACAACTTGCTCCCCAAGAACGAATGGACAACACCAGAACAGGTATTCAGGCCAGAAGCTTATGAAGGAAGATTGACTAATTCAATTGCAGGACACCCCGTACCTTTCCTCCATCATTAAGGAGATCGAGAAGGAGATGGCAGAGCGTGAGGATCTCGAGGCATTGGTTATCCAAAAGAGGACGAAGAATGCCAGCCAGTAAATGTTCCAAAACTGTACATAAAGTATCCGACAACGACGCGCGAGGGGAAAGAGAGAGCCGACTGTCCATTAGAAGTGTACTATCTAGAAAATTTCCTTGCCACACCATTGCCAACGACCTCTCTTCTCTTGTTTTAACATCATTATTCGATCGAACGTCCGGCAGTTGTCAGCTTCCGTCCTTGTCAGTCATTTATTAAATAAAATGTTCGACATACTCTCGAGGCCCTTGCGCAATGTGCAGGTGCCGCAGTCCAAAAGGCAATCATTAGAAAGCATCAAGGTGACGGAACTTCAAAATTCCCGCTCAATGCGTGACATCACACTTTGCAGTAGCAACAATGTTGCTTTAAATAACATGCTGCAATGCCGTGATCCTTCTGCTTAGTTCTGCAAATACGCGTATAAATATCCATAAGCAGTTAATCCTGGTCATGTGCTGTCGTGTAGCTCCCCATGTTACAGCACGCGTCAGCTACAACCACTTCAAATGTTGGCGTTCCAACCTGCATCGTCGTAATCCTCCAGACCTCTCCATGCTCATTCACCATAGAAATCAGTTTGTACGCACTACACTGAATGTAGGGTAATTCGCATATCAGAAGAAGTATAGTACATGCGAAACTGACTGTCATAGATAGCATCTCCTCTGCAAACGTCATTATCATCGATGTCGCTCCGTCGCTCAGCTCGCAACCTTGCCAAACAGGCATCTCCAGAAACGGAACCTCAAACCTCGGCGAACGTCAAGAATACTAAGAAAGTGACTCAACCAGCAAAATCAATCAAGAAAGCGAAAACAGGTCCAGTGCCGGCTACATCTCCAACGGCGACTCAGACGAAGTCCACAAACCCAACCTTTGCAGCTCCCAGTTTGCCTGCAACCCCACTCCCTAAGAAGCGAAAGGCCGTCTCTGAGTCTCCTGCTAAGCCTCCGCCATTTACGCCAACGCCTTCGGGAGTAGGACTGATCACATCTGTTCCCAAAAGAGCTGAGAATGATCACCCTCTCGAGTCGCTCGCAGGTTTGAAGCCCCGCCCTACTGAACCACACGCGACCAATGCCACTTTGTCCACGCCAGGCGGATCCCGTGTCTCAGCTTATACTTCATCCCCGCTCAAACCCCCGACGGCTTCCCAAGGCGAAGGGAATGATGATGCGTCCCCGACGAAGAAACGCAAAGCCAAAGAAGCTGTACCACCTGATGTGGGAGTCATGAGACCTCCCACTTCAACGGTGGATACCTTGCTGAAAGACGCAGAGGATTTTCTTTGTCAGGTAGACCCTAAGTTGAAAGGTCTCGTAGAGAAGCATCATTGCAAAGTGTTTAGCCCAGAGGGGCTGCGCGAGGTAGTGGATCCTTTCACGGCCCTGAGTAGTGGAATCATAGGACAGCAGGTATGCCAGCTCTTCCCAAATAACATCAATTATAATCGCACCTCCCCCATTCTTCTCAATGACGAGACCACTATGGCGACGGGCTTGAGTAAAGGCTAACAGAGTTATCTGCATGTGCGAAGGTCTCTGGTCAAGCCGCAGCATCCATTCGTAAGAAGTTTACAGCGTGTAAGTTACCCAAATTAACGAAGCAATGCCCCATGATAGACACATGTGTGTACGTATATTCTAGAAGCTAACGGTTGCACTCAATAGTATTCCCGGACTCCCATCCTTCATTCCCAACCCCAGCGCAGGTTCTCACCCTCGATCTCCCCACACTACGAACTGCTGGTCTTTCTCAGCGTAAGGCAGAGTAGTACGTGTGAATTCTTCTCGTCCACGAAGAAATGTGCATTCTACTGACACAATCCCCTAGTATCAACGGCCTAGCCGAAAAATTCACGTCCGGCGAACTAACCGCCGAAATGCTAATCTCCGCCAGCGACGAAGAGCTCATCGAGAAACTCGTCGCGGTCCGCGGTCTCGGACGCTGGAGCGTGGAGATGTTTGCATGTTTTGGCTTGAAGAGAATGGATGTGTTTAGTACGGGGGATTTGGGAGTGCAGTGAGTTATATAATATCTCCTTCTCCTTACTTCTACCGTTTCCGGTGTACTTTTTTCTGTGCACAACGGGGAAGAATGAAGAGTTTTGGCTAATGTTTGTGTGAAATTTTTAGACGCGGGATGGCGACGTACATGGGCCGCGATACTTCCAAACTCAAAGCTAAAGGCGGGAAATGGAAGTACATGAGCGAGCAGGAGATGCTGTCAATAGCATCCAAATTTTCGCCTTACAGGTATAGCTCTTTTCTTCATTCACCCTTTCCTCGATTCGAGTCTAGTTTCCCCTCTAGAGGACGTCTCTTCCTCGACTTCATGAATGCGTGTTGAATATTACTAATGTGTGTTCCATGGGATAGATCTTTGTTCATGTGGTACATGTGGCGTATTGAAGATGTAGACATCAGTGTGTTGCAGAGTGGGTAGGTAGATGAACATTTGATAGCTATGCATCAGTTGATTTTGTGTTGCCACGATCAATACATATGTACATAACTTCAAGATGGTATTGTGTTTCGTAGATCATGAAAGCGATACGATACGTGAGAGTATAATTAAATATATGTGATAGTCGTAAGATCCTACTTCCTCCGAAATCAAGCTCCCTTGGACTTTGTGCAACTAATTGTTCCATTTCCACACATAACAATAGAAGTCGAGCACGGGAACTTCGCCGTATAGATACGTCTCTGACTCGCGACTTCTACCATCTACGTGCTCATGGATCCGTCCACCTGGTTCATCAAACCGGCCCACGCACATACATACCCTCTAAATCAATCTATCCAATCCATTTCTTCTCCAACGTCTCTCCGCTCTAATATTCTCACTAAATACTACAAGTCGCGGATTTGCAAACCACCCGCAACCTCCCTCTTCACATCCAAAACACTGTCAAGGAAAAATGCTTGACTCAGGGAAGAGGAAGGGGCCTAACGCTTACACTGTGTTTTTCTGCCCTAACTATCGCGTATTTCGTGTACGTTGCACCAAGGACATATACCAGAGAGTAGTAGTAGTAGTAGTAGTAGTAGTAGTAGTAGTCACCATCCCCTCTTCCCTTCTCTTCACCCTCAATTTACCCAATAAACCATACCAGCAGGTGCCCACCCAAACCTAAGCCTTCTCTCAAGCCTTTACAATAGCAGAAGCGAATCCAAGTTTCCCAACCCACCCACTCACTCTATACACATCCACACCAAAACGCACACATCTCTCCTCCCCTCTCTAAACCAACTAAAAAAATAAAAATCGCTATAGCAACGCAGAGCTCCACTCGATCTCTAGACTTTGAGCATTTGAGATGGTCATCGAGAGAGAAGAGGAACTTGTAGTACGCGTAGCCGCATACCGGGTTGCTGATATGTGGTACAAAAAAGAAAAAATTCTCTCATATATCCAGTCGATCAGCGAAAACAGTGATGGTGGCGGCAGTGGTGTTGTTCCGGTGTGGGCCGTTATGTGACGTACATGGCAGGAAGAAAGAAAGAGAGAAAAGGGAGGGAAAAAAGTGGGTATATGAATACAGACAGATATAGTGGAGAAAAGATGCATAGACATGTATGTATATAGTGTTGATATTGTGCTACAGAGACGATGTGTGTGTGTGTATCAGAAGTGTCAGTGTTAGTGCAATGCTGTGCTGCGCTGTGGAGAATGTTGCATATGTATGAGTTAATGATGATGTGGATCATGTACGTGCTACAACGGGAAGAGAGATGGAAAAATAGAGAGTGTTGTAGTGGTAAATGGGTATGTAATTTGCGTACAAGCTACGGTGTATGTGTGCGGGTGCGTGTGAGGTGACGGGTATGGTGTGATGGCTGCCTGTCTGGACCGCTGGACCGGGTAGAAGGAAGTTATGTGTTGCTTGCCTATAATCAACTTGGATGTGTAAGTACCTACTGAGGCTTCTCGCGCTTATCAAGCGGCTACCTTCATGTCCTCGAGTATGTCGTGTTTCCGTGGAAAACTGAAGTCGGCTGTACGTACCTGACTATGCTTACATAGGTTTTTGTCGCTCTAGCCGCTGGTGCCCAGATGTTCATGCAAACCGAGGCACCCATCGATCCATCCGTATTTCTCTCTATCCAGCAGAAAGATGCATGTCTATCCATCGACACACTGCATCTGGCCTCCCAAATAGTAGGTCATACACCATCCACACACCTCACCTGCCCTCCAACGAAGGCAACACTCTGCGAGAGCCCGTCACACGGCGCTGCGCGCATCTCCGCGTCTCCATTCCACAAGGTAGTGAGCGGGTTTAAGACGGAGAATAGGAAGAGGGAAGGTTGTACGGCTAACATTGTGTCGTTGAAGTGTCATGGGCGACGTTGACTTGCTTCCCCGATCTTCGGACGTGCAACAGGAAGCTGGGGAGAAGCGTGAATCTGTCTGTTTGTGTGACGGGGTGTTGTGGATGCTTAGCGTTGACTTGAGTTGGGTTGATACAGTGTGCACAGCATGATGCAGGTGAAGTTCTTTGGGCTGTCAAATGATGGCTTCATGACTCGGGATTAAGGAAGCATGAGGACATGGAACGGGAGATCCCAGTATACAGGAGTGGGTGAAGTGAGTTGAGTCCAGTCGTGCTGCCAGTTAGAACTTGTGTTACCAATAAGGAAGTTCAAATGTAACTGCTGTATGGTAGGGGAGAGGGGCACGGACATATGATCTGATAATGCCAGTAGCCGTGAACACAGCAGCAAGCAGTAGCTTCTGATCTTGATACTGCCGCCAGCCGCAGAGATACAGTGATCAGGCCCAGGGTAGTGACAAGCGGTTACCTGCCAATTATCTTGTTCCAACCAAGGGCGTTGTCAATGTTAAGCAGATGACATATGCTAGCGGATGGATCAGGTATTGAAGGTTTTCGCGTAGGTGGAGTCGACGCGTAACAGCACTGGGGGTAGAACCGTGGTTTGGACCATGTAGGAGCACAACGGTGTACGACGACGGCGTTGATGATGAGTGAAGTTCTTCATTCATATGTTTACAACAGTCCTTCTTGCACGGATACGTTTGTAACGACGAAGATGGAGATGAGGGAGAAGTGGGGTGGAAGCGATACAAAAGTATTGAACAGGGAAGAGTGCCACAGCCTGTGTCACCATGCCAACGCTGGCGGCTCGCGGCGACGGTTAGCAATACCGATGGGAAAGTTCATGGGCAATCAAGTACCACTGTTACTGTTCTGCAGTGATGACTGGTTGTCCAAACCCACACATGGGCGGCAGGCATCGAAAAAGAAAGTTTGAGATTCTAGGGCTTCCCCAGCTTTTACTGTTGGCGGTTGGCTGTGATTGATGCTACTGGTGGAGATTGATTGCATGCACTGCAAAGCCAAAGATGCGTGCCTTTGGGATATGGGCCGTGTTGGTTTACCGTTTGCATGTACGATGGTCTTCTTTCATGTGTTGTTGCGTAAGCCCTGGTCTAGCAATGTGCAATTTGATTTGACAGATGATGAAATCGAGGTGGAGTACGCAAAATATGGATGCCCAAGGCGCATGGAGAAGCGAATGCTAAAAGAGATGATGTATTTGACAATCCTCTTTGCGCGTCATGGGCCATTTCGCGAGGACGACAAAAGAGGAATGAGCTGTCCAAAGGCAAATTGGTGGATTCATGGGAAATGACTAGGGGCGGAGATTTCGCGTGGATTGGCGACTCCAATCCCCGGATTTGTGAGTGGTTCTTATCAGCAGTCTCTGTTTTCAAACAATGAAGCGAGGCAGCTAGGCGGGACACGCAAGCTGAAGTTGTTGCTGCCCACTGACGGGGTTACCAAGGTTGCCGCTGGGGAGCGAAGGTTTAGTAGTTCAAGCTTTGCAAGAATGGCCCAGGTGCCACGACGGATGAATCACGTGAGAATAAGCGTTGCGCGCACGCCGCGGTGTAGTTTGACGACGCCACAGAGAGAAAGAGAGCATGCAGATGGAAAAGTGGCGCCAATAATCTAGTCTTTTCGATGGCTCGGCCAACAGTGGACAGCGTGCAGAGGATCATCTATTAGCGCTGAGACGATCGATGGCTAGAGCAAAGGAACAGGCTGTTGATTCGATTGCTCTGAAGCTTTTTCCGCCGCTTGGCGATCGAGGAACAGGAACAGGAACAGGATGCGGAACGGAGAAGGAATGGATGGATGGGTGCCTATGTTTAGTGGAGCAGGGCAAAACTCTGAAGGAAGAACTTGAAACCGGAGAGACAGACAGATGCAAGCTGGACCTGGACACACGGAGATGGTGCTGACGTCCGACACGCAGCGCACACGGATGCGTGAATCGTCTCACAATGTGAACGAGGCTGGTGGGCCTGCTTTGATGGCTGGCTGGCTCTGTGTTCCACGGAGGACGGAGGCCTGGCGAGGCGGGCGGTGGTCCGTGGGTGTTATTCTGGAGCGCCACCACAGCACAGCCCGCGTATGCCCGACCGTTGAGCAATTCCAAGTTTTTGAAGAGCTGCTGTATTTGTTATTGTTGCTGCGACTGGCATGTGCCGCTTGTGTTGTTCATGCCTTGACGTGTTGACGAGGAGCAGGCCAAGAAATGAATAAGAACAGCGATGGTCATAACACAGCGATAGTAGAGACCTTGCACCGATCCTGGATCGAGTGAATGAATGATTGAATGATTGAATGGGTATGTCTAGGCAAGCATGGAGAGATATGGGATGCAAGGGTAGGATATGCAGCTCAAAAGGAGGTCTGATAAGCCAAAGGAGAGACGCAGGCGACGGAAATAATGCAGCATGCATACATTGGTTTATTCATCGAGCAAAGGGAACATGCGAGATTGGTTCCTCCACATTGATTCTGATGATGATGGACGATTGTTGTTGGATGAATCGTATATGAGCATTCCTGAAAGCACTGCCCACATCAGATCAGGGCACGCCAGGCCAGACCAGGCCGGTCTCCACCCTAGGCACGACACTTGCAAGAGACTTGAGACGAGGACGTCCGTTGACAGCGCCAGTGGGGATGGATGGATGGATGGTTGACCTTGCCAATGGACGTGTTTGGAGTATCAGGAAAGAAGAAGCAAAAGAAAAAAACTTGGACGGCGGAGAGGGCGAGCAGCACGAGGCGGCATAGCATAGATGGACAACGTCCAGCGAGTCGACGGTCTTGACGCGATGATCGGAGCATGCACATGGACAACTCGCCCACCAACGGGGGAGGCGGATGGACTAGAGAAGCAGAGCAGGATGATGATGATGAAAGGTGGTGAATGGCGATCCACTTTGGGGCGGCCATTGGACAGGGATGCCGCGCCCGTGCGCCCGCCCTTTTGGGCTTGGCGTCCCCCAGCATGGGCCGCGCTCTCCTTTTCTCAAACACCCACGTCGCGCGCTTGCTCTCCCCCTTCTTCTCCTCCCTCCTGCCAGCTTCCTCGACAACCACACTCGCTTGCTTCTACTGCCGTGGATTAAACTTTTTAATTCTTTTCTTCTCTCCCTCATTAGATCATCTTCGATCCCCCCCGCCGCCTACCCTTTGGTATCCAGCGATCCCACAACAAACAGAGCAGTCTTAATACACCACGTATGTCTCACTCGCCCTCTCCGGCCCCGTCCGAACATCTTCCTTTTCCCTCCTCAGCGCCTCGTTGATTGACTTCTCCACAGTACCCTATCACCAACCCAAACCCCCACAATGCCTTTCCTCAAGTACGCTCTGCCCATACTGGCAGCTGCCACTTTCGCCTCCGGTATGCTCCCTCCCCGCTCCTCCTCTGCAACCGACCCTCCGAACCCACCCACTAACATTTGCCTCCAGCCGATTGCCCTACCTCCGATACCGTCAACATCAAGAGCACGAGCGATGTCTCCTTCAGCGACTGCTCCAGCTACAAGGGCAAAATCACCCTGGACAAGGACTTCTCCGGTGACCTCTCTTTCGGCAACGATCTCGAGGAGATTGACGGCGACTTGCTCATCGAAGACAACGCCAACATCAAGCGTGTCGACGGCCCGGCCATCAAGAAGATTTCCGGCACTTTCTCCATCAAGAGGACCCCCGAGTTGGCCGCTCTCTCGTTCCCTCTCTTGGACGAGGCCAAGAAGCTCGAGATGGAAGGTCTCCCCAACTTGCGAAACCTGAACTTCGATAGCGAGATCTCCAGCGTGGACGAGCTGAGCATCGAGAACACCCAACTCCAGGACTTGAAGGGTATCAATCTTAACAAGACGAACAGCATCAGGATCATCGCCAACGGCGCAATTGCCAACATCTCCATGGGAATCAAGAACATGACTGGTGCCATTGAGATCAAGGACAACAATGCCGACGTCACCATCTCCTTCCCTAACCTCGAGCATGCCGGAAACATGAGCTACCGTGCTGTCGGTAACCTTTCTCTTCCTTCTCTCAAGGAGGTGTCTCCCGGATCATTCGGTATCCAGAACAGCAAGATGGGCAGCTTTTACGCTAGCAACTTCACCGATGTCAAGGATGCTCTCATCATTGCCAACAACACCGAACTTGCTGACCTTCACGTCCCCGCTCTCCAAAAGGTTGGCACTTCTTACCGTATCGAGAGCAACGACAAATTGAGCGAGATCAACATGCCCGCACTCGAGGACGTCGGTGCCGCTCTTGACATCAGTGGAAAGAACCTGACTTCGTAAGTTTATGCCCCGAATTTTGTTCCTGTGAGTGCATTACTGACTCCACGTAGTGTCAAGACCGAGAAGCTTGATCACGTCAAGGGTGTCTTCAACCTCCAGTCCGAGGCTTCGCTGGGCGACTCTTGCAAATTCTATGACGATCTCAACAAGAAGGGTGACCTTGGTCCCAAGAAACAGTACACTTGCAAGGGCGACCTCAACAAGGCTAGCAATGCTGGCGCTGGTACTGCCTCTGGTTCCAACGGAAGCGATCCTTCTGACAGCGCTGCTGTTCCCGTCCAGGTGCAGACCTACCTCGGTCTCGCCGGTCTCTTCGCCGTTATGTTCATCTAAAGGCAAAGAAGGATGAATTGACACACGAAAAAAGCAAAACTCTTCTCCGTTCAAACCACTGTATAGCTACACCTATCAACTTTGTAGCATCCAAATTGCGAGTACGCTAGACGTCCGATGGGACATTTTGATGGATTGGTGTGGATGGAGGGAGTTGAACATGGTTCGACACGAAACAGTCTTGTATGTATGAGGGTTGGAGTATAGTAGATTTGTAATAAGTCGCCCTCTTTGGCACGTCTCACCAAGGCTGAAGCTTCATGATTTGTCTGCGGTGGATGATTGACCAGGGATGGATGACGCTGCACGGAATATCCGCACTCTTTTACTTTCATGTTTATAGGTATGGCGTCTCCTGGAATACATTTTTCTTTCTGTCTCCAACAGCGTTGCCCCCGTCGTCTACTCCGTGATGTGTGTACTTGGCATGATTGGATGGAATATGGGACTCTCAAGATGATGTCGACCAATTTGTGTCGACTTTCATACATTGACAACACTGGCTTAGCGCATTCTGCTGTACGTACAAGAGCAGTAGCGATATGTAACTAAGTGCCCACCCCTTCAAATGATTGTACCATCCATCTGCCCTCGACGGACCCACCACCTGCCACTCTCCCAAACCAGAGCCGTGCTGGCGAAGTCTCCACCAGAACGAGGATCATGCAGCATTGCTCTCCACGCGCCTGGTCAGAAATCGATGGACCTAGATTTCTTTTTGATTCCATGTGCAATCTCGATATCCGCCACCGATCCTACCCTCTTTTCGAATCAAGACTTGGGGGCAGCGTCCATGGCCCAAACCAGCCGCCCATCTCAGACACTGATGACGGAAGAAGTAGGCACGTTCTGTATTCATTCAACGTTGCGGCACCTCAGTCTTGCACTCGCCCGTTACTTGTCACCCTTCAGCGCCTCTGGTCTTGGGAAACCGTACTAGCGGTGAAAGGCCTTGCATCCGCTGGCTGCTCTGGCACTGTTGGAAGTTCAAGGGAGCCCCCGGTAAGTAACCCTACCCTGCGCCAACCGAGCCCATTGTTTCAGTCTTTTGCGCAAGGGATATGCCCATCGTGGGTGTTACCAAGAATGGAGAGCTCTGCTTTTCTTCGAATACACAAGACATTTCGCCTGCGTGCGGGGAAGAGGGAAGCTCTCTAGGGTACCGGGTTTTCTTTACTTGCACCCCCAGCTCAAGGTTGCAACAACCTGGTCGACCTCCCGGGTTTCCGCGCAGCCATCATGCGGCAGGTCGAGTTACAATCGTACAGTGCAGAGAGCAGCATTGCCAGAAGCAAAAAGACTTCTCTTGAGGCTCGATATAAAAGGTCCTTGTCTTACTCTCTACAGTTCGCTGTAATCATCCAACTATTTCATCCACTATTTTGCTACGATTGTTTGTTGCAACGTTCCATATAATCTTTGTCAAAATTTCTTGCTCTATAGGTAGCCAAGATGCAGATTCACTACCACGTTCCTACCAGCCCCAACTCACTTTCGACGACCGAGGGGCATGAAAATACTCAAGACTGGTGAGTTTCATGTCGAGGCCACCACTCTGCTCACACTAACGAGGTGTTTTTTATATTAGCAATGTGGTGCGATTGCCACCAATCTCACAAATACTGCCACACCGGTCAATCGATGACCAAATGATGACCGGAATGGCCAGCATGAGTGTAGACGCGTAGGTCTATCTTCTGCTCATTGATTATACTCCGACTAACGTTCTACTCCAAAGCGGCCCGGCACTACTGCCGCCACTTCGCGATGTCGTTCCAACCTCCAATTCACTTGAACATCTGCAACACGTGGCTGGGCATATTGAACCTCGAAGAGGGTCAGCGTCTGGTTCGACTGCATACCCGACCCCGTGCTCGAGCCCGGTCAATTCACAGCCACGCTCTTTGCCAATTCGCCGGACAAGGACCCGTAAGATGAGGACTGGATCCCCATATTCATCAACCGACGATTCCAATAGCGAGGTGGCTCGTGGGAAACGCCCCGTAACGAAGAAAGCAGGAGTCGAGAAAGTGGCTCGCGCACAGCAAACTGGAGCACTCGGTTCCCTTCAGCACATGCTACTGTTAGTCAACCCCGATCTTCGCAAGCAGTGGACAGGCTTGAAAAGCAACAACATTCGTAACATCGAAAAAGCCCTCACGGTTAAGAAGTTTGAGGCGATCGTCACGAGCAGGGATATGATTGAGGACCTCAATGAGATCCTTGAGACCGCAATACGTTCCGCGATTGATCGAGGAGATCATGAGCAAGCTCAATATCTGACGAGCCGCCGCGGTCAGGCTGGAAGCAGATCGTAGCTCGACTGTTGATTCTTCACACCCGCACACTCTCTTGTTCATTACAGAGGCATGTTCACGTTTTGCAGTTTGGTGTGGCGAGCGATTTACCTTTCATTATCAGCGGTTTTTCCTTTCCTTTCTCCCTTTCTCCCCACTTGCAGCAACGATTTTCTTTTGTCCCACGTACACAGCACTGGGCGGTGAAGGCAGACTTATTGCAGAGCATTTCATGCATTGGAGAGGTTGTTCACCAAAAGCTGTCCTTACTGTTGTCCCTCATTACTAAGGGTTTGGCTGTATGATCTGTTCTTCAGTTTTTTGCTTTTTGCCCTGGCCCGTTGATTCGTTCATCTTTGGCCTTGGTTCAAGGGCGTGCTTGCTTATATTTTCTTGCTTCCCATGCTTTCGATGCATTCTTTTTCTCGCACGACTTTCCTTTGCAACTGACATGATTAACGACATTTGGATCGGCACATTTCGGTTTTTGTTCAACAGCGCATTGCCGCAGGTATGATGGATGATGGAGCGGATCGTCAGTGGTGGTGGATGCACAATCACGGCAAACGACATGGAAACAAGGGGGAGGCACATCAATGTCCCAAAAACAAAAAGCTTTCGGTATTTTCTAATCAATACTATATTATCCTCCTCCTCAAATGCAAACAGAGTATCTTGTGATTGGCTGATCGCAGTGGGAAGCTCCTGTGCTGGGGGCGGGAAGTTACAACCCACAGCGCAGTCGTTATCTACTTCTGTCGCTTGCTGCGTCCCAACCTCCATCCTTCGTAAACTCATGCTCGTTGCTTCAGTCACACGCATCCTTTCGCTAGTACATCAAAAAAAAAAAATGAAAGAAGAACTCGATGGCTCGTGTCTTTTCTTTTCTTTTCCTTTCCCGTCCTTTCCTTTCGGCTCTGCAGCCTCGTTTCCCCGCTGTCTCCCCCGCTTTGCTTTCTCTACACTCGTGCGCGCGGTACATTCCACTCCAACCTATGTACGTACCTACATGGTTGATCGGTCAGCGAGCAAGGGATAGCTCAACTTCGTACGTGCATCATGCGTGCGAGCATGCTCCAGCCCCAAACTGTGATGTTGTCTTTTCGTTGCTTCTCGGCCTGCATCAGACAATATGGGGAATAGGCGCTAAGAGCGAGCTCCACGACGAACATGTCAAGACGGTGGAGTGAGCCGTTCAATGGTTGGCAGGCATGCATATCGAATCGAGCGCGGAGGCGCTTACTTTTCCGATCGGTTGGCGTTTCTTCTTTTTCGCTCGAGAACACGTTGATCAACTGCATGAGATACCCTGCCTGTTCTCGAACTGGCATGTTATTCGTTGTTGTGCTCCCATCCCTACGTCGGAGTCCTTTTGCTTTCCTTCTTAACCGTCACTTTGCTGTTTGACTGGCGGGATCGTCATCAGCGTGGCAGACGCCCACCCGCATGCCATTGCTTTTTATGAGGCAGGCCGAGAGCATGTGCCAAAGTCCAACCGGATGGTTTCTATAATGGGAGATTATGTGTTTACTTTGTCGTCTCCATCTGCCCAAAGCCACCGTTTCTTGGCAATGCCAGGTTGCGTCCTGACAGTTGGAAAAGATGAGCAAAATGTTCTGGGAAGAACCGGCAGACAATGTCAACCGCGGATCGCGCGCGCGCTTAGCCTCAACCAGACTTTCTATGTTGTACGGCATGCCAATCTTCCCGATCCTTTTCCAACATCCAAATCATGACGGAGATAATAAGAAGACCATGCTGGATTCGAAAGTTGGCACATATACGATCTTGCTGCTGAATTCTGTCGAAAAGTGTATCTCATGATTACTTGTAGCTGCTCTAGACAGACAAAGTGGAGTTCATCCTCACTGCTGCTGCTGCTATCGAAGCGTATGGCTCAGTTCTGGCCATTTATTCGACTCACTTGTTACACACACTAGCGAAAGAGAGTGATTGATCAGTGAGAATACGAAGAGGGCTGATCGGCACTTGTTTACTGCGTGTATGAAAGTACCCGATCCAAGTTCAAACGTCAACAACGGTTGGCTCTCGCGGCAGCAGCATATGTGGGTACATGATACTACATGTGCTGCATGTACTGAAGGGAGTCATAGCTTTTCGTTGCCTATCCTATGTGGCTCAGGTGATGTTGTTACACAAAGTATTTTGGAGACATGGTAGAAGAAATGAGGTATTGTATTTGCTCCCTCCTTTCTTCAGTTTCTTGCTCACTGTATGATAGGAAGAGAAGAGGCACATGTATAGCCGAAAACAGAATTCTTGATTCTTATCGTACAACCAGAGCACTCTACGTTGGTGGCGACCACAGCGATTTGGCCATGAACGAGCATGATCTCGCAAATTAACAACCATACCTGCACCATAAGATTACCAGGAAGGCTAGATACCCGCGTTAGACCCTCAAATCAATCTCAACCCGACCATCCGCAGCTCCTGTCGCACAGAGATGATCGGAGCATTCCCGTTCTATCCAATCACCATATCTTTGACACTCCTAGCCTGTATACACATCAGTGTGCATGTATCCCCAAGCACCAACAAGCCAAAAGTCAGCAAGGATCCGGTCCGTTTGCGGGCATGTCCGCGTTTTGTGCCCTGTTCACCTGCCGCTGGCCCTCTTGTATGCTGGCCTCTAGAGGCCAGATAGAAAGAAAGGTGATGGCCCGCGTTTGACGCAAAGTGGGGCTAGATGCTGGATTAGACGCTGATGGCTTGCTTTGCATACACCGAAGCAAAATTTCTATCATGGACAACCACGACATAATTGTTCCATGTACAACATGATATCAAACATCAACGGTGGGGCCAATACGTCGAATGCTTGGTAATCGCATCTCTGCTCACTCTATTTTGGGTGCAGAAAAGACCGCGTTGGTGAATCTTCCGGTGTGTGAGCGTGTATACACATGTCGTATACGTCGTCAATGGGATCCAAGCGGCATGCACGACGAAATGTCAGTAAGTGCATTAGCTCTGCATGAGTAACCGGGAGACGCGAGGGCCCCATCTGGCCTTTGGGACCCGTGCTGGTTTAGCTCTTCTCGGTGGTTTTTGGGGTATTGGTACGACGTTGTACTTCTGCTGGGCAACTGTATGTCGAGTCAAACGGGATGTATGTTTACGGTATTTCCTGCGAGCCTAGATGAGAAAGCGGGGAACAGGTAAGTTGTGTCTTTTGGAAGATCGGTTGTATTGAGAACTTTTTTCTTGTGGGGAAGCGAGAGGAGGGGGATCTGGACCAGTCTGTATGTGTCTTCATGCTCTTCTACTTGTCGATTTCCACTCAGCACACCCGCATAGTATCAGGGAACAAAACTCTGTTCTGTTCCATGCTTATTTCTCATGACATGTACCTCCAAACATAAAACCGCCTGTTTCGTGGTATCTTTATTGTTATAACTATATCGCTGTGTATGGGATCATCTAAACTCCAACTTTCAATTTATTTGTATCCCAACACCTGTCAATTTGAATCTACAGCTTCAACTCATCCAAAGCAACAAATCCAACCCGTGTACAAAACCCCGACTTTTATCCCCTTCAGATAGTCACTCCCCCCCAAAATTCACCAAGGAAGAACTAAGTATTCCAGCACCGATAAGATGTAGGCACCAACCCATCCCAATCCCCCTCCGTCGGCCCCTCAATGTACATAATGTCTTGTTGGTTCACACAAGTCGGTTCATTCGAAAAAGCACCACTGCCACAACATCCCATGTTAGCCAAGCCAATTCTCCCTTTTCCCTCCCACCTTGAAACTTGATAATCGTATGTTGGAATAGTGACTTACAAAAACACATCACAAGCGCACCCCGGATATACCTGATAGGAAACAAACGTAGCAGAGGCATCGTTTGGATCGTAGACTGGCTGACAGGCTTCGGGGTCCGATACTGGGTATGTGTACATTCTAATGTTGTCTGTGTTGGACATTATGAAGACGCCGCAGCCGGGAGGGACGGCACGGGTGTGAGTTGTTGTTATTGTTGTTGGGATGCTGGTGGTGAGGGTAGGTATGAGGGCGAGGAAGAAGGTGAGCAGCTTCATTGTTTGAAGGAGTGGAGTTGGTTGGGAGGTTGGGAGGTATGTAATTCAATTGAGGCACTTGATTCTATTTGGAATAATATAGATTCCAAGCGCAATGGGGCAGAAATGGATGGTTTGGAGTAGAGAGAATAGACCGTGGATTTCATGTTCCTGCTCTGTCTATGAAATATATATGGGGAATATATTCTGAAGTACCCAAAGCTGACACGACCTCTCAAGGGTTTTTCGTGTAATGTAAGCTGACCGAAATCCAATTGTTGGCTCACCGTGGATAGTGAATGATGAATGGTGAATGGGTGTGAACGTGCTCCCTGATTCGACATCTTCATCACCCCATGAGTTCAAAAGCGGCAGGTATGTGTGGTAAGAACTATCGATTAGTGTTGTATGTCTTCCCGTTCGACCTATACAGATGAGCAGCATTGAGGAGTGACCAACACGGGAGGCTTGACTTAAAACGCCACCGTTCATGACAATAAGCTCGTTCCTGTATTCCAATATTCCCCGAAATATTCGTTTTCCTGGTTGCTCAACCGGTAGTGAGAATAAAGCCGGGAGTACACAAGGCGGCCGATGGCTGCTTAAGCGACCGACCGATGGCCATTGGATGGCATTGTGGTAGCCGGCGGGTGCAACGTTCGGGATCGGGGAGTGCGGATTGATCGCGCGCCGAGAATATCGGTTTCACATGCGAACACCTTGGTTCACTGGAACGATGTGAAATGCGCAGAGCGGATGATCCTGTGGGACTTGATGTGATCAATTGATGGTGTTGATGGGACACGAGATGGTGATGGACGTTGACGGGGAAGGGCGGCCGCTAAGAACGCTGATTGGCCAGATCGCGCTTGCGTCTGTTTGTTTACAAGATGACGAAATGATGCTCCTGCTTTCTACCATTTACAACTGCAATTGCGATTCACCATTGCAAAGACAAAGCAGATAGCGCTCTCAATCTTTTGAATTGTTATTGTTAACTAGATGATAGGTTCCTTCCCGTTGTTCGAAGTTCAGATCCGTTCCTTCCTCAAGCGCACGCTTTCCCCTCCGTAACCCTCATAACCTACCTATTTGACGGCCTTGAGGGGCACGTCTACAATCCGCCCAACCTGGCTCCCGCACTCAACCCGGCGTCGGCCCTCCGCGCCCAACGACAGCTCGAAACCGAAGACGACGCAAACATTCGAGAACGCAGCATAAGCGTCCGCATATCGCAGAGCCGAAACGACGACCACGAAGATCAGGACAATACAGCGACCTCTCCCGTCGCCCGCTTCAGCAGCATGATTGTTGGAAAGGGTTCTTCCTGGAAAGCTGCCAGGGCGCGCTTGCCGCCGAGCCGCCAGCTATGGCATATGCTGAGAAGCACAAAGACGTTGGTAGCGTTTGCATCGTTTGCCCTGGTCGTTATTCTCTGGCGGTCCATAGGGTCTGATGCTGCTGAGATGCAGAGGTGCGTTACTGCTCGGTATTATAACATGAATCAAACTTAAGGAGCTATCTTCATGTTCCAAGTTGTCCAATTGTATACTGACAGCCGCTCATCTAGGTTTTACTGCTGGGGACCTTCAAAATCGCCGCTCCATATGACAGCTAACGAGATTGAGGATTGGCACGCACATCTGCAGACTCCTGTGCTGTTCAATCCTCACAAGCCAATCGAAATCAACGACTCCACGATCGAGCATGTCGACCTCAATCAAGTCAAGTCCACCGTCGATGCGATCAAGAATAAAGAGCGCGTGCTGATATTGACCCCGCTGCGAGACGCTTCCATGTACCTACCGCAATACTTCGATCTACTTAGCCTGATTACATACCCCCACGACCTTATTGACCTGGCCTTTCTCGTCGGTGACAGCAGGGACGATACTATAGCCACTTTGGCCAAAGAGCTGGAGCGTGTACAAGGCAACGAAGAAGTTGCGTTCCGGTCTACCACAGTCGTGGAAAAGAATTTCGGTGTCACGCTCTCGCAGAACGACGTTCAAGATAGACATAAGCTTGAAGTTCAAGGCCCCCGCAGGAAGGCCATGGGCCGAGCACGCAACTACCTTCTTTCAGCAGCACTGAAGCCGGAGCATAGTTGGGTGTACTGGAGAGATGTTGACTTAAAAGACAGCCCAGCAACAATCATAGAAGACCTCGTCGCGCACGATCGTGATGTCATTGTCCCCAGTATGTTCGTCAAAGAACCTTGTGGATCAGTCACTAACGTGTGAAAGACGTGTGGTTTCATCGATACGAGGAACGCGATGGAAAGGACGTCGACATTGAAGGTAGATGTAAGTATACCGAACTCGAAATTGTGGTTCGTGTTGCTAACAATGTTAGTCGATTACAATTCGTGGCAAGAATCGCCAGAGGGGAGACAACTGGCTACCACCCTCAAGCCTGACGAGATCCTTGTTGAAGGTATGTATCCGTATTCCCGAGTCCATCATTTGTTCACTGATTTTTACTTACCAGGATACCCACTCAAATATGATACCAAACGCACGTACATGGCCCTCATGGGTGACTGGCGTAAAAACAAAGATGAGGAAATACCTTTGGATGGCATCGGTGGGGTTAACATCATCGTCAAAGCTGATGTTCATCGCTCCGGCATCAATTTCCCGTGCTATGCTTTCGAACATCAGGCTGAAACAGAAGGTTTTGCGAAGATGGCCAAGCGAGCGGGCTATGGTGTCTACGGTTTGCCGAATTATGTGGTGTGGCACATTGATACCCAGGAAGTGCCGGTTTGATCCTTTGCTCGCAAGCAAGGATATGTGATTATGACTGCATTTAGAGGGAGTTCAACGGCTGCTTTTCTTCGTAATGAGTATGAGCATATGCATCTGGTACGGTTCGCTCTTTCTTCGCCGGGAGCATAAAAAAGTGGACAGGTTCGGGCAGCATGCTGTTATGGGTGGAAAAGAGATGGTAGTATACGATATGGGGCCATGAGCTTTTGTGAATATACCCACCGTTTGTCTTCGTTATGATGAACTAAATGATTCATGGCTGCACACGTCTATTTTGTTTGTTTGTTTGTGCAAAGGTCCCGCTTCGTCATTTTTGATGGCAGATGGATGTTCTTACGGGATATTCGAGAATCTGTATTACAACGTGAACTATGAACGCACAAGTATCTTATTTGGAAATATCCAATACACCAGAAGAAAACCAACAATTTGATCTGTTCGCGGCTCAACATCTGGGATGGAGCGCGTGCGCGTATGTGTGTTTGTGAACGAACCCTAAAAAATCATGAAAAAAAATCGCTAAAGTAGACAAACTAAGGGTGAAAAACCGGGAAGAGAAGAAAGAGAAAATATCCAAGAAACCAAAAAAAGTAACAAATCCACTCTGGGCTAAGAAGTGAAGAAATCAAGAACAGAAAGTAACAGCCACAGGCGACGTCTCAAAACACGAAACATGGAAGCACTTACCCCATTTGCCCAAGAAGAAGAAAGATATTGAAAAAAGAGGAGATCAGAATCTCACGACGCGCCTTCTCCCTCCTTACCTTTCCCACCACCCATAACACCCATGAGCTTCCTCTTCTGTCTCTCCGCCCACTCTCGACTCGCGATCCTGCCCCTCTCCGCCGCCTCAGCCCTCGCCTTCTTAGCAGCATCCTCTTTCTCCTTGCGCTCACGCACTCGTGCTTCCTTCTCCAATTTATCGCGATTGAAGACTTGTCTGCCTTTCTGCGACGACACTGCACCTCCCGTCGCAGGTGCAGCTGCAGCAGAAAACGAGGAGCTAGTCGACGCAGTGCGAGATTGTGCCGTCGTCGTCGTTGACATACTGGCTGTGCGTTTCGGCAGCGCGCCCGCTGTCGTCGTGGTGGTGGAAGGAATCGGTCTCCGGGCAGGCGCTGGCCGCGCTTTGAACGCCAGAGCAGCTTTCTTGGCGGCCTCAGCTTCCTGTTCTTCGCGCTTGAGCCGTTCTTCCCTTGCGGCTTTGAGTTTTGCAGCTACGGCTTCGCCCGGGAGCTGGAAATTGGCCACGGTTGGGGGTTTTGTGGATTTTGCGGGGAGCACGAGGCTGACGGGACGCGAGGATGGTGCGCGCTGTTGCTGCTGCTGATTGCCGGCTTCTGCTTCTCGCTTGAGGCGTTCTTCCTTTTGTGCTTTGAGCTTCGCGGCGATGGCTTCGCCTGGGAGCTGGAAGTTTGGTTTCGTGGGGGCTTTTGTGGACTTGGGAGGTGGTGGCATGCTGATTGGTCGTGGTTTCTTCGCTGAGCCGGCTTCAGCTTCGCGCTTGAGTCGTTCTTCCTTTTGGGCTTTGAGTTTGGCGGCGACGGCTTCGCCTGGGAGTTGGAATGTTGATTTCGTGGGGGCTCGTTGAGATTTGACAGGGGGAGGCGGCGCGGGAAACGACATGCTGATGGGTCGGCGCTTGGAGGCCAGGTAGTCGCTTGTCTCTCCTGATCCTTTGCGGGTTGGTTGATCTTTGGCAGATTGTGAGGATGTGGCACGCACGCTAGAAGCTCTTCCTAGAGATGAGCCGGAGGAGAGTCGAGATGCGGCTGGCTTGAGCGATTTAGGTGCTGCGCTGGGGTTTCGTGATATCCTTGAGACTGCCGGGGACTTCTTCTTGGGCGGTGTTGGTGTCTTGGACAGACCCTTCTTCCCAGGAGCCTCATCGGCTGACTGGTCGAACAGAGGGATGGCTTTTCCGACATTTTCGAGAGCCTCCTCCAGCGCATCGAATGCTTCGATGGACTCTTCGAGGCGCATTGGCGATCTGGAAGGACTTCGCGAGGCTGGGCGGTTAGGCGTGCGGTTTGCTGCTGGAGTCGTTTCCCCTTCGCATGGCTTTTCGGAAGTGAGTGTCTTTGGTTCAGGTTCGGAAAAAACCTCCACAGTTGGGGTTACTGCTGTGTGTTTGGGAGTGGTTGGTATAACCTCAGAGTCGTGAGGTTCCTGATTCATGCCAGTCGGTACGATCTTCAATTGCTGAGCATCCTCTTGCACATTTATAGCCTCCTCCTGATTTGCTTCTTGTGGGGATTCGGCGGAAACTTGTTCAGCTGGGGTTTCTTCTTCTACTTTTGTAGCTGGTTCTTTCAGTTCCCCGACGATCTCCTGTTGCGATCCTGCAACAGTGTCTTCGCCATTTGTAGCAGCGGTGCTTTCGTTCTGCAGGGAGGACTGCGGCTCGAGTGGCTTGGAGAGTTGCTCCTCCTGCATGGCCAATTGACGGCGCGTCATGCGCAACGAGCGCGCAGGAGGTGGGCTGGCAGGCCGTTCAATCTGAAGGGATTGCTCTGCCAGCTCATCAACAGGGTTCCCTGTAGCGAGCGGCTCATCTTGGATGGTATCCGCCACGGGTGCGTCGTCTTCCTTGACCGCCTTTCCCTTCTTTCCTTTTGCGCCTTTCTTTGCGCCGCCTTTGGCTTTGCTTTTCGTGGTTGGCATTTTTGGTGGTGGGGCTTGATCAGCATCGTCTGCTTCGAGCTCTAGGGAGGTGTTTCCAGACACATCACTCAAAGGAACGCGATCATCGCTGGATTGGTTGATTGTAGGTGCAGTTGACGCGTCGGGTGTCTCGATGTCTGGCTGCTGAGCCTCAGCGCGCATTGCCGCACGTGTGAGGCGCATGGTTAAGGCAAGGGGCAGATGAACTGGGCTCGATAGCTAGAAGGCGCTTTGGGGGATCTAGGTAGAAGCTGGGCGGGTCAGAGGGTCGTACTATAAGGTACGAACAATCTGGTGGGAGACATGTAACGATGGCGGGGTGGTTTGATGTCTTGGACCGTGTTGTGTGCTGATATGGGAGAGTTTGAGTGTTTACAAGGATGCTCCTAGACATAAACAAACACTGCTATGCCGCACGACCACGGCCATCTTATCTTATCTGATCCGACTGGATTTGATTCAGGGGTCTTGACCACATATCAAGCAAACACGGTATACTCTGTTTCTGAACAACAAGTAATATTTGAAGCCTATTTGGAGTTTCCGCAAAGTTTGTCCGGTTCTCAGCTGCAAGTCTCATGTTATGTGTTGGAGTGTGCAAACAAATGTTGCGCTCGCTGATGTGATGTAAACTAAGTGTACGCTACTTAGCTTGGAGGTATAGTTGAGATATCATTCATTCTACGCGTCGTGAGCGGATCCCATTGAGCTTTCGGGGTATGATTTTGAAGAAACGATTAGCATGAGGTTATCGTGCCGTTCACATAGCCATTTTTTCTTTGTTGTGGTGACGATGAGAGTCGTTTCACATACAGTGGAGCGACTCAGAACTGCCGGCTGCGGATATCGGAGTGTGAGAAGGTCTGGGGGAAAAAGACCATTTCATTTCATTTCATTTCAACATCTTGCTGCACTTGCCATCGACAGAATTGCTTTTCCTCCCGTGTCTGATTCCAGCCCCGTTCGTCTTAATTCTCCGTGCTCTCTTTGACTCGCTCCTTTCGTATCCAGACGCCTTGGTACCTACACAACCACTCATTGACCCAGGCACGTCTCTCCTTCGCCGTCAACTGGCATCCATCATCCATCCTCGCCCATCTCCGAATCCCGGCCCCTCGCGACTCCAAGCATCCCCACGTTCCACCTTATCAGACTTCCAGGCCACCTTGGGCCTAGCAGAGCAAGCAAAGCATCCAAGCTGGCTACCCCGCGCCGACTGCTGCTGGGAGCCTTCAATTCCCGCGTCTACCCCTCCTTCGCCCCCCGTGTCGTCACCCTGGCGCCCTCACGCCCCTCCTCGCGGCTCGACCTCTTGTCGCGCCATCTCGAGTCGAAGCCCTTTCTAGAATTGAACACTCCCTTTTCTACTGAACGAAGCGCGCGTTTTGTTGACGAGCAGGGCAACATCATCCCATCCAAGACGCCTCGAGAGCAGCATCAGCAACCAGAGGAGAAACCCAAGCAGATTCCCGAAATCCCTCCTATACCTTCCAACATGTCTAGCCAACCACCCCACCCGGCTTTGCTTATCCCCGGCCCCATTGAGTTCGACGATGCTGTTCTCCAGGCTATGGGCCACTACAGGTACTTCATACACGAGTCCATTGTTGGTACGGCCTCATACTAACAACATTGTCACCATCCAGTGAATCACATGTCGGTCAACCCTTCGTGAACGTCTTCGGCGATGTCCTCGGTAAACTGCGCAAGCTCTTCCAAACCACCGATCCCGCCTCCCAGCCTTTTGTCATTTCCGGTTCCGGTACCCTCGGTTGGGATCAGGTCGCTGCGAATCTCGTCGAGCCTGGCGATGAGGTACTCGTGCTCCATACCGGATACTTTGCCGATTCGTTCGCGGATTGCTTCGAGACATACGGCGTCAAAGCAACACAACTCAAGGCTCCTATTGGCGACCGCCCTCAGCTCGACGAAGTCGAGGCTGCCTTGAAGGAGAAGAACTACAAGATTCTGACTGTGACCCATGTGGACACGAGTACCGGTGTGCTGAGCGAAATCAAAGCTTTGAGTGAGCTCGTACACAGAGTCAGCCCAGATACATTGGTCGTTGTAGACGGTGTATGCAGTGTTGGGAGCGAAGAAATCCGCTTCGATGATTGGAAGCTCGATGTGGTACTTACTGCATCGCAGAAGGGCATTGGCTGCCCAGCAGGGTTGAGCATTCTCATGGTATCCGGTCGTGCGATTGAGACATTCAAGGCACGCAAAACCAGGCCTACTTCCTACTTTGGTTCCTGGAAGAATTGGCTGCCAAGTACGTAAAAGCATTCTATCGTTTGAACAGTCTCTAACCTAGCTCTAGTAATGCAAAACTACGAGGCCAAGAAGCCTTCGTACTTCGCGACTCCCTCCCCTCAACTCGTCCGCGCCCTCGACACTTCGCTGACCCAAATCCTCTCGCGACCCCTTGAGCAGCGCTTCGCAGACCACAAAGCTGCCTCCCAAAAAGTCAAGAAGGCTGTATCCGACTTCGGTCTCAAGCAGCTCGCCTCCAAACCCGAGAACCAGGCCAACGGTATGACCGCGATCTACCTCCCCGAAGGCGTATCTCCACCAGATGTTACCCCCAGTTTGATGAAGAAAGGCGTAATTTTTGCTGGTGGCCTTCACAAGGAGATTGCATCCAAGTACATTCGATTCGGACACATGGGTGTCAGTGTTACCGACCCGGAGAGACCGGATATTAATAAGGCGATTGATAGTTTGAAGGAGAGCCTTACCGAGGTCGGGTACAAGAACTAGATAGACTATTGGGATAGATGGAGGGGAGCAAAAGTAGCTGAGAGGCCGATATGTATAAAATCTTCAGATACACACAATCAATAAACATATGATAAAACATATTTCTAGACTTTTATCAAGGTCCATACTCATTCGAAGTTACACTTCACATCTATAAAGTCCGCTATATAGGCTTCATCATGGTTCGTTGAAAGCCGAGAATGCATCCAACAGTGATCGTCTAGATGGTCCGAATTGAATTAAAGGGCTCAGCGTGTTCACATATCCCATGCTCAATTGATGCATCTCTCTTGTAGGTTCTCAAATCAGTCCATACTGCTTTGGATGCAATTGAACAAACTTCTCGGAAAACTCTCATCAGATAGTTGGATAAGAAAGTCTGCTTATGTTATCTGCTTCTAATGTTGATATGATTTTCACTACTCAGTTCCACTAAGACTTACAAACATACAAGTTTGAGACAGATAGACATATAACGATCATCCATCTACCCCAGCAAACCCAACTTTTCAAATCCCTTGACAACAGGCGCGGCGCGCTTCTTCTCGATCTCCGCCATGCTATCCATCAACGTCCGATCCGCCCCAGAAGGCCTAACCACTTCCGCATCCCCCTCTAAACCATTCAACCCGGTCTGCTCCTGCCCCGCGATCCCCTGAGCCTGAGGCGCATACACCTCAGCAACAGCATCGCGACACCCCTTCAGAACAAGCTGGACCGCACTCGCGACAGCATCAGCGCGCTCCCGCATCCCGCGGCGCACCAAACCCTCCACAAGCCGTTGGATCTCATCATGCATGCTGTTGATGCGTTCAATGAGCCGCTCGATGGAGTTGACGAGGTACTCCTCTTCATATACCGTTCCCTTTTTCCCACGTGCGCGCTTGCGCTCTTCGCGCCGCTTGTTCTTGGACGTTTTGCGCGTCGTCTGCGTGTTGATTGTCCCTGTTCCCGACGACCGCTGCGTGTACCGCGTCATCAGCGTGCCTCCGGACGTAGTATTTGTAGGTGCAAGGGAGATGTTATCCGGGATGTCGGCTTCGTCGACGCCTTCGTAGAAGGCGAGGGGGTTCTCTGCTTTCTTGGTGCGGAGCTCGTGGAGGCGCGGGAGCTGGGCTTGCAGTTGGTTCTTCATGTCTGCGAGGAACTCGGTCATGTCGCCGCTGCGCTCGGCGAGAGCCGGGTCAAGGATGGATTCTATGAGGGGGAGTTGCTTGTGCAGGGTGATGAGGCGGAGGGCGTCGGCGAAGTAGCAGCCTTGGCAGAGGAGGCGGGTTGCCGTGGGGAGGTCGGAGAGGTGGTCTAGGTAGATTGTGGAGGCGGCTAGGTACTCTTTTGCTTCGACGAGGCCTTCGGCGAGGGAGGTGGCGAGGTTTTCGAGCTCGGGTGGGGTGATGGAGGCGAGGGTGGCCGAGGAGAGGGCTTCGCGCCAGAGGTTGGCGGAGCGGTAGCAGGGCCATGCTGAGGCGTGGTCTTGGAGGTATTCGTATGCAAGCGCGGCTTCTTTGTGTTGGTTGGTGCTGCTGAGGTGGTCGGCGTAGAGTTGCATGATGGCCTTGAGGTGAGGCATGTCGTATTGGTACATGCCGAGGGCTTCCGGATAGAGAGTGTGCCTCTGGACGTATTGCTTGACTTCTTCGAAGACTTCTAGTTCTTTAAGATGTCCAAGGGCTTTGGCACGGCGACCTAATTGGTCATCAATCGAGAATTTCCGGCGTAGTGGCGCGAGGTCGTGGAGAGATTGGAGATGTGGAAGATACTCTCGAGGGTCCTAGAATCGACAGTGAGTCTTGTGGGCGGGAAATGAAGCGAGAGCAATCTACGTACCTTTTGTGATTGTTGTGCAATGAGCAACGCAAGTTCGAGATTGTAGATCCCGAGCGATGTGTCGTAGAGTTGGTTTACATCTGCAAGGAAACATATATGTTCGGCAGCTCGTTCCGTAAGCGGATCTTTAGAGGCTGTACCATGTAAGTTTGGTTACCAGAGAACGGCAGGCTTCGAGACGTACCTTGAAGTCGTCCTATCACTTGCAAGCCAGACTCCAGGTCTGCAGGCACCTTGCATACGTGGGCCGTAATCAGGTTTTGTAGATGACTTTCCTTGTACTGAGGCTCTTCAAGAACAGCAAGGAATCCGTCGCAGATACGGTTCACTTTGTTGGCAATATGCTCAGGGGAATGAGTCTCCTTAATCATCTGATCTTTGGTCTTTAGCGTTTCCTTATACATTGTTATCGAAACGTCTTCGTTCCTACATCACGTCAGTTCTGAGTTGCCTAATGATAGCTTGGAAAACACACCTGAGCTGTGACAGGAGTAAATCCAGATGCTCTATCTTCTTGACTTGGTCGATGATTTTCGGAAGACTTGCCATGAAGCGGTCTGGGTCATGGTCGTGTAGGATATTCATGTCGACACGTTGATTTCGGCAAGTGAGGAAAGCTTCGTCGTAGCGATCTGCCTCAATACTTCGTCGAATGGCTGCGAGAACAAGAGCACGAGGATAAATAGTTTCGAGATTGCCCCTGGGCATCTGCAACACCACAGAGTAAGTCGTCGGAACTACTGTCACAAGTTTGGCTCCGCGTTCCACATTCCTACATCGCTCGTCCTTTTGTGGCTCGTCCGCAGGTATTTCGAGTTCTGCCCTCATTAGCAACTGTTCTACTCAGGGTGTCGAATATTCTTACCATCTACGTTATTTAAGTGTACAAATTTAAGAAGGTGTTGCGTGGTCGTAAAGATAAGGTGAGTAAGAGTAACCACGAATGAAGTACAGTTCCGGACTAGAATTCGATTGTTGGCACTCAGCACTCCGCTCTTAGACAGACCAAAGGCCACTGACTGCATACGTGGTTAGCTTTGTCTCTGCCAACTGTACTTATGAAGGGATACCGTACGTTTCCTTCGAGAAATGCCATCTTCACTTCTGGCGCAAAAGTCGGCAAACTCGTGACCAACGAACTTGACAGAGGCAGGTCCTCCGCCGCTTCGCTAGTCAACAGTTCATATATGGCACCTTCACGGGATGTGGCATACACTTTTTTGAAATCCACACCTGAAGAGACAGACGAAACGTTCTGAGGCTCCAGGATGACTCCATGAGGAAGAAGCTCTGCTCCCTCGCTGATCCAAATACTACTTTCTTCCTCGCTCCAGCTATCGGTCAACACACAAATCCGATCTTGATCAACAAATGTAACTTGTCGAGGAGATACACCTGCAAGACCGTTGCTTTGCCAAAGAAGAGTAGGCACAGGCACCGGGCGTTTTTGCAAGTCCACAGCATATACCGTGAGGTGATCCTCAGATAGCACAGCTAAGCGTGTCCCGCTCATAGAGAAAGCAACGTCGATTGGTTTTTGATCCAAAGCAATTTGCTGGAGTGACATGGGTGGTGGAACGTTGGCGATTCTTAATGGTGTCAATTTCAGTGATAGCCCGTCGACTGACGCAACAACACCGAAATCATGTGGCGGCACTACTGAGCCGGAGGCGACAATGGAAGCATATTCCAGGACTTGGAGCGCGTCGGCGGTCGTCAACGCAACTAGTAACGGCTGTTCGGAATGCCAGGTGCATAGTACGTTTCCAACGGCATGATCGGGCAGTTTAATTTCCTGCTTGAGATAGTAGTGATAATTGCTCATCGTCCAGAATTGGACTTTGTCCTGATACGCTACAGCCAGAACATTGGAGTCACTATTCCATCGTAGCGTGAGTGGTGTCGACAGAGCCTGCAACTCTTCAGGTGTAAAACGCAAGTCAAACTGTCCATGACGTAGGCCATTGCGCTCGAAGAATACCACTTCTATTCGGCCATCGTAGCGTCGGGTGCCCGCGATGAGATTTCCAGATGGCCGCCAGCTGAGAGCTCCCTCGAGTCCATCAACAGGTTCACTTACACTGTCGAGCTGGCCTTCTCTTGAATAGACGCGAATCATACGTCGGCGCTCCTGTTCAACTTTGTTCACAGCGAAATATGCACCATCACCTCGCCAACTTATAGTCACTGAGCGGTCGTCCAAGGGGCTGAGCACACCTTCATCGACAGTTTCTGGCATAGTAGGATCCTGCAATGCTCTGGCCCTTTTGCCTTTGAATTGAGTCTCCTTCTTTCCCCATCCTACCGAGACGTGGTTAGATGCGTTGACATCATCAGGTGAAAGCGTAATGCTCGCGATGTTCTCGATATCTCGGCTCATCAACAGTAAAGTATCGGCCAGAGTAGTAATGGTCAGCAACTCTTCATCCGGGGACCAACAGGCAGCCGAGATTCCGGCATCTACGGAACCCACAATTTCCACCAACTCTTCTCCATTTTCAGGATATTGGCGCACTAACACAATGTCACCTCCAGCAAGGACCAAACATGTTGTTGAGGAGTCCGAAAAATGATGGAGGTCTACTATTGAGTCATGGGTGAGCGAAGGCAGGGGACATGGCGCATCCCAGGATGCCACGCTTTCAAGTCGTTCTTGGGCACCGTTGACATCGTGGTATATATGAAGCTTCTTGACTTCGATGGTGGCACGTGATTCTGTGGGCCCAAAGGCGCATACGAGAGCATTCGATGTGACGTCCCAGGCTGTGGCAGTGAGGGGTAATGGATCTTCGCCGGAGAATCGAAGCAGCGACCGCCCAACAACTCTCAAGTTGCGCATATCGAGGAAAGCGGAGTTGTTGATAACCTTGTCATGAGCTGATTGTGGTGTATTTCAAGCTCGAAATTTTGTTCCGTAGTTTAACTAGAGGCTCGAATAGCCGAGCTTCCGCCGAGTGAGCCTTATGTTCACCTCACTCACCACACCACCGGAGTCGTGATATGTATAAGTACGCATGGACGAGGTCACTGTACGCAAGCAAACAAGGTCTGAAACTGCCAATGAAATTGATGCTGGTGGTGTGTGTAGTACAGAATGTTCGCGGGAACTTATTCTACAAATTTCTCCCTTGAACCCCCGTTCGTCTGAAAGCTCCCCCACAGATATATAAAAGCCGTCGTTTAAGGCTTGTTCTTCTTTGTTTGCCAGACTGAATAGAGTTTGCGTTAGATTTGCACGTAGTGTGACAAGGACACATTTGACGAGCTTACCAGCAAGGCCGAAGGGAAGACCGAATCCGGTTGCTACTCTGATTAGCCAGCTGCACAAGGTACGATTGGAACGCAACCAAGCTCACCCATGAAGCCCCAGTACTTGAAAGCAAAGCCCCTCTTGAGGGGGTCGAAGGGCAAGTTGCTGCGCGGGCCCTCGGGGTAGTGGTATGGCGAAGACAACTGAGCGCGAGTGGTCTGGAAGCCACGACGGGCGACGAGGGTCGGGGCCGCGGAGGCGCGGTAAGCAACGCGAGAGATCATCTTAGGCGGAGTTAGAAAGGGCCAATTGAGGGTATGGGAGGGCGTACGCTGGCGTTGGTGGTGAGTGGAGAGGTGTAGAGGCTGTTTGATCTCGAATTGTTCGGTCTGGGAGAGCTGTGGATGCATCGAATGATGCGGACCGCCACAAGACCGCTTGGCACGCTAAGCCATCACGCTAAGCTACATCTAGCTTGTCTGCAGTTTGAATCGGTTTACACGATCAAGCACTTTTTTCCAGTCGCCTTCACCTACTTCTTTCCCACCGCACCCCACAACAGCCACAACAATAACAACACTCACCTGGCGACACGCGTTGTCGCCGTCGTCTCCGCTGCGAGTGCAAGCGTCCATCTGCCCTTGTTCCATTGTAGCTTGTCAAGCTCCCACTACCACCATGGACGATCTCTTTGACGTCTTTGACGACACCCCGCAGGCGGTGAAGAATGCGCCCAAAAAGAGCAAAAAGCGCCAGGCCAACGGCGATGTAAAGTCGCCCATTTCAGAGGACGCGCTCATGACTGACGCGCCTATTACCGCCGACAACGAGCCTGTCCGGCAAACGGAGGATAAGGTGCCCAAACGACAGAAGCGCGATGCCGAAGCTGAGCCTGTCGTGACTGATGCTTTCGAGACAGAGCAATCGCGTGAGATTGCGGCTGCCGCAGGATTGCAAGCCCAGACTCAGGATGGTCAGGCAGTGGTGCTTTCGCATCAAGTCCGGCATCAGGTCGCTCTTCCGCCCGACTACGACTATGTACCCATTTCTGAACACAAACAACCCGAGGACCCCGCACGGACATGGCCTTTCACTCTCGATCCTTTTCAGCAAGTCTCTATTGCTTCTATCCAGCGAAACGAGAGTGTTCTTGTGTCCGCACACACATCTGCAGGAAAGACGGTAGTAGCTGAATACGCTATTGCACAATGTTTGAAGAACAACCAGCGTGTCATCTACACCAGTCCAATCAAGGCGCTCAGTAACCAAAAGTACCGAGAGTTTTTGGAAGAGTTTGGTGATGTAGGCCTCATGACGGGCGATGTCACTATAAACCCAACCGCGACGTGCTTGGTGATGACGACAGAGATTCTGCGTTCTATGTTGTATAGAGGCTCCGAAATCATGCGCGAGGTTGCCTGGGTTGTGTTTGACGAAGTGCACTACCTTCGAGACAAATCTCGCGGTGTGGTGTGGGAAGAAACCATTATCCTTCTACCGGACAAAGTTCGATACGTCTTCCTCTCTGCTACCATCCCCAACGCTATGCAGTTCGCCGAATGGATCACCAAGACGCATAACCAGCCGTGCCATGTTGTGTACACCGATTTCCGACCGACACCGCTGCAACACTATTTCTTCCCTGCGGGGGCCGACGGTATCCATCTAGTCGTCGATGAGAAAGGTGTGTTCCGCGAAGAGAACTTCCAGAAGGCAATGTCGACCATAGCGGACAAGGCTGGAACCGACGCGGCAGACTTCTTGGCCAAGCGCAAAGGAAAGGGAAAAGATAAGAAGACAAACAAAGGCGGCAACAAGGAGGGCGGAGGAGACATCTACAAAATTGTCAAAATGATCATGGTCAAGAGCTACAATCCAGTCATCGTATTCAGCTTCAGCAAGCGCGAATGCGAGAACTATGCTCTTGCTATGAGCCAACTGTCCTTCAATGACCAATCGGAGAAGGATATGGTGTCCAAGGTCTTCACCAGTGCTATTGCGTCTCTTTCTGAAGAGGATCGCGAGTTGCCCCAAATCAAGCACATTCTCCCTCTTCTGCGTCGGGGTATCGGTGTTCATCACTCTGGGCTTCTTCCAATTTTGAAAGAGACTATCGAGATCTTGTTCCAGGAAGGCCTCATCAAAGTTTTATTTGCCACGGAAACCTTCTCTATCGGGCTCAATATGCCTGCGAAAACGGTGGTATTCACTAGTGTGCGCAAGTTCGACGGTGTCTCACAACGATGGGTCACTCCATCCGAGTTCATTCAGATGTCCGGCCGAGCCGGTCGTCGTGGTCTAGATGAACGCGGTATCGTCATTATGATGATTGATGAAGCAATGGAGCCTGCTGTCGCCAAAGAAATTGTACGCGGTCAGCAAGACAACCTCAATTCGGCCTTCCACCTAGGTTACAATATGATTCTCAACCTCGTGAGGGTCGAAGGCATTTCACCAGAGTTTATGCTCGAACGTTGTTTTTTCCAATTCCAGAACACGGCAAGCGTTTCTAGTCTCGAGAAGGGTGAGTCTTGTAAATTTCGAACTACAGGCGGTCGTTGCTAACATTTCACAGCATTGCAAGATTTGGAGAACGAGCGATCGCAAATGATGATCACCGATGAAAGTTCGATCAAGGATTACTATCAACTGCGACAGCAGCTCGACACCTCTACCAAAGATATGCGGGACGTCATAATGCACCCCAATTACTGTCTACAATTTCTCCAGCCTGGCCGTATGATCAAAGTCAAATACAAGGATCACGACTTTGGCTGGGGCGCTGTTGTGGAGTTCAAAGTACGAAAGCCCAACAAGGGCGAGACTCTCACGCCTCAAGAGTCGTACTTGGTCGAAGCCCTCCTTGTGGTAGCTAGCGACGTCAGCCATGTGCCTCACAGCAACGGTGAATTGCCACCCGGCGTCCGACCACCACCTCCCGGAGACAAAGGCAAGATGGAGGTAGTGCCTATTGTCCTGAACTGCATTGAATCCATCGGTCATCTGCGTGTATTTTTACCGCAGCGGGTAGACTCATCCGAGGCTAAGGTCAAGGTGCGGAAGGCTTTGGATGAGGTCAAGAAGCGATTTCCGGACGGTATTGCCATCCTGGATCCAATCGAGAACATGAATATCCACGACGAGAGTTTTAAGAGACTTTTACGAGTAGGTTTTGCATTTACGTGATGCGAGTTTGGAAGCTAATTTATGACCAGAAAATCGAAGTTCTCGAGTCGCGTTTGCTCTCCAACCCTCTGCACAATTCGCCGAGACTCCCGGATCTCTACAGCCAGTACTCTAAGAAGATGGGGCTAGGTGAACAAATCAAGAGCACCAAGAAGGACATAGCTAGTGCGCTCTCGGTGATCCAGCTGGATGAACTCAAGAACCGCAAGCGAGTTTTACGACGACTAGGATTCATAGATGAAGCCGGTGTCGTCCAGATCAAAGCTCGAGTTGCTTGCGAAATCAGCACTGGCGACGAACTCGTGCTAAGCGAGCTTTTGTTCAATCGCTTCTTCAATGAACTGACGCCCGAACAGTGTGCGGCTTGCTTGAGTTGTTTCATTTTCGAGGAGAAGACTAAGGAGTCCCCGCCATTGAAGGAGGGATTGCAGAAGGCGTTCCGCGACATTCAAAACCAGGCGAGGGTGATTGCTAAGATATCCCAGGAAAGCAAGTTGCCTGTCAACGAAGAAGAGTATCTGCAGACATTCAAGCATGAGCTCATGGAAGTGGTCTTTGCATGGGCCAAAGGAGCATCCTTTGCGGAGATTTGGTGAGTGTTGACGACCTGGAGTTGTGAGACCATATGCTGATACTATAGTAGTAAAATGACGGACGTGTACGAAGGCAGCCTGATCCGCCTGTTCAGGCGTCTGGAGGAGTTGCTTCGGCAGATTGCCCAGGCATCCAAGGTTATGGGCAGTGAAGAGCTTGAGCGCAAATTCACAGCGGCGCTCGAGCTTATTAGGCGTGATATTATCGCTGCCCAGAGTCTTTACCTCTAGGGACCTGAACAGCAGTGTACTTGTTACAGATTGTGTACGACTATGGGAGGATATCCAGACATTACAGGCACAAGGCATGATGTATTGTGGAGACGGCCAGCGCAAATCACGCGTAGAGGCTTACATCTACATACTTCACTGCTAGGTAAGTGATGACCGAAGAACGATGTATCGTTCGATCCGGCATTTGCCCAGATGGTGGCGCCGACGCATGCAAAATAGTAATTCACTAGGTCTGCTGCAGCAGTGATGCGGCGTTGCACATGTTGCAGTGCTGCACCGCCCTCGGCAGACCCCCCACAAGCTCATCCTGCATGCAAATCTCGGAATGCACTGGTGACGATTGCACATGGTGTAGATGTAGAGAACGTTGCGCATTGATTGCGAGTTTGGTCGTCGGCATGGTGTTTGGTTGGCTAATGTGGTTGTTGTTGGCGACTTGTCTGCTGACGGGCGTGATTGGCCGAGCTTGTGGCTTGTGCGCTGGTCGTCGGCTAGTAGTTATAGCGCAGCCCTCTTTCCCTTTCTTTAACTCCCTCACTCACTCCGACCGACCATTTGCATCACCACAACAACCTCGCCCTCACCGCACTCGCTCGCCCCACACCACCACCTCCACGCCCACACAATAATTCACCGCTGGTTTGGGGACTTCGACGGCGCCTTCGTCAGTATTCTCTGGACAGCGCACGCCCGCTCTTCTCTTCCCGCCGTCACCACCATGAATGTCATCAACAACCACTTCGCCGTGCCCCCACACAGGCTCTCACCCACCCGCAACCGTACGTCCGCAAGCCCTCTTCTTCTCAACCACAGACTAACTCTGGATCCTGCAGTCATCTCCCAGTCGAACATGTCATCCCGCAAGCGAAAAGCCGACGATGAGGGTAGCAGCGGTGGCGATGATGATCGCATGTCGGCATCCCCTTCAGGCTCACCAGCTGTCCAAAACCGCCCACTCCCTCGCCAACAAAAGCGCATGCGTACAAACGTTTCAGGACGACCACTTCCTCTTCCTCGGTTGCTAGAGACCCTGAGCGCCGATGAGCTGCGGAATGTGCTGCAGGCCATCTGCGACCGTCATCCGGACATTGGAAATGAAGTCGTCAGCACTGCACCCCGTCCCAGTGTGCAGTCAACCTTGGAGGTTTTGGCAAAATACGAATCCAACTTCCAAGCAGCATTCCCATTTGGCGGCAACTCGTCGTCGGACTACGCATACAACCGGGTTCGACACCAACTTCTTGAGATGCTGGAGTCCCTCAAGGATTTCACCCCACATTTTCTGCCCCCGAACGAACCCCATCCTGCAACATCTCTCGCCTTCCTCGATGGCGCCACAGACTTTATTCACCGGCTTCCAGACTGGGACAATTTCCAGCACAACAGGCATAAGCAGGAGGCATATGAAGAGATGGCAAAGGCTTGGGCAGCCGTCATCCGGGAAGCCTCTAAGAAAGCCGGAGGGATCCAACTGCAATATGGAGGATGGGACCAAAAGATCGCAAAGCATAATGAAATTTCGGGGGGTCGCATGCAAGAAGCCGTCAATGTACTCCGAGGCAGCCTTGGCTGGATGGGTAATGAAACGCAACATGCTGCAATGGGAAGTGGACCAGTCAACACATCTGTCAGGGACCAACTACTCAACGGGACCTATGGTATGAATAGTGCCAGTGCTGGTATTGGAGCTTGGTAATTTGTGCATCCCAACGATACAAGGTCTGCACAATCATTTGCTCTCACGCTTTCCTACTCTACGATACCCCGCTCTACTCTGCAGTAGCTTCGAGATTGATAATCGATCCTGCACCATACCATTCAGTCACCAGGAGGGAGGCTGTCTTAATGATCAACGACTTGGCATTCATTGCATAGCGTCTCATCACCTTTGTTTAACATCCACATACACAGGAGCATGGGCGGATTTTTTTGCTTTGTTTCTTTCTTTTCATGCGGAATATAAGGGACCGCCACTGTACTTCCATTTGCCTGAATATCGAACAGGCCAAGGTCATTTGTGGCATTAGTGTTTCTGTTCTTTCCCGTTACTAGGTCTGCGTTGAGTCCGTCGATTATGGCGGCTGCTTAATTCCCGGTCGTAGTTAACGACTATTCCTTCCCTTTGTTTCTCTCTCGCTCCTAGCTCTCGTTTTCTTATGCAATAGATATCAATACAATGTTTTATTCCATTCAGTGTAGCCTACTACCTACCTATCCCATTACAAACAGTTCATTCAACGGCGAAGCAACGAGTCACACCCGCTTTTGACGTCAGTACCTAGGTACGCTACTTCGTTCCATGGCGCGAGCTTAACTACAATCACCACCAACATAAACCCTCTTTCCCCATGCCCTAAACCTCGAATACATCACACATAACCATACCATCCTACCACACAGTATCCCAGGCCCTCTTTTCATCATGACGCGGAAAGAATGTATACGTGCCCTTTCTATCCGCTTCACTCAACACTTCGCACATAATAATCCATCAGCTAGCAGATGCCATCACACTCACTAAACACACAACCCACGTCTCACTTGCGACCAACAACAACGGTAGCCAGATCTTGGGACGGGAATCGAGGGAGAGAATGCAAGGACCCTGCATATGCAGATGCAGTGTATTCATGTAAGTCAATTTACGATCGAATACGTAACATGGGCATGGGCATGCCCATGCGTGTGATGTCTATCCTGTGTTCCTATTCAACGGGTTCCCCCCCCTACCTTGATTGGGTTTAAAGCTCGGGGATTGAGTTTCTGTGTCATGTGTGGGTTGTGGAGGGGGTGGAGGTAATAGAGTTTGAGTGATTGCATGGGACTGGTTCAGGCACGGTGCCTTGCTGGCCCGGGTACCGGATTTTCAGTTATTTGTGTAATGATGCCTGGGCGTGATTGGTTTGGGTGGTACCTGCGTCCTTGGTTCTATGTTAAGTAGTGTCTTGTGGTGGTATTGGTTTTGTGTGGAGGAGTTGCTTGGGAGAGAAGGTGCGTGTGTTGTTGGGGTGAACGAGGTTTTCTCATGCGAGAGGCGTTGAGCACATTTAAAAGCAAACTGGTATCATGTAATTGATTTGATTGGAGGAACATTCCGAGCTGTTGACAATATTTCTCGTTTCTTGGAATTCATTAAAGTATTATATCTGGGAAAGACAGTGAAGAAAAGAAAAAAGGGGTAAAGACGAGGAGAGACGAAGAAAAGGATGATGACCTGCATCGCTCCATTCTCTCCGACGGAAGCTGTTATATCCCCTGTTTTTCTTCGCCTGCATACGCACGACAACTCCAGCACTTGGGTATTATCGCTCGAGTTCATGCCCCGGGTCCAAAATCTCATCCGTAGAAACCGCCCAAAACTAACAGAAAATGGAATAAAAAAAAATAAAGTGACAATAATGGAAAAGAGGGATGCAGCTTTCCCATCGACAAACAGAAATGTCTACTCTTAGTCCAGCAAGGAGTGGAAGATCTATAGTCTTGGGGTAAAGTGGGAAAACGAGTGTGAGTAGAAACGAGAGTCTTGTGTAGAGGGTGAAAGAGGCATGGGTATCATCCGGTATTACTGTGAAAGGAACAAAGGGTAGGGAAAAAGGTGAGGGGAAAGAGAAGAAAGGCAAAACTCCAGGCCAGACAAAAGTAGGAGATCGAATAGAACGAGGAAGGAGGAATGGGTGAGGTAAGAGCATTGGAAAAGAGGCAAGAAAGAAGAAAAAGAAGAGGACTCAGTCCTCATCTACAGCCCTCATCTTCCCCATCTCTAATTCCACCGAAGCCGTCTTCATCCTCTGTCCATTAGCATCCCTCCACCCGCCAATCATGACCCAAATACTCAACCCCGCGAGCCCCCAGCCCAAGATCAAGAACGGGATCATCATGATACGGCCCGAGATCTCAGCCGCACATTGCCTGCCGTAGTCCTCGGCGACCATCCGCGCACCGGGCACGGTCTGGAGCTCGCAGGACCAGGTCTCGAGGTCGAAGGTGCCGCGGTTATACCGCATTCCGTCTTCAGAAGACGCGAGGTCGGCCTTGAAGTTGATGTAGCGCTCGCTAAAGTGCGACGAGGATTTGTGCGTCATGGCCAGGGAGACGAGAGCGAAGAGGATCATGACGCTATTGCTGAAGTGGAGAAACATCATGTTTCGGCGGAATGCGTAGGCTTGGATCTAAATATATCCCAATTCCTATTAGTATGTGACTCGTGTTTGGTCTTGAGGACTAGATCCTTGTATATACCTTTTTGCCCTCTTTCCAGTCCATGGCGATGAAGAGGAGATGTCCAATGCTAACGAAGGATGAGATGGCCCCCGAAACAAGAGCAAGCTTTGCGGGGGTCGTGTATAGCTGTTTTGGGAGGGCGGCCATGATGACATTTTGCTCGTCGTTTAGAAATTGGAAGCCCGTATCGCGGTTGTCCTCGATGAAGTTGATGGTCAGGGCCTTCAAGACGATAACGACGATCGAGATTACGGTGAGGAGAGTGAGTAGGATGGCGTGAATGGTGCGTGATAGCTTGTATTTCCTTTGTAGTGAAACGGGTTGGTTGAACACAGGCGTCTTGGGGGTGGTGGTTTTGGTGAATTTGCCCAACATAGAAGGGACTTTGAACTGGGGCGTCTTCATGGTTCCCGATATATCTAGCTCTTTCGTCTATTTGCGGTGTTGTTGGTTTATTCTTGGGTTACGGGTTCAGGATAGGAATAGAATTATGGAAGTCGGAACGAAATTGAAGCAAAGGCTGGACAACAGTGCGAACTAAAGTATTAGAAGTCGAACTACTCGCTTTGCAGTACAAGCCATAAAAATAAAACGATGATGAAGAGGCTAAGAGCCGTTAAGAAAAAGATAGAAAGGAAAATATGAAGGGATGCGGGATATGGCGAGAAGTGGGCACTGTATAGTAAGTAGATGTCGACGATATTAGGTCAAGGGTCATTCACGGTCAACACTGCAGACTACCTTTCTCCAACAGCTCGTGCAGTGAAAAGGCCTGAGCGGTAGCCCACTGGCTCGGCGCGTAATGCTGTACTACGGGGCATAGGGCTGCTTTGTTCTCGTGAACTGCGACTGCTTTAACAAAGGTCCCCGATGTATGATGCAATGCCTTCAGGCAATGGGGCATCAATGCGGCTGGCAGCCGTGGAAGCTTCGGAGTGGTCGGTTTGGCGAAGTTGAGACAGATGCCGTCTGAGGTTCGCGAGGCACAGACCACAGACGGTCTTGAACGGAGAGCGCTCAGGTAACAATATGAGGAGCAGTTAAGGTTTTATCAAGCCCGGGCTATAACATTTTGCCCCTGCCTCTATACGCGATACAAGTGGAGTTGTGGTTCACTGTGCAGCGCCTGGTGCAGTGCGTGCGTGCAGCTTCATGTGTGAACCGCCTGTGATGGTGGGTACTGGTCACGTGAACTGGACTGTAGGTGGTGGACCCGGGGTGCAAGCTGATACAAGTAGCGACTGGGGCGTATATGCCGTGGAAAAGGCATGAGGATATGGCTGCCGGCTATATGGAGGCTGAGCGACATATGTTTTGCAACAATTAAGGGATATCTTTTCGTGACGGTCCATTAAGTCTCCGAGTGGATGATCGCCGCCATGATACATGCCAACAACTTCAGATGATGATCTTGATGAAGCCGCCTGAGGACTTTGTTCAAGTGCTGCCTATCACAATATACTCATGACGGAATCTGAGTGACGAATATGCGTTATCTTGGTCTAGTTGTCATCTGTTGATTGAAATGTCTGAAGTTGTTGTTGGTCAACTGCCTCCACAAGTCGTGAGCAAGAAAAGCAGGAGGTGACTACACATGTAGTAACACTGAAGGCATATAATCTAAATAAACAACAAGAAAGTATGATCGAATTAGAATTTTGGATATTGAATCGTACTATCTTACTCTGCGTCATGAACTACATATGTATGTAATCGAGGTTCGTTATAGGTAGTGGTAGAACGATTCAATTGTATGAGAGGTTAATACAATCCACCCAGCCAATGATGCATTTCTGCTTAGTCATCATCTGGGCGACGCGACCATCATTCAATGGGCTGCTGGGCTCTTTTTGATTGCGTGTAAACAACTTTGACCGTATACTTGGCAGTACGAGTAGCCGTCGGAACATCTATTTGATAGTTGGACATCGGCGACTCTCGGTGGCAAACAACCGCGTTTGCAAAGCACGACTCGCGTTCTGTTGCATGCGTGCATCGGATCTTAGTTGCACCAGCACATTTAGTTACCATCAACTCCCATCTACGCCAACAAATAAACAACACCATGCCTGGTTCCCATCCCCAGGAGGTCGATCTCGCTTTTGCAGGTAACCACGAGCTGCGGAAGCGCGTGCATGCCGCCATCGGTCAGTCCTTTTATCCCAGTTTCTTGCAATTGCATGCGCGCAACTGTGAACTGACGCTGAAACTACGCCTTAGATCAGAATCCCACGCAAAGCACTCTCTTCCGCGACATTTCCACCTACATCCTCGACCAAACTTCGCAATCCACTACCGAGCCTACGTCGAAAAAGCGAAAACTCGAAGACAAAAATGGAGAGCAGAATGGCACCACAACATCGACTGCCGCATTGACTAGCACCGACCTCAAAGCTTGGAAAACATACCCAGCCGTCAGCTTCTCGATCCCCCAACGGAAGAAATTTACCCTCGAGCTTGTGGATAATAAGAAAGATGGTGGGATACGTGCACTGAATGCCGAGGGGAACGTCGAGTTCTGCATTCCATGGTCTCAGGTCGACCAGGTCTTTTGCTTGCCCATCCCCGAGAAAGCAAAGCGCCAACACCATTTTGTTGTCCTTCCTGTTCACGGCGATGGCGTAAACCCTGTACCTGAACATCTCAAAGAGGCACCTCCCGAGCCCATAGTCTGGACCTTTGAGGAAGCGACGGGCAAGAATATTGTCGAGGGCGAAGACCCGGGACCTGGCCCCATGGCAGAAGCGATTCATCATTGCTTAAAGCGGGCTGGCACCAAGAAGTCGGTGATATTTCCAAACGCTAAGGACTTCGAGAGCGCTATTCCGCAAAGTCATCGCAAGGGTGAAAAAGGATTCCATGTCAAAGCACACCGGGGTAGCAAAGAAGGTATTTCCGCTCTTAATCAAGTGCGGACTATTGTTTTCGTATTGACAATTTTGCTTAGGCTACCTCTTCTTCACGTCCGTCGGGATTTTTTACGGCTTCAAGAAACCCTTGGCATTCTTCGACTTTGCTTCCGTCACTTCTATATCATACACCGCTGTACTCCGCAATACCTTTAACATGGTAATCTCTACGCAGACCGGAGATATCGAATTCGGAATGTTAGATCAGGACGATTACACTGGCATCAACGAATATGTGCAGAAGCATGGCCTGCAAGATGCTAGCATGGCAGCTGCACGAAGGGCGAAGAAGCTGAATGTGAATCCACCAGCAAACAAGGGGGCAGATGATACTGCAGAGCCAGACGAAGGTGGACTGAGCGAGTTGCAGAAGGCTGAACAGGAGCTGCAAGATATGGAAGATGAGGACGAGGAAGATTATGAACCAGGGCAAGAAGAGGAAAGTGATGGCAGTGGTGATGATAGCGAGGAAGACAGCGAGGGCGAAGACTATGACGAAGACGAAGATGACGACGACGAGATGGAAGGTCAAGAGTAAACATTTTTCTCAATCTTGACAGTTATTGCAATACTCTGCACATGCTACGGACGATACCGATAGTACGATGACATGAATAGCAGGTGAAGGATCATCTCTAACTCAAATTACATACCCATTTCACGCACCAATTTCAAATTGTGTGTTATTGGACGCTGTGCTGGTCCGTTGTTCTTCCTATTCGTGCATATGAGCCGCCACGCGGCTACTCGTCGATCAATATATCCGCATATCAACCTCCACATCAACTTACCCAGCATGCTTACCAGATTCGTCTACACCCATTCACTTCCTGCTCCTCTAAATCCCACCCTCTGTCTCGGGGCGAGAAACCTTCGCCTGTAAAGCCAGCGGACATCCTTTCCGAACACCTGCTTCTGTATCTGTTGTTCACTCAATGCAGGTTAGATGCTCTTACTTTACGACTACGCCGTCATGGGGTACGCTCCGTGCCATGGCTATCATATCGATGCTACTATGTGGGGCCCTGTGGTATCTGACTACATGGCGGGATGACGCGACAAAGTTGCGCTTCAGCGAGAGCTCCAGTGGGCTCGGTCAACACGAATCGAGCGAGTTACCAAGTCATGATGAGCAATCAAAACACCCTATCGAACGCTTGATGGATACTGCGCAAACAGAATTCAATGCTCTGGTGGATGGACACGGGCACACTGTTGCAGACGCTGCAGAAAATTACCGGAGAAGAAGAGGCAGGCATCCTCCACCAGGCTTCGACGCTTGGTTCGCTTTTGCTCAGGCTCACGATGCTCTTGTTGTTGAGTCATTCTTCGATCAGATCGAGGCGGATCTCGCCCCTCTGCGGAGCATTGATCCATACACTCTTCGTCAAACGGCCAACAACTTCTCGCCTAAGATCACCATTCGCAACGGAACAGTAGATGCGCCCAAAGGCTCCTCGTATATAAAGCTGGCTCAGATAGCCACAATGATACAGGCAGTCGCAGAACAAGAGATCGTCCAACTACCCGACTTGGACATTCCAGTGAACGTGAATGACGAACCAGCAATGCTAGTACCATGGGAGACGATCGATACAGCATTACAATTCGTCAAGCCCATTCTGACCCCACGAAACGAGACCATCGATAGTTTTGCCTCCATCAAAGACGTAGAATTACCGGTATCCAAATTCGATCCAGAGTGGCTGAATGGTCGGAACCGACATACATCTGCTCAATATCTTGGACCCCGTCCATTCTGGTCCATTGTACGTCCCGCATGTCCCCCAGGTTCGCCTGCACGCGATCAGCCGCTTATGCAAGACATATGGCATCGAGAAGGACATACAAAGGAGGAACATCTAGCTTCGGCTTTGCTTCCTCTTGGGCTGCCAGAAGGCTCATATGAAGGATTTGTCCGGAATTTGACCACTGCTACAGACGTATGTCAGAACCCTTCGTGGCAGGGCTTACATGGGGCATTCGTAGCTCCGGCGCATATGAGTGTGACACAAAAGTTGTTCCCCCTGTTCTCGACAAGTAAATTGGCTATCAGCAATGAGATACTCATCCCGAACGTGGGGGATTGGAACGTATCGAAGCAGACAACAAGCGATCCCGTGACATGGGCACAACGCGAGGATAAACTTTACTGGCGTGGATCTGCGAGTGGTGGGAAGAATACAGCCAGAAATTGGCAGCGCTTCCACCGGCATCGCTTCGTGGCTATGCTCAACGCAACGCATGTCGAGATCGCAGAAGGCTTGATCCACGCCGGCAACGAGAGTATCATTGGTCTGGGGTACGCAAGAAACTTCCGTCTACTACCGGGCAATGAGTACACTCTCACCACACAGCGAGGTGCGAATATGGCTGAGTGGGTGAACAATTGGGGAGATGCAGCTTTCACCGATCTTCAATGCAGTGAGCTCGGAAATAATGGAACATGTCCCTACACTGACGAATACTTCTCTGTATCATCTCATGATTCATCGCTACCTCGGAACTCGACGATTACGCACAAATATGCGGCAGTTCTGGATGGCGAGGGAGGGGACGACAGCGGAAGTTTCATGGCCTCTCTTCGATCCGGACAATTCACCCTCAAAGCGAGCATCTACCGCCAATGGTACGATAGTCGCGTGATACCTTGGATGCATTGTATTCCTCTCGACAACACATTTGTGGATTTGTATGCAGTGATGGAATTTTTCCGCGGTCCGCAAGTCAAAGGACGAAACGAAGCATTTGCACATGCCCATATAGAAATGGAGAAACACGAACACCACTTCAACACACCCCCAGAAGGAAAAGAGAAGAGAGCTGGGTATCAAAGCCGTCATGTCGGGAATAGCTCAGACCAAACTGCTGATAGTAACGTCTCTGAAGATGGTCAAGATGAGAAAGCACAGAGGATCGCTGAAGCAGGACAAGAGTGGGCTTCCAAGGCTCTTACTGAGAAAGACGTATTGATATATGTATACCGACTTCTACTCGAATATGCAAGAATCAAGGATGATCGAAGAGAGATGTTGGGGTGGGTCGGAGACCTGTTGATGGAAGAAGGAAAGAGCAAACCCTGAACCTGATCAGCAGCAACTACAGCCTTCGAACTTTCCGGATCTATTGCTTCGCCTCCGCACGTGTAGAACACCAGTCCCGGATAATCTATTTGAAAGGAGAAAACCTACGGAATAACTTATCACATCTGCCCCTATACAGTGCGGATTCGACTGTCCCTCTACCGTCCTCCTCCATCATCGAGATACATTCTCGGGTGTATGGGCACAACCGCACGTTACAATGGTCATCTACTTGTTGGGGTGCATCTTGCTCGTCATTGTTCCCATACTCCTGGAACAGTATCCACGTTACCTCAAAAGAGTGTCGTCTCATTCGCAATCATCTTCTTCCTCGTCCTCCTTGCCCACACCCAATCCTTCGCAATCGCAAGATGCCATCGCATATCCAAAATTCGAACCTAGCCTCGATGGAGTAGACGAAAAGGCGATTGAATTAGCGCCGTTAGTGAAACCCGTTCAGAAAGCAAGGGAATCGAGGAAACCGTGGGAACCGCCGTTTCCTAAAGCGCCGTTCCCACATACAGAGGCGAGCTCGGCGACCATTGCGGAGTCAACGCGGAATACTATTTCGCAGAGGGTTGATGACAGGGGTCGTGACAGTGATCAAGTGGCGGCGGGCGGTATGCCGACCCAAGGAAATACGGATATTCCACCAAACGATGGAACTTCTACTGGTATCCTTCCTGGTTCCGTCAGCCACAGAATCACTTCTTTGGAAGCCAACCCTTCACCGCCTCCTATATCGTATCGAGAGTATGACGGTCGATCCCACCCGTCTGCGCTCAAAATCTTCATCTTTGTACTCGTGTTCACGGTCTTTCTCGCACTATTCGCTCTCATGATCGCGCACTCTCTAGCTGTGTTTCTTGTGTATAAAGCGGAGTCGAGGCTGGGGGATGTCAGGAAGGGCTTGTTGAAAGGCGGAGGTGGAGACATGCGTCTTTGTCTCTGTGCAAAGAATTGATGTACACAACATTGGTTATCGAATAGCAGGAATTTGAAAAGAGTATTCATATATCATTATCGTTCCAGTATTACTTTCGCTAGCGCCTTCGCATTGCTTGATGTGTTGACCATCTTACGCCAGTCCAACCCCCCCCCCCCCCCCCTGAACATTTGTACGGGTATCGTTCCCAGCACTCATTCGCCCTTTTTGTAAAAAAATAAATACTGCAGAAAACAAAAACGAGTTTTACGCCGAGGGACCATATATAAGAGAGACGAGAGAAGAAAAAATCGCCAAATTCTTTTGCACCTCATAAAAGTCTTTATGTGCCAGTGTAATGCTCAATGTCTGATATGGCCAGTCCTTGATATTTCTCTTTCAACACTCATGTCTGACAGCTGCATGATTGCGTTCTGGAGGCCGTCGGATCGGTTTCGAGACCCATCTCTTGAGTGGTTGTAGGGCGATACGTCCTTTTGATTAATTGAGTCATTTCTCCGGTGGCTCTGTGAGTTCTGTAAGCCATCTGCTCTATTTTTCGAACCTTTTATGTGCTGACTGTGAGACCTCTGGACTCCATTGGATCGAATCTCTTCATCGTTAATTGGTGGGTTGGAGGACATGGATCTCTCCATGTAAGTTCCAACATTATTGGCTCGATCAGGCGAAACATCGCTCTGTCCGCTCGCCATTCTGACAGCTTGCTGCGCGGTGATGGCAGCTACATTAGGACGCTGAACCTGCTCAGCGTTCTCTGCATCTTCCGGTGGGTTGAAAAGAGCAGCTTCATGGTCATCAAAGTCCTGACCAGGATTCACTGTCTCGTAGTCGACCAACTTGACAATCTTGTACATGGCGAATGCCAGCAACGTGCCCATAAGTGGTCCGAACCAATAGATATAGTGGTACCCGGGGAATACGTGCGTCACCACGCAAGGTCCAAAACTGCGCGTGGGATTCAAGCTGCCACCCGTGAAGAAGACGCCCACAAGCTCAGCGATGAAGAGTGCTAGTCCAATCCCGACAGGAGCTAGATAAGTGGCCTTGTGCTTCTCAGCGGCAAGCATGAAGATGGTAAAAACCAGAATCGAGGTAAGGAACATTTCCAGGAAGACGCCTCGCGCGGGTGTCATACCAGCGCCCAGGGTGGTGGAGACGTTGAGTGGGCCCGGGAGAATCGCGTCTATGACACCTGCAGCGGCCATTCCTGCTAGCATCTGCGAGACGAAGCACATGATGGCGCGGACGCCATTGACAGCGCCGATGAGGTACAACCCGAGAGTTACCTGTCAGAAGTGGAGTGTCAGCTGTGCACACCTTGACCACACGCCCCCTCCCCCCAGTAATTCAAACGCTGAGCTATTTTGTGATATGAAAGGGCATCAAACGATCGCAGTGTGTATATAAAACTTACAGCAGGATTAAAGAGCCCTCCGCTGACCCTGAAAAATACCCAGACATTCACCATCAGACTAAATCCAAAAATCAAGCTAATGTACAATAGTACACTCGTATTCGGTGTCTGCGTAATGCTGTTATCCTGCCCGCCCACAGCGCCTGGATTATCTTGGGCAGCTGCAGAGTTGGCGACTTGCGTGCCCCCATACGCGAAGAAGAGAAACATAAAGGTGCCAGCGAATTCTGCCGCCGCGGCTACCAGTTCGTTCTTCCACTTGGCCGTCAATGCGAGCTTGAAGCGTGTTCCCCGGCTATCGTTGTTGCCATTGTTGCCATTCTGTTTCTCTTTGTCCCTGGAGGTGCCGTTGGAATGCCCATTTGTGGTTTCATTCGTGTGGAATGGGAGGACGTTGCGAGCGTGTGCCATGGTGATCGTTAACTCTTTTCTATCGAATCGATTGCGTTTCCGTCAATATCCGAGAAGAAGACAGTCAATTCGAAGAAGTGAAAGGTGGGGTTCCCCGGATAAGTGACGAGTGATTTAAGACAAAGGTTAGTGGCATGTATGAATATGCACTATGATGAGACCGCGGTGCAAACGCGAATTCCTTCGTCAATGGGGAGACGTGAAAGAAAGTGTAAATGTTTTCTTGATGCCGATAGATCTCATGATATACTTTTACCACCTTCATCATGCCCCAGCCTGATGGTTTCAATGACATCACGCCTATTATGGTAATAACGCGTGATAATGGGCAAGCCGACGGTCGAAAGATCCACATGGCGCCCGTCAGCCCAGAGGATTTTGAATGCTAGCGCCACGAAACCATCGGCTAGCCACACGAATGCAATGCTCAGCGACACAAAATCGGTGATGGTTGGGATGGAGGTATGGTTAGGCGTGCAATTCGGATGGGGTTCTCGAAGATCGGCACTAGGTCGTATCGATAAGCGAGGTGATCTGCATGCACATGGTGAGAATGAGGTCATAGTCGAGGTTCGTATCCGCGGAAAGTGAATAAGCACAGCATATCTAGCCAATCCTTTGGATGTCTATGAGGATGTGTCATTAACGGACGGGACGATTGAAACAAAAAAAGGATCCGCAATGCCGAATTCGAAGGTCTTTCGATCTTGCTCTCACATGTGCCGCTGTCATAGTGATGCGCATCGAAATGCATGCAACATGCAACGTGGGAATAGTTGAATGTTCAGGTACTACATATCCTAACAGGTGCTCGACTTGGTCTGGCAGGAAGCTACTGTAAAGAATCAGCACAATGCATAGCGCACGTGTAGTTTGATGCGGCATTGCAATTATCGTGTAATGCTCAAGTGCTCGTGCTTCATACCTACATATGTAGCGTTGATTAGTAGTTCGTCGCAGAATCTGGAGAATTCGGCACGACTAAGATGGTGTACCGTATTTCGCTGTCGGCGACTACTCTTCGAATTATCAATGGTTCAAGTTAGATACCACATCCATCTTCACATCCACGAACTGTACACTTGTACACGTGATGTGCGTATATTACACATTGCCTTCAGATTTTCTCTTATATCATGCCAAGTCGAATCATGCGATGAGAGGATACCCTCTTTTGCACATATATGTGTCAGAGTCTCATTAAATTTCTTCGCGTTTCGAGAGCTTCAGATGCATTTGAATGGGCTAAGCTGGACGAGTGAATGACGCTACGACTTGATGACGAGTCGGATTACTGAAAGTACATCAGATATACGGGGTTATTCAGGGTGATTCATGGTGAGCTTGATTCTCGTGGGTTGGAGAATGTATCATGAATAAAGCAAAGGTGAACAAAGAAATAAAAGAACAATGTCGCGTGTTACCCTCTCACCCTTCGGCAGCCTGCACAACCTGCGCCCAACTCTCGTGGCTGCCTTCGTATCTTCCGGGCGTCGGCCCATCCCACAGACTGGCCAACACTACTCTATCATCTTGCTTTCCTCCCCAAGGTTGTCGTCCATGCTGACTGATTACATTATCATAAACTAGTACGTCCCCCTGCTGCCACTTATGTAGGACTCTAATCTTATCAGTGATCTCTGCCAACTTCTTCAGATACTCGTTCGGGATGGGTGAGCCATCACCATATAACTGCTGTGTGATGTTTCTCCTTCCGCTATTTGAACTCCTGGGATCGATAAAGTTCTTGTAATAGGCCGCAAGACCAGTGAACAGTGTGGGAAGATTCGTCGCAGGGTGTGTTCGAATGGCCGGCAGATGATGTGTTAAGATCAATGTCTCCCCGTTATCCTGCCATTCCCACGTTGTATGCTCTCCCCTTCCATATCGTATAATCTGCTCTTCCACCTTCTGCCTTCTTGTCTTCTCTTCGTCACCATCTTCGATTGTTTTCCCGAAGGCTTGCTTCAGGGTGGAACCTCCATCATATTGCTTCTCAACTTTATATGTCACTCTGCTCTTGATGCCTTTGGTCGCCAGCTCTTCAATGAATTCAGGGATCTCAGTTTTGGCGCGCGCGAAAAGTTCGAGCGAAGATGAGATTGGCGTTTCACCACCAACCTGCGGTGCAGAATGGCAGTAAAAGAAGATATATTCTGGTGCATGAGGAACTTGTGGAGATTCGTTGTGGTTGTAAATCAATACTTCTTTGGGTGCCTCGTTGGCCGGAGCCACATTAGGAGCCAGAAGTGGACGATCAACCACGATCCCAATGATCTCGTGGGGGGAGTACCCGAAAGCATGGGCGAATTGGCTGAAGTCATCTGCGGAATGAATAGGCAGGCCGCGGAATAATAAGGTGCCATGTTGACTCAGCTGTTGAGTGAGAATTCCGTCCTGTGCTTGAAGAGTTTTGATGGACGTGATGACTGTTTCAAGAGCTGGCTGTACATCATCGTGGGCGGAAGGTCGAAGTGCAAGAGGAGTTACGGTATTGGTAGGATGAGGCGCACCCAGTGTGCGTTGGTTCGAGGGCGGCAATTCGAAAGACTCGAAAACAAGCTGAGGCGAAACACCGCCATCTAACTGGGGCAGTTGGCTCTGCGGAGTGATGGATATTGTCATTTTGAGGTTGCTAATACTTTTAATATATGTGTCTCGAGATGATGTTTTGAATAGATGTAATCGTGGAAACAGCCGAGTATCTAGGACCTAACGGTGACGAGAGAAAAGAAAAAACAACACAGATAAGTTAAAGTCACGACTATGTCAACTGGAGAACCCTACGATGGTTATAGCTTATTTATCGAAAAAGTCGTTCTGCATCGTTTGGTTTCCGTTCCGCGCTTACCGACATAAGTACAGCTACCCCGCCTACGTTGATGCTGTGATATGTTATCCAAATTGCACAAACCAATCCAAGTCATATGCGTTAATCCTTCTGATAATATGCCTCACCGGAAGCCTTGGTTATCAGGTTCCTCGGCATTACATTCGCTCGTCATGGGGCGCTATATTCAAATGACCCCTGCAACTACAATCCGCCGAGTATAGATTCGTCGAATGTAGTTTGGACTGGTAACACTCGTCAACTAGACTGATAGTTGCGTGCTCGCCAAACTTGAGCGGTATTGTACGTTATATAGCAGTATTTTGCTAGATAAACAATATCATCAGTCATCGGTAGTTGACAACGCTCGTCAAAAGAGTCCCTTCTGGAAATACTGTAATCTGCAAGTTCGCATTTCTTTTACTTCACTATGTCCGTTTCGAGTTCCGCTGTGCCTGCGCCTATCCTGCCTCCAGAGTCGAAAAATGGCATACTAAGCGATGATGAAGAAGCACTCCCTTCTAGCATAGAAGCTACACCTAAGTCTCGTACACCATTTCTTCGGACTACCCTCTTTCAGATCCTTATCGTAGGTGCTTGCGCCTTTTGTGCACCGGGAATATGGAGTGCTATGAACGGTCTAGGTGTCGGTGGTTCGCAGTCTCCTGATTTGGTGAATGCAGCGAATGCACTTTTGTACGCCTTCATGACAGTAACTTGTTTTCTTGGACCTTGGGTTACCAATTTGATTGGTTTCAAATATACTCTTGCTATTGGCTCATTGGGTTACCCACTATATGCCGCAGGACTGTAAGGTACTTTTCCTAATTACAGATACCAATTAGACTGACGACCATCTCAGCTACGTCAACAGTCGGTTTCTCGTTGAGTGGTTTGTCTATGTTGGTGCTGTAGCTTGCGGTCTTACAGCTGGCATATTCTGGAGTGTTGAAGGTGCAATTGCAACGGGCTATCCTGAAAGCAACAAGAGAGGCAGGTATATCGCTACATGGTTTACCTTCAGAAATTTCGGCAATATCATCGGTGGCGCAGTTTCACTCGGGATAAACCACAAAGTCAACCACAAGGGTAAAGTCGGGTATCAGACGTATTGGGGATTTATCGCAATCCAATGTCTCGGCCTTTTCTTAGGCCTGCTACTGTCAAATCCCGAGAAAGTGGTCAGAGATGATGGGACGAGAATTGAAGCTCCAAGAGGGACCAGCTGGAAAACAGAAGCAAATGAAATGTGGCGATTGTTGAAGAGCAAGTCCATTCTCTTGCTCACGCCCTTATTTTGGTACTTCGGCTGGATTCAAGCCTATCCGGGTACTTACTTGGCGACCTACTTTACCGTACGTTCCCGTGCGCTTGGAAGTCTTATGTCTGCCATCGTGGGAACATTTGCCACCTGGCTAGGTGGATCTTTGGTTGATCTTCCGTGGCACAAGAGCAGACAAGTGCGCGCAATCGCTACTTTTGTTTTGATTGCGGCGCTGAACTCGACTACATGGATCTGGGTACGTCCTCCAAATACTGAAATACTGTGATGCTGCGCTTCTCGTCACCACTGGGACGGTGCTCACATTTGACCGTTTCTTCTAGGCCGTATACATACAAAACGAATATCGGCACACAAAACCAACATTGGACTGGGGTGACCAAAGGGCCTTCAGTCGCGGGTTCGGCGTTTACATGTTCGAACGGATCAGTCTAGGCATGGTTGAGAACTACATCTATTGGTGTATAGGCAACTTGTCAGATTCTCCAGGTGACCAAATCAGGTATAGTTCGCTTCTCAGAGGCATCGAGACGGCTGGTGTAGCGGTTGGTTTTGGAGTGCAGGCCGTGCCTACGGCGCTGATTGCAACGGCGAGCATTAATTGTGGGTTGTGGTTCTTTGCATTACCTTTCAGTTACTATGCTACACTTAAGGTGGTGCGAAACTTCAACCAGATTGACGCAGAGCAAAAGGTGGTTGGCGTGGAGACAGCAGGTTCACAGAAGAGACAGTTCAAGTAGGAAAGCATCGGTAGATACGACTTGCACTGCGATACCCGCTATATTTCGACCAGATCGGTTCCCAGAATGAGATTACATGGCCTGTACGCTAAGAGATAGACATATCGAGTAGCTCCTTAGCTCCCGTTCGTGGATTCCAGTCTAATGATAAGTGGATTTTTGAATCGCTGATTCTCATATCTAAGTACTAGATAACTATCAATAGATCTATCTAAGATGTCAATTTGATCCGAAACCCGAAAAAGGGTGCCTGCAAATGCATACCATGCTCCGATCCGCACATTGCCAATCCCAACCTTCCAATCTTGGCACACCATATTGCGGCGCTAAAACGTACAAATGAGAATCAGAAAGAGAACCTCAATCGCTTTTGGTACAACCCAGTAACCACCCTCACACCCATCGGTCAATCCCTAGCGCATCGATTTCCTACATCCCTTCATCCATCCACCGACCCTAGTGTTCTCTGTTCCCTGATCACCCACTCGTCGACCGGGTCGAGCATCATCCAGAAGATCCATGGTTTCGTACTCGGACTCATCGATTTCGATCCAGTCGCTATTACTCAGCTCATCGGATTCAGGTTCCAGTGTGACGAATGCATCAGATTTTGACAAATCTGTGAACATAATGATGGTAGAAGTTGAGCGAGTCTTCGATTTCTTGCTGGATTTTGTGCGTCCAACGGGTAAGATGTTGTTGGGTATGAGCGCGAGGAGAGCAGGTGGAATGGCGGGCATCGAGGGCAAGGAAAGGAGGCCCGGAGTGAACATCGTGCGATTCTGCCTCTGGCTTGGATAGAGAACCACGAGGACCAAGGTAGTTATTTTTTTGGGGGTTGCGGTTGAGCTTTTCGGCTCAAGGGATTGAACCGTTGGAGCTTGGTGGTGGAAGACGAGCACATGTGAGGGGAAGATATGTGGGCGAGTGAAGAGAAAGTGCGGTTACTCATGGGGTGCACTCACACCCTCTTTCCCTGCTTAATTTAGCTGTGAATCACGTGGCATTTAGCGAACCTCTGTTTGTGTCGTTGTTTGCACACAATGTTCTGATAGGTAGGTGTTGAGTGAATGACTAGGCTTAACGAATGCTACACGTATAAGTGAAAGGCTGTTCCCTAGCCTTGTTTGTGAACGAGTAGCTAACAGAATTCTTGGCACATCCAATGCTGATTTGACACGACTATCAATTTTAGTTAATAATTTGTTGGGTCGTTGAATAGTTGACCTGATGGGTATTGGGTTAAGATGGTTGGCATCACCGCATCATCTGCAACGGAACGTCCGAGCGCGAATGAAGAGTATACTGGTTCTATTGACAGCACGGAGGCCCCATCGGTAAGACATAACGTAGACAGCATAAATACATGGTCTTCATCCATTGATATAGTCTCCACCTACCTTGTTCCATTAAGTCAAGCAAACTATACGTGCTATCAACACAACCCCGTTTTTCATGCACCAGCTTGCTTTGATGGCAAGATTTATGAGTCTGCTTTTATCTGCACAGACTATCATGTTATTGATACATCATGTCCGAGTTTCACTGAGTATATTGTTTGTTATGTGCCGGAGCAACCTGCTCACAGAACTGGAAACATCATTCGAGGTCAAGGAACGGATATGACGAAAGGAATGGATTCTTTTGTTACAGTATTATACAATTGGAATAATATCGATCCTGAATCTAGTTCTAATGCTGATGTATGCCATCCCAAGTATTATGTGTTGCATCTTATTTGTTATTCTATCCACTGATCAGGAGTGAGAGATTATCGTCTTGGTTCTCATAATTCGCAAATTCAATAACATACCTGTGTATGAAGAGTGGGGGCGATACAGGAAGTAGGTATTTCCAAACGCCTAAACACAGAATTAGTGAGAAAGCCGGTCATGACGATTCATCGAGACAAGTTATATCAGACTGAGAAAGCAAGCACTCGTGCTGCCAATTGATTTCCTCGTCTTATTTCTCTATTCAACGGAAGATTTTTATCGTGACTCAATCAGAGTTAAGCTCAAATCAATACACTATGCGATGGACGAAACTTAGGTGACCCACATGCGAGTTCTCCGACTCCTTGACGTGGAATCGCTCAATGATACAATGCAAACCCGTAAGAAATTTATGTAAACCTCGTAGATAAAGGAAGTTGACGATTCGCACATCTCTAAGATGGCGGTCTAATAGATATTGATCAAACACAGCATGGAAACCAGACGAAATGCAGAAACATGAAGGGTAGAGATGCCGACGGCTAGCCCTTTCGATTAATCTTTCAAGCCTTGAACTCTTCGACACTCAACGCAAACTCCCACATCGCCTCTCCAGCCGTCAATGCACCGTCCATTTGATTTACCTCGTTCGCCAGCATAGTTGCTCTTCGAGTATACGATGGGTCGTTCAACACTTGCCGTACCGCATTGCGAATGTTTCTCGCCCTCCAGCATTGATACTGGATTCGTATTCCAGCTCCAGCATCCATTACATTATCCAGATTTGTTTGCTGCTCGAGCTGGTGACCTACACCAACGATGGGCTTCCCAGCCGCCACTGCTGTTTGCACAGTGCCCTGCCCGCCATGAATGACAACCACATCAGCCAGCGCCTTCGCAGCCGGAGCAGGAATAAAGCGATCAGTGACGAGGAGTCGCTCGTCTTCCCCTGCGACCTCTAGAGCCTCCTCTAGTGTACATATGCATCGAGGTGCCAGAATCACAGCATTCCATTGATCTTCTTGAGATAGGCGCATCGCTCGAATAGCTTCGAAAAGCATACCCTTGGTGCTCGAACTTCCCATGGCAACCACAATACTTGAGCCAGGACGGTCCAAATGTGCAATGATGTCCTCGTCGAGTTTAGAGTCGTTCTGCGCCCAGATTGGCCCCGTTAAAACGATATTCTTGGGAAGCCGGTGCATGTAGTCGGTGTGGAAAGTGGGATGGTCGTTTACGAGGTTGAGGTCAGCCATGTTCATATCGAACAACGAGATGGGTCCTGAGACAGGCCACCCGCTGGCCGCAGCCGCGGCGCCAACGCGATGCTGTCGGAAGATGGGCGCTTTCAGTAGCAGCGAACTACCCCACCATGCGAGCTTCTGTCTCACGGGGCGGGGGAGACGGGTTAGAAGTGGCATCGGGTCTGGGAGATCGCGGATGAGGCCATTTCCGAAAGCACCAGGGTGCAATGGGAGAGGCAGAAAATTGATGGTTCGGATTCCCAGAAGGCGGGCGGCAAGAGACGCAGGAGCGAACATGCCATGAAACACTATATCGGGCTTCAATTCTTTGAAGGCAGCGAGCTGTCCGTCAATGAAGGTCTTAACAATCTCGGGTGAACCGAAGAACTCGGGGAAGTCGAGTCCTAGATCTTCTCGCACTGAAATTCCCTTGACGCGTGGCTCGGCACGTACTATATTGAAGTTTGCATTGGTGATGAGATACTCGATGTTCGAGCCGCAGGAGAGGAAGTCGACTTTGAGATTGACGTTTGATGGGCAAAGGTCTCGAAAGGCTTTCATTATAGCGATGGCGCGAGTTGTGTCTCCAAAATCTTGGAATGCTACACTGACGACGACGTAGAGGTTCTTGGACGCCATGGCTCCGGTAGATTGTCCCTAGTGGATATTGAGAGAAAGGTATAAGTTATGTGAAGGAAGCGTAAGTGAATGTAGCGGTGAGAAGTTTAGAGAGAAAGGAGAGTATGGTAGTCTTCGAGTGAACTGAGGATCTGTACATCCGCACCATATCAGACTGATCTAGAAGGAGATGCTCTTATACATGCATACAGCTCGCCAGCTCCCTGCGACACCCATCGCCTACCTGTTTCCACCACTCATATTGCTATTCACCGCCATCTCGGAGATCCCGCGTCGTGGGTACTGCAGGCAATTCAGCATGCATACATCTTGCATATAAACCGAACTTAAGCTTTCTTTCTGTCCACAAATGCTTGAATTAGTACAAGAGTTTCCGGTAAGGTACGCTACCACAGATCTTGATTCGCGCAGAAACAAGATCAAACATCCCGACAAGCTGAGCTGAAGTGGTAATTTATGCAAGTGTTGTGAGAAAGGAGAACCAAAGAACCCTCCACCCCTCGTATTCAACACAAACGTGGCGCATTGCAACTTATCGGATCCCCATTGACACTCAGCCCAAGTTCTTCTTTACAGTCTTCTTCTTTTTCGCTGCTGACTAACCAGTTTCATCGCGAGTAAAAGCAAATACGTATCGTGGGGACCCGGAGAGACATGTCAAACATTCGTTTTCGAGGGTGTTTGAGGGCTCATGTGCGCACAATGGGGCTCCTTGAGCTATTATTGGATATCACCTGATTCGGCAGGTCATACAAAAGAAATATTGGTGCATCGCCATGTGCTCTCCATGTGCGACTCGCTGACCTATTTTCTAGTAACAGAGGTTTCTATGCTGGTGTCATGTCCCAAGGCTAGGAGTCGCTATAGAAGAAATCAAGACACGATACCGAGAGTTTGTTCATGGAAAGGTCAAGTTACACTGCGTCAAACTCTGTTGCAGGACCTGTGTGTTTGACAGGTGAACAAGTATCAGAACAAAGTTTTAATTAACATAAGTAAACGGAGTACCGGAATCTCTTCCTCTGGAATCAAAAACCGATGCATATCAAACCTCGTGCTGTCGCTGCTTCTCCGATGACGGCACGGTTTTCCTCACGTTGCACGAAGGACGCAAAAGTCCAGCCAATAACGGAATTACAAATTAAATATCTATAAATTTTCTACTCTCTATCATTCGTCCCATGATTTTCGTCTTTGCCTCGTTTATTGCTGTCCACTTTCTGGCCTCGGAATAGATGGGTAGAGCTGGACGACGGCGGCCCCTCCCCCACAATGCCCCTCACCCTTCACATGAAGTCCGGCGTATTGCCCTCCCATATCGTAGATTTTCCTGATTTGGATTGAGTTGAGTTGCGCAACAAGGCCATTGGCCGATGAAAGAGATCTCATAGCCTCCTCAATCTGAAGGTATGGTATCGAGGAAACAAAAAGCGACAGCATCCAGAAAAGAGCATTAGACAAAAGCGTGAAAATGAAAGCTAGAATGTATATACATGAGAATTATAACGTTGAGTGTTGGGAAATGTGAAAGAGAACGCGATGTGGGAATCGAGCCCATGGTAGGTGTGTGTGTGTGTGGTGACGTTTCGGTCGAATCTTAGTCAGGAGGAAAGTAATGGAAGGAGTGGGTGACAGCCTTTTTCGTCATCTCGCAACACCCACTCTGTTATCCTCTGCTTGCCTTATCTTTTTCAACTCATTTTTGAGATCCGGGTTCAGGGCTGCAGTTACCCACGCCGAGAAATTGCCGCTTGGCCGGTTGGCTTTCATCCACGATGGCGCTGGGCGAGGCAAATCATCGTCATGGTTGCTGTCGAACATGTTCGTAGATGCAGAATGGGCGTTCGCACCACGCTCCTGATCGACGAATGCGTCCATTATGTGAGTTGTGTTGCTGTCCCTGATGCTATTTCTGATGCTTTCGCCGCTGCTGGTGATTGCTTTCTCTTCATCTTCGGGTACCACTTCCGCTTTCTTGGGAGGGGGTGTGCTTTGCTTAACGCTTCGCCACTCCATAAAAATTGCAGCAGGAAGAGCTAGGCAGGCTATGATCAGAGCAGCAAAGAAGGGACCTTGTGTCAGGCTTTCGTTATATACGAAGAGAACTTGAGGCTGACGGGACTTCGGAACGGCCGTTCTGAGGCTTGTGGCGCCAGAATGCACAATTGCAGCAGGATCGATGCCTGGTACACGCTTTAGACCTGTTGAGAATTTGTCGATAAAGAGATTCTGCCCAACTGCAACAAAGACGGCGCCCCCCAATGTCTGACACAGGGAGAGCAGTGCTGTGCCCGTCGGGACGTCGGATTTCGGAAGCACAACTTGTATGGCAAGGTTCGGCTGCTGCATAGTCCAGCCGACGCCGAGCCCGAGAAGCACCTGGTACCCGATCCATTCCCCGGTGCTGCTGTTCAGTGACCATGTCGTGACTAATCCGGCGCCGATGGCCATGAAGCAGGATCCGGCGATCATGAACGGTGTATAATACCCAAGCTTCTGGACCAATCCACCAGAGGAAATGGATCCAACAACTACTGATAGGACAAGAGGTATCATTCGGATGCCAGACTGCATAGCAGATGTTGAGAGAATGGCCTGAAACCACAGCGGAATGTACATAGCAGTAGTGAGCATTGTAGCTCCGACACAGAACTGCGACACACCACCAAAGATGACGCTTCTTTGTAGGAACACGCGTGAAGGGATAGTAGCGGTTGTGTGCCGCGTGTAGTATTGCCACCCACAGAATGCGATGAATAGAGTTGAGAAAACGACCAAGAGTGCGATCACACGGGGCGAACTCCAGGCATATTCAGCAGCTCCCCACTCCAATGCTAGAAGCAGGCAGGTAATCGCTGGAAGAAACAAGATCGTGCCTATAGGATCCAGATTACGAAGAGTCTGGGCCCATGTTTCCATTCTTGGCTTTTGTTCGTCGAGTTTCAAAAGCAGAATCACCACGAGCATAGTGATGCCACCAAGAGGTAAGTTGATGTAAAAACACCACCTCCATGTCGCCGCGGACCCTGTGAATGCGCCACCCAACAGTGGACCGGTAACTGACGCCACACCAAAACAGGCTCCGAACAAGCCCTGGAGGAGCGGTCTCTTATGAAGAGGTACAGTGTTCAGCATGATGAGAATGGCCCCGGTAAAAATGCCGCTGCTGCCAAAGCCAGCAATTGCGCGCCCGATTATGAGCATGAGCGACGAATTGGCAGCGCCGCAAACCGCACTTCCGATCTCGAACAGAGCAATCCCTGAAAGGAAGACGTTCTTTGTGGAGAAGAAAGTATAGACACGCCCGTATAGTAAAATGAATCCGCATGATGTGAGCATATAAGCACTTCCGTACCAGCCTACATCGCCAAGTGAGCGGAATTGATTGGTTATTGCTGGTATGGCAGGTCCGATGATGGTGCGATCAAGAGCTACTAGAAATATCGAGATGTATAGAGAAAACATGATGACTGCTGTTTTCGCTGGAGACGGGTAATTTGCTGAATCGGATGGAGTTTGAAAGGCATCGCCCGAGTCGGATTCCGGGTCCAGGGGTTTTGAATCGTATTCCGATTTCTCCATGCCATTGAGAGAGTTCGCGGGAATGTCGATAGCTTTTTCCTTGCCCTTTGCCGAAGACAGTCTTGCTTCTTGCTTGCTGGTATCTTCGAATTCCGAAAAAGAATCGCTGGCCAGTATCTTGTCGGAACCATTCAAATGAGCTCCTTTGAAGAAGTCAAGCGAGCGCGAGGTTCCAACATCTCTTGTGTCATCTTCTGCTTTCTCGAAAATTGTGCCAGTGGAATAATGTCGGTCGTGTCCGTACTTGGTGGACTGCCACGATGAACGGGATAGATAGCTGGAGCCATCGCTGTACCGCAGCGGTTTAGGAAGAGTTGGATTGTTCAAGGTGTTTGGAGCATTTTCGAATCCAAGGTCGGCGATGATGTCTCCTATCACATCCGATGAAGCGTCACTCTCGCTGTAAACTCTACGATGGTTGAAGGGCCCCATTGCACACAGGTATAACAGAATCCGTGTTTTGACAAAGGCAAGAAAATAAAAAGAGAGGAGGCTGGGCGAAAGGAAGCAGAACGAAAACGAAACTTAACGGATTAGAGTGCAAAGCAAGGAGGACCGCTGTCTAAGTGTGTGTGATGGGAGTTTCAGTGACCGATTAGGAAGACCTTGCGTCAACACGATCCTTTTTCTTCAATCTATCACCAAATGTCGTTCGACATCATCAACACCCATAAAGGTAACTCTATTTCCACGTTCTCACGCGCTATCACCATCCTTGCATTTTCCGACTCCATGGCCAGCAGGAAACGCGAGGAATGCGTGCATTACAGGAGGGTCTCCAGGGCAATACACCGTACCGGCGAAATCGTGCGGGGGAACCGAAGGGCGGCGCCATACCCAACACTCGTTGCTTCAAGAGTTGTACAACACGATATGCAGTCTCGAGCTGAGTTGGAAGCGGATCAGAAGGCAGAAAGTTAATGCCGACATACCGACGTTGCACAAAAAATGACGGAAAGGAGACGGAAGAACAGGGTAAAAAGTTTGGAATACGAGATGGAAAAAGCAAAATGTACGCCACCGGATCGATCTATCCGGATCCATGTATAGATCCTCACTGCCTCGACCTATCAGCATATTTGTTACATGAAGGTCGACATAATCATCTTTTTTTTCTCGAAACAATGTCCGACCATCCACTGTTCACGTGGAAGAACACGGATCGACACCCAGGCTCTCAGCACTGAGACTCCCCTCTCCCACGACGAATCCAGCCGCACCGCACCGATAAGCAGCACCATCATCGTCGTCCCAGCTGATCTCCACTTCGCCGACGACCTGTGCGCGGATTTTAGTCCCCACCACATCCACAGCAATACTATATTCGACGTCTACGTCCCAGTCCAAAGGAACGGACGCATGCAACGACCGTTCCTCATCCCGAGCTTTCAGAATGCCAAACCTTCCTCTTCTCTCACTCCCATCCCTAGCATCTTTGTACAGCACAGCAGCGTAATACCGATTCAGCCCCTGGACTCTCACCGCTACACCATGCATCTCGCCCAAATTCACCACCAGGTCCTTAGCAACGACGCTGTAGTCTTCCCACAAGCTGGTACCGGTGTAGAATAACCCTTCGCCGCTGTCCTGTCCGAGGTGGAACGAGGGCCCGAAGGACTGCACTTTCGAGACGCTGTCGATCCAGCTGTTACGCCACATGCTTGGGCCTAAGCTCTCGAGGCCTGGTCCGCTGGGGCGAGGGGGCCGTGTGAATTTTGTGGCAGGCGTTTGAGAGATTTTGAGGCTGTGGAGATGGGCTATAATCTCATTACTTTTGTTGCCGCTGCCGCTGCCGATGTTGTTTGTTGCTGTTGTTGACGAAGGAGTGACGGCGAGCCCGAGATATGCTATGGGTTTGTTTTGCAAGTCTGTAGGGATTATCCACGAAAGGGTTTGTTGAGCACCTGGGGCTATGGAAACCGAGGGCGCGTCAACAGTGACGAGCTCATCGTTGTAGTCGTACGCTTTGAGTCTCAGACTCACGGAGATGTCCCCGGGAGAACCCGATGCAGAGGAGACTTTTGCAGTGAGAGTTTGCCCTGGGAAAGCGAGTGGAGAGGCCATCATCTCGTAGTCGCGCTTAACGGCCAGAGCGTCGGCGGGCGTGAATGTATGCGTGAGGATCTCTAATGGGGTTGATATGTCTTTGTGTGAAGTCATGTATATCCCCAATGCGGGATCACCATCCTCTGCCTCGCCCTGCTTAACAGTGACGATTTCTTCCTGAGAAGGAGAAACGTGAAAGCCCTGAACACTCCCCGGAAGACTAAAATGCCATTGTGCACCGTCTTTAGGAATAGGCAGCGGTTCCTCTCCAGCAAGTCTCGCCGCCATATCCGCAAGATCGTACGAGATGCGCACCGCGTCGTTGATCGAGTACCCGCCGTCCGCACTACTTATCAACGCGCGATCCGCCAACGGCCCTCTCCAATCCAACCCTTTCTCATTCACAAACCCTTCCAACCCATGCATGATAGCGACCAAGCACCCTACATTCCCGCTATTGCAATCGGTATCCCACCCACAGGTATTGATAATATGCATGGCGGTGCTGAAATCGTGTCCACCGTACAACAGTGCTAGAATCATGATCCCATGGTTGGGAATCATATGACATATCCCCCTATAATGCTGATACCCGTACTTCTCTTCGATCCTGTCCCGCGTGACTTCCCACTTCCCATCTTCGCTTGCCCAGCGTCTTATATCCGCGATCAACGGACGCAAACTAGAGTCGCGAGGAATATACCCCAGCGCAGTATCCAGCAAGACTTCGACATCGCTAGACTCGAAAGCCGCAGCCTCCATAACCGCCCACAGCACCGCAGCATCGACCGCAACACCATCGTGCGATACCCTCGCGGCAGCCCTCGCGAGCTCCGCAGCAAGATCCGGGTTCCCAGGAGCCACGAGCGCCCAGGCATCTATGAAGATCTGCGCGCCGATCTGCTCGGCCAGCGTGTAACCATTCGTCTTGATGCTCCCCGAGTCCGGCGCGAGGAGCCCTCGTTTCTTGAGGTTGTTGAACACGGTGTGTTCAGTTGAAATGCCGTTGCCGCCCCACCAGAACACGGTGCGGCCTTCGATGACGTGGTTGAGCCATGTGCGGCCTACATCTGCGCTGCTGAGACTCTTGCGGGCGGGGTGTTCGTTGAGCGCGCGGATAAAAGTAAATGTTCCTGAGACGTCGTCGTCGATGACGACGAGCGGCGTGTTGAATTGGTCGTGGATGTAGTAAGTGATCGGACCGAGTTTGGAGATGATGTCTTGGTAGGTCCAGTTTTCGAAGGGGCGGCCGAGATAGACGCCGATTAGTTTTCCTAGGACGCCGGCGTAGATTTTGTGAAGGTGTTTGTGAGGGTTTGATGATGGTGATGATGGGCTGCGGGCGGACATTCTGTGCTCTTGTTTTTATGATTTGGTTTGTTGCTCTTGATGGCGGTCCTGCGTTGGCCCAATGTACAAACAATTTCAATCTGCAATCATATCCTATTTGATCTCAAACTTCAAAATTTCCAGAGACAGCGAAAGGATAACGTTGTCCAAAGATGGTAACTTGTACACTTTGCTTTGAGAAGGAGAGCTTAATAACTGGTCAAAGGACAAATGTTTGCCCCCACCTCCGTTTCTACACTAACAAAATAGCTAATTAACCCCACTTTTGCCCTGCTACCTCCGTTGTTTTTTATGGGGATCTGGAGAAATGCGGGATTTTGCAGCAGAGAAGTTGTTGAGTAGAAATGTTTCGTGATCGATTTACGAAAATAGTGCTGTGGGAGATGAGTGGTATGCAACTAGGAAGAATGTGAGCCCTCAGAACTCCCGAATTCTGCTGAGAGTGATAGTCATGAGTATCTATCAACGCAGTCCAGGCTCAAGCTCATGAAACCGACCAAAAAAAAATATGTGCACTGTATCATCGGCAATCAGTGAGCTGGATTTTCAAGAGGATCCTGCAGTCCAAGCCTAAAGGAGTACAAATTCAAGCTCAAGTCGACATATGAATACAATGTACATGTCTCTGTATTAATACTACAAAGTTATTCCGGCGCCGCGAACGGCACCATTGATTACTTCCCAGTGGTCCATCCGAATGACTGGTCTCTCCAGTGCATAGTATCATACATGCCCGAATGCCCTTGCTTCATACTAACAATGTTTGACGCTCATGACTTCTACCTTCCCTTTGTCTCATTTTACGACAACACCATGTATCACCTGTTTCAGGCAGGCAAACGAATACATAGACGCCCAGCCCTTCTCGAACCTCACAAACCGGCCAGCATTTGACTTCCCTTCTTGCTCTCAGCACGCATCAGGCTCAAGACCTTCTCCCTCTCAGTGACCTCTTGTTCTTTGTAAATAGAAATCAAGTCCATAGTGCTGCGCCTCACACTGGCGATACTCATCTGGTCCATGGCGTTGTCATCCTCATACGAGGAAATGAAGCTCGGGTGTAAACTTGCCGTACTGACAATGCTCAGCCGACTCACTCGGCTTGCGTTACGAGAGTGCTTGGTAAAACGGCCTGGAAGGGTACGAGTGTGCATGGATACACATTGACCATCCAGTGAACGTCGAGCGGGAGCTCCAAAATCCTCAAGGTTGCAATCTAGATCTTTACTTACCCGGGGGAAAGCTGGGAGACAGTCCTCGTAATATGCCGACAGCACTCGTGCGTTGTCCGTGATAGGCGACAATTCCATCTGACCATCAAGCCCAGGAACAGTATTGTCTCGGTGGGTTGTTGTGCTATTTGGTGCCCGCAACGTGGACCGAGAATCTTGGCCCATGGAGTTCTCTTTGACCCCTACGTTCGAGATGTGACCTTCATCATCATCATCATGTTTGTCACTGCTACGTTGACTTGTTTCCCCACTTTGTTCCTCGATGACTCCTCGCCTCCAAATGTCGGGGAGTATTTCTAGTTCTGGAAACTCCAACATCCCGCCACTGCTGATGGACGTGCGATGTCCTCGTCCATGTTTCTGGAATTCAATGCTTTGGCTTTTGAACAATCTCGCGTAGTTTCTCAGAAAGGTTTTTCCAAAGGTCATGGAGGTGCTCTTGACCATGCGCATGTTACCAATCTTTTTGTGTCGCTTCTTTTCGCCTGGCAACAATGGTGGCGTTACCGGCCGTTCAGTCGGATCAACTTCGTCTTCGTTTGTCTCAGTGTCTTTTCCAGCGGCAAACTTAAGTGCTGCTTCCAGCGCAAAATCTCGCGTCTGCACAGAATCAAGGTGACCAGCAGACAAAGTACGTTCATCTCGGGAATGTGAAGGGTATCGACCCCACGCGCCTACAACATCCACCGAATCTCCTTGCTGTTCGTATCGCCTTTGTACCTCGTCACGAAGGCCTGTATCTGCGGCATCTGCCCCCACAATGGCAATCCTTCTACTGGATACAGCTTCGGGGGTTTGCTTGATTGGGTGGTCAGATGATGGGGGCTCGAGAAAAGGTGTTGAAACCCCCTTCAGAGCACCCATATCGCCTGGAGAAGCGTTGGAGTCCATACTGGGACGGGGTCGAGCGACGCTCGCACTTCGTTCACGGAAAGGACTGCTCCGAACGGCAAGATTCCGGTCTTTCGTAATGAAAAAGGCTGCACGCTCGTTCTGGTGGTGCTTGAGGGCCTTCTCCCACATAGGGCTGATCTTCTCATCTTTACCCAAAGACTTTTGTTCCCTTTCGAAGCTGACCATTGATCTTGACATCCGTCGTTCTCGATATGTCGCAGCTTTTGGAGGCTCAAGTGAGCCGTCAAAGCTTGGTTCAATCGAAGACTTAGCTTTCCCCTCGCTCTGACTACGGAAACCACTTCGTTTTGGGTTTAGAAGTTTCATGATAGATGCCGAAGCTGTAATTCTCCTTTTCGGAGGCGAAGGGCTGAACTCCTCCCGGAATCTGGACTTCTTCGTGCTGAAGCTGCTGTTGATCCGCATCAATTGTGTGCTTTCGCCCGAAAGTTGATCATTTGATGTCAAAGAGCCCGTGAAGCTAGAGGGATCCGTAGATGGGAATTTCGGGGCCGTGCCATGGGTGTTTCCAACATTCTCTGAACAAGAATTGGAGCGACTCAGGTTGATGCTTTTGGAAGAAGCCTTTCTGTAGGAATCAGGGAGGGTCAAAGTCCGGGTAAGGTTGCTAGAAGAGCCACCATCTGGAGGACTCTGGGGACGACTGGAATAGATAGACGATTTGTCCTCTCGTATATCTCCAGAAACTACCCGGCCCCACTTGCTGGGTATATTGGAGCTGGCAAACCCGGAGCTCGAAGTTTGTCGATTATGACGAGATAGCTGGGTCTGCCTCCGTGCGATCTGGCTCAGGTCTGAATTAGATTCATCACGAAGGAGAGGTGGCACAGGGCCCGACACTCCTGGAGGATCTCTATTGTTGTCCCAAGAGACCAGAGAGCCTGATCGAAGATGATGGGAAATGCGCATGCTGTAAAGATGAATGGATTCACGAGCATCATCCTGCACATCGTCCTTGTCATTTTCCGATTTGCTCCCTAGAAGCCTAGCTGCCGAGTTAATTCGAACAGTACCATGAACAGAACTAGATGGGCGAGGTGTGGTGGTTGCAGTCGGTTCTTGGACATGTACATCTGGGGTGAGGATAATCTCATTTTGAAGTTTCGAACCACCCGTGTCTTTGTTACTCCATCCAGTGGGAAGTCTGAGCGAAGCTCTCGACTGAGCCGTGCCGGCTCTACCTGGCGGAAGAGGAAGCTGTGAAAGACGAAGGCTTTCGTTCAAGGCTGTTGACCAGGCCATGCCCTCTATTTCACTCCCTCTGAGACTTGGCAGCCTCGGTGACGAGAGGGGCCTTGGTGCGGGGAGGTTGACAGATGCTGCAGACTGAGAGCGGCGTAACTTACGCTCGTGTCCTTGGTCCGAATCACTCTGGAGATCGGGGCTGCTGAGGATTTTTCCGAAAGACGAGGAAAGCGATTTGGCTTGCGGCCGGATATGATATGGCTGCAATTGAGCTGCAGGCTGCATGTGGCGGCTTCTTGAAGATGACCCCGGCGTAGGTTTGCTGAAGAAGTTAGTTGGTGATGGAGTATCATAGTTGAGATATCTCACCTTCCATTCGAGGGCGACCATTCGATGCTATGGATGCTGGGCCTTTTGGGGGCCCGTCTTCCAACGTTCTTCCTAATGTCGTCAAGCACTTCTGCATCAGGGTCGTAACCACCCTCATGTGGGTCCTTGTCACTCAGCAGATTTTCCTTGAGATCGAACTTGGTGAGTTTAAGCTTGAGGTTGGGAGGATCCTGGGACAGTTTCAGAGGGATGTCGGAGGCAGTCCCAAGAGCAGCATTCTTGACCCCACCACCTGCTTGAGTATGATCCCTAGATGACTTCTTGGATAAGTCCTTGGAGAGCTTCCGTCTAATCATCGACTGGACACTTTTGATCCTGTGGATTGAACGTAAGCTGTACATCGACGGCTTGATGAAACGTGCATGCCCAGCTTTTGCTCGAGGCGAAGGGTTGGGATGATCACTGGAAGCATTCTGGAAAATATTGCGGATCTCACAAAGATCGCCCGTCTGCGCACTGGTGAAGCGCGAACTACCCTGAGAATGGGTATGGTCCGACAAAAGGGGGAGCTTGGCTGGTGTGGCTTCGGACATGCGAATGTTGGGCAGTGCTGGAGAACTGGTGCGACTCGCGTCTTCGGCTGTGCAGCATAGCTTCGATGCCATCGCCTTTGATGCTTTCGGTATCAATGCAACGGCGTGAAGTTTCTGGGGTGTGGGATAGCCCGCAGATGGGCTGGAAAGTGAGGGGCGAGAGCGGTGGCCTGACTGTTGACGTGCGCAGGTAAATACCCCGTGGAGTGGCTTCCACATCTCAGTATCCGCCGCAAGAGCATCTGAGGCAAGCCCGAAATGAGTCAAGTGCATTGCAAACTCGACCGCGAATACCAGGCCATTGACGCGAACAAGGAAAGCACGTCTCGTTGATGCACATGTAGTTCAGAACCAATTGACTGCCTCGAGAGTGGCCTCTGTTCAATTGGAATAAGCCGGACGAATCCTAGTAAGAGAGGTCCCGCTACATTTTTACGTATGATGAGGTAGTGATCTCACATATTCTTATAGTAGGCTGTGGTCTTGCCACCTACTAATCTGGGTTATTCGAATGTGTGAGGGGTTGTATAACTCAGCCCATCATCTTATTCCCTTCGACATCTTCACTATACAGCGCTTGATCACGCACCCAGGCACTCACCGACTCGGTACATAGTTGTGATACAATCTCCCACTCCTGACTCTTCGCTGCTTTCCTCACCCTCGTGCTGCTGATTCCTACGCCCTCTACATCCTCGACAAGTTCTACATTGCGACCCCACTCGCTCTTGAATCCTTCGCTTTCCCGGTCTCCTCGCCGCAAAGCCATCACGTATTCTCTCTGTTCCTCTATTGTGCCATATTCTTTGGAGCTTTCATCGCTTTCATCGTACGGCCTCGCTGTAACCCGCAGCCCATGCCCAGCATCGAAAAAGGGTGTGAGCGCCGATAGCGGAGGGGAATGATTGGGATAATATTTGGGATTGCAGAAGCGGATCAGCGTGTCGTAGCCTACAAGGTGTATGTGCTTTGGGGATGATTCGTAGAAGGGGGGCTCAGACTCGGCGATGGCCATGGATTTGTCGGTGTAGTAAGGTTCTGTAGTAAGACCTACGTCAATAGAGATGGGCGTTTCTTCTTTGCCAGCGGCATTCGAGTTAGTTTTGTTCCATGCCTTAGATAGATCTTCGCCGAGAGCGGTCATGAGCGCGATCCTTTGCTGGAAGCTTGCGGGGCTTGGTGCTTTATCGGCATTGTGGGTGCTGAATAGAAGAAGCACCCGGAACGGCTTGTCCTCGGCTTTCGCTGCTCGTATGGCGGACGTGATCAGACTCAGATGTGCTTTGGATGGTGGGTTGAAGGAGGAGTCGAGGATGTACAAGGTCTTAGGCTTTGTAGAGGTGGGGTTAACTGTGCGTGCGATGCGGAATTTGGAGCTCGTCGAGGCGGTAAAGGAAAGAAGAGCGGATTCGAGTTCTGGGAGTAACGACCGCAGGGTAGAGCTGAAAGGCGCCATCTCAGACATGAGGAGAAGCACCAGTGACGCAAAGTCTCATCGTTTGTGGCGTACCGCTTGCGGAGAGCATAGCTACATGATGAGGTCGAGATGAGAGCTAAGATCCCTGCATATGCATCGATAACACACTGAGTCAGTCGCTTCCAGTCAACTGGTGCTCACACTAGTACATGACTCGACACCATATCATTCTTGGTACATCAAAACAATAAACAGCGAATTGCAGTATTCCAATCCTTTCGTTCGTTCAGATCTATACAACATCGGTGCGAAGCACCATACAAAGCTATCGGGTTTAGATGCCAACAATTGGCTCCATACATATCCCAGAAAACAAAAATGGAAACAGAAAACACCAGGAACAATCGTCCCTAAACAACGCTGAATAACAACAATCATCAAAAATAGCGACCGTCCCGTCAAACAAAAACGAAATAGCATCCGAAGAATGGGCTTCGGTCATGCGCGAAATGGGATATAAGACATTCAAGCGTCGATTAGGACACAAACAGTCGCACTCGAAACTACCGGTTTCCTTCTATGGCGCCGGCGACCATGGAATGTGCGCTGTTTTTCCTCGGTGTGTTATTGTTATTCAAGGACGCGGAACTATTTTTCCCCCGAATCTTCATTGACTTGATGGAGGGTGATGGGGACGGTCTAGGGGAAGCACGAGGCGTCCTCTGGGGTGAGCTCAGCTGTTCAAACTTGCCTGCTAGGTCTTTGACTCTACTGGGAGTTCCGTGAGTAGAGTAGGTGGACTTGCCGATGCTGCTGTTACTGCTGCTGCTATCGCTGATTGCTGGAGGGTCCTTAGCCTCCTCGTTGATATCCCTGTTGTCATTTGAGGTCTCCTCCGCCAGAGACACAAGATTACTTCGGTCCATGCTGATTATTGGAGGGTCCTTGTGTTCTTGGTCGATTTCAACGCTATCGTTTGAGGTTTCCCGCCCCAGAGACAGAAGGCTGCTTCGGTCCACATCTGCATTAACGACCCTCAATTTCGATCGTGGCACTGTGAACATGACTTGAACGACCCGTCGCTCTACAGCAGCTTCGACATCCCAATCGTCTTCATCTGCAGGTGTACACGGTCTTTCTCTGTTCGTTGGCACACCGAGTTCTCTGCCATGGATTGGTGAGTCTGGGGTTGGTAGGCGATCGTCGTCGGTCAGGTTGATGAGCAAATTGCCGCGTTCTCGCCATTCGCGGCGTTGGCGTTGCTGCTCTGCAAACGCAACGTCTTCGGGAGCACCCCAATCATCGCCACTATTGCGCCTCCATCTGGCTCGCGGGTCGGTTGGATCTAGTTCGTCATCCTCCCAATCTTGCTTCCCCCTTCTACTTCGCCAGGCACTGGCGTCCGAGACAGCGCGCCTTGGTGGTGCCGGTGCCGGTAGTGATTTGTGTTTGGCCGCTCTCACCGAGTGGTCGGTTGCTTCGGGGTCATCTTTGTACGACTCAAAGTGCATTGTTGCGTTCGTCATGGACTTTGTTCGATTGCCTGGTGCAGTGGTTCTGGACAGTGCTCGTTTCACAGTACCCATCAGACTCTTTCTTCTTTCTCTGCCAAATGCGGCTCGGGCTAGACCTTCTGTCCGTGAGGTGGCTGCAGTGGTAGTAGTCCCACACCGACTTGTGCTGTCTTCTATGTCGTGGAGTAGATGACCGTTTGAACCATCAGAAGTCGATGAAGTTGTCGGTCTGGTTCTCTCAGGATTGCCCCCAAGCAGCGCTTCACCCTCCGATTTGAGAGCCATGAAAGATGAACGAGCAGTGGTAAAAGATTCTGCGTCAGCATTTGCGGTATTAGGACGAGCGTTGCTTTCAGTAGGTATGTCTGCCGACACATCGATATTCAATACAGTAGGAGAACGCATTGCACTACGCATCGAGCGCGCACTTCGCTCGCTCAAGTCAGAGCCTGTTCGATACGAAGATTTTGTAGGTGAATCTCTTCCATCCAGGCTTGGACCTGAACAGCGGGGGAGGTCCACAGCGCCCACTAAATTCAACTTGGGCGATTTGTGTGGTAAATCGTACACTACATCTTGTGAGGGAGACGTTGGTACCGAATGAAACGGGCCACTGCGATCGTTGCCTGTATGATGATGGTCTGTGAATGGATCGGTATCTTCGGATAGGGTCCGTGAATGCGAGGCTATCTCTTGCATTTCGGGCTGCCTGGTTAACGGAGTTTGCTCACTGGATGTCTCCATTTCTTGTTCTTCGTCGAGTTCGTCAATTGGATGAATGTTCCCGGACCCTCTCATTCGCTTCTCATCATAACGCGACATCGGTTGGTTTGGCCTGTGACCTAAACTTCGTCGTAAACCGCGAGTCGGACTTGGGATTTCAACGAGCAAGCCGGTCCTTTCTGCTTCGTAAGAATTGGCTCGTCGCCATCCAGAATTCTGTTGGTGATCCGGCACCGGGTGGAAAAACGAGTCGTTTGAGTTCACATGGTACATATTCTGTCCATCACGGCCGTCTGTGCTCGATGGAATGGGTCCTACGCTGTATCGATATGCGCCCCTGGAAAGCTCGCTCAACTGCTTTTCCCTGACTTCACGCTGCTTCCTAAGTTTTCTGGTATACCAAAAATAGAAGCCCATCAAACCAAGAACGGCAGCCATTCCAATACCGAGACCGGCTCCGAGTCCAGCCTTTTGCGACATTGTTGATAATGGCCCTGTTGATGCAGGCGGGGAAGACGCTATTTCAGGTGGTGGAGAATATTCCGAGATCCAGGCGTTCGAAGTCAGGTTAAAGAAGAGCGTCTGAGAGTTGGCAGATGCTGCTCTACGCCGATGGGAAGTTGACGTGGGTATTTTGTAGCCCCCAATGATCATCATGACACTTCCAGGAAGCATGACTGCACCGTGACCGTAAATGCCAGAGCCATCAGGTAAACCAGGACCAGAAGCGATGGGCACCGACCACTGCCAGGGGCCATGTCCTCCGTAGCCATCACCGACATTAAGTACAGCTAGCGGAGGGTCGGCAGGAGTATTAATGTCGCCAATCCAACCTCCAAAGATGACCATACTCTGTCCGTCCGGAGACAATACAGCACTGTGCCCTGAACGAGGTTCAATAGCATCAACTTCATTCCGGATGGACAGATCTGTACGAGACGTATCCGGCTGCGCTACGGGCACAAAAGTCCAACCTTGTTGCGGGAGTGAGAAGATGGCAATTTGTGAGGTGTTGATGAAAGCAGAACTAGTGTGACCTCCAATCAGGGCGAAGCTCTGCTGCTGGATTTGGGCGCCATCGCTACGATTCGAGAAGCTCGGGATCAGAGGGGTCAAAGAAAAGCCCGCCTCCGCTATAGGTGGACCCCGACTTGACGAAACGTCGACCTGGTAGGTGACTGATTTGGCACTAGATTGGGATGGATCCAATGTAATCATGAGATTGGAATAATTTGCCGCCGACTGCCAATCTGTATCTTTAGTACCTTGAAACGGGCACATGCCACCAAAAAAGTATGCACTGGTGCTCATGACGTCGCTGTCCACCGTGGCAGAGAAGGCAATGCCAGCGCTGAGGTAGTTGGGACCCATGTCCAAAAGGTGTTTGCTGTCACGGGCGAATGTCGTATCTTGTCGTGTCCAGCTCCCATTCGCGTCTCTCCCTGGCGATTCGGGTACAAAGGACCATACTTGAGCCCCGCTTGCACCAAGAGTGCAGTCTCCCGTGTAGACTGTAATATTGCCTTTTCCGTTCAATATGGCGTTGAACGGGCGCTGGGATTTGGCGTCGAGGAAGGGCAGAGTGGAGTAAAGGTTGGTATACGGCATGTTGGCCGCAGCAATGTTTGAGGAATAGTCGATGACGCTGAGCTGGAACTGCGCCGAGTCGTCCGAGGAGGGATGGAAAACGTATGCGTGGTCGCCATCTTGCAGTATTCGGGTCGGATTATAGGGCATCGAGGAAGCAGCAGCAGCAGCGGTGGTGAGCAACGGGAGGCATAGCAGCGACCATTGCCATATACCAGCAAACCACGGCGTGTGGTTTGCAGTGCATGCGTGGGATCGAGTCATGATGCAGAAGGTACAAAAGACAGTCAAAGGACCCTTAGCCCGCACGTTGGGATGTCGTCTCCATCGAAGAAGCAAGTGCACTGTACAGAGGTGGTTGGACGCAAAGGAGCAGGAATACAGCACACGAGAAGCTCAATATTGGCAAGGAGATGGGGACGGATGGAAGTGAAGAATCAATGCCAAAGAGGGGAATAAGAGGCAGAGTCGAGACCGAGATGCAGAACTTGAGTTCACGCACGGATGCAAACACAGCCTGGCAGCTTCACTGACAGCAGGCTAGGTCCGGGGATGAGATGGGAGGGGGGCGGCCAGTAAACAGGCCGATGGGCAGTGGATGGCGCAAAGCAACCATCGCAACGAAGGCTCACATGGCTGCCGACGCGTATGCAGGCCAATCAGAGAGGCTGGATAGGCTGGAATGTATGCCTGTGGCGCCGAGACGGAGGTGAAAGAGGGCAGATGAGGGGTGGCACATACCACACATCAACAAACAGTTGCCCGTGGCAACCAGGCCTATCGTCCTTCGCTTATGCGCCGTGGCCTCGTCAACGCGACCTGACGCGATGCGCCGGCCGCCTGGTGATGGAAAGGCTGGAAAGGCTTTTTCAAATTCAAATTGCCTTCGCCGACAAGTGCCATGCGATGGAAGGGGTGTCCGCTGTATAGTCAATATGTATGACCAAATGGCGTTATGGTTCATTGGAAATTTCGATGGGTCGTGCTATGACAGCAAAGGTAGGGCTGACAAGTGTGCACACTACCAAGTGGGGGCTTCTGACAACTCATTGCGAAATAGAAGGAAAAAAGAAGGCAGAAATGAAGATTAACGTGGCTCAAGCAGGCATCACACAGGTACTTGGTATATACACACACATACAGTCGCTATATATATCGCGCGCACGAGCGGCCGGCCTAAAAGCTGTACCGCATGCCACCGTTGGCACAGATGACAGACCCGGTCGTCCATCCAGCTTCTGGCAAACACAGCATGCCCGTCACGCCCGCAATCTCCTCGCTATACGCCGGTCGGCCGCCGGCCTTGAGCGATGTCTCGTAAACATCGTCGGGATCAATGCCCTTGCGCGGTGCTGCCAACGGCGTGTTCTCAATGTGTGGCTTGTTTTGGGCAACAAATTCAGCATCCGTCGACGTGTACATGTCCGTGAGAACTGGCCCTGGGTTGATGGAGTTGACGGTAGCTCGTTCAGCCAGCTCACGAGCCCAGGTCCGCGTCATGGCCTCGAGTGCAGCTTTGGTGCCTCCGTAGATGGATTGGGTCTTGTACCCTAGCGAGGAAGACACTGACGACAGGTTGACGATGCGGCCGGAGCGGTCATGAGGCAGGTACGGAAGAGCAGCCTGAATGAGCAGAAGAGGACCTCGCACGTTGATATTGTATTGCCTTGCGAACTGCTCGCAATCAATCTTCTCTATGGGGTTGTTGCCGGCGACACCCGCGTTGTTGATGATGATGCCAATCTCGAATTTACCCGTTTTGGGGTGTTGGAAATGGTTCTTGGCGACGTCGACAATGTGCTGGGGACCATTTTCGGAGCCCATGTTGGCCTGTACGATGGCGGCTTTGATGCCATGCTCGGCTTCCAGTTCAGCGGCCAGCTCTTCCGTGACGCTGGTGGAAGAGTCTGAGGTGTAGTTGAGAACAATATTGCAGCCTTTGCTGGCCAAATTCCTTGCAATGGCGGCTCCGATACCCCTTGAAGCACCCGTGACGATTCCCACGCGGCCTTCGAGGGGGCGAGCGCGAGAGCCGGGGTTCAAGTTGGTGGAGTTGGTGCGTGTGTGTTCCGGCCTCGACATGATGAATCAGGGATGGATGGATGTGACTATTGTGCAAGACGACGATGATGACGATGACGGATGAGACGATGGAGGGGAGAAAGAGGAGTCATGGAATGAAACCGACGACTGCATTAATCTGTTTGTAGCATTAGTTGTGGTGCTCTGCTTGCACATGTGTTCAGCCAGCCTTTCGCGCAGTGTGTGTATGGCGGGGTAACTCCAAGTGGGATGGAAATGAGGGGCACACGAGGTGGGACCTAGACAAGACGGAACCGCACAGCCAATGGAGTCGGTCGCGGCAGGTATACCAATCTTGGACACATGTGTACTTAAGTACATACTAGGTACATGTGTAGTCTGGCAAAGGGTACACGGTAAGTTAACAACTAGTTAGTACGCTGGTAGGATATCAAGGGATGGGCCAAGTACGCGGAGAGTATCCGAGTAGGGAAGGCCTCTGTGTTTGATTTTTCCACGAAGGAATGTCTCGGTTGCATGTTGAGTAGACGAGGGGCAGGGTGCGTCATATGGCAGATATCCGTGCATGGCTCGGAATTTCGGACATGTGTAAGAGGATGATCAATGAAAATTCTTGATAGCCGCAGTGACTCGGCCCTTTGATGCCACCACTACTGCTGCTGCAATCTCGTCCATGAGCTGTCTGCGTCCCGCGAGATGGAGACAATGAAGAGGAAAAAGTGGCCGGAGCTGCGCTCAAAGCCTCCGAGATCGGCGGAGAGTTTTGTGATGGCATCATCGTAGTTTTCTGCCAGCAGGACTAACGAAAACTGACGCTGGACTATCAAAGACCAGCCCAGCCCGGGGCGAGAATGGGGACGAGTTGAGGACGCATCGTACTGGCTATCGGAATGGATATTCGCCACCACCCACTGTCTAACACACCCGTCCCGGGCAGTTACGAGATAATGGCGAGGAGGACACTGCAGTAAGCAGACCAGGTGTACGCCTTGATGTAGGAATATGTACGTACCCATGCCGGGTGTACGAGAGATGCGACAATCTTGAAGCCCAAGGGGGATGGCTCCAATGCACACGAACGGACCCAGGGACCGCAGCATCACTCACTAGCGCGGTGAAAGCCCGCCCCAGCCAATCAACCCGCCCCATGCTCACCCCGCCAGCCGACAAAAACACTGCACCGAAAGCACACCACCGCTTGGCCAGACAACATTTAACACCTCCCTCCCTCCCCTCTTCTCCTTCTTCTTCTTCTTTCTTCCTACTCCTCCTTCTCCTCCCTCCATTCACCTCTCCATCCTACTTTTCCCCTTCCAAACTCTTCTCTCACCTTCTCACAACCCCTCCATCTTACCCCTCCAACTCACTGCTTTCAAAGGGCACCCCGCAGTATCTGCCAGGGCCTTTTCTCTCTCTTCCCTCCTATACACCCCTCTACATCGATTCCCTCACACACACACACACACACATCCATCACAATGGTGCAATCCTCCGTGCTCGGTTTCCCCCGCATGGGTGCGAACCGTGAGCTCAAGAAGGCCAACGAGGCGTACTGGGCCGACAAGCTCTCCCGTGATGAGCTCCTGAACGAGGCCAAGCGCCTTCGTCTCGAGCACTGGAAGATCCAGAAAGATGCCGGCGTCGATGTTATCCCCAGCAACGACTTCGCTTTCTACGACCATCTCCTCGACCACATTCAGCTCTTCAACGTAAGCCCCCACCATCATACTCAGCATGCATCAGCACAGCCAATTAACATGTACAGGCTATCCCCGAGCGTTACTCCAAGAACAACCTTCACAAGCTCGATGAGTACTTTGCTATGGGTCGTGGTCACCAAAAGGATGGCGTCGACGTTCCCAGTTTGGTAAGTTGTCCGACGCGGGGTATATGCATGTGTCAGCTTCAGTAACTAATACACTCCGCAGGAGATGGTCAAGTGGTTCGACTCAAACTACCACTACGTCAAGCCTACCTTCCAGGATGGCCAAACCTTCAAGCTCGCCGATAACCCCAAGCCTGTTGTCGAGTTCACAGAGGCCAAGGAGGCTGGCATCACCACCCGCCCCGTCCTCGTCGGCCCCGTCTCCTTCCTCGCCCTAGGCAAGGCTGACCGTGACCAATCCGTTGACCCCATCTCTCTCCTCGAGAAGCTCCTTCCCGTCTACGTCGAGCTCCTTGAGAAACTCAAGGCTGCCGGTGCCGAGACTGTCCAGATCGACGAGCCTGTCCTCGTTTACGATATTCCTCAAAAGGTCAAGGACGCTTTCAAGCCCGCTTACGAGAAGCTCACCAGCAGCAATCTGCCCAAGCTGGTCCTTGCCACCTACTTCGGTGACATTGTCCACAACTTTGATGTCTTCCCTGCCATCAAGAGCGTCTATGGTGTTCACGTCGATCTTGTGAGGAACCCTGAGCAGCTCGATGCCGTCATCGGTCAGCTTGGCTCCAACCAGGTCCTCTCTGCTGGTGTCGTTGATGGTCGCAACATCTGGAAGACCAACTTCAAGCGTGCCATTGAGACCGTCGAGAAGGCCATCCAGAAGCTCGGCAAGGACCGTGTTCTCGTGGCTACTTCCAGCTCTCTTCTCCACACCCCTCACTCTCTCGACAGCGAGAAGAAGCTGCCCACGGAAGTCAAGGACTGGTTCTCCTTCGCCGTGCAAAAGACCTCTGAAGTCGTCACCATCGCCAAGGCCATCACTGATGGCCCCGCCGCCGTGCGTGATGCTCTTGAGGCCAACGCCAAATCTATGCAAGCCCGTGCTTCTTCTGAGCGCACCAACAACAAGGCTGTTCAGGATCGTCAAGCCAAGGTCACCGCCGAGATGCACGAGCGCAAATCTGCCTTCCCCGAGCGATACGCTCAACAGAAGACGCATCTCAGCCTGCCTACCTTCCCTACCACCACCATTGGTTCTTTCCCCCAAACCAAGGAGATCCGTATCCAGCGTAACAAGTTCACCAAGGGTGAAATCACCGCTGAACAATACGAGAAGTTCATTGAGAAGGAGATCGATGAGGTCATCAAGATCCAGGATGAGCTTGGTCTCGATGTCTACGTGCACGGCGAGCCGGAGCGTAACGACATGGTGCAATACTTCGGTGAGAGGCTCGACGGCTACGTCTTCACCACCAACGGTTGGGTTCAGTCCTACGGCTCTCGCTGCGTCCGTCCCCCAATTGTCGTCGGTGACATCTCTCGTCCTGCCCCCATGTCCGTCAAGGAGTCCAAGTACGCTGCTTCCGTCTCCAAGAAGCCCATGAAGGGTATGCTTACAGGCCCCATCACCTGCCTCCGATGGTCTTTCCCCCGTGACGACGTCCACCAGTCCGTCCAGGCTCAACAGCTTGCCCTCGCTCTGCGCGACGAGGTCGTCGATCTCGAGGCTGCTGGCATCTTCGTTATCCAAGTCGATGAGCCTGCTCTTCGTGAGGGTCTCCCTCTCCGATCTGGCACTGAGCGCGAGAAGTATCTCGAATGGGCCGTCAACTCGTTCAAGCTTGCGTGTGCCGGTGTCCAGGACTCTACTCAGATCCACTCTCACTTCTGCTACTCCGAGTTCCAGGACTTCTTCCACGCTATTGCCGCCCTCGATGCCGATGTCCTATCCATCGAGAACAGCAAGAGTGACGCCAAGCTCCTCAAGGTCTTCGAGGACAAGGCCTACCCCCGTCACATCGGTCCCGGTGTGTACGACATCCACTCTCCTCGTGTTCCCTCGGAGCAGGAGATCAAGGACCGCATCGCCGAGATGTTGGTCTACCTTAAGCCCGAGCAGCTTTGGGTCAACCCCGACTGCGGTCTCAAGACCCGCCAGTGGAAGGAGACCAAGGCCGCTCTCGTAAACTTGGTCAATGCGGCCAAGTTCTACCGCGAGAAGTACGCTTCGTAAGAAGCACGCCACGTTTAGGCGTTTCTCCACCTCGTGTTTTTTAACAAAACACGGTGGTTTGAGCAGCATATCAACCGCTGCCTTGTAATGTGTGTAATGTGTTTATGATGATACCACTGAAAAAGTTCAACCTGCATTATCGGTTCTTTGGGACGGTTTGGGGGGCATTGTGAGCGATCTCAACATCGGCGTTCACTGCAGACGACAGGTATTTGTTGACGTCGCCCGGGATACTCATTTTAACGGCGTTTTTTGCAATCTTTTTTCACTGTTCTTGTATTACATCCGGATCTCTTGATGAGATTGGCGGCGATTAAAAAAACATTTTGAGGTTTGGGCCTCATGGACAGCTATAGATGGCTAATTCAACAGCCATGCATCCATCTAGAGACTAAAGAAAGCGTCTTCTGGGGGTGCGAATGCGAGGTGTATACAGATATTGATGGATTACTGGCCTTAGCATTGCCTGGTAGCTTAAGCCAAGCAGATCAATGAATCCAGTTCAACACCCGTTATTAGATTCATGTTTAAATGTTCTTGTTGCACACATTCTGAAGATGCTCTTTTCGAGAGATTGAGAGTGGTTTAAGACTGACTGCATGATGATTGTTGGTTGGGGTTGTATGATCGACGGCAAGGGCTGTTAGCGCCCGAAGCCGATGGGTGCTGGGTCAACCACTCTTTTGTTTTGCTTGGCGTATGACACACTTCCCTCGAGCCCATCGCCAGTCACGCTTTTGGTTCAACTGCTGCGAATGCACATTTGGAACGAAATCAATTGTTGGCGTGATTGATTGAGCAATCGCTTGTTTTCTTCTGTTGTGCGACGCAAAATTCCTCATATCCGTTTCTTCCCGTCCAGTTGATAGACAAAGCGACAACGCTTTCCGGCCCACGCGACTCTATTGCATTCCTTGAGCTCTCCTACGCATTTCACGAGTTGCATCTGTTTCAGCTGATACCGCACCAACGGAAGATATGCTGGGCTTTCGCCCTTTGCGCATAGCAAAAAGGAAATTGCATTCCTACAGCAAAGTTCCTACATACAACGATGTCGAAGATGCAGACGCCGAATACACCGAAAAGCAGTACGAGAGCGACGACGAGAGCAGCAGCTATGAATCTTCTGCCACATCCTCACCCTACTCGTCGCGAGCCTCATCAGGCGCACATTCTCCTCCCATTCTCCAGAAACCACAGCTCGCTCGGTCTAGTGTGAGGGCGTATAGCTATCGAGGCTGGAGGAGATTTACACGATACTTTGGGCTGGCCATTGGCAGCGTGCTGGTGCTCTTCGTATATTTCTTGCTAAGTAGAAGTTGGGCTTCAGCACGGTATGCCGAATTGGGATTGCACAAGGCGCCGACTGTGCCGCGAGTATGGGAAAGCTTTCCATTCTTGAAAAGATATCATGGCGGTATACGAACTTTGAGAAGCCGGAAAGACAACGAACCCGAATACCCCAAAGAGGAGGATATCAATCCGGAAATGCCAGAAGAAACAACAAATAAGGGATCCCGCAAAGATAAACGGATGGAAGGTGGCAATCTGACAGATTCTATTGTCTTCAACCCTTACCCCGATTACGAGGGTCTAAGCTATGTGGACCAGTATGGTCCTGTCGAGCCATGCTTCCTGGACTCGAACGACACAATTGAGCTGCCATCGTTACGAGTATATGAAGGTGTCACGGACGGAACTCCTGACAATGTCATGGGCTCCTATGAGATGTTTGGCTTGCGCAACGATGTATGCTTTGAGCGATTCGGTCGACTAGGGCCATATGGGCTTGGATATTCCACCAAGCACGGTGGCAACGGGGCAGCTCTGGAAGGCGATCGAGAGGGCATAGAGAAGGTTTGGGAACAGACGGGCGAGGTCGATTACCGCCAGGTGAAATGGGGTGAAGTTCTCGATCGATGTTTGCAGAAGAACGAAGGCCGCTTCCAACCACGTGGAATGGGTCGTAACAACGTCTTCCAGAAAATGGCCACAAAAGGGCCAGCTACCGAGACAGTCGAAAAGCGCGGCGAAAAGGACGGTATTTTTAACAACGGTACCGTCCGCGAGCAGCTCAAAGCAACACATAACAAACTACTCCCCCGGACGGCCTTTTTGATCCGAACGTGGTCCGACTATGAGTACGACGATGAAGACATCATGTATTTGCGGGCTTTGATCTCCGAGCTAAGCATTTCATCTGGCGCCGAGTATCAAGTTCACTTCTTGATCCATGTCAAGGATGATAACAAACAGATTTGGGCTGATGAAGAGGTCTATCAGGAAGTATTGGACAACGCGCTTCCTGCCGAGTTTTCTGGGATGGGCACACTTTGGTCTGAGCGACAGATGGGCCTCATCTACGGTGGTCTCGAAGACTCCATGTACCGCAATCTCCCGATACATGGAGCCTATCGCTCAGCATACATGCCAGTTACCTACTTTGCCCACCAGCACCCCGAGTTCGACTTCTTCTGGAATTGGGAGATGGATGTGCGATATACTGGTCACTACTACCATCTGCTAAAGCAGGTCGGAGACTGGGCTGACAAACAGCCGCGAAAAGGACTGTGGGAGCGCAACTCACGCTTCTACGTCCCTTCGGTGCACGGCACATGGGAAGAGTTCTCACACATGGTACGTGTTCAAACCGAACACGGTACAAACAGCAAGTCCAACGCCTGGTCCTCCCACCTCCCCGCCAATCCAAAACTCCCTGAACCCGAGACACAGAAACCAGAGAAACCCATCTGGGGCCCTGTCATTCCTTCGGACTACCCCGATATCGAAATCGACGAAGCTGTCCTTCCCCCGACCACCATAACCGAGGACAAATACACATGGGGCGTCAACGAACCGGCCGATCTCATCGTCTTCAACCCTCTCTTCGACCCAGAATCCACAGGCTGGCTCCTTGCCGACGACATCACGGGCTACAATACCACGACCTCCCTGCCCCCACGCCGCGTCGCAATCAACACTTCCTCCCGCCTCTCCGCCCGCCTCCTCGCCACCATGCACCGCTCCCAATCGCACCACCGCCGTACCATGTTCTCGGAGATGTGGCCTGCGTCCGCAGCGCTCCACCACGGCCTTAAAGCTGTGTATGCCCCACACCCCGTCTACATCGACCGCAAATGGCCGACGCAGTACCTTGCTGCCATATTCAACAACGGACGTAATGGTGCTGCGGGCGGGTCCCGCACCTCCATCTTCTCAGACGAACGCCAACATAACTTCTTGGGCACGAGTTGGTATTATCATGCCGGGTTTGCGCCGAATCTTTGGAAGAGGTGGCTTGGGTATAAAGTCGATAATGATGGTGGGGAGGTGGAGGAACTTGCTGGTGAGGGGAGAATGTGTCTTCCGGCCATGCTGTTACATCCTGTCAAACAAGTCGATCTTGTGCAGGAGAAGATGGCTCAGGAGGACGAAGAAAAGGGGGGTAGTGAGGAGAGAGTCTGATTGTGTAGGCTGGTTGAGTGAGCGAGTGTCGTCACGATCTTTATTCTGGCATTCTTCCGAGGGAGTCGTGGTGTTTTTTTATTTTTTCGATCATATTGGACTGGAGTTTGGCGGAGTTTACATTAAGCGTTTCCGTGTTGTCGCTGGGTTTACTTTATTGACCTGCTTGTTAGTCATGCAACCCGATCCATGAATCCCATCATGATTATTCCCATCATCATCAACGTCAAATCATTGCCCACAATTTTCCTAATTATAAAACTTATTGCCGTCTATCCCATGTGTTCCGCTCTCTTCTATCATGGCTCGTCAATAACTATCTGCATACATTACATGGGTAGGCGTAACAGGGAATAAATAGGGTTTCATTCGCATTCTCTACTTGAACGCACCATCAAACCACGTCTAAAGACATATCCCACAGGCTTTTAGTATATGTATTAGACACAGATCAAAGCACCAGTACCGCATTGACGGTCAGTGAACCTTATGGTGCACCAAAGCCCATTTAATGTATCTTTCTATGTTGTGATTCATATTTTTTCTAGCGACGAGCAAGAATCAATATAACTCGGTGATCATGTTTCCATCATGTCACTGTCTGAGGTCATGGACAAGTTTTACTAGTTTAGCTACTTCACTAGATGCAACGGGAAACGATGATCATCTACAGGGAATGGATTTATTCCTCAACGCAATGTACATGTTTCACTAGGACAGGTGTATATTGAGATACTAACTTGTATCGTACGACTCCACACAAATTTATGTATGCTCCAAAACCCATATAACTCAGTCCACTACTAAAGAAAGTCAAGATAGGCACAAAAAAGTCATAAGCAGCAGCTCTTCATAAAACCCCATTGCCGTAGAAGAAAAAGAAAAAAGAAAGCCAGAAACACCGACCATCTAACCACCCTAACTCTCCCAATGCCACCCAGCAAGAGATCAGGTCCGAATCAACACCTCCTCTTAAACTCCATGAAAGACTCGTAAATACTCTCAGCCGTATAGAGCGCCGCGGGCGATTGGGCATGCGCCAGCAGATCAAGCCAGTATGGGTCCAGATGCCTATCATCGTTGTATTTAGTACGCTCAGCGGTCGATGGGATTGCTTGATCGCTAGATGTCTTCGTGTTTTGGTGCTGCTGCTTTATTTTTTCTTATCAGCAGTTGCTTCAGTGGTTTGGGGGGTATTCTTGAAGGGAAGTGCATCAGCAGCATCAGCGGCATCAGCAGCATCAGCGGCATCAGCAGCATCAGCAGCAGCAGCAGCAGCAGCAGCAGTAGCGTCACGTACGCGTTTCTCTGCGCGGCGACCTTTGTTGCGTTTACGCGGAGCACGGGTAGGATTATTGGTGAAACCGTCCTGTTTGCGTCTCTGATAGGGTTTTCTGGATCGCTGTTTCTCCTGATGTTGCTTGTGGTGGTGGTTTTGCTGCTGCTGGTCATGCTTTCCTTCCTTCCCCCGAAACCCATTCGCATACGCATTCACATCCGCATGTCCAGCACGATCATCACGACCCGCAGTGCTACCAACCGAATCTGGTTTCTCGATCTGGCCTCCCTGCGTTGCCGCTACTTCGTTATCCAGAATCTTCTCGAGGTCGAGGGTCCATCGCGTACGCTCCTGCGCAGGGACCTGTTGGACGGCAATCTTGTCAAGAGCAAGCATCCATCGTTGCAAGGAATCTGTAGATTCGAGTGTAGCGTCGGGGGCGATTTGGCTGTGGTCTAAAGCCACCCTGTCTCGGTCCTTTTGCTCCTTTCGCCATTGTTTTAGTTGCTTGTCTGTCATTTTCTCGGCAAGGGACGCCTAGGGAGGTTGAGCTGGAAGTAGCTGTTTTTGACGACGGTGGTGATGATGGGAGGTTTTTATCGAGGTTTGGTGGTGTGGTATTGCTAGTGGGTCGTTTGGTATTGGATTGTTTGCTTGAGGGAGGAGGTGAGAGTTGCGTAACTAAAGTAGTGCGTAGAGCATTTGGTGAATGGGGAAAGAATGACTGCCGTTATTGTTGTTAGCGCGTCTAAACGAGTCCTTGTATTCAGAAGAAGATGGGTTGGAAAGAGTATTGGCCTGAGTTATGTTAAAAGTATATTGTTTGATAGCAAACAAACATACGATAGCACATACTTGGTATGCGACTACTCCTGATATATTGCGCTGCTTTTGATCTATTAACCCAGTGAGAATTATCTGATCCGAAATATGTTTTTGTGACCATCCAGGGCGAAGAAAAGTAAGAGGAATACGTCAATCGGATGATTGGTAGAAAGATTCATTCTAGAATATGTAATCGTGTGTCTCGGTATGTAAAGGAGGATCGCTCCATGATGCAATTTTGAACTTTCAATGCGAGAACGCCAGACATGCCCAGAAGTTTTGAAGCCCGACAAATATAAAAGCTTGATCCCAAACTGTTCCAATAACAATTCCAAGCAAATCTTCCATCGAAATATCTCTTGTGCCCTCAACCCATGATACGTCTCCGTCGCCCACTGTCCACACTGACAGTATTATCCGGCCCAATCGAGATACTCAAGTTCGAATCGTTGTCTTCGGAATGGTCTCTCCGTCTCGGTCTGTTCATCTGGGATTTTGCTCTTTCAGGTTGAATCACTAGCCACGTAGATCCACCTTCACCACCTTCCTGCTGCATGAGCTGGAGCTGAGGTCCGTTTCGTCCGCGGGATCGTGGTGACTTGGGTGAAGGTGGAGGCGTGAACAATGTCGTGAATCGTGTGACTCGCAGTGGTAGCTCTGTCAGTGCTGCGGGGATAGGGAACGATTCCACCAGCGTTATTTTCTCGATCGGCAGTGTCGACACCAACGATGCTGGGATATCGGCGGCAGAGCAGGCAAGAATGACATGACGTAGATGGGTGTTGGAGGTGTAGAAGGAAAGGTTTTCTGAATTACGTGTTAGTAAGTCACTAAATGTGAACAACAAGCATGGGTACACATACCTCTAACTTTCCTGGCCGATCCACCCTCTTTACCCACTCCTACATCGACGAAGTCGAAGCTCGATATACGGCCACAGAAACCTGTGGAACAAGCACGTAGTTGACCGAGATTTCTTATCTTGTCCTGTCGAACCAGGTAGTTGGCCATGCCCTCCAGGTTTGCGTACACTCGTACGACGATGTCCAGATTGTCGGCATCTTCAAACTGTGGTCGAAGGTATTCCCGCGTACGGATTAGGAGCTCATCTGCCAAAGCCTCTCCGCCTTGGGCTTTCTTGGTCAAATACTTGTCTTGGAACTGTCCATGTTAGTGACGAGTGAAGGTTGGGGAGAGGCACCAGCTTACCAAGAACCCGTCCGCATCCGCATCGACAAGAAATAGAACGAAAGGGCGACGTGACTGTAGAATTAGAAATGATTACTGTGACGTAGCAGAGGGCATACCAACCTGTTTCTCTGCCAGTGCGCTTTCCACCTCTTTAGCTTTTGCAGCTTCTTCCTTTGCCGACGTCGCTTCTCCCCTCGCTTCCGTGATCTCGGCTTGCAGTATCCGTCGAACGTTCTGTTCCGAGGCTAAATCGAGTTCGGTCTGCGTGAGTTTTGCTTCGGCCTTCTCCAACTTCTCCAGCAGTTCCTGTTCCGTACGGTTAGTAACCTTGAGCACTAAGCCCAACCCCCACCTCGTGACCCGCCATTCACATCACATTCCATCCGATCCCGTCCCCAGTCGACGGAAAAGCACATACTTCAATCAGCTCGAACCTCTTCTCCTCCAAAATTCTGAACTGCGCCAGCCGCTCGCGGTAAGTGGTTGGGACTGGCTGCGGGTCTGCCATGGTTTCTGTCTCGAAGTGGTGGCAGAAAGAAGTGATGAGCAGCCGTTGAGATTTAAAGACGAGAGGCAAGATGGCCCGAGTGCATGTTTTGGGTACATTTGGCGCGTCGCGTCGGGCTTAGCTGGCTCTGCATGCAGGTAACTGACGGTGATTGGGATGCTTCAACGTAGCGACGCATGATTGGCTGGCGAGTGTGGAGATGATCGAATGCGATTCGGCGCCTTGGGTTGAAGAGCTGACCGGCCGGGCAAGCTGGAGGGGGCAACGCAATGTTCGGGATGCGGTGGCTGAGGTCATGGGCTGGTTGTTTTGGGGAGGATGGGGGAGGAGGATGATGGTGCGGAGCGGGCCGCGGATGGACGTCTTTTTTGGTGTTGGCCATGACCCTTGGCCGGTGAATCATGCGAATCGACATGGGCCCGTTCCTAGGATCCATCCAGTTATTATTTGTTCCCGAGGTAGTCGACGGTGCAGTACCGAAGAGGCGAAGCCGCATACGTATGTCAACTTGGTCGTGTTATTTTGCTTGTCTCGCCCTCGTGCGTGCATATGCGTCACAGCCGGGATCGATTGATTCTTTCTGGGTGGCTGGCGGCCATGGAGAAAAAGTAAAGCCACAACCTCTGCTCCAAATGTACGTGTCATTACTCGATGAATAGCATACAGTGAGTCGACGGCTTGCGTCCATTCCGAAATGATCTCTATGGTCCCTGAATGACTGGTGAGAAAGAGTGAAGTGTACGCCCAAACCTTTCGATATTCACCCATCTTATACACGTCGGGCACTTCGAGCTCGATGCAATCATGACATATCCATCAGTCATTCCTGTGCCAGATATAATTCGAATATATTACAAACCCCCAGCCCCCATTATCTAAAAATTCCCTTTTGAACAACCAACCAAAAGTCCAAGTGGCTGATGCACTGAGCTTTCCGAAGAAACATCTCAATGACATACAAAACCTACTCTTCCTTCGCTATACATACATATGATACAAATTGTCTTCTCAAAGATCCCCGAATTCACTCTGCTGGTGCATCTGCTGGTGCTTTTGCTGGTACACGTGAATCGCGCAGTTGTCTCGGTAACCATGCCATAGTTTCTTCCCGCGCCAAACCGATTTGCTGCAATTCTTTCAAGAGTTCCGGACTCCATTCCCCGATCTGATGGGCGGTCCAAGGCGAGATCCTTGAAAGCTCAACACTTATTTGTCGGTCCTTCACTTTAGTCCCATCAAGTTCGCGAATAGCCTGTTCGGCACCCTCTGTAGTCGCGAAATCGATATAGCACATGAATTTCGGAACTTTAGACGCGAACCGGAAAGTATCGGACACCGTACTCATAGATTCGATGCCATATTTCGATACATTCTGAACAATGACGTCGGTATTCTGGTTTCGGCGATCCAATCTATTCGCGACGGGAGAAGCCCAGGCAGGAAGCACGGCCCTGAATATGACGCGGCGTTTCTCGCGAAAAGGCTTAAGAGCTTGCGATAATATCTGATACTCATTTTGCTCGTTCATGACTCTCCAGGGTTTAAATTCTTCATGTGATCGATCAAGATTGAAGCCCTCGGGTCGCATGCCAAGCATTACAAATGGCTGTTTGTTCAAAGTCGTATCCTTGAGTTCAGTCAAGGCTTTGGTCACCTGCTCTTGACTTGCCAGTTCCACGGTGGCATAGTGATCGGAAAGGAGAGTGAATTTATTCACGCGCATAGTCACAGAAACCCTATCAATATTAGCTCAGGTGTGCTCCGTTCGCATAAGATCACCGTCACAGCAAGACTTATACATACACATCGGTGCCAGCATCCTGGAATAACGATTTAATCTGTTGCATTGTAGCATTCGGTGGTACTCTTGATAATAGAATCGTCCGTGCGTTTCGACTGAGAATTTTCTCGGATTGTGCAACTGGTTGCTGCAAACTATCAGGTGTCGAAACAGCGTTTCGCAGAGAGCCAGTTGCTGATGCGAATGGGCGACGGGGCATTATGAGTGCAATGGGAGCTCTTGCAGGTAGCATCGGTAACGCTGCGATTCGAGAGCCCCTGAAGAGGGAGCGACTCAACGTTGAGCCAAGTCTGACTGCAGCCATGGCGAATATGAAAAAGGCCCTTCCTTGAAAAGGATTATCCGAGAAACACTCAAGTAGAGCAAGTGGAAAATCGATGGGCTGAGATGGATGATGATGAGCTTGATACCTTTTTTTATGTAGGTAGTAGAAGATTAAGATTCACGCACGGCCACATACGTTTCACGTGATAGCTGTATTAGGCTAGTCGCAATTATGTAATCACATGCCTTGCAAACATTTGGTCTCCTCCATATTTGATGGTTCAAGCCATCATGTTTTCACCAAGGCAGAACAAGATTGCAGTCATGATGATCATGGAACGAGCTGCTCATGGCATGTTCTCTATGGTATATATGGTTTTTGTGAGTTATTGTGGCTTTCATTATCTATCAAACGAACTTTATCAAGATCCTCTTGCTTTAAACTGCAAGACCGGCCCATCTTTCGTACTCGCGAACCGATCCTCGATTTGATACTCCGTAGGCCTAGTCCGCCCAGCTTCAAGATGCTTACTGCCTGCACCTAGCGTCGTTCCAGGAGCCAATCGAATATCGTAAGAAAACAGCACTCGTGCTACAGTCACAGTTAGCTCTACATATGCCAGGCCTTTGCCAATGCAACCTCTGGGACCAATGCTGAACGGACAAAACGCCGAATGTGCTTCTGGAAGCTTTGTGTGGAGTGGGTTCGCCGCAGGATCAGAAAGCCAACGTTCAGGAATGTAGTCGAATGGGCGGGGATAATAGTCTGCATTATGATGGATAGCATAATGAGGGACACCAACGTCGATACCAGCAGGAATGTGATGACCGTCGATTTCAATGCCCCCTTCGAGTACCTGACGAGGAAGAGCCCCAGCGACAGGTGGCGTCATTCGCATCGTTTCATCGATGCATGCCCGCAAGTAAGAGCAACCGCTCAGTTTCGGCCCTGTCACTATCTCTTCGACGTCTGAGAAAGTGTCCCGGATCTCCCGGCAAAGCTTCTGCAAGGCAGCGGCATTGTGAGCGAGGTAGAAAAACGTGCCTGCCATAGCCGTTGAAGTAGTGTCTGAGCCCGCAATGATAAGAAGGTTGGATTCGCCCCAGAGCTCATCCATACTGAAGCCATTACCAGTTTCTGGGTCTTTGGCATTCAGAAGATGGTAGAAAAAGTCCTTCCTGTCGACGTCCATGCCCATCTTAGTACGTTCCATGGCTTGTGATTTGCTGTATTGCATATATCGGCCCCGTTGGGCTGCGATCTTCCGAAAAAATACTTTATCAAGGTGCCACTTGTGGATAGTAAGGTGGGATCCACACTATGCAAATCAGTACTGGCACCAGCGCGTCCAATAGCTCAATATACGTACAATTAAGTGTCTGTGTGCAGCATTTCCCACCAGGTCGACTGCAAATCGATTTGCTGGGCTTTCCAACATACCAAATGCCTTGCCAAAAACAAGATCACCCATGATATCAAAAACCATCCAGTTGCACCAATTCGCAACATTCCACGAGTTGCCCCAGCCTTGTTTCTTTTCATCTTGAGCTGCAGCAGTGACACTGTCTTCGAGCAATCGACATGCCGTTCTTACATTCGCCAGAATGTATCTCTCCAAACTCTTGATCGCAGAATCACTAAACGCGTGGCTTAGGACCCTCCTCTTACGAGCATGCTGCAGCTTGTCGATACTGCTGTGTACATTGTATGTGTGTTTGTTGGCTGGGAAAGCAGTATAGAAATCGGCCTTGCGGACATTTGATCGGAATCCGTAAATCGTTTTCAAGGCCGTATTTGTATTGATTGAGAGAGTGTTAGGTCCCATGCGCACATAGGAACCATATGTCTCGTGTGCACGTTGGAAAGCCAGATGACGCGATCCCCGGTAGGCAAAGTATGTCAAATAGATGTCCGTGATTGCTGCCAGGCGCGGACCTGGATATCGAGCAAGAGGATGTAGGGTCAAGCGATAGAAGATGACGGCAGATACCTAGGAATGTTAAAACATAATGTAAACAAGACGAGGGAATGAGGGGCATACGTAGATGAATAAACATCCAAAGACAGCCCCGATAAGTAGGAGGGGCGACGCCAAAAGCGTTCGCAAATAGTTCAGTGATGGTTCCATAGTTACCTCGAATGCAAATATGGGAAAATTATGAGTTGAGCTACCACCTATCGAGCGCAAATTCTTCCACTCCAACAAGAGAACACCACCATTTTATACAACCGCGACTTCCATCTCCAACCGACGCGCCATGTAATCCCATAACCCGCTAGGTTGCGCCAGTGACAAAGAGTACATGGTTGGTCAGGTGCAAACTTCAAAGCGGCGGATGTCGTGGGCATCTCACATATATCAATCGGTATACTGCGGCTATTACCGGATAGTGAAGTTCAAAAGAATAGTGCGGTCATGTGCGCGGATACTCACGTCAACCGTGCGGATACTGAGGTACCAACTCATGGCCGCTGGGTAACACCGCACGGGCTAGAGGGCATGCGATTGAGAGTCCAGGTCATCTGGTCAATGGTTGATTGCTTACAAGTACGTTGACACTATCGTCTCCACAAATCTTTGAGCATTAGCAGGACACAATTTCTGTGTCATTCATACCAAGACACCACCGTATATGTTTGCCTTATGATCTTCGATATAGTTCGAAAAAATGGGCGTACCGTGTAGAGGAAAAAATTGACCGTCAGGGTACTTTTGCCTTTGACGATTGCATGTAGTGGTAGCAAAGCTGCGACCAATGAGAATTGCCGCTTACTCAGCCATGATTCAGCAATTTGGCATCCGCGTTACGCACTGGGAGAACCTCAGTAAAGCTCCAAGGACGGCAGAAGCTCAGCAATACCAGCAACCCCACCAATTGGATCGGACCACTCGTCGGGTGCGGCAAGTGTGAACTCGAAGCTCACAATGGCGTCTAAGAAAGTCACCAATTTCACGGTACGCGCGATCCGCCAGCTGAATGCACCACCCACGAAGCTCTCTTACACGGCTGGCAAGCCGATAGCCCTTGAAAGCCTCTGCTGATGGTGGTCAATAGAAATACACCCTACAACCTAAGGGATTCTATGGATTTCTCAACCGTGTGTTCGCTCTTGATCCCAACCGCTCAAGCGGTATCCCCATGAACCCTACATACCGCAATCCCCCTCCGGGCGCGAACGATCCTATGGCCTACGATGACCCAGTCACGGTTCCCGCTGCCGATATCGCTGAAAACCCTTACTGGAAACGTGATGTGCGACGCCGTTACCCCCAGCTTTCCACCGTCACTCAAGCCGACGCTGTTGCATTGCTGGAGGTGGGCAGTGCGGCAAACCCGAAGCAAGAGTTGATAGGCGAGGCAGGCTCAAAACAACTTGTCGCTGCCCAAGAGGCGGGCAGCCAGGGTCTGAGTGTGGCTTTTGAAAAGAACACTGGACTCGCGAAAGATGTACTTGGGCCAGGAGGCATGCCACCTCTCCCGAGCGGATTATATGAGGGCGGGGATGGGGTCAGGAGATATAACCTTGAGCCAGAGCAGAGCTATGGCGGCAGGTAAAGCATTCTCATTTTCTATTGATTCTATTGATTTTGAGGTGGAGTTTAGGTGTTCCTACACACAGCGATGGTTCACAGCGATGGTAGGTACAACAAAATGAGCGATTACCAGAAATTCGAGACAATGAGTCTTTATTGATAATCGCTCGTTTTGTTGTACCTTTTATCGCTATAAACCATCGCTGTGTGTAGAAAAACCTAAACTCCATCTCATTTTCTATCCATGCCTATTCGAAAGGGGAGTAACGAAACTGACCGTTGTCGCAGTTATCCGTGCCGAACATGGTCATGATTGCTACCAGGAAAACGGACGAGTATGGAATAAGTAGCGGGCCAGGCATGAGTAAAGCGTTTGGTAAGGAACGGCTCAAGTGAGCTTCACTGTACTATTTGAACACAATTCAGATGTTTCTTATGTACGCAATTCGTTGCCCGTTATTCCACGGTTCTCACCCATGTCTCATCGCTTTTCCCCTTCTTCTTCTTCTTCTTCTTCTTCTTCACCGTGACGAATGCACTTTCCCCCGTTCTAGCTCATCACTCGTAATTCTCACATTCATTTTCGCCGTACTACTATGGCATAGCGGCGGTATATAAGTAGACGCGCGCTTTCCTTGCTGGAAGTCTTGGCACAGAGACAGTGGCTTCCTCTTTTGCGCCATTCAGCCCACGCGCATCGTGACCTGCTTGCCACAGGCGCCCGTCTCTCATATTTCGACAGGCCAATTCTCTTTCCCCATCTTTTAGCCGAGTTCGACAAACATGGCATCCACAGAAGATATTCCGGATGCTACTCTGGATGCTATATTCTCTTGCGCCGTTTGCGGGGACAGGTTCAGTGATGTCTACAAGGGCCACACACAAGACGTCGGTGGTCTCTCTGATGGCATAAACAGAAGAGACCGGTTGGTGACACGGCTCTATGTGGGCGCCTGCTGCCACGTCATTTGCATCAAGCACATAGGGGATGGCGCTGGTAAGCTCAACATTCTGTCAAAGAGCATACGTTATCGGCAAGCCGTTGACCAGCACCATCCGAAGGTCCCGCATTTCACGCCGCTGGGAAACGCCCAAGTGCGCCATGCCCCGTGTGTATCGGCGAGGGCCACAGCGATCAGCCTCGTGAGCTCTTCTCGGTCCGTGGGTTCGAGGCCGGTGAATATGATCCGGCCATCCCCAAAGATTGGTTTTCGACTCCGCCATCCATGCTGCTGAATGCTAAAGATAGAGACGGCGAGACGGTTCGGGCATGTTGCGTTGATATCCCCATAGCTAGGCTCCGTGCTGACGAGACACAGTTTCACTACCTCGCTCTCCGACGTTACATTAAGCATGCAGATGTGCTCTTGAAACGCACGCAAGAGGATCTAGCCCATACGCAAACCAAACTGCTCTTGGTGACGGCAGCGCCCGACCACGAGAGAATTGATCGCTACCAGAAGGAGATTGAGCGGCTTCGACCGTTCGAAGAGGAAGCGCGTAGACTCAGATCGTATGTACCCGCTGTGATATTCTACCTTGACTCGATGCCCCAGTTGCTCGAGTAAGTGTGCCTGGTGTCGTGTTGCTGTATGGCAGTTATTGACAACGATTTTTAGGGAACGATCTCTGATGAAAGAACGACTGGCCAGTGCCGGCATCCCAATGCCGTTGCAAGCCCTCCCATCATTACCCGAAGATATGGTTGTGGATGAGCGCGGATGTTTCGTTCACCCCGAAATGACCCCAACTATTTCGGAATCATCTGCTGTGGATTTAGGACTCAGTCTCCAACCGCATCCACGCCCACTGAAACGAGTGCGCCCTCGATCACCTAGCCATGACCAGCAGGCTGCGCCATCGAGCGCTGACATGATGCCTCCACCACCGAAGCCGCCGGGGAGGATTATGTCAATGCGCAAATCCATTCCTCAGAAACTACGCGAGAAATTCTTGTCCAAGCCTGTTCCACCGCGTAACGACTTCTACTTGTTGAACGAATCACCCGTGGCCCCAGGTGGCGGCACTCTATATTCAACTACCTCGCGTACGTTTGACGCCCGGAACTCCGATGCAGATATGTTTAGAGGTGTGCATGACCCTCGCGAGCCGCAGAGCGATCGTCAACGTTCAATTCATTCACGAGCATCCCAATATGACCAGGAACGTCTTGAAACAACTGAGACTCGCAATCCTGGGCCGCACCATCTTGCAGAGCATCGGCAGTTCAGCGGTATTCCTTCGCGCACATATCGCACTCTTCCAGACCCTCTTCGATCGCATGCAACTGGATACCCCACCAATGAGTTCAGTCACTCTGATAAGTCTGACCCAATAACTCCTCCAGCTGTTCTGTTCAAAAGACCTGCTGAGCGCGAGCCAGACAGAATAGTAAGTTCGCATTTCAGACATGCGCGCCGCGATTTGCACCCAACAACGGCAAGCACGTATGCTGAACGACAAAATAGCTGCGAACATTCCGCCACATTTCAATCGCTAAGGGACCCATCTAACAATGAATGCCCCGACGGCGACCAGAAACAGGTAGAACGGTCTGAACCATTCAGTTTAAATGGGCTTTCATTCTTCAGTTCGCCCGTAAATGAGAAGAACGAGCCAATCAGTTGGAAACGGAAGGCAGGTACGCCTTCGTATGCAATGAAGCAGCAAGATTCCCATCTGCGGAACCTGGATTCTCGCGGGTTCATCACGAAGCCAAGGATGTTGCATCCCCAACGTCGACTCCGTAGGTGTATCAATTGCTTCCGCGTTGACTTGTCTCTGATTATGTTGGCCAGATACCCCCTCTACAAGTCCTTATCGTCTGCCTAGCCGTTCTGTTCAATCCGCAGCTACGCAGTACCCAGCGAATATATCATCCAGCTCACCAAGTCACTCGATTCGCGAAAATTCACAGCTAATCGAGCTTCGACGGTTTGGTGTTAGAAGCAGTAGCCATCGCCCTCAGTCTTATACATTAGCGAATGTACACACTCCCAAAAGACCAGATGGCTGTCATTCCAGATTACGCTCTATTAGACGGTGAAGTGAAGGTTTCGCGTGATTGCGCGGGGTGGGTTGCGGTTGCTCTTGAATTTTGCCTTCATTACCCTTTGACTTGTTCGGGTGAGCGCTACAATGCACTAGGTACGGAGCAATTAATCTACGCGTAATTTGAGACTTTCCCATGCAAGAAAACTGCATGTCGCTGTAGCAGGGCCTTCTTCTGACCGCGAATTGTCCTACGTGATTACATAGTAATCCGAACTTCTTGGCCAAAAACATGGGAGGTCACTGCCGATCGTTTTTCACGTGAGTGGAGAACAGACGTGGCGGCAACGGGGGTCTGATCAACGGGTAAAGAGTTGTGCGCTCGCTGAACGTGGGCAATGTTCTGGAAGTTTTGCCAGTACGAGAACCAATATGAAGACGTCAGGCAAGGATGTTTCCAATAGGGCAGGTCGTCGTCGCAGACCTGTCGCAATCAGTCTAATAGCACGCTGCGGTATTGACATTGATACTGCAACTAGCCGGTCGTCGTTTTGTTCACGGCGTTTCTTTTCCGAATACATGGCTTGTTCCGCGAATGACAATCCAGACAATCCCGGTACCCCTGTCTCCCCCACAGCCAGTGTAGCTTGCTTTGCGCTAAGCGTACCTTTAATCTGGACATGCAATATATTCTCCGCCGCCGCCTCGCCATGTTAGATTAGCGATTCGCATATTGCACAGCTATTCGACAAAAGACGCGTGATGTACATATGTAATTTCCTTCTTCGTCTCGGAGAGTGCGGTCCGTACTGCTAAAGCGCCATTTGAGGCAAGGCAATTACGCTTTTTTCTTGAACGTATAAAGCTTTAAGCTTGTTCTTGACGACTTGGTTTGAAGACTGTAGTAGTAAGAGCTCGTTCAATCCTCTACATTGGCTGCTCTTGTACTGTTGACTCCCCAAGAGTCTGATTCGTTTTCTCTTTCACAATGCTCTTGAAAAACCTTTTGGCTGTGGCTGCCACGGCTTCGACGGCGTTCGCTGCCAAGTTGGAATGGTTTGGTATCAATGAATCAGGCGCTGAGTTTGGCGAGAAAAACTTCACGGGTGTGTACGGAAAGGAATTCATCTGGTATGACCTGTCGACTTTGGATACCTTCATGGCCAACGGTGTAAACCTTTTCCGATTGAACTTCCGTAAGACATCCTCTCTTCCGGCCTCACACGTCAAGTTGAAAGCAACTGGAAAACTAACTATTCATCATCATCATAGTTATGGAACGTCTCACCCCAAAGAGTCTCACTGCGCCTCTCGACAAATACTACCTCGGCAACCTCACCGAGCAAGTCGACCACATAACCAAGGCAGGCAAATACGCCATGATTCAGCCGCACAACTACGGCCGCTTCGAATCCAACATCATCACCGACGTCGCCGCCTTCAAGACATGGTGGCAGAATGTCGCTACGCAGTACAAGGACAACGATCTAGTCATCTTCGACACCAACAATGAATTCCACGACATGGACCAACAACTCGTCTTCGACCTCAACCAAGCCGCCATCGACGGTATCCGTGCCGCCGGCGCAACTTCCCAGATCATCACTCCCGAGGGCAACTCGTGGACCGGTGCATGGACATGGGTGTCTTCCGGCAATGGAGCCAGCTTGATCAACCTCAAGGACCCGCAGAACAAGCTCGTCTACCAAATGCACCAGTATCTCGACACAGACGGCAGCGGTACACACGCAGAGTGCGTTAGCGCTACCATCCTCTCTGAACGTCTCAAGGCTGCTACTGCTTGGCTCAAGGAGAACAAGCAAAAGGGCTTCCTGGGTGAGTTCGCGACTGGTATCAACGACAACTGCATCGCGGCTTTGAGAGATGGTTTGAAGTATATGAACGATAACTCTGATGTGTGGACTGGAGCTGCCTGGTGGGCGGCCGGTCCTTGGTGGGGTGATTATATGTACAGCATTGAGCCCCCATCTGGCCCTGCTTACACGGGTATTTTCCCCAAGATCAAGGAGTTCTTTGCTGTGTAAGGAGAGATATGTGAGACGCGTCAAAGACTGGAGGGGTTGATGAGTGAGAAAATTCACTTCACTTGTATATATTTGATTAGAAGAGATATCGGAAAAAAACACTGTCACTTTTCCCAATTCAGGAGTTTGCTTTTCCTAAGACTGTAAGACAGTTGGGTGCAGCTTCAGTGCTGTCTGATGGTCGGCAATACCTCCAATAACTCCTCCATTCACAGCCACCAAAGTACTGACGGTCATAGCCTCACCAGAGCGCCAGAAGAAACTCCCTCTGGACCCATATCATCCTCAAGGCTTCCCCTCAAAAGCCTTCCCAAGATACTCCTCCAACCCCATAAATTCATACTCTTTGAACCTCTCATTCCACTCGGTACCAACCTCCCAACTCCCTCTCAAAACCCCCTGCATCATCATGACCATAAAATCCCTACTAAACCCATCCCTCTTTTCCTCAGGGATAGCATGATGCGTCATCCTAGGCACCCACTCGGACGTCAACACCCCCTTCTCGATATCCTCGCCACGCACATACTCAACAGTCCACTCGCCACCCCTCAATTTCTTCCCCAAAGCGAGGATCGCGTTCTGAGTCGTCAGCGCCCCGCGCATCCCGCCAACCCGCGGCCAAGGCTCCGTCGAAGACAGCGCCAGACAAAGAATCTGCGAAACATCGTTCACGGCCGTCAACACGATCGGATGATCGCCGTGGTCGAGGATAACTGCGCGACGCGCCGCTAGATCGATGAAGAACGACCACGTCGGGAGACCTGGCGACAGCGGGTACGGGTGGCCAAAGTAATCCATGAAGATGCTAGGCTGGAAAAGACAGTATTCTAGCGTTGGGGCTGGGCCCGAGGTTTCGGGGAGGGTGGCCAGGTAGGATGCGATGAGCTCTTTGTTGGCGTATGGCGGCATTCCTGAACCGTTTTTGACGCCCCATTCCGAGGGGCTGAAGCGGCGCACTTTTGCGGATATGCACGCGTGGATTAGGTTTTTTTGGGCGGTGCTGTTGGTGTCGAGGGAGACCACTGTTATTTGGGGGGTATTGGTTAGCTTCGTTGTTATATGAGGAGACTATTTATTCGGGGTGTTTTAAAATTTATGGTGGAATTTTTGGGAAAGGGTTGCGTGTTCTGCATGGTTGGGTTCCGGGTTCTCGATCGGAAGAGAAGATAGAAAGGGGGAAAGAGAGTTGGTTCTTGTGTCTCCGTTTATGAAAAAAGACTTGACTTACATAGAAAGCTGAGGCAAACATCATGCCCTTTCAAGGCTTCGGTGAGAGAGTCGAGATCACGGTAGTCGACCTGTTTGTACGAGACATTGGGACTGGGGCTAGTAGCAGGCGGACTGCCACGCGTAAAGATAGTAATGGAATGTTTTCCAGAGGCAATAGGGGCACGCAGGATCTCTGTGGCCACGTCTAAAACCGCCGTGTGAGCAAATTGGGCTTGGAATGGGTTTGTTGTTGTAACAGGATCAAGAAACTGGGTCAAGCAGATAATTTGCCTGATGGAAAATTTCGGTGATGCATATGGAATGACTTATACATACTGCCTGCTCCACCGGCTACTGCGACTTTGACCATGGTCTTGATAACTTTTCTTTTTGTGAGCTTGACTTTCGTACTCGAGATGCGTGTTTCCACGCTTCTGCTACTCGAATTATGATAATCGAAGTGGTTGCTTCGTGAATACAACCCACAACCAAGGCTGAACAGACAAGATATACTTGTAGCTACATCGTTACGCACGAGATACATGCCAAGTTCTTTTTCTCTTACATCAAGTCATGCTCTCCACTTGCTTCGTCCGAATCACAGCCCGATAAATTGTATCATTCCCCACCTATGGGTACACCTGAGTGCCCATTCACAAGCATCGTTCTCTAGCGGCGCGCCTTGGAGTACTTGGCTAGCTTGATCTGTTGTATTCATCTGCGGTCAGCAAATGCTGTCTATCACGGACTTAACCGGTATTAGCGGACATGAATATAAAAATGACGAACGGAGCAGGACCAATGTATAGTTGAATGTTAGAATGATCATAGGGCTTACAAATCTGTGCAACTCGTATTGTTAGCATTATTCTGTCAAGTGGGGTGTGTGGTCTTCGTATGCAAAACCAGATTCGCTGATGTTGAGCGGCATGCACAGTGCACAATTCGAGAAACAAGGCCCCCAGCTCAACGTATACATGTAGAAACTGACGCGGTAGTAAGCATCATAGTCTTACGTTCAGTTATGGTTATTATCTTCCGTATAGATATACGATATACGGCATCCAGCTGTTAGTGCTTATCTTACCGACCTTGTGTTGCTCCGAGTATGGACACTACCTGTAGGCTGACATCGAAGCGTTAATTGCTGAGCTCAGGACCTGATATAAGCTGATTCCTGTTTTCTTTCCAGTGCATAGTCTTGAGTCTTACTGCAAAGAAAGGCCTTGCGGCCAAAGCAGCATGATTGGTGACAAAGAAGCAAAATATGTCACTTCAACAAGCAGGCGATCTCATCTGTAAGTGGCAGCATGCAAGTATATGTGTGGTATATGGAGTCGTGAAAATTTGATTTATATTAAATTCCAGCCTTTACGTGTCGATGAGCGGCACCGCAGGCAGTGGTTTTTCCGGTAACGGCTTGATTGGTAGTGGCTTGTTGGTGATTTCTTCGTCTGTATATCGAAAGGATCCTTCTTCGTCATCAGACTCGTCCCTGTATCGCCCGCTGCCTTCGCCCCCATTGTATGCTATATCTCTGTAACCACTTCCATTAAGCAGGGCGTCCTCCTCGTCTCTGTCGTCTGGATCGCGTCGCAGATTCGCCCATACGGTGTCTATGCCATCCCATGTTGCAAGCTCGTGCTGCTGCTTGGCTAGAATGAACAACTTATAGGCCAGCCATAATGCGATCAGGCCACCTAATATGCTCCCGATAGTGATGAAGATGGCAGCCCATGGCCACTCATGAACGAAATAGCCGAACTGGCTGCGAAAACTTCCTTCTTTGCCATATAAGGCCCATTCTTCTTGCAGGTACACTATGTGACCATCGGAGCGAACAACATCAAGACCAAAATAGCGACGAAACCCACCAAAAAACCCCGACCCTTTGGGTGTGTCGAATCGATACGATCGTTCTGAAAGCTCCACGCTGGTGATGCTGTATTCGTATACTATCGAGGTTGGTTGATCGGGTGTTTCGAACAGACTGCCACCTCCGGCCGAGTTTTGTGGGTTTCGGTTGTCGTCTTTCAATTCCTTGCCTTGCACAACAATCCGCAACATGTTCTGCTTGGTATCGTTTGCCCTCCAGATCGAATCATTCGGTAGGATATCACGACCCCCGATGGCATCGAACGTGACCTCCCATTGCTCTACGTCTTCCTTGAGCGGTTCCAAGCGGTGCGAATAGTAATCGTAATCTAGGTGGACCTCGGAGAGGTACGTATCCGAAGCAAACGAGTTCATGCAGGAGCAGTGGTTCCCATCACAACCATCGAGTGTGCATTTTATCCAATTGTCGAGATCGGTCTGGGTAAAGTTGGGATTTATTTGCGGGGTAAGTATGGTGGGCGGAGTAGGAGTTGTGGATAAGATCGGGAAGATGGGTTTGTCGTTGAGATACAGCCTGCGACTGTCGTCTGATAGGGAGACATTGAACAGCTGTGCAACGGCACTAATGATTAGCCCAGTACTCTGTACATTGCTTCAAGCATGACACATACCAGTTCATTTTCTCTGTGAAGAAGCTCTTTCTTGCCATCGCTCAAGCGACCTACGGGGCAATCCAAACAGGGGAGCTTCGCAATGTAGAACGAGCCTGATACGACCGAAGTGACTGTGTCGAGAGGATCTTGGCACTTCTCCTCTCTCTCGGCTCTGCGGCCGGCGCAGTGTAGTGGAATGTCGACGGCGGAGGCAGCGATCGCAGAGCACGCGGCGATGCCCACGAAAGGCAGGCACAGGGCTAGTGGCCGCATGGTGCGGGATCTGGCGATGTTGCGGATCGACGTTGAACGTTGAACGTCGAGGTTTTGGTGGATCATCAGCGTAGGAACGCTTGATCTATAGTTAGCTAGTTAGGGGACAACGTGGGTCTGCATGTGGCGTGGCGCAGCACGCTACGCTTCGAAGCTGTGGGACACCCTCCCTGCCCGACTCGTTCGCGACGACGACGACGACGACGACGGAGAATAATAAAGCCACCATCTGCCAGAGATGGACATTGCCACTGTCTTGTGCGCTCGGGATTCGCGATTGCGAGAAACACGTCAAATGTACCGAGCTACACATGCGCTGACGTGACAGCTGTAACACGGGTGCGCCGCTTGTCACATGATGACGAGCCTGTCACAACACCAGTTCAGTCTCTGGTCCAAATGATGTCACTCCCCGCTCAGCTATTACACAAAGAAGTGCAATCCCCCATCAACGTCAACACTTCGAAAGCTCCATCACTTGGAAACATACCTACGAGAACCAAACAGATCCGAAGATCCAACTTCAATCATGTCTTTCAACGGCCGCTCAACCTTTCAGTCTACTTCTTACTCCTTCTCTAGCAGCACGGTCAACGGACAGACTCGTTCTTACTCGGAATCTACTCACAGTGATCCATCGGGAACAACAGTTCAGCGGTCTTCTCAGGAGCCGGGACAAGCACGTCGTGATGAGCGTATTGAGTTTGATTCCTCGGGTCGCAGGATTCAGGATGGAGGGTCAACCATGGGCAGGATCGAAGACGTAACGGATAAGGAGCAAAGCGAAAGGGACAAGCAATATGAAGAGCGGATGGAAGACGAATATGCGAAGAAGGAGGGTGGTGCTTAACTGATGAATACTTGATGGAGGACACTGCAGATGGTAGTACGACCGGGTCCAGATCGGCTCAAGGTTTTGTGCTGTCAATTCCATGTACCAGCTAGTCTACTCCTGCGTATCTGGATCCCAGAATGTGAGCATGAAGGCTGCCCAATGAATATGGCTTGCTCCACCAAAAGCCACTCTTCACTAGGTTGCTTATCTGACTGAACTAAGGCTTGTTCGCTAATTGCGACATCCAATGAGATATATTGATACCTTGTATTGTTCAACAACCAGTTGTTTTCAAGAGATCCACTTGAGTTATGGTTGTTGTTCTGTATGCCCACACAAAAAAAACCAGCTCTAGTTGCACACCATTCCAGAAGATCGGAGGTATATGTTTCGAGCATGTGGTCAGGCATGTACTGACAATGTGAAATAGAAGGGTTTACAAACGGATTGTACTCCGTACGAGCCCATCCCGGTAGCGAATTGGAGGACGTTTGTCCGCATACAATAATACCCATCAGTCGGACAGAGAAACGTCCGGCAGATTGGAACCAACATAGGATGGACTTCAACTTCGCCGTCCTCATTGCGGCGCAGGAAACAGCCTACCTGGTCTTGCTCCGCAGAGGACGTGGACCTCCGTTGCCGATATCCGATGATTTCATATTAATCGTTTGTGTGTGTGTGTGTGTGCTCCGAGGATGGGAAGGTCTCTGCATGTACCTAAGCCTGAGGAATTTTTCCCCCACTGAGTCGGTCGTGGTCGGACTTCCGGCTGTGACAGCACCAATGAGATGCATCAGGTTATCTACCATCCGTGAATCAAAGGACGTCGTGCCACCGCACCTCCTCCTTCTGCCTAAAGATGCTTGGTAGCAGCTGAGGCGTCGGTGACGGATCTGCGACAATGTGGCTTTGCTCCTGTTTGCTTTTCCCTTCCAACATGACCCTATTCGGAGGCCGTGTTTTGAGTTGCGTACTACCAGCAGCCATCGCGTGTGCTGCTGCTGCATGCGAATGTCACTGGCCGGAAGAATAAAAATCTCCTTTGGTGTGAAACAGCATAGTATGTTTGATGGGAACGGGAAGAAATGTCACAATGGCTATAAGACGGGATACGTTTGTTAGACATTGATATTACCTGCAGGTACCATGATCAGTGACAGACAGACCACGCGATGACAGCTAAGCTACGGTTGTCTTTCAGCATGCTTCAGTCCTGGGCGGATGCGCTGCCACGTTCTGTCTTGGAGATGATGGGAAAACTCTTGGGCGCCCGCAAAGGCGTAAGGCCCCATCTCGCCATGTTCGGGCCTGCACAAAAGAGGATAAAGAGAACGGAGCGCATTGTAGTATCCAATCTCGTCAAAGCGTGCGAGTGCATTCGCCTGTACGCGGTACAGTCAGAACGGGTTACTGCGACTAGTCAGACGCATCTACGAACCGTGTATCGTTGCCCGCGTACGGATCCGTAAACATGTTGACTTTTGCGCGTCGCATCCCTGCAAACCATGAGTTTACTGGTCTAAATCTGGGCTTCGTTTGATCGAGTTGGCCAATGAGCGGCCAGGCCCCTAAACGGACTTCGGCCTGCTTATTCGCCCGTATCTTTTCTCGTCTATGTACCCAACCAATGTCGCTATCAAAGCTTGGCCAGCCACATCGTGATGCTCCACCACCAAAACCCGGGCAATCTTTGAGCCAAAACCCTAAAAAAATATCGGATCATAAAATCCCCCGCTGACCAAACTCTGGATGATTCAAGGTGAACATGTCTAGCTTCCCACATTACATGTGCAGGACAAGGCATGAGCATATCGCTATCACACACGTCTTTATACTGTTCCCCAACTCACTTTTCCGTTTGTGGTATCTTGACGGATGAAACAACGGACAATCGGTGCGAATAGAATCAAGCAGTTTACGCACAGTCCCAGTGTTTCCTTCCTTCCGTCTTGAGTCTGTACATACGCGTGCCATGCCATGCCCTTGGTATGGGGCAAACCGTACAGCATGCTGAACCCCGGTGCCATGCCAGTTCGCCATATAATAAAAGCGTTTGGGACGCAGCTTCTACTCCTCGTTCCTCAGTCCAGTCCAGATATTCCCCCACCTTCTTTTGATACTATCCACAGTTTTTGACTACCGTGTAGTCGTCCACTCTTTGCGTTGCAACTTCGCACAATCCACATTCATTACATACATAACCCAACTCAAATCAAATCGCCTTCCTTCGAAATGGTTTCGTTCAGCCTCATTGCCGCCGCCGCGGCTTCTACCCTCTTTACCTCTGCCCTGGCTGGCACCGCTTACCTCGAGAACAACTGTGCTTACCCTGTTTGGGTTCTGTAAGATCATACCTTGCCCTCACCACCCACAGCCTTTTCATTGTACTCACAATTCAACAGAGGCAGCTACAGCGGCACCGTTACCAAGATCGCGGCCGGAGGCAAATACACCGAAGGCTTGAAGCCTAACTTCCCTGCATCCATCAAGATCTCCAAGAGGGTGCAAAAGAAAGATGAGTTTGCCGAGGAAATCACCCAGTTCGAGTACAAGGTCGACGACTACCTCTGGTACGACACGTCTTTCATCGACTGTGCCGACACCAACATCAATACCTGCCCTGGTAAGTCCATGTCCAGTATGCATCAGTATCAACCCCGACTAGAGCCTTTAACATCTGGCAACTACGAATCCTCTTCCAAGTAGACTTTGTCAAACTATATGCTGATTTGTTAGGATGGGCTGGCGGCGTCAAGATTTCGGCCACCAAAGGTAACTGTAAGACCGGTCTTCACCTTCCTCGTGGCACCGACCCAACCCAAGCCTACTTCGTCCCCAGCGACAACGATTCCGTCAAGAGCTGCGACATTCACGAGAACAAGGGCGACATCACCATGACCCTCTGCAATGCTAAGAAGGCCAAGAAGAGCCTTGCTGGCCGTTTCGCTTACGAGACCGAGGAGTGGGAGGAGGACCGCGAGGTCCACGACGAGTAGATCGCGTCTACGATAGCCAAGCCGGGGTTGAGCGATGCTTTGAGTTGTAATTTTCGTGGGACGGACTGGGAGAAGATGATTATCATGGATTCATGATGTATGCATGCACTCTTGTCTCTTCTTCATTGCTATCTAGGTGATTTATTGGTTTGGGTTCTAGATATGGAGGAGTCACCTGGATACTAGTTTTCGTTCTTGCCCTGTATATTCGTTGATAGAGAGATACCATTGTCGCTATTGTTTTGTTTGCTCACTTCTTTTCCTACTATTCTCACTATACGTTTTCACATGCTTCGTATCTCCTCGCCTATCGTTCCTTGTCGTCTATCATCCATTCTCTTCATCTAAAACGTCGTGAACGCTAACTACCTTGGTTCGCTGTGCTGCAAGTGTTCAATGCGCCTCTTGCCGACCGAGAACATTATTTGTCTTAGGGAATGAGATCTACAAGATCTACAAATACCATGTTATTCTACGTCTACTCTTCACTACTATCCGACTAACCCGGTCATCTTCTTATTTTGGACGTGTTGGCTCCCGGTTGGTTTCGTGGGTGTTGAGAAAGTTTACGTATTGTTGGGCTGTTCTGGCCAAAAGGCCATTTCCAACACCATGGACAACACTCGCTTGTAGCTGGGAGCCACGCATGCATCCTGCATCTCCATCATGTCGTACATATAGATGCACATCATTCATCACATTGTTCCTTGCTCTTCCCCACGAAGTCTTCGCACTAAATATATCTGCACTTAGAGCAAGTCTTTCGCTGCGGACAATACCCAAATTCCAATACTCTTCACTCAAGGGCCTGCGCTGCGTCCGCCGGCTGATATGACTGGTTCGCCCCATACCTCTTCACAATTCTCGCCCGAAAAAAAAATTATCAGTAAAGCTGGACGCCTAATGCGCTCCACATCTGACCCGTTGCTAGTGCTTATTGCGTTTTGATTCGTGTAGCTTGCGAGATTTGTTTTTAATGGGGGCCGAAAACCTATAATATAGCTTTTACGACTCGCCGTGTCTCGAAATCCGAAATGGTGCCAACTTGATACTTGGCGCGAGCGCTTCCATCTTTGATCACCATTCATTGCATGGCTGATAATGTATAGTTGATAAAGTTCCTTTGGTTTGTTACCTCGATCTGTCATGTAGCAACTAGTTCTCTGTCCCGCTGCCCGAAACTCGAATCCACATATCGCACAAACCGGCATGGAGTCTCAGGAGAATTGGGTCCATGCGACGGGCTCAACTACGCCCCGTTACCCCTTGACTGTGCCGCCTCGCAAGCCTAACCATGTAGATAAATTCATTTTCGCTTTACATAATGTGGGCATTTGCCTAAAAAAAATTCCTGCTTTTCTTTTTGTTTTGGTCCTCCTCATTGTAGATTGACCAATTTCGGGCGCGATCCCGGTCATATCAGATGTCGCTCGAGGAAACTAACCCATCCGCTACGTCTAGCACTCTTGCGTCGAAAAGCGTGGATTCCAAAAAGGGAACAACTGTTACATATGCTCCAGTATCGCCGAATGGGCCCAACACCGAGTACAGAGGGAATGAATCTTTCGCATCCAAGGAACACAAGCCCGGAAATCATGCTGGTAAGAATGTATCCCATGTGCTGAACTATTCCGCTCATACATTTTATAGATGCCCGGTGGCTACCCTATACTCTACGAGGTTATCTCATATGGGTTCCTGCGGGGTTTTCTCTTGCTCTAGGCTTGACTGTAATACTCTTGTACTGGAAATCGCAAAAGAACAATGGCATCGCCTCGGCATCATCGGCTGTACTGGGCTGGCAATTCATACCCACCCTTCTGGCCATCGTATATACGCAGCTCACTACCATGCTGTTTGAAGACGTCAAACGAACCGAGCCCTTTGCGCGGTTAGCACGACACAGTGACAGCCCTACAAACACTTCGCGGACACTTCTCGACACGCAAACATTTTGGTGGTCAACATTATTACAAGCCTTTCAAAAGAAGCATAATGGCGGGCGGCGAAGCTGGGGCATCGTTCTGGCATGTCTAGTGAACGTTTTGGCTTTCATGGCTATCTCGCCACTCTCTTCCGCACTACTTAATCCGGCGGAAGTTGCTGTTTCGAGACCTCTGCAGATATCCCGCTTGATACCGAAGACAAGCGCTAGCATGAAAGCTGTGGACGAGCGCGATACCTATTTCAGAACCTTGGGATCCCTCTTACAGAATGTGACAACGTCTCCTTGGATCTCGGATGACTATGTCGTGCTGCCTTTTAGGCCAAACGAAGCTTTCGATTCACGTGGCGTAAGCAGCGCGTTGGAGGAGAACCCTTGGGACCCTCAAAATGCAGATGTTCCTCAGATCTGGACGGCAGATACAACCATATTTCGAAACAATTTGAAATGCTCGAAACTGACCGTGGCATCAAAAAATGTAGACGAGAAGACAACAACTACACTGGGGTCTAGTGCTGAATTTACGGCCACGATCAATCTCGAATCTTCAGAAGGTTGTCAAATCAAGCTCTCTGCCGACGCTGAATCCAGCCTGGGGGATATCAGGGCATGGTATGACAAAACCACTTTCGCGACAAAGAACACGAGACTTTCTTGGGTGTTTGATCCTGTTACATACAACAAGTGCGACGGCGAAGAAGTTATCTTCCTTAGCTCCGGATGGTTGCAAAAAGATAGTCTCTCCTCTTCCTCGAACTCGACCTCCACGCCGCAATTCATGTCCAATATGACGGTAACGAGCCATCTTTGCTCTTCTGAGCATACCATGGCGACGCTTCCGGTGACAGTCTCGGTATCTGGTGGCACATTCAGCGTGGATTTCGACAAAGACCAATTCAGCAAGGTGAAACAACCGGTCTCGGACAAGTCACTCGACTTGAATGGGTTCAAGGAAGTATACACGAATCCCAAATGGAACGAGTATGTCGTGGCACCCCGCGAATACCTCGGTCTGTCATCTATCTTGGGCACGCACTATAACTTCGACTTGCTTGAAATGTTGGCTGACGAACACGTTCCTCAGAATGCAATGCGCATTCGAGGTCGGCACTTTGGGGAACTGCTACGCACATCGCTTGAACAGCGTGATGGATCCGAAGTCGACAAAGTGTCCGGAACGAAGACTACCACAGAACGAAGAATTATCGTCCGTTTCGAGATTGCGGTTGCTCTAGCTGCATTATTCTTTCTCTCTTTCCTGATGCTCGCTCATCTTACCTGGATATCGCGACTTCGACAGCGGCCATTGAACTTGACCCACGATCCTGCGACTGTTCTTGGATGTGTTTCCTTGATCGCTTCCAACCCGCAAGTTTTGGCATCGCTACGCCACCTTGACCAGTCCACACAGAAAGAGTTGGAATCAGAGCTGAAGTTGAAACAGTTTTATACGTCACCGGGGCAGCTTCATGAACGTCACGAATCTGGGCGTCCCGTATCGACAAGTAAGTCTTTCGCTCATTCCCATTCCATACAATGCTTTTTACTTATCACGTACAGGCATATCCTCTAAACCGTCAACGGGTAACGAGAAGCGCGTTCCTATCATGCTAAAATTCAGGGGTCTCGTAATGCTTCTCGCGTATTTGCTAGCTCTCCTCGTCACCATTGCGGTCCTTCAGAAATATGCGAGCGACAACTTCTTCCACAAGAAATTCTTCATTTACCAAGTCAATTATGGCGATGCAGGAATTTTCGTTCCCTTCTCAGTCATTCCAACTATATTTGGTATCTTACTTGGTCTTTCCTGGAATGCTCTTGACCGGACGTTCCGCTCACTACAACCTTACTTCGCCATGTCGTCTAAGTTGTCAACCAAGATTACCGACGGTGCAGCAAATACTTACGAATCTTCGCATTGGTTTTGGGCGTCTGCCAAAGCTGCTAAGCATGGGCATTGGTTGTTGTCATTTGTCACTTTAGGTACCTTTGTGGCACAAGCTTGTAGGTTTCCATGTATCCGTCGACGTATTGATAAGCGTATTGACCCGCGTAGTTACCGTTGCATTGTCTGCTCTGTTTCAACAGGATATAGGATACATCTCTAATCCTGTCAATCTTGACAGATCACTTGAGCTTCGCCAGACCCCCCACATCCGCCAAATCAACACAACCTACCCACCTGAGTTCAATTCTTCGGCGCCCATTTCGGACAGACTATACATTGGCGAGATTGTAAAGGGGCTATTTACCAATCTTTCCACAAACTGGATGTATACTGCGGAAATTCAGCTGACCATGAATGGATCGGAACCTGATTGGAGCAAAGACGGATGGAGTTTCGTTCCTACAGACCTATCTCGCATTGGGTCTGAAAGCAAGACAGCAATTGACGATAGCACCCAGTCCGAAAACGATATCAGCACAGATCAGTTCTCACCTGTCAACGTCACCTTAACGACGCCCGCGATACGTGGTCGTGTCGAATGCACACGCAACGAGAAAGCGGACAATCTTGACAACTGGGGTACCATTTCAGAGCCCATAGCCGCTCGTGCTGCTGCGCCCATGAATATGTCCCTGCCATCGCATGACAGTACAGGGCATACAATGCTCAAGCAATTCATGTTCTCCAGTGACAAGGATTTCACCCCCATAGCTCCAGATGGTAGGTATATGACTTGCTGTGTGAACCAGACGGATCCAACTCGTGTAGATAGCTATGAAATGCCAGTGGCAGTTGGCTACTGGACTAGCTACTACTATAACACTTCCCAGGCAGTCGAATCTGTCACTGGCACAACCGGGAACTTCAGCGTCAAATGTAAGTCGATCCATGTCCTCAATACCAGGAGAGCAAGTAGGAATTTTACGACTGCTACATTCCTTCAAACTATACAAAGATGACTGACCTTGTGAAAAAGGGATCCATGGTGGAGGCGGTAGCCCCTGGTCGCCTATGCGACAGATGATTGAGTTCTCCGAAACTCCAAAGTTACAAGCATTGCATTGTATGCCCGTCATAGAAAGAGCAGATGCCAATATCACAGTCGACAAAAAAACTGGAAAGGTCCAATCGTATAATCTTATCTCCACACCAACACCCGACGATAGCGCATGGAGTGAATCCTTCGTCGTCCGCAACCTCACAAACCCAGACGACCCATTCGTACGCGAGCAGCTTGCACGAAAGAAGACTGGACAAGATCTCAAAGTCGTCCAGAATATCACAACGAGGTATGATGCAAGGTTCTGAGAGAATTTCGCGCCGAATACTGACAATTTGGCAACAGCTATGGCGTGCTCTTCCTCAACTCGCTCCTCCGCGCCTCCCGCCAAGTATCCTGGACAGTAACAAACATGGAATACGACCGCAGCCTCAAATACGAACAAGTCGACGATAACGCATTCAACATCCGCAACAACTACACCGGCCTGAACCTAGACTTTATGTCGTACGCCTCGTACATACAAGCGGGCAAAGACGTAAACGCCCTCAACGACGCAACCACGCTCATCAAACACACCCAGAAAACATTCACCACCTTCTTCCAGCACTACGTCAGCAGCAGCTTCTCCATGGAAGACGGCGGCTGGGCGTACCAGCCAATCGGAACTAGTCTGAAAGACGTCGGATCACCTGCGCCAGGGAGTATCGCGGAACTCGCGCCGAATGGGGCGAAGGCGGTGCCGGTATCGAAGCTACCAGCTTCCTACACGCAGCGCACGACGGAAGCGATGGTGACTACTCGCGTGGAAGTGCTTCGTATGAATCGGATCGCTTTCTACGTCTGCATTGCGATTTTGAGCTGGCTTAGCGCGACTGCTCTGGCTATTATGGTTAGGCAAAGGAGTTACTTTAATAATTTGAGGAGGGATATTGAGTGTGTGGCTGATGTGTTGGTGCTGGTTGCGGGGAGTGAGCGGTTGCTGGCGCTTGTGCGGGATAAGGGTGTTGATGGGTTGAAGGGGCAGAATGTCAGTACTCGGTTGGGGTGGTTCAGAGATGTAGATGGGCGCATGAGGTGGGGGATTGAGGTTGTGGAGGATGGTGAGATATTGATGGAGTGATGCATCTAGTCTTAGATGATCTCTTCACCTACCAGCAAGGCTTTCTTCAAGATTTATAGAGGTCAAGGAAGGACCAATTTTTTTTCAACCTGTTTTTAGCGATCGCTGACATAGTAGCGAAGCACAATAATACAATTCAATGCTCCCGCCTTGTTAGTATCAGCATCACCAAGTAGCGCGATGCAGGAGGAAGTGGACGGGTAAGAGAACTTCTCATGAGCCGATGGGTTAGAAAAAACACATAGCCATCCTTTTTGGGTTATTAAAAACACTCACTGAATAACAGAATGAGGTGAAGATAGTCATCATGTTGACGGGAGTAGGTACAAATCTCTTCATATTCAAAGAGACTTTTCGTTTTTATCGATTAGATCTTCCATATAACAACGTTCTTAGAGGATGCAAACAATTTCAATTCATTGACTCCTTTTAGCCTCCGCTGACATGATGGAATGATTACCATTCCCCAGAAGCTGATGCCACAGATCCTACTATCTCAAACAAATGATCACACTAAACATTTGAAACACAGTTTACACTCCAATATCCGTACTCGGGCAGTAATACTCGCCAGTACACGTATACCTATCCAAATCATACGTAATCTTAAATTTGGTCGTTCCATCCCTAAAGCACACAAACTCTTCTCCACCAGACAGTTTCGCATCACCAGCAAACTCGCTCTGCTTCAATGAATTCGCGCCCTTTTGGATGTTCGTGGACAAGGTGCCAACAGTGCCGACGCGCACACTCTTCGTATCGCCCTCCCACGCCGTGTTGCCGAGGAAAGTAGAGAGTGTTCCGGTGCTAGTGGGGGACGCTGTTGCGGACTTTGGAGGCCCGTTGGCAAAGTAGCCGGCTGCTAGGATTTTGAAGTCGCCGATGTAGCAGAGGCCGATGGGGCAATCGTCGGGGTAACAGGTTGCGAGGTAGTTGACGTGTTTGGAGCCGAGGACTTCGACAGGGGCGGAAGATGCAATGGCGCTCAGAGCGCTGAGAGCGAGGAGGGTAAGGTGGTACATTTTTTTGGGTTTCGTGAAAGCGCTTATTGGCGATTCTTTTGTTTGGGAAGTAAGCGGGGACGACGGTCGAGGAGGGTGACTGAAATAGGGTTCTCCCCGCGTTATGAAGAGGTGTATATAGATCCGCGGCAATTCCAATTGTTGGGCTGGAATCTTGAGAATGTCGAGACCCTTGATCATAAGGAGCATGCAATATATCGAGCAATAACAATGATTATCCACGGCAGCTGCAGCCCTTGCATCTGGATCGGCAGCCGATATGCTCTCACACCATGAGATTGCAGCTAACCACTTTCCTGGGGGTTGCCAATAATCGGACTACCGACTCAGCGGCTCTATACCCCTAATCGGCATGTCTAGACTCTACACGTGCGTGTTGTGTCTGCGGATCGTTTCGGTGTTGAGTTGCAATGCCAAGAGCAGCAGAAATACCCGGCGATATTGCATGCAGACACGAGAGCCTCGAAGTCTTCACCGCGAACGCTGCAACATCAGCTATGATATAGCCGGTAAATGTGCTGTTTTAGTCATTACTAGATTCCATTCTCATATCATGGCATGGGAATCGTGTTTTTTTGTTTGGTCTGGTCCAGATGAGCTTCACGATGTTCTGTTACTTGGGGTGATATTCCCATCGTTTATCCTTCTACTTTGTGGAACCGACTCCAACATAAGTGAAATACTATCAGTAATTGGATTGGACTCTTTTCTATTAGCCTGCTGTGCTAGCCGCAATTGGATGACGTTGCCCTTTCTCAAATCCACAAGATCCCTGAAGATACATCAATTGATCTTTATAGCATCGACTAGATGCGAAAACACCAGATTGGAACTGAGGACCATTCAGAGCTAAATCAGATGCATTCCAAATTTCCTAATTAGGCAATCTGTGAAGCCCGTTGAATACTGTTGTCCGAAAATGTGTTCATGCTCTCCACGTTCCACCTTTGTTGAAGTTTTAATCCATTTTAGGTGAAGAATCCCGATCTAAATATACGACACAATTGGTTCTGACATACGACAGTACCTCCAAATGATTCACATAGCTCTTGAACTAGGATACTGCAGAATCCTTGGATACAGAGACAGGTATGATGTGATCAAGTCTCCTTACTTATGTAAGTTTCTATGGCTGTGAACGACTGTTGATTTTGATGATCACTGTGCTCTCCAGGCTCTGATTTTTTCTCTACGAACACCAGTCCAAGTGTGGCATAAAATCTGTCCTGACGTGCAGCGGCGTGCGTTATAGAAGCCGCCAACTTGAGGCATACCTGTTCATCACCGAGAAAATCCAGACCAAAACCACTTCAGATGAAGATTTTCAACTTGCCTAAATAGGCAATTAGATATAACTGTCTATTACTGCATGTTTTTAAGACACTGTTGTAAACCTGTCCAAAAATTAAGAGAGAAACAAATTTGTGATAATGCACTGAGATCTGCCAGGCCTACTTGTCTGTAATTTCGCCTAGAGTAATAGCCAAACTTCCTATTATGGTTAGTATACTGCTGGGCCATCGATCACTGTGGATTTAGCAGCTGTTTCCGCCTACCACGCCTTGTTTTTGTTGGATCTAAATTAGCGGTTTTCCGTATGCAATTGGATTGTGGATTTCGCAAAATATGTTCTGACATACGACAACACAATTTGCTTGATTCAATTCTGTATATATTTTGATGGCGTGAGAGAACTCTTGTTGGAACTGAATATATAGCATACATCATACTGGTTTACTTATCACTTAGGTATGAACATAGTGAACGTCACGACGCTTCACAGCATTTGAACTATTCATCATCTACTCGAGCATTCTACCAGCTTGCCCCGTTCTCCCCTTCCCCAACCAGAATAAAAGAAGAAATGATGTAGCAGTTGAACAAAGGCATGCAACAGAAACAGATGCACAGCTACTGATTCAACAAGACCCAGATGGTGAGCACAAACAGAACCAACACCACAACGACCAGAAATGCAAAGACAACAACCCCACACCTAGTGTCGTATTCTCCAGAGCACCCCATCCAAGACTCGCTCAAGTATCCGTCGGATGTGTACTGTTCGTTGCTTACCTGGGACCACATATCTTCTTCGCTGTATCCTCTGTCGCGTGCCCGGAATGGAGGAGACGAGTCGGATTGCCTGAACAAGATTCGACGTGTATGATCTAAGCTTGCGGAAGATGTAGACAGCCAGCGAAACATGTTCCGATTCGACTCCCAGAGTGGCGTATCTTCGCTCGATCCCACTGATTCCGCGTCTATGGGGACGATGGTGTCGTTGCTGCCTCTGTTTATGTCACCTGAGTGTGTAATGTCTTTCCTCAGAAGTGGCGAGGTCTCCGTAGGGTTAATGATTTGGTCGGCGCGCCTTCGGGGATGCTCCCGTGGAAGCATGAATGTTACAGTCTGTCCAACTCTTCGCCTGTCTAGAGTTATTGTCCGGGATATATGATCAGTGGTACGTGGAGGATCGTGTAGAGTACGCCTGGAAGGATTTCGAATAGAGGAAGATGCGTAGGATGTTTGCGATTCGTCATGTGGTAGAGGTGTGGTCTCCTGTTTGGATTGATGCGAATCTTCTCCATCACTGCTACGTCCGCATTCGCTGGAAGAACAATCTGCGTCGTATGCTTGAGATGTCGACGTATCCCGGGAAGCCGAGCGTTCAGATATGGTTATTGGAGTTGTGCGCATGAAAAGATTCCACGTAGTATGTTCGTCAGGTCTCGGTGTACTGGATTGAATGCTAGACAGCATTCTAGATACACCTTTATTGCCACTTCCAGAAGCCCCGGTCGGTTGGGATACTGTGGCCGAAGGAGTACCGCGCCGAGTAGTAGGTCGAGAAAATAATGCTAGGTCTCTATTGCGGTTTCGTTGTGCAGAATCTGGGTCTGATGAAGTGCGAATGTGCTGCGCCAACCGAGTGGACGACGTTGATGCCGCATTATGCCTTTCATCTTGAACAGTCATAAGCAGGCGCGAGTCATTTCCACTCTTCGCACAAGATTTGTTCGTGGGGGAGCTCTCACGATCAGTCATGATAGACTGACTATCGCAAGAGTTGGGAGTGGGTGTTCATGATGTTGGACCCTGAACAAGGTACATGCGTAATGAGGTTATAAAGTAAGAGCATGCCAGGAGTATCTGTTTGTCAATGAGTCCTAGTGATTGGATAGTTGCTCTTCAATTGTTGTAGGCGTTCAAGTGCGGGTTTAGAAGAATGGGCTACCAGTGATATTGCGGTGATTTGTTAGCTATTGGAAACGCTGTGATTGCCTGGGTGAACGAGACAGGCTTACAGACAATGATCGCAGAACGTCTCGATAGCATTTGCCCATGAGTCACTATCACGAGGCATGTGAGAAGTAGTGTCCTGGATGAATCAAGTCTTTCATAGCGCATAAGCCTGTGCACGCAGTGTTGTTGACGGCGTGTACACGTCTGTTTTTATTGAGATGCGCAAGCAGAATGGTCATGGAGTAAGGAGCGAATCGGGTCCCTTTCACCCCCCGCCTCGTTTAAGCCAGTTCCGCCGCACCATTCCTTATCCGGGCTAGCAATTCAGGGATCACCCAACTTTCTGAGGCTCATTCACCTACACCTGGTCGAGGAGTGTTGGTGTACATACAGCTGACACCACCTTTCCTCACGCTCCGCAAGCACTTCCCCTCTTACCGCCTACAATGCCACGATGAGCGAGTCGCAGCAACTGCTTCATGGGAACCCAGACGATTCCGACTCTGACCTCGATCACGATCTCAAACCAAGTCCCGCGCGCCGTCTATCCCCTTCGCCTTCTCCGTCCTCGTCTCGTCCGTCTTCCATATCGCCAGCACCACCCAAATCACGCCCAAATGGCTTTCACAGACCGAAGCGACAGTCTTCCTTTGCACAGCCGCGGGCCGATGGTACGCCGAGGACCCCCAACCGCGTACGTTTCGAGGATGATCCCATACGGCGGAGCATGAACGGGGATGAGCGAGGCGCGGAATGGCTGGAACTGGAGAATGAAGATTACATGGACGAAGCGGGGCCCGGGAGGGAAAGGGTACAACGGCTTCCGCTTCTCACGGGAATAGAAGCACCAAGCGTCACTGTTGCCGAACAGGCCTTTGATCCCGCAGACCACCTGGAGAGCGCCCGGCCCCGGAGCGGTATGCGCAGTGCCTTCATGAATATGGCAAACAGCATAATGTAAGCCCGAGTCTATACCCATGCTGGCACTGTAACTGATGGCTCGTAGCGGCGCAGGTATTATAGGACAACCCTACGCCCTTCGCAACGCAGGCCTCGTTACAGGCACCGCCCTCTTGATCGGTCTCACAATCACGGTGGACTGGACCATTCGCCTCATCGTAATAAATTCGAAGCTCAGCGGTACCGATTCTTTCCAGGCGACAGTGGAACACTGCTTTGGCAAGTCGGGCTTGGTCGCCATCTCCCTAGCGCAATGGCTATTGTACGTATATTCAGGGACGGGGACGGAGTCATTCAGCATGCTAATTGAGCCAGCGCTTTTGGCGGCATGGTGGCGTTTTGCGTCATAGTTGGCGATACCATACCGCGTGTGCTTGAAGCATTTTTTCCTTCGCTGGCTGATATGAGCTTCTTGTGGCTCCTCACCAACCGACGCGCCATCATCGTTCTCTTGTGCCTGGGCGTCTCCTTTCCTCTTTCGCTGTACCGAGACATTGCAAAGGTGAATATAACAGCCTAATTTACCAGCACATGCACTAATAAATGACAGCTTGCCAAAGCTAGCGGGCTTGCCTTGATCAGTATGGGCATCATCATAGTCACCGTCATTACACAATGCTTTCGCGTTCCTCCAGAGGCTCGGGGAACATTGAGCGGCTCGCTCGTCATTCATTCTGGTCTTTTCGAAGCCATCGGCGTCATCTCTTTTGCTTTTGTCTGCCATCACAACTCTCTGCTGATCTACGGCTCCTTGCGGACACCCACTATTGACCGCTTCTCGCGCGTGACGCATTACAGCACGGGAATTTCCCTGGTAGCGTGCTTGACAATGGCTCTTTTCGGCTTTCTTACCTTTGGTGACAAGACACAGGGCAATTTGCTCAACAACTTCCCCAACGACAACCTCATGGTCAACATAGCACGCCTTTTCTTTGGGTTGAACATGCTGACCACGCTACCTCTGGAAGCATTCGTTTGCCGCGAAGTCATGAACAACTTCTGGTTCCCTGATGAGCCATACCAACCTAACCGTCACATGATCTTTACCAGTGCTCTTGTTGTCAGCGCTGTGGCTCTGTCTCTGCTGACGTGCGATCTGGGCATCGTTTTCGAATTATTTGGCGCAACTTCAGCATGTGCACTAGCTTACATACTGCCTCCACTGTGCTATATCAAGTTGAGCAAGCGCAGCTCAAAAACTTATGTGGCCATGGGTGTCGTGGCATTCGGGTGCGGCGTCATGGCGATCTCAGTCTTCCAAACCATGGCCAAAATGTCCAGCGGGAGCGCAGGACCGGCCAAATGTTCTTAAATTCGTGCGACAGTTCTGTACCTATTGGTACTTGCATCCGTAGGCGCTCTGCATTTCGAGCCTCCGCATTGGGTACATGGATAGAGCGCGGTGTCCGGTATATTTCTTTTGGGGGGTTTGTAACATACACTATATGTTTGAATATACAATTTCATGTGTAATTGGCTGTCTCACGCTTCATGAGCGCATTGCTTGCCCAGCGCCGAGGTTGTTGGTTGTCACCAATGCAGATCCGTTATACGAGATATGACGTTGCTTGGTGGCCCGCAAACAAGATTCAGGATTCAGCGCCGCAATCTACGAGCATCAGCAAGCAACCCAGAAACCAAGCACGACTTCTCCCTCCTCGAAGCGCAAACTCAACGAGCAAACATGATCACGGATAACACGGCATGTTCAACAGCTCCAGAGGTTGGATTAAGCTCATTAGTTTATCAAGACCCGCCGTCCAAAAACCAAGATGGAGGGACTTGATATCTGGACCCTGCATCTTAATACATCTTCAACCACATCTCCCAAATATCGTCCATTTTTCGCAAAAACTCAGAGAATAAATGCCGTGAGACAGGGGGAATGTAGCTGTAGCTGTGCCTTCCCCCCTGTGATATCACACCTGCCGCGTCTGAATGTTGTTGCGGACTGCTGATCCCTTACGTCACTGCGATCGGTAGGATCCTGTGTCGATACCCACCCATCACCGCTGCAGCATGGGCATGAATCACACATATAAAGATCACTGATTACTCGACCCCATTACTCTCTCTCCAAATCAAGTTTTGATCTTTGATATTCTGCAATTCACCTTGCACCTTTGCAGCCCTCCCCCAAATTACATCTACATACATAGTCAATACCCTTGACCTCTCAATCCCAACCCAACGAAGCAACCATGCCATTTTTCACCAACAAGGAGACCTCCGTCTCACCGCCTCCCTCAACTACCACAACATCTCCAACACGCTCCCGCACCCTCTTCTCCCGCCGTCGCTCCTCCTCTCCCTCCCTCCACTCATCAACCACCACAACCACAACCACCCCCCACAAGCGCCACTCTCTGCTCTCCAAATCCGGCTTTGGCGGCAGGGAAGATGCATCTATCGTAGCAGCACGCGAGCGCGTGTTGACCGCTGAAGCGGCAGAGCGCGAAGCCGATCGCGCACTGTTCGCAGCAAAGGCCGCGGTTAGAGAGGCGAGGGACCATGTTCGACGGTTGGAGCTGGAGGCTGCGGAGGAAGCAAAGAGAGCGAAGCTTAAGCAGAGCCAGGCTAAGGCTATTGGAAAGAGAGGGAAGGCTCTTGGTCGTAAGTGTTAACCTTCCTATTCTCCTTTTTCTGGATGGGTGAATTGATGGCTAATGATTTGGGGTTTTAGGCCATGATCATCTATAAGTGTAATTCCGTTGACATGGTGGTCTTATTGATTGCGAAGCCTTCACCCACATAAACTTTCTGGATATAGTGCGACGTTATATGATACGATGATATGAACTTTCTTTCTGGTTCGTTTTTCTTCTCATCAGCGGTCGAGCGAGGAGTTTCTTTAGGCGGTTCTTGTGTTTCTTTCTTGATTGTACTATCAGCTGTCACAATACCCACCTGGTAAATATAAACGTCATCAATTCAGCATGTTCAAAATCCCCTTATTTGAGACTTCCTGTTTTCGCCTCGGTTTCTTGCATCTGCTTTCACGGCTACGTTTGTGTTAGGATCACATTAACCCCAAAAGAAAAACAAAAGCAAATACAGCCTCGTGTGTTCAGCTTGCTCACTCCCTGCGTTACATGCTTCATGTCCCAATGTCGTATCGAAACATTCAGAGACTGGGTGATCGCTAACTCGAACCTGCCATTTTGGATGCAACCACCCGCACTTTCTCTTAATGGCCCAGATCTCTCCTCGACAGGAATTGTCTCGTCAGCATCCTACACCCTTCCATCAATACCAATATTGAGATGATGCAGCCCTGTCAATCAGATTAGAAGTAGGGATTGGGCAAGTGCTCCAGAATGTGGGGCATTGCGATACCCTGAAATGTTTACGGCCGCCAGCTGAATGAGCAAAGTTGGCGAATAAGAGTTGTCAATAAGCGGTCTCACACTGCAGCTTCATTCAGCCACGCCAGCGCAGACAATGATTGCCTGGTCGCGAGCGGCTATACTTTGGGCCTTTTATTCCCCCTATCCCACTGCTCAACTCACTCTTGCTTCTCAGACGCCCACGCACACATTAACAATATGCCACAGCAAAACCAGAGACCACGGAAAAGTCACGGGAAAGTGCCTCCCTGCAATGACCCTTGGGTAGCTGAGAACTCTCATATATGTCGTTACTGTGCTGCGGTCGTCATCGACCCCCAATCCAGCGATGATCGGGGGTCGAGAGCAACAAAGTTCAAGTATGGTAGAGTCAAACATGCGCGAAGAGCTGCGGTAAAAGGCTGCAAGCTATTTCATGACGTTATCGACAAAGACGGACGACGCGACATAGATGGCGAGGTTTATTTTGGATTCTCTTTCACGCCGTGGAACCACAGCAAATTCGACTTGAGCTATTGCAGAGTGGAGTATTTGCCGAGCAGCCAAAGCTTGCCCTTTAAGGTCGACATCGCGGAGAGGTGGTCCATTGCTGTCAGTCCTGGTATGTATTGGAATCGAACGGGAGTAAACAGTTTGCTCAAAATGATATAGGTGACCCGGCTGCAGCCTACATCTCCACACCATCTCCTAATTATAACATAAACTCTACTAGAGCTTATGAGTTTGCAAAACAATGTCTCAAGGACTGCGAATCTCACCAAGACTGTCACCCGCTCACCCCCGCGAAGGGAGGACCACGGAGACTTATCGAGGTTGGAAGCGACGACGAACAACTCAAGCTTAGAGAGGACTTCCCTGAAAATCCAAAATACGCGGCACTAAGCTATTGCTGGGGTGGAGAACAAAATTACAAGACCAACCCAGGCAACATCATGAGCTATCAACAAAAGTTAAATCTGCCTTCAACAGCCAAAACAATCCTTGATGCGATCTCAGTGACTAGGAAAATTGGCCTTCAATACTTGTGGGTGGATGCTCTTTGTATAATCCAGGATTCACCCGATGATATGGTCGCAGAGCTAGCACGCATGCCGGACATATACAAAGCCGCCTACGTTACCATTGTAGCATTGACCTCCGACAAGAGCTCTACGGGTTTTCTTGAGCCCCGAACGCCGCCAAAGCCTATGTATCGGCTTCCATATCAGTGCCCGACAGGAGAACTTGGATCGGTCCTACTCTTTGACCCTTATATACCGGGGATCAATAGCGACTATACCATCAAAACCCGAGCTTGGACGTTCCAGGAAGAAATCTTGTCTACTCGAACTCTCGAATTCGGGAACGATATGTTGTGGTGGTCTTGTAACCATGGTATCAAAAGTGACGGGGGTAAATATCATGATTTCCAGACAAAGAATCGAAAACTATCGGGTGACCCCGAAACAGTAATGAAAGAGTGGAAGAGCATCGTCAGAACGTATACTGCACGAAAAATGACGAACAAAAACGACAGATTCAACGCGATAGCTTCTATCGCAGCTGAAGTCGCTCAGATACTGGAAAGATCCACACCAGGAGTTTCGACTCGTTATGCTGCAGGGCTCTGGGACACCGATCTTTCGGCACAGCTTCTTTGGCATACACAGAGGTATTCGAAATTGCAAAACACTCCAGCGTCATACCGAGCACCCTCATGGTCTTGGGGATCAGTGGATGACAATATCACATTTTGGGATAACAATGGCAGTCTCCATGAAGATCCACGGTGGCAGATCGATCTAGAAAACGAGAAACTGTCTTACGGGCAAGCAAAGAGTGGGTTCCTTGCACTTGTCGGTCAGGTTAAGAAAGCTGTTTGGGCCAAGGGACGAGAACACCTCCAAGACGAGAACTTTCCGAATGCAGGCCTTGGAAACCTGGCGTCGACGATGCCTGACTTTCTCCAAGACCACAAGACTGATAGTCTGGATCTAAAAGTCTGGTGCCTTGTACTAGCCCAGAAGTATCAATTCCATGCAAAATACGGGTCTTCGTCAGAAAGAGTTGCGGGCTTGATCTTGAGGCCTCTGGGAACTACAGGCCAGACATCGCCCGCGAACATGGATTCGGTAAGGACAGTAGTGTCCAGTGCGAGTGAGGTGGATGAAGATGGGGTATATCGGGATAAAAGCTTCCAAGAACCCATTCTGCGCCATACGGACATGACTTTTGATGCAAATCCCGGCGACGAAGTAGCTATTCCTGCTTGTGAATCTTTCCTGTTCCAACGAGTCGGCTTTTTTGAGATGCATCATGATATGGACGTCGTTCGAGGTTTCGACGAATACGCATCCGACTCAGACATCGCCGAGGAAAAAGAGAAATGGAAGTGGTTTAAAGACTGCCCTCGACAATCAGTGTATATAGTCTAAGGAAGACGCAGTTCTGATATGCCTTCAATTTGGCTAGGTATGCATGGTTAAGGATATCCATTGATGTTACATGAGGCTTGCCCCTTAGGTTCGGAACAAGGATGTTCCGATCGCGTGTACCCAGCACTTGGTTTCGCCATTGGCATTCTGCTGAACTCATTGCAGCCTGCGGCATCAACAATCATAACATTGACGGCAAAGACTAGGCGTCTTGTGTAATCTCGGCCTCCGGATTCTGGCGGAATGACGCACACGGGGATTTCATCTTAGCGTCAACGAATGAGGTGTGCCTTAGCACGCGTTCGCCGCATTACTACACATGTAAATGACCAACCGTCTACATTGCGTTGCAACATCAAGCAAACGCGGTATGCTGATGCGCATCCAAATTTCCCCGCAAAATGTCTCCGCCAATCTATACTCTGTTCCCGGCACAAGGTTTTGGTGTCGCCATTGAATTATTCAAGGGGGTACAAACTTATGATGCAGGGTACTGTCAAGGAATGAGCTGCCGGTGCTGAGGGCGAGTTGGGAGCGAATCGGTGACGATGAGTAGGGAATCAGCGCTTGTCGGCAACTACTAGTAGAGGCCGGAGTCCGATCACCGTCGCCAGTGGCGCCTTATATAGCGGCTGGGCACGCTGACATCGAGTGGGCTGTACATTTCTTAAAAAAGGAGAGCTGGGGGTGGACAGAGGAGAAGGACATCAGCTCATTTGTCGCCGCTGGCAACTTGTTATACATAGCAAGAGGACCTGACACTCGGCCAGAAGTGGAATATCTGCGAGATCGATGGATGTCTCAATTTTCCGAGACCAAGTCTACTGGTCACCAGTCCGAGTCAGGTTTTTTGACCAGGTGATCTTAGAACCCTGAGCCAAGGGGGTTGGTGTGATCAACAACAAGGAGGTTTTTTCGGCGAACGCAATAGAATGGTGTGCCCAAAAAAAGAAAGGGATCTAGCGCCATCTCCATGTCCTCCATGCGGCGGTCAAAGCCAGGTTTTGTCCGGTCTTTGCAATGCTGTGCGGGCGTTGTTCTATGTTATTACAGTCCAGGTTTGATCGCATTTCGCACGGTAATAAGATATGTGCGATCCTTCCGTTTCAATGGCTGCGCCACTCTTCAAACGCAGCCCAGCTTCATGACTGTCTTGACTCTGCAGGACCCAAGGACGAAGAGGCACAATGAAGCTTGAATGTTGAATCGCTTCAGGGGTTGAAACCTCAGCCCCACGAACGAGCCTGCCAGGCCCAATCACCAAGCTGCCTTGACCCTTTCCTGGACCCGTCGCAGCGCGCGACGGCTGTCACGGATGTCGGGATCTAACAACTTTTGGCTACTACACGTGTTCCGTCGTACTTTTCCGTTCTAGCGTAATGGGTCAGCGCCAGTGCGGAGTGCCTGGCATCCTTCACTGTAACCAGTCTGACGCCAGCCTGGCTGGCTGGCTGGCTGTATGCCCAGTTCGGTCTACGTAACAGGCACCTCTCCCGTCCAACTTCCTGTTCACTTTTGTTTTGTCCTTCCTCCTAACGCCGCCTCTTCCCCTCCACATTGGTATTTGTCTTCTGTTGCCGTTTTGTTCGACATATACTTTTGGTTCCACTCTTTCTCATTTTCCCAGTTGCGTCAACTATTCTAACCTACCTGCCGTTGCCGGGCTGACCCGCCGCCCGCCATACCATCGCCATGCAATTCGAAAAAGCCCATAAACTATCTATCGTGCCGGCACTGATACTATGCATACTCTCATTCGTTTCTATCGTTCTTACTTCTGTATACTGGATCCTCGGTGACTGGATCATGGGCCGTTGGGTGCCAATCCCAAGTACCCATAAGGATTCTGACAAATGGCCCATCAACGACGTGATCGTTGATTACACTGATGCCTCGACCAACGCCACCATTGTCTCTGGATGTTTGAACTTGTTTGCCGCTTGCGTTGCTATGGTCGCATGGGGAAAGCTCAAGAACCATGAATTGGACACGGATTTCAACGCGGTAAGCTCTAGCTACCCTCTGGCTACTCGCTGGCGACGACATGACAGCAGGCACTGATTTGAATCTCTAGCCACTTCGTCGCTTCTATGTTCTTGCAGTATATATTACGGGCGCTTGTGGAAGCATTGCAGCTCTCACAGCATTCATCCTGCACTACACAGATTCTGGCCCAGATGAGTGGAGCTGCACGACCCAGACAGGGTACACTTTCCAAACCCCACAGAAGGGCATTCCATTCGACAACGTCTTGTGCTCTCGGGAACATGGAGCTTGCAACTTCATCGTGAAAAATGCCAAAGCGGATAAACAGGGCGCTGCAACTGCAGCTTGCAACACAGCCGTAAGTTCTTCGCTTTATAGCCATATGTCTCGACACTGACCCGAGAAACAGAGAACTGTAAAATTCCTGCAAATCATTCTCCTGCTAATAAGCTGCATCACTATGGCTATGTTCTTCTTCCAAGCTAAATTGAGGAGACATGTTCGATGGTCACTTCACTCCAACGCACCGGTCGACGCGAAGCCACAGCACTGGCAGTAGAAACATGAATTCAACGATCAACTGGACTGCGATGGAATCCTAAGAATCAAGTGGGCAATTCTACACGATCGAGAGACCGCATTATGCCATACCAGCATTACATATCGATAGATGCTCAGCATACCCCTCGGAACCACCGGATGCGAATTGAATGCATGGATCCCAGGACACAAGGCGTTATTTTACAGAGTCTTTTTTGAGGGGTCATTTCGCACTTGCTTCTGAATGAAGCCACTCACAAGGTCATGGGTTGATTGCGAAGTTGGTTGGATAGGGGAACGGTCACCTACCGAACACTTTCTGCCAGAGCTCTGGGATGTAATTTGCATCATGTACATATTAAACTAAGAGTAAATGCAAAAAAACTGAATACATTCTAGCACACACTGCACAGACTGGTTTTGAAACATGGACTACCACAAAGTCTACGGACAGGGCAGAGATGCGTCTTTTCTGCGAAAGGCTTGTTCATCGGGCGAGGAAAGTTGACATGACATCATTGGTATTATATGCTCCTCCTTCTATAGGTTTCCAATGAAACTATTTCCACCTCAGGATATGGTCCCGTTTCTACTCGCTGAACCTGTAGGAGGCTCTTGATAACCATTTGCTGTCAGTGCCCAATCTGGTCTCGTCTGACACGGTACGCATCCGGGCCAATAATACTCGGGCACTCTGCCACTGACGAGGTTGCTATACTGAAACCACATCCGCTGAATCTCAGGCCATTCGATATACTTCCCGCTTCCACCACGGAACGTACTCTCTCGCAACCCTACCTCGGCAATAGTCACATCTGGTGGGTACTTCTTCGTCCATGAAGCTGGCTGTGGATCTGGCGCACTACTATTGCGAGGTTTGGCGTCTGCCCAACCTCCTTCCCATGTCGAAGATGTCCAGTAATGCTCATCAATGGTCACACTCCAAAGTCGCCACTTTCCGTCCTCCAAGACCATCTGGTCATGGTAAATGGCGTTGTTGAATGCCCCAGATTTCGTCGCCGATGTCGAAGGTTGCAACAGTCTTGCTCGAAGCGTTGCGGATCGTCCGTCTTCGGATACCAGCACTACTGGTTGGGGTCGCCAGTGGAAAGAAATGCTCTGTCGCAACGTCGATCTATTTGTACCGTACGAGGCAACACATGCCCCGTCGATCCGTTCTGGCGTGATGAAGAAACCTGCGAATGGAGATGCCTTGTGTCCTCTTTTTGCGAATAGAGCTCCCATCTTTGCACAGTTGATGTCATCGAGGAAGTATCCATACGCGTGGGACTGATTTTCAGCACCATCGTATGCTGCTGAACGTTGCAGTCGACGATATAGGTCCTCTAGCTCCGTGCGACTGACAATCTTTGTACCTGCAGATTTCGAGCCGCTGAACCGAAAGCCTGTTGAAGGTAGGAAGGGAGGTACGTATGAGGTATTACTCCTAGTACCTCCATCTCCCCAGCCTTTGTAGTAGTCCGCTACTACGAGGGGTGTGATCTCCACGTCTTTGACCAGCCATATGCCGTTCTCTTTGATGAACTGGTTCCGGAAAATATTAAACTCCCAGGAAGCAGTGCGTGTGTTCGCATCGCCCAGCATACCTATCTCAATTCCCCTTACCGTCGCTGTACTCCCATCCGCCGCAACGTCTACAATCATATCAAATATCGGGTGATCATTCGCAATGCCCTGCACCAAATTCTCCGGGCCCATCCGCTCCAACGCCTTCCTCACTCCCCCCAATCCTGTATAATTAGCCACTCCAACAATCGACACCTTCGTATCCGCACTGTGCAAATCCACAACGTCCGACCACATCCTCCGATCAACGTAATACCCATGCGCATGCATCAAGTTCCTAACTTCATCCTCATCATTCAGCCGCTTGATCCTGCGTTCAACATCCTCAATGCTAATATTCGTCTGCGGCGCTTCTCCCACCGCAGGAGGAATCACGATTCCGGATTCCTCAGGCGTGAAGTGGTACGGTATGATCGGAATCCCACGGCCTCCCATGTTTCTCCATCCACCTACATAAGGTCCCTCGTACATGCCGTAGTAATGCAGCAGCGAGATGCGCCATCCGGTTTCTGTACGCGCATACTCGTTTTCATAGATGCCGCCTTGTATCTTCGTCCCGCCCTTTCCGTCGCCAGCGAATCTTAACCCATTCCAACGCGCCTTTGCGCTTAGCCCGTCGACTGCAAGGTTGATGACAGGGTTCTCAACCACAATAGTGTTGAGCGAGCCAGGTGATATACCGTTCATCTCCCCTGCGTCATCGCGGAGCCATTTCGCAATTGACGGGATACCGGTGATGTTAGTCGCGTTGGTAGTGCCGCCATGTATGAAGGTTGCGTTTGGGGAGAAGAGCGAGGCTACGGCGTCGAATTTCCCGAATTGGGAGAGGTGCGCGAAGGTGCGTTGGATGTCTTTTATCTCGCGGATGGATTCCACGCGGGTGATTTCGCGAGCTAGGTCGTGCAGGCTTGTAGGTGTTGCATTGTTGGGAGTGGCAGCTATTGCGAGTTGCAGGATTGCTGTGGCTATAGCTACGGCTATCGTGCGTAGATAGATCATTTTTCTTGTTCAAATCTCTTTTCTGCTCCTTCTCTTCTGGGGGTAACCTTCACGTTGTTTTTCTGGGGCGGTCGCTGTAAAGATCAGACGCACAAATGGATAGACGCATGTCAACATAACCATTATGTATCCGAATACAGACTACTTGGTAATATAAAATCCCCTGGCTTATGATGTAAACCCCATCAAGCCCAGATGTTAGACATTCCCATTTCCCCAGCTTCAAATGCCGGGGTTAATGTATTGTGGGGCGAATAAGTGGGGACGTGAGTATGGGGAATAATCATCCTAGTCGACTTTTATCTATATCAGAGTCGGTAGTTGTGTAACTATATAGCCTGGGGTCGATGATCACCAATTCAATTCTGGAGAGGGGATGAGTGTTGTGTGAATATGATTAGGTGTTTGTGTAGATCTTGCGAAGTGAGTAGTAGCATGAAATAGAACTTCCGATTAGACTTGTTATTCTTAATTCGTAGATACAACAATGAAGCTGCCACTAAAGAAGCCTCGAATAGTACTTTTCATCGCGTAGGAAGACGTGTTTAAGCTCGTCGTCACATGAGTTTGAACTTGCCACTGTTCCTCTCATCGATAGATCGAATTCGATTGGGATTCCACAATCGCTAAGTTCCCCGGAGCAGGTTTCTTTATTAATTTTCTCTCTCTCGCGAAACATACAGTCTTGTTGTTCCAGCACATAGCGATTTGATTTCCACCTCCGCTGCACGATGTCATGTCCAAACCCCCGACAACACTGTGCAACGTTGCAGCCCAATCATAAAGCTACCTCAGGTAATACAAAAAAGTAGAAGCGACAGACTGCAGGGAGCAGCAAACAGCGCACAAGCAGTACAAAAACATGCAGATGGACATTCGCCGCTCTGCGCGATTCTTTTCAATTTGTCCCAATCGAAAATGCCGGGTGTTGTTCATCAAATCGATCCGGCTGCCGACACTGTTCTTCTTTTGAAGAATCCTGGAGCACCCTTCGCAGTATGGAAAACCGTACATAGCGATGATGAAGTCACTATGAGTGCTCAAGACGAAGGGGGTACGTTCGAGAACGATGAGAGCGAAGTGGAGATGGAAGAAGACAACGAAACAGAAAGTCAGCACGAATCATCAGACGACAAAGCAGTGCGATACTTGGTCTCATCACGTCACTTGACATTCGCGTCCGGGTACTTCAAAAGCAGCCTTGGTCGGGTAGGCTGGATGGAAGGACACCCTAGTGAAGCAGACGGCATGTACCATCTCACCACCACCGATTGGGATCCGGAAGCGCTTCTCATCATGTTGAATATTCTACATCTCCAGAACCGCAAAGTTCCCCAAACTCTGAGTCTGGAGATGATCGCCAAAATGGCAGTGTTGGCTGATTATTATCGATGCGGAGAAGCAATGGAAACCTTCACGGACAAGTGGCTCACGGGAGCGGCACAATCGTCGCCTATCCCTTGGACATACAGTCGCGAGCTGGTACTTTGGGTGTGTATTGCATGGGTTTTCAAACGTTCAGTCGAGTTCAGCTGCGCGACGCGGAGAATCATCTATAGAAACCAGAAGTCTACTGTGAACGATATGGGTCTTCCGATTCCAACGGTTATCCTTGGTAAGACCTCCGCTCGCGACATAGTATTCTACCTCGAGATACAATACCAATGAATAAAAGATAAGACTGAGCATGAGCGGTACCGAAATCTGAACAATGTGTTTGATTGCGTCCAAGCTTGGTCTGACACATGGCGCGATCCCTGCTACCAATGTACCAAATGGGGAGCGAGCAGCTTCCCATGCGCTTCTATGTTACTGGGGGCTCTCACTATAGAGATGCATCGTCTAGGTTACATTACACCACGCCCCGAAATACCATTCAATTATCTGAGTGTTGCGCTGGTATGCCAACAGATTCGCGATTTCGCTGAGCCACGCTGGTACTCAGAAATGCACAGCTATGGGAGGGCTGACCATGTCTGTAGTCTCGAAGAAACGGTGAAGAAGGATGTGGTTAAGATCAAGAACAAACTTGCAGGGTTAAAGATGGATGAGTTCAAGGACAGAGCTGAGGACGCTGATGCTGTGACAACAACAGCGATACTTTGAAGAAAGGCGCAGTATGTTTGATACGGTAGCAGATCGCGTGCAAGGGGAATTAGACGGTCCGAAATCGAGAGTACAAACTTGAAACATCTTTTGTCAAAAAAACCTGGTCGACCTCAAATGTCGTCGTCAAATCGTTGACTTTGATATACTGGCAATGATATTGTTCTTTCTTCATATTGAACTTCGTCGCATGTATTCATCCTGATCGATTTCGTGGGAAGCTGCCTCATGTGGACAGATTAATGGAGATGAATCGTGTGAAGATCATTGGTGATTGATTGCAAGTGCCAGCAAAAGGGCACGTGATGAGTAAGAAGCGCCACATTGCTAAGCGCACTAGCCACAGTATGACGGAATATTCTCGAATCGCTTCATTCCCGGAGAACAATCACCAATCTTCGAGATTATTGTCCAACCTTCCAGCATCCTCTAGTCTCTTACGAATCCGACGATTTCTCAGCTACGTCCACGCAAGCAGTTGCTGCCTTTCACCCCAGAATTTGCCTATAAATTCTTCAATGATGGCTTCGAGATGGAGCATCATCAGAATCTTAGATCAACAGTTCCCAACAACACTGCGATCCACAGCTATCTTCACACCTCTTTAACGCTTCGATAATCATTTATTATCTCTTCCACACTCCGCGCCTCAGAACAGCTTCAACAATGGCATTCATCCTCACCCCCCGATTCGCACCAGTCTACCAGCAACAGTGCAGCAACCCCTGGTCCTGCGCTCCGGCCCGGCCCCAATACTCGTATCGCCGCGTCGTTCGCCCCGCTGTGCCATCCTTTGTTCCTTTCCTCAGCCAAGTCGACGAGCTACTAAGCGCGTTGGACCAAGAGGCTCAGCGCGAAGCTCTACGTGAAGCCCACCGTCAGAGGCAACAACGCAAGCGCATCTTCCGCGCCCACTTCAATGTCCACGAGAACGAAGAGGGGTATCAAGTCGATGGCGAAGTCCCCGGCTTCGAACAGAGCAACATCGAGATCGAAGTCACCGATGCGCACACGTTGAGGGTAGCTGGTAACACGGCGAACAAGTCAGAAACGCAGCCTCAGTCCGAGTCGCACCCCACTGCGGAACCCAAGGCGATCGAGCCCGAAACCGCAGAATCTACCGAGACCGCTCAGGACGATACTATGGAGGGCGTGACGCTGAACGAACACGAGTCTCACTCCGATACTGAATCACACAAGTCATACCAGGCTACCGTGGAAGATGACTTTGAAGACCTTGGTGCTGAGACCTCCTCCACGATCTCTTCTAGATCAAACACTCCATCTGAGCCCAAAGAACCCAAGGGCAAGGAGAAGGCTGTTGATGACTCCGCCGCAACAGAGACCGCAGTACAGCCCCAACCACAGCCCGAAACCGAAGAATACCAATTTCACGGATCATTCGAGCGCACGTTCCGCTTTCCAGAACGGATAGATGCGGCGACCGTCAAGGCTAGTCTTAAGAACGGGCTACTCAGCATCACAGTGCCCAAGGCTAAGGCGCCCGAAGTCAGGAGGATCTTGATTCAATAGTAGGACAATGAACTGGATGTTACATGGTGGTTTTTCATGATCTTCTGGGAGTTAGTACCATAACATAGAGGTTGCTTGATATAATAATGACATGATTCTTAATTTTCCCATATCCAAATCCCCTTGACTCATTGAGAACGTGATAAATCAGACATCACAAGAAGTTCGAATATTACGGGCCCACATCTTCTACATTTGGGCATTGCTATAAACTCCCGACCCCGCCGTCTAGCGCTAGCCTTCCGCACACTCCAGATCGAGTTGCAGGCTTTCTCTTGTACTTGGAAGGGAGCACCGATGTGGACGGCTGGTATCCGCGTGGATCCGGGAAGGCTCCCCTACTATATGCAGGAACCCTCGTGTATGTATGTAGGGTTGGCCTAAACTGCAGCTGAACACGAACACTTCGTATTGATGATGGTTGGTGGATGCTGTATCTCTTTGTTTAGACGGCTCATTGAAGTACTACCATTGTTCAACATATGAGCAATACCTAAAGTCAACGGTGACGAATGCAATCCCAGTTTCTCGAAAAAAACGTATTTCTATCCGTGAATTGCAGTTGTGCACCCTGAGTAACACCACCATTATTACCACGATGCCCAAGCTTGCTTACGGGCTTACGTGACAATGAAAACCATGTGGCTTACACAGCCTTCAACGCCTCGATGCCTTTTCATTCACCCCCGCATAGCGCATCTTCCCGTTTCCGGGGCCAACATTCCACATGTTGGAATTCAATTGGACATCGACATTCAATGGTTCGCGTATGCATCATGAAGCGTGGCTGCGATCGTCACTGGATTGCCTTAATTCGGGCTTGCAACGGTACAACTGCACCCAGACTATCGAAAAGGCCGTTCCACGGTGAATTTTGGGGCCAGAGCTATTCGTGAAGCTTGATACGAAGTCCTTCTCATTGAGCTCGGACTTGTCACACAGGACCCTTATAACTAGAGCAGGAAAGCAAGTGTGCTTTGTGGCATCGGTCGTTCTCGAACACCTATTCATTCTGCTATACTCAACTGGAGATTGACAATATCTACACATTAAACATACCCATTATGCACGCCACTACTACAGCAGCGATCCTCGCACTCACCTCCTTCACAGCCCTCACACAGGCTGCTGTTCATACTGTCGACGTAGGCGAGTCGGGTCTGACATTCAGCCCACAGACCCTCAATCCTGCTGTGGGCGACACCGTCGTCTTCAAGTTGTATCCCCAGCACAATGTTGTGAGCGGCAGTTTCTCATCCCCATGCCTGCCCAGCGAGGGAGGCAACAGCAGCTTCTTCAGCGGCCCATTCAGCAACACGGAGAACGGGGCTAAGAAGTTTGTCGTGAATGTTACGAGCACTCAACCTGTGTATTACTACTGTGCTGTACAGAAGCATTGTCAGCAGGGTATGGTGGGAGGGTGGAATTTGCCGTGAGTTTCTCATCTCCTTTGTTCCAACTGTATCTCTCTTTTTAGTCCAAGTTCGTTCGCTGTCATGGTATGGACGAAGGTTTTCATGTGATTTTTGCAGTCGGTTTTCTTTGTGTCTGGAAACGAAGATGCACTTACATGTGGGGTTACCAGATCTTCGGGGGATGACATCAAAGCCTACGCATCCGCTGCCTCTAGTGCTTCCAGCGCTTCGGCCCCATCTGCCCTCAGCGGTGGGCAATTGCAGGATGATTCGCAGCTTGCATCCGTCACAGCCAGTCCCAGTAGTTCTTCTCCTTCTACCACTGGTGCTTCTTCGACCTCCGGCTCAGCTACCACTTCTGCTGGAGGTGCAGCTAATACGAGCAACGCTGCGGATGTGATGAATGTTCCAGGAGCTATGGCTGTGGGGATGGGAGTCGCTGCTATGTTCTTGTGAGAGCAGAAGCGTGGATGGAGAAGAGTGTGGAATTGGGTATAAGTTGGATGATCATCAAGTGATTGGCCTACATATTTCATTGCTGGGCAGAATTGGCTGAAATAGTGCAAGTACTAGAGGGTTGATTGTATCTAGAGAGATTTTGAGCTAGAGAGATGCACAGAATGCGATAATTTTGGTGGTATCGGATACAAAATGTGAAAATCCCTCTGTCCATCGTGCCGCGTGTATCGACATTGTTGTGCAACACGAGAGTGAAAGGGACAACCTGAGCCGTCTGTATACGCGTTGATAGAAAACATTGGCCGCTTCAAAGAGATAACCCTCCCTGGCGGGGTATAAGTTCGCTTCATTTTTGAGCTTGGAAACTTCAGGAGGGCCGTTTATAGCATATGTCTACCCCGGGGGACGCGTCCTCTCGTCGTGGCCGGAGCCCTGGAAACTGAAATATCAATAATAACAAGTGAGATTATTTCAGTATTAGCTGTGTATGATATTTAGGTATATGATGCCCTTTTTGTACTACGTTAATGATTATGAAGAATGCTTGGGGATACGAGTACACATTGACTTTTCACCTTTCCAGCTTCGTGGAAATAAATCACGCCGGGGCGAAGCACTTTGGCTCCAAACAGAGACACAATCAGGGGAGGGGTGTCAAACATGACAGTTAGACATAAGGCTGGTTCGTGGTGGTGAGGGATATGATGTACGGGGGCATGATTCGGAAAGCGAAGAGCCGGCGCAGCTGCGTTCGGACCTCTTCCGCTGCCGCTCCAAATACCCTTTCTGGAATACTACACATCATTGCCTACTACGCTACATTGAGATCCAACGTTTTCTGTAAGAAGTGCGTGACATGAGCGAAATTGTGACTTTTTACCGATTGGAGTCAGTGTACCTACCTGATGTCTTTCTTGATCATCTGTCAAATGTCAGGAACTCGAGATTTATCAAATGCGATGTCAGAAAATAGCATCGGGCCCTTCCATCATCGGGCATCGTTTTGAGTATCCCAAGTATCCATTACTCACTTCATGCGGCGTCTCAATGAACGGATGCGCATGAAACAACGAGTGACGGCGTGTTTGCTTAGCTTTCACGGCAAAAGATCAATACGTTGGTTGCACCATCAATTAAACATTGCTGTGTTGTTACCAAAATCAACAATGGTGATTGACTGTATGTCAATGTGTGGCCTTGAAAGCCTGGGGCAATAACTGCTAGAAACACAGATTGTATGACAGTAACCTAGCGGCTTTTACTCTGCTGTCACTCTCATTAAGTCAACTATGCACGTCGCAGCTACCGTCTCAATGCCGCCAATGAATATGACCAACATGCTGGCTCAATCATAGCGGCAACGCTACTCTGTAACCCATATTACCGGTAATATAGTTCACCGCAATTGCTACAATCCATGTTTCGTCGCATCTCTCCATTCCCCATGCGCGGAACAAGTCCCCCAAGAAAATCCCCTCTAATGCTGGTCTCTCTGAACTCACGTGGTGAAACACCAAGACATAGTTTCTCTCTATTGTTACATGAGGTTTCTGGGGAGGAGAATGGAACATGATCCCCTCCACAGATAATCCACGCGGCCAACGTCCCTGGTAGTAAACATATGAGTGAGGCGATGTTTGATCTGACTAGAAATCTCCAAATATACCTAATATGCGATCAGAGACTTTGTGACACAGTCGCGCAATCGTGTGGGAGTCAGCCCCAATAACGTGATACATTTACTACCTTGTGCCTAAGGATTATCATATCGGTCCGAGCTACACGCACGCATATGTTGCCTGGAGCGCTAAAGGGCCCAACTCCTATCCACGCAATGCACCGCATAATAGTGATGGTTCGTATGCCTCGGAACTACACTAGGACGTAGATCGTCCCTGGGTTCATGTGCTCCTTCTCCACTCTTCCCCAAGGGTTTCGAACCTTGGGGAACATATATCAATGCTCACATATGCTCGCCCAACCCTCTCGTGCCACAGCTTACGGCGTTCAATACAGACTTCAGTATCAATTTCAGCCTTGACTTTTCTGCTCAGTACTAGTGGAAGAGATTGCAGTTGGTGACCATGTCCGGCAACTACAAACAAGAGATATACCCCGTCAAGGAGACGTACTCGTCGTCCATGTCGCTCAAGACCAACAAGCTCGTAAACGTACGCCAACTCTTGTGGAAAGAGCTTCCCGTTCTCCTTGGCGAATTCCTGGGAACTTTCATGTTCTTGTTCTTCGCTTTTGCATTTGGGTTTTCGCTGCTTGTCAATGTTGCGATTTTCTCGGATGTTAGCGGGGCTATGTTCAATCCAGCAGTAAGTATTCCTACACTATTAAATACTAAATTGGAACTTCCATCATATACTGATCAACGTGACAGGTCACGCTAGCTTTGTGGGGTGTTGGTATGATTCGTTGGCAACGGGTCATTCACGCTATCATTGCGCAACTGCTCGCTGGCATTATCGCCGCCTTCCTCGTCTCTGTCATGCTTCCCAGTAAATTGGCCGTCGCGACCACTCTCAACGTCTCCACAACTTCGGTCTCACAGGGTTTCTTTCTGGAGATCTTCATGACCGCACAGCTCCTTCTAGCTATTCTCCTTGTACCTAGTGGGCCTAGCAAACCGATGTACTGCGGGTTCGCTCTTTTCATCGCCCATCTGACGGGCATCTATTCGACTGGCGCGAGCTTAAATCCGGCGAGGACCCTAGGACCCATGGCCGTTGTTGGTGCGCAATCATCAGATTGGATCTACATTGTGGGGCCAGTCTTTGGCGCAGGTTTGGCAGCGGGCATCTACAAAGTTTTGAAAATGTCTCAGCAGGAGGATTGATGCTGCAGTAGTGTTTTAAGACCCCATCCGCTCTGTTTCTTCTGTCTTGTGACACACTGTATTTCTATTGGGAAGAGGCTGGACACTCGTTAGCGCTTGGGGGAATTTTTGTTCGGGTCCGGCACTGGTATACGTGTATTACTGATCAACCTCGCTATCTACACGATTAAAATGATTAGCACATTTATAGACTGCATGTTGTTGCATTACAATAGTTTATACAAATCAAAAAAAGTATACAGAGAGTGAGGATACATATAGTATAATTATTCAATTAAATGATGTTATTAATCTATGACGAATTGGAATAAGTTACGAAGTTTTCAAGAGTCTATTTCTTAAGCTAAATGTACGTTGCAGAAGCAATACCTCATTTTATTCTTTTGAGTGGGAATTTAGGTGATCCTACACACAGCGATGGGTTACAACGATAAAAAGACCAAAAAAAAAACGAGTGATAACCAAAAATTCAAGAAGCAAAACCTTATTCTGATTATTCTGAATCAACGTAAGCGAAGAAATCAAGGTCAAACCCAATTTCACATTCATTCCGATTAGTCCACAAGACACCGTCGTCCTTCATCGTCGCCTTGACGTGCGTCTGTAAAATCTCCCCCGAGGAGTGCGTGTGAAGGTCCAGCTCCATGGTCCGAAGACTAAGCAGCTTCTGCTTTCCCTTACAAGCGTCCCATATCTCGTAGAACTTGAGGAGATGGTGGTAGATGGATTGTAGTGTGAATTTCGGATCTTTCCCTACGCGGAATATTTCTTCCCTTACCTTGAGGAGTCGGTCGGGCGTCATGAGGATGGTGTAGATATCGTGGTTGGGGTCGTCGATGTAGGAACCGTCCCTGGAGATGTGCGTTAGTTGATAGTTCGAGATCATATGTGTGTGTGTGTGTGTGTGGCGATGTAGAGGGTCTGGTCTATGACATGTTGTTCCTGCTACTTACAATTGTTTGTTATCCCGTGTGCATTCAAGATGTGGCCAGTAAACCCGTTCGAGCGTTTCCGAGGCGTGGAACCACAGATTGAGCACGACATGCTTCACACTGCTACCAAAGAAGCGATCGATGGTGGTGACGAACCTATACTCGTGAGGAGCCCAAGATTAGTTCAGACATACATATACCTACACCACGATCAGGGGGTTCACGTACTGTTCTGCAGAGTCGAACTCTCGAAGCGCGTCCCAGGCGTCATGTGGGCGATACGTGTTGGTCACCACAACGGTCGTTGGATTCAGCAAAAGCAGACCATCGATCATCTCATCCCCACTATAATCGTTTGCATCTATCGCGTAGTGCAAATCCACGATATCAACTTGGCTGAGGCAAAAGGCGATGGCTTGACGTCGCGACTCCGAACACACGGTCGCTATGGGTAAACGGTTCACGAGCGTTTGAATCTCATTCACGTGGAGATGCACCCTCTTGCCGTTATCGTTCACGCACACTCTGAGGGGCTGTTTTTCCACGTCTTGAGGTAGGCTTTCGTAGCCGACGAATGCTTGTCGCAGGCGCTCTTCGGCGCCGAGTTTGGTGGAGAGTTTCGACGCTCCATCGGCGATGCTGATGATCAGTATATGAAAGAGAATGCACAAGTTCAGGCAGCTTACTTACTGTTGGTATTGTGCTGCAGCTGCAGCTACCCATATCATATCCCGCAACTCACGTGGGAGTTGCGCAAAGGTGAGGGCAGGCATGCTGAGTGCTGCTTGTAGGCCGCTTGTCTGAAAAAGGTACGAGAGAGAAGCTGCTGTAGGCGGTGGTACAGGCAAATGTTCCCAGCTGTATTACTTGCAGTAAGCGATACGTCCGTAATATGTTGTGAGAATAAGTTGCCACAGAGCATATGTAGATTGATAACTTGGCAACTTGGCTAGGAAATTGGTGTCATCAATTTTGACTTGAATTTGGCGTTTGGCTGAAACAAGAGGACGCTCGCTTACATACCGTAGTAACTAGGTACGATGAGCGTGGAGGCGAAGATGATGAGCTTCTCCCTCTTGCTGACGCCACCTCGGAGAGTTAATTACTTTGTACTCTGCTACTTATAACGTACGATTTACGACCCGAATTGAATCAACCTCGTATTGGTCTCCCAATCGGTCTACCGGTAATCGAGCTTATGTAAAGGCACTCACCGATCACGATGGGTCTCACCGCCGGTAAGGAAAAAAAGTTGCAATCTGACTGTGTACGTTACATAAGCCGCACACGCTGTATTGGAATCAAAAAGTGAGTTGACCATATCCGATCCAATTCAAGGGCGCAGTCGATAAGGCCGTCACTGATTCCATACAAGAGCGTATTGTTCTAATTACGTACGGATCGCATCTGCTAAACGAGTTCTTGCAAAAAAATATCCATATTTGGTAGACTAGCGGGAAGGGTTCATGACATTCTATTCTAAGACATATATTTCAAGCAACACTCCATCGCAAGCATGTGCGACATGTGGACTGATATGGGTTCTCGAGTAACTTCATGGCAGTGTTAACTAGGCAATTTTCCACGGATAGACGCGTGGCCTACAAACCAAGTAGCAAATGGTATTGCCGGTGAGTTAAGTCCAATATCGGATGGTCACGCATCCCCTCGTATGAGAGAGTTTATTAGTCCGTCTGAGTAGCATGCCTTATTGGAGCAGTGTTCAAGGTGCCAATGCTGTGGGCGTACAATTCGAATATAAAATGGAGTCTATCTTCTCTTCCGTTTAGCTTCTTCAGTCACTCGCAATCCATTCCTCGTCACTCGTTTTTTGTTTCCTTTCTTCTGGTTCGATACAGGAAACATCACATTCATTCATTCCCATTCATCTTCATTCATTTTGATCTTTTTAGTCACTCCTTCGTCGTCCCTGTTTCAATATAATGCGATCAGTTCTTCTTCCCGCTTTCGGGACTTTATTCAGCCTTGGAGCGTCAGGGGCCCAGATTTTCTGTGACACCAAGCACGATCCTGCAGCTGTTTCGAGCGCAGCACTTGCTGTCCAAGAAACGGAACGCTGCATTTCCCAAGCATGTTTTACTGCGGGAAATCAAGCAACCGTCACGTAACAATGCGGATCAGTCATCTTAACAATCACTCGTCTGAACAGCAATGACCTGCCCTCCAACGTGCAAAATTGCGTCAGTCAACTCCAAAGCATCATCGACAAGTGCCTTGCCGCTCCTGAGAGTGCTTTGGGAGGCACTTTGGAAACTGATCAGGTGCTATACGATATCGCTTTGGTGGACGCCGAGGATGAAGCTCGAGTCCAGAAGAAGTCAGTGCGTGTGAAGAGGGCTGGAAGGAATACATCAAGGGATAAATCAAAGACCACTTCGCCGCCCGCATCAAAGACCACATCGAAGCCTGTATCAAAGACCACATCGAAGCCTGTATCAAAGACCACATCGAACCCTGTATCAAACACCTCATCGAAGCCTGTATCAAACACCTCATCGAAGCCTGTATCAAACACCACATCGAACCCTGTATCAAACACCTCATCGAAGCCTGTATCAAACACCACATCGAACCCTGTATCAAACACCACATCGAACCCTGTGTCAAACACCTCATCGAAGCCTGTATCAAACACCACATCGAACCCTGTATCAAACACCACTTCCAAGCCTGTATCAAATACATCATCACAGTCCAAACCAACCTCATCACAGACGTCTGCTTGTCCTGCTCCTGGCCAAAACAACACACGAATAGATGGCAAAGGGCAAACGAACCCCCAGCAAAAACGAGCAGGTACGTTTCTATTGACAAAATCATCATCCTTACTGGTAGACTAATCAGACGTCCAGATCGCACCGACCCAGGCGGATCGCGAGGTGATCCTGCGCTCTTTGACTGTGGGAAGCCCTATGATAGATATTACAGAGAACACAAGAATCTGGAAGGAAGCGCCGAGACCACGTGGTGGACATACCGCAAGAAAAATGGCTGGGACGGATCAGGTCTCCTCAACTCGCATGGAGTCCCCAAAAATTCCAAAGCCTACAAGGTTCTGGACGTGATGAGAAACAATGGGAAATTCGACGTCATCAAAATCACAGGCGGCAACGTGTATACTCGTGGTCATCCCGACGGGCCACACGTGCATGGAACGCGTTATAAAGACTACACTGGACTCACGGGCCAGTATCTCATCATCAATGGCGGCTTCTTCAAGCCCAACAGTCCCGACAAATACGCTGCTGTCGGCGAGACGAGCCCAGGAGTGACGGATCTTCGATTGGATGCTGTTGAACCTTACAAGGCCCACTACGAACGGATCACAGGTGTTGATGGAGAGTACATTTCGAGCGGACCCAACATCAAAACGTCATGGAAGCAGCCCAAGGACGTGTCATGGACTTACAACAAACAACTCAATGGTGGAGAAGTAATCCCTGGCAGTCTCTCCCACACTAGCGATCCAAACGAGCGTCTCGCCATCGCTTACAACACTAATGGCGACAAATACGTTTTTGTGTACACTGTAGAAAATCGCGCAGCACACGGGCTCAACATGCACGGATGGAGAAATTTGATTAAGGAGTGGTTGCAAATCTGGGAACGCAAGGACATCACGCAAATGGAACAGGTCACCAATCTGGACGGCGGAGGCAGTATACAGGTAGTCTTCAAGGGGAGTTATAGGAGAGCCAGGCCGATCAGGATAGCCCAGGGAAACATCGGTGACACTATCCCTGGTAAACATCCAGAAAATGATAAGGAGGAAAGAAAGGTGGCTAACCTGATCATGATTTCACCTGGACAATTAACTTTCCCAGCAGCACTACCGCCTGGAGAGGATGCCGTATTAAGCGAAAACGACAGCGACAACGATGCCGACAGCGATCCTGGGAGCCCCGGCGTAGGTCCCAGCAACCCACCTCCCAGTTAAAGAAATCAAGATGCACTTAGAGTCCCCCGAACTCTGAAGTAAGTAGTGGCTCAGAATACGTTTGTTGCTTTATAATAGCGCCCCAGGATATAGGGGTTTTGTGCAGTTCATAGATTTATATTTTCTAGAATCTCTTTAATTTGCTTTTTTATTCATCATTTTGCCTTCTCTCCAACGCTGTATCTGAATTTTTTTTAACAATTTTATTAAAATGCTATACTAAAGCAGTAGAGAAAAAGTAGTACTGATTTATTAGCTTGTAAGAATTTATTACATACTAAGATGTGTCAAAACTATTTAAAACATCTAGACGATAAGGTAAAATGCAATGAGCTACTTCTATACTGTGCACTGTAGGCCTGTGTCCCACTTTTTAAGTGCTTTGAGGGCTAGGGTTGTTTGTTGTCGGAAAAAATTGCAAAACGACGCCGGGCCCCCGGCAAATTTGCCTATCACTTTCCGTTTACGACTAGGGCGCTGTTGATCAGATAATTACTTCGTGAGTCGTATAGCAGTTACAATATGTCGAAAGGAATTATGCTGTTTGACAGATGCTCGCGGAATCATTTTTGTACACAGAAAACGTTGGAGGAATAAGCCTGAGGCCAAACTTCGGCACGTAATTAAATAGAGCATTTCAACCCCTCTGCGCCAATGTTCATTGCGTGATTGCAACAGCATAATCACGGACATATACAGCACTGTCTCAACCTTGTCAACGGTACTCCTATTGAGTAAAATTAATCCCACACGGAGTCGATCCGCGAAACCTACCCAGCGTTCTCCCGCCTCAACACCTTCCGAAATAGAGCAACCGACGTGATCTCAATAAATCATGAAATAATAGCGAAGAGGGTGCTTCGAGTTAGTATGAAAAAAAAATGTTTCGAAGATAAAGGAAAATAGTAAAATGCGTGGTGAGTCTGTACTTGATAAACGGGCCGACTTGTCAGGTTATTGACCTACTGAGCCCCTGAGGTTCTGGATTTCGGACCGCACACTGCATAATGCTACCGTAGAGTCAAAATGCGCAGCTTGGTCATTTCAACCCCGTTATGCAATCCTGCGGAACGGTTCCGCATGACGTTTTTCCTGATTAATGTGAGGCTTATAGTTATCGTACGCATTGGGCAGCGGAAAGATTGCGTATGTATATAAGGAAGGTGCATAAACCCGATCGTCGTGGTTTGTTTCGCTGTCTCAAGTACCCAAGGACAACCCACTCGTTTCAATTCCTGGCCAACAATATGCGCTCATTCTCATCAATCGCTTTCTCTACTCTGGTTGCAGCGGCGCTCGCTGCCCCCGCTGCCGACACTCGCACTCTGGATGAGATTCATCAAGCTGCGTTGGAAGAGGGAGGCGTCGTCACCCTCTGGCATGGGGGTGACGAGAAGTATCAACAAGATAGCTTAAAACAAGCGTTCGAAAAACGCTTCCCAGGAATGACACTGAATTCGACCGTCGATCTTTCTAAATATCACGACACAAACCTCAACGACCAGATTGCCAACAACAACGTCTATGTAGATAGTATCATCTTGCAGACGCTACACGATTATCCCCGCTGGAAAGAGCAAGGCGCTCTCCTGGAGTACAAGCCTCTCGATTTCGACAACGTCGCTCCCGAGTTCAAGGATCCTGATGGCGCTTACTATGGTTATGCTATCTTTGGCTGGAGCACGACTTGGAACACAGCCAAGTACAATGGTAGTCTTCGCGACTTTGGCGATGCCTTGCGACCCGAGTTGAAGGACAAGATTATTGTCACCTATCCCAACGATGACGACGCCGTCTTGTACGCTTATGATCTTGTGTAAGTGATATTCGCCTTGTCATCTGAGGGATCGAAAACTAACGAAGCATACAGCATCAAAAAGCTTGGTGTCGAATGGTTCGACGCTCTGTTAGCTCAGAACCCGACTTGGGTCCGCGGCAGTGCCACGCCTGGCAACCAGCTATCCCTCGCTAATACCTCATACGTTGCCGCATTTGGTACGGGTGGTCGTGCTGGTGGCGGGTCTGTCAATACCACCAGGCCCACCGACGCTCCCTTCGTTACCTGGCCTCAAACTGCAGCCATCCTCAAGGACGCTCCCCATCCCGAAGGTGCCAAGTTGCTTCACAACTGGCTTCTCAGTGATGAGAGGCAGTTCGCTAACCCTCAGTGGACTGTCCGCAGCGATGCTCCCGCCAACTTCCCCAAGATCTTGGAGGAGACGAACACCAACGTGACAGGCTTCGGAGCATGGATGATGGACAGGGCTAATGTTGAAAGAGTGAGGTTCTGGTTCGAGAATAGACTCGGAACTGCCCAAGGTCTTAGTCCACTTAACGATGATATGTAATGGGGTGGTAATCAGTAAGGGATGATGGGCTTGAAGTATTTCAACTTACATTATCGAGTCATATAGAAACTCTAGTATATATTTCTCAGCCCACTTTGATTGTATATACTCCATTGAACATGTCAAGCCAAAGTCATAATATGTGGATAGTTTTGTCCAGCAAGTGTTATGACAACAGGACTGTGCATTTCAAACAATCTCCAACTCCTCTGTTTCTGCGCGCTGGAAAGGTTCCGAGCCGGTTGAAAATGTCCCCAACCTTTCAAAAGTCCCTCTATCTGTTGTCGATGCACCAAGTACGAGACCTGATATCCAACTATCGTATCTAGCAACACCCAAACAAAGCACCGATGCCTTAAAAGGCGTTGGTCTATCCCCGCACTGCGCTCTTCGAGCAACTATTTCCATTACACCATTCGACTTTGATTCGGCCGTTTCGTCTTCTGGGATGATCTTGTCCTCCACCAAGAGACAATCGTGTGAGATGGTGATTGCTGTTGTCCCTTTCATGATCAAGGTATATGCCCATAACCCCTCCCTTTGCTCGGATATGAGAGTTCCATGGCGACTGGGGCCATGGAGTTTGATGGAGGCTTCGGAAACTGCTCCAAGCGGATTGAGCCCAGATACGGAGATGGATGACGAGATCAGTGTTATTAGGGAGGTAAGTGTGTCTTCTTCATCTTCGTCTGGGCTGTAAAAAGTCTGGATTGAAAAATATTAGTAAGAGCTGCTTCTCTTGGTTAGAAACCCTCTTTTTAGTTACATACCACGGGAGTATTCAGACTAGCCCAAGAGAACGACGGCGCACGATAGCTGCTCAAAGCAAAATAATGTGCGTCTGGCAAAGCAGTCAAGGACGTAGACCAGAGCAGATCAGACGCTAAGTTCTGTTCCCACAGCCCTGCGAGGTACTGTGAGCGAGTGGTACCCTGAATCTTCTTAGCAATTCCAGAGATAGCGGGTAGCTTGTCGGTTTCTACAGTTAGATCTCTCTTAGAGTATTCTTCAACTATCCTGTGCCACGCATTCCACACGGCTGAGAACGTTTTTCTTGATTTCGTAATTGCTCTAGGAATAAATGATGGCGTGGTCGGATAGGGTTTCCTTGACGGGCGGCACTCGCAGCGGAATGAAGTTCTGCACTCAAAAAGGAGTTCGGTATCTGTATAATGCAGGACACGTGTGCTTAGAACATGCTCTTGCAACGTCCATGATCGCGTCATTAAACGACCGACCGGCTTTGCGGGTGTAGACTCGTGCTTATCAGGATGATGTTCTCTAGTTTTCCTCGCTCGTATGACTGTTTCCTTGCCATTCGTGTTTTCGTAACGCAATCTGACGGGCTTTTGCCGGTCGACTAAACATCGCGCATTGCCATCACCAGAGCTGGTTGCGGATATTGTCACATAGCTGTTTTCGTATATTCCACCCATTTTTGCGGACTCTGTCTCCCAGTCTCTAACCGAGTCTTGGATAATGCAAAGTGAATCAATCCATATATAACGCAGGCCTAGCTGGCGTACGATAACCACTGTGTCCTGGAATAGTGGTGGGAGTGCCTCGAAAGGAATGTTTGAAGCAAGTTTCTTCCAATTAGACTTGGTCGCAGTGAGTGATGGAGCACTACCCCAGCAGTGAGACAATGCCGCGTACTCGAACGATTTGCCTTGAGTGTCGATTAACCGAATGGGTGCAGCTGCTCGTCCCACATCCACCAGACGTCTCGGCGAAGAGCCTGATGATTTGGAAGGTAGTCTACAATTCGCATGGCTTGGATTCGTCATGCAATCTTGGATACAACGGCGAGCGAAGTTGAACGTATCGTCGGAGCCAGAGTTTGATGGGATGTGCTGTGCTGTTCCTAAAGTCGGCCATGGAGCCCGAGATGCTATTGAATGACAGGTAAGTACTGATCTCGTCTTAACTGTTTTCATACTTTGGGTTTGATTGTTTCCTCTGCACAATGGATGGCACGTTCATAGAGCTGATGTACGATCATGAAAAGACTTGCTCTTACCTGAACCTGCATACATTTCTACCAATTCGCCTCTCCACTTCTCATTGTCCAACTCGATCTGAATAGTGCCTTTTTCTTGCAAATGCATAAAAGCCCTGCGCGAGGACCCATTCCACCCTATTGAGAGGGCGTCCAGTGCTTGGATTAGTACATTGCAAAACCGACAACCCCCTTCTCTAAGGTCTTTAGTCTTGGCGAGGCTGAACAAGTCCAAAACAACAGAGAGATTTGCTAAAACTGCTTTTTCAGATTCCGAGTTGTAGACGGAGCTTGCGTGCCCCCGGGGATCTAAGTCATGACAGATTGAACATCGTTTGCGACGTGCTTGGGTTGTTGACCGTCGTTGCGGCCACAAGGCTTTCTTACGTTGCATCTGCCACTCTATTCGGTAACCGGGATTTCGGTCAGTGAATCTATGCCTGATTTATCAGTCACATCGATGTCGTTCACAGACACTAAGAGACTGAAAACTTGGGGTGATGATGGACAGGAAATGGTGGCCTGGTGATGCTTCGATTATGTAATGTCATGGCGGACCGAGCTAAAACCTGAAACAGGCAGGTGTCGTCCCGCGAGTTCTCGTTCGCGACGGAGAGACATACACACCTGGGGCGAAGAGCATAGCGACTGGATATTGTACTGAATATGATAGCTCATCAGATCCAGTCAAATTGCCCAATTAAGTGTTTCAAAGTTCTAAGATTATCACAATGCGCTTGCTTATCTTGAGTCTTCTGTTTCATCTGCTCGCCCCCACGAAAACTGATCGTGTTCATGTCTCGGCCATTGGACAACGCCTGCATGACATGGGGAACCGGTGAAGTGAGTTGCCTTACCGGTGTTCATCGCAGATCGCACATCTGACAGGCGACTTGCCCTTCTCTTTGACGAAGTATCTTTGATCTTTACTTAACACCGAGTTGACGCTGTTTCCCTCAAGCTATGGACCCGATAACCATTGTTCAGGTCGTGGGCGCGGCTGTGTCGCTAGGAGACGTCGTCGTGAAATGTATCGCGAGGCTAAGCACGCTCAAACAGAAATACGATGGCGCCCCCATCCACGTCTCCACGCTGATCGGACAGCTGTTCATTATCCAAACAGCACTTGATAAGCTATCGGATTGGAATCAAGCTCGTGAAACGCGCCATCCGCGATATCAACAACTGGCTGCACAGGTCGGAAACGCCCTCGATTGTTTTGGTACCTTGATCTCCACCCTGCAGAAGCAGCTCGATCAGTTTGAGACATCAAACTCGGTGGAGATGCCTACGAAGAACAAGATAAAATTTATATGGAGCGAGAAAGAGATCGCCAACTATTCCACACTTCTTGACCGGCAGGTCAATGCGCTGACTTTGCTCCTCCAAGCTGTCCAATGGTAAGTTCCCTTCGGAGTTCATTGACTTTTCTGACGCTGGCACAGCGAAACATGGGAGCAACAACGGGAACTTTTGAGCCGAGAGGAGAGTGTGAGTATATTAATTCTGGCAAAAGACTGTTCGTCGTCAGTGCTGGGGCTCGATGATGGACATAGCTTCCTCTCTGAAACGACAGCTAATATCAGTGTTACTTTCGATTTTGATACATTTGTGTTGGGCTCGAGAGTCTATCAGCAAGCGGAAAGATCCCATTTGAGACAAGCTATCAGGGCCGAGCAAAGCAGAAAGGTCCCGGCCAAACAGAAAGATAACGCTGCTGGCCGAGAAGACGCTCTAATCCTGCAGTCTTCGTCTGGAGACGCTTCGAAGCAAGCTGTTCGATCACGAAACTCATTCCGTTTGACAGACTGGTTCAGAAATTCATCGCGGCGCAAAGATTCGGTTACATCATTCACTGCGCCGAAAGAAGGGGAGAACGGTGAGCGTTCACATGGATTCAAAACTGTGAAAGTACTGTTTCTTGGGACTTCTGAAAGCGGAAAGTCTACCCTCATCAAAACCTTACAGCTGTCGAAATTCCGTGAAGAATATTTTTCGTATGGGCCGCGTTTACTCTTCAAAGAAATTATTCGGTCAAATATCATTCAAAGCACTCGGATTGTACTGGAAGCCATGGATTCTTTAGCGATATCACTGGAAGATCCGTTTCGGAACAACATCCACGCGGAGACGATATTCATGCAACTTGCTGGGCGCGATAGCGACTGTTCAGGCGTCAAGACTTTCCAAGCCATTGTATCACTCTGGCAGGACAGCGGCTTCCAAATTTCATTCGGGCGAAGGCGGGAGTACCAATTGGATGACAACTTCGATTACTATGCCAATAATATCAAAAGGATCATGGCTTCTGACTACATGCCGACCGATGAAGACATCTTGCGAATTAGAGTGACGACTACTGGCATCAGCGCGACAAAACTCCTTAATAAGAAAATCGAATACGAGATTCTTGATGTAGGGGGTGCACGATCGGAACGTAAAAAGTGGAATTCTGTGATTGGAGGGACACATGTTGTAACTCTCACAATCGACGTCCGCTGTTATGCGAATGTGTTGTTGGAAGACGAAACTTGCAATCGTATGCAGGAGCAACTAGTGTTGTTCGATTCAATAGTGAACTCCAAATGGTTTTCCGAGTCCAGCTTTCTTGTCGTTTTCACGAAATTGGACTGCCTGGCAGACTCTCTTCGAACGCATCGAGTGGAACGGTATCTTCCCGACTATGTAAAAGACGAATCTCTAGGACCTGTCGAGAGCTACATGCAGTACATCGAACATCGTTTCATGGGTCTAGTTCGTTCACATTCAATTCGTTATAGAACTAGGATCGTACGAGCCGATCTTGTGGGCGATGCATACAAACGAGGATTAGAGGTCTGGAACACCTTAGACGATATTGTGCGTAATGAACTGAAATGAATCATGTATCTCATCGAAGGGACGTACCTCACGATACCTTATCCAAATCTCATACCATCTTGTTCGGCAGTATTTCAATGACGGAATATCAACAAACAGCACGTTGAACTCTAGAAGGATACGACAAAGCAAATGGTACATTCCAACTAACCATTCTCTCAACCTCACTGAACAACTCACTTAACCCACCGATTGCAGCCTCCCCTCCCTATACTCCAAGGGCCGATCAATAACATATTCCGTCGCTGCCGCAACCGTCCCCACAATACCGACATCAGCCGCAATATCCTTCGCCGGCGCACTCCACCCACCAATATCCACCACTCCATGCGCTTCCCCCGCGACCCGCTCCTCCGAAGTCTGAATCCCCAATTCATGCTGAAACCCCTCAACAGGCGCCTGAACCAAAGAATTCACGCCCCCAATCAGCGGAACGTTCAACAACGCCTCATGGCCCTCCAGCAACGACGACCCTTCACCCTGCGGCACCGCCAGCAAGAAGTCATCGTGACCTAGAGTGATTGGGACCAACACCGCTTTCTCGACAAGCGCTCTCCCTATTCCCCTCGCTACATCGCGTTTCCGTACCGTGGCGCCTTTTGCCCGCATATGCGCGCTCAACTGTTTCCAATCCTGCCTCGCTTTGCGGAAAATGTAGAGGTTGATGCCCGCGGGGAGCGTCATGTGCGGTAGCACGAAGCTGAGGGGACCAGCGATGGCTTCGCCCGCGATGCTGCGGGTGAAGTGTCGTGTGACTTGCCGCACGTCTGCGTTTACGCTCTGGGTCTCGGCGGCGGTGAGCTGCGACGAATATTTTCGGGCTTCTTTTTCGTGGTGGTGTTTTCGGACTTTGCGGACGGCTTTGTAGCCGAGGGTGAAGACGCCTGCGCCTAAGGCGAAGGTGAGAGGGTCTGGCATTTTCTCTTGCGTGGTGGTCAGGCTGGGATGGAGGGAGTAGTGTGTCGGTGGTGTGCTGTTGTAAATACTTTTGAAAATCTTGAACTATGATCAGAGGGAGTGATAGAGATGGTATGTTGTATTCCACCGAGCGTTTGGAATCTGCACATATCCATTATATACCACACTCGAACAATTTTCAGCCTCATTTTCGCAGCCTAAAACCCTCTCCTCAAAGCCCGCGAGGCGCAAGATCAAATATGTCAGCCTAAACGCGCATGTGAATAGTTCTAGCAACCAATCACCACCCTCATCTGTCCTTGGTACTGCACATCGATCCAACACCGACGTGGATTTGTAAAGAATACGAACTAGGGTGTCAGTGATAGGACTGTATCTTGTGGTCGGCTGCTAGCCAAGGTGGGGGCTGAGTTTTGGTAACTCGGGGTTAAGAGTTTAGGTGGTGCTTGTACGCACGTAAGAGCCTCTCAAGAGTATGGACGACTAGCTCTTTTCTCCGGATTTGGTTTAGCAAGCTTGATGAACCGCAACATTCGTATAGGCACAGCCTTTGCATTGGGTCACCGATCAGCAACGTTATTGATTGTACTACTGATTCGTGTCTAGGGGGTATCGAGCATCCGCATCTTGTATCCTCCCCTCCTAGAGGTGATAGAATAGGGCAAGGAAACAAGAAGAGAAAGTGTAGAGACGTAGCATTTTTCTCATTTCGTGATCTCAGAAAACTCAAATCTGGATGAATTTTATGCGAAAGATGCATTACGAAAACACTCCAGAAGAAAAGAAAGAGAAAAGAAACGGTTGCACAGGATAAAAAGCCCGAATCGTTGTTATTATAGTCGGGCATGACTGAACAAACAAGCGAAAGATGTGTTGATTGCTAGGTTCTCCTCTTGTGTATATGTTAAATGTATATGATCTTTTCCCTCCCACTTCCACACTCGTCAGCTCAGGTGTCCAGCACTCCCCTCACCACCACCCCACCATCCAGTAGCAAACCCCTGGTGTCCATGGTGACTACTACCCTGCTGCCCTGACTCCTGTGCCGCGTGATACGGCACCCCATCCTGGCCAGGATGGTATCCGCCGTGTTCCCCACCTCCCGCAGCGTGATGGTGACCGAATCCATGACTTTCCCCGTCGCCAAAAGTAGCCATGGAATCTCGCTGCCATTGATCCGACATTTTGAAGCCGTCGCGCGAGAACCGATCCCACTCGTTTGTGTTAGCGCCGCCCCCACCGAGCATGCTATCTAAATCCATAGGGCTCACTTGGTAGTTTCTGGGTAGAATAGGAACGCCAATTCCTGGTACTGGTGTCCAGAAGAGGGTTTCGGCAGACATGGAGGTACTGGGGGCGGCCTGCGTGGTAGGTACCGACTGCGCTTGTTGTTGTGCAGGACGGGACGCTGTGGGGTACGAGGATACCATGCGCTGCGGTTGCTGCTGCTGCGCTCGATGGTGTGACTGGTTTGATAGTATGGTGGCACTTGCTTTGGAAGTAGTTGCGGCAGAGTGCGAGAAGATCTGCGTGGTCTTTGAGTCAGGCTGCGCAAACATACTCAAGCTTTCCCTCCGCGGCGGCAATCGCGTTGTTGAAGATGGTACAGGACTGTATCCCGTACCGCCGCCCATTCTGCTGGCAATGCTCGACGTGGGCGGTTCAATGAAAGAGCTTTCTAGCTGCGGACTCACTAGATCCTGGTTCGACTCCGCGTTCGATTGACTACCCTCCAACTCCTCGGGAAACGGCAGATGCCAAGTCTTCGATAGAGCCTGCACGATTTTAAAGCCTCGTTTCCCAAAATAATGACACGTGCTGAGCTCATTCGTGGCGGTCAGGCCCTCGACCAGGTTTTGGTAGGATTCTTGAGATTCGTTACTGTATAGTAAATGTACGATGTTAACGGATAATAAAATGTGGGTGAGAACAAGCTGGCAAGCCCGCAATGAGTGATGCCTGCGATAAAGCCGTAATAGTTCGGCTACTTGGTTAGCTGCACCCACGCAGGCGTCTCGGGGACAGACAGGGGAGTGAATCAGGTCGACTTTGAGCATAGGCCGAAAGAGATGCACGATGGCAGTGTAGTATAACATGCTATGAGAATCAGATTTCATTCATGCCAATTCAGCGAAGGAGAAGTCATCTTACTGTAGAACGATGATGTGAGGCTGCGGTTCTCGCATGCCGTCTAATATCAAGCTCCGTGGTAAATTCTTGTACCATTCTTGGTACTTATTATAGCACTCCAGTAGTCGACGACTAGTGAAGCGTTCCTTGGGTGCGAAGAACATGTAGTTGTTATCGTTGATCAATTCGGACAATGTACTGAACTGCTGCAGAAACACTCGGGTCGTCACCATTCCAGATGAGATTTGTAAGGTTCCCGAGTACGCATCTGAGTGCAGTTCTGCAGGCGATTCATCCAGTATGGGCTTTTCCAAAGTAATGGCGGCTCGCGGAAGCTGCGAAATACGCCCTACACAGATGCTCCAAACAGTGTCTACTGTGAAACAACCCCAGAATGTGACCTTGCGAACTTCAATCTCCGAAGGCGTTAGCTGCATCGCCGGTGCTGCCGAGTTGTTGAGATGAAGCCCCAACTCAATAACCATTCTCATGCATCGACCCATGTACATGAAGCCCGAGCTGTCTCTGCCCGCAGATGGCTCGCGCATGGCCATGACGCAGAGGGCCTGTGTAGTTGTGAGCGAGGGAGTTTCATCCTCGTATAGAAGTCGTCGCGCTTCGGAAAAGAAATGGTCACCAGCCGTTCTGGAATTATTGGGGTCGAGTCTGCCAGCAGGTTCGTCTGTAAAATGGCACGCATATGATAGTATCGCATTCACAAGCAGTGGACTGCAATACTTTTCCCGACCGCTACGGAAATCCTTGTAAAAGCACTCCCGGGAGAAGATAACATAGAAAGGGTGAGACCAGCGAAAATACAGATCTAAAAGCTGTTCTACAAACGCGGAGTCCTGGGTGACAGCTGTCCAGGTGAAGTTTCTTTGGTCGACACTGGCCGACCGTATGCGCGAGGGGGTATAGTTCTCGTCCTCTGGGATCAGACTCAGGCCGCTGGTATGGCCAAAGTATCGACTTTCGCCAGATTGTGTCATGGCGGGTTTCCCCAGTAACATGGACAAATCCCCCTCTAAAGACTGCGGTTCTACGGGCGTGCTCGTGGTAGTGGAAGGAAACGTGACGGTCTTGCGCCACGTATCAGCCAGGGCGGGGATATCGAAACGCGCATCCTTGCGGATTTGCTGGACGAGTTCGTAGACCTCGTGCTCAGGCAAGGTGCGAATGGAAGAGAGGAGAAATTCGGCGTTGTTGTTTGAGGGGAACAGCGGCTGAGTCGAGGCAATGGAGTTCTCGCGCTTCGTAGCCGTTGCCTTGCTGCGACGGGTCTCGCTTTCGGCGTCGTAGAAGCATGGTGTTTCTGAAAGGGTCAATAAGGGGTTGCGCGGCACTCTGCGCGTGTAAGATATCAATACGTACTGTAGACAGCGGTGCATGTCGCACAAACTGGGGTTCCACCATCGCACTATACGAGCAATACTTTAGCAATGCACTTGCACTCGAGATGGCACCACCTCAGCTCATCCAAATGACCTCGCGCGTCCGCGGAAGCACCGGGGCCGGTTGGTTGCTTATGCACGCATAACAACAGGCAGGATCCATCCCCAGGTAGTAGTCAATCTACTGTGTAGATATCTCACATTGGCTTACTCACTTTTGACTTGCGTTTGCGACATGGACCACAGGCGCTCTGCACGCAACGCCGCTTGTTGGCTTTCTGCTCTCCTCCCGCCAAGCCGTCGTCCTGTTCCTGCTTCACAATTGCGCCGCGGGCCATGGTGATTGCTGCGCGGAGGGAGTCGACTCAAACCCGTGGGCCTCCCGGACAGAAGAACGGTACAGGCGTTCGGGGGATTTGCAACATTTGGCCACCCAAGGGTATTCATGACGTGAGGCTAGGCCATTCCGTGTAGATTCGAAGCCGGCAGGCAACTCGGCACCATGATTCGCCCCTCAGGCCCGTCGCCAGAATTGTGTGGAGCTGCCATGCTTCGATTCGAGCCGCCTTTCGTTGCCGATGCTTGGGCATGCCATTGCTGAATAATACCATGCTATTGTCAACATTCCCATACTGACGCATCCGGCTAGCTCCGCGAGTCGTTTGTTCATTGATCCGATGCCTAACTCCGACATCACTGTCCCTGCTCTCCGACAAACGTCGAATCTTTGTGTATCGGCAAACACATGTACAGGCTTCATAGTCGGCGGTGATCCATCTGTCGTTTTAGAGAGTCTGGAATGTGTGACGCCGTTCGCATTGGGCTGTCGAGAGACATTGATGCATGCCGCTGCAGATGCACGTGGTCAGCCTCCGATCTTCCAAATCTGAGCCAACGGAGATAAGCGTAATGACGCGTGGGCGGTTAAATACAACTTTGGATCCAAAAAGTCCATCTGGAATTTAACCATCGATACGAACCCTCGAATCCAACAATCTACAACGCAGAGTGCCATTCCACGTATTGCTCTCCGCAATCATATTGACAGCCCATCAAAGCAACCGGAAATAACTCATACCCACACAAGTACGCCATACTACTACTCTCTACAGCTATCATGAAAGTTGATTGGATAAAATTGGCAAAGGTATCATGATTGTCTAAACTTCACTTTTACCATACGCCTTTATGGCATACCATGGCAGCCGAATATTCCACAGTTGATGTAGATGCCGTCAATCGATCGAGGTACAGTGACCCGGGGTACTCCACATAGCTTTTCGTAAACATACAATCAGTATTAATCATACAGCCTGTCATCACCCAGTTCCTTCACAATGCTTCTGCACTGCCATTGGTCGGCACGACTCCATCCAGGCGTGGCAGGAGGCTCTTGGCCGCTGCCCTCCCTGATTGAATCAAGAGTGCATCCATTACTACCAACGCTGCCATCGCTTCCACGATCGGGATCGCCCTGGGAACCACGCAGGGATCGTGCCTGCCCTTGGCCTCGAGTACACCCTCGTCTGCGCCGTAAGTCGCCGTCGACTGGGCCTGTCCAATCGTCGCTGGTGCCTTGAAGGCGGTCGTGAAGTAGATAGGAGCACCATTCGTGATGCCTCCTTGAATACCTCCAGCGTTGTTAGTCTTCGTTGTCAGTACGGGTGTCTTCCTCGATGGATGTCCCGAAGGTGTTGTTCCAGCGGGTGTGGCGGGTGCTTTGATATAAGGATCGTTGTGAATGGAGCCAGGGACCTGGGTTCCGCCGAAACCACTGCCGATCTCAAACCCTTTGGTAGCGGGAATGCTCATCATGGCATGCGCGAGCTTCGCCTCGATTTTATCGAAGCAAGGCTCCCCTAGGCCCGTGGGAACATTTCTAATCACGCACGTCACAAGGCCGCCAATGCTGTCTTGCTTATCCTTGTAAGAGGCGATGAGGTCCTCCATGCGCTTACTCACGGCCTCGTCTGGGCATCGTACGGGCAGGAACTCGTCCACTTTTTCGCGCGATATGCTGCCAATAAGCTTGAGGAATTCGGGGTTCATCATGGGAGCTGGGTGTTCTGGGGAGGGCGGGAAAAGGAACTCGTTGCCTACGGCCGAGGTGAATGCTACGATCTCGATACCGTACGCCTCTCGAAGATATTTCTCTGCGATAGTACCGGCAGCCACTCGACCTTCGCAGTGTTAGCAAGATAATGGCCACGGGAAGAGCGAAGGACAAACCAATCGTCTCACGGGCACTGCTCCTGCCACCACCTGAGCTTGCCTTGACGCCGTATTTATCCAGGTAGGTCAAATCCGCATGGCTGGGTCGGGGGTAGAGATCCATGGTCTGGTTCCCATAGTCCTGCTTTCTCTGATTCTCGTTCGGGACTTGCATAGCGATGGGTGTACCCAAAGTGATGCCATTCTCCGTTCCTGAATGAATTGTAACTTTGTCCTTCTCATTCCGAGGCGTCGTGATCGCTGACTGCCCAGGACGTCTGCGCGTCATTTGGGGTTGGATATCGGCTTCGGTGAGAGCCATGCCCGGCGGGCAGCCGTCGACGATGCATCCCACGCTGGGACAGTGCGATTCACCGTAAGTGTGCACACGGAAAGCTGTGCCGAAAGTCGACATGATTGAGAATATCGGGATGGGTGGATAGGCTCGTGCTGGTCACCGACGGGATGTGTTTGTGAAGTGGGAGTCGAAATATTTTGGTGGGGGTGAGTCAATACGTACTTTGGCACTTAAATAAACGTACATTGGCAGGAGCACCCGGCACTAATGCGGTAAGATCTAGCGACATCGGCGGGCCGGCCGTCTGCACACTAAAATCATGGGGGATTTGGACACGCCAATTCCAACTGATTGTAAGAAACTCCATTTTCTCGAGAGTTACGAAATGAATATGGAGTTATGAAGTCCGTTGGACTCAGGTTGTACCATATATTTGAATAGAAGTTTATGTTTACTTCTTTTTTGGACAATCATCTATAGGTGCCTGCTCTTTGCGGCTGGTATTTTGCCAGCACTCTTGTAGTACTTCCAAGTCTGCCTCAGGGAATGGCCATTACTATGATCTATTCGAATAAAACATATCAATGAGTGGCTTGCGTTTGTTCAAGGAAATTGGGCCGGGGCAGAATGAAGCATGAAGTAAGCAACACTTTCACCCGTAGTACTAACGCACACAACATGTGCATTCGTCACGCGCATTGAGCTTAGGATGAATTCTCTAGTATTACAAGATTCATTCGGGTGTGATTATTTTGAGGGGGTATTTCGAAGAACATGCAAAGCAGAACAGGTTGGAAAGTGGCAATAAAAGCAGCAATTCGAGCACCTACTTTGGTCGACCGGCCGCGACAAGGGCATTTGCTGTCCCTACCCTCTCCTCATACAGTCTCCGGAGATCGTCAACAGACTTCTTCTTAGTATTGAGTTTCCGAGGTACAGTTGGGGGTGCCAGATGAGTATCTTTCTTAGTGCCCTCGAAAGACGGCATTCGTTGCAGTAGGGCAGGAGATGGCGTCCGCGGCTTTGGTCCCGGCACTGGAAGAGAAGTGGATTTGGAAGGTGGCCGATTAGTAACCGGATTGACAACGGGATAGACTGGGCGAGCGAGCGAATTAATGGATGGTGCCCGGTTTGCAGAAGCGGGCAGACTTGGACGACGAAACTCGGGGACTGGGGCGGGGGTTATAATGGTTGGTGAGGTGTTGGAGGGAGAAGGAGTGGACGATGTAGGAGACGCAGCAGTCGAACCTACTGCTTTTCGCTTGAAAGGTAGCGGTGGTGCAGGCTTCGGATTGCCAGTATTAAGATTTGCGAGCCCAGGCAGAGCCCGGCCTCTCTGCGCGCCCGTGGGAGGCGCTCGGGATATCTCCACGTTCGTCTCCAACTGCATCGACAATTTGCGAGCCTGTAATTCTAAATCGGCAAGGTCGGCATTGTTAATCTGGTCAGTGGTCAGGGCTTTCCTCTTAGGAAGAACAATTGTAGAAGGCGGTGAGGAATCGACGAAATTCGTACCGGACTTCTTCTCATCCTGTGTGACCTTTACATCGCCGCTATACTGTCCCGTTCCCCTTGGACTGAATCCATCGGTAGTTGCGGCTTGGGTGGTGGGGGATACAGTACCATCTACGGGGGAACCCGAAATGATAGTAGAGTAACGGGGGGGTGCTTGAAGGGGAGGAACGGGCTTCCGTTTGGTGATTTGATCGCCTGCGGAGCGACCTGTGGCTGCTGCCAGACGAGGAGGTAGAGCAGGTGGCTGGTCAGATTTCTTTTCTGTGCCTTGCAGGTCGTCGTTATCCTGGAGAATGATTCCAGAAGACTGGTACTCATCCCACGACTTCCTCTCGTCGCCTGGCACCTTACCCTCGAGAGGATCTTCCCAGTCGGCCTCGTTCTGTGGCAGTTCCAACGAATGCTCAAAAGTCTCTCTCGTCTGGCCGCAAGCTTCCCTCAAGCCCTGGGGCCATAACTCAATGGCCTCGGTTAGAATTCTTCGCACAATTGACGACATCTTCGCATCTTCAAGTTGGTCCGGGCCGCACAACAGAGCAGGTGCGACGCACACTGCCAGATTCTCGGCTGTCATCTTGTTGTCCTCCTCATGAGCTGTAACAGCGCTCATAAGAGGAAGCAGGTGTCGTATGAGAATTTCGCGAGAAACAGGGGGTAGGAACGACCATTCGGAAGTGGGCGACAAGAGCTCGGTCAGGCGCTCCAGTCCGGGCAAGTCATCTGGATCTCCATGCAAGCGTTTCATGTCACGGTATGCAGCGGGAGTGAAGATAGGCTGCCGGAGGTTCGCATACCATGCTTTGATCAGTGCGGCTGCCATGAATACACTGTACGCATCTCTAGAGTCCAATTCGGCGATAATTTCGTCTTGTTGCTCAGCATCAGGATAGTGAGGGAGGGGCAGTGTCTCTCCGTTGTCTTTCCAGATAATGTATTTCTGTCCGCGATCATACGCCTCTTTTAAGACATCGCGCAGTTTAGCATGTGCCGGTATGCGAAACAGCCCTTCCTGTTTGACATTCTGTCCCATAAGCAAAAAGCTGCTAGTTTCGCGTAGAATCCGGGGTAATCGTGGCTGTCCTTTGGTATCTTTTGGAAGTGGGTGAGGAGCAGCAAAGGCACGCCGTCCGGTAATGTACGGGGCAAAGATGTCCTCGGAGACACGACGGTCGTAGAGATAGGTCGAGGGAGGGATGAGGAGATCCTCGATAGATATGTGTAATGCAAGATTACTTAGAGTTGAGGCTAGAACGGTCAGCGCATTGTTCTACCAGAATGGCGTTCATTACCTACCGTGTATGATCTTTCTCCTGAATTTGGGGCTGACAATGGTGGAAAAAACTTCGGTCAGGATCCTAACCCAGGCCTTTTCGTGGACAATGTACAGCTTCTGCAGGCGTTTCCTCATGGCTCGTGACAAAACATTGTAGGCCTGCAGGAACCAACTCCAACCCGGCCTGTTCTTCTTGTTTGTGGGCGAGCCATCGGAGTCCCCAGCGAACAATATGACTTCATATTCGAACCCTTTGACCAGGTCATCCTCTTCTGGGAGCCGGTCAAGCACATAAGGTAGGAGAGAGTCGAAGTTCTCCTCCTTGGTATCCGGCAATGCGGCAGCATTCAGAATGTAGATTGGCCTTTGCTCCTTGGACAAAATAGGCGTTCGAAAGAGGATGCTTGCGGCATGTCGAGCGAGGTCTGGAGAATAGTCCGCCGATTCGGGGCGCGGGGGTACGGCCGACAGGGACGAGCTGCGGAGACGACCAGCGAGGTGGGCTCGTAAACCGCTCATGCCTAATTATAAGTGATGATGACAATCCAAGATCTCTTGTATAGCCAGCTAGCTCTGAATGGGAAAAAACCTGGAGAGACAGCGTTCGAAGTAATGAAAAGGTCTGGCACGTGCAACCTGAAGAGTGGGAAAGTGGCGGTGCGGCACGACCTGTTCTTGCATCCATCGCGTTGTTTGGCATGCGACGATCAACGCCAAGGGCTGACGCCGCCCAGCAAACACAAACCAAGACCCCACTACTGATTGTCTGCCCGTTGTACTTCGCCTTTGGCATATATATATATATGGATTTTGTGTTATAACTTCGGAACATGGGTATTCATTTTATCTCGTCTATTTACATATACGTTGCCCGCGTTTACTCATCTGAGTCGGCCTCGGCATCCGACTCTCGTTGTCCATCAAACACAACATCCACGCCCAACTCATGTAGGAGTGGCCGGATCTGCTGAAGTCTTTGTGTTCTTTGCATGAACTGCTCAATCGACGTACCTGCTACCTCTAGCGCGCCCAAGAAGGTTGCCTCATCCGCAATCTGGTCATCGTTGGGTATATTCTGGAAATTGATATTCTGGAAATACTGTCTCAGGTCCTCCAACTCACGGAGAAGCTGCATCTGGTTTACCTCCCCTGACCGTGATGCTTGATGTCCCATCGCTGCTGTGCTGTAAGAGCTTATGTTGTCTTCCGGGGGCAGCGGATCTGACGTAGATGTATATTTTGATTTGATGGCCGAGTCCAGGAGATTGAGTAGGGCACGATCATCGGACAGAATAACGTGGCGCGCAATGTCCAACTCCTTGAAGTCTGCCAGCCAGTAAGGGTGCTCTCCAGCGCCTAATTCTTCTTCCATCGAATAACACACTTCGACGAGCAATGTCGTGCCTTCTGTTGTATTCCACAAATCCTTCGCGTGCGGGACATAGAGCTGGCATAAGAGTTCCTGGTGATCTCCATTGGGTTCCTTGCCCCACACTGGTTTTGGTATGGGTGTTATGTCCAGCTCTTTACACAACCGTGAAGCTATCCAGGGATATTCTTTGATAGCCAAGCGTAATGCCTTCCTGGATTCCTGCGGGTGCTTCAGACGGTCGTGAGCGAGCGCCACCGAAAAGGCAAGATTAGGTGGTATTTTCCAGGCACGTTGCAGGTGATCAGACTCTACTATGTCGATCAAAGCTTGGGGCTCACGCCCACGTAAAGCCAACTGATCAATCTGCAACTTGATACAATACGGATCGTCATCTGGAGACATGCTCAACAGCAGTTTTGCCCACTCGAACGCTGTACGCCATGTGGCACGAACTCCAAGTGTCCCAATATACCTCCAAACGGCAAGCCAAAACTCACGGTTTTCTGGTCGCCGAAAGTCTAGACGAGCTTTTCCTTGGGAAAGATTGTGCGCAAATGTGGAGTGTACTGCGCGCCCTAGGGAGAACAACGCACGCTCCAAAAGTTCGCCAGCCGCCGCGTTGTCTCGTTGCTGCTTGGCGATTTCGGAGACTTGCAAGAGTGTAGAAATATGGTAAGGATTGTATTGGAGAAGTTGCACCATGCGCTCAGGGTCCATGGAAGCTACACATGTGTCGAATTGCTGCTGCACGGATTGATACGTGGTGTTGTGAACGAAACGGTACTCGACCGTTCCGTCAGTTCGCTTTTCTACAATCTCCATGCCCAGTCCTCCGGAGGTTGCTCGAGGCCACTCTTCTTTACCTTGGATGAAGATGTTCCGCCGCAGTCCCAAGGAAGCAAGACTCCTGTTCCCTGGGGCTCCCCGGCCAGCCATGGCTGCTGCGATCCCGCCTTGAGGTCCCCTTCGCCGCGCGCGAGGTTCGTCGTCTGCCCCACCCTGCACTGCAGATCTCCCAAAGAGCTTTCTCATCTCATTAGCAGCATGCAGATGCTGAGTGTCGATACTCAAAGCAGAGTACAGATGTTGTTTCTCTTCACTGATTGCAGGAACATCTTCAGAAGCTCCACCAGCCCCGCCATGTGACGTGACTTTGAGAGCGAGTAGAGCTTGGTCGATCTCGTCCAGCCCCGCCATAGCCTGCGATTTTGCCGATGGTTGAGTCTCTGCGGTCTTAGTTTTGCCTTTTCCCTTCTTTTTCTTCTTCTTCGACTTTTTTGTCGGTTTTGGTGCGGGTGCCGGCTCTTCTTTGATTTCCACCTTCTTGGCTGTGTTGGGCTCTTCGATCTCATCCTCTTCGTCATCTTCATCATCATTGTCGCCGCCTGTGTCTCCCAGCATCGCAAATAGACTGGGCTTCGGCTTCGGCTTTGATGCAATAGCCTCGCTTTCGCTGTCATCATCGTCTTCTTCCGCTTCTTCCGCTTCTTCGGCATTCTCTTGGGCCAGCTGCTCCAACTGTTTCTTTTCCTCCAGCTCACGCTGAGCCCGCCGTAATGCACGCGACGACATTTTGCCTGCGTGGTCGAACGTTGCTTGTGTGGCGTGGTGTGCGCTGCAGCATCTGAAAATGAACTGTGACTGTGACGTACTTGGGTTCTTAGTTCGATTGGATACGAATTGACTGTGATTGGCCAGGGTAATCGCATCGGATCAGGCTCGGACCGCCGAAGTCGACCGCTTTCAGGTTGCGTGCTCCCTCTCTCACCAGTCTGCTTCGCCTACTCAAGCTCCAACCCTCTACCAAACTCCTCTCCATCGCCTGGTGGGCTGTTTCAAATGCGTCGAGTGGCACTGCAAGCCTTCCGCTCCACGCGTCGCCCGTGCCTGCGCAAATTCGTCCGAAACCGCACTGTCAATTCGGTCCCTAGCAGTTATGGCCTAGGCCAACGATACTTGTCGCGCCAGCGTTCGTCGTCCACCGTTTTAAACTCGTCCATGCAGATTCGCACCTTCACGGGCGCCTTGGTCGCTGCCGCCGTTGCATCCGGAGCATTCTACGCCTACCGCGGCACCCAGTCTGCGGCCATACCACTCACCGCCGAACAAGTTCGCAGCGTGAGCACCGACGCATCTGAGCCCACAAGGAGGGCGTTGGTTGTCGATCAAGGGTCTCTCTATACAGGCACAATCACGGGGAGTGCTCCGTTGTCTAAAGACACGGATGACTACGGCAGAAAGGTGCTGGAAATGTTGACGCCCGAACAGGCAACCGCGAAGCTTAGGAAGAATGAAGAGTCATGGACAGTTGGTCGGGGTCAGGGCGTTGTACGATACGATGTCGTTCAGATACCCTCAAACGAACCTATAGAAGATGATCACGCGGAGAAAATCATCGAAGTCCCTCAGAACCTCGCTGCTACGGAGAAAGGTGCAGCCACCAGCGACTGGATGTTCTGGGGCGTCTTTGACGGGCACAGGTACACAGCTACCGCTATACATGCATTCTAGATTGCAACGCTAACGTTTGTAGTGGTTGGGTGACATCTGCGAAGCTCCGCCAGACACTCATCTCGTTCGTCGCACGTGAGCTGAACACCACTTACAAGGCTGCGCTCGAGGATCCTGCCCTGCGCTTCCCAACATCCGACTCCATCGACAAGGCTATCAAGACAGGGTTCGTTCGTCTTGACAACGAAATCGTACACGAATCGGTCAAGAAAGTGAGGAAGGCTCAGTCCAAGGTTGCCGCTGCCGAGCTACTCGCGCCCGCTTTGTCCGGATCATGTGCCCTTTTGTCCTTCTACGACAGTAACTCGAAGCTTCTCAGAGTTGCCTGCACCGGCGACTCACGTGCTGTGCTAGGTCGAAGGGGTGCAAACGGAAAGTGGACTGCAACTCCACTCTCTGAAGACCAAACTGGTGGTACAGCTAGCGAGGCCGAGCGCTTGCGCAGGGAGCACCCTGGTGAGCCAAATGTGGTCAGAAACGGCCGCATTCTTGGTGGACTTGAGCCATCACGTGCCTTTGGCGATGCTTCCTACAAATGGTCTGCTCAAACGACCGAAGAGCTCAAGAAATCGTACTTTGCCCGAACATCCTCTTCACTCCTCAAAACACCTCCCTACGTTACCGCCGAACCCATCATTACAACCACGAAAGTAGATCCCGAGAAGGGCGACTTCGTGGTCATGGCAACCGACGGTCTTTGGGAGATGTTGACGAATGAGGAAGTTGTCGGTCTCGTAGGCCAGTGGCTGGATGCACAAGGCGGCCCACACGGTCAAAATGCTCAGACCCAGTCTTGGCTGAAAAGCTGGTTCTCCAATGAAAAGAAGTTGCCCGTGGAGGAGAAGACTTCATCCGGCGAGACTGGTCAACGCGCGCCTATTCGTCAGCAGCAGTGGGGCACGAAGACCTCTCTGAACGAGCGCTTCGTTGTAGAAGATAAGAATGCCGCCACCCATCTCGTTCGTAACGCGCTCGGAGGCAAAGACCAAGATCAGCTTTCTGCTCTTCTGACCCTTCCCAGCCCCTTTTCCAGGCGCTACAGGTAAGAAAAACTTGCTTCGAGCATAGCTTCATCTCAGAAAGCTAACGAACGTATCTAGGGACGATTTGACAGTCGAAGTTATCTTCTTTGGTGAGGGCGTCGCTAATGGGTCTGTAACGCTGAACAGAGACGCCAGTGCAGAGGAACCTGGCGTCAAGCCTAAGCTGTGAGATGGCCAGAAGAGTCTGTGGAAATTTCCCATTCATTGTCTTTTTGCCTGCATGATAGGTTCCTCGTGCTAATGCGGGTTTTTTCTACCGAGCGGGCGTTTTCCTTTTCTGACTAGGGCACGCTGCGTAGAAAAGGGGGAGGTACAACAACGACCCCTCCATCTCACCGCGGAAAGCTCCGTCACGGCGTTTACAAAGGAGAGTTGGGAGGTAGATATGCTTGAAAAATGGAGAGCGGCATTCTGTGCGATCTCGTCTTGTCTAACTATACCTTCTTCAACGTGTACCCGATGTCTCCATATCTTTTTATCTTCTTTACCCAGAAGATAAGTCAATTGAATTTATCCTCCAACTTGGTCCTTCGTTTTATTTAATCGTGAATGAAACTCGCCATTTCCCCCCACTCATTCCTTGAACAGCCTCTTGCATACACACACTTCCCCGCCATCTACAAAAGTGAATCAACATCGCAAGTTGGGATCAGTAAAAGCATCGGGAACCACAGTGGGAGAAACTAGTCAGGCTAGATTCGTCCCAAATCACGTCAACAGCTTTCCCAATCAGGAAATTTTTGAAGCCCATGGAAGACTGCAAAGACTGTAGTCGTTTTAGCCTAAGTTTCAGCATCGAAAGATCATTCTTTACGTGGAAATAGTTAACCGTGGGGTTTTACGTAGTATAGCGTGGGATGCGATAGTGCATTATGATACTTTCTGTTTTTTCGCTGGTTCTGCCTTCAAGACGCGCTATAGTATTTGGAAATGATGAAGAATCTGGTGTGGGGTGTCAAGAAACAAGTTAGTTTAGTCTTGGGATGTAGGTTGGTATTTCTTTATTCTCTGGACTCTACACAAAGCTCGAATCTGTGTCCAATGATTAACGTAAGAAATCAAGATGCTACTCTTTTGGCTACAACCTCTCCTCAAGATGATTCCACTGCAAAGCCCTTAACTACCAATCGAATCTTGAAAAAGAAGGGTCATTGCACTCTTGAGCTGTACGACATTTTTGGAAAACTTCCAGAAGTCTGGTCAACGGAGGCCAGTTACTTTGGCGAGCCAGTTCAGAGGATGCGGGGAGCATCTGAAGACAATCAGGGTTAACTCTGAAAGTCAGAAGAAGCAGTTGCAATATTGCCCAAGAAGCTTTACTATAATCCCTTATATGTAATTGAAAAGCGAGCCTGAGGGGCTTCGAACGATGCATTCAAATGTTGGCCCGCAATGCGGGTTTATGACTTTCGAGTGTAGCTCCAGTCGACGAAGCATTCGCAATTTGTCAAAGAAAGAACAAAGTGGCGAATATTGCAGCTACAGGGTCGTGCGAGAGGAAGCTGCGCAGGGAACGAGACTCTCGCTACTCAGCCTTGTCACCTGCTACCAGTATATCCGAGGCATGCGGTTAAATTACGACAAACATGAAACAGAGGGATAAGCAAAAGGGGGGAGCCTCTGGGGACATATTCAAGCTTTACTTGTGTATACTAACAACTGAAGGCTATAACACTGAAGATCATCATAGTGGGAAACGGCTCTTTGGCCATTGCGTACATACGTAGTTTCAGCATCAAACGGCGGGATCTCCTAGTCCAGGACGGCCCTGGCAGTGATTGTCTTACTCGATTGGCATTTTATTATCGCTGTTCTACACGTCAGCGGTCAAATTGTTGTTGATTCATGTCTTTCTCCGCTGTGATTCGCATGTTCATCATGCGTCACTTCTCGCCCCCAAACCGCGTTTGCCATCATCTAAGAATAACACACGACAGAAGCGCAACAATTTTTACTGTCTAACAAAGCTGTGGCAGCCAAAACCCAGGTCAACAATGCTTGATGTCTTATATATATCGTCTCCCATCCCGAATCTCTGGAAATGTTCACGTCCTATACTCCAAGTATTCTTACCATGCCATATTGTCCCCGATGGAACGATTTAATACCACCATTCCTCATAACCGTACTGCATACACAGAGCAGAAACCTAGTGCGCCCATTCAAGATTACGCTATCCCCCTCCAGAATGGGAAGAAAACCCGGACAGAAGGACGAAGGACGTCCACCTATATTCCGACGAGGCGCTCTTTTACTCTGAGGATCACGTAAGCATACATGGATAACGTGTCGGATCAGTAAGCCGCCCAGGACAGTAAGCCGCCCACCCCTCAACGAAAATCCACGCTTCTTGGGCGATTGCTCAACAACGTCACATCGTAATATTATGTATATAGATTTAATTGATTCGCGCTACCTAGCAGTACACTAAGTTCTTTTATAACCTTAGACAAAGCACTTAGTGCACGTTAGTAGCGCGCAAGGTCTCCTTAGTTAACTAACCTGCTTAACCTCTTAGACTACCCTATCAGCCTCTGTAGCTAGCCTCTAGCCTTCCTAAGCCTGTAAAGCTTCTCTACAGGCAATATACTATTAGCGCTACCTTTTTTTACGCTCTTTACGCTGTACAGCTGCCTAAAGCCTTGTATTCTCCTCTATAAAGATAGTAGCTAAGTGCATAGCAAGCTGGCACCCCTTTACAAGCTAGCAGATAGCTTGATTAGTAGGGCTCTGTAATTGTTAGCAAAGCAGGTCCTAGATATGCTAAGCCTGCTTCTAGAGCTAATCTACTGTATGCAGCGTCTTAGCTGTCCACTGTCCCTCTGCGTTGCCTACTAGCTAACAGGGTGAAGGCGTTCAGACAATAGGTAGAGAAGATAAGACGCGCTTAGGGCTGTATGGCACAAGCCTAGTAGCTAGAAACCTAGCCTGAATGTTCTTCTCTGTAATAGCTTAATCCTTAACCTACTTGTACGTAGATAGGAAGTCTATCTTATTAATATAATAGACGTGTTAGCGGGCAAGCTGCTAAATTGCCTGCCTGTACGCGCGTTTTAGAGGCAAGAAACAGCCTACATCAAGAGGCTAGAGTAGATGTAACGTATGAGCTGGCATACAGAGCGTAATAATGCGATTCTGCGCACAGTACTAATTAAACTCAAGAGTAGCGTGGCTACTGTAGCCATCTACAATCAGTAGTTAATAAGTGCCTACTGTACAAGCCTAAGTACAGCAATTAAAGTGCTCTAGCTAGGTAAAGCTAAGCTAATCTGTTGTCCAGCCGTTGTCGCTAACAGCAATCACCCAGCTAGGGGGTATATCGCGATACCAGGCAGCCTAGTAGAGCTTTCCAGCTAAGATAAGGAAGGGTAGAATTGACCAGCCTGACGCGTTAACTCCCTCAATAACTGTTACCCACTCCTAGTTCCCTAGCTAGGTAGTGACTGCCTTGCCAACTGTATCAGAGCTAGTTACTACCTTAGACGTGCTGGCAACGCCCATCTGGAAGCCAGTCTCATCAAAGTTGTATATATCTACATCCTATATCCTATATCTCTCGCGTGTGTCCTGTACGCGCTAATACCAGCCCTAAATTGCAATAAGATCCTAAGACAACGCTCTTTGTAAGTTAAACTTCCTATTCCACTTTGTCTAAAGCTCTGGCTGAGCCTAAATAAAGCATGATACCCACTTCTAGCCTAGGGGAAGAGGAGGAGGCTGTTCGCCTCGCGCGGCAACTAGAGTATCAGCCATTCGTTGTACGTCAATAATCTGTAGCGGAAATCCACGTCAGTTAAGGTCTAGGATCCATTCTACTAGGGCCTGCTCCTTAGTAGGAGATAGCTTTCAATTTGGTAACCTAGTCGCGTACTTTAGTTGGATACCTTAAAGGCGCTCACGTAGGGTAGTTCTTAGTATATTATAGGCTGCTGCAAGCTTGCGCACAAATAATAGAGGGTTTAATTAAAAAGAGGCAATTGCAAGGCCTAATTAACCTTCTTTTGCAAGCTTCTAGGCATGTGGTTAAGACGCCATAGTTGATAGATGAGGTGGTGACGCGTGAAGTCTGGTGGGGTGGGCGGCTTACTGTCCTGGGCGGCTTACTGATCCGACACGTTAGCTTTGAACCCAAACGCGACAGTTACCATGTAGCTACAATGATAAGCACAATAGCCAGGCTCTCTACCATGATTTTTAACAGGAATCATGGTGGATGTTATCGTTGCTACTGAACCATCTGTTCCATGCATATCTTCTATCATTTAATCCATCAACAGAACAGACGTCCACAGCCAATCTCGACCTGGACGTAGGGGGAACGGAGGGGTAGTGAGATAAGCACGGCTTCAGCCATTGCCGAATAGCTGAGCCGCCCTTTCCTAATTTTGCAAGATACGATAGGTCGTCCTATCAATAATTATACGCGCGAGTAAGAGTAATATAGATACGGGTATACATTGTTTACTATGTAATGGAAAGTCTTGTATATCCAGATTTGGATTGAATCTCACTGGACCACAGCAGACGGGAGGCACAGCAATCGCCGAGGAGGGGGCCAACTAGCTAAGCCATAATCTTCAGCTTTGTATCACCCATATCAACGAATTGATGAGCGGCACAGTTGTGAGGCTTACTGCCTGCGTCAGAAATACATATACCTGTAAGATCCCTCAGTGAGATTGTGATCAATTGTTCTGGTAACCATCGCACTTCCTGTTTTACATTCAATCGATATTATCTTTCACTGACTCTCCCCACTCCCATAACAGTGCGGGACATTTTGCTGCGATGGCGAAGCGTTCGACAAGGCAGGCAATCGATGATCGCCGCCAATTCCAACCCCTCAAAAGTCAGACCAGCGCAACAAATTCATCCATAGGATGGCAAACTCCTACGATCATGTCCGTGACCTATTTAGTAGGTATGTGATCAAGCTGTGTGGATACAACTTCTTTTGTCTCAGCCAGATCGTTTTATGAATATAATACGGAATTTGTCTAACACGCATCCAGCTGTAATATTCGCCCTCGCCCATTACTTGTACTGTCGAGCCATCGATAGAAAGCTAGTCCAGGATTCAATTCCCCAAAGTTGGAACAGCGTTTTATCTGTTCTTTTCGCGCAGGGCTACTCCATCCATCTAGCAGCATCTGGCTCTCAAGCTTTTACACAGATCATGTGGTGGTACCTTCGTCGACGTAGCCTAAGCGTATCCAAGATTGATGCCCTGTTTCATTTAAACGCCAGTCCTATCTATCTTTGGAGAGTCGATTTGTTAGCTATTACGCCGGCGCTATGGTTCTTTGCCTTGTTCTTCCCGTTGATTGCTGTGGCTACTGCATTTCCCCCTGCTTCGCTCGTTTTGCAACAATTACCGAAGCAGGATACAAGTATGGGACAAGTTCCAATGCTTGATGTCATGGATCTGGGTAATGGTACATTGGATGATATGTATCGCAATGCTATGTTTTCAACTTCCTCTAAGGGATTTTGGTAAGTGACGTTGAACCTGAGATCTAACATATCTTGTTGAGCAATACTGATCGAAGACAGGGAGACATTGCCAATTTACTCCAGTCTCGGTAAAAGGACATTCCTCCAAGGAGAGATCATTACAAAATCTTCTCCATGTGGGTCGAATTGTTCTTATGAGTTGCAACTCGTCGGTCCGACCTTGGCCTGCAAAGACAGTTGGCCGTATGGTGAATGGAAAAGAGTCAGAGCCGATGATACGATCGCTTATAATGAAACAAACGATGATCTCCTCCCACTTTTGTTGAGACAAACTGAAGATGGCGATTATACGTACTGGGGGATGTTCTCTTCGTTCCGCTACGAACGATCACTATCGGATGAAGAACGAGAATTAATTCCGATTCCATCAAGGGATGGGTGGAATTCTTCTCAATGGGAAGAGTTGGGGCTGGAAAACAGCGATAGTTCTAAAGTCTTTGACATATTCTACAGGACCGACCGGTCGAAAATGGGGCAGACGATAGGCTGTGTGCTCGCTAATTCTACGTACGATGTTAAGTTTAATTATACGGACAAAGTTCAGACAGTCGATGTGCGTACATCAAGCAGGAATACGGCAAATCGCTACAACGAAAATATCCGTGATATAATACAGAATCAAACACGGGCACGTCAAGAATTTCCGGACGAAATAGACCGCCTCAACGAAGACTTGAGGCGCAGCTTCGGCTTATGGCAGCTTTATGCAATGTTCGCAACATTTATGATGAACCTCAGCGGTGCTGTAGAGAATTTTAGTACGTTTTTTTCCCTGCATCCTCGTATCGTGGTATATGAATGCTCAATGTTGGCTACCACAGTACTCTAACCTCTGCTAGATGATAAAGCTACGACCGACGGAATGGTCAACAGAATCAAAACTTCACATGGAAATAACAATATTCTCGATAGTCCGTTTGTCTCATCTTCTTGGAACAGCTCTACCCACACAGAGAATGAGATCGAGTACAATATCTCGCCGTCTGTTATTGAAGAGTTGATGATAAACTACACTATATCGGTGTTGAATCACTCGAATAAACTCAAAGAAGTCGAGATCACCCGAATTACATACCAGGACGGCTGGGTCTTCAAGGCTCCAAACCAACTCCTAATAGCTTATTTCACAGGCCTAGCTCTGTACTTTGTAGTCATCAGTCTCGGCTTTCTTGCTCTGATTCAAAACGGTACACCAGCTTCTCCCGGTGGTTTCCTCGAAGTCTTGACCGCCGTGGCGGCTAGCGAACAAAAATCGACAATGAACAAACGCGTCCGAGCGTATAATGTGGGGGAACGGGCGCCTAGAGAACTCATGGATTACAAGATCCGGCTCGGGGAAGTTCGCGACGAATTTAGTGGGACATGTATTGCAGCGTTTGGGGCGCCGGAAGAAACGATGCCGCTTCGAAAGCGGCCTTTTCGAGGGCTAGACGTCTCTAGGGAGTGATGCCATGTATATCGTTGGCATTGCGGTTACTATTTACGAAGAATTTCGATCATTTTCTTTTTGTATATAATAGATGGAATATTACGGAGTTTGCACATTGTTCGGCAAAAAAAAAGTGGACACATACCTACATGTGTAGGTATGTACGTTTATTTTCTTAGTAAAATGCAGTCCGGGGTTTGATACTTTCCCGAGGAGTCTCCAAGGAATAGTCTACTCCTGAGTGGAGTTTGTCGTTAGTCGTGTTTATATGCCTCCATTTTTGTGAATATTTCGTGTGTCCAAAGCCAACTCCTACACCGTGGAGCATCCATGCCCACCGCCGACAGCAAAACACCTCTTTGTGAACTCTTTTTGTTGCCGCCTGCTTTCTACAAAGACCTTTGATCTACCTTTCAGAGTGTAGGAAATACTTCAACTTCCAATAAAAAAAAAGAAAAGAAACCCCCCGGCCCCTACACCACAGAACTAACTATATGATACACAAAACTCTACCAGGGAAAACACGAAATATAGTGTTTTGTTTTGAGTCTATGAGTTGCTTGAGCGGAGAATACACTCGACGATTCCGCAACCAAAGCCGCCGTCACTACATCTACCTCAAATACCTATAACTGCCTCATCGCAGCCATTGGGGAAAAAAAAACCACTAGGTGTACCCTGGTTTACTAACAATGCTAGTAATAGTTGTTCAGGCAGAAAATTAGCAATGCAAGCTTTTGCTTGTCCAAATCGCCAGCTCACAGCTCGAATTTCTGTGAGATCGGATTAGCATGGGATAATGTCCGTTGTTGATTGTGAGTTGAAGTTTGGGTGATCCTACACACAGCGAAAGGTTACAACGATGAATAGGCCAAAAAAGAAAAAAGAGCGATAACCTTATAAGTCTGTACCTGTCATGATGTATGCCAGGATGACCCAAGATTCTACATTTAAGATAACAATATAAGTCCTGGGACCACTAACTATTACATGGTCTTCGACGGCAGACAATACGGGCGACTTTATAGTACTGTATTGGACTTTTGATTATCGCCTGTTTTTTGGTTCCTTTATCGTGGCCACTATCGCTGTGTGTAGGATTACCCAAAATCCAACTCGGAAATCAATTGTAGTACTGTATTACAGTCTTTGCGGTAACATCATTTTCTCTGTACTTGTATCGCGGTGTATAGGGGACACCCAAACCCTCACTATAACCTACATTCATCTCGATAGTACTTTATCACGAAGAGAAGCTCGGGAATTCAAGAACCCCTGAAAGGAACCTAGCTTGCCCAAAGAAGTGATTGCTCTCCATGGGGAGAAAATACACACACATGCACACACAGTCCCCTATCCCCCCCCCCCCCCCCACCACGCTCGCTTCCTCCAAAGTCCCACTCACTCACTCACTCACTCACTCCCAGATACACGTCGGAACTCCGTCAGCTCAAACCAGAGTCCCTCAATTGTCCTCCTCATTTCTCCTTTGAAACCAAAAATCGAGATTAACGAGAGTGAGCAGAAGGACAGAGGAAAAAAAGCAGCGTCCACCGTTTTCTTTCTCTTCGGATTAGGCCACCCTCCCGATTCCGAGATTAGGCACGCACTTGCATAGACGGCTGATCAATGTTTAGATGTCGAATGCAACAGTGACGATTCGGTTGGAATGATGGCCGCAAATAACTAGGTTCCTCCCCCCCCCAACCGGGCCCCCGTCACGGATTACGTGCGTGGATGGCAAGGCAGAAGAAGAGCTATGAACCCAACAGCAATGTTCATAAGGACTAGTGTTGCAACGGAAGTGTTGTTGTTACGAAGTACATATTCAGTATAGGCAAAATAGATGGTTTGTTATTGTTTTGGCCGGAGAATGGACGGATGTTGGGGTGTCAAGTATATTCTTCAGCTCTTACTATTACCACACCACAAGCCCACACATTCACGCGGGGTTTTGTTCTGGAATCTAGAACACAACTCTCTCTAACAAGACCATCCGAAACCCAACTCCTTGAATAAATCGGCCTTGAATCCGCATCCTTCCTTGTATACCCACCGTTTTCATACACACACACGCGGAAAGTAGGCACAGCAAGCATCAGATCAGGCAGGGGAGTGAATACGAAGGGGGACAAGACCAATTAAAGATTCAGGACTCCCAAGATGCAAATTCCGGCCCCCACGGACCACCACTACACACAGATACACAGACACACATAAAGTGACATGTAGGGGGCATGATGCCGTAATCCCATCGGTGTTCGTGGTCAGCCAAGTCCGGTACGCGGTACACACACAGCACAGTTTTAAAAGGGGAGGTAGAGAGAGAAGATATAGATAGAGTGATGACGGGATGACCAGGATGACCGGACCCAAGGCCAACCGTTCGTGGAAACTAACTCGAAGGAGCTGTTGATGTTTACTGTCTTGTTTCTCGTTTGTTTCTTGTTTCAGGTTTTGATGTTTATGCGCGTGTTTGTTGTTTTGGGGCATGTACACGAAGGAGAGCGAGGGGGTGATGCTTGACGGGGTTCAGCTAGCTGCATGAGGAAAGAAAAATGTGTAAGGAATTTGGACGGCTGCTGCGCCACACACACACACACGGGTACACTGCTTTGACGCTTTTGAGTTGTTGGTGTACTGGGAAGGATTGGGGGAGGTGTGGCGGAGATGGGATGATTGGTAATCTGTTATGCGTTGGTTTGGGGGATTCCGGTTTAATGTGGTGACATCTGTGGAATGGTTGAGGGAGGTTAATGTTTGCTACTGTGTTATGCGAAGAGTGAAATGAAAATTGAATGGTCGTGTAGATGTCATGCAATGTAGTCAGATGCGCAGCATTCATAGTCTTGTTAAATAACTGCGGTGTTTATGTATGGGTATGGTTGTGTGGAATCTGATCGTGTGCGACGAATTCGTCCGAGACAGACGTGCTGAAGATTTGGTGTGGCGTAGTGAGTTGGTATGTGAATGGATGGATTGGATGGATGAAGGAAGAGAGGCACAAGACGACGCGACGACCAATGGCGGAACTGTGTGAGCAGAGGTTGAATTAAGACAATTGGAACGCCGCAGACGGCTCTGGTGATGTGATGGAAGGATTGTTACTACGCCGCAGACGGTTCTGATGACCTGACGGGAGGTTGTTACTTGGGTGTCTTCCTACCGTCGGGACGGAGCGCAGGTATGGAAGGCCTGATTGTCTAGAATCCGGTCATGGCATTTGGAGTTTTGTCTTTGTAGATTTTGGTAGTCTACGTTTTTTTTTTTTTTTGGTTTTTTTGCAGGTCTTCGCGATAATTCGCTTGGACTGGGCTACTCCCCAGAGCAACCGTGATTGGTAGATGGTTATGTGACCAGTGGCCGCGTCACACATGGAATGCAAATGGGCGGCACAGGTGTTCGGATGGCACACTACGGTTGCAATGCGCTGGCAAAGAGTTGTGTACAGAGGTGTACGGTGCACCGAGGCCATCGGTCCAACTGTCGGTCTTCAGTGGCCGGAGCTGTTTCACGTGTACCGGTATGGCGCACGCCGCCAAATTCGGTGGCAGCCAACCCACCGTCACCAACGTCACCACTACCACCAGCAGGCCGTGTGAAGACGCCGGGCCAACAAAAGTTGGAGGAGGCGCACTGCGAGGGCGGACCCGGATGAGAGGAAAGGTCGCCGCGCGTCGTGTGGTGAGGAGAGGTGTGGGGTGGTCGCTGGAGGACTGGAAAGCAACGTGCTCCGGACCGCTCGTGCATGGTCGGCGCATACCTCACAGCTGCCGAAGCCTGGGACATGGACGTAACTCAACCAGCATTTCTTGACATGCTCCGGGAGAAGGTCGGCAATGGGCACAGGACATGTCAGTATTATGTCAGTTTATTCCACAGCGGGACCTAGAAGTAAAGCCGTGGACGATGATGGCGGGTTAGAGTGGACGAACTGCCGGCACGGCTACTGGCTGTTGGGAACAGGGAGCAGAAAATGTCTTCGGCATCTGTAGCAGACGGCGCATCCAAACAAAAGAGTTGAGGAGAAGATGACGCTGGGTGCGAGGGCCAGAACACAGAGTTGTGGAGAAGACGAGCGTAATCGGTATCGATAAGTGGATAAGAGGGTGAAGAAAAACTTGCAGGCAGCCAGCGAGTGCGTTTGCCAGTCCCACAATTCATTTCCAGAGCGTCATAGGACTGAGTGAGCAACCAGACATGAGCGAGTGAGCAAGAAACACTACAGAAGGACTTGTTTATGCAGCCGGCCGGGTGGCACCCCGTCATTCGCTATACTGCGTGTGTGTGTATGAACAGCCTGGCAGCGCAAAGAGCCGAGCCAAGGCATGGAAGGTGAGACGGAACGAAACCAGAACATCGGATGGATCGAAACGAAGAGAGGGTAAACACGGTAAGCTACCAGACTAGATTTTTTGTTTGGTTGCCCTGGTCGACCAAGATATTGATCTGTTGTTCGCCTCTGTTGCTGCATCAGTGACGATGATGGCGATGGCGATGGTGAGAGAGAGACTGGCCAGAAGCCCACGCGTCTGCAGCGATTCGTTTGGGCGGCGCAGCATGGCGGGCTAGCCTACTCTGGGGTTAGCGTCACGTTGCGGTACCTGCAGATCCCGGCGCAGGATCTTCATGGCGAAAGAACAAGCTTGGCACTAGCCCGAAGCGTACCAGTGAAACGCAGGGGTCCCCAAGCCAGGGGTCCCTCTTTTTTTTTTGGCATACGCTGCCTGCTTGCCTGGCCTGACTGACTGACTGGCTGGCTTGCTGGGCTTGCTGGGTGGGCAGTACGCTGCCTGACTGAGAACGATTGCGCGAGCCCGCCGCCGCCGGAGATGAGCTGAAGAGCGCTCGTACTCCCTTCTGTCTCTTACTCTCCAGTCCCCCAGTGGTGGTCACCACAACCACGACGGACTCGATGTCCATCTGGCCAGTCTAGTCAAGAAGAGATTTTTTTCTCTCTTTCTACTCAGTGGTTGGCCTAGCCAGACCAGGCGAAGAAGAAACAAACATTTGCCCCTGACTGACAGGTTTGATGGTTTCGACAACCAAAACAATAGTCGTCGTTATTACTCACAATTGCATAGCAGGCTCCGGTTGCCATGCCTCAACGTCAGCTAGCCCACTGCCGCTGTCGAGCCGTCGCAGCGCCAGAGCGTGTTTGCATCCGCCAGCCCGCCAGGGGTCCCCCCTTCACGCCCCCTGCCCGCAAATTCTGCCGGGAGCGCCCCGAGAGCGCCCAGATGGTGATTGGCAGGGTGTGACGGCGCTGCACGCTGTCCTGTGCCTGGCGCTAGAGCCCTCGCGGCCTCCGTCACCCTCTTCCAGCTTCCCACTTCTCTCCACTTCGCTCTCTTCTCCACCATTTCGCTCTCTACCCTCGTTTACTATAAACTGCCTCCCTGCCGCCCTCCTCCTGTCCACTCTTTACAGGCTTGAGGTCTATCGTTGTTTGTCTTTCATTCACATTCTTTGCACTCTTTACAGAGATCCAGTCATCTCTACCAGTCTCTACGACTCACCCACACAATCACTCACCACTTGCCCATCTTTGGCCTTCACTCGAATTGCTAGTCGATTCACTTTCATCTTCCATCACACAACAGCTTTTCAGCACTTGATCAACCACTTTCTCTCCGTCAAAATGAAGACTTCCAGCATTGTCGCCTCCGTGCTCTTCGGCTCCATGGCCGCCGCTGCTCCCATGCTCAACAAGCGCGCCTATGTGACGCACACTTCCACCCTCATTCAGACCGAGGTCACCTACACCACCGTCTACGCCGACGAGGTCGCTCCCAAGGCTTCCCAGACCGATGCTGCCTTTTACGAGAAGACCGGAAGGCCCTCTGGTCGTCCCACTGTCTCCTCCAAGCCTGTTTCCTCGGCTGCTCCCGTCCAATCCTCAACTGCCAAGTCCTCCGCCGTTGCCATCCCTAAACCTTCCTCTTCCACTTTCGTGCCTCCTCCTGCTCCCACCACCACTCAGGCTCCCCCCAAGACCACTTCCCAGCCTCCTGTAGCTCAGCCAACCACCACCAGCAAGGCGAAGCCAACCACCACCCAGGTCCAGCCACCTCCCGTCCAGCCCTCCACCACCTCGGTTGCTCCTGTCCCTGCTCCTTCCTCCTCTGCTCCCGCTAAGCCATCCACCCCCTCCACTGGCGGCGGTGAGACCCACTCGGACGGTTCCATGACCATCCACCCCTTCGGTGGTGCCCTTGGATCTTGCGGACAGCCCATCAATGACAGCGACATGATGGTTGCCCTCGCCTCCGACGTCTACGGTGCCTCCACCTACGATGTCATGACCGGCAACCCCACCAACAAGTACTGCGGAATGAAGATCAACATCACCTACAAGGGCAAGACCGTTCCCGCCACCATCATGGACAAGTGCGACGGCTGCACTCGTGGCGGTCTCGACGTCTCCCAGGCCATCTGGGACCAGCTTGTCGGCGCCCCTGGTGACCGTCTCCAGGGCATGTCCTGGACTGCTGCTTAAGTACAAAAAACCCATCTTAGATACCCTCTTCTTTATAGGAAGACGCCTTCGTCTTGCCTGTTTTCGCCTTTTGCGTAGCTTTTCAATGAACAAACCTTTTACCAATCTCAACCATGTTGCCTTTTCAACTCTCTCTCAAAACGGCAACACCAAGAAGCTAGCGCAGGCAGGATCAGCGCTTTGCACGACATGTCTCTCAATCAATCACGAACAAAATCCAATCAAGCGCATCAATACCCTTCCTATCCTTTGAAGAGCATCCTTCTCAAACTCTTTGTACTTAGTCGGTTCGTTGTCCAACCATGTCCTTTTTCGAGCTTCATTTTCACTTCTATGTATACCACTTTTTTTGATCGCGCGGGAGGAAGAAGAGTAACGGTTTTTTGGTCTTTTTGGTTTAGCACAATCTTCTTAGATTATAAAAAGAGGAGGACACATGAAATACATACCTTTGAGCCTTTAGGCTTCTACACACAAATTGCCTCGTTCTTTCCTTGCTACGTGAATCTCGTCGTGTCTCATGAGTAGTCCATCCTCATCCCTGCGGGGATCTCTTACCGTCCATCCAGGACGAACAGGGACCACAACTTGAACAACGTCGTCGTCGTGGCTCGTGGCTTGCATTTTCCCCTTCCCTTGGCTACGGCCCTACCTGGTTGTTGGGTACCTGCCAACGAACAAACTTTCGCCGAACCCGCGCCCCTGGCGAAATATAAACTTTTGCCGTCAAAAAACAACGCACATCATTTCGCCGTGAAACAATAGTCCCAACGGCTTTTTTTTAATTGTTCCCCATGTTTCCCCATTCCCCATCATGACCCTTGTTTGTTTCGTCTTGTGTGGGTGGTCCTAGGAGAGCATGACTAGGCAAGTACGCTGCACTACTACTACATACGTACGTCTGGCAGCAAATCCTCAGCTCGAGAACTAAAGCGTGTTTTACCAAACCCCCCCCCCCCCCCCCCCACGCAAAAGATATCTCACATTGTAATTACGAAAATCAGGACCAAAATTTGTTGAAAACAAACCAGAGGAAATGCCACGCAGCACCCACCCTCTTGCTGTTCCGCTATTAGCATTGCAAGCCTACAAGTCTAGCTTGGAACTTGAGAGCAAGAGCTAGGCTTGAACGGTGCGGGAATTTGCCCAAAAGCGGCAACTTTATAGGCAACGTGACGGATATTGAGGGTCTCTGAAGGAGAATTCTGGGGGGGAAGAAGGGGGGTGTGGAGTAGACGCTGGATGTGCCCTACATTGCGTATTGCGATGAGAAGGCGTCATTATTAGTCGTAGGTGGATCTCCAAAGCTTTGGTGTAAACTGCTGGAGCGAAGTGTTGGAGTAGGGGAGCCACACCCTTCTATCCTTTACCTTGATAAGCAGCAGTTGGATACCATAAATCTAGTGCCTATAGTTGGTGGTGTTGAGAGAAGTTGACTACAATTGTACTGCAGCTTACTAAGTAATCCTATAAGTACTCAGGTAGCATTCTTACTTTGATTTAATTTGGTAATCGTGTCGGCCTACCTCGTTAGTATTTGCTAATTTAATCACGTCTTTCTTACTTCCGTTCGCGGCACGTCAAATCTTTAGTCGGGGCTTGCCTAAGGGACGCCTCAAGGGTGTGGAGAACTACTTGGGTTGAGGGAGCAGCCAGATCGCGATGTTGGTGTAGGTAGTAGTGGTGTGTTCCCTGTGGCCCTTTTCTTTACCTAACTAGGCACTCTATTTGTCTATGTTGTGGCGAATTTTTTTCTGCGAAATCTCTTCTTTCTTTTGGGGGGTCCCCAATTTCCTAGGATCATCATCGCGGGGGCAAAGGTGGGTGGGTGGATGATGTGGAAAAAGGACCCGGAAAACTCATTCTACCCCAATTCTCCAACCCCAACGTTAGCCCCCCACACGCATTGTCTATCCCACACATCACGAATTTTTTCATTGTTTGGGCCGAAGAACTTAGTCCGGGGAAGTGTAGTACATCACATGGGGAAAATGTCAAACTTGCGAATTGCGTGATCAGTAGACCACTCGCATTCACCATATCTCACGTTATCTGATCTACCCCGCTGTGTAACAATTGACGCTGTTCACGCGTAGTCGTATACACTACATGTCATGTTACACACGGAATTTCGGAGCAGAACCACGTGGGGGTTGATTCGGTTGTCCGGTCGGTTCGGCTAGCTAGTCTGCTTTCTTCTCCATGTGAAGAAAAAAAAAGTAAAAGTTGATAAACCCATTTGTGGGGAGATTCGATGATGGTGTGATCGCATCAATGTGGATTGTCAAACTGTCATCGCCCCAGCGAAGCGCAATGGTTTTGGAACTGGACATTTGGACTGTTGAATTGATGAGCGTGCGTGATGATGGCGTGATTGATTTTTAGGGAGGGGTTCTGGGTGGGTTGGTAAGACGGACGGGCGATATCGGATTGCCGTGGGTAGAGTGTCGTTTCACAGCGTCGATCGTACACTCAGGCATGAGAACACAGTAGAGAAAGTGAAAATTTGAGAATAATGTTGAATTTTATCGTGCTTGTTGTTCTAGTCATAGAAGAAGGTCCAGTACAGAGTCCGTCAATCAATCAATCAGTCAATCGGTAAGTCAATCAGCCGCCCGACATGATCATCCCCCAGCAATCTGGTGATGCTTGCCCGTAACCCGTCTGGTGGGTATCAAAATAAAAGTAGGCGCCATGCACCCCGCAATCCCGCAAGTGCCATTGTCACTCCGTCCACTCGTATGGCCGATTCGGTGCTATCCTCGCACTCGGGCCGTTGACTCAAATCAACACAAGCCTTGCCTTCTGCATCGCCACTGATTCCCAAGAATGCGAAGCGCCATGCATATATATGTTAAATAGATATTGTGTGATTCATCCGCCACGTTCCGGCGCAGCAGATGCGCATCGGGGCATTCAAGCGAACATGCTGGCGCCGCCGGACTCGACAGCGTCAATCTCGGCCTGGGTCCATGCCAGACGCTGGAAGCGCTTTGGCAGCTCGGATCGGTCGAAGTAGTTGCCCTTGCCAGCCTCGATGGGGCCAAGGGAGCTTCCAGGAACACCGCCAATTTGGCCGGTCGCGAATTTGCTCTGGTTGAGGGGGCCGTGCTGCTGAGCCTTTTGGCGGTAGCTGGCGAACGACTCGGGCAGAGCCTGGTTGGGGGAGGCTGGGTGGACTTTGGGAGAGTGGTCGATTTCTGCAGAAAATCAGCAAATGGTGCCATTGAAAGGTTGAGGTGCGAGCAACGTACGGCTGGGGGTGACGCGCTTGCCCAGGAAGCGGATCATGGGCTGGCGGCCCTGCTGGAGGATCTTGGTAGCGTTCATTGTGGTGGTAGTGTGGTGTGAGAGCGTGGTGTTTGAAGTTAGGTTATGGGTGCGCGAAGTGAGTTAATAGTTAAAAGAGGTAGAGAGGCAGGCGGTGTAAAGAAGCAAGGAGATGAGTGCAAGCAGAGGACAATTTTGAGATGCGAAGGAGCGAATGTGTGTGGGGAGAGGAGGGTTGAGGGACGAACGATGGGTGGGTGACGAGTGATGAGTAGTAGTACGAGTAAGAGCGGAGCCGAAGTTGGAATGACCGAGGGCAGCCGCGATGATAAATTGGTGGGTGGGAACTGGGCAGTCGATACGCTAACTCCGGCCCAGGCAAAAGGCAAGCAGACGCGCGTGGGTGAAATGGTGGAATAGTCAGTCAGATACTGCTAAATCCGAGAAACGGGGCGGTCTGCATCGTCGTCGTCGTCGTCGTCGTCGTATTGTCTGTCGCCTGAGCATCTCGCCAGCGACTGGCTTCTCGAATGCCTCGTATGCGCCTCAGACGCCTTGATTCCAACTCTTTTGCACCTTCGCACCGTACTTTTCCGGCTGCCTGGCCCAAGCTCCCACGGCAGCCGGCCGATTACCCAGCTCGCGAGAGCTCTGGGCCAATCAGAGCCCGCGATTCCTTATCGCATCCCGCCCTGTGCATGAACCTTTAACGTACAAGCCAGGGTAGCGGGGACAGTTTCAATTGACAACACCATCACCAAATCCTCCGCCGCCAACATCATTCCACCATGCATGAGCTGCTCTTGTATGGCCAGGTGCCTTTGGTCCGCCATGATCAGGTCCTGAAAATCCTGGCCGGTGTCGCTGCCATGCAGCCCCGCCGTGTCTGCGAACGACGCATCCTTTACAAACCCACCAAGAAGCCCGATGAGCCCGGCGCCCACCTGAGTAGGCGGGGTGGAACCCAGAATGTTGCCGGCAAGCCCCCTAAGCAGGCTGGCTCCAAAGACCTCTTCTACCAGCAGGTCGTGCAGACTCTATCCGACAACGATTTTGGCAAAGACAGTGGCCAAACCCTGTCGGCTGACGTGAAGCCTGGCCAAGATCCCAAGTGGGCGCTCGAATTCTACGATCTTCCAGATACTGGCGACAGAGGGGTTTCTATACGCCAATCCAGCTCTACCTCTCTTCTGTCGGGTGATCCCCATGCTTGGATGGCCGCCGCAGGTCCGCACCGGTAAGATTCGCTCTCAACCATTTCTTCTTGCCCATTACCTTCTAACAGGCACATGGTAGTTATGTCGCCGAGTATTACCTTGAAGGACATCGCTTTGTCCACGGTAACGTTGTCATCTTTCTCCATCGTATTCTCCATCAGCCCGGGGTCCGCGCTCGGGATTCCCCCGTTGTTCAGCTTCCAGCATACGACGCCCTTCAACTTGTGGATCCAAGCGGCGCATACATACTGGAGGCCAAGGTCCGCGTCCATGACTTCAACCAGACTGCCGTCATGGACAGTGCAGTGAGAGAGATAGTTGCATTCCAGGAGCAAATGAAGGGCTGTGTGGAGTTGGCACTTCCGGATCGCTTGGCGTTGGATACACGAGTGAAGTGGAAGCCTCCACCTCCACCGCCTGCCATGAGACCTCGTTGAAGTACATGCTCATTTGAAGACAGACCAGACTTTCATGTCGAGAATTCTTTTGCGTGCAAAACGGAAAGAAAAATGTAATGTGTAATTTGCCAAAGCATTTTCAAATGGTGCAGAAGGCTTTCGTTTCCCGTTTATTCTTCGCACATTGCTAAGGGAGGTAGCTTCTTGAAGAGGACTCTCATGCTCGTGGGTTTCCGGCTGTGAAGTCTGCTGGGGTCATGCACGAATGCAGTCGTGGTGAATGGGATAATGTGATCGTGCAACAGCGTGACCGAACATCGCTCGATCAGTTGGAGAGAAGCATAATCACAGATGAGCCGAGACGATACTGCTTCCACCCAGCTTCGGTGCCACGTACCCCTCGCTTGTATGCATGTGTGGTCCAAAGAGCATTGAGTAGAGCCGATAAGCTGAAAACCGCAGAAGACAGGCATCGAGATTAATTCTATTTGCTGTAGACGCATTTCTTGTGATACGTGTACATGCAGTGATTGGCCGTGTATCGCAGGCATCTTAAGTCTTAGTACAGCAAGCACTTATCAAATCAAAAGAGTGTTTCGTTTCGAGCCTGCTCATGATACTAGTGACACCGCTTGATGTGTTTTGTCTGTGGAACATATAGGCACTTAAGATTGATGATGATTAGTATAATCACGTGACTACGCGAGGCGTGTTTCGCGACTTTTCTAACCGAGTAACCCTTTGTTGACGGTAATCAACAACAAGACACTGCTGGCCAGCCATTACATCACTGCGGGAAATTTTGCTACGCTGCTTGTCTAGTAAAGACTTTCTGCAGTATGCCTGATCGTCCAATCTTGGGAAAACGACCGAGTGCGAACGATCGTGACGTCTCCCCACCTCCTACAAAGCGCAAACAGCAGTCAACAACCACGAGTGAGTTTACTGTTCATTTACCTCCAAGTAAAACCGAGAACTTGCCCTGACGAAGCACAGGTAAAGCAGTAGCAAATTTCTTCAAACCTGCGTCACAGAAGGAGAAAGACGTCGACCAAATGTCATGGCGGATCTTGCATAAGACATTGCTTGTCGGACGCTATGGCGCATCAAATACTCTGAACAACATTCGAGGGACTGGCACCAGGAAGATCGCCGTGTTTGATTTCGTATGTCTTCCTCTGACGAGTCACCATGTGGTTCTCAACTTGCTGACGAGCAACAGGACTCTACATTAATCAAGCCTGCATCGGATCGCAAATTCGCCAAAGATGCATCTGACTGGAAATGGTGGGATCCAAGCGTACCGGCAAGATTACGAAAATTATATGAAGAAGGGTCCGTGATAGTACGCTGCTCTTACCTAACAGATACTGATGTTAGCTACAGATACCTTGTTGCAATTCTCAGCAATCAAGCAGGCATAACATTGACCCCTGATCCCAAGAAGATCAAGTCCGACCAGAAGCGCCTGGCAGACTTCAAATCTAAAGTGACTACTGTTCTCAAGCAGCTTGACTTGCCAATTACTCTATATGCAGCCACGGCTCATGATGAGTATCGGAAACCAAGGACTGGCATGTGGCAAGAGCTGTTGGAGGAGTATGACCTGGAGCAAGATGGAGCGGTCGATCTATCGGCATGTTTATTCGTTGGCGATGCAGCAGGGCGAGAAGCTACTGAAGGTGGACTGAAGAAAGATTTCTCGTGTGGCGACAGGTATGCTCTTGCTACAATGCAAGAATGACTTGACCAGAGTCACTGATCAAGAACAGGAACTTCGCTGCCAACGCAGGTATACCTTTCCTGACACCAGAGGAGTTTTTCCTCCAAGAAGCACCACGACCTTTTGTGAGATCGTTTGAACCGGCTGCCTACATCAAAGACGTGGAACCAAATAGCGGTGAGATATCTTATGCAAAGACCAATCCACTCGATATCGTTCTACTAGTTGGTAGCCCGGGCGCAGGAAAATCCTCTTTTTATTGGAAGCATCTGCAACCATTGGGATACGGCCGCGTGAACCAGGACATTTTGAAATCTGTAAGTAAAATTCCGTTCCCAACACTCCTAGCAGCATATGCCACAGTAGCCAGTCTTGCATGATGACTACGACGACTGCGACAGTAGACACAGTGTTCCAGTGACTTGTGACCCCGCCTGCTTTCAGAATCGTGTCCGGCCATTGCTAACTGTCTTCACAGAGGGAGAAATGTCTCAAGGCTGCATCAGCTCTACTGGAGGAGCAGACGGATGTTGTTGTTGGTCAGTACTGTACAGTAGCTACTACATACCCCCCACATTTACTTTCGGCCCTACATGTCAACGGGGCTACACTGTTCATTCCCACTCTCACATGCGCAGGGTCCATAGGCTGGACACGCAACACCAAATATACTCCCCCAGGGACTTGTCATTTGCTGATACTTTGCATTAGACAACACGAATGCCGATGTGGCAACGCGGGCCGACTGGATTGCTCTCTCGAAGCAGTTCCAGATTCCGATCCGATGTGTACTCTTCACTGCGCCGCCAAGTTTATGCGAACACAACGATGCTGTGAGGGCTATGAATGCAGGTGATGATGTAAGTCTTTCCTTGGTGAACTGCAGATGTGCTGGCAGGAGAGAATGCGATGGCCGCATGATGGCCAAAATGCAGTTGCGCATCACGGGGTTCTTGGATTCGCATCCCACTGGAACATGCATTCGCATATGCAACGGATAGCTCGATTGTCCGTTGTTGGGCCTCATAGTTCAACGTGCCACATGCAGAGAGCGGATAGGGTTTTGCGGGGAAACCTACACCGGCAGGAGGGACGGTCTAGCCCTGGAAGCACATGTGATTTCCACTTGATAATGGCATGGGCATGTCTCCAGCCTATCAGGTTCAGGAATTGAGCAGAATAATTGCTAATATTGGTCAACAAATGCAGACGAATCCCGAGAAGCGGCTCCTTCTTCCCAAGACAGCCTTTCTAGGTTTCGCGAAGAGATACAGCGAACCGCAGATTTCGGAGGGCTTCCAGGATATCGTCAATATTGACTTCAAGGTACGTTCTACGTCATTGACATCAATGATTGCTTGGCTTCGGCCAAATACACAATTCTGCCTGAGGCCACAGAACCATCGCGTTGCCACACAGACATTGTATCTGGGCAACGTGTGGCTTGTCGGAGCGTTGCAATAAGGCCGCCAGTACATGAATATGACATTGACTAAGAACGCGGGTTTTGGCTGACGGAGATGTCAATCTAGTTCGAGGGCTCGGAGACGACTAAAAAATTGTGGACCAAGTACTGGCTGTAAAGCTCGCCGAATCAATGGGTTGCTAAAATCACGGCATGATGCAACGATCCGGAGGATGCCAATGCGCGATTTTTTCTTCCTTCCCGCGGGACTGAGCCTCGGTTTGGTGTCTTACTATTTTTTTTTCTTCTTCTCTCATCCTCCCATACACTTGTTCCGCTGGTGCGCTCCAACCATCCTGCTAGCACGGGCTTAGTTAGCGCAGGATGCGGAAGCGGACCCGGCAACCTTGCCTTCGGAGCTTCCACATCAAGAGAATTCATCCGCGAGCCGTCTGTTCCTGTTTTCGCGTCCCATGAAAGAAGACAGAATCCATGATCCATGAATCTGGGGAGCCACCCGCGAGCACGACCACCAATCACGGTCGAGCGCGTTGAAAACGGGCTCGGCGCTCCTTCGATGGGGAAGAGGGAAGGAACGTATCGATCGCGATGAACGGAATTGCAGATAACTTTTTGTCATCATCATACTATACAGAAGGAGTTGTAATCTCCACCCACTTGTGGAATCCATAGCGTCCAACAAACGCGCAAGGGATTGTTCTCGACCAAACTGCTGGCTTACAGGGTTCGCGGGCCGTTTCTAACGTCAGATTGTCTATTCCCATTCCGATCGATTCCCAATCGATCATCATCACTAAGGGATGAGACAGACCACCCCCTTTTATGACGATGTTGATTGATGATGTTGTTGTTGTATAATTGCGATTGTTATGATGTGATCGGCGAATGGTCCGATGTTTTCTGCTAACGTCAGTAATACATATATATCCATCATCATCATCATCATCATCAAAACATCCATGTGCATACATGTATGCGTATGTATGTAAGAAGAATGAGCGCACGGGAAGGGCCTGCTCATCCATAAAGACAATAACGATATTAGTGAAAAGGTCTTCCGTGGCGAGCTGTAGAATTGCTTATCCTGCGTGATGAAGGCAGTCTCTCTGCATGCGGTGATGTATGCCTGCCCTTATTCAACTCGATCTTGCATCTGTGTACCTGCATCCATATGCGATGTAGCTTACAGCTTACCGCTCATCATCATCATCTTCATGTCTGAGTTGTCCTTCTGTTGCGGTGAGGTCAGGTACGGTCGAGCTTTGCTTGATTTGATACCATCGTCATCATGATCGTCATTGCCGTGATATTGGAGATGTTTGTCGCGGGAGTTGTAACGACAGATACTGATGCTTCAATTCAGCCGGAGGGTAGGTGGAATGGGGGTTTCTGGTGCACCCCCTTATCTTTGTCCGTGATTGATGCTGGAGAAGAAAAGGACAGCCCCTGAAGAGGAAAGGAAAAGAGAGGAGTGAAGACCAAAAGAAAAAAAAGATTAGCCTGATCAGCATCAAGTCATCGTGACCTGGAAAGCCTTCAATCCCTTTCCCCCTGATTGTAGATTGTATATCGCTTCACCTTACCTTTCTATCCATCATTCGAAGAATAGAGTAAATGAATGACTGGCTGATTCAGTTAAAAGTTTCACCATTCCCCTCACCTCAAACCCCCAGCGTTCGGAAACAAAGATAAAAAAGAAAATGAAATCTGTATTTAAAGAACGAAACCGGTGATCCTCCTCTCCCCGGAAGCAGCATCCACGAACAAAAAAAAAGCACCACATAGTCAGTCAGTCCTCTACTCCACAGCCATACATATATGACTTCTCTGCTACCCTACTCCACACCCCTCAAAGAAAATTGCCGAGGATTCTCCATGAAGATGCTTTTGGAATTGTTGAGTAGTACACACTAACAACAGTTCTCCCATCCACATCCCGTCTCCACATATATGGAGAAGAGGGAAGGAAAATTTACACACAGATACACGCAGTATGTACATGCATACCCACAGTGGACACTCTTAAGAGAACATCCACAGTAGTCTAGAACTTTTCGATACTACGTCTACCCACCGCGTTATGATTTTTTTGCTGCTACTGAGGTTCACTAGCTATAGAGAGGGGAGGGGAGGGTGGGGGGGTAATGGGGCTGGGTTCGTGAACTACGGGAACGGGATACCTTCCCTTTTCATGCTTCATCCCCAGAGAAGAAAATTGATCCTTTGGTTGGTGCGTTGTTTCACGGCAGTTGTTTTTGGGTGTGTCTAGGTATCTTATCTACATGTTTGTGGGGTTGTAGAAGGGGAGAGGGGAGTATTGATTGAGTCGTGGTGAGGGTCCAGGTTGGGGTTTCGGGGGATGATGGGTTCTGGGTTGACGTTAATTCACTTTTCTGGAGAGGTAGGGTATGTAGGTCAAGCTTAGCATCCGCTGGTGCATGATCCGATTTGACTACAACGAAGGAAATAGGGAAATATGGTGGGGTAGAAGCCATTGGAAAAGAAAAAAAGAAGAGTAGGCGAGGGGGAGTGTGCTGCTTTATCCTTGGTTGCTCTCCGTGTTTGGAGGTGGATGGCTTTCATTCCTTTGTTGCGTGCAATGCAATTTTGAAACTTTTATAATTGTTGCTCGCGTGCCTTTGGGTTTCTTTCCACATGAGAGCACGCGAGCACACACACTCCCACACAGATTTGAAAAATTGAGTGTGGATTCAGTTCGATCGCTAGGTTAAGATGGATAGCTCCATGTCAACCAATCGCAGTACGTCAAATAGTAGTCGAACTGCGCTATGGGTCACCTTCCGTTCCGTCCAGTTCAGTTCAGCCCACTTTAAAATGAAAAGAACGGGCACAAACGGCATATCCAATCCAAAGCAAACAAGTGGGGTGTCAAGAAGAAAAAGTTGAGGATGAAAGCAGAGGAAGGATGTAGAGGGTGGGGGGTGAAAAGCCTGCCAAGCAAGAGGCTCCTCCCCTCTACGCATTGTTGAGAAACGCACGAAACTGGAGAACAGATAGAATTTTTTTTTTCTTCTCTCTCTTCTCTTCATGTTCATCGATCTATCCACTTTTTCCTTTCTTCCACAGTTCTGTCGATGGATTTGGGTTGGGTTGGGTTGGATTTGGATCGTTGTGGCAACCTTGTGGGAACACCGACAACGGGGGAGCGCATGTGGAGCTGGGTTCGCAGTTGTGCGGAATGCTAGACTAGGATGGATAGTGTCTAGATTTTTTTTTCTTCTTGGTATGTGGCTAGCCCTACCTTACTAATAATTATCCTGCGTACTTTGCTCCGCTGCAAGAGTACATACGTAGAGTAAGCTCAGTAGAGTAGGGACAGCAAGCACATGCTGCAATTTTAATGTAGTCAATCACTAATGAGCGACCAATGACAATGTAGGAAGCGAGTTTATCTCTATTCTAGGCCACTCGATCATTCAATCATGCTGGTGCTAATATGTCGGGAGCAGCACGATGAATACTGATAGGGCTGTGGAAAAATGGTTGGGTAAGTACTGAGGCGGCTAGGATCATACCCGGCACCGGCGTCCTGCAGTTGAGCAAACGGTCTGGACGGGGGAGAGAGGAGAGATTGCGCCGGGCGCGTATGTACAGTACATGTAGGAATGCTTCCTTTGCTGGGATTAGTGGGCTTCTCTCGTCTGGAAGAATCATATGGGAAAAATGCAACATGTAGCTAAATTGAGCACATGGTACTGTGTAGAGTTGGTGCTGAAGCGAGACTATGCTGGGCCAAGTGCCAGCTAATAGCTGTACAGCACAACTCATCACCTCGACATGGGACTTTTTTTTGGCATGGTATTTCTTGCTTTCTCTCGACCTTGGGTGAGCGGTGAGAAGGATAGATTGCTTTGCTCACTCAGATTCTCACCGACAACGGGACGGGCCACACGAGGAGCGCAACGTGGTGTGTGCTTGTGTGCTGTACGAATGGAGCTGGCCAAACAAAACAAGCCGTGTACACAGTCAGAAAAACAAAGCAAGTGATTTGAGCGATGATAAGGCGGGCAGCGGCAGGTACGGTACCTGACATGTGCTGCGCTGTCCCGCTGCGGTGCTGACAGGCCCGGAGCAACAACAGGCTGTGAGCGGCCAGCAAGGAAGATTCGTTGTCGGGATACCCCTCGGTGGGCCAGCTCAAGCGATGGACGGGGGGTTGAATTGCTGACCTGTGCTCACAGCTCACTGTTCGCTGCCAGGTGTTGTTGAATCATTCCGTCATGCCTACCACCCTGTTTGTTGACAAGCCCCCAAACCATCTAGCAATCTCATGCACAAACAGCGAGGGTTGTCACGGCGGGTCAAGCAAGCACGAGTAGAGAGTGGGCAGTGGTCCGGTGCTTGCGTCAGCTGTGCCGTGCCGTGCTTGGTGAGAACAGCCGGCGGGCGGGTTTGAGCGCTTTGCCGAAAGGGCAGGGCGGCGCCGAAGCAGACGATGGGGGATGGCGGAGGGGCTGTCGTCATGATTCACAGAGGGTGGTTTGAGAGAGAAGAGGGCTGTTCCCTGTGTGAACATGGCTCCGGTATTGGGCTCGCTAACGGAGGGCTGGGAAGGACGATCAAAGCGTGGGAAACAGTCTGGGCACGGCGATCCCAGTCCGACCACCCGCGCACATGGGCGTTTCTTTTTGTTGTTTGTTGTCGTCTCTGGCCGATCGTGTTTCATCAGTTGAGGTCGCCATGGCCACCACCACCACCACCCTCTCGAAGGGGCCGGCACCGCATTAGGCCACGGATGGATGGCTCTGCTGGAGGTGGTGAGGTTATGATTACCTGTCCTTACACTTAGCGACATAATGTACGTGTGTGCGTGTATACAATTATAGCAAAGTCGCTACTCAGTTAGCCACGCAAGTCTGGAGAGTATGTATCAATGCAAGTATCAATGTACAATGTAGCTGGCCTGGCGACGCACCGCGCTTGTGGTTGGGCGAATGCAAAATAACAAGTCTAACGCCAATCAGCAGCAGCCCAACGGCTGATATTCCCTCCTCGACGCTCCTCCGATTGGCCGGCCGGCCGGGTAGATGCACGTCAAGCTTTCTCTCCATCCTCCCTCCTCTCGCTTTTCCAGCCGACTTTGGCCCGAGCCAAAAGTTGCCTGCACAGTCCAAAAAACCACAGTCGAAAAATAAATCGCCTTTCGCGCTGCGCTAACGTGCCCCGGCCATGTTGATTTTTCTTGCTTTCTGTCTTCTGCCGATGTGACGACGTCTCAGCATCCGCGCCCGCCAAACAAAGCTCAGTCCAGCGTGTCACCCGCATCCCAAGTCAAGAACAAGCTCCCTCTGGCGGTTTGACTGTCCCTACTGAAACGGCTGTTTGTTTGTTTGGCGAACATTTCCCTCTTCCGCGGCCAATCACAGCTGCCGAGGGCTCGAAAAAGCGTCAGAACATGACTTGAGTCGGAAGGGGGACTTTGGACCGACTTGACAATGACTTCCTGACTGACTGAATGACTGATGGAGACGGCTGTCATGCCGTGTCATGCCATGTCATTATCCTGCCTTGCCTTGCCTTGCCTCGCCTTACGTCTGTCCGCCGGCTCTGCTGGGATGCCAGAGGATCGTGGCAAGGGCATCCTCCTTCGCGCGCCCCAACACCTCGGTATCACACCTCATCCCAATCGAGCTCGTATCAATATTTTGGTGACTGTGCACAAAGCATTCGTCGTCGTTGTTGTTGTTCCTGCATGGCTTTTTCCAGGCCTGCCGGGGGTGGTTTTTGACATCACATGTACCGGCGTCTCCAAACAAGTGGAGCGGTGGGGTCGTCACTGGTCATCAATTTTTTCTTCTTCTTCTCCTCCCTTCTTCTGTTTTCGTCCCCCATGTGCATGACGAGCAGCCCGCAATGTCTAGACCTTACCCAGTGGGGGATTGTCCTCCTTGGCTCCCGTGCCGAAGCAAACGGTTGACGGTAGCAGCATTTTGGTGCGGCAGGTGTTGGCAAGCTGCAAACTGTGCTGGCTGGCAGGCTGCTGGAGAGCAGCATCATTTCAAAAAGTAGGCACTGCCATTGGAGGAACGGCCTGAAAACAAGCAGTAGATTAGGACAGTTGGGCCCGTCACGGTGCAGGGCGAGACGACGGCGGCAGAGGGGACATGTGAGGCTACATATGTGCTCTACAAGACGGCGGAGGCAGGGCATAGCATGGCATGGCATAGCATAACATAGCTCCCCATCGCATCGCAAGCCCTACGGCGGTGCCGTCCCACGGCGGGCCAGAGGTGATGGGTGCGACGGTCATACCTATCGGTGGTGGTTTGGAGACATTCATAGTTGACGCGAGCGAGCACGGGGGAACGGCGGCGAGAGCCGGCACCACACGGCGGTGCAGTCCATTGCAGCTGTCACTAGCGCTGCAAAGAAAAAAAAGCGTCGAGTCGATTTGCCTCGAACAGTTACAGTTGCCGGGCAAGAGCGCATCATGTCGTCTTGGATGCTGCGTTGGTGGAGAGGTCGTGTTGCGTGTTCTTGGGCGGTGCCTGTGCTGTGCTGGGGGGGAGGGGAAGGGGGAAGGGGGAAACACTGACCAGGCCAGTCCAAGCCAAGCCAGCCAGCCAGCAAGCAAGCAAGCAAGCGAACAAGCGAGCAAGCCCCCCCCCCCTCCCCTGCTCCTTCCCTCTGGGCTTCGCTCCTACCTGCCTGCCAGCCGAACCCTTGCAAGACGCTCTGGCAGGTGCATCCCACTGCCTGCACTTGCCGTCCGACTCTAGTCCCGCACAAATGCCCGCGCGCGCCCTGCCCCGATTCATTCATTCACCCAGTCAGTCAGTCACTACTTGCCTACTTACTTACTCTACCTTACCTACCCTACATGCCTACCTGGACCTGACCTGACCTACCCCAACGCTCCCTCGTTTTTACATATCCACCACGCCCTCCTCTCCTCTCCCTCTCCTCCAGTTCCCCAATCTTGCTCTGCTGTCTCTCGCTTGCATTGCAATTCCCCTTCGGTCGCCTCCACATCGCCATCCACAATCAATCCTCTCTCACGTGCCCGCCCAAAACGGAGTGACAGCCGACGCCTGACCTTGCGCCCAAAGCGTAAACAATCACAAATACATACGTGGACTGCCTCTATCGTGACACGCCTCCCACCCCCTCCACGCCCGCCACATCCATCCAACCGCCAATTCGGCCTCCTCGTCGCCAGACTCGACCACGAGCCGCCAATTGACCTCTCTTTTTAAGCATTGATGGGGCCCTGCCGTCTCGTAGCCCTCAGTCAATCACCGCCTTCTTCTCCACTACCATCCCATCAGTTATGCGCGAAATGAAACCTTTGATCTTGCCCAAGCTGGTAGCCCAGCGCAAATCCTCAAAGGGCTCAATCAACTTGCCCCTCGAACCTTCTCTGTCCGTCCACTCCAACACGGATTCCGGCTTCTACTCGGCCTCGGAGTGCTCCACCCCGCCTACCCCAAGCTTCCAGCATGGCCACCTCAGATTCCCCAGTTCGGCTTCCTCGTTATCCTCAAGTCCACCTACCCAGGAGTGTGTCCTGGACGCTGCCAATGCTTCCGGGAAGCTTCCCCAGCTCACCGAGGATGTCGAACGGGAAGACGACTACATCACCGTTAGCCCGTATCGCCCTTCGCGTAAGTCTTGCTAGATCCGTATATGTGCTGTTCTCGCCCTTACTGACTTCCCTTACAGTTGACATGGACATGCTTGACGACCAGCTCGTCGCAGAAGCTTATGCTTTTGATGATTATGGCGTTGCGCCCAAGAGAAGACGATCGGGCGAGTCGAGCATGCACGGCGTCTCCACCCGGCTCGAGCGCAGCTTTCCTTCTCTATCTCGCAAGATGAGAGAGCAGCGTAAGCGGGCATCGACCATGGGCAAGTCTTCAAGAAGCAATACGCCATCCAGACATGCATCCACGCGGACATCGTCCATCACTAGTTCGATCCACCAAACCCACAGTCATGACTTTACCGACAGCTTCCCTCCCTCCCTGCCCGTGACAGCACGAAGCAGCAGAGAGAAGCTGAACGCATCCATTGTGTCTCTACCAATCGACATCGCCAAGGCTAACGACAACGCTGTCCAGCTCGACGTGGACGAGATCGAGTCTGAGCGCTACGCATCTACTCCGCTACTCCCACCCATGTTGACCACCAATCACCTAGACGACACTCCTACAAGGTCACCTTTGCAATCCCCTACTGTTGCCAACACCGACCCCACTCACTCTCTGGTGACTACTCCCGTCGACTCTCCTCCAGTGCGCGCCTACCCTACCCCTCCGCTGTCAACCAAGGCTTCCATTGCGTCCTTCAAAACCTCCCGGCCCAGTCCGTTGGTGCCCTGTACCGAAATCCCGCCAATTATCCTGGCTGATTCCGGTGACAAGTGGGCTCAGAAGCTAGGCCACGACAACTTCACCATTCTCCCGGAACCCTACATGCCCGAAGTTTGCGACGCCACGTCGCGCGATACTTTGTTTGCTGACTGGCAGCAAGCGCGCGCCAACTTCACCAAGCACCAGGTGCGCATTGCCGAGCACTACGGCCCAACTTCTACCACCTACAAACTCTGCCAGGAGAAATGGGAGGAGACGGACGCCGAATGGATCAAGAATCTCGAGCTCTTGAAACTGCTTGTTCCGTCGGAGCCTTCCGTACCAGTGGTTCCGACAGCGCCTGATGACGATGCAAAGCTTTGGCCCACTCTCAACGAGCCCCAGAGCGAGGGCAAGTTTCCCCAGCTAGGCGACGAAGACATTGTCGGACCCATGGAGCGAATCCAGCCTAGGATGATTCAGCCCATCACCCCCAGGAAACGCGCCTTCTTCAAATTCCTACACGACCTCAAATTCTCCACCTCTTTTCTTGGGCGCTCCCACACTGGTGTGCGCGGCCACTAGCCGGGTTTGCTACATGCGACCCGACATTAACCCCCGTCGATATGCTGTGTTACGAAGCCATTCTTGTTCACTGTTTGTAACAATACCCCCCCTTTTTCAGCCAATCACCATTGGCATTACGAGGTACCACGACTTGTATGACATTACATTGCGTTCGCTCCCTTGAGCTACGAACGATAACGCTCCTTATTACGAATTTCCTATGTCACCAGCAACTGCACTTCTTAGAACGCGTACTCCTTCACGGATCGTAACCAATACGGGGTTACCTACGGCTTTTTCCTTTCTCCTTTTATGAGTCCTTTCCTGGTGTTATCAGGCAAACCAAAAAACGGTGTGGGAACACGGAAAATCCGGCTTCACTCCTGCTTTTCGCTTTCGGCGCAAGCATGATTGTCAACGGACACTGGCTCTTTATCAGCCACGCTACTATTTCCTTTGATCCTTCTTCTACTGCCATTATTGTATTTTGTCTGATGTTTAAACACATAATCTGTGTTTTCGTTTTACATTTATCGGATTCCCTCGTCATTTACTCTTCTAACCTTGCATCACCTTCTCCACATCATGGTGGGTTGAAGAGAGGCAAGCAAGGATGCGCTGGAGAGGAACGATTTGTGTTACATAGGCGGCTATACCTACCACCTCGTCCGACCTCGCCAGCAACGGCAGGGCCAGGGCTCGCAGGAACTAGGACAAGCGCAGTCTGGGCTTTTTTTTTGTGGAGGGAGAAAGAGAAGGAAAGGCCCCACCACCAACCACCACTATTTTTTATCAAATGAAAAGCGCTGTTTGAAATCAACATACTCTGCCCAACATGAACTTGCATTGAACTGTGTGATGTTGCATGAGTTGGTATCAATGATGGTGGCACTGCCTTGCTACCTACCCTGCCAACCTTGGTTTCACCGGTTGATGTACAGGTATATCTATATGTACGAACGTTTATATGTATGTATGCATCGTGCTTTAGAGTTCGGCGTCCGAAGAGGTGGGGGTTGGCAAACTTTGTTCCAAAAGTCAATCAAGTCAACAAACAATCAACATCCAAGTAAACAAACAAAACAACACGCTTGCTTGTTTGTTTGGATGTTTATCCGGTTGGCACGTCAGTGTTTTTATCTCTACTCTGCTTTGCTTTGTTCTTCGAAATGGTGAGCGGATCCAGCACATCAGATGCGACATGGACACCTGATCTCCCCTCCTCCCCCCACACCTTCCAACGCGGGGGGCTGGTTAGCTAGGTGATTACATAGCTACTTAGTACATACATATGTAACTAGTTAATCGTACATGTATGAATTCACGGCACGTCCAAGTATGTCTACATTATTATGTCAATCCGTCAATCTTCTCAATAATTCTTCGCTCTAGATACCAAACATCTACTGATCTTCCTTTTCTCTATCCATCCATGGTTCGTTTCCCGAAAAAAAGGTATCAGAGAACACATCATTCTACTCAGCCACAATATCCGGGGATCCTTGATATCCTGCAAAAAAGACATGGAATAAAAAGAATTTGGTCTAGACTCTGGAATGTTTGGGATAAAAGTCTGTCATGATATGTCGTGCTTTTTCGTGTCGTCTTTCGATCGCTGCTGTGTAAGTGGTGATCGAATCAATGAGGAATGGGCTGGGTTAGAGTTTATTGTGGGGATGGGGATGGGGAAGAAGGGATGGATATGTCATTGTATGCATGCATGTATGTACGTATGTATGTGGGTTGGGTATTGTGGGTGAGCGGTGTATGTGTTCGAGGGAATTTTGGGGGGAAGTGGACAGGCAGGCCGTTAGACGCGCGGGTAACCGAAATTTCTTCTGCTCTGCATCTGGTTTTGGAGAGGCGTATCCTTTTCTTTCCTTTTTCCCTTTCTTGAAACTTGTGTGGAAATGACATGAGTCTGTCATATTTTTTCAACTTACCGCTTTTTTGGATGGGATTCTTTTCACTCCACTGCTGACCTTTGATTTGCTTTTTATTCCTTTGGAATTTCAAGGTAGTTGCATTTTCTTTGCTTTTGCTTTACCTTGCTGTCATGCGATTCCATGCTCGTGTGATCTGGACCGGGTTTAAGTCTAGTGGCTGGGAAACCAGACTTTGTTTTTCCCTTACTGCCCTGCCTCACTCTTTTCCCAACCCTAGAATGAAGTAATGTTGAGAGGGTTGTTAGCGCCACATTCGTGTCATCATTGTCCCGATCTTCGTAGAGAAAAACCCTCCCATTTGGGGATGATCGTTGTCTTTGATTCCACGCTAAGACAAAACACTACAAAGTTTCTTTTCCGCTTTCTGGACAAATCCAGGGTCGGTATTGTTGTTGAGAACCAAAGTTGCGGTGGGAGAGCAAATGTATACGTTGACGTGCATTCTCATTGTTTGCGGGAAGCTGCATGAAGGAAGAGGGGAGGGAGGCGGGTCTGTGGGATTTCTGCACGTATTTCCCGTCCGTGAACAGATAGTGTCATCCATTGAATCTGTGGAGATGAGGGTGGTTGTGTGTAGTGTATTGCGTACCGCAATGTATGATGGAATACGAAAGCTTGTTCCAAGACATGTAAAGTTGATTGGAGATGTCCTGTCATGTCACCTACCAATCTCCACCTGATCAAATCCCATGGCAATGCAAAGAGGGCTATTTTCAGAGCGTCAGAAGACAACGTGTCGAACGCTTGACCGACGGTTGTTAGCATTCGCGCATATTCTGATTCAACGCCGGCGGCTGGAAGCAGCCAGCCATATACATATGCATGGAGTTGCAATTCCCGATATACGAGCTGGAATCGCAAGGCAGAACGCCCATGTTCCTGTCGGATGGCAGTTTCGCCAAAGCGAAAACGCCTCTTTCGTAACCTTCGTTCCCGAACCCGGTGCATGAGGCTCTTTTTCTCCATGTATCTGTGACCGACCGCTACTTTGTGCTTTGACAAGTATGCAGTGTAGAAAGTGGACGACACGGGGATTCTGATGTATCATCGGTATGCTCGTCACTCTGCTTCAACCCGCAAGCGGCTTCGGCTCCTAATGGTGGAGGTGCCTGCAGATGCTGATCGTGAACCGGGTAGGAGAGTGCGGGATGCGGGTGTAGGCGAGGGAGGAAAGGACGTGTAGCGGTGGCTGAAACGGAAACGGCTAAGCGAGGTGGAACATGTGCACGCATATTGCAAGTATATTGTTTTTTTGTGGCGTACTTAGCATCGGCGTGATTGGCAGAAGAGACAGGGCGCTGTCAATGGCAGGGTGGAGAAGTGGTGATGCGGCAGCGGTAACCCGACCTGAATGTGCAACTTGTGGCGGCATCACAGCAGGTTACAGTGTTGATCATAACCCGATCTCACAGATTGGATCGGGATTGTGGGGGAAGTCGATGATAGATCCCAGATCTGATAGGTAGAGACGCGGCTTGGACACTATCGATAGCGGTTGTTGAGATGTGAAGCATGCCGCATGAGCCTGGTGGCGGGAACAGAAAGGGCTGCAGAAAGGCGTTGCACGAGGAGAAGTGAAACTGGTTGGACGAGTGGAATACACTGGTGATGGATGTATGTCTGGGAGGCTGAGTTGATTTGACAACGTGATGTATGTTGAAGCCCAGACTATGTAAGCGATGTTGAGTTGCAAGTGATATGCGCATCTGCGAATTCCGCCTTCAAAATCCGAGTACTTGGAAGGTTTTGAAGAGACCAGATGTAGACTTAGTTCTAGTAGAGGTAGCAACCGCCTGTCTTCGTGCCAAACTCCAAATGCCAAGAGTAAGTGATGAGGTATGATCAGGCCTGTCGTGTATCGTTTTTTGACATTGTATGATCCCTCGACAGGTCTAGACCCCAATGCAGACCTTGACTGATTCGACATACAAAGGGTCAGAAGGTGTTGGCCACAGTGAGTGAACGGCACATGTGCACGTGCAGGACAGACTCGGGTGTTGAAGTACTGTGTGTATGAGGGCGGCACTGTGATTCGACAAATGTTTGAATGTTTATGTAGTTGTTGTCATGTGCCTAGATTTGGGTCATGTGACTCAGCACTCATTCAAAATGTTGAATCTGACATTCAGATGTGAATGCATGCATGCCCATATTCTGGAGTAAGTACTTGGAGAAGTAGATATATACAAGCAGTGAATTTTTTGGAATCCTGGGGATTTGCTTGTGCTTGCTGGCAGCATTCCAAATGTTCCCTTCTAGCCAGCATTCAAATGCGAGAAACAAGTTTCGTTCCAAGCCGAGGCTAAACGTTGATTGTAGACTGGATCTAGTGTTACATTGAAGTGAAGGCCGATACAAAATGGGGGTTGAATGAGGTTAGCAGAGATGATAGTCCGGTAGATAAGAGTAGGAGGATAAGGAATAGTAGGAGTAGATGGGGAGGGATGATGCATAAGGCTGACGGAATGATGCCGATCTGTTTCCACGAGCTTCTCATTAGCGATCATCTACCATTCGTTAGCTGTTGGGCGCGCGGCGGGAAGCGGGCGGGACCATCCACTCTGCTCAATCATCAAGTACCTATTTCTCTTTTCTTCTTCATCCCCAGAAGGCACCACCACTCCCCGGCCTGCCTTATTAACGACGACATCGGACCTGACGACTGCGACTTTACGCCTCCTCTCCTATTATTACTCTCTTGCCCGTATATTACTGCCCGATCCCCCGCCCCTACGTAAATGCATCTCCATTCTTCGGTTCCGCATCCAACCCAACGCCTGCTTGCGGCATCATCGTGATTGCGCTCGTGCTTTGTTTCACCAGACATCGCACTTCTAACCTTTCCCGCCCCGGACGCGCTCCGACTCGCCGTCCCTCGTTATCAAAGTCCATCTCACCCATCTCACCCGTCATCACCATGGACACCTCCTCCTTCTCCGACACCGAATTCGAGCTGCAGCCCACAGCCAACGACGACATCCCTGAGGAGCCCGACATGATTCTTTCAGACGATGCCGCAAACAGCGAGAGCTTCGCACCCCCGCCACGCATCGCTGCCCGCTTTCATCGCCCTGCCAACAACCGCCGCATCTCATCTGCTGCCTCTTCACGCCGAAATTCGCTGTCCTCAACACATTCACACACTTCCAGCCGCTCCTACCGCAACAACTGCCAAAGCCACCATGTTGCCCAACATCTCCGCCGTGCATCTATACTCGAGTCCCGCAAGGCCCGTCTAGCAGACCGCGCTGCCCACGCCGAACAAGTACGCTTACGCGCTGCCCTCGCAAAAGCAACATCTCCCAACTCAAAGAGAGAGGAACGTGCGCTGGCCGCTAAAGAGGCTCGTGAGCGACATCTCGCCCAAGTTGCAGCCGCCTGCGCCGAGGAAGTCCGCCGTGCGAAGAAGGTGGCAGAAGAGAACAAGGAACGAAAGGCCGCTGAAGAGCGCAGATATAGACAGGAGATGGACGACAAGCTTGCTGAAGCTGAAAAGAGGCGGATGGAGTACAAGCGCTCCTCTCGCAGGCCGAGAACCGCCAGCTCTCCTCCGGCTGATGCGAAGAAGATTACTCATCATTCAGCTGTGTCTTCAGAGGATGCTGCAAAACGCATCCAGAATGCTTGGAGGGCCAGGTCCCGCAAGAATATCGTGGACGCCTGGCTGGATCTCGGTTTGTCCATCGATAAGGTTCACGACACAAGCTTCGACGAAATTGCGGGTCTGCTTGCCGCAGAAAAGGTCTTGACCGCCACAGAGAAAGTCATGACCTTGTTTGACTTGATCTCCGAGTCCGACCCCGCTGCCCGAAGCATTTCCGTGCGTTCCTTCCTTTCTTCGTACCTTATTCTGGGACATCCCGCGCAAGTCTTGAGTCAAGACGGGGACCAAGAGCAAGACTTGATCCAAAAGGCCAAGGAACTTATTTTACAGTTTGAAGCTGCTCTAGGCAAGCTTACGACATTCAACTATTATACACCATCGCCTACGCGCGCCGAGACGGTCTCCTTGGCCTACGGCGCATTCATGACCGCTTTCGGTGATTGGAAAGCTCGAGATTCCTCGCGACTCATCGAAACTATGGTCGCCTCGTTCGTCAGTTTGGACGCCATTTGGCAGAGTGTCAAGGATGACACTGTGGACGAAGTGGCAGTCGAGTACAAGCATGGTATCAGAGACAACCAGGCTATCTTACTCAGTAAGATCAAGAAGCTGGCTGGCCCGGAACGGGCTCTTGGTCTGATCAGGAAAGCGATCCGCGAGAGCCGAAAGTCAAGACCAAGGAAGAAGCCCGCTGGCGAGGTTGCACGCCCACGAGTCGCTATTGACTCTGGTTCCCCCATTACAGACGAGGACGCGGCCCTACTCAACGACGCTGCATCTCACCTGCAACAGCGCAATGATGCTTCCCAAGGCGAAGGGCACCAGGCCCAGTCGTTATCCCAAATTTTCACTGTTGTTCCGACCAATCGTGTTTTGGTTCACGAGCTGTCCATCGACAAGGAATATAGGATTGACGCATCCCCTACGGCCAGTAGGCGGAATGCACTGAACCGTGGACTTTGCGATGGCATGATTCGCGGCTTCGAGGCCGGAGAAGGTACCAAGTGGACCGTGGCAATGGCAGAAAACATCAGAGGGAAACTTCTCCGATTGCTAAAGCCTGGGAATTCAATGTATGAACTCATTTCGGAAACATTGGATCCTGAGTTGATTAGCAACCAATGCGACCAGGAAATGTTTTCGTATGAGAAGTTTTTTCACTTCATTGCCGGCATTCTTCCCAAGCTTTGTGCACCATTCCGCGATGCTGAAGTTAAAGCTTTAGCGGATGAGTTGCAAGAGGAGGGTCCGCTTCCGGAAATGATTGAGAAGTTGTTCAAGCTTTTGCATATCATCGACCTTCTATCCCTGGATTATTCCAACTTCCTCTTGATGAATGCAGCTCCCACTCTGATCAAAGAGGCATCCGGATATGAGCAGCGAATGTTCACTCAGGATCTGGAGGAGGGCAAGATCACACTTGCAAGGACGCAGCGCTGGTGGCGTAGCGCCGCCGTCAACATGCACACGGAAGCCGACCGCCGTGATCCATGGAGTCAACCTACCCCACTGAACCGACCCACGCCTCAGAAGATCTACGCGCGGGGCTTGGTGGACCTTGCTATTGCGACGCCACCGCTTCGAGATTCGGAGATTCCAGAAACCCTTGAGTTGGACAAGGAACGTCTCTCGCGCATACGTGATGAGTCGATGCGCATCACGGCCATTGGCGGAATCCTGCTGACTGCCAAAAACCTGCTCAAACGAGATGTACGCTCTCAGTGGAAGAACGAGGCAAACCGCATGTGGGAAGTTTTGAAGGACGGCTACATGAAAGACGCGACGACGCCTTCAAAGATCTCGTCGCTACTTGAGTCTTCGCATGCCATGCCACCTTCTACCCGGGCACAGCTGTTGTCCACCATCACCCGGCTGCTCACCCAAGCAGAAGCAGGCAAGCTACACGATCCTGTCATGAAGGTTCTCTTCCAGCGGCTCAAAACTCACATTTTCAACCGAGTGTCGGCAAGTAGCTCAGGCGAGCGGGTCAAGGCTGCTAGTACGGCTACAGAAGGGCTCGCTACTGCTGGTCTACCGGAATTCACGACGCAAGTTGGAGACATCTGCGAGCAGCTCACCAAGGTTAGCGAGGTGGACCGCAGAGCGCACGGGAGGTGGTATGAAGAGATTGCGGAGGAGATGGAGAAGCTGGGTGCTGAGGGACACGAGCTGATCAGGACGTCGAGTGGGGAATCGGCTGCTGGTACGGCATCCAGCTCGTCCTCGGAGTAATGTTTGTACGTGGGGTTTGCGGGTTCCCACTAATTTGCGGTTGCTTGTTATATATCTTTTGATCATGTCATTTCTGATGCGAGATGGTTTGCTTATTTCTGTCAAGGCAAGGCGTTCTGGGTTGCAGGGGAATTGAGGGCACTTGGGAGGATTCTGCATTTGGACTCGTATTCTGGATACACGGCAGCTTCCAAGTGGGGTTGCGCTACACATGATAGGGCTTATTATATTATTCTCTTCACATGTTCACGCACTACGGTTTGCCCATGTTGTGAAGAGGCCAACGAAGAACAGAAGGATAAGGTAAGGATACTTGAGCAGCTAACCTAGGAGAGGACTAGGTGAGAGGCTGAAGCATGGGGAGGGTGCATATGCGAAGTATATTTTTGCCACCATCTCCCACTGCAATTGACGGCTTGGCAGGCCAGCGAGCTGACATTGCCGGAACGGGCAGTTTGATTGTCCCATACATACTTTATGTATGTAGCACCTCATGGCTGGCATGATTCGGGCGCTCTTGATTTGCATCAACCACGCGCTCTGTGCAATCCTTCCACCGCCCACCCTTCCATCTCCACCAACAGTTGTTCGTGCCGGCCGTGGCGCGCGAACCCGGGGAATTCTTTGTTTGGCGACGACCATGGGAGGGCTGATCAGAGTTCTAACCGCCTCCACACCTGAAACATGACATGGTCGCCCCGCGGCCAATCGTTTAACGACCGAGTCGCGACGTTCAAACTTGCGACCACTCACTCGACCCTGCTGGCACTATTGATCTGCACCCGCAGCCTTTGACAAACACGCTGGTCCACTCGTGCATGCCCTTACTGCAGGGGTTCATTACCCATCGTGCTGCCTGTTCTTTTAGAAGCCGCCTTTGCTGCGTTTCATCCACATAAAAAGCCCTGTAGTGCAAGCCCACGATGGAATCATCTGGGCCACTCGTGCAGCCCAAATTCAGGCATGCAAGCCCACGGAGCCGCCAAACACCCATCTGTGTCTCCTCTTACCATGTAGACCCACTTTCACGCCTGACAATACAACTCTACTTCACCCCCCCCCAAGTGCTCTCTCACTTCCCTTCTTCCTATTGTCTCTTCTATTCACCTATTCATACTATTGTTGACCAAAAGTATAGTCTGCCGCAACGGCGTGGCATCCCTTTCCTTCTCCCCTTTCAACACCAACTCAATTTTTACTTTCTGCAACACCAACTTTCAATCCACACCCTTTACGTGAACATTCTCTCTCTCTCTATCAAACTTTATCGCAAAACCTCCAAATACACCATCAACCATTGATACTTGTCCAACATGGCTCTCCTTTCAGCAGAACACCTGGCCGGCCCAGGCTACATAATCCTCAATGTCATCCGGGCCTTGAACATAATAGCCCTCTGCTCCGTCATTGCCAGCAGCGTCGTCATGTTGGTCAAGACCTTCATCGTGTCCAAAGTACGCCCTACATGTCGTTTGCTATCCCAAACAGAAGCTAATAAATATGTACAGTTCTTCTTCTTCGATGCTACCAGCCATGTCGTTACCGGATTCGTTGGCAGTAAGTAGTCCCTCGATTTCAGCGTCCCAAAAATCCAGAAAGAGAGCTCTAACAATGCCACAGTGTTTCTCGTCATCTCCGAATGCTCTCTCTTCCGTGGATGGTTTGCGAAGAATTGGCCTATGTTGAGTCCTAGCCATGGCTTCGTCTTCCTAGGTGTCAGCATGATGGTCCTTGGTCTCAACATGCTGGGCAACATGAACAAGGAAGCAACCAGCCAGGACTCTTTGGGCATGCCATTCTGGCGGCTTCTGGTCGCCTCGGGCTGCTTGGCTATTGTCATCGGTTTCTTCAACGTCGTCTCGGTAAGTACAACCCTCAATTTCCCACTTCTGATAACTTGTGCTAATACTCTCCCAGAGCTTCGTGTTCCGTGATACTTCTCGCCACATCACGGCACGCCGCGTCCGCTCTCACGGTGCTATATCCCTGACTTCCTACCCGGATGACATCGAGTCTCAATCTCTCTACGATACCAAACACAAGCCCTTCAGCCTCAGCTCGCAACACACGGGCAGCGCCAGCTCTCGTATCGGAGGAACTCCACCATACCCAGCTTCCCGCATCGGCACTCCCCCCATCGACATGGGCTCCCCCTCTCAATCATTCACTTCGCCCAAACCCGGCTCCACCCATGAGAAGAACAACAACACCTTCTCCCAGTTCGACTTCAACCCGATCCACGCTTTCCGCAACGCCCGCCAGTCGTTCCTCCCTCCTTCGTACCACTCTCCCTCTACTACGAACAACGATAACAACAAGCGTGCCTCTTCCCTGTACTCTCGCTCTACGTCCGGTCAGACGAAACGCAGCTTCTGGCTCAAGCGCCGCGAGCGTGACAGTGTCGACACCGTGCCTCATGTCCCTGAGATCTCAATGCCTTTGAACTCGAACCCACAATTTGCCTACTTGACTAAGCCGAGTCTGGCGCACCACCCTAGCGTGAGGAGCCGTGAGCAGGACTTTGCCGATAATAAGTTCTAAGGTGGTTTCCGGTGGCGATTCTCTTCCATTCTTCTTCTGACCTACTTTCTTTTCCAATCCTTCCCTTTTGGAGGATTCCTTTTTGCGCTACATTGATACCAGGTTCCTTTTTTCTACTTGCTTTTTTCCTCCACACTCTCATTTCCTCGAAACATTGGGATCTAAAATCAACTGATCCTTTCCCTTCTTTCTTTTCGCTTCTTCGACCAATGACCCCTTTTATATTACCCTCTTTTTTTTTTTACTCCGTCTCTTTTGCGACACTTCACTACTACATGCATGCAAGCACAAACAAGGAATGTGCATGGGAAACAGGCGTTCTCTTTCTCTCTCACTTTGTTTCCATCGGCGTTGATACCTTTTCCTTGTTCTCTCGATCGTGTATCCTGTAAGAATAACAGGGAAGAGGTATCCAAACATAGGAGGGGCTGATGTGGACGAGTACTGATACGGTCTGTTCGCAAGAAACAACGAATACCCACATTATCACGGATATGAAATTTATGACTTTGAACTCTTTCAACTTGCTTTCGCTCTCTATGTGTGTGTGTATGTGTTTATACTCGAACGCGTGATTGAACTGTATTCCATAGCTTCAAAGTGAATTTTTTGTTCGTACCTCAACTGTTACTACCCACGTCATTCAAATGCGTACTAGGAATCGATCCCTCACCAGTTAGACGAACATCTATCTCGCTATATCCCTTGTGCACTTGGTGATCCAATCGGCCAGGGTTCGCATAAGCCGAGGACAGGCAAATAGTCACCACCAATCAAAACCAGCGCCGTAGAGAACAGCCAGAGTGGTAATCTAGTCGAGTACGCATTAATCACTCCACAGTCTACCCACACTCCCGACATAATCAGGAAGCCATTGGACGAGATGAGAAACTACGATAACATATTTAAGCATTGTTATCAAGATGGAAACGTCCTACCCTCGATTCTCGCGGGAAGAGTTGTCTCTCTTAAGCGATTGAACTTTTGTGTTTCAAAGAAGGAGCAGAAGAGTTCTGTGCCGATTAAGCTTGAATTCGAACCTCGTCGGTTTCCAAAATGGCTTGAACGACCCACAAGAACCAAGTAAGAGCTTTTATAGAAACTGACGCTGGTATCGCCAGCAGTGAGTTCAGGAAGCAAATGCACGAGGAGGTGACTTGACTTCGATTAGGCTAGAGAACACTTCCCTGTCTTTACGAGAAGAATATTTGAAGGTGGAACAATAGGATTTGCGTAGAAACACTGCCATCTTATCCGCAAAAACGATGCATATCTAGCATATCTCGCCGAATAGCCACCGTCATCTCAATCGTACTCCGCGCTCATGAAGTACTATGCCGAGCATTGGTATTATACATAGATTTACATACGAAGGTATAATTTATTTCCTCAAAGGGGATTTGCGTGGCGCCAACCTGGAAGACTTCCTGGGCGCCAACCTCAACAACGGCCTTTCACATTTACCCATGTCTTTGGGTGGTACAGGGTGCTTCCAATCCAAATAAAAATTTGACAGTATGATACTCGCAGTACTGCCTGACCAATATAGCATTAGCGCAGCGGGTACATCTTGACAGACGGGCCCAACCATCAAGCTCATTAAGATCGTGACATATCGCACGCCCCTTGAGAATCGCGTCATGTTCTTGGGGCTCAGCTGCAACTTCCCCCCATTTGTGGCCAGAACGTTGTAAAGCATGAGTCCGGACACCATGAAAGGGAGGTAGCCATTGGGATCAGGTTCCAGAAGATTAGGGAACCAAAGCATACCTTCAGCACCCAGCGTAGGCTCGAACCACTCAATCATACCTAGAGTGATGCCATGAATAGATGTGACTGGATCCTTTAAGCCGGCTCCATCCAGTATCATCCCCAATATACCGTCTCGCATGTTTCCCATCCTTCTGATGACCTCGGACATGGTAATATATACGGGAAAAGTAGAGAGGGTCCACCACAGTTGCGAGTACACTGAACAATCCCACCTCTTGTCGAGCTGGCTTGTCGCTCTCTTTATTTCTCTCGTGATGAGATTCTGTCCTTGTTTGGCGGTTTCAAAGCCGCCCTTCTTCGACAGCTCATCCATCTTCTGCAAGGCGAGGGCTTGTCGAAGCGGGTGTGTACCGAGGTATCGTGCAGTGATTGAGCGGGTTCGAGTTCCCACACCCCAAAGGAGGAGGCCACGGACGATGAACGCAGAGAGTGGCACCGCGGCATACCATGGCATAACGCCGTGCAGAGTGGTCAGGAGCGTGTGTGGAAGGTAGAGGAAGACGGAGGCGACATCGTTGCGGCGTGCGGTTGCGTGGAAAGCTCGCCTTCGAGGTAATGGTGCTATACGAGGCGGAGACGGAAGAATGACGCTGCGCGATAGACAATGGCGCGCTGGTCTTGATAACGAGCGCAACGGCAACATGCTGTGGACGATGAGAGATGCGCGCGCATCATCGGGTCCTTTTTTGTTGTTTTGCGGCTCTTCCTCTCCCGCTCGGAAAGAAGCTTGGACCCGGATCCAGACTGTCGGGTTCATCATCCCACCTCACCTCACCAACCACGTCACATCTTCGAACCGTCTGTCCAAACATTTCTCCACTTCTCGCTTTTCCCTTTCCTCGTCCACCCGCACGGCTGTGTCCTCCAGCATGATTTTCCTTGCTGCTTTCCTTGCACTTATACTCTCCATAGTCTTATCCCTCGTTTTCCTTCCAAGATCCCTCCGCTTTGGTGGAGAGCTGCTGGGCCGCTACTTGCGCCGAGCATCCCGCACAAGACGAGAATTACTGCTTTCCAGAGTAAACACTGAGCAACGTGCATATGAAGCAGATCACAAGGCAAAGAGAGATCATGGAGAAGAAGATGACGACTGGGAAGAGGTAGAGGCTTACAAGGTGGGCAGTGCGGAAAATGGCGGGAAAGCTGATCGAGACTGGAGCGGAGTAGTGGGCTTTTTACACCCCTTCTGGTGCGTAAAACAGGTGCTGCATAATGGTAATATGGCAAGAAGAGGAGCTAATTGAGAACTACTATAGCAATGCGGGAGGCGGCGGCGAACGCGTCTTATGGGCCGCTATCCGTGCAACTCAGAAACGCTGGCCGGAAGCTATTTGCGTCGTGTATACTGGCGACCACGATGTCAACAAAGATGATATACTCAAGCGCGTCAAGGACCGATTCAATATTCATCTCCATCCTCCGACTGTACACTTTCTCTACCTCACGACTCGTCACTACGTTCTCAGCAGTACCTGGCCCCGTTTCACGCTGCTGGGCCAATCGATCGGCTCTGTGATTCTAGCGTACGATGCTTTCAGCCTTTTGGTGCCAGATATCTTCGTGGATACCATGGGATATGCGTTTTCGCTTGCATTCTCTTCGCTCCTCTTTCCGACCGTGCCGACTGGCGCATATGTTCACTATCCTACCATCTCAACCGACATGCTCAGCTCGCTGGACGCAGGAGGCCAAGGCATCAATGCGGGAACCGGACAAGGTTATCGTGGTCAAGCGAAGCGCCAATACTGGCAACTATTCGCAAAGCTCTACTGCAAAGTCGGTAGCACAATAGATGTCGTAATGACGAATTCTACATGGACACAGACACACATCAAATCCTTATGGAGCCCCTACCGGAACCGCCGGAACTCAACGACCACAGATGACATAGATGTTGTGTTCCCGCCCGTCGCCGTCGAAGACGTCGAGACAGTCATCGACATCTCTCCTGAGAGTGAAAAGAAACGCGGTCCCTACATTATCTATATAGCACAATTCCGACCGGAGAAGAATCACCAGCTCATCATAGAAGCATTCGCTTCATTCCTTGCCTCAAATCCAAAACTCCCCTCATACCCAGACGAAAAGCCAAAGCTCATCCTTATTGGCTCTGTTCGAGGTGCCGATGATGCCACGCGTGTGTACAATTACCGTCTTCTCGCTCACGAACTGAACATCAAGAACCAAGTCGAGTTTGTGTGCGATGCCAAGTGGCCTGAGATGTTGGATTGGATGCAGAGAAGCAGCGTGGGCGTTAATGGCATGTGGAACGAGCACTTCGGCATCGGCGTGGTCGAGTATCAAGCTGCCGGCCTGGTCAGCGTGGTCAATAACAGCGGCGGTCCGAAATTAGATATCGTGGTGAAAATCGATGGAAAGCCCACAGGTAAGCACAGCGAAAGACCAAACCCCTTTTCTACTTCTCAGTCTATCGAATATGCAATGTTGGGAATATGCTCACAAGAATAAACACCATAGGCTTCCACGCTTCCACGGCCGCTGAATATGCAGATGGCTTCCAGCAAGCGCTTTCGCTATCGCCGGATGAAACACTCGCCATGCGTCATAGAGCCAGGGCATCAGCGGGTCGTTTCACAGATCAAGGATTTGCGGACAAGTGGCTGCAAAACATGGACACGCTCATAAAACTCCAGATTTCGCGTTCCGTCCGACCGTGATATAAAGTCAACCCCGGCGCTATTGATTCATTGTTCCTCTCCTTATATCGATATCCCCACGGTTACTTTTTCTCTACTCTACTCTCCTAAAATGCATGTTTGGTAGGATGCGTTGGTAGGAAAAAGCGGAATTCAATGTTCCTGTTATTTTATATTTTTGATTACGTGTGTGAAGCATGTCAATTGCATTGAGTTAGGAGTTTTATGGGTCGGGCGGGTGGAACAACTCTGGACTTTCAATTAGACTTTTCAGCGATGCAAATTTCGTTAGATGAAAAATGTGCGAATGCGAATCATGTGTGCTGTTGTTCTACGTGTATCTGAGGGCTTCTGGTGCCCATCTGGGCGTAATTGTTTTTTGATTTCGCCTGGCACCCGCTCGTTGTTGTATTGTATCGCTGTGAGCGTTCAAGCCTTGCGCCTTCTCCCACACTAGCGTCCTGTCATTGTCGCATCCTTTAGATTGCAGCTGCTCTATGATCTCACTCAAAGTGTTGTGTTGTTCTGTTTGAGATTGAAGTGTGCTGGGATTACTGCAAATTTTCACTACATCCAATTGTCCTATGGAACTCACACAACTGTGAGAAATATCGTTCAAAAAGTACTATTTGCCCGACCAATAATGGATTCGCTTGAGACCAGCTCCATTTGTGTGATTGATGGGTATGCACCATGCCTTACGTGGATAGAGATCAGAGTCGGCATCGCGATCGGGATCAGAAACAAGATCAGCGCGAGCGGCGTCGGGATCGGGCGCTCCTTGACCGCAGGTCCATCCCGCCTCACCAATGGATATAAACAGCGTTGCTGCCGTCCTTTGGCTCACTGCATGTGATCTCCTTTCTCGGGCCCGGACAGGTTGGATGTTTGTAGGGAAACTTAGCGTCTACCAGATTACGAGTGTTGCTTATTGCATTAGTAGACAGTGGCTGATATGTGAGGTAAACATGCTCGTTTAAACACCAGTGTTACGTACGAAATATGCGGACAGGAATGTTCCTTAGTATCTGTTCGGAGCAGTCAGGTCACCCATCAGAGTTAATAAAAAGATATCAAGCAAGATAGCGTGTATTGTGAGATCAAGATGGGTGTTTATGCAACGTCGGCCCTCTCGTGATGGCCACATAATTTGTTGAGTGTCTACATACATATGTAGGTGATAAAAAACGCAAGATGGCATGATCGATGCGGTAGGAAAGAACGACCAGCATTATACTTGTACGACATCGCAACACAGCTTGAACCAGAAATATATCAACAGGCTGAGATTTCTTCTGAAAGCTATGTAGTCATTGACTTATTGTGTCCAGCAGGATCTATCGGATCCTCTCCAATCAAAACTATGTATTGTACCTAATAAAGAAATCTTCACTGTGATTGTAGGTAGACCATTGGTACTCTGCAGTCACATCTGTATGCTCTTACTCTTTTTCTTTTGACTGGACCCTGACTTTCTCAACACCAAAGGTTCAAAGTTCTATCTATAGCGATCACGAATCTGTCTTGTCTACAAGCCAATGACGGCATTTCTAATTACATAGCCAAAGCCAAAATGGTATTGCAATTGCATCTACCATTGAAAAAACAGTTATGAGTGTCTGTACACAGACCAGGAACGACTGCTGCTCTTAGTTTACCAAAAATAAGTCCTCCATGGGACGCTCCTTCCTCTCACGCAGGCTGCGGCAGGCAAGCATATAAGAGAGCAGTTTCGCTCTCAAGAACTCTTTTTCTCTCTCCTTAGCTTTCTTACACAAACAGCTCTCAATGATCATCTTTTCATCATCACTGATAATTCTTGTTCACACCAGTCCGTTGGTGTGTATCTTTTTGGCTGACCATCAAGCCCTCATTCTTCACCACCATTCTTTCTCTTCGGAGGACCCTTTTCTTCCACTATGGCTTGGTCACATGCCTCGGCGGACACCCTTTCCTCCTCTTCATCTCCGTCATCTCGCTCCTCATCTCCCACCTCAACTCCGTCTTCCTCACCTCCCGCCTCTCCAACCCCCATATGGAGAAGGAAGTCGCCCGATGGTTCCAACTGGAGGGCATCAAAGACAAGTGGCAGCGCCGCTTGGACATCTCCTTCGTGGCGACGGAGAGAGGACTCGCCATCCCCGCCAGAATCCGCGTCTCAATCCTCGAGGGTACTTCTCCCGGCACTCGAGGACGTCAAGGTCGGACAGGTATTTTACCTCCCCGACACCCACAACCAGGGCGGACATTTTGGTCACCCAGTTGTGGTTATCAGCAAGAACTTGGCCCAAGCGACCGTTACCTTTCGCCTCTGCACCTCGTTTACACAGAAGACCGGGTCAAAGGGTATCTTGATGACGAACAAGAGCCCTGCTTGCCGGAAGCAGCATCTCCTCATCGACAACTTCACCGAGGAGGTCGCTGCTCATGATGGCACCAGAAAACTGACGATGGCTCCTGGATCTGGCAAATTCAGCAAGCCTACCTACGTCAACATCGAAAACTCCCCAATTACGATGGGGTACGCTGCCCTCGAGCAGTGGAGGAGCAGCCAGCCGATTCTCTTCGGGGAGGAGGCGGTTGCGAGGATCAGCGCGTAGGCGCCGTGGGTGGGGCGGTGAGGGCGCGGGGTGGATGTCATCAAGTGGTGGTTGTTTGGTTCTTCCTTATCGTTGTCGGATTTCAAGTTTTTATTGGTTTGTCGATTATCTGATTTCCTCGTTTCGCATGCTTAACGTTCCTGATGACCTGGATTTCTATTATGATACCATTTCCTGTACTGCGACACGCTGGGTGGGCTGCCGCTGCTTTTATGTAATCATCGATATTTGTTGTATTGCGTGATATCCTGACAAGAATTCATTTTTCATTTTCTTCTTCATGATCTGTTATTGTGCCTGAAAGGTGATGACCCATTGTCGTACATCTCGACTATTTGAACATAACTTCAATAACTTGATGCAATGGAACTATTCTATATCGCGCACTCTCAAACATGTTAACTTGTATAAAATATTGTTCAGCAACTTAATCCTTTGAGATCGTAGTATTTCGTCGCCTGATACACTACAACAAATCACTCATAATTAGTGTTTGCGTCGTATTCTATCGAGCGCGATGGCCTTAGATAATCAAGATACATCGGGAAAAGAGATGATGAAGTGACAACACTAACATTAGTTAATACATAAAGTAGATCTGCACATACTAATAATCTTGTGAATTACTGTACACTCTGGTTAACGCACATAGGTTTTCAGTGCACTATATAGATTTCTTGGCAGGGACCAACTCTGTTATGTCTAGCTGGAGATGGTATTAGCGAGTCTTCTGAGCTTTATCGTATGGGGTTCGCAATAGTTTTGCTTCTTCTCCATGGGTGTTGCCGTGTACGGGGAGATCACCAAGTGCACATGTAACCTCTGGAGTGAATGACTAGGTCACGGGATTTAACCTTGGCCCCACAGTCATACATAACAATCGCAGCATTTGAGTACATGAGCTGAATGGAATGAATTTTTACAGAAATGAAGAATCAACGAGGTGACTGTGGTACTATTTCATCGCAATGCCTGCCTGCCTGCCTCTCATATAGGTTTCGGGGGCAGGCCATAATATTTTGTGAAACTACGTACGTGCTGGGCGCTCACCAAACGGGCTCTGCAATGATTAGGAATTTACTGGATTTCCTCGTTTGTATGCGTGCAAGACTAGCCTATGCAATCGGCGTTTATGCATATTTGACGTCCAGCCACAGCTTTACCACTACTAGCCTGACTGCCAAACAACCTCAACCCACTCATTCAGCACTTCTGCCGTATGCAGGCTGGAAACATGCAGGAATTCGAGAATTTGGTTTTCGAGCAAGCCCTCCAATATGTATCGATTGAGACGACCGAAAATACAATGCCCACACCGTCTCACCAATCCCGCCACGCACCAAGCACTGAGAATGACTCACCAGCGAAAAACATGGCATACTCTTACGAGCACTCAATCGACTCTTATGCCAATGCTGGCTCACTTGTGCTGCGGAAGTCTGGCCTGCGGGCACTCCCAAACAATGGCGCGCCTTATGGTTCGCCGATCCCGCCGTTTCGACCTCCAGGGCCGTCGCCTTTAATGCTACAATCTTCGATACTGCCCCCCTTGATGACCATACCCTATATACGTCACAATACCAGCCACATTCAGCGAAACTCAGGACTTCTCCCGTTGATACCCCCGCGGCTATTGTTGTATAAAGGCTTCAAATGCGTCAACCACATTGAGCAGCATATCAAGGAAGAGCCAACTGTCATGAAGGTATACTATCTACCGAAGGAGCATGAAATCCATATGAGCTCGGTCATTCACAGTCAAAAGCAATCGAACGGCTTTTTCTCACACCCGATACTCGTCGTACGTACCGTATCGCAGTATAAGATTGTGTATTTCTATCCCATCACTGGTAAACTCGGATCTTGGGCAAATATCATATGCCTGGGAGACAAATGTGCGATGGAGAGAGAAGATATTTTGAATCTGGCTGAAGGTTCATCCTCGTTCAAATACAGGAGCGTCGTCAACTTGACACAATGCTATTACATTGAGTGGGCCTATCTCATGTACTGGCGTGACCGCGTCGTTGTGGACAGCACACAGATGGCCAAAATCAACAGCAAGATTGAGAGCCTGGAGGCGAAGCAAAATCGCCCACGCTACTTACCCCTTCTGCGTGACTTGAGCCGCGTAGCACCTGGTACAGTCTTGGCTAAGTGGAATCGCTACCGAACGACTCTCTCTCCTGTATTGGTTATTCAGAAGTCAGCAAACCGGGTCTCCTTTCTCCGCATCAAGGCACTCGATCACTCGAGGTCGAAACTAGCGAGCGTACTAATTTCAGAACACCAGGGCAGCACAACGAACGGTGCACTAACCCTTCTACCCGAGGAAAACTCTCCGGGTTTCAGTCACCCTTCAGTGGTGTCAGACATTTTAGAGACAGCTTACTTGCGAGAATTTACAACATGGTGTTACCCGCCGATCATGATTCAAGCTCGGTCAATGATGGCTTTGTATACGTTCCTTGGGTATGGTTTGCACGGTGGTCAGAAAAAGCTCCAGAAACTGGGGTAGCTGGTTTCGACATGCCTCTGACCTTATATATATCAGTTGGCATCACTTTGAGACCATGAAGCCATAGCACAGGACACTGCAGTCAGCACACGATCTATATGATGCCATAAGCAAGTATGGAGGATTCCGCTAAATTGGTGGGGGTTTCCCATGCTTTTGAAGCGATCTGTGGGCACTGTATCTGTGTTTCTTTTCCAAATTCATGCTGTAAAATACTCTGTGAGTGTACTTGCACTGACCCCCTGAATGTGATCTATATATTTTGGACCATCACTTAAATCTTGATGGCAATTGTGAAAGGCAACACATCGTATCCGACGAACTTTTTCGTTATCGCCTGTTTCTTGGTACTGTGCTATTGCCCTAGGTATTGCTATGTGGGAACACTTAAGCTACAACTTCAAAATCTGTTAGCACGTCAATGGAGTTGTTGTTTCCACAGCCTTCAAGAGCGCACTTGTCTGCAATCATTCTGTCACGAGCACGAGTCGCTCTATCAACCCGTGATCATGACGTAGGTAGTTCTTGGGAAGCATCATAAGCTACTTATCCATAGAACTAAATAGGTGCAAGCCAAAGCTACTGTCTAACAAACGTCAGATGATTCATTGTGCTAATCGAAATGACACGCCCAGTCAGAATTATTCGTATAGAGCTCATAATAGATATACAAAATACACGTGCGTTCGGCAATGGAGATCGATTAGGTGTGCAATGGTGAGTACATGTTCCGGGGGCTAGGTTCACCCTTTTGCACGCGGGCCAAGTAAGGGGCTCCAGTCAGTTACGTGGGGTGCGCTTGAAGTTCGTAAATGCCCAGTATTTTTTTTTAAGTTGACTTTATCAGCGCCACGTTGTGCGAACCACAACCGTCGGATAAACTATGTACTTTTTAGATACATTTAATCATCTACATCATAGTCGCACATGAACAAATTTGCATTTCTATGGGAGAAATTCCAAAGCTTTAGGGGGATTATCCCCCCTAACGATTCTGACACTTCTCGCACAATCTAATGTTCCCACATGCATCCTCAACTAATTGTTGCTCATCAGGTGTACATAACACATAAATGGTATTACACTCATTTCTCAATGACCAGATCATGGGATTAGTCGCCGCGATCGCACTGTCGTTGTATAAAAGCTCGTTCACTCAGCACACACCTGCACTGATCCACTTTCTCAAGGCTGTCGGTCACGTGCAGTATGGCCAATGACTCCCTAGTGAAAGAACAGATGTACTTTTGATTGAGACAGAGACTTGTAAAGTCTGTTTGTTCGCTGCCTGCGCTTCGTCTGGTGCGCAAACGCACCCTGTGCTCACACTTCGCCCCACTTTTCCGTTCGCTCTAGCAACCGCAGCTATGTTGCTCTTATATAGATACCTTTCACACCGTCCCTTCTATATTGCTCTCAATCAACCGACTATCCTCCCACTCAACCACCTGTCAGTTTCAGGATCTTGCACTAGTTGAATAGGAAACTGTCTGCAAATAGAACGCTGCAATCTTTGATCTCGTCATGAATGCCGATTCACATTTTCACGATGATCCGGTCGAGCATGGTACGCAGTTCGAAGCAGACGCGGGCGCGGACGGCTTTTACACGGCAGATTTTGAGGGTAAGAAGCAACTCTGTCCAATCTTTCATTGATATCTGCCATTAGTCTGATTCATTGCATTTCCACGACGCACAAACACTGGGCTTCTCATTGATACAGGACTGACTCATCTACAACAGCTCAACGAGACTCATCACCTGTCCCCTCATTTGTAAACTCTGTACCTCCTTCCGACAACGACGAAGGCGGTGATGATGAAGGCTCTTTGTACTCGCCCTACGGGGATCTAGTGCCAGCCTATCTACAGCCCCAAGGGATCACGCATTCACCATCCACCGCCATGAATCCACAGGCACCAGCTTTTAATCCGCAGGGGACGCCGATCTTACAGTTACAGCCGATCTATCAATCAGTCAATGCGTACCACGATTATCGTCCGACATCATACCCTCCGTGGCATCATCAAACGCAGCCACCGCCTCCACCGCAGGCCCCTTCAACCAATGTACATGTACATAACTATCCTGCCACAAACACAGAGCCCGTTCAGCAGCAGCAGACGCCAAAGACACTGAAACTGCTCCCAGACGAAAAGCCAATACTGTTCAAGGTGTATTATCTACCTGGCCCTATCCGTTATGATTCGGTCATCCACGAACAGAAGAAGCAACTGCGGTTCTTCCACCATCCAGTGCTGGTAGTGGACTATGATCAATCGAAAGGGCAAGTAGACTTCTACTCGTTGACCAGCAATCCAACCCAAGCAAGAAGGGAGGTTGGTATATGTCTGCGCTTGGGCGACAACCACCAGAATGATGGCGAGGATGTGCTAAAGCTTGCTCGTGACTCAGTCCCAATGGAAGTCACTACATGGGTAAATCTTGAGCAACGATTCCACATCGAATGGAAACACTTGGAAGCTTGGGCGCTCGATGTGAGGATAGACGAAGAAGAAATTGACAAATTCAATGAGAAAGTGGATCAGTTGGAAGCGAGCCAGAACCGGTTCATCTACAAACCCATATCCCGGAATTTGAAGTGGATCAACCCCGGCGCTATACTGATGCTTGCTAACGAGGGAAAGTCGTCTTCACTTGGAGCGCCGGTCCTCCTTGTATCAAAGAGCGACAAATTCGTCCAGTACCTGAGGATCAGAGAAATAGGCGGGACACTTGATATCGGAAAGCGTGTCCAAGGGACAAAACACCACCTTCGAATGAAGATTGGTCGTTCAGGGGAGAAGGCTGGTCCAGATGAGGCCCCCATCTTGTGGCTGAAGGATATGTGTCAAGACATGAGGCAGCCTTCTTACGTAGAAGGAACTACGAAGAAGCACTGGGCTCATATCGATCGATTTAGGACATGGACATATCCTGTCATTAACATCCAAGCTGGTTCGATGAAGAGGATGAAGCAGTACCTTGCCCAGCATGGGTACTAGGTTCTCTGACTTTGTCCTGCTCTTATATCACGATTTTCTATTTGGTTTTCCATTTCATTATATTTCAGTTCGTTGATTGTATTGCTTTGATATCTTTCATACCCGGAATAAAAGAACTCAACTTGCTTTTGCTGCTGCTGTTGCTGTTGATCTTGCTTATATTGGAAATATCCACTTCTAGCGCCAGTTACACAATCAATTCTGTTTCAGTAAACAACAGACTGCTTTGAATTCCCAAATCCACCGTAGATCAGCAACAGCGCTTGAAATCGCGGTTTCAAAAAGCTACTACTCGCAAGCATGGTGAATAGTCTTTGAGCTTGCGTAATTGGATGCTGATCTGAAATTCGATAGGGTAAAGAAGTTGCACAGGGAGCATCAATGTGCTTCCACATGATTGCGCAATCGTGTGTACATTCTAAACAACTTCCACCGCAACATCCATCTAATACCCTAAAGCGGACCCCTAAAAATCTATGTGAACTTTCGAATTGTCCAGCTAACAACTACCTGCTATACTCCCGCTATAAGCTCACAGACCAGTAAAGTTTCGTACATTCAGTAAGGCATAGCGCGCAAAGAAGCCCTCGGCATTCATTAACTATCCTTGGTAATAAACTTCTCGAAGTGACCAAGTTTTTCCGCTTCCAGCACTCCTTTCTCGACGTGTTCTGGGCCGACATCGTCCCTCAACCACCCCTTTTCTCGAGCATCATCCTCGTGAACTCTTAAGTCTCTGAACGGAGACGACATATTGACATCGCGACTCAGTAACTCATTCCATCTCTTCTCCATCCCAAGCGTTGCGTGCTTGATGAGCACCTCCCCATGCGGCCACCCTAAGATCCTTCTACGTGCTTCCTCGATTTCATCGGTCCATTCAATCCAGAAGTGTGCAAGCGTGTAATCGAACCGAACTTCTGATTTATGGTCGCATATATTGGAAAGAGAGTAGAGATCGAGAGGTAAATAAGGGGAAACTTCGTGACACACGTGAACATGGACATGAACTCGTTTGAGCAGCGGGGGTTTATCCGGATGTGTCATGAGATCAGACAAAACATGGGTCGTTTCTTCATATGGTGTTGGACCGTGTATATCGAGTTCTATGCTTTCAATCGACCGTGGAAACATGGTATACAGGTCTGGCATCGCGTGTTCCAATGTGGTATCGGATCTGAAGCCCCCATATCCTGTAATGGTTCGGAGTTGAATACGCAGCCGTTTGAGCATTTTGTACTGCTGAAGCTCGCTCTCTTTAATGATTGGTCCCTTATCTGCATATTCTTGAGCAGCACACGATTGGATAATAAGGCTTTCTAATGTACTGCTGTGCGCCTTCAACTCGTCAAATATATTAGAATACCACGCTTTTGACTGCTCCCACGGGAGGCAATCCATGTCAAACTTTTTCAGTGCTTTACAACTCTTGATCATCTTCCCTACGAGCGCTCCCGGGCACTCAACTTTCCTCATCTCTAATATTTCGATATTGGAGGCACCGGCTGGACATCCCCAGAGATGGAGCGCATCCTGAAATAAATCAAGGCTAGAGTAACCAGTAGTCGACCAATTGCGCCATTCGACAACGAAGTGTCGCAGTGAAGGAATACGCATGACGGGAACGATTCTTTCAATTCTGATGTTTTGGACGTCGATGGAGAGATAGCGTAAATGAGAAAATGCATGTGTGCGGCCAAAAGGTATTCCACGTCCCGCAAAAACTAAAGGCCGTATAGCTGTGTAATCTTCGTCTACCGAATCCCCTCGCCAATAGCTATCGTGATGGCTGCCATACAATATTTCTTCCACGTTAGGACACAAGCAAAGAACCGCCGCGCGCTCGAAATTGGTTTGCCTGTCATCTTCAATCCCCTCAACTTTCATACGACGCCTGAAGCCTTCTGGATCGAAAGGGGAGATATTATCAAATACGTCTTCAGATAACCCATCGTATAACCCATCGGATCCATCATAATTGTCTCGCTCAAAAATGTTGGCATGGATTTCAGGATCGTGCCAAACTTCGTTCAATCCTAGCTTCTCCTTGATTTCCGCCAGGTTCAAATAATGGTGAAATGTATCGCCCCGAGGATCCTGGCAGTTTGAATCATCTTGAATCACAGTTCTAACTTTCTCCCATGCCTCGAAGTTCGTCCGATTCCGGGCTAGGCAATAGAAGTCGCAGTCGTGATAGCACGCTTGGAGAAGCGGGGTGACTATCGCTGCAAAGCTACGGCACACTGCTTTGACATTCCGCAAAGAATACTGCTGGGAGTCGTTTTCAGCGCGTTCGATTATGTTGGACGTAGCCTTCGGTCTGAGACTGGGGATTGGTGCGAGATAAGAAAAAATCTGCACGAGAAGCTCTGTTGGCAAGGTATCTAAACGAGGGTGTGAAACTGGTGCGTCCATCTTGCGCGGTGAGTTGTTAGAACTTCGCATTGGAAGTGCTGCTATCGCCATTATATACCTAGGTAGTTTGTGCGTGGGGCGTACTGCACGGTACCGTCAATGAGGCGGTGCCTAAGCAATTTTGGGGGCGAAAAGTCATTAGTACGACGGTAAGGTAGCAAACAACTTCGAGCAAACAAGGTTCAGAGTGGTGCATACGCTATAGTGAAACCTGATCCAGCGTGCTAGCTACGATCCCAAGCCAGTTACCACAGCTTGCCCTTTTCACGCCTTTGTTTTGGGAATTAATAGTGGGATCTAAATTCGAATGAGGAGCTACAAGGCAAGGTTCACAACAGCGATTGCGTTAGGGTAACCCATCTCCGGCGATTCATGAGATCGATCAGACCATAGTAATTGATCAATGTTACTATAGACCGTACAACGCGTATGCCTGCGACGGCCAAGAATCGCTCGGGCGTTTAGAAGATCGCCATACAATTAGGCGGCGTCGATACACCGCCCCTCATATTCAGCGGACTGCTCGTCACAAAAAAGGTCCACCGACCTTCCTCCTGACAAATGCGACTCAAATCCTCCAGGTCAAACATCTCCCCAATGGGCATTCCCCACCCAGCCAGAAAGTAGTGATGTAAGATCATTTTCAGATCCTTAGGCGGCATAACCTCCCAGCCCATTGCATCGCCAGCGACAGCCGCGATTTTTTCATCCCAAATGAAGCGGAGAACATCTTCTGTAGCCTCGACACCACATTGGTGGGGCATAGCAGCACTGCTAAACGCGATCTTCTGCTCTTCGGACATGGTAGTATCCCACTCGCTGGTTAGCCCGATGCGGACAAAGAGGATATCTCCTGTAGTAGTGGGTATAAAATCAGTATCAATATACGAAGGCGTCTGAATGAGCTGTCGACATCATGTTATATCATCTGGTGTTCCCACCTATGATCTCATATCTAGGACATACGTACCCTTCTGAAATGTGATGTTGCATTCTTTAGCGATCTCCTTGATATCGCGAAGCTTGACTTCGTGACTGGAGAATGCCGAGTACTTGATGCCCTTCTTCTCAGCCCAAGAAGCATAGTCGATGAGCACGCCTCGACCAGCTATTCCTTCTTTCGCCCAATGCTGTATGCCGATACGGTCGTTGCTGCGGTCGAGAATCTCATCAATCGTGGCACCCCCATAAAAAACACGATCTTCGTTTCGCTTCCCGTCTGTACCAGTGACGGGCTTCGGCATGTGCCGGAGGCCGTCCCATTGACTACCTTGTTGCGGATTGAATTTGTACTCATCGTCGAAGAATGCACCACCGTAAACTGGGAAAATCTTGTGCTCACACGGCTTCCTTCCGAAACCGGGATGCTCCGGCTTTTGGAGATCCCAGTTGAGTGCGATACGCCTGCCTGAGCGGATTTCCGAGGCTGCGTTTGCGACCACTTCAGGAGTGAGGATGGCAAGTCTGCCTAGCCCTTCTTCAAGACTGCCTGGCTCGCCGATCCATACTTGGGTTTTGTCGGGGAGAGTGTCGAAAGCGGTGTCGAAAATTGCGGCAGTCGTCATTGTGTAACGGTTGTTAGTTTTGAGGGGGCTAAGATTGCGGTCTTGCTTGATGCCTATGTATTGCCATGATCGCTCGGCCGTTGCTCGGCCGAGATGCGGTAGATGTCTTTCAACTACTATCACAAAGTGATGTTTCTCCGTTAGATTCACTGCATACCCTCAAGGATTCGGATCCGTCGATGATCGGTCGGTTAACGCTATGTCATATTGTCCTAGCTAGACGGAGTGGCAGTCTACTATCATGAATGCGATTAAGGACCGTGGCATCTCTCATTTCGATTGATAGCCCGCACGGAATACTGTTAACGTATGACGAAAATAATGTACGTAGTCGTTAGAGGCTGAGAGGTTGAGGTCGCGTCGGTCGCACGCTAAACCCATAATGAGTAGATAGTTGAACAGGGTCCAAGCTCACCCCCGCCCCGCATCGTCATTTGCAGCAAAGCTCCAGTGCAAACAATTTCACCGTCAATCCAAGAGTGCTGCAGCCTATAGCGCATTTCCAACGATAACCATCAACAACGAACCCCCTTTTTACATATACAACTTGGTAGCTGCCCACCCGAACAAGACTTCTCAAGAGCAAAAGGTAGAAAAGAAACAAGAACCATGGCAGCGGCCCGCCTCCGCAAAACATTCCAATACCCCAGCGAATCCGACACCGAAGATGCCGTGGAAGAAGGCATGGACGAACAAGGTAACACTCCCACTCCCTTATCTACACTCTTCCTAGGAGCCAGAATAATAAAACCTAACCAAACTCTATGTTCAGATCAAGAAACTATCCTCACAACCCTCTCCAACAAAGACACATCCTCAACCCGCCTCTACACCCTCCTCCTCCTGATCCTCCCCCTCATTCCCGCCGCTCTATACATACCGCGCATCTTCACGCTCTCGCCCGCGCTATTCATAGAGAGCGTCGCATCACTAGCGAGTCTGCTCTTCAGCGCCTATGCACTATACTTCCTACCACTCCCACCCATCCGCGTCAGCGTTCACGATTCCTCGGAGATCGGGAAGAAAGGAGCTGCAAGCGACAAGGGGAAATCTATCTCTAGGGGTGCAGATGGGTCGAAAACGGGGGGACCCGCGAGAGCGAGAAGAGATGCTGTGCCGTTCATCTCCGAGGAAGTGGCTGTTTTGTTGGAGAAGTACATCGTTCCTGTGAATGCTGCGATTTGCGTGTTTCTGGGATTGATTGAATTGGGGAAAGGGCAAACGTGGGGTGAAGGGATGTTGATTGGGGGTGGCTATGTTCCTGGGTTCGTGCTGGCTGTGGTGATGTTTGCGCGGAGGGAGCTACGTGTTGTCGACCTGGGCGAACTGGAGAAGTTGAGGTATGGGACGCGGGGTGGAGCAGTAAGCAGATGAGGATAGGACAAAATCAATGCAAGAAGAGGAATAGCAATAGTATAAGCTCATCTGATATCGAGAAGGACAAGGATTGTCTGCAGAGGCAGCAATATCTTATCCAACGATTGTAGAAAAGGAACGGCCTCCAATATGTACACAAAAGACCGAGGTATCAATCGCTCACCAATCGCAAAACGCCGTCGCTATGGAGCTCAGAATGCTCAAAACCCCCAAAATCACATTTGACAACACAAATCCAATCAAACCATCATACAATCATACTCTTCCTTCGATGGGCGGCTCGTTCGCTCCTCACGTTCCCCGCACTATCGTTTCCGCTCCTCGAAGTCCCACTTGCAGTTGCATTTGAGATCGCAACAGCGCTTCGCCTATCTCTGTCCTTTGGCATTGTTCGTCCAGCCGCTGTACTCCTGGAAGGGTTGGAAGCACTGGAACTTCGTGCTGTGCTGCTCCCTATTCTCTTATGCGCTGGCGCACTATCTTTGTTCTCCGCCCTCTCCTCACTGGTTCCTTCAATGATTGCTGAAACTGGAACCGAGGAGTGACGTCGCGCGCTTCGTGCTGCTTTTGCAAGTTCTATCCGTGACCGTGCATGGTTCGGTTCGGCGATAGATTTCTCGTCAGTGGCAGGAGATGATTCGTTGAAATCGAACACGGCCATGTCATCCGGCTTCTTGATTGGTCGAGTGGAGGAGACAGCAGTCGATTCGGAGTCCATTCTCGAAGTTACTCTAGGTAGAGCACCCAGTGTTTTTCTTTTGTTATTCTCGCCGGTGAATACCGGTATCGCATTCTCAGTTATGGGTGGACTGCTCTCTGATTCCTCGGTCTTCACATCGTAGCTCTCTTTACGGTCCAATTTCTGTCGAAGCGGGCTCCCAGGCTCGCCTGTCTCTTCACCCATCCGCCCTACACTCGTACGGCCGCCCACGAGTTTCCACGCAGACCCATCGTGTTCCTGACTTGTCGATACCCTACTCACAGACGCTGGGAGCGATTGCGAATCAAGGCTTGTTCGTGAAGCATGATCTACATTTACTGCATCAACCAGCTCTTTCCCCGGACGACGCATCTTCGTGTTCAAAGGAGGCTCCTTATAGCTTACTTGTGGGCGTGCCCTTCGTGAAGGTCTGCCACTCAATGCTGCCGCATTGATCAGATCACTTGGTGGAGGTGTGTCATTAGTTTCTGCCCGAGGTGCTGATGACTCAGTAGTCGGAGGGGAGAAGACAAGTTCCAGCGCAGGTGTTTTGGGTGGCAGCTCCTCAAGTGTGACCTCAGCAAGTGGAATTGGTGGAGGCATTTCCACAGGCGGTAATTCCGGTTGCATGTCACGAGTGATGGTCAAGCGATTTCGGCTGGTCTTCGGAAAAGGTTTCTTCTCTGACTTCTCTGAAGCAGAGGAACGTTGCTTCTTAGGGGAGAGGACCGGGTCGGTATTGACGGGTTCTGTTCGAAGTTAGACGACAGATGACTATAGTTTGACTACAATACTTACTACTACTCAATGCGGGCCTTTCAGGTGATGATGGCTTGAAATTATCGATCGGCTTTGATTCCTCTGTCGTTGAAGCATTCCGGCGGCTAAACCTGAAGGACTCCGACGGAGGCCTGGCCTTCTCTTCATCCTCCTGGACACTGAACTTGCGTTTTGCGCCCACGCGCACCGCCGTTGCATTCGTTTTCTCGGTTCCGTCGTGGGTGGATTCGAGGACTGAAGCTCGGGAGATATCCAGCCGTGGACCGCTTTCCCGTCTTTTCCTCCTAGTCTCAAGATTGATTGGCAGGGAAGGCTCCGGCGGCTCGACAGACTGAAGCTTCCGTTCCTCTGGGGATGTACTGGGATCAAACGCAATCGGCTCTTGCTCGTCAAATCGTGAAATCGGCGGGGGCCCAATGTCCGGGCTTTGACTGTCGCGAGCGTCTAGTATATTCCTCAGCTCGTCCGCACTGCGAGGCGTCAGTATTCGTTTCACATTCATGTGGACTACGAGCTGACACTGCGTCGCTCAAACATTGGACATACTTCATTGTTTGCCTTGGATAGTGCTTGTCCTCGTTGATAGTCGGCAACATTGCGTTCTCCACTTCTTGCAATCCCAAACCACTCCTCCATTGGCGTTCGTCCGGACTTCTTCTTGTAGCGGCGGTCTGACTCTTGCATCGCGGTAGTCCGTCATCTTTCTTCTTTAACTGGCCAAACTCGGCGACTAAGCCTCCGAGTTCTTGCAATTTTGCTTCGAGTTGTGTCTTCATTGAATCAATAACCTCAAACGAAGGACGGTAAGCTTGCGCCTCTAGTGCGCTTTGGAGCTGTAGGACTTGTTCTCGGAGAGACAGATTCTCGGCCAGAAGACGGGATGCATCGTTTTCAAGCGTGCGGATACGCATGGACTGCTGTGAATTTGTCCTTGATAGCCTGTTAGCAACGACTTCCAGATGAATACGAAGAACAGCGATTGAACATACTTCGCAAGCTCCCTGTTTTGCCTCAGATATCGGCGTTTGACTGTTTCAACCATTGTCAGCATCTCCTTCGCAATCCAGCGTCAATGCCGTTTCTGCTCACCAGCATCGAGGGTGTCCGTTGAAGGGACGGGCGCAACAGGCGGCTCGTTCAAGCGCGCCATATGCAAAGTAAAGGTATAGGTATGCGTTCAATAAGTAATGCGTGATCGTGATGTTGGTGCGCTTTGGTCGCGATCGAAGTTGGGAGGGTTGGTCAGTTCTTGCGTTCGTGGTAGCCGCAAGGAGAATCGTCATGTGTGTTTTTGTTTACATCTTGGCGTAGCAACGGGCATAATTCTGGTTGGGGGCTAGTCGCGCTGCCGCCTCCCCACCACCCCTGTCATCTCGTCGAGAACGCGACCGCTTCAAAGTTCAAAGCCCCGCAACCGCAATCTACAGTGGCATGTCACAATAAACACACCTAGGACAGCATTATTCACAACACCACAACCATGGCATACCCGACGCGGCAGCTTCCTTCACACATCCGCAGCCAGTCCAGCTCCATCGGTGGCTCCCAATCCTCCGCCCAATCGCCTGCGCTCCTGGCCCGCATCGCAGAGAAGAAGGCAGAGTTGGCAAGCCTAAAGGACCTACAAACACTGAGTGCAGGACTGGCCGATCAGATGCAAATGCTGGCGGAGAAGCTAGACACGCTCTCTGATGGCACAGAAGGTATGATCTCCTATACCCCGCCCCGATAAGGGAAGGGGAAGGGTCCAAATGGCATCTGGTTGACTCGCGTGCAGCGGTAGCAGCGGTCTTGTCGAACTGGCATAACGTTCTTCGAGCTATCAACATGGCATCTAGCAAGCTTCCTCAACCCAAAGACGACGACAACGTAGATGACAGATTGGAAGCGGAACCTCCTCTTCCGCAAACTCTCGTCCGCATCCCAACGCAACATGCGCCAGGACTTATCCCCCCGAAAGACACAGAGAATATGACCGAATGAGACACGGGTTAGGTATATGCTGGGAAGAATAGAACAGATTGCATTGGGCAGCATGCCGCCCCGGAACACAAAGAAGGAGCCGCGCCATTTGGAGTTGGAAGAGTACTCCACCTCTCTCCTCTGTATGCAGCCCGTGTTCATAGTGTTATGGGCGTGTCAAGAATATCTAGAAGGAACTTCGTGTCTAGGGACGGCACGCTCCTGACATGAATGGGCCGTAGTGCAGACCCGAAAGAGCATGGATAGGGCAATCACACTTGACCTGGTTCTGGGACAGCGTTAGTGATTGCTGTCAGACAATCATGAAGGACCGCCCGGGTGGAGCTAGTCGTGTCACGCAAACAGCCAGTTCGCGGCAGCATTGATGCTGAGTCTCTCACACTGATTGCTGTGAGACGTGAATTTATTGGTGCTTGTTTCGAGGGAGTCAAGAGCTGGACTGTGATTTGGCGGTGAGAAATCACATCACTGAAATTCGACGTGAAGCAGCGTCGCTTATTCAGCACGGCCGTTGACTGGACTGCCGCCTGCCTGCCTGTAGTTTCGTGGGGGCCGTGCGCCTTCGCCCAACTTCCATAGATCGTCATTTACTTCTTAGCTACAACCTACACACTTCACCCTCACACCATACCACACCTTGTTCTACATTAAAAAGCTTCTGATGTGGTGAACATACAGACATACAATTCTATCAATCCTCGCAAACAGTATTCTCCAACAATCCACGCCTATCGGTTTCGAGTCCAAGCCGCAACCCTGTAGGTGTAAGTATGCGCGAACACCCACGATTGCTTGCCTAGACTAACTTTGGCATCAGAGACCTACTGCAATCCCCCGCAGAGATGGCCGACGTAGAAAATGACCAAAGACGCGAAGAGGAGGAGCGTCAGGAGCCGGAGCCACGCAACGATGAGGTACGACTGCACTCTCTGCATCTGTCCACCGTTAGAGACACGGTGATAACAACGAACCCCTCGACTATCATTCTCTTGAATCGTATCTCCCGAACCAATATACTGACAGTCTGTAGAAGGATGATAGGGAAATCGACGAGATGAAGCAGCGCGTACAGCAAATGGAAGAAGAGGCAAACCAATTGCGCGAGATGCAGCAAAACCTCGACGTCGAGCGCGGCGACCTGCGCGAGAACAGAGAAGACGTGGATGCGCGTAGCGTGTTCGTCGGCAACGTCGATTACGGCGCATCACCCGAGGAGATACAGGCACATTTCCAGAGCTGCGGCAGCATAAACCGTGTCACCATCCTGCTAGACAAATTTACCGGTCATCCCAAAGGGTCAGTCAGTTCAGTGTTTTCATGCCAAGAGGAGGCTTTCCCGTGATCATGATGCAAATGGCGGTGGTCATATTACAACCATCCAGTAAGAGCAGAGAGAGGAAGGATATGATGTGATGCCGTCGCACATGTGCTATGCTCGAGCTCTGACTTGGAGACCCGTCATTCGTCAAATCTCGGGATCGTCTTCGCTACCTGGCAAGAGTTTGGTCAAAAAAGATTCGGGGCGCTAATGAGCGTATGCAGGTATGCGTATGTTGAGTTCACTGAACCGAGCTTGGTTAGCCAGGCTCTGGTGCTCGACGAGAGTTCCTTCCGAGGCCGCAATCTAAAGGTACTTCTACATCCACACATGAGATCAAGAGCAGAATCTGACTTCAACAGGTTGTACCCAAGCGAACAAACCTGCCTGGTATGGCTGGTCGAGGCCGGGGTCGTGGAGGGGGTCGTGGTGGCTACGGTGGCCGTGGTTCCTATGGCGGCCGAGGCGGTGGCCATGGAGCACCACGCGGAGGTGGATACAGAGGTGGATATCGTCCGCGCGCCCCAGGATACCGTCCTTACTAGGACACCTCACAAAGGCAAGAATATCGTGCTGACATCAAACTGTCGACCGGTGGACACTGGTCGCTTCGAGGACTTATTATTTCAGTCTCAGAAACAGACAGAGGTATTGATCAACGGGAAGGAATCACCAATATCTGGGCTTATATTTATGTATTATAGCAGCAAACCCCGCTACCACAAGCCTCGCAGCTGCGGTGCTTTTCATGGCTGGTGTAGTGTGTAATAGGGTTTAATCCGGATATCATGCGACTTATTGTTTGTATACATTCAAAAGGCAGCCACGAAAAATCGTCAACGGGAAAGCATCACGGGATTTTCATTGTGTCCCTCGAGATCTTTGTTAGGTCAATGGGCAGATTATATCAACGAACAGCATTACTAGGGAGATAGGGAAAAATCATAAGGGATGGGATTTACATATGTAATCCTACTTGCTCTTTGTGATTGATGAGCTTCGTAATCAGTACACGACCCGAAAGAGTATCTGACATAAACTTGTTGAATTTCTTGACTATTCGGCCGTAATGAACAGAATGCAAGATGCACCAGCTAAAGTGACTGCCATTTCGAGTCATCCTCTGAAAGGATAGTATGCGAGTGCAAAATTTGACGCCATTAAACCCCCAAGCAAGCAAACCTCTGACAAACAGAAAGGTTTGTCGCTTCCAGAACACCGACGAAATGGTAGCAAGGGATATATGCCGAAGGGGTAGGGAAAGCATCAATCATAAACCCAATAGTGCCAGCCTGCTAGATGGCGTGTATCTCTCTGTGCTCCTCGCATCATTGATGCAGTGTTTCTGCCCATATGACTGCCAGACCCCTCGTACACATGAAGAAACCCGTTTTTCCATCCCTTATACGAATATAACCGCATCCGCAAGCAAATCAAGCTCCGATGGGGACCGTCGGACCATGCCGCAGCTTTTCAACTAGGGTGCAGGATTCTCCTTGACGATGGTCTTGACCTTCTTCTCGTACGCTACCTTATCCTTTTTGAACAAGTTGAAGGCGTCGGCTTGTGCCGGGGACTCCGGGTTGGGCTCGTCAAGCAGCGACTGAATGCCCAGAAGAATCTCCTTGATGGTAATGGCAGGCTTCCAGCCTTCTTCTTCGTTCAGAATCGAGAGGCAGACGGTGCCGGAAGGGTAGACGTTGGGGTGGAACAGCGGCGGTGTGAATTTGCCTGCGCGCATAGGAGAATTGAGGGTTAGTTTGGGGGAGAAGAGTTCGTTTAGTGGAAATCGAAGGAGTCTGATGTGCAGGTTGTATAGGGGACTTTACTTACATTTTGGTGGCTTCGTTGGGTACTCTGCGATCAGCAAAGTCAGCGAGTTGTCTAGTTATAATTTGTAACACCTGGGAAGGGTGCCATACCATCCGGGAACGCCACCTCGAGCTTAAACAGTCCGCCTTCCCAAATTGTCTTCTCTTTGCCTGGAACGCCGCAATCCCACCGCTTGAGATCCATTACGCCTTGCGGGTTGCGCATAGGCTTTGCGAAAAAGCCAAATGGGTGGTCGCGTCGCCATTGCTTCCTGATATACGTGTCAGCTTTTCTTCCTCGAACACGGGTCATCACTCTGAAGGACTTGCCTCTCCTCGGACAAACGATTGATACAGAGACTAGACATGATTCTCGTAAGGCTGTGGCAGCGCAAATGTCGCTGAGGTTGTTGGTCAGGTTTGGAAGGGTGTTGTGTGGAAAGAGAGAGGACGAGAGAGCGTGTGTTGGGGCTTAAAAGAGCACGCTACAAGCGCTGCTGTTCGGGCCAGCGGTGAGAGGTTAAGGTGAGAGAAACGACGCCTTGTTCCGCCGCCGTAGGCAAATGTCCTGCGTCGCTGGAGCGTTCCACCGCGATGCACGTGACCCTGTTCCGCGATAATGATGCGGTTTTGCTGCAGGGCTATTTTTCGGGCTAGACCCCCCAGCACCTCGTCTCACTCAAGAACCCCCACCAAGTTGCCCCACTCCGCTCTTGGACTGCCGTACCGAGGCTGCCGCCATCACGGACCGGAGCAACCACCTTGGTCATCTTGCATCTCGGCTGTCCATTCTGGTTGAACCAACACTTGACCTGTAGACACAATGGCCGATTCGGAGAAGAAGCAAGCTGAAGTGCCACCAAAACCCACCGCAGATATCGCCTCCGACCCGGAAGAAGATGATCTGTCTGACCTCGACGGCAAGTCACATGCGCATACCTTTCTCGAATGCCATGGCACATTTTTCTAACATTCAGTCCAGATGTTCTAGACGAGTTTGCAAATACAAAGCTGGACGCGAAGTCTGCACCTGCAGCCCCTTCGACTACATCAGCCGCCATACCCCCCGCATCATCATCCTCTGAGTCTGGCAGGCCGAACCCGGAGGAACTGCTCGTTCAGGATGAGGCGGCCTTTGCGAAGGAGCTCCAGAAAGAGATGGAGCAATTGCTCGGCCAGGGAGATTTCCAGAAACAGTTTGAAGATATCATGAAAGAGGTGGGCGGTATGGTGGGCGAGGAATCGCTCCCAGGCTCTGGCGAGGGTGCTGCAGCGTCGTCGTCGTCGTCCTCAGGAGACAAAACCAACGCACCATCCCAGAAGAGCGAGCAGAATTTCCAAGAATCGATACGAAAGACCATGGAGCGCATGCAAGAGTCGGGAGATGCAGCGTCTGCTGCCGCAGCGACATCGTCGCAGGACGACATCCTTGCGCAGATGCTCAAAGAGATGGAGTCTGGTGGATTCGGCGGCGAAGGTAGCGACGAGGACTTCTCGAAAATACTAATGGGCATGATGGAGCAATTGACCAACAAAGATATTCTATACGAGCCTATGAAGGAGCTTCACGATAAATTTCCTAAATGGATGGAAGAGAACAAAACCAAGACCGAGGAGAAGGACCTCAAGCGATATGAAGAGCAACAGCAGCTGGTTAAAGAGATCACAGAGAGGTTCGAGAGGCCGGGATACACAGACGACAATGCGCAAGATAGGGAGTATATCGTTGAGAGAATGCAAAAGGTGAAGCGCTTCACCCAAATTAATGTTGTCATCTCAGCTAATGGTGCAATTATAGATGCAAGCGGCCGGATCACCACCGCCTGATTTGGTTGGCGACATGAATGCTGCCCAAGAGGCACTGCAGGATATAGACCAAGGCTGTCCTACACAGTAACTTGTCTTGCAGGGCTCTTTGATATTCAGATACCCCAAATGTACATGCGCACACGCGCAGTTATTACAACATTCCCAACGTATCGCCCATTCCCTCTAGTCCCATGATTATCACATAACCGTACTCATTCGATGTCGGTTACAGCTCTTTCAAGTCATATCCATCTCATCCGTGTCGGCCAGATTCTGATCCGGTCGTCGTGGTGGGACATCTACTGCCGAAAGACCCTCTATCAGAATTGCGTCATAATCTTCATCGTCGCTCCCAAAATGCAGTGACGCATTATCCGTCTCATCTTCCTCCATGGAGGCAATATATTGCTGCAACTCCCACTCTTCTTGTGCACGCAGGTATTCAGCCTCTTCGATGGCCTGCTCGGATTGAGGAGCATCACTCGTATGGAACGACGCAGCACGTATCAGGTCTTCTTCGTCGGTGATCTCGTCCTCAACGTTTGGTGCTTCGCGCGCTTGCTCTTCTTCCCAACGCTTGCGTTCCGATGCGTAGTCCATGCCTTGAATCTACCAGTATGTGAGCGGACGGATCAGATTGATCGGTAAAACCAAATGAGACATACCTGTTCGCCCCTCGAGTCCCATTTCTTATCCTCCCTGTTCTTTTGCACGCGATTGAAGAACAGAGCGCGTCGCTTCTGTGTGGCAGCATCACGCGTTTGGAAAACGGGATTTGGCTTGAATGTTCGCGGTTGATTTGTCGGTCTCTTGGTCTCTGGCATGCTGAATGTGAAGATTTTTGGCGCTACATTCGGGGAACGCTCGGATAGTGGCGATGGCCGCGACGGAGTGAACGCGAAGTGTGGGGAAAACGGCGTCGTAGCGATCATGGTTGTAGTTGGAGTCGTTCAGAGGGAATGTAGTATGGTGGTGAGCAAGCCCGAAGGAAGGTAGTAGCGGGTGGCGTTGTTGATGTAGTGTGTGTGTGAGTGAGGGTCAAGGACGGCGAGTTGAGGCTACGAATAACGCGACGCGGTCGCGCTTCTCTATCGATAGCGGCAACCAGGGTCCACTCCATTATGTCATCATCGGCCTCAACCGATCCGATGTCTCCCAAACACGCTCTCGTAACTTCATATACATACCTATGTATATATCACCACCCATGTTCATAATTACTGTTCCATCATCTGCATCGATTGAGGCGGGCATTTTTGCATCATTGCGCTTGTCGGAATTATTACGAAGTTCGCTACCGAAAGACGGTTGCGATATGCCTCTACATTGCTAACATTGCACTATTGCGTTGATCGTCCGTCCACAGATGCGATACGACGCTTCACAACTTAAAGCATGATTCGGTTTTGGCTAGAACTCGGAGCGTTCTCCTCGGAGGCTCGGACTACCACCTTCTACATAGACAAGACGTCGGTCCTCTTTCCGAATTGCCGCCCCAGGGTATATGTGATTGAGGGTTCGTACCCAGATTAGATTTGCACGGCTCATCGCATCTCGATGTGCAATATATCCATAGACGATTTATATTACATGGCAGTCACCTTGTTCCCACAGCACAACGCATGAGTTCTCGATTATATGCACCTAAATCTGATGGTCTATATATTTATCGATGCTTGCTGCTCTGACATCTCTACTTATTCCCTACCCATAGTTCACACACAGCCATGATTCCCACTTCAATCCTTGGATTGGTGCTGCTCTCAAGCTCCGCATATGCGCATACATACATTTGGGTCCGACCATCTACATCTGTAATTCGATGACTATACTCACAATTTACAGGGGGTTTTCGTGAACGGTGTGGATCAGGGGACGTTCCGTGGAATTCGCACACCCGCTTATAATGCCGGACCCCATGCTGGAGGTTACTCGAACTCCCCCGTCAAGGACCTTGAGTCTATCGACATGAGATGCAATGTTTTGGGAGATATTCAAGCGCCAGACACGATTAAAGTTCAACCGGGCGACAACTTGACCTTGGACTGGCATCACGATTATAGAAATGACACTGACGAAGTAATCGCGAATTCCCATCACGGTACTGCGCTCCTGTCTGTTCCAAAGTCGAGATATGCTCACAAAAGCTGTAGGACCATCTCTGATATACATTTCCCCTGACCCACCGACGGAAAACAGCTTCGTGAAGCTTTGGCACGAAGGTCTCTATGAGACCCTACCACACCCACAACCTGGCAAGTGGTCTACGACTTCAAACATCGCGAAGAACTTCGGGCACATGAATGTTCGCGTTCCTCAAGATCTCAAAGCTGGATTGTGTGTTTTACTTTCCTTTCGTGGTATCCTTCTGACTTCGACTTGACTGTGGCAATTTCCCTAAACATAGAACTCGCGAAATCTTGAGCGCTATCTTTATCGCAGGACAAGAACAAATCCGCTGATATTTCTCAGTTATCTCATCCGTGCCGAAATGATCGGTCTTCATGAAGGCGATGCCTCGTTCTTGAAGAATCCACGACGGGGCGCACAATTCTATCCTGACTGTGTCCAAATCGAAGTCACTGGCGAAGGCAGCGTCGAGCTTCCCGAAGGTAAATTATCCACGAAACACTTTGCTGGGTACCAAATTCACTTACAGTAAACAGGCGTATCTTTTCCCGGCGCTTATGACTACAGCGATCCAGGCATCGTCTACGACGTACGTATCCTCTCATGCTTACCCTCAGTTCAGTCGACTATATGCAGACACTAAATGGGTGCACATACAGGTTTATTGCTCAACAGAAACCAAGACTCGTAGTACCGGCCCTTGTACCACCACATATGAGATACCAGGACCCTCCGTGTGGTCCGGCGCGTGGGCTGAAACTACAGCTGTATCTGTTAGCCCAGTTACGGACTCAAGCACTGCTTCCACATGGTCTACATGGATTCAGAACTCTATCGTCACTTCGGCAACATATACCGATAGGAAGACGGTCACAGTCGTAGGTACCTCAACGTACACGGCTAGTTGGTCATCGACGTATCAGACGCCCGCTCCGGCCACGACGAGATGGTGAACAGGAAGCAACAGGCTTGTCGAACTCGTCCCCGGGGATGGTGTACTTTCAATCTTTCGGGTACAATAAACTCGGGTAGACACGATATCTGTCCTCCGTGGGTGACTGGCGGATATTCCCCATTAGGAAATCTACATTATACACTAACATGTGTCTCATTGTGACCGTTTTTAAGGAACGTGGATGCTCTTCAACACTGTAAATTCGTGCGAAGTTTGTCGCCGGTGAAGATATACATCCGGGTCAAATAATCCTACGTAATTTTAGTGCTCTGCAATCGTCACCGTGGCATTTGCGCTGATTGTCATTTTGATTTAATGCAATTTATCTAATTGGAAGCTCCTTCTGTATTTGACTGCTACGCAGCAGAAGTTTCTCTGCCAGCCCTTCGTTGATGTGCTTGCCTAGAAGATCGGAAGCTGTGTTTCCTGAATTGTCCGCAATATCCATTCTAGCACCGTTCTCAAGCAGTAAAACAGCAACCTCCTCAAAGTACCTCCCTAGCGATCTATTACCGGCGATTGCGTTATGCATCGACGTCCTGCCGTCCGGGCCTTGCCAATTTGGATCCGCTCCTCTGCTCAGTAGCAGTTTCAAGATGCCGTTTTTGTGAGGTATAGGCCCCATCATTCCACACAAAGTTGACCGGCACAGTTCGTGCACTACTTCAATGCGCTCACCAAGAGCGCAAATACCATCTTTTACACCCATATCTGTATCTAAAAGTATCTCCACTAAACTGGCCCCACGCAAAGATCCATCCGATATCCGTGATCCATCCCAGGTGCTCCCGTAGCCCTCAAACTCCGGTTTGCTGCACGCTACGAGGAAGATTGCACGTCTCAATTGCATTTGGGTGTATTCGCATCGTTGGAGGAGCACAGACACGATATCTGGATACCATGCCCCTGCCGCCAACATCAACGCCTCTTCCCTATCCTTATTGGGTTCGACGATGTTTCCGTGCTGCAACCCTGAACCTGGTGTTTCAGGATTCGCTGTGCGGCTTCCAGCATCATTTTCTTGATGACGAGGTTTATCCACTAAGACCCATTCATCCTCACTCCAGTCGAGCAAGTCTCGGAGTACATCTACACGGTTTTCATCCGCAGCAACTTGAAGAAGAGTCATCTCGTCATCGGGCTCTCTTCGTTCCCTGTCGACACCCATATCCCATAGTGCCCTGACAAATCCTCGTCGGCCCAATCGCACTGCTAGTCGAATTGGAGAGTCACTCAGATGTCGCGTTGCCCCTTTGTCTAGAGCATTGACGTCGGCACCGTGGAGCGCGAGGTGGAGGAAGGCGGGAAGATTGTTCATCCTGATACATACGTGAATGGGCGTGCCACATGTTTCATCGCATTCATTGATGTCGTAGGCGGATTTACTCACGAGTGAGATCAACTGTGGGAGGTTTCCGCGTGCGATGGCTTGATGGATTGGAAGATATCGCGCAAGGTCGTTGAAGTGCCTGCGCACCCTCTCTGGATTGTCGGCACTGCGCATTTTTGTTCTTCTGTTGTAACTCAGGCGATCTTTCGTTTTGTCTTGGGTAGTATCATGAACAAGGAGCTTACAGGTGATGTAAAACGAGTTACAATTAATTGATAAAAAGACAAGTTGTTTCAACTCAAAGAAAGTCGCCACACTAGAGTTTTACGACCTCAACATATATAAGCTGGAGTTGACTGTTGAGAACATAGCCTACGTCAACTTATACACTGCTGAGAGGATCTGTAGGCAGAAATTAGTCACGTGGGTGCCAAGGAAGGGTCACCTCAAGATGTTCATTTGTTGAGCACCTTGAATGTACTCAAGTACTACAGATTTATGATCACTGATCATCCCAGACGATCCCATCCGTATTCATGTACATGTTCCCCAATCTTTTTGCGTCAGTACAAAAGTTGCGATGATATAAACGCCGATGACCGTTCAATTTCCAAACGACGATAGGTGCTTTCATGATTGGCAGTGAAGCAGACCCAAAGATCCTTAAAATATCACAACCCAGCGTTCCCCAATACTGAATGTAGTGACTCGGAATAATATCTTAGCTTGCAAAATTTGTATAAAATAACGGAAATCGTTGTTACATGATGGACTCAGAGTTCATTGGCTGTCGCAGATTGAACAAGGCTATGCTAGTCGCTTGTCATTGTTGCACAGCATATGCCACACCGGCTTCTCACGACTTCTCTATCATACTTGACTCAGCCGCAAAAAACATCATATTCTTCATCTCCGCGGGCTTCTACCCCTCTGATCCCCGACATATTCACACGACGATCATGTCGCTCCTTGGACGAGCCTTAGTTGCTGTTGACGGACTTGGTCATGTAATGAGCAAACACGTCGGTCCAGTCGCCGGCGAGGCTTGGAAGCATCTAGATAATGTTGGCCAGGAAGTTTCGAAACAATTCGTGAATACAGCGCCCGTGGTCTATCAGCATCTCGAAAGTACCGGACAAGAAGTGCGCAAACGTGTTGGAGGAGCGGCTACGCAAGGAAAAGATTGGATCGTTCAACACCCTGGAGAAACGGCTGGAATCGCAGCCTGCGTACTTGCTGCACCTGTTGCTATCGCTGTCACGCCCTTTGCACTTGGTGCTGCGGGCTTTACTAGCGGAGGGGTTGCTGCTGGTAAGGACCTGCTCTCCTTGCATCTTCCCCGTCGACTGAGGTCCTAAACTAATCATGCTTTGCAAAGGGTCTGCTGCCGCTGCCGCTCAAGCCGGTATAGGGAATGTTGCTGCTGGAAGTGCTTTTGCTGTTCTTCAAAGTGCTGGAGCCGGCGGAGCCGGCCTTGCTACCGTCAACGCTGTCGTTGGCACGGGTGCTACAGCCGCCGCCGCTGGTGCTGCCGTCGCCCCATCTCTTGTCAAGGCTACACGTGAAGATCAGAGTGATGAAGACGAGGAAAAGAGTAAAGATAAGGACCACAATCAGAAGAATTCGGCCAAGCTCTAGCGTGGCTCAATCTGTTCATGTCTCGGAGGACAGACATCAGTCGAGCAATTGTCTTGGGTATACTCTGAACGAATTCACGGTATCAAGTGTATTTCTATCGTACTTCATAGCTCTATTATCATCCTAAACTCTACATTTATAGATCTCAGATATCTTTCATGCCCTCCAGACACAAATTGTCATACTCCACTAGGCTCGGTTACATATCTGTTTCTCTAGCTAAGATATACATTCTTACAAATGGTAAACAAAGTCGAACACCCCTGATTTTTGGAATAATATCTATCATAGCTCCCTAGACTCTTCTAGAATAACCTGGACCGATCACTCGCCGTTACACAAACGCCAGATGTGGTTAGTCAGACTCTCTTCATCTTATCAGCACTTGCTTCTCATCGAAGTCTATAACCCTCACGCCACCGTCCAACACAACACCTCTTTGCATCAATCAATTCCAACCGGCAATAAAAAAATATGGGCTTCCTCAGCAAGGTGGTCAGCATCGGTCGCAAGGTCTGGAAATCTGTCGCGGGAGCAGCCATGAGGGTCCGAGACTGGGTTCTCCAGCACCCACGGGAGACAACCGCCATTGTCCTCGCTGTCATCATTGGGATCGTTATCGTTATTGCAACTCCACATATTCTGAGTGCCGTCGGCTTCACAGTTGGTGGAGTTGCTGCCGGTGAGCAATCTTTTTATAAAGACATCGGATTAGGCACTATGCTAACGATTTTGCAGGCTCCGTTGCAGCTAGTATACAATCAGGTATCGGGCTTGTTACTGCTGGCAGCACTTTTGCGATCCTGCAGAGTGCTGGTGCGGGTGGTACAGGCCTAGCGGTCGTTTACGCTATCACCGCTGTGGTCACTGCCGCCGGTGCCGTTGTCGCTAGTCTCTGGTCTAAATTTCGCCCTTGATACAACGACAAAAGAACACCGACGAGTGGGACGCTACTGGCACTCTAAGGAGAAGAGCGGTAATAAAGAGGAGGTTTCCGGATCTTGAATGTGTTCGCTTCACGCTGGCTAGGCTGGCTGTGTATGTGCAGGCAATGAGTTCTGCGCCTTGGGAAAGTTATTGGGAATCAGTGCAAGCACCCAATAAACTTGAAGGAATCAGACATAGGGACCGCCGGGGAATGTCATGATTGATGGTTGTTCCCGACCATCACAAATGCAAAACTCACTTTCCAATGTTTTTTAAGCTTTTCCTAGAGCTAACTCATTGATCGTGCAAACGTTGAGCCAAATCGACCGTGTGACTGTTCCCATAAGATGATGCAGGTTCATTCTAGTACTATCTTAGTCAATTTCGGCATCAGTGACTGACTCACTTCCTCAAAGACTGATCATTCCACAGCGCAATTATAATATAGAAAGAACATTCGCTTCCGTTTGCGGTTTGGTAAGAGGTGAAGCTCAGCTATTCTTATGTTGTGAATACAGAGTGACTACTTGTACAGTTAGCCTGCTGAATTCACGAGTACAGTGTGTGAATCTATGTTCTGACTGTGAAACTTCCATTCACCCACCCTTTCATAGTCGCAACAGCATATTTAAAGCATCAAAATGCTACCCTTACAGGCTTCTCAGACATCTTATTCGTCTTCATCTTTCTTTAACTGTATCTTACCGCTTCAGCTTTTAAACATTTTTATACCATCTTTCCTTCGAAACTATTGTGCTTGAATATCAATAGTGCTGGACACTAGGAATATTACTGCCCTATTTGTTACATCTCTGCCTTCAGCCCCTCCCTCCCCCCCCCCCCCCGACCACACATCTTCTAAGACAGTTTATTTAATTTTAGAAGATATAAGAAAGCCCGTAGTGCTGTGCGCTAAGCCTCTTCTATTGCTCGAAGGATCCCGCTATAACACATACGATCGCTTTATTCGACATCATCTTTACTGTTTGCAGGAAACAAGAAAAGATCTACGACCTTTCCCTTTGCTTCCCTAAAAAAACCGAAGACAAGACCTTTTTTTCTGAATCAGAATGTCGACGCGCAGACACAGGTCAAGAAGCTCTTCAAACGCGAGTGCCGATGAATCTAGCAAACGGCCTCGAACCTCGGCCTCTACACAAGTCGCATCATCTGAACCACCTTTGGCATTCGTAGATCCGAGCGTGCTTTCTGATCAAACTTTTGACCAAAGCCAATACTCCCAGTCTTCCTTCCAGGGAGCCTCTGCAGCATCACATACAGGTTCAGTGTTTTCGGACCGTCTCAGTGCAGAGCCTGTAAGCTATAGGATCGAAGACCTTTATGACATATTTGACTTCGAGGCCGAGTTCCCCGAGGAGAATGTACAGACTCAGTCCCGACCTCGCACTCCCCGCAATATCAGTAGACGTGCTTCAAGGGAAAGGAGTTGTTCCAGAAGTGCTGGTATAGGTTCCAACACTTCGGGTTCTAGAATTTCTAACCCACCGAACATACGGAGCTCAGGTAGAGGATCCCAGCCAGCAAGCCGTGCAGACTCGAATGAAGTTGGTAATCTGCCGACTTACTCTCAACAAGCACCTTCTAACCGGCGAAGCACCAAAGGACGGCCACAAAATCATCAAGAGCCATCTTTCCTAATACAAAACTATAATCGACAACTATATAATTCATTCTCTCAAAAAGATGGTGAATCATCGTTTCAATCTCGAGAACATGGTCCACGGCGAGTCACCGAAGCAGACTGGAGAACTCTAGATGAAATATCCGCAAGGTTAAGAATGGCTGTAGCTCTTAATGACATATTCAGGAAACGGGGCCTCTGGATGCCTGATCAGAAGGGTGGACGATTCGCATCGTTCGATTTTACTGTCCCAGAAATTATCCAAAATTTGGAAGCATGGGACCGGATTGCTATGCATGAGATCGAGGGCGCGGGCTATTCAGAAGACCTCGAACAGATGGGAGACGCAAGAAATAAGCCGATATCGCAATTGGTGCAAGCAGATGGTGCTCAATATATGCTCCACACAGCCGGTATAACGATGTATAATGGACTCTATGGAAACACCAAAGAACGAGCTATAATAATACAGGCCGCCTTAGATGAAATTGCACGAAGAAGGCATGATCCATCATGCAAACCAGGTCAGTTTTTTGGACAAGGTGGTCCGCCCGGTCCGCCTCCACCAGGCGCAGGAGGATTCGGTGGAGGTAGCAGCTCAACACCTAGTCACAGCATGGGTAACTTCAATCAAAGCGGTCATGGCGGAGCTCAAGGATCTGGAACCTATTCATATGGGGGTAATCAAGGTACATCGTACCAGCGTGCTCCCTCGGCCCATCGCAAAGCCGTGAATTCCAGCCGCTCCAGTTCGGCGGTGAGAGGCAGGTCCAATTCTATCACTTTACAAGATGAGATGGGTAAGTTGGACTTGGGTAGTAGGGGTCGGAGTGGCACCCGACAATCAACAAATTCGGGTACTAGAAGATCATCGCAAATCAGACTACCCAACCAATCCGGACCACCCCTACGACAACGCTCGCAAAGTCGTTCTAGCGGAGATGACTCTCTACCAGAACCCGGACTTTCACGAAAATCTACCCTCCAAACAAACCCATCAGCCACGCAGGCAGGAAAAACAGCCCAAAAGGTTTCTGGAGCAGGCTCCACCGAAACTGCGAAATTGCCAAAGCCGAAGAGCATAAACCCTGCTCAAAAAGCTGCCACGCCATCTCGATCAGGCAATAAGTCCACTGCAGTTAGTTCTGCGAAAGCGAAATCCGGAGATCGAAAGTCTGGCAAATCTGCCACGCCAGCGAGCAAGTCATCTCGGGTGCCTACGAAGAGGAACAACGCAAAGCAGCCGCTCAAGAAAAAGTCCACTGTACAGGTGACTGCCTGAGTGTGCAAAGGAATTTCTTTACCTTTCTTGTATCGTTCTAGAGGAGAGACAGCGGTAGCTTGAGGGGGAGGGAGAATGAGTAATTTAGTAGGACATGACGCTTTGCAAGAGCGAGCGTCAAAGTCCGAGGAGGTTTTCTCTTCTTTCCTTTTTTTTGTATTGTTCAGCAATGTTTCTTGCGTATATGGGGTTTTATTTCTTATACAGGAGAGTTTTGGTTTCTTTTGTATAATAGCTTGCAATATTTCTTGCATGTGTAGATTTCGGTTTGTTATACAATAAACATTCTACACTCCTATGTGGTACTGTTTTGCATGGATGCTTCTGTAGATAGAGTCTTGTTTCTTCTACTAGAAGATATTCGTTGTCTTCTTCTTACTGTACTATTTTGTAACGTTTCTAGTTTATGCGTAGATCTGTTTAAGTTTTTTTTTTGATTGGAAGTTACAGTGGTCCCTACACTAAAAAAGGATGATAAAAAGGGTTAAACAAAAAGTAGACGGGCACAAAAAGCTTTAAAAAAGGAGTTTTGCTTTCAGCACCAGAGGCCAGGGATGCAATACCCGGCGTAGATCTGTTTCCCTGGAAGATATTCCTCTGATTGAAAATGTCGATTCTATTTAGAGCGAATTGCAGTATTGACTATCGATTTTCTTATTCGTGAACGATTACGAACAAGTTATCAAGAACATTAGCTTACATCTAGTCGCACAGTGCAAATATACGTTTTTATATGGTTTACGTTATGATACCTATAATAATCTATGGTCTTTTCTGCCATGTTGCAGCTTCAAGACTTGTGTTTTTGTATACTGCAGTAGTGTACTTTCAATGAGAGATAATATAGAGCAAACTGTGACATCAAAAACGTGCGCAACAACTTAAGAGATAAAAAGTACGTCCGTTTAAATCCAAATAAATACTTCAAAGGAAATGGAAAAAGACAGAAAGACTAGAATCGTCTCATCCCTAAGTATTCTCCAAGTAACTATCACGAAAATTTGCATAATCAGTGATGTTGGTTGGGCAGCGGGGCAGATTTCATCGACCCTTCACGAATTTTACCCAAGTTCCAAATCCTGAGGCAGACTTTAACACGCACGCCCTCCACCCCAAGGCATCTATGTCTGCCTAGAGAGAGATTACGACCATTCCTTCCCGCTTCCCCGCCTACATCAATAATCAAAATTTTCACGTGCATCTACCTATATACGTACACCACCTACTTAATCTGGATAATAAAGTTTATAGTCCGAGTGGTGTGGTGTGGTGGGCTATGCACATGTATTTTACAAAGGGCGGCCGCACTTGCACTTGCACTTGCAACGCATCGTCCATACCTATTCCTTGCTTACTTTGACCTCTGTCTTCTTTTCCTACACTTCTATTGTGAAAGTCTTCACTATGGAATCACAAGGATGGTATTCAAATCATCAACTTTCCTCGTTCTGTAAAAATGGCCACCCACCCACATAAAGTACTTAACCATCTTGACCATCTCCCGCCCCGTCTTTCTTTCCATGCCTTACTCTAAACTCTGGTACACCACTAGTAAGTAAAAAAAAGGGTTGTAAATCCAAGATGTAATACAGCATTTCCACTCAAGTCATTTTCGGGCCTAACTTTAATATTCAGATATCTAGGTGCTCAATGTCACGTACCATGTTGGTCCGACCACGCACCACCCACGCACCACCCAACCCACAGAACAACAAGCACGCGCATCAAAACACACAAACGACCCACGAAGGAAAGAATCACACATCTCCGCACCTTTGAACAGCATCTCGGCTTCATTCTAGCCTTGCACTCGCCTCCGCCATTTCGTCTTCACTGCGGCACTGTAAACTTCCTAGGACAATGACATTATCATGCCTCCCGAACGAACGAGTGGATGGAACGGGGTGGGTACACATATTGTATTGACAATGTCGTTATCTACAAGGGAGTGGAGTAGTGATGGAGGGAACAATCACGCCATAGCACACCATGCACCGAAGAGAGAGATAGAGAAAAGAAAAAGGCGGGGCCGTTGAGGTTATCTATGGGGCCCTCTTTATCTATGGATCCCCCCTACAACAGAAACAGCGCAGCGAAGCCGCAGTCGTTGGATGTTTTCTCTCTTCTTCTTCACTTCTGGTACCTTTGGAAATCCGCTGCGACACTGTGTACGGCACGACACGACACGATACGACATCAGAATTTGCCCGGTCACTCGTTCCAAAACGAAGTCATCAAGAGCATCGAGAGAATATGGATCGATTATCACAAGAGAGGAGGGACAGATCGGAGTTTATGGTTGATGTTGTTGAATACCTCATAACCCATAGCAGTCGTTTCTACTTTGCTGTCTATAACGATACTAGTACATTCATGGGGAAATAAACGTTCCGTTTCTTCTTCCCTGACGTCAATGATGATGACATGGCCATTGAAGGGTTGACCCATCGATATGGAGACCTTCCCGTCCACAGGAAGAAAGAGCAAGGAAAAAGAAAACCGTCCCTTCGATGAAAAGGAAAAAAAAATAATGATTAGAAACTGGACGGGGGTATCTCGAAGAGGTATTGAAACCATGGAAAAAAAGCCCACACCTTTGGCCACAATCATAGCGATGATATAAAGGACAACAGCGACAACAGTGGCTGTGACAAGAACGAATCGAATCGATCAGAAAAGGTATAGACGAAGAGACGAGACGAACGAACAAAACGAGGAATACCAAATACAATGTGTTCGAAAGGAAACGCAAGACACCGAGGCACCAGGGCTCGGCGACAAGAGGATATACCAAACCGCTAAAAACGCACGACATGGACCCAGGAGAGGGTAATCGAGATGGCTGTACCCGGAAAATGGGCTACAGAGAAAAGAGCAAACGTCGGATACGACGTAAGGAAAAGCCATCGCTTAAACGTATTCGTTAGGCATGAGCCTCTTCAGTCTAGCCGAACTGGCCGAACTGATTGATGAGGGAATGCAGCAATCTGCAAAAGATCTGGTGCAACTCGACGAAGAAGTTCTCCATTCCAACAATCTCGACGAGGTTTTTGGCCTTCATCACATCGCGGGACACGCGTGGAAAGCCATCCGGATCAACCTTCTTTGCAGAAAGGAACGAGGATACCGGGGTGATGTTGCGGGTGGTGGGAGAGCTGGCTGTCGACGAAGACAACCGCTCCTTTTGCGGGGATGGGAAGTTGGGCATTGATGATGTAGATGTGCCCAGAGGCGGGGTGCTCGCGTTAGCCGTGGCTGGGCGCTGCAGTGACACGGAGGCGGCACTCTCCTTTTCGAGAACCTTCTCGGCCATGGATACTATCCAGTTGGCAAGGGATTCGAAAACCTCGGTGATCTTGACCATGGCCCTGGTGGCTCGCATCCCATCGCGGCCGGCCATGGCAATGAGCGCGTAAGTGCGCTTTGCTCCTCGAGAACGAGGGTCTTGTAATCTGAAGACATATGCGATGGTGTATCCAGCGTGGGAATCACCAAAGAACATGGGTCCGGAGGCTTTGCCCATGGGAAGAGTTTCTGTCGACAGGGTGCGGATGCAGGTACGTCTGAGCAAGGAATACGAGGCAGGGGAGTGTGGTTGACTCGTCGAAACATAGCTCAGGGTGTGGGTGTGCATGCCCTGGGCAGTGAAAAGTGGAGAGGCGGGACTGGAACTGGGGTAGGAGCGAGAGCCGTTGCTTTCGAATGATTTGGAATGTTCGGTATCCGAGGCGTCTGAGGAGTCGGAACTGCTCATGTCAACACCTGCAGCAGACCTTCGCACTGCGTAGTTGTGCGAGGTACGCAGTACAGGGCTTCCATTTCGACCTCGGCCATCCTTGGTGGGACTGCCAGGAGCGCCATTTGGCAGTTTCTGACTTGTCTTCTTGGGGATGACTATCTGACAGTTCTCGCATACATCTGGTTCCGAGTCGCAATTACTGCCAGAGCGGGGGAAGACGAAGTTGCTATCGGAGGTAGGAAAGCTGGGGAAGTAGGGGTTGTGAGTGGGAGATCTGGGGCTGCTGGGAGGGGTTTCGAAGGGTGAAGTAAGGTGTGGTAGTCGAGCGCTATTCAGCTTCAAGGGTGGCTGATCGTAGAGAGCGTTGCAGGCGAAAGGTGGATTGGGTTCCTCGGAGGGAGGGGTGGGACAGGGACTGCACGATGTACAAGCAGCAGTGGAAGCTTGGGTGCAGATGATAGAGGTAGGACCGTGGATTTCGCAGAAATGAGCGAGCGAGATCTGTTGCCAGGCGCGTCAGCCATGAAACCGGGGTGGTATGAGGCTCACAGGAGGAAGAAGGGGAGAGAGAGAAGGGTGTAAGCGCGCGGAAAACGTACCGTGAAGTCCATGTTTGCTCCTCTGTCTTATCTTTACGGCCACATGGTGGTTCCCAAGTCGAGTGTAGTGTGGTGTGGTGGGTCGTGTCGGGTCGTGTGGCTCAGCTGACGATAGCTGAGAGGGGTGTAGTGGTGGTAGTTCGCGACAGGCTCGCGCCGGAATGCTCAGGTGTGCGAGATGTTTGGGCTGTGAGTGGTGTAGAGGCGAAAACGGTGGTCAGGTACAAGAGGAAAAGAGGCGTTTGAGGAGGGGTGGGCAGGTCGCGTGCGCACTGGGAAGCGCTGGAGGAGGTGGAGGTGGAGGTGTGGAGTTTGTTGGTCTTGAGACAATGGACAGAGAAGTGACGGAGGCGAAGGCGCTGGTTGTTGGATGGGGGCAAGCGACTGAGTAAGCAGGCAGGCAGGGCAACAAGGGCAAAAAGGGTGCACAGAGGGTATAGACGAGTTTGTTGGCAGCAACAAAGGCACAATGAGTGAATCACGGCGAGAGGAGAGTTTGAAGACCAAACAAAATATGAGGGGAGGGACATGAGGCCATGGACTATGTATGGTATGCGCGAGCTAGCCTTACACTTACACCGCCAATTTGGCTAGGCGCTGATTGGCCAGGGCCCGTGGGTGCACCAAACCTCGACTAATTAAGCCCACCACATAGAGAGCAGCCATTACAGTACCATCATCCATGCATCCACCCACCATCCATCCGACGACGACGGTGAGGCCCATGTCCTGTTCGCCCTTTGTCCTCTTCTTCTTTTTCGTTCTTCATTCTTCCTTTTCTTCGCCTGCATGCTTGCCTGGGATTGCGTTCCGCTTCCTCCTGTTCTGCTGCTCCATGTGCTTTTTCCATATTAACCCCCATCGTCATCCTCCCTGCAATCTTCCCGCAACCCATGTCTTCACACTTACGTATATACGCCTACGTCCATTTACATCAATATGAAGACACACGCTCAGGCCTGCAGCCCAGTACCTGCGTTTGCATGTGAAGCCCCGGCGTTGCAACTCATTCATACATCATCTCAGCTGTAGCGCACACGACCCGGTAACACACAGAGAGAGAGGGAGCGCAAGAGTCATTTTCGTGCATGCATGCATGTACTGGACCGATGCTCCATAGCACTCGTCGATGGATGCTTGGGATTCCATGTACGTGCATTCACGCACACACACAGCCTACGGTAATTAGCACCAGACCGATGCAAAGATGCCGCGACCGGGACTTGGGTAATCCCAGTGCCAAACGGCAATCCTCTCTGGCCCGTCTCTCGTTTGGGGCAACGATTCGCCAATGACGCACCACTGGTCCTGCAGAAGCAATCGGAATCGGTCGCCCTGGTGGGAGCTGAAGGCTGCCATCCGCTTCTGTTCATCACATACGGGGCTGCTCAAGCCTGCTTCGTACACAATCTCTGCCGTTGATGGGCAGTACTTCCCTGGACAAGGCTAAATGCGTCCACACCAAACGTCATGGCATCTCGTTTCCAGCCCGGGCCAGCCCACTTCGAGACGTCTACACTATACGATCCACTCCCGCTCTGAATTCGGCCGAAAAGCTACCACAGAAAACCCCCGAGCATCCATACAGAAACTTGTTACGCAGCAAAGACCTCGAGACGAGTTGGAGCCAACCAAGCAAGATGGAAAACTCTTCGCTTGGTCCCTTTGCCCAACCCTATTGACCCTCTCGACCCTGTTTACTTTTATTTTTATTTTTCTCTCCTTCTTGCCTTTGCCTTCTGGCCCGTTCTTCTCTTTCTATTCTCCGCCGCCACGGCTCACTCGATAGCCGCGTCTCAGAATCTGGCTCTTGCTCTTACATTTGGTCGCATGCGCAGAATGCCCAAAGCACTGACAATGCAGGCCGGCCGACATGTTTGATGGCCTGGCAGCACCCCAAGTGGAGAAGGCATTAGCAATGGCCTCTCTAGCCACTCGGCCCTCAGCCAACCACGGCTCGTCTTCGCTACTCCACTTTCTGCCCACCTTCTAGAAGGCCAGCCGAGAGCAACTTGATACAAATCGGCCTTCCTTACAAAGGAACCCCCGCCAAGTGGGCCTGGCAACAAGTTCCCACCTTCCTGAAGCCGCACGTTGCCCACGCAATCTCTTGAGCGACCAACTGCTGCAGGGTCTCCAAAACCACATGGGAAGTCCAAATGGGCTCCATCGTCCGTCCCGTCTTTTTTTTTCCCTTCCTGAGCACGTGTGCATCTGCGCACATGCCCACCTCCGTCTCCATCTCAGCCACAGCGAGGCATGTGCATCTTGCGGGACAAATATGGGGTAACTACATTGCATCTTACGACGCTCGTGATGTGTCGTCTACCTCCGAGGCTTCCCAGGTAAAATCCGAACGGGAGGCGACTATTCACTGGTGGAGCACGCATATGCACTGCCCAAATTCTCTGCCATGTCGCTGCCAATTAGCTCTGGACCCCCCTCCTTCGGAAGATTTATGATTGTCATCTCGTAACATTTAAACCATGGTGCCATTTATTTTTTATTGTTTTTACCCCCCCTGTTTTGTCCATGTGCCTGCGTTTTGACCACATTGGAGCAGACTGGCCGATTCTGGGCGCATACGTGTACCTGGTATACCAAAAACTACTGGACCCTTTGGGTTTTTTAGCCGCCGTCGCCGCTTCAGCATCCAGCAGCGGATGGTGATTCCCTAATTTGTTCGGTGCATCACAAGTCTTGTTTCACAAAGAACTAGATTGCTTGCTTGCATACATGCACGGCAAAAATTAACAAAGGCCACGCCACCCATGTGAGACGCATGTTTGCTGTGTATGAAGCCTGGGCAGGGGGGCGTTGGATGATTTGAGTACTTCGTTTGGAAGCAACATTTGAATATCTGGACTTGTATGTGAAACTCCACATCTACATCTCGAATCGCCATGTAATAAGAGTCCTTACAAATATGTTTCCAAAATAGAACCCCCCCGTTACCCAACGCACCCATTCTAATAATACTCCTCGCCATGAAGCTGCTCGCCACCGTGCTCCTCGTTGTCATCAGAATCATCCGCCACAGCCGGTCTCCCCCTCAAAATGTCATACCCCATAAGCTCATTCAGAAATCCTCGTGAAGCCATAACCTCGGCAAACCTCTGCTTCTCCAGCGCCGTAAACTCTCTACTCTCAGCCCTCATCGCCTCCACCACAAGCGGTTCCCAAATCTGATCCAACTGCGTAATGCGGATGGTACTACACGGGATATCGTCGAGAAGCGCGGGCGACGTAACCCCGACATCTCTCCAATGTTTCCTCCAGCTCACGCTTTCATGCGGAGACAACCGCGTGATGAACATGTGCAGCAGCCGCCTTCGCTCCCCGTAGTTCCGACAGGAAAGCAGTTTGGCAACCTGTCCCACACCCCCGAGAATGAGCACAAACGCGACATCCTCGGCACAAGCCGGTTTCCCATGCCAGCCCCGTAACACCTTCTCCACGGACCCCGTGTACGTGGGCGGCCGCAGCTTCCGCGTCAGCACCTGCAGGATGAAGCAGTACATGTAGAAGAACTGCAGCCGCAGCGGCGGGTCCAGGCGCATCAGGATCTTGCGCTCGGCGTCGGCGATGCTGCCCTCGGTGCAGATGTCATACCCGATGTGGCTGCGCGGCCTGATGCGGCCGAGATCGCGCTCGAGGATGGCGCGGCGGTGCTCTTCGAGGAAATACCCGACCCCGAACACGAGCGGGATCATCTTCTCGTACACGCTGGCCCACATCTGGCGCTGGCGCTCGCTGGTGTGCTTGAGCGTGTCGTGGAGCACGAAGCGCGCGAGCTGGCGGGTTAACCGCACCGATGCGATGTGCCGGCGGCGCATGGCGAGGAGGTAGGGGAGGTCTGCTTCGTTGGGGCGAGGAGGCGGGTACAGGCGCGTGTGCAGGGTGCCCATCTTGTGGCGGACCCAGTGCCGCACGAGCGCGGAGCCGCAGCATGTTACGAGGTCGTTGAGGGTGCGAGAGGTGAGGCGGAGCGATAGGAGGTCTGCTATGCAGAGCGAGGAGAGGATTTGGATGTGGAGTTCGCGCGGGAGCCGGACGAGGGCGGCGAGGAAAGGGCTGTAGTTTGGCCAAGGGATATTAGTATAGGAGAATTGAGCGATTGCGTATGATTTGTTGGAGAGGGGGGGAATGGTTACCTTTTGCCTGATAATCCTTCTCCCGCACCTTTCCTCCTCATGCTTCTCAATGAAGCGGACAACATGGTCTGAAAGCTCTCTGCTGCCCTCCCTATGCTGTGCCTCTTCCTCCCTGTAGGTTGTTGCCGTGCTGCCATATCATCACGTCCTCGACTGTTCCCACTACTACCGCTTCCTCCGCTGCTATTGCTCAACGTCAATGGCGAAGGCATATAGCTGGCCCTGCGGAATCGGTCCATGGTGTTCTCCCAATCCGTTGTCCCTTCTGTATGTTCTATACGAGCCCCTTATGGCAGACGACGTAGGGTAGCCAACCGCGATTATCGTGAAAAATGAAGAATACACGTATCGAAATCCAAGCGCTTCCGCGTATATTCAAGTGGTTGTTGGCTGGTTGCAGGCTGAAGCTGCTGGGCGACAGGCAAGTCGGCGCGGCGTGTGCGCTCTTTCGCTCCTATCAGCGCAACAGCAACAAGTCATTGTTCTTCGTATTCTTCTTCTCTTTTGATCACCTAGTGGCCTTTCTGCCCCTTCCTATATCAAGCTCTCCCCTAAATCGAATGGGGTTTGCACGAATTCCGGGAGTAGAGGGCGTGGTATTGCAGGTATCGCGTTGTGGCTGGCTGCCAAAACAATGACATCAACCCGCCCAACAACCAAAATAGCAACAATCACCACAAAGATGCGACACTCGTGTGCCTCTGGCTCCACCGAGCAGGGGGGGTTACGTGGATTGAAATGGACGATGGGACGTCTCCAAGGTACAAGATTCAGTGAGCAAGAAGAAAAGTGGATTCAATCGAGATATGTAGACACGAGATGGGGCGAGACAGATGATGGAGATGGTGCGGGGAGAGGGAGAAAAAGGGGGGGCGAGAAAAGGGAAGTCCGTTTGAAACGGTTAAACGATGCATGGAAGGGATGTGCAGATTGCCAACATTGAGCCAGATGCAAGTCGCGCACGCGGGCAGCACGCTCTGCCCCCCCTCATCCCCACCTTTTCCCCTAATCCCCTTGCTTAATCGATAATGATAATGATAATGACAATGATAACTGTCCCTTGTACGATGGATCAAGGGCATGGGGAGAGAGCGGAATCTAGATGCCCGCAACCAGACGGTGTGATGGATTGCACACCTTACATCAACGGGAACCCATGCCCATATACTTGATTTTCATCCTCACGAGAACCACACAAATCGTATCCGCCTGCAGCATCTGAAACTCTACATGACCACGCGCGCACTCGCGTATGCGCGCGTGCGGTGGAGAATAGGTACCTAGTCGTGGTAAGTGGGCGATGCACACCATCTTTACTCTCCACTTTCGCTTCCCTGGTCGCTGTTGGATGCGCTAAAGTTCATAGCAGCTGCTGCTATCGATACATGAATACATCATGTCCGTCGCGTTTAACCGGAACGAGGGTTCTTGATGGCCTGTTTTGGGGTGGTGAGGCTGGCTATGAACGAACGAACGGTACAGCTGCTTCCCTTGGTTCAACTGGTAGGGTTGCTACGGTAGTGTAATGCAGTCAGGCACCATATGGCATCTGGCTTAACGTTGTTTGGTTGGGGGGCGGGGAGACGGGTTGGTCGGTTGAGTTGCTTGTTTGTTTTCTTCTCGTTGCTTTCTCTTTTGTGGATATTCCGAAGTCGTGACGAGTAATGCGTTGTGACGTATCCACGCTGCTAAGGCGGGTGGGTAACATTGGAATTGCATGGGCAGTTGATTTATGATTATCTTTTGTTGTCTATTCTTGTGTTTCTCCTGGTAAATCGAAGACCCAGTTTCAATATAGCGAGGGAATATGGTACTAATTCCATTTGCTCAAGTCGAGTGATAGCGGCGTATATCAATGTTCACTTATATACTTCAAGTTGGAGTTTGGGTGATCCTCCCACAGAGCGATGGGTTTACAACGATAGAAGAACCACGAAGCAAGCGATAACCAAAAGATTGATTTTCACTTTCGTCCTGGATATCGCAGGCATTTTCGATTACAAACAATTTACAGCGAAGCTTATACTTATCATCCAGTTATGTTTTGTAATTCCAGACTGCCGTGCGGTAACGTATCTGACTTAGGTATTCCTTGATCCAACCCTGCCGTCCGTATGCCGGATGCCCAACCCAAGATTATGTCACCCTGACTCACGCAGTCTCGAACTTTTGTAGAATCCTCTAACCTCGGTACTACATATGTTTATTCCTATATATCGTGTGTGTTGAGTAGAAAGGAAAATTGCTGTTTACTCATCATGCTACACCATACTCGCACTAGCATTGTTCACTAATCACAGCATCCTACATCGACTATTCTCATTCGCTGCACTCACACAACATGCACAAAAGCTACGATGAGTATGCCTTGTATACCGGCTTCTTTGCGACCTGTACGCGGGTCCAACGGACGGCATCATCAGCCATCTGTTAGCAATCAGTTGCTTTGGAGGATCAGCTCAGCAAGATCGACTCTTCTGGTGGAGGCTAGACACGCGTGAGGATGAGTAAACTTCATGATAGTGTGATTTCTAGCAAATTAGAGTATAGCGGTGTTGGTATAGAGACGAGATAATCTCGAGTATAAAGCGCAGCAGTAGGGTATGTTTCTCGGACACAGACAAACAGTCATCAGCCAGTGTTCAACTGCCTCAAGTACTCGTTATCTTTGTTCACGTTAATCATTTATCATTATCCGAATTACTACATCTCGTGTTACCTATTCAAGATGTCCAAAGGCACGGTTCTCATCAGCGGCATCAATGGTTACATAGCTGCGGTGACTGCCCAGCGCCTCCTCGATGCCGGATACTCTGTCCGTGGAACAGTTCGCAAAAGCTCATCAGCAACAGCACTCATCGAAGGTCCTCTAAAGAAATACTTCGAATCTGGAGCTTTCGAGGTAGTTGAAGTCCCAGACATCACTGTAGACGGAGCATTCGACGAAGCTGTCAAAGGTATGCCACCTCCTTTTTCCCTTCCATTCATTATGATCTACATCCCTTTCAAAAATACTGACTCCACGATTACAACAGGCGTGACAACAATCGCTCATCTTGCAACCCCCGTCTCCTTCCACTTCAAAGACCCAGCTCCCATCCTACACGCCGCCATCCAAGGAACGCGCTCCATCTTAGCATCCGCACAAAAAGCAGGACCCCAGCTCCAATCCTTCATCCATCTCTCTTCCATCGTAGCTATCCTCACCAACGCGCCCGCGCCCAGCACTCTCACCGAAGCGGATTGGAACACGTGGGCTGAGCCCATGATATCCCAAGGCGGTGACAATATCAGCGGCGTAGTCATCTACGGAGCCAGCAAAACCGCCAGCGAGCGCGCGCTATGGGCCTTCCGCGATGAGCAGAAACCAAACTTCACTATCACAGCGTTGAACCCCGTCTACGTCATTGGACCGCCGTTGATCTCGCCAAAAACCCCCAAAGACGTAGGTGAGACTGTCGCGCCAGTGTGGACTGTTTTCTCTGGCGCATCGTACGCGACTGGCGCCAGTGCACCACACCCTACTGTTGACGTGCGCGATGTTGCAGATTTGGTGGGGGCTGTCATCACCAATGCTAAACAGTGCGATGGTCAACGGTATATTGCGCGTGGTGCGTCGGCAAGCCCTCAGGCTATGGCTGATGTGCTGAGGAAGACATTCCCTGAGGCCAAGGATAGAATTATAGAAGGTGAACCTGGTGTTGGGTATGAAGAGGACTATCAAGTAGATCCCCAGAAAGGGGTGGTCATTGACAGCGATAAAGCAAAGACTCTATTGGGGAGAGATTGGATCTCGTTCGAACGCAGTGTGGTCGATACGGCCAAAGCATTTGTGCATCTGCTGTAAGAATGTTGGTTCGATTAATGGTCTTGTTGGTGCTCGAGCAAAGGTATAAAGACCTGAGAGAGCTTGTCTAGAATAGTTCAGAAACACTGCACATTGTAGATCATTCACAATCTTAAGGTGTGTCAAAGGTCTTACTGTGTGTGTCTTAAATGGTGAGCGCAAAGTCAATGAAACAGTAGCAAACATTGCCTATGGTAATTCCTTTCATCTCACTTCGGGATGTCTTATCAATCAACTAGCAGCGTCGAGCAATCTCAAGCAAGCAACCCTTCACTTGGTCAAACATTGTTTCATCACATTCTTATAAAAAAAAAGGTATATAACCTGGATCGTTGCTTTTGCAAATCTCAATCCAGCGGAAACGCTTGTTCTTTCATCTGTCAAAACAATCCCTTGAATAACTGGATCGCTATGACTTCCAACGAGCTAAGCGCAGAACTCGACTCGTATCAGAAATTACTCGGCACCGACAAATCCAATGCAGCCCGATCCTCATCCGAAAAACTGGCCAAGTTCATCAATTCCAGTCCGCTAGTCGACTGGTCAGTCAAACAGCTGCTCGCCCGAACTTCCTCTTCACCATTTCTTCAGTACGGCGTGCTCTGCCACGAGTCACCAGCAACAGAATACCCGATCAAGCCGATTCTACTCAACACTAATGTGCCTTGGTCCGCCTTCCTCTGCGGCTCCCAGGGCTCGGGCAAGTCTCACACCTTGTCTTGTATGCTGGAGAACTGTCTCCTTCGTCACGAAGCCGTTGGACGAAATCCAAATCCCCTGGCTGGTATCGTTTTCCACTACGATAGCTCTCAGACTAGTGGTGTTTGCGAAGCAGCGTACCTAAGTTCCAAAGTCAAGACGAGGGTGCTCGTGAGTAAGAGCAGTTACAAAAAGCTGAGATCACAGTACTTGAATATGGCGAGCAAAGTGAATGGTAACCTGACTGTGGAACAATTGGAGATTCATCCGTCTCACCTAGATACCGCGCGGGTCAAGACATTGATGGCGGTTGGAACCGACACTGATATGCCACTGTACATGCATGTAAGTGATTGTAAACGATAGGTAATCTAGTTTTCACAATTCGAGCTTGAGTTTGCTGATTCTACAATAGACCATTCTGAAGATTCTCCGGGACATGGCGATTGAAAGCGGCGGAGAGGACAGATTCGACTACCGAGTCTTCAAAAACAAACTGACGAAGCAAGGTTTCATGGAAAAGCAAACGCCAGCTGTAAAAATGCGCCTGGATCTCCTCGAAAGCTTTCTCGATGTGACCGCCAACACGAAAACTCGCGACCTTTTGAAAGGCGAATCGGGCGTGCTCACCATCATTGACCTCACTGATCCCGTCATCGATGCCGACACGGCTTGCGTCTTGTTCGATATTTGCCTTTCCATCTTCATGTCTCAGACCCGGCGCGGAACCATTGTTGCTCTCGACGAGGCACACAATTACATGTCTGAGAGCAGCAGCGCGGCGGGCCAATTCACGGGTAGACTACTCAAAACTGTTCGCGAGCAGCGACATCAGGGGGCGAGGGTGGTCATCGCAACACAAGAGCCTACAATCAATACGGCGCTGCTGGATTTGTGTAGCATCACGATGGTCCATCGCTGCACGAGCCCGGCGTGGTTTGCCGTGCTCAAAAAACATGTAGCGGGGTTACACATGCAACAGACGGACAACGAGAGCGAGCAGGACGGAAGTGATACACCAGGTGCAAACGAACGTGGCAATGAGATATTCCGGCAGATCGTTCAATTGAAATTGGGGGAGAGTCTGCTATTTTGTCCCATGGCTGCTGTCGGATTTGATGAGCGGGGTGAGTTGCAGAGGATGAATCATCGCTTCATGAAGGTGAAGACTAGAGACAGGGTCACCAACGATGGAGGTGTCAGCAAGCTCGCTGGCGACGGCTATTGAAGGTCAATCTAGAATAGAATTGGGTAATTGGATAGAGGGAGTATGGCGTCATAGATGTTAATATTACTTTTCATAAGCAGAGCAAACAAACACCTTCAACACAATCCCGCACTGATACACCTAGCAAACAGTGACACATCTTTCACCTCACAACCACACGCAGTCCACCTCTATCCCCATCATACATTTTGGGCACAACAGATAATCGCTAAAGCGGGTTCTGGTCAATGGGTGGATTGATTCTTTTTGCCTTTTTTCTACTATGTTATTTGGTTAGGTTGTAAAAGCGGCTGTGTGGCACCATGTTTGCTTTTACCTGCGCGGTGGACTGCATGTCTTTGCATCAATACCTGGTTGGGGTCCTCAAAGGAAGGAAAACCAAGATGCTTTCCACTTGGATACAATATGCACATTGATTCAACAGACTACTGCTATGTGTATTGGTATCTAACCTTTCCAGACAGCAGGTCCTGGAGGCTGGTATGTGTCGGGTGCCTGAGCAATCTTGTTCAAATCGACCAAAATTCCGGGGTCGGTGCTCTTGTAGGCTCCAGGTAGGGATACGAGGGGTCCAGGAGATCCGCTTCCTCCGCCAGTGATCTTAACCTGAGTGCATGCGAGGTAAAATTGAGCCTTGTTGGCTTGCATGGCCATATGCAGAGCGATATGTTCGACGCGGAGAAGATATTCACCATCTGGCGTTGCCGCGGGAATAGTGGCGTTCGCAGTCTTGTACTCATCTGATACAAGTTAGATACCAGTGCCAATCTTTAACATTGTGGGCCCTTGCTTACTCTGAGCTGGCCATGTCATCTGTTTGGACGCATCTACTGTGGGCATCGTTGTGCCAACCTTAAACCATACTGCGCCGGATCCATCCCAGCTTGTTAGAGAAGCGCCAGATGGGACCTTTGCCAAGTAATATTGTGTTGGGCCGGGATGGTTGACTTGCTGGGTAGAAATGTAGTGAATGGTGGAACCAGCAGGCACCGTGGCAATGTTGGCAGCGTTGGAGGCTTGATAGCAACGAATATCACCCGAAGTGGGATTTTCAATGCCAGTCTTGCTTTCCGCATTCTTGGTCTTGCGAGTGGCCGACCAATCTTTGTCTTCGACGGCCTTCCCATTCACCACAAGCCTTGGGAAAGTATCTGAGATGTCAGTGTCCACTTGCACTACAGTGTTTGACAAAAGGTCGTACAGTGAGCCTGAACTGCCGTAGCAGCCAGCAAAAACTTAGCGAAAAGTTGCATTGTCGATGATATTCTGGTCGTGCGCTCGAGATGCAGAACAGAAAGTCGTTACCGAATTGCACGATGACTTTATATCGACATATTCACTGCTTTAAGCGGAACAGCACTCTCCGTTATTGTCACGTTGAGTGATGGATCATATATCATTAATATAATCGCGCGTTTAGATAGGTCGCATTGTCCGAACTCCAAACGGTTTCACAACGCATAGATCTTATGTTGCTGTTGCACGCCAATCAATACCGGAAGACTAATGAAATTCGTCTCGAATAGGGCCTCATGTAAAGGCATTCATTTCGGCTGCACCTCTACCAAACAATAGCAATGTAACGATGGCCAATCCGCACGAACTGCTACAGTCACATGAGGTGTTAGCGGACAGAGTATATATTGGAAGTAGTTTGCCGAACCACGATTCGACGTGGGACATCCGGCACAAATGGGATACAAAAGAAGCTTGGTTCCATGCAAAGATCAGCAGTCAGCCCTGTAGCGACCGTTTGGCCAGAGAGAACAACGCTGGTGGCTACTAATCGCCGACAGGTGCATTGCCACAAGTCGTATTTGATACGCACGTGGTCGAGTCGTCATCAGCTTGGATATGCAGCTAGAATGCTCCTTGGAAATAAGGCGAATAGGTCGTTCAAATGATCATCATCCACGCCGTCTATGTAGGAATTCAGGCCTGCGAGGATCCGACAGAACGGTGTACGGAGAAGTCATCGTATGATCATTGTCACTACCGAACTCTAATAATCACTCATCTTCAATTGGGTTGACTAATGTGGGGCCAATCTTGGGTATTCCAACGTTAATTCAACCTCAGAACTGCTACACTCCCTTCTCGTCATGTCTGCATAGTCCATATACTCTGTTATCATTTTCGTATTGCTGACTCTGTTATCCTCTCGAAGACCCTGAGTAAGAGGCTGGAGCCGACAACCGCCTCAGCGCCTTGGAAATGAATCGGCGATTCTCTAACCGACACACCAGACCAACTAGGAACCTTCATCGGCGCCATGCCTTCCGAAGTCGCCGTGTGGAATTTTCATCTGTTTGAAATCTATAGAGCCTTTCTGTCAGCGCGTTCTGACGCACCGAATGCTCGCTGCGCAGTGATCTGTAGGTAATATTGAACAACGGAATGTTCCTTTGATAAGCTCCAGGCGCACACACCCACGTTCATTCTCACGCAGGACGATCCAGGGCATGCCGCGACTGGTCCCATGCGCATGGCTATATATCAAATCGTTATAGGCATAACTCGGGTGGGAGGATTTGATTGCTCCCGCTGAATCAAGATTCCGCCCATATTGCACCTACTGTTTTTCCCTCTTTCTTTTCCCTTTCTCCGTGAGAGAAAAGAGCGTTTGCTCCAAACGACGCCCTGTCTTCACGAACACACGCTTGATGCCTCCATTGAAAGAAAAGAAGAGCTGGCATAACCTGCATGGCTGTATCTGCCGAAGATGTGGCAACGCGCTTGTAATTGTGCCGCAAGTGCCAAGTGCTGGCATCCACCATCATCCCAATACGTAAGGTCTCCGTGATCATCTCTGCAGGCCAAGTCTAGACCCCGCATTCTACAACGACGGTTCTGGAGGATTTCGACCGGGCTTGCAGAATTTCTTGCATCGTGGATGGCTCGGTAAAATACGACAGGCCTCGCAGGCCAGGATCAATCAAATGCCAACTGCAAGGGTCTCCACGGGTCAATGGCGCGAAGATAAAAGCGGCTAAGACCCGTGAAAACAATCTCTTGGTGACTGTCAGACTGCAGAGCTCTTATAACTGCAACTGCCGACTGTCATAGCCAGATTCCCTCACGATCCGAGCAGTGCGACGCCTTGCCCAAGATTAGGAACGCGACGTTACGGAATCCCCTATTTATGTGGAGTCGCCTTCCCCGGATTTTCAACCCCAGATTCTAGGAGAACGGCGAGCACTGGGCCACACAACGGACAATTGCTCGATAATTCGCCATAACTGGCTCAGTCACCATGAACGCCGACAGCGAGAAAGCTGTCTACCACCGCGGCGGAAACGCTGCAGCCGACCAATACGAATCGAAAGACCCCCCATTGTGTACGCTTTCCTGCCCCGGGATTGAAGGAACGGAAGGTCAGGGGGAATTGAAGCTAAAACGATCATAGATGAGCAAGCTGTCATCGATAGCAACTCCAGTGATTCCAATGATGGATTCACATGGACCAAAGAAGAGGAGACCGTGGTGCGACGGAAGTTGGATAGGGTCATTGTGCCCCTGACAACCTTCCTGTATCTGTTGTGCTTCCTTGACCGGTACGTCAAAAGAACCATGCGGTCTTAATTTGGTGCTGTTTTGACAGCGCTGACCACGCCTCCAGAACCAACGTTGGAAATGCGCGAATTTCAGGCATGGCGGAGGACCTCAATCTTGTCGGGTACCGCTTCAATTGGGTGACATCCATCTTCTACATCGTCTACATGTTTGTGGAAGTGCCCAGCAACATTTTGCTCAAAGCAATTGGCCCAAAGTTTTATCTGCCACTCCTCGTTGTCGGATTCGGCTTCGTCTCTTTATGCTCTGCCTTTGTCAACAGCTTCGGAGGCCTTTTGGCAGCACGCGCATTTTTGGGTGTCTTTGAGGGAGGTGTAATGCCGTACGTATTGAGCTCTTTGTGCGCTGATGGTGTCGGTCTCTAATCGTGAACAGTGGCCTTGCATTCTTCATCACTTGCTTCTACAAGCGCGAAGAACTTTTGTTTCGCATTGGCATATACGTGTCAGCTGCATCAATGGCAGGTGCCTTTGGTGGGCTTCTTGCCACCGGGTAATACGGGTTCCCCAACCACCTAGGCTACAATCTAACTCGCCTATAGGCTCGCTCGTATCCCTCCATGGGGAGTCAAGAGTATGATCATCAGCGATTGGAGAAACATTTTCTTCTTTGAGGGCCTCTTCACAGTCATTGTTGGCCTTTTGGCCCCATTGGCAATGCCAAAGGGTCCTTCAGATTGTTGGTGGCTGACGGAACGGGAACGCCGCATCGCGTCCGAGAGGTTGATCATGAAGAACTCGGCAGCTGAGAACGAAAAGGTCAGGCCCAGGCATGTCATCAGGTCCATTCTCAACATCAACAACTACATCTGCGCTTTGGGATTTTTCTTGATCAACATCACTGTCCAAGGTATCTCTGTATTCATGGTAGGTTTTCCATGCAATCAACCATCCGGGCCAGACTCGCTAACATTCATAGCCTACCATCCTGAAGGATCTTGGTTGGACCCGGACCAAAGCTCAATTGTACACCGTGCCACCATATGTCTGCGCATGCGTAGTAGCAATTGGCGTCGCCTTCGTATCCGACAAGACTAACCGTCGCGGTATCTACCTTGCCCTCTTCACCTTCTTCGGTATTGCCGGTTTTGCTATTATGCGCTGGGCGACGGACCCCAACGTCCGCTACGCTGGCATCTTTCTCATCACCCTCGGCGCATTCCCCGGTGGCCCCGGTTTCCTCGCATGGGGTATGAACAATGCCTCTGGCCCGTCGATTCGCGCCGTATCCAGTGCTTACATCGTCACCTTGGGTACTGCTGGTGGTATTCTCTCAACCTGGTATGTTATGGTCTCATATATCAGGTTCATTATGATATATCACTGTGTTACTAACAAACGAGCAGGACTTATGTCCCCAAAGACGGTCCTACTTACCATACCGGCCACACTATCAACCTTACGGGCCAACTTGGCGTGTTGGTTCTCAGCACTTTCGGTATCGCATACTGCAACTGGGAGAACAAGCAGCGCGAGCGTGGCAAGCGCGATCACCGTCTCAATGGCAAGACCGAGGCCGAGATTATGGATCTTGGGTACCGACACCCTGCATTCCGCTATATGACTTAATGGCAACGAAGTATATGGGGGCGTAGTTTTATGTTTGTATGGGTATCTAGGTTATATATTTAGGCAAGAGGGAAGATAAGTGCAGATGCCACTGTAGTATCTGTTCAGAGATATTTCAACGTAAATTTGAGAAGATTCAACACTCTTTACTTCGAATGTACAACCTGCTTTCTTGTGATGGATAATACCGTGGACGCCAAAAAACCTCATCGATGTGAAGAGGAAAATAGGACAAGTCGATGTCACACAAGGAGTCTAGCTTGAACGCTCACGTTGACAGACTAGTGTTACTATAATGCCACTCGTATCAACTTTTGGGTATTGCCATAAATATCTCATGAATATGTCCTTTCCCTTTTTATCTATTTACATCGATTCGACTGACCATATCCCCACCCAACCTTTTAATCTCATTCAGCATTGCAGCTTTGTTGATTTGAATGTTCACCGGGCGATCCTCTTTTCCGCCACTCGACTCTTTGCCATTAGTCTTGCCATGTTTGCCTTTGATAGGCGTGCTATTCCACCCAGCCTTGACCTTGAAAGTGCGCTCGCCAGTGAAGAGCGGATTCCAGAGCCCAGCAACACGATCAAGTGTCTCCGGATCGTAGAAGAACAATATAGCGTCGCCGTAAATATTCTGAAGATCCTCGATGAAGAATGGGGGAAGCTCTTGTTCCATCTTCACAGAAGTGTTGCTGTTTTTCCCTTGCTGGTGTTCAATGTTTTTGAACACGACTTCGGGCTTCTTTTTCGAGACGCGAGTGTACTTGGACGAGATGTGGATGACAAAGTCGAAATCTTGTGTTGGCGAGACGAAGAGTGATTGTGGAGCGACAGATTCGGTAGCTGCACGCTTACCGTTCAATGATTCAAGTATGCTGTCTTCCTCGACTCGAATGGCGGCGGTAGCAGCTTTGGCCAAAGCAGTCATGCGGGTGGCTACCACCTTCTCTGGTTGTGCTCGGTCTGTCCACGTGTTTCCGTCCGTGTTCATATTTGTAGCCGCGAACAGCACTACTCGATTCATTGCGGGATCGATTCTTCGCCAGGCCTCGAAGCGTGTCTGGATTTTCTCAAAATCATCGGGCTTCATCTTTCCACTGCCTGCAATCCCTGTTTGCTCAGTGGCGTTGCTAGGAATAGAGGACGAGAAGTCCACTATGAGTGGGACGTATCTCCAATCCCAACGACCAATCCAAGACAGTGTTCGTAAAAATCCAGTTGTCGCGGATGAGGGTACAGGCCACGGGTGAGGTTGCAGGAACGTCCTAACAACTAACAACTCAATGAACTCCGAGGTGAAGTGTGGTGAAAGAAGGTGAGACGCAAACCAACGCTTGGTAAGTCGAATAGATGGTGAGAGAGCTGGGTAGCGAGTGCATAGATTCTGTATAGCTTGCGTATGGGAAATGATTTGGACAAAATCTCTCTTGTGTAATGCAAGTGCCACAGCCGCAGATTCTCTTGAGTGTGCGTCTAGCGACTTGTCTTTCAACTGCCTTTCAAGCAAAGTGGCTTCCCTATCATGATGTATGCGAAGTCGAAAGGTAAACTCTGATCGGAATACGATATCCAGGAAAGCTTGATTTTGAGAAGGCTGTGAAGGATGCTCCAATCCAACCTTCACTGCGTAATGGTCCTGATGCGCAGTAGAAAGTAACTGGGCAATCTTGAGGAGGAAAGCAACTTTGGTCCGTTGAATGGCACATAAATCATCCGGCCATCGCGCTGAAGCTTCAAACTGAAGCACTATAGATGCAGGAACCGAAGGCGCGGGCTGCACGGATGAGTAGCGTAACAGTGGATCGGCTGCTCTTATGTGTCGAACCTGAAGTGGGAGACCTATAAGATCACGAATGTCCTTCTCGAGAACAGTGAAAGCATTCATGATAGGTGTAAAAGGCAAGACACCCGATTGCCCCTGGATGCGACCTGCAGGGATAAGATGTGCAAAATTGTCGATCGTAAACTTTGCTTCGCGACTCACTCGAGGGTTGACATGCTTTGAAAGTATGTATAGTATGATCTGTTCGAGGATAGAAGTAGATGCTTCTTTGGTAGACCATACAACGCTTTCAAGAATGCTACCATCCTTGAACCGTCTTAGCTCAGCCTTGTCGCCCCAAAACTTTCTGAATGATGCAGCCTCCAGTTTGTTCTCTGCCGCTGGCCCGTAGTCCACAGTACGATACGCATTGGCTGGGTCGGTCGAGATGTTGATCAGCATGCGCTTCTGTTGATTCTCTGCAGCTACCAGCGAATCGATAGACCACTCAGATGTATCGGGCATCGTAAACGTTACAGCGTTGACTCTGTCAGTGAGCGCCCGAATGAGAGAGCTGTATATCGCGTGACAGGTTTTAGCCATGCTCTGGTCATATTCTTCATTCGTGGGATCAAACCCAAATGTTGAGAAAGGAAGCTCCAAGACAGCGTCGTATCGGTACCTTGAGAGATCTGTTTTGAGTATAAAGGTAGAGTCAAACTGATCGAATAACGAGTCGCTGAGCATGTCCATCGTAAGCTGGGCTTCGAGCTGCAATCTGGACCAGGACCAAGGTGTCATCTTGTATAGGATATTCAATCCACGTACCCCATCAAAAAAGATCGGCGCTGATTCGCTCTTAGGAAATGCAGGATCTTCGGCTTGGACGATGAATGGTTTTGTACACAAGTTGTGACGTGCTAGGAATTGGAGCGTAGCTTTAAACAACTGATAGCTGCTATAGCCAGTTGACAAAACCGGTTTGCCAGACCCAGAATTTGGCTGTAACAGCAAGGCAGTGATAGCAGCCCACTCGAAGTTCCCAAACCCTCCATTTCGCAATCGATTTCCAAACCCGCGCTGTTTCAGCCAGATACGACCCAGCACGCAAGAATCCCGGAAAGCATCGCATTTTCCTGCTGTGGCGTGAAGGAGCTTGAGATAGGATGTAACACTGGTATCGGACAGCAATGTACTGTTATAAAATGGAGTAGGAGCAAGCTTTTGGTTTGTCGGATCTTCGTCATCCGCTTTGGGTCTTACGCAGTTGGATTTTGGGAGTAATTTGTTTCGGGGGAAAACATCTTCGGAGACATTCAAGACGACATTGATACGCCAGCTGGAATTTGCAAAATCTGTGGCGGCACTGTTTCCACTCGGTCTAACAACGAGTATTGGCTGGAGCTGATTTCCGCCCAAGCTGTCAAATGAGAGTTTGAAGCCTGATTCTTTCGACTTCTTGATACCAGCTGCGAGGCAAGCAAGGTAGTATGCGCGCTTGTAGAAATATCGATGGTTCAAATAGTCCTTGTCTTGGAAAATAGCCCTGGGCATAGTGACCAGCAAATCAATCGCCAGGCCGCCATCTTCGCGCGTTGCGGTCTTCAGTGGGCAACTACCAGTAGCGTTCACGGTGAACGGGCGCTCGTACTGCATTGTATATCGGGCATCATTCGGCGGCGAAGGACTGGGAAAAGGAATCGCGATTCCTTCTGACTTGAGCGTCTGTTCGGCTTCCTTCACCTAAATCCTGTGTCAGTCTGGCGTGAATGGGTGTGCAGGGAATTGTGATGACCTACGGAAAGCGGCGCACGATTTGGTAGATGTTCAATTAACGTTTTGAGGATTCGCATCGCATTCTCCGCTGATGCTTCCTTTTTGCCGTGCTTCAACTTCACCTCGTCCAGGAGCTCGTTTACCTGCAGTTTAAAAATATTGGATTTGAACGTTTCGGCCGCGAATCCTCCTCCTGCTTCTTGTGATGTTGTTTCTGGTTTCTTCGGCATCTTTCTCGCATTGTCCGATCCAGCTTTGAACGAAGGCTTTGTCGCATCTTCTGGGGATTTTGCTGATTCTTCCGCTTCCGAATCTTCGTCATCGCTATCGCTCGTACTCTCGTCCTGGTCTGGCTCCGCTAGATCGTCCATAGAAGCGTCTTCGTCAAAACCCTCTTCTGTTGCATGGATACTCGCGTCGTCGGTGTGGTCCGCAGCAAAGCTTCCTTCACTGTCGCTGTCATCATCATGACTCAGCTTCCTTCGTTTCATCGCGGGCGACTTCATCGTGTGCGGTTTCGAATAACTAGTACATGAAGCTTGAGCTGTGAAATCGGTGACAACAAAAATTTTGGGCGCTGTGGCGTAACGTGAACCGTGCTTGTGGCTGGTATGCTTATCGATAAGGTCGAAAGTGGCGATCCGAAATCGGAAGCATTTGTGGACGGCAATCACTGCACAGCAATTGCCGCTGTGGCACTGCGCATCATTGAATTTAGATTTTCTTTCTGCTACCCATAGGAAGACCATTGAGTGCACCACTAGATACACTGTGAACCTTCAAAATGACAGTTTCGATCCAAAACGAAAATGATATTGAGGTCGGCGAGAGCATTCCGCCAATGACGGCCCATGTGAGTCAGAATCATCAGATATTGTAGCTGCCCTTCTAATGTAACAAGGCTGTGAGCGTCTCCCTACCCACATGGAAAGCGAACGTGGGCTACGAAGAGGGGGAAGACTGGGTCGTTAAAAGCATGAAAACAGGATATCCTAGGTACGCCACCCGATCTTGAGTCCCGCGAATCATTACTCACGGATTGCAGGTTTTTCATACACAAATCAATTGAAGCCTTCGCAAATGCCATAGTCAGCAAACATGGTCAGTCAGGTGAAAGGGCGATGCTCTTCCCTACTCATGTCATTGCCGAGCGATGCCGAAACTTCATCACCAGCCGAGTGTCCGGTGCGGAGCAGCTTGTACGCATTGTGGATCTGGTTCCGATATCAGAAAAAGCTCGCTCAGAGGAACTCACCATCATTTCTCCGAGAGTATCAGCGGTACTTTTTCCGCAAGAACATTTCCCAGTCGCAAAGCAATTCTGGCAGCATTCTGGTGACGGTGTCTCAAGTCGTCGAGCGGAGTATTGCCATGGCTTGTTTGTTGAGGGTGTTTTGGTTGAATCAAGCACGATCAATATATCATCAAGACCCTGCAAAGGACCCAGGAGGTACCAAAACAAAGCTTCGATTGATCTCGGGAAGCCTGTAGACAAATCGAATAGCCATACTGAGCCCCAGGATCCTACCCAATTTGTCGAAGAACGCTTCGGTCGCAATCTTGACATATCTAAGACAAGAAACGCGAAGTTGGCAGTGAGAAGGAGGATAGCTGGATCACTCACTGCAGATGTAGGACTGACAGAGGCCATTTCAGCTCAGCCTGATGTCAACCATGATGAAAAGCACGGTGGTAGATCTGAAGATGATGTCTACCTGTATCCCTGTGGTATGAGCTCCATTTTCAACGCGCACAGGAATCTCATGGCAACCAAGGGCCCCTTGAAAAGTATCGTGTATGGTTTTCCCTACATAGACACGCTAAAGATCGTTGAGAAATTCAGCCCTGGAGCCCTGTTCTATGGGTTCGGTTCGTCCAAGGAATTGGACGATTTAGAAACGCGATTAGAGGGAGGCCAGCGCTTTCTCGCTCTCTTCTGTGAATTTCCTGGCAACCCACAGCTCCGCTCACCTGATCTCGAACGGATTCATGCGTTGGCCGATAAATACGATTTCTACGTGGTCGTTGATGAAACCATTGGAAACTTCCTCAACGTCAACGTGCTTCCATACGCGGACATCGTAGTGAGTAGCTTGACCAAAATCTTTAGCGGTGACAGCAATGTCATGGGCGGAAGGTATGTGCTCCAGGACATTCCAAAACACATGTACCGGAGACTTGCTAATAACGACACACAGTCTTGTATTGAATCCCAAAGGAAAGTATTACAAGGAACTCAAGCACACCTGGTCTCAAGACTATGAAGACCATCACTGGGCCGAAGACTCAATTTTTCTTGAACGGAACAGTCGCGATTTCGTTTCCCGTATTGAACGTATCAATACTAATGCTGAAGCTATATGTAATGTTCTTCGCGCACATCCACGTGGTATGTTTTTATTGATATGCCCTGTGTTTGCTATGGTATCTGACTGATGGAATAGTGAAAAATGTGTACTATCCAAAGTACAGCGAAACGCGGACTCACTACGACAACTGCCGTACGCCGAAGGGCGGGTACGGAGGACTGTTGTCGGTTACTTTTCATTCACAGGCAGATTCGATCACATTTTTCGATCAACTGGACTCTTCGAAAGGACCAAGTCTCGGTACCAATTTCACACTTAGGTATGTCAGCCCCGGGACAATATTTCGCCCGAACATGCGATACTAAGCGGTGTACAGTTCACCCTACGTGATCCTGGCTCATTATGGTGAGTTGGACTGGGTAAGTATCTCAATAATGATCTCTATGGGGAAGCGAAGCGGCTAATCATGTGTAGTGTGCTTCATGGGGAGTCGAAGCCGATCTTGTGCGAGTCAGTGTCGGGCTAGAGGAACCGAGCAAACTTGTATCCACCTTCCAACGTGCTCTCGATGCTTTGTCGCGTTGATCAACGTGACTCATATTGAGAGTAGTGTCCCAGGACTACTATTTTGATCAACATCTATACATTGGATCGAAAACGCTTGTCAGCAGGACAGAGCTAGGAATATAATGCGATAATGTGCATAGCCGGCTTCGCTATATACTTGAAACGATACAGTGTTTACAATACCCCAATGTTCGCTTGTGAAAACCTCAGTCTATGCCGCAGGAAACCCAAGAAACTTGTTCAGATGCTGAGACTCGGCCGAAGATAGCGAGCTGCAGTGCAGATTGGGTCACATTCCTCTCTACACATCACCAAAGTGACTCGTTGACGATCAACCTGCTCAGCCATTGTGCCAAGCAGGTCCCTGGCTAAGGATTTCATTCCTTCCATAGGTCGGCATCCAGCTTATCGACCCAGCTCTATGCCGCAAGCTTGTAATCGAATGAGAGGACCACGGAAGCGTACGTCAAATTCTATAAGCAGGCCGAATCCAGGACTCTGTTTGAATCATGCATGAGAAGGCAGATTTTGAGCATACACGCAAGCGTTCCACATTGAGAGGTTATATGGAGGCAAGTCAACTAACGTGCATTCAAAAGACTTTTCAGATGATCTCAAGTACGGATTGATGAACCGAACAAGAAGTATTGAATGAACGATACATGCCAGTTGTGTGGTATCCATTAGATCGTGTATGAAGTTGGGGACTGTCTGTGCAGAATTGTTGATGCTACTGATGTATACAAGACGCATGAATGAATGATGTTTTGCTTAAATACAGCAATTACACATAAATAGATGGCGCAACAACAGTGTGCTAGCTGCATTTCGCCTTGACGAGAGCTATATTGCAGCCCGCCACAAAGTTGCGTTCTTGGTGTGGGGAATATGACCGATGTCCGGAAGATAAATCCGTTGATTGGATGGTTTTCAGACACTATGTTTGAAGGCCAGCAAGATGCCTACTGTGCCCCAATAATCAATTTACAGCCCGAAACCCAGTACCAGGGAGCAGCAACGATGAGTGAGCATCAGGCAAGACTGCGTACAGTGCTTACCAATATTGCTGTATGATTACAAGTTCGACTTCTAGAAAAGTACGCTTTTTGAGATGAGACTGTGGCACGGTGATGGTGAAGTGATCTATGGTCAGGGGTCAACGGAAGATACAGCTTCGAGAATATACGACTCAAGCTGTATGCACAGCCCAATTAAACCCAAGGTGCAGTTCGAGGGATAGCCTGGAGGCGTAGTATTCACTGAACCAGTTGGTACGTGAGAGACTCGATAATCCAAATTGATGCATTTAAGACTCGGACGAATCAAGGGCTTACATGTACGATAGCACTTACTATGTTAAGGTCGCTAGAACTAGCTCACATAAGACATCCATGCTGAGAAGCGAATCTGTTTGCTTGGACACTGTCCCAACAAATCAAGATATTTTGTTTCAGAATTGTCTGTTGAGCATCCTCTGTCTTGTTTGGAAGTTGTGTCGGTTAGCAAGTGCACTAGACTTGAAGCCGTTTTCTGCTCGTATAGCAGCCTCTTATCCCCGGCCTTTAGGCATTGACTGGAGTGGAGTATGCTCCAGCAACACACAGGCCAGAACTTGCACTAGTTCAGCAAGCTTCAACGCTGGAAGGGCGGAGATTGGCCTTCAAAATCTTTACACTGGTCCCGGCTACTCCCCGCTTAGGTTGCGCACGAGCACCTGACTCCGGGTTTTGGTCCAACATACGCCTTACTACGTAGCGTACATGGTGTAGAGGCTACGGCGCTTCGAGAAGACTTCGAGAAGCGTTCTGATTAGCATGGTAGGTCTTTGCTTTGCAGTAAAAACTACAGACTTTTGAGATTCCAGTTCATACGCTATGGTAACAAACGCAGCAACTCTCGGATGCGCTCTAGAGAGATACGATATGTCACATGAAAAGCCACCGCGGCCAAATTTTTTGGCCTGTCTCCCATGATGTTTGAGAGCATCTCTCGATTGACATCAACTATCGGATTGTTTTAATCCGATACGTACGACGAAACGTAAAGAGGAAAAGGGACGGTGCACATACCGCATCACCCCTACGTTACGCCAGCCTCTTTCATCTTCACGCGCGGGAACCATTTTTGACAGGGCTAAATTAGGGGCCACAAGGGGACTATGCCTAACAGGGAATGAAATTCAAGAGGCTCCACCCGCTACGGCCCATGGTCGCCACCAACAGGTGGCTAGCAGAATGCGGGACCTCAACGGCCAGTCTCCAGCCTGAGCTTTAGTGCTGGGAAGTGCGCAGAGATAGCGTCCACCTTCATGCGGGTGACAGTTCAAGACACAAATGGGACGTCTATGTGGCGCGGGCTTACATCTTGTGCCCCGAGATCGAAGACGAACCAGGTCGCCCTACGCTCATCGCTCATCACTCCTCGTTGACGATACCAGTTTCAGCGACATTTCCTTCACTGATACAGTCTGGAGAATCATGTGTGCATGGACTTGGTCTCGAGATCCTCGTAAGGGAAGGACTGGTGTATTGGGCCATGTGTTAGCACTAAGAGGCCGGGAAGCTTAGTCCGCACGGCTGATCAAGGTTAAGAATCCTTCGAAGCATTTGCCAGTCTACTGTGTTAGCCGCTCTGCCGGGAATTGTGATGTGAGCACGCTCGTCAATTGTAATGTAACGATTGTTCGCCTATAACGGTTTACGAGCTCTAGTCACCCCGGATGGCGCAGACCACTTGTTCAAAGCTCAATCATGCGGGAAGTCTGCCTTGCGTTTTATTTGTTTTTACAAGGCTGCTATAAACCCATATACCATAACACAATGCAGGAACACAAATGTATGTTAGTCCCCGCAACGATACTTTAAACACATGACGACCTCTTCCTGGTGAACATGACCCTTCGGTCTCCCAAACAACAACCTCCGAAGTCTACCACAACCGCAAGGAAGATTAGAAACCGAGCTGATCAAGGTCTCGCTATCCACCCACCAGAAGTACGCCAATACAAAGGGCAGCAAGCATTCCGAGCAAATACAATTCCTGGTGTGCACCAAATACATCGATCACAGAACATCCACACTGGGTCTTGGGAACCTGAAAACTCTCCATCGATCACACGAAGCAGCACTTCTCATCCCAGCGGATTTGAGCAGGACCCGCATTCCAGTGCCTTGATTGCTCAACCACTAGGCAGCACTCAGTACATCTCTCCTCGCGAATCGCGTCTGGCCGTATCCTCTGGTTCAGCAGCGACAAACATTACAGATTACACAGTGCGAGCCACGCCAGAATCGGATCTACTACAATCGCCTCTCCCATCTCTATCTGGCAGTCATACCGCTACAGAGTTTGACCTTCGAATATCAGCAGAACCTGAACCTTCCCACGACGCTTATCTAAGAACACAAGATATGAGGTATACAGCCCACTCAATCTAAATGAACGTTTGGGGACTAATCCTTGCAGCGCACAAATTGGTTACATGATGGCTCCAGCCCCATATGCAATGGATTACGGATCTCCACATCACCTCGATTCCCCTAGTAAGCGAAGCACAACCTTGGGGGTAAACGGACATACTGACCCAAACAAGCATACCCACCGATAGAGTCACCTTACCCGGATACTAAGCAAACATCATCGGCACCATATCCTCCTTCATATGCACATAGCCACAGTGTCTCTAGTCATAATACTTCTCGACGATCAGTTGATCAGCCGTCACTTCCCCCGTACCAGGCGCCGTCGATGCCTCGAAGTCCATATCAGCAGTCTATGGCACCAGTGCGAACAAGCGCTTCACCGATGAGCTACCCTATGACGACCAGCGAAGCTCCTTCGTTGCTGAGCTCTGCTCCACAACAATACACTTACCCTGCGATGCATTCTAATGTACCTGCGCAATCGCTTGGAAGCAGTTCTGGCAGTTACCCACCGTAAGATCCACAGGATCCATCTTAGACATCGCATCTGCTGACACTCACTAGACCTCCGTTATATCCCTCGACAAGCTATGCCGACTACGCGCCTTTCCCCGGATCATTGCACCCTACCAGTAGCTCTCCAGGTCATTATTCACCATACGAACAACATACACCAACTTTGGGGCCATCAACTACATCACCGGTTACAGGACTCTCATCGGCTCAGCCGACACAGCCCAGCGGTGTCATGCCACGCATATTAAACTCAAGACCGAAGCCCCAATGCTGGGAGCACGGCTGCAATGGCCGTCAATTCTCTACCTTTAGCAATTTGTTGCGACACCAGCGAGAAAAGTCGGGCACTGCGACGAAAAGTACTTGTCCAAGATGCGGTGCTGAATTCACGAGAACGACTGCACGGAATGGGCACATGGCGCACGAGAAATGCAAGCCAAGAAGAACTTCAGATTCCCATCGCTAGGTGAGCGCGTAGGGCGGGTTTGAAACACTCGGGCTTACTCCTTGGACCCCGGCAACGCCGAGTTGATATGAGGTGGTCGTCGATGACAATGAGGCCGATTCTGCGGGCCTACGATCGGGGCGAGAAGTATGCAACCGAAGGCGCCAAAAAGAGGCGTAGTGGGAAAAAATCGAAGACAGATGTCAGAGATCGAAAGTTGTTGGTTGTGGGCTGGTTTTACTTTCTGTACGTGCGGCGCACACTACTTGCTCTCGCACGATCCCGAGCATCTTGACCACGCGGGTCCCTCGGCAGCCCGCGTCGCATGCTTAACGAATACGGGATTTATTTTTCTTGTTGGAATTGGCGGATATACCACTGTTTAGATGTTATGTTTTTTTTTTGACCATTGCAGGATTGGATCAAAGCATCAGGACCGGCGTTTTCCTGCAGCGTACATGTTGTCCGAATTATTGTATTCAAATTTCTAGAATGAAGGCTTGCGATTTCTCTACTAGGCGACTTTTCGAACTATACCTATCTCGCGTTCCCCTTTGGTGGCGTACGTACAATTCTTCTCAACATTGCCTTTGTGCAGCACGTGCGCGTGGCTTACTTGCGGCGGTGGGCATGTCAGCTTGAGAGGCGGGAAGGATGAGGAAGGTCATCATGAGGTTCTTCCAAGTTCATTAACGATTTATGGTATGGATTGATTCAAAAGAGTGTAATGACTGGTCTGCAGCGTGGATCACATTTTGGCGGTGTGTACTGCTGTCCTTCTGCACATATGCATCATTCCCCGTGGACTCGTACGGAAATGGAGCCTGGCCTTCAGGCGGGCTGTTCTTGACACGCGCCGACAGGTTGTCTTACGCACGGCAGCCATATAAGTAGAAAGGGCGGGGAATTTAGCATGCCCGACCGCGTGGGATGGAGTTCACCGCTACGGGACCTTTTTTTTTTGCACAGGACAGGCGGCTCCTGCTGAGTCCCCATAATTTGGAGTGGGATATGTACGATGCACCGCCCCCGCGTTGTACAAAGAGTTTCGTAAATATACAACGATGTTTGTCTCAGATCCAAAGAGAGTAAAATACTTACCCTATCTTCCCCCACTTGCGAAGGGGGGGACGGCGATTTGTCAAGTCTCAACGCACGACCGTTTACGCCGCCCTCCGTACGCCGAGCGGTATAATCGGCGACCATCAGTGGCCGCAAATGGCGTGAGAGAATTGCCCGGCGGGGACGACACGGCAGTGCTGTCATCGAAGCTGACGCGCCCCTTCGCCAGCGACAAAAGAAGACTGATACCGGTTTTCCGCATACGAGGCCATGTGAGAATCAGGTAGTGTACGCGAACCGATACCTCCCCGCCTTGTGTACAGGAATTCAGTTCAAACGGGTACTAAAAAAAAACTGTCCCTAGTATCACTAACACTGTCTACGCTTCCACCGACGCGAACTAGAACCCGTTCGCTATGTCGACGGACGTCAACTGCGAGAGGCGGCTATTGGGGCGAAAGGGGTTCTACGTCCAACGATAGGTAGGTGAGACGTGCGATGTGAGACAAGACTTACCTCCGCTCGTATGGGAGAAACATGACTGACAGATGTATTCCAGAAGCACAAACCTCATGCTCGTATGCAGCTCAACCACCCATTGCCATTTCCCTGCTGTGCCGTTCTCGGACATAACGGAGTAGAGTAACAGGGCGCATTTGCACGGGCAATTGTAATGGACCAAACTACTCAGATGGTGCGCATCCCATGTGACGGACTTGGGCAAATAAAATGTCGATTTCGCCCTCCCAGCCACCGCACCCATCGTTCGCATGTTTTCCATATGAACATTTTACTACCACGACTCCCACGCATCAGTTTACAGTTCAATCATGATTCCCAGGCTCTCGCATACGGCTGCCGCCATATCGGCCGCCTGTGATTCATTAACCCGGTAGTGATCAACCGAGTCTTGAGTTCTGTCTGCGCGGCTAGTTCCGCGATATGAGATGGAAACATGTAACGAACTGGAGCGAGTAATGGGGGTAATAGAGGAGAAGGCACGAAATAGCAACAACCTTTTCACTGCTAGCCAGCATGTCGTGTTGATATTGTCCGGACGGGTTTTGTACGACCAACCAACTAGCTGCCGCGTGGTGCCATGATGCAGGCCCCTTGCTCGTCCACCCACTCGTCTAACGTGGCCAACAGGTATGTAGCCTGAAACTGCATATGCGGTGCTCCCTTGCCAAGAGGAGCCGGTTCCGTAGTCATGGATCCCAGTAATTATACGAAGTACATACCCAATAAAGGAAAGCTGGAACCCAGGATGCTAAACCTCACTAACAGGAGGGCGGGGAGTATGCTGATGCAAGGTATATACCTAGTACATATGTGTATACCACCGCGTCCAGAAAATCCCTTTACCATGGTCAGAGAGACGCTGCACCGTGGCTCAACACATGCGTTGGCTGACGTGGATTGCCCCATGATGCAGTAAGTATATGATTCTACTTCGCATACGGGGCTTCCTCTCCGTATATCCCGGTACTCTCTCATGTATACAACATGGGTGCAATCACACCAAAGCGTGATGCGTCAGGGAGACTAACGAAATCCCCGTCTCGGGTATTGATTCGCGGTCACTATTGCCGCTCTAGAACAATCTCGTGAGGCAAAGATCATACTGCTTGCGATTGCAACATGCCTGATGGGTTTCGCCAGAATTGACATCAGGCTTAGAAAGCTCGCCCCAGCTCACGTCCTTCTTTGTCGATGATTCCCTAAGCCAATTTCCTCGTATTACATACCTTCGATGTTTCGCTAAATACAAGCAGAACCGACATTTACATTTGGGGGGTGCAGCTCACAACTTACTACGGGCTGTTAGACCGCCCTTTGGCTTTGGACCGCCTGCAATAGGTTAAACACGGATGGACTTTCCGCCTATCCAGGCAACCATTTGGTTGGCTGTGCTGCAGTTCCGACTGAGTTCTGACAGGATTATGATAGGTGCTGATTGCACGCCCAGAGGGATGAAAGCCAGCGCGGGGGCGGCTACGCGGGAAGGATGATGATACGTAGACAGGGACCATGTGGGCCAGTTTCTGCGGCCGGAATGGGTACCTACAATCATGTACCATATTTCAGATTCGGACACACATAGACCGACTTCCTGTATGCGTTGGCTGCCGTGGGCGTAACTCTGCTGACACACAGACATACTGCCCAATTTCCGTATTCGGATGGGGGCGAGGGCCCCGTTCTATGTAGTCATCCATCAGCACATTGTCACTCTGACGATGAGTATGCTTCGTGTTGCAGAGGGGAGCCATGTACAACAGCCACGATGAAGCAAGCTACGTAAGGCTGAGTTGGGTGGGTGTTGGCCCCCAACGATCCTGTGACCATCTTTGGCTAAGAACCTCGGCATGGCAATATGTAGAATGTCTTGTGCTGCCAGGTGACTCTACTCGGTACTAAGTGGAGATGCGAAGCGATGGTGGTGATCGAGTCATTGCCGATTCTCGCTCGTTCCAAAGCCCACTCCGCGCCAATAGCGCTATGTCTATTTCAATCCGCCAGGTAGTTATGCGAAGCCTCTGATAACCTTGTTGACTTGCTCGTATTGGGAAGTGAATAGTGAGATAGGCAGACCAATTGCGGTTAACAGCTACGACATCCACGTTGATACATCAGCTTTGGATTGACGTCCTCCGTGAAACAGGCTGCAGTGGCCCGGGCCTCCGTCCCCTGCAGTCACGGCATGCGTCCTTAGCTGCAGAAGGCGTTCATTAAAGTTTCCTGCGGCATGCCTCATGGATATACCCTACAGATACTTTGCACAAGTGAAGTGAGATGATGTCTTCACGGGAGTTGGTGGTGACGAGTGCGGGACGGCAGTGACGATGACGATGACGACGTATGACATACAATTGAGCCGTGTAATACCCTGATTCAGTCTTCACTGTCCGGTAAATACCCAACATCACGGGCCGCACGATTCCATCATCCAAGTCATCGGACGACCTAGGTTACGATGCATCCAATCCTGACGTGATGGACCCGTATGTTCAACGGCTTGTAGGCTACGCGACGGGAGGAAGACGGTCCAAAAAAGGTTTCCCGGGAGGAGTGGAGGAAGAACAAGAATCTATCTGATCCTTCCTCCGGAGCACTGTCACCCCTTGTTCAGTAGGCTGTTCTGCCCATCCATGCAACAGTCAGTACACGAAAGGAGGAGGTGTCGTACCGTAACATCGTACTACCCTGACTGCACGTTCAATTTTTCAACATCTCTTTCGACTCAAAGGTCTGGTTGCAGCCCACAGCTCGCAATTCTTAACAGAATAGGAAGAGAGCGAGCCAACCCCTAATTCGTAAACTCTCATCTCTTCACCTGGTTAACCCTGTATCGCATCAATCTCCGGCTCTCAACCTCCTCTATGTAGCAGAAGGTATTCATCATATCGCATTGTCCATTACTGACTAGTGATCACGATGTGACCAAAACTGGTCTGGCACGCCTTCGCCTCGCAATCTGTTGCTCTATTAGTAGAAATGCTACGTTCGGTACGTTCGGATCTCCCCTGAGCTCTATATGACGCTAGTTGCGACTCGTTTTCGTTTCCATTCCCGACCGCGCTTTAGCCACCTCAGGAGATTGTCATACGCCCAATGTGTTTGCGAAGCGAGGCAGATTGAGCAAAGTTGCATTTTTGTTCCACAGCTTTGCTTTGTCGTGTCGTTAGTTACTTTTTCTAGCGACGGACATTTATTTTCGCGATCGCGGACTGATTTTGCGCTCACATCATCTCAATTCACATCGAGGACATCGCCATGATGCGGCCTGGCAGGAATGCCTCAACCTCTTGCCCCCTAGCGCAGATCAATTACCAGCCCCCCGAAATACTTTCGCTCGACTCGGGCGAATGATCATATGTCAGTGCTTACGCGTCCAGTATATTCTCGGGCACCCGGGCAATCAACCGCGGTGATACCCTCAATGTTCAAGCAACACTCATATCTTCTAGGGTATGCATTACTCGTAGCGAATAGCTCTAGCAGTCAGCTCGTAGTGTAAGGCTTACTCCGAACTTGGCTTCGTCTTTACGAACTGAATGAAAATGGATCAGTCATCACTCGGAACTGTCCCGAGCTGACCATGCATGTTTATCTGATCATTTAGCTATTACCACTTATTTCCAATCGGCACTGCGTAGGTGGAGCGCAAACTATACCCTTTACGTTTACTCGGGGACTGGTACTGCGTGCGTTGTTCGTGAACGCTAGCGTGTCCCTGCCTATCCAGTCAATGAGTACATTCTCTGTCTGCGCTGGGGCTGTAGTTGGACGTTTGACCACAAGTTGTCAATCAAGCGGCGTGTGAAATTGATTGTGTACATATTCAAGTATGTATGTATAGGTCTGCCGTCAGCACGTCTGTTTCACCGTCATGTAGGCCCCCAACACATGCATTGCCCCGTATGACCAGAGAAGCCTAGGTCTCATTATCTACATACGTACTTAGAAGTTTCATACCGCAGGAAGCGTTCATAATACCTATCTCTAGAACATGTGCATACTCGAGCCTCCCATCGTCAATCAACGGTCCTACCTCTTCGAACTCCATCCAGTCAGCTATCGCAGGATTTGTGTATGTTGTCCGACGTAATTTTAAGCATGATTGATTTCACTTACCAGGTTGAGCATATTCTTCCGAAGAGTATGTTGTTCAATTATAAGCTCGGTCATCCTCACTACAATTAACTCGGAGTGCGCCTAGCTTCTACATTCATGTTCTAGATGTCCATCACAAGATGCTTCACATTACAGCGTCTGGACGATAACTTTTTTTGTTTTTTTGGGACATGATTATCATTTATATCTCAGCCCTTTCAGATGCACACTAACCACCAGCACACTTGCTCCTAGAAAATGCCTACTGGTACGTTTTGGCGATGTATGAGTCGTATCTCACGTGATCCCCCGCTGGTGAAAGCTTGGCGCTAAGGTGACTCTTCGAACGACTTCAGCCATATTTCATATATCCACGTCAACTGTTTCCAGCTCATCGAAAGCCCATTCAATTCCTTTTAAAACTATTACTGCCGTTATAATGTCTACCGCTTAACTCGTGTAGGCCAGTTTGGCTTCTACACCTCACCACGCCACCAAGAGCGCCTTCCACCAATTTGCTTGACTTCACGCCTCAAGCTTTTGCGTCCCACGTCTGCCACCATGTTACCATTACTGGTACTATTATTCAAGACACACTACTCACACACCAATTCCCGGTCATTAGCGCAATCAAAAAGCATTTGCTCAAGTCGAACAACCCGTTACCATCGGTCCTAGTCTGATCGGTGCAACTCATCGCATAAGAATACCAAATTCTTGAAAGGCATTAGTGTGTTCAGCATGGCTTCGATATTCACCTTTGATCCGAACCCACCTCGGGTTTCCAGTCCATGGGCGGCGGTCACGTCAGGATCCTCTTCCCATGACTCCATTTCTGAAGATCACACAATTACCCAGAGATATAAAACCTCCAATAAAGCCGGCGACGACTCCGCAGAGGCTGAGCTACCTATAGTCGACCACACTACCCTGACCAGGATCGAAGCCGAACCTCAGGAGGGCCCTGTGGAATACAAACTTCATTTGCTACTTCGCAAGCGAAGATCTTTCCTTCGTTCTAGCACCAATCGACATGTATCAGGGTCTCTACGGCGCAGCGATCTAACGAAATCAGGCCCTGTGAGTCGTAGTATATCTGAGTCCAACCTTCTGGGTCCTGCGCCTCCACCTCTGAGCGCTACTCAATCAAGGTATCACCGTTTAGAGCAGCTTACCACTCAGATGCTGTGGCGGTTACAGCAATCTTCTCCTCACCATACATCATCTTCCAATGATGGTGTGATCGTCCAAATTCCAGATGAGTCGCAACTATCTGGGCCCGTTGTGCCTGAACGACTATATCCTGGCTTAGAGGAAAGCAATGGTGCGCTTTACGAGATAGGCGTGGCTGACAACGGTGAACTTGTTGGTCTTGCCGATGACGAGATGGAGGAGTCTCTGAACAATTTGCGCGCCATGGCTGCGAGTTTAGGTTGCCGGGTAGAACTCAAGCGTATGTTTGTGGTTGGTGAATGTGAATGGATTGAGCATTCCGGTACGTCGCAGAAACGACTCAAAAAATCCGACCTGTTAGTCGCCGAGGCCTTCATTCGCCCTGATCAGCACTTTGAACGGAGGCATAAGTCTTCGAGGTCTGCTGAAGTGCTAGGTTCCGTGGGTTATATTTCTCAATCGACTAATGTCTTAACGGAGACGACGCAAGCCTCCCAACAACTAAGAATCTCATTGACTGGTGCAACAATGTCTGGAAAGTCCAGTCTTCTCGGGACACTGTCTACTGGGACTCTCGACAACGGCCGGGGGAAATCTCGCTTGAACCTGCTCAAGCATAGACATGAAATAGAATCGGGGGGTATCACGAGCTCCATTACTCAAGAGTTAATCGGATATCACGATGTTCTCGATGAAGAAGGGACGCGGATCGCGACAAAGGTGATCAACTATGCGAATGCTTCTTCATGGGTTGATATACATGCTTCTGCTGAGGCGTCGACCGAGGGAAGACTGGTTTTCTTAACTGATTCAGCCGGGCATCCTCGTTTTCGCAGAACCACTGTCCGAGGTTTAGTGGGTTGGGATCCGCATTACACCCTCCTGTGCATTCCTGCAGACAATTCAGAAAGCTCTTCTGGCAAAATCGGCGCATCACCATCCACGAAAGAGATCTTGGGTGCCGGTGTGGGAGATTTAGACCTTTCACATGAACATCTCCAACTCTGTCTCGCGCTGGAACTTCCACTGGTGGTCGTCATTACTAAATATGACCTTGCATCACTAGCTGGGCTGAGAGATGTTCTCTCAAGCATACGTACTGCTTTGAATGAGGCTGGGAGGAAGATGGCTCTCATTGCTGATCCATCTAATTCGACGATTGAAGCTGCTCTTTCCGAAATACCCAGCACCGATCTCGCACAAGCAATTGAGAAGATAGGGGCCCTCCATGCATCGCCTACGACAGTAGTTCCCATTGTCTTGACCAGTGCTGTGAAAGGTACCGGTTTGAGCAAGCTTCACGCAATTCTCCGAGAGCTACCTGTGCCATCACCCACAACTGCGCCCCAGGGCTTCCCCAATACTGTGTTCGACATCGAAGACTTATATAGCAAAAAAGGCTCACGATATACACCTGATGAATCAACAATTGTCGGAGGTCATTTACGATATGGAACTTTGAAGATTGGAGACGAGCTTCTCCTAGGCCCATACCCCATAGAGCTCACAACCGACGACAGTGACTCTGGAAGTGGCAGGCCTTCTGCACGGAACTCCCCTGTCCCAACATCCCGTTCATTTCCTGGTGCACTTCACAAACGATCTATGAGATCCAATTCACACGGCCAAATCAGCTCAGCAGCGCGTTCTGTCTCGTCCGTTGAATGGCGACGCGTATGCATCACTTCCATAAGGAATCTCCGGCAGCCAGTGCATGCGCTTGATGCTGGACAAGTAGGAACTGTGGGAGTGATATCAGTGGACAAGCAGGTTCCCATCTCGAGCCCTTCCATCCATCGGATCCGCAAAGGAATGGTTTTGGTCAATGGGGAACCGAAAGCATCCAGAGTTCTATGCGTGCGGTTCGTGGGGAGAAGTATTCAAGCCGCGAGTACTCTGAGTATCGGAAGCGCCGTGGTAATCTATACGGCTAGTGTTCGTGCTTCGTCAAAAGTAATATCGATCGCTCAAGAAGGACAACCCCCGACCACAGGTATTCTGCCTAACGGGGACGAGAATGACGATGAAGGTTTTGGTTTTGGGTTGGATCTTGACGGTGATGATGGTATCATGGACAGTGCGTCTGAAAGTCAATCAGGGAAGGACGCAGCTACCGTCGTTACATTCCAATTTATTGCTTCAAGAGAGCTCGTGGAGGCGAATGCAAAGGTCTTGATCATGCCAGGGGGTGGACCGGGTCTCATTGGCAGTACGGAAAGGGGAGAGAAGGGGATGGCAGGGTTGGAGGGTTTCGTCGGTCATGTCGTTCTCGAGGAATCCTGAGCGAAACGAAGCGATAAGATGTTGATAGATCTGCCGTTGTACATGATAGGAGGGTTTCATCTGCGTTTCGAGGAAGGCGGTATGACATGATGGTGTGGATTGCAACTCTCAGGTCTGGCGTATCGGCGTATCCATTTGATTTTACTTGTGCCCAAATTCATTCTATTTCATTATGCCATGCCGAGACTGCATACAGTGCTCGAGTTCGTTGAGCTTCCCCCCGATATACCCAAATATTATGCCTGAAAACCACAGGATACGCAGCAATCTGGCTGGATTCTCGTCAACGCGAAATGCCTATACTGATGACCTCTCACACAGACGGTGCATCTGTCAGTGGAACATACTGCACTCCATACAACTTCTTTTTCACAACCACGCCCTTTTCATCCTTATCTACAACATAGATATGCTGCACACTCCCCTCCTCGACAGGAACGAACATACGCCCAGGGGCTTTCAACTGCTCCTCTAACTCTTGATGATGCTCCGCAGCTGCAGCACCCACATGAATGGCATCATATGGCGCATCCTCTGACCACCCTTTCCTCCCGTCCGCCTTGACGAATCGCACCTGCCCTTCCCTCATCATCCTTTGTCCATCCTCCGATTTCGCCATGTTTCCCTCGGCAAGCGCAACAAGCGGCTCAATATGATCAACTCCTACAACTTTGCCCTCCCGCCCCACAAGATTCGCCAACACGGCTGTCAGATATCCCGACCCGGATCCGATATCAAGGACGCGCGCGCCTGGTTTCAAATACTCGAGCAGTGTCTCGCAGGCGTTCGCGTGCATATGAGGTGCGGAGATTGTGGCGCGGTGCCCAATGGGTTGAGGGTGGTCGTCGTAGGGGTTTCTGGGGGCGTAGTGTGCGCGATCGACGCGCTGCATGGCTTCTTGGATGCGGGTGGATTGTATGAGCCCATTTTTGGAGAGATTGGCAATTAGGCTTGCGTTTGTTGTGCCTGAGCTGCGCCAGGCCATGGTTGTGATGGGAGGCTTGGGTTGCTCGAGGTTGGTGAGGAGGCCGCGGAGGGCTGGTGATATGCGGGAGTGCAGACCCAGGTTGAGAAATTTGAAGAATCGAAATGATTTAGAGCATATGATAGGGTGTCTAGTGTTGTGTGTTGAAGGATGGGGTGGTAAAGAAGAGCGAGGATGGAGTGAGGTCCACGGGGAGCGGGAAAGAGCTACGCTTTGATATGATCGCAGCTGTTAGTGGGTTCAGTGATTTGATGACTAGCAAGAAGATTATGTATCTTGTGAGCATGCGTCAAGAAAGCTTCATATACAATTACCGTATGGTTAACGTCATGAATAATAAGAGGCAGTGTGGAACTGGATCAACCCCTCCACAAGGTAGAGCTAGAATCCGGGGTAGCTGCAGCACGCGCTTTGTTTGTACCCCACCCATCCTTCCTTTTCCGCACAACCCTACCGACTAAGTACCCTTAACAAAAAACTTTATTTCTCCACGAACCTCGCTCGTTGCTTTTTTATGCATGTGATACACATGCTCTAATAGAGGCCATGGATAATCTTACGCCACAAGATCTATTCTCTCCATCTAAGGCTCGTCAACAACGCGCCCAAGCTGCCGATTGGGCGCAAATCGACTCATGGCTCTCATACAAGTACTCCGGACGTACAGTGCCGACGTTCGAGCGTAACGAAGAAACATTAAAGGCTCTACGAGAATTGGCAGCTGCAAACGAGCGTGCGGACGAGGAAAGGATGGTGCTGGAGCGCGTGGAGAGGGAAGCAGCTAGGGAGCTGGAAGAGGTCGAGGTATGAAGAGACCAGTTGACGGCAGTTCCAAGGTCTGCGCTTGGCCATCATTCAATATCTGCAATTCTTCCTCTAAAATACGATTCATAAGAGCAACAGCGAGCTAACTAAAGCGGAAACATGGGGGAACATATAGTCTAAAGCTTCAAATTCCGAAAACGAGAAGCTCCTCGAGACTATGAGACATCACCTCACAGACACCGGACTCGAAAGCCTCCACGCGCTGGCCGCCACAGCTGTCGTGCTGAACACTCCCTCAGCTAATCCCGAGACTCTCGCGCACGCTCTGACCTCGCATACATTGACCTCACAAACCTTGACCAACAACCTCGCACATATACGCACCCTGCAGGCCTATTTACAGAAACAACATACTCTGCTTCGTGAGCAACTGCACTCTATCCAGACCGACCCTGCGTTCGCCACACCCCAGAATATCCAACGCCAGACAACAGAACAGATTCGCCAAACAAAACACTTGCGGACGAAGATTCGTGAACATGAGGATAGGCTGTCGGCGCTTCAGAGCTCGGGTAGAGCGGCGGCAACGCCTGCGTCGAAGAATGTGAGCTCTGCAGAAGCGATTGCCGATATGCTGGAGCAACAGAGCGTGTTGGATAAGTTCAAGGATAAAGTGGAAGCATTGGAGAAGGAAGTTGGTGTGTACAAAGGGCTGCCTGCGGATAAGGAATCGGCGAGAAGAGAGGTAGCAAGGCTGGAAGTAGAGCTTGACCTGGTGAGGAGGAAGCGAGATGATCTCTTTGCAAACTTGGTGAGCTGAATAGCTATTGCAACTTGAGCTGTAAATGTAGATCGACAGTGCAGGCTGATAGTCGACACCATTGAGAGGCAGGGATGAAGATGTGAGAGAACCATTTTGGACAAGGTTGTTCATCATGATTATTGCTGAAAGTACCTCCTGGACACCCATGCTTGCAGGTTATTATTGCACGATTCCAAACGGACCACAAAAGAGAAATAAGTCCAGGTCACACCGACACCTCCCGTCTCTTCTCACTTGAACAGAAATTTACTCTTCCAAACCATCAACCCATTTCCTCCATTGCTCCCACACTGTGTAATCTAGCTTCGCCTGTCGACCTTGGTATCTGACAACTTTGAGATCAACTTGATCCCACGTAGATGATCGCCCGCTCCATCCGGCCTTTCGCATCAGACTGACAATAGTCTCAGTTTTTGTCCAACCTTGTTCTCTCGCGACATCGGGCAGATATGTAGAGCCGTAGCGGCGATTTTTGTACTCGAAAGAGATGCGCAAGCCATGCACACCCAAAGTCCAATCCATGGGGTCGGAGATGGACTCGAAATCAGTAAGAAGTGTGACGCCAGCTTCAAGTGTAGATAGCTCGCCTCTGGTAATGGGACGGAAGCGGGTGTCTTCGAACGCGCTGTTTTTTGAAGGAATACATGGTCAGCTGTACGATCAAGGAATGTTGCATGTTGGATGTCAAGTCTCAAATGACACAGCGCACAGAAGGAGCTTGGAAATGGAAAAAGAAAAAGAAAGTATAGGAACTCACGAAGTCAGAGCATAACTCCGAAGTCCATCATCCAACTCTTGTGGCTGGAATGTTCCGATGCATCCCCTCAGCCTCTTTTCACCGCCCGGTCGTGAAGGCATGACATTCCATGTCACGAACAATGGGCTATCATCTTCGGTCCTCTCCTTCTCCGCACCCCGCAGCCTCTTGCCTAGCGACGATAGCACGCTACTCCCACTGCTATTCTTGCTGGTTGAGGAGCTGGCCTCGCTTGCCGCGCTGGGTGTTGAACTGGTGGTGCTCTGTACACTAGAGGAACTCGTTGTCGATGGTGAAGGATTAAGGAGCCTTGAAACAGCAGCCGGACGGTGGGTTGTAGGGCTGGAGTTGTCGAGTGGGGCAGCGAGAGTAACGTTGCCATCGGTATCGTCGATGGATTCTGAGGGTTCGGTGCTCTCGTCTAAGATCTCGGCTGACTTTGATGAAAATTGTGGGTTCCATTGTTTCCAGAGTTGCTCTACTTGGCGGAGATTGAGAGGAGCACGCTTCTCAAGGCTGGATGAGAGGATCTCGAAGCAGTAGGCACAGTGAGCTTCGGTTGCCATGTTGAGTGCAACAAACGTGTTGGGGATTAGATGGCTGTATTAGCACGACGGTTGTGAATTTGGAATTTAACTGCTCTTGGGATAGAACACTGAAGATTCGAGACTAAAGTGAGTGTAGGAAATGAGGGACGATGAGGCTGCACAGATGAATGAGAGGAAAAGTGAGAGATGACGTTACGACACGGGGCAAGGGCCTAGTGGGAGGACTGCGTCTCGCCAGGAACGCTCTGGAGCGGCACGAGTTGCTGGATTAATCAGCCCGTGACAGTTCAAGGCGTAGGGATTTCGTTTGTCGACGAGATCGGCAGTGCAGGTTCTCCTGGGGTGCTTTCAAGTATAAGGAGATGAGCTATCGAAGGATGGCGGGGTCGTAATGTAGATGTGGTTGAACCCCACCAACCATGTGCTGGTAATCACTTAGGTCAATCTCGGGAATGTCGCACAACCATAAGATAGCACCCCGACGTTTTGGTTTGAGCAAAGTATGCAGTCAGTTGTTCAGGAAACGGCTTGTCAATTCTTCAGGACTTAACTAGACTATATAGACAACCAGATAAAAGGGATCCAGCGACTGCCATGGTCCATCCGAACAATAACCACAATCCAGATCTCTTGTTTAAATGTAACCCCATCTTCATGCACAAAGTCCTTATGGAAAGAAGAACAAGTGTTTGGTAATGATGGGGTGAATTTTCTCTTGGCACGAATATTTTCCTTCAGCAGGTCGAGCATGGAATGGCTCTGTTGCTGTACACACTAATGCCTTGTCGGGTTCTGGAGCCTCCTGCTCAGTCCTCGTTGGAAGCGTCAACATGCGCGGGAGATGACGGCCTAGATGTTAGCAAGGGCTTCCACTCACGCATCACTCTCACGAAAGGGTAACTTTGGGATTTGTTCATTGCCACATCATGCCTAAGTTGAACCCGCTTCCTGACCTCGGCTCGAAGCCGTCATGGAAGTCCGTATGCCACTGACGCCAGCAAAATATTTCTTTTTGAATGGAAAGCCGCCTCATCGCTCGTTCGTTCGTTGGATGCTTTATGCCGAATCGCGCTTGCCCTCCTTGACCTCCTTCTGTAAAATGTGTCAGTCATTACGACAATGGATTCGATACCGGTGTGGTCGAACGCACCAGAGCGCGCATGGTGCCGTGAAGAGCATGTCTGTGGTTCCTTCGGAACTTGGGGTCGGTGCCCTTGAGCGACGGGTAACGGTGAGTCTTGGGCTTCTTGATACTGAAAATACAGTCAGCATCCTGTCCTATGTTTTGAAGCGCAGCACGCCATGGCTCGAGCGAAATCGCATGGTTTCATCGCCAAAGGGGTGGCGCGGATGTATTTGGGTGCGGTAATGAGAATCTTGGTTTGCGTACCCGTTCCTGTGGTTCTTCTTCGACTGATTATGCTGAGACGAGTTCTTGGATTCTACGGAGACTGTCAGGAGATCGAAGCGCAGATAAAGATCCTGAGTTAAACGTACTGGCCATGGCGACGGATGTGGTTGTCGAATTGGCTGCTGAAGTTCACGATGGACAAGTGACAGAGTCGTCGTTGCAGCCAGCAATTTGGTGAGTGCGTCAAGCGAGCTCGAAGCGGCGCTAGTATCTTGGCGCCAAGGCTATAATATATGAGGTGTGTACACATGCGTTCTTTGAACAATGAGATAATCGCATTCATAAGCTCGTACAAGTATTAAGTGAAAAATAAAACCCCGCTATAGAACCCCTAGTCCTCGAAACGACTTGCTCAAAATGCCCCATCAAGTCTGTACAGACTGTAAAAAAAACCCAGTCAAACTCCATTCAACTCGTACAAGATGTTTTCCAGTTGATGACAGATGCGGGACAACCTTCTATCAGGTTATCTCGTCACACCCATATATTTGTTGAGTCTTGACCTAGGCGCTACTAGTCATGGGGATATCTATCGCGAATGGCTTGCTCGGCAGTGGAAGCTCCGCCTGCACCTTGGGTTGTGGTCAGTGGTGGTGTGCGGTTTGTGGTATCAACGATACCTTCGTCGTAGGTCATACCGTCGAGAGGAGTGGGATCTTGTCTCTGTTGCTCCGCGCCAGGCGTACTTCCGGGACTTGGAACATTCACACCCGTCATCGGACTGCCTGGTGCATGATCACGTAAATGCTGGGGCACTGCGCCTGCTTTGCTAATAGCAGGGCTTCCGATCTGGCTGTGCTGACGGGCCGGTGTTCGTGCACCCTCCCCGAAGCCTACTAACGAGGCTGCCTCGTCGCTGAAGCCTCCTATGCTGGAAGTCTCCACATCTTGATCTTCACTCATCCGATCCGGGTCGTACATATCGCTGCCACTAGCCCACGTTGTTCGACCTCCTACGCTCCCGGTCGCGCTTGCGCTTCCAACAGTGCTGCGTTCACGAAAGAGTTGAGGTTGGTTATTCGCATCGAAGTATCCGGGCGGAGGGTTGTTCGCTGCACCAGGAGCAAGTCCCTGAGGATTGCGGCCACTCACAGCGACACGCTCGAGCCCGGCTAGGCGCGAGATGCGATCAGCACGCTCGGCTTCAGCGGGGTGGTGGTGATGTGGGAAATGGCCACGGTGGCCGTCTTTGATGGCTACTGTAGAAAGCTCTGACATAGTCGTGGTGGCGGAATTTGGAGTACCACTGCATGCTAATGGTCAGTTCAAACGCTCTGTAGCATAGATATCGTGGGTTGTCTTACGGCGCATCATTGGGCGTGGCAGGGTCCGATGGATGAGGTGGGAGGTTGATGAGAGTCGGAGGTTGCGCAGTCATGGTGAGCGGATTGTGGCTTTGGTAGCTTGATCGTGGTTTGCGTGGTGGAAAGTAATAGAGTACTTGCCGTGGGGTAGTTGAAGTAAAGTATATATGAATCTCGAACCAAGTACGGGGCTACGTCACAGGTGGGATCCGTGCCCGGGTCTGTGAAAGGATACAAGGGCAAGGGGTGTGTCTTGGGCGTGCCTTCTTTTGGGCAAGACCTCACTGCTACGATTGTGGTTGGCTGTCCGCCTGACTCCTAATTTTCGCCAGCTTGATAGAGAAAGGAATAATTCATTGGCTTCAGATTCCACGCCCACGTTAGTTCCTTAGCTGAAGCCTCATTGCCCAATCCCCACACATCGCTTGGCTCGAGGGTACATGCAAGGGTTCGTTCTCCCCCTCTTTTAACGCTTCGCGTTGATTGGCCGCCCTGTAGGCCATTGTCCTGTGGGCTTTTCGAGGCTACATATCACAGTTGCACATTTATAAATACCACGACAGCCCTCATCATGCTCTCCTGTACCCACTTGTAACTCCGACCACCTCGTATCCCGGCGTTTCGTGTGTACAGGAATTATGCTTGATGGAAGACACGTCAGCCTGTGCTTTAGTCCAGGGCAATCAGTCTCCAACCGTCTATCTACGCCAGCTCCACCATGAACATGCGAGAAGACCTAGAACTGTGGAATGATTCACTGCCAGTCCTGAATACTCATCTGGTGCATACACTACAGTGAGAGGAGAACAGCAGATGAAGTGCTGATTGCTCGCCCCTCTTCCACCTTTACTGGTGAATATTTCTTTCACGATAGACTTCAATATGGTAAATGTTGCAATCAAAATTGTGCAGCGAATCCAGAAAAGGAATGATAGACATCCGGACAAGAGCTGCTGGGACTCAATAAAAGTGTTCGGAAGAAAGAGTACAGTGTAAGACGATGTGTTATACAGAACGTGGACACAACTACAACCACCTCTAAGGATTTCGTTGGGGGTAAAAAACCCCTAAAAAGCAGAGTCCTCCTATCTATACCCCCAAACCCAAATACAGATAATAATACATATGTACATGACACAGCGCTTTCGAACGCAGGATCAAACACCGTCCCCAGTGTATAAACATCCACATACTCAGTTTGCTGCCTTTAGTTCCCTCGGAGATAGTGAAAAGGTTTAGCTGCAGATTTCATGTAGGCTTTGACCTGTTCTCCAGTAGGCCAACCCCACCCCGCGACGCCCTCTATCTTCGCCCTGACTAGCTCCACTAATTCCGGACTCGGGGGTTCTCCACATGGGCCATTCGACAATTGTCCCTCCAGCCCTGCACGTAGAGCAATTAGCATCCGGGAGAACTGCGTCCGTCCGTCTGTGTGCGCATGGGCGAGAGTCGAAATTTGTTCATGGTGTGTGGTTGCCCAAATCGACAGTGAGTATAGACCCTCGTAATCGCGCAACAGACCCAGCGTTCGGGCATAGGCGTGCAGAGTTTCAGGATCGGGGATATGCGGTGTTATGGTTTGTTCCTGCCGTACATGGGCGACATAGTATGAGTCTATATCTGCACCAACAAGATTGTGGAATGCGAAGCGTACAAAGCGCGGTGCCGTCGCCAAAACATGTGTTCTGTCTTCGTGGGATAACAAATCTTGGTGAGCCATGATCGTAACTGATCCCGTGATCCGACATAATGTCCGAAATAATGGGTCCTGAGGGTCGACATCGAGTTCATCCAGTATCCGAAAGACGTTGCAAACGATTCGATATCGCTTAATGTCCCAAGCTGCCCTGATTTTCTGCCGACTAAACTGGCTGTGGCCTGCCAGATTCTCACGATTTAACCGAATAGCGTGTACGTATGCGGCCCACGCTGGAGTGTAAGCAGGCTTATAGTGCATAAGAAGAGCTTGAGCGTACTCGACTCGGTAGCAAGCTTCCGAATGCAATCGAAGGCGATGTTCTTCTGTACGAAGAGGAAGAGAGAGGGGCTCGGTAGAAGGAGGTCGATCCAAGCGACCGAAGCGGCACAAAAATTCGATGAAGGAGGTAAAAAAGTAGCCAGGTACGGGAAGTCCCTCTCCTGAAAATACAGATCCTTCCATCAAAACTGCCACCCCTCCATCAAACTCAGACTGTTCCGCCTCGAGAAGTCGTAAGATCGTGGAAAAATTTGGTAAGGTTTCAATGAGGAAGGCAAGGAGTCTACCATTTACTGGGACATTATTAGTATTCATCCGGTCGTAAAGTTGCTCGGAACTAGGGATTGGCTCCCGTAGATAAACATGATGGTATGGAGACTGGGCCTCTGGCATAACTTTTGGTGTGTCGCCAGAAAGATGATGGCTATGATGCACATCTTCAGACCCATGGTCGACATCACTACCATGTTGTTCTTCCAACACCGATGCATGAAGTTTCTCGAACATGGCGAGATACACTTGTGCAGAGCAAGCGTTCCCTGACGATTCACAAGCGAGGAAGCAAGCCCATGCTTCCCGTCTGGTGCGAGTAACTCGTATACGAGCGACCCATAGAAGGTGGTTGGCCTTCTTCGGGTACGTAAGGCGTGAGGAGACGTGGGGAAACGTAGTGCGCGACTGTATGGTAGGTGATCTATCTGTATCCCAACCAGCATAGATTTCAGCTACATGCTCCCACGCACCGTCTTGATAGCCTGCCTCGAACATCCTATGCATAATACGAGAAGCCCTTGACGCGCCAAACTCATACTCCTTTTCCTCATCCATTGCGTTCCGATTCTCTTTCCATGGAGGCCAACTTGGACCTTTCAAGCTTGCCCACTCTCTTTCTTGAGCAGTCTTTGGGCGCATGAGTTGATTGCGTGTCATTGCTCGGAATCCGCGCTTGGTCATCGTGGAGGCTGGTTCACAACTGGCCATGAACTGCAAAACTTGGAACATGGCCGTCTCCTGGTGTCTCGAGTTTACAATGGATTTTACATGAACCGGTAAAGAGAGCAATTGCAACATCAGGTTGCTGAACTTGGTCAGGTGAGGAAGTTGTGTAGAGAAACTCTTTTTGCCCTTCAGATCTGCATAATATTTGGTGGCCTCAGTAGAGAAGAACGTCGCAATCCAGGGCAATGCCTCGGGCCTAATCGAACGCGCATGGCGTACCAACGGAGGGAGAAGCTTTGTAAGCGAATACCAGCTGATATCTTCATATCGAGCCCTTGACTGAAGATGCCGAAAGATAATACTAAGCGCTTGGGCCTTGATGTGTTTCCTCTGGAGGTAGAAACTAACTAGGAATAGAGGAAGTTTCTCGTCGGCGTTCTTGAAGAGTGAAGCCGCGGGCACTGACCTTTTCTCCAAAATGCTCTCCGACCATTGCTCTACGCTCTCAGCAGTGTAGCCTTTTGAGGCAAGATAATATTTTTCTTGAGTAGACAAACTCGGTTGAGGTTGGTCTTCTTGACTGGTAGTTACAGCATGAAGATAGCGTGCTAGGATAGAAATCATATCAAAAGAACCAAACGAAGTATGTTCTTCCATGGCGGCGTCGTCGTCGTTCCTGCCAGTAGGAACCTTTTTCGACGAGAGTGGGCGTTTCTTGGACCATTGGTAACCACAGTAACTATCACTCCCATTTAACGGGTCCCACCGGGTATAAAGTCCTCGCGAGCCGTTCCGGATCGAATCTAATATGGCGACATTTGAATTCAGGTCCAGCGCCTTCAATATCCGCCTAGAATAAAACCTTCCGTGAGAATTTATATGTTTTCCATCCCGTACTTCTCTCGTCTCCTCCTGATTGTGTCGGTCGTACTTGTACGGATCGTGGTCAATAGGCGCAAGCGCATCGGTATTGGTGAAGTGATTGCGCTGACTGTCGATGGAATTGCATCTTCTACCCAGCAGGGTGAGTTCAGGGATTGTGATTGATAGGCTGGTCTTGTCGTATATTCGGAGATGGGGTGATGTCCGGTCACGACGAGACACACATATTGATTGAAGGCGTGCCTGTTGAGCTGTTCGAGAACGGTTTGAGTGGCGCTGATTACAGTGAGAAATTTGGACAAAATGGGGATTTCACCGGTGCTATGCGACTCACTGGTAGAGAAACGCGTACGCCGCGACTTGCAAGGACGCGGTACGAGCTACTTGAAGCCGCTAGACAAGATAGCGAGAGCATTCATCGATAGCCCGCCCAAGTTATGGGAGAATCGCGAGTAACGATATGCGAGATAGAAAGAGCGGTCGCAATGCACTGTTACACAAACAAGCAAGCAGCGAAGCTTGGGAGGAACGAATTGATATACGCTAGCCCTAACGGACTAGCGGCTTGGCATCGACTTGTTCGCGTTCTGTCCCCCAGCAGCGAACTCCATCTCCATCTAAAAGCATCCAACGGTTCGCATTCCACGTCGTCGCGCTGCTCCGGTTTGCTGCCAGACATCAATCTCGCGCATCTAGGGCTCACGGCCGCATCGCCCATCGATCATCTGTGCTGCGCCTGAATATATCCCGATACTCGATCGCCTGCATCCGACTCTGGAGCGCGTTGCACCCCATCTTCGACCTCCCACGGCGCGAACACTACTCACCATCAACCATCGCCATGGCTACCGACATCGCCCAAATTAGCACCAATGGCGCTCTCACTCCACCATCAGTGCTTCCCGCTTCCACTTCACCATCGCCCGCAAAGCGAAAACGTACCGACACAGACGCCCTGTCCAATGGCGCACCATCTGTCGCAACCGCCAACGGTCAACCTGCACCTGTGCAGACAGTACTGCAGGATATAGTAGCAGTTTTAAAGAGGTATTTTCATCGCGTGCAGCGCATCGGGCCGTGTTCAAACGGGACAGCTGACCTCAACTAGCTACGACACCGAACCATCAATACTGGAACACCCCATCACTTCCTCAGCGGCCCGAGCAATTTCGGGAGAGGCCGATGCAAAACGCACGAAGCTTACGCCTCCGGCTCCATCCACGATCATTAGCCTGCTACTAACCCAATCGTACGATTCTCTACAAGCATTGGAAGAGGACGTGGAAGCTGCGACCGCAGATATTCTCACAAACATTGGTTCCGGCGAGCTTGACACAGCTCCCTCCACTCCCCAAGAAAGCGTTTTGCAAGCCAAGGTTCTGGCCTTTCGAAAAGTGCTTAGAACCTTGATCCACCGGGAAGAGGTTAGGAGAGCCCACATCGCCTCCAAGAAACAAAACTCGGAGAAAGAAAGTGGCAGCCAGGAGAATACCACGCCTTTCCAGCCTAGAGAAGAGCCTTCAGAAAGCCGGACAGTTTTGACCCTGTTTGGCAGTGCCCCTAATCCCAGGCAACTCTTCTCCAGCTTGCAGCAGCCTCGTTCAATATCGTCATCTAACACTGCTACTAAGTTAGATACAACGATCAAAGTTACGCTGCCTCTGCGTGAATCAACGCTCCCTAATATCATTTCCACCACAGAGGTATTTCTACTCCCCGATGAGGTAGACGACAGGAAGAGGAACAACGAGAATGCGACCATCGGAAAACTATTCAAAGCACCTGCACATTTGCCGCAGCTTAGCCCCCCAAAGCTCGCAAAAACTCTTACTACAAAAGGAAGCACAGTCACCTTTGCACATCCGGAAGTGCCTAAGCCGAGCCGAAAGGGCTCGCAATCATACGCCAACCAGCACCTGTCGGCTGGATACTGGTTGGGTTACGGCGGCGTAGACATGCCAAAGGACCCTACATCACCAACTGCAAAACAGAAAAGTCGCCAACGCGCCCTTAGCACAGGAGCGGGTGAACAGCCACCATCTGAGTTGGCCCTCACGGCTGTTAAACAGGCGAAAGAGGATGCTTTGTTTCGCAGTGCGTATTCTAGCTTTGCGCCCACGCGCGATAACGCATCAGCAGTCGTTTCCGAGGAGACCAAGAACATGGTATGGTGGCAGAAAGTTGGGGAAAAGCGGTTCAATGAGGTCTTTCCCATTGACCCTGATCTGCTCGAAACTGACCCCAGTGCCGAACCCGAGGAATCGCTAGCGGAGAATGAGGACGAACTGTTCAAAGAGGCTGTGGATCTTTTCGAGCCTATTGAAGGTCCAATTCTCGAACCGGAAGAAAAGTCTTATCTCGAGAAAGACACCGAAGAAGTGCTCGCAGATATATCTGAGCTACTAGAGACCCTTGCGTCACACCAGAGAATACGGAATTCATCTTTGGCCACCAATCCTCGCACGCCGGTCATACCAAATGCGTCTCTTGCTAATCTGGCTGGGAGTCCATCCACACCCTCTTCCGAGGAAGTGGATATTTATCAAATACTCAAGGCCCAGTTGACTATGATGATTTTGCAACTACCACCACATGCCCTTGCCAAACTCAACGGGGACCAGTTGGAGGAATTGAACATCAGCAGAACCATCTTGATTGAAAACAAGGATACTCGCGGCGTGCTGGAAGAGGACCAAGCTACCAGACTCGCAAAAGCTCCAGTACCTGCTACAGCGGGCCCACCAACATTGACCCGTGTGACATCCGGAGGATCAGCACCGCATTATTCTTCTAGTAATACACAATATGGGCGTAACACGCCTACAGTACATAACAGTGCTCGTCCTGTGCAGGCGTCGACATCATACTTCCCCCAGCAACAGGCAGTTCATCGATCTCCTTCTGTCCAATACCCACGTTCGTCCACTGGGCCTCAGCCAAATTTCCAAACGCCAACCCCGACATTTGCTACCAATCCTCGGCCAGCTTACGCTGCCAACCATAACTATACGCAGCAGACACCTCGGGCAGCCCATGCATCAGCTCCTAATCAATACTACTCTCAATCTGCTTCCAGAGCGAGCAGCTACGGTGGCGCGGCTGCTTCACAATACTATGGCGCAACACCTCAAACGCAATCCCAAGCGCGGTACCCGCAACAGCAACAAAATGGTTTCTTTCCACCGCCACGCCCGCAAAATGTAGCACCTATGTATCCCAGTACTCCCAGCGGGCACGGACGCACCGCTTCTCCTCTCAAAGCTGCTCCTACCCCCAGCAACCCACAATCTTCTTATGGGTCACGCCCTCCTAGTGGGTTCGCTACCCCCATGCCCGGCGGGCCAATCCGCAATACATATTACCCAGCCAGCCAATTTGGTAACCCTCAACCACAGCCGCACACTCCTGCTGCTGCTTCCGCTGCCCCCCCTCACAACGCGACCATCACGCCGGGATACAATGCAAATCCTCAGCAATTGATATACAACCAACAGCAGGCACAAGCAGCAACTCAGCCACAAGCGAGATTGGCGGCACAAAATAGCTTTTCGTCCCGGCAGGGAAGTGGTACACCACAGCCAGGGCAAACGAACGGGCAGTTCCCGAATGGACAGTCCAACATAGGTTCAATGGCCACATAGCTTGCGAGTGATTTGGAATGATGTCGATGAGCATACACGTACTGTAGATGTGGTTCCTCGACAAGTAATGAGTAAAAGGGTGGGTACATAGGTAATAGGGATATGGAAGCGATACGAAGGTCAGGACAGCATACAGGGCGTTTGGCTGATGGCTAATTCATTCGGTAATAAGAGAACAGACGGATATGGATGCCTGCGTGGTTTGCGTTGGATACCATAGACTTGCTCCCTTTGGGAGCGCTCATTTCACTATCTTAAGACGTTTATCTAGCAGCAAGTATAAAAAACTAGCTTCATTTCTATCGATTGTGCTTTTGATGGCGACACTCTAACAAGGTGAGGTGAGGGCGCATGGGAGTGGCTAGAGCGTCGCTTACTTAATACACCACCCACCAACCTCGTCAAAATCCTCCAGAGGAACTCACTACTGCCCCTCCGTCGCACATTTAAGCCAACACACACACCATGGGCGCCCCTTTCGACTTTGCGCCCGAGCGGCCCGAACACATCGAGAGCATTCTCAATGGACTCGACCGATACAATCCCGAAACGACGGCCGTTTTCCAGGACTATGTCATGCAGCAGTGCGAAAGCCAGACGTATGACTGCTTTGCCAACCTGGCTTTGCTCAAACTGTACGTATGAGTATTGTTCCTTGATATTGAATCATCCATTATTTCATGATGAATAAACAACCACAACGTTTCCTATTACCTGAGGGGTCGGAGATTGAATCCCTCCGCCCGTTGAAGTTCGATTATTAGCTCTATCTGAAAAATTACGCCCTTCCCCATGTGTGTACAAGACGTATCAACAAAGAATCTCCGCTGACACGCATCTGTACTCCATAGATACCAGTTCAACCCTCACCTCAACCGGGATGAGACCATCACCAACATCCTCGTGAAAGCCCTCACCGTTTTCCCCAGCCCCGACTTTTCTCTTTGCTTGTCGCTCCTTCCCAGCCACACACTTGCCCCGCTCGGCAGCTCATCACATACCCCTGCTGCTGGCGACGCGCCGCTCTCAGAAGCTGTTCAAAAGCTCAACGAGCTCAAGAACCTGCTCGAGGGTGCTGATTACACCCAGTTTTGGGCGACCCTAGACTCGGACGATCTCTACGCCGACTTGGTTGCAGATGTATCTGGTTTCGAGGAGCTCATGCGTGTGCGCATCGCCGCTACAGTAAGCCAGGCCGTCCGTGAGGTTGAGCGGAGCATCTTAGAGAGCTGGCTGAATCTCGAGGGCAAGGAATTTGAGCACTTCGTTGGCACCGTATGTGGGTGGAACGTCGACGGAAACAAGATCAAGATACCTATCAACAAAGACAACGAGGCTAAGGGTACCGTTGTGAGAGAGAACGTCAAATTTGACCGTAAGCAGCAGATCTTCTCACGAAGACTGAAGTGACAGGAACTGACAAATCATACAGAATTCTCGAGGATAGTCAAGAGAGCTTATGAGCAGCCAGCATAAAGCATAGGCCCAGAACAAGCAGGAATGAGACACGATTGCACGGTTAGCATGTACGGATCGGATTAATCATTGGCGTTTGGAGAAGGTTGGGGATGGTGGTTCAAAATTCCATCTTGTTGCCTATCAGGACAGCGGTTAGGTTATCAAAGACGAAAGTGTGTCGCCCCCGGATAGACAAAAAACTCTGCATGCAAGTTCAGTCGCCCACGCGCGTTCGTCTCCCGGGAAGGCGAGCTGGAGCTGGGGGGAGAGTGTCCAGAAGGAAGATTAGTTCTTAGCAGAGCATCCCGTCGAAAATGTATACCCAACAACCCAAAATAGAATCCAACTCCCTTCTGTCGGTACAGCTGGGTTTCCAATGAAAGATCAATGCGCTGTATTTTCATGGCAGCCATATGCAAACGTATCAATCATGATCCAAGGAGCTTTAGGACGCACAGCTGTTCCCCTTCTAGCTGCCCATGTTCATCTTTACTCCTCATCACACACCCAAACAATGGAAATTCCCCCATAAGAACAGAAAACTGTTTGACGTATATACTCTTACTTCCCTCAGTTGCCATCCATACCTACCCACCCGTATGTCCTCGCCATGATCTCTCTCAGTCGAAGCGTCCTCGATCCAACACACAACTACAAACAACATAAGTCGATGAAAAGAATACCAGCCATTGCTGTTATTTCCACATATACAACTCCCCAGCATATCATAATATACTTGATTGCTCGAGGAGACATGTTAGCATCCCAAAGTGCCGTGCCTGCCATGAATTTGAGTGTTTTTAAATTACTGTAATTTCCCAGGGAAATCAGTCTGCAATGCAGTGTATTATTTTCTTATTTTATTTTTTGAATTGGGGTTTAGGTGATCCTACACACAGCGATGGGTTACAACGATAAAAGCACCAAGAAAAAAAACGAGCGATAACTAAAAAATGGAGAGGTGTATATGCTGCACCTTTTTCAAGATATGGGGTTTTTCCCTGATAGGATAGTTTCGTGCGGATAGCAAAGAAATAAAGCTTTTGGGAAGGTAGGTTAGGTGCATGTAGTAGATCCATCTATATATTGAGATATGAGGTGTGAGGTGTGAGGAGTCATCTGGTGGGGTCAGAGAAAGAGAAGTCGGGAAGGTAGGAGCAGAATGCGTTTACGTATTTACGCCAATCTACCAATACCAACAGAGAAAGATGAAAGGGGAAAAAAGAATGGCATGTCAAGTCAAGTCACTCATCTTCTTCTTCTTCTTTCACGGGTTATTGGACATGTCTGAGCAGATCGATGGACAGAGTGAACCGAACCCTTGTGCAGTTTTATTCTTATCCAATTAGACCTTTGAATAAATAATAGGGACGAAATTATCATTTCCCCCGTTCAAGTCCTTTTTCATATCATCTCTCGGAGTAGATGTTGATGCGAAACTAGTGAGGAACAAAGTAAAGTGAAGTGAAGTCAAACTTGATGTCCATCAAAAAAGCTTGGGTGAAGATTCTGGATAAACCCCCCCCCCTTTCATCCATTGCCCCAGTGTCCCCCCCTGTCAAAAAGACGTAAATAAAGCGCAGTATATGGGCGTCCACCAATACGGGCTTGGGGTAAAGGAAAGTCCAAAAGCTATACAAGATACACAGCTATCTCGTGTCTTTCCGCCAGAGAGCCCTACCCTAACCAGATCAAGAAGACTCCCTTCATCGCCCAGAATTGGATCAGGGTATGAAAAAACGCCATCGCTCGAGAAAACATGAATCGATAATGCCGCAACATGTCCATCCTGTCGTGCAGTAGAGGCCGTTCCAAAATCGAGCAGGATAGATTTCCGGGAATCTAAGAAAAAGAAAAATTGAATCCGGGGATGAAAAACATACAAAGCTGGGCAAGAAAGACAAGCACAGAATAAAGAATAGGGGTATACACAAGAAACAAAAGGAAAGAAAATTATAATTTATGCCAGCTTTACTGGAAGGCACCTCGAATCTTGGCGTAAAGCTCAGTGTCCAAGAAGTTGTAGTGCGGATCAGAAAAGCAGAATGGTGAGCGAAGCAATGTCTCTGCTGTGGGACGTTCGGCGGGATCACTAGGGATGTGTGTTAGTGTGAAGCCCAAGGCATCAGGATAATCCAAATCAACTTACATCGTGAAGCAGTCGTACATGAAACTCAGCCCTTCCACTCCGATGACGCGTGATACATCCTCTGGAATTGGTGGAGCTTGATTCAGGCTGCCCAGTTTGTAGATCACGCCGATAGCCTCTTCCTTGGACCATGGACGCTTCCCGGCGAACATCTCCAGCACCACACAACCGAGCGACCAGATATCGACCTTGGCGGAATAACCTTGGCCTTGTGAGCGAATCACCTCAGGCGCCATCCAGAAAACGGAACCTTGCATGCTGTTGGTGCTATCGTTTCCATAGATGTTGTCCGTCTTCTTCGAGATACCGAAATCGGAGATCTTGCAAGTTCCATCAAGATCCAATAGGATGTTGTCAGCTTTGAGATCGCGGTGCAGGATTCCCATCCTGTGTAAATAGGACAAGCCGCAAAGCGTCTGTCTCGTGAGTGAGCTGACCACGCTCTCCTCGAACTTTCCGTGCTTGCGAATACATGAGCCAACGGAACCACCGCTGATGTACTCCAAGAAGATAGAGATACTGTAATCTTTCTTCTCGCTACCAAGATATTGCACAATGTTCGGGTGGTCGAGGTCCTGCATAGTGATGATTTCCTGATCCAGGCTCTTCACTAGCTCCTTCATTTTGTCCTTGTCGGATCCGGCGGCTTTGGGGTTGACCTCGACTTGTTTCACGGCAATCAGCTCACCGGTAGTGATGTTCATACCGAGATAGACCCGCCCAAACGTTCCCTTTCCAATGAGCTGACCCTTCATCCATTTGAATGTTGGTTGACGTTGCGGTACTGTCAGAAGATCTTGAGGAATCGTCTCCAATTGAATCAATCTGGATCCTCTGGGGGGTTTCACTTGTTGTATGTTCGCATGGAACATCTTGGTCGATTTCCGCCGCACAATGTCTCCACTGTTGCGAAGTGTGGCTACCCGAGATGGACCTGCTGCAGGAATGACTTGACCTGGAAGCGGGTTCTTTTCGAGTGGTAGATATTGTGATTTCACAACGTCACGGATGGATTTGGTCCGTCCAAGGCCGCCTGACTTTCTGATGTTGCGCTTGGCGAACGACTGTACCGAATCCCTGTTGAAACTTGGGCCAGTAGTGCTGCTGAAGTCCCCAAAAGATGATCGTGGTGTAACGGATCGGGTATTGTCTGAGAAGTCGCTCACAAGATCGGTCGAAGCATCGGTTTCTGCCTCTTCTTCTTCGAGCATCGGCTGATCAAGGTTGACGTTGGGGAAAAGCTCGTCAAGATGTTCAACCAGTGCCTCAGCTGGTGGACGATTGGCCCAGACATCACTGGCAAAAGACTCACGACGTGAGAATTTGACATCGTCGGGAGAATCTGTTCTGGTAGATGCCGCTGACTCGGGATGGAATCCACGTGTATCATCAGTCTTCGCACTTTGCTCGCCTGACCGATCTACGTTCCTATCGAGGGAATTCTTCGAGCGAGATGTTTTGAGTGTGAGCGATGGGCGCTGGGTACGAGAATCGCTTGGTGTTGCAAGGCCGCTCATGGTGGAACCCATCGTCCCTGTTTTGTTGGCTATGGGCATGGCAAAAAGGCCCTCGTCGGACTCATCACCTGAATCATCCTCGTCGTGAATCGGCTCTTTGGAATGAAATGATACCCTCGCCTCTTCAAATTCGAGCTTGGGTCCCCACATGGATACCCGTGACGACTCACGCGAAAGTGTTGATGCCGGCGGGTGTGCTGAATGGGGGCTAACGTCGGGCGATTTCGTTCGGAATCCCTGTTCGTCCTTGAGTTTCGAAATCGTGGGATTTGGTGCGCTCGGCATTTTCAGTTTCAGGCTGGGTCTATCCAGGACGACATCATCGGGTATATCTTCCATATAGTCAGGAATCTTGAATGGCACGTTGCCTTTGCTCATTGTGAGGGACCCAGGACTGCGAGGTGACCCACCTGGACTATTCTTACCTGATCCAGACATGGAACCAAATCCACTGTCCTGCAGTACCCTCTGTGATGGTCGCACGCTCTCGGGTGCGGCTTCTCGGTGGTCGTCCTTGAGTGGCGGCTTTGGCGGTTTCTTGTTTGCAGCGCCCACCGAACTACCCACGGAACCAGCGCCAATGATGGCTGCTGCAATGCTCGAAAGGCCACCTGTCGGGCCTCGCGGTATTGCTTTGCACTTGGACAGTTCGCTTTCTGTCGATTTGCGCTTCGCCTGAGCCTCTTCGTCATCCGGCCATGAAGTGCGGTCTGTCTTGGACTTGTAAAGCGAGTTGGCTTTCTGCAGTGTGTTTGAATTGGCTGGTGCAGGTGGGGCTGTTCGGAGTGGCACCAAGGGTGGCAGCTGCTTGCTCTTCCTTCGCTCGTCGACAGTCTTCTTGGAATCGTCGTATGGCGATTCGCGAGGCTCGTCAAAGTCAATGATACCAGGGCTTCGGATCGCAAAATCTTTGTCTGTGGCCGAGTTGGGCGACTCTTTTCGGATCTTCTCCTGGCGAGATGCAAGGTAGGCCTGCTGCTTGCGTCTGTTTTGACGTTGATGTTCTTCGGCGGCGGCTTGAAGCATTTTCTGACGTTCATCCTCCGTAAGATCGTCGCCCACGGCCCATGATCGCTCCGGAGCTCTTGACGCCGCGTTGAGTCTTTCTGCTACAGCTTCAGGGGTGAGCTCGTTCTTCTCTGCTTGTTTGCGCAGAGCGGCAGCCTTGCTAGGCACAAGTGTGGATTCGCCAGATTTGCCGTCTGGGGAGTCCAATTGCGAGTCGGCGTTGAGACGAGCATAGGTAGCCTCGTCGATAGGTTTGCCCATCAGTGGCGGGAATGTTACTCCCAAACCGGCAGAAGGTGGCACTTGTGTCTCCTTGGGAAACTTGACAAATAGCTTGAGATCCCCTAGCCCATTTCCATGATGGGAACGGGCTTTGAGAAGTTTTGAATCAGAGAGAGGTTCATCATGCTCGTACTGCCCTGGGGAAGTCAAGTGAAATTGCACACCAGGGACTTGGCTTGAACCTGAATCCAGTGCCTCACATATAATCTCACGCAGAGCAGCAGCTGAAGACGCATTCGAAATATCCACAAGTCGGTAATTCCAGCCGTCTGGGGTTACAAAGGCGTATCTTCGATCGCTCTCCCTGGTCGAGGCTCCTCTTGCACGGCCCATGGTTCGATTCTCGGTATCGGCCTGAGCAGACCGTCTCGATGGCGGGCGATCGTTCAATGACGTCTCGCTAGAATTCATGCCAGACTTTCCAAAGATACCGCCATTCATGTGGCGGTGGCTGTGAGGACTGGTAGGGGATTCTATACTCATATTATCTGGCGAAGGGTAGCCATCGTCTCTCTTTCCCCCTTTACGCATGAACTTGGGCAGAAACCCTTTATGCTCTTTGGCGCTCGTAGGAATCTCTGCGCTGTCATGCCGTGACATACCTGTCCCGGGGCGCGAGCCGTCGTAGCCATTCCGCCTAGGCTCGTTACGGTTATCAGATATACCCGACGGTTGTCCAGCGCCTCCATGTATCGATCCAACTGTGCCAACAGTTGACAAGTTGGACTCGGAGCTGTTGTCACGATTATGACTGTAGTAACGGGGCGCAGACGTGCTTAATCCTGGGTTGTACTGTCCGCCGTTGGTTGCAAGTCGTGCCGAAGGTAGACCAGGGCTGTGTTGTGGACTTGATTGCCTCAAGGCGTCGCGATGGTTGGTGGTACCCAAGGACGATGGACCGAACTCCCCGGAAGCATTAGGACTGTGCCTCATGGGTTTTGAGTCGAGGTCCCTCAATACCTCTTTCGAATAGGCACTCCGGCCCGCGGATTCGGTATAATCGGGAGGTGGTCCTAAGCCGGGGACGGTGAAATTCCTTTGTGTAGACATACGGCGCCCAACAGTAGCAGAGGCTGGAGAGTTCATTGCCATCTGTCGCCCTGGACTCTCCTCGCCTCCGCCAGCCGTAGTAGGTGTTGCGCTAAATTCTACTTTGCCGTTCAAAAACGGCGAGTTTTCGAGTGTACCTTCGGTGCCTGCGCTGGGTATTGACATGCCTGTATCGGAACGTTGCGGTATGCGAGCGTTGCTTGAGCTTCCAGTCTCCACAATAGCGCGAACCAATCTGCGCAACTTTCGGCCTTCGTCTCTTTCTCTGTTCTGATCCCATCCTGTTCCGCTGGCAGTGCATTGCTTTGCCAATTGTGGAAATATAACTTGGTGTGTCATAGCAACGTTCCCCTTCCCGCCATGACCACGACCAATCTCTAAAAATCTTGCTCCCTCCAAGTCCAACGTTTTGAAAGTCTCCTGCCAATCTCTCGAAAACCCATTACTTGCCAACCACATTTGCACACGATCAGCAGGCCAAGCTGCGGCGGCGTCCTGAGGAGATATCGGGGTGGTGTTCTCATTGCGGTAGTAACTGCTGCCGTGAGTCTGAAGCATGGGATTTTGTAGAGTCGCCGTTGGCGGTCCAGAGGAATCAAACGTTTGAGACCGTTCGGTGGGAATATTGAGATGGCCGCGGTTAGCGGTCGCGTAAGTGGGGTTGGAGGTGTAATGATCCTGGGAAGGGAAACTAGTTACGGAAGTGTCAGTGTTGGCAGAGTAAGCATCTTCTCTGTAGTTGTATCCTCGTCCGCTGTGCAAGGGCGGAATGCCTACGCCGGGGCCAAAAGATCCGACCTCGGGAATGTAGGTCGCAGATGTCAGCGATGTCAGCGGTGGATTATCGACTTGCTGCTGCATAGGAGGCGGCGGTGGCAGTGGGGCATGTGTCATTTGCTGTTGATAGCCGTGATATGCGCTGGGGTTGTATCCACCGGGCTGCTGATACTGCCTTTGGCCACCCCAACCATAACCCTGTGGTGGAGGTGGCATTGGCATACCAGCCATATTGTTGGTATTGGTGGATCGCGGGGGCGGAGGAGGGAGGTTCATGGTTTGGTGGGCGGGGGTGGATGTGGGTTGAGGAGGCGGAGGGGGGATGTTGTACTGATGCATGGTGGGTTGTTGGCGATAGCTCTGCTGTCGCTGGAGAAGGTTTGGGTCGGCAACGGTATGAGCCCTGCCCCTTGGACTGGACGGATAAGGGCTGCCTGCTGACGGGGACAGCAGCGACGGGTAGGGAGAGTGTGAGCCAGCCGAGGGATGTAGGAGGGACGAGGGAGAAGGAGCCAGACTGGAGATGTCGTTGCGAGGGTCAGTCGGGGCCAGGTTTTGGCGATTCGCAGACAGAGGCGTAGGGGGACCTCGGCGATCCGAGGAATTGGAGATGTTGGACGAGGAACGCTGTCGCGAGGCAATTGTCATATCTGGGAATCGGACAGCGATGTGTGTTCGGGCTCTTCAGCGGGGTCGGGGCTGGGCATCACGACATAACGGGGACTCAGGTAGGATATCGAGGGTGCACACGAGGTGGTGACGAGTCGAGGGGAGAAGGGAGCTGTGTGAAGCTTCTCCGGGGCGCGGGGACGAGTGGTGGGGAGCTCGTTCAGGTGCGATGGGCTGCGGCGCGAGGATGAGGCAGGAGCTGCGGTCAGCCAGGCACTACCACCTGCTTAGCGTAGATGTGCAGGCGCGAAGTTGCAAGCAGAAAGGGATGCGCCACAGGCCCGGAGAGGAGAGGCCGGGGGGACACAGGGTGTAGAGGTGGGCAGGCGACAGGAGAAGAGAAGAGAAGAGAAGAGTGTAGTGTCCCTGGAGTTGGCAGGTAGTGAAGGATTATTGGCGGGCGGAGGAGGCTGATGGGATGAGGCAGCACGCAGGCCCGGGACAAGCACACGCCGACAAAGCAAGAGGAGGAGGACAGAAGGGCTAGCTACCGCGGCTGCGGGAGTGGTGAGTAAAGTGTCAAGGTGTGGATTTGGATTGATGATGGCGAAGGCGCAGAGAGGGAGAGTCGAGGAGACAGGCTGACGTGTGACAGATGATGTGGGTGAGTGAGTGAGTGAGCGAGTCGGTTCCCTTGGTCAACGACAGCAGCAGCAGCAGCCAGACTGCCTGGCGGAGTGATATGGAGAGTGGCTGCAGCTGCAACGAGATAATGGGACAGGCCTTCGCCAAAACAGCCCGCTTGGGCCAATCCGCCAGTCCAGCCCCAGCCCAACCGTCGAACAAAGCACACCAGGTACATACCTACATACTCAGGCACGTACATACGAGCCTAGCTTGTCGTAATCATCATCTTTTGTTCTCCCCTTGTTCCCTTGGTGCTCCTTGTTGCATTCAAAGACGTCTTCCTGCCTTCTCAACTACGCTGGTTTCCACCACTGAATGATGTTGTCATAACATCAATTGATCAATGTACCTGCATTGCTGAGTTCCCATGCCGGCACGCGACCTTTCTTTTACAGTGGCCATCTTTTACATCATCTCCATCACAGCCACAGCCGCAGTCTTTCAACCGTTATTGATCACCGCATCTTTCGACATACTAGTCTGAGTACATGTGTACATAGCCAGTGCTCACCCGTGGCGCTTTACCCAGGCTTTCCCGTCCTGTCGTCTCGTGTGGCTGAAGCCAACGTTTTGCATTCTGCTCGCCTGTCACTCGTGCTGAAACCACAAAAGCTCCCCTGCTCCCATTGGTCCATCCATTCCGAAACCATCATCGTTGATGAAAGCCAAAAGCCACATTCCTGATGATGAGGCGCGACACCCATGATTTGGAAACAAGAACCAGTGCGTGTGTGTTTGATAGATGGACATGGACATGGACATTTTGCTTTTAAAGATGGATATCCAACATCCATTGAGCGTGCAATACCAGGTTTCAAACCAAGGGCAAGAGTACTCAAGATGCCAGTCCCTGCCATGGCACTTAACTCTAATCCAGTGGCCAGTTTCGAATAATCGGCGGTAGCCATCCATGTCCCCGATCATTTTAATTTGTCAAACCCTTGGAAGACACTTTACCTCCGATCCAAATACCACGTGCCTGGTAGACATCTGCCACTTTGTTGAACCTTGCACAGTCTTCGTGCCCATTTCGTTTTGTCGTGACATGGGAGAGGAAGAGAAAAAAACTTCCTCATTGATCCCGGCTTCCAATCGTCAAGTGGCGCCATGCTGGAATCCCAACAGTCAGTACTTGAGCAGAATCAGGGCGCAAAATAACGCAGTACACCCAATCAAGAAAATTATATGGGTCGGGTGGTCTGGGCCAGGTTTTTTTATTTAGGGTTTATCTTTGCTACGTGGAGTGAGGGACACCGGAAAAGCTGCAAGTCGATTAGAAAGATGGATTCTTGCATGCACTAATCCATCGGCATCCGTGACTATGCGGTGCAGTCGGCCGACAAAGAAGACACACACACACACATGCGGAAACAGCTGTTGCTCCGATTCTCGCCTTGTGCCATCTCTGATCAAGCTTTTGCTGTGGCACATCATATGCGCTGTCCGCACCCACTGCAACGTTAGCATCGCGCGAGCATCCGTCACGCTAGGTGGACTGATATGCAAGTCCCTGACTAACCGATGCGAGTGCGTGGTTCCATCGTCATAGCCAGCATCACTCGACCCAACAAAATGATGTTTTCCTAACAAAGCCTCACTAATAATGGAACCTCACTTAAATAAGGGCCCTCTCCCTCGAGGCTTTCATCACACATCGTCACATCAGATTATCAGACACACATTCCGTCCAGCAATATGTCGCAAGACTTGAGGTCGCAAGAACTTACTAATGGCATCGATGTCGCTGAGGTGGGTGCTCTATAAACCTTCTGGAATCCTCACAGCGCTAACGTCAACCTCAGTACCTTTTCAGACGTCTGAAGCAAGTAGGCGTGGGCTCGGTTCACGGTGTGCCGGGCGACTACAACCTTGTTGCGCTCGATTACATCTCAAAGAATGGTTTGAAATGGGTTGGCAACTGCAACGAGTTGAATGCTGGTATGTCTGTTTACCATGCGCCCGGATTCTCCGGAAGCGGCCCTGTTTTGGATTGACAAAAACTTGAATCGTATCGTCTAACACATCATTCCAGGCTATGCTGCCGACGGCTACGCACGAGTCAATGGAGTCGCTGCTCTAGTCACTACCTTTGGCGTGGGCGAGCTCTCTGCCGTCAACGCAATCGCAGGATCCTACAGTGAATACGTCCCCGTCGTACACATTGTTGGATATCCTACCACTACAGCCCAAAAGGGAGGACTGCTACTTCACCACACGCTTGGAAATGGCGACTTTATGGTTTTCTCCAAAATGTCTGCACAGATTTCCTGCGCAGTATCCATGTTGAACGATCCCCACGAGGCCGCCGTCTTGATCGACAATGCAATCCGGGAATGTATCCTCCAGTCTCGCCCGGTCTACATTGGTCTCCCATCCGACTTGGTCACGAAAAAGGTCGACGGTGATCGTTTGAACAAACCACTCGACCTGGCATACCCGCCCAACGAGCCCGAAAAGGAGTCGTACGTGGTCGATGTCGTCCTCAAGTATCTCCACGAAGCCCGCAACCCGGTGATCTTAGTAGATGCCTGCGCCATCCGGCACCGCGCTCTCAAGGAAACCCACGACTTCATCGTCAAATCCGGCATCCCAGTATTCGTAGCCCCAATGGGCAAAGGCGCCGTCGACGAAACGCTCCCCAACTACGGCGGCGTCTACGCAGGAAACGGCAGCAACAAGGGCGTTCAGGAACGCGTCGAGTCGGCCGACCTCGTCCTCAGCATCGGCGCCATCAAATCCGACTTCAACACAGCCGGCTTCACGTACCGCATGTCACAGCTCAAAACAATTGACTTCCACAGCTACGGCGTCACGGTGCGCTACTCAGAGTACCCAGGCGTCCGCATGAACGGCGTCCTCTCCAAGGTGACCGAAAAACTGGGTCAACTCAACATCGAAAGCGGCCCGAACCCTACAAACGACATCCCGCACGCCCAACTGCAAACCTCGGAACCCACAATCACGCAAGCGTGGTTCTGGCCGCGCCTGGGCCAGTGGCTCAAGCCAAACGACATCGTCATCACCGAGACCGGCACCTCCAACTTCGGCATCTGGGAAACGCGGTTCCCGAGAGACGTCACGGCCATCTCGCAGGTGCTCTGGGGCAGCATCGGCTACGCAACGGGCGCATGCCAGGGCGCGGCGCTCGCGGCAAAAGAGCAGGCCACGAGCAAACGCACCATCCTCTTCACGGGAGACGGCTCGTTCCAGCTCACGGCGCAGGAGCTGAGCACCATGATCCGCCAGAAACTCAACCCCATCATCTTCGTGCTGTGCAACAGCGGGTATACGATTGAGCGGTTGATCCACGGCATGCAGGATCCGTACAACGATGTGCAGGAGTGGAAGTACAAGGAGCTCCCCGCGGCGTTTGGCGGGAAAGAAGGCGACGACGTGTTGACGTATCGGGTCGAGACCAAGGAGGAGGTTGAGAAGCTGTTCGCGGATGAGGTGTTTGTGAGCGAGGAGACGAAGCAGTTGAGGTTTGTCGAGTTGGTTATGCCGTGGGATGATGCGCCCGAGGCGTTGAAGCAGGTTGCGGCGAGTGCGGCGAAGAGGAACGTGTGATTTTACTCTTCGAGTTCTTTTCTTTGGTCTGGATTTTTCTCTACTCTTCTGGGATATATATGGAACGATAGAGGTGGGAGGTGAGTACCTGGGTAATGATTGGACTAGATGAGCGTAGATAATTGGGGTGGGGTTCTGGGTCTTGACGACGTTATGATGAATGCAGCTCTCTCTCTCTCTCTCTCTCCTAATATGACAATTCAGTGCACATTGAGATGGGCAGAATGCAAAGGAAAAGAACGAAAATGACAATTAATAGTCAAGCCTACTTTCCACACAATGTTCACTTCTTCGTCATGCATATAACAGCGACGGCTAACAGGTAAAACAACACTCACCTGTCTACCTTTCCTTCCATCCTTCCCATAGACGATGAAATCAAGTATTCACTTACACAAGATATACCCCTTTCTTCCACATATCCATCACACAAAACCAAGCCAAAACACCCAGTCACCCAATCCACAGAAGCTCAAACAAGGAAAGCGGGACGAGCAAACCATCACCAACCCCCTCCAAAGACAACTGTACGCAGTATAATCCCTAATTTAGAAAATGTACGCTATTTCCTCTGGATCCGCTGAAGTATCTGGGCTGAGCTGAACAGAGCTGAGGTGAGGCAGGAGGAGGGGCTGGTGTGAAACGTTTGAGAGTGCCATATCACACTGTGTGTGCGGTTGCAGGTTAGCCTACACGAGAACGTCACAGCGAGGAAGAGCGAGGTTAGGCAAGGGAGGAATGCGAGAAGTACGAGGTGCTGAAACGAAAAGGGAAGAACAAAAGGCGAGAAGAATAGGCAAAGTAGGTATGTATGGAGGAACGGAGCTGTGTGGAGAGACAATCAGGTGACGCGGTAAGAAGAGTAACGATTTCTTCGAGCGAAGGAGGTGTACTCGGGAGATTTGAGAGACCCGTGCAAACCATGAGCAGTGTACTTGATGGTGTGTGTAGAGTCGGAGTATTGTGAGCTGAGGGCAGTCGAACAGAAGAAAGAAAGAAAAAAAAGCGAGCCAAAATCATAACAGGTTCCGAAAACAGAAATAACGCGAACACGTACGAACTGATAAGAGAAAGAAAAAGTCAGATCTGTTCGAATCAAACTGCAAGAAGAGAAAAATACGAGCAAACGCTGACTTGCTTACTTGCTGCCGAGCATGAGCATGAGCAGCAGCAGCAGCAGCTCCTACGCGGGACCAAAACACAGTTACCTAACAGCCGCCGTACAGCGACACCAGCGACGGAAATGAAGTCTTGCCTTGTTCTTTTATTCAAAGTCCGATTACCCGGAAAGGGCTAGAAAGGGCGTAGTATGTAAGCTGAGCCAGCAAGCGGCGAGTACGGCAACATACGATGGGTCGGTCACCAGCTGATGATGGAAAGGGAGAAAAGAGGAATATTAACGAAATAAGCATGGACCTTTGTTATTTGTTTTGGAGCCAGGCATATGCACGGCACCGCGAGTGCACGGTAGGGCAAGTGCTGAGTGGTAAATCACAGTAGGGTTGTGGAGTCCGGATCACGCTGCACAGCCACGATGAATGGACAGGGGAAGGGGAGGTTCTGTGCATATGTGGGGTCGGAAAGAATGATGACGAACGGAGGAAGGATTGAGGGTAGTTTTTTTTTTGGGTGGCAGAACAGGATCAAGAGAAATAAGAAAGAGATGTGATCGATGAGACTGAAGATCGGCCAGTCTGCTTTGGATTCTAGATGGATTCTGAAGTGGACTAGGAGATTGGCATGTGGTGGTGAAGAAGGTGGGAAGGCTTATGTGAGATGGGAGTTCTTTTTTTGGTTTCTCTTCTTCTTTGTCCCCAATCTCATCCTGCGAGATCAGTAGAGGCGTAGTAGGTGGATACTCGGGCGTTTGTTCCAGTTCCGTGGCACTGTACGTGTATGCACAATTCTGGACGGTGTTGCTCGGAAGTATGGCATCGGGAATAAAGAGAGCAGAGTGGAGTGGTAGTGGAGTTGACGAGCCTATTGATGGTAAATGAAGGCTGCTTTGTCAGTGGCCGCGTACGCCAGATACTAATTGCAGAAACAAATGGGGGCGTTGGGGTAGTGTGCGAGCTTGGAGATGAAGCGGAAGAGATGGTGCTGGGAGCTTCCCTTGATCAAGTACTTGTACAACATGGCAGTTGGCAGCAGCAGCAGCAGCAGCAGCAATAGCAGCAATAGCAGAAGCAGCGACTGTAGCAAATAGAGGTCTGGCTGGTGGATTGGATTGGGTGGATTGCTTGTTTCAAAAAGCAGGGGGATGAAACGGATGGACATTTTGGGGTGGTGGATCAGCGGCCGGCACAGGGCCCGGGCAATGATCGGCAGAGACAAGCTCATTGGGGCAGTGGAGTAGAGCAGACGGTTAAGCGATGCAAGCAATGGCAAGATGGATGATGGATGGATGGAAGGGTAGTTGGTGTGGCTGGGGTCGGTAGATGGTACCTGGGAGTTGATTGAATCAGGGAGTGGTGGAGTGATGGTCATGAGCGGCGACGACAACGTAGAGTCGTAGACACTGTAAGTGCTTGGGTAAGCAGCGCGAGAAGAAAATAGGAAGGGGAAGGAAAGAAGGACTGGCTGCAGGGTGCCATTGCCTTCACTCTCCGTCGCTCCTGCCTGCGCTTGATGCATGCGTGCACGCATGTTACGGCATGTACAGCTGCGGCGCTAAGCCGCATGGGCAAGCTACGCAGGAGGAGATTGACAGGGTACACGAACTCCGATAGGAAACGAAACAACCCTCTAGACACACTCACCACTCACCACCCACTCGCTTGTTTGCCTGCGGACAGGAACCTACGGATACATGCTGCATGCACACTCAACAGCGATATCGAGCATCCATGGGGCGACGCCGTTGTTGATTCCATGCTGTCGACAGCCAGCCATCTCCTCTGGGGCCCTCCCTATGTGTATACGCCCTTCTCCGACCTCCGCGATACAATAGGTACCTGCCTGCATACGTACCTGCATGACCTAACCGACGGCTAGTAAATGGCAAATGCCTATTGTGATGCTCATCAGTCTCTGTCCATCACTTCATCCACTCCATTCATGCATGCATGCGTCGTCGCGGGACACCAGGAAACACCTGACTTACTGGCCAGCCGGCTAGCCAATTCACCACCACGACGACGGCATTATTGGCCCGCGATTCAAAATCAATGGTTTCCCCCCCCCCTCCAGATGAGGCATCACGGCTGCCAGACCCTCGTGGGCCATGAATCGGCTCCCTCACCAATGGCTCTGCCGCCGCCTGCGCATCCGGCCTAGCAGCACGCTTGGCTCAGGGGGCTGCCTCAATCGAGCTTCCCTCCCATGCACGTCCGGCCAGACACATCCACCTTTGGCCATGCTCAATCCCCACCCCGTATCCACCCATGTCGCTACCGTCCACCGCGACGCTTCCCAGGCGCCCAATCGCCGCCCTCCAGCCCGTGCGAGCTGCTGCGATGCCTTCGCCATACCTAGCCAACCCCGAGCTGACCACAAATAGCGCCCTATATCACCCTGACCCGCCCGCCCCTGCGCCTGCCATGCCCTCCTCCATCTTAATCCTCTTCCTCCTCTTGTCCAAGTGAGGTTGTTTCTTTTCCTTTTTGCACCTGTTGCTTTCCAGACCGAGGACCACATCCGACGTCGTTCCGCTCTTTTCCAGCAAAAAACACCAACCGCTTAATACTACTAGTAGTTGTACATTCGCTCACATTCGTTTGAACCCGTTATACCTTTTCGACGCAAGTCGATCCATCTTCAAGTCATGGCCGCTTTCAGCAAGCCCAGCGGCATGATGGGCATGTTGCTCACTGTCCTCGTCGTTCTCCAGACCGTCACTGCCTCCCACGGCCACATGCACATGCACCTTATCCACCGCTCTCCCGAGGCCGCTCTCGAGGTGCGTCAGAGCAACAGCAACGTTGCCACCAAGGGTGCCTCGGATGGCACTGCCCACGCCCGTCTGGAAATCCGCGAGCTCCAGAAGAACGAGGACCAGTTCAATCTGTACTTGCTCGCCATGGAGACCTTCATGGCCAAGCCCAAGACCGACCCCCAGTCTTACTACCAGATCTCTGGTGAGTAGCAAATGCATGCCAGCTCCCCACCTCTTCACCACCGCTAACTCGCATCGTAGGTATCCACGGTCGTCCCTTTGTGCCATGGAACGAGCCCAACATGAAGAACCCTGGCCTCGGCTACTGCCCTCACCGTAATGTTCTCTTCGGTACCTGGCACAGGCCCTTCCTTGCCCTCTACGAGCAAGCTTTGTACGCCTGTGCCCAGGAAGTCGTCAACGGCTTCTCCTCGGGCGACCGCCAAAAGTACGAGAGGGCTCTCGACGGTTTCCGCATGCCCTACTTCGATTGGGCTCAGGAACCCACCGTCAGCGGCGAGCACATTCCCAAGTTCATCCGGGACGAGAACATCTCTGTCACCAAGCCCAGCGGAAAGGTCACCATCAAGAACCCCCTCTACTCATACAGCTTCGGTAACTCCCTCCCGTCCGAGTTCGGCTGGGGCCCTGCCAACGGATTCCCTGCCACTCTCCGTAACCCTGGATCCGGCACCACCAGCAACAACGATGCTGTCAACACCGCTTTCGGTCGTGCCCGCGTCGGCTGGCGCCAGCGTGTTTACGCTCTTTTCGCTACCAAGGGTGACTGGGGCCGTATCAGCTCTTCTCAGTTTGGTTTGGCCACCGGCCGCCAGAACACGGACAGTTACGAGGCTGTCCACGACGAGATCCACAGCACCGTTGGTGGTTCCAATGGTCACATGTCCTACCTCGATGTTGCTGCCTTCGATCCCCTCTTCTGGCTTCACCACACCAACATTGACCGCTACCTTTCCATGCACCAGCTTCTCTCCCCCAGGTCTTTCGTTGCCAGCGGATCCATGGACTCCAACACCGCCCAGTGGAGCCAAGGTGAGATGAAGGATGCCAACTCTCCCTTGAAGCCTTTCATGAAGGATACCTCTGGTGCCTTCTACACCAGCTCCGACGTCAGGGAGACCCGCACTCTTGGTTACTTCTACAAGGAGACCGAGAGCAAGGATGTCAACGATGTGATCAACGCCATCAACAAGCTTTACGGCCTTGGCGAGAAGGGTATGGATCTCGACCAATCCTCGAGCTCCTCGTCCGCCTCCTCGTCATCCACTCGCGCTTCGTCTTCTGCCTCGTCTTCCGCTTCCTCTTCTCGTGGAGCCTCGTCTTCTAGTTCCGCTGTGTCCTCTTCTGGCCGTGCTTCTAGCTCCGCTGTGTCCTCTTCTGGCTCTGCGTCCAGCTCTTCCGCTCCTGGTGCTTCCGGCTCTGCCTCGGGATCTGCCTCTGCTTCTGCCTCTGGCTCGGCCTCTGGCTCGGCCTCTGGCTCGTCCCGCCCTGGCGCTTCCTCCACTGGAGGAGCTTCTTCCAGCCGCGGCTCCAGCGCTTCTTCCACTGGTGGCTCTGGTGGTTCTGGTGGCAGCACCAGGCCTACAGACCTCCCTGGAAGGCCTGGTAGCGGAAGCGGCAATGCCAACACTGGCGACAAGCCCTTCCCTGGTCGTCCCTTCAAGAACGGTGATTACGACACCGTTCTGTCCGTTGTTGGAGACAAGTACGCTTTCCCCGGTTCTTGCAAGGTCTTCTGCTTCCTCGGTGGCAAGCAACCTGCTGATGGCAACAAAAACAACTCTACTGGCAACAGCACTCTCCCTAGCACTCGCCCCGGCAACTCCACCAGCCCCAGGCCTTCTACTCCTGCTCCCGTCACCAACCTCACTGGCTCAGACTACTACACTGACCCCAACTACGTTGGATCCCACACTTTCTTGGGTGCCTCCGTCGCCAAGACCAACGCTACATCGCCTCTTCTCGTCGAGGGTTCCATCCCGCTTACTGCTTGCCTTCAGGGTAAGGTTGAGTCTGGCGAGCTCAAGTCTCTCCACCCTGACGATGTTGAGCCTTACCTTGCCGCAAACCTTCACTACAAGGTGGTCGCTCCTAACGGCGAAGAGCTTGACGCCGACAAGGTGCCCAATTTCCACGCCAAGGTTAAGTCTTGCGAGGTTACTCCTGCTCCTGAGGGTCAACTCCCCACTTTCCACGAGTACATTGACTTGCCCCGCGTCAACATCCCCGCTTCTGCCCCATGGACTCCTCCCGCTCCTCCCGCCACGATCCCCTCGTCCGGATCCCCCTCTTCGCCCATTGGCTCTGCGCCGATGCCTTGGGACGAGCCCGGCTACTGTGTCAGCAAGCAGACCATCAAGTACGTTGACACCGACGGCAAGTTCTTGTACGAGGAGACCTACTAGGTTGATGGCCTCGAAGTGATGGGAAAGCAAGCAGGAAAAGAGAGTGGATATTCGGAAAGGATGAAGTAGTGGTTGTCGTATTAATGGATGATGTGTGGTCTTGTATATCCTTTTTCTTCTTGGAAATGTCAAGTCCTTGTATATTTCAAAGAGGGATCTGTGTACATTGGAACGAACTATTTCTTTTCGACCTTGTTTTTAGAATCCTGGGAACAATCATCATGCCGGTTTTTATTTCCTGGGGCATCTCATCATCATCTCTATCTCCTTTTTTATGTTTATACCTTACTTTTTTTTGTTCCATCTTTGTGGCGCCCTATGATATTCCCGCTATTCGTTTTTTTAATGCTGTTTACTCTCGTGACTACCTAGAATATTTCACTACTCTGGTGATGAGTTCTTGTTCACCTAGTCGTGATGTTGTTCAATGCATTTACGTAACATTGTAGGTGTCGAGTTGTGATGCACCTAGCCATTTTATAGTTGCACGTACCCATCTACATGGTGCACGTAGGACACACGTACCATACCCCACACCCTGTCACGCACACACATATACACACGTGTTATTTTTGGCGTAACATTGCACCGCCTTCAGAGGTTCCCTCTCAGCCCTATCGTTTCCGTCCAGCTACGAGTAGTTTACACAAAAAGGGGGCAAGAGGTGGTACAGCTTCACTGCTGCGTCACGCGGCTGCCCAGGTGTGTACATCAAAACGCCGGTTCCATGCTCAACAGCACGTCCTACCTACCTAATCCAGGAGGTGAGATGGAAAAGTGTCCAAGACAGATGGATAAAAGAGCGGCATTGCATGGTGCCACTTACATGTCATGTGGGTTTGGTAGGGCTGCATGATTCTTTTTTTTTCCTGGGGAAGCAGGGGGTGTGTTGTGTGGTACACTGAACGTGGCAAGGGGATACAAAGGAAGATGGTTATATAGACATTAGTTGATTGTGTGCTTTTATGATATATGGTCTGCTTGAACGCCCCTTTTTTGTAACTTTTCGTTTTCCTCTCTATGCTCATGCTCAAGGATCGTCTATATGCATTAGATGTAAAGTTGGATATCCAAAGACGCAGCTTTTCTTCATAGTCGTAACATCGTCAATAGAGGCATAGCTGCTTCTCGAGTTTGGTATCATCGCTTAGGCCATGACCCAAAAACAGCCCTCTCTTCTACTTCGCCTAGCCATTATCTCTTCTTCCCCTTCTTGCCTCCACCACCACCGCCACCAGACTTCGTCACAGTAATAGGAGCCGCATGCTTGAAGTCCTTGATATGCTGAAACAACTGCGTTTTGGAGGAAAACCCAGCGTTGCACGTCGCGCACTTGTGACTCGAAGAAGGGTCACTGTTACCCTCGGCGGCAGCAGCAGCAGCTTTCTTGGCGCGCTTCTTTGCCGCAGCGCCGAGTTTCTTGCCCGCTGGTTCCCCTGGAGGTGCAGCTGCATTGTCGGGGATAGTGGTGTCCTTATGGGCTTCGTTATCATCGTTGTGGATGTCCGGTGCATCTGTGGCTTTCCGGTAGCCAGCCAGACGGGCCTCGATGTCGGCACGGGAGGCATATTCGTCATCATCGTCGTCTGTAGAGGAGTTATTGGTTTCTGAGGAGGCGGGAATGGCGTTTCCTGTTGTAGGGCCGGCGGTGGAAGATTCGGGGTTCGTGTTGTCTGTACTTTCGTCTGTGTTTTCGTCCTGTTCGATTCGGACTGCATCGAGATTGTCTGCAATTTCATCTATTGGTGGTGATACCTCGTCATCAGTTGCTACCTCTTCGTCCGCTGATATTTGTGTCGTTGTGCCATCGTCGGGCGCAGGATCATCGGGGAGATTGAGGCGTGCATTATCCTTTTGCATTTGTCGTTTGAGCGCCTGGATGGCTTTTTGGTGTTTCTTGCTCTTTTCGTGGGCGTCGTATTGACGCTCGCTCTTGAAAGTCTTGTGGCATGCCACGCACTCGTATAGATCCTCCTCCACTTCCTCTTCGGATTCTTCCTCAAGCTCATCCGGGTCTCTTGCTTTGCTCCAATCTGGAACAGCGTCTTCTTGCTCACTCTTCATCTTGGCTGCGTTTGCAGCTCGCGCTTTAGCGGCTCGTGCCTTGTTCGCCTCCCGCTGTGCCTTTGCAGCTTCTTCGGGGGACTTGGTGTCCGGGGTATAGCGCGGATCTCGCTTTCGCACAAATGCCACGAGAGTGCGTACAGCGTCGTTGAACGCTCGAATTCCATCATCGCGGAACTTTTTGTTCTCCTTCTCCATCAAGCGGCGCATGCGTCGATCGGTAGCATCTGATGTGCGGTACATGTCCATCCAGGCAAACGTCTTCACAGTAGCAAAACCGTTCCATATGGCGTAGAAATCACGGACAACGTCCTCGTGGGTATCATCCTTGTGGCCAAAAGAAGGGTAGTCGGGGATGGAAACGCGCTCGTAGTCGGCCGCATGCGCTTCTTCCCGTGCCAACTGCTCAAACGTCTCGCGCACGAAACCGAAGAAGCCGTTGGGCGAGTCGGAAAAGTCGACACTTCCCCTAAATCTGCCCATCATGCGCGAGATTTCGTCGGCGGTGGTAACGCGCATATTGTATTCGTAGTGCTCGTCGCCCCCGCCGCCTTCGGCGCCACGAAGTATGTCCCCCTCGTGGGCATCGTACCATGCACGTTCCTGCGGATCTGAGAGAACCTGGTAGGCAGATTGGATTTCGGCGAATAAGGCGGTGGTGCGGTCGGTGTCGCCGAAGTTGCGATCGGGGTGGAGTTCGAGGGCCTTTCGGCGATATGCTTTTTTGATCCTACGTCGTACGTGTGAATACGCCGCATAGATGATGAAAAGAAGAAATTGAATCGTGCAGCAGCATCAGGCTCTCAGAAGACTTACTCATCTTCGGTGGCGATTCTTTCCACGCCCAAGAGCTCATAGTAGCTCGTCTTGACTACTTCTTGGGCGCTTGCAGCCCCCGCGCCGGCGGTCGACTGTTGGGCGCCCATGGTAGTTTTCTGCGACTAGAAGGATTCGCTCGAGATTGCGTGAGATGGAGCGAAGGGAGTTATGGGCGAGAAAAAAAAAGGTAGTCACGAGCAGTGCTGGGAAGGAGCGGGTGTTGTTGCTGAGGTAGGCAGGGACGGAGGGGTAGAAGTGGCAGGCAGTAAATAAATAATTGAGTGACGATTGTTTTGGCGGGGGACGGAAGCGACTAGTCAGAATGATTCACAGGCGCTAGTGGCCCCAGGGACAGGGCTGATGCAGCACGTGTGTACGACCCGGATTCGGTTTGAACATTGAACGTTCCAATGTTGATCCCCACGTGCGATCCATTCGAGTTTTGACATGGCGCACATGCAAGACAGGTGTATATAATGGGCGCTTGAGTCGAGCTGGTTCGGCGGTGATCGGACAGTCCGGCGGTGTTTGTGAATCATACTAGGAGAAAAAAACTGTCGGTAGCGGAAGCAAAGTGAAAAAGGAGAAAAGCGGGAGACGGGTATATAATCGGAGAGGACTGCTCACTCTACAGGACATATGCCTCGTGATGAATGAGCAGGTCTTGTGGTACCAACATTTGAAGTCCCTTCAGCAACTCGTGGAACCATTGCTCGCACAATACCCTCTATACCCTCTCGTCTTCCCCAGTCGACCCCGGATTTGACCCCACCGGTCGCGCTGGAGTAACAGCACCAGCCACACATCGCGCGTCCCACGTCCCGACCACTGCTCCCAGCGTACCTGCATGCGCTCAACATTGCTTGCATACGTTATCGGCTTCATGTGTGTATTGCGCAAGCCAGCCAACATCGCCAACCACCATCGCCGTCGTGCCGAGCGCACATGCGACGTCATCTCCCACCGTCCAATCAACTTCTCGCTTCAGCCCACGTGCAAAATTTGAACTGCGCGAGCTCCATCCCGAATCCGCTACATTCGCTATCATGAAGTGGGGGCAAGCTTTCAAGACGGCTCTTCGAAATGAAGGCTTTCCGCCCGAATGGATCGAATCCGCCATCTCATATAGTCAGCTCAAGAAATGCATCAACAGGTTGACCGAGGAGCTCAAGCAGATGGGCTTGGACCCCGCCACCCTGGGCAAACTGCTCAAGCATGTCGAGGACTACAACGCCTCGACCCAGACCGATCTGAACCATAGGCCCTTCGAATACATCCTTTCCGATGGCTCCGACTCCAAGAAGACCTTCCATCCCAAACTGCTCTTTTACGTCGATGAAGCCACAGGCGGTCTGCACGGCGCAGCCCTCGATGCTGAAACTAGAGAGAAACTGCAGATGCTGGCTCTCGAGACTGGCATCTCCGATTTGAAAGTCGTCCAAGTTCCTGACCATGGAGTCCTTGAAGAGCCCGTGCCAGTCGACTCTCCTCAATCAGAACAAACAAACATGTCCCACTCTCCGCGTCCTGCATTCCGTACCGTTGAAATCCCACTCACGTCTGACACCGAATTCTTCACTACGCTAACCAAGCAACTCTCGGGCCTCGAGGCGCTGGAAAGCAAAGAAGAGAAGAGGATGCACAATGAGATTGAACATCTTGGGAGGCAGATCGCCCGTTTGACAGATCCCGACCGGAAAGCCAATAAAAAATTACTTGCCGTATGGCGCCAGATCTTTCAAACATATGTCGAACAGGATATTTTCTTCGGCGCTACCGAGCGAGATCACGCCGCACGTGATGCCGCCAAAGCCACTCTGCGCTTCGAGGAATTCTGCACCAAGATCGCTCAGACGGGACTTGTGGACAAGATCAGAAAGAAAGAGGGTGCGCAGGCCCTCAACATGTTTATGCACATCAATCGTGAGATTCTCCAAGGCCTGCGTTTTGGGGAAATCAATCACACTGCCATGACCAAGATCTTGAAAAGTAAGTCCAACAACAACCTATATCCATGTCCATGGCCTCATTCTTACTCCATCTATAGAATTCGACAAGCGCACTGCCCTCGGTGTCAAATCTACTGTTCCGTCCACCATCTCGTACCCCCAATTCTCCCAACAACTCGCCAAAGCCGTCTGTGCAGAGGTCAACACACAGATCCTTTCCCACGTTCCACAGTTCGATGACTACAGTTGCCCCATGTGTATGGACTTGAAGTGGAGACCCGTGAAACTAGCGTGTGGGCACACTTTCTGCATCAGGTGCCTCATAGTCATGCAGACAAATAAGCAGAACCGCTGTCCGCTTTGCAGAGAAATCACGGTATCTGGGGCGAATTCCGGTAACTAACTCCACTGCCTCTAGGCTTCAACTATCTGACGTCACTAACCTTCCACGCAGATAATTTGGATGAGGAACTTGCCGCTTTCCTCAAGAAGTGGTTTCCAGAGGAGGTAAAAGCAAAGCAGAACTACAACGAGCTTATGGCGGGTGTCGATGCATACGGCGAAGTTTACACCAGGGAGAAATGCATCGTCATGTGATTTCGATGCAAATCATGCGTTCCGTTTTACGTAAAGCTTTTCGAGGATTGCCTGTTGAGCTTCAGGGCCGTTCCTTGTGGAGAGGCGGTGGTGGTGATGTAGCATCGTGTTATTATGGGTGGCTTTTTCTTCTCTTCCTTCATTTCAAGATACCCTGCTGCACAGCCGGCATGCAATTAGGCCCATTTCTCATGCTGTTTCTATTTCAAGGGCCGCTGTACAAATTTAGCTTCTTTCTAAAACAACTTTGACAACCTGCCATCCGGCTAGCGTGACCCGAAGGCAATCTTCACATCCGCGCATTGAAGACGTGTAATTGGAAAGATGGTCTGGTTACGCATCAGCTACAGTAGCATTTCTCAGCCACTAGAGTATTTCTTAAGGTGCGGCTGGACGGTAAAAGGCACCAGCTCATCGCTAGACTATACGGTCTGAGTGCATGCGCCTTCTCAGCTTCCCCGCGCCTTTGCCTTTCCTTCGCTTTCAGTAGCAGAACACGAAGGCAGGTTGTGCAGAGGGCAGTGCTGAGACTTTTTTTTATCCGTTTTCTCGAGTCTCTCGGGAAGCATCCGAGAACTCGTTGGCTTGTGACTACAATAAGGACTGCCACAAGGTGGCGTAGCCGGCTACACGATGCCGTCAGCAGTTACTACTCAGCATCATCAGCCGGGAACAAAACTTCCCGCTGCGTTTTCAAGATGGCTTGGTGTATTTAGCTGACTCTCAAGATATATACAGACTCTTCTGGAATTGTAGTAAATATAAAAGCTAGAAGATATCATGGGGGAAAGCATCTCATATTCACCTTCATACTCAACAACTACAATCCGATCTTCGCATCACAACCAAGCTATCTTCGCATTTTAGAAAATCTTCTTGATACCAAGACAAATCGTCTATCAATCATAACCCCTAATCACATACCCTACCAAACCATAACTACCCCAAAACTCAAAATGGTCGCATACACTTCTCTCTTCACCGCCGCCACCATCCTCGGCCTCACAACCGCCGCCCCCCAAACCATCCGCTCAACTGGCGTCGTGCACCGCATCTTCGCCGGCTCGACCGTCGAGAACGGCGGTCTCCACTTTGAGCCTCAAAACGTCGTTGCCGAAGTAGGCGACCTCATCCAATTCCACTTCCTCGCCAAGGTCAGTCCAACCCTTCCCCCTTTCCTTCCTATACCATCAATCCAACGCCAATATCAATATACTCACACACTCCATTACAGAACCACTCCGTAACGCAATCCTCCTTCGACAAGCCCTGCGAGCCGCTCGACACGGGGAAAGGCGTCTTCTCGGGCTTCAACTTCCGCACCGACGCCGGCGAGGCGGCGAATGTGTTTGAATTCACTGTGCAGAACAAAGACCCCTTTTGGTACTACTGTAGCCAGCCCAATGGTGATCATTGCCAAAAGGGTATGAGCGGTGTCATTAACCAGATTTTCGATGGCGCGAAGACGTTGGCGGCGTACAAGGAGAAGGCGAAGACGGCCGTGACCAAGCAGCCTTCTGCTGATATTTTGGCTAGCCAGGGGGGTGTTATTGTGCCCAATAAGCCTTTGTAGATCGGGTTTGAAGGTGGAGAGTGAGGTTTTGGTGTTGGTTTTTTTGGTAATGTTGTTGCATAGCTTGGACGTTTGGGGTGTGTGATTTGGTCTTTTTTGAGTATATGGTATTTGATCATCCTTGGAGGGAGTTTTTTGAGACGGTCCTTTTGAGCGATTGTGCTCCTTGTCCATATTGATTGGTTTTCTTATACTTGATTAGACATTGCTCGCTGGTATTAGAGTTAGCATTAATATCGATTATATATGATATACCACGAGTGTTCGAGCTACTTATGTAGTTCATTTATGTTACTTCGGGTATTACTAACATCCGATTTCTCCATGTTGGAGCTTAGGTTGCATTATTCTTGGTTAGTGGTATTCTTCAAGGTACGTACACTGCCGCATATGTAAATTTGACATAACGAAAGAATGTATATAGCTTCGTGTTATGTTGGGTCAAGCACGCCATTCGATGGTCGTGTTGGGCAATCGCAAAGCTCTGAAGCTTTAAAGACCGTCAACCTCGCCGCATCGATGAACTACCCCTCTTTCCACAGGACCACTTTCTAGTCGAAACAATTTGCCCGCGAAATCACATAATCACGTTTTAGCATGACGAAAAGAGTGTACCAAAAACAGTAACATATCGACCGAATGGCAAAATCAAAACCCGCAAAAACCGGTCCTGTTGGACAACCAGATATTGGTTACACACCTGACTACAAGAAATACCTCGCGCGCAAACAGCGCCGCCTAGAAACCGAAACACTCGAGAAGGAGCTCCCGTCAGGCTTTCCAAAGAGACTCGAATCGAACCTGGTGTGGGACAACATAGACATCGCCTCTCGCTACGACTGGACGCTGCAATTGTCGCCAGATGACCTTCAAGAGCTCCAAACAGCGCTGCGGCACTTTCAAGGCCTCGGTAAACCACCGGGTTATGTGAGCCAGGAAACCTTCCCCTTGGATAAGCTTCATTCCAAGTTACGAGAGGTTTCCACAGAGATTCACGATGGATTTGGCTTCAAAGTTGTGCGCGGTCTTCCGATTGACAAGTACACCCGGGAGGAAGCGTTGGTTGTTTATGCGGGCCTCGCATCTCACGTTGCTCCCACTCGGGGACGTCAAGACCACAAGTGGGATGGCAAACCGGCCGACGTTGCCGTTAATCACATCAAAGACATGACAGCGAAGGTCGACACAAGCAAGATCGGTGCGCCTGCTTATACTACCGACAAGCAGGTTTTCCATACAGATAGTGGGGATATCATCGCATTACTCTGCCTCGAAACGGCGGCTGAAGGAGGATTGAGTAAGTTGAGTAGCAGCTGGAGGGTATACAACGAGCTCGCGGAAACCCGACCGGATCTTATCAAAACGCTGGCGGAACCGTGGCCAGTAGAAAAGTATGTAGTATAGTGCCCCTAGTATCTCCACACCTCCTTTTCAAGACCATTGCCTGGAACTTACTGATTTGATCGAACCAGCTTCGATGGCCAAGGTCAGCCTTATATCAATCGCCCCTTACTCTTCTACCAAGCCGCCTCAAACGACATCAGTGCCAACAAAGAACGTCTTATAATCCAGTACGCGCGACGCACCTTCACCGGATTCCTAGGACTCCCACGCTCCGCCTCCATCCCACCCATCACAGAGGCGCAAGCTGAAGCGCTTGATACGCTGCATTTTCTTGCAGAAAAACACGCCCTCTCGCTCGACTTCCAAAAGGGCGATATCCAATTCGTGAACAACTTGTCAATCTTCCACGCCAGAGATGGGTTTGTCGATTCCGAGGTCAAACAGAGGCATTTGGTGAGGCTATGGCTCAGGGATGATGAATTTGCGTGGAAGATCCCAGAGGAGTTGGGTGCAAGATGGGATAAGGTGTATAAGGGGGTCACCCCGGAGAATCAGATTTTCCCGCTGGAGCCGTTCGTAAGGAGTGCTTCTTTGGGGAAAGTGGAAAGTGGGGAGTGATCGGCGTGAAACGATTTGTTGACCCGGTGGCTCGTTTTGAAGGGATCGGGCAACGGTAACGTTGGATCGAAGAAGACACCAGATCGGGATTTGATGTTCTTGTAATGTCGGAATTTCTCATATGAAATTGTCGTGAGAGCGAATGAGCTTGACAAGTGAAGGTCTCTATGGCTAATACCAGTTTACGGCGGGTTAAATGTAGGTATGCCGTCTTTGTTCATCGACTTTAGTCGAAGGGCCTTTTTTCTTCTTAAAACCTGTTGAAAGTCGGCCCTGGTACCTGTGTGTCTTGTAAACAGTCGCCCTGATCGTTATTCCTTCTCGTCATCTTCCTGGTGGGGGGAGTTGGGCTCGTCCTCTGAGCGTTCTTCCTTAAAGCCGCATCTGGAAATCTTACGCGAGGTTTGGTACTTCGGAGATGCCTAAAGGCGCTGAATGTATCGAGTGGTCTCCAAAGGTTTTGCCACCCTCGAGGCGGGTTGAAAATGTTACACTGCGGCGACCAGTCTGAAGAAAGGCAAGCAGTATTTCTCATGGCCCGATGTTTGGGTCTTACCACAATAATCTCACACGCTGGAATCGAAAGCCGTTCCACTGGATGTTGCGCCGTTTGACGGGGTGCACTCCTTCCGGGCACGATTGGCGGTGGACTATGCAGGCTGTATTGCCTGCCGTTGTGGTCGATCTGGGCGAATGGAGAATTCAATAACCAACCCTGGGATGTTTCTAGGGATACATGACAATCGCAGCGAATTTCGCGATTACTCGGCGTCGCAATCACTCCCGTTCGCTGTTCATATCTGCCGCTGTCTGTGGATTCACTCTCCAGACGACTTCGTTTCGAGGGCTACAACGAGTTGAAGGATTCGGCCAGAACCAAAATTACAAGGATCGTTGCCTAATTCCTGCATCTTCTTCAATTGACTGGGATGTTGTTCAAGATGTCACTCAATGCTGGCGACGCATTATTAGTGAATGTGGTATGGTATGGCTTGAGTGTTCAACAAAAACGGCTTAATGTGCCATGTTGTCCTTATTTATTGGTTATCGACACTACCTCTGCTAAATCAATGACATAAAAATACGCAATTGTGATGTTTTCTCACACCGTCCGGTGCGTCATGATGCGCGCGCACCGCGCCTAGCGGAGAATGTGAGTACTGTGTTGAAGAGTGAATTTAGCCGTTGTACGAATTCATGTTTTATTGTTTGGAAAAAAAAAAATAGTAACACTGGTAGTATGGTTTAGGAGTAGTAGATTCTACTTGGAAAGCTCAATGATGCCGAAAAGCATTCCGCAGATGCTATGCGCGACACAAACTAGGCGTTATCGATAAGGGTGGCGGGTGGAAATGTAGCCAAAATTTCTCGTTCCCCGCTAGCAAGTTACCTCACCACGCTGAGTATTTATCCTTGCGCCTCCCATCCGAACATGCCACCGTACGAGAGCGACTCCTCCGATGAAGGAGAAGAGTTTACTGAGACCAATGTCTTGCTTGGATATGCAGCCGAAGAACCTTCCGGTGACACCGTATCCCACTTAGGCGGCCGTCCAGTTTGTATACCCCATCATGTTCCCGGTTGCAACTAACGTTTCCACTTAGACTTGGATTGACGAGAAAATCGCACCTTCTGGCGCTTTAGCAAAATGCAAAGTTTGCAACGGACTTCTAACGCTTCTTCTCGAGCTCAACGGTGACCTCCCCGAACACTTTCCCGGACACGAGAGACGACTTTACATTTGGAGCTGTAGAAGGAAGGCGTGTAGACGGAAGGAAGGAAGTGTGCGAGGAATTCGAGGAGTACGAATTGCAAAAGGCGCATCATCCAAACCCAAGCTCCAGGCAGTGTTAAAGACAGATGAAGTAGCTGGATCGAACGATAAGCCGGTTCCACAGCTAGGAAATTCATTATTTGGCGTGAAAGAGAGCGCAAGCGATGGAGCTCCTGCGAACCCTTTCGCAAATCCGTTCTCCACAAACAACGGCGGCAACACGTCCGTGAATCCTTTCTCGAAGGCCTCGGCCAGCGCAAATCCGTTCGCGTCGTCAACACCACCCATCCAAGCCACCTCGTCCGAGAAAGAGAATGAAGGAAACGTCAAAAAGGATGAAGAAGCTGAGACCAGTCTTCCTCAGACCTTCGCTGAGAAAGTCCGCCTATCTTCGCCTCCTCCTGTAAATCAGCCTGCCCGTCCGCATGAGCCGTGGCCTGCTGAATCTGTGTTTCCACCACCATACCCTCGATACTACCTGGATGCTGAATACGAGGCATTAGACGCACCGTCAACACCTCAGATACCCGAAAATACCCGAATGGACTTGGATAGTGGGAGCAGCGAAAAAGGTGGGAAAGAGGACAAAGATATTTTCGAAAGCTCACTCGATAAAACCTTCCAGAAATTTGCCGATCGCGTAGGTCAAAATCCAGAACAGGTATTACGGTACGAGTATAAAGGAAAACCATTGCTGTATAGCGATGCGGATGCCATCGGCAAGTCGCTTGCCGCTCACTCGGAGAACGGTCCATCTTCGACGTCTAAGATCATCGTATCACGAAATGGAACAGGACTTGCACCATGTCAGAATTGCGGCGCAGAGAGGGTTTTCGAAGTTCAATTGACCCCACACGCAATTACAGAGCTCGAAGCTGATGATATGACTATTGATGGGATGGAATGGGGCACTATCATACTGGGGGTATGTAGTAAGGACTGCAAGCCTGATGATATAGCAGAAGGTGAGTCTGGTTACGTAGAAGAATGGATAGGCGTGCAGTGGGAGGAAGTCGCGCCAAAGAAATGAGTTGCTTGAGTTGCAACCATTCAATTTTATACCCCATCAGTGTGGCCCCAACTCTCTCCACATTGCATGCCCTTTAGCAGATCATGGATGAACATGTTCAACGACACGTGAGAGCTAAGAATCTGGCGCATAAAACAAAACGAGAAACACATTGGGTGAAGGTAATGGCAGTCATCGTGGATAAGGGGTATGCTACGAAGCTGAGGGACTCATGTCGTCGCTGGTGCATTGCCCGCCAAAAATCTCAAATCGTCGTACTGCGGCCATACTAGGCGAAATCAGACTAGCTTAGCTCGGGATTTTCTGCTTGTCAATGCATCGGGTCGGAGGTTGGTGACGATCATTCTCGGGGGAGTCCAAGTAGGAATTGTCCATTATTTTAACAGATATGGTGTGTAAAGAATGGTATTCAACGCTGATAATATGGTGTTATTCCCGTGCGATCGGCCGTTATGCTCGAATGTGAGGTCGAATTTGACTAACGACTTTTCCCGTTTGCTCTGCATGTGATATACGGGTACTTGCTTGGAAGTCTTACGATATCAACTTTTCGACCGTATATCTCAGAATATTGATATCGATCAATGTTGAGGAACCAAACGAGGACTATTGTCAGTGAATCACGCACTTTGGGGTTACATCTTGGTTAGAGCATTATGGTACTTTTGCGGGCGTTATTATAGTATGTGTAAAGAGCATCTCCGAGCTCTTCAAGCGAGGAAACTTTTATTTTCGTCAAATACCCTAGGGTTCACTGTTAGCGCAGAAACGAGGGAGCAATGCAAAGCAAAGAGGCGTCATGTCGTCATCGTGTTTGGGTGGAGACAGCACTGTCTGTGGCGATAGGCAGAATTGCAGTATAGCGAAGTTGCCGCATTATTACATAGGCACGATGAACCGTGAACGGGAAGTGAAGTACGCGTGATCGGCGTTTATCGCGTCGAAACAAGATAAAATGTGGACGTACGCTAGGTCCGTTTGGATTGATATAGAACGCCGTGGACGTACGCCTTTCGCGAATACATCATTGCTGGGCAATATACTGAAGACTCTACAACAAATCTTAAAGACACCTTGAATTCGACCCTGAGTGCGTCTTATATCTAGACGAGGACTCTGTTGGGCAGACAGAGGCTAACGTGTGAGAGCTGGAGATGAGGTACGCTTTATCAAATCTACCAGCGCTATTGCCATTCGTCCGAGATAATCAAATCTCCGCACAGCATCGGTGACAGTCACCTCGTTTCGACCTGAGACAATTGCTCCCGGCATCTTATGCCGAAAGGCTCGGTTCAAGAGACCGAGATTTCCACAGTGAATCTGATCAGCTCATCCATGTGGCAAGTTCCGACCATCTGATAGACCCCCACACAATCACCCGCTTCTAAGACAAGGTCTTCCTTCTAGTTTTGTCTCCTTGTGGTCAGCTGGCCCGTGGAAGGAAGCTATTCGGGCTTTGTATCGCGAGATCGTGACTCCGCTGGGGCCTCGCGAAAAGATCGACTCGAGATCATCTTCGATTCGAAATTCTTATTTCGGACGCGGGGAAAAGCTTGAGCATTGGCACAAATTCCTGCATGTATCAGGCCTAGTTCTCATAGGAGCAACAATACCCACGCCTGCAAGCCACCAAGGATATATCATGGTGCATCGACAAACGACTGGAAAAAGTCGCTCAAATTTTGTCGCCGCTTTTGATGGAATATGGGGAAATATCGGTCCAAGAGCGGCTGGTAAGTCTCTAGAAATCATGGTAGCTGCTCAAGAGCTAATAGTTGTGGTAGCATGACCTGCCGACAGCGGCGAGTGAAATGTGAGTGTATGTTGGACTTGGTAAAATCTGCTTTGTTGACTTGGTAGGTGATGAGATGCATCCAACTTGCGGACAATGCGGCAAGAAAAATCGGGATTGTCGATGGGAACCGGCCCACTCAAGGTTTCGAAGCCAGCAACTTGGTAGCACGAATAGAAGTAGTGCTGGTGGCTCATCCAGCACCACGCCGGTGGCGACAGAAGGCAATGAAGAAATAGGCGTAGATGAGGAAGATGCTCATTTCGGACCAACTGCCAGCTCATCGGCGGTAATCGCGTCCTCGCCGGCGCAGAGCAGTCTCAGCGATGGGATTAACCGGATCCACAGGGAAGGGGTGCATCCATCGTCCACCTCTGAAGTTGACATATCAACCTTTGAGCAGAAGCTTACCGGGAAAGCGCCGCAAGCTCTGCAGCAAGACTCAATCCCACCTTTTCGGTCACAGTTAACGTCTCCGACATCTTCACGAAGCAGTGGCCAAACACCAATACCCGTTCATGCTTCCCACACACTCCCTTTCAGAGAACCGATAGACGTAACTCACCACGAGGCTCGTCTGATCCATCACTACGCACAGCATCTCGGCAGCTGGCTAGACGGCATGTGTCCAGCCCGACAATTCACATTGAGAATCCCACGGGATGTCAAAAACAGCCCTATTCTTCTGCAAGCTACTCTTTGCTTCGCAGCGCATCACGCCAAAGACGAGCTTCTGGCGAAGTCGGCATACCAGCGTTGCATATCTCTTCTTATCGAACATCTGAACTTAGAGGCTATAACTTACGATGATACAACACTATGTGCCATCGTAATTTTGCGATTTTATGAGCAACTGAACGTTCCCCCGAAGTCTGGATCAGACAGTGCGCAGCACCTGGCAGGCAGTGCCGCAATACTTCGCGCATCTCAGAAAACCGAAATTGATCCGACAGCAGCCACTTTACGAGAGGCGTCCTTCTGGGTTTATGTACGCCAATGTCTATACAACTCTACTATCGACCAACAACCGCCCAACCTCGATTTTACGCTTCGTATTGAACCTCATCCTGTCTCCTTGCAAGACCATCATCCTTTGGCTCAACTGAGATTAGAGACGGCATGGTCAAACCTGATAACATGGCATTGCGCTTGCATAACTAATTTCTGCTTCGATGATACATCAGATCGTACTCTGAGGAAGGAAAAATGGGATCGTCTGTGGAATGATGTGCAATTATGGCATCGCCATCGACCATCAAGCTTTGATCCAATATGGTCCGGCCACGATTCTAGCCAAAGTCGTTTTCCACTTATCTACTTCACGGCTGATTGGCACGGTATGTCAGCTCTATATATATAGCAATAGTAACTTACTCCGGCAGTCGTTTCATTTGGTTACTATCACGTCTGCTGCATGCTACTATTGGCGTTCAAACCGGGTCCCAGGTTCATCCTAAAAAATGTCCGAGCAAAGCCCTCTGAAAATGAGGTACGTATTTTCCTGGGAGCCTTTGAACAACAAAACTTATTGACTCGAAACAGTTACAGATACTCGAGCATGCCTACGCGTTATGTGGCTCGTGCAAAAGCTCACCCAAAACTGTCCCGTCATTGATCACACTCTGCCATACAGTTTTTATCTGGGCACCTCTTTTCACCGATTCGAGGGAGCAAACTGAGCTCGTTGAGATACTTTCAGAGTTCGAGAGAGATCAGACCTGGCCGACTACATGGATCATCGATGCGTTAAATTCCGAATGGGGGGTTGAATAGACCGGTTGTCTAGTTTTCAAACCACGAGTAACAATTGTCAGCATAGACACTGAAGCATTTCCTAATTTTGAATTAAGCAAGAATATATCAGAACAAGGTTTATCGAACGTGACTGAAACATATAATGGAGTTCCATTCTAGAAGATGATAAATTTTTTGCAATAGTCCTTTCAACATATATAATATCGCTCAATTTCTTCACGGAAAATTGGTCCTAGGCCGCTTTCATCACTTCTATCTAGCAGGTTGACTTTCCCCTCATCAGTATCTAGGTGACACCCACATCAGACAGGCACGTGATATCTAGTTTTATTCTTCTGGTGAGGGCTAGTGAGTGGTGCCCGTGTGATATCTGCGTTTGGATAGAGTGGCAGCTCATTTTAGGAGGGTCTTTACTGAGCTAGAGAGGTATTTATCACCATGTAAGCCTTTTGTTTCACGGTATAAATACCCTCGGCTTTTGTATCCGTCCCTTCCAAGGCTGTAATCATTAGTGCATGAAGCTTGCAGTATCCCAAGCCAGCAGCGAAGTCCAGAGCAGTCCAATTGACATGTTTCGCCTATGGGAAGATCGATTAGCAGAAGATCTTCATAACTGATCTATAAAGGAAAGGGATGTGGAGCAGCACTGCGCAACTGGCCGTCGCGCCGCACCTACTTCCCATGCACTTGCCCAACACTCAAGGGTGACTCCTCCATTTCAGCTAGTTCATAGATCTTTTTCGTGATATTCCGTACTGATACTCTACTTGAAGTCTCTCTGCAATTCTCGGGATTGCCGATCCAGGGATTCGGAGCTCGAAACGAATTTTAGCTTCGTCCACAAGTAGACGCTCGTGCCACACGTGATGGTCTTCGAGGTCGATTCTGACGTTCGTAACGAATTGTATCCGCCCTCCCTAGCACCAAGAATGATGTACATCAGAATTGCAGCATTCGAGCTTCACTCCGCAAGACGTGTTCTGTGGCTCCTTCACCGAACAGCTACTCCCTATATGGATCGTTCTACCTCTGGACAGCCGCCAGTATGTATTATCACCCTACCCCTCTTGCCTCGTACCACTGGCGACTATGACAATAACAGCAACTCTCCCTACCAGGTGTCGCATCGACTCATGCAATTCGATGACCGGACTGGCCAAGTACAGCATGGCAACCCAGCGTCTAAATGACCCGAAACTCAGCCCCAATGCTCTTAACTTAACTGTCTTGGGAATATGCGCGGAGGCTTCGTTGAGTGGTGTCAGCTGCATTCTATTGCGCTATCGACAACAAAGCCCAGAGGAACAACTCCTTTTAAACCTCATCCGGGTGAGTGACACACGCCATCGATGCCTGGAGATTCTAAGTCATTTCGCAGTACGAAGAGATAGCCGTACCGTGGGACGTACGAACCCCGATTCTAAACCTCCTTCGCGATCGTCATAAGCACCCACAACACATGCTTCGTGTTCATGATATGGTTGGACACATGCTTTCCACAACTATCGAGCGTTTTTGTGGGAATCAGAACATTTCTGTAGACTCCGTCGATCTGGCAGCCACGCAGGCCGATTCCGTACCCCCTTCGGTACTTCCATCGTCTGATGGCGCGTCCTGGAAGGCTGAGATTGATCCCAGGTTGCAGAACTGGACAAAGGTTATCTTGGAACGAACTGGAATCACGACGATCGCGAGCCTGCCAACGAACAGACGACCGTTGAATCGACGAGGGCCTTCGTTACAAGTATTCATGGATAACCTATACCTTCGGCACGCGACCAAATTTCGCGTTTGCCTTACGATCGACGATTTCCTGACTGTCACCGCTATACCACCCGAAGAATCGACCATGAAGGTCACATCCACGCCCTTCGCATATTGTGGACCCGGCACGCTCTTCATCGATTACGCGATGCGTTACGCAACCTCCAACCAGATGGAGCACGATTATACAGGAGCCTATGGTGAACGCGGGAGCGTCAATGAAAACTTGGTGAATCGTTTTCTTGATGTCAACGATTACACTCGCCGCGCTCTTCCCACAACCATGGCCGTTGAGATGTTTGGTCAGCATGAAATACAAAGCCTTATAGAGGAATGTTCTTTCATAGGCATATCCGATCTCGACGCTATCGCCACCATAACCCGTATCACATCCGAGATCATTCTTTCTCAGTACCGTAGGGTTATGGCAGAATTCTCTCCGAGCCAAAAAGTGGACGAGGTCTTCATCTGCGGGCGTGGTGCCAAAAATCTGAAGATTGTGGAACGGTTGGAGGAAGTACTTCCAGAAGAGGTTATGACCAGACCTTTTGATGATATTGGTATACCTGGAGACGCAAAGTGCGCCGCATATTGCGCACACTTCGGACTCGAGCTTGCGCTAGGACAAGTGGAACTCGAGATGGGATTCCTAAGCGATGAATCTCAGAAGCAGCAGATCCAGGAAGCGCTCGTGAAGGGGAGAAGGTGGGATATTCTCCGCGACAGAATAACTCGATTTGCCGCAGGAAAGCAGTTGCCACCCATGCAACAAATCGTGGTGAACAGGGGATAATGGCCTTTAATACGATGCGACCACAATTTTCTATGCTCTCAGTCCCTTTTCGGAAATGGTGGCAAACTACGAACGATCCTTGAAACGACTTTACGCACATATACCCCTTTTTTCTTTAATCTCGGACATTTAGTACAAGGGATAAGGGATTTTTTCGAATTTGTTGGTACATCCTATAGGCATGAAGACCAGTTTGGTACTTGGTATTAGAATCCTGTACTTGTTGTGGCTTGGGATACCTCCGGCCACATTCAGGACCTCTATTTCCCCTACATCATCACCACATACAACCGTTAACAGATGTTCTGCTTTGTGTAACATTGAATGCTTACAGCTTCCTGATCAGCCAGAGACAGACCAATGCCCACTTTCCACCGAAATCACACCACTTGCGAATAGAAGCTACTGCCGATGAACATAAGAGATGGGTTGCTTTGATAAGTAGATCACGATCTGCCAAGGGTCTAATCAGGGTCTTCGAACGCCATAGAATCGCACAGCATCCAACAGGCTGAGTATGCCACTCGGGAGATGGTTGGAACTGTCGATCTTTAGCCCTTTCCAATCTGCCCTATCGCGGGGGAGTGCCGCAGTGCATGCACACAGCACTGTGCGACTCTTCCATCTCATCATACCCAGACAATTAGTAGAATAGAAGGGGTAGGTACGAACGGTCCTCACTACAACTACTATAGCGGACTACGCTAACCGCTGCTATTGGTAATTGGGCGGTGAATGTTCAATGAGCAAACGGAGTAATGGCAGTGATCATGCGACAGCTCTATCAGCATTTGAGCCAACAGCATGCCCCTTTTCGATTCTCCCATACCAATGTCCGAAATCGAAAACCGGAGTAACTTCATCAAGGCTTGCATGCTCCATTGGTGGTGACAGGGAAGGGCATATGTATACTGTAAGGTAATGTGTGCAACCAGCCAGTCAAGATGATTGCTCTAATGTACTGCAGTGCTTGAATCTTGATTTTTAGTTGCCAAATGGAGATAGTGATCACACCATACCAACCAGCCACTTTCTTCGTAACCGTAAACCGTGTAAAAGCTCTGACATCCAATCAGCTATACAGCCTTTCCAATCATCTTTAAAGACGATTACGAGTCGACCGTTTGAAAATATTTCGTATTTAGGGGTGTTGACCAATCTGCGACAATTCCGCCGCTTTAATCTACGTTCAACGCGTCAGTGGCTACATTCATGATCTCCTCACCCCTACTTTTCCTTTACGAGATATTGTAACCAAACTGGTTACATCTTAAAATGCGCAGTCGGGTTCAGTGGTGTATGGAATACCGTAACACCACATCATTCACATTAAGTTTGTTGGTTCGGTCATCATCACTAGTTCTAGACATGCTCCAAACATTGCGTTACCATGCAAAATAACAAAAACAATTACGTGAATTATATCAGCTCGTAAGCTTGAGACAGTTGAGAAAATGACATCGACCCGACATTTGTCTTCGCATCACTGTCTAACACACTTCCACTGGATGATACTGTTCCAACATGCTTATCAAAACATCAAACTGCGAGTCCCTGCCAAACCTTTCAAAGAGATGCAATTATTCTAAGCAAAGAAAATGGAGGGGAGAGATGAAATCCGAGACCAATGGACCCGGCAAAGGAGTGGACCCGAGATTCGCTGCCGAATGTTAACACTACTCGCTCTATACCAGCTCAGTTGGTTCGTGACAATTGTATCATTGTGGATCTGATTGTTAAATTAATTGCGAGCAAAAATAGTGTTGGCAAATGAGAACTGCTCACTTTTCCCTAGATACTTTCCGTGGCATCATCGCATCATATCGGCACGCCATTTATGAAGACTGCAGAATCTTACCAAATGAAACAATTCATTGAGAAGGAACTTTTCAGCCCCTGAAAATGTCTTGGAGAAAGTATGACAACGCTATGAAGAACATGTAGCAGGAATCACACGCATCGGTAATAGCAAGTTCGTGAGAATCCTATACGACCCCTTTACCTCAAAAAAATATCCTAACCCAACGCCAAAGTTCCTAGGGAGTTCTAGAAGCAATGTACAAGAAATTCAAACCATATATATCAAACGATATGAATGCAGTGATGCCACTTATTTCATGAGGACTGGGCCTCCTTGTCGGGCTTTTTCAGCTGCATAATCGGCCAACTTCTGTAATTTTTCGGCGCGGACTTGGCGGAAATACCGGAACAAGAGGATGAAGATGAGCTCGATTCTGATGAAGTGTCAATTGAAGCAAGCTTTGCGAGTAATACCATTACGTACCTTTCTTTCGTCATCATCAGGAAACCCTGCACAAGCAGACCCTTCATGATCTGGGGTCCAATACCCTTGAACAAGCCGAGAAGACCTTCATGCTCGACAATGTATGCCATCACTTCACCGAATGTCTTGAAAGGCTTGCCATTCCTAGATGGAGGCGGCTTGGATTGGAGACCGACTTTGGCGACAATAAGTGGTTGCGTTGCAATCGTCGCGAGCGCTTTCGACATGGCCCCGAGTACTACACCTATGTTAGCTCGTCTCTCACCGACCGTTTCATCACATATACGCACCGAATGCTTCCCATGGTTTGAGATTCGTTTTCCCTGGAAACAAATTGTCCCTCAATCGCTGGTAGGCACCGTAGGTGATGGCGGGATTCACCACGAGAACCAAGCTAGCTTTCAACCCTCTCCACAAGCCCGTCCAGCCATCCTCGCTGTCAATGACTTCTTTGCCCGTTGCAATCAAGCCTTTGCGCTCGTACTTGCTAACTGTCTGTTGTCTTGTGGTCACCACGGCCACGGGTATAGTAAAGAGCTGGGCGACTGCGCCTGCGACTGCGCCTAGGGCGAGCTCCGCAGCAGTTCCTGGAGGAGTATTGACAGCGCGATACTGCAGGTATAGAGTCCGTACTACGGTATACCAGTAGAAATAGGCAAAGTTGGTCGAAGCTACACCAAGTAATGAACCTGGTAAGCCTGCATAGAGACCACTAACGCCATCGGCCTTGACAATTTTCGAGATGGCATCGACGGCGGACGTGTAGTGTTGATCGTCGGCGGGGTTCTTATCAGGGGAGGATGCACTGCGCTTGTCCTGGACCTGGAGACGAGTCTTCACACTATGGACAGCCTGTCAGTCAATGTCGCCGAGTTCGATGCTGTGAACACTCACATGTCCAAGGGGTAGACGAGGGCATTCGCAAGAACAGCGCCAGCGGATCCAGCAATAGCGCTACCCCACGGGGGCAGCTTCTCAAGCTTGGACTGTCCAGCCATAATAACTCTAATATTGGAGAGTGAGGCGGGCACTCTGTTCTGATACGATTGATAGCTCTTAGTGGAAGAGGGCTAGCGGTGACGAGTGACGCAACGGGCGGTTTGGCTTGGATTGTTGATGCGGGGGATGGGTATGCGTATGGAGACGTTATCTCATGGCCACCAGGAACGGAGCGAGAAGGAAGAGTAGGGTTATAAAACGGCTCGATCCTCAAGGAGATGGGATGGAGCGAGACGGAGTGAAAGCCATTCGCAAGGATAGTATCCAGCTATGCATGCGTCGATGGAGGAGCAGTTTCTATGGCTGACGAGACCCGAGGTAGGCCGAGGTTCAGGACTCCCGCAATCATCCACCCAACTGCCGCTAGCTAGCCTGAGCCACATGCTTGTGTCTATCAACATTCAAATGTCGAACCAAACGTACATACATACATACATACGGTGGAAGAGCAAATGGTCTGTGCTACACAAGAACTTCAAATTCAGTGAACATGCCGGCCAGAGCAATTGAATCCATGGAATACTTGCCGAGATCTGGACTACTTCCGCACTTCTTTCGAGTATTGACACGGGCCAGGCGCTTTGTTTGTGCACGTGACCATCGTTCTTTCCTTGCTCGTATGCTTATGTAATACTTCCATGGGACCGCTGTGTTTTGGCTGCAACTACAGACATGTCTACACGACTCCGCTAACATCGCGTATCTCGTATATCGCCCGCCTCCAATCGAGTTGATGCGCATTGCGCTGTTGAATTATCCCTGCTTCGTTGGGTGGATGTCCTTTCCGTTGGCCTAGACAGCCATACGCCATCATGGGCGACCAAGTGAGAGAGCTAGAGTTGCTGAAGGCAGCCGCGAGCGTACGTGAAATTGACATGTAAATGCATATGTTCAAGTTCACCATATATTTCATACGTTTGCAACCATGTCATGACCCATTCTCACTTCCATACACAGAACCATCGATCGCAACTTCAATCAGCTCGCACCAAGAAGGAAGCTCTGTCATTAGCAGTCAGCGCAGCCGAAAATCTGATGAAAGCCGTTAAGCTTGCCTCGAATTCAGCAGAGAAGCAAGATTTGAAGTCGCAGTTTTCCGCTGTTATTGACCTCGCAGACCGTATCAAATCGTCCCAAGAGTGGCCTCCCTCTCTTTCAATGTCAGATGAGCATTCGTCGTCGCTGCTCTCTCCCTCAGAGTTACCGGTGCAGCCACTTCAAACCAGAGACGCCGAAGTTAATTCATGGGTAAAAAACGTGTCGCAGGCTGCTGGAGCCGCTACAACAGTCGACGAGAACGTCCCACATACATATACTTCGTCGACCAGTCATTCAGCAACCGCTTGGGTTCATTCCAGACCAGACGACCAGTCCACCTCGGATTTCATACTCTCCTATCGTAGCGCGCCACCTCGCAATCCAATAGTCGACGTAAGTGGCGAGAGGACCCAAACAAATTTGCCAACCCTTTCTTCCCTTCCGCGAGGTGCCTCCTCTCCACCAACCCCTGCCATTGTCCCGTACTCTCATATTCGTAAGTTAGTGGAACCGCTTTCCACTCGCAAACGAAGCAAGAAGGAGGAGATTATTCTTCTAAAAGCTTCCGTCGTGAATGGGTTCAAATGTCCACCCTGGGATAGAGTTCCTGCATCGTCTGAGTTCACTGCGAATCAGCCTGGCCAACTGTTCGTGTAAGTATTTTCTGGATCGGGTTCTTCCACTATAATACTGATTGAATAGGGACACACACGATCTGAGTCTTTCTACTTTTCAACAACAGTTTTTCGGTGAATGGGCTCGCCCCTCCCAGGCTTTGCCTCCACCTTCCATGATCACAGGTAACCGGATTGGTTTGGGACCTTTAATGTCTACGGCTCGCTCCCTAGATCTAGTTCAGGACGCTTCAACAGATTGTTCAGTAGTAGCCAGCCTTTGCGCAGGAGTTGCACGCGCCGAGCGTGGTCATGAAGAGGTAAGCTTGTAAATGCAACCGACTGGCACATTGATGTTAACAGACTAGATCCTTTCCAACAAGCTGTACCCATTCGACAAGAACCTGGGTAGGCCTGTGATGTCTCCAAACGGAAAGTTTATTGTTCGCCTTAACTTCAACGGTTGCTGGAGAAAAGTCATAATTGACGACCGCCTCCCTTTGTCGAAGACTCACAGACTGTTGCACGTAGTAGACCGGCGCCAGCCAGGGCTTCTGTGGCCAGCATTGATTGAAAAGGCGTATCTCAAAGTTCGCGGTGGCTATGATTTCCCAGGAAGCAATTCTTGCAGTGACTTATGGACGATGACGGGGTGGATTCCCGAGCAGATCCACCTACAAGAGTGAGTTGCACCGACACATGAAAACACACTGCTTGCTAAGTATTCTAGGACAGATCTAGTCCCTGACCAACTCTGGAAGCGGATATATAACGCGTTCATGTATGGCGACGTGCTCGTGACGTTGGGGACTGGCCAAATGTCCAGTCGTCAGGAGCGCGAACTCGGGCTCGAGGGTCAACACAGCTATGTTGTGTTGGACATGAGAGAAACGGACCATGAAAAACTATTTCTTGTCAAGAATCCCTGGGTCGAAGGTCGAGGATGGCGGGGGCCTCGTCCATCGGTGGGTCCTGCTATAGAAACTTCAACTACAAGCGGAGAGTCCAAAAGCACCACAGAGGCGTATCACCAGGACAGCATTCCTTCTAAAGATCGACCACATCCGACTACTTTCTACATCGGGCTAGAGCAAGTAATGCGACATTTTGAGAGTCTATATTTAAACTGGAACCCCGGTCTTTTTCGACGTCGGCAAGATATACATTTTGACTGGACCATTGAGGGCACAGAAGGCGACAGCACTTGTATCGTTGGAAACCCCCAATTTTCCTTCTCGGCGAAAGTTGGAGAGACTGTCTGGTTTCTCTTGACGCGTCATTTCCGGGACACGCCTGATCACCTCAAGGACGTTTCGGATACATTCAACGATGGAAGTATTCGCCCTGGAGCGCAGACGAATTCAGCCGGAGATCCACCTCTGGGCTATATGAGCATATACGTATGCGATGCAGGTGGGAATCTGGTGTATGTCAAGGAATCATGCTTGGAGAAAAGTGATTACGTGACCACTCCTCAATGCCTATTACGATGGGATACCGACTCCCGCTCTCTCTACACAGTGGTCATTGACCAGGAAGCATTGCCGGCTTCATCATACAGCTTTACACTCTCGGCGTTTTGCAATTCAGAGATTACACTGGAACCAGCAACCCGACAATACCCGTTTCAAAAGACATTGGATGGTGCTTGGACCAAACATAGCGCGGGTGGCAGCACGAGTTCTGTGAAGTATTTCGAGAACCCTCAATATCTTCTGGAAGTGAAGAAGAAGGGGCCACTTGCGCTACTCCTAACCAGTACCGACAAAAAGAATCCAATGCACGTCAAACTAGCTTTGGGCTACGGCAAGCGAATGTACCGACTTCAAAGCCGCGATGTGCTTCTGGACTCAGGCGATCACCGTGAGCGATGTGTGTTCGCAGAAACAAAAGAACTGACACCCGGGCTTTACACAGTCATATGCTCCCTTTTCGAGGAGGGTCAGACTGGCGACTTCACACTGCGGGTAGACAGCACAGAGGAAGTGGTCCTCAAGCCGATCCCTCGCGATGGTGCGGGCTTGATGTGCAAAAGGCTCGCTATGGCCAGCTTTGGACCGGATGTAAACAAGGTGGTTGCTCCTATTGTAGCGCAGCGGCTGGCAGCATACACAATTGTTGCTCGCTTTCACAAGGCAACCGCACCACGGGCGAGCGGCGGACACCCGGTAGGTCGCAGTCCCTTCCGATTCAGTGTGGAAGTGGGCAGTGGCCCCGAACGTAAATTCTTGATCAGCAGCGAACAAGGACAGTATGCAGACTCGGCGATTGTTCGCTCAGAGGCAACGAACATCGACCCATCTCTTTACAAGCCGGGCGATTTGTGGCTGGTGCTTGATCGGCTGTCCGGGCCTGGCGGACCGGTAGAAGAGTACTACGAAGTCGAAGTATACACGGACGTGCCTGAGGCATGCTATGTTGGAGTATGGCGCAGCTGGGAGGATTAGGTGGATGGACGGATGGAGATGGGAAAGCGGAAGCTGGATGTGCGGAAGACACGGCATTGTGGCTTGGCTTGGATGGTAGATGGGTACATGTGCATGCGCATGTGTGTAGATGAGGGTCACGTTGACGGACGAGGTGGTGGTGGAACCTGCAGGTGCACATGGACATGTAGGTAGACGTGGTACACGGCCTTATAGTACATGGTACGTAGATGCATCTCAGGTGCGAGGCCAGCAAAGGAATCAATGTGCAAATCAAGAGGGCCCTGACGGTTCGTGTCGCGATGATTGGCGATGATGCGAGTTTCACCGCCAAAGCGCACCCTTGCAGCGTTTCATGATGTGCATGTCCAGGACAAGCTCCTTGATAGTGGTGCAGATAACCGCTGCTAGTCATGAAGCTCACCACGGCTTGTTTTCGCTACCATTTTGGCCCGCTGGCCCCTCTCTGTTCAACTTTGTTGACATCCGAAACTGTTGGCTGGCTGACCATCTACAACGCTTGCCATCATTGTTCTTTCGCCGCCTCGCCACACCCCGCCATCTGATCTGATCCGATCACCTCCCTCATCACTCTTCGTAGCCCTACGTCAGACCTTAGCTTGGCGCCTCGTTTGCCCTCGACCGGTACCAGGCAAGACAAGCAAGTCAGCCGCCAAAGGCAGCTTGCTATTTCTCCCCATATTTCCTCGCCATCCGCACCTACTGCCCTACATACCGTCAAACACCTCCACCTTCCATCTCGCGTACCCGCTCCCTCTGCCTGCCATGGCGGACGCCGCCAACACTCTCGCACCGAGCAGTGCTTCACAGCCGGTTTCGGCCGCTGCATCCAAAGACCCTTCGAGGGCCACGACACCCGCAAACGCACCCGTGGAAAAACCACCAGACGATAGCTCCAAGCTGAAGACGTTCCTGGGCGTGCTGAGGAGGTACCTTGCCCGCAATACACTCATCATACACTCATGCCCTCGCTTCTTGCAAGTGTGAGCGCAGGCTGATAGTACGGGCATAACAGGTTCATTGGCGTATCGGATCTCGCTGCCGTGCGATTTTCCCTTCCCGCCCAGTTGCTGGAGCCGACACCCAATCTTGGTATACTCTCCGCTATCTTTTGCATACGCAGCCATGTCTAACCAAGGCAGAGTACTGGCATTATCTCGACAGACCCGAGGCCTTCATTAGGTGAGCGAGCATCACATACGGTGGCCGGCTCTTCGTTCTGCACCGTCGCTGACTCGAATAGCATTGGCGATTCAGACGAGCCGCTTGGGCGCATGCTAGGGACGTTGCGATTTTGGTTCACAAAGGACTTGGTAAGCCTGCATCCACCCCACCACATTTGTGAATTTCCGCTGATTTGCCTAGAAATATGTCAAAGGCAAGCCGTGCAAGCCTTACAACTCTACATTGGGCGAGTTTTTCAGGGTATGTATAGCACAGAGTCATGCTTCCGCCAACTGACTTGGAACAGTGTAACTGGCAGATCGAAGACACGCAGCCTCCCTTGAAACATTCTCCCAATTCGGCACCTTCGAGCAGCGCCACCAGCACCGCGGGTGACAACAAGCTCGTCAAAGTGTCGTACTTGACCGAACAAACTTCACATCATCCTCCCGTCTCCGCCTTCTACATCGACTGCCCCGAAAAAGGTATCTCGGCTAGGGGTTTTGACCAGCTAAGCGCAAAGTTCACCGGCACCAGTGTCCGGGTTATCGCCGGAGCTCATAACCTAGGCATCTTCATAAATCTTCAGAACCGCGACAACGAAGAGTACCAGCTTACCCATCCAGCTGCGTATCTAGGTGGAATCTTGAGGGGTGCTTTGAGTGTCTCCGTTGCTGACTCCTGTTTCGTTACTTGCACGAAGACAAAGATAAAGGTCATACTCGAGTATCAAGAGGAGGGATGGCTGGGGAAGTCGCAAAACAAGGTCTTGGGTGTCATCTTTAAGTTCGACCCGGACAATGATACCAAAACTAAGATCAAGGAAGTTTCGGATAAGGACATATTGGCACGGATCGAAGGCAACTGGCAGGATAAAATCTACTACACCCTAGGAAACCAACCCTTTGCTAAGAACCACGTATGTATACACCAAGGGACCGATAAGACAAGGTACTGTACTGACCATCACACCAGGAAAAACATCTCCTCCTGGATCTGAATCCATTGTATCCCATCCCTAAAAACATCCCACCGCTTGAGCAACAACTTCCCAACGAATCGCGCAAATTCTGGGAAAATGTTACAAACGCAATCGTCAACAAGCAGTATTCACTTGCAACTACCCTTAAGCAAGAGATTGAGGAGAACCAGAGGAACAAGGCCGCGGAGAGGAAAACATCTAACAAGGAGTGGCAACCGCGCTTTTTCACTGGCGCTGTGACACCCGCTGGCAAGCCCGATCTCACCAAGGACGGTGAAGAAGCACTCAAGAAGTTGCATGACGACAAGTTCGACCTTGAACCGAACAAAGAGTACGGTGCCTTCTGAGCCGACTCTTTGAGATAGCCCTATTTGGGAATAATCATTACAGATTGGCACGAGCGGAGTCTGTGGATGTTTTGACAACCTTCGTTTGGCTATTGCTAATACATCAAATACGTGGCATATACGCATGGTTCTTTCCGGGGATAAGCGCTCGTTCGTGGTGTGGGCGTTTTGATCACTTTTCCGTTGGTTGTATCTAAGGACTACGGTCACAGCTGTTTAGATTTCCTGTTTCCCCTGGCGTTGCTTGCATATTCGTGGGCTTTGAATGACACACCTGGCTTTTTAGATTGCTCCATCGATGGATGGATGAATCAGTCAACCAATTGGGCAATTGATTAGATTATGAAACCTTTACATGTCCCTGTTCTTCAGAAAGAAACGTTCTGCAGATAAGCCGGAACTGGTTCTCGTATACTGCGGGAAGAAGGAAGTTGCATTCGTGTACTTATCTGTCGATCTATCCATCCTACAGGCAGTGCAATACCCATGTATGCCAATATGAGGTATCTAGAAGGCGATTTACAGTCGCTCACAACAGGTTGGTGGTTCGGAGCTGACTATGCGTTTTTGTCTCCGAGCCATTGCAATGATGCGAGGGAGACTCGACCACACTAACTTACGTATTGTCGATGCGGGGTAGCTCCTGCCCTGCTGCTTGGTGCAAAGAAACCGCGACCCTCGAACGATTGGGACATGCAGCAATTGGTCAGAATAAGTAGACCATGATCTCAAGATCTGACGAATGCTGCTCACGCGGTTCATGTTGGCCTCCCAATCTAGCTGCGCGATGATGGAATCGTCTTAGGCAAACATCCGACACCATTTCCAGGCACCAGACATTTACCCACCCCAAGACTTTCCACTCCCTCCACTTTGTGATCTCCACCGCAACACCACGATTTGACCCGGTAGCGACTGGGGATAATAGTAGCATCATCTTGCCCGTGAGCAACCATTCGTCACACTCAACTGATTGGGCTTCACACGCTGCTGTATTTTTCTCTTGCAGAATCTCTTTGGCATACACCCGTGGTTTGCGTCCAAGGGCCACCACGTGCTCAGTCCAAGATGGATCCCAAGGAGCGATTCTTCAGATATTTCCAACGGGAAGTCACTGGTAGGCCCATCATGCTGGAAGCTCAAGCTTCTCTTTTCTAACCTGCCTTCCAGCTCTCCAAGACCAGATGACCCGCATACCCACTACATCCCCCTCAGGCGGCGAGCTCACCGATGCAATTGACCACTGCCTTGCCGGCATCGATCGTCTGTCTCATGAAGTCAAAGACGCTTCTTCCTATATTCCCGCGTATGATCAGCGCACATACGCCGAAGCCATCAAAGCTCTATCCGAGAAACTGCAAGGTGTGCGTGCGTCCTGCGGTGGGAAGAAGAAATTCAGTTTCAAGACGGCCAAGAAAAACGCAAGCGCCATCAGTTTGTCAGATGCGGCTGCATTGGCCCAGAAGGGAATGCTGGGCACTTCGGAGAGGACCAAGGCAGGCGTGGACTCTGGAGTAAGTTCTATGGGGGGGAGTAGCTTTGTCACAACGCCACTAGACAAGCTGAGTCCCAGCGAGGAAAAGATGGAGTTGGAATTTCTCAAGCGCAAAGACCTCCAATCCGATACTACCACTTCCAGCCTTGCTGGCCCGCAGGTTTCGACAGCAACAGCGGAGAATGCTACGGGTGTGGCCATTACGAACCATGTAGGACATCACATTGTTCTCCCTTCTTCACCAACAGACGCCACACGATCGGGGACAGTCACAAATATCCGGCACAGCGTCATCGATCTTTCACCACCCACGACGACTGGGGGTCAGCCATTCGCAACTCTTATCTTGAAGAACATCAAGGACTCCCTGATAGTGTGCGGACAGGTCACTGGACCCATTCACATAACCAAGGTCGAGAACTCTGTATTGGTGACTTCGAGTCGCCAGTTTCGTATGCACGGGAGTAGCAACGTCGATGTGTATCTGCACTGTTCGAGTCGACCCATCATCGAGGACTGCGAAAATATACGGTTTGCGCCGGTCTCAACTTCATATGTAAGATGGATATCCTTCCACACCTTTCTGTTCATCTGTGAGGCTCAGTATTGATGTGATGTCAGGCTCCGGCAGATGTTTCCACATCGGCGAATCAATGGGATCAAATTGATGATTTCAAATGGCTGAAAGCCGAACCAAGTCCGCATTTCAGCATTATGCCGGAGAGCGAGCGCGTCGAAGCAAAGGTGTGGGAGAATGTGGTGCCAGGTGGCCACAGTATCAGCTTGAATGATATTTTGAGGGCTGTCGGTCGAGACACGACTGTGGGGTAGCATGTGCGCCCGTATCAGAGGGCCTGGCCGATCGGATGGGTTGACCATCTTTGTATCTTATTCCTCATCATACTACAGTGAAGACAGTCACATGTGGGATCAAGGCGAGCAGTGACCGAATTCAGAGACAGGTCGAAGAAATGGCGGGCGGTTACCACCGATTATAAAGTTGGCTGGTTGCTAATAGCCCTCGGTCGCGTGGGCATGTACACCATTATAGCGACGGTTTATCGTGTCTTGTTTCTCGATGCAGTTTCTAAAAGTGTCAAACACAATAATATCATGGGCAAGTCCTGCGCATGCAATGTGGCATTGTCTCGCGGTCACACATTGTTGAGGTTGAGGGCAACATGTGTCCCCGCGTGACCCATTGATCCATCCAACCTTCAGCTGACACGCGTGATGAAGATGCACTGTCGTCGGCGGAACACAATGACAACGTGACTAGAAGGGATTGAGGAGCAAGTCGGTCTTAGATATATTGCAAGCATCAGACAAAAAGGAGGTAACGAAATGTTGAGGCGCTGTTGAAACAACATGGAGTTTGGGAACGAGGGACGCGTAGGCGGACCCAAACGCGGCGAATGGCATCAAAACAACAAGTTGCGGAGAAAGCAAGCACTAGGTTAGACTGGGCATCAGGCGGAAAGGATCATGGATCAAGCCGAACAAAATAAGAATAGAAATCGATATCGATAGAAAGCAGCGGGTCTCAGGCGCCACAGCCCGATAAGGGTTGTGAGAGTACAAGGAGATGTGAGTTGAACGTTGAAGGAAAGTTGAAAACCAGACGTGGAGGTTGACGCAGCAAGCGGCAGATGCGCAAGAACCCCCAACACCACAGCGGAAGCACCCAGAACAAAGGTCCGCGACGGGATCAATGCTAGCAATCGCAGCCTGCTTTAGATCAGTGGATTTCATTCACCCTTCCTAGATAGGAATGGCCTGGAGGGTACTCAGAGGTTGATCTGGAAGGGTGTCTTTGGGTTAAGCGAAGGTATATAAGGACCCGCTCGCCCACCCGCGCTCACCCTCCTTCTGCTCCAAGATTCCCTTCTCTCGACGCTCCACCGGAAAACCAGTTTGACTCTTCGCTAGAATTACACATTCAACAAGCTTCCCTTCTATATACAGCAATCATCCATAATGCCTCCCAAGAAGTCCACCACCGCTGCTCCCAGCAAGAAGGCCTCCGGTGCCGCCCCTGCCCATGGCTCCTACATTGGTATGTTGCACGCGTTTACTCCCCACCACGCTTTCGCGCTGCATGTGCGATGGCTTTGTTGTGATCGCCGCAGAATGCTGACTAGATATCATAGATATGATCAAGGAGGCTATCCTCAGCGTGAGTCCATGATTTCTGGCGCATCACGTTCCCCGCACCTGGCGTTGCGACGCCTAGGCGTGCCCATCCCTCAACAGCTACAATACGCGTCCTCCAACATTGTACAAACAAGAATAACATCACTGACTTGCTCTATGCATCCTACAGCTCAAAGAACGCAATGGATCAAGGTTAGTCATTCTCTCCCTCCCTGACGCCGTCGAAGTTGTGGGTGCCTGACCACGCTTCCTGCCGAAAATGCCGCAGAGCTCTTTACTGACCAAGGCAACAGCCGTCAAGCCATCCAGAAGTATATCAAGGCCAACAACAGCGTGGGCAATATCACCGACACCATGTTCAAGAGCCTTGTCAACCGCGCCATCTCGACTGGTGAAGAGAAGGGTATCTTCTCGCGTCCCAAGGGTCAGTTTCATACCTATCCTCCTGCGTACCTTGCTGACTCGCCCATCAGGTCCCTCTGGAACCGTGAAACTCGCAAAGAAGGAACCGGCTAAGCCTGCCGCAAAGGCCGACTCCAAGGACGCAAAGGCTGAGAAGAAGACTACCGCCACCAAGACCAAGAAGGCTACCACTACCGTATGTTGTCCAACTTCCAACGTCTGCTTTCAAAGCTAACTCATATCGCTCAGAAGGCCAAGGCACCTGCTGCTAAGAAGGCTACCACCGCGAAGAAGGAGAAGGCACCTGCTGCCAAGAAGGAGAAGACTACCACCACCACCACCAAGAAGGCTGCCGGCAGGCCCAAGGCAAACGCCAGCAAGCCTCGCAAGGAGGCCGATGCTCCTGCTCCCGCTGTTGAGAAGGAAGAGACCCGTGTCTTGGGCAAGACCAAGTCTGGACGCGTCACCAAGACCAAGGCACCCGCTAAGAAGGCCGCGGCGCCCAAGAAAGCGGCTGCCACCAAGAAGGCTCCGGCGAAGAAGGTCACACCAAAGAAGGCTGCGGCATAAACGACTCTTCACGACCTTTTTTCCCTGTTCTCTTCTGACTGTGGTCGCGTGTTGCGGCACGCGCAACCGTATTGATGATATCCCCCATCTATGTGTTTAGTTTCTCTGTTCGGCGATGTGCACGGGTTCGGGTTAAAGGGTGGTGGGGGGGTCACCGGGGTGTTGGTCTTTCTCTCCATCTCTGTCTGTTTGGGTCTGTATGGCGTTTCTATAGGCGCTTCTTCGTTATTGCGGGCATTGTTTGCGCTGCTGTTACTGCTCCATTATTTCGTTACAAGAGAGGTGCAACCGCACGAGCGGCTGCTGCAACCACCCATCTGATCTGCTGCGAGTTCCAAAAGAAAACCGCACGAGCAATGAAAACACCTCTGATGTTCAATTCATGCATTTTTCTTCACATGCCGGTGATGAGACGCGTTTTTTCTTGCAATGTGCTGGGTTTCACTCGAGCGCGTTTGTTTTGATTTTTTCTCTCCAACAACGCGACTGGCAAACAGCTCCATGTTTTCCCCCCCAAGCTGCCCGGAGACGTGACGTTGGAGCTCAGTATCGATAAGAGAGGACCCTGGGGTGTGGCTGTGCTGCTGTGGCTGCTCCCATCTTGGTCTAGCGGGCTGCGGGCTGACATCTGGCGCAATCGCAGACACGATTGAGATTGTTGGCAGCAACCGTGGACGAGAGTTGATCGCACGAAAGGATCGCAGCAGGTCATTGGGTGCGGTTCAGAAACATGTGCAGTACGCGCAAACACACACGCAAACGCACGCGCAACAGCTTCATCAGAATATTTGTCCGAGTAGATCAAGAAGAGCGCCTCACTCATGGGCAAATATATCTCGAGGGCTGCTATGACTTCTGGCTGATGGATGAGACGATGATGACTGAAGCGGATGGGTCTCATCCTTTTCGCAGCAAAACGCCTCATTTCATCCGAATCCAACATGTATGTGCAAAATTAGTGGACAGGCGCGCGTTAGAGACGCATGTACATATGTATACTCGGTATGGACGTGGGCACTATTTCAGCCTCATTCATTCTAAAAGGGGTAAAATCTGGGGATTTGCAGTCAGAATCGATCCTGGATTCCATGCATACATCCACGTCAATCACAGATTGAACAAATCCATGTTTGCATTTGTTTGTTTCACTGCAAAGAATGGCACATGGAAGCTGAGAGATGATGTTTTTGCATGATGACGAGATGCTGCCAAATGATGTAAACATCAGATTCGCACGTTGAAGAATGAAGGGTCGGCGTGACGCGGCTAAGGGCGAGCGCAGATTGCAATTTCCCAGCCTGCCTTCTGCCGGGGGGGGGATGGTGGGGATGGGCCAGTAGGATGGGATGGAACGGAAGAGGGTGTTGAAAAAAAATCCACTGATCACAGGCAGCCGGTGTGGATCTTTTTGTTGTTTCTGCCCTGCGGTTTTCAAAGCTGTGAAGGAAGAGAGTTGTGTAGATTGGAAAGACTGCAAGGTGATTCGTGCGTGCGTATATGGGGGGATGCTGAGAAAGGCGGCCGGGAGGGACGGAGGGGGAACGCATATTTGCTCGGCGCAGTTCCGGGTCCCAGGTAGGTGCCTGTTTGACACGAGGTTGTTTTATTCTTGTCACCGCGCTTAGAGTGTTTACAGCCATTGATTCGGGGGTCAATCAACGACTGCAGCTGGTGCTGGAGGGGATAGACATGGCGTCGTCGCTATACGCATGAGGGAGTGTGTGTGGCTGAGCGCGGAGCAGCATTCGGGCTCTTTGCTCCCGAATAGGCGAGGGCTAATCCCCTGAGGAAATGACGCGCGGGAAAACTCGCTCGACGGGTGGGCGGGCCTGTGCCTGTGCCATGTAATGGATGGGTTGGGCATCTGGTGAAGAAAACAGCACGTATTTGCTTGTCAACGGCGCTGCAAACAGTAGAATATGATCCCGTATGATGGATCAGAGAGGCTTCACGTATGTCTGCATGGAATATAGGTACTACCCATGTATATCCCAGGCAAAGGGCTGTAGACATGGTGGCTGACTGCTGTTCCCTCGCATTCAAAGCCTTGCCGGCTCCGGCTTGTGCATCTTGGCAGCCACGGACGACACCCTGGGTCGAGCAGGCTGGCTGGCTGCCAGGTTGGCTGACTACTACTAACAACTTAACCTTTGTCTCTGCCAATCTTCAAGAGATCCATTGCTTCAACCCCCATCCACCTTGCAGTGCTGCATTCGTACCCGTTATCCATACAGCACTTCTTCTCTCACCCCCAATCCTCACACACCGCGACCTTCCCACACCCATCCATCTCATCCACCCATCCAACCCTCCAATTCGCGCCGCCAGCGCCCCATAGCAACCGCGCTCCCGCCCACCCCAACCAACTACGGACCCCGTCACCATCACCACCTCTGCCACTGCTACTGCCACGCACACCATCTCGCCCGACCGCCGAACCCTCCCTGCACACGACCGTTTGCTCATCTCCCAGAATACACTCGGCCAGCTTGGTTGATGCTCACTACCATTGTCGTGCCGCGGACGATGCCCTCTTTGGCAACCGACAGCAGCAGCGACTATCCAGACAATACCCACCGCGTCCCGCAATCTCCTTACGACCTGCCCATTCACACCACCACCAAGCTGCCCCAGCAAAGGGCCAGCCCGGACAGGCTCGCTAATGGACAAACTCAAGCCATGAATGGCAAACTTGCGAATGGACAGCCAGCGCAGTCCACCCCAAACGGCCGTACAGCACACCAGCCTTCGTCAACTGAGAAGCGGTCATCGCACCCAGATGGCTCCGTTAATAATTCACAGCGAGACTGGAGCTTGGATTCTCAACGTCTTGGCAGATCGTCTGAAGGTCAGGGTCTCTATACTAACCCCTCAAGCGGAGACGACGGCTACTTTGCCTCAGCTCAGAATCGCTCCGTCGAGGTAGAGGAAGGCTCTCGAAGCACTCGTGTCAAAATGGGAAGCTTCAATTCTGGCGATGGTACTAGTGACACGCGTAAAGAGTCCAACGGGTCACTAGCCAGGCACGAATCAGACCTGCAGTCTTCACAGCCGGCTCATCCGCCAAGCAATCTGCAGATCCCAGGTAATCCGTCATACCGCGTTTCTTCTCCTGCCGCATTCAACCACAGCTCTACCTTGCCTGATCCTTCCCAACGCTTGCAGCAACGCCACACCCTCGAGGTTCCCAAGGTCTCCTCCTCGTCCACACGTCCCCGGGAGCCCCAGAATACTACCGATGACGTCGTAAGCGCCAGCGGCAGGTTCTCCCCAAACACCCCGACTCGTCGGAGAGGTTCCATGTCTCTTGCTAGGCGGGCCACGCGCTCAATCCATTCCGACATGCATCTTGATGAGATGCCCCAGGATGAAGATGCTGCGCGATGGGCCGAGCATATACGTCAGAAGCGTGCCAGCAAGAGAAAGAGAAAAGACGATGAGGACGACGATAGAGTCGTCGTCGGTACCAAGGTGGACCAGAACCACGTCAACTGGGTCACCGCGTACAATATGCTTACAGGAATTCGCTTCACCGTCTCCAGAACGAATGCGAAAATGGATCGTGAACTCACCGAGGCCGACTTCGACGCTAAGCACAAATTCTCATTTGACATGTACGTTTCCAACATATCTCTCACGTGTGGAACCTCATTGATGTAGTAAATATCCTACACGTCATATGGGGCTCTGCAGTCAGTGTGCTGGTTATATACATAAACTGACGTGAACACAGTACTGGAAACGAACTCACTCCATCTGCCAAGTACGATTTCAAATTCAAGGATTACGCACCTTGGGTCTTCCGTCATCTCCGCACCATATTCAAACTGGACCCTGCCGACTATCTCGTATCGTTGACAAGTAAATACATCTTGTCCGAGCTCGGATCTCCTGGCAAGAGTGGAAGCTTCTTTTACTTTTCCAGAGACTACAAGTACATCATCAAAACGATCCACCACGCCGAACACAAATTTCTCCGCAAGATACTCAAAGACTACTACAACCACGTCAGAGAGAACCCCAATACCCTTTTGTCTCAATTTTATGGGCTTCATCGCGTGAAGATTCCTTACGGCCGTAAAATTCATTTCGTTGTCATGAACAATCTCTTTCCTCCGCACCGAGATATCCACCGCACTTTTGATCTGAAAGGTTCCACTATCGGAAGAGACTTTGGGGAAGAGAACCTGGAAGCCAATCCTCGAGCAACACTGAAGGATCTCAATTGGTTGCGGAGGGATCAACACCTAGAATTTGGACCAAGCAAGAAGCAGGCCTTTGTTGAGCAGATGCAGAGAGACGTCAAGCTGTTGCAGCGGTTGCACATTATGGATTACTCTCTTCTCATTGGCATCCACGACCTGGAGAAGGGCAACGAAGAGAATTTGCGGGACAAGACCCTGCAAGTATTCCAGCCGGGTGGAGACCAAGGAGAGGAGCCTCAACCAGCCATGCTCACCCGAACTCCTTCCAAGCTGGAAACAGCGCGTAAGGCTAAGGAGTTGAGACAGACGTTGAAGATGCAAAAGCCTGTTCCGATGGACCAGATGGCAGACAAGATGCCTGACGAACTACACAATCAGCAGAAGACCAACTACTTTTACACCGACGATGGCGGCTTCAGAGCTACCCACGAAGATGACAACCCGGGAGAAGAAATATACTACCTGGGCATCATCGACTGCCTAACTCACGTAAGTCACGACTTGATACTTTCACTTGATTCATTTCACTAACTACTTCAGTACTCACTCATCAAACGCTTGGAGCATTTTTTCAAGGGATTAGGCAATGAAGAATCACAAATCTCAGCTATTCCCCCGGAGAGATACGGCGATCGTTTCGTCAGATTTATCAGTAGTGTCACAAAGACGAAGGAAGCGGCCGAGCGCGAGAAGAACGAGGAAACAGCATACGCTGAGCACGATCCAACGCTCACAGGCATCAATGCCACCAGTAGCGACCGGGAAACCACAGAGAATGTAATACACAGGGCCGAGGGACAGGCTGACCGGTCAAGGCGGATGGGGGCAAATGAAGACGAGGTGCCGCATCGTGAACTGCGTAGCGTCAGGAGTCCCTCCGCTGAACGTGGTGAACTAGGTACAACTCTTCCCATAGTGGAAGAAGCAGCCGAGTCGGCCAGTACAGGGGGGAGGAGTGGCCGTAGCACAGAGACTGAATTGAGGCCGCGGGCTCCGCCGTTAACACAGGAGGACCGACGTTTGACAGACCGCAGATCAAGAGACGGGTCACACGGTCGCCCACCACCCACGCCACCCAAAGACTCTGGAACTGCCAACAGTGAGGAACGACCCCCAACCCCACCCAAAGATCAAGGGTACGCCAACAGGCATTCCGGGCCTCCCACACCTCCGAAAGAAAAGGGCATCCCAGCTACGAACAAGGAGCTCCCTCATCTACCTGGTATGGAGAAGACGGTCGTGAGGGTGAATTAAGAGAGCTGCCTCGCGTGCTGACCTTTTGCAATACTGTTGTACACGACGCCTCATGATTCTTCAAACTAATCCAGACGGACGCATCTTTGTATGCTCTTTTGTACATTTCTTTTGTTGTCACTATTCCCTCTCGTAAAGACATTTCTTTCTCTCTTCGTTGAAATCATATCTCATGGGACTTTGCATAGTCATCATCCATCTTCCAAGGCCTCCTTTTCCCTTTGTCGAAAGCTTTCCTTCTATTTTCTACATATTTTTATTGTCTCTTTTGATTGCGTCCATTTTTTGCCTTATTGAACGAAGCGTTGCTGAATTGAAAGTGTGCCCAAATGCATGATACCACTTCTCTCTATAGTCGCGTGCTACTACCCGCTGGCTTGCTTCCTTGCTGTCGTCCCTTTTGTTCGAATCACTCCACTATGTATGTAGTAGCAGTCTACTTCGCCTTTCCCCTGTTGGTGTCTGGCATTTCCTTCTTGTATCGTGTGGAAGGAGGTGTGGGTATGGACGGGCATGACATTTGTTGGTAGTCAAGATTGGCGGTAGTGGGGTAATAACCTGTATCTTCTCTTTTATGTTGTCTTTGCCTTGTTTTATTTGTTTGTAATTCCCCGTATTAGAAGGGTAGGTAGGTAGGTAGGTAGCAAAGGGAACGGATTGTGGGAGGAGGGGGACCCGGGGTTTGGGGTGTTTTGGAAATAACAGTCTGTTTGATTATTTTGTTTGTCTGGTCTGGTTTTGACACTCTGTTGGTGGTGGTGGTGGTGTTGTTGTTGACGGGATAAATTTTTCTTCTTCTCTCTCCTCTCCTCTTGATTATTCCATGTTACCCATTTTGATTGCGCTCTGTTCCCTCTATCTGATAATAAAAGAGTGGCTCTTTTCCCTTTCCTAACGGTCATAAAGTAATTCCTCTAGAGATTACTTCTTTCTCCTTCATTCTGCTCTTCCGCTGTAGAGTTACTGGATAGGTCATTACATAAAGTAGATAGGTAGATAATCATGATTACAATTCTCATCCTTAGCATGACTGAGGCTTTCTGAATGTGGGTGTGTAGAAATCAAGTCCTAGTATCATGCCTACTGATGCTATGCCATCAATGATAGAGTGCACCTTTCTTTGAACTGTATGTAAATTTTTATCTTTCCGCGTTCGACTACATCTATGGTGACAGCAACTACCTCCCTCCCTGATATCTCTTTTTCTGCGTTCATGAGCTCACGCTTGATTACCCAGTACTATAGAAAAGACATCTTGGTCACCTGCTGTGTGAACGTAAAACATGTGTATGTATATTAAATTATCCTAGTCGGGGGGCACCCCTCAGGGGGTTGTTTATCGTTGCAAACTATCGCTGTGTGTAGAATCACCTAAGCTCCAACTTGAGATTGATTTATGGCTCACTGACGTATTGTGGTAGATCCTGAGTGGTATACAAGTCATATGGTCATGCCTTCGAGTGTAGACTACGCTGTCGTGTTTCTTTCTTTCCTTTCTCTTCCCTACCGGGAGACTAGAACTTGAAAGCTCTAAAATGATATATATAACAGAACAACACGATATAGTTACACCAAGATGCTCCATATCCCTAACAATTGCTTCAACTATCTTAATATGAATTTATAGTCTCTTACACGTGTGTTTCTTTTTTTTTATGGCCTGTTATCTTGGTTCCTCGTATCGCTGTGAACTCTTCGCTGTGTGTAGGATCACCCAAAGTCCAACTCAGAATTATAGTCTCTTATGTTACCTGGTAAGTTTGGATACAATTGTTTCTTTCCTCCCCCTTTGCCTTCCTCTACCTTTATGACTAGAAAAGCATCACTTGCCCTGACAGGCAATCAACTCACCACTTGATCACACTTTTTCTTATTTACAAACATTTGAAGGGAAGGAGCATACCACCAGAATCAGTTTCTTTTCCCCGAAAGGGACGATTGTACATAACCAACTTGAAGTCATCACAAACAACCCACCATCACGGGAGCCAGAGACGATCCGTCTGTATTTGCAAGCGTCTAGCAACTCAACATTTCACTTGCTCTAGGACTCCCATGCCCGATAGCAGAAGGACGTGGATGCACGAAACCGAAAAAGTCCGAGATAGATTAATGGCGTGTTTGTTTTACACAATGCCATGATTTCAACTCCTGCATTGCCGATTCATCACCATGGACTCTGACATTGCCAAGTTGCTCATGAATGTAATTGTACAGTAGCGGCCTTTCCCCCCCTTTCTTTTCCCGCTCGCTGCCTCCTGTTCCCGTTTTCTACCTCTAACCTATCCCATTCGCTTACTTGTAGAAGTCAAACTTATCCGCCTCTGTCGCACCCTTGACCTGGCTCGAGTACGCATCCTCCAAATCACTCTGAATGATGTTGTACCTGTTCTTCCGCACAGCCCTTAGACCAGCATCTTGCATGATGGCGGCGATGACAGCACCGGAAAGGGGGTCGTTCCGTACGATCAAGCTGTCCAGGTCCACTTCAGGAGACAAGCTCATCTTGCTTGCGACTGTGCCAAAGATGAGGCGGCGCTCACGACGGTCGCGTAGCGAAGGGAACTCAATCTTTCGGTCCAGACGACCGGGTCGAAGAAGAGCCGGGTCGAGAGTGTCTGCACGGTTCGTTGCCATGATGACTTTGACGTTGGAGGTTTGGTCGAAGCCGTCCATTTGATTCAAGAGTTCAAGGAGAATACGCTGCACCTCTCGGTCGGCACCTGTCTGCGCGTCGAAGCGTTTTGTGGCAATAGCATCGATCTCATCAATAAATATGATGGAAGGTGAGTTCTCCCGCGCCATTCGGAACACATCGCGCACCATGCGCGGTCCTTCGCCTAGGTATTTCTGCACAAATTCAGACCCCACTACGCGAATGAAGGATGCTGTCGTGCTGTTGGCCACTGCCTTCACCAGCATAGTTTTTCCTGTTCCAGGTGGGCCATACAGAAGCACACCGCGCGGCGGATCGATACCGATTTGCTTGTACAGATCGAAATGGGTCAGTGGCAGCTCTACAGCTTCCCTGATTTCTTGCTTCTGCATATCCAAGCCACCCACATCTGCATACGATACATCTGGTTTCTCGTCTTGGCCAAGCATAGCGATGGAGGAGTCGGCTTCTGGGGGAAGGATGTCGACGAGCGCATTCGAATGTCGGTGGAGGGCAACAGAGGAAGAAGGCTTGAGAAGCTCGCGGTCGAGAGTAGATAGGATACGAACAACGTAGTTGGAGCCGGTTGATGACTGCACAATACCAGTACTGCGCAAGTTAGTAATCCAGCTGATTGTCGGTCTGGAGGTTACCTACTTCTGGTCGATCGCCTCCATGAACTGTCCTATGACCAAAGGCACACTCTGAATCCGCTTGATTTCTTCCTGTGCGCGTACAAGTTCTCTCTTTAGACTCCGCTGCTCATCCTTGATATACTCTTCCTGAAGATGGATATACCTAGCCATGATTAGATCCATGAGCGTGGTTTGCCTGTCATGATATGTGTACGTACTCAAGTTGCCGTTGGAGCTTCTTGAAGGTGGAATAGTCATCATTGCCGTCGGTGGAGAATCCCTCCAGCGAGTCAAAGTTGGGTATCGATGACGGGAGCTGCTTCTTGTGAGGCGGGACAGTGTTGGCTGGGTTTTCAACCGCGACGTCAGCCATGGTGGGTAGGATAAATTTTTTGTTGACCTGTTATGACGGCGATAAAAAATGTGTTGTCTGGACTTGGAACAGTATGTGGTGAAGGCGCGGGTAAACGAAAGCGTGGTTGTTGATGTGTTCGCCTGCCAGAAGCTCCGTCACTTACGTTGAGCGGAGGTCAGCGCGCCAAGCCGTCACGTGTGAGCACACTTTCACCTTCAGGTACAGGTTTAGGTACGTGCACACATCTTTGAATTTCAGGGAAGATTCTGGATAGATTTTGCGAGTACGTACTATTCATTGAATTACGGTGAGGTCATGTATGCTAAGTCCCAAGAAACGCAGGTATATAATCTGTGTATGTACGGATCTGCGCGGTATAGCTGGAGTCCAGAATTAATGCTAAACAAGTGATTGGGCTTGGCCTAAGCGCAGCATGAAGCACGCCCCTCGAGGCAATCATATCACGTCTGATCCGTCTTACCGCAGGCTTCCGAGCAGCAGGATGTAGCCTTTTTTTTTTCAAGCTTATCTTATGGTGGCGCATAATGGATGTTTACCATGGCTCACAAGATGGTACGGGAGGCGTCGAGTTTACCATTTATCGATGTTTATTCTATGCCTCACTATGTACGAAGCTAAGCGGCCGCCATTTTGGTTTTGGAGGTGATGTGGTAGAACCCAGCCTATTAGACACAGGGAAAGAAGTAGGGGCGTAAACCATTGTCTGATACATGTCCAGACAAGTGTAATGCCGAATAAGCTTCTGCGATGATTGATTGCATGAGGCGCCCATGCTGTCCCCGCCATCAAACTCCATGCGGCCCGAGTGCTAGTGGTGCGATAGGCCCTTGGCTCCCAGTACGTTATCTTGATAGACCGTGGACCACAGTCACGGCAACTGTACCCCATCCGGACGCGATAATGAGATGGTCAATGCCAGCAATGCGGGATATAGAGCCAGATGTAATTACAAGTGTGGTGACATTGGGCCGGCGGACGGTGCATGGCAATCAACGGCCACCCCGGTCAATTGCCGACGGCGTGCTCAAATATGGCGAATTGGTGATGCGTATCAGCCGGCGGCATATGTTGGCACTGCTCAAAAAGGCCCACAAGAATCGGATCAGCGGTGGTCAGCCATGTGATGATGGAACAGCCCTATGGGTGAGTATCGCTGAGTCGGGCAGAAGAAGCCAGGGGACGAGTCAAAGCCATGGCTGAAGATGCATTGGTCCTCTCGATTAGTATGTATGGCAGAACAGAAGGAGAAGAAGCAGAGAAGCGTAAGGCGAAAGTATATCGACGGCGAGAAGAAAGGAAACGAGGAGTTATGGAGCAGTGAACAAGCAGACAGATGGTGTCGAAGAGGCAGTCGAGCATACTTGGATCTGGACCTGGTTGGCAAGAGAAGGACTAACGAGAGCCCAGGGTCTCGACAGCACATGGACAGGTACTTGAGCAGACAGACATGGACCATGATGCAATGAGTGTGAATAAGTGGAGAGAGAGAAGGCAAGATCAATGTTCCACTTCTGTCACACGGCGGTCAAATAAACCGGGTGGGCGAATTAGGTTAGGCTTGACGTTGAGTCTCCGGTAAACGTAGCCACTCGACTGGCTCGCGCGCGAACGCGTGTTCGATCCTTATGCAGCTGGCGGGCTGCTCATCAAAAAAAAAGTTGTCGAGACGTGCCGGGCAAACGATTGTTGATGTTTGGACGAGCAATTGCGCGGTGGTGGTGTGCCGGCTGGCGTCTCGTATCCTCCCTCCTTGGAGTCGCTCTGCTCTGCTTGGGGCAAAACTGGACTGGCGATCCCGTGACCTGCGAACGCTTTAGCGCAGCCAAGAAGCCTCGCTCCTTCTCAACGACCCCCGTACTCACAACTCGTAGCCGCTCCGCAAATCGCGTCTGTTGTATACGTGAATCTGCTGCCGACCGCCTGCCCGCCTGCCTTGATGCAGAATCACTGGTAACACCCTCCAGTCACCACGCGGTTCGTGTCCCTCTGCTCCTCACTCCGCCCATCTTCACCCTCCTCTCCTTCACCCAGTCCGCCCCAGCCCAGACACCAGCCCACATCTCGTCCAACACCAAGCCCGCGTCACCATCGCGCTCTCCATTGGCGCGCCCCATCCATACCATCAACATGCATACTGATGATCCATTCTACAGGCCCATTGAATGCTCTCGCGTCCTTGACAACGCCCCGTCCCAATCCCCCCAACCTCGCCAGCGCCAGCGCCAGCGCCACGGCCACCCTCACTCCCATCTCCCATCGTCTCACCTCTGACGCGCATCATGGATTTCCAACCGCCCCAGAATGGAATGTATGATCCGTCCAGTTTCATCGATCCGAGCGCCATCACAAATGGCCAGATGAACGGCGCGCGCTCCTATCCAATGTCTTCGGTCCCCCAGAAGCGAGACTCGACAGGCGCGACTCTATCGCGCTCTCAGACGCCATCGCAACAAGCTCAATTCGGCTTCCAACAGGGCTTCTCACATACTCCTTCCCCTACCATGCAAAACCAACACTTCCGACCTGGCCAAATGGCACCGCAAAGGATGCAAACCGCATCACCCGCGCAAAATCCTCACGCCCCTCAGATGTCCCCCATGGGATACTCGCAGCCTTCGCCCATGCCCCAAAGCTTCGATCCCAATCCGAACGGGCAATTTCCAGTTCAATCCGTTCAGCTATCGCAGAACCTCCAGAGTCGACAGGCGGAAGCGCAGAGGCAGTACGCGATGCGCCTACAGCAGCAACAGCAGTTGGGCAATCTGGCTGCTAGCAACATGGCAGCGCAACAGAGGCATCAGACTGGTCAAATCCCCCCCCGGGGTGCTCCCCATCCTGGCATGCAACAGCAGCCACAAATGATGCCCGGTCAAATGCCTCAAATGCCCAACCAGATGCAAGGTGCTATGCCGGGCCAGATGCAGAACCCTAATCAGAACCAGATGCAAAATCCAGTGCCAGGTCACATGCCAGGCCAAGTTCCCGTGCCTGGACAGATAGGGGGCCAGATGCAAAATGCCCAATTGCAAATGCAGCAAATGCAGCAATTCCTCAACAACGTAAAGTCTCTTATGGCCCAGCACGGACGACCATTCAATCATCGTCCGAACGTTTGCGGGCGGCCCACCAATCTTCTCCAATTGTATACAGCTGTAAGCAAGTTCAAGGGATCCCAGATGGTCACACAAAATGGGCAGTGGCCTCAGATTGCCCAGATGATGGGCATCCCAGTGAACCAATTTCCCAGTGCACCTGAAGAACTTCGCCTTGCCTACGAGAGTCAGCTAGGCCTCTACGAAGCCGCTTACATACAGAAGCAGAAGCACCAACAACAGCAGGCGCAAATGAAAGGAATGAACTCAATGCCCCCACAAATGGGAAACATGGGTCAGCAGATGTCTCCGAACAGGAATGCTGTCCCAGGCACACCGAGTAATCCATCGTCGCACCAGGAGTACATGATTCAAATGCAAAAGAAGGCAGTGATGCAACAGCAACAGCAACAACAGCAGCACCAACAGCAACAGCAGCAACAGCAGCAACAGCAGCACCAACAACAGCAGCACCAACAGCAGCAGCAGCACCAACAACAGCAACAGCACCAACAAATGCCACCTCGACAAGTTGATCCTAATGCCCAGCAGCCGAACCACCAGCAACCGCACCAGTTTGAACCTTCACTCCAACAACCGCCACAAACGACACCGACTCCAAGGAATGTTACACCGGCACTTATGAATGGTCAAGGTACACCGCGTGCGGATGGGGTTGTTCCCAACCAGAATCGAAAAAGTCTCAGTCGTCCCCTTGAGGGTACTCCCGGGCCGGGCCCAGAACCTGGTCGAGCGACTGCATCGCCATCTAAACCGGAGACAAAAGAACCCACCGCCAAGCCTACAGATCCCGAGAGAGATTTTTTTATATCCGACGATGGCTTCTACCAACCCGCTACAACCACCATTAAGGATACCTGGGGTCTACTAGGATTCCAATCAGAGCTGCAGAAGTTGGTCGATCAGAAATTGCAAGTCATTCCCAATGTGCCTGAGATACGGGAGATGGGTGTTGTCGATGTAAGAGCGTTGACCATGAGTATTCGATCCGGTCTTCATGCGGAGACAAGACTCGCTTTGGATATTCTTTCTAAGCTCACTAGCGAACACAACCTCCACATTGATTTAGAGCAATGTGAGGACTTGACTGACGTTTTGGTCGACTACGCCGAGGGACAATTGGAGCTTCTAGCCAACGACGTCCCCGAAGTGACTGACATCATCGACCTTACTTCGTATGAAGACGTTACACACAACTGCCAAGTAGAAGTCAGTAATCTCCAGGATCATCCTCAATTCGGCACCAAAGAGTACGAGGCCGACCGCACTGCGGATCGGCTGATTGCTATAACGGGTATATTCCGCAACCTATCTTTTCTGGAGGTCAATCACGTCTCTTTGTCGAAGCCTTCCGTATTGAAATTTATCTCGAATGCAATACGGCTTGTTGGGACACGTGTGCTTCTGCTGCGCTCTCACCTCAACACCTTCGATTTCATGAAGGACTTGGTTACCTTTCTCTCCAACATCAGCACCAGAATTGTATTGCCATCCCGAGATGATGCGTATGCAATCTTGCACTTCTTGTGTGCATTTGTACCGAACCCTCGACCTGGAACACCTGTCCGATTTACACCGTACAACCCACGGACACACCGCTATCTTCCATCAGCCGTAGACAGTCTTGCTAAACTACTAGCTCGGGACGACCCTAATAGGACATACTACAAACAGATCTTTGCTAACGAAGCCTCCTCTGATCCGCCTTATGATCTTCTCACACGCGCTTTCGCCCTCGCCGTTTCTGTCATTCCCGACCGAACCGAGGGTAGGCTGCATGACGTGGCGGAGGTGCGTCCCAAAGAGCTTCGAGCATACGAAGCGCGGATTGCCGAGGTGCGCAAGGCATTCCTCATGCAGGGTATGCTCGCCGCAGACATTCTGGCCAGTCTTGCACCCGGCCCCGACAGTGGCATCTGCCGCTCCTGGCTCGAGGCAGAGGACGGGTGGGCTAGCAGTCTTTTGAAATTCGCGATGTCACTCGCTACCATGGAGGGAACGAACCCTCCGCCACCACCGCCTACTCAGCGTGGCCAACGCCCCATGACCGAGGATAGAGAGAACTTCCAACTCATTGTGCACCGGGCGCTGTCGATGCTGAGGCGGTTGGGAGAAAAGTCCAAGGGCACGGAGGTGTTGGTGAAGAGCGTGCAGGTGAATGGTGTAAATCATGAAGAAGAAGATGATGATTACGATTTCGAGGAGTTAGATTTTGGAGGTGCAACTTGGAAAGTCAAAGCCGACATCCTTCCTAGAAAAGAGACCGTCCTCGGTGCACTTCTCATGACAGCTATGGACTCCAAGTCCTTGAGACAATATTGCGGGCTTGGGTATCTTGCGGAATCATAGACTTCAGCAGCAGAAACGGCCTTGGATGTCATTATGGGCGTTTTTATTTTCAGTGCAAAGATGGAAAAGATGGAAAAGGGTGACAACTGGTGGAATTTGTCATCATGCCACGGACTACCTTGCTGTGCTTTTATTCATACCTCCGGGACGGCGTCGTTTTCCTTCTATTGTGTAGCCTCTTTGTCTTATATCCTGTCTATGCTTGAATCTTTGTGGCGTTTCGGGGGTTTCTCGAACACTTTGTAGTAAGAAAGTACATAAATGGCTGTATGCAGCTTGGAAATGAAAGGAATGAGAAGGTGTTCTTTTCACATCATGTCATTATAAGCGAGGGAGCATTGCGATCAATAAGATCCATTTCAATTTCATTAATAAAACCTTGAATTGTCAAGGTAATAGTTGGTAGGTATCAAGATTAAGTGCGTCTAGTAAAATGCGTACGCAGTCGCAAATGACGCAAAGTCTGCATGCGGCTAGTCGTACCTAGGTAGTAAAGGCAGAGGCAGGTCTAGGCGAGCCAAAGTTATACTTTAATCCTTGACCATCAACACCACCTAATTCAATCCTCAACTATCCCGCCACCCCACGACATGGCAGATTTTGTTCGCGGCGAGCGCGTGTACTTTGACTTCGATTCTGGCGGGATAACAGGAAAAGTCGGTCCCGAACAGGATGAAGCACCGCCCGTCCTCGCCTCCGCTTTCGTCGGTGATATCTTGGAACGACCCGCCACAGTGACAGCAGCCACGCCCCCGGTTGCTCCCAGTTTCAAGACACAAGTCAACGGATTCCCGGCACATAAGAAGCGTACCCCAAGGGTTTCCGCGTTCAAACAACGAAGAGAGGCACAAGGAAGAGCAGCTGCGGAAGCACAGCAGGCCGCTGATACGAAGGTGGATGAGCCGAGCGCAAGTGTGAATGCGGACAAAGAGCGTCAGCAGATAGATGAAGAAAACAAGCAGAAGCTAGCTGCTATGACAGTGGGAGAGATTGAAGAAGAACGCAATGAGCTGCTTTCGAGTTTACCTCCTTCGTTGATTGAGCGACTGTTGCAGAGAGGGAACATCGATGAGGGCAGGAACGAAAAGGAATGGGAAGCAGAAAAACCAGCAGGACCTCCACCTTCAGAGATTCCTAAACTCGATGTCATTTCAAATACCAAACCAAAGCCTGTCGGTCATAAGAAGGTATCTTTCGTAGAACCAGAGAAGGCGGAAGAGACCACACCGGTAGCTGCCCACCCACCAGCATCTGCCTCCGACCCCCCAAGTCAACCTCCAGCAGAAGCGACTCCCACAGAGCGTGAAGCAGCTACAATTCTTGAGCCAGACACGGGAGCCCTCCACTTTCCCACTCCTCCACAACCTCCTGATCTCGACCCCGACGACCCAGCCTTCCTCGAAAATCTACACACAAAGTACTTCCCGAATCTAGCCTACGACCCCTCTCAACTCTCATGGATGGCCCCCATCGACCCCTCAGATAAATCGTCACCGTACCACCCTTCTCAAACCGCCTTCAATGCCTCGGACCTGCGTTTCGACTTCAAAGGCAACCTCCTCGCGCCCAGCACCGCCAGGGAAATTCCCGTCTCAAGGGGTCTACACCACCATGCCGATGCGCCTGAAGCCGCCGGCTATACAATACCAGAGCTCGCCGTCATGGCGAGGAGTGCGGTCCCCGCTCAGCGCTGCGCTGCATTCCAGACCCTCGGTCGTATCCTCTATCGCCTTGGCATCGGGGAATTCGGATTCGAGAAAGTGCGACCTAGATCTGATGGCCCTGTGGCACAGATCATCAAGGATCCGAATGTAGAGCAGGAGGTGGACGAGGATGATATCGAGGTGGATATGGAAGATGCGGGGAGCGCTATGGCGGCGGGGCTGTGGCATTGCGTTGAGGAAGGTAAGGTCGTGGAAACGCTTACTATGGAGGCCGCGAGGGAGAAGGGTCATTTGACTGCGAAGACTTTTGCGCAGGAGGCGCTGTGGAATTGGAGAAGAGGGGGTGGGAGGAAGAGACAGGCTGTTTAGGCGTGTGTTGGTTCGACACCATCGATCCATCTCTGGACAAAGCAAGCATTTTGATACCCAATTAGTAAAAATCTTTCTATCCATTGCATTGTTTTTCTGGAAGAAAGAAGTGACATTCGTGTTGATTGTCCAGTCGCGAGTGTTACCTATTGAGATGTTGTGCCTGCTCACCATATATCCCGTGGGGGAAGAGCGAGCGCCATAGTTTGCTTGATAATGACATACCTGGAATAAAAAGGTTTGATGTAACAGAGCACTCGTTCATGGGAGGTTTGAGTGTAAGTTTCAATTTAACCCATAAGCTGGGCTTTTCATTCATAGGGGGTATCACTATCTAGCACTGACTATGCAGTAGACCTTTCCATAAAAACACCATCCCTGTGCATTGCAGTCTTAATCCTTCCCCCGCGAAGCCAATTATTCAAAATAATATAAATTGGAAGCTCAAACGCTCCATGGAACACCGATGATATGCATACTAAAGAGGGAGAATACTGAAGTTATTATAACTCTCCTTCCGTCCTCGAATGGAGACCAACAAAAGGAGAAAAAATTGGGAGAAGGGGAAATAAAATGAGAAAAGAGGAAGGCCAATCCCGCATCGAAAATAGTGGATTGCGCATATGCCGCAATGTTGATGAAATCAGGAATCGTCGAATCCGGCATTTAGCTTGGGGACCCAGCTGTCTGTGGTGTAGCAGGAACAGGGGCAGGTGCCGCTGCGCTCGCATCTTTGAACGTATCGCTCTGTTTCTTCTGCCCATTAAGCAGAGGGCAGAGTTTCTTGTTCGTTTTGATGTGCCCCACTTCACCACAATTAGCACACTTGCGAGGAGTTGCGCCACCTTTGCCAGGACCACTGCCATCGCCTGTCTGACTGCGATGCACACCCTTAGCCTTCTCACGTCCTTCGCGGCGTTCCATGTTACGCATCAGACGGGCCATTTCTTGTTTGAGTTTGGCCATTTGTTGTCGGTCCAGCTCAGGATCTCCAGTCGGTTTGATATCGTCGATACTCAGATTCATAAGACGCTCTTGTCGCTTCCGCTTCAGATATAATTTGATTACTTCAGGATCAGTGATGGTTACAACCTGATCTTCGTACTCGTCGAACTTCGTCTTAACAGTGCGGGTGATACGAAGCTTCTTGCCGCGGGTTTCGTTGCCGCTATTACGACTGAATTGACTCATTGTCTCGTCTTCGCGTACGAAAGCTGGCGTGGCAGCTTCAGACCGGCCGCGATCGGCTTCAGACATGATCGTATCAACATCACGGTCAGGCTCATCAGGTATGTGCTTAGAAGAGAGGCTCTCCTTCTGTCGGTCCCACACTCGTCGAATGGCACCAACGTACTTATCGTGCTGCTTTTGGACATTGTAGCTGTGGCCGCCGTTCTCTTTCTGTGCCTGAGCGTCCATGTTGTCTGTCAAACTTTCCCCAATATCCCTGAAACCACCCTTCATGGAGATCTTGAGGAAACTGAAGCCTTCGTGACGACCAGTGGGATCTCCTCGACCATGAACTTCCAGCATTGCTTTTCCTGTGCAGGCGTTCAGGAAGTTCTTGGTCGTATTCCATGGCGCCAGCTGTACTTCGGCCGCTTCAGCGCCATCTCCTTCGTCATCGTCATTGATCATCTCGTTGGTTTTGATGCCAGCATCCTGAAGTTGTTTGTCACCGGCATGCATAGAATCTATCAAACAGATATCTTCAGGCTTGATCCAGGAGCGAAGCGTCGGTTCATCCGGAACTGTCTCGCCGGGCATTGGCTCCCAAGTGCCAGTCTCTTTGACATACTTCATAATTTCTCGCATTCTTGAACGATTTTGCGCGATTTCCGTGCCTGGCAAATGATGTTTGATCATCTCGTTGCTGACCCACGGTTGCTTGAAGTTGTTCTGTTGTCCCCGTCGATACAGTCGGAAGGCAAGCATCTTGAGTCGCTTCTTCGATGCCTCTGTGACTTTGCGTGCATGTGTACCAGGGACCTCAATTGACGGAAACTCTTGACCCACCACGACAAGATTGTCGATGTTGCGGATATAGTACTTGGGTCCTTCTCTACCGGTGGTGCTCCTACTGACTAGGTAATCACACTTCGGGACTTCGTGTTGGAACACAGGAGCTCGGTACATGGCGTTGTGAAGGGTCAGACATTCCTCGCCAGGGTCGACCTCGCCGAACAGGGCGAATGGACTCTTGTCTTGAGGAAGCAACACTGATGTCTCTCCAAATGGCGGCTTTGGTCGATTGCTATCCTCGTTGTTCGCCCGTCGGTAATAGTTGATAATCTTGACTCCCATACCAAAGTTCGACAATGTAGTAGGGTATTCTTCCGAGTATTCAGCGAGCAGAAGGTCCGAGTTGTCGCCAACGTTGAGTTCTTTCGCCACCGAGAAAGCCTCTGATGGTTTGAGATGTCGTTTAGTCTTTTTGCTTGCCCGTTCAAGTTTGCTAATGATCGCGCGTTCACCCGGCTTGAATTGAATAACTGGTCTGTGGAAGGATCGTAATTCGCGATCGTGCAGTTGCACCTTGTAGAACGGATACTGTAGTTTCAGGGCGGGCAGACTGTGTTCAATGTTCATGTGTCCAATCGTGCCACGGACCTTCTGTTGACTGCTTTCCTTGAGGGCGTCATATGCTTCGTCATTGGAGATGTTGTAACGCTTGAACATTGGATTTGCAAGGCTCCCACGGTTGTCCCGCTTGAGGCCTAGGCCTAGACCAGTTGCGCGAGGTTTTGACGGTTCTGCGCTCGGTTGCTGGACATCTAACAGCAGATGTGGGTCATTCATATCCAACATGATTCGCTTCGCGATCCTGGCAGTGGCCAGCTCCGGGTCATCCCACGATGGTAAACTCATGTGATCGTATACAGAGAATTGAACAGGGTTGGCAGGATCTCCAAGTCTCCGCTTTTTCCATGGCCGTTCACTCAAACTTGTCTCGGGCGGTGTCATCAACTCATCTTGATCTGACAACGTCGCGATACTGTCCATGTCCCAATCTTCGCAAGCGATTTGTAGATCACCCCACGACACATTGCCGATCTTGTCTTGTTCGCTGACAATCTCAAAGTTGTCGAGCTCCATCTCTTCATCGCTCTCTTCATCTTGTTCTTTGTCATCCAGGATCTGCACAACTCCGCCCTGTTCTTCATCGCCTTGTCGGAGTTTCATGGGCGTGGCACTTGATGGTAGTCGAAATGCTTTCTCTTGATCAGGAGCAATGTCGAGATTGACCTTATTATTAAACCCAAGAGGCTTGGGGGGCTTGAGTGGTACACGCGGAATGAAGTAGGCTCGCTTTCGGGGTATGAGACTCGCGAATCGTGGCGGCTTGTCCGGCTCGAAGTTGGGCCATATTTGATCGAAGACTTCTTTGGAAGTCTGTGGCGCAGTGAGTGTCAGGTCGTCCTTGCCCAGTTTTCCAGCCTGAGAGAACAATAGTAACTGCAGGCGTGTTTCTTCATCCTCCTCTTCCTCCTCTTCAACCTGCGGTTGTGATTGTGTGGCGCCGTAATCAGGGTCGTGGAATTGTATGTCGTCCATTCTCCCTACATCGTCCACAGCTCCCGGCGCGGATGCCCGCCTTTGATCTTGAGAATGCGCTTCGATCGATTGGAGCGGAACATCGTCTTGCACGGGTCGTTCCGCATCAGGTTCCCCTTCGTTATCATTGAAGAGGTCATCGAACAGGTCGTCATCTTCAGGATTCTGATCAGGCACATCTTCTATGGTCGTTCCGCTCAGTTGCAGGTTGTCTTCTTCCTCGTCGGGCAAATCGTCATCGGATATGTCTTCGTAGTCGACGGCATCGTCTGCTTTCTCGCCTACATCAAGCGCGCGGTCCATGAGACCCTCGAGCATTTTGTTGGCATCATGACCGCCGCCAGTTCCGAGAAGCGCGCTGATGACTTGCTCGTCATCCGCTTCGCTCGACGCCATGGTTGAGTTGTGTCGTGTCGGTAACGAGAATATGTTAAGGAAAGTTGGTTGCGAACAGGCGGATGATGAAAGGCGGCCGCCAAGACTCCACTCACTAGCGCGATATTAAAGTGGGCCTTCACCATTCACATCTGCCAACGCTCGATAATCACATATGTAACATTCAGGTATTATCTACAGGTGCATTTATGTACAGCAGCTACATCTTCTCCTAGGCCTATACACACGTCTGACCTTTTACTTTACGTGGTAGCTTGAAGCATTAATTTCACTCTGGTAGGCTGGGATCGTGCATGTGTCGAAATGCGTGGTTCTTTCAAAAATCGAAATCACCGTAATATACGCAAAGTGCCTGAGAACGTAGAGTCAGAACATTTTCAAACGTTATTGCAATGTAGCATACCTTGCTAGCGCCCATGATGCAGTAGTGAGCTACTTCCGCTTTCTTCTCGCTCGGCGCATACAGAGCAAGTTGATTCAAATCTGATGTCCGTGGCAAATAAAGAATCACATGCTTGCTGTACTTCGAAAAGCCCTTGTAGAGTTTTTCCAGATTGTATGGCTCCATCCTTGAAAGGTCAAACACATCTTCACTGCTATATTCAGTGCCTGGTCGCGTCAGCCCAGTTTCGTTCAGCGAAGCAGTAGGTAGTTTACCTCCCCATGGCGGGCTAGCAAAGATGATGATATTGGCATTCCCGCTGAATCTTCTTTTGATGATATCAAAGCAATCGCCAGCACACCAGATGATTTTTTTCTCAACGCCATAGACCTTGGCGTTGTGCTTTGCACATTTCAATGTTTTCGGATCCTTCTCGATAGCAAAGACTTGATCGAAATGGCCATTTCGTGCAAACGCTATCGCGTTTCCACCGACACCAGCGAATGCATCGATAATGATGGTTTTCTCCTTTGGGGCTGACTCTGCTATGTGCACGGCAATCTTACTATCACCATGTTAGCTTTGTGGCTGTTATTGACGGGATTTCATCCAGCTGGGCCAAGTACTTAGCGATAGGTTCTGGAGTCACGCCAAACCAAGCATCTTCAGTCATCCATATTCCTTGGTTGTAGCTTTGCCAGATCCGAAACCTTTGGTGCCAGTACCTACACCAACGTCAGCTAAAATTCTGAAGAATGGGGCGATATGACCGATTACTTCTTCAGATGCTCGGGAAACTGGCTGATATCATCCCAGCTGTGAATGCCTTGCTCGTCTGGCTCTTCGTCCATTGTGATGGCTGTTCTCTGATGGTCACTCACTGAGCACTTGGAAGATCTCTAGAGTAATGGCGCTAGCCTCTTTAGGATACACTAGTAGGACTGCCAGCTTCGGAATGACAATAGAATAACAAGCATAGGTTTAGAAAGGTAAAGAGTTACGGGCTACCTTGCCTTATTTTATACATCTTGATCAGACACGATATCTCTGAGTACCGGTGTCAAGTACGCGTTGTCATCTACAGTCAATACCCACATCCCTGCGCATAGGCTTGTGCCGATCGTTGGAAGCTATGACCTCTCCGCTCACCCAAAACCTCCAACCGCAAGCACACCTGGCCTCGAGTAGCATCACACGACCTAACAACGAGCCTCCGGCCCACCTCATTACCAACATGTTCGGTGCACTTAACCGTTTCATGGCAAGGCTTGATGCCGCGCCAGAAGATCAGCAATCGGCAACGAACGGTGCTTTCGGCTTCCAGGTGTTGAAGAACACGAACACCGAAGTCCCCCTGGAGCCTTGGTTTGACTTTATCATTGGAATCAATGGAAGGACCATAGTAAGCATGACTATGATTCAAAATACATGAAAGCATAATGACGTGGTTCAGGACAACGCCGACCCGAATCTTTTCGCGACTGAGGTGCGCAACTGCGCAGGTACGACCATCAGTTTGGGCATCTTCAGTGGCAAGGTAATGTCATTAATTTCTCTTTCGTGTATTGATTCGCCATAAGATATGGCTTCACGGTCATTCTACAGAAAAAAGCGAAGGTATTTTCATGGAAAAGGTACTCAAACTAACATCACCCCAGGGTCAAAAAATCAGGGAATTGTACCTACCTGTACCGGCTGAGAACCCTACCCTCGGCATATCTCTCCAATGGACACCACTTGCCGTTATTGAGGATGTCTGGCACATTCTGGATGTCATTCCTAACTCACCAGCTGATGTAGCTGGTTTATTGCCGTATGGTGATTACGTGATTGGCAGCCCAGAAGGCCTTGTAAGAGGTGAATCTGGATTGAGCGAGATCATTGAAGACGTATGTCCACCACAAAGAGCAGGATTTAAGTGACACGACTCATGCGTGATAATCAACTCAACGGAACGTCACTGTTTTCTATTGTTTGATCATCACGTGTGGGTCTTAAGCTTTGATGCTCCTACACCCAAAACTGTACATATGTGTATCTAACCTCAGCACAGTATCTGAACAGACCACTCCGTCTTCTCGTATACAACCACGAATACAACGTCACCCGCCCTGTGACTCTCACCCCCGCACGCAACTGGGGTGGCGAAGGGGCTTTGGGCTGTGTTCTAGGTTTCGGCGCATTGCATCGCATTCCAGCACCACTTGAAGAGCCGCCTCAGGCACCCGGTGAGACTCTGTTCTCTACCGGTAGTGCTTCTTTTGATGAAAAGCGACCCGTATCTTCATCCTCCAACCTGCCTCCTCAAGGTTCACAAAACTTTGGCGCGGCCTCAGCTTCTGAACTCTTCGTACCTGCAAACATAGCATTGCCAAGCAAATCACCACCTCCAACGACCGGAGGGCATGCGCCGCCGCCAAAGAGGGGGAAGCAGCGAGCGCATCACGCGCATGCTAGTCCAGCTGGGGGAGGTGGACTAGACGACTACTTCAAAGAAGGGGAAGAGAAAAGTGCAAAGGAAGACTTTGCGCCTAAAACAACCGCAGGCGTTCCTCCTCCACCAAAAATTGGAGGGCCACCTAGGGCACCACCCAAGAGCGAGACGCCGGTGCCGAGCGAAGAGAAGACAGAAGCATAGAGAGATCTTAACGCCTGCGCTACCTGTAACTAGAAGTGAATTGTCAGCTTTACCCAACCACTGTATTCTCAGATATGACATACTTTACTGCGAAATAGAACTTTCCACGCATTCAATCTCCTTCAGCCAGCTCCTCCCTGAAACGGCTAACGCGATCCAACTTCTTCTCATCAGGTCTCTTCTCAAGCGCTTCGAGCATCGTCTTTGGGGATGCGTCGATGCAATCGTCCTCGCTGTTAATCGACTCCACGCTTGTGTTGATATTCTGTTTCTGCTTCTCCTGTCGTCCGACTGCCTCGAAGGAAGTCGGCGACCCAGCCGTCGGGGATCCAGGTGGGGACAGCTTCCCCTTGATCTTCAGCTTCAAGGTGAGGGAGCGAAGGAGTGGCATTTTCCTCTTCCCGAGTTCTCTTCTCTTTCTATAGATGTGCCGATGCGTAGTGTATAACGACTTTGTAATATGTAGGCTCCTGGTAAGACGGATGAAAGTGATTTTGTGCTTCCAGGATTAAGTTTCAGTACCCAGGGATGATAATGTGCAGTAGCACTGCGGCATGTGGTGGGTGAGGTCCTCTTTTTCACTTCCTTTTTCTCTTGTGATGTCGTCGCACAAAGAAGAAAGCAACAAACATCCGACAGCTGCTGAACTTCGGCGACCTCTTTTTTTCTCTTGGCCCAAGATGCCTCTCGAGTCAACACTAGTGGTGGATATCTTCTTCAGCTCCAAGAAAATGGAATAGGGTTGTCGGTACACCAGGCGGATCCAGTACCAGCCACCGTGCCTCCTACGTATCTCTCTTTCTGGCCAAGTTCTTTTGATCGGTAGACACTCCCGGGGGAAAGGTTGGGTGGTTGTAAAAAGCACGCGGAAGGCTTGTTAAAAAGTAATGTAGCGAACGAGCTCTCCTACGGGAACCGTGGTCGACAGGAGCACGCGTGAGCCAGCGAGTGAGCAAGCGAGCGATGTCGAGGATGAGCAGGGAAAGAAAGAAGAGAACAAAAAAAGATATGGGGGAGAATTTAGGTTTGGGAAGCGAGTTGAAAGACAAATATGTTGGTTCACGTAACAACGACGACAACAACAACAAGAACGCACGCACGCATGGGCATGGGGGGTGTTCTTTTTATTCAAACATGAATGCCTAGTGATGGGCTACCCCTACCCCCTTCCAAGCCACTTGTCAACGCCTCTGCACACGCACACGCAGCAAGCACACTTTATCCAGACCGATGGCCCTGTCACGCGCGCAGGACCCATCGGTCCACAACCACGATCGCAAGCCACCAAAGGGAAACATTGGTGAAATAAAAAACAGACTCTCGGCCCCGTACATCGAACAATTGACGGGCCATCGGCACGCAGCACCTTTGTTTCGAGATCTTCGTCCCGTGCATATGCAGTTAGCCTTTTGCTACGGACGTAACCTTAGCCATACGCTTACACACGCCAGAGGAAAAATAAGGAGATTGGGAATAAACTCGGAATGCGTTGTACTTGCTACCATTATTGCTGCTAGTCTAGTCGAGCAGACCACGCTTCGTCTCCACCTGCCGCCTCGTGTCGAATAGAACATGATAGACGAGGGCCAACCACAAGACAGGCAATGCACGCTCCCAAGGACTAGACCGATTGCCTGTGCGTGGGACGCACGCGAGCCAGACTGATGGCCAAGCCGCCATTTTACCCCATAAGATATCCATCGTGGATTACCTGATTCGGGGAATAGGGCTTTTTGCAGGGTAAGATTGCCGAGATTACTCGAAAGTCAAAGGGCATCGTGACCGGTGAAAAATAAAACGTGCTACAAGCGTTGTTTGCTACCTACTCTTTGTTCCGATGATGACGCTGTTCGCGATCGATGTCGATAGATTAGTGGTTTTTGGGGCGGGCAAGATGGCTTCACTTTTTTTCAAACAACAGTATGTCGGTATACGGACTAATGTTCTTCGCAGGAATATCCCTTTGTGTCTAGAGTGCTTGCTGACGGGGTACACGAACAGTACCTATCGCGGCCTTGACCCCTTAAAGTCGTAAAGTATAGGCTAGAATGGAAGCAATAAAAAAGTCTGTTTTTTTCTCTTTGTGCTTTGGTGCTTTATTGTCTAGACCCACTCGATGGATCGATGCCGTGGGCTAGACCGCTGTTTCATTGTTGTGCGTGGTGAAATGTGGGGAAATCGGTGATCTTCATTGATCTAAGCATGCATACAATACAGTTTTTTTTATTCTTTTCTTCCTTATTCCTTCGGCGTCAACTACCGGCGTCCTTGCAGACAGGTGGGTGCACTGCCAGGTGAGCTGGATGCTCTTGGCATGGAGAGTAGAAAAACCAAAGAATCCCGGGCATTTGATTAGCCACGAGCGCGGGCATTCCTATTGGCGGCCTGGAAACCTGACGGACAGGTACCAGATATCCTGGGCCCACAAATATGGGTACTGGAATCGCTTTGGGCGCTCGTACATTCCAGCTCTCGACGACAAGCTTACCCACCTTTTTCTTTTCCAGTCAGTCATTCATCAACCGTTCATCGTCGTGATAAGATAAGGGGTGTCATGGACCATACGCTACGTCACTGTACGCATAGCTGAGGCATCTAACAGCAAAACTACTGCACGACACAACCCCCTCCAATACTTCCAACCTCCTCACCTCAAACCATCCATTCCACCCTGAAACGTTTCACCACGGGCATGCATACATATTACATCTACACAAGACCAACGAGCAGCTGAGCGGGCAGTGCACATCCAGCACGGCAGTGCTCATGCATACGTGCATACATGTACTCAACGGCAATTCCTTCCTTCAGTTCCCCGGTCCACTACCCCCCAGAATCCCGCTCTCGCCCATCGAGCGAGTGGGCGCAAGTACCGCACGCCAGCAGTGGTGAGCACTTGGAAGGGCAAGTAAAACGACGAACCACGGTTCGGTCTGGTTTCCGGTAGACGTGAACTCTAAACATGATCGAAGGGTGGTCGTAGACAATAGTAGGTTTATGGACTCGTCGCTGGCCGTAACATGATGATTAGGCTCCTTTTTTTTCCCACTGATTGCAAGACATCTGTCTTGTCAAGTCATCGATGCTGCCGTCTTCGGGCCTTTTGCTTCTTGTAAACGTCGACTACGCTTGCCTACCCACACTGCTGGTATGCGGGGGAGCAATTCCTCTCTTCGACTGTGTATTCAGAAAAGTACCTTCACACAAAGGCATACTCCGAGGAAATTTCCACCGGTGTCTTTCGTCGTTGGTTGTCTCCAACAAATACACAGAAGGAGAGGGCGTATGAGATCACTCGAGAGGAATGTACTAGGAAGCTCTACAAAGAGGACCCGACTACGAACCCTACGACTCCAAATTCGCTTATGCATATGAGAGTGCCTTCAGAAGTACGACCCAGAGTATTCGTTCTCTCAACTACCGACATCCCTAGAGAAGACCCAACAAACGAAGAAACACAACGGAAGAAGATGAAGGAAGATGACAGGATCTCTGCATAGCAAGAGAGATTTCGAAGTCCCCCCAATAAAGAGGACTAAAGGAAAGCTAGACAAGACAAACGCAAAATTGCCCATCTCAAAAACATCACCGTGCTGCTTTGACATCTGACAGCAACGACGAAAACAATGATGATAGGATGGAAGATATATCCGTGGGTACTAGATGCCCAGGCAGCCACAGGCAAGGTCTCGGAAAGGGATGACGAAACATGGGGAAAGTGGCACATGCAAAAAGAAATGCAGAATGCCTTACTTCTATAACGGCTGCAGCTCACCAGATGGTAGGAATCATGCAACGGCGGAGGTTAGCCTCGTCTATTTTTAACATTCATTGCAGTTACTGCTCTCCATTCTCAGACTCCTGGGCGTGCCATTGAATGCAACTAGAATGCAGCTCATTCACAGCATCGCCCCTCGTCATCGTGCTGATTGATATCTATTGACACGATGTCCTGGCCGCCAGCTGTGCAAAATGGTACCCCACTGGCAAATCATGAAAGTATCTTCGGCCCGTCTCATAATAGTAAATCTAGTCCTTTGCATATGAACAAGGAGCTCATCATTTTACCAATCCTCTCACGAGCCAACCATGCACTCGGTGAAATTGTGTACCCAGCAAACGCCACATGCAAAATGTCAAGATCCGTCTATGCAAGCGTTCACTTGACCAGCAACGCAAAACGCCATCCGTCGTTGCCTCTCTTGTCATTGTCCCATAACGCAATGATGAATGAATGAATAATGAGAAGCAGCGTGCAAACAAAGTGCCACCGAAAATCAGAAAAACTCCTAGAGATGCCAAACAGAACGTGAACTAATGCAGTTTCTTATCGTATGTCCAACTGGAACGGCTTGAACTTGCCACCCACAGCCCCACATCGAGGACATCGCGCGGTACGACCTCGGGAGTGTTCGGTGACAAGGACGTCTACGCAGTCTTGACACAGACCGCATATACACTCCGAGCAAGCGTAGCTTTCTCTCAAAACAGATAACTTCCGACAAGCAGCACAATAAATCTGGACAGCGTGAGCGAATGTAGGGGAGGAGTCTGATAGACCTTGTGACGGTATGTGGAAATTGGAGCCCGTGGTCGTAGACTCGATAGACGACTCGACGGATGGAAAAGGGTGTAGGTCCGACATTTCCGGCGGTGGAGGAGTCAGTGTGTGTTGCAAAGGTGATGCTGTATAGGACTGGAAATGAGGAGCAGTGAAAGGAGGAAGCGAGTTTTGGCTGAACATGTGGGGGGACGGCGGCACCAGCGGGACTATTAGCATTGAGAACGAGAGAAGAGGCAGAGCGAGGTAGGCCTACTGGAGTGAGATCTCTGCTATCTTCTTCGGTAGCGGAGGCAGCGGCATCAATCAGGTCCTCCCACCTCTTGCCGAAGAGAGCTGCAGCCGTTTGTGGCTCGGCAGAAAACGCTTTGCGATCGTAGCTCGTCCTACGGGCGTTTTCTCTCGACTTTTGGCGCTCATGCTTGGGCTTGCGAGCATTCTGGCCTACCGACGACTTGCGTGGCCTGTTTGGCTTTATAGAGCGCGGGGCAGGCGGCAGAGTAGAGGAGCGACCGGGAGGCGAGCGGGTGAGGGACGAAGGCAACAGCTCACGCTGCAACGAGGTGGCGGTATAATAGGGTTCCTCGGTGGTGGTGATGTGGTGCTCGATGGTGGTAGGAGCGAAGCGGGCGCGGGGTCGATAGGTCTTGGAATCTGGTTCCGAGGCGGCATCCTGCAACAGTGCAGTCAGTGTGTCAGCGACGGCGGGAACAGGTAGGTGGTGAGTGCGGGAGCTCACTGGATCCGAGTCCCAGTCATATTCGGCACGGTGGTTGTGCAACGAGGCCAGGGCGGCGGCAGCGCTTGCAGCGGGCAGCAGCGAGCCTCGGCGCATCTCGTCCGAATTCCTAGGAGTATTCAGGCCGTACTCTTCGTGGTAGAAGACATTGTTCAGCTCGCTGCTGCCATAGCCTTGCCATTGTGTCAGTCCCCGACATGCTGGAGAGACGTGGGCACCAACCTGGTGGGCCAGTTGTGGTGGGGAGAGGGGGCGCGGGCGGTCGCTCCTGCGGCGGAGTATTGACCATCAGTGTGAAGCTCTCCTCGGTAGCTGGCAGCTTCGAGATGTAGTGCTCGGGGTGTGCGCGGCGGATGTGCTCCTGCATGGAGCGGTACCGCTTCTCCTAGAGCATGGCAGGCCATGTGTCAGCAACATGGCGGCGGCTGTAGCAAGCAGTACTGGGTTCTGGTGCGAGCGGGTTCTGGTTGCTCGGTGGTGATGCTTGGTGGTGGTGGTGGTGGTGGTGGTACGCAGTGACGGTGACGTGGGGTTGGCTGAGTGCTGGAGAAGCGAAGCGAGGCGAGGGGCAAGAAGCATGCATCATTGAGCAAGCGGGGAGAAGTGGAAAGCTGTGCGGTTGCAAGAAAAGGAAGTCGAAAAGCATGGACTCACACCGGTGCAGCGTTTGCGACAGGCGGAACCATCGTGATTGCGCAGCGGGCAGACGACGACATTGTTCTCGTCTGAAACGGAGAAGGACCCCGTGAGAGAAGCTCGCGGTGGCATGGCCAGCTGCATCTACCGTACCCTCGGACACGGCCGAAGTGGGCGACTGCAATGCAATGGGCACAGGCGCAAAGAGCTGGGACGGGGCGGGGCAGAGGGCGCAGAGGGCGGGCAAGCTGGTCCGGAGGCAGAATGAGTGAATGAATGAGGGGGTGGTGGTGGTGGTGGTGGTGAAGGGCGGATGCGGATGGGTGTAGTAGTGGTAGCTGGGGAGTAGTGACAGCAGTGGAAGGGTGGCTAGGCATGTAGCAGTAGGTACAAAGCAGAGCAGAGCAGAGCAGGGTAGGTGTTGTTTGCGGTAATGAGATCAATGCTACCGAAGTGGGAGAGGGAGAATGAGGGGCAGTGCCAGAGCCAGAGCCAGCCAGCAGTAGCAGCAGCAGCAGCAGGTGGGGGAGCGCAGCCATGGCCCTATCCCTATCCCTATGCCCATTCATCTATGCGCCCAACCACTCGTACACTCGCAATTGATGCTCCTTTGCCTTTGCTCATCGTGATGCGTGCGCGCTCCACTGACTGGCTGCCGGCAGAGGCAAGATGCAGCAAGGATTCGCCATCGTCATTCAGGCTCTTCCCAGCCAGCTCTCCCTCGTACCCACCCAAGGCCATACAACAGCTCCATCAAGCTTACCCGAGCTTGCCCACAGCTCCAGCTCCAGCTCCAAGCAAGGTGGGTAGCTAAGTGAGCTACACCCAAGTGTGCACACAGCTAGGCAACTCGGTTGCTGGCAGTGTCATCGGCATCAGCGCAGAGCAGCGCAGAGCAGACGTGTTCCATCCTTTGTCGCCACCTCCTCAACCGTCCTCTGACAACGCGGGCAGGGGGTTCCTGCTGGCTTTTTTGGCTGGCGGCGGCTTGTTTGCCTGCTGGCTTGCTTGCTTGCTTGCTTGCTTACCCTTACCAGCAGCCATCCGATGGCGACCACATGTGGCACGAGCCAGCCATTTCATGCCCTTGCCGCCTCATCCAGTCAGTAGTCGCTTCTGCTTCTTCTTGGTCGTGAAAATTCTGCCGTCGTGAAGGTCGTCCATGCGTGTAGGCCATGGAAGGATGGTGATGGATAAATAAGATGGAACGACGTTTGAAGGCACACTGGGGGGGAAAAAAGGGCGTGCGCTGACTCGGGTGACGCCAGACATCTTCGAGCTATTGCCATCCATCACCTGCGTCGTGTCGTTTCAGCCCCCTTCAGAACGTGCTTCAACCACTCTCCCCTTTCCCCAGATGAACCCATGGGGACCGCACTCCGGCCACCCTTAGGCCATCAATGTTTCCATCGCCGGCTTGTCGTTGTTCGCTACACCTCACCACCGAACCCTGCCTGATACGACCTGGGCGGAATCCCCTCTTGGCGCCCGCGTGCGACTGCCTCTCACCATCTCGTTGTCAATCCACGGTGCCCGCATTTGCATCACCTGTGCTGCCCAGTGCTTCTATAATTATCTAGCAACTATACTCTATAACTGCCCTTTTCCTTCATCTCCAGCAATCCCATCCAAAAATCAATGTTTCTTCCGCCTCCCTAGCATCTTCTTGTTCTTTTCTCTTCTCTTTGACCTCTCATCATGCCCTTGACTGTGAAATCCATCAATGGCGATTCATCCTTTTTGCTCACTTTTAGCCCTCCAATCGCCCCCTTCTCGTCGTCAACAGCCTCGTTTCCGGGTTCATTCACCATACTCGTCGATCCCTGGTTGGTCGGCCCTGCCACCATCTTGAGCAGCATCTTCTCCATTTCGGAACAGACAGCAAAGCCATGCATATCCTCCTTGCAAGACCTTGACCGCGAGCCGGACGTCATTCTCATCTCACAGGACAAGCCAGACCATTGTCACGAGCAGACTCTGCGACAATTGCCTCGACACTGCGGGTCCACAATTCTGGCTATTCCACCGGCTGCCCGAAAGATCCGCTCCTGGAAACACTTTCGACCTGATTTGGTTCAATCGCTACCAAAGTATGTCGAGGGTCAGAGCCAATCCATCCTTCGTCTTGTCCTTCCGCCTATCTCACCCAAAGGATCATGCGGGGAGGTCACCTTGTCCTGGATGCCTGCGAGAAGAGATGTTTCCGCTTTGCATCACGCCATTGGCATCACATACCGACCGCCTTGCTGCGAATCTCTTCTCAGCCCCCCAGATTCTCCAATATCTTTCAAGACTGCCTCTTCTTCACCGGGGACGCTTCTCGACAATAGTCGGGAAAGGACGTTATCGGTGATTTACTCACCCCATGGAGTGCCCTATGACATCATTCAGCCTTACGCTGCCTCCCACCTGGTGACCGAGGCCGCGCTTCCTTTGACTGCCCTCATACATTCTTTCGATCGTGTGGAGAACCCTTGGTATCTCGGAGGGAACATCTCGGCTGGCTATCCAGGAGGAATGGTCATTGCCAAGAATCTCTATGCCCGCTCGTGGATCAGCGCTCATGATGCACACAAGAGAACCCGAGGCTTGTCGGTCAAATTAACAAAGATTGGGAAATGCGATGATGATCAAATCAAGACCATGTTTTCCAGGGGCGATATTGCGAATGTCAAGACTGCAGTGTCTACGAATCTCGTGGCCCTGGACGCTGGGCAAGAGCACCGCATCCGGTGATTGATACTGGAGTGGAAGCAAGAAATGATATGGCAGTAATTGGTTGCCTCGGTCGGTATCTATTCATCAGTTTTGGATCTATAATCACGACATGGCCATTCCTAGTTGGGAGAATGGGCATAGGGGTTTGGAGCACTAGCCTCACTTCTGCCTAACCACTAGCCTGATTCTAACCACATTTCGCTTCGAATCCTCCATCATCCAACCTTCTTAAAGCTTGCGTTGCCTTCACATGAAGTCGCGCTCCAGTTTCCACCAAGCTCCCTTCGCATGTGAGGGAAAATGCCGAAAGCAGCACCGGTACGCCGAAGCACTCGCGTCAAATCTCGGGAAACCCCAGGATACAGTCGTAATGAGACGAGACGGAAGCCATCGAAGAAGCCATCGAAGAAGACACCAAAGGAGGACACTGTTACGCCGTTCGTTCGCACACAGCAGGACTCAAGCAACGATCCAAACCGGAGGATACGGCCGTTCAACTTGCCACGCGAGCTGACCCAACACATATCTTGTACGTATTTTCTCACCACCAGGTATATCGACTTCTCAAATCAGCCAAAACTTGAACTTGTGCTGACTTGGTACCTACAACTCCAGCGTTCTTATCATTGGCAGAACGCATCTGTTTCACATTGACCTGCAAAGAGGCGGCGGAGACCGTAGGGTCAGATATATGGGCAACGTTCAAGGGCGTTAAACGCTTGTACTATAATCATCAGCTTATTGCGGATCGCGACGAGCTGTGCCAGTTGCTGTCAAAAGATTTGGGCGCATTGGTATTCCATTGCAAAAACTGCGGTGTCATGCACCCGACACAGATGTTACCGCCTCGGCTTCGGCGTACAGCAAAATGGACAACCTTTTGTCTAGGACACAACGCCGAAATTGACTATCTTCCCTCCAACGGCAGCACCGGGTATGTGCTCACTTTCGAACACATCTTGAGGGCGATGAAAGAATCAGAAGGGCGAATCGACCATGAAAAGCAAGGTCCAATCATTGAGCTGCTCGGAGGCGACTTGACCGTTGAAAAACCAGAACAGAATCTCACTTGGCGTATGAACTCTTCCGGACGATACATTGGTGGTAAATTGATATTCAAACATGTTCACTTTTTCCAAAACCTGGAGAGGCAGCCGTTACGTCCAAAACAAGTTTTGGATTTACCAGTCAGATTGTGTCCACATCAGTCCACTACAACGGCTCTACCGGTGAAGTCACGATCCATCAATTCGCACAATGCGAATGGGTCCCTACTTACACATGCTATCACTTCTGTCTTTCCAGAAGCGTCACGGAAGGGTGTCGATATGAGCGTATTCCGAGCCCCGACAAAAACAGAGCTCGAGCAGATGTCAGCGGCCAAGACTGGGGGTGGTTACATTTACAAGTGCCGGTCATGCCCAACCAAGTACCGTGTAGAGTTCGCTGCGGGAGAACTGAGGATCATAGCTTGGCAGTGCTTTGGGAAGGACCCTGCACAGGCCAGCAAATACTGGAAGTGGTTCGTCAGACGGGAAGGATATTCACTGGGCATAGACAAACGCAACGACGAGTGGTGGAGTCATGGCAGAAGTATTCCAGACTTTCTCGTAAATGAAGACTGATTTGGGCGCACCAAGAGACCTATCGCCGTATGTTTCTATTCGCAAATATAAAAGGCAAACAAATCGTCCCCACAAATTTGCATCCTTCGCATCACGGTAATGAGTTACTTTGAGAATTGCATATGAGCATGAGTATTTGGCCCGAAAATTCATTTCCACATACGAGGAACGCATTCAAGCAGTGGCGTGTGCACCGCATTGAAACTAGATTTCGCCCCCAACGAAACATTCACATCCCACCTATTTCTTATTATAAACTTCGCCTAAAAGTCCAAAATGAGTTTTAGTATACGACCACGAATCAGAGCTTAACAAATCTTCTGTGGCTATGTCCACTTCAGGAAGGACAACAGGACCTAATTCCCGATTCTTTCAGCCTCAAAGCTTACTCACCATCTTCAATTCGTAAGTTTATAGGCGGGCAGCGGTGTTCGGCAGAGACTTTCCGCCTCTAGCACTGAGGAGGGAGGCAAGGCTGAGATGTGGACGACATGATTGGCAGCGCGTTCACACAGAAGACTGCTGGAAGCTTTCCTTGCAGGGGCATATTAGGTGAGAGCTAGGACTTAATAAGCATCATGGCTACGGTTCAGCGTACGCTGCGTATATCATGGCTGAATTGGATGGCGCCATCCCGGCAACTGCAGCAAAGGCAACCATCCTTTAAATCCTTTGGGTAGCCCATTCGCAGCAATTTTGGACTGGTGAATCGATTTTAATGTTACATACTGCCGATTCGGGGGCCAAAAAAACATCCCAAGCATTGTGGATCTTTTCGAGGGAAGCGAGTGCAGGAAGTCAATAACTTGAATACAAATACGCCGGTTTCCTTCAGCTGTTCTCTGCCGGCTCACGACGATACACTCCACTGTCAAAGAAGGGATCTTGCTTTCAGATCACCATCAGAGACCATCCTGATAACCGTCATTCTACGTCCAAATCGTCGGCGCCAATCATCGAGATGGGGAAACACAGCAAAAGCAAGAAACAAACCCACCTCTTTCAAGACAACAAAACGCACTTTGGCGATGTTGAAGGACTGAATACCGTGCACAAGGAAGATGCAGTGAGTACTTTTCCATTCCACACAGAAGACGAGGATGGAAGGCACGACGGCTAACCAAAGCGCAGCGCCTCAAAGCAAACATTCGTCGCCTCCGTCTAGTCTCACGCGTAGCATCGACCGTCATTAGCATCGGAGTTTTAGCGCCCATCACCATGACAGTCCATAAATTCCTGACAACAAAATCGGTTTTCCGCGACGTAACCACACCAGATGGCACCGTGACAAACCGAAACCCTTGGTTCAAGGACTCGAAAACATGGCCTACATACATGTACTTTGCCGTAGCAGCCATTTCCACCATTCTCAACTTCAGCGTCCTCGTCGGCTACCTGCGCGGCAATATAAAGAGCGCGAATAAATCGGCGTATATCTCTGCGACGTTCACGTGGATTGTCATGTTGGGGAATCTGATTGTTTGGATCGTTGCGGCGGCGCTGTATCGGGCGGAGAAGGCGACGGATGATCTTTGGGGTTGGGCTTGCAGTGAGGGTGCGAAGCGGATCCAGAAGGAGTTTGCGGATCAGATTGACTTCAACCAGAGTTGTAACGTCCAGGTGAGTCGTTCTTTGCTTTCCATCTTTCCTGGTAATAGAGGGATAATGTTCGTACTTGAGATATCGAAAGCTGACATTTGAGACTATAGAGCGGATCGTGGTATATCGGTGTCGCACAAGTGATCGTTGCCGCCGTCACAGTCTTCACTTACTATCTGGTTCTTAGACGTAAAGGCACCAAGAAGAAGCTCAACAAGAGAATGTCGCAGATGCAAGGCCAATACCCTACAAACTACTAAAGTCCCAACCTATCATCATTCCGAGAAGGGGGGTCTTTGACATTCAGTCTATTCTCATATGTAGAACATAGAACGCATACCCTCTTTCTCCAATATCCCCACCTGCTTCAGCACGCAAAAATCCCGCTAAACCCTCAGGAACGTCGTACCCCCTCCTATCCTTCCACCCTTTCTTCTTCGCCTTCAATCGAACACCCATCCACAAACAACATCCCCACCCCCACTCTCCTCAGAAATCCAGAACCCATCCATCAAATTCAATCATCCCAACACATGAACTCCCCCACCCACCAAACCCACCTCGCAATCCTCCCCGCAACCTCTCTTTCTTCCATCCCCTCGACATCCAACACAAGCAGCCTCTCATTCTCCAGGTCACTTTCTTCCCCACCTCCTTCACCGTTCAACATCTCGCTCTCGTTATCGTCATCATAGAGAGGAGAAGATCCAGAAGATCCCCCACACACGAGTGTAACGGGGATGTATATCCGGCCTGAGTTGATCCGTGCAATGTGTTGATGAACAGCCGTTTCTTTGGCTTTGGCCTCGGCCTCGGCGTTGCTTTGTGAAGGGGCGGATGTAGTGAGGAGGAGGATACGACGGGTTTGGGATAGGTTGTTGGCATCTTCTTCCGTGGCCGTGTCCAATATAATGGGTTCGTACGAGGAAGAGGCATGTAGTAAGGGGAGTAAATATTTTGTTATTCTTGAAGTGCATGTTGCTGTTGTTGCCGTCGAGGCACGGTTGTGGATGTGGAGGAATGGGGCTGGAAACATTGCTTCTCGTTTGTACCCTTTGTAAATGGGCGAGGGGATGTTTCTGTTGATTCTTGTGTGTTGTAAAGTTATAAGTTCTAATGAGTTGTGTTTGTGTTGAAGGCTGGTATCTGAGTTGTATCTTCTGTTTGGCTGGAATGCGCTGGGTTCTTGGTGGGCTGGGCGAGTTGTGGTTTTTCTTGTGAGGCAGTTTGCTTTTTTGCCGGTTCTTTTGCTCTCCAATGGCGTGGTATGATTTGGAGGACGAAAAGGTTGAACGGTTTATATATAATAGAAAAGTTGTCTCTGTTACTAGAGGTAGATATAGCATTCAGCGTCCTATTCATTCAGAAAATCGATGCGTATCTATATGTAAGCCATGACATGATATTCAGAAGTTTGTTGCTATGTGTGGAAAAAGGCGGTGAGGTGGTGATGAGGATGCACTCATCTACCCGTAGCAAACAAAGCAAGCAAACAATTTGTTATCACTAGCAAATAACTTCCTGTGCAATTAGTGTCACATATCATCATTTCACCCTACACTTTGTACTGCGATCCAAGGACAAAATAACTTGTTTTGCATGCTTTGTTTATACAGTTGCGAAGAACAGTGCTGGGATCAATCGCAAGCGAGTTGCAGCGAATGACAACTACTCGACACAACACCAAACACCGTCACCGGTGGATCTTTTATGTGTACTTTGACCCAATAATCATTTTCTAGGATCATGATATTCATGATTGCCAAGCTGGATTCAGAAGCATACGGCCGGGACCGATGCTTGGACTCGGGATTTCATTTGTTGCACAGTGTGTTACAAGGTAGAGCTTGTACACACAACAGGTTGTGGTGTGATCAAGGTCTCCAAGATGTTGAACCCTGGCTATGTGAGGTCACACGCATATTTTGTGAGAGTGTGGCCATCTTCCGATCTTCGTCACTTTTCATGCCGGTATGATTTATTGTTCACACTGTTGGAGAGGACCTAACGGCGAGCATGATACTACAATCTCTGAAAGGCTATCGTTGGTATACGTTAATGGGTATCATAAATCTATCGAACCATCTTTCCATGATGAAAGACATATACTTCCAAGAATGGGCCGCGTAGAGCAGTTTCTCCCATGGATAGGAAAACCGCCATGGTCTTCATCACGTTCCTTTCGGATGTGCATAAAAGACGAGTCGTATCTTATCCGAGCTATCTGGCGGCACCACACGCTCCGCACCGCCCAGCATCTCCCGAGTTGATATACTTGCTGCCACTGCACGCCAGACTGCCACATTTCCAGTGGTCGGTCATCAAATGAGGGTTGAGTACATTAGAGCACACTGCACACGTTATTGAACCGCGTTCGTTGACAAGTGAGCAGACGGCACAATCCACCGTCGGTGCAGATGGCTGCTTGGACTGGAGATTCGAAACAGACGTGTTGCAACGAGCACCAGTCGTCGGGCTAGACTGCGACGGAAGGACGTTCTCAGAACCTCCACCTAGAATCTTGGGTGACACCCTAGATGTGCCGAAGGACTGCTTTGCCTCTTTGAGTGATGATGCACTTGATTTGGCCGGATCTTGAATTAGCGTGGATCGGGATTCGTTCGTCTTCGCCTCCCCTTCGTCCAGACCCTGTATCTCGAGCATCTCTCTCTGCGCGTTATTGTCCTTGTCGTCTTCGTCGTCACAGATTTTGACTAGGGACCGACCGTTGTCATCCATCATTTTCTTGCCGTCGACATCGATAGCTGCGTTTTCAATGCTTTCTTCGTAATCATCCTCTGTATCGCTTTCCGATGGGCTCTCCTCTTTGATAACAGCATCCTCTTTAACAGCAGCTTCAAATCGTGCCAACGCCGCAGCTGCCCTAAGATCTCGACCACGTGCGCTTCCGGCTACCCTTGGTTTGCCTTTCTTGACAGTGCCACCTTCTAATTTGACTTTGACGCTATCATCGGCGCCTACAGTTTGTCCGCCGGCACCGAATTTCTTCAAGATACGTCTTTGCTTTCTCTCGGCATAAGTTAGCGTTTCCTTGGATTTACCTCCCCTTCTTCTCTTCCTTGCTCTCCTGCCATATGTTCCTCCGCAAAGATGTTCTGGAACATCTTCTGCGTCGATAGTGTCCTGCTGTACCGAACTGGACTGCAGGTTCCTGCCTCGGCCCCACATACCCTCTCCAGTATAACCCTTTGCCCACAGTGCCCGCAAGTCCACCGCATATGCATCTCGAACTTTCCAGAATGCTTTCGAGTGGTTCATCTGCTTGCAGTGCGCCAGCTCATGAACCATGACCATCTCTACCATTTTCTGAGGTAGCCATCGTCCATGTCTATCCCTTAAGACCAGCTGTATGACCTCGCCTGCGTTGAAGTTGCGTCCCACAAATTCGGTATTGAAAGGGAACTCCTCAAGGGCTTGGACTAAGATCATGTTCGACTTCATGAACGGGTAGCATATTGCTGCAACGCGGTTGAGTATATCTTCGGCTGTAGATGAAGTAGGACCAGGGAGTGGGCGGATGAAGTTTACGTGAGCGTTGGGACGTTGCGTTCGCTCGTTCAGGCGCTCAAATCCCAGAGGCATTGTGGTCGTGTAGGCATCTGAGACGATGCAGGGACTCCAACTAACCAGGGAGACGCGTGGTGATAGTTATTATGTAGTGACTTATGGCGTTATAGAAGACGGTCGAAAGTAAATGTCGAGGATGTGCGCAACAATCGAAGCGTCCAAGGTGAGAAGGTGCACGTAGGTGGCGGCCCAATGGACGCGGTGTTAGCGCGGAGTTTAGCCTAGTCAGAACGCGTCTTTGACGTGAAGTCATTCAATCCCCTGTCAACCTCTCAGCTTGGGCATTTAGGATCAATTTTGCCCCTGCTTGAATCTAGGTATCTCACAACCACGGGCAGAACATCGGCGAGATTGAAACGGACAGACAGTCAAAGCAAATACATGCACATGTGGTTTCTTCACTGGCAACGACTTTACCTACCTAGGTAGTTACCCATCCAGTCTCTAGGAGGTTCATCGACTCTGCAAAGCACTACGCTCGCCTGCATAGTGTTCAACCTTATTCAGCACGACACTCGATACTAACAGGTAGATTGCGCTAGAAGTCCATGGGTATATCTTGCTCAAAAATGCCAGGGTATACCCTAATGGCATTTAGCCAATATCTACCCCCCCCCCCCCCCCCCCCCCCCCCCCAACACAGATAAATATGACCACTGTTCCTAAGCGGTTTTGCGTCGGTTGGAAAAACTACCCTCGCAGAGATATAGCGCCATCAGCCAGGTACATACATACCTAAGTAAGAGGACCATAAAGGCGACCAACCCCGATGCAACCCCGGACTTCGCAACTTGTACTGCAACCTCAGAATCGAATACGTACCTCAAAGTTGGCTCCAAAATCCTACTCCATGGCATTTTGTTCAGGATTCAAGGATGAAGCCGAGGATTAAGGTTCACGGCCCCTGGCACTCGTGTATGTTGTACGGCGTGTCACAACACGATACACGTTTGCATATACGGGTGACAGGGTCAGTGCAATCGCGAGATTCCTTCCAAGTAGTTGCGAAGACGTCTCGAAGCCCAGAATAGGATGCGGAGTCGGGTTCTGCGGCTAGAACGCCAGGACAGTATCCACTTCAGGTGCCTCGATTTCTTGGACATTCCAACTAACAATCCTTTGTGGACCCTCTTCGAACCAACGTTCCGGTTGAAACTGTCCGTTGCAGTTCGCCGAAGAACGCACTTGATGAGAGAGAGAGAGAGTGTGTGTGTGTGTTATTGCAAGGTAGACATAGCACCCGATGTGGAGAATATCTGGTAGTTGGGAATTATTTGTCAGAGTTAAGCAACACTTTTACTATCTGGGTAGAGCGGGATGGCCCGATTTAGAGCTACCAGGGTTAAGACATGCGGAACACTAGGGTACCGTATCGAATCTATCGATCACATTCCGCCAGGTAGTACGGGCCGCACGGGCTAAAGCTCATGGCAGCCTAACTTGATCATCACCAGCTGGAGCTGGCCCACGGGGTGCGAGAAAACCACGGCAATGGGATCGACACACCGCCAGAGTCTGGAACCCAAAACAGCACCATAATCCCAAATCAATTCTGTCTGACAGCTGCCATCGCCCACCAGCCAAAATATGTTTCATATTGATTGCAGGGCTTTCCCTTATCCATTCTCCTCGTCCTATGGCGGTCTCAAATCCGATGTATTCGACACTGGATCACTCATGGGATTGTGCTAGATGGTCTGAGGGTGATTGATGATGTTACGACACTGTTCGTGTATGCAGGTCAGTCATCTCAAGGCTTCGGTTTCTCTCGGGATAATCCCAGCGAGGACGTTTTCGTAGCACCACACTTTCGGCAGCATCGAGTTCTGCGATGTGGATGTCATGAGTTCGAAGCGAGGCATGTTGATGGAGAAGCGCAGTCAAGGAAGCATCACCAACATGATGCAGACGAGCTGCAGAAGAATATTGGTTTGGCCGGTCCACCGCGCTCGGTTGAGGTCGCCCAACAGCGGCATCGTATCACATAACCAGTCATAATCAAAGACTTCAGCTGTGGCTCACTATTGCCAAGCAATCATGCAGAAGCATGCAAGTAGTGAGAAGCTGAGAAGCTTGACGGGTAGCCACGACATTCGGGTGTCGTGAACGTGGCGCGTTCTTGGCCTGCCAAAAATTCGCTCCACCAATCCTGTTATGGTCATATGCGATTACCAAAAGCCGGGTCTTATCCAAATTCAAGGCGGGAGGCTATGCTCCACACCAAGATGCTTACTATCGTGATATTTTGGGACATCTATTGGCAGACTGACATCCATGTTCGCATCCCGCCATGATGTGCCTAGCGTGTTTGCGGCTAAGACCCGAAATCCCGGATCCGAACGAGTGGACTTTGCTAAGGGCTTACAATGCCAAGCTTGTAGCCGAAAGGCGCCTGATTAGGGAGGGAGCAGCGAACTCGGAGCCGAAAAAAGCAACTTCTCTGATGTACATATCGATCAAAAACAGACAGACGAATACCAGGTCACGAGGCGAAAGGTGTTCCACCGGGCACAGCATGATACACCGATGTGGCTCCACGACTTGTCTGCATATTCAAGAGAATAGGCTCACGTGTTAGCTGCGGCTGTCTGCTGATATACACCGTCCAGTGTCGAATGTAAGCAGTCCGGTTTCCCCTACTCTGGTCCAAGAATAGCGGAACTGGACCCGAGCGTACGAAGAGCCCTTAACATTGGGTGGGGGGTTGGCATTCCAAAAAAACGAGGTCCGGTCCATGGTCGCCCTAGGAGGTGGCTGCAAGACTGCTCCCCATGCCGATCACTGAACACGATTGGAGTGTGCAGCGACGCTATCGAATCCCGGTGGTCGGTGGGGACTTGACAGGTGGATCCGGGCCATGCTTCTATCAGCATGATCCCAATGCTAGTCGCTACTGCCGGTAAATGCTTCAGTCCAACGTCTTGGCTACTACTTGGTCAGAGTGCAGGTCGTATTCTGGAGTAGTCCAGTGCCTTCGGCATGCAGAATCTCCCGTACAACCAGGGTTGGTTTTTTTCTCGTGGCGGTTCTGGCTTCTGGCGAGGACTTCCTCTTTGCCCTGGTCGAAGATAGGACTTGATTATGCTCGTGGGATAGACATGTATAAAGTGCACCGGTCAACATCCTGTTTGTGAACCATCCAGCTCACCATCGTTATCAGTCCTACCAACACAGCTTAATTGTCTGCGGTTTGCACTCATAGACTCTCCTTCTTCTACGCATTCAAGATGCATCATAAATTCTTCTCAACTTTGCCACTTGCCTCCCTTGCATGCCTTGCAGCAGCGACTCCTCTGGAATCAAGAGAAGCTGCCCCAGGCCTCATCGAGGATTTGCTCACTGGCATCCTCAACCCAATCCAACAACTTATCAAAGATGTTTTGAGCGGTGTCAAATCTGGTATCAACGATGAGATTTCTTCGAAGCCCCTCATCTGTCTCACAGCACTTGACTCTTGCTGTCCCTGTAAGTGGCACTCTCTACTCCTGTTCCGCCATCGACTAACATTTCCAAGGGTACGATGTATCAGCTGAGCTTACAAAACTCTTCACCGAGACAAATGGTGAATGCAACGACAATGCCCGAGCAGCTGTTCGCTTCGGCTTCCACGACGCTGGTGCGTGGGATAAGGACTCTACTTTCGGTGGTGCCGACGGCTCTCTTATGATGGACTTTGGCGAGGAGAACAGAGCCGAGAACAACGGTCTCCAGAATGTTCGCAATGTTTTGCGTTCCGTCCAAGCCAAATACAAGGTTGGCTATGCTGATCTAGCTCAATACGCACACAACCATGCGTGAGTATTTCCCTGCAGAACTTGTTCCTATTCACTTGACTAACTATCATTCAGTACCATCACGTGCCCAAAGGGACCCAGAGTCAGGACCTTTGTAGGCCGCAAGGATGCTACTCAAGCTGGACCCACTGGGTTGCTCCCAGACGTCCACGACAGCGCTGATAACCTCATCGCTCTCTTCCAGAGGAAAGGTTTCAGTGCTCATGACCTTGCTGCCCTGGTTGGTGCTCACGCCACGGCTAAGCAGCGCTTCGTCGATACCAGTGCTGCTGGAATGTCCCTGGACACTACCCCGGGTGTGTGGGACGTCGAATTCTACAACGACACGCTCAACAACAATGCTGGCAAGAACGAGAAGATCTTTGTGCTTCCTTCTGATAAGGTCTTGTCTGTGCACCCCAAGGTCAGGGATGAGTGGCTTGAGTTTGTGGGTGACCAGCCGCACTGGAATGAGGATTACGCCAAGGCGTACATCAGGATGAGCTTGTTGGGCGTGCAGAACTTGAAAGATCTCAACGAGTGCACGAAGACGTTGCCCAAGAAGAAGAACGTCAAATGATGAACAAAAATTGGGATTGAACTTTTCCGTGCTATAGCTTTTTTTCTATAGCTGGCTTCTCATTGAATACCCTACTGCAGCATGAGTCTGAACTTTTGCAATATATAAAATATGGATACTGTTACCAATGTTTAGACTCCCGAAGACACTTACCTAAACAATCGTAATTGATGTGAAGTTCACTGCGTGGGTGCTTTGCCTTTTCCCTTCCCAATCTGCTTATGTTCATCATCCGCATCGGGGGGAAATTGCAAGCCCATCATGCCCATGAGGTTTCCTGCTGGACCCGCCATCCCAGCTTGGCCTTTGAAAGCCTTGAGCATATTTTGAGCAAGATTGTAATCATCATCCAGAATATCATCGTCGTCGTCACTGTCTTCTGGCTCTTCCACTGCTTTGGCTTTCCCTTTGTCCTTGGTAGACACACCAGGATTGGCTTTGGCAGACTTAGCAGCTTTGGGGTCAAGGTCAAGCGCGCCGTGACCGAACAGCTCGGCTTCCATCATTTCGGATAGTTTTTGGATTTCTTCGTCCTCTTCTTGTTCGGCTTCTTCCGTAATCGCAAGCTCGCGTGCTTCGTCTAGGAGTAGTGCTTTTTCTGCTGCGGGTAGCATCATGAACTTTTCGTGGGCTTTTTCGTACTCTGAAAATTCTTCGTCGGCACGCCGGTCATCTTCGCTATTCTCGCCATCGGACTCTTCTTTGAATTTTCCTTTTTCTTCATCGGAATCCTCAGGGTCTTCCCACGTCCGGTTCTCGGCGTCAGAGTCGTCGTCGACATCCATTGGGTCTAATCCGCCAGCTCCATCAATTCCAGCTTTGTCATCTTCAATGAATGCGTTGAAGCGCTCGACCATCTTTTTGAGGTTATCTTGAGCATTTTTATCCCCAAATCCGGTTCCGCTCCCCTTACCAGCTAGCTCGCGCTCGAACTCCTCATAGTCTATGTTAAGCCAGCTCTCATCATCCTCCCGTTGTGGCCACGCGGCTATCTCGGCATCCGAGGGGAGAATGTCGTCTCCGCTTTCCAAATCTTCGAGCAAAAGATTAATCTCGCGTGCAGCCTTTTTGTCGGAGAATACGCTATGTCGGGCGAGCATTTCTATTCCTGCGATGATCTTGATGCTGATTTCGGCCTTTTCAGACTGAACCTTGTTCTTAAGCAACTTCTCGAGCGCCTCGCCTAGGGTAGTGGGAGGCGACCAATTTTGCCCAAGAAGTTGTGCATACAGGACTTTTGTGAATCGGACACTGACATCTACAAAATCCTCTGGCGGAAATAAGGCTTGCGCCTTGGACTTCTCAGGTTGAAGTAGGCGTAATGATAGAGGATCTCGGAGATAGAAAGTCTCAACAATTGGAGAGATGTAGGAAGGGTTGTGATGGAGGATATATGCAACCTTCCGCGGCAGGGGTAGAGTGGCATGGTGCTGATTCTCCGATATTGCTGTAGGGTATCCATTCAGTCTGTGGAACGCCTCTTTCTCAATCTTGGGGTACCGCTGGGGGCGAGCTGGCGTCTCCCGTATGATAGTCAGTGCTTCTAATTGTGACAGAGGTTGTGGGTGCTCCTGTTTAGGCAAGGGTATGATGAGGAGCCGATGGGTGTTTATCCAAACCCTGTTGTCAGCCACTTCGGGGTTCAACCAATTTGGTAAGGCGTTAGCAGCTTCGATCAGCAGAAACTCGCCGTCTGTATCGTAAATTCGAATCCAAGCGTCTTTGAACTCCTTGCTCAGCTCTCGTAAGAAATATACAATGAGCCATTCATCGGCGACGCTATCGCCGTAGTTGGTGGATCCTTTGAGTAGCCACCGGCCGTGTTCTCTTATAAGACCGAGTTTGATGACTTCCCTTTGCCAAATATACTCTTTGAGGAATTTGTTCTCGAGAGTGTTCAAAGCGCGCTGGAACGCTTGGAGTCGTTCTCTGACCTGGGTGTCAGAGAGATTCGAGTCTATGATGAATACGATATATTCCACGACATCTTCAGGCAGCCTTCTTGGAAATGCACCAAAGTCTTCACTCAGTTCTTTGGAGTCGTCCTGCGAAGGTATTTCCATGGTGATTCTGATTTTGTTGTTGTTGAGTGCAGGTGCCTGCAGGTGCCTGATGGTTCTCGAGAAATTCATATTTGTGTGGCTGATGTGATTTGTCTTGGCGGTGGGTGGCGCTGTGGCTAGTGCTTCTCCACATGCACGCTTGTGCAATGACTGTGGTCGTGTTTTGAATGTTTGTTTACTCTTCAGGCTAACAACCGACTCTCACCCAGCATTCACCAGGAGCAACCCATATCCGCTCCGATTCCACTCGACTATTTTCTCTTACTACACATGTTCCAATCATAGATATTTCCATACGCGAAACCCATATATACATGGCCCACCTCATGGAGACCCCGCGCACCAACCGCGGTGACACGACGCGGATGGACTCTGAAATGGGGAGCTTCAGCATAGAAGAGTCTTTTCGCGCGCCCCCCGGACGTGACAACCTTTTTTCAAAAACAAACGGCGCGCGCACCCCTAGAAATCCTCTCGCTACTCTACGAAATCCGGCCGCGCAAAACGAATTTACACCTTTGATCAAAAGCGCCACGAAGGGCAGAGCAAGACAGGCAAACGGCGTGCTAAATGGCGGTATAACAACACCGGCAGCGTATAAACCAGGCTTTACTCTTGGGGCTACACCCCTACCAGAGGCCAGCACCATGAACGCTCTTTCTAGTTCGTTTAGCGAAACAGACATGAATAGCCGCACGCCAATACCGCAAGCCGATTCGAGCGCAATGAGCACACCTATGGCTTTGCCGAGGAGGGCGGAAGGAGAGCTGGACAACGGCAATGGCAATGTGCTCACCCTGAGGGAGCAGGAAGCAGTGAGGAAAATCCCTGGGCATTGTCAATCTCATTTACTAATATACTGGTAGCGCCTAGAGCAGATTGACAAAGAGAACTTTGGCCTGAAGCTCAAAATACACTTTTTGCAGCAAAATCTCGAAAAAATGGGCCCAGAGTTTAACCAAATGGCAATGGACGAGAACGTCACTCTCAAAGCGGAGAAAGTCCAAATGACGCGCGACATCCAGAAATATTCGAAGAGCCTTAAGACGGCCGAGAAAGACTTGGAGGCGTATCGTCAAGAACTGCGCGATTACGCCGATAAGGTCAAGAAACGACATGCCAACGAAGACATGAAAGAAGAGATGGACGATTTGCGACGGACAATTGATGAACGAGAGGCAGATATACAACGGCTCGAGGAGGATCTGGCCAATGCAAAATCTTATCAAGACGAGGAAATAGAAGACCTTCGGCGATCGCTCGATGAACGAGAGGCCGAAATGGAAGAGCTTGAAGAGAAGCTCAATAGCGCTCGTTCTGGCCAAGATGACGAGCTCGAGGAACTTCGACAGTCTAACGAAGATCGCGAGGCAGAACTGGAGCAGCTGAAAGAAGAATTGGAGAAAGCGCAATCCAGTCGGGAAGATGGACTGACGGAACTTCAACGAACAAACGAAGATCAAGAAACACAGATTGAGCGACTGCAACAAGAACTCAAACGCGTACAATCCGGTCAAGAAGACAAAATGAAAGACTTTCAGCGACTAGCGGACGATCTAAGAACTGAGCGCGATGAATTAGAAGCGACGTTGGAACTAGAGCGCAGCGAACGACAGAAGGACAACGATGGGATGGATGAGATAGTCCAGGAACAAAGAGCCAGGATTCAGATGCTGGAAACAAGATTGACAAATACGGACTCAGTCCAGAAAGAAAGCATCCAGCTACGTCAAGTGGCTGAAAGCCGGGCTGCTGAGCTCGACAAGCTACGCGACCAGCTTGACAAAGAGCGTAGAGACAAGCAAGAGGGGATTGATGAGCTGCGTCGGCTGGCCGAATCTCGGAAATCGGAAATTGATCAGCGAGAGGCGGAGATCGAGCGACGAAAAGCAGACTTCGCACGCCTGGAATCAGAACTTGAGGGTCAGTACGGTGATCAAGAGGATAAGATGCGCGAACTACGCCAACTGGCAGAAGACCGTGCTGCTCAAAACGATCTTTTGAGAAAGAAGCAGATCGCTGAAGTCACGGAGATATCAAAACACCGCGATGAATTGCTCCACAAGATTTCGAAGTTGCAGACCGAACAAGACAAAGCCTTGACCAAGGCCAAAGAGTTTGAAGAGCTTGAACGGCAACAGAGCAACCTTAGGGAACAGTTATCCAGATTTCAGTCTGAACGAGACGATGCTCTCGCTAAAATCAGGTCATTTGATGAGACCATTCGAGACCGCAACGACCTCCTGAAAGAGATCTCCGAATTGCGCAATGAGCGCAATAGTGTGCTAGCCAAGGCACAAAAATTCGATAATACCGAACTCTTACGCCATCGCGACAACCTTCAAGACGAAGTATCAAAGCTTCGAACAGAGCGCGATGACGCCCTTGCTAAAATCGAAGAACTTGACGAAGAAATCGACGTACTCCAAGAAGATGCAGATGAAGAGAGAGCCGCGTTAGAAAAGACCCTCCGACAAGACATCAGCCGTCTAGAAAAGCAGCTTCATGAGCTCCATTCCGATGTCGAACGCGAAAGAGCGGCCATTAAGAAAACCAATGACCGCGAGATCACTGATCGCGAAAGGAACATCAAGGCCCTCCAAGACCGGCTGGATAGTGAGAAAGCGAGCGCCGAGCGTTCTTATGCCCGTGAAATCCGCGATCTTGAGAAGCGTATCGAGACCCTGCAAGACCACACAGATGGAGACAAGAAATCGCACACCAAAGAGATCAACGGGCTTGTTAAGCAAATACAATACCTGCGGGCACGCTGCGCGCGAGCCGAAGGGTTCCGAGCCGCACTCGGTTTCCAGAAGAACTTCTGCCTAATGCAAATTGACTTGTACAATGACTGGTGAGCTGAACCCCATTAACCTCTTCTAAATAGCGCAATGACTGACTTTGAAACCCACCAATAGCAATCAACAAGATCTCAACCTCATCTCTGCAATGGGGATCACGCCAGACCCCACTATTCATGCTCGCAAACCATCACTCAGAGCAGCCGCTTTCGCTGTTATCGCGACCATCAAGATGACAAAGCAGGCACGCAGCTGGGCTGCGAATAAAAAGCTGCATACGCAGCTGATGCAGAAACTGCATGGGATGAGAAGGGGAACCGCTGCTGGTAGGCTTCTCTGAAGTACATAAGGAGAAGGGTAATGAGACGAGAGAGACTCCGGTTTGTTGCTTGTTATCAACGACTATCATGATATTGTTGCGTGTATGCATGTGTTTGGCGTTACTTCTGTCGCTTTCTCCTCTATTGTTAGTTAGCATTTTGGGATCTCAGACTGAGAGGTGGAGTTTTTGGTGCATATGGGTCAGGTGTAAGTTTGGATAACGCTCTATCCTGAGTATGCTGTTGTGTAGTTATGTATATTCCACGTACAGAATCGTTGTATGCCCAGACACTACTTGATACAGCATCCTCAACACTGATAATCTACTAAGACATATTTACTTGAATCATACTGATTTAGTGCTCACGACTTGATTTTTGGTGGGGAGAAGAACCACTACAAAATGCTGGCACTCCCGACTTGCCTTGAGCATAAGCGAGGTCGATGTTGATGCAACTACATTGCGGTGATGCCCGTTTCTATTTATTATTACAATTGAATATACATTTACAAGATGGGAAAGGAACATGACATGGTTACATATAGACACAGATCTAGTGTCCCAACTACTAGAGAAATGCTGGGTAGGCCCGCAGACCGAGTCTACATCAAATGACCGCTCAGTGTTCCTTTATGGCATGTATAATGACATGCTCTTCCTCGTTTCTCACCACGTCCAGAAGCTTGGGTATTGCTTGCAACATTGGTATGAGAGGACCTTGAATTGCAACTGCAGCAATAGTTACGGTGCCACCCGAAGCCTGCCTAGGGCTTCACAAACAGCTGACTCGTATGAAAGATTCTGCAATTGGCCTAGATTGATCACCAGCCATCTCATGTCTGGCGCTTGATTATAAGCGGACGGTCAGTATGATTTGTAATTGGGGTTTGTTCGTGGGGAAATCCGAATTCGACCATTGCTTCCTCTAGTTCGTGTTTAGCTTTCTGCTCAGGCGAAACCTCGATATTTAAGTTCCGCATCAACTCTTGCCTAGAATCCTCGTCTGTGGTTGCTGCCTTGCGTTTGCCTAGGGATGCGTCTTCGACTGAGTAATCGAAGTTGTCTTTGAGGTATATCGCGATGCTCTCGTTTTCCTCCGGTGTACCTTTGCCGTAGCGATCCCTGAGCTCCTTTGCGAAGAGAACTGGGAGAGTCGTGCTGGTCATAAGGCGTGGTGCGTTTCTCGTGAGAGGTGAACGAAACTTAGCACGCGGGTGGATCCCCATTGCGGCTACCAAGTCTTCACGCGGCCACTTGAGGACATGCATTGTATGTTTCTCTACAAGTTTTCTTATGCGGTCCACCAGATCATCCCATTGGAGAATTTCCGTATCGAACGTCTGTGTCAAAATATCTTTGACTGCGTTGATCAGTCGATTTTGTTTTTTCGGAGTGTTAGGAAAATAAAGCATCCTATTAAAAAAATAACCTATGTCGAAACCACTGACGAAAGGATGGATGCCTTGGTTTAGCAGAACCTGGTCTCCACGGGTTTTGAGAAAGTGGATGTTTGCATCGACATGGCCTCTGAACATTGAAGATGTTACACGCGCTATGATGACACGTGCTTCTTCTTGTGTAACCTCCCCCCGTATGTCAATTTTATCATCATAGAAAAATTGCGGGTACACCTCTTCAAATATTCGATTGCGTACTCGTTGAATATGGATTTTCATCCACTCTTCAGCCTCCCCAATTGCATGAAGTATGTCTTCGTCCGACATTGCAAGGATCAACTTGGGGTCCTCAGCTTGAAAGTACGTTTCGATCTTCATTTCCATCAACTCGCAGACCCACATGTTCGCAGGCTTTCCAGGGGGTACGGCATCGATGGGCCCGCGGATTTCTAGATCTTTTCTGGCGCGCAATGATTCAAGTATGTCTCTCGCAAGTAGCCCACTAGACGCCGGATGAACACAAAGAAGATCACCGAAATGATTATAATGGAGTTCGACACACACCGGTGACTCTTCTACGAGTTTCACAGCCCGGCTTAGGATTTCTTCGATGTTGCGTGGTGTAAGTCGACCGTAGAAGTCGTGATAAAAAGCTCGCCTTGGTGTTTTGCTGCGCACAGAACTTGTCGCATGTTGTTTATGCCAGTGTGTGACAAGATGGTTTATATTTATCCCCATCGCATAACTCGGTATATGAAGGTCGTGTTTCAACGCCTTTCTAGCTTGAGCCTCTGTCATGTCAAGATAAGCTAGGTTTTTTGAAAGATGTTCTTGTACATAAGATACAAAATGATGCCTCTCTGTTTCCCCATAGAGTATTGGATACGCCCAGTACGGATTTATATCTGTCTCGGTAGTATCGGACGTAGGTTTGGCTTGTTCTTTATGGAGTCCAATGTCGATTTGGATCCCATCGTTTCGTTTGTAGGATCCGTTTTGGTATGTCAATGTGGCTCTAAAATTGCCTTCGGACACCAATTCGTTAACTTTTGCAATTAGTACAACGTGGTCTGCTACAGGAATCTCCTGTGTCAGCTTGCACTCTAAGGCTGCCACCTTACTAGGGGTCTGTAAACGTGGCGCAAGTGACTCGTTGGCGCCGGCCTGATTTATATGTACATTTTGGACAATTCTCGCGGTGCGGCGGCGTCTTTCGAAAGCCTCTGGAGTATTGCCCCTAGAGAAAGCCTGGGTGATTATGGCTGATGTCCGTGTGTCATCAAGGAACGTGATACGAAAAAGCCCTTGGGCAGCTCGAATCGCGTCGAGCGTCTTTGAAGGGCACTTGATGTTGAACGAGACGTATGGAGGATTTAGTGACACGGTGCTGAAGGATGACAAGGCGGTGCCAAGTGGAACACAGTGTTTCGTTGCAGGGTCCATAGAAAAAACTGTGAGAATAACCGGAGAACTAGGTACGCATCGCATGAGCTGCCTGAGATTGTTCGCCAGAGTAAGATCGGATATATCATCCTGAGTCCAATCAGACGCCTTTCCAGTGTTGGATAATATGTCTTCGTAATCATCATCACGAGGCTTTTCAGATATGTGGTGGTCTGTATTTCTCGCGCTTTCCAGGTTATCAGCTTCTCCCTCTCGTATCACCTGAGATTTTCTGTTGGCGGAGTCGATTTCAAACGCAGAGGTTTCGCTGCGTCGGTGGAGTGTAGCTGTTGCGTAGTTTCTTGTAGCCCGGCCGCTTCTTAGGTGTGTAGGTGTGAATTGGAGAATCGATGAATTATGTGAATGGGCACATGGAGTTATTCCTTGATATGACAATCAGTCCATCATTGCTTAAACCGAGTACAACCACTTACGTGCATAGTTGTGATAGCGATATAGGACAGCGAAGAAGTGACCTCGGATACGCCGCTTGGGCTCCATGATTGAGCCGGACAGACCGCAGTATATCACAGATGTATGGGGACATGCGACTGATTTCCTTTTCCCTGGAAGAACGTGAGAGCTTCAATCATAGGGGCATTGGGAATTGCGATGAAATCATGGGAAGATGTTTTTGTTGTTTGACCCCGGCGAAAGAGTTTTGCCGACGAAATTCCGCCCGCAACCTCCCTCGGAACCGTTCAAACGTTCTTTAACAACATCATCACAGCCTTCCTTTTATCCCATCTTAATCCTCAATGGCAGCTCCAATTCCTTCATCCTGCGCGCTTCGCGCTCTCCGATCATCACTCCAGGCAAATTCTCACCTACCGCATACCTCGCACGCGTCCCGCCTGCAGATCCGTCATGCAACCCTCCTCAAGCGCCCGAAGAGACCATACACTTTTACCCAATTAATCACACTTTCCGACGGGAGCACATTCTTGCACCGCACGACCTCTCCGGTGCCCACATATAAGAGTACAAAAGATATCCGCAACACGCCACTGTGGAATCCGAGTTCGCACAAGCTGTTGAATGTAGAAGAAGACGAGGCTGGAAAGCTGGCAGCATTTAGGACAAAATTCGGAAGAGGCTGGGATGCTGATCAGGTACGTCGATGTATACGAGTTTGGATGCGGTGCACGAGCGCGTTGAAGAATCGAAGCAAGGCATATCTAGGCTAACATTGGGGATGCAGGGCAAAGGAGACGCGAACCAGGACCATCTTTTAGATCTCATAAGTGGACAGTCCCCTGAGACAGCCAAGTCAAAAGCGGCCAAAGCAGCAGCTGGAAAGCCTATATCAGCCTCAAAGACTGGTTCAAAATAACTCTACTTTACACGGTCGAACTAGGTAAAAGTGAGTAAGGGGTATTTGGACATAGAACAGAGCACAATTGCAAAGTGCGTTGTCTCTATGACTCAGACTGTTCTCTGGCATTGGAAGACAACACATGCCAACATCTGGATTGAAGTGGATCACAGTGGAAAAGGTGGTAGGCAACTTGTATTATACACCCGCGCCTGAAGGCTATATTTGTACAATACGCTACAATAAGAATACATCCAACCAATTATTAATTTACGCGAACGCGTGTTTGGTTGTTGCTATGTCGTTCGCTTGGCGAGAATTTGTCATCCGCATCTGAAAATATTTTTTGTGGCGGGCCTCCACATTTTTGAACGGCCATTCATGATACGCTTTGCATAGGCCCTCTATCATCTCTGGTGTCAACATCCTCACCCTGAGATTGTTCATATTCAGCCTGCCGCCCTTCTTGGGATCCGTCAAGGCAGGTACTTGATCAAGAAGGCATGAAGCACCAGGCTGTACATGTTCCATGGCTGCTCGCACTGATGCAAAAGGCGCATCGAAGAACGCAAAACAGAAATCAGTCACCCACTCAAACCATACCGGATCGAATGTCATGGGACGAGGGACTATATCTAGGAGAGATACTGGGATAGCAGGCCAGACCTCACCGGATTTTGCAATGAGCGGCTCGTATGGGCGTTTGTCCCACTGAAGGCGTGGCACCGAGGCGTGAAGAGCAATTCGATCATCAACCTCTGAAACAACGGCTTTTTGAAAGTTTCCGTTGATGAACTTTAAAGCGTTCTCATACTCCATTTCTTTGCTTTCCAGTGTAGCAAGTGCTTTCTCTTTATCGGGACCATCTGGCATGCCCACGATCTCACATTCAAGGTTATAGACTTCTTCGCCCATGATGGCTGCGTTTTCAACTTTTTCCCAGACCAGTCCAGTGCGTTTCAAGGTGGCTCGGGCGCTGATGTGTTTCCTCGGTATTGGAGTTTCAGGCCGTTGTCCTTTTGGTCCCGGTGGTGAAATTTTCAGCAATTCCTGCTCAGCACGATAAAACTCTATTTCGTGTTGAGTGCTGAGCCCGGCGGTGGAAATCCCGGCATACTCTTTTTCCATCAGATACTGGCGCATTTCGGATGAGCTGATTTTACCAGTGCCACCAGTGGATTCAGCTATTTCTTTGGCGAATTCATGAATGTTGTCACACCGGTGCTCGGGCAAATTGAACCCCGACTTCTTTGCCCTCTCTATAGTTCTGACTACACTCTCAATATCGTATTGCGGTCGACGAGCTCTTTCCCGTGGACCTGTAGTCGCGCACATGGTGACGTCACTGTACTCATTTAAGATATACTGGTATTTAGATATGCCAGTTATGCCAAGGGGTACGAAGGGCCTCATCTCCTCCTGCGAGCTCCATAAGAGCATTCGCACTGGACCGAAAGCATGAAATCCATCCAAATTGCGCATGGCCTGGATGTATTTTGTTACCGTCTGCCGCGCCAACATCGAGAAACCATAACCTGGAAGAGGCGGATCCCACGTCAAGTTTCCTATAACCAAAAGCGATTTGTTCATCTCTGTACCAGGGACATTCTGGGTCTCGGCAAGCTTTTGGTGTGGGAAGGCCCCTGCCTCAGCCATCTCCTTGAAGGTCGTTAATTTCGTCACGTCTCCGCGCCATATACTATATGTAGACCCTGGTAGCTCCACTAGAGGCTTGAGCCAGCGATCGTATGTCTCGGATGGCTCCACAAGCATGTGGCTTCGTGGTCGGAGGAAATCATGGACTTTCTGGGACCATAATCCGACTCCAGGGTTCAAGTCAAGAATATCACATCCCTTGTACTGTGTCAATGTACTCCCAATATATTTGAGGACATCATCTGGCTCACGGATCCATCAGTACATAGACCTGCTGTACTCCACGCTGGGAAATCAACATACCGCAAAGGTCAGGATTTACGATTTGCGATCGAATATGATTCTGTCCTCTTTTTCCGTGAAACTCGTCTCCCAGCGCACAATATTGCTTTATCTTGACTGTGGGAACCTTGTCTTTGTACTTTTCGGCATCTCGTGTAGCTAGGGCTACAGTTAATGGATATTTCTCGATGGGTGTGAGTTTCTCGAGACTCCACTTATGACGATAGCGTCGCGGTTGGGAAGGGAATCGGAAAGCGGGAATCCGCGGACGACGTATCATCGGTGATGTAGGAGGAGGTGTGGGATTCGCGAGGTGGCCTGTTTTCAACCTTGTGCTTCTGGAGGGATTGAGATACTGGCAGAGTACGATAGCGAAAGTGAGATGTCTGAGGTCGCTGCACGCTAGACAACATAGGGGTTAGCTCATGTGTATCCACGAATAAGTACAGGGGGTGACGCCATGGGTCGTAGCATATTGGGATATACAAGAAACCAACTAGCATTGATCGGAGGGCATGTTCTGATTACGTCCTCAGAATATGGAACAGCTAGCTCTGAGCTTCCAGTATGCAACGAACTATTGCATCTCCCCCATACTTTCGTGGCACTACAAGTGTACCATCAGTCTAACAAGCATGTCAACTTGCTTGATCACCTAATCGCCGAACAACCCCCAAGACCACCTTCAACTTTTCCTGTCAGGTGTTCTACAGAGACCCTAGAGGAAAGCATGCAACGCGTGATTCTTGGCTCGGCTCAAGATACTACTCCCCAGGAAAGCCAATAAATGGAAGATTTTAACGGGCGAGTTGACAATCACGCGCGGGGCATATATACATGTATCGAATTCGATCTTTCTTTTCGAGAATATTTGAATGTTTGATACTGGAGGGCGCGGCTGTAACGCTGGGGCTGCATAAGTATGACACATCATCACACATGTGGGAGGGCGAAGCAATGCATTTTGGGTTTCCAGAGCATTCTCTCAATACCACCCATATACGTGAATCCATTTATGCTCTGTTTGTTACACGAAGATCTACTACTGGTTCTGTCTTGTCCGCCGATATCCGGCCCTTGTCAAGCGGCGCTGTAGTTCTTCTCCCGGATCGGAAATGCGTTCCTCTGATATTGTCGATATGCCATCGGGAACAGGGTGTGAGATGGAGGCCGGGCTGTTTGGCGAAACAAGACCCATATTTGGTATTTGCTGCATCGATAGTTCAGGAGACATGTGCTGGCCAGCAGTAAGGAACGGCGAGGGTGGCAGATCCTGTAGGCTGAGTTGTGGATGCACACCTTCCATGAGTGCAGGGTCAAGTGGCATGTCATAATCGTGGTGGTCGCCAGCAAATGCAGAGAACGGTTGCGAAGCCTCTATCTGTAACTGATGACCTGGTGAGCCGGCGCGCTGGAGTGGGAGGGGCTGCGGCGACAGGAAAACACCAGCTGGGGTAGACGTCCCCATATTGACGGGCGAGTCCGATACCTGCGTCGCATATCTTGCTTGCTGCACGCGCACTGCTGATGAAACTTTATTCATCTCGCTACACTCCGGACAATTGCGGATGACCTGGCTTACGGTTTCCTTTATGCGGACCCAATGGTATGATTCCGCAATTGCGGCTGTCGTCTTATTTATGCCTCCGTGAGATTTGTGGTGGACTTCTCGGGCGATCTCGTATTGTCGCTGTGGATCAGAGATGACTTCTTTGCCTTTGAGCATGAGCCTTTCCCCGTCAATGCCGTTTGGTGGCAATAGCTTATAATGTGTCGCAGCACTGCGCAAGCGACTTTTCTCCGCTCGGTCCGCACCATTTGGATACTTGCCATTCTTGAGATAGAAGCGAATCTTGTCAAAGCGTTCTTCAGACACAAAGTCGTCCTCCTGGCCCAGGTCACGACCGTAAATTATGGCATCCACTAATTCGCCAGGATACGATTTCAGATTACCGCAGCCCTTGACTCGCCCAAGTCGCTTGAATCCTAACGCGTCCCAAATACGACAGGAGGCCACGTTGGTTTCGTAGACAAGGTTGAAAACAGAATACGAGTAGCCCTACGTGCACATGTCAGCCCTAGGTAACGATAATACTGAATCGAAAACGCTATGCGTATCACTCCATTCTCGACAAATCACCTACCAGCTTTGGAGCCCAGTCGAGATACAACTCGCCCATCAGCCGGCCAACGCCACGATTCCGCGAGGCGTCGGTGACTAGGAAGCCTCCATTACAAACGTGGCTGGACCGGCCAGGGTAGTTTGGCTTGATATAAAAGCTACCCAAACATTCCCTCTCCCAATCGCAACCCCTACGCGCCATTTCGTGTATTTCTCGTCCATCCTGAATCTCACCCAGCAGCATAATGGCGCCGAACACGCCAAACCAATACGGACCGAAGTTTTCCAGTGGCAAGGGTTCTATCATGGGATAGGTATCACCCTTCTCGATCTCACGGCCCAACTGGTCGCACAGATAGGCAAGCAAGGTTAGAGGGACTTGATTCGGGGCGGAAAAGGGAATGACTGTGGCCGTTGTCACTCGGTCCCGTAGAGTCACCTGGCGCGGCGCGATGCCAGGAGGCAGGGGGCCGCCTGGCACCGTGAAATGCAAGTCATCCGGGTTCCGGTAGATGATGGGTGCAGTCGGGTCCTCGAGCATAGCAGGCATATCTGGAAGCAGATGGCGGTGAATCGGCTAAGCTTCCATCCAAATATTAGCAACAAGGCGAAGAAGGACGTAACATTTCTGGCATAACACCACGTCGAGACAAGCAAGAAAAGACGCGTCAGAGGAGGGAGCTTGAGGGCATCGCAGGGGCACGTGTCCCACGAGGGTTTGCACATGCTACGTGCTCCATGTGCACTCGAAGATGCCCTCGAATCTATGAAGCGCCAAACAAACATTGCAAGGGAAGAAGTGAGGAAGTCACGCACCGCTGGTAAGCTCGATGTAGGTAGGTGAGGCCCGCCGGTAGGTATTCTGTATCCTGGGAGGTGATGTGAGAATGGGTGTTAGCCCGCTTGGGCGTAGCGCCCGCCTGCTGCGGTGATGGTATGTACCTATGCAGCAAAGGATGATGTTTCAAGGTTGGTTGAATCGATGTGCAGGAAACTCGACCGTGCAGGATTGGGTGATGGCGGGTTTTGGAAGAAGAGGTGGACGGGTGGTGCTGCTGCTGCTGTTCATTCACACGTGCAAACTGCGATGGCGCCAAGAGATTGCTACAAACATCAACGGTATCCAATGTATCTGTGAATGATGGAGTGCTGAACTCATCATCATCACAGGTATCCAAGGTTACGTAATTCGCTCTCTCTCTTTCTCGGTTTGCATGCTCCTCGATGTTCACGGAGATTGACAATGGTACCAATAAATACCTAGGTATGTAGATACATACGGACGCTTTTGCAGACGTACGGTACCTGTATAGGCAGGTACTTGGTTTGGGAACTTGGATATTTGTACATTCAGCTGCCCAAGCGCTCTTTGGTGCGCAATAATGGATAACTCCAGTATGTAGGTAGTCGTTGCTATTAGTCTCGCTGTACTCCGCGACTGGTTGCCTACATGCACATCAATCTATGTATAAAGGTACTGTATGTACACCCCCAATGAAAACAAGCCAGAGAAAATGGACCGGTGGTGCAAGCGTCCGTCCCCGTCAGATCTGCGCTAGCTCTCCCCTGGTCTGGTCTCGTCCGCCTGTCCAGCCATACCAGCGGCGGCGCTTCAATCGCGCGTATCAGGTATTAGGGGACGGGCTTGTTGATCTTTGTCGCAAACTCCAACATGGTCATTCCCATAAAACAACACCTGCTTGATCAAAGTCAAAATGGCGGATGCAAAGGGGCGCCATCAGGCTCAGGCCCAGCCCCCGGCCCAACCTCCCCAGCCGAGCACCTCGTATTATTGATAAGTACTTACTGAGCTTACTAAAGTACTCCCGCGCTGCAACTGCGCTGAACAGACGTCATCGCCCAGACCCGCAATTTCCAAGGCTAGCAGTCTCTAGCAACCAGGCTTGAGGCTTCGGGGAACCCCTTGGCAACATCTATCTGGGTACTAAGTAAACAGCGCTTTTGTCCGTCCGCCATCAAACGGCACGCACGTCTCCCTCGCCTCCACCTCACCATGGCGAACATGGACAAACTGAAGGTGAAAGCACGCTCTGCCCGCAATCGTGTCGCAGAATCTACATCGCGAGGCGCTGGCAGCGCTTCCATGCACGAGCCTCACTCTACACTCCCACCCGAAGATCACGCAAGCATCGTTGGTGTCAATGAAGGCTTCGTCGGGCCTCAGCCCGGAACTGCTGCCCGTGATTTTGCTACTCCCGCCGACTCCGTCGCACCGCCGCCAACCATAGAACCCCCGACGTCGCTGCAGTCCTCTGTCGACGCAGGAAAGCCCGTCCCAGTGCCACGCAAAGATGGCGCCTCACATAGTTCCCCCAGAACTCCTCGGACTGGGAGGGCGAGAAGTAGTTCTGCGCCTTCCGAACCTTCACCGCAGCCATCGTCATCGCAGCTTCGACCCTCGACCCTCCGCCAATCCAGTATAGGTATCAAGCGCATGTCATCTGCCCAAGGTCTCCAGCAGCTTGCCACAAACCCCAACGCCTCTTGCAATGCCCTGCGACAAAGCACTACACGATTGCCAGCACTCGAGGAGGAATGTCAATTGGAGAACGTGCCAACAACCGCGTCAAACTTTTCGGAACCCATGCCAGCGAAAAATTCCCCGCCCGGGCGGTTGAGAAAGGTCAGCAGCGCTCTGCAGAACAAACTCAGCTTTTGGAAAGACAAGGAACCCGATACGACTGCAGATCTCGAAAAGCAGCCACCACCAATTACATCCCAACAACCACCGCAACAGCTCGCCGCGCCGTATCAGCCGGGGCTCAATTACACGTCAAACATGGTGGATGTACTGGACACAGTAGGTATGTCATTAACCTGTTATTCCTCGTTTCAGAGCAGTATATTGATGAGCATGGCAGATCCCGAGGTGCAAACTTTGACATCTCTTACTAATATTCAAAACTCTCTCTTCGTACCTAATCTGGGTCGGTTCGTGAATCGCCGACCAACGTACAATATTCAACACCCTCCCAGCGAGACGCAAAGCCTTGAAGAGATTGATAGGATTCTTGGGCCTGCGCGGGCTGCCCAAGCAGACATGGCTTCTGCTCCCCGAATAGCGCGGACGCAGTCACAAGGCACCATGGCAACATTAGCAACCATTGACTCGAGAATGAGTGACTCTCGCTACGCTGTACTCCCCCATGGAACAGATTTAGAAGGCTGGTCCAAAGAGGACAAGAAGGAGTTGAACGATCATGTCCGGCACATGCTGCATTCAAAGCGATCCAAGTTCAAGCGGTCCATGCGAGGCTTTGGTCAGTACGTTCGCAGACGTGAGTATCTCTTCTCTTTATTTTTTCCCTGCCATGCGAGCAGTTGTGCTAACCCTCGATAGCGTTGGGATTTCTTGTTACGTTGTATGCAACCTTAATTACCCTATTCGGTCTGGCTTGGGTACTCTTTTTAATCGGCTGGGTCAATGTCGGTGGCAAACAGATATATGTCGTTCATATCATCGACAGCGTCTTAGTTGCTCTTTTTGCCATTGTGGGGGATGGCTTAGCTCCTTTCCGCGCCATTGATACCTACCACATGATCTACATTGCGCACTACCATCACTTCACGTGGTCACGTCGCAAAAAGGAGATGCTACCGGACCTTCGCGACCACAATGACCTACCTGCCGGCAACGCTCCCATATCTGTGAATAGATCAGCTGATGCGGAAGATGTGGAAAAGCAATGGGAGTTCACTGTCCTTACACCAAAGCAGCAAGCGAAACTCGAGCACCATCAAGCAAAGTTCTGTAAATCGCACTCATTCTACAAACCACACGAGACTGAGACCCACTACGCCTTCCCATTACGCTTCCTTGTCGCGATTGTGGTTTTGCTCGACTGTCATTCTTTGCTGCAGATTGCCCTCGGAGCTACGACATGGGGAATCTACTACAAAACTCGGCCAATAGCAATCACAACCGTGATTCTATGCTGTTCCATAACTGCCAACGCCACCGCTGGATTGCTCATCACCATCGGCGACCGTCGCACAAGGAAGAAGGATGTTGTAGAACGTATAAACAGGCAGGAGCTGACAGAAGAGGCTATGCATCATCTAGAGAAGAAAAAAGAACGCGAAAGTGAGAGTGAGCGAGAGGAAGATGGCAAAGAGAAGGAGGGGAGGAGAAGTTTGAACATTCTCAGGCATGCACAGTCGAGCGGTAGTGGCGGGGGGAAGGCCAAAGGGAAACAAGCAGAGAGTGCGTACCCGTGAAGAGCGATGTAATGAAACCAAAGCCATCTGTTCTATGATAAATTGGCGTTGATGTTGAAGTGCACATTGAAAGCAACCGAAAGCCTGTCCAAACCCGCTGGGGAGACTACAGGCCAGCACCTACGATACATAGCATTTATATTACGCTAGTGCGGAAGTAGACAAGTGCTGACTGGTTCTCTATCCCTGTAGTCCTAGCAAACCCTCACAAACCCACGTAGCCGATTCAACTAATCCCATTCCACCTCTGCAGTCACATTCCACCGGGTCATCGTTGTGGTACTGAGGCACCCGGCTATTGCATGTTGATAGACGTAGCATGCTCAATCATCTCTGATCATTCTCAAAAGCTTGACGGACTAGACAAGCTCTCGTGCCGCATCTGCTGATCGAACATCGCTGAGCGGATGAGCCTTCTGGTGGGGCATCGAACCTGCAATCAAGCAACGTCTACTGGCCTACGCCGATGACGGTTCGACGAATGGCGGATCCATTCTTGGGGTGGAGCCATTGCGGCCCATATACTGGTGGCGGCAGTTTGAAGCGAAAGCGAATGGATATCACAGATCAGCCGAATCCAAGCACTATCGAGAATCGGACGATTATGGAAAAGGACGCCTTGCGGTAAGTGTGGATTCCTGTGATATGGTCTGAGATAGCTCTAGCAGCGCTGTGGCTGTAGCTAAGGCGATGAGTAATTCACGCCGCCGTGATGGTGCAACGACTAATCTTTTTCTCCAGACTTGACTGTGACTTCATAACGGTGGTGGTCGGAGATGAAGAAGAACAACGGTCATTCAAAATCCATGAAGATGTAATTTGCGATCGTTCAAGTTTCTTCCGTAGTAGTATGAAACCAGAATGGGCGTCCATGCGCTCCGATCCACGAACTGTCGAGCTCCCCGAAGACAGCCCCAATGCTTTTGCATTATATCGTACATGGCTCTATTCCAGAAAGCTGCCCATTCTTCCTACTCCTCCTACGGAGTCAAATATCGAAGAAGACACCTGTAGAAGCTCCCTCTTCGGCAATCCTCCCGAACACTACCACACTTTGGCGCATGCCTATGTGTTGGGCGAGCGACTACTTGATATCCAATTCAAAAACACCGTTATGGACACCTACGTTCTCTTCGCGCGGGGGGCCACAGGTTCTCGTTATTACCCCACGAACGACCATGTCCGGATCATCTACGACGGTACTACAGAAGGAAGTCCAATAAGGAAGTTTCTAGTGGACATATGGTATTGTAGAGGCAAGGTTGAATGGATTGAGAACGACGGCGATCTCCCTCAGGAATTCCTGGCTGCCGTGGTAAGGGAGATGTTGCGGGCTAGGCAAACGACGGATAACCTGAGCCGTCCGTGGAAATTGACACATACACAATACCATGAGAAGGAGTAAATATTTTTCCTGTATATGAGAAGGAATATCGATCAACGATAATGAGTTATGAAGCAACCAACTGTATGGCACTTGAATTTGTCACTGGAACCTGCTACGCTCTAAGCACATCTGAAGCCCAAAACGGGGAGTTCTTTTTATATCGCATTGAGCCGACTGCGGCCAAAAATCGTTCGTTGGAAAGAGAAATCGGGTGGGTGGTTCAAACACGTCACGCAAGACAAATTGGATGATACCCCGTTACCCGATTACTGCATTCCAGTATTTCCATCTTTTCCGGCGAGACGAGGCTCGTATCCACAGACCATGCTCATCACTGCCTGCCTGGCTTCCTTCCTATCTTTATATTACCATGTTATAACATAAGGGAAAACCGCCGAAGAACACTGTACTAACCATTCTGGAACATCTTGTCAACCTTGGACGTCTCAGGGTCCGGTTTACTAAATTGACTCTAGCTTGGACAGTACCACAGATTTGGTGTGTGCTCTACTATAGATTGCCTTCGATCATATAATATAGTTCCATGGTACCTTTCTCGATGCGGGTGTTCCTTCTTGTCATGTAGGTTTCGATCAACCTTTACAGTCACTGTGTGTCCTAGAAGGTAATGCACTGCAACACAATTTTGACGGGTAGGATACAACCTGCGTTCCAGATCATAATTTTCTGATTGCTTCGTTCTCTGAGACCGTTTTTGCAATAGAGTTCTCGGTGGTCGACCTAGTTCATTCGAATGCAACTCATTTCTCCTACATAGCACAGCCCTTATTTCCGGCCAACAAAGGATTATGCAGCCCTAGAACAGAGCCTTGGTATCTGAAGATGCAAAATATAGGGTTTTATATCACTGCCTATATAACTGTTCGTAGTGGTCAATAACATAGTGTTCCGTCGTTTCAGACAACGGCATAAGGAAGCAGCGTTCCACCATTCACCGACGTGGCATACATCTTCTTTCTGGGCAACTGTCCAGGGGCTTCAAATGAAGAAGGAATTGTCGATTGCCAATCTCCTTCAGGGACGATGGTGGCTGCCAGGTACCTCAGCAATCGTGGAAAGAGCGCTTGGCTCGGTGTTGGCACTGCAGTTCGAGGCGCGCCTTACTTTGGTTCTTTTGTCACTCTCATAATGCGACTTCTCTTTTCGGCTGCGCGAATTGGTACGCTCTGGTGTGAGTGTTGCAGAAATGCATGCCGTCCTCTGTTCTGGATTGTTCGAACCCGACTTAGGTTATGAGGTGAGATACTCCGAGGTGTTTCCCCTCGCAATATCCTGATAGAACTCAATGATTGCAGTTCAATTGTTGATTTGGAATCATCCCGAGAGGCCGCGTTTGACTCAGGGGGGATGTATGCGTTGTAAAGTAGCGCATTCAGCAAGCAGAGGAAACCGTCAAAATAGAGTTGCCAACTCTTGGGCAAGGGCGATGAATTAAGAAGCCATACGATTAAATGGCACGATAAGATCTGCTGAAACCACAGCAGTCTAGAGACGAACATGGTTGGTTGCTGACATCCGCTCCATCGGGCATGGAACCCCTGTACGCAATCCATCTTCTCGACTGCTTCTACGTGAGTAGGGCCGAACTGCTGTCTTGACACTCTGTCAATGTAATGCTACACTATGGATGAAGAGAATACTTTGCGCAGTAATGACATTCGCAGATCCGAGCTCGGGAAGAACCCCCGGGTCATATACGAACTCCCTTTTTCTTCATGGTATCGGGATCGCTGTCTGTTGACTCCTCACACTTTCGCTGTTGTTCTTCTTTCCCTTTCATTTCAATTCGGCTCCGGTAGCCTCAGACTCTGGTTAGTCTTTTCGCTGTGAAATTCGGCCAGTATGGATGACGACCTCGTATCAACTCCGGAGGGTGATTTCAGCGTCGCCTACATGTCTGAGGATCTGGGCCCGTCCCTTATCATGTCGACAAGCGCCATGACAATCCTCTGCACGGCTTTTCTTGTTCTACACTACACGTCTCGATACCTGGCGGCAATGCCATGTGGAGTAGAAGACGTTCTATATCCTTTCGCATGGCTGTCGACCATGGCTTTGGCCGCAGTGGATATCAGTGAGTCAACCACTCTGATGGGCGTTGCGGTGACCTATCAATTGGCATCATCTTTTCTTCGTCCAAACCAAGCATGGATCTTATGCAATGTATGTATGCTAACAACTCAAGTGATGGTTAAGAAAGCCGGACTTGGTCGTCACGTCGCATACAACATGGCTACCGATGCACAGAACCTAGAAGAACATTTGATAGGCGTCTTTTGCAACGAATTGATCCATCCTTTTGCCGTGGCGATCCCCAAGATATGCGTCGTTCTCGTCTACCTGCGTGTATTCACTGGCAAGGGCGAGCGCATGGCCGCCAAAATCCTCATAGGTGCTATCATGACGACATGTCTCGCGTTTACAATTGCTCTGATGTTCCAGTGTCGACCATTCAAATTCAACTGGGACAAAACCATCCCGGACGGGACGTGTTTCGACATTGTGATCTTCGGGCAGAGCAGTAGTATCCCCAATATCGTCACCGACCTTGTGCTTTTGATCTTGCCGATTCGAACCGTCACGGTGCTCAAAATCAGTAAGGGGCGAAAGATTGGTTTGATGATTATTTTCCTCACTGGGGGCGTGGGCATCGTGGCATCGGTGATTCGAACGTACATCTTTTTCATGACGGATCTTTCTACGGATTGGACTTGTAAGTGCCCCATTGCCATTATCCTGTATTTTCTCATCTCTGCGCATACCAGAATGTCCGACCGTGGATTGGCACTAACAATTTGTTTGTTTACAGACACTTCCGTCGCCCTCATACGCTGGACGCTATTAGAACCTAGCCTGTACCTCCTCGCTGCGTGTTCGCTCTCGTTCAAGCCGCTGTTTCGCCTCGTAATTCGGTTCCTGCAATATCATGGCATACTTAAGACGTCAGCCGAGACGACTGATGCGTCGTGGAAATGAGGTGGTCGATGGGGATTTTCATTGGGCCCTGCTACCGCTTCCACCACGGGTGCGCTTTGCAGAGTAGAAACCGAGATGGCGGATAATGCTGCTTGCTCAAGAGTGAGGAGCGATAATTTGGCTCGAAGAGCAAAGTGCAGTACTGGCTGGAATATAACCATGGCATTTACTTCATCTCCGATATGGACTTTGGTCATTTCTTTCTCTCTGTACTACATTTTGGTTGAATATCGTGGTAGATACCCAGGAACTTCGTGAAAAGATGCATGATAACGTATCCAACAAGGACATATAGACACATTAGAGCGGCACAAACCCACAATACCATAGAAATATTACAAACTACATCGCGCAAATGTGACTGTAGAATGCAGAATGGGATGGACGGCACCATTGTCATGGAGACAAGAAACAAAAGGCTTGTAGTTTTTGTTTTCAGAGTATTTCATTCAAAGTACCGGAACTCCACAAGCTATATGGCTACACTTGTCCCAAATAAGACCCAAACCACATCAAAAGGATGTGTAAAGCAAAGACGCCCCCATCACACGGCACACACACAGGAAAAGACCCAGAAAGATATCCCCAATGGCGTTCCATGCATTCTCATTTCATGATGCTTTTTTGATGTGTCGTCTTGGGTTAGGTGTAATACTTGCCCCGTTCGTCATCAAGATCATCCTATCCGGTCTGGTTCCAACATTTCCAAAGGCCGCTCATTTCGCAAATCTCGCGCAGTTGTGGGAATCAAATATAATGAACGCGAAAGAAAACACTGCAATGTCTTACAACATGATCTACAATTCGTCAACGACGTGGTCCTTGGCCGACTTGGCCGACTCGGTAGCTTCCGAAGCAGCCGATTTAGCGCTGTCGGTAGCCTTGGTGGCCTTCTCGGAAACCTGCTCGCTCGCCTCAGAGGCAGCTGAGGAAGCCTTCTCGGAGGCAGCCTCGGCTTGCTTGGGAGCTTCCTCGACAACCTCGTCGACCTTCTCAGCGATGACGGCGGCGGCCTTGTGTGTGCCGTTCTCCTCGATGAACTTGACAAGGTCTTCGACAGTGCGGCCTCCAGAGTAGTCGATGGGTTCCGACTTCTTACCAGCGCGGAAGAGCTTGATGGTGGGGAAGCCCTGAATCTCATCGGGAACATCGTTGGCGGTAGCGTCAACCTTGGCGACAGTTACGAGCTTGGACAGCGCAGGGGAGGAGTACAAAGCACCGAGCTCCTCGTACTTGGGAGCAAGAGCCTTGCAGTGACCGCACCACGGAGCGTAGAACTCAAGTAGGACATCCTTCTCGTTGTTGATGACAAGATCGTCGTAGTTCTTAGCGACAACAACGGTGACAGGGCCGTCGTTGGACTCGGGGATGGGCTCAGACTTGATGGAAGGTTCGACCTTGCCAGCGACGAAGTCCTCGACGAAAGAGCCAATCTCCTTGGCGGTGATGGACTTGGTCTGGTCGAAGGGGTACTTCTGGTTCTTGTCGGTCTGCTGGATAGCGAAAGCGGGCCATTTGCCAACCTCGAGGTTGAGGTTAGCTCCGTGTTGACCGAAAGACTTGGCGTCGATGGTGGCGAAGTTGATCTTGCCCTTGAACTTCTCGGCGACAGGCTTGAGCTCCTTGGAAAGAGTCTCACGCTCTTCGGGCTCCTCAGCGAAAATGTAGGCCAGGGGAATACCGGCGGCCATGTATCCGCTGTATGTCTCGGGACCGACCTCACCAATCAAGGGAGTGGCTGCGACGTTGGCGAAGGACTCAATATCCTCCTTCTCGAACTTTCCAGTGTAGACATCCTTGCCCTCGTCGAAAGTCTTGTAGAGAACGAGACCAGGCTGCTTGACACCATCCTTCTTGGCGAGTTCGGCGTCGTTGATGGCACCGAAGAGGTAGTTGTCACGGAGACCGTTGGCGACGGAGGTGAAGGTCTCGTTGGAGGCCTTGTCGTCAGCGGCGAAGTAGGCGACGAGAACGACCTTGTCGGAGGTCTTGAACTCTTCCACGGTGTCCTTGGTGAGGGTGGAAACGGCGGGGAGCGATTGCTTGGTCATGTAGGAGATGATGGCATCGGCCTTGCGCTGGCCAGAGTATGGGGTGATGTTCTCAGGGCCACGGAAGACCTTGAGGGTGGGGTAACCCTCGACACCATACTTTTGGCACAGATCCTGCTCCTCTGTGCAGTCGACCTTGGCGAGGGGGATCTTCTTCTCCTTGAGGGTGGTAGCTGCCTCCTCGTACTCGGGGGCGAGGGCCTTGCAGTGGCCACACCAGGGAGCAAAGACTAGAAGCGCGATTGGATCAGTATACGTGGAAGAGGACAAGCAAGCAAGCAAGTCAGCGATCAGGATGAGGGGGGGATGCATACACTCGATCAAAGAGAGATCATGTTCCTCGACGAAGCCTTGGAGGGTATCGGTCTTGAGGTCAGTGACGTCGGAAGCCAGACCAAGACCGGCAAGGACGGCGGTGAGAGCAATGCTGTAGCGCATGATGCAATTGAGGGAAGAAGAGGGACAAGGTGGAAGAAGGGGAATCAAGAAGGGAATGGGTAAGGCAGGAGGGAGCGGTTGAGCCTCTGCAGGTGGGGTGTAGAGTAGAAGAGGAAGAGCAGTCGGGCGACCTGTAGGGTTTTATCGTAGAGCGGTAGTGTGGCGGAAGCTGTTTGGGAAACTGTGTTCACTTTCTCGGGCTCCAGGGCCGCCAAGACCGGGGGTGCGATTTGCAGTGGCTGTTCCTGGAGTGAGAAAAGCTACCAGACACAGGTGGCCATTTGCCATCTGATGATGATAAATGCGCCCTCGACCCACGGCCTTTTTCCTACCTACCTGCCCACCTGCTCACCCAGCTCTGCTGTCCATCTCCCCCCCAAGCTCCCCCCACACACACATGCCTTTGCGATTGGCTATTTTTTTTAATATAATTGTTGCTGTAATCGATTCACGGTTGACGAAGTGCAGTACACACGCAGACTTTGTTCAAGCTGGCCGACATGGTGTACCATGATGCCATTCACGAGGAGGTTGCGGTATACTGTGTACATTGTCGGCACCCATGCAAGACAGCCAAGAGGCATGCCCGCTAGCTCCCATGACCCTTGCAGCTTGCGGACTAGTGTGCCGCGCTAGAACGTGCAGGACCTTCTCCACCACACCTCGCTCTATTCAGGCATGCATCATCATCATCATCGTCGTCGTCTACTTGTGTGTCTCTCTATGCAGACAGCTCAGCCTCCGTCTCATTCTATATATATTGTTAATCTAGTTTTATCATCACTGTTGCTTGCGGCTCATGTACTCTGTAATTGCCCCGTCCATTCATCACCTCGAAACAGATGCGCACTCATCGGCTCCGCCTTCGACACCTTCGGCACAAGGCCAGGTGGCTGTCTGTCTGTCTCCCTGCATGCACGCGCGCATACACCATAGTGCCTAAACCTTGTACCTGCTTCCACTCACCTCACACTCCACCTGGGAACCCTAATCACCAGTCATGTACCCACCACCACCACCACCACCCCGGCCGAGCAAACTCACTTGTCCGAACCGACATGTCATTCTGTAAAACCCAAGTCCCAGCCCCGGCCATCCAAAGCGCCTGCCTGAATACATCTAATTACAAGCCATCGAGACACATATACTCATCTTGACTTTATCGGTCCGCTTAACCCTCCACACTCTACCCGTGTCCAATTTCCAAACCTTGTCCGACATGCTCTTCCATCTGGCCACCAACCCTCACCACATCACACACGCACTGGCCCACTTCTCTGCAATACGCTTCACTCAAGAGTTGTCAATTTGTTCATTGCAAATCTACAGAACAACTTGCTAAGCGTGCATCCACTGCCCAGCTGACATCGATCCCGCCCCATTCGATCTCATTGCAGCCTTCCAGCCCACTTACATATCCATTTGCTGCTCCGTAGATCTGCATCACGACCCTCAAAATTTCTTTTTTTTTCCCTTCCGTCCAACCATTCTTGTCTTTTCTTGTTCCTTTCGGCACGTCTTGTTGTTGGTTTTTCGGATTGCTTTTGTTTTCTTCTACTAGGCTGCTTGCTACATGGCTCTCGGTGAATTGCTTCGAATGTTTGTACAGCTTTCAACTGAGAGCGGAATTGACCTCAAGACAAACACTCGACCAAGCTTGAGTTTCTAGCGCCTAGACTGATCCTGTCTCCTGCGTCCATGTGTGACTTGAAGATGATCAACATTTTCTTGAGCCCAAAAGTGGCGCTCGGGGTTTGCGGTCTCCGTGATGAGGGGGAGGAGCCGCTGGGTTGTGTTCCAATCGTGGATGCTCAAAGGCCATCTGTGGTAGCACGGTATGCAAGCCGGGGTTGATGGTGGTGATTGATGAGTGTAGTATGGCAGCGATTGCTCACCGCCTAGTCGTATGATGTTGATTGCATACAATGCGCGACCAGAATGCCAAAGTACTGTAAGGACAAGATGAAGGTAATCATGCCGGCATCGATTTTTTTCTGCGAAAAGCGTGTCACGCCCAGTACCAGAATACCGAGTCAAATTTCGAACCCTGTAACGCAATGGTAAAGTGATTTTTTGGGAGAATCCGCCATGCTCCAATGCTGGTTGATAACGGAAAGAGGGAAGGGGTATAGGTAGGACGGAGGATGTGGAAGAACTGATGACCCCATCGAGTCCGCCCATACGGACCCAAAGAGATACGAGAGAGAGAGAGAGGAAATGACCCTAGATCCACCAAATGACCCAGGGTATATAATACAAGATGAATGGTCCGAGATTGCCGACTCCGGTAGCGCCGATTCGATTCGGTTCGTTATAGCCGAAAGAACAATCAGAAATGCCGTACCGACTCGTTGACCTAAGCCACTCATGACATCGTAACGAAAGACTGACAAAGGATCATGTTTGCTCGAGGCAAACGACCCCTAGAGGAACAAGATGAGAAAAAAAAACAGAAAGATGATAATGCACAAACTCGCCAATGACAACCGAATCTGGCTCCGGGCATCGAGGGATCAAGACAAAGATAGAGTGAGGTGATCAACGTCATCGAAACCTACCCAGCAGCCATGAGCCTCCCCATATCGCCGTGCACCAACCTATTACGGGCCGGCGGGCTGGGGTCGAGCGTTACGCTGCGGGTTATGGCCATTCTGACGATTTTGTTGGTTTGGGTTCGGACCTTGGCTGGATTGACCCTGCGGTGGACCTCCTCGACGCTGGCCTTGGAATCCACCACCACGCTGGCTACGGTAATTTCCACGGCTGTTCTGTGGTTGGCCGGACCTAGCCAATGCCATGGCGTTCTCCTGCTCTTGCTCCTGTGCGGTGTTCCGGGTGTTGATGGGGCGGGGAATGTTCTCGGGGGTCTCGTAAACATATAATTTCTTCTCGATGACTTGCGGAATGGGTTGGATCTCAGTGCCTAGTTCCTGTTCGATACGGTACAAATTGAAGCGATCATCCCAGTTGATGAGGTTAATAGCCAACCCGAGATGTCCAAAACGGCCAGATCGACCGATACGGTGAAGATATGTCTCGGCGTTCTTCGGGAAGTCAAAGTTGATGACAACATTCACAGCCTGAATATCAATACCACGCGTAAGCAAATCCGAACAGACAAGGTTGCGGCAGACGCCATTGCGAAAATCGTGGAAAACGCGATTACGGTTGTGTTGAAGCATTCGGGCGTGTGAATAGAAGCAGGAATAACCAAGCTCCGTAATTTTCTTAGCGAGAAGTTCAACGCGGTTAGTAGAATTGCAGAAGATGATTGACTGGTTAATCTGCAGCTTATTGAACAAGGTGTTCAGGCAATGCACTTTCTGTTTCTCTTCGACAAAGGCGTAATACTGCGTAATACCCCGGAGGGTCAGTTCGTCCATCAAGTTGATTTCATATGGGGAGGTCATATGTTTGTCCTGAAAGTATAGGATTAGTAGCCGCGGACGAATTTCCTTGAACAGGGACAACGGGCCATACCTTAAAGCTCTTGACCACAATGGGGAAAGTGGCACTGAAGAGCATAACCTGCCTCTCCTTGGGGTGAAAGCCTAAGAGTTGCTCAACAACAGGGGTGAATTCGGGTGATAGAAGCTTGTCAGCCTCGTCCATGACGAACGTATGACAAGCAGACAGGTCGGCGACACCTTTACCAGCCAGATCCAAGATCCTGCCTGGAGTTCCTACAATGATATGCACAGCTTCCGAAAGGCGAATGATGTCATCCTTCAGGCCTGTGCCACCAGTCGAGACCATAACGTTGATGCCAAGATGTTTTCCAAGAGACTTGCATACCTGCGACGTCTGCAGGGCAAGTTCTCGGGTAGGGACCAGGATGAGAGCTTGGGTTTTGGGGCTCTTTGGGTTCACGCGTTCGAGGGTAGGTATGACGAAAGCAGCAGTCTTGCCCGTGCCGTTCTTCGCTCGTGCTAGGATGTCTCGGCCGGTAAGAGCAACGGGGATGGTTTCTTCTTGGATAGGCGATGGCTTCTCGAAGCCAGCCTCGAATATGCCCATCATCAATTCGCGCTTGATGAAGAAGTCTTCAAATTCAAGGCCTTTGGTTGCTGTGACATCCTGCGAGAGTGTGTAAGTCTAGAGGTCCAATCGCATATGTGTAACATGCAGTGCGTACCTCTGTTTGCACTCGGTTGTCTTTGGAGGGTATCTTGAGACCATCCTTCCAATTGGCTTCGCCTTGAGGCGAGGAATCACTGTACATGGCTCGGATCAGCAGCTGCAAGGGGTAATGAAATAGTAGGCCAGTTGGACAAGGCTAGCGACGCACCTGAGCTTTGTCGCTCCTAGCTGGTTGGCGAGCTGGTCGGCCATTGTGTGTTTGGCCACCTGATGGTGGGTGGATTTGGAGTGCGATGAGAGCCTCGACTAGAAGAGGGCAAGGTTGTAGTATGCGGTAGACAGGCGGCAGCAGCGCCGTACTTATGAGGTGAAGGTGTGGGTGCACCGGCTTGTGCGCTGGATCGGAGGGCAAAGTGTGTGGTCGCGCCGTGTGTGATGGGCAGACGAGTAGCGGCTGGCGAGGTGGGATAGCTTTTTCGCAATGCAGCGGCGGGGGCAATGGATGGGAGGTGATGTTGTAGTGGAGTAGAAGGTGTTGGGTTGTGGGGTCCAAGATTCTTGCTTGCTTGCTTGGTCGCACGGCTAGCTGTGTTTTCGGCGATGGTGCGTGGGCCGACTCTGTGTGCAGAGAGCGACCGGCGGTGGAAAGTGGCGAGAGGAATGCTGCCTCTGCGTGTGAAGAAAGTAGTCTGGGAGACAGTCAGGATATGGAGAGAATATATCAAGTGTGTGGTGTGGAGAGGCAGCACGGTTTTATGGGTAGAGGGGGTGCGTGGTGTGGAGGGAAAGCCAGGCGAAGCTCTTTATGAGCGCACGATTGGTGTCTGTGCGGCCGAGTCGCTGATTGGTCACTCCGACGTCGTCCTCGTGTTACCTCAGTTGATCGCAAGCCTGTGCAAACTCACCCCATCAGCCTTCCTACACAAGACCGTTGCTTCCGACGCAAACGGTAATGCTCGTCGCCTATACTCAGGTGCATTTTATCAACTCTCAGCGGCCTTGAAATCGTCCGGTACTCAATTCACGTGCTACTCATTTCGCTTTACTTATGTACCTCTTTGGTCTCAAAACTCTTTGACTTTACTATCAATTGAAACTTGATCACCAGTTTCATGTCTTTCCTTCCTAGAATCATGGGCCGTTGCATCCGCCCAGGCGCATTCAATACACCACGACCTTTTGGCAGTCTTCGATGCTCTCCTCTGACTGCAGCTGCTAAACCCACGCCCATCAACTTCTTCAAGTCTTCGCTGCAACCTCGTCAAGACCAGGATAGTTACCGCTCTTACTCTTTTGACCATCGACGGCGACGATCTAGGGTTGTACAGGAGGTCCCTAAGGATAATGTATGGACGGTCGTCCCGGAGACACCTGAGGAAGCCCGTAGCCGGAGAGGACCTACCATCAATTCATATATCCTCTATGGCATCATTGGAGCCAACTGCGCCGTCTTCCTCTATGCACAGTACGCCAAACAGCAAGTTCGCTTGGGTTTTCCCGAAAACTTTCACAATTTTTATCAAAACTTCACCTTGAACTACGAAGATGTAGTCAGACAAGGGAAATATTGGACCATGGTCACGAGCGTCTTCTCTCATACCGAGTTAATGCATTTACTTGGAAACATGATCTCGACCTTTTATATAGGCAAGCTAGTGGCCGACACCCGAGGCGTTACGCCTCTCAGCTTCGTGGTCCTCATCATGGGATCCGGAATCGCGGGCTCGCTATTCTATCTAGCGTTTCGGCGCCAGAAGATTCAGGAGCAGACGAAGCGGACTGGTTTCCCCCCACTTGATATGCAGCGTGGTCTGGGCTTTTCGGGCGCGGTTATGGGCGTGGGATCTGCTGCCGCTTTCATGTATCCCAGGGTGACGTTGTCTCTCTATGGGATTATCCCGGTGCCACTGTGGGCTTTGATGGCGGGCTATGCTATCTTTGATGGGTATTACTTAAACAGCAGCACTTCCCGTGTTGCTCACTCTGGCCATTTGGGAGGGTTGTTCTTCGGTGGGATATACTACTTTGCTAAACTGAGAGGACTCCCTGTTCGACCGTGGTGAGCTAGAGGACTACATGATGTACTCGCGAGGATCATCAAACATCCTCATTTTGTATTTCTATATGTTACTCTAGCATGCCGTCAAAATTGAAAACCCACGACTTGATGCTACGGCATGAGCTATATGTAGAAGAGGCTGACATTGTCTCCACTGGGGACGCTAGTGATATAACAAGAGACCTTACATGGACGTCCACTGTCTCCCTTGAATGAGATGGCCCTTCCTTAAAACACCATGATAAAATAAACAAATACGCCACTGCCATATTCCTTGGGCATGTAGGCCATCAAAGCATCTGCCTACCATAAACAGGGAACACTGCTTGAAAGGGTCCACTTCCCATCTCGCTATTACCATGCAAACATACAAGACCAGGTGAATAACTCACTCTGTCATCTGAGATTGCAGGACCGGCCCCTCAATCTCATTTTGTACTGAGTCGGGAAGTTTCTTTTCAACCTCGTTGGAATCCTCAGTTCCAATCAACGGCTGCTCGGATATGGCAGCAGCCGGCTCAGCAGAGCCTGTGCCAATACTGGTGGCGACAGTCGGTGCTGGGACTGCCTCGTTCATTTCGATAGACATTGCATCGTCGTCAGAGTCTACCGTGGCCTTCGAAAGTGTGCTTTGATCTGACCTTCGTGGACGACCTCGTGGACGACCTCGTGGTTTTCCTGTCGACCTCGGTGGCTGATGTGTAGGCTCAACTGCTGGTAGCTCGACGGACTTCTGCCTGTTTCCTACTACAGCCTGCTGATCTGCCACATCTGTATCTGAACTATCTAGGATATACTCTTCCGACTTAGGCTGGGACCTCCTTGGCCCTGACTTTTGCTTTCCTAACTTTTTGAGGGAGCTAGGCGTCGTGACTAACGGTTCCTTTGTCTTTTCTCTCTTGATCTTTGGCGTCATCTCTTGTTTGACTTGGGTTGCTGGCTCAGCTCCATTCTGGTCCATTTGCAACTTCCTGGCCGCAGCTTGAGCTTTCTTGAATCCAGGTTTGGGGCCAGGCTTCTTCCGTGGCGGCTTCGACGAAGGGCTTGAGATGGAGGCCGGCGCGTTTTGTGCTATCGCTGGCGTAGCCATTGGTGCTTCGCGATCTGCACTATCATCAGGTGCGTACACTGCTGATTGTGTAGACTTGCGCCGACCAGCCCTTTTGGCTGGATTTGGTGGGTCGACTTTAGTTTTGGTGATGAACTCTTCATCTTCATCCTCCTCTGTCTTCCTCCAAGCTCGGCCTTTGCCCTTGTAGTAAGCTCTCCCCATGTTTGGCAGTAGATCATCTGAAAGCCCGGGTTCCGCGTCGTCATCGTCATCGTCATCCACATTAACCATAGGTGTTTCTTCTGTAACTTCCTCGATTGGGCGCGAAGTGCGCTTGAACTTGATCGTCTGTTTCTTGGGAGATATTTCCACGTTGCTTCCGCCACTTTTTTCGTCGTCGAGTTGGTCTTCGAACAACTTTGCATTGTGTTGGTAGGGATTCTGCTGCGCAGCTGTTCGAGCACGTAAACCTCGCCTTGATGCTGACAGGGCGCCAGGTGAAGCGGCTGATGCATTAGGAGCAACGAGCTTCTTGGTCGCAGGGCCATCCTCATCATCTGGTTGCGAAGACTTCTGAGGCTGCCTACCGTTAACTAGGTTGAAGTATCTGAGGTCGAGAGAACCTACCAAAGATTTTTTCTTGGGCTTCTTTACTGATTTTGCTTTCGGAGTGTTCGCGCTTGTGAAAGCAACTGGGGTTCTATGCTCTGATCCTCTATTAGTACGCAGTGGCAGTGGTGCGATAGAACGACGTCAGATGGTCTTGGGTATGGATTCCCCTTGGATTAATCCAACCGGTGTCCACGAATAGATCATGAGCAGATCGAGCTAAGGAAAAAGCAAGAAGTCAAGAAGGCAATAAACGTCTACTTTTGGTGCTGTCGACGTATGTTAAAACTTACCAGGCTCTGTAGGTTGAATTGCGTCTGCAATATTCATAGCAGTAGCATCTACTGATGTAGCATCGTCATCCATGTCTTCCGGTGCTATGATGGCTTCTGACTGAACATGGGTATTAGCCTGAAATTGATCATGTTGGCTACCATGACTTACGAGGAAATGCTTCTTCTTACGTCCACCCGACTTGCGTCGCTCGTTAGCAAGAACCTCTTCTTGGGCGTCACTCTCATCCGATTTGACGATTTCATGCGACTAAGACAGGTTAGTGCTGCGCACACCAAACTCAGAAATCCACTTACAAGAGAATGCTTTTTGGATTTCTTTTTACGCTTGGTGGGACCCGAAGCTTCATCTGAATTTGGTCGCGAAGTTGAGCCAGATGATTTGATGGACTGCCGCATTCCGTAACCATTTGTGGCGACGTTCTTGGGCCGCGTCGAGGTCCGCTGGTTCCGCGAAATAACGTCCACGGCTTCCACTTCGGACGCCTCATCCTCCTGGCTATTTCAGTAATTAATTTCTTAAGAGGTGATCGGGTTTGAACCTACATTCGACGATGGTTCGTTCCATATGTCCATAGTCACATGCAGTAGATAAGGACCGAGGACATGGGTTGATTTAACCCACTGGTCGTAGCTCAATGCTGATATTGCATCTTCGCTCTTGTAGATGTCATATTCCGCTTCGCCATGTTTCTCAAGCCATGAGTTAAACCGAGCGTTGGATGAGTCGTCGCTCTCGTTGACATCTGGCGTTTGCGCGACTGGCGCCATGGCTGATTATCGTAAGTTGGAAAGTGAGTAAAGCGTTATGCTAAGTAAAGACATGCAGAAGGAAAATCTCATCCAGCCAAGGAAGAGTATCGGTTAACCCAGTCGAGGCAAACACTACCTGTGCTTATCCACCGACCAAAACGTGCGCACCAAGATGCGCGGGTGGGGAGGTCGATGTGATGAAGGTTGAGAAACGCAGTGTAAGAAAGAAGAAGGACCAAGTCTTAAAGAGAAGATCCGGGTCTCGTCACACGTTAGCTTTGCGATACCGAAGATAGAGCGACAAAGGCTCAATCAAACGGAACAACTCAACAAAATACACTAGAATACTAAAGTTTCTCTTGCCGAGGCGCAGCAGCAAAGGTAGACAGTCGTGTCAAAGGTTGCAAAGACATGGAAAAACGTTGGGTGCAGATGCGCGTGCGCTAGAGAGACATCATTGATAATTTCTCAGCTCGGCTATTAGGGAGGAATCAGGGTAGACCACCAACATGTCGCGTCTCGCAATGCATGCGATCGTGTTGTACATTCTCAATCTCCAGGGTTCCTTGGTAAATCTTGATCGATTCTGCTCTTGTGCAGCGATCAAATGTCACAGCGTGCCAGAACCCGACATCACATGCACTCACTGGCCTAATGTTAAATATATAGTACACTTATTCGTACCTAGCAGTCGTTGGATCGTCACTCATTGCCGTTGCAACTGATACACTGAACAAACAATCTACTATTGTGATCCTATTATGTGACAACGATAACGGTCCTGTCGCAAGATCGCTACCACTGCCACGACCTCGGTCATTTTGTTATATACAAGAGTCGCGAATGTCAACTGTCAGCTAGAAAACGCCTCGGACAAATCGCAAGAGACTACCTAGACCAAGGGGTATACAACGGCAACCGATACCATTCCATCTGAATTTCGGATAGAACGGGATTGGTTACGCCCAAAAACGTAACGCCTGCCCAAGATGAAATGTTCAAAAAACAGAACGAGGTTGAAGAAAGAACCCCACGTTTCCCACTATTATATCCCCTAGCGACGATGGACTGTTAAGCATCCGTTCGGCGGGTACTTGACTGCTTAAAATTCAGGATTTGTGAAGATGCAAAAGGGAATAGTTGGAAATAGACATGAAGGGCGGATGAGGTGCGAATGAGGAATCATAGCTCTTGTGCTAGTACGCTCATCTAGTAATTTACGGGAAAGAAAAACAAAATGAGAAATACACTGGCGCAATAAGCGATATACAGATCGAGAGAAATGCAGAAGTAGAACTGAGAAGGTGAAAATTATGCGGCAGGGATGCTTTCAGGGCTGATCATGCCTACTCCATCGTCTTTCTCGGGTTCGTTGACAGCTTGGTTCTCTTTTAGAGGCATGTCGAATTTGAGCTTGCCGAGTGGTTTGTCAATCCCTTTATGCTGGCTGTTTGCGCCGCCACTGCCAATGTTCTCATCCCTACCTTCGTCTAACTTTCGCTTCTTGCGTGCCATCTGCTGTTGTTCCCTCAATGGTCGTTTACGAGGACTGGAGATCTTGCCAGTTGGGGGAAGACGTGGTTTGGGGAAACGTTGTTTGGGTGGTAAATCCTCATCCTCGATGAGTGTTTCGTTGGCATTGTCTTGCAGTTTGGCCAGGAACCAATCTTGTATGAGACCGATTTGGTTGGGGATTGTCTGCATAGTGATAGGCTCAAATTTCTGCGGTTCTTCCATAAGAACGCCAGTAGTAGTAACATTACTTGTAATGAATTAGCCTTGAATGATATGTATGGGATATTGGGGACATACTTCGTGTTCTGGGAGGCATGTAATTGATGCATCCTGTTTTGCAGCAAATGCAATGGTACGCTGAAACTAACGCCAAACTCTTTGTCGAGACCGAGCTCCTTGAAACCAAAGAAATCTTCGCCAATATCTTCGGCAAAGTCACCACCGACAAATTGCTCACTGCCGTCGTTGAAAGCGCCGGCACCATCGGCACCTGCGTTATCCATAGCGGGACGGAGTAATTCGGCATAATACGACCGCATTCTGTCGTGCATTCCAGCAAGTTTGGATCCAAGTCTTTCGATATCGTCTTTGACATAAGTTTCAAGAGTCTCCAGATCAACTCCATTGACTTGCAAGGCGTGCAAGACGGCCTCCTCTTGCGTGAATCTTGGAATCCAGCTTGTGATAGTGGAAGTGCTCGGAACGACAGCTGGGTTTGGTGTTCGCATTTTAGGTGCTTCGCGATAAACAGCCAAGCTCTTCACGAGCTTCTCGAAAAAGTCGCCTGCTATATCCGTGATTGCATCAAGTGCGGATGGTTGGAATTCTTCGAATCCAGCATGATAAAAAATCTTGCCTACACTTCGCTGGAGTGCTGCACGACAGACATATGGAGCCATGACTGGGCCATCCTCAGAAACAACCATAGGTTCTATATCTGTTTCCATAAAAGGCTGAGGGTCGTACTTTTGGAATTGATTCTGATACATCTAGCAAAACGTCAATATGTTGCCAAAGTTTCGAGCAAGGGTGTGACTTACCTGCGACTGCAGCTGCATTTGCTTCACTATACCAATCTTTGCGCAGATCTTTCGGGTCTCCTGCATTTGTCGCATGTTGGATTCCATTTTTTTCACGAGGGAACCTTCTGGAGCAACGAATTGACCCTTTGGTACAATACGCATGTACTCCTCGTATTGTTGTATGACATGGCCCTCCGAATCCTCGATCCATTGCTGGCGCTCGTTGAGATCTGGTATAGCGCACACAGGGTCGTAGTAATCGGGAATTTGGCGTTCCTCTTCCTCTTCGATGCCTTCAGCAAGTGTTTCTCCGGCAGTTGCTACAATCCCGTCTTTTCCATCAGGTTGAGATGCAGTATTGGCCGCAGACTCTTCTTCAATTGCCTGTTTCCGGTGTCGAAGCCACCTCCGCATCCCGGCTTTAGAGCGCAAAATGGCGGGTTCATCGCCCTGCAACTGGTCATCGCGAAATAGACGATGACGCTCAGCTGCAATAGTTGCGCGGTCTTTCTTGGTGACTTGTTTCCAAGTTTTGTATTCAAGATCATCCAAGTCGGCATCTTCTTCAAAAAATCCGCTCACAGAAACGCCAGTGCCGTCTGCATCGGAATTGTCCGCCTGACTTCCGTGTGCTCCGTTACGTAGGGTACCGTTGGGACCCAGAGGAGTAAGTGTACCGGGTGGAGGAGTAGACAAGCCGTTGATGCTTCCTTCCATTTCCGAGTCAGCCCTGAGGAATTCGTTTTTCAGATTGGAGACGGTGTGATTTAGAGTGGGAACACCTGATTTAGTGTCGGGGCCAGGTGTAACTTCCAGACCTGCTGGAGGGGCTTTACGAGTGGTGGTGTTGGAGCCTTTCGCGCCTTTACTGGGAGCCTTTCGTCCACGTGAAGCCATTATTGGCTCTTCATCTTCACTGTCCTCGGCACCGTCAGCATCGGCATCCCCATTCCGCATTCTACGTTCCTCAGCCTCAACTTCGGCGCGGTCGCGAACAGTGATCTCTGGAATCAAGGGTACCAGTTTCTCAGTTTCTTTCCGCATGTATAGTGCCTTTTTGCGGAGGGGGTGGTCTGATGCTGAGTTGTATTTCAAGCAGTTTGCCCAAATGAGCATTAGATCGTCCGTAAACTCCTTCTTCGACTTGTACTGCAGTTGTTTCAACTTCTTCATCATTGTCCCAATATCCATCGGTTGTTTGATGATGTTATAGTAGTCGGGGGCTTCTCTTTTATTGACGCGCTGTAGAAAAGGATTCGCATGCTCGCCGGCTTTGAGCTCCATAAGCACCTTCTCCATGCTCTCATAGAGTTCCTCTTGGCCGACACGGTCTTCGTTCGCCCATTTGCTACGATTCTTTCTGACTTCACTGATCAAGCTTCGCAGCTGTGTATCACTTGCATGCACCTTGTCTCTCTGAGCATCTATGCGAGCAATGAGATGCTTCAGGGTGAGACTTGAAGCTCCGAGGTTGGTAGTACTCAAAGTTCCTTGTTGAGGCGCGGCGGGTGTACCTGCCGCAGGAGCGCTGGCGGCTTGTCCAGACATCTCCGTCTCAACCTGTCGATCTAGCTCATCAAGCTTCTGTTGTTCTAGCATAGCATCCCGATCGCTCTCCAGTGTGTGGAATAGTGTATAGAAGCTGCGTTTTGCCGCATCTTCCGCCGCCTTCTTGTCTTGCTCCAGTTTCTTGCGCACATCATCCGATGACTTGGCATGCGCAGACGCGGGCGAACTAGTGCGTTCAAGACCCAATCTGTTGGACAATGAAGGCATCCGAAGGCTCGGCGGGTCGAGGGTGCCAACGCCAGTCCCATTCGGAGCACTCTTCGCAAGCAACGGAGAGGTGTTTGTGTCATCTTCATCTTCGGCATCATCATCGTCACCGTAGTCGTCTTCGTCAATTGTCCGCGAAGGTTTCTTGGGGGTCGCGGTCGGGAGCGCGTCATGTGCTGGGGGAGCGAGGTCGGCAGATGGTTCAGAGTGGGCATCGGCAATATCAAAAAGACCAGCGCCACCCAGGACGGCGGCGAGGCGCGCTTCGGTGCGCAGGTACTGTTCCCGCCAGCGCGCTGCCCGGGGGTCTTCTTCGGGAATGGCGTCTACCCCCTCACCAAGCGCGTTGTTGATGGAACCGTTGGACATGGCCTCATCGCTCAATGGGGGATTCGGAGTACGTAGGCGGATCGCGTTCGGAGGCTGGTGGAGATTCCGTGCATAGTGTTGGCGCTCTCGAGATGATGTGCGATGTTGTAATGATGGAGCGAGAGACATGCTGCCCGTGGGGACAGCGCCAAGCCCTGGGGGAGCCTCCTCAGCGTGCTGCGACGCCTTTGGGGCGGCCTCCGACCTCGTGCAAGTGTCGCAAAGGCACAAAAACACACATGGAAGGAGCCCTGAGGCGAGGGAATCGGAAGTCGATGGAGTCGAGATGAAATATCGCGGTTGTGCACCCAGAAAGGATGGCTAAAGATGCCGGCGTTGTGCGTGAAGGAGAGAGAACAGAACGTAGTTCGATTATGCTTTCCACTAGGCTTGGCCCGTTTGGAGGCTGCACCTCGACCAGCAATCCCTTGAATCTACTTGGAGGCCTCTCAGTCCACACGCGACGTGTATGCTATTCTCGGCTTCTCATGGCTGGTACCTTGCGCATGTCGCGTTCTTGGGCGGTTCCAGAAGGCCATTCACGCTCGCCATGATGCGTTTCCGCTGCCCCAGTCTGGTCTTCATTCACGTCGGGACTAATCATTATCTAAACCCCACTTACTGCCCAGGATCGATATGAGAAGTAGACGGGCAAGCAAGCCTGAATATTAGTATGCCATCAACGTTTGAACTTTCGAGAACCATTTGGATTGTGGCTACATGTTATTGACGACTTGCTGGGATATCGGACACTTGTACATGCGAGCATCCAATTTCACTTGGTTGGAGGCATGACTGCATTGCACGTAGGCCATGTAACCTGTCTCTGGAAGCTCGCAATCGCAAAGAGCGCCGACCAGGCTGCATCACATACCGTCATTTCCCAAATAATTGATCATAAATAACCCACAATGCTCAACTATTTGCGCACGGTGTCACCAACAGTTGCAAGCATGCATGCATGCAGGTAAATCGTGCTTGAACGTTCAATGTTCAATGGAGGTTCTCCACGTGATCAACCTCGGCGCAACGTAAGCGGAGCTGTACGACAGCAAAGGACAGGGCTAACCTGGCTCCAGCGTAGCGGACACGATGCCGCTCCCAACCACCACCTTAACAGTCGGTTCCGATCTCTCCTCTACTATGCACCGTCTCTGGTAACACGCAGCTTGAATTGGAAACACTACGATATGAGGATTCGAAAACCTTTTGCTGGTGAGTACAATCTCGCCGACTAGTTCTTGCTTGCAGGCTTCCCATCGCCTGAGAGGAAGCCTTTCGCATCCGACAACACAACTTGCGCCTGCTCATCTTGTCGTCTACAAGAGTTCCAGCGGAATACTGGGACTCGTGAAGCACTTGCCAGAACATTTCATTTGGCACGACCGATACGACTGGTTACACTAGCTGACCTAGTTCAGGCGCATTTGTAGCCATCATCTTCATTTCCGCCGCAGCCGGATTTTCGCCCTCCGAATACAGCATTCCGGCATATAAACAATCCGACAAAGCCCTCCACTTCATCGCTTTCTTCCTCCTTACTTTCTGCTTCTATTGGATCCTGGAAGCAAGTAGGAGAAAGGTCGTGCATCTTACGTTGACCGTATGCACTTTGGGTTTGGGATGCGCCAGTGAGATCATACAAGGAGTTTTGCCGGTGAGCTCCTGTAATCCCAGAAGCCTTATAGGCTACGCTGATATGTATACACGCAGATCCACCGCGAATTCGACTATTATGACATAGTTGCAAACGTCCTGGGGTCCGGGAGCGCCATCGCGTTATGCAATTGGTACCACAAGCGCATGCTCGAGAGGAAACGTGCGGCACGCGGCTATGGAGGTGTCGCAGGCGAAGACCCCGATGAAGACGTGGAGCTAGGTGAGGGCATCGGGGCCCAGGAAACCGGTGTCGTTCGACCGACAGTCGACGAGGAGCTGGATCGTTGGGATGAGAATGCCGAAGATTGGGACACTACAGAACCAGCAGAAACATCGGTCGAGCAAGACGGTGGGGGAGATCTGGGCGATAGCAAGAAGCGTGCGGATTAAATGCCAACCTGTGGACGACCAATTCATTGGCTTGCATGACGAATAAAATATATTGGGCTCGACCAATGTACTGAATTTAATCTAAACGGCGTATTGGGTTGTCCGCGATTTTTTCAATGATGTTGGAAAGACGGGTTGATATCTCTCGCACAGTTTCGGACAAAACAACGTGTACCATCCAAGAAATTGAGAAGCCTTGGAAAAAGTTGCACATCAAATCTTATTTGTGTACATGATCGTAGCTATTTTTTGGCATCGTATGCATCTCGTTCAAGCCACATGACCATCAATCGTGGAATCGGCCTTTTCAGCCCCCATGATATCATGCACATTTCCAGTTAAAGATGCTGGAAAGACCCTTCGACCCAAATCATGCGCCATGATGTTATTCATTCCTCAATCGCACCATCTCCCCTTTAAGCTTGAGCGCCAGCGACCTTGGCGGGTTGCTGCTGGGGGTTGACCTTCTTTCCGTCCTTGTTGTACCTGACGCGTGGCGGGGGAGCACGGTTGCGGCGGCCCTCACGGGAACGGACACTGTATATGTCATTAGATTTTTCCAGGCATTGTCGGCGATCATCTCTTAATGAGGAACGTACCGGACAATCTTGCCGTGGATGGCGCACGAGACGCAGTACTGAAGCTTCAAGTACATCTTGGGGACAGTGTATTCGGGGAACACGGAAGCATCAGAGATATCACCTTCGCAGAATGTCAGCCCACTGGTTTATAGCACGACGGTCGTGGCAAAGTTGCGCAGGATTCGGAGAGTGCGAGGAAACGTACGGATGGCAGCAGATTCAACCATGTTGCGGATGGTGAACCTCTTGATTGCCTTGTCCTTGGGAGTGCATCGCGAGCAGTTGGAGCAGCGGATGGGCTTAACGTGGCCACGACCCTTCTTGTTACGGCCGCTGAAAGTCGTTAGCTAACGAGGTAACGAAGGAAGGAGGTGGGTAGATTGCATACTTGGATGCTCGCTTCTTGACCATGATGGGCTGATTCTTTGGTTTGTCAGTATATTGAATCCAGAAAGGATGTCAAAGGAAAAATGCGCACCGAAGATGTGGGACCTAGGAGTCAGTATGTTCGGATTGTCGAAGTGGTGTCGTTGCAGGCGGCGTGGATGAAAGTCGCCAAAATCGAAGTGTGTAGCGAGATAGAGCCCCGAGAAAGATCCGCGATTATCTTATCTATTTTCTTGGCGCTTCATCCGTTCACCACAATTGGTCAGTAGTCCAGGCATTCGAGGGTTTCACGATTCGTCCCGGGTTTTATATGCTTGGGTGTCCATTATCGGAATTATTTCTTGATAGGAAGTTGCGCAATACAGTCCCTGTCGACTCACACATGCATTGGCCGTTGTCTACCTGTTCAGTTATCTCTTGTACACGAACAACCGCTAGATATTGATCGCCCTTGTGACCAACGGAAAGCGCCTTCCCCAATCTGGAGCCGCGTTGTTTTCCCGTGTGGTTGCCAGGGTTGCTAGGGTATCAGGCCAGGGTCAACCATCTTTTGCTCTGCTCCTCAGTCTCAGTGCCCGCTCGACTAGATAAACATCGACCAACTCTTCCGAAATCACAATTCGCAGATAACAGCTCACTGTTAACCGCTCAGGAGACTTACCGCTGCGATCCATCCAGCCACCATGTCTTCCACCGGCACCTTTCGAGGTACCCCTAAAAACCGCAACAACGCCAATGTGCAGTACGCCAACAGCCCGTCTAACATCCCCCGCCCAGCCCTCGAGCATGTGAGCACAGCACAGAGCGAAGCCGGCACCTCGACGCTCAGTAGCAGCCGACAAAAGCAGACGAAGAGAGATGAGGTGGGTGCTTTGGTTGCCCTCGGCCGTGGTCGACCGCTCGTACTGACTTCCCAATAGGCAATTCGCCGCAAGATCGAGCATGACTTGAACAAAAAGAAGAACCCTACGGGCCGCGTACGCCAGTCAAGAAAGGCACCTCCGGGCACGGTGCTTGCATTGAAGCCTAGCCAAGCCCTACAGATCAAGCCCAATACTACTGTCGCTGAAGCCGCACAACTGATGGCTGCAAAGAGAGAGGACTGTGTTCTGGTCACTGATGAAGATGATCGAATTGCCGGTATCTTCACTGCAAAGGATCTTGCTTTCCGAGTAGTGGGTGCCGGTGTCAAAGCCAGCAACGTTACCATCGAGGAAATCATGACCAAGAATCCCCTTTGCGCGAAGACAGACACTAGTGCCACGGACGCCCTGGATTTGATGGTCAGAAAAGGCTTCCGTCATCTGCCCGTGATGGACGAAAACCATGATATCTCAGGCATTCTCGACATTACAAAGTGTTTCTACGATGCCATGGAAAAGCTGGAGCGTGCATACAGCTCTTCGCGCAAACTGTATGATGCTTTGGAGGGCGTCCAGGCAGAAATGGGAGCCAGTCAGCCACAGCAGATCATTCAATACGTTGAGGCGATTCGAAGCAAAATGTCTGGTCCAACACTGGAGTCGGTCTTGAACGGCTTGCCTCCAACGACTGTCTCTGTGCGAACATCTGTCAAAGAAGCCGCGGCCATGATGAAAGAGAACCACACCACGGCAGTCTTGGTACAAGATCAGGGTTCCATCACTGGTATCTTTACGAGCAAGGATGTTGTGCTGCGTGTCATCGCAGCTGGCCTTGATCCTGCTACCTGCAGTGTTGTTAGGGTCATGACACCCCATCCGGATTTTGCCCCGATGGATATGAGCATCCAAGCAGCGCTACGGAAGATGCATGGTAAGAGTTGTTTCCAGCGCAAATTCCGACGTACCGACTGATTGGAAACGTAGATGGTCACTATCTTAACCTCCCTGTGATGAGTGAGGCTGGAGAAATTGTTGGCATGGTGGATGTTCTCAAGCTGACATATGCTACACTGGATCAGGCAAGAATGCCTCTTACAATTAACAATTGAACTCTTCTAATCATCATATAGATAAACAACATCAGCACTGGCGATAGTGAGGGCCCAGCGTGGAACAAATTCTGGATGTCTCTCGAGAATGATACCGAGTCCATGATGTCTGGTGAAGGCGGAAGCCGCGTGCAAGGTACTTCAATGATGTCACACGATGTTCATCGCCCAGTAATGCATGAACGTGGGGATAGCGTTGCTCCCAACGAGTCTGCGTCGATGCATGGAGGAGAGTCTCCGCCAGCGTCTGCTCTTGCTGGCGCCCCACCGGCCGCTTTGGAGGAGGTACCGTTCTCTTTCAAGTTCAAAGCTCCCAGTGGTCGCGTGCATCGACTTCAGGTCACAGCGTCCGCCGGCATCGGTGAGCTGATCTCTAACGTAGCAGCTAAGCTTGGATCTGAAGTTGAGTCTATCGGAGGCACTCCTATCTTCGAGGACGGCAAATTATCCAAAGCCGGGTTCGCCCTCAGCTACTTGGACAACGAAGGCGATACAGTTTCTATTACCACCAACCAGGACTTAGTGGAGGCAATCAGCCTTGCTCATATGGCACACCGTGACAAAGTAGACCTCTTTGTTCATGACCCCGAGAAGCCGCCGCTACAGGCTGCTGTCGAGCCTCAACCCGCTCTAGCAAAGCCGGTAACTCCTCCTGAATCTGTGCTTCGGGAGCGCAAGCAGTTCTTTGAAGATCAGGAAGAAGAGACATATCCACGAAGCCGCGGTCAGACAGTGGCTAAACCGGAAGAAATCATCGCTGGGGTGCCAAACGACCTGTTGCTACCTGGCGCTATCGTTACTCTGGCTGTAGTGATCATTGGGGTGTTTGCTCTAGGCCGAGCCTCCAGCCGATAGATGTTGAGAGGAAGCAAGCACATTGCTTTTAGTTCGGTGGGATGAGTCAGAGCGCAAGATTGTTGGACTGTTTCATTTAGATATCCCTAGACGTACGACTCGAGTGCGGTAATAGTTACTTAGTATGTATGTTAAGCTTTACTTTAGACTGTAGGAGAAATGGCATGTTTTTTGTTTGACGAATTTCCTACATACATATATGCACTTTGATATATGTGCTGCGATGAACAGTTGACGTGTTGAGGGAGAAACTTCATCTATTCTGTTTTACCAAAACAAAAAGTGAAGGACGAGCACTCGTCACGATTCGCGCTGTAAGCAAACACCCAACCCTGGTCAGCCTCGACGTTAAGTACTTTTTTTTGCTGGCGATCGCGCCCCTAAGTACTAAGCGTCGACCCCACCAAAACAACAACCTCCTCCACCAATTTTCCCACCTCGAGCCCTGACAGCTAACGAACACTGTACACGCACGTTGTACCTGTTCCTAGCTTGTGAATACTTCCTCGCCCTCATTCGCTCTTCAGCCTGATCTTCATCGACTCAGGGCTTCATCCACTGCGCAGACAGCCCCGCATCGCTCGCGAAAGGCTGCCGGTTCCCTGCCTGACGCTGCACAACAAAACACAATCTCCACCGCCACCCTCTCTGGAATTCGATCTCTCTCTTACCCACTCCGCCTACCGTGTGCCATGGCGTCGCTGCCCGAAAACGTCCACACGGCCTTGTCCAACGTTCTGAGTGGTCTCCAATCCTCTGACAATGTGACGCGCACAGCTGCCGAGGAACAGTTGAACAATGAATGGTTCATCCAGCGACCCGACGTGCTGCTCTTGGGTCTCTCCGAGCAGATGGATTTTGCCCCGGACTCTAATGTAAGTACAGGGTCTCGTGGCCTCTCATCCACTCCGCTCTAATCCATGTGCCTTCTAGACGCGCAAGTTCGGTGCCGTCATCTTCAGGAGGGTATCCTCCAAACCCCGCAAAGCCCCAAACAACCAAAAGACTGCCGACGCATTCCTGACCTTGAATGCTCCCGAGCGAGAAGCTATACGTGCGCGTATACTACAATGCCTAGGCAAAGAACAGGAACCTTTGGTCAGGAACAAAATCGCAGACGCTGTAGCAGAGCTTGCACGGCAGCACACAGAAGAGAGTACGTCACAGCCTAGCGCGGCCAGAAAACGACATACTGACGAGAATAGACGTACCTTGGCCTGAGTTGCTTGGGGCTTTGTCTCAAGCCAGTCAATCCAATGACGCTGGTCTGCGCGAGACGTCGTTCAGGATCTTCTCCACCACCCCTGGTATAATAGAAGCACAGCATGAGGATATTGTGCTAGCTGCTTTCAAGCGGGGATTTGGCGATAGCGAGAGCCCTGTGAGTGGTCAACCCTCGTCCTTCCTTGCCATGTATTCACAGTTATCAGGTACGCGTGGCAGCTGTTGACGCTTTCGCACAATTCTTCCGCTCCATCACCAAAAACGCCCAGAACAAATACTTCCAGTTGATTCCAGATATCTTGAATATCCTTCCCCCAATCAAGGATTCTGGTGATGGGGACATGCTCACCAAAGCCCTTGTGTCGTTGATCGAATTGGCAGAAGTCTCACCTAAAATGTTCAAACCTTTGTTTAACAGTCTTGTACAATTCAGCATATCGGTTGTTCAAGACAAGGAATTGGATGACCAGCCGCGTCAAAATGCCTTGGAACTCATGGCCACATTCGCTGACCATGCTCCAGTTTTGTGCAGGAAGGATCCAAATTTCACGAATGACATGGTCACCCAGTGTCTGTCATTGATGACAGATGTTGGAGCAGACGACGACGATGCTGAAGAATGGAACGCTAGTGAAGACGTAAGTGGTTGTCTTGTGATGGCGAAAGCCCTCGCTAATAGAATCCAAGGTCGGCGACGATGAGAGTGATTCGAATCATGTTGCTGGCGAGCAGACAATGGATCGTCTAGCCAACAAGCTAGGCGGACAGACGATACTGCCTCCGACTTTCAACTGGCTTCCTAGGATGATGACTTCGTCTGCTTGGCGCGACCGACATGCTGCCCTTATGGCTATATCTGCTATCTCCGAGGGCTGCCGTGACTTGATGATCGGGGAACTGGACAAAGTACTCGATCTGGTTCTTCCAGCCCTCCGCGACCCGCACCCTCGTGTTCGCTGGGCAGCTTGCAACGCTGTTGGACAAATGAGCACCGATTTTGCCGGTACTATGCAAGAAAAGTATCACCAAGTTGTCTTGCCAAGCATCATTCCTGTGCTTGAGTCTTCCGAACCACGTGTGCAGGCACATGCGGCAGCCGCCTTGGTCAACTTCTGCGAGGAAGCGGAGAAAAACATCCTGGAGCCTTATCTTGATCAACTACTCAATCATCTGCTTATGCTTCTCCAAAGTCCCAAGCGATTCGTACAAGAGCAAGCGCTGTCCACTATTGCTACAGTCGCTGATTCTGCCGAAGCTGCTTTCTCCACCTACTATGACACCTTGATGCCATTGCTTTTCAACGTTCTCAACGAAGAACAATCAAAGGAATATAGGCTTCTGAGGGCCAAAGCTATGGAATGCGCGACATTGATTGCCCTGGCAGTTGGAAAAGACCGCATGGGTGGCGACGCTTTAGCTTTGGTACAACTACTCGGACGTATTCAGAATGGCGTTACTGATAGCGACGATCCGCAATCATCGTACCTGTTGCACTGCTGGGGTAGAATGTGCCGGGTGCTTGAGAAGGACTTCGTTCCATTCCTGGCTGGGGTGATTCCTCCACTAACCGAACTTGCTGCCGCCAAAGCCGACATTCAACTTCTCGAAGACGAAGACCAAGTGGCTGCAATGCAAGATGAGGAGGGGTGGGACTTGGTGCCGGTCAAAGGAAAGGTGCTCGGTATCCGGACCGCGGTACTAGATGACAAGCACATGGCTATCGAGCTAATCGTTATTTACGTGTCAGTGCTCGAAGAGGCTTTTGAGCCTTATGTCAACGAGATCATGGAGAAGATTGCACTTCCTGGTCTTGCGTTCTTCTTCCACGATCCGGTTCGAGTTGCATCCGCAAAATGTGTGCCTGCACTCCTCAACGTTTACAAAAAAGCACACGGTCCTCAATCGGCTCAACTCGGTCAACTTTGGGCGGTCACAGCGGAACGCGTATTGGAAGTCTTGAGTACCGAGCCTGCCATCGACACATTGGCAGAGATGTACCAATGCTTTTACGAGTGTGTTGAATGCATTGGCAAAGACTGTCTGTCGGAAAAACACATGAAAGACTTCATCGTGTCAGCTAAAAGCGTTCTGGACGATTATCAAGTTCGTGTCACGAAGCGTCTTGAGGAACAGGCGCAAAATGAAGATGGGGATGAAGTTGACGAGGAAATTCTTTTCGCGATCGAGGACGACCAAACTTTGCTTTCAGACATGAACAAAGCGTTCCACACCATCTTCAAGAACATGGGTACCGCCTTTCTGCCATTTTGGCAAGAACTCATGGATTATTACAAGATGGCTGCCATCAACCAGGATCCCACCCAGCGACAGTGGGCTATTTGTATCTTCGATGATGTGCTCGAGTTCTGCGGTCCTCAGTCCTGGAACTATCACCAAGATATGGTCCAGCCTATCATCAACGGCATGCAAGACGATGTTCCCGCTAACCGTCAAGCTGCTGCATACGGCGTGGGTGTAGCTGCCCATCGTGGTGGGGACGCCTGGTCAGACTTTGCCGCAGCGAGCCTACCAACGTTATTCCAGATCGTTCAGCGACCCAGCGCAAGGGCAGACGATGATGTATTTGCCACTGAAAATGCTTGTGCCAGTATCGCCAAGGTCCTGCACTATAACGCTGCTAAGGTTTCCAATTGGCAAGAAGTGGCTACTGCGTGGGTAGATACACTTCCTGTAGTCAACGACGAGGAAGCTGCACCCCACGCATACGCATTCTTGGCCCAGCTCATTGAGCAGTAAGTTTACTTATCCCCCTGCCATTATCCTATAGCCCGTTAAATAACATTTTCGCTGCAGACAAAACCAGGCTGTCTTCAGCAATCCCGGCAAGACGTTTGTGCACGTGGTACATGCTCTAGAAGCCGAGACTTTGCAGGGCAAGACGGCGACACATGTTGTCAATGCCGTCAAAGCGTTGATTCAAGCCACAAACACCAACCTTTCTCAGGTTGCCGCTAGTTTGACAGTCGAGCAACAGAGGACTGTTCAAGCTTACTTCAGTTAAGATTTTCTCTTATCACGCCCCAAGTATACGGTCGCAACGCAACGACAAATGGAGGGATCGAACACCTGATAGTTGGTATTACGGTATGAGTCATTGGCGTTGATTGAGGGCACTTATCTGGAGTGGGTGTATGTGTGGAAAAACTTATTGATGAACAATGGATAAAAGGTGTGATGGTCTCGCCCGGCCCACCCAGACGGGCTCAGGTCAAAATCATTTAGATCTTGCTCTCTCAACTCTCCTCCTCTATGTACACATAGGAAGGGGACCGTTCGAACACGAGAGATAAGAACACAGGTTGGAGTTTTGTCACTTTGAGGGCTTTTCCTTTTTTCATATACTTATCAACACTACAAGTTTTGGATGGTCACTACTAAACGATTCCCCCCCAACACCCCCTTCCTTGCCCCCTACCACGATTAGCCAATTTCATAGCTTATTTATAGTTGAAACTTGTAGAGATACAGAAACCCATTGCATGTCCAGCATCTAGCATATCCTCAAACGTGAAACCTGTAGTTGTCTTTTGATGACCATCATCGGGAGACACTAGAACGGCAGGCATCCGGTCTGATCCAAAAGCCCGCGTCATTGACTCTGTTGCCCCAGAAAACCCTCGACCTCTGAATTTACGAGTTGTTAGCTGTGCTATCGCCCAGGTTCTCTCAGTATAATCCGGTCTGGTATGCCAGGCTCCAAAGCAGCTCCGTCATAACATATTTTGCATCACACTCAACGACTATTAAATTAGGGACGTTTCCCGCTTTTCTCTAAACATTCAATTTCAACCTCGCACTGCTCTGCTACCTAAAGCGTACGCGTTCACGCTCACTACACGATACAACCGTTGGAACCATAGAAAAGTCAGTCTGGGCAACAGTGAATGCCTCAGAATATTGACACTCATTGACCGTCGACATCTCCCACTCACACAATCCCGATTTCAGTCAAGCATGAGTATTGTCATTTCACTTGGTTAATACTGCTACCGAGGAACCCACCCGACTTCCCACCCAACCTAAAATATCTTTCGCCCATCCGTCCATACCTAGCCATAAGAAAAACGCCAACCCCTGGGGGTAATCCCGCTATGCCAACGATGAAGAACAGTGGAAAATTTGGAAAATCTAGCACTCAATGTCTTTCCTCCCTTCGCTTCGCATGTTGCGCATATAGGGAAAGAGAAAAGGAGAAACAACAATGCTCTTTAGGCACCCTCACTACCAAACTCCTTTGTCCATTCTGAGTTTCTCGTGAGGTCTTCCTTGCTCACTGTGGGCCGCGAGCCCTTGATGGATTTGATGAAATCTTTAACGCGAAGTGGTGGCTCGGCAAGTTGCTCGCTTTCGAGATCTGTCCAGGACATTTCTTTTGCTTGGGGATCGCCTGGGGAGCATGGCGTCCATTTTTCGACACCGTCTTGTGTTACCTGGCGAGTGTCAATGAACAATTCGGAGAAGACTGATGAAGCGCAATGAAGGAGCACTGAAATGAAGGGAAGGATGAGAACTACTCACAGGCTTGTAATGAGTTGCAGTCTGAATAAGACGGACTGGTTGCATCAGGGCGTCCTGGACCGCGATCGAGATATCTGATCCCGAGTAACCCTCACTCAACTCGGCCAGCTTCTTGTAGTCAGGCTGGCTGAGCTCGCATGGGGTATTTCCTACAGCAAGCTCAAACATCTTCATTCGTGCGGGAAAGTCCGGTAAACTGATATGTACTCTTCGCTGGAATCGTCTCCTGATAGCCATATCGAGCTGCCATGGGATGTTGGTGGCACCGAGGACAAGAACTCCACGAGAGTCTTTTCCTACACCATCCATTTGCACGAGAAGCTCGGTCTTGATACGTCGAGATGCTTCGGATTCACCCTCACCACGAGGACCACACAAAGCGTCAATCTCGTCAATGAAGATGATTGAAGGTTTGTTTTCACGAGCCATGCCGAAGAGTTGTTTGACCAACCTATTTCAAGTCAGTCAAAATCGAATACGGAGAAGCAATCACACCTACCGTTCAGACTCTCCCATCCATTTGCTCACCAAATCCGAACTCGATACACTGAAAAAAGTGCTGTTCGCCTCGGTTGCTACAGCCTTCGCCAGATAACTTTTACCGGTACCAGGAGGTCCGTAGAGCAATATACCTTTCCACGGTTGTCGTTTGCCAGTGAAGAGATGTGGGAACTTTGTGGGCAAAATCACAGCTTCTTTCAAAGCTTCTTTTGCTTGTTCCAGACCAGCTACGTCTTCCCATTTGATATTGGGTGTCTCGGAAAGGATAGCGCCGGCCAGCGCACCACGCAGCTTCTTGGAATCGGTATCTTGTTCTTCTTCGTCACCGTCTTCTCTAAGGATTATGTTAGCCTCTTCTCTGTTAATGATGTACTGAAGCATTTACTTATTTCCTTTGCCACTGCCGCCTGCCGATTTGCCATTTGCGCCCATGGCTGCCGGTTTCTTGCGATTTTCCGTCTGATTCAAATGCTGCTTCAGCTTCTCGGCTCGTTCCATATACTCTGCGACCTTGCCTCGTATCATCTCCTTGGACTTCTGGTTCTTTTCCCCTGCAAGTTATCAATATCTCGGTTCAAGACGTACCGCAGCCGTAACTCGGCAGCTGGGTGGGTTATTCGACTTACATTTGAGTGCAAGCATGAACAGTTCCACTTAGACTGGTCAGTTTTGGTTTCCCGAGCAGACTCATGATTGATCCGACTCACGAGCACTGTAGTATAGCTGGTACGCTTTATCATATTCGCCCGCAGTGTCCGTTTCTATCGCCTTCTTGACCGTCTCAATGGCACGGCCGAGGAAGTCTGCATTGCTCATCGTGTGCTGTTTGCCTCTGGATTTCCTGATATACCCTCCCAAATATCGAGTAACACCAATATCCTCCCCCTAGTACAAACCGAGGATTTGTAGAGCTGCCGAGGTGGGGCAGTCAAGTTTCGATGGGTGCGCAGTGGGGGCGAAAGTGTGCGGAAATGTAGTACTAGATCGACGGAAGATGCAGGTGGTTTTCGAACAGTCCGGGGTGTGAGCAACAGGGAGTTGAGCTGGGGAACGTGTGTGGAGGCGGATGAGAAACTGTGTTTCGAGTTTGGAGATGGCGATGGCGGTTGTTGCTACGGTACAGGCATCACCCCGCCTTGCCGCTAACCGGATTAGGTGAGTCGAACTTCCCACCTTCGTGCTCCGTCATGGCCATTGAACTTTTTGTGGTGTCAGCCATCAACATTTCGAAGCAATGAGTGAGGTGCAAAAAAAGCTCCAGGAGCTTTCCGAAAGCTACCAAAAACTTCAAGGCGGTATGTCGTACCAGCAAAATTTGTGCTGGCAGAATGTGCTAACTTTTTGCACAGAGCTTTCCTCTGCGGTCGAGGGTCGCCAGAAGCTGGAGTCACAGCAACAAGAGAATGCAACGGTGAAGAAGGTCAGCCATGAATTCGATTTGCGCCCACTATCCGACGATCGACTGACGATGTTGATCTAGGAATTCGATCTCCTCGACGACGAAGCGAACATCTACAAACAAATTGGACCAGTGCTCTTGAAGCAGGACAAAACTGAGGCCGTCATGGCTGTGAACGGTCGACTGGAGTATATCGAGAAAGAAATGTGAATATCTAGACTGTTGCCATCGGTGGATTATAATGCTAAATATGCGCCAGAAAACGGATGGAAACACAAATCAATGGCATCCAAGAAAAGAGTGAGAAGCTCAAGGTGGAGGTGCGTATACACATCAGGCACTACTCGAGAAGGATATCAGAGCTAAACGGTTCGGACAGATCATCCAAACACAGTCAGCGGCACAGCAGCAGCAAGAAGTCGCTGCTGCCTAGATACAAGGAAGTTATGGTTCTTGACACGATACCCCATGTTGAATAATTTTGCTCCCCCACCCGAGGAGCGAACAATCTTTATTCCGAACTGCCAGGCACACGCCATAGAGCTTGAAAAGATCAGTTCTTTTGTCCGGGGATGATTTGAGGTTAACTAGGAGCACTCCTTAGTTTCTTGACCTTTGGTAGCAACGGCATAACCTTGGATTTCCGTTCCCAAAGTTTATACACACCTAGCATAAGCACGAATTGAATTACGACTCATTACTAGCACTGTTCATGTGGTGCTAAAGGCGTAAAAGTCCCACTCAGCATGGGTTAATATCGCTGGCTTTCCGCTGTCAACGTTGACGAGTCACCCGCACAGTCATACCACGTACGATCAAGCAATTTCTATCTTTACTTTCCTCGCCATCGGGGTACGTGATATACTTATTATGACATATGAAGTAAAGGCAAGATATCAGACGGGATGATTGTGGCAGACAGGATTTCATATCGCATATAAGCTATTGATAGCAAAGCCCCACGATATCTTAAACAGATACACTATGGAACGCCTCGCCCAGATCTCGTTGCCTTTGCTAGCTCGCTCTGTGCCTTGTCATCGGCATATCTTTGGTAGATAGGCAAGTAATGCTCTCTGTCACTAAGCGTTTCCACCACGCTCCTCCGTTTCTCTACCGCCTTCAACCACGTCCTCCACCTCTTCCAAACCCCTTCCTCCTCTCCACCCTTTCCCTCCTGCGGAATCCCCACCCCACCCTTAAAATGATCAAATACCCACAGCCTCACAGCCCACGGCGCAATAACAACATCGATAAGACTAAACTCTTTCCCCAAGAAAAACGGACCCTCCCCATCCATCTCCCGCGTAAACTCCTTCAAATAGCCCAAAAATTCGATCCGCTTCTCTTTCAAACCATCTTGCCCTTGGTGCTGCAGAAAACGATGAAACCCAGGAATCACCCGCGACGTGACAAAATCTGTCCATATCCGCGTGCGTGCCCGCTCGTACGGGTCGCTAGGTTGGAGATGTGGCGCGTGGTCCGGAAACGCTTCTTCGAGGAACTCACAGAGCACCGTGCTCTCGTACAGCGGCTTCTCCTGGTACTGCAGTGTTGGGACGAGGCCGCGCGGATTGAGATCGAGCAGCGATTTTGGTTTGTGGTACGGGTTTACTTCTATGTATTGGTATTGGATTCCTTTTTCTTCGAGCGCGATCCAGACGCGCTGTACGAAGGGGCAGAACCAGCCAGAATATAATCTGAGAGGGTTTTCGGTGGAGTGAGCCCGTAGGGTTTGTTAGATATGCTGCGAGATCGGAGGGCTTCTTCAATGGTGGCAATTTTACCTTGACGGTGTGCTTCGCGGGACCTGTGGCTTCTGGGAAGAGGTCTGCGTCTGGGTGGTCTTTACCCATTTTAATTTTACAGTTCGCCTGATGAAATATAGGGTACTGTGTGAGTTGCAAATGATCTAGAGATGTTTCCAAGGTCGCTCAGAAGGTAGTCAGTTTAAAGGTAGAACAACACATTTAATATGGTTGGGTGTTGCTTGTACCCGCAGCATCATACCCTACTCTCTCATGACGCACGCGGGGAAATAATGCAGCCACGCGGGCTTGGGCCGATGCAAGATCGACCCGGGGGTACATCCACTCTATGTAGACACTTTGAGGATTACGTGACAACACGTGATTCTCCCCCCCCCGCGGTCTCAAGTGCTTCAGTGTACCAAGTCCAGTTCATGGATGAATTGCATTGATACTCCGTACCAGTTGTACTTGAAGCTCGTCTTCTGAAAGCGAACTTCTTTCAGGTTCCCTCCAGTGAAATAAACCCAAGGAGTGTTGAATTGATCAAAATGGATAGTTGGAAGATATATTTGCGATTCAAATAGTATTAGAAGATGTTTGCATGATGCAGAGGGTTAGACATTCGCGATTGCGCCATTTCAATCTATACTTGGAACGAACCGAGTACCCGAGCTTTTAAAACCATCCGAGCACAAGATCTGATGATATAAAACGTGGGAAGTAGAAGCGCCCACCTCATCCCACGAATATGAAGATAGAATAAAAAGGTTCCATAAACCCTATTGCTAGTTAAAGATACTCAACAACGTTCTCCCTCATCACCACACTATGCGCGCCCTCGTCCGAGCAGGAGACAAAACCACACTCGCTTTCGACCCCAACCATGCAGAACCAACCACATCACAGCATCCAGATTGCTACCTGATCCGCCCCAAAGCATCGGCCATCTGCAGAGACGAACTCAAATGGCCCGAACCGTTGACTCCAGATATCCCAGTCCCAGGACTAGATGTCGCAGGCGAAATCATAGCAACGCCCATGACCACAACCGAGACCCCAAAGTTCAAAGTCGGAGACGAGATCTTTGCATTGACGACGCATACCTGGGTGGGCAATGCTCGCGAAGTCTCCGTCGCCCATGAACGCGAGTTGGCGTCGAAGCCGCAGAATCTCACGTGGGAGGAAGCTGCTAGTGTGCCATTGAGTGCGCTGAGTGCGTACCAAGGGTTATTTGTACATGGTGGTTTGGTATGTCTGCATTTCCTTACCAATACCCTTTCAAAGCACACAGTTTTGGGACTTTTGCGGCGGTGTATTACGAGATTCCATGATCGAGATAGTATGCTTACGATTGATGGATTGGTACGACTAGTCTACAGACGACAACAGAAACAATGGGAAACGAGTCCTCATCACAGCTGCATCGGGAGGAGTAGGCATATGGGGGATCCAGTTAGCGCACCAAGCAGGAGGCGTTACCGAACTTGTGGGTACATGTGGCACCGCGAATGTCGACTTTGTAAAGAGTCTTGGCGCGGGCATTGTTCTAGACTACAGAAAAACAACCCTTGTCGATTGGGTTCATGAGGACTGGGATGCTCGAGCATTCGACGTGGTGCTAGATTGTGTGGGTGGAGACACATTGTCGGGCGCGTGGACGTGTGTGAGGGAAGGTGGAAGAGTTGTTAGTGTCGCCGAACCTCCTAATGGTAAGAAGCCTGCCGATGGTGTGAGGGCTGAGGTAGAGGGTGTCTGGTTTATTGTGAAGCCGAATGGGCAGCAACTGGTTGACATCACGAGATGGATTGAGCAGGGGAGATGCAGGGCGGTAGTGGACAGTGTGTTCGAGTTGGAACAATTTAGAGAAGCTTTTGCGAGGTCAGAGGGAGGGCATGCCAAAGGTAAAGTGGTGTTCAAGATGTGCTGAATAACATCTGTGTCTTATGTGCGTGTTTTCATCAAGTGGAATATTTGGAGAATGTTGTTGCCATAGACGGGATGACGGAATGCGATAGAAAAGGGCCATCATTTTGGTGATAGACCAGAATGCTTGTTTCCTTAAGATCGGCGGCTGACCGGAAAAGGACCATTCACTGTACCCATCAATTGTTCGTCTGCCATCGCATAATGTATGTAGTTGACCGCTTGCTACGTGATTGGAAAGACCATTCTCAAAGACGTATATATACGCGTCGGCAGCGGTGAACATGCATGAATTTAAGCCAAACAACGTGATTGGATCAACATGTCACTTGGCTGCAATGATGCGGACAGAAAAAACGAGGCGAGGGATGATTTCGGACGATGATCGGATAACTCTTATCCAGAATGGTATGCATATATGCAGGATCACAAGGGTGTGGGCGAGTGGGGTAGGAACGTCTTTCTGCACCAGGCAAATATGAGCGAGGTTGCGTGATGGTCCGGTGACACATCCTGTCATAAGCTGGGCGCATTTTTGAGGAGCAGCGGAAATACTGCCGACATGTACGATATCCCCATTCGGATTTACGGTAATAAACACCCTGGTCCGTGTGTGCTCTGGAGAGGTATCAAATTGACGACTTCTGAAGCGAATGATGAGGTCTGAGTGGTAATGTGGTGACACCACACCATAGAAAATCTCTGAGGATGATTTATAAGATATACGAGAAGAGCATCACTCCGCTGCCTAGACAGGGATTCCTCAGCTCAAGGCAATCTGGATGACGGGGGCCATGTGGGAAGATGACGACCCACAAGCGACGTGAAGAAAAAAGAAGAAGAAAAAAAAACCTGAAGAAAAACGTGCAATGACCATAAAACTCGATCGCAAGAATTGATGCGCCAAGAGCGTCAGATGTGTTGTGAGTCATGGTGATTGATTGATTTGTGGGCTTGAGGCAGCTCTTCGTACGAACTTCCCAGTCATGATGGGGTTCTGATCGTTTGATGTTTCTGAAGCATCGTACGAACGAACAAGATGGCGAAACAAACATGACACTTGGGCACAGGCTGTTGTTGCTTGAATTAGACCATGGTGGTTGGTTTACAAATATCCATGTCGCATGGCGAACAGCGGCACGGAGGTTCTGGCGGAGTCGCAAATTCAAGATTGTTATGCTCCCCCAAGTCAGCCATGGTGCAGTGCAGAATACGGTGAAGATGGACGACTGGCTGCCAGGCGTGAGATAGCTGCGGTTAGCATCCGGAAGTGCCCGGAAGCGCAATTCGTTCAACAGCCCTGCTCAAAGGCCAGGGAAGAGCTAAAGCGCTGATCAACGGGTGCTCTGCACGTTGATTTAATCGCCGGGGTGCTGCATGTGCCAAGCCATGTCCGAAGCTTAACCAGCTATGATTCACAGGTTGAGGTTAGAGGACTGGGTGACGTCGGTAAGTGACATGGGCCTGGCGAGGAAGAGATGGCCAACTATGATTCTTGAATGACAGAGAATGATGCGCAGAGTGTGGCTACTAGTCAGTAGTCGCGGCCCCATCAAAGACTTGCGGTTACTAGGCAGACAAAGACAGGAAGAGTAAAACCCAAGATCCATCGTGTTCAATGTCGGCGAGGTGCCGACGCCGAGGCCGACTCGTTACAAAGCGAGAGCAGGTAGGTATGTATGCAAGTTGAGGGTGGATGTGTGGATGTAAGACGACCCCCGCCTCGTCTGTTTTGTCGGTGTGGCACGACCAAGGCGTGGCACTTTACAGACCCCAGAGGATATGTACATGAATATCTGAGTATGCACGGACTGCCGTGGGTGCACATGTGGGTGTGGGTATGAGTTCACGTGCCCAAGGAACCAATCCATGGATGGGCGTATCGAGATGGAGACTGTAGGATGAGGTCCAATGTGTGTGTGTGTAGTTGGTGAAGATAGATCCGAGTACGATGATATGATCCGGGACTATACATGTGAGTATGCATAATCGGATGTATACCACAGGAATACACACCTGTCATCGAGCTGGTCTCCATGTACACCTGCAAAAAGGTCTTGTTGATGTCGTGATGCTGGCGGCGGTTTAGTAGACACAAGCTTCGGAACCGGGGGGTCCTGGCTCTCCCGACCGACAGCCACCCCCAGTCCGGAAACGGCCAAGCTCGACCCACCCGCTCGAATCGTCACAGGCACGATGAGGTGGGAAGTCGCGGATCAAAACGACGTCTTGGTTTGCTGACAAAAATTCATGTCCCATTACGCGCGGAACTCTCGGAGCCTCCATGCGACAGGGCCATGCATAAAGACGCTGCCTGGCAGCTTGAGAGCTGTTTTGCCCAGTAATCCTCCCCGCTCTGCCGCAGTCCACCGTGTGCCCATACAACTATATATCCATATACTCCCGTTCTTTGAACCTTGCGCCTGCTGCTTTGTGCTGATCCGCTTGCCCTGTAAACTTGTTTGGCCATTTCCTCGCCCTCCATCAACTTCCTCTCCTACACCCTAGTCGATATTCGTTCCGCATACTTACGTAGAAGCATCTACTATATACATGTCGCGAGCGCGAGTGCTCTCTGTGGCCACTGCCACTCTTCTGCTCGGAGTCTTGCCTCTTGCCATCGCCCACGGAGAGACCCATGACGACGCGCCCACGAACAAACATGAAGGTCTCCAGTCGCTAGAGCATGGAGGAGCTGCTGATTCGTATTGGAGGCTTTCGGACCATGCTGCTTTGATGTACTGGCATGTTGGTTTCGAGCTTCTTGCTTGGATCGTGGTGCTTCCAGTCGGTAAGCTATAATGCTGAAGCCTTTCTGCCAATCAGTGCTCATAATCATTCCTAGGTGTTATGCTCAGCATTGCTCGTTCGCGATTAGCTCTTCCTGCGCAATTCTTCTTCCTTGCCGTCAACGCTATTGCCCTGCTACTGGGCATCGTATACAACCAAAAGACTCCGGATCTTTACGAGAACAATGCCCATGGGAAAACCGGGTGGATCATTACCTGGATAGCCTCTGCTTGGGTATTCATGGCCTTGGTGCAAGCGTACGCTGCGCGTACGAATCCCTTGTCGCTACCCGGCGACACCGGACACCAGTTGAATGCAGCCAACATGGCTAGGTACCAACGCGTGCAGGACACAGAGGCTCTGGATAGCAACCGATGGTCGAATGACTCTGGCCAAGGCACGGAGCGGAATTCAACGTCTTTGTTCGGCTCGAGGTCGCCAAGTGTAGAATCAGAAGAGCAAGAGCAGTTCCTTGGACAGAGTCCAAATTACCATCACCAAGATGACGAAGACGAGTTTGATGATGCAGCTGAAAAGAACGGTCTCTTGAATAGCACTGTCGCGGATAGATTCCTGTCACGCCACATCGGTCGACTCGCTGGTAGAGTACCAGTCAGACTCATGAGGTTCTTGTACGTCGTTGTCGAGCGAACCATAATAGTCCAAGGATTTGTTGCCCTTACGAGTGGGATTGTTGTGTACGGTGGTATAGCGGTAAGTACTTTGAGAACCGTAGGCTGAACAAAAGCTGACAAGTAGATCAGCACGGAGGCGCAATATTTAACGTTCTTGCACACTTCGTCAAGGGTGGCATATTTCTCGGATACGGCCTTTTAACTCTTGGGCGATGGATGGGTGCGTTCGCTGACTTGGGTTGGGCGTGGAACGTGAAGCCCCCCAAAGAGGTGGTAGGCCGTCGGCGCGCGGCTATACCTTCCGCCGAGTTCACGGAATCCTTCGTTATATTCCTCTATGGCTGCAGTAATGTCTTTTTAGAGCATTTGGCGGCCTGGGGTGATGCGTGGACTGCGCAAGATCTGGAGCATGTGTCTATATCAATTATGTTTTTTGGTGGTGGCTTGGTAGGTTCACCTTCATTCTTCTTCCTCGACGATATCACTAACCGTTCTTGCAGCTAGGCATGCTTGTCGAGTCTTCGAAGATGAGGGATCTACTCAACAGCGCAGTGCTCTCGACCCAGACGTCATCGCAGACCAACGAAGAAGCATGGCAGCAGCCACGGCAATACCGCACTTCCATGAATCCTATGCCAGGACTCATCATACTTCTCCTGGGCAAGATGATGAGCTCTCATCATCAAGCATCAATGCTCTCAACGATGATCCACACCCAGTGGGGTACCATGTTCATGATGTTCGCGCTCGCCCGTGCTCTTACATACATCACCCTCTACATCTCACCGCCTACCTCCTACCTTCCTTCTCGCCCGCCAACTGAGGTCATCACCTCCTTCTGCCTCATCGCCGGCGGGATCACCTTCATGGTGAGCAACAAGGACACTGTTGCAGCACTAGAGTCCTACAATCTTGATGCCATGTTTACCTTCACCGTCACCATGGGTTTCGTTGCTCTCTTGATGGCGTGGACGGTCGTCCTTGTCGCCATCAAGGGCTATGCTACGCGCCGCGAAAAGCGTCGATCGCTTTGATCGAAACAGCGTAAGCGTAAATCCTTGAGATTGTTTGACTTCTGGACATTGCGATGCTTTTTGCGCAGCTTGCCTGCAGCGCCAAGCCTGTCGCAGCGCTCAATTACTCACGCCCCTTTTTATTTCTTCTTCATTCTTTCAGTGTCGTAACGAAGTTTTGATTGCACGTTTAGACTTGTATTTATGATACCCCTCTCTTTATACCCACGTGCAAATCCGCTCAGTTCGTTGAAGGTTCACGGATGTGGTAATGACGCTAATGTGGTGACGGAATGGGATGCACAGGACGCCGAGGGAGAGGAGAGGCAACTCGCTCCAAGGTAGAATAATCTTAATTTAAACTCATGGTTCTTGAAAGTCGAACGCAATGGTGAGTTGGTTCTAGTTTCTGATGGGCGCTGGACTCCGCTATGTGGTTGTATACCCAAGGCTTCATTCATTCGTCTTTTTTGACGTTAGGTACTTAAGTATATCTGCGTGTGTTATGTTTTTTCTTACCAAGTGCACATGCTGGCTGCTCGACACGAGCCACTCACTACACGGCCCCTCTACCTCTTCCTCTACCGGTGCCCCGAGCAATTCCACTTCCTCCCCTGCCCCTGTTTACGCCGCCCCTCGTTGGTATTCCACCGCGTCCTCGCGGTATACCACCCCTCCCTCTTGTCGCACCTGCCGTCTTTGCCGCGGGCGCAGGCGTGACCGGGTTCTGAAATTTCGTGGCCACTTTGCTGCTTGGAGGGTTCTCGACAAACGACGTATCCGTGGTGAGAAACGTAGCTTCGACGTCCGGCTCAGCGCGATTCACACTAGACGAGAAGTCCGGGTTGTTCTGTGGGCGGGCGAAGGATTCGGGGATGGGTGCCTGCAGGAGCAGAAGAAGAAGACAATCAGTCAGCATCGCTCTTCATTTCACGACAGTATAACGATTGGACAGTGCAAAGTAATGAGCGAACATACCTCTGGGAAATCCACGCAGAAAGCATTCATGTTCATCCCGTACAGAAACCCTGCGAAGCTCTCGCTAAATCGTGACAGACTCTCGTGCATGAGCTGTAGCGCGACAAAGTTTTGTTCCAAGTCAGCCATGGCGTCACTGAGTTCTGCGAATTGGTCCTGCAGGTCTTCGAGGGGGTTCGTGGACGAGGTGTATGGTCCTCGAGCGCGGGACACGCTATCGCGGAACGAGGACCGCGAAGATGGACGGAGCGGTGTTGTTGGACGTGATCGCGGCGATTTGGAGCGCGTGCGGCGAAATGGGGGTTCTGCTGGAGGTGTTGTGGACGACATGGTGTTGTGTGTTTGGGTGCTCGTGTGTTTGGCAGTAGATTTGCGCCTATGTGGGAGTGGAGAGAGGAAATTGAGCGGATCCACGAGAGAATTGTATTCCGCTGGTAGATGCTGAGTTGATACCAGAGTCCGTCGAGTCTTTTAGTCAGAAGCACAATGATCTGCACTGAAAAGCATTGGAGGAGCCGAATTGATGTCGAGTAAGGTAGTGTTATGATGTGCGGAGGGGTGTATCGCCAAGCTTTCAGGGCAACAACAATCTCCAGATGTGAACCATGACGAATGAGCACGTGGAAGACATTGAACTTGCGGGGAGATAATAATCGTAGCACGGGTAATTTACATCACAGCATTGGCCTAAACCGTCAAACATTGTTTTGCCATTCTCCGAATCGTCCTGATTGAGAATTACTCCGCCGCTTTGCCCCTCTCCGCTCACTGCCGAACTCCCTGCAGAAGCTGATCTAGGACACATTGGTGGGCACCGCACCCTATTCACCGTAAGCCTCCTGTGCTGTACTTCAAACGAGCCACTCCGCCCCAGCCGCTGTCTTCCTTTCTGTCCGTACTATATGTGGCTGCGTACCCTCGCATTCTCGAGGACAACATATTGTTTAACCCACTCTTCCCCCAAGTATCGACTAGAGAAACATTTTAGCCAGCAATTGCGATTCCGTCATACACGGCGCGACGCCAGCAGACCCCACCCCTTACCCCATATATTTTATCGTGCGGACTCGCTCCAGAAAAAGAGCGCTCTAGGATCCTACACAGCGGCTCTACTTGTCTTAGGTATTGCTGTCGGCGGAGCCCTACTCTACCCTCGAAGAAATCATCCATCAACGGACGACGTCGAGAAGCAGATCGCGAATCCGATTTTCGATCGCACGAATCTTATAGATTCATACCTCGTTATGGCGCCGAACACGCCCCCTGGGCGACCTGGAACTCTGACTCCCGAGCAAGAAATCAAGTTGCGCGAATTCTGGGCTGTAACATTGAAGGTGTTTGGAGTTCACGAGTCTGCGAACGTTGAGGCGAATGGAACCGAGACTCCGACTGCTCCGGCCACATCTGCACCAAGCGAGACGCCCGAGAAGGATGGGAAGAAGGACAAGGAAAAGAAGAAGAGCAGGCTCAATGTTTTTAAACGTAACAAGGGGGAGAAAGGAGCAGATTCAGAGGCGACCCCTGCTTCTGGAGCCTCAACGCCAGCGTCAACTGAAGCCGGTCCATTGTCGATAGCAGACGAGGACGATAAACATGGTCAGGTCAAGGAAGCCAAACTCGCGTTGGCCAACACTTCTCCCGAAGACTTGCGAACAGCTTTTTGGAGCATGGTGAAGCATGACCACCCCGATGCGCTCCTCTTGCGATTCTTGCGCGCGAGAAAATGGGACGTGGAGAAGGCGCTCGTTATGATGATTTCGACCATGCATTGGCGACTAGACCAAATGCACGTAGACGACGACATTATGAAGAACGGCGAGGAAGCGGCACTGAAGGATAGCAAGAGCGACGATGCAAAGGTCAAGAAGGAGGCGGAAGACTTTTTGGCGCAGCTGAGAATGGGCAAGAGTTTCTTGCACGGATTAGACAACGAGGGACGGCCGCTCTGCGTTGCGCGCGCTCGAATGCACCGCGCTGGGGAACAGTCGGAAGCAAGTTTGGAGCGCTTCACTGTCCACACCATCGAAACCGCTCGCATGCTCCTCAGACCCCCAATCGACACAGCGGTATGTTAACGTCATTCTTTCTGCACATTCATGGACCTCTTTTTCTAACAACTGCAGACTATTATCTTTGACATGACCGACTTTTCCATGGCCAACATGGACTACACGCCCGTCAAGTTCATGATCAAGTGCTTCGAAGCAAACTACCCCGAATCGCTCGGCAACGTGCTCGTATACAAAGCCCCCTGGCTCTTCAACGCCATCTGGAACATCATCCGCGGCTGGCTCGACCCCGTCGTCGCAGGCAAAGTCCACTTCGCCAAGAACGTCGACGAGCTCGAAAAATTCATCCCCAGGTCGCAGATAATAGCGGATCTCGGCGGCGACGACAAGTGGACGTACGAGTACATTGAACCCAAGGAAGGCGAGAACGCGAAGATGGCAGACGTCGGCGCCAGGGATGCCTTGCAGGCCGAAAGGACCGACCTGGTCAAGAAGTACGAGGACAGTGTGACACAATGGGTTACCGAAGGCGAGCAGACCAAGTCGCTGGACGAGAGGAGGAACGAGAGGAATGCAGTTGCCGAGCAGTTGAGAGGGAATTATTGGAAGTTGGACCCGTACGTGCGAGCGAGGTCGTTGTACGATAGAATGGGTGTGCTAGGGGAAGCTGGCCAGCTGAATTTCTATCCTACGGCAGCGCCTGCGTCACAAAAGGAAAACGTGGCACCGACGAAACCGGCACAGGAAACGAGTGCAGACGATCTCGATTGAGGTTGGGAGAATCGTGAAGATGTAGATACAAGTAATCATGCATTTGATGGTCGCCTGACTAGATCCTCATGCAACAACGGATGCTTGTAATACCATTTTATTGAAAAGTTATTCGGTTTGTGGATAAGAGTAGAAGTGATGTATCGCCTTTAGAATATATTGTATTGGTTACAATACGTTATTGAAGAGCACAACTCCATTGCCATGCTATTGCCACATACAGTGTGGTATATTTTACAGATACATACAAGTACTTATCAACAGCCCGCTGCCTGTCAGAGTTTCCCACTTGCTCGATTCTTTGCGTAGCCCTGTCACTATGCTCGAGGGTGGACCGTCTCATCTGACTTCCTTCTTATTTCAAGACCGTTCTCAATCGTCTTCTCCTAAACGGCTTTGTTTCTTCGGTTCCTTTTTAGCAGTGGGTGCAGTATCAGTTGAGTTTTCTTCCTCTCCAGGCATAACGAGACCATCAGCTGGACGGTATGTGATGTCACCCCGTTCAGCAGCAGCAAGGCGAGCCTTCTGACCCGCCTCTCCAGCACGACCAAGCACACCAGCAATAACTTGAATGCATCGCAGACTATAAAAGATAAGCTTTAAATGCTATGATTCGAACCGAATGGATCTTACCTGTCGTCGTTGGCCGGGATTGGATAGGTGACCCATGTTGGATTGGCGTCAGTGTCAATGACACCGATCGTAGGAATGGCATTCAAGGCGCATTCGTGCAGCAGAACATAATTCTCAAGTGGATTCAGGCACACGACCAAATCGGGCCTCAGCACTGACCTTTCCAGAAGCTGTTCCTGGAACTCGGGGAGCTCATCATCCTTCTCATTGACAACCTTCATTTTGCATTTACCCAAGATCTGTTGTCCGTTGGTGATGCTCCCTGGGATCCATCTCTCAAACAGGTGATAGCCCTTGGCCAGCTCGGAAGCTCTCACAACAACTCTATCCTGCTCGGCGCGCGTGCCGACAAACAACACCATACCGCCCTTCCGACAAACCTCCTGGACAACTTTGGCGGCACGTCGAAGATGGGCGGCAGTCGCTTCCAAGGATATTATGTGAATACCTTGCCTTATGCCATGGATGTAACGAGCATTCGCGGGATTCCAGAGTGAAGTAGCATGGCCTTGGTGGGCTTCGGAAGCGAGCAGGAGTTCAAGAGTAACGTCGGAGGGAGAAGGAGGGTTATTGAGGAGAGTATGCGGTCGGTAATGATGGCTGATATCGGAGCCCAATTTGCCAAAGTGCTTCTCTGTTGGCGTACGTCAGTACCGCTGATAGGCTTGTCTATCATCAAAGGGAGACTCACGCTGCTCCTTATACATGTGATATTGTTCGGCGACTGAAAGGGCCACGGGAGAGTCATTGGATTCGGGGTTGAAGGTGGGAGCCACGGGAGGCGCTTGAGGCAGAGTGGTATTGATCTGAGCCTCGAGAGAGTGCAGCTGCTTCAAGCTGTTCTCGCTAGACGATTCAATGGAGTCGACCTGGTTGGAAAGAAAGCGTCGCAGGGTGGTTGGGTTTTGGGCGAGGGCTCGTCGGCCTGCAATGGGTTATTCAAGAGGCCAACACTGCGAACAGGAATTGAGAACATACCATGGCGGGCGATCGTGTTCCGTAATATCATGATGGCGGGGACGTAGGGGGATGTCGGATGGGGTCTTGTCTCGTCGGTCGTCCGCAGAAAAGTCGCGCGCGAGGTCTCGAGCTTAGTTGCACGAATTGGGCCGCCGCCAATCGGGGGCCGCCCCGCTAAAACTTTCCAGAACTCTTTCCATACCATCACCACCACAAAAAAACTCCAATTTGAATATCGAATAATTGACATTTCACGGATCGCCCCCACACCGAATTTTCTGGAAGTTCCAAAATGGTATTCAACCGCCTCGGAAAAGTGCAAAAGCACGTTGCAAAGAAAAAGGGCAAGAACGTTGCGTCGCTGCACGAAAACAGCCGCGACACAAAACGCTTGCAGAGCGCAGCACAGCGAGACCACAAACTGAACCGCATTACTGCTCTGAGAGAGAAGCAGAACAAACCATACCGTATGAATTCACACTTGACCCTTCAAAAAGATTATAGAGGAACCCTAACCAACACAACAACCAGTCCTACGCATCAAATCCTTCCAATCCTACACAGCCGCCCACACAACTCCCGTACCCATCGTAACCACGCAAGCTATGATCGAAGATTACCTTGGCCGCGACGACGAGGTCCTTTCAACTCTACAGTCCGAGCGCCGATCCGGCAGACCCCCCAGCACGCGCGAGACACTGCTAAAGCAAAATCGTGTATCCGAGGAAGGCGAGTATTCCTCTGGCTTCTGGGTCCCGGATCTGGAGAACGAGGACACGCTCATGAAGCTGAAGGAGTGGGATGGGACATGGCCTGGGCTCGCGACGATGAAATTCGTGAGAGTCTCGAGGGATGGCGTGAAGAAGGAAAGCTGTTTCCCGCCGAAGGGGTTGTCGTGAGTGAGGGAAGGAGGCGTCAGGAAGCGAGTGGGAGAACCTTGCTTGGAAGGATCAGCATACTCGAGTGTGGTCAAAAGTGGGAAGTCTCGATCAAGACTTCTGGGAGCAACCCGTTCTCGCTTTCGGTGCGAGAGTGAGTTCAGAGGAGTTGGAATGCCTGTTCTCCAGGGCCATTCCTCCAGACAGATCTACAGGCTCTGGATGATCTCCCCGTTGGAGCTTTGGTCTTGTTCAAAATTGCATACCACTCTGGTATGCGAACATTTGAATGTCTGAGATCGAGCACATCAAGCGGTTCAGTTAGGATTGCTCATTCATTTAAGCAAGCACGTCAGAAATGGCAAGGGGGCTCGACAAGCAGAAGCAGCACTTGAAAGTGGGCAAGTGTAGTATCAAAAGGCCTTGCACAGCTTGCACAGGAAGTGAAACCAAAGGACCAGTGACTATGAAAAATAGTACGTTATCATGGGTGAGGTTCTTGATGAAGGAAACGGAAAACGCTTCAAAAGAATCCTATACAAAAGCAATATTATACTATCATATATATCTAAATGACTCCTCTCAATGACGAGTGAGAGTAGAAGAAGAGGAACGGAAGCTGATGCCTGAAATACTCCCAATCGCCAAACCACTAACCCTTGTCCACAAAAAGAATCGCAGCCAAAAGAACGTCTCGAATCGAAATGAACAAGGAACGACTGATGAAAAAGCGGGGGAAAGGGAAAGAAACGGAGTCAGAGCTCTTTCCCTTCCTTCCTCATGCACACACACGCGCGTAACGACTTATACGCCTGAATACCCCCTCTGGTCCAACCTTTTTTCCAATCATCAAAGCTATCGTCCGCTTATAAACTCACGTCAAGCTGAGACACAGCATCTACTCTCTTCTCACTCGCCGTTGTCGATTTCTCTTTCCATCCTAAGAAGTAAGATTATCTCGTCAGCTACCTTTCTTCTCGAAAGCGGAGAAAGTAAAATGGGAAAGAAAAAGAAAAAGGCCAACTTACACTATCCCCCGCTTCTTTTTTCGTCTCCGCTGCTTCCGCATCCCTCTTCTTATACCCACCGCCGCTACTCATCTTTGTAGAGAAGGTTGTCGGCGGAGATGTCTGAACAGAAGACGACATGAGCATGCCGTCGGTGTTCGTTCCCGTCGCGCTCGTGCTCGGGATCGAGGTTGGCAGGATCGAGTAAACGGGGGTCGAAGTCGTCGTTGTGGGAGACGGAGGAGTGGGCTTCGTGGAGTATTTCACCGAAGAAGATTTACTGCTGCTGGAGCTGTGATTGCTGGAGGAGGAGCTGGAGTGTTTGCTAGGGTTAGATGGGGTACTTATGACGGTGGTGGTTTTTGTGGTTGTCACTGTTGCTGTTGTTGGTGAGGGGGAGGGAGGGAGGATTGATGGGGAGGAGTAGGACGATGTTCCTGTGCTTGAAGGGTGGGTTTGGGAGGGAGATGATGAAGGTGGGGGAACGGGGGAGTATCCGTGTTGCGAGGTCGAAGAGGACGACGAGGAATGGTGCGCCGAGCTACTGCTGCTCTTCTTCGAGGACGAAGAGGGGCGCGCAGAACTGCTACTGCTCTTTGACGTCTTAGACGAGGTTCGCGAGGACGACGATGGCTTTGTAGATGACGATGGGGGCGGCGAAACATGAGAATATCCGTAGCCTGAGCTGCTACGAGACGAGGAGCGAGACGATGACGACGGAGCAGGTTTGGTTGATGACGCCGAGGACGACGACGAAGATTTCAAAGAGCTACGACTGGACACTTTACTGCTGTGGCTCTCGGAGCTATACTGACTGCTGCTCGTCGTGGTCGACAAAATACTCAACGAGGTCGGAAGCGTGGTATAGAAAGGCCCCGTCGGCGTCACCGGCGGAAATGTGTCTGTAGGAATCGACTTCGTGGACGCAGTTGAGCGACTAGACCGCATTGTAGTGGCGTCGGTATTTGTGCCCGATGTGCTGGAGGTCGAAAGTGACGGCTCGGGCGTGGGACTGGAGCTTATCACGAAGGAAGTAGTCACCACCCAGGACGTAGTAACTACGAGACTACTCCAAGGCGTCCACGATGAGCTGAGAGTCGTTTGAGGAACGGTCTCGCATGGGGTGGAGATTATGCTGATTACTGTGGTCGTTCTCATCGGGGGTTCGGTTGGTGATGGGGTGCCGCTTTCACCGGTCGATTGCACGAGAGATGTGCTGTTGCTTGGGACAGGGTAGCCGCTACTAGGCGATGTGGTGCTGCTGGGCGGCGCGGTGTATTGACTACTACTCTGTGATGTGATGAATCCAGGACCAGAAGTAGAGGGCTGGATATTGGTGAGGGAAGGTGAGCTGATGGTGGTTGAGTTTGACCAGGGCACCGAGGAAGATGCAGGAGGCGATGATGGGACTCCTGTGCCTGAGCTTGGGTGGGGTACATCAGCACTGCTGCTGGTAGTGATGCCGATACTGGATGTAGTCTCAGACAACGACGATACGGGCACCGAGGGCGACGAGACTCCCGTGCCTGAGCTCGGCCCTGTTGTGGAGGGACTGCTGCTGCTACTACCGACAACCGACGTCGAGTTGGGCCAAATTCCAGATGACGACAGAGGGGGCAGGGAAGATACGCCCGTTCTTGAACTTGAACCGGGTGTGCTGCTGCTGCTGCTACTATCTGTAGGCGTAACAGAGAGAGTTTCCGTACTGACACCTGATGTAGAAGCCAAAGTCGAGTTTGGCGGAACCACTGTTGAAGGTGGAGATGGCAGGGACGAGACACCGGTTCCAGAACTGAGCACTGGCGTGGTCTCACTACTACTGCTGGGGACAACAATCGATGTAGAGTTTGGCCAAATGATGGAAGACGAGCCAGAAGACGCAGGCGGGATTCCTGTTTCGGAGCTGGGAAGAATTGAACTTGGCGTTTCTGTGCTTGACACCCCTGTGCCTGAGCTTGGGCTTGGTGTGGAATCGATAGAGCTTGTCGTAGAGTTGGGGAAGAGCGCTGAAGAGGATATAGGTACCGTAGAGGAGGCACTAGTCGAACCAGTTCCAAAGGAGAGTGACGGTGTTGAAACGCTACTGCTCTCAGACAATGTCGAGTTCGGGAAGAACACCGAAGATGAGGGAGAGGGTAGTGTGGACGGGAATCCTGTTCCCGTACTGGGAGTTGGCGTCACAAGACTACTACTCTCGCTCGAAGTGGAGTTCGGGAACAACACCGAGGATGTAGAAGGCGACGGCAAAGTAGTTCCTGAGGTAGGAATCACACCTGTTCCAGAGCTAGAGGGCACTGAAGTAGATCCCTCAGTACATGAAGTCGAGTTTGGGAACATGAGCGATGACAAAGGGCATGGGGTTTCGGTTGTCGAGCTTGGTACGACACCAGTTCCTGACGTTGATATTGGTGTAGACTCAACACCGCTCGTGGTCAATGTGCTGTTAGGGAATAGCACAGAAGTCGAAGTCGAAGGGATGAATATTCCCGAGCTAGGACCTGGTGTAGATTCGACGCCGCTGTGACTGAACGTGCTATTCGGGAAAAACACTGAAGATGAAGGAGGTGATGATCCGGTTCCAGAACTGGGTGTCACGCCAGTTCCTGACGTCGGGGATGGTGTAGACTCAGTGCCACTTGTACTGAACGTAGTATTTGGGAACAGCACTGAAGACGAAGTTGATGGAATAAATGTTCCTGAACTGGGTACAACTCCGGTGCCTGAGCTAACTGAGCTAGGCAGTGGCGTCGATTCGATACTGTGACTCAATGTAGAGTTGGGGAATAGCACCGAAGACGAAGATACAGATGGAATAAAAGTGCCTGAGCTCGGCACACCTGTTCCAGAGCTCGGACCTGGCGTGGGGACTGAACTTTCACCAGTTGCGCTCGTGGTATTGGGGAAGAAAGGCGTCGGAGTAGATGAAGGCGAGGGGAGGGTCGTCCCTGAGCTTGGTATACCGGTTCCAGAACTGGGGCCGGGTGTGGAGGAGCTCTCGCTCGCTACCGTCGAATTCGGGAATGGGGGAGTGAATGTCGAAGACAAGGGAACAGATGATACCCCAGTTCCTGAGCTCGGGATAGCAGTGCCGGAGCTAGGCCCGGGTGTGAAGGAGCTCTCGCTTGATACTGTGGAGTTGGGGAATGGTGGCGTGAAGGTCGATGAGAGAGGAATAGACGATATGCCAGTTCCTGAGCTCGGAATAGCGGTTCCTGAGCTGGGACCAGGAGTGAAAGAGCTCTCGCTAACCATCGTAGAGTTGGGGAACGGAGGCGTACTGGATGACGAGAAGGGAATAGAAGAAATACCAGTTCCCGAGCTCGGCACTCCAGTCCCAGAGCTGGGTCCTGGTGTGAACGAACTCTCGCTCACGATTGTAGAGTTGGGGAATGGGGGCAGAGAAGAAGGAGAGAAAGACGACACACCAGTTCCAGAGCTTGGAATCGCTGTTCCGGAGCTGGGACCTGGCGTGAAAGAGCTCTCACTCGCTATTGTAGAATTCGGGAACGGTGGTAAGGACGAGGAAAGAGAGAAAGATGACACGCCGGTACCAGAGCTTGGGATAGCTGTACCCGAAGAGGGTCCATGAGTGAAAGAGCTTTCACTTACCACAGTCGAATTCGGGAAGGGAGGTAGCGACGAGGAGAGTGAAAATGATGAAATTCCAGTCCCAGAGCTTGGTATAGCTGTACCAGAGGTCGAACCTTGTGTAAACGAGCTATCCGTACTGCCAATCGTCGTAGTATTGGGGAACGGAGGTAGAGAAGTAGAGGAGAGAGGAAACGACGAGACTCCTGTCCCTGAACTTGGAATAGCTGTTCCGGTGCTAGGTCCTGATGTAAAGAACGAGCTTTCCGTAGTCCCAGTCGTCGTCGAATTCGGAAACGGTGGCAAAGAAGAGGATACTGGGAGGGACGAAACGCCGGTTCCTGAACTTGATATGATCGTACCAGAACTTGGAATGACAGTGCCCGTGCTAGGCCCTGTAGTAAGCAGCGAACTCTCACTTCCAGAGCCCGTTGTAGAATTAGGGAACAAAGGCGTTGGCGAAGAAGATAGCGTGAGCGACGGAGGAGCTGTTCCTGAGCTGGGTACTCCAGTTCCTGAACTAGGACCCGATGTGGACAAACTACTCCCAGTCCCTACCGTTGAATTAGGGAACAAGGGCGTCGGAGAAGACGATAGCGAGAACGATGGAGGTGCAGTACCTGAACTGGGGGTGGCTGTACCCGAACTAGGTCCGGGTGTAGGAAAGCTGCTCCCACTACCCACCGTGGAATTAGGGAACAAAGGTGTGGACGAAACAGACAGCGAGGGAGATGGGGGTGCTGTTCCTGAGCTATGCACTCCAGTTCCTGAACTAGGACCCGGTGTGGGAAAACTACTCTCAGTACCTACTGTCGAATTAGGAAACAACGGGGTCGAAGAAGAAGGCAAAGAGAGCGATGGCGGTGCCGTTCCTGAGATGGACCCTCCAGTCCCAGAGCTAGGGCCCGGCGTGGTAGACGAGCTGACCTCTGAGCTGATTGTTGAATTCGGGTACAGAGGAGTCGGGTTAGACGTTGGCACTGAAGAGATACCCGTCCCTGAGCTTGGCACTGGTGGGATGGAAGAAGTTGGGACAGTGGAGAAAACTCCTGTTCCTGAGCTCGGCACTGACGTTGACCCAATGTCAACGCTTGTTGAATTCGGGAACAAGGGTGTCAAGGTCGAGCTGGAAAAGGAAGGGGTTTCTGTGCCTGAGCTTGGCTGCTCGAACGAGGAGGTGCTGGGTACACTGGTCACTCCAGACGAGCTGGATGGGATCGCTGAAGATAGTGTAGGTGTGAACGATGAAATCCCAGTTCCTGAACTAGGCGTAGGTGTAGGTGTAAATGAAAAAAGTCCAGTCCCTGAACTCGGCAGGGACGTAGATGCAACTTCCGAACTCGTCGAATTCGGGAAAAACGGCGCCGAAGTCGAGCTCGAGAACGACGGAACACCTGTACCCGAACTAGGCTTTTCAAAAGAGGAGCTGCTCAACACCTCCGATGAAGACGGAGGCGTGGGTACAAAAGACGAGAATCCTGTCCCAGAACTAGTTATGGGTGTAGACTCAACTTCCGAACTGGTCGTCGAGTTCGGGAACAGCGGCGTAGTCGAAAATGACGAGAATCTCGTCCCTGAACTGGGCTGCTCAGAAGGAGAGGAAGAGCTGGGTACGCTAATCACCTCTGAAGACGATGGTGTGGAAGTAAACGACTCAAATCCTGTCCCCGAACTCAGAGAAGGTGTAGGCGTAGTCATAGTACTTCCAACATCCGATGAAGTCGAGTTTGGGAACAAGGGCGTCAGTGTAGACGAAGGAGGAGAGGAAGAAGGCATTCCGCCTGTACCTGTACTGGAGCTGATACTCGGTGTAGGAGAGCCGCTGCTTGTCATACTTAGCGAGGAGGAGTTTAACGCTGGTGATGTCGTTGGCACGGAGCTTGTCTCGGTTGAGGACTTTGAGCTGGGCGGCAAAGATGATACATGTTCACTACTCGAACTCGAATGGTGCAAGGTCTCGCTCGATGGGAAATAGGAAGTATACACCGACGAATTAGGCCACAACGTTGAAGTCCAAGTCAACGTCGAAGTCTTGACCGAGCTAGATCCAAAGAAACTAGTCGTCAGCGACGGAGTCAGGATCACCGACGTCGAGGAGCTCTCTGAGAGCTCTGCGGAACTGGTTGGTGAGTAGTTTGGAGGCCAGTAGACTGGCGAAGTGGTACTTCCAGGTGCGCTGGATAAAGTCGTGCTGGTCTCGGGGATACTGCTGGCAGACGCGCTGGAGGGCTCATCGTGGCAGGTTGTCGAGGTGCTTGAGGAAGAGGGCGAGGAGAGAGGGATAGTGGAACTGTCGGACTCTGATGAGCTCGCTGATGTTGGAGGGCTGGGCGACGACGAAGCCGACGAGCTCGACTCTTCTGCACTTGTTGTGGGGTGGCCTGGCGTGCTTTCGGGTACGCTCGATGTGGGTTCGGAAACATCTGTGCTGGAAGACTCATCGGAGCAGGGCGTCGAAGTACTTTGTTCACTCGAAGACTCAACCCCTGTGGTTTCGGAAATAGGGCTGGACGTAGTAATGGTAGGGGTTAAAGGAACGGAAAAATCAGACGAGTATGAAGAGACACTGGTACTTTGGGAATCAGTGCTCCTCGTGAGCGTGCTGAAGTGTGAAATCGACCAGCTGCTAAAGGTGCCGTGGGTTTCGGTGGAAGGTGACTTGCTGCATGTTAGATGGCCGTTGAGAACTCTGCATAGTTGAATCCATACCTCGGACGATGATGCATCATTAATCGAAGTTGCTAGAAAAGTTTCTGTGGCGTCGTCGGGGCTACGCTGGAACAGTGATTGGATATTTGGAAGGCGATCTAGAGATGGACAATCAGTTACAACTCTATTGTATGACACTGACGAATCAGATGGGGTGATGAAATCATGACAAGCAACAGGCATATAGCAGATACGAGAAAGGATAAAGGATGTAAGAAACATTGGAATTCCTACGTGGGACGCGCTCAGCACTGCTGGTGCAAGAGAGTGCTGCAACCAGCAAGGCGATGTCCGCAACCCTCATATTGGGATCTCTGCCTCGACTCGAGGAGTTCGATTTCAAGCTCTAGTAGACAACAAACAAAACGAGCGAAAGAGGGTATAAGGAAACAAGGAAAGGAAGGTAGGTCTCCCAAATGGCCCCACTGTCTGGACAGAGCAAACTGAAGCCTGTGACATATGCAGCCATCAAGAATATATATACGTTCCTTGGATCACGATGTTGCAATTGACCATTCAAGAGCAACGATAGTTACAGTCGGCGGTCCAAATGGCGGCTACCCGTAGACACCGTGTACAAAAGATGCAGACTGGGAGCTTGCATGTATCATCGATATCCGTAGGCTAGACGGATTCGACATTTGGATGCCTTGGTACGTGACTCTACTCGCGTGAACAACGGAGACTGGGGACCAATCAGTGCTACACGAAACGAGTCTTGTCATCAGAGACCAGTCTATCAGTGCACTGCGGGATTGTTTGACCTGATATGTAAATGGCGAGTCGGGGGCAACGAGACGGTTTACTGTGTTGCGCCGATGATGAATTGGACAAGATTCGCACACGAAGCAGCAATACTGGCAACAGAACCTGGAGAAGTCGACAATTGAGCTACGGCAGAACAGGAGTTGAATAAGCCACTGGCAGTACATATCACGATGTGGCGAGGTGGAGGGAGTGTGATGAAGAGATGAGCAGGTATTGGTAGAACCAAGCTTATCCAAGTCGGAATGTAGCCGGACCCCATGAACCGATGTGTTGGGACAGTCTACATCGAGGTTCGATAGTTCCATGCCCAGGTTCACTGCACTTGAGGCTCCTTGTGCACAACAGCGTTGCATCTGAAATAGAGAAGGGCGGGGGTTGCTGTTTTATGAAGCCACGATGTGATGATATTTGGAGTGACGCAGAGGTCGAGGTTAGATTAGCTGACTGACACGGGCTGACACTGGACAGACAGGCCGACAGGCGCCTTTAGACGGGTTTAATAAGCAACAGATGCAGACGGCCTCTTTCAGACGGGTACATAGTACTGGATGGTACATACATGACAGTACATGGACGGTACATAAGCAGGAGAGGGATTGCTCGGGTGGAGGAAAGAATGGTCTCGAGGCCAGCAGCCGATGCCGCGCCCGTAGGTAACGTACGCAATGCACTGCCGATGCTAGAAATACATCGACATGGATCAGAAGCGTGCTGATATAGTATAGGATAGGTAATATCCAGAGCAGTAGCTAAGTATGTAGCAGCCAGCAGCAGCAGTGCGCGAAGCAGCCGTGGATGGCCGAATGGCCGAGTGCCCGTACGTGTGTGTGTGTGTGCACCCCGGAGAATCTCGAGGCGCCGATTCCAACGACGAATCCAAGTACCGTGCCATCGCAAACACCCCATGTCCGATCCATGTCGGAAAAAATCAAAAAGAAGGAAGGAAAAAAAAAAAAAGCCACCGGTTGACTCTTACCACCTGAGATCTGAGACATCTACACAGAACAATAGTACCTGCAATTTCGTACCCTCGTACACAGTGGTGAGGGCGCGCAACAGTGACTCGACGGCGGATTAACTAAACACCATGTATACTTGGACGGTATACAGGACGAGCCAGCAACGGTCGCTTCCCTCTTCCCCTCTCCCCTCTCCCCGGCTAACACACGCACCGAAGCACTAATCCGGGCATTCATCGACAAGACAGAGACGGAAACCAGCAGCGGTTGGCGATTGGACGCGGGTGACGGGGCCACACATCATTGCACCGCTGCCTGCCTGCCCGGCACCAACTACTACCCATGGAGCTGAGTGCCATTGACTTCTTGTCCCTCTGTTGTCCGTTGTCCTTTGTGGGCCCTCTTCTTGTTCAAGCGGGTGGCCAGCTTGAAAGTCCAATTTTGAAAGAGTGGGAAGGATTCTGGGACGAGAACAAGGGGGGACGGTCGAATTTGACCGACGAGGCCATGGCATTTTGGAATTGTCATCAAGACCCCCCATGATCCACCATCCTTGCTGGAGCTAGCACATCGCACAAGATACCCAACTTGGTTTTTCTTGTTCATCTCGACTTCAGTCCGCAACTGCTGCTGCATTTCTTGACCTACTTTTTTTTTCTCGCTCTTTGTTGTTGTTGCTGCTATCTAATTCATCGTTTCGAGGCACGTTGCACTCGGACGGTCCCATCCCGCACAAGGTGCTAGGTTTCCTGTGCTTCCTGTCCCACAGCATCCGCTCCGCCCCTGCTAACTTTCATGTTCCTTTTCGTGCCGCCTTCACCTACATTCAAATGTGCCTGTCTTGGGTACCGCCCCATCCCATGTGCACATGGATAATGGATTCAAACCCCAATTGTATTTCAAATGTGCCATTGTTGATGTTACAATTATTATTGCATGTAGATTTTCCTAGAATAAAACTGCTGCTACTTGATAGAATGTATATTGATGGAGAGGGGAATGACGCCCAAATGTTTTCTACGACGCCGTCGACAAAGATACGCAAAGTAGTCTTCATACCACCTCGCTGCGCAACGCCCGTAATCCATCTCTCGACACCAATCGTTACATCGTGTCCATATCAAAAGGGTATCGTTACCCCCGCCGTACTCCAACAGGGATCCCTTTGCCACATGATGCACGGCAACCGTGCTAACGCCAGACTCCCCATGGTACCCTGGACGTGACAAGTACTAAAAAAAAACCCCCAAAAAGAAACCCCACTGTTAGTGCAAATATATCAACAGGCGAAGAAGAAAACCAAACAGAAGAGCGAAGCCGACTTTTAATCCCAGTTCAAAAACGTGCTGTCCTCAAAAGTCTCGCTGAATGATGGATCGTTGAAGAGTTTGGTATCGGGCATCTGGTAAGGATCAAAGTAGCCCGAGTAGCCGGGACCATTGGGGGCAAACAACGAAGGATTGATAAACATGTCATTCATGCTCCCCAAAGTGGGAGTGATGGCACCAGAGTTTTCCATCGAAGTGTTCATCTTTATGCCTGTATCAGGCGCCAAAGTCTGAGACATTCCAGAGCTCTGCGTCGTGGTAGGAGTCTGGTTGGCTCCTTTGCCAGATCGTGCAGACTTGGGCGAGACATTGGGGTTGTAGGTATAGGTACCCATGTTTGGTTGAGCCAAGTTCTCGCTCCCCTCCATAAGAAGGCGGGTGCGGGGGTCTTGAGGGTCAAGCGCAGGGCCCACCATTTGCTGTGACTCGGGTGGCAAGGACAGAGCAAAGGGGCTCATGTTGAAAACTTGCGAGCTGGGGTCAAAGGGCAACTGGGGGAACTGATAATCTGTGGGTGTGGTATGCTCAGACTTGACTGGCGTCTTCGCTTGATCCGACTTCGGTGTCGTCGTTGAGGCATTTTGGGTGTTGTCCGCAGTAACTGCTGACTTTTGGACACCCTTGCCGGTAGATGCTCTTGAGAGCGAAGGGCGTGCCTCACCAGCCGCAGGTTGCGGCTCAGTAATGTTCTGCGGCAAGGACATGCGCCGATTGACATCTGCGTCTGGCGTGGTGACGGTTGGCTTGACTTGCTGCAGGGGCATGCCTGGGCTGGGCATGGCCAAAGGTGTGGTAACGGATGCGGAGCGCTGGTGCATTTTGTTCCGGGAAGGAATGCTATAAGGAGCCTGCCTGAAGCTCTGATGCTGCTGCAACAGCTGTGGGTTGTATGACACGCCGGAGTGGATGAATGTCGGCGTGGTAGGACTGAAGCTCTGAGAAGGATACATGGGCTGATACATCATGGGCATCTGCCCATTCTGCTGAAATTGGTGGGCAGCGTACTGCTGCGGGTTTGGATCTGGAAATTGCTGCTGCATGAACATGTGCCTAACACCTGTCTGGGCGGCAATGTAGTCTTGAAGCTTCTTGTTGAAGACTTGTGATGAAGTATGCAGATGCGCGTTGAGACGTTGATACTGAGTAGGCAAATCATCGTCTTCCTCCTCGTACATCTCCTCATTAATGACATCCTGCTCGGTGACACGCAAGCCGCGGCCAGTACGCTTCTTGTGGATATCAGAGGCGCGACGAGCAGACTCTATCCGCGCTTCCAGACTGCGGTCGCTCCGTCGCGATGCAGCAATGTAGGCGCTGAAGATGTCTGTTAGAATGGGAGAGAGGCGACGGGGCGATGCGATGACTTACCGTTCCTGGTTCTCTTCATGGGTACGCTCCGTCTTCATAGGCTTCGCCAGGGTAGGGTAGGTTGGCCTCCTTTCGGCTGGCATGTTGAAGAATGGCGATGATGAGGCAGACGATGATTCAGTATGCGTAATACTAGCTTGATTGTCGAGGTGGTCGACGTTAAGGTGTGGCGAAAGTGAGTGGCGGCGGGGCCACTGGTTGAGAGTCGGCACGAACAGTAGATGGCTGATTGAACAGCAGATGATGAAAGGAAGTGCTGGGAGAGGGCAGAAGGAATGGTCGGGAGGAGTGTATTAACAATAGATATTAGTAGCAGTAGGCGTATCAGACTGAGATGGTGGTACCCAGCGAGGAGGGTATAGAGCGGAGGTGGGTGGCAAGAGGGAGTGGGAGAAGTAAATACGGTAGGATGGGCGGGCAGTGCGGGCGGAGAAGGGCTGGCGATGGACCGAAAACCACGGGCGGAGGAACCAGTTGGAGGGGCCTGGGTGGTAGCGCGGGAAGGCAGTGCGCGCGATTGATCTAGACTGGGGGGCTTTCTTCGTTTTTCCTGTGGTTGATTGAGGTAAAGGCCAGGGCGGGGGACAAGCGGCGATGGGACTAGAGAGCCAAGGTGTTCTGGTGGTGAGGGAGATCGAGGGTCCGAGCGATGCGAATGCGGGCAGGGGAGGCCAACAGCAGACGAGCTCGCTTGCACGATACGCGCGAAAGAGCAACGTGTGGATCGGGCGATGAGTTGGATTATTGGTCGGGATTTGTTGGTGACCCAGATGATTTTAACAGCAAGTATGGATGGGAGAAGAAGAGATTGATGATGATGATGATGGTGATGGTGATGGTGACGCTGGAGAGGGGGCAGCGAAGGCGAGGGTTTGGTAGATTGGGAGAGCAATTGGTAGAGTGAACCTGTCTAGTAACAGGACTTCGACTCGGTAACAACAGTCTGAGAAAGAGTGAGAATGTGGGAGTGGATGGGAGCAGGAGTCTGGTTCATGGGAAAGACGAGGGCACGGGATAGATAAAGGGCGTCGAACAGGATGTGCAGGCCGTGGGCAGGCAACCCAGTTAGCAGCATCGCCCGCAGCTCCGCGCTGGCCAACTACGTAAGTAGGGGCACTTGGACAGGTCGGCGAAGGGCCAGTCAGTGCTGGTTGGTGCTAGCATCGTGCAGCAGACCCCAGCTCCGATTGACGAGCGAACCTGTATCAAAGAGTGGATGGGTGAATAAAGGCCTCCACCGACGTCGCCCTGCCATGATCCCGATCCGCCTCCACTCCCTCGGCGGGCTAAAGCCCTGGGCCATCGACCGTTTTGTCCCCACGAACCGAGGTCAGCCTGCCAGCATTTTGGTACATGTGTACGCAGCAACGCAGTAATAACTCTGTCTGCCGCGTACATGGCCATGTACCGTTGAACCATGCTGTGCAGTGCATGGAGGCGCTCGCTGGTACGCACAAGAACAGGCAGGAGGAACAAGAGCAGACGATGGAGAACAAGCAAAGAGCAGGCCAGAACAAACTTGGACCCGGGCAACCAGCAGAGTTTGATCGATGTTATGCTCGCCCGTATGCACGTATGGCCGTGGCATCGATGTCTACAGGTACTGTTCTGTACCTGGTGGATGGGGGCATGCACGTCAGAGCGACGATGCCCTGGAAGCTCTCCGTGTGGCCGTGGCCGCTACTGCCAACGTGGGTCGTCTTAGCCAGCCGGCCTAGAGGGGGCTTGACCGTACCTGGGTACTGCTGAGCATTCACCGTCTCGACCTGTTTTGCTGCCTCTCGTCCGCCCGGTACGTGGACGAGGAGAAGCCAGAGGGGAACGCTACTCATGCTGAGGATATTGGCCAAGCAGGTCCTGCTGTGCCTGCAAGCCACGGGGCCATTGGATGGAGAAGAGGGAGAATGCCATGGCAAAGTGCAGCCCATCCAGTGTGCCAGTTCACCTCTGCTGCAGATCCCGTCGTAAGCCAGAGCCCGGACCCCTCGCGTATCTGTCCAAGCAATCTGCCCCCGTCCCAACCGGGCTTAGCGCCATCTCAGATCTGAGATCTCTGCCTTCTGCGCTATGTGTGCGCTGCTCTGCTCCGAGGAACGCTGCTCACTCCTCTTCACCACTCCCAGGCACGCGCCGATCGCTGCCCGCTGCCCTCTCCTTTCATCTCGGCAGCTGCAGCATTCGCCACCTGAACATCTATCCGCTACAGCCCACGCCAGCGCTGCTTTGAAATCCCATCAGTGTGGGGTAGTTGTTGCTGTTGGTTGTTTTTTGTACCTATTATCTCCGTCCTATTCTGTCATAGCCTTGCCGTTGCTCAGCCTTCTATTCTTCTGCTTGCTTGCTTGCTTGCTTGCTCACTCCGTACGCTACGTCATACCATCAACACGGGAACTCTGTCTGCCAGTCACTTCTCCAGCATGACAATACTGCTGCTTGCAGAGGAGGGGGTCCAGTTCTGCCGAGTCGTGGATGCTTCCTCTTACGCAGGTGCCCGGCTGGTGTACCGACCTGGCTTGCTCCGATATCCAGCCAAAAGTGCCTGCATCTACAGTACCAGGTTTCTGCAGCAGCCAGTTCCCGGTCTTGGTCACTTTTGGTCAATACCAAAACTGCTGTAGCTTCAAACCTCTTCATCAGGTTAACCCAACCACAGCTTTCCACGGCTGTCCATGGTGGGAGCAATACCACCATCCGATGCAGCCTTTGCCTCGTATTTCCCCAGTAGAACCCGGCAAATAGCAATGGTAGTGCTGTGGCTACCGCATGGTCGGGTGTGGGAATGACCTCCGACCATCCAAGACCGTTGGTTGAGTGACGTGAGCGGCCATCAGTGAACCACTACCATCCCACTCCCCTCAACGAGCCACTACTGCCCATCTGCGGGGTTCTTGATAGATTCCGCTCGCGCTGCCAAAACCGCTCGACGCCGTTGCTGTACGCTTTCCGACGGCGGATTCGCAATTGCCCTTGCCACCTCTCCGGTTGCCGTTGGCAATCGATGTTTCGAAGCCCTGGCTCGCTACCAACCTTCCCTATTGGCCTGGATCGTTGAAGCGTTTCGCATCCAAGAGGACTTCCACCCGCTGTTAGCAGCGATACATCCGAGTCGATAGTCTCTGGGCGGCTGGCTCGTACTGCTCGTGTCATCTTTTCGCTGTTGGACACGGACGACAGACAACAAGGATGCGCCAAAACTGTGACAGCACGCCTCAGCTCGCTGCTCTCGACGGCCAATCCTACCAACCGTCTTGCTGCTTCATGGACAAGTACCGCACTTTCTGCTGGCAATCTCCGTCGGAGTAATGCTCCATCAGACTCATACAGCTACCTTGGTCTGGTCTGGTCCATCCATCTTGTGTCCAGGAGCGAAACCATTCTACCGAATCCATATCTCACTGCATGCCGCCAGGAATTAGCCAACCAAGGTAAAGTCATTGCGAATTCCTCATTCGAATACCTAGATGAGGCGCTCAACAAATCTGTTTGCCCTGCATACTCGCAATTCAACCTCCCCCTCATTCTCTTCTCGCCAACACTATTCCCCGCACTGTGAACCATGCCCATCTCCCTTGGTTTCCTCTTCCTTTCCGAACCCGCAATCGCAGTCTCTCCATTCCCACTGCCCTCTCTCTCCCGATCTCGCCTGTGATCCCTCAACATCTTCCTCCCCCGTCTTCGGTAAGTCCCACCTTCCCCAACTTTTCTTTGCTTCGATCTTGTACCTTTGGAAAGTATAGCTCTTGCTCGCCTGATCTTCTGCTACCCACCCCCCGACCTCACTTTCTGCAAGTTTGTGGAGAACTATACTTGAAATGTTTCCATCTGTTCTTAGTTTCGGCAACACCAGTGATGAGTGATAATTCAACATTACATATCTTGATATCTTTCATGCGTATGTGGTTGATGTAGTTTCTTCATTCAGTCTTGACAGATTGGATCGGTAGGTGCGTATATAGTTGGGCCATCATTTCATCTCACTGTACCACCTTCCTTTGCTAGACTAACATGCTGAATTTCCTTTCTCTCTCCGATGTCAAGTTTTTGCGTGGCAGTGAGATTGGTAGACGAATACATTCCCTAACGTTGATCAGTAGCTTTATCAATCACCTTGTTCTTTTATACAATCTTCTTCTTGATACCAGCCGTCATCCCTCCTCGCTCCCCCCTGATTCCTCTATCTCGTCTTCAAGTGGAGAGTATACAACTTCTCCATTCCTGTCTGTCGTCACCCCTCATGTGACCAAATCCGCAGATGTATGTCAGCAGATACGCCATTTAACTCTCAAATCTTCTTCGTGTGACTAATTATAGACATTTTGATGCATTTTTTCCACAAGTAAACTTCGCCAACAGAAATCAAATACTAACTTACTCACTCACTCACTCTAGCAGAATCAGCAGCAAATCCCTCGTTTATGAACCCAAGCAACAACAAAACTAGTATAGATCCTGCACATCCACGCTAGGATGCCGAGATCCTGTCTATATCTTGGGACTTGAAATCAGTTTTCCCTGCAATCGCCCTCTCTTCCCCAACACTAGGTCAACAGTCCGTGTGAACCAAGCCCGTGACACAGGATCCTTTCGCGCTGCAAATAGACCCTTCCCGCCCCCCTTTCCCATGACTTGTGGTTTAGTTGTCATTGATGATGTGAGGAGTCCGATACGAGAAAACGGTGGGAATATACCTAAGCTATGTTGGAGTAAAACAGTGCGAGGGGACAAATCTGCGCTGTTGTACGTACACCACCACAAACCGGAACACCAGCCAGATGACACGGGGGTTTTCTTTTATTTATTTTTTATTTGTTTTGAACGCTCTATCGTTATGCCTTTCTCTGTGCGTAGGATCACCCAAACTCCAACTTATAATTTATGACATGGTTTTGTTCATCAAAATAATTTGGTTCATGAAAAAACGTCCTTATTCGTTTCTTCTCTCTGTATTCAGTCCAAGTTCAGAATCAAGGTCTTCACATAATAGTACAAGCGCAGAATGAATGCAACTTTTGTTTTTCAGTGTTCTTGTTTTTTTTTATTGCTCCCCTTTCGACTCGTCTACATTTATTCGTGCTCATGATACCGGAAAATACAAAAGCCAAGCCAGAAAGGAGTTTGGACGCCCATATCCCATGCATTTTTGATGCCGAACGTCGTAGTACATGATTGCATCTCACCAAATCACTCTTCATCTCCTCCTCCCCAAAGAGTCCTCGCTTTCATTAATGAAGCCATTGGTCCTTCCGCTTCACGTGTTGCTGGTTTACCCCTGGGTAATCCCATAACACTAAAAGACTACCACCACCCCTGCTCCCCGTACCTCCCCAGAAGCGGCTACCTACCCATCTACCAGCCTAACCCCTTTTTCGCACACAGAGATCAAGAAGACGAAGAAGGAAGGATGACGACGCTCATTTCGCCACGGCCGCGCTGAGAACTTGTGTCCTGAAGAAGCCACCCTTTGTCCGCTCAATGACTTGCTGGTACACAGACTGGGGCGGGTGGTTCATGACAACGGTGCCAGCCTGGTAGTCAATCTTTGCGTCTACGCGGGTATCGCGGATGAGGTTAACGATCCACTTCTCTCCCTCGTCTTGCGAAAGACCAAGGCGGGTGGAAAGGTCCCTAGATCGAAAACGTTAGCATTATTTACTAGATGAACTGCAAGGGTTTGAGTGGGTGGACCGTACTTGATGTCGATACGCTGGTGGATCTTGCAGTAGCTCTCGGAGATGAGATGACGTGCCGAGTCTACAAAAGCATCTGCAGAACCCAACAAGAAAAAGTCGTTCTTCAGGATCTCCTCGGTCTCGCCGAGCTTCTTTTGCGCCTCCTCAAAGTCAAAGTCAATGTATAGCGCCTTGATGAAATCGGTCACTGGGTCGCTGTACTCGTAGCCCTCCTGCCTAACGATACGGATGAGATCTTTCAGCTGCTTCTGGTACGGGTTCGAGGTCCTTGAACGGGCACGGTTGGTTACAACAGCGGCAGCGAGATACCGCAAGACCCACGGGCAGCTGGTTTGGATGGTATTGATGTAGGTAGGGCCAAAGAAGCGGTCGGTGAGAGCCTCGCGGGCCTTCTCGTCGTTGAATAGCGGGAAGAGAGACCAGTGAATCAACCATGTGCGTTGCTGGAGTTGTGCAAGCGGATTGTTGATGAGGCGGCCATCAATGTGTTCGGCGAGTTTGGTGATGTCGTCAAGGGCGGATTCCCAATTGGCGGAGAGGATCTCGCAGGCGAGCTTGCCCCATGACGCTTCGCGCTCCTTGTCATTGTCTGTTGTCTGTCGAAGCATTAGCGGCTGTACCCTGATGGAATGTCCAACATTTCAGGGCATGTCATACCAAAATTCGGAAGCGGGTGAGAAGCTCGGAAGCATATCCGTAGTCACCGAGTCCATACTGGAACTGGCCCTGCTCGAACAGCTTGTTGACCATCTCGACAGTAACACCGTGCTGTTCCTTCAAGTAGGCCAAATTCTGCACCTTGTCACTCCTGAGGTTGGTGACCACGCTCTCATCGTCCAAAAGGGCGCTGAGCTTGCTCGTGTCCTCCTCCAACTGGTCCCTCCGCTTGAGCACCTGATCGCGCTTGGTCTTGAATTCATCCGAGATATCGCTCAGACCGTTGATTTCCTGGTGCAAATTTGCGGTGAAGTCGGCCATGTTGGTGGGCTTGAGGAGCTCGAGGATAACCTTTTTGCGGTCGATGGACAGTTCCTCTTCGGTCGGGTTGAAGGACAAAAGCGGGTAGATGAGATGGCGGTCGAGGTGCTGCATGAGCTTGGGCAGCAAGTTGTACTGCTCGGCGATGCTGTCGCCATTTGCGGTAGGGGCGGCCATACTGGGCTGTCTACGCAGGAAGGGGGTTGGTGGTGCGAGTTGAGAGTTGACGTGGGATCGATCGCTCGCGAACGGAATTCGTTGTTCTTTGGTGGGGTGTCGCGGGAGGTGAAGTTTTTAGCGAGACACCCCTGTCGCCTTTTTCCATTAGCGCAAAACATCACCTGCATCTATCAGAACATCTCTCTTGGTCTTTTGGCTGCGATCAACTCCTACCACCTCGGGTCCAGACCACTCAATCATCTCATCCGATTCGGTGTTCAGCAATTGATATGCCGCCAACACAGTTTCTCTGCCCTCTCCTGCGGCCATTGGGCGCCCGCGTTCCTAGACAGGCCCACCACCAGTTCCTCCGTTTCTCAACCGCGACCAGACTGCGCGAGATCCAGAAGCCATCCAGCACACCGCAAACCACCCCCGAAGCCCCCTCAACCTCACCCTCACCCTCGCGTGCCGCAGATCTTGCAGCAGCAGAAGCCGCGACCGACGCCGATAGCGCTCAACCTCCCGCTCCAAAGCCTGCCCTCCCTTCCCAGCACGAGACCGACGCAGAACCAAAGACATCTACCCCAAAGAAACCCTCAGTCGGGGAACTTGTTAAGAAAGCGAGGAAAGCAAAAGCCACAAAGTCCAAAGCCTCTTCCAAATCGAAACCTGTCGTTCCGCCACTAAAGTACCACGTTGGCCGCTCCAACAACAACAACCTGCCCATTTACACCGATTACAAACGCGGCGGAAACTTGCACTTGACGGTGATCAGAAAAATAACAGGTGACTTGAATGCCCTGAAGGAAGACCTCGTGGAGTCTTTGAACAAGGAGAGCGACGCCGTCACAATCAATAGCGTGACGAGGTCTATTCAAATCAAAGTAAGGCTCACCCGTAGCCGTCGTCGAGAGATTGAAAAGGAATCTAACCGTGAAATATAGGGACATCACGTTGCGGAAGTCTCTGCGTTTTTGACAGCTAAGGGCATGTAGAAGGTATAGATGGGCGAGAGGTCTCTGTATTGTATATTTATTGTATCATACCTGAAACATAAGCTAGGAAACCTAGCAGTGTACAATCGCATCACAGCAGGCATTATTTGTGGCCTCGTTATCGAAGTACCGTATAATTGCATTTGCACTATCTGGATCCTCTTCTTTTGAAGAGGTGCGGATAGCCCCCAAAACCTAATGGATGCTCCCGTGAAATGAAATCGGCATTGCCGATGGAATGTGTGATGCAGATTTCATCTCTCACTTGGACATTTGCTGAGTGCAACTAGGGCAAGCCTCACACTGCACGTTGTTAGACAAATCGACTCATCGATCAAAGTATCTCAACTCACCTCTTTGTTGCTGCATATGTTCGTACGGCACGCCTCATCTGCACACCGAGCATGCAAGCTACAGATGCCCACGGAGCACTGGTCGGTCAGAAGGTTTTCTGCTCGATGTAGGCACTCAGGACACTTGACACACTAAGCACGAGCATTAGACTTGAACAAAGTGTCGTTTGGTTCAAGTACTTACACGGTGCTTGCAGTTCACTGCAAGGCACTCTATGTTCCCCTCACATCCATCGATAGGGATTTGGCAGCTAACGGGACAGAAGTGTAGAGCTTCCACAACGACTCGAGCCTCGATGTTGGCGGAGACCACGGTGGTGGGAGGCTTCTTGCGTGCTCCCCAGCAGTGTCTACAATGCATGCACATTGGCGAACCACATAACGTCCTGGAATCCGCAAAGCATTGCTTGGGGCAAGAGGTCGAGGCTCCTTCACTAATAGACTCGATGCCCGTTGAGACCTCATAGGTGGGTGGCTCAGTGTCCTCGACGACATCATTCTTAGTGACTTCGATGGGAGTTTTGCAGACAGATGTGTCCTTGCACTCCTCTCCATGAGAGAATTCGGCACCGGCATCCCCGCCGTCAAGCCCAAGAGAAAGACGAGCGATGCAAAAGGTGCAACTCTTGCACTGTCCGGCACACACGAATGTTAGCCGACAATTTACCTAGATGTGAGTGAAGCGATAGGTCATGGACTCACCTTAGGTACCAAGCACACGCGACTATAGCATTCGGTAACAAGGTCCTCTGCTACACACTCGTTGTAGGAGTCGAGACATTGGGAATTGCAAGTAGACTTGGGAGGAGCAGCCGGGCTTGCTGCGACCAGGGCAGCTGAGACCAAGGCGAACACGTGAAGATAGCGCATGGCAGTTGAATCGATGTCGATGGAGATAAGAGGTTGAAGGTAGTGGTGGGGTGGGGTATAACGTGTGAAAGTGTAGAGGTGGGAAGGTGGGAAGGAGAAGACTCGCTGGTTGGTCTTTATAGTATTCTTGTGCGGTGGCTAGGGCCGTGTGCCTGCCCTCTTCGTGTGTTTGCTCACAGGAAGAGGCACCTGCGCTATTGGACAGACTGCATCGTGCCTGCCTGATATACCGATTGTTCCTACCTCGCTAGATCCTTGTTCCAGCCCAGACAGCCAGCAGTGTTTACCTTGATACCTCTACGAACACTACCAGGCGCCGAGGATGCGACCTAAGCATACCGCACGGTAGCACAGAATGACGGCTGGAAAAGCCTTGACATCATGATCATCGCGAATGTATATGGTCCACGTTGTCGAGAACTTCAAAGAATGCCTTCAGAAATTGCGGAACTAGTAATCCTCTAGGTAATGCGGGTCACTACAGAGGTGAAATGTGAACGTTGTAGCAACCACCAACTCCACGAGGAATGCGAACCCACCAACCTGCAAAATCCACCCAGCACAGGATGCAAAGGCACGAAGCCCGAAACACAATACCAGAAAATGAAGAACTAACCTGGGGGCTGCGCGCCGCCTAAAATGCATAGACCTCCCTTTACCAACGCCTTTACTACCGACCGAGGGGAATTCACCACCTGTCTTCGCCATACTACTTTAGTTTCCGCGTCACGACGGCCGTCTGAAAGGATGTGCCTCCGTGTTCAATACCCACTCGTCCAAACTGATCTCGCTTTCATCCGTGAATAACAGATAAAAGTACTTCAACGTCTCGGCCAACCAAAAACTGGGAACGGGATTAGTTTTGAACTGCACGAAAGCCCGGGCTGCGGTTTCATACCTTTCCATCTCGTCTTTTAGGAGGGGAGTCTTTTTCGTCACGTCATCGATAGCTGAGTTTCCATACTGGGCTGTGGTGGCTGCATTGACTGCTTCGAACATCTTCCAGCCAGCTTCACGATAATAAGGGTTTCCAGTGATGCGATACATATACCACACAGATTCTATGGCTTCCGGTCTGGGAATCCTGTTAGTTTAATTCTTATCGATCATGGTGGACCGGAGGGAAACCACTAACCGAAGAATATAGAGGCGAGACGACATGGAAACCACGCCGGCCGGAAGCCTCTCCTCCTCCAACCGAGCCTGAACATACTCTTCGTGCGAGGCAGGATATCTGGGAGAAAAGATTGATGGGAATTCTGGGAGTGTTGGACTGGGCGGCGGGAATTCCGAATCTGCTGGCATCACTTTGGTGGGTGGTTGGGCGCCTCCCCCTAAATGACCACCGATTGCCATTTTCCTCTCATGGGAGTCTTCACTGTCGTCCAATTGTCTCTTCGAATTTTCTGTAAGCACACCAACGCCAGGAGTAGGTGTAGGCACAGCTGCGGCAATGTTCTTATTCAGAACACCTCCAGCAGGCTCGGGGGCTGCAGTTTTCATGGCCTGGAGTTGTTCGTTGTAGAATGAGCTTGCACTGGCCATTTCCGCTTCATAGAAAACCATGGCCTCCTTGTACTGCTGCATCCTTATTTCGTGCCTGGGGTCCAGTTTCTCCCAATACTTCGTCTCATTCCAATCACAGCTCTTCATGTTATCGCAAGGTATGAGATCGAATCCTTCAGGCATAATGCCTGTAGTAGTCATGTTATAGTTCTGTATGCATCCCTCTGTCATTTTGATAGCAATGTCAAGATCCTCCGGACGGTTGAAGAGTTTAGCACCCAGGCCAAACATTCCGCCTGCAAAGCAAGTCAGATGCTCTTGGTGAGGCTCCAGTGTCATGTCGAGGTTGCTAATCGAAGTATCGGATGGAACGGGACTAACGTGTAATTTGCCAGCGATGAGGACATCAAGGGAATCGGGGAGCATAGGCCGGAACAGCAGGTTCTCTTTGATTGTCTTGGCGGAGGCTTCATACATGGCACGGTATTTCTCAACGAGCCCCCCAAGAAGTGCGTATTGTTTGGGAAGGTATTCGTAAGTGGAATCAGACATGCCTCCAAGGCTATACTCTTCGACTGAATACTCGGAGGTGGATGCGAATCCTATTTCCTCGCATACTGGACGAGTTGCTGCAGGGGTAGCTTCCTCATTTTCCCCTTCGTCTTTTGTGGCAGTGGGCGTGAAAGCCGCCGGTGCAGGTGGCTTTACTAAGACAGTCTCTTCATCGTCCTGAACGGCCTGCCGTTTGTTAAGAGGGGCTACAGCTCCCTGAGCCAGCGGTCGCTCCTTGATGGGGGTTTTGTCCAATTTTTCATCTCCAGGCTTTAGTACAAGTGGAGACGGTAGCTCTAAAGGTACGTATTTGTGGCCGCCGGGCGACAATTTTTCGCCTGGAGCAGCTGGTGATCCTTCGACCGGCCTGACCATAGGTGCATTCTTGTCTTTCCGGGGGTCTTCCTGGGGTGCGGGTGCGAACTCGGAATCGGGATCTAATGCAAAATCCGGATTTTCTGAAAGGGGCGGCGCAGCATGCGGCCCCATCAAATGTGGAACACTGGGCGGTTTACTTGGGGTTTTGATGGGGTCCTTCATCAGTGGATTTTGTTGTGGCTTTGTAGCAGGTACGGAATAATCAATTCTCTTGCAGCCGGAAATATCAATGTAGACAGGCCACATTCCGGGCAGTCTAGTCTCTTTTTGATACTTCTCAAGATGATCTGTAATGCGTGCGATCGCATCATAGTATTCATTTTTACCAGTAAGTTGGGTAAGATAAGTAAATTCCATGGAAAGGGAGCCAATTTCGGCCAGTACAGCGCGATTGCTCGTTCGATGTGGCTTCGCAGTGAAATCACTACGGCATGAGTTAGCAATGCCAGGTGGTGGGTGCAGGTATAATTACGGTCTCCAATAGAAGTATAACTCCGGCATCCTGTTGGGCGTATCAAACGCACTGAGAAGTATTTCGGCCAGCTCCTCGGCCTTCGTCAATAAGTTCTTATACTTCTTACCACTAATGTCGTAGGCGGCCAGCAAACCTCCTAGATATCGTATCGTAGTTTCGAACAGCGGAATATCGGATCTGGTAGTCGTTGTGAAATCGATCTGATCTACAGCTTTCGCAGCTTCATCGAATTCGTCCTTCAGCCCCATTATCCACAGCGTATCCAGCGCATCTACCAATGTGGCGCCCCAACCTGCAAAGGGGTTTCTGGAGGTATTGGATTGAGGCTTCAGCTCATCTTCCAGCCATGCAAACTTTCTGTAGCCATCCCACGAGCGCTTGAAAACACTACGTATAACGCCAAGCTTGTATTCGCGATCTGTCTTCTGCAACGACGATTCCGGCTTGAATTTAAATTGTACCTTGGGAATTGGTTTCGGCTTCCCAGTTGGTAGTTTTACAAAAGACTCGGTCGCGACAGGGAAGTGGTCGCTCTTCTTCTTCCAGTGCACAGGCGACGGAGTTCCGTATATATTGTCTACAGGAGGCACAACCGGTCCATTCTCAAAGCTGGGCAACGCACCAGGCTTCGTGTCGATTGGCCGGTCCACGGGAGCAACCGGCGGCGGAGGCGTTTGTTTGGCCTGGGGGATCTTTGCAGCTGGAATATCAAGCTCGAGTCCGTTCGTATCTTGCGCGGGCTTGGGATTCGGCTCCCATGGTACAGGCAATGAGCCGTCGCTCTTTCCCTTCCCCTGCTGTACTCGTTCGATTGCGTCTGACCATGACGCGCCCGAGCTACTAAATTTGTATAGCGCAAAAAGAACGAAAACGGCGAAAACGAGGAAGACTCTATAGCGACGGTATCGGAACATGGTGGCGGGCTTGTTGCGGTCGCGGGCGCGGAGGGCAAGCACCCAAACGTAGCTACGTTACGACGGGAGCGCTGTAGGGAGGCTAAGGAATAGGAAATTACGTGGAAACTTCCATTGGGGCGAGTTGGAACACTGGAAGGAACACGGCGATGTCGAACGAGGGGGAGGATGTAGAAGACAGCTCTGCTGTTGTTCTGAAGAGGGACTCAATGTCTTGGCCAACGGACCCTGGATATGTATGTTAGGGATGTCGGCACGGATACATGTACACATCTCTTTAGCGAAGCTCCACTCACTATGCTTGCTTGGATGCCGGCTAAGTACCTATTGTGATACGCTTCGAAACAGCAAAGTCAACGAGAAGTTTCATCATCAAAAGTTCGCGAATTTCTATGCATGTCCTACAGCACTCGGTAAAGTCTTCAGTCCGCAGAATGTGCAACCTGTCTTTCTCAACCTTCACAGGAGCCACGGGAGAGTTTGCGGACCCACCTCGATGCAGCCTAGTCGATTTTTGAAGGATTAAGCTTAAATACAATCCTGGCAAATCAGGGGTCCAAAAAACCTTGGGGTAATATGTTATATTGATCACGAGCTTGGTACTATACAATGCCTGTGTCTAGAACGCAGTTTGACACCACTTGAACAAGTGTTTTCTGTGAGTGTCTTTCCCCTTTTGTATCCTTTTTTTCCGTCTTGGTATTATCGATTGCACGTTCTCTGCGCATTACCATTACCATTCCATTTACTGCTCATCCCCAGGCCCTGGCGCCCGTCCCATTTGCCGAGCTTTCAACATCTCGTCGCACAGGAGTAGATTGGATGCGATTCCGGTACTTGAGGCGATTGCGTTACGGATCACCCGGAATGAATCATAAACGCCCTCCTGCTCTGGGTCCATGGCTTCTCCAGTTGCCAGGTTGAGCCCGACGGCGTTGCCTTCCGCGTGCTCGTCTTGCAGCGCAGCCACTGTACATGTCAGTCACGGTACTAGCAATTCCCAAACAGAGGTAAACTCACATGAGTCCTGGATGTCGTGTCCTGAATTGGCGGCCAAGGTTTTTGGGATAACCAGCAAAGCATCTGCGAATGCCTCAACACCCCATTTTGCCTTGCCCTTCACCGTCCTCCTGAAATCCTCGCTGGAAAGGTGAGCAGCGCAAGCAACCTGGAATGCGCCACCTCCCGGCACTACGCTCTTGTCCACAATCATATTGTGAACACTTCGAAGACCATCTCGTACTGCATCCTTGATCTGGGTGATGGTATGAGCATTTGGTCCCTTGATGAGCAGTGTGACCGATTTCGGCTCTTTCACGTCTTCCTACACACAGTTAGAGAGGCTCTCAACAGACGATAGTAGAGCACTCACCACAAAAGTATACTTCTCTTCACCCAGTTGATGCTCGTATACCTTCCCGGCCCATCCAAGAACGTCGGGGGAAAGATCGTCCACACTATTCTGGGATGTGCCACCACAGACAAGCTGCAGACGCTCCATGTTTCTCCGCTTAGCTCGCCTGAGAGCAAATATACCGTTCTTGACCAGGACATCCAAGCTCAGGGGGTCGATTCCCTTCTGGTTTATTATCACAAAGCCCTTCTTCGGGTCATCTCCGCACACCTCCTTCTTCAACTCGACAATTTTTCTCAACTTGTCGTCCACGAATCGTCGCTCACTTTCCACAAGTTTCTCTCGTTGGTCGGCGCTTGAGTAGTAGAAGCCAGAGTTGATTTCTGACTTTTCGTACTCCAAGCTGACGTTGAGTGTGAGTATGAAAGCATTCTCGACATGCTTAGGCATATCGGGGTGTCTCGCTCCGTGATCGAGCGCAAGACCGCGAATCAGCTGTGTATCCGTGGCTGTGCGGTGTTGCATAGTCATGATCTCGACCATGTGTAGATCTGGCTTCGCTGGCGGTTGGTATATCGCAAGTACTGAATCGACGATGGCTGGTGTTAATCGTTCGGCGAGGGTGCTGTCAAGTTTCGTAGATAGGGATGTCCGTGCTACAGAAAGTAGTAATTCTCGGTCGACTTCCTTTTGTAGCTTGAATTGATCGAGGAACTTCAGCAGTGTCAGTCGCAGCCTAATGAGGATGGCCAGAGTAGAAAATCACCTTCAGAGTCTCCGTCTTCGCAATCTCGTAACCATCCGTTATGACACGCGGGTGAAGTCCCTCAGCGATGTAGCGGTCTGCTTGCTTCAACAGCTCGCCTACCATGAGCACCACTGACGTAGTTCCATCTCCCGTGATATCATCCTGGGCAGTCGCAGCTCGCGCAATCATGACCTGTTGCGTTTAGTATCACGCTAGGTTCTACAAGTGTTCGATCGATACGTACGGCGGTTGGGTTTTGTATTTGCTGCCTCAAGTCAGTCTGTGACGGCTGTTATAGTGTGGGGACACTCACCATTTCTTTCAACAACACACTCCCATCTTTAGTGAGCTTGATCTGTTCCATATCATTAGTATCTAGCGGCCAAGGCACATGGATTCAACACACTTGACCAGCACCATCAACCAGCCTTTAAAAGTCAGCCCAAGATTTCATATCGCAATTGGTGGGGTACATTACATTTTCAAGGTACCGCGGGGTCCAAGATTGGATGCCAACACCTGGTTCGAGTTGAGTTATTGAAGACATCGAAGAGCCCGAAATAATGGCACACCTTTTGCAGACCCTCTCCTGCCGAAATGTTCACTTGGAGAGCTTCGCCGCGCCGCTGTTCAACTATTAGCTATGTTATGTAGCTCAACTCGGACGAGACTTGCCCTGGACTCCGCCTTTGGATTTAGCAACTGTGCGGCCGACATAATGACTAGCAGTCTATTCCGGGTATATGAAGAGCAGAAAAGAGAACAAATCGAAGCTGTGTTGCGGAGGCAGCCGACCGAGTGTTTTCGCGTGTATGCCTGTCGCGGGCTCCCAAAAATCGGCTCGGCACCAAGTTTCTCCGGGCCGAGAATTCGAACTTTTCACTTTTCGCAAGCTCCGCGCCAGCTTCGCACGGCTCTCAAAGTACGCTCGACGTCGATTGTTCACCACCAAGCTGCAAAGCTCTTCAGTCTGCAGTATACGAACAGCTGGAGCTCTGAAACCATCGCCATGTCTCTCGACTATGTCCTCCACGAAAATCCAATCGGATACGCGATTTTCAAAGTTGTCCACCAGCCAGATACAATTGGAAGCCGATTAAATGAGGTACGCGCAGCTGTACAGGACCTTGAGAAGTTTGGCAAGACCGTTGAATTAGTCGGTCTTTCCCCATTCCAAGGTACCCAGGATGCGCTGCAGGAAATCAATGACGTTTCTGAGGGCATTATGTCGGATTTCCTTCGCGCAACCCTCGAGTCGAACCTTCCAAAGCCTAGCAAGAAGAAGACTATTACTCTAGGAGTGTGGGACAAGGTCCTAGCGTCGTCAATCAAGTCTGCGTTCCCGAACCTTTCCTGCGAGACTGGAGACACCAATCCTGTCGTAGCAGACGTATTGAGAGGTCTCAGACAGCACTCCCAGAAGCTTATTAAGAAGTTGCAACCCGGAGATATTGATCGCAGTATTCTTGGACTGGGTCATGCGTACAGCCGTTCCAAAGTCAAGTTCAACGTGCAAAGACGTAAGTTTTGGACCATTCGTCTCGCGATCTACACTAACCACTCCGCGCTTAGACGACAACAACATCATACAAGCTATCGCCACGCTAGACCAGGTCAATACCGACGTGAATACGTTCAGCATGAGGCTCCGCGAGAACTTCGGATGGCATTTCCCTGAATTGTCGAAGATTGTTTCCAACAACGAACAGTACGCCAAACTGGTGCTCAAGATCCGCAACAAATCGCGTCTCACAGAGGACGACGTACATGACCTGGCGGCTATAGTTGAAGACGATGAGGCTGTTGCGCAGGCAATCGTTCGTGCTTCCCGGACTAGTATGGGAAGGGATCTGTCGGCTGCTGACGAGGAATTGGTTCTTAACTTTGCTACACGGACCGCGTCTCTGGCCGAGTATCGGAAAAATCTACAGTCGTATTTGTCCCGACGTATGGACACGGTAGCTCCGAATCTGTCTGCTCTGATTGGTGACACTGTAGGAGCTAGATTGATCTCGAAGGCTGGGTCTCTCACGAATCTGGGTAAGTGCTGTCCTGTCCGATTCTGATTGTTCTAACTCGAACCGCACAGCCAAATACCCTGCAAGTACCGTCCAGATTCTCGGGGCCGAGAAAGCTCTGGTAAATATCTCCCAATCTCGTCTCCGTTCGATGCTTACCTTGTGTCACTAGTTCCGCGCGCTGAAAACCAAGGGGAATACTCCGAAATATGATAAGTCATACCTGATGCACGATTTAGACTCTTGGACCTTGCTAACTATCGTGCAAGCCTTATCTACCACAGTTCCTTTATAGGAAAAACCGGCGTGAAGTCAAAAGGCCGGATTTCGCGCTTTTTAGCAAACAAGTGCTCGATTGCCTCAAGGATTGACAACTTCTCCGAAACTCCAACTTCGAAGTTTGGCGAGGCGTTGAAGCGCCAGGTAGAGGAGCGGATCGAGTTCTACGCCAGCGGTGCGGTCCCATCCAAGAACTCTGCTGTCATGAAGGCGGCCATGGATGACGTTCTTGCCGACATCCAGACCGAGGACCCCGGTGCTGCGGCTGCTGAGGACGTAGTAAAGGCTGCTGGCATCACCGGAAAGGCAACGGAGCAAGCGATTCGCAAGGAGAAGAAGGAGAAGAAGTCCAAGGAGAAGAAGAGGAAGGCTGATGACGAGGAGGAGGGCGAGAGCAAGAAGAAGAAGAAGAAGAGCAAGGCATAGTGGTCTCGCCACCATGGACGGCCGCTCCACTCTTTGCTTGAACCCATATGCCTGTACTTTTCCAAAACTTTCTTCCTTAGCTCTCTCTCTATTGACCATTCTCCACGGCGTTTTTTTGGATCGGTGTTAGCCCAATGCGCGGTAGGGCGATGCTTCCTCTTTTCAAGTCCGGATCAAATGGTTTGCGTTTCTGCACAGAACACGCCTGTTCCGGTATCACGTGTGTGGACCATAAATGTAGTTTGGAAATTCAAAAGAAAAAAAAAGTTTGCTCCCAGTTCACCTACTAGTTTTCGCTTATTATTGCAAGCATGCGTGGTCTATAATATCAGGATAGGACAGAAGGACGGCTCACAGATGCATGCTGCACTGTAGCTTGAGTGCTGTTATACCCCGATCCTGTCAAAAGGCAACAGACTGGGGCGCGTAATGCAACATTTGCACAGGTGTTGGGTGAAGATGATGTACAGAAAGCAGATTGACATGCAACAGCAATGATGACATCACAGCACACGCAGGTTTAGATAGATTGTCATATGTAGAGCTGAAGGGGATTTGATGGTAGATGCGTGGGCAGCAGACAGTTCGTATCCCGCAAACCGACGGGCCAACCGTTTCCCCCCCCCCCCCGTCTACACAAATAGACGGGATGCGTGGGTGGGCGCGCAAGTATGCATGCATGGCGCCTGAAACGGAAAGGCCTGTAGCGGCTAAATTGGTGCCAAAAGTGCGTGCGCGCGGGCCACCCTCTACATTTCGGCGCCAATCCATCCCAGTTGGGACGATGCGACGTTCTCTTCCAGAAGGCAGCGACAGCGTTTGCCGGTAGGGGGTGCACACGCTGAGCAGATGCGATCAATTGGCCGGGCGGAAGCAGGGGCTTGCCAATGCGACGTGTGAGTCTGGGTCAACAGCCACGGGGGATGGTCTTGGTGTGAGACGTTGATGAGGGGGTGGACTGGATTGAATGGGACGATAGACCCGCAAATCGGGCATGCTGTGGCGTAGGCAGATCAGGCGCTCGCGTGTGTGTCCCCCTTCCTAGGGACATGGCGCTGTACGATCTGGTGGGTGTGGCTGATGCGTCGTTTACCATCTGCCCTGACGAGATTGTCTAGGACATGACCATCCATGTTCCCACCGGCATGCATGCATGTGCAACTCAATGTTGCTCGCCTCGTGAGCCAGTTCCCATCTTCTGCTTCCACCGTCGGATCATGACCATGGTCGAGGTTGGTCGTCGTCGTCGTCGTCAATCGCTGGCAGCAACACCATCTTGATATGATGGCCATGAATGCACTGTCTGCCGGGCTGGACATAGATGGCCCAGTAAGGTTTCAAGTTGACGTCTGATGAGTTATGGCTTGCTGCCGAACACACAGTAGCTCCGGCTCTGCTTTCTTTCCCCAGCCCTTTTCCCTCTTGGTATCGGTCGGCTGCTGCTGTGAAGTGACTACTTGACTGTGTCTGTTTTTGTCTGTCGCTCGCCAGTCGTAACCGTTGCCTGTTGTTGCCCGTGCTTTGCTGGCCCGCAAGTCACTTCTCTTAATACCAGAAGCCCCCTCAACCTCTGTCGACACGTCGTCTCCTTTCTCTCTTCCCTCTTCTTTCCTATCCACCCCTCTACCGTCATTGCTATCTTTCCATCAATCCTGCCTCTTCCGCAGCTGCTGCCATCCTCATCTTCCCGCCCACCATCCCTAACGCCTGTGCCCGTCCGTCGGCCCTGGTTTTAGTGTCCGTTCGCTACGTGCAGGCCCTGTACTCCCACTCTTCCTTTGGTGTTTTGTTCTCGACATAGAGCCACCCTTGGGTTTTGGTGTTGAGTTTCTGCCAATTCCGCGCCGTCGACCACTCGCCAATCAACCCAGCACCTCCCATCATTCCATTCCCTTGACTGCTGCTTTCACGCACCGTTTCCTCTGCTGAAACACTGTCCCCATTACGAGTTTTTATTCTTGCGCATGCCGGCCGTTTCTGGTCTTGTCTTGTCGCGAGCGGTTTCTTCCAGGGGTGTTTGACCATCTCGCAAAGATTTCGGTGTTCGCAATATGGACGCCATGGAGGTCGGAAGCTCGCCTGGAAGTCTGAGTTCCCCGCCCCATTCGCCAGAGCAAGGCACTCCGAATAATTCCACGATCCGAGTTGCCACTCCCCTCTCCACACATGTTGGTGTTGCAAATGCAAACAACACCCCACCCGCGCCGACATCCACCACCTCCACGCCAAGACTGACTGCAGCGGGTACGTACCTCCATCCGCGTACTCACATATATTGATTGTACTTCACCAACACAACAACGCCGCTGCAATGCTGACCGCTCATCGTATCAGGACTCCCACGTAAAAAGCCAGGCCCTAAGCCCAAGGCTAAAGATCCCAACGTAGTCGAGGAGAAGAAGACCACCAGGAAGCCGCGCAAGACGGCCGAGCCCAGGGAACAGAATGCAGCCCTTCCTGTACCGCGCAAGCGGAGAACCAAAGCATCGCTGGACGCTCAACCAGCTCCGCCTGCACCACCACCACCACCACCTCCTCCTCCACCCCAGGAGAAACCGGCCCAACAATCGACACCGCAGCAAACGAGACCCACCGACTTGCCAGCAGTGCCCCAACCAGAGCAGCCCACCCAGGTTACGCAGCCGCCGCCCCCTTCACGCATGCTGAGCAATTCCGATCTTCTGCATAGCAATCCCAATCTCTCCCACATCAACGCTGCTCCATCCACCCCCCGGCCGGCCAGTTCTGGCCAGCGTTATGATCCGATCCGCGGCGGCATTTTTGAATCCAAGCCTCCTGCTGCTGCCACCGTTGCGCCTCCCATCTCGCCTCCCTTGAACCGTGCAAGTGCATCCCCATCCATCACCTCGTTGATTGACCCTCCCTCTGCCTCAAATTCCATGTATGCCCAGCCCACTAGGCTACAGCAGCAAACCTCCGTCACCTCTGCACCTGCCTCCCCCGCCGCTCTTTCTATGCGTCCTGGGTCACACCTTCCGCACCAAGAGCAGTCGCAACAACCATCTCATGCATCACTTCCCCCCACACCACAACAGCAACAACAATCATCGCCCCGACCCGCTCAACCTCAAGCCGCGATGCTCGGCCCTACTCCCATGGACATTGATTCCGATGTCAGCCCTCGAGCACATGTCCCAATGAAGAAATCCGACTCCGCGAGCGGGGCTACACCGTCGAATTCCAACGCCCCGACCCCACCCGTCAAGGCCGCACGCCAGAAAGAAGCTCCGCCACCACTCCCGATGGGCAGTGGGCTTCTGTCAGGCACTCCGCTGGGTCCCTCCGTCGGTGGCAACGGCCCCACGGAGCCCCAGGGTGTCAACATATGGCTTTCCTTTCCTCTCAAGGGCCGCGAGAACGTCACCATCAACTTCGCTCAAGAGGTGGAGAAGAAATACGGCTTCGCTGCCCTTCACCCACGTATTGCTGCTCGCAAGGAGCGTCAGCGTCAAATCACTGCTGCAGGTGCTGCCCTCGAGAAGGCCCATGGCATGGGTTCGGCCGACGACATGTCGGTCGATCTGTCTGAGAACGAGAGCAACAACGATGTTACCGGACTAGATGATGATGGGTCTGGTGGCGGTAACGGGACGAAGAAACGGCGCAAGAGGAAAACGGAGGATTACGACAAAGAGGACGACTTCATCGACGACACCGAGCTCGCGTGGGAACAGCAGGCACTCATGGTCAAAGACGGTTTCTTCGTGTACAGCGGTCCGCTCGTCACCGAAGAGAAGGTCGCTATCGAAAGGTATGTTCTACTGTCACTCTGTTATTGTTACGTTGACTTACATGTTCCAGGGCCGATGGCACCACGAAGCGAGGCCGCGGTCGCGGTCGTGGCGGTACTACCCGGGGCGATACTGCTGGGCGAGGCCGTGGACGTGGAGGTGGCCCAGGGTCACGTGGCGGTGCCACAGTCCGCAAACCACGTGTAACCAAGGCCGATCGTGCGGCGATGGAACAGGAAAAGCACGAGCGAGAAAAGCTCGCAGGACTCATCAACCAGAAGACGTTGACGCCTGCCTATGCCAGCACCGCTACTAGTTAGGGACCCTCTGATTTGGCATTCTGGAACATAGTGCTCTAGTATCTTCTTCTTCACCTCTTTCGGGCGTCTAGCCACTGTATCACAATCATCCATTTTCCTTTGTACAATTACATGCAGCGAACATTCTCGTTGTAGAAAAGGGGGCTGGGAACGGCGGGCTATCTGCGTTTGTTTGCGGGTCATATGGTGTTCCATGGCGTTTTGCTCCAAATTCGGGCAGAGATACGGCGTTCGCATGTCCGAAAGCCTACGGGTGAGCAAAGTCATAACCTCGCATGCGTGGACTATCGTAATCGATTATTTCTCAGTCAAGATCGTAGTTCTTTCAATCCAAAAAATTCATCTTACCCACTTGGTTAGTTCTTGTAAGTCACTCGTTTCGAATGATGCCCTAGTTCTTGATCCCAGCTCGTCGCATGGTGTGTAATAATATATGCGATTGTCTCGTCACTTTAAACTGCCTTGTTCCTGACTTTGCCGTATATCGTTGCTATATGTCACTCTGAATCATACGTCGCTCTTTCCACCTTTATCTCAGGCGAATCCCCTACGTATGTAAGTATAACAACCTCACCTCCGTCACCCCAACGCGTTCCTTCATACATAATGTATTGCAAACACGCATACACAGAGCTTTGTTTACTAACACAGCGCGCCAAGCCTTTCTAGATCTCTCACCGACGCACGTATCCATACTTTTGAGGGCACGACAGTCCCTTGTTACACACACCCTTCCTGTCTGTCTGCACAAACACCCTCACTCTCGACTCGGAGTCTGACTTGTTGTTCTCTCACTTGAACACTCGCCCACATTTGGACCCACTCACTGGCCTGCATCAAAATCGGCGCATCTGAACCAAGGGGTTATATACATACGGTCTCTGTATTGCTGCAATGGGTGATCATCAGCCTACGGGTGGCGAAGGCAATGAGAGGAGAATTGGCCGGAAGCCTGTTCCCGCGTATTACTACAATGGTACGTATGCCTTGGGTATATAGTCATCGAATGGCGAGATACAACTGGTTCGGCTGTATTACACATTGATAGCCCACTGAAACATGTTTTGCTGCATCACACTGACTTCGTATCCGCGACTCAAGCTATGACCGAGAGATCGATCAAATTTTATGACGGCACCTACAAGGTCAATAGCGCACATGGATTCTGGGATTCCGAAGGGCAATATCACGAATGGGGAGATGTCGACGATCCAGAGACATGGTACCCGCCGACGCCGCCGCCTGCCATGCCGCTTGATGAGATCGAAAATGGGGTGGCACTTAATGGCGCGAGGAATTCCGATGTACCAGATGATGTCGATATTGGAGCCCCGAGACCGTCACTGGATCAGACAACATCGAACGCTCAGCGCAACCTGCCGTTCAGACAGAAAGACAGCGAAAATGCCTCGCCTACCTCACCCAATACGGAGGCCCCTCTCTCCACTCATTACCCCGAATCTTCCTTGATGTCTTCTGGCTTAAATCCTGCACCCTGGTCACGGTTGCACATCCGAGAAGACATCTTCCAAGCGTTCTCTGGCAAAGGAAAAAGCTCTGGTGAAACGTTCAATGGTACGAGCACTGGAGAGGCAAAGCCCCAGCAGCAGCTTTTTGCCGGTCTCCCTGATAGAGCTCACTTGGCTGCTAGGCTTGAAGGCATCTGCATTGGAACGAGGCTGGGTTCCGAGAGCAAGGATGTCGGCTTGAAAGATTGCTATGACTGGTGCGGTGTGAGACACGATTCCATTGTGGAGATGGTGGACAGTGCTGCCAATGTGATGCGAGGGCCACCTCTAGCTGGCAGCAGTGATCATATTAAACTGTTGATACCGGCCGACCAAGAGCTAGACACCAAGCACAATATCGCAGACGAGATGAATGCCTCGACGAAGGACTCTAGAATAATGACTACATCCAAAGAGTGTGGAAATGTGGACCCGAAGGCACACAATATGGTCAAGCCCAACAAGGGCAAGGCCTTGGGCGATACCAAAGAATCGCGACATCCGAAGAAGCAGGTTCTGCACAAAGGTATACTGAATTACATCCTGACGAATTTTCACTCTTCTAATACCCATACTACAGATAATGAGGAGCCAGACGGTAATGACAGCGATGCTTCATCTCTTTCAGATGCCCCTTCGGATATGTCGGACTGGGAGCTAGATGAGAAGGTCAGTGCCACCCTGATCTCATTCGCCGCTGTTCTAACAGATACTCTAGATTAAGAATCCACTCTTCCAATCTTCTGCACAGACGAACACAGATCCTATTGGCGACGCCTCGGAGCAGACGGCCAAAGATGTGGCCAAGAAGGCGAAGAAGACGATGGTGCAGCCCGTACGCAAAACGCCGGCACGCAAAACCCGAGCAAGCAGCTACGATGCGAGTGGTGTTCAATTTTCAGATTCCGGTTCAGAGGGCGATGACCACTCAGATTGGAAAGAAGATGAAAAGGTAAGCTGGACGATCTGATCTGGCCTCGAGAATTAGCTGGATAACAGGAATACTAGGCCAAGAAACACAAGAAGAATACGAGAAAGAGTGCCACGCCTTCTGTGCGCAAAATGGGTCAAGCAAAGAGCAAAGCCACAAACGATGGCCATGTTGCAGAACAAGCGTCGGATGACTCGGACTGGAAGGCGGATAAGAAGGTAAATGGCAAGCTACTATTTTACAGAAGAGTTCGTTGCTGACACATGTTTCTAGGCCAACAAGTCCAGGAGGATGGCGAATAAGGGTGGTGCTCCGGGATCTGTACGCAAGACTACTCGAGCAGCTAGGCAGGCCACGGTCACGAGTAGCAGCGTTGGCGGTGTTGGTGGCGGTGGAAAGCGAACTACGAGGAATTCGTGGGGAGGTTGAGTGATGTGAGATTGATGGCCTGGACTGCACGTTGTCAATTGGCATTGGACCTCCTCTGGAAATGAATCAGAGAAACATGCGATTGGGATACTTGATAGTTGATACCCTTGAGGAATTAGCGTACGATATGAGTAATGTACGATGGATGGGATGGAGCACTCAATACCCATAATATTGGTTCTTTGTCGCGTTTGTTTTCCTTGAAAATTATGCGTAGTTCGCTACTCGTACAATGCAGAATTAAAAGACCTCTATGGTTGTTGGAAATGCAAGCCCATCGTACATCCATATGCCCTCTTCCCCCGACGCAAACGCATAAGCCAGAAAACTTATTCAACCTTTCTTCCCCCTCCCACCCCTTTCCATATTTTATATTTACACACACACGTAATCAAAACACAGTACCACACGCCCATACATCAATACACAGATTTACCATCCCCACCCTTTCCCACGCCTTCCACTAATTTCCCTCCATCAACCCCTCTACGACCAGCGAATCTTCATCTTCCACTCGTCCACCTTGGCCTGCCACCACGTCTTCCCCGGCGCCCGCTCAATTTCCTCCATCAGCCGCTCATAATGCTCCGGATTACTCTTGGGCTTCAGCACATCAGCCGACAGCGGGTACTTGGCCGTATACCGATTCTCCAGCAGCGAGAAGAGGGCGTTGATCTGCGCCGTTTCCTGCGCTGGTGTCGTCGTCGGGAGTGAGGCAGAGGGTTGCGGAGATGGTGTTGTTGCTGGTGTGGACGAGGGGGAGGGGGCCGATGGGGGCGCGACGCCGTAGGGTTTTGCGCGGTGGGCGATTGCGGTTGTGAAGGGGAGGTTTGGGCGGAGGGCGTCTTTGGGCCAGAGGGAGAGGAGGCGGGTGTATTGTGTTGCTATTGTCTGATGGCTGGTTAGATATGTTTGCGGTTGTAGGTAGGTTTTTTTTTCTGCGGGGGGCGAAACTTACGGTGGTGGACATGGTGTGTGTTTGCGATGCGTACGGCGAATTGTACTTTTTTGTTTTTATTATCTTGGGGTGATGAGGCTGGAAAGAGATTGGTTTGTGGTGTGAAACTGGTTTTGCAAAGTGGTAATGGTAGATAAAGATTGACGAAGTGAGGTTAAGAGATTGGATCAATTGGGCGACTAGCTTTATCGATAGCAGGTTCACGCGAAGATGAAAATAGATGACAATGGAGCGGCAACGACGACGACGACGATGGATGATGTTGTTAGTGGCCCCATCCGGACTAGCGGCGATGCCCTGCCTGTGGCGCATGCATGATGCGTCGTGCATGAATGATTCGTCCGGACTTTCGTCTGCCTGCTTTGCCCACGAGTTGCAGCTATCACTCGCCGTGTGTCAGTCATAATCAATCTGCCCGGCCCTGTGCTGCTCTGTGCCCAGAAGCTTCTCAGCAGCATCATTCCCGACTCGTGGTGGCTGTGCGTTCTTCTTCCGTCTTTCCCTTCCTGCCTTCCGCCGTGAAACGCTACGTGAAGGAACCAGCCCAGCTCCCCCATGCATTTCAAAGCGAGCCAGCCAGCCCAGCGCCAACCCCATCTCACCACCTGACTAACCCACCGACTGACCTGACCCGACTGACTTACTCCCCGGAACCTTCTAACCACTTCACACCGTTCGCACTCCACTCCACATCCCTCACCTCACCTCACGCCCGCCTGCCTGCGCCGATCCTCTCGTTTTCCATACACCTTTTCTCTTGTCTCTTCCTTTTAGCGCGCTTCTCCTTCACTTCTTGCAGCCTTCCCACCACAATGCCAGCACAGCGTTACGAGCGGGTACGTATTCTCTCCTACATGCACCCGCTAGCCGCCCCCAGCCCATAAGGCGAAGGACGGACGAACAGCCACCGTCGCCGTCTCTTGACCCAGGGGCATAACAACACCCGCTTCGCTTCGTCCACGATATACATTCCACAGCAACTAACCATGCGATACACACAGATAGCAGGAAACGACGACGAAGACACCACATCGCCCTCCTCTCCTCAAGCGCCCTACCCCATCCCCACCTCGCCACCTCCCTCCTTCCACAGTCGCGCCTCATCACCCTCGGGCGGCGCATCACGCCGCCTCCTCTCCGACGACCCTCTCACAACCGACGCTGATCGTACTCTTGCCGACACATTCGATGCCGAGTCCGACAGCGATGATGAAGAAACCGTCGATGACAGGCAACGACTGATGCGGGGGAATCCTGAGGATGCACAGAGTAATGAAGAGGACGACGAGGATATGTACAGAGGCGGTTTGCCACGGAGAGATACCCAGCTACCGACTTTCACACCCCAGGCACCGAGTGGCAGAGTGGTAGGAGGTGGTCAAAACGACGGCGTTTTCGCAAATCTCAGTGCGAAGCCGACAAGGGGGGAGGATGCGGAGGAGAAGCCTCCTGTACGTGACATTAATTCCATAGCTGGCACAAGAAAAGAGGGTCGAGAAACTAACATGGTAACAGACATACGAACAAGCCGCAGCGGATGCTGCACCACCGTACTGGGAAACAACAATTCTCGCGCCCGGCGCTTTCGGAGACGAAGTCTTTGTTGAAGGTCTCCCCGTGGGCTCCGTCTTCTCTTTCGTCTGGAACGCCATGATCTCCATGTCATTCCAATTTGTCGGCTTCCTCCTCACCTACCTCCTCCACACCACCCACGCCGCAAAGAACGGGTCCCGCGCCGGCCTCGGAATTACACTCGTCCAATGGGGCTTCACAATGAAGAGCGCCGCCTCTTCCCCGACCAACGATAATCCCACCACCGTTTTCGACGGTGGCGCAGTCCCTAGTGATCCTAACGCCCACGACTTCGACCCCAATTCTGTATCGAGCTCTGGCGGTTCGGACTTGACGCCTGTCAACTCGGGCATCAGCACCAGTGATTGGGTTGCGTATGCGCTTATGATTGTGGGCTGGTTCATTCTTATCAAGAGCGTGTCGGATTTCATCCGTGCGCGGAGACATGAGCAGCTTGTTTTGCAGTCGCCGGATCGTGGGCTGGGTGTTGCTGTTGTGGCTGAGGGTGAGAGCCCGGAGAGGAGTGTCTAGTCTTTTTTTTTTCTTGTTTTTCATGTCATGGGGGTTTTGGTGTTGAACTTGAACTTGAACTTGAACGGTCCTTTTGAACTATCTTCTTCTCTTTTGTCCTATCTACACTACGGACTGTGTCGCCGCTGTTTCCTTTCCCCCTCTCTTGCGAGTTTTCGGATCAAAGAGCGTATACTACTAGCTGTTTTCTATCATGAAGTTTGATCGTGAAAAAAAAAAAATCAAGACGTATCGTCCGGGGGTCATTGTGGCCCTTCGCTCCTTCACTTTCTCTACTCTTTGATTTTCTCTGGTGACTGTGATGACTTATATTCACTTATATATTCGTGTGTATTGAAGTATATAGACGGGTACCGAAATTCTTGATTGTTTTTGATATGCCTCTTTACAGGGCTCTGGAGTGAGAAAGGAGATGCCAATATAAACCTCGGGTCCATAGGCAAACTACAACGAGCTTCCTTCCTCCAGGGCAATAGACAAGGTACCGAAAGGATAAATCGCTTCTTTTGTGAAGTAAAGACAGTAGAGAGTACCGAAAGGGGCGCACTGGCAACGCTGCAAAGAACTGTAAGGATATCTAAACCCCTGCTTGAAGACTTGCCAAATGAGATAAAAGTGAAAGTGAAAGTGAAAGTGAAAGTGAAAAGAAGATAATAAAACATCTAAAGCTACTGACAAGTTGACTTTTTTTTGAGCCGATCTCTCGTTGAGAACCTTTTTTGTGATTGCGTGAAGGGGGCAGTCTTTTTTGCACGGCTTTTATATCCCTTTTGTGTAGACAAGGACCAACACTACCAACCTTACAAAACAAGAAAAATCAAGGACTGCAGTAAGATCATTCATCATCAGAGAGATCGCTCTCAGCTTTCCTCTTGACACCCGCAGTGAAGGAGCTCGTCCGTTTCAGTATCGATTTTGGCTGTGGTGCTGCTCGGTGGTTGGGCCCAATGTTCAACGAGAATGGCTCTCGGAGGGCGGGAAGCTCTATCATTCTCGGGATCTCGGTGGGGTTCAAGCCAGATCCATTATATTCATGCGAGAACCAGCAGTCGTCTCTGTAGTGGCATGTGCCAGTTCTTGCAAAGAGGGGACAGGGTGTCTTACTCCTGCCGCGACGGCTGCTGTCTGGCTGGGTTTTGTGGTGCACAGTTTCCACTTTTCCTCCGTGCGATAGCAGTATCAAAGCTGAGTGGATCGAATGGATCTCTTGTAGCCACCGCCCGGTTTCCAAGAGAAAAGCTATGTCTTCTTGCAGTATATCGTTCGCAGGGCCCGGTACCAGCCTCTCGACTGACTCCACGAGCGATTCCAATTCCTTCTCCCTCTTGAATGCTAAACGGGCCGTCTTGTTGTGCATTTTGTGGATAATAAATGTTTTGTGTTGTTGAGGCCCGGGATCCTCCCTAACCTCAAATACAAAATCATTGTGTCGCATAATGCGGTCCATCATATGCTTATGCATCTTCGTTGTCTCCGACCCAGGAAACTTTATTGTCTCCTGGAAGCGTCCTACGGCTTGCTGTGGATGGATCAGGAACGCGTCTACTGCCGCGCAAAGCGAGCAACCGCAAGACAACCCATATCTGTTACCCGACTTTTTTTGTTTTTTGTTTAATTTGTTACCCGAGTAACACAAGTTGTCTTGGGGTAAGGGTTGATTCTTTTGGACCATTACCGAGGCAAGCATGCGGAGCGAACTGGACATGAAAGCTCGAGCAATGCAGCGAAAGTCGTGGGCGCAACAGCGCTCTTTTAAAAGGGAAGCGAATATCGCGATGAAGGAGACAAGCCCTATCCATTTCCCTGCGGGGGGAGAGTTGACGGGGCGCAGGGAGTAACGGAGTAAAACAAGAGCCTCGAAATGGCATTCCAGGACCAGTGCGTGATCGAGGACATCAAGGTAGCTTAAGCAGTAAATTGAAGATTTGTCGAGAGCAAAAGCAAGATCATCATCTGAGTCAAAATCTTTCGCTTCGAGTACAAATGCACGAGGGACAGCCTGTAAAAGCTTTTGAAAGATTTGCTTGCCAATGTTATCCCGAAATATAGGGTGCCGCGTCGACTCAGTGCCGACATCGCAGAGGAGCTTAGCGAGAGCGTGACGGTTGGGGTAGTCGCAGAGTATCGGGATGATGCTGATGTAGTGAGCAATTGATCAAAAAAAACAGAGATTGTGTTGGGAGTGTCTGAGAAGGGCATGACTTACTTTTCATGGAAAAGTTTGGGATCTGTTCTACCCGCAAGCTTCATCAGTGCTGGGACGTCACCAGTCACGTCGTAAGCCCTAATTTCCTTACAATGCTCTACCAACCATGTCGTCTTCCACTTCTCAAATGTGGTAGCAGTTTCCGAGCCGAGCTGGGCTCCGACAAGCTCAAACACTCCACACGTCACTCAGATACTTGAAATTAATAGTCTGGGGGGGTTTGACTAGCCTATACGGGTATTAGTTAGCACCGAGCAAACGTCATGGATCTGACGGCGACATACCACCAGTCCCAAGTGTCAGCATTGTTTCCAGTAACAGCTTGTTTAACAACTTGAGTAGCAACAAGTTGCGCTACTCCAGGAAATGAAACCCAGTCAGCAACTCCATGTAAAGCTTGGCGAATTAAGGAGCTTCTTCTGGTAGCCCGGCAAAATCCTGCGACCCAGTTGAATACTATTTCATATGCCACCGGCGTTTCGGGCGATATTGTGAACATGGATCTGCTCGGAGATTCTCTTTCGTGATCGCCAGAGAGTTCGATGAAGGATCGTAGTGATTGTTTGAGAACGAAAAGTAAAACGTTCTCGGGAACCCTCGCTGATGTCTCACGTGGTTCAGTCGTTTCAAGGTCGCGAAAGAGCTCGAATAAGGCTAGGAGTGAAGCCGCGCGGCAGGTTGAAGGCCCACAGGACTTACTGGCGATTGTTGCTTTTCGACAGAGAATGAGTACCTAGAATGAGTCAGCATGTGTAGCTTGCTTTGACAAGAGTAAAGGGGGACCGAACCCTATCTTCATAACGGGAAGCCAAAGATCTTCCTTTTCTGCCTTTGCTGTCGGATTCTGAATCGTTACTGTCGGGTCCTGAATCTTCACTGTCCGCGTCTCTGTCACCATATAGATCATCCCAGAGGATCTCCTCTTCACGAACGTCTGAAAGATCAAAGCTGACATGCCTCCCGAAACATGTACGAATTGAGCTCAACGAAGGGCTCTCATCCTCGGTGTCGGTTTCATCATCATCTTGTGTAGTTTTTCTTACTTTGGTCATCTTACCGAGAAAACAAAACACCCCATTCTTCGCGCAAATACTATGAATGCATGGGGCTCTTGCCGCCGCATAATCACTCTCCAAAATGTTCAGACCATGACACAAGTATTCCTAACCATATTCAAGGGGAAATATGAGTTTTTCGATGTCGTCAAACTCTTGATTCCAGATACGAAGCAATTCTCCCAGTCTCGTGTGGGTTTTCGTAAGCATGGAGGCGGCCTGTCTGGGCATCCTCTGGTCTTGCAGAAGATGGTACGTCAAAACCAAACGATTGCCTGAATTAACAAGATCCATTTCATGACTTACGTCGGAATACCAGGCCAGAGCGGAGATACTGTGCGATGAATACTGCTCAGTGTCAAGGGACACCATCTCTTTATCATGCGTGAGATGTACCCTGCCACCACGACAATCTGAAGGCAGAAAAAGTACCAGCGTTCCGAACATACCGGGTTGTTTTTCGCCATCTTCGTGGGGCATATAGGAGGCCCCTTCCCGGTATAAAGATAACCCGTACTTCTTCAGGCGTACCGGTCCTTTCGCGCCAAGTTGATCCATACATTGTTCGACGATTTGTTGCAGATAGCTGGACCAGGAGGGGTTACGGCATTCAAAACTTCCATAGTCCAGCTCCCAGGTTCCCTTGGGAGAAGATTTACTTGTAGGTTTGATGGCAGTATCGGATCCCTCGCAGACGCCCATGAAAGCTTCCGCATCGTGGTCTGTGAGCGGTAAGCTGATTGGCCCATGGTCGGTAATGTATAGGCCTGGGTCTGCGTAGTCGGGAGAGTTCTGGAAGCCGTAAAAATTGCCTCGGAATTGAGCGTGTTCCAGGCAGTCTGCCAGCTGCTCTCTGAAGTCATCGACATGTATACTTGTGTACTTTGATCCATCGTAGTAAGGTTTCTTAGTCATGGGAATCTGTTTGTTCATGTCTGAACCGCCCGCCGTAGGATTTTGTCCATCTGAATCTGAATCCGTCGTCTCGTCACTACTGATTACATCTGGGTCCGAGTGTATGGAGTGGGCATCAGTGACAACAAAGGTATTCATTGTAGACATCTCGACTCGACCCAGGAAGATCGTCTCTCATTCAGATAACTGGTCAATGGGCGTGTGTAGGGCGCCGAAAACAAATGTTGTTGAAGTTACTATGGTCGTAGGGGAAAGTTTTGTAAGCGAGCCCCACTTTGCAGGAATTATCTTTATTCTTTAAATTTTTACTTCTTCTATAAAAACAATGTAAAAAAGCTATAACTTATAAATAACAAATCTCTTTAAAGAACGGTTTTTAACTATATAATATTTTATTTTTATTGTAAAGAGAAAGATTTAAAAAAATCTGTTATTGTGACAGGGGTGTAGGACGCGCTAACAAAGCTTTCTCCTACGACCATATTAAGTTGGATGTGAGAGAAGGCGAGGGGGGACTATTTGAACTACTTCGAGTGCTGGGTGTATCACGTGACAAAGGAAATATGAATCAACATGGAATTGATCGGCACCGAACACGAAAAAGCAATTATGATTCTATCAGCATCTGAGAGCGTTTACATCTCTCCATTTTACCCCTCGAAAAGGTCCCAATCCCTAATCTCGAAGCTGCCCAATACCTTTTCCCTCACTATATCAGCGTCCTTCATCAGCTTCGTCGGATCGCCTTCTTTTTCCGCCTTCTCGTACTCGCCCGGGTAGTGCGGCGAGTTGATTGTGATTAGAATATCGGTCCCCTGCTCCTTGAGACGAAGGAGAAGTAGGTGGATGGCGATGAAGTCGGGACTTTTGCGCGATGGGTTATCGGGTGGCGAGGGGGTCTGAATGAAGGTTAAGGTGTGGATTGGAGTTGTTCTGGGAAATCATTGTTAGTACAAATGGATTGAATGAAGGTTGTGGATGATGGTAATGGAGAGGAAAGTAGGGTGCTGCATGTGAATGAATGCCTTATAGCAAGACATGCGCATCCACAACACAACCGAGCCATCATCCTCATATTGTTTTCTCTTCTTCCCCATTTGAATCGTCCACCGACAGGATGGCAATATCATGACAACAACTTACGGCAACTTCGCCATGGTAGCGCGTCCTTGGTTCAAAAGGTTCGTAGCGTCTCCCGTACCATCGACCAGGTCGGTGAAATGGTACTGCAGCGCCTCTTCATCGGGCTTGTCGACGTACTCCAGGATTTCGAAGATGGCGCCTGAGTAGCCGTTGATGTCAAGAAAGACTTCTTGATGGTCGGGGACTTGGCGGATTTGACTAAAGCGGGTGTGTTAGTCGGGGTTGGTTATATGCATATTGCGGTGATGCTCCCATGCTTCATTCGTGTCTTGTGTCTGGAAAGCAGAGAGAATCTAGATTGATGTTTCGATTTACTTGCCTGGTGTCGCCAAATGCAGAGGGAAGGTCCACGGCGATGGCGCCTCCGAAGAGTGGGGTTTTCTTAAATTCCATTATTTTCGAGGGAGATTTTCTCTGGGTATGCTAGAGCAGAAGATGTAGACGATTGCGTTTTGTGGAATAGGTAGTCGTTTGTTGGGGCATCACATTACTTTTTATATGCTGTGTGTCTGGTTTGGCTGTTTGATGTGGTGGAGTTGTTACTTTTTTCGTCTTTAGGTAGCGGTTAGGCAGGCTCAGGCACCAAACAACAACGGGTGCCTAGCCCTTGTTCACAACTTGCAACCAGCATCAATTACTACGAATGAATCATTTGAATTTGCGATGCAAGTAGAACTGTACGGGGATTGTATTTCTAAGCAAGCTAGATTTTTATTTGTTTTTGGGTGCCTGTTTGGGGGTATCATTTTGAGCCTAACGGCCGTCTATTTGTCCAACCGATTTTTTTTCCTTCCAAAACTCCAGCAATGCATTCGCAATGTTCGCAAAACCGATCAAGTGTGTAGGCATACAAAGAGCCGGATGGTTTCATGCCTATGGCAGCCCACTCATGTCATAGATGAATCATTTGGCATGTATACTCAGTTGTGCCCATTTTGGTGGTGCCGGTTGCGCGCCCACCATACTCTCTTGACTCCAACGTCAAGCTCAACCCTCAACTTGAACCGGTTTTGCGCCCTCATCTACATCCATAGCGGCTGTGGTCCTTGTGCCATTGTCTGTCCTCAAGCCCGCGGCAGCTTCTGCCTCCTTTTGCGAGTAAGGTTCGTCACGGAGCTGCTTCACTCTGTCGAGTTGTCAGTAACATGGACACCAAAAGCGCACGAAAAGAGACATGATGCACTTACCTCCGCTTGTGCACCTTCCCTTTGTGGTGGGCGAGAAAATTTGTTTCGCTCTCAAACCATTTTGCGCATTCCTTGCAGTACCATTGTCCTAGACCAGGCAGGTCTTCGGCAGCCTTTGATTCTGTGTGCTTGGCAAGGTGCTTCTCGTCTCGCAGGTCGGCGTGGATCTGGTCGAGGTCGCGAGTGTGACGGCGCGTCTTCTTTTTGGACTTGTCGCCGCGTATGGCTGGCATGGCGGCAAGAACAGAGGGTTTTTGAGAAGGGTGGGTGTTTGCGGGATGTCGATATGGATTGTGGGTAGGGTTCGGCCGCGGATACGGCAGTTGACAGTGAATTGAGGAAATGGAGATGTTACGAAGGAGGTGATTCGTGAATTGGGCTAGGCGGCGGATGATCCGGGGACGTGCGGCGTGGACAGGGCACTTTGGCGAGGTCTGCAGGTCAGAGAATTTTTCCCTCTGTTATTCTGGGCTCCGTGGGGCTTGGCGCAGATGGAGATGATACGTAGTGTACCAATGATGAGCAGCTGTCGAGCGTTGTTTGTTGAGGTGCAATTGATTCGGACATCTGGAGTCATGTTGTTGCAGCTGTCCTTGTGTGGGAGGGCAAGCTGCCCCGCGGCTGGCTGTTGCAAGAGTCGATCCCAGTGTCTGCGCGTTATCTGCTACCAATGAGGCCGCTGGGGGAGCTCTCCCACAAGGCACGAGGCGCGCGGGGGGACATGCGTGTGACGCCATAGTTGCGCAGCGGTAATCAGCACTGCACGAAGATAGCGAAGACGCTGCTTCTACTTGCCCGGGGGAGCGCATTCGGCGGCTGAAGAAGCGCGACACGACGACGAGTGGACAGAGTCAATACTGGCAATAATAACAATAATAAACAACAGTCACAGAGATATCAACACGGAGTCGGTGTCCTATCCAGTCGCACGCACGTGAAACAAGCTTAGCGGGCGACGGGAACTTTCACCCGCGGGAAGCTCTGCTCTGGCAACAGGGCCGAGGTTGCAGCTAACCTGGCCGAAGCCCGCTGCAGCCAATCACCGCCGCCCATTTCCAAATTAATCAGCCCTCAAGGGCAGGATTTACCTCAGCGCTCCAGGGCTTCAAATCCCAAACCATCTCCTCTACACTCCACTCCATCCTCCCCCATCCCATCCAGCCCACCATGCAGAAGTTCGCGAGGCTGGGCCGCCTCGGCCAGAACCTCGTCCAGAGGAGGCAATTGGCTACCATCAGTGATGCTCCCCTCTCCAAGAAGGTCGAAATGACAAACTGGGAGAAGGGCCACTTCATCAACTACCAGAAGATGAGCGAGAACTTGGGCATCGTGCGCAACCGATTGAACCGCCCGCTCACCTTCGCCGAGAAGATTCTCTACTCTCACTTGGACGACCCCCACAACCAGGACATTGAGCGTGGCTCCAGCTACCTCAAGCTCCGCCCCGACCGTGTGGCCTGCCAGGATGCCACCGCTCAGATGGCCATCCTGCAGTTCATGTCGGCTGGCATGCCCTCTGTCGCTACCCCGACCACCGTCCACTGTGACCACTTGATTGAGGCCCAGGTTGGCGGTGAGAAGGATTTGGCCCGCGCCAACGACATCAACAAGGAGGTCTACGACTTCCTGTCCACTTCTTGCGCCAAGTACAACATCGGTTTCTGGAGACCCGGCTCTGGTATCATTCACCAGATCGTTCTCGAGAACTACGCTTTCCCCGGTGCTCTGTTGATCGGAACCGACTCTCACACACCAAACGCCGGTGGCCTGGGAATGGCTGCCATTGGTACGTTTGCCTCTTCTTTTCTGCCATGCTTCACATCATTTTGCTAACATGTAGCGCAGGTGTTGGAGGTGCTGACGCTGTCGATGTCATGGCTGGTCTTCCTTGGGAGTTGAAGGCGCCCAAGGTCATTGGTGTCAAGCTCACTGGCGAGCTCTCTGGCTGGACTGCTCCTAAGGGTACGTGATCCAATTCTCTGGGGGTTCAACGTATTGTAGGATCGTTGGACTCTATATGCGAGAAACCCTCAATTCCAATTGCAGCGCTAACTGTGCTTTCAGATATCATCCTCAAGGTAGCCGGTCTTCTCACAGTCAAGGGTGGAACTGGTGCTATTGTTGGTATGTATATTCATCCGAAGCACATCAGGATACCTTGCGGGGTACCCTTTGAGGCCTCGGACAGTGCACGCTAGTTTACCTGGCTAAATTTGCTGACCTTTATTTCCAGAGTACCACGGCCCGGGCACTAACACCCTATCGGCTACCGGTATGGCTACCATTTGTAACATGTAAGCGAGTCCTCCAGTATGCGTGAGAAGAAAAATCCGCATATGTAACACTGGATCATGACAATGACTAAAGTATGTAGGGGAGCTGAAATCGGTGCGACCACCTCGCTTTTCCCATTCAACGATCGCATGTACGATTATCTCAAGGCCACCAAGCGTCAAGCCATCGGTGATTTCTCCCGCGAGTACGCCGCCGAGCTTCACGAGGATGAGGGCGCCGAATACGACCAGCTCATCGAGATCAACCTTTCAGAACTCGAGCCTCATATCAACGGCCCTTTCACTCCAGACCTAGCGACCCCTATCTCCAAATTTAAGGAGGCTGTCAAGGCGAACAAGTGGCCGGAAGAGCTCAAGGTTGGTCTGATCGGCTCGTGCACCAACTCCTCTTATGAGGACATGACCCGCTCCGCCTCCATCGCCAGGGATGCTCTCGATCATGGTATCAAAGCGAAATCTCTATTCACAATCACACCAGGATCCGAACAAATCCGGGCTACTACCGAGCGAGAGTAAGTGAAAACATGCATATATCACTGTCTCCAGTCTTCCCAAATTTTCCCAGTTTCCCATCCGTTTTCATCTCATCTTTTGCGAAATTCTGGTCGTGGATCATGCATCCAGACATATTCTATTGGATCATGTGCTGATACTCTTGTGTGCAGTGGGCTCCTCCAGACTTTCGAAGAGTTCGGAGGTATGGTTCTTGCGAACGCCTGCGGACCCTGCATCGGTCAATGGGATCGTCGCGATGTCAAGAAAGGCGAACCCAATTCGATCATCTCATCCTACAACCGTAACTTCACTGGACGTAACGACGCTAACCCCGCTACCCACTCGTTTGTCACGTCGCCCGATCTTGTCGTTGCTATGACCATCGCCGGTACTCTCAACTTTAATCCTTTGGAAGATACGTTGTTAGATAAGGATGGCAAGGAGTTCAAGCTCAAGCCCCCATCTGGTCTTGGTCTCCCCACCAAAGGTTACGACGCTGGCCAGAACACCTACCAAGCTCCTCCCGAGGACCGCGCTTCCGTTAACGTCGCTGTGTCCCCTACCTCCGACCGCCTTCAAATCCTTGAGCCATTCAACGCTTGGGACGGAAAGGATGCGAAGGACTTGCCCATCTTGATCAAGACCCAGGGCAAGACCACCACTGACCATATCTCCATGGCTGGTCCTTGGTTGAAGTACCGTGGCCATCTCGACAACATCTCCAACAACATGCTTATCGGCGCCATCAACGCTGAGAACGGCGAGGCCAACAAGATCAAGAACAACTTGACTGGTGGATACGATGCTGTCCCCGCTGTCGCCCGTGACTACAAGAAGAATGGTATCCGATGGGTCGTCGTTGGTGACTGGAACTACGGAGAGGGATCTTCCCGTGAGCACGCTGCTCTCGAGCCCCGTCATCTCGGAGGTCTTGCCATCATCACCCGTTCATTCGCTCGTATCCACGAGACCAACTTGAAGAAGCAGGGTATGCTTCCCTTGACCTTCATCAAGCCTGAGGACTACGACAAGATCGGCCCCAACGACACTGTTGACCTCCTTTGCACCGAGCTTGCTGTTGGCCAGCCCATGACCCTCGTCGTCAAGCCCGCTGATGGAAGCAAGTCCTTCGACATCAAGCTTGCGCACACCTTCAACGAGGGCCAGATCGAATGGTTCAAGAACGGTAGCGCTCTCAACACCATGGCCAAGAAGAACTAAAGTCAAAGCAAATGAGCATACGAGGCAATCATCACTGGGGATGTAAATATAGAGGGGGTATGCCACCCAGCATACGACGGACTGAGGAAAACAAGACTGGGGAGGAATTTGGACTGGGACTTTGCTCCATGCAGCACGGCTGAGCTTTCCTTTGATATCATCCGGGCTCAATGAGGTTGGGTCTGGCGTGTATTTTTTATGGTGTTTAGCATGCAATGTTTTGATTCTTTTTCCACGCTTGAAAGATCCGTGCGATCAACTGTCAGAGTGATTTGAGAATCCGTGACTTCGTTTTACTTGGTAGATTCGTCTGGTGCTTGAATGATTGGACTCAAAACTTTCTCGATTGATTGTAGTACACCTGGATGCTGTGTATAGTCCAGCTTCCACCACCTGTTGGCTAGTTATACAATTCTCGCTGCCCTTATATAAAAATTTTAGTTTACATTACATAAGAATTTTACTATAGGCAGTATTATAATAGAATTAATTGTAGTACACTTAGATGCTATGTATAGTCTAGCTTTTACTACTTGTTAGCTTATTATACAATTCTTGCTGCCCTAATGTACAATTTTTAGTTCACGTCGCATGAAAATTCTACTGTAGGCAGTGTCGCAACGGCTTCGGCAGCCTCCAAACGATTGCGATCCGCAGCACGTGATCCCGCACTAACGAGCGTTGCCCCGCAACCGCCCAATCAACAAACATCTTTAAGCGGAGGTGTTGCATCACCCATCTACTACCTAGAAATATATTCTTGAGCACCCGCGCAAACATCTCTACTACTTTACACACCGCCGCAATGGCTCGCCTACGTAACCCAAGCACTGCGCAAGCACCTATAACATTTCCTCCGCCCAATAGCGCTACGCGATCGAGCCCACGTAAAGCAGCAGCCAGCGAGTCACCCTCAAAGCGAGAACTCCGATACACATCTCTGGATTCCGAAGAATCATTCCTCGTGCCAAAGAACAAGACAGATGGAGAGACCTCACCGGTCAGAAAACAACGTGTGCTGAGACCGGTCGCGAGCAACAGCCGGCTGCTGAGGAAATTGAGCGATGATAGCTTGGCTGCGACGCCAGACAGACGCGAACGGAGGGGTCGAGAGAGTGGGCTGGGGAGAGAATCCGGAAGCTCCTTGTCATACTCCAAGCTACTGGCAAAGAGTATGGCTAAAAAGCAACAATCGAAGAAGCTGGATATGGGCATGTCGTTTGAAGCGAGCATAATGGGCTCGCAAATCTTCGAGCAGCACACTATTGTGGACGAGGGAGATTTGGAGAAGAGTATTCTCTGCGACGAGGCGGAAGCAGTCGGAGCAAACAAGGAGAACATGGCAATATATGTCGATGAGGAAGAGGAGGACGATGACGAGCCCGTGGTGGATGTGAGACGTAGGCGCCAACAGCCACCCAAAGCTCGGCGCGTCGTGTGCGATTCCGATGAAGAATCAGACCCAGAAGAGATTCCTTCCCGCCCAATACCCCAAAACGCCCCTTCACGAGAGCTGTCACATGAAACCGAGAACGAGATGCCTCCTCCACTATCCTCAATGAGACCCCCTTTTCAGAAGGGCCGCAACCAAATCTCGAACTGGGCGCAGGAAGTTATCGACCTGACAGGCTCGCCTGAGCCATCCTTTGCCCTACCCCCTCCAGTGCGGATGCGTTCTGCTTCCATGGCCGCCTCCTCGCGGCCAGCTACCTCTGAGTCAGGTGACGTTGGCGCGATCCTTCACTTGTAAGTACAAAGACTGGGTAAATCAGCGAATATGAAGTGTACGAAGGCAAGCTATGGTCGGCTATCAGCATGTTAAAACTCTGCACTACATGGTTCTCTATGCGATGACTTTGTACCCAGGGTATATTGGTCGTCGAGATGTTTCTTCATTCATGCTGACTGAATTTTCCAATCTAGTTCACCCACTCCTACCAAGCAACGGTCTCCTCGCAAAGCTCCACCAGTCTCTCGCCCAAGTACGCCCCCAGGGCCCCCAAGTCCTTCCAAACTCGTATCGCCATCCAAGAAAGCTCCTATACCTAAAGCGCCCAATCTCCGACCTAGCCTTGATGCATTTTGGGATCCCGCAGTTGTGAATGACTGGGTCGATAAGCACTCGCCTTCAAAACCACTGCTTTCGCCCAGGAAACAGAACCTCTTCAAGGAGCTGGAGAGACAGATGGGCTCAATTGATATCTCCGAAACCGATAGTGATGAATCACCTGCCTCGCCAACAATATCACCGCGAAAGAAGGCACCGAGTCCAGTGAAGAAGGTCAAGGCAAACCATGATACTTCCACGCCAGATCCGGCAGTTCTACGTGCACAGCGCAAAGATTTCGCAGCGCGGAAACACGCCATGGCAGAGGAATTTATGGTGGAACTTGACAACACCATCACAGGCGGCCGGATAGCCTCACTGTCTCAATCCACTGGCGGCATCAAACTCATCTGGTCTCGAACCCTTAAAACAACCGCAGGTCGTGCGAACTGGCGCCGCGAGCAAATCCGCTGCCGCACTGGCGCCGCACCTTCCGATTTCAAGGTTGAAATTCGCCATCACTGCTCTATTGAGCTCGCGGAAAAGGTCATAGATGAGCCGGAACGCCTATATAATGTCCTCGCGCACGAGTATTGCCACCTCACCACCTTCATGATCAGCGAGGTCCGCAATAACCCGCACGGCGCTGAGTTCAAGGCCTGGGGTGCGAAGGTGACTTCCGCGTTTGGACAGGCTAGAAACGTGCACGTCACCACCAAGCACAGCTACAAAATCGAGTACAAGTACGTTTGGGAATGCATTTCCTGCGGATACGAGTTCAAACGCCACTCCAAATCTGTTGATCCAGTGCGGCACTCGTGTGGTCGCTGCAAGGGGAAGTTGCTGCAGACCAAGCCTACCCCTAGGACGCCTGCTGCGAACAAGAACACTGGGGAGGGTGGCGCCAAGAGCGAGTATCAGGTCTTTGTCAAGACGCATTTTGCACGCGTGAAGAAGGACATGGCGGAGCGGGGTGAGGATACGCAGATGGGCAAGGTGATGGAACATGTTGCAAGAGAGTACCGAGAGCACAAGGCGAAGAGGGATGAGATAAAGAGGCTTGAATCAAAGGTGGAAGTAAGTGTACAAGTTGATGAGGTTGAGGCTGCGTTGGATGGGTTGAAAATTTGAGTGGGTGTTGAAGAATTGTTTGTTTAGCTCTTTCTATTGCATTGGCATGTCATGAATTGAAGATTTTGCTTTTCTTGTTTACTGGCTCCCGTTTAGTTAGTTTGTGTCACGCGTGTTGTTGATTGACTATCCCGACTATTCTAACGCCATCAACTCTACGCTGCAGAGCTAATTGTAGTACATGTTTATTATAAGCACGAGTTTGTTCGTCTTCCATGTTAACTTTTCGTGTTCTAAGAGCTGTCATACACATTGTCAATCTAAGTTTATTGCAGTTGATTGATTTTATATATGTGCAAAGCACATCGAACTGCATTTTTGGGTACGAAAAGATGCATTACATGATACTTTATATTTAATACCTTACCAATGTTTGGTCTTTCAGGATACACTATCTATGTTCTTTATTTACAAAGTTTTAGTTTGATAGACGATCAAGTTACAATGTACATTTTACTGTTATGTATTAGCATCTTGCGTGGAAGCATGTTTCGATAATCTATTCATTCGCTGTCAGTTGGCAGGATGTATGGATGCATACTTGAGAGTTAGAATTGATACTGAATATCTCCGGAATCGAAGTTAGATTGTACGTATTATCGGAAGACACAATGCAAGGGAAGAGGTTTTAACGAAAGGAATAGGGTAGTACACCACTGTATATACAAGTATTAAGTATCCCCCAACGAGAATATCAACATGAACAACAAAGATCAAACCTCCAATGTTACCCTTCTCCAGATATACAAACTCGCAACCATCTTTTTACGCATTCCCACCCGCATTCCCTTCGCTGCAATACATGTTTCAATATCTTATATACACAATGTTCACAGTATCCTCCCAGATATCCCCTCCAAATTCAAACAGCTCTCAACGTTCAATTATCACTTAAGCCCTTGTACCATTATTAGCAGCCTTGACGAAATCATTCATCATCTTCGAAATCGGCGCCTGACCACCCCAAGCCATAAGCTCAGCCATACGGTTCACCTCCCTCATAGTAAGGTACACCGACCCAGCAGGCGCATTCTCAGAATCGGCAGGGGGAGCTTGGCGACGTTGAGGCCTGTTCTCGCCGGCAGCAGGAGCGGCGGCAGCGGGCTCGGCAGCAGCGGGTGCGGTGCCGTTACGGCCAGCTTCGGGACCGCCAGCGGGGGCTGCTTCCATGGGGGGAGCAGCGGCTTTTGCGCCCTCGGGAGTAGCGGGAGCGGCGGGAGCTTCACCTTGAGGACGAGCTGGCTCAGCCCCGGCGGCGGGAGGAGGAGCTTGGCCTTGAGCGGCTGGTGCGGCGCCCTGGGGTGGAGCCTGACCTTGAGCTTGAGGAGAAGGAGGAGCTTGTCCTTGGGCGCTTGGCTGTTGGGGAGCTTGTGCTTGAGCTTGGGGAGCGCCGGTTTGCATGGTTAGAATATACTCGCCGTCGACTTGGGAGACTGGGAATGCCACGCGCATGTTGACAGTGTCGAGGACGATTTGGGCTTGAACAGGGGTGAAGGTTGGAGAGAGGAGGAGGGTTTGCGCTACAGGGTTGTTGTTGGTGGGTGTACCGCCGTTCTGACCAGTGGTTTGACCAGTGGTTTGCCCAGTGGTTTGCCCAGTCGTAGGATCGGTTGTCTGTCCAGTTCCAGCAGTGCCTGCGGTTCCTGCGGTTCCTGCTGTACCTGCTGTACCTGCAGTACCAGCCGCGGCTGCAGCAGCTTGACGCCTGAGCAAGTTGCGAGCACGTCGTTGAGGAGCAGTACCACCGAGTGATCCGACTGCACCTCCTGGGTTACCAAGAATGCTACGTTGAGCGACACCCAGTTGGACTTGGCCACCAGGCTGGACACCAGCAGCTTGCATCATGGTCTGGAGACGTTGGGGGTTAACTGTATCTGTCAGTCACTCTGCTAATCGACCTTGCAGTTGAATCTACTCACGAGGCATCTGAACCACAGTAACTTGGCGGTTGAGGTTAGGCTGGACACCGGCAAGATTGGTAGTGACGGAATATCTGAAGTCATCTGAAGAACTGTTAGTGGCGTGATAAAGTCGGTGGATCGGTATACATAGACTTACTGACAGACTGTTGGCCTTGTAGAGCAGCCAACATGCCAGTATCGACGCCCTTCTTAACGTTGACATTCATAGTCATTGGTTGCGTTGCTCGTATGGACATCCTGAATCCATCTTGAAACTCGTTCTCCTGGAGACCGGTACCGTTGATTTGAACTTGAGAAGCAGGATCGTTGCCAAAGGTCGTGACAAGGGTTTCGGTCTCGATGGTCTGGCGACCGAGAGCCATGTACTCTCCATCCAGCTGTTGACGCTTAACCATGCGGACTGTGCCATCCGTACTACCCCCAGATGTCAGAGAAAAATAAACGAAGATTCAGCTGCGCACTTACCCGTTGACACTTCGCATTGTTTCCTGAATCATCCATGTTTGCCTGTCTGGTGAGAGCATGGCAACATATGTGTTGTCAGGGTTGATACCGGACGCCGCGAGCATTTGGGGGTTCATGGCAAGTTCAATCTGTCCACCCACGAGGTTCTGCGCACCATTCGTATTGATGGACATGGACTGTTGCATGAGAGCCACAAAAGGTGAGCCGGTAGTTCCGGTGACTTGATTGGCAGGCACGGCAGGAGTGTTTTGATTAACTATTAACTGCTGCTGCTTTTGCGAGAACGTTTCTATCTTGGATCCATCTGGAAACTGGAAAGAGTTGATTTGCATCTATGCTATCGAGTTAGTCTACATCCTCTGCAACACATTGAGTTTTCATCTGGGTACTTACATCACCATTCAGATTAAGTACTTGATTAAATTGCGACTGCTGTGTAGCCTGCGACTGCGCCATTGCTGGCGTCAAGCTCAACAGCAAGACAAAGAAGGAAGAGACTGTTCCAGACGTCATGTTGGGATTGGGGAAAATAAAAAGCCTCCGGGGCTATAAAAAAGTAAGATTATTAGTAGAAGAGAATGAAAGAAACAACGAAAAACAAAGATTAAGAATGAATGACGACTGCGAAATCAGGCTTGCTGTGCAGAACTGTTTGATGCATCAGTGCGGAAGAGACTGTATATATACGGAAGACTGAGAGCCTGCACCTCTTGAGCTACGGCGCCACAAAGTTCCGTCAAATGCATCCGGTATCATGACTGCTTCACTGTCTAAGGAATAAACTTTCGCATCCGGGCGAGTCAAGCACTCGCATAGATGTTTTCCTGAAAAGTTCGCGAAGCCTGATCGCTCCTACAACCGGGTTAGGAAGAAGCAATGAGAGTTGATGCCAAATGTTGCGTGGGCGGCCAAAGGTGAATCCGACTTGGCACAGTCTCCATTGCGTGTAATCATCGTTTCATGCGTGATCATAATGTTTGGTTTGGCCGCATCCGATGAACGAAGCTTGTTTTGGAGATTCTGCCCTGCGACGAGTTCCTGAATGGTGAAACCGCGCTCCCACATGATCTGTGGCTTGTTTCCCTCTGGATACGCAGAACCATACCCATTAGTATCAGACTACGCTACAACAGCCAAAGCAGCGCACCTGCCAGCTAGAATATTCCAAACTTTGATTCGATTTATGGTGATGTCCTGATTTCCCTGGCGGCAAAGGTGCGGACGGCGTGCGTATGGGCCAATTCTGATGACAGTGACAGCCGCTGACTATAAAGACAGCATATTCAGCAGTACATCGCAGATAAATTTGCACCAAGACATCGACAGATATCCGCATCCTATGACATTGAAAATCGATGCGAAGAGAACATGATGGACATGCTATGAGAGTCGCACGCATGTTTCGAGGAGTGGGTTTCCGTGATCCGGCGTTCGGTGATCACCAATTGTACCAGTCTAATGGGATTGGGATTAGCGTGGCATTGCCCTCGACTATGCTCAGAAATGTTTCAATAATTCTAGAACACCACAACGAAGTGTCAAAATCTCATCCTCAGCATATCACCACCAAAACGACTACGTGCGCAGATTAGCGTTGAACCATAACGCTAAAGCTCGTGAAGAAAAGAAGTGGTTCTTTCTTCATGAGCATGTTTGGTGGGACTGAAGACACGGATGGTGAGCAGAATGAGATGGTCATTTAATGCATGTTCCCTTTCAGAAGATAGTGCGTTTCAAATTATGAAGTTCAAAATGTGGGTAGAAATGTTTTGAGCGGAACCAAGAGTCTCAAGATATCGATGAAGCAACAGGACAGTAAGCAGACCCGTAAGAAGCATTAATATGCTCACGAGTTGGAAAGAAGCACTACTTTTATCGTCTGCTACGTCGTTTCCCCCAAGAAAGAGTCAGATCACATCAAGATCTCGCCTGCAAGCAAATAAAATATTGGAGGATCGAGGAAGGAATCTCATTGGATTTGGCATGTTGGAAACACCACGAGGGCAATTAGCCCTGTTGTGGAACATATAACATTATGGAAGTAAAAATCAATGCCGCTCTAACTCTTACATGCATGCAGCTCCGTCGATGCCGATGACCTTTCCGTTTACCCAGTCACCGTCGCCCGATGCAAGGAAGCAGACCACACGAGCGATGTCGATAGGCTGGCCGACACGGTTGTGTGGTGACCAAGTGCAAGCATACTCATCGACCTGGTCGTCACTGAGCTTGTCACCTCCGGGAATGTACTCGCGGCACACGGCATGGTACATATCAGTCTTGATACCTCCAGGGGCAACAACGTTCACGGTCACCCTCTTCTCACCAGCATCTAAGTGAAGTTAGCATGTGCTGAGTTGACTCGCTTCTCTATCCAAGCATTAGACTTACCGACAGCCATACACCGAGCGAAAGTCTCGATGGCGCCCTTGGAGCCAGAATAGACAGCGTGCTTGGGAACACCCTTCGCTTGACCAGTGATGGAGCCCATGAGGATGATCCTCCCGCCAACTTCCATCCTCTTGTATGCCTCCTTAGCAACAAAGAACTGGCCACGAGTGTTGATCTGCATGACGCGGTCGTATTCCGCCTCCTCGACGTCCTTGAAGTGGCCAAAAGAAACAACACCTGAGTTTGAGCAGCAGATATCGAGCTTGCCGAAATGCCTCACGACCTCATCCATGAGTTTCTGGGTGTCCTTGACCACAGCAACGTTCGCCTTGATGGCGACGGCATCGGAACCGTTCTTGAAACCCTTGATTTGCTTGACAACCTGCTCGGCAGCTTCGGAGCTGTTGGCGTAGTTGACAGCGACCTTTGCACCGCGACGAGCGAGCTCGAGGGCCATCTCCTTTCCGATGCCGCGGCCTAGTAGGTGAGTCAGCTTATCAGCCAGGGTTTAGAATAATGTCGCTGCAACGCTCTTACCAGAACCAGTGACGACGGCGACTTTGCCCTCCAAGCTCCATGTCGGTGTCTGTGTGGATGCCATTTTGATTGCTCGGCCTGGTCTGTTGTTGTAGAGAGAGATATGTGTTTAGATGATTGAAGATGGGATGTTTGGTTTGATAGAAGGCTACAGAGTTCGTAAATGACAGCAGCTATATACAATTCTCTTCTCCGGTACAGGAACGGAGAATGGGTCTCAATCCACGGTGTGTGGACCTTTTCTTTCTCGCGCTGCTCCCCACAGCCATGCACTTCTTTGCACAGTTGTCGCACTCTGATTCTCCGTGACGGGAAGAGAGTCGGGTTCATTGCCAGTCTCATGGCTTGGTATGTCTGTACCGAGCGCTTCCCGAATAATTAGTGTCCGTAGGAGAGCCAGAGCTATGTTGAGTGCCATTTGTTACGATGGGCTTAGAATGTTCGGAGAAATGCGGGGCCGAAACTTGTCTCGCATGGAAACGAGGAAAAACAACTGGCAATAGATCATGGGTAGCCTCACCACCATCGGTGCAGTATTGTGATAGTAGCACATGGTGATCCAATTCTCGTCGCCAGGGATGTTTGGTCTGAGCAGATTCCTCTCACGGGGAGATGGTTGATGGGTGGTGCAGATGCTTGGCCAACAGCGAGCCTCGGAATACAATCGCCAGCCAGTCGAATCGCTATACAAAAGTCTGGAACCTCAAATCAAGATGGATTTCCCACCAAAAATCAGCATAGAGATGAAACACCAAGACTGGATGGCATAGGGCCCAGATTCGTGATGTCAGTATGAACAGATCATGGGATGAGAGCCAGGAGGTGCTGCGAGCCTTCTCGAACGACAACACTACTTTGCATCTCAACATGAAATGGATCCCCGATTCCAGAAACACCGTAACGTTGGGGAAGCGACGGCGTGCCCCAGGACAACCGGCAAAAGCAATCGTGGTGGCTCATACATGTGGATGTTCCCGCAAGCGTCGGCTCCGCACATCCCATTCTCTTTCCGATAAATGTGGGTCCGTGCATGTTCCCGAAGACAACCACCTACCTGGGGGACATCATGTAAGAAATTGTAAGGGTAGATTCGAGTTCGGAATTCCCCTCATACGTCCAAAGGATTTCATGTACGAAAGCCTTTTTTTTCATCAGCTGAAGGATTCGATGAGTGGGCCAGGTTGCTTTTATTGTCTTCGGAGCGATCGTAGCAATTGATTCCATCTCGGGGCTGATGAGCACAATCCCTAAATAACTGAAAGTACTCCAGGGATGAGGAGCTTTTTCTTTCTTTGTCATACTGTGTTGGAAAGACACGAGCGCATGTCGAACTTGGATCGATGTACCTGGGTATGGCCAGGACCCTCGCACACTGTAGCAGTAGCAGTGTATATCCTAGGGACTGAGCCTTTGCAACTTCCAAAAAATTTGCTCAGTCTAGCTCTTCCACCGAATAAGAGAATATTTTAGATTTCTGAGCCATTTTATTATGACGAAAAAGGGAGCTGTCAGAGTTCAGCTGTGCAACAGGTTGCATGATGTTTCGTCACCAGCTTCAGATATTAGTACATGGAAAATCCCAAAATGTCGATTGATACACACACAGACTTACAAGCAAAGATTTCACCCCGCATAGAAAGCAAAGACTGGTAGAAAGGGTATCTGGAGAGCAAGAGTTCCCTACAGATCGTCACTCCTTCCGATTCATGCTGTTAACAATGACCATGGCAATCGGAGGTAATACATTGTAAACAAGATCGTTCTGCAGCGGAATTTCAGGGTGAGATAGATATTGTCGCCTTGTGTATAACGCCGATATCGTAAAAATAACGAGATGGCTTCATATATATGATCTTTGAGCACATACCCTCCCCAGCCCCCGTCTCGTATGACTTCAAGTCGCCACGTGCGGCGCAACCATGCCAAACTAGCGTTAATGCTGCTCCCCTCAATGTCCGTAGGAAAATCCGTTTGGCTGACTGTTCTGTGAAATAAACTTGGAGAGCAGCATGGAGAGTATGATAGAAACCGTTTGGATGCTTGCACTCGACTCGCTACTGGGTGGGATACAACTCGAAACGGTTCTACGGGACCTGGTCGACAGACCTAGATCTTCATAATGTGTTTTATATATATCATTGTTATAGGGAATCCAAAAGACCATGTAAAGGGGAATACATAGATGAGAAATATATTCAGATTAAGATCGATGCTACTGTAGATCAGCTCAGATAAACAGACTTAAGCGCACCAAACCAGCCTTGCAATCCGCGCCAAACGTCACACCATAACTTCTCCAATGCATACCAAAATGACTAGGCTACCCAATGAAGTAGGACTTGTAAACCGCAGTATGAGGTCCCGCGGTGAGAACAGTCGCCGACACACCGACCGCATATTTACTCCTGCCCATCGAAACAATCTGTTTGCTTCTAATTTGGCGAGCGAAAGTGATATTATGCTCGCTTGAAAGGAAAGTCCGACAGCACGGTCATTTCTACATGTAGTGCGGGCAGCCGTTACCGGCTTGGAATGTATCCCGGTCATGCGGGCGTCCCTTTCTGGGGTCGTCGATAGGGGTAAGCAAGGTTGTGGTCGAGCACGAAGAACTGTACGACAGCGATGAAAAGAAAGAGGAGCAATCATTTAGCCTTGTATTCTGAATAGCCTCTCTAGATTAATTGCATAGGGTGGTTGATCTTGCAACCGGCGTATCAATGGTGAGTGTTTTTCATAACTATCTGTACGGGCGGACCCCAAGAAACGCCCCGCCGGTTTCTGATCAACATGATGATGATTCCCGAACATCCTGACCATAAATACTCGATATCCATCTCCTAAACGTAAGATTGGCAGCATGTGGCGCTAGCTGTCATTTCTTTTTCTTTGCTTCCCCGTAGACAATGACACGCGTTTTCTCCGTTATTGACGTGCATCGTACATAAGTTCGACTCGTCGTCCTGCAGGTTCGTGACCTGCAACACAATCAATTGGCAAGGAAAAGTACAGTCGGGATTTCACCACCTGCACTAACTTCAACCCCACTCGATACTTATCTTAGGGTGGCGGCCGAGCTGCCCAATAGTACGACATTCCGTAGGCACCTTCTCTTAATAGTTGGCAATAAACCCCGAAAATGGCTTGAAGAGTGGGGGAAATTATGGATGCAAGCCATAAAACGGTATCTTAGTACGTACCACCAACACTCTTGGTATAGTGAGAGACGTATCGGAGAATACTACACAACCCTCCTCCCCATCGTCATGCTTCCGTAGCATGGTATGACGAATTGTCTCCATACTTTCAAATGGATACACCAGCCACTGCCGGCTGGATGAGAATGTCAAGACAGTGGTCGAGGGAGGGAGACACAATAGGGGCTTTCGTATTTGTAGGAGGAGCCAGACGGAAGCCTCATATCCTTCCTTCCTCACCACTATGTGTAAGTAATCCCTACTCCATGAGCACAATCCACCTTCTTATCCAGCAAAACTTGACCCTAAAAAACATCAGACACCCTGCATCGAGCGAGAAGTCAGAATTCGTTATCGTGGTCGCGTAGCTCTCGGAAAATAACAGTGAAACAGGATGTAACTTCTGCTGATCCGAATCCTCTCTTTCACTTACCAAGATACAAAAAATAGAACATCACTTCTCATTTCTTGGAAAAACTGCGGCTTCCACGCCCCCGAAGAAGCGGAGCACTGCCTAAGCTGCCTTACCCTACTACACCCATCCAAGAGGGGGACAGTTGAGAACGATCTACAACGACAAAGAGCAGCAATACAGCAGCCACAGCATGAGGTACAAATTCCGCCATGATACTAAATTTATTTGACGATGAGTTGACAAATCTTTAGGATGATTAGGTTTACCGTTGATCATCGTTTTTTCTCGTTTGGCCATACACACGCTTGTCTTCTACGACCAATACTGCTGATTCGGAAAAACAGGATCAACAATAAAAATCTCTTCAGCCCTGCACAGAACACAAGCCACTTGACGCAAACGAACGTTAGCATGACCTTCAATGCGATAAAACGCGACATCGAGAGTGCTGATGAACGATACAGTCGACCACATAACTCGAGACATACAAAGCATGGGACACTTGTTGTTTCCTGCCACCGCCTGAATCACGAAATTAAGAAATGAGTCGTTGCCTAGAGAACTCACGGCCATTACCCCACTATCGAACCACGCCGGACCAAGTCGTCGTTCGTCAAAAGACACAGGATGTATGGTGCAGGAGATCAAATCAGATTGGGAGTGATACATGCCTCTGGAGATAGTTCCATCCCTTCCAATGTGTACCTCATATATCACCTCATCACATCGTACGATTCAAATGGATATCATAAGAGAAGACTGGTAATTTTCGACTATCACACATACACATCATGGCCAACCTCATTTCGATATCATATATCAACTTCGATTATATTACTGATTACCTACTCTGGGAAGAGAAGACAAAGACGGAAACAGATATCGAAAGAGTGGCAGAGAAGAAGGCGCTAATAAATTGAGGCAAAAAGAAGGTCCTCCAAGTCGTTGCCATGTATTTGCAGATAGGATCGCGACAACAGCACCATACCTGCCCAATGACACCTCCCACCCATCTACCGGATCTTTTACCCGCCCCATATTCCACAATATATAAATCGAGATTTTTGCCTCCCACCCCCCACAGTACAAAGGTGGACAAAGAAAAAGAAAAAGAGAAAAAAAACCAAGTATTGGATAGGGAAGGAGAAAAATGAATAAAGGAAGGGAGATCCGAGAGCACTTCTGGACCAAGACAGCAGATGACATTGCGAAGATGTTCCGAAGAACGACAGAAAGAGAAATAAATACCGTCGCCGTACAATGGGAAGAGAAGGAAACATGTTGTAGAAAAATCACCATACACTACCCCCTGGCCAACTTCTCTAGCTTTCCACGAATACCATCGGAGAACCTTGTCGCCAGACCCTCGTCTATCACATCGACACAATGCGAAATGACAGTAAAACCATTATTGATAGCCACTGGCGACCCGTCACTCTTAGTGAGTGTGGGAACGCCTTCCCTGCGAGTCACATAACGGACAAGAATCGGATCGCTCGCCTGAAGGCGATCGATGGGAAATGTCGGACCAGCGCTGGAGTATGGTGATTGTTGATTGGGGCTCAACGAGTCGTTGTGTGTCAGTGAGTCTGTCCACAGGACGAGAACGGCGCGGTAGATGGCGCCGGGCCACCATGGAGGACGGATGCCTCTCGGCATTTCTCGGATGATTTTAAGAATCTGGCCGGAGTGGAAGACCGCCTCGTGAACATCCGAGATGCACTTCTTATGGATCCAGAGCATTTGCTGGTACGTGCCATCGACGCCCTCATGTCGCGCCAGGCGCTCAATCTCTGGAAAATTGGTGACGGCGTTGAGGCTGACAAGATGGAACATGACAAGATTGGCTTGCATCAAGGGACACACTGGGTTGATTTTCATGTATCGCTCAGCCAACTCGAACCACCGTTGCAATAATGACTGTACTTCTTCAAGACGAACACGAGTCGATGCTGCAGTTACAGCCCTCGACCGCTGTCTCGAAGCCATACTGTCGGAGAAACAACTGAGAAGTTGACAGTACTGGCATACCATTGTTTGCAGGGGATGTAAGAGGAGACGAAGGTGCATTGGAGTCAGAGGGATTTCCAGGGCTATTATTTCATCATCCAGAAAATGACGGAAAAGATCTCTCAGACTCAGCGGGCGTTTACCAGAATTGAAGGACGGAAACCCGTTACTGAAAGCATGCACCTCATTAAATATCTCTGACCATTCAGATGCATTCTTGGCTTGCCAAAGCGAATCAGCATCCGGCATGGGCGCTCCAAACTCGGTCACAGAAAACATAGGAGCCGAATCATGAAACAGAGAGAGGTCTTGATCGACCATTACCCACGAATAGATGAGGCTATCAAAACATGTCAGCGGGGTCAGGTCACGTGAGTACCGCAGATTTGCATCCGGATGTAGGGTGCTCCAAACTTACCGACTTCGACCCTCCTGCTGAATCCAATCCCTCCACAGCGTATCGACTGGTACATTGCTGTTCAAATGGGGAGTTGACAATTGACGCGGTTCGAGAATTCCCGAGTGTCGTAACATGGAGAAATACATGCCCCGCTGACCCATGGCAATGTCCATTTGCCACTTGTCGCCACTCCAGGCCGCCTGAACGGTGAAGAGCAGAGCTGCTCGCAAAACGATTGGATCACTGGCCATTATGATGTTCTTCTCTACGAGGTCGAAGAGTGAAATGCGGCAAGCTTCTGTAAAGCCACCGGTCAACCACCGAGCTTCTATGGAGGGTATCGTCATCGCGCCCTGAGCAATCATCATCAGAATGAGAAGACTGGAAGCTTTATCATTGTAGTTATGCATCAACTCATTCGCATCTAAGAGTCCACGCGCTGTTGTTGGGTAGAAGCGCTCAAAAGAGTTGGCATAAGAGCGGAGAAAAAGATCCAGCACATGAGCAGGAGGGAGAATCACGAAGTTGGAAGACGTGGATCCCGGAGAGTCGCCACTGCCCGGAGAGCTACTCGAGTCATCCTTGTGGATGTCAAGGGCTTTATGTAAGAAGCTCTGTGTGATGGCGAACAGCTTTTCGCGCGTGGCTTCATGTATCTTTGCTACATCGACTCGACCATCCTGATTGTAATCCGAGTCGTCAAGAGAAGGCCTCCAGTTATTCCACCCCTCGTGGTTCTTGAGACTCTGTTCCAGGCGCTCAAGATTCAGCTTGGCAGTACGAGGACACGAACTCGAAGGTTTGGTTGGTGTGCATCGAAACACTGTCCAACCATCCTGAGCGGCTATGATGGCACCAAGATCGGGTATACCGGCGTCGATAATCGATGTGGGGCGTGTTGAGGGATAAAACATTGAAGCGGAGCTCCCGATCTGGAGATCCGAAAAGGATTCATCCATTCGAGGTGTTTGTAAAGGCGTTTGCACAGCACCATATGATGCGTGGGGCGACATCTCCGGAATCATACTGAGTATACTGTCCGCGGACGTTCCCATGTTCATATCCATATTCATGGTCATCATGAGTGAAGGATCTATCCTCATCGGGTCGAACTCCTGGCCCATTGACGCCGGATTCCATGGGTCCAACATGAAACGCGGGCTTGCCCTGTCCGAATTGTCCTGAACTGTTGTTACGAAGTCGTCGTAACCGGACATTGGAGTCTGGGAAACGAAGCCGTTGACTGGCGTTGCGAGTGGAGATAAAACCGATGGCAATGCCTGCGGTAGTCCACCATGGGGAGTCTGTTCGAAAAATGGCGGAGTGGTGGTTGAAACAGGAACGCTGAGTGGCTTTTCTTCTGGTGTGATGGTATGAATATGCTGTACTGGCTGCGAGATGGACGGGTTTCGCGAATGTGGCGCTGAAGGGAGTTGGTGTGGAGGTTGTGGCTGCGATTGAACATTCACAACCTGGTGTGGTGGCTGCTGCTGACTTGCCTGAGATGAGGGGTTATCCTCTCGAGCAGGAGAATTCCCATTGGAAGTGTTCTGAGAGTCATTGTTGTTCCCCCCCTCGCTCGAGTTCCCACTCGTTGATGTTTCGGCCGAGGGAGCTACTCGGTTCACATTTTTGGATGCTCGTCGTGTAGGACGCAATGTGCACTTCAAATTTCGCTGCGCACATCGACTACACGGAAACTTCTTGTCGCACTTGGTCTTGGTCTTCGCACAGTTGCTACACGCAATTGGAGTTCTACCAGCAGACTTCGGGATGATACCAGCGCTAGGTGGGAGGCCCTCCTGGTTGTTCGCATCTCGACCATGAACAGTGTAATGTCTCTGGAGTAGATCACTGCAGACTTGATCAGCTTACTGTGCGTGTCTTGATAGTTGGCGAAAGCAGAAAATGGTAAGATACTAGGGAAGAGTTTGGGAAGACAGTGGGGCAACTCACCGGCGAGCAAAGCTCATGTGGCAAGTGAAGCACTTGAACGGCTTGACATTGGTATCTGCGTGAACAAGAACGATTAGCGATCGGCAACAACGATGAATAAGATCAACAAGAAGACTTACGGGTAAGAATGTGCCTTTCCAAGTGCTCATCTCGGGTAAAAGACTGACCACAATAGGTGCAGAAAACCATGTTGGAGAGCCGATTTGTAGGCGTATATTTGGGATGGGGCAAAGATGAGAAGGAGAGATGAGATTGCCGCCTAAAGTCAAGACTTCAGCAAATGTGAATGAGGGGTGTGAAGACGATCAGATGTCCAAGACGCGGTGTTTGGTAGTGGAAAAATATAGCGTCAGAGGCGTACCACAGACATGTAGTGTTCTGATTGACGTTTGGGGGTTTCTGGTTTCAGGTGCAATTGCCAACACCAATACTGCTGGTACGATCAACCGGAAGTAGAGGCAGAACAGAACGACCTCGGTCTTGCGAATTGGATTTGGCTGAGGAGAAGGATGAGGGAAGGTTGAGAATCGATGGTGATGGAGCAATACGGCGTCGTTCCAGCTCCAAGGCGTAGGTCTATGGTCGAACACAATGGGGCACAAGCTGACTGAAAGGGCAGGCCAAGCAAGCACACGATGGAAGATGTCGTAAGAAAAGAAAAGACGAGGTCAGGTTTCAGATTGGATGTTGGTAGAGGGTCAGACAGGCAGGCACAGAGGCTATGTGTGGTGTTGACTGGGCGGAGCGTGATCTCTTGCTGACGAAAGGATCAAGGGGGGACGAGAAAGTATATTATGAGCACGGCAGCAGCAGGGAGAATGATTAGTAGTGAGTGACAAGAAATAGCAGTAGCAGGTAGTAGCAGCAGCAGTAGTAGGAAGACAATCGGAACAAAATTCCAAGCCAAGATCGGAGCCACTCGTGTCTCTTGAGCAGGGGGGAGGTCATGGATGGGATTGCAAACGGACCAGACAGGGAACATGTAGACCTACCTTTCCCAACGAGGGACGTCTTTGCATAATGGAGACTCGTGGGAGCTCGTCGTCAGTAGATGGCACCAGCTCCGAGAATGATGGGCAGCTAGTGCCAATTCACGGGATTGCAGGCTGGCGGTGCACCCGGCTAGCTTAGCAGTGCACTACAGAGTGTAGATAGATAGATACATGTAATGTAATGTATGTACATGCAACAGGGGGGGGGGGCCTTGGACGAAGAAACATCCTGGCACGAGCATTCATCCGATAAGAGCGATGAACCATGTCCAGCCGCTAAGTATGTGGAAGGCTTGGACGATCGCCCGGGCGGACCGGGGGAGCAGTCGACTACGCGAAGCTACTGTAGTGTCGTGGCTGGCTACTGTGTGTGGTACTGTGCGTGCGGGTTTCGGGATGTTGTGGCACACGCACGCACGCCGCACACACACACACACACACACAGTCAGCGGGAGACGAGACGACACGAGACGAACAGGAGGGAGGCACAGCGGGAGACGAAGGGAGGGAGAGACATTTGGGTGGTTGGCGAGCAGCGGAATGGTAAGCTGGTTGGCAATGGATGGGAGTGAATTGAGATGGGAGAAAAGAGGCGAGGTTGAGATGCACGGGCCCAACCACCAGGCGCACTCCCCCATCATCATCCTTCCCATCATCATCATCATCATCATCATTATCAACCATCATCAACATACACCCCCCCCCCTCTCCAAGCACATGTAACTGCTTAGGTATCTATGGACTTACAAATCCTCTTTCCAGACAGACGGTAATCTATTTGCTTTTACTTTGCATGTGTCCAAAAGTCTACCAGCCTTTGCACAGCCTAATCGGGACTCCCCCTTTCCTGTGCTGGCCCTATGATGGCCAACGGCACCACGGCCGCATCACCTCCCTCCACCGCCATCATCATACATAGTTGATCGTCGACCAAAAGCCCTCCACGCTCCACACCAACTAATCAGATTTGTTCCTCTTCACCTTGCTTGCCAAAGGGTGCAGCTGCTGCAGCTGCCAGAAACACTGGGTGGGGACCACATCTTCGCTTTCGTCCCATGTGGACACTGCTGGTTGGCTCGCATCTTCTGTCTGCCACCACCTTGGGATGGCCCTAGAATCTCCTCTCCTGCTTCCAGAGGGCAGATATGACCCTTGGGAAACCGACTACCTACTCACCATCCATTCCGTCCTCGAGGCCTGATTCTGCTCCCCCTTGCTCAGCCAATTCAATCCCTTCGACACTGCATTGCGCTACCGCTCGCAGTGCTCACTCCCAACAACGCCAGCCTCCAGCTGGGCTGCCTCCTATCGCGCACCGTTGAGCAAAGAGTTCGAGTCTACCCTCGACGTACTTCCGTACCTACATGTCTTTCATCGCCGACTGTCTCAAGATTCCTAATAATATGGCTGACAGCCACAACTACGGCCAGTCTCCGGGCTTGTGGTGCCTTGCCAATGTCGCGTGTGTTTGGCCTTGCTGGCTAGAGCTGTCTCTTATTCGCAATCTGGATGACAGTTATTGATCCATATACATTAGTCCCAAAGCTTCGCGGTTTGCAAGCTCGTCTTACAGTGCTTGCTGATGCCAAATCGGTCTGGCCAATGCCACTCTGACGCTATCCAGCCCATGACAGAGACATTGCTATTTCTGCGAGTCCTTCGTATCTACATTTCTCACCCAAGTAAGCATCGTCAGGATATATCGTATACCCGATCCCACAGGGCCGTTGGTTGCAGGACTCCAAGCAATCGACGGCAGTGAGCAGGCCCCTAGGCACCCGAAACCCACGCCCCCGAGCAGGCAGGCTGCGCTGCTAGCCAAGAGGTAGCTCGTCCTGTGGGATGAGATATCTTTAACCCCCGCTCGCAGGGATGCCGCCGCATGCCCCGCCAGGGATGTCCCATTTCAAGCTTTGTGATGAACATGCTACCCTCAGTACCAACTTCGGAACCTTTGTCCAAACCACCCTGCAGTCCCATGGACATTATCGCGTTCCCTTCCCATTACACCATCATGCTTACCATGTTCCGCGATTGATTAAATTCATGACCCTTTGAATCTTGCTGGGGAAATGAGCAATCGCGTTCCCATCTGACCTTTCTGTTGAGCGGCCAGCCAGTTCCTTCGTCCGTATTGCGGTTCAACGGTCAACTACCTAATAGTTGTAATGCTGACCACACTTTTAAACTTGAATGATGGAAAATCAATTACAACTCTCTGCGTCTATTTCAATTATTTTGTGCGTCCAATTCCTGCCCCAAGCAACAGCAACCCGTCTCAACAACGCCGGCGCTGCACTCAACTGCCACCAGGTACTTCGCTCAATTTTTTCGATTGGGGAACGATCGAACCTACGGGACGATTGAGAGCCATCGGCCAAGGTGGTTGTTAGCGTGCGGGACGGGCTGTTAGGCTCAGGATCCCAAGCGCGCGCGCCCTGAGAGTAATGTGTACTGGTTCAACTACAGTTGCAATAATGATGGTACTGACTAAGGCCTCCCACACAAGCCCAGTGTTTCTCATTCGTCTTCTTTCGGGTTTGAAGTTAGCAGCCCGCCTGCAATAGTTAGTTTGAACCGTTACCGCTACGCTAGTCAATTCAACGGAGGGGGGAATATCTAATCGCTGACGGCGATGTTTTTCGCCATGTGGGTATCGTTGTCGCATTGATATCCATCTCTTTTTGTGGATGGATGTCGACCGATACGTGCGTGCCAGGCTCTTACACACCCCATTCAATGTCATAATTTACACATGCGCACTCATTCAGACTGGAGCTGATGCTTCTTCTGCTTCCCCCCCCACTGAACCCAAAGCCTTCAGCTCCTCGAATCATAAAATGTCCATCTCCAACCAATCGTAATCCCCGCACCCCGCTTACCCACTCTCTCCAGAACAACCAAAAAAAATCATCAAACCATCTACAACTTCCCATTCAGCTCCACTTATCCACCAATTGTTTCTGGTTTCTTCTTCTTTTTCATCCCTCGTCTCCTTTCCCCATATCATGCCAATATCCAATTCCGCAGCCACCACGCATGCCCAGTCTCCAAAATCAAGCAAGATCTGCAGCTAGTCCGCCGACGATATTCGCCCCTCACTTCGTTTCGCGAAACAAGGATACAAAGATCGGCAGCCATCTATTTCAGTGGCTAGCCCAACTGGCAAACTTAAGCGAAAACGACCAGGGGCACATTGGGCTCCAGAGAAAAAGGTGCCCTGTCTATCGTTCGTTTCGTTTGGGGCTACCTTTGTGGAGAAACGGACATGAGTTGTGTATCATTGCTGCGTGGGGTTTGTTCTTTTTTCAAATGAAACGAAGGATTTTGTTATACGAGAGGTTTTTTTTTGACTTGCCTGGATGGTGACTCTTTCGCATATTGACAGCAGACATGACAGAAATTTTGGTTAAGAAAAGAACAGGCGGTCAGAGAATGGGAAAGAAAAAAGAAAACCCCAGAAATAGAGGGTACTCAGAGTGAGTAGGCGTGCATGGAGCCAAACAAATGATGGAACAGCAGTCAATGCGGACATGTCGTGCATCAGCCCGTTTTCCTTTCTTTTCGTTCTTGCGTGCACGTCACTTAAGTACGTGGTGTCCCCTTCACCGTCTTGATATTCGATTTCATTGTTCCATTTCAAATCTTAGTCATTCTGGGTTTGTTTTGCAGAAACAGAGTTTCTCGCTCTATCGATGCACGCGCGCGCACGCGTCGGGTCTTTGGGATTCGTTTTCTCGTGAGTGCTTTTTTTTTATCAAGAAGATATTTGTGCAGAGTTTGCTCAAATTTCGATGTGCCCTGAAATCCATTGATTACTTATTTTCTGGCGACAGTCTGTTTATGTTATAAGACTGGAATAAAGGTCATTTTGCAAGAGGACGTGGGGAGCTTGATGAATATTCCCAGTCCAAGATACTCAGTATCGATCCTGCGCAGTTATTCCCATCGAGTTACGTCCATTCGAAGCGACCTATCACAAGGTTACATGGTGTTACCGCTTCCGCACCATCACAGCCAGTCATATCCTTCTCCCTTGTCTAGCGCAATGGGCAGAACATCTGGTACACTATCTTTCCCCAGATGTATATCTCGCCATCTATGGTTAGTCGACGTTATTCGCCTCCCGTACTTTATGACAGCATTCTGTGGTGGTTTGTTGGTGTTGGGAATGCAGGCAGTGCAGTAGGCATATGCAACTTTGGTGAGTTGGGGTAGCTGGCGATGGTGATGTTGTTCAAAGACTCGGATGTTTTTCCCGATCTTTGCCTTACTGAGGTTGGTGAGAGATTCAGCGGTTTTTTTTTCTTTGGGAGAAACATGGGTGTTGCGGAATTCTATGTTGTAAAACCGCAATTGAGTCTGCGCGCATGTGCGCAAGGGAGAGAGCACGTTTGAGTGTGAGGGGCTCGCCGCTTTGCACATCGATGAATAGCCACATTGGGAATGGGCAGTCACTGATGTTGTGGCGGGCAAAAATTTCTCTACTATTAACATTGCCTGTTTTCGACATGATGTTGCGGGAATGGATCACTATAGTAGTGCGCTCAGCGATTGTTGATCTGAGTGGGGTTGACCGTCGCAGCGTACGAATTGACAATCAAACAACAGTATCCCAATAGAGTATCATACCTTCAAATCAACTGCGACATGATAGTCGAATGTTCTTGCTCGTCAAACATCATCTTGTCAGTTTATACCGAGGAAATACTCTCGCCTCCATCGACCTTTTTTTCTATCTTGCTTCTGCTGCTTCCCTGCAACATCAAGATTGGCAATGTACCGAGTACCATGGATACACATCAAATCAACTACTGGCTTCACACTAAATTAGACATGCTTGACACCGTAGTGTTCCAAGTGAAAAACAAAAAGCATTCACTTTTCCTCAATTTTGTTCGCGAATTAACTCATTTCCCTCCCCCTCAACCAAAAAGTGCCCCTACACACACCAATCATGATCTGCGCGGGCACGGGCGGATGAGGTGATGGTTGGCTGCGCACGAACTTTTGATCTCAAGCAGGGTGATTGATTGGCTCAAATCATTGGCCTACACGATTCCAGAACGAATGAGTGATTCTACATCGTGTCACATCATTTCCATTCCTGATAAATTTATGATCGTTGTTGTGAACTAAAATTCAGGTGCAAATGTCAAGCCACAGCTCAATTTTTTTTTTGTTGGTCTTCGCATTTGGTATGCACCCCAGTCCACCAAACAAACCTGGCCACACCATTGTGCTTCATTCAAGACTCCACAGAAAACGAGAGTAAGCGACAAAAAAGATATAAACTTCACTTGCAGTACGATTGTGGATTCGTTGAAGCATACATCATCAATTGTTAACACGCTTCTCACCGCTGAAGTGGGAAGAAGCCCGCCGCCACGTAATCCAACCATTTCCAAAAAAGTAAACGCTGTGGTGGTCGGCGGTGGTGATGCTGTACTTTTTACCCTTTCCTCTCACAAGCGTCCCTCTGTTGCCTGGTTTCTCTTTCGTATTAACCCGATGACTGCATGTAAAAGCCCATCCAATGTGGTGAATTATTTGGAGATCAACATCACCCACGTATGCAGGACTAGCGCGGGCATATATTGGTGGCTTGGACCCGAAAGCAAGGTCGTGCGAGGGAGCGAGAGAGGCTGAGGGTACTCGTAGTACACTGGTGTACATGGGCTACTGTATGTACGGTCCTGCACGCGGGCGAACCGCGCGCCTTTTCTCTGTTCCCGTTATCAATGATCTGCCTTCTTGCAAGCTGAAATAGGCTGAATGGTAGGCCGGTAAGCGAGGATTACTACATGTAGTAGGGACGGGGGCTTTCGGGCTTTCGGTGTCCTTACGGCCGCTCTTTTCGGCCAGCTATGACGAGAACGGAAAAGAGGGTGCAACGGTTAATTCTATCCCAGTGATTTCTCAAGTGCTATACGCATCTTCTCTCTCTCGCAGAGTGTGGAGCCTGTTTCACAGTGGAAGATGGAGTCTCGTGTCATGTTCTTCTCAGCACTACGGCCACGTTGTAAGCGGTAAAAAGCTTACTGACTAGTAACCGCAAGCAGCCATTCAGTCATTGCGGGAGTAAACCAGACGCGGGAAAGGCGTATATAGTATTCTGTAGTATTCGCTAGTGTTTCGGAGTTTCCCTCAGGCAACGGGCAATGTTTTCTATTCATATCGACCGAGAAAAGCTAGTAAAGCCCCGATCAAGTCGAATACTGTCTCAGTTATAAGCAGCGACATGTATGATGATCATCTACGATAAATAACACCACGTGCGGAAAAGCACGATATTCCTTGCATGAACATGTAGCACGATACACCATGCGTGCAGCTAACTAGGCTCTCGTTGCTGATGAGAATAGATTCTGCACTACTCTTAGTGTTTGACATCTCTTCATCAAGACTCGATAAACTATGCGAAGTCTCACATGTGGCAAGCAAGGATGGATGTCCTCACAGAAGGCATTACCAACTATACTTAGTCTTCACTTATCCTCTAGAAAGCACAGCCCACCGATTAACGCTGTAGAACTATTTGTCATATACTTTCATTTTGTTGAACACCTACCCGTGTTTCGTCCGATTAGTTAATGATGAGCGCTTGTCAGTAAGAAGATTGGTAACGAAGCTCGAGTGATTCTAAGCTGTATACGGGAAGTACGAGAAGAAAGTACAGGCCATCTGCGAAGCTTGAATAGCGGTGCTGACTCTCCTCAAGAATCAATATTAACATGTAACAATAGTTGGCGAGGTCCATTCAGCTGGTGCGGCTGGTAATGCGCATCTCGTTTGTGGTTGTCAGTCAGCTTGTCGCACGGCAGTGAAAGTTCATGTCTTCAGGGTCTAGCTTGCAGGAACCATATATCTCTATTCTAGATTCAGGGAGTTTTTCGCAAGACGATATAGCCTGATGGCTTATTTGTCATGACATGTTCTCCCACTGTTTTTTTTTTGGTAGACCATGTGACACTTCTTATATTCAGAATGGAGAGATTGGAGCACATTAAAAAGAATCGATGGGAATACACAGATATCGACCATGTTATTGCCATAAGCTAGCTTGTATTGAAGATACCTATTCTCTGGTAAACTTGATATCGAATCTCTGTCGTGCGATGTATCCTGCACACCCTGCATGAGAGTCCTTTCCTTCGGACCCATTCCACTGTTCTTAGTTTACGTGACTGATTATATGGGGAGAGTAATCATTTTTGATCGTTGGATGGGAGTAGAACTAGAAATATGCCGGCTATTGTCACTATTTCGAGCAGGGCTGAGAAGTTCTGATCTTTAAGTAAGGGGTACGGTCAGCTGGATACCTCAGGTGTATACAAGGCAGTGTAAAGGCAGGAAATATTCAGAAACATGTGGTATCCCAAAGAACAACTACTCAAGTGGTTAAGCAATCGGCATAAATGCGGTGACTTCGAGCTCGTAACCATAAGCCATCAGCACTACCGATGAAACATTTTCGTAGACGATAATTCAAGTCACTTCATTCATATAACCGAGGGGTTCATTCGGAGACCAGACATTTTGCGAGTAACATTTTGAAATATCCATGACGTAGACCATACTTGCATGTCACACAGCATCGTCTAGAAATGTTCTTTGAAGACGAAGTGCGAGGAGCATTCGCAAAATCCCAGGGCGGAAAGTAACCTTGTAGTTTCACAGCAGTATTTCATGGCGGCCAGCATCCGCTGCCAACTGCATAGGTTCTATCTTGATTTGATTGTTTGGAAGTGAAATACATCTGCTTTCGTATGTTGTACCATTTGCTCTTCAACTAGCTCGTCCATCTCATCCGGAGTGAACCGGATGCGCGACAAGAATTTTCGATGGGATACACATGAAGATCACATCCGAGAACGAGGAAGTGAAAATGGTTATACCATACTTATCACATTTTGATTCTATTTATCCGGAATTCCAATGCCGGCTTGAACAACGGGCATTATCGCACAGGCTGATCGGCTTCTGGAAGCTGTCTGCGCAAGACCACTGCCGTTCAACAATCTACCGGTCAGGGTCCAACGATCATCGAATTCGGTCTCGCCACGGTAAGGTATCAACAGGACGGTATTCCTCGCAATCGCGTATGAACCCTTATCTCAAAGCGGGTTGCCCGCTCGTGTAATCCCTAGCGTAACCGCAGCACCATGTTGTGTAACCGACTAGAGTATGCAATACGAGTATGATGGTCAGCAGCTGTGCAGTTCTTAGCAGGAAAAAATATTGGCAGGTAGGTTATAACGTGGCCATGATTCTGCACGATGGTCTAGTGTGGGACGAAGAGAGCCTATGATCCACTATCTCAGACTCTCGGAGTCAACTATGTCACCCGGAGCGGCGGTGTCTACTATCCCATCCGCCGGCAAGACCGACAACCACCGGGGAACCTGAGTGACAGGGGCATTCGGGGTTCATTCATAGTGGATTGATACATAGCTCGATGACACTGGTTGACATGCACTGTCGTTTCGTCACGAGGCCGAGCCACTGGGACTACCAGCGCAGGAACCTCAGTGTATCACAAAGCCGGGGAGAGATTGGTGCACTCGGCAGCGGATGTCTTCAAGGCGTGAACTTTTCCTTAGTTTGTAATGCATAGCCTTGTACCATTGATGTATGATGCCACCTTTTCTTTTTTCGTGACATCGATGCGGGCGTAAGTGGAACTTCAAACATTTGAATCCTCTTTGAGCTGAAACAGTGAGAAGAAAGTGGATTCTAGCTTATAGCACAACGGGCAGTGCCAGCAGTAAACAGCTGAACTAGAATCACCCCATCCATCGGCAATTTCCTGGAGATTGATGTAAACTATACGGGACCGCACGTCTGCACAGGTGTGAGTCTACGTCTGTAGACTTCCAGCAAGGGTGTAACCAAAGGGGGAAAAACATGCTCACTCATACACGGCAAAAAAGAAACAATGATACTACTGTAATCAGCACGCTCGCACCTTGCATGCACGTGTGCCTACAGTGCGCATGGGGTTTCTCCGGTAGCAAGGGAACATATATCCTTGTATATTGGACGGTTCTAGATATCAAAAGACACGAGAGCTGAAAACGTGCCGACCATCCATCCGCCCACCCACCCACATATCGAACCCAAAACGCGGGTACCTGGACGGCAATCTGTACCTACCAAAGGTGCCCACACGACCTCAGTGGCGCATCTCGAGCCTAGAACAGCATGCAGTTGAATTTATCCACAAGCCGAAACGGATGGGTTGTTGGACAGTGGTTCGCCATGCAGCTGTATAACGTCATCATGCCTATCGGCTCGCCCGTGACGCAAACCCCACCCAGCGGCTCCGGAATGGCGATCTTATCGCTTAGAGCCTTTTCCGTGCTAACACTCACCAAATAAGACATGGACGGCAATGTAGCCGTCTTAGAACCAACATTGGAGTTTTGGTACATTGCTATCATGACTTGCGTTTGCCGGGTCTCCCGACTCATCAAGTTTGCGGAGAGCAACACCAAGGAAAACAACGTTGAGTGAGGCTTGAGAGAGTTTAGCCGCGTTCCAAGCATATCATATCATCACATGTGAAATATTTTGAGCGTGTTGGATTCAGCGAGACCAATCATGGTCCAAATCTTCTTTCAGCGGATCGCTGCGTCCGATTGTCGAGTAAACATGAATGGCAAGACTGATTAACACGCGCAACATGGCAGCATGGAGTTGGACCAAGTTTAGCATACGCTACCACAAGCTGCTTTCTGCAGAAGATTGTTCTTGGAGTGGAACGCGTGACGTAAATTTCGTACAGTCAATGTTGCTGAAAACGATGTCCCAATATTCGCCGTGGTTTCAGTGTGGGTGGAGCTCCTAGACTTTCCTGAGCGGGCCGTAGGACAATATGAAGTGCCCTGAGACTGCTCAGAAAAGTATTCGGGGGCAGTGGGACGAAAACGATTCATAGCACTCAAATTCAAGGTATATGTTCGATGCTAATGTAGAGTATATTGGGGCTACAAGATAATGAAACATGGGGCGCTCTTGTTTACACCTCCGCTCACCTCTTTCTCTCTCTCTCTCTCTCTCTCTCTCTCTCTCTCTCTCTCTCTCTCTCTCTCTCTCTCTCTCTCTCTGCGTCTTGCCTGGAACCACCGGCTCGGTGCGTCTGGATCGCTAGGTTATTTGGCATCTCACTATGCCTGCGGCTGATGAAGTCGGCGCATAGAAGCGACAACCACGATGTTTCAACCGGTACTGGTAACCGCCTACAGTCTAGCGGAAATTTAGTATCGTCAGTAGCATCTAGCTAAACGGCGCGCGATCAAGATCTGACTGATCTACCTTTACTTATTTTGTGCCGGGTACTCTATATACGGTATAGAAAGCTCTGACGCACCTCTTAGTTGTTCGTACATCCGTCTTCCGAGTCATGAGTTGAGGGATCCGTGTATGTAAGTTCAGTCAACGGTGACGGGCGCTATTAAGGATCCTCGAAGCGTTCAAAAACTTGAATGGCAGCCTACCGATAAGTCTGTTTGGGGAGAGTGGGCATTCTAGCCACGGAATCCTGAAATAGAGGAGCATGATTTAGACCCGCATGATATTCCAAGGACTCGCGTTTAATGAGATCCGGCACGACACACGCGCAGCGACACAGGGGTTTATCCAAGGACTCAATAACTAGGGGCCACTGAGCCTAGACGCCGATGACCATCACCTGAGTCAGTAGCCCAATGTTCAGAACGACACAAGAGCAATGTATTACCTTGCCCCAGGCGTCGGGTTAGTCGTTTTGAATGAGTGAGCTCGCCTCTTATACGTTTGTCATATGAACTATAGCTCTCTATATTCTCTGATTCAATACATTTCTAGCGTTGAACATGTCGCTTAGTTGTTGAAAAAGAAGCAAAGCCCCTGACCACTACGACTGGGGCTGTAGAAGCTAACAAAAGTAACTCGCTGTTGAAATCCAGGCCCGGCCATGGAGTTTATTTGCATGGGGAATGGAATGTCCAAGTTGCGGAAAACTGATGAGAATATGGTAATCGTAATTGTTGAATAATGTTAAGGGGTTGTATCCCCAACGTTTAGCTGACAAATGTTATTGCGACCGCGGGAGTGGGATGCAGGGCGTTGAGTCCAACAAAAGTCGTTTGGTACAACGGTCGGTCCACGTCTATCTCACTTTCTGCGGCTCATCAACACGTATCAAGAGAGTTTTGTAATGATTTACCTCAATTAGACTATACTCTATCCAAGATAAGCGAGAGGCTTATTCGATTTTCTACTGGAAGCCACTTGATCATTCTAGTGGACAGATTTGCCATCTAGAGAACGTGTCGATCATTTGAATTGGCCCTTGGACTCAATTTGCACTAGAAATTCAAATCTAGCAATGTTCTCGAATGAATTTATTACCTATGCGTACGTCAAAGTTTGAACGCGACGGGAGATGAGCTCATTTAATCCGGACTCTAGCAGAGATGTAAACTGCTTGATATCAAGCCTCTTCGTCAAAAGATAGGGGAATCAAAGCTGCAGCCTCCACCATTGAGCGTTCAGGCTTGACCATAGTACAGGGACTCATAAAAGGTACCAACCGTGAGATATTGCCCATACTGACGTGATTATGTACAAGGTAAATGATTTGTGGGCTCCGATGCCGAGATCGCATCCAAAGCCAAATCGTAGACTGCAAGCGTCTCGCAGGAATTGGAAGTACATGAAATATTGCGGACTATCCTGGTCTAGTAGTGAACTAAGATAAATGCCACACGTCCAACGATTGGGTGGGGGCTCGTGCAGTAGTCGAGACAAGAGACCCGGCCCAATCAAAGTTTCCAGCAATTGGGCGTGGTGGAAGCTTGATAAACGCCTTACCGCTGTCAACCGGACGAATTCTCCTGCTGGCTTCCCAAAGGAGGAACATATGTCGATTTATAAGGGGCAAACAAAGTGTATCGGCTGAAATTTGCCGTCGGAAGAGGCTTGGTGGCATTCAAAACTGGATCGAAGCTTTGATTAGTCGACCGATTGAGCGACCAGTTCTTGATGGATTCATGTTAGGGGGCGATTTGGTTCACGTATGAAGTTGCGTGTAAGTATAGGATGTGTGTGTACATAGATTGATCATGTTTAGATGGGTGAGGTTGACTCAAGCCTATCACGAATCATGAATCTCCGGGCGGGGTTCCGTCCCGAAAGTGGCTAGCTGGACTTGGCAGGCGTGACCTGGGTGCCGTGGAGTGGTTCATCAGATAGACGACAATCTCTACACGCGGCATCAACATGACATGAAATCCTAGCCACACGTTTGCCACCATGATGCTTTGCCCCACGAGCATCTCTTATCTGTTGTGTCCTTTCAACCCCGACGCCTCGCCTCGTCGCTTGCTTCCGGCGGCAAGGTAGCCAAGGTCGCGGTGAGCCAGCTGAATTGGCGAATGCAGCCCCACGGCTCTCCATGCAGTCTGGCTGATGGTGAGGACATACAGATTGTGCAAATACGTGGAAAGAATCTCAGCCTCCAGGCATTTTATAGGCCGCCCACGGCTTCCAGCGTCCTCGGCCTGGCATGTACCGGGTGTGGGGAAGACCGAATTGCACGGGAGCTAATTTCGATCAGCAGCATTGACCAAGATCGTCGTCTACTCATGCTGCTTTGTTGAAGCCAAAGATACTCCTATTCGCACCAGTTGGGGGCTCACAGTAGGACATCGCAGATACGTTCAATAGGCCTTCTCATCAATTGCGCCACTATCGGTAGCCGCTGCTGCATTTGCTGGCACTGCCTCGTATGGCCAAATGCAAGAACCATTCGCCTCCCGAACATGAACCGTGGAACAACTTTGCCCGAGTCCGACATGTACTGTACCTGTTCCACAACAAAGCAAAGCAGGCCTTTACCGCTTCTGTTCCTGGACGACTGGACGGTCAAGGCTGATGCATTGAGTCTTACTCACCAGTCGCAGCCTGCCACTGGGCTAATTTTCTGCTGGGATACACGTCGCACACCTTGTCCATGCTCTATACATCCAGGCTTGAGCAACCATGGCCCTCAAGCGGGTCATGGTGCCCACTCGCCACACCCTTCCATGCTCTATACCCGTACAGCGTAATAGAGAAAAATGGATGCAGCTGTCAAGGTTTAGATACGCATGCTCATAGCCTGTCCCATGGTCTCGGATTCGCGAGTTGAGCTCCAATGGCCACGACCAGGCACTTGTGAGTTCTTGCGAATCAAACTCAACAAAGAGCATTGAGATTGTGTCAATCAGACGCGACTCCTAGCAAAGACTCTTTTGATCCGAGAAATTCGGGAGTCATGTTTGTGATTTTAGTGTAGCGTCTACATTGCGATCGTTTCTCGAACTGCAGTTCTCACCAAACCATCTAGCAGGCCACTGCAGAATTACTTCATATTTCTTAATTCGTGTTATGATTTCCGCTAATCTAATCCCATTTGCGTATGGAATCTTATGTTAGCTGACATTATTGACAGAGGAAACACGGACTCTATACAACCCCGGCTCATGGGGACCCGCGACTAGTCAATCCGAACTTCGAGACAACGCCCTGACTACCACACAACTCCCACGTCGCATTCATGCTATCTCCCTTGACGCATGGGCTCGCATGCCCAACACCTCAGCGGCTGGATAGCATGTCTAGCGTGCATCGTCTAATCATAGCGACGCATGTGCTGACGGAAGTTGTCCGAGCGTTGGACGCCGTCACTTCTCGGGATCATGACAGCACCAACCGGGGATGGATTGAGGGTTGGTCCACTTTATCATTCCACTTCACATGTTGCTGTTGTACATCGTGCGGTAGTGCATGAGCCCCGTATCTGTGCTTTCTTGGATCCGGTACACACTGCACGCTTGTCATCGCGCGATCCCAGGATAGCCGACCACTCTTGCTTTCCATGTCTCCCTGGAGCTTGCTTTCCTACAAATATAGAGCGTTCGTCAATCCTCCTAAAAACTTTCAGTTCGATTCTTCCACAGTCACTGGGGCATATACTTGCACATCAAGTACCTCTATCCCTCTATTGTTAAGGCTTCTCAGAGATCTTTTAACAATCCTATCCTCCAACAATAGACTCTCGCTCATCTCACCCGGATCCTTTTCCTCCCATCATCTCTGAAGCTGCCATCGTCTCTTGTCGCTCCGGTCGACTTTGCTTCGCGTCTCATTATTCTTCCATTCTTTAATCTAATATAACCCTTATATCACCACCGCAATAATGAACGTCCTCATCTTCGGAGACCAGACTGCCGATCAATACCCGCTCTTGCGGAAGGCTTGCACATGGAGGAGCAATGCCTCACTCATCACATTCCTCGAACGCACTAGCGTAGTTCTCCGTGAGGAGATTCAGAAGCTGTCACGACCGCAACGTGAGCAGATTCCTGACTTCCTCACCATGAACGACCTGGTAGAGCAGTACTACCAGAAAGGCGTGAGGCTGCCTGCCATGGAAAGCTGCATGGTCACTCTTGCGCAACTCTCCCATTACATCGGGTATGTTTTATGATCAGCCACAACAGCCCGCACTGACAAATCCTAGTTACTATGGCGATAACCCGACCGAAATTCCCAGCCTCCCCAACACGAGGATTCTGGGTCTATGCACTGGGTTGATCGCAGGATCGGTGGTGGCATCAGCAAAGACACTGGACGAATTGGTCCTTCTCGGCGTCGAAGCTGTTCGAATCGCTTTCCGCGCCGGTCACTGCGTGACTACCGCAAAGGAAGCACTCGAAGGAATTTCAAACGACAAAGACAGCTGGTCGACCATCGTTACTGGTATTTCCGAGAACGACGCGAAGAGTGCTATCGCCGATTTCCATCTCGAACGCAACATCTCCCTGTCTGCGCAAGCATACGTTAGTGCTGTTAGCGTGATGGCTATTACCATTAGCGGTCCGCCATCAACCACCAAACGTTTGTTTGAAGAATCCGATGCCTTCAAGACCAACACTCGCGTGCCTATTCCAGTCTACGCACCTTATCATGCCAGTCACATCTACGACGATGCCCACATCGACCGCATCCTGGAGACCGCAAACTCCGGGTTTCTCAAGTCGCATCGCCCTCTGGCATTGGTACACTCTGCTTTTGACGGTAAATGCCATTCAGCAACCAGCACCTTCGAGCTCATCCAGATTGCTCTCCGGGAAATCCTCCTCCAGCCTATCCGATGGGATAGTCTTCTAGAAGAAACTGTCGAGCAGGTGACTGCAGTCAACAGCACTGAATCCACTGTTTGTGCCGTTGGTATCTCAACCGTGGCCAACAGTCTTGCCTCTGCTCTCAAAGCAGGCGGACAGTCTTCAGTTACCATACTCGACCACTCTGCATGGGCCTTGCATCAGAAGCACTCCCAGGGTCACACTCAAAGCGACAAGATTGCCATTGTCGGAATGTCAGGTCGCTTCCCCGGCGCTGCTACTCATGAAAAGCTTTGGGAGCTTCTGGAACAGGGCCTTGATGTTCACCGAGAAGTCCCAGCCGACCGATTCGATGCTAAAGCTCATTGCGACCCTACTGGCAAAGGCAAGAACAAGAGTCACACTCCATACGGCTGCTTCATTGATGAGCCAGGTCTGTTTGATCCTCGATTTTTCAACATGTCGCCCCGTGAAGCTGCTCAGACGGATCCTATGGGCCGTTTGGCTCTCACAACTGCCTACGAAGCTTTGGAGATGTCGGGCTACGTTCCCAACCGAACACCATCAACTAAACTTCACCGTATCGGCACGTTCTACGGTCAGACTTCGGACGATTGGCGTGAGATCAATGCAGCCGAGAATGTGGACACCTACTACATCACAGGTGGTGTTCGTGCATTCGCCCCTGGTAGAATCAACTACTACTTCAAATTTTCAGGGCCGTCTTACAGCATCGACACGGCCTGTTCTTCTTCATTGGCGGCTATCCAGTTAGCTTGCACTTCGCTTTGGGCCGGAGACTGCGACACAGCTTGCGCAGGCGGGTTGAACGTTTTGACCAACCCTGATATTTTCGCCGGTCTTAGCAAAGGCCAGTTCTTGTCCAAGACTGGTAGCTGCAAAACATACGACAACGATGCTGATGGATACTGCCGTGGCGATGGATGTGGAACGGTCATCTTGAAGCGCTACGAAGATGCCATCGCTGACAAGGATAACATTTTGGGATGTATTCTTGGTGCTGCCACCAACCACAGCGCTGAGGCTGTCTCCATCACACATCCCCACGCTGGTGCCCAAGAGTTCTTATACAAGAAGGTCCTTGCTAACGCTGGAATTGACGCACACGATATCAGCTACGTCGAGATGCACGGCACTGGTACGCAAGCTGGTGATGGTATTGAGATGACCTCAGTCACCAACGCCTTCGCTCCCAGGCATCGCCAGCGTCGTCCTGATCAAACACTTCATCTGGGTGCCATCAAGGCCAACATTGGTCACGGAGAAGCTGCATCCGGTATCAACTCCTTGGTCAAGGTCCTCATGATGATGAAGAAGAATGCCATTCCCGCCAATGTTGGTATCAAGGGCGTCATGAACAAGACCTTTCCCAAGGATCTTCTCCAACGCAATGTTCACATCGAGACTAAGCAGGTAGACTTTCCTCGCAAGGGAGCCGAACCCCGCAAGCTCTTCCTGAACAACTTCTCAGCTGCCGGTGGTAACACAGCCATCATTCTGGAAGATGGCCCTCTCCGCGAGGCTCCTACGGCTATTGATCCTAGAGGAATGCAAACTGTGACGGTTTCCGCCAGGTCCATTGCCTCACTCAAGACAAACATACGCAATCTCATCCAGTTCCTCGATGAGAACCCAGAAACCACACTGCCTAGTTTGGCTTACACTACAACTGCCCGTCGTATCCAGCACAACTATCGTGTTGCTGTTTGTGTTGATGACATCAAGAAAGTGAAAAGTGCCTTGGAGGCGCAACTGAAAGATTCTTACAGCCCTATAGCTATGGTTCCTACCAAGACCGCCTTCACATTCACTGGGCAAGGATCGCAATACACCGCTCTCGGAAAGAAACTCTATGATGAGTTGGACAGCTTCAAGGCCGATATTGATCAGCTTGACAACCTCGCTCGTCTTCATCAGTTACCTTCTTTCATACCACTGCTTGATGGCACAGACGTCGCTACTCTTTCTCCCGTCGTCGTTCAGCTCGGAATGTCCTGTATCCAAGTTGCTCTTGCCCGCATGTGGGACTCCTGGGGGGTCAAGCCTACTTCTGTCATTGGCCACAGTCTTGGAGAGTATGCTGCTCTCCACGTCGCTGGTGTTCTCTCTGCCAGCGACATGGTACTTCTGGTCGGCCGTCGTGCTCAGCTTTTGGAACAAGAGTGCACAGCTTACACCCACGGCATGCTCGCGGTCAAGGGTAGTGCACAGTCTATCAGCGAAGCCCTTGGAAACAAAATGACCGAGATCGCTTGTATCAATGGTCCCGAGGAAACTGTGCTGTGCGGCACTGTCGACGTTGTCGAAGCCACCGGTGAGCTTCTCAACAACAAAGGTTTCAAAGCGACCAAATTGAACGTGCCTTTCGCCTTCCACTCTGCTCAGGTCGAGCCCATTCTCGAGAAGTTCAAGGGTGTGGCGTCTTCTGTCTCATTCAACGCGCCAAATGTGCCCGTGCTATCACCTTTGACTGGCGAAGTCATTCGCGAAGCAGGCACTTTCGGTCCAGACTATCTTGCTCGTCATGCTCGTGAAACTGTCAACTTCTGGAGCGCTCTCAGCACCGGCAAAGACGAGAAGGCTTACGACGACAAAACTGCTTGGGTTGAGATTGGTGCCCACCCTGTTTGCAGTGGAATGGTCAAGGCATCCCTTGGCAATTCGCCCTGCACCGCAGGCTCTCTACGTCGCAACGAGGATCCTTGGAAGACTCTTTCCAACAGCATTGCCACACTGTACCTTGCAGGTGTCTACATCGACTTCAATGAGCATCACAAGAGCTTCAATGATGCACACGAGCTGCTGACTTTGCCGACTTATACCTTTGATAGTAAGAAATACTGGCTTGACTATCACAACAACTGGACTCTTACCAAAGGAGAGGCTCGTCAGATCGAAGAGCCCAAGGCTATCTCCGCTCCAGTAGAGATTCAGTCGAAGCTTTCTACCACTTCGTGTCAACGCATCGTGCGAGAAGAGCTCCATGCGAACTCCGGAACTGTTGTCGTTCAGTCCGATCTTTCCACTCCTCAATTGAAGGCTACGATCACAGGACATCAAGTCAACGGCAACCCCTTCTGCCCTTCGTCGCTTTATGCTGATCAAGCCATGACAATTGCAGACTATCTCTACAAGCAGTTACGTCCCAACATGCCTACCCCTGGTCTCAACGTCTCGACTATGGAGGTCGTCAAGGGTTTGATCCCTCAGTATCCTGCACCTGCCGAAGGTCAGCATCTCCAGATCGAAGCCACCGCCGATCTTGATGTCAACCAAGTCTCGATCAAATACCGTACCGTCACGGCTGATGGTTCGAAGGTTTTGGCCGAGCACGCACATGGTAGCGTCAAGTACGAAGACGTTAGTGCTTGGAAAGAGGAATGGGCTCGTACGCAATTCATGGTTCAGACTCAGATTGATCTTCTTACCCAGAAACTTCAAACTGGGGCTGCACACAAGGTGCTTCGTGGAATGGCTTACAAGTTGTTCAAGGCGCTTGTCACGTATGCTGACAACTATCGTGGAATGGAAGAGGTCATTCTCGATGGTAAGACCACTGAAGCGACTGCCTCTGTCAAGTTCCAAACCACTCCCGCCGACGGAGAGTTCTTCTGTTCGCCTTACTGGATTGATAGCTTGGCCCACCTTTCTGGTTTCATTGTCAACGCCTCCGATCACATGGACTCGGAGAATTCGGTTTACATCTCTCACGGCTGGGGCTCTATCAAGCTTTCCAAGCAACTTTCGCCTAAGGGGGAGTACAGGTCATACGTACGCATGCAGCCTGCCCCTGGCAACGTCTCTGTTGGTGATGTGTACATCATGGAACAGGGCGAAGTCATTGGTGTTGTGCTAGGTCTCAAATTCCAGAATATCCCTCGCAAGGCCCTCAATGTCATGCTCCCACCACCTGGTGCTGCCAAGGGTGTATCCAACTCTGCACCGACGAAGACAGCTTCGGCTAGGGCGGCTGTTCCTGCCCCGGCTGCTAAAGCGGCTGCGAAGCCAGCGCCGAAAACCGCGAAGACAGTCAAGCCTGCCCCGCGTCCGAAGGCGGCAGCCAACTCTGTTGTGTCCCGTGTCATGAAAATCATCGCCGAAGAGACTGATGTCGACATGTCCGAGCTTGTCGAGGAAGCTGCTTTCGAGAATCTTGGTGTGGATTCTCTTATGTCTTTGACGATTTCCGCCAAGTTCCGTGAGGATCTGGAATTGGATATCAGCTCCACTCTCTTCACCGATTACGCTACTGTCGGTGAGATGAAGAAATACTTCTCTCAATTCGATGGGGGCGCCGCTGTTGTCGATGATGCAGAATCTGACACGACTGACGATAGTGCCGATCTATCCACCCCCTATGAGGCAGGCGATAACAGCACACCTGCTAGCTCGGCTCCTAGTATCGATGGCAAGGAGAGCGACAAGTCAACCGACCTTCCCGCTGCGGTCGAAGGATCTCCTAGTCTCGCTCGCAGGATCGTTGCCGAAGAGATGGGAGTCGATGTATCGGAGATCACGGACAAACTCGATCTATCTGAAATGGGCATGGATTCTCTGATGAGTCTTACGATTCTCAGTGCCCTCCGTGAGCAGACTGGGATTGATTTGCCATCAGAGTTCCTCACCACCAATGTCACTATCGAAGACATTGAGAACGAACTTGGCATGAGGCCAAAGGTACAGCAGCAGGTGCAGAGCGCAACCAAGTCCAGCATCAAGCCAACCAAGCCTACCAAGCCTCCACAGCTCTCTGAGGTGAATAAGAAACTCGCCAAGGTCGTTGATGTCTCGTCCCTTCCGCCTGCCACCTCTGTACTTCTTCAAGGCAACGCAAAGACTGCCACCAAGAAGTTTTTCCTTGTCCCAGATGGTTCTGGAAGCGCAACATCTTATGTCTCCATCCCCAACATTGATCCCTCTATGGCGGTGTACGGTTTGAACTGTCCATTCATGAAAGCCCCTGAGAAATGGACATCAGGCGTTGAGGGTGTCTCTGCACTTTACCTCGCCGAGATCAAGCGTCGCCAACCTCAAGGGCCGTACCTCATCGGTGGTTGGTCTGCCGGCGGCGTAATGGCCTACGAAGTTACTCAGCAGCTTGTCAATGCGGGAGATAAAGTGGAGAGCCTAGTTCTCATTGACGCGCCTTGCCCAGTCGCCCTTGATCCCCTCCCCGCACGTCTCCATATCTTCTTCGACCAGATTGGCCTTCTCGGCACCGGCAAACCAGGCGGTACCCCTGGGTGGCTTTTGCCCCATTTCGCTGCTGCCATCCAGAATTTGAAAGACTACGACCCGGTTCCGATGGATCCCAAGAGGGCGCCCCCAGTCCTTGCCATCTGGTGCACAGATGGTGTCTGCCCCAACCCCGATGACCCACGCCCTCCTCCCGGAGAAGGAGAGGACCCAGCCCCTATGAAATGGCTTCTCAACAACCGTACAGTTTTCGATGACAACGGTTGGGCTCAACTTTTGCCAAAGGAGAATTTTGAATACGCTGTCATGGGTGGTAACCACTTTACCATGATGAAGGGTGAACACGTAAGTATCACCTCTCCCCTCAATATGTACTGGTGGCTAATACCATAATAGGGTGCTACTCTAGGGAAACTCATCAAGAAGGGTTTGAAGTTGTAGAAGTTTCTGCACGACCCTAGCTTGTATTTCCTTATCATGTCATGGTCCGACTAAGCATGCAAATCCCATTCAAGAGTTGAATCATGGGTCTGTGGGCGTTGGGTTTAGGTTTTGTCTCAACATCTAGCAAGGAGTTTTACACGCGTCATTTTTACACGGGGTTAGACTGTTGTTTGTTTTGCTCATCTTGGTGTAATGGCGTTGGTGGTTTTCATGATCCTTTTACCCATTTGGTGTTGAGTCCTTTTCTTTCACTCGCTATTTCTAACGTTGTCTTACTTTTCAATGTATCGAGTCAGTGACTCAGTTAATCATGTGTAGGGGGGTGAAGGATCAATGCTTGATTTGCGGCTTGCATTGGTTTCTGCCTCTTTAGACTAAACTATAGATCAATGCCAAAAAAAAAAAAAAAAAAAAAACACTATCAAAACTGTGACGCCAGGTTCTCGTTCATTGAATATTAGTCGAGGGAATTTGAGCAGAAAAAACGAGCTTTTCCTCTCTACAGTATGATGACTCCTCTTTAACATATACTATTCTACAGTATGCTTCCACGCCTGCTTACTAAAACCTACATGTAACGGAGTGAAATATACGTAATCCAGCGAATCTGTCACGTATGTACTCCCGCCCGCCACCAGACCCATAGTCTCTAAACCACATGCGCTGAGGATATAGTAGCAAAACCTTCGATAGAGCCACTGCCTGAGTCCACACCTCCCCCTACCCCATATCATCTCCTTCTTACCTTCCAATCCAAACACATAAGCAATGATGAAATGGCCAAGACAAAAACCATGCCTCCCCAAAGAAGCATTTGGAATCCGAAGATACGGCTCCGCCAGCCGCTTTCTCTGCCGCGTTCTATGCCTTTGTATTCGGGCCGACGGGAAGAATAGCCAGCCAGGGGTCCACAGTTGGGAGGAAGACGGGATCTCTCTGTCGGCTCCGACATGGGGAAAAGTAGCATCCATTCAGCCTGTTCGTGTTCCTATCGCTTTCTTCCCTGCCGGCTGAACTGCAAATGCGGGAAGGGATGTCGGGGCGCGAGGGCGCTATGGCCTTCTGCTGCATGCAGATGGAAGGATAGAACGTGCGTATATGCAGGTAGAGTTGTATTCGGGATGGCTCCGATGGCTCCGATGGCTCCGATTTAGGGAGGAGGGTTGCATGTATTGTGAGAGGCGTTTTCGTTTGTGTTTACTTACTTGATCGAGCACGGAGAGGAATATGTAGATATCTATTGATCATGGGGGTGTGGTTGGTTATAAGCATGGATGGTACTACCTGGAATACGAAGAATATACTGCGGATCGTGTGTTTATGATATCTTTTGATTAAACTCTTTTGACGGGTAATTATCTTGTTTGCCACTATCTCTCCTGTTCTGTTATATGATTCTACAAATATGACTACTAGAGCCCTTGTCAACTCGAGCGTGGCGGACATAACACAGGACAACGATAGAGCAAGATTTCGACATGAGACCACCAGGTGTTGTATCCCAAGAGGATAGATCTTTCCCTTGAGATGATCAAACTCACTAAAGAAGCATCCAGATCATGCACGATGTTTTAGCTACGCAATCAAGCTCGTTTCTCGGGAAATCCGGGAGAAAAGCCCTCAACTTCGGTTAGATATGCATCGTGCTGATAAAGAGCCCGGAGTACAGGTTGTTATCTAGGATAAAGAAATCGAGTGAAGGCATGCATGCATCGTGATAGTCGACGGGCTGATAACGTTAAATACGTGGACTACGAGCAAAAGTGCATGCTCGAGCTGCAACAGGCATTCATAAACGAAAGGCTGCAGATATGTGAAGAAGCCTCCCCGGTCCCTGCCTGCATATGTGGTGGATTGGGATGAGCAACGGATTTTGCACGAAGCAGGAGCGTGTAATGCACCCACCGACGTGTAGATCAGGGACTAGCCAGGTTCATTTCCGACCAAGTTTTCCCTTGCATTAATGCATGCCAGTCATTGCCCCTTGCCCACAGCTTCGGATGCGTTTCGTATTTGCCCGCCCAATCAGTGAAGCTTTGTTGCTCCACCCCCAACTCTTGTTTTTTGATAGACGAATTGGCACGATAAGGGAATATCGAATAGTTGTACGATACATGCTTACATGGTACTGCTAATGCAATGTCATTGTTACAATTTCAAAGCGAGGTCATAGTCTCGGATGTAGCTGCCCTAGTAAACATGTGCATTTCGAGGACCCGGGATATGGTGGGGATGTCCGAAATCACGACTTTGCATTAAAACAGATCAACGGAAAATGGGACGACATATCGACCGGTCAAGCGTTGCTCACTCAGCTCCTGGAATAAGTGCTGATCTCCTTCCATGCGGCTTCTCTTGGCTGATGCGCAGGTTAATTATATCCGTCGCGATAGTGGGGTACAAGGGGATTAACAGGCGGACTTAATCGTACAGTAAGTGGAAAAAGCATCTGTATATTAGAAATAGCACTATTGAAGGCGCTGGAGACAGAACCCTGATTAGGATTGTTGGTTTTGTGAGATGAGACGCCTCTTACGAGATGGCTTTGGGAGGCGGCCATCAGCTTCTGGAACGGCGCCACTAGCTTCAGCGGCTCGTATTCAAGGTGAAAGACTAGCCCGATTCTATTACATGTACATTGATTATCGCAGTGGCACTGGTGCATACTCGAGGCATCATCGTCAGTCCGGATATGGTGCTCGTGTAGTAGTCGTGTGTTTCTGACGTGGAGCTCAAGAGGTGGCAACAGTCCTGGTCCATGTCCAGGCTGAATGATAGCATCTATAGTCCTTGGTTGGTCCACAAGAACTGATAAGGGAAGAACAGAGGTCGGATGAAATGAATAGCATGACAGGGGAGGTTTCTTAGTCATTAGATGTTGGTATGATGTTACAAGTGTCATGGAGAAGTGACAGCGGAGCGGAGTGGAGTGGAGCGGAATTGTGCTGCCCCGCACTTGTGATCAACAATGATGACTAATCACAATTTCCACGCATGCAAACGCAGCAAACTTCCAATACCATTTCTCGCGTGCGCAAGAGGAACCTATCAGTGAAGGACATCAAGCTTTGCAATGGCCTCGACACTGAAGGCACAAAGGTAAGAATCTTTAAAAACTAGCAGTTGCATCATTTCTAACATCTCATAGCAAGGATGCGCCCACCAACCCCCGCGGTATCCCCGTGGCACCATTTGTTGACCGGGTGGAGGATTATGTTACCGACCGCTCGGAGGTGGAGAGCACCATGAACAGTTTCAAGGAGATGATCTCGTACGTAAAAGGCTGCCTGAGGACGCTCACGCGATCGCGCGACTCATGCATATCTACCAGGAAATACCAGTTCATGGAGGCAAATACACAAAGGCGTGCGGCGGGGCTACAGGACAAGATTCCAGATATCAAGAAGACACTTGAGACGGTGCGATTCTTGAAGGCCAGGAAGGTACACAATATGCCTGAGGGATGGAGATGGGAATACAAGCAATTGGAACTGACATTCCATTTTCAGGAAGATGCTGAACCCATCGAAACCACGTTCGAACTGAACGAGACGCTATACGCTAAAGCTGAGGTACCACATACGGAAGAGGTGTATCTTTGGTTGGGTGCAAACGTCATGCTCGCTTACCCCGTGCCTGAGGCCGAGGAATTGCTCACATCAAAGCTGGATACCGCCCAAAAAAGCCTGGCGACGTGCGAGGAGGACATGGAGTTCTTGAGAGAGCAGATCACGGTGAGTTCAGAACTTTGATTCCCATATGGTATCAACTTCTTTAGCTAACTCCCTCCAGACTTTGGAGGTGGCATTTGCTCGTGTGTACAACTGGGATGTAGCGCAGCGTCGGAAGGACCGCGAAGCAGGCGAATCAATAGAGGACAAGAAAGGACCCTCTCCCAATGGATAAGCGTAGCATAGCTTCACTTGGTTTACCTTATTGGGGAGTTCACTGGCTATCGACTTGTCGATTCACTCCGAACAACAATAGAACAAAAGTTCACTTCCTCAAACATTCAGATTCTGCTCCATTGTATCATGTTGGTCGATGTATCTTGACTAGAATAACGTGATATTGCATCAACTACCAACCTTCGTTTACCTGAATTCATATCCCTATTCTTCATCAAATGTGCCAACTTGCACAAGAGATGTCATGTTTGTTCTTGATATCAGCTATTGAAATCACTTCCCGGCCTATCAAGCAGCTGCATGTGCCCTCTCGACAATATGGCAAATTAAATCTCGCACTGAGGTTCGCATTTGCATACTGATTTTCCCAATTTTGGGGTCCGCCACGAGTTACCGAAGAATAAGAGAGGGGCAGATGAGGCTCCACTAACGTAGCTTCCACGAAAAAAGAGAAAGAACGCCGAGACCGGCGCGAACAACCACTCGCTATCCCTTTCTTTTGTGACCTCAACCACGATACTTCTTCAAATAAATTCAAGCATTCTGAAATTCTCTGGCTGATATAGCACACACAAGATTCCTTCGGCACATGATAGAGTTGGTTGACTAACGTCGTGAAGAGGAGTTTCGCCCCGCTGGGAGTCCATTATTGTGGAAGCATTCACAAACTCGAAGCTCGAAATCCAACATTAAAAACGCAAAAAGAAAGAAGAAACTGTAATGCCAGTATACATTGATAAGACTGTTTCAGTATCCTAAAAGGCTCAAAAATCGGCCATTCAATTTTCGACTTCACACACACAAAAAGACAACCTCGGGCACAAGTTTTTTTGTTTTGTATATCTTAAAAGGAGAAGTCCACCTCCGAAAATAATAAAAGACAACAGCAAGAATGTCTACACAAAAACCAGCCTCCAAGCTCTCATCCATTATCGCCACAAACAAACCAATAGTGCGTCACACCCCTCCACACAATCTCCTCTCCGGACCATCAGATTCCTCCTTAGGACAGCATCTAATTTCCTCACCCATTCACGTATAGGTTTTGGACGGCGCCCTAGCAACATATCTGGAAATTCTAGGCGCAGGTAACAACCCTCGACCCTCTTAATTCTCTCTCTTCTATCAATCTAACCACATCCCCCTAAACAAACAGACATCTCAACCGCTCTCTGGTCCGCAACCCTTCTAACAACGGCACCGCATCTGATCACACGAGCGCACTACGACTACTTCGCAGCGGGCGCTTCAATCGCAATCACCGCATCCTATCAAGCCGGTATCCCGGGACTAGTCCAGCACCTCAACATCGATGAAGCATCCGCGCGTGACCTTGTCAAGAAAAGCGTAGAGTTGGCGGGAGAGGCGCGGCATCAATTCCTCACCACATCCTCCGAGGCGGGAAATGAAAGAGGAAGGGATCTGTTGATCGCAGGAAGTGTAGGACCCTACGGCGCATACCTCGCCAATGGCAGCGAGTATACCGGATCCTACAGCGCGACTATGACTGCATCCTCTCTGAAAGATTTCCACCGCGGACGTGTCGCTGCGTTGATTGAAGCTGGCGTGGATTGTTTGGCTATTGAGACGATCCCGTCGTATGTTGAGACGGTCGCGCTGTGTGAGTTGTTGAGAGAGGAGTTTGCAGGTGTGGAGGCGTGGTTCGCGTTTACGCTTTATCAACAATCCCCGGAAGAAATTGAAAGGGAAGGGGATGGTGGACCACGGATCCCAGATGGGACGCCGATGGCGGATGTCCTTGCGTTGTTGGAGAAAGAGGATAGTGTTGTTGCGGTGGGGGTAAATTGTGTGGCCGAGGAGGTTGCGATGGAAGCATTAGAGGGAATGAAGGGATTGACGAAAAAGCCGTTTGTTGTGTATCCGAATTCGGGTGAGGTGTGGGATGCGGTGGGTAGGAAGTGGGATGGGGAGAGGAAGGGAGGGGATGGGTTGGTGGCGAGGACCAAGGGGTTTTGGGAGATTGGGGCCAGGATATTGGGAGGGTGCTGTAGGAGTACGCCCGAGGATATCAGTGTCATTGCGAAGATAATGGAGGGATTGCAAGAGATCTAGTACTTGCGCGCGGAGAAGGGAAGGGAGGGGATGGGTTGGTGGCGAGGACTAAGGGGTTTTGGGAGATTGGGGCTAGGATATTGGGAGGGTGCTGTAGGAGTACGCCCGAGGATATCAGTGTCATTGCGAAGACAATGGAGGGATTGCAAGAGATCTAGTACTTGCGCGCGGAGAAGGGAAGTAGGGAAGTGCTAGTCGGGCTAAGGACATAGTCATGAGCATCTGAGTCTGGAGATCGAAAATATGCCAATCGATTCGATTGAAGCTTCTGCATTATGATATATCAGGGAATCTCACAGTACGTGAGCCACCATTCCCTTGAGAAGGTCAGAAATCCCCAAAAGGAGGAAGAGTATCTCAAACAATCCCCTTGTCCCCTAAATTTTCCCGCTTTCGCCTTTGTGAACCAATAAAAACAAATTCTCGAACAGAAGAACGCCTTCCACCGCCATCCTAAGCCAAGAAGACCTACTTCGCAGGTTTAGGCAGATATGCACCACCGGCGAGTACCAAGTTCATCCGCGTGAAAGCAACCTTGTATACAGGACTCTCCTTTGTCTGGAAAGCACTGATCTGATCCGCTGACACCCCAGTTTCTTTTGCAGCCTTCTTATTACCGCTGACAGGTGCACCCGAAGCTCCTTTAGTACTTAGAGCGCCGTCTGCCTTGGCGGCGGCGGCCGCATCTCCCGCCTTTGATGCCGACTCGTTCGTCTCCTGGATGGCGTCCCACACTCTAACGGTCTGATCGGCGCCCGCTGATACTAAGATAGTCGACTCGACGCTCCATGAGAGCGAGTAGATGCCCCCTTTCCCGTGACCGCGCATGCGTTTCTTCCTCCGACCAGTTTCGAGCGTCCACAAGATGATGTTGCCAGCATCGTCACCACTAGCGAGAGTCTTACCATCGGGGGAGCATGCAATAGCCGTCACATTCCCGGGATGTCCGGTGAAGAGGCGCAGACAGTTACCGCCGGACATGTGCCACATTCGCACCGTTCTGTCACAGGAGCCAGTAAAGACGTAGAAGTTGTTGGGGTGGAAGGCCACGCAGTCGACATCATTGTCGTGGCCTACATAAATACGCAGCGGCTCGATGTGGTCGGTCGACCATAGCCTCGCAGTGCGGTCGTTGGAACCTGTCAAGAAGTAGTGTCCAAAAGGTCCCCACTGCAAATCCCAGATGGGGTTGTCATGGCCACGGTATGCGACCAAGCACTGCCACATGTCCAAAGACCATAGCCGAACAGTCTTATCTTCCGAAGCCGAAAGCAAGAATTGCGAGTTCGTCGGAGGTCCATTTGGATCGGGATTCACGGTGGACGGAGAGAAAGCGACAGCGTAAATCGGGCCCGAATGCCCGACCAAACGGCGGGACGAAGACGGTTGGCTGTTTTCGGCCACGGACGATGTAAGCTCACTGCCGTCCATAGACCAGACACGGATATAAGACTCAGCCATGCCGGCTGCCACGAGTTTGTTATCCCCGGAGAAGTCGATGCAGTTGATGCTACCTTGAATGTCAGTGATACGGCGACATGATATATTGGTCTATGCTTACCTGTCAAACGTGTTGTGGAACGTGTACATGGTTACGCTCACACCAGGTCCGACACCACCAGTACGGGTGTTCTCCAGCCTGTAGCGGTCACGGTGCTCAATAACTTTCTGGACCTCCATTGAAACATCCCTTGCCATAGAAGGTGGAATTGGAATGGTGTCTCTCGAAGGTACATCGTCAGTGGGTTCTCGCTTTATACGCTGTTCATATTCGTCCACGAGAGATGTTTGCCCTGGTCTTGGCATCGTCTTGGCATCCTCGTCCTGTAAGGCTGCACGTACATCGTCTTGCAGATCTTGATCTTGCGGATATGGGCCTAGAGCGAGGCGAATTCTAGCTGCATCGGCATCGGCGTCATATCGCTGTGTGTTTGGATGTCCCGGCGCGTGACCGGGAATACCTTCATCTTCGGCAGGCAGTTCATCCTCGCCCTGTCCACTTGCAAGAATAGCCGCAATACTCTTCTCCGCGGTGGTTGTCCGATCTACGGTGACGATTTGCAGGTGCGCTCGTATCAAATCTGTGATGACCTGTCCGCCATCCCATTGCTTCGACTCCAGAAACTGTATCATGTTGTAGAACGGCATCGTGGTCATGGTGATGCGGTATTTGTTCTCGAGATATAGTTTGGCTACGCGATTGTCCGTTAAGTGTGCCGGGAGTCTCAATGCCCCCAACGTCTTGATATCGTCAGTGTGGTCGCGCTCGAACAGGTTTCGATAGTCAGCAAAGAATTTCTCTGCGTCTTTGCTGAAGAAATCGCGGATAAGGTCTAGAAATGAGTATACGAATATAGGCCAGAGGAGCTTGCGGAGCTCGGGCTTGTATACGTCCAAAACGTCGTCGGTATAGGTTCGCAACAGATCGAAAGCCTTCTTGTATTTGGGTCTGCCCTGCTCAGCGCTCTGAGAGACGAGCGAAGTTCCATTTGCGCCGGCAGGCTCCGATTCCTTGCGTAGCATTGCTTCTGTGCGTACATAGCCCTTTTTGCTAAGATATTCTAATACCTGAAGCATGTTAGTTAGTGATACGAGGTTTCAGCTGCGGAATATAATGTAAAACCAGCAACGAAAACCCCCGGGTGTCCAATATACGAACTGAGATTTTTGAGAAATTCGACGGCAGTTGGGATTCAGTTTGGGATAATGGAGGATATATAGGAGAGGGTGGCGATCTCAATGCGGAAGAATTGGGCTCTGCCCATTTTTTTTTTGAGTGGGATGCTCCTCTTGTTTAAAGACATGACAGCTGTGCGAATATGTGGGTGAGGCGTGTGAACGTGAAAGACCCAAACCGGTGTGCAGAGGGAATAGCATAACATGCGCAGATGCAGTACCACCAAGACCAATCATGTACTCTTCAAGCAAACTTTACATGAATAGCACAAATCGCGAGATGCCACGCAGGTACATGGAAAGTGGTGCTGGACGGTTAAGATGAAATGAGATGAAAAAAGGCAGAGGTGTAGTGAGAAGGAAGCCGAAAGGAAGGAAGCATCAATGAGGTATGAAAGGGCGATCTTGCTTACTATTTGGTTGAGATTCTGCGTCTGGGGCACTGAAGATGCTCCCGTGGGCGGAGGCACTGAGTTCTGTTGCGGCGGCATGGCATGCTGAGGCGGAAGTCCAGCGCTGGGAGGACCGTTGCCCACGCTCATTGCGCGACCGGGACCAGGCCCTGGAGGGGGCCCGGACATTTCTTCTGATCTTATTCCCTCTCTTGCGCTGCTCCCAAGTATGCGACACGCGCGTGTCTTTCCTTCTCTTTGGATCGATAATGACGAGAGGTAATCGCGTGCGAGGTTGTGATAGTAGAGCGCCGTTGGGGTGGAAGAATGTTGAGTTGGCGAGTGAAAATTCGAGGGGGGAATTTCGGGCGCGTAATTAGAGGCGAGGTTTTTCTGCTTGAATGTGAGATGTGATGAGGGGTGTCGGATTGCTCGTCGGCGAAGCTCGAAGCCCAGGCGCAAGTCAGTCAGTCGAAGGTGGAGGTGAAGGTCGGAGCTGGCTGCATGATGCCTGTCCGCCAAGCCCTGTCGCGGGGAGCAGAGCATAGCAACATTTGAAGGTACCACTTCCACCTACATTCACCATCCATTCCACCCTCCGATCACCACTACAATAATAACAACATTCCCCAAATAATTAATTCACTTTGACTACAACTACACATGCAAAACGTATTGACAAGAAGCATGTACATTCGTCCATAGTCGCCTCTTCAAATTACATGCAATCCATTACCAAAACGCCCTCTCGCCTTCCCCAACCTACACAATGACGACCACACCACACCCAGAAGAACCCACATCGCCACAACAGCCCTATCGCGAAGTTGCAGCGACCCATATCCGACACCTCTCTACCCTCTCCCAGCGCCTGCCGGGCATCCTCACCACTTCTGCAACCACTCTCTCACAACTCACCAACGCTCCAATCCCGTCGGCCGATAACAATGCAGGTTCTGACTCGCCTGCAGCCCGTCGCGCCGCTCTTTCCTCCAGCGCAAATGAGTTCTACACGTCAGTACTAGCCCTGCGCACCGCACTGCACGCACAAATCGACGAGCTGGAGAAGCACGGCGTGATTCCTGCAGACGAAGTCCGCTTTAAGGGAGTGGTACAGCAGCCTGCAGGCGCTGGTGCTGGTGCTGGTGCTGGAGCAGCCGCTGCTGCTAGCGATAACGCTGATGGGGGCGCCGGATCAAAAGAAAAGAAGGTTGATCCGCAGGCGAGCGTGACAAACAACGGACTGGGTTCATTTGACGTGGGCATCCTCAACGCGAGAGCTGGTGTACGACAGAAGGATGGGGAGGAGGTATTGGCGAGAATGAAGCGCGTGGTAGATGGGTTAGTGGAGAGGGCCGGAGGGGAAGAGGATAGTGGCGATCAAGATCAGGAAATGAAGGATGGCTGAACAGAGCGAAAGAGGACTAACTATGAAGGATACCCTTCCGATGATAGCCACATTCAACTCAGCATACCATGCCGCAACTCTCTCTATAGAGCTACGAACAACAACGGTATCTGCCGTCCGCAACAGCCAATCAAGAGCTTCCGACGTCGCAAATTTGGAATACCGCTATTCCGGACAAAGGAGCTTTTCCTCTAGCCGGAGTCACCTACCCATACACCTAGGGTACCGGACAAAAGCTCATTTTTTACGATTACAAAATTCGGTATAACATGGCTCCAAATGCAAAAAGAGTATCACAGATATCTTGCACTCCAATCAATGTCTACACTTCGATTGGCAGAATTTCAGATCAAACCACATCTCGAACCGACTACGTTGATTCCCCTGGCTCAGACAATGAAGCTGTGATCACCGTATATATACATAACTTTCAACTATCACGAAAAACCTCCGCATCCTGTCTCGACGCGTGAATATCACCCATGTCCGCTTTTCCAGTCAGATCCATCTAAGATCTGAATATGCGGGTTATTCATTGGTTTGTGATGCTTTTGAAAGGCGACGTTCTGTTCTGTTTCGTTTTTCAAAAGCATCACCCACTACTGGAGTGCTCACATACTCAAATTATTTGGTCTGTGAAACTTTGGGATATCACGCTCGAAGCCAGGTTATCTCCATGGATATTGTGTAGAGCAGCGAGATCATTTCCAGCAGACGTTCGAAAGGATCCAGAAGCGAGAGCTAGTCTAATGAACGATTATATACATAAACCAACCCGTCACTTTGTGAAAGATCCAAATCATCTACATAAGCGTGCACTTGGAGTCTTTGACATCGGAACCTGATCCAGCAATAGCCAGCCGAGTAGACGCTTCAAACACAGCTCTAAGCCCTTGCCCAGTTCGCGCAGAACACTCAATATAGGCATCCGCGCCGATCTTCTTCGCCGTACGCAATCCCTCATGAAACGACACAGGCGTCTCTCTGGTCCTTTTAAGTTCGTGAATCGTTCTTTCATCATCGCGAAGATCAACCTTCAGCGCCGTAAGCACAACAGGCACTCCCGCGCAAAAATGCGCTATCTCAGGAGTATACTGTTCAATCACGATATCCAACGACTCAGGCGAGTCCACACTATACGCCATCAGAATAACATGACTGTCTGGATACGACATCGGTCGCAGCCGATCATAGTCTATCTGGCCAGCCGTATCCCATAACGCGAGCTCTAGATGATTGGAATCGATATCGACATCTGCTACGTAGTTCTCGAAGACGGTGGGGACGTAGACTTCGGGGAATGTGCCTTTACTAAAGACGATGAGGGCACAAGTTTTTCCGCAGGCCCCGGGCCCGACGATGACTAGCTTTCGCTTGTGATCTTCTGGGAGGGCGTGATAAGGAGGGGGGCTGCCAGTGTCGTTCATCCAGCAGACGTGGCCGAAAGGTGGTGGGGGGTTCTTGAGGGATAGTTCGTAGGGAGGAGGGGGCGTTGGAGAGCGTGTCGACACGTGTTTCTGCGACTTTTTGGATTTTGTTGTGCCTTTGGGAAGTTTTTTGATACTAAGTTCACCTGATAGGGTTGGCTTTGATTTTCCGGACGATTGGCTTTGCTGTGCAAAGGGTCGCTGGCTATCTTGGGGAGTGACAGCTCGCTCATCCCCTAAATTCCACTGCCTCCATAGATCAGATAGATCAGATTCTGTCCTTTGGGGTAGACTTGGCTTGAATTGGAGGTCTCTTTGTAGAGATCCTAGATATAAACTCTGGTTATCTTTTTGAGGAGGTTGGAGCTCCAGTTGCGGCGAAAGAGACGCTGTTTTCAGTCGTAGCGCTGTACTGTAGCTACATAGACAGGTGACAATGTCGTTAATGATGTTTTCAGCTTCCATCATTGAATAGCTTGGAGTCTGATATCCTCGTTCCCGCAGATATGCAATCAAGGTTTCAGGAGAGTCTGGCTGGGAACTGCCCACTATTGCCATAACATATGTGCTCAACTCTTTCCTTACTCGATCTGTAACAAGTCAGTACGTCCCCTCTTTTTCACATTTCTGACATCGTCAGAATTCAGGGCAGCGATACTTCTTGGGTTATTGGGGTACCAGTATATAGGATCTACTTGGAGGGCCAGAGAGAGCAGCAATGGCCCGATGACATTTGTCACGAAATCGTGACCGTCGGTAGCTCCCAGTTTGTATTGTAGATCTGATCTTGCCAGATTGATCTCCCATTCCTTCAATCGACTGGCTGAGTCTATCAACCCTAATCCCAGTCTCAGTTGTTCGTCGGCATTACGAGCCCAACTCTTGTGAACGGATACTGCGATAGTTCCAATTTCTCTAGCACAAAGACGAGCCAGAGGGCTTATATTGATTGAATCATTCATTTTTGAGGTCGGCAGAAAGTAGTTTTATTTCCGAGTGTTCTTCACTGAGAATGCGTTTGTTCAAATGCCAACTCTTAGCATGTGTCAATCTTCAAGGTAGCGACAGCGAAAAAAGCAACTGCGATACGAGGTGCCCCGCACGAGGCTGGATTTCACACTTGCTCCTCCCACAACTTGACCGAGGCATAGTTTTCTTTTCTTCTACCCATCTCCGGACTATACCAACACACTGAATTGTGGATCATGGAGGTTGCCGGTCTGGTATTGTCGGCGGCTGCATTTGTGGACGTCGCGATCAAGTCCCAGAGTGCGTTGGTCAAATTAGCCCGCGAATATCCTGAAGCAAGAGCCCAGATATCGAGCGCAGGGATTAGACTCGAAGCTCAGAGATATACTCTGGAGCTATGGCACATGTCTTGGATCAAGAAGGCTGAGAGCCAGAAGCACGGGGATTCCGCGGACAAGTTTCGAGCACTGTGGGGTGATGATGGGTATGACCTGATACTAAAATGTCTGGCTCAGTTGAACGCTCGGTTTGGTGAGGCTTTACGTACGTTGCGATCAATCAGTCCCGAGTTCTCATCGGAATATACTACTACTTCAAATTCGCTTGGTGTATCGCTCCTCGGAAGTACAGTGAACGATAAACCCGATCCTTCCAAAACAAAGATACGGTATTCCTTCGACTCGAGGAAGACAGACCTGAAGGAACAATTGCTTTCTATTAGCTCAAGATCTCTCAAATTCTGGAAACGACCGTCCATACCACCATCACCATCAGTCGCGAGTGCCTCCCCAGCTTCGACTAGCCAGGATCAGGACAGTCTAATCAAGGAGCAGACTTTGACTCCGGGGACAAAATTCAAATGGTCTCTAGGCTTAAAAGATGAGTTGAGATTACTTATTGACGAGATTGATGACTGGCTCAAGCAGCTAGACACACTTTCACTGCGTTGCGAAGCAGAGCAAAAGTCATCCAGGAACATCAGGGCTGCTGGCAGCTTGAGAGGAATCAGAGCTGCAGCTAGCGCGCTTTACTCCGTGGTGATCAAAGACATACCACAGAATGAGCTACAATTCAAACTTGAGCAAGAAAGGGCTGATTCCGGTTACTTTGACCAATTCTTGGGCCCCATTGAATATCTTGATCGAGCAAATTCGTTCAAATTCCCTCTTCTCGTGACCAGCGAGAGGTCGGTGAAGAATCCGTTCCTTCTTGTTGCCGAAGTACTGGACGAAGGACCTGCTACTGAGATGCTAAAGGGCAAGGGTAAAATTAAGACGATGGAAGAAATTCTCGCCGCACTCAAGAAGGCAAACTCGGAGGCTACAACAACTGCGAATTTAATAAGTGGGGCCAAATCCTCTGAGCCAATACTCCTCCAGTGTTCACGAACAGTTATTGCAATTCACGCTATCCCAATCCTGAGCATCACCAACCAAACAGCTCCTCGCTGCACATACACTGAGCTTCTCGAAGCAGAATCCGCCATTGATCCATTGATCGCCCGCTGGAAACGCATTCAGCTAGCCTGTATTATTGCCGTCTCGGTCTTGCATCTCTACGAAACAGGCTGGTTGTCCGAGAACCTCGAGATGGCAGACTTTCTATTCTTCGGAACGGCGAACAGCCACTACCACCTCCATTCATGTATGGCACCGTATATATCTCCCAAAGATCCAAAGCCTCATATGCAAACACCATTTGAGTGCTTAAAGGGAGCCGGAGATCCGCAAACGTATCTGGGCGCTCGAGACCAGAGACTTGCGACATTGTTCCATCGCCTTGGTATTGTACTCTTCGAGCTGGGTCGCGGGATGGATTACAGAACTATCGCAGCTATGTCGAACGAAGAATATGCAGGCCTCAAGCCGGAAGACATCGAAATGTTGCGTAAATCGAAAGTTATACAGGAGATTGAGAAAATACCTTTTGGCAGGAGCTATGCAGATTTAGTCAAGTTTTGCTTGACTGGAAGACTATATGCAACTAGTTTGATAGATTTCGATCGCAGATTTAATGAGGCTGTTGTAGAGAAGCTGGGAAGGTTAGAGATGCATTTCAGCGCGATATTAGAGGACGAATAGACGTCGCGAAACAGAAACTGACTCGTTCAGACTTTATGTGAGAGCATCAAGATTACCTTATTACTATTGAATAACATGATTATCGTGAAGAGAATAAAGTAAGATACAGTAGCTGCACCATTCAGTTTGTCTTTCCTGTTAATCTAATTGATCAACGCTTGATCCATCGGAGTCCCAACGCCATTGAACTGCGTAAATGTCAGAATGGGTGCAACGGTGGAAGGCTGATTTTGCCGGGAGTGTACTTTGCGAGGCGTTGGTAGACTGATACCCTGATTCGAACCCCCATCATCTTGCAAGAAATTTCAATGATATCGGATGCAAGCTAAATCTCAACAATGGGCCCTTTGTGAGATGGAGTTTGGGTGATCCTACACACAGCGACAGATTTATAACCAACTACTACTTCATTCCAGTTCATTCCGTCCAGCTTTTGAATGCTTAGGCCATCGAGCTAAAATCTTATCGGTGTTATGCCACTGCTCTCATTTCTTTGTCTACACAATAGTAATTGCCTGCTCAGGAATATTTAGAAAGATCCCGCCTCCATAAGGGTCAACCGAGTTGCGGGGACCGGCAATCCTAACAATTCCTATCCGCTCGTAAGCGTTTGTATGGGATGCCGATTGCCTCAGGACGAGCGAAACTAGATTCTCTCTCTCAAAGTTGCGCAACAGGCTCATCCGAATGCAATACACCGGCGTTCCTGATTCTACGAACCCATGACCTTCCGCATCCAGACAGTAATCCGCATCTACTCGCAGTCGATTATCTCCGACTTGAATATATGGGCAGAACACTTGTTGGCCGTTTCGCAGTTCAGTGTCCCACTGCAGTGTACACTCGACCACGAGCCCTGAGATCCTCAGCACCCCGCGAGCGATGGAGCCGAATTCGTCAATGGCCGATGGCGTAACGCTGACTCGGAGAATTTTACTGAAGTGATCTCGTGGCTGTACAGTCTCTACCATCGGCCCATCCAACGTGGTGAACATGATCCCATCCCAATAGCTAACGGGTGTTTCAACGCTTGCCCATGACCAGCTCGGCGCATTGAGTACACTCTCGCGGGACTTCCTTTTTCGAGGAGAATATACGGTCCATAGAAGATCTTCGTTCAAGCTGTCTTTCCATAGACCAGCTACGTACGCGGATCCGCGAATCGTCGATAACTGTCTTGCCATGCCACCTACGGCCGGTAACCGATCCTTCGACTTCGTCAGGAAGAGATTCGTATAAGAAGAAACCAACGTGCGCCACAGTCGCATTCGATGATGATGCACCGCTTCTAGATCCTCCTCGAATTCAACAGCATCATGACCCGAGATGGCATCCGCATATACTATTTTGAGCAGGAGCACCTGGCTCTCCATACTCGTATCGTGATAAGCGATATACCCGCATTCGCAGCTGACACCGGATTTGCATTCGAAGAACAGCTCGTCGCGTCCAAAATGCACAATTCGTGTTGACAGCATGCGTTCTTGGTATACCCACGCTCGCGTCAGCAACGGGTACCGCTTCTCGGTCGCCTCACCCATGTTATCGATGTGGTGCTCAATCGCTTCTCGGAAGTAAAGATTATAGGGTTCTCCTGTAGCGCGCGTACCGCTAACTTTGATGTCTGAGGGCGAGCGGAACAATCCCCCGCGGCTATCGTGAGAGCTCGTCGCTGCGATGGTTAGGTGGCTGTTGCTGTATATATCTGCCATTCTTGCAGACTCAATCTCCCAGTCACTGGCACTGTCTTGTACGATGCACAGTGAGTCGATCCAGATGTATTCGATTCCCAGATCTCGGGTGAGGGTTATAGCGTGTTGGAACGTTTTCGTTAATTCGTCCCACGGGATCTGCAATGTCCTACTACGGAGGTTGGAAGTTATAGTGGTGTTGATCGGCTCGCGTCCCCAACAGTGACTTAGACAAATATACTTCGCCTTCCGCCCTTTGCTCTCAACGAGTTTCACTGTGCCACTTTTAAGACCCACATCTACCACTCGCGTAGGGAGCGGCGGGTATTCTGGAATCTCACAGCTGCTATACGGAGCGTAATCACTGACTATGCACCGAGAAATCCACTGTTTGATGGTGGCCAGAGCCATTGCTGAGTCCGTCTGCTGGCACGTCCGGCTCCTGGTGGGATTAAACTCCCAAACGCAGTGACTGCTCCCGGAGTTCTCGGAGGTCTCGTCTTCGCTGGCGAACATTTCAATCTCCAAGCATTCTCCATTCGCTAGGTGGAATGTTATTCGCTTTTCCAAGTCTTGCGGCTCGTCTTCGTCATCGTCATCTTCATCATCATCATCTGCCTCTCCTTGATCCTCATCGCTCGAAACCTCCGAAGATGATGGGTACATAAACCGAAGACCACCGTATATAATATCCTCTTCACCAACACCATTCTTTCTCAAAATGCCGGTGCAGCCTTGCACCAGGATCTCGCACGTCGAACATGAAACCGCTCTCGTTTTCAACGCAGCCCAGGAAAACCGCTCTACTTCGACGTTCCGTTCCCCTTCGCCTTCATCATTTTCACTGTCTTTATCGTTCTCGCTGTGTTCTCGCTGTTTTCTCTGGAAATCGTGACATATCGCGCAGGGCATTTCCTTCTGCCTCTATAACTTTCGACAAAGATGTCACTCGATACAGCGTAATAACATTGAAAGGGAAAGAAAACGTATGAGTGACAATATCCTTCCTAAGTCGCTAGAATCGATCAATAAAAATGTATTTATCTTGGAGTTGTTCGGCGAGAGATTGGCAGGATCAGGATCAGCGTGAGTCATTATTGGTATTCATCGTGTCGTCTAGGCGGCTGCCTATTTAGGCCAATCACGCGAGGAGCAGGAATAAAGAGGATCGAGGAGGGTGTTTTGAATGCCTGATGTGATGCCTGAGGGATTTTGCGAGATTTTTAGTCGCTGGAAGATTGGAGAATATATCGTTAAGATCAGGAGAGAGATTATTCTTGAGTTGGATTAATATATCAGAACAGATCACACGGAGAATCCTACAAACCGATACCGAATCAAAGGACCGGAATCGGTACTACTGGGAATGCTGTATAGCAATATACACTGTTTGTTTAATCGTCCTGTATCAACACACCACTTCCAACATGTTGTTCACGATTATTAGTTTCCCCACGCGATGTCCTTGGGGACCTCGAAGATTCAAAGAGAAACGCCAAACGCTATGCATTTTCGATACTATGAGAGCGCGGGATATAACTTTATCTTTTCAACTAAACAATGGTGCCTCCATGCAGCCCAAAGCAACTTTTCCAAGTAAGCAAGCCATGGTCTTTCCAATGCGCAATCTTCTCATCTACTTCTTATGCCTCATATCCACCATCTCGAGCGGGGCATTTCGCAGTTCGACAACGTGGCCCGGTTTCAGCGCTTCGGTGTAGATGTTATCAACGTTATGTGGGTGGAATATTCCAGGTTGCGTGCAACTCAAGATCGCTTGCTTGCCCGGGGGGTCTGTGAGGCGGAAACAACCCCAGCTAATTGTTGTCAGTATGAACATGTCAGAAGAAAAGGGGGGTAATATCCAAACATACCTAGGCTCTTTGCTTGGCGCGCAAACAATGGCGATGCTTTCCTGCATCATAACCTGATACCCGACATGCGTGTGCAAATCGCGACTGCTCATGAAGCACGTCTGACTAGGATGTGTGTGGATCCACCCCAGCACCATCAGCTCCTCGCTGTCGCAATAGTCAAACAACTCGCTCTCGTTGGTCATTTCGCATGTATCCGATGTGCTAGTTTGCGAAGGGATTACAAGACGCGTGATAAAAAGCGCGTTATTCTTAAGAATCCCGCAGAGCATGCCACATGTTTCCAGGTTGAGTCGCGTATTGCTGGATGCTGCTTGGAGGAAGAGAGCGCGGAGTTGCGATGGGAGGAAGATGGAACGGAGTGGATCGCCATTTTCGAGGTATGCGGAAGGTTTGAAGGTGAACTCGTCGAGATCCGGTCCTGGAGTAGTTGGACGGGGTGAGGGGATCTTCTCGGGGATAGGTGGCCCTGATGGTACAGGCTGAACGTATTTGCCCGGAACCGGTGGAGGAGGCGGCCGTTCGTAAGAGGGAGGCGGGGGTGGCATAGGAGGTTTCGGCGGTAAGGCCGGAGGTCGGGGAGCAGAGTCTCGACGGAGAGATTCTTTAGGCGGCCGAACTGGGGCAGGGTCCGAGGACGGGAGCCGTATGTCTGAAGGCAGCCATTGTTCTTGAGTGGCGTGGTTGGGAACGGTCGGATAGTGGTACGAGGAAGATGACTGGAAAGAGGGTGATGCAGAATTGTAGTGCGATGTTCGATGACCATTCTGGTGCATTTGCCCAATTGCCTGAAGCTGCTGTGATAGGTCATCATCTTCATCACGGCTCTGCCTTCTGAGATCCGTCTCCCAGTCTTTCCACATGCCTCCCGTCCTCCTCACTAGCTCCTCCTCTTCCGAGACTCCAGCTTGCCGTACGCTTCTTCGTGCAGCATCTCTTCGCTGGACTTCTCGTTGTGCTAATCTCGCCGCCAATGACTGGTTGCCCGCAGCATCTAATGTCATTCGGTCATAGCTCCACCTGCCCTTGTCGTAGGACGAGGTGCCATCCAGCTCCTGAGGCAAAGCTCCTCCTTTTCCTTCCAGCGACTCCAGTGCCCTGGCCTGGGATCTTCTTCGTTTCAGCCATTCTTCGTGTCTCTTCTTGATGCGCGGTCTTATTTCTTCAAGCTTCTGTAAATCGGCGGGCAACGTCGCGGTGGCTGCCTGGAGCGCCTTGCGATACTCGGGTAAGTTCTTTTGTGGGTGGTTCTGGAGGTGTTCGAGGATGAGATTCGCATGACGGTATAAAATCACGTAGGCTTGCGCGTCGTTGCCTTCTGCCTCGTAGACTTGGGCTTCTCTCTGCATATTGCTGGCGGTGCGCAGCCAGTTTTTGAGCGGAATATAAGCATTGTACTGGTAGTTCGAAGCTTGATCCGTAAGCTGCTGCACACTCTCGGGAGCGCCCATGGTGGACATGTTGATGTAGGAATCCTCCCCAACTGCGCCTGGAAGCGGTACGATGGGACGTAGGTGGTGTGAGGACTACTGCTTTTTGGACGCAGGAACAATAGTCTTCACCTCACCGACAAGGGATTTTGTGCGGCGGTTTCATTGGTGTGGGTGGATGCCGATTCCGATATGCGTTGTCGATGAAGTCGCGTGTGTACGCATCCCAAGAGAGAGGAGGGAGGGGCACTCTTACTTTCTTGCTTGCATGCTTGCTTGGAGACATGTCCGGTCGTCGTCACCCGCGGGGCTCTTAGAGCACGGACCCTTGGAATCCTTGTTCGTCTCATCTATCAATCAATGCCATCACGCTGTGGAGCATATTGCGGGATTGGGCACCATCGGTCAAATGAGATGAAGCTTGTCGTGAATTAGGGTACTGTGATAGACACGGTGCATGCGAACGGGCAACATCTTTATACACGGTAGAGCTGGCGCAAGTATTCGCATCAAATCATAATTCAACCCGAAATGAAGACCTTAGCATACAGCACACCCAATATCAAATCAAACGGTAGCATGGCAACTCTACAAGGTGCCCAAAAACCTCTAGAAAAACAGTAAAAATGGGGTATACACATGTCGCGTCCTGTCTGCGCCTTCGACTGCCCGCTTCAATCCCATCATCTTTCTCCAGAATCCTGCGATAGCTTCTCCCACTCGCTATCTGTACTCAGCTCACCCGTGCTCTCCCCCAGACTTTTGCGCTTCTTGAGCGCATCGTCCACTAGTGGCTCTAACCTCGTGCTCGCCCCCGTGGTACTCACACCCGCAGGTCCTGAGCTCGACTGAATGGGTGTCGCCTCTCGGCCTCGACCCGCACCCGGATACTCTGCCTCACTAGGCTTCTCCACGAAAACAGTACTCTGAGTCTCGGGCTTTGGCGCACGCGATGCCTTCGTGCTGGACTTGAGGCTCGGCTTCTTACCGAGGCCCTGGCTCTGCGAATGCGTGGCCTTGCTCTTCGCTTTCGCCTTGCTGGTCTGCTCCACCTCCGTGTCCACTTCTGTATCGTCTCCGCTGTCCATACCGTCCTCATCTCTCACCCCATCTTTGTCTCTCTTCGCCTCCTTGGCGCGTTTGGCTTCAGCGTCTTTGGCCTGCAATTCCCGTATCTCGCCCGCAAACCAATTGATAGCCCACCAGAGGCCTCCGCAGAGTACCGAAAGAATCACAAAGTGGATGCTGTAGGTGGCGAAGAGTAGAGCTGCGAAGAGGAGCTGCAGTGCAGCGAAGCTGGCGTTGGTCGCGACCAGGAGCGTCGGCGTAGGACCCGGAGTGAAGATGGAGTTGAAGAGGTTTTCTAGGAAGCCAGCCACAGCAGCCATCGTTCTTTGATTTTGAAAGTAGTTCTTTGGTGCGAAGTATTGGTGTAGAAAGGCAAGCGTGAGCGAAGTGCTTGGTGAGTATGTGCAAAACGGATTCACACGGGTCAGTGTGACGTTCTTGTACTGCCCCGCGTGGAACAGAGAACGGGTGCCTGGAAATCGGGCCAGATAAACAGTTCGCGCAAACAGTACCACGTTGCAGCTTTGATAGATCTGGTGCGAAATCCGGAAGCCTGAAATCGAAGTTTTGGTCGGATAGTGAGAGTTGCAGAGCAAAGCGAGTGGGCCGAAGGAGGTACCTTTGACGTGTCTGGCGTTTTGCGGGGCTGGGCTGGCAAGCAAGCTAGCTAGCTATCGGCAACTGCATTCCACAGGCGCTAGGTGCGGATTGGCTGCTCGTGGTCACGTCTACATCCTCTGATATTAATTTGCTTGATGCTTTTGATCATGGCGCTGCGACGATGAGGAAGGTGAAGATTCATCAGATAATTATAGACATCTCATACGAACTTGGGACAAGCAAATCCCGCCATGGTAATTCCTCCGGCCAAGATTAAACACGGTCAATCCAAACCACACTCCCACTACCCTACGGCCTCGGCCTAAGTACCCAGTGCACACGGCACTGGAAGCATCATGCCAAAAAGTTGATAACAAAACACCACCTTTGCCGCGGCTCGTCAGGACCTGGTCGATTCGACTTACATAACAGCACAGCTCCCACCATGGTTAATGCTATGTTTGTACTTGCGAATGTGGTATTCGTCCCTCCTATGCCGTCTTCTCCTATCATCTTCATAGAACAAAGGCCCTCCATCCCCATAATCATCATAGAACATGCCACCATGTCCCGCCATAATGCTGGGAACCGGTCCTCCGGGCCCCGTCAGACGTTGGTCGCCCCAGCCATTTCCCATCATCGGCTGGGGCCCCCAGTTTCCCGGTATCGTCATTGGATCATTCCCCCAAAGCTGCGGTTGGAGATTGATGTTCCCCCAGTGCCCGGGAATGACGTGAGCGTCGCCGAGATGGCTCCTGATCATTTGGTTACAGCCCCATGGCCCTTGGATCATCTCGATGTTTTCCGGGTTGGCGAATCCAGCGAAGCATTGTGGGCATGTTCCTGGGGGTGCAATACACATCTGAACGATCTGACGCTGCGAACAGTTGAGGAAGTCGCGAAGGTAGCCGCATGGTGTAGTCTGGGATACCCATGAATGACCGCAATGAGAATCATACTGAGTGCAGAGACACATCTCTGTTGTGCGAATTGGTGATGTTTGGCACGATCGTCTGTGAGACTGGCAGTAGGTAGGTACGGTATAATATTTGCTAGAAAGAAAACTTGTTGGATGTCGTGAGTGATCCGGGCGGTATGTGCAACGCGTAGGGACTGCATATTTGTAGTGAACTGGAGTGTCAAGCAGTGAACGACTGAGAGGACCTTCACCCATCTATTGACTGTAATCGTCGAAAAGAGGCCGGCCATTCGGATTGAGAAGAATGATTCACGTAGCCTCGATAGTTGACGTACAGCATACGCTTTTGAACAGAATCTGTCAGGCAGAGTATCCGACACATTCACTTGTCGTTTCCGGGCTTCGATTTCGCTTCTTCCGCTGCTTCTTCCGCTGCGTCTTCTTGCTCCTGTTTTCGTATCGTCTGCATTAACTCGTACAGTTGGCCGATCTGTTGGTCTGTAGTGAATGTCAGGTTGCGTGTTTCACAGTGTGAAGGGTCTAGTCAAAGAACTCTCTACATACCACTCATTTTATCAATCTTAGTTTTGTCCATTTTCTCATCCTTCCATGAATCCCCTTCAATGGTCTGGGCGTAATATTGCCACTCAGTGAGAAAACCAATCTGGATTACAAGATACGTCAGCATTATTTAGCGTCACTGTTACACAGCAGAGTGCATCTTACAATGTGCACAGGATTGTCGACGTTCTTATGAGCTTTCCATTCAGCTTTTACATACATATCCCCGAGCGTTCTCTCTTCGACGCCTAGCTTTCGATGAGCACGAAGCAGGCGCCGATAAAGAGGCAAAGGCGGCAATAGTGCCATTGGCGCCGGACGGAATGGTTTTGACGCGCCTGCATCGGTGGCAATCGCCAGTAAACGTCCAAAAGCTCGCATGATGAAATAATTCACTTAAAGTGGACAAATTGAATTATATTTGATGATGGCATGTCAATGGGAAAACAAACATTTCGAGCTGGCAGAGAAGTGATGACGACCTCGGCCCGTTCAATTAGTTAGCTAAGCAATGTCCTCCATCTCCTATTGGATAGTCTCAACCGCACACTTCCGAATCCTTTGCTGGTTGCGACACTCCAACATGCTTCCTACTCCTTCGACTTCCCACGTCTGCTTTGATCGTGTGTACGAGCCAGCCGAAGATTCCTTTTTGCTGCTAGATACCCTATCATCGGCATCGGAAAGCGGTTTTCTGAAGGATCGATTCAATGCTGAATCAGGTGCCCCGCCTCTCGTACTTGAAGTGGGTGTAGGGTCTGGAGTCGTATTAGCTTTCACAGCTGCCAACGCGAAAAGCATCTTCGGCCGCCAGGATGTGCTTACCCTAGGCACGGATATCAACAGCTTTGCTTGCAAAGCAGCCTCACAAACCGTCCGTACCGCCCTGAACGACAACGTGAACCCCGCCTCGACATTCCTCGACGTGGTAAACGGCGATTTGGCATCCTCGATCCGGCCACATTCGATTGACGTCTTCATATTCAATCCACCCTATGTTCCGGCGGAGCTACCAAACTTTACGCATCATGACCGTTACAGTGTCCTGCCTCCCGGAAAAGACGCTACCTCCTTCGAGCAAGACTCGTACCTGCTGGAGTTGTCGTATGCAGGAGGGGAGGATGGAATGGTGGTGACGAATCGCATGTTGAATCAGATCCCGGAACTTCTTGATGTCGGACGGGGGGTGGCATACGTATTGCTCTGCGCGCAGAACAAACCGGAACTTGTGAAGGAGCAAATAAGGGAATGGGGCGTCGGCTGGGAGGCGGAAACAGTAGGCTCCAGCGGAAAACAGGCCGGTTGGGAAAAGTTGCAGATTGTGCGCATATGGAGAAATCTGAAATGATCTATCTAGCGTGTCTAGACAATATGAATGGGGTATTCTTTAGAGGCAGGCAAGATAGGTGGGCAAATTGATGGAATCTGCGAATTTGGAACAACACGACATGACCTTTCCAGTATATTCAGCGGCCAAAAATGAAGGTTCAACGTCCTGAGGTCATGATCATATCGGTAAGAGCGGGTTGACCTCCCATCCGTACCAGCATCTCCTTCATCTTCGGTCCCATCTCTTCTACCATTCGCTTTGCAGTCACTCGATTCTCTGGGTCATAGGCGAGGCAAGCATGCATCCATCCGTTGAGTTTGTCACTGTAGCGATAGTTGCGGCGAGTCACACCGTCGCGGGTGGAGGTGGGCATTCCCAGCCTCGCTTGCTCTATGCATCGCTTAGTATTGGCATGAAGAGTATGTGGATCTTCAAAATGAGCTTACCGCGTTTCGAGAGATTGATATGGTATGTCTTACGTGGAACTTTTGCGGCATAGTCTGAAATCGCAAGATTGCAAAATTATTATAACATATCCTCGAATATTATAATGAACCACAGCAGTTTCAAAAGGACCCCATGTCGGGGCCTTGAAACACAACAATACAATCACACTTGATAGAGACTTACATGTATATAGGTCGCGGTAATGCCGCGCCTCTGGGATAATTCCACCATGCTCAGTAATGTGTGCGGCCCGGAATTTTAGAAAGTCCCAGGCCGGCGACTTCCTGGTGGCCATGTATTGAACTACAGCGCCCAAAGCCCAGATATCAGAAGCGAAGGTATTGATGTACGGGTTCTCTGGTGGCTGCCACGCGTGGGTCCCACTCAAGCTCGACTCCTGAGATTTCTCGTCTGTCCATATGTGCGAAAGCCCGAAATCAATCAAGCGAAACGACGGAAATGCGGATCCATTGTTGACAACCAAGATGTTATGAGGCTTGACATCCCTATGAACAATCGGAGACCTCTGATCACGACCCTGCCAAATTTCTCCATGGACAAAGGCAAGAGCCTCGGACATCTGCACGAACATGCGCAGGATATGTGGTTCTGGGACTGGCTTGTTGCTATCGTTGGCGAAGAAATCATTTTGCCAGGAATAGAGGTCGCCCAATGGGTAGTATTGAAAGATTGCTGTACTCTTGCCCGTGTTGGGAGGGTACGATGGCAGGAAAATGAACGGCTTGAGGATTCGGTTTGTGTCTGGGAGTATGTCCAGCAGTTGGATTTCCTTTGGTCGTGTGTTTTCGCCAATGTCGTTCCGCATTATCTTTTTGACAACGAGTCTGAGGCTCAAGTTAGATCAAATGGTGAATTTTTTTCCGTATCGTTTTCATTGAAAATTCAACCCGGGTTTGAGTAGGTTTTTCGAAGTTCGAGTCTTCATGAAGACTTGTTCTGACAAAGAGTTGAATAGGCAGGGGAGGGGAGGGGAGCAGTAGCATCAGCATAAACATCGAATACGTACTCATTGGGATTAGTCTTCCGAGCCAATATCTCCACATTTGGATTGCATTTTAGTTTGAGCTCCCAATCTTGGGGATACCACCATACTACGGTGTTTGGTTGACGGGTTGACATATTAAGTTGGTTGGCGGTCGCTGACTGAGTTGAAGATTTGTGGTTGAGGAAGTAGTTTGGTCGAGGGGTTTACGTGGCTGAAGATTGGTGCAGTGAGAGACTGAGTTTATATGAGGAGAAACAAGTAGGCACAGGTGATGCTTCATCGAACTGGTTCAATGTCTTGGTAGAAATTGGGTTGGCTTCGTCGCGCATTCACTCGCAGCCTAAAAGCGTTTGACAAAAGTGGCATGGGATTGGCTTACTTTAGTCGCATCTAAATAGATATGTATAGCAGGTTTTGACTTTGAATTCTTGCCTTCGGAGCCTGTTCTGGCTCACTGACATGGGGTGTTATCACAGCTATCACACTATGTAACTACTGCCCTTTCTAAATCTGCAATCCAATTTGTACCCGACATTCAGCCACTTCAGATTATTTTCATAAATATTTAACAATGAGTTTTTTTTTTTTTTTTTTTGATTGGAAGTTACAGTGATTCCTACACCTAAAAAGGGTGATAAAAAAAGGTTAAACAAAAAGTAAACGGGCACAAAAAGCTTTAAAAAAGGAGTTTTGCTTTTAGCACCAGAGGCCAGGGATGCAATACCCGATTTAACAATGAATTCGCATAAAGAAAATAGGTTAGAGAGAGAGAAAGCAGTCCAAACATTACCCTCCAGTGGATGCCAAATTGATATTATGGCACCGGTCTTGCTTTTCACACGATAATCGACTGTATTAAGTCAAAAGCTAGGGATCTATTATACGATAGTGCACATTAAAATTCCCCTTCCCCCACCTGCTACGATGATCAGCTCATCTGAGTATATAGTCTACAAGTAAAGCGAATGATTGGGATCTGGACGACTAAATGGTACTACGGCCTGGGGTACAAATCTAGGATCAATATATTCCAAGCGAGCTCAATTAACAGATATCATACATATGTATAGCTGCACTTTAATGAAACACATGTGGGTGATACATAGCCAATTGAAAATCGATTTGGAAGCGCACGCGGTGAACAGGGCTGCACGTGACTTACGCCAAGAGTTTATTAGCTAGCGCGAGCTTGCCTAATTTCGCGACCAGAGCTTCCCCACCACTTCCGCCTGCAACTATACCTCTACGTCAGTCGCAATCTCTGTGTGGAGATTTTGACGGTCAATTCAAGATCCCCAGAATTTATCAGACGATAATACCGCCGCCATGAAGCTTGTCAGGTAAGTAGGGGCACCAGCTCTACACTTCCCGTGCTAACAACCACCTATAGGTTTCTTATGAAATGCCAGAACGAGACGGTCACTATTGAGCTCAAGAATGGTACGGAGCCATGTTTTCATGCGACAAGAGGGGTTGCCTTCTCGCGCATCGTGCACGCGAACCTCGAACCGGCACTTTGCGCGCGTTGACCGCCTCTCAAGCCGCGACCACCTAAACCACCCATGTCGAATCTCAAGCTGACTCTCACTAGGCACGGTCGTCTACGGTACCATCGCCTCCGTTTCTCCTCTCATGAACGTCGCCCTCCGAACCGTGAAATACAGGCCGCAGCATCGCGAAGAAGTCAACCTTGACACTATGACGGTCCGTGGCTCAACAGTCCGATACATTATCCTGCCGGACTCGCTTCCGCTCGACACACTTCTAATCGACGATGCGCCCAAACCAAAGAACAAGGCGAGGAAAGAAACTGATCGCGGCGGCCGCGGCGGAGGGGGCAGGGGAGGTCCCAGGGGCCGCGGCGGCCGAGGTGGCGGCCGTGGTGGTCGTGGCCGTGGAAGAGGAATGTGAGCATAGAATCGACAATTGACAGCATGCGACGACCATTCTGTCGGAATCCAAGACAGAATTACACGAGAGAGGCTCTGTTGGCATGTTTGGGCAGTGAAATCACCAGGGTAGGGGTACTCTGCTCACTTCGAATACTCGAGATTGATACCTATCAGGCTCGCCTTTTGGATCATCTGACAGCATGTGGAACGATGAAGCATGCGCGGCGTTTAAAGGGCATGGAAAGTCCAAGTACAGACTAAGCGGTATTGGAGATATTGTACAATTTCAAAAAGCCATGAAACTTAATCAATTTGCGCAGTCACAGCAACCCATTTGTTCTGATTGAATACGGGTAGAAATTCCGCGGAGGATATGTGAGCGCGTAGAGCGTCTGCAAGAATTAACCGTCGGTTGACGCATTCAAAATCCAATTCTTATCTCTCGGCACCGATTCTGACTGACCAATCCCTGTCATCAATGATTTGTATAGCGCGATGAGTTACATGAACAACTTGACTGGGTGGAAGATACTATGACGCCGAGGCTTTGCTTGTTTTGGACAAAGATAGGAATTGTACCATCGACAGCGGGGTTGGCTTTACAATGAGAGGCTCAGGGTCGCGAGCACGCAATCTAGGCTAAACATCACAACACCATATAGCGAGTGTGCAACCGAACCAAAGCTGCTCGGCACATCATATGTCATGATTCTGGTGTCACCGGGTACAAGTATCTGATAGTCCGCCTTTGCTTCCCTCTTTTCTGTTCCTCCGCTTGCCATCCTCAGCACTGATTCCTCGTACCGTTCTCCTCTCATCAGCTCGGAGCGAACATCTCCCGTGTGTCTATCAATACGACCCTGATCTCCACTACGCCGCCCAACGGACTCGGTGTTGTCTGAGTATACAGGAACGCAATTCCCCATAAATCACGAACAATATTGAATCTCTTCTACTCACACACAAACGCTTTCACCCACTTCCCGCTCTACTTGAACACCTTCCAGAATGGCGCCAGCTTTGACTTCAAGCGCTCCTACAGCTCCACACAAGCTCTCCGCGCCTCAACCTTTTCCTAATAACAAAGCTCCCCGTAGTATCTATCCTGATGGAATTAAAACTTCAGGCCAACATGCTCCACTCTACGAGCAGCTTCGTTCCTACTCAGACTTCCCCAAAGAAATCACCGGTCAAACTGTCTGGAACGCTATCGAATATGAGAACAACCCTGAGCGTTGGACACATGTATTCACGCCCGAGGAACTGCAAGAAATCAGTGACACAGCGGATGTATTCATCTCTTCAGGTACACCCTTGACGGGCATCTCTCAGGAAAACTTCCCGCTTCCCAAATTCGCCGAATTTCTAGGCGTGCTCCGCAAAGAGATTATCGACGGCAAAGGCTTCATTCTCTTCAAAGGTCTTCCAGTCCAGCAATGGCGCAACTACAAATCGGCAGTCGCCTACATGGGCCTCGGAACGTACCTGGGCTACTTTGTTTCCCAGAATTCACGTGGTCACGTGCTCGGTCACGTCAAGGATCTCGGAGAAGATTCCACACAGATTGACAAAGTGCGCATCTACCGTACAAACGCGCGTCAATTTTTCCACGCCGACGACTCTGATATTGTGGGGTTGCTTTGCATCGCCAAAGCTTTGGAGGGCGGCGAGAGTGATCTTGTTAGCAGTCACAGCGTTTGGAACGATTTGCAGCAGAATAATTCAGATGTGGCCGAGCTTCTGACGCAGCCAATTTGGTACTTTGATAGAAAGGGCGAGACAAGCATTGGGCAGGAGGAGTGGATCAAAACATCTGTATTCTATCTCGAAACCGGGGACAACCCAAGGGTGTACTCAAAGTAAGCTCTGTCCTTCCTATATTCCTTACTCTCAGTGTGTGGAAGATACTGTCCTCTCTGATAGCACCTCTCATTTTTAAGAAACTCTAGCTGACCAACTAATCAGATGGGATCCGTACTACGTCCGCAGCCTCACCCGGTTCTCGGACGCTGGCCTCATTCCGGCCCTCTCCCCTGAACAACAACGGGCTATCGAAATTCTTGAGGCAACCTGCGTCAAACATTCTCTACACATGATCCTCGACATTGGCGACATTCAATTCCTTTCTAATAACCACATCCTGCATGCCCGAACTGCATACAAGGACTACCCAGCCCCAGCGCCTAGACGACACTTGATGAGATTGTGGTTGAGTACGCCTGAGGAGGAGGGTGGTTGGTAAGTTAGACTGTCCCGTCTTCTGTTCATTCCGATGAGATAAGTAATCATGCTAATGTTTCTGCGTAATAGGAAACTTCCGTTCCACGATAGCAAAGAGAAGAAACGTGGAGGTATCCAAGTCAATGATACCGCGCCTGTTGCACCTGAGGATGCGGAGTAGATTGGCCTTGTAGCAACATCACATTTGCATAACAATTTGCGCTCATATATGTAAATAGTAAACCAGAGATAACGGAGAGCTTACGAAATTGATGACTTACTTGATTAGTTCAAGCTATTACAGAAAGTTTGGGGGCATTGTCATTACAGATGATTCATGAAGCATTGTCAAGAGGACAACGTTTCCGACTGTTCATTGTCGATTATTCTTCACAATGTCGACATGGACTTGTTGGAGTGACGTGTTGTGTGTTGCGGGAACTCACAAATGTCGCCAAACAAAAGCAGAAAAAGTTGTCCATTCGGTACATTTCATTCATTTTGGCGTAGTTCTCTACCTGATACAATGTGAATTGCCAAAGATCCACCGAGCCTGAACAATCCAAAGGTAGAGACAAGAAAAGAAGACTTACGCAGGATCAATCACCTCTATCTAAAAGCTGCTCCCTACACATTGGGCACTTGTCGGCGTTTTCGTTTTTGGAGTGGAGCCAATCCTTGAGACAACGTTCACCAAAAACATGAGAACAGGGGAGTCGTAACGGAACGTGGCTCCACTGATCGAAGTCGCAGAAGCAGAAGCAGCGATCAATCTTCCCTTCGTCTCCGGGAGACCCTGCCACGGGCAACTTTGCAAGATATCGTCGCACTGCTCTAGTTTGCGCGTCTTCAAGAGGAATTTCACGTCGACCATCGTACAAAACTGAATCTCCCGCATCGAGAGAGCGTATTGACGCAAGACACGACCAATCACCCTCCGGAGCTATGTAACAGAACTGTCTAGCATCCCATGTAACCAGTCCAGCCCTGACCAGCTCGCGCGCCTCAGAAGCTTGTGCGTACCAGGTGGTATCTGGCCCGAGCTGAATCGCGACTACCCCATTCTCAGGCTCCTCATGATATCTCGGAGGCACATTCCCATGATGTGCTGGGTCAAGAATCCAACGAGAATTGCTCTCGTTACGAATCCAATAAGTGTCGATATAGTAGGGCTGGCGATATCCGAGTTGGTTATATCGGCGTGCGGTGGGATCGCGAGTGCGATGTGAAACTTCCATTTCTCGGCCATGGCCATAGTCGCGGATCGTGCGCTCAATTGATACGATTGGAGCTCCCCAGTTTCGAACACGAGAGAAGACCACGTCGTATGTATCCCTTCGAGAACGTATCGATATGTTTTGGTTCATGATTCAGTCGTGGTCACAATGCAGTTTGGTTGCTTGAGGTTGAATGTGTTTCCACTGGTGGGGGTCGACTAGACCCTGAAGTGAATGTTGTCTACATATTTGCATATTCATGAGGCACGTGCTTACATTATACTACTACCAGTTGAAATTCTGATTGGTCATGACATTATTCACTCACATCAAGCTGTATAGTTTTAACACGGGGTTATACATTGTCGATGTACAGTATTACATATGTAATCATTGACAGGCTCCACTGCTGTCACAACTTTATTATTCACCAAGTGAGATAATGGAAGTGCATAAGTAAATACTCTTCAGCTCTGGAACATATATTCATCATAACACATGCAAACAACATTCAGTGTGCTATTGACGTGTGAAGTCGCGGTACATCAAGTGGCTTTGGTATGTGACAATTCTATGCCCAATTGTATGTGTCAGTCATAGTATAATGAAATCAGAAAAGATATTATAGTAGGATTACTGTTATTTGTAACGAGGAACTTGTGGGAATTGTTCCTCTCCGTTGACTACGAGCTGTGGTGTGAAAGCCAGTCCAATAAGCAAGAATGAAATTTGAAAGACAAGACCTATTAGAGCCAAAACTTGATCTGAGTGGATTGAAACTTGGCCGGGTCCAACACCTCATGACAGAGCCTCGATTAATCTCTGAGCAAGGTATTTCTCAGGGGGCCAGAAAGCAACATTCCCCCGATATGAACGCTCATAGGCTGAGATCCGCTATAATTGTCCCATAGCTCACCATGATATTTTATACTGACATTTTGAACAGTCTTTTTCCACTAATTGATTCTTGGATTTGCACTACTTCTTAATGCATAGTCTCTCAAACATATGTTTGCATGGAAAGTTCACTGGCGGGTACTTAGAATTCTGCCCAGACTCTGTCTGGCCGTCTGGGTCACGAGTAATGGAGAGCTCGCCGTTATGAGTCCCTCTCGTGTAAGAAGTAAGGGGACTTTTCGTTATTTCATATGACCGTAGGAATCCTGCGGCAAGCGAAATTCGTCGCCAGTATAATGCCCTTCTTGCTGCGGCACCTCCAGCTCCAGGAGAGTTGTTCATGAAAGTCTTGAATTGAGATCATTGTCCGATGCCTCTAATTCTGTTCCTCTTGTACGGCGAGGGCAATTGTTAAGTGTCGTAGATATGAGCAATCAGAAAGACCTAAGAATAGTGTGTCGTGTGCCAGGAAACAATTTTTCGCCGGACAATGAAACTAGGAATGAATCAGGATGGGATTTCACGATGACTCCGACAACTTCCCAGTTATACATCCCCCAGTCAAGGGATGTTAGAGAATTCTTAATATATGTTTTGTTACACATTAGACCTAAAACCATCACATGAACACAAGGAAATGCTATTACAGAATACTCGGGTTTTTCACAACGAGAAGCATAATGAATCGCATCAGTGATAACATTCGCACATTCCTGTGTGGCACTGATAGAAATTCGCGAACGAGAAGATTGATCGAGATAAGTAGCTCACATTTCCGTAGACAATCATATGCAATCTCGGAATTTGTCGTAGTCCCCGGAAAACGCGATAGTCTGGGGAAGTAAACATTAGGTAAAGATAGCGCGCCGGCATAATTCGCCGGATAGACCTACCCAATCGAGATATAGTCAGTTTCTGAAGATCAATCACCATAACATTGGGTTGTGATATATAAGAAGGTCTGTCTTGTTGGAAATGAGCCTAGATAAATGCTACTTGTTCGGCATCACAATCGCAGATTTGATACCACGCGACACAAACGTTACGCATTTCTATTCTATGAAATATGGGCTCCATTTCCGTGACTTCAGAAACCCAGGCGTTACCTTCTCTCCAGATCCCCTCTAAGTACAGTACTCTTCATACAGATGCTGCTAGCACAAATGCGATCCTGCGAGCAGCATGCACATGGGGGAAGTAAGTTGTCCACACAGGTCACACTATTCTACCATGTCTAACCGGAAATATCTAGTATTCCTGATGGAGGTATGAACCGACTAACCTGCAATGACGACGATAAGAGTGTTCGTGACTGGTTCATCACCGAAACAAAAAACTACGGCTGCTTCCACAAAATCGACGAAATGGGCAATATCTTTGCTATCCGCCCCGGTCAGAACAATGACCTTCCTCCAATCGCAATCGGCAGTCATCTGGACACTCAACCCACTGGAGGGCGTTATGATGGTATCCTTGGCGTTGTGTGCGGTATGGAGGTTTTGCGAGTCTTGCATACAAATAACATCACGACGTATGCGCCTGTGGCGGTAGTGGACTGGACCAATGAAGAAGGCGCGAGGTTTCCACCGGCGATGCTGTGCTCGGGCGTATGGGGCGGCGAATTCACAACCGGTATGTTTTTACATCGCACAATAACTGCTGGGAGATAATTAACCTCCGTGCCTTTGCTCTCAGAATACGCTCAAAGTCGTCAAGATCAAGACGGTATCACACTAGGCTCAGAGCTGGAGAGGATAGGATACAATGGCCCAACTCCATGTTCATACACAGCAAACCCCATCCTGGCCCACTTCGAAGTCCACATCGAGCAAGGCCCGATTCTAGATTTCGCACAAAAGCCCATTGGTATCGTAAGCGGCGTCCAATCAATCCGATGGTGCAATATAGAAGTCCAAGGCCGGGAAGCACACACCGGATCAACACCCATGGACCGGAGAAGCGATGCGTTGCTCGGCGCTGCCAAAATGATTGTAGAAGCTAACCGGATCGTCACCGAAACCAAAGTCGCGTTAAGAGGTGGTCGCGCTACAATCGCAGTCATCAATGCGTCGCCGCAGAGCATCAACACGATTTCCGGCAAAGTTAGCCTTGGTCTCGACATCCGCGCACCTGTGGATAGCGACTCGGAACTCATCGAATCTCAATGCAGGAAATCGTTTGGGAAAATCTGCAAGGAGCATGGTTTGACTATGAACTTCGACAACTTCTGGGTCAGTCCTGCAGTTGTGTTCGATCAAGTCATGGTTGATTGTGTGAGGCAGTCTGCGACGGATATGGCGTGCGATATGGAGATTGTGAGTGGTGCTGGGCACGATTCTGTCTATACTTCGCGGAAAGTGCCGACGGCTATGATTTTTGTGAGGTGTCGGGATGGAGTGAGCCATCATCCTGACGAGTTTACTTCCGAGGAAGATTGTGCAGCGGGTGCGGAGGCACTGCTTGGGGCATATCTGAGATATGATGATTACATCCATCGGTCAATGGCCAAGATTTAATAGAGAGGGGGTGGACCTGAATGAGTGATTTGTATCAGATAAGAGTCTCTTTCATGGTTTGCAAGTTCCGATTCTGGACTTCCAGAACAAACAAACACTAATATTCCGAGGTAAAGACAATACGAAGAATGAATAACTGTCTACTTTCCAATGAACTTAAGCTCCAGCCATCTCGCAGGAGGATATACAATGGCAGTCCAAGCCAGCGAGACGGGCAATCCCAGATCCGCACCATTCCCAACCAAAGAAGCAATAGGACCGGTATAGTATGTCTGATACATGCATAAAACGGCACCAACCCAGCCCACACAAAAAGCAAACAGTGCAGCATACCCATGAGGCAGTGCGTCGCGACAGTTCCAAATCTCCCAATCAAACCTCCCACGCCGGAAGAGGTACTCGTCCTGGAACGTCATAGTGATCCAAATGATCGTCCAATACCCAATAATCGAAAGAAAATTGATGAAGATGTCGAACAGTCGCTCCCGTCCAGCGATAGCGATGATGGTGAATACAATGCAAGCGAAGGTAGACCAAACAAATCTCGGCACCCTATCCAAAGGACGGCCAAGCTGTTGGAAGTTCAAAGCAGCAGCATACGTCCCGGGGATATTATTCGCTGCAATACAAAGGGCCAACATCACGCAACAAAACTTTCCGAAGCCGTGTAAGGGACTGTACGATTCGACGATTAGAGCGCCTACGCCCTGACTCTCGAACGCGTTCGCCCAGTCCTTGTTTAAAAGAAGTCCAGAACCTAGACCGATTCCGAGAAACTCGATGAATAGTTTGCCGGTTGTGATGCCGCCGGCTGTCATGGCGAGAATCATCCATCGATTGGCGCTGGCCGGGTAGTAGTTAATGTAGTCAGCGGATGCTGAAGACCATCCCAACGGTCCACTTGCTGTGAGGAAGAAATAGGATAAGCGGTTTTCGGCTAGCACGGCGCCAGTTCCGACTGATTTGCTGGAAGTGTCGAAATGGGGGGCTGCTACACCGATGAGGACGAAGAGGACGAGAACGGTTGGTGCCCAGACGATGCTGTGAGTGTGTCAGAGTGATTCTGTAGTACGAGCTGACGAATAAACAGATGTGGCTTCCAACATACTGTTCGAAACGGTGAAACCACGTGATCCCAAACGTGGCAACGACCCAGGTGATGACAGCGACAATAACGATACCGACAATCACGCTCATTCCCCCGCCGTTGACAGCTGAAAGAAGCAAGCCGCCAACAAGACAATCGATCAACCCATATCCGAGCTCAATGACCAGATTGAGAACTACACAGAGTTTGGAGGGATACCATCCCATTGTGTACTTTGCGACATTGAGCGTTCGAAGACCGGAAAGAGGACCAAAAGTAGAAATGTAACCCGTGCAGAGGGATCCAAATATCGTGCCGAACATGCAGCAAAGGATCGAATCCACTAGACTCAATTTATATGTTACTGGGCCGAGGACTCCGAGAGTCATTTGGTTGGCAGTACAGTTCATTGAGAACCATCTGGGTCAAGCACGCTTAGTATACGAAATAATCAATAGAGGTTGGTGTGACTTACACAGTGAACATAGCAATATAATCGCGCGCCGTCATGTCCCTTTCCCTGGTTTCCTCCGGAATGCGCTCAATGCCACGAACCTCCAGACCCGCAAACTCATCTAACCTATCAGCCCATCGTTGCAGTTTAGTGATGGGCTCGCTTTTGGCAAGCTCTTCTGCTGGACCAGGTGCTGGTACATTGTGAGGAGGGATGTTGGTGGACCTTTCGACATCATCCACCAACCCGGCATTCTGGAGAGCCATTTGATGTAGAAAGCAATGTTCTTGTCCTTTTTGCCAAATTTGGCTTTGACAGCCGGATGTGGCGGGGTTAGCTTGAGAGTGGTTTTCTAGCGCGTGTTTTGGCAATCTTCGGAGCCGGTCGAGACGATGCAGCAAAAGTGGATCCACGGCATGGCAGTTGGAAATGGAAGAAGCGAAAGCAAAGTATTCAGGGTACTGTTGAACTAATCAATAGTTTCTGGATTTCTCGTTCAAGGTCGCAGGAGTGTGGAGACTGAAGTTAATCAATTTAGTTATGTACCTAGGTAGCTAGAGCGATTATGTCTCAAGTATAAGACAGAAGAAGATGGCCAACTTCCATGCATCGAAACAACGCTTCAAGCTACGCAAAGCAGAAGATTCACAAGACATTACAAAACATATGTAGTTGTTCATATTTTGGCAGAAATCCTGCTCCCCTCAATCGAACATAGGAAACTCATCAAACAAGATACTGAAAAAAGAATCTTAGTCGTCTAAGTGCATCGAAGGACAACTTACCCCATCGTCCTCGCCTTCTCCAAATCCTCCTCATGCAACTGCCTCAAAGCTCCAGTCTTAGCAACTGACCCCGTAACCGCGGCAACACCAACCTCCTTCATCATACCCAACGAGCCAACCTCAGTCTTGTAATAAACAACATGCTTCGCTTTGACCTCAATCAGCGTCATGCGCGGGTCCTCGGGCCCACCATCGTGTTTCCCATCTCCCAGGTCGCCGAACCACGCTTTGATTGGTTTACTGTGGAGGTCTTTGATGCGGGGGTCTGTGTTGGAGAGGGTAGCTACTGTTCCCGTAATGGAGATCCAGTCTTGGGTTTTTGTGTCCTGGAAGGTGATTTGGACTTCTTTGTTTTGGGAGAGGTCGGTCATTTTTTGCGAGTGTGCGTTGGAGAGGTAGAGGATGTCGGGGCCGGAGCGTTTGGCTACTGCCATGGAACGACCGACAGGACCTGTAGATGTTTTGGTTAGATGGAGGTGGGATTTGTGAGATATGGATGGGAGAAGGAGTGGTGGAACTAACCGAGGCCGTTTCTGTACGTGTTGAGCATGCTGACTTTGTGGTCGTCTACCATCTTGTAGAAATCCTTGACCTGTTCTACTTTTGATGTCTCGGTGTCATATTGCTTTGCAACTGAAGGGTCGGTCTGAGAGTTGACCTCTCCGTGCTTCAATGATTCAGGCATTCTGGAAGATGTGTAAACCGAGAACTGTCGGGGGGTGATCTGAGTAGTACGCCAAGGTCGAGATATAATGGAAGAAGCTCGAGCAGTTACAAAAGATCCCAAGAATTGCGTGGAAGATGGGCAAGTCAAGCGGCAAGTTAGAGCTCGAGAAGTAGAAAACATTGACATTGTAGAGTCTTTTGTAGGTATGAGTTCAAGCGAGTTTATTTGTATTGAATGCCGGAGCCCGAGAATTACGGATATTTCATGCGCAACTACGTCAAGTGACGTGAGTATGAAGCCACGTTCGGAGCTCTTGTTGTGCGCGTCTAGCGACGCGAGCATTTATGGATGACGCTGCCATATTTCATGGATCTCAAGTGCTAGTTGCAGACGCGTAATGCCAAGCGAGAGCCGGACCACCCTTTTTGTAGACTAACGCAGGTGCGCCGATCGCTGTCTAGGAAGAGGTGCTTGGGAGAGAAAGAACAAGTTCGAATGCTGGTGAGAGTCCATGTATCTTCTTATTTGATGGCGTGAATAGGTAGGTCACATGACCCGATCATCACCGCATGTACAGATGTACATACATGTGCCTACTTCTTCGTTTCGGTCCGTTCCATGCATGCATACATATATTCCTAGGAAACCAAATCTACGACTCCTCAATCTCGAAACCCACACAAACAAACCTCACGATTTTCTCCAAAAAACCCCTCAAATACACATCCTCGTGAACACCCCTATCAAAAGTCGCAGCCAATTCCACCCTCCCATCCCAACACCCCAAAAACAATGCCACGCCGGCCCCGATAGGTTCGCTAGCCGCCCACACATTCCTCAATTCAAACGGACCATGTTTCCCTCCGACTAGTGTTGCTATATTTCCTATAGAGGACATGGAGACAGGGCAGAAAGTGGTTTCAGAGATTGGTGGAGAGGTGTGAGAGGGATCAGATGGTGGTGGAGTGAGTGCTTTGAATGATAGAGGAGTTAGAGCGACTTGTTCGTCAGTATTGTCGTCGTCGGGAGAGGGGCGTTTTGGGCGTATTGTTTTGTAGAAATCTCGCACTTCGACTGCGATCCGATGGAATTCGTCGACGATGTTGAGCTCTTCATCTGTATCATCCGAACCAGGTATCGTAACGTCTATGCCTAGTGCTTGCGCAGAGACGGTATGGTATGCAGCTGCTGCATGTTCAGGCCCATTCCACGGAAAGTGACAGTATGGACGGAGGTTGATCATACTGTGGCTGACGTATCGAGCCGAGCACGTCTCTTTGGGATGAGGCTGGAGCTTAGACAGTGTCAAAGCTAATGCACATGTGAATATGTGTGTTATATTAACGCCTGGAGCGACGGACTTGCAGCGGGAAAGAATACGCTCAGTGGTCGGTCGAGAAGTAGAGATGGCAACGCGCTGGATTCTATGAGTGATCGATGGCGTGGTAGTCACGCTGGGACGAAGACCAAGAAGCTGGGGATGCGTGTAGACGTTTGCATTTTGTGCTTGGACTTCTCCGAAACGTTCCAGCAGAGCTGATGAGGGCTCAGGAATCGCAGCAGCAGCGCGTAAAGAAGGAGATAGTCTTTTCCACTCTTCATCGTATGCTGGAATGACATAATGGGATCCTTGTTCGTCCGCAATAGCCGCATTTCTGAACAACTGGTCAACTAATTGAAGTATGCCAATTCCGTCTGTGACATCGTGGGGACATTGTAAGAATACAGTGTGAATGGTACGATCTGTTTCTGCGATATTCAAGAGGTAGATATTCGGGACTTTCGAGAGAGGCATGCCATTGTTGAACGACTCGAGTATGTCTCCATCGCAATCAACAACCCGGAAGGTTGACTGCACCCACTCCTCTTCCTCTGCTCCATCTCGAAACGGACTATACACCCTTTTCTCAAATTCACCACTCTGACCATAAGACTCCATATGAGAGCCCAAGCTTGGATGCATGCATCGAAGCATTCTCCATGCTTTCCGTAGGCTAGTCTCAACTCGGCGTTCGTCGACTATCGTCGTTTGAGCGAGAGACGACACAAAGGAGGCATAGCCAGTGACAGGGAAGCCACCTTGTTTGTTCTTAGCAGCTACCCTATAGAACATCTCACATTCATCCAAGACCCGCTCCCAAGATCCTTGGTGTGCTTTCTGCCACTGGTAGGAGAGCGATTGTGCTCCAGGAAGAGCCATTGGGGAAAGCGATTAGACAAAAGAACATGTACTGTTGAAGATCCGTGCTGGTTCCAAACGCTAGGTAGTGAAAATGCGAGCTGTTAATAGAGGGAAAAAGAAATCACTGGCAGAATGATCCCGGTGTGTTTATATTGTGTTCCGACGCGAGACGCGTGGTAACGCTATCACGTGCACCAATGAACGGGGGTTATCCAAATCCTTTAACGCAGTTCAACTTGGCTTAGGTACATGATGCAAGAAGGCCGACAATATTGCACCACAGGGCAAGAGCTTTTTGGGGAGGGCACCTTCACCAGGTCTGAAAAGGCTAATGTTTATAAGTTATTTGTAGAAAGATGAAAAATTGTGTAGAATGCAAAAAGGGGATATCTAACCAGGCAATCAAAGGTAAAACAATTGGAACCCAAGCAACTGAACCCAATAATAACATAAAGCAAGCAAGCATAAGAAGGTGAGTGTGACAAGGTAGAGAAGAACAGACGGAACCTAGACCAAGCAAGACCAACCACAAAACGAGATCATAGAGCCACCAGTAGAACTATGACGCTTTTCCTCAACATTGTTGCTTATCCTCGTCTTGAACACGGCGAAAAGGGATCTCTAGTTTTTGAGGAAGGAAACAAGGAAGAAAAGGAAAAACTTTCCATGGGCTTGTCTTTCGTCGAAACCACAGACATTGCGATAAGACCATTCCGATACTCAAAAACACCAAACAAGATGCGAAAGAGAAAAGAGAGATTAATGTTCTCCAGAACTCAACCTCATTTGCCGCCAATGCTTTTGCAATGTTTGAGTCCCAAGTGCTTATTTGAACGCTAATATAATACAGGATAAGAGACAGGAAGAAGAAACAGAAATGAAAGGAGGAGAGAGAGACGTGAAAGGGTATTCGTGGGTATTTCGAGTCGTCCGTCGTCACATTCAGGTATAATTAGAAGAGGAATTGTTGGGATCACGGAGGCGTGACTGGGTGTTTCGGGCCCATGCCATTGGGCCCCAGCATAGATGGAATGGGTTTGCGTCGAGCTTTCCCTGCTGGCATTCGTGGGACGCCCTGTATGACTCTAGGCTCTTTCATAAGAGTCGGGTCTAGTTTCGCCGGTACTGCGAAAGATGTTATTACTAGGCATGTCAAAAGAGGAGTGAAGTACTAACTGCGACTAACTACCGAGCGGTAGTCCCCGGGAAACCTCGAGTTTGGCGGGGTAGCTGATGCAGTGCGCCAGAGGTGGTCCGTCGTATCGGCCAGAAAGTTGGTTCTCGGCTTGCGGAAGAACCCTGAACCACCGCGATTGCGCTTAGCAAGGATGATTTCGTCGAAAAGCTTGATCGAAGGGTCGTCCGAACGGGTGCTTTCTCGCTCGTGAATGAACTCGTTGAAGCCTAAAGGATATTAAAAGATGGGCCATACGACAGATTTCGAAGCGACTAACCTTGAGTTTGTTGCATCATTTGCATGTATTGCATGTTCTCATGGGGCATGCTCTTTAGAAAATCGTCCATCTTGAACTGATAGATCAAGCCCGACTTTTTTCTGTCGCTGGATGCAGGAACCAGATAACGTCGGTATGTATAGAGCAGGCTGGCAAAGCACCTGACAAATGACGCCCGAACCTGATCAGGCCGGAACGCAGTTGGACAGACTACGCATATGGTGTCTACGCACCTACCATGTGCAAAAGTGCCGCAGCCTTTGTCACAAGTCAGAATAATCGCCTTGGTATCAGGACGGATGAGCATTAAACTTACTGCTGCAACGGTAAAGTCCGTCATCCGACTTTTCATCACATATCGTACAGGTTGCTTTCTCTTCGTGCGGTCGCCATTGCATGCAGTGGCCCTCCTGCCAACGTGTAGTTTCGGTGTTGCGCACAGGCTGCATTGACAGACCGGGCATAATTGTCGATGCCGCCAAGGTAGACTGTGCATAAACCGATGGTGCATATGAAGACGGCGCACGGAGCTCGTAGCTCAAAGAAGATGTTGAGCCTTGGGATGAGTGACCCAAAAGGCCCTGGCTGGGTCGTCTCAGCATAGGCGGTACGCGTTCGTAACCAAACTGCGCATTCGGTCAGCTATCAAACGAGATGGAATAAGGCACACAGAATGACTCACGGATGAACTTCGTCTAGATGAGGTCTCAAAATGACCCGATCTCTTTTCACGTAGATTTGCTTGTAATGCATAGCCGGAATCGCTGCGGGAGATTGGCGTGCTCGGGAGAGGTGGAAAGGCTCCGGAAACCGGGGATATCTTCGGCGAAGGTGGGGAATTGGACACCGTCTTCATTGTAGATGAGGTCGACGGCCTGTCGTTTCCGCGGCTCTGTGCACCTGATTGCAAAAAGGCATTGTAAATCAAAGGACGTGAGCTGCTTGGTCCAGATATCGTTCCAAATGAGGTCGAATTCAGGCCGACATAGGTTTGAATCGACGATGGAATGGCGCGATGGGTAAACACGCCAGGGTTTTCCGAGCAAAAAGCATCAAATGGATATGATTCAATGGCATACGCTGGGGGTCCAGTAGGCACTCCGTACCTGGTGTGGTGAGGGGCGGAATGTTGCAACAAGGATGTGAGCTTGCGGCGTTGTTGGCGAGGCAGTGGAGGCGGAGCGGGGCCGTTGGACCCCACACTGTCACTGTCCAAGTCTACCAGAACATAGTCGTCGTCGGGGTAATCGGTCGGTTCGTAGCGGCGCTCTATCCCCACGATATAGGGGCAGGGCGCCTCGATAGTTTGGATAAGGCGGGCGGGTAGTATGGGAATGAAAACGCCGGCCCATTTGAAAGGATAGAGGAGATTGGTGATGGCCAAACTTGCCAGGTGCAGCATCGCGGGATGAGAAGACAACAGAATGATTTTCGATTCTGCCAGGACATACTCAAAAAGGGTTACGATGTTTGGAATGGATAGGCAGCGGAAGAGGGCGTATATGTCGATGTTTCGAGAACCTGGAATTTCGTTTACAGCCTCCTTGCGAGCGTACATGCGGAGCTCTCGGACCGCAATCTCGACCTGGGTGATGGACGTGATGGGACTCAGGGCTTCCGCACAAAGATTGACAACGTAACGCTCCAATGGCTGCCACATGCCAACCCGTGGGGAACTGGGTGGCACGCGAAGTACGGTGCCATTGGCCATAGGCGTCACAACAGCTTTGAGCCATTCTTTCCAAAACGGCGTTAATCCCGCGTCCCTACCCATGACACCGTATGCGCGCGGGATCCATAGTCCGGTTTCTCCATCTGTGAGTCCTTCAATTTTAGAGGCGGCACCATGCCTCACGGGGCGCAATAAATCTGTCATCAATCCAATCTTTTCCTCGACTGCACTGATCTGTTCCTCCAATTCCTCGCGCTCTTCCGAGTCCGACTTCATAGTCGGTAATTGTGCCAAGAGGCTCGATAGTTTTGCTCGCTCTACTGCCAATCGTTCTCCCAAACTGCTGGCGAGTTCGCGCTCTTCTGGGTTCATGTGCAGTCTCCTCCATTCCTCACATTGCCGCTCCAACCCTTCGGCCGCAGTTGCGTTCAGCGGCATCCATACTATCATGCAAATTCCGTAGAGTTTCGAGCTATCGCTAGTAGTCATGGCAAAGCCGTGCCACAGAGTTTTGGGTCGTTCATCGGATGATATTACGCTAACATCGTTGGGAAATGCAAACATGGGCACATAATCAGGGAAAGGGTTCCGTCGTTTGAGCTCCTCAACCATATTTTTGGGTGGGTAGCGGTCCAGCAAAACGGGCTCATAACGCCGGAGGAGAGGATGCATGTTTGGTTCGGGATTGAAAGGTTGTGGGACAGGAATAACGGAATTGTAACCTGACATTCTTTTGGATGTCCGAACGGACGCTGAATCTCAAAATTAGCAGGCATAATTTTTCCTTTGGCAAGAAAAGAAGATGCATAGAGAGAAAATGTGCCACGCGGAATGGAAATCACATACCCGCCGTGCGTGAGGACTCACCTTGACGTGCCATAGACGACTGCCTTTTCAAGCTACTCTGCATGGTGGAGATGCGCCGTCGAATACTTCCCACGCCAGACCTAGTATTTCCGCCATCTTCTTGTTGTTGAACACGTTGGGGTCGTGGCCGCGATTTTGGGGTTGGACGGTTCTGCTGTGCGACGCCAGCTGTGAAGGATATTTCTTCCAGGAAGTTTTCCCTCTCTGAAGCGAACTTGCGGAGAGCATTTTCGAAATCGGCATCGCTCAGTCCCGAACCACCGATCTGAAGACCCTTGATGGTGGCGCTACTCCTGTTGCTAGCGGTTTGCTTGGAGTCTGGGCCTACAATTGTACCTGTAGACAGACGGTTTTCGAAGCCAGACTGTTCTGAGCGGCGTTTGGAGCCGTCGCCATTGGGCAGACCCTCTTGTGACTGAGGTCGACTAGAGTCTGTTTCCAGCGCCCTGTCCTCCTCAATGGTCTCGACATCGACAGGCGGGGAAGAAACAAGGGAAGAGAGGGCAGAGGGTTGGGCGCGTTCGTCGTAGACTTGCGAGGACTCGATGCCGGATATGAAGAAATAATCGGCGAGAGGTAGGGAGGAGGGGTCAATCTGTGGGGTTGTCGCTGGGGCCATGGCGAGTGAGGGGTGGCCAAAAAAGCGCACCGGGCAAGTAAGGAAAGTCTTGGGTGGGAAAGCCTGGAATTTCGTGGGACGATTTTTTTTTTCCTGACGGAGCTCAATCAAGGCATTTGGGGGGAGGAATTGCAAGCCAGCTCCAAGGGCGGGTGGATGTGTTGAGAGCAGTATGCAAGTGTCGAGGACTAACTGCACGAGATGCAGGGGAAACTTGCGACAGTGCGACGGTGACAGAGGGGAGCGGGAGCGGGAGGCGTGTCGCGATATGCCGGTGGTACAGACGGCGGTGTGTGTAGAACGGTGGAGGCGACGGGCGGTGGAGGAGGACGGAGGATTGTAGGAGGAGGGGAAGGTGGTGGTGGAAGGATTGCGCGGTGTTGTGTTCCAATGTGTACCGTGCGCGCCGTGAGCCGTGGGTGAGCGGTATACAAAGTTGTTTGCTTGCTCCAAGGGACTAGTGTGTGGAGACACGGGCGGCCGGGGGAGCAAGGAGGGAAAGGCAAACCAGGAGAACAAGGACAGCAAATGCAATGGACGGGGAGGGAGTGTGAAGGTGAGAGAGGGAGAGCGAGCGAGCGAGCGGAGAGGAGAAGCGAGAGAAAGAGGAGAAAGAGCAGTCGGGGTGGAGAGGATGCATCAGACACGACAGACGCAGCAGATACAGACAAGCACCGAGCCAGGCAGGTAGACGGCTGCCATGTGTGTGGATGGGTTGATGGATGGATGGAGTGTCTATGGAGGTGTGCGCGGGTCGGTTCGTGCGCCTGCTGCTGGGTATGGGTGGGAGCCAGGGACCGTGAAGTGGATTGGGACGGTCGAAGCGGTTTAGTTTGTTTGCTGCCCTTGTATCTGTCTGTCCAGCAGCGATGATTCAGTTGATTAGCTGGTTAGCGGTGCCGACCCAAAAAAAGAAAATTCCCCACGTCCAAATAATAATCTCATTCGAAGAATGGTACACTTTCTTCAATTCACCTCGCTTTCCACGGGCTCTGGACCTCACACTGACAGCATCGCTCGATGGATAATGATGGTGATGATAGTGATGATGATGATGATGATGATATGAGGAGACAGCACTCATTCAGCCATGTATATGCATGCACTGTGTATGAATGCATCTATGTACGTACGCACAGACAGCTCGGAACTGCTGGCATCTAGAGCTTTATTGATGACTGCAAACAATAATGCACGCGTACATCAACTGCTATCTACATGGGCGTGTCCCTATGGATACATGTATACGTAAATCCATCTGTATGCATGTACTGATGATGAGAATGATGATGAATGGCGCCATGTCTTCGGCTCTCGTCGCCCGTCTCCATAATGGTGCATGAGCAAGTGACTACGTATACATAAAAAGTAAACAAAGCAAAAGCACTCTGCATGCACTCAGATAGCTACCTACCTAGTTACGGCATGTCTGTCTATCACCGTGTACATGGACCACCACCGATGTCTTCTTCTCCTTCTCCTTCTCCTTCTTCTTCGTCTTCTGCCGCTTCTGCTGCTATCGCCCGCCCACTTGAAATCCAAAGGAGACAAAGTAGTTCAAACGTGTCATGGCGACGAACCGCTGATCGGTGATCGCAATCCCCCCAAACTGTTGCAACCCTATCGTCGACATCCTTATGGCTGGCTGCTATCACGCACCTGGCCGTGGCGTTCGAACGTCGGACGTGCTCGAAGCGCTTCTGCCCATGATCCCTGCCGCCATTGTCCCAATCCATGCCGCCTTATCAGGGGCCTCTCTCTCTCTCTCTCTCTCTCTCTCTCAACCGCTGCATCCATCATCCATCAAACAATTGTCCGCCGCCGCCGCCGCCGCCGTCGTTGCTCCCCATATGCTAGACTATTCTATGCCTACCACCGCCGATGGTGTGCAGCAATATAAATAGATGGTGTCTCGGGAAATTGCCGCTGCTGCACCAACCTATCCATCCATCCATGCCTGCATGCATGCATGCCATTATTTCTCCATTGTTTCTTCCAATAAAGACCTTGGTCGGAATAGGGGCACACGACTCCAGAGCATATGCCTATGTAGTACCTAGGTATGGATGTGTTGTACTCACTCAGGCCCATCTCCTTCGACGAGAAATGGTCAATTCATCGCTGCGCGCCTCAAGGCCCCTTGGTATCGCCACTATCGCGCAGATCCACTCCCCATCCACCTTAGCAGACGTTCAAAGCAGAGGCACTCCGAGAGAATAATCTCCCTGAAATGCAAAGCAGCGACGCGCAATCAAACGGGCAATCGCATAACCAACACAATATTCAGGCCAGACAAAACCAAGCCAACTGTGAAGATCAAACCCACCCCAACTGCAAACTTTTTTCCCTGTTGCCTCTTCCGTCTCCAACAGCGCACGCCACATTGCTCCATCGCGCACGTTTATGCACAACACGCAATGGAACAAGAAAGCAACAGAAGGATTATCATGCAAATCCCTTCTGTCCCTCTCAATCTGCAACCGCAATCCTCGTATTCTTCCACCTCAAACTAGCGTTTCATATTTTCCCTTGTGCCCTCGAATTGGAATATTCCCTCCCAGAATGAACCGAACAAAAGAAAATAAGGGATCTTCCCCCTTCCCTTCCCTGAAATCGAACAAGACCCTCGACCCGTTCTCTTGCTTGCAATCCTTCAATCTTTGTTCCCCCGAGATCCCAAAACCCCAATCGCCTATCCCCAACGATTCCAATTTCCCCTTTTCCCTTTTCATTTCTTGGTCCACTACCCTCTTAGTAAGGAGTGGCTGTACCTGAAACCCCCCTGTTCTCCATGCTCTGGTTCCAAGAAGACCCTGGGACTAGCTCTCTTTTCTCCCGTCTTGTCACTCACGCGAGGGAGACGCGCCACTGACCAACTGACCCTGATGCGCGCCAAGACGACGCGAGAATCTAGAAAAAGAGCGTCGAGAATAATCAAGGGGTCGGAAGACGCACTATTCCTGGTTTGATTCTGTCTCTGAGCTTCGTACGGTTTGTTGCTGTGCATATATAGATGTAGATGCATACGTGACTTCTGCAGAGGTCCTTTTGTGTTGTGTCACTGGATGCATTCTCTCCAATCTCATGAAAATCTACAGTCGATCTGCACGCGATCACGATAATTACCTGCGGAAACAAAACAATAGAACGGAATCAAGCAGCCTAGATCAAGCTGAGAAGGTAATTAACGACGGAGCAAAAGCCCCTCCTCTTGAACAATGGTGTCTCTAGAAACCATGCATCCCTGAGCATTCTTGTTCATCTCTGCTACCTTGTGACGTAGCTGCAAGAATCCTATGTACACTTGACTCCACTCCCCTTGCCGTACAGCTACCTAGACTGATTCATTTACCACACGATTCAAACATCTCCCCATTCCTTGCACATCATTCGCCCGCCTACCGCGCGCTCCTCTGTCCTAGACATCATCAACACAAACCCGCTACTTCCCCTTCAAGTGGAGAAAAACATACGAACTCCGCACCGGAGCTTTGAATGTCTTGGCATGCAGCCGCAAAATACGGCGTCTTCGCATGGTCTTTTGTAAAGGGGGCGCGTTGTGCCTGAACAAGGCAAATCACTAGGCTTATCCTAGACCGAGTTTACGTCAAGTGGACCGAAGAGGGAAGGGGGGACATGTCCGATGGTGGGACCCGGACTTTTTTCTTTCTTTTCGTCTGTTCGTTTGTTGCAAATCTGCGTATGCGATGCGATGCGATATGTCATTGTGCAGGTGCGGAGATGAGATTTTGTTTTTTTAGGAAATCGGGTCTACGTCACGTCATGCTTTTCTTTCTTTCTCGTGATTTGGTTGAGGAGATGGGAGAGGGTGAGGAAAGTGGAGGTAACAGAAATGAATCTAGATTGTAGTATTAGAATATGGATGACAGTGTGTGTGTGATCCGAGTAACTACGTATGCTGACAATATCCATCTGGCTAGAACAGTCTCTAGACCAGTCTTGTTGATGCGCTCACTGACGAGAGATTCCGGAATCTCACCACCCATACATGAACGGCTATCCGCATATCTTGCCTAACAGGCAACCAGCCCTTTTCTAAGCGTCATCCATGACTCCATTGACCTTGCGGTTGAGCGAGCGTATTCCGGTTCGCGAGGAGTGGTCCACATTGTTCTTGATCCAAGAATGGTAGAGCACATCGTCTAGTCCCATACGTTGCTCCGCATCAAGATTCAGTAGCTACAGCGGTGTTAGTATGTTTCCGGTATGTATAACCACCGGGAAGACTTACCTGGCGCATAAAATCTTCGGCGGGTAGAGATACGTGCTGGGGGAATCTAAGCCTTCCTTTGAAGTGTGCGATCCGCTTCTGTGTCTCCTCCTGGCATTTCATTTCGAAAGGTGCCCGACCAACCAGCAATTCATAGGTTAGAACACCAAGGCTCCATTGATCAACGGCTTTGGTATACCCTAAAGACGCACGAAAACACATGATCAGTATTGTTCCATGGATGATCATTCGAATGCATCGTGTCCGGGAACTTCGAAAAGAAACGGGGAGGATACTCACACTTCTTCTCCTGCTCCGGTTTCAACATCCCAATCGCCATCTCAGGTGGCAGATAATCGAGTGTGCCGCATAGCGTTGACCGCAAACCAGAATTAGAGTGCACGCTGTACCCAAAATCTGCGAGCTTCATCTCATTGTGCAACCCGAGTAGGATATTCTCGGGTTTGATGTCTCGGTGCATGATATTCTTGCTATGCAAATACCGCAATGCCTGTGCCATCTGCGAGATATATGCAGCAGCCTCCGGCTCCATGAAGCGCTTCTTGGGCTGCTTCATCATAAGATCAAAGAGGTTACCGTTTGGCGCGTACTCGAGGACGAGGTAGATGTTGGCCGGGTCATCCATCCAGGTGTAGAAGCGTAGGATATGTGGATGTGCTAGGTTCTGGTGCACTTCGAGCTCGCGTCGGACGAGCCTCTCGCTGGTCTCCGATGTAATCTGCTGTTTGGACAGCACTTTTACCGCGCAGATGTAGTTGGTTTCTAGATGTCGGGCGAGGTGAACGCGTCCGAATTTTCCGCGTCCAAGGCGTCGACTAAGCTCGAAATTTTCGATAGTCAGAGGTTTTGGTGGTCGCCGTACAGTGGTGCCTTCATCATCTCCCTGATTTCTTGACGGATCGTCGACTGTTTTGTCTTTATGATGTTCTTCGACGACCACATCCTTGATAGTGTTGCGACCTTCAACTATATCCTTCAAGTGTTCTCGTGATTTCGGATGGGTTATCGTTTGCACTTCGGATTTGGAGGTCTTCGATCGACGAATGGTTCGAAGCGCAGTGAACCGGGCTTTCGTTTTGACTATAGAGGATTTGACAGCTCCAAGAAATGATTCCGTATTGGACGCGTCATTATCTTTCCGTGACTGGTTTCGCGTCACAGGCTTTTTGGTTGGCGCCATCTCGGTGCTGTTATGTCGTATTGAAAACAACTCAATACTTCGATTTTTAAGTCGCGGTAGGTGAAGTATTGTTGGGGTATTGTAGCTTGAGCTCGAGGTATACATTTATAAGGCTTGGGCCGTGGTGCTGCTGTATTCACTCCACAGCTGCCTTGAAGCTTTGTCTCCAAGGCAACGCGATTTTCGTTTGCTTCTTCGCAAACCAGTTGATACCGTCTTATTTCGCATTACCTGATACCAAGCCCAATCTGTTTTCAACCACCTCTACAATCTCTCTCCAGTCTTTCATAGCACCACCTCCAACATCACCACAAGCTAGCTCCTTCTCCATCGGCTTGAGCACTTCAAACCAGCCGCCGTTCCGCACGCTCCATTCCTCCTCTAGAACCTTGATCTGTGTATTCGTTATGGGCTGCTTCCACATGGCGGTGTTCATAGACGGAGCGACGATTATTATCTTTTTGCCACCTGCCTTTCCATCCGTGTTGTGAGAGCGACCCGGTGTCTCCAAGTTCCTCACGGGATCTAGCTCACCAGTAGTATCCCACGCGCGTACGACAGAAAGAAGAAGGTTATCAGACCAGCCTTGCGTGATCTTAGCAAGGGAGTTTGCACTCAGAGGTGCTATGACCATGACATCGGCCCAGCGTCGCAACTCGATATGCAGGATCTTGTTACCCCGGACCCAAGGCTCCCTCCATTCGTCTTCGTCCAAGTACACGCTGTCCACATTGGGGTATGTTTCAATTTCTGCGATAGATGGCTGCTCGTTGCTCTGACCGCACAAGAATTTGGTGGCAGATTGTGTAAGGACGAGACGAATGGAAAGGTGAGGGTATTTCGCAAGTGCTTGGATCATGTTGGGGATCTTGATTGTCGCGACAGAGCCGGTGGCGCACAGTAATAGATGTAGCTTTCCATCATGTAATGGCAGCGCGTAGGGATCTTCGCGCAGCACGGGTCTGAGATTGAGCGGTTTGAGATCTTGTATTGTGACGGACATGCTACCGCTGGTCTTAGTATGCCTTTTTGAGACACGAATTAGTGATAAAAGGCAAAGTGACAATTGCGTTGTGACGAGGAGTGAACTTTGCCGTTTCGATGCGATGCGATGAAGTCTGATGTTGCGGGACAAAAGGCATTTGAAAACCCCCACCTACGTCTGTCACGTAATCAACATACTAGCTTGGACTCATAGAAGTTGCTAGATACATATATAGGTACTCATGTTTCATATGCACCACGCAAATATACTCAAGACAAAGGAGAAAGACAGAAGAAGCTGGTGGCACAGCCTAAATCGTCATGAGTCGTAACCATGTAGTCATAGGTACGTTGGTCCCGTTCATATTTCCTCCGAGTTATCCCCACACCTTAACTCCGTTAGTGAGTATGTGGATGCACTTGGGAAGCAAGAACAATGACCTGTTGAACATGTGCATTGCAATTTGTCATAACGTTCACCGTCAAATAGAACATATGTGATAGTCTGTGGTAGGATATCGGTGATTGATTTTTGCAACATAGATGCTAAATCCAATCCGGTATTCTACGAATGCAAAACGGAGAGTCCGGAATTCCGCTGGAGAGTGCGAAATCAACAATTGCACGACCTGTTATGCAAGGGACAGAATATAAGACATTGCTGGATCGAGACCTGCAGGCTTGAGATCTCAATTCCAAATGGGATTGCGTGCAGGTCACCCTGCACCATTCGCATCTGATTGGCCAATGCCTCATGAATCAACATGAAAGTAGAATTCCGCATCTATCACCAGCTCAGACTCAATGAGTAACATACACAGCTACTGCTCACACACTGGCAATAGCAGGAGATATCTCAATTGCTCCAATGTTTTTGTTTGTAATAGTGCAACGGCGATAATCGGACATTATCACTAGTTGTATCTACCAGGGTCTGATCTGCCGTAGATGAGGGGTGGGTACATACGTAGCCATGAGAGTGGCGTTCGAGCTCAATCATGTATAAATCGCACATCCCTCGGCCAGGAATTTTTGAGGCAACTGAAGTTCAACATTCAATTGAACGAGCCTCCTACATTACCATTGTCTTCATAGATTCCACACAACACTCATAATGTCTCTCCCAACCGCTGCACTTGGCAAAAATGGTCCTCAAGTCACTCGAGTGGGCTTCGGTCTGATGGGGCTCTCAACATTTTATGGCCCTGCTAAGCCAGATAATGAGCGTCTAGCTCTGCTGGATGAAGCTCACAGTACGTAAGACCGGTACAAAATGAAGACAGCATTGGTGTTGCGGAACTCCTAGCCCACTATATTCGTCTCATCCCCATCAATGTGTCATTGAACTATCACTGACGAAGAATCTTTGCAGAGATGGGACAGCGCTTCTGGGATAGCGCAGATCTCTATGGAGATAGCGAGGAGCTCTTGAACAAGTGGTTCAAAGCCAACCCTGAGAAGCGAGATGACATCTTCTTAGCTACAAAATTCGCGGCACGCCACGCTAATGGCCAATTCTACGTTGACAGCTCGCCCGAGTATGCGAAGCAAGCATGTGCCAGAAGTTTGGAGCGACTTGGCCTACCCAGCGTAGACCTCTATTACTGCCATCGCCTTGACGCGAAGACGCCCATTGAGAAAACAATCGAGGCTATGGTGGAACTGAAAAACGAGGGCAAATTCAAATACCTAGGACTCTCGGAATGTTCGGCTGATTCTCTGCGTCGCGCACACAAGGTGCACCCCATCACAGCTGTTCAAGTTGAATACTCGCCCTTTGCGCTCGAGATCGAAACAGAGCAGATTGATCTACTCCGTGTAGCTCGCGAGCTTGGCGTGGCTACTGTTGCGTATTCACCGCTCTGCCGTGGACTCCTTGCGGGAGCCCTGCGTTCTCCTGACGACTTTGCCGAGGGAGATTTCCGTCGCTTCGCTCCTCGATTCTCCAAAGAGAACTTTCCCAAGAATCTCGAGTTTGTAGATCAATTGAATGAGATGGCAAAGAAGAAGGGAAATGGGGTTACCGCATCTCAGTTGGTATTGGCTTGGTTGCTCGGACAGGGCGAAGACATCTTCCCTATCCCAGGTACGACCAAGTTGGAGAGGCTGAAGGAGAACAATGGGTCGATGAAGGTTGAATTGAGCAAAGATGAGCTGCAGCAGATTCGAAAGCTAGCCGAAGAGACAGAAGTTCGTGGCTCGAGATACCCTGAGTCTGCTGCAAGCCAGTTGTACGTGGACACGCCGCCTTTGTAGACTATACTTGTGTACCTAGAGCACTATTCATAGAACTTCCCTGTGGATAGTGGAACACAGATATCATATCATGAACAGTCCAGTAACATAAATTGCCTCGAGATGTGAAGGGTTAGGCGCAATTCAATTCAGTTTTCTTATGCAGGGTTAGATAGTACGTCTGATCTCAGGCCCGATCTTGAGGTGCAAACTCAGGCAGGAGAAATTTGCTATGGTAGTGACGTCTGATCATCACATTTCCGGCTTGTGCGTGCACTTTCGAAGTCTTTCATTGAAGCCTGCCACTAATACATATCTCGTGACGCCGTCATAGATTCACCGCAGGAATTTGGATATGCCAGATAGCGTTACAGGCAGCCAATGACCAGACCTGCCGCAGGAATGGGAATATGCATGATCCGACCGCTGACCCTTTTTGAAACCCCCTCGCAAAGGCGAATGGCAAAGAAACCGAAGAAAGAAGACATTTAGTCGAAAAGACCGAAGCCCATGTCGTCGTCTGACTCCTCCTTCTCTGTGTAATTGTTAGCATTTGTGCGCTTGAGGAGATTGTGGGACACATACCCTCCTCCTTCTCCTCCTCGGCGGGTGCCGCAGCATCAGCAGCACCTCCAGCAGCGGCACCGCCAGCAGCGGGGGCGGCACCACCACCGGAGCCGACGTTCAAAAGAAGGTCCTTGACGTCCTTGCCCTCAAGAGCCTACACCAGATCAGAAAATGCCATGTTATGCCAGTCCTGGAAGTCGCGCACCTTTGCGAAAAGCTGTGTCCATATGGGCTCGATGTCCTCGATTTTGGCGGCCTTGATGAGGGTCTGGAGCTTGTCGGCCTGGGATTGTTAGCAGGCGTCGCTGGTTCGTGAGTCGGTAGTCCATACAGTGATTTCGGCACCGTCATCAGCGAGGATGAGGGCTGCGTAGGAGGAGGCGAGCTCTGCGTTAGACATGGCGACTGTGTGTTGACGAGAAGTGTCCAGGGAGATGTGCCGGGTCGAGATGTTTAAAGAGGTTCACGATTCGTTTTTGGCGGAGCTACGAGTTTGTGTCGGCAAAAAGTTAAGCGAGACGCCGGTGCTAGAGCCGGGTCACGTGTCAGTGCGGGGCGAATCAGACGTCACTTCCCAGTAGCTGAAGTCAACACCCCCGCTATGCCGCCTGCCCAAAGAGCTGGGCGCGTGCTCTCATTCAATAACCTTAATTACTCTCTCTTGCATCGTCCTTCATTCGGCTGGAGCTCGACCAAAGCCATTCACACCCTCTCCACCTCAAAGCCCGGCATCATACCTCCAGTATGACAGACTCGCCTGCTGTACGAATCCCGCTCGATCCGACGGAGCAGCCTATCCTTGATACGCTGCTGTCTATCCGGACAAAACTCGAACTGCTCAAACAAGACCGATCGACCTACGTCAAGAGCCAGGATGTCATCGAACTTTATGATCAGGTGATTGCACAGGTCGAGCTGCTAAATCAGATACGAACGACCAAACGTCTCGAGCAGAATAGAGGTTCGTATCGACTTGTTCCGAGCTATCACATGGGTGTACAAGCCACTGATCGATTCCAATTGCTGTACAGTGGATACGGTTCTCGATGACTGCTTCCAACTCATCTCCTTGGCGTACATGACCATTGGAAAAACCCATGAAGCTCCAGCAGTGTACGTGCACCGATGCGATCATGTTCCCGAAGGCATGCTGACTATGTATTCTTCTGCAGATATGCGTTTATATCTACTGTCAAAGTGAGTCAATTCACCATGCTGTTTTGCCCGCTTTGTACGCCCACAACTAACTTCTCCAGCGCTTACTAGATCATATCGAGGAAGCTCATTTCTACTCTGCAAAGGATCTCGAATCGATAGGGACACAGCTTAAGAATGCGAGAGGTTACCTTGATAAGGGCAAGGAGTCTTATAGCCCCCATCTCTTGACTCTTCTCGACGCACGTATCCAAGTATGCGAGGAGACACTTGCTAGGCTTGAACTAGCGCAGTCACATCTTACAGAAGAACTCCGGCCAAAATACGATAAATTAGTCTCCATTCTGCGGTCGCTTGCTGGCTGCAACACTCGGTCCAAAGTACGGGTTCGTGATAATCATATAAATCACTGCTAACATGCTTCGCAGTTTCCCCACGACGAAGTAAACGAGTACCTCGAACAACTTAAAGGGCTTGCGGAAGAGCTCAGCCCTTACGGAATCCATGCTTTCGAAAGTACTGGCTCGAAAGAAGACAAGCTGGCAGAGATGATGGAAAAGGTTCAGTTCACTATGGCTCACCCAGAGGCGGCGCCCGAAGCCAAGGAAATCATCGAAACCCTACTTCGACGCAATTTCATATGGGTCAATTTGATCAAAGAGAAGCAAGGAAGAATCGCGCCAGCTTTCAAAGAGGTCTATGACAAACTATTGGGTATTCGCAACAAACTGGAAAAACTGAGTCTAACGCAAGCCTGGTCACTACGGGAGACAGATCTTTGGAACTACCAGCGACAACTCGATCGAATCGATGAATCGCGGGTAGACGGACAGTTCATTGATGCCGTGGGAAGGCCATCTGAGATCTACGAACAGAGGACGCTATTGTATCTGCTGCGCAAAAGTTACGCACTCATATATCACCTTATTGTATCCTCCGAGCCGGTTTCAGAGGCTCTGTTGCCTATATACAACCAGCTTACAACGCTTCGCAAATGTCTCTTGGAGGTCAAGAAGCTAGGAGGAGTATCATCTCCCCGTGAGCTGTACCCCTACAGCATGAAGGTGAGACTAGATCATTCGAACGTGTGGACGACACTAACTGGACATAGCTCAACTCCATCGACAACATGCGGGTTGATGGAAAATTCATGATCGGGAATGAAATACCCGAAGGCCAGGGCAGCGTCACACAGTTGCTCTCAGAGTGCTTTGAGCTCGCGTATGAGCTTCGCAATGATGCAGAGGACAGCAGTTCGACCGATCAAACACCAGCGAGCGAAAGCGGACCTGAACTAGAACCCGTCGCCACATGAGGGGGCTATCCTTCATATTCCTACCTTCTAAAGTCACAATGGCGTTACTGGCGCAATCATGTTTTTAGGGTGGAGTCTCGTCTTTGCGCTGGTATTGCGCATACGGCTGTGCCTTCATTGCAAATTTTTGATGCTTTGTATTTGTAGCCGAAGTCGTCTTCCTCAATCCAGATGTATCTGGTTGAACTGCTCTAATTCTTCTTCGGGTGAAAGTGGAGTCGGAGCATCTACGTCTTTAAAGGTCAAATGACTCCCATAGGATATGCCTATAGGATTGTGTTAGGCGAGAGTATTAATACAAAAAATCCAGGATTCAGTCTTACAAAGTTCTTCGCCAGCAGAGATATCGCGCTGTGAGCGATAGATTATGATGAGACGTTCTGTGTCTCTTTCCCACACCACATTCTGGAGCTGGGTAGAGTGATTGAACATGGAGCCCAGGCCGAGTATCACAGCTTGCGAGACCGTCTTCTCCCCACGATCGTTCTCCGTTGGCCAATTGCTAATTTGGAATTCAACACTGGAAGAGCCAGAGATGAGATTTAATTTACTTACTAGGTGTAATGATAAAGCGAGGTGTGCTCAATGTGATCCACATTCTCTTGTACGCCCAAGACCAGCACAGGGCAGACATCAATGACTGTTTTCGCGGGGATATCTTTCGCGGCGAAGACCCCTCTTCCTAAATTATATCATCAATCAGGACTGATTCCTCACGATGAAAGAAACTTAAGAATTTTTTTGGTGGATGCTTACCCTTCGGCGTATCGGATTTTATTATTAGATCTGCGCACCGTTGCAGCGGTATGTCAGAGGAGTTGGCCATTTGCAGTTCGAATTCGAAGGTGAGGAATGTCAGCAAAATGCCTTAATTGAATCAAGCATTAAGAACTCACTGCATGGGTTAGAAGTGGTCTGTGCTCGGATTTGTACAGTGGTTCGCGCCCTCCAACCGAGGAGCTTTGTCTTCTCATCAACTACCCGCGCATTTCACTGCTTGCTCTCGACCCCAATCAATACAATGATAACATTTGCCCGTTAACTGGATACATCTGTACTTTGAAAACCCGTACATGTCGAATTGCGCCGTTTCTATAATACATACCCGCTAAAACTCACAAACTCGCATTAACATGGCTCATCACCGCCCTACACAGAGTGAGGCGCTCAAGATGCCCCACACAGTGAGCTTGAAAGTACTGAGGTACCTGGCATTGGAATCCTGTACATGAAGCGCACATGATCTCTAAAAGCTCTTCAGACTGTCCCGACCATCGCTGGCCACACAGTACCCTCTCCCCAACTCCGAAGCGCTGGGCATTGCACCATCCGCCTCCCTCGCCTACCCTGCCTCTAATCCATCGTCCACCTCGCAATCAATCCTTAGTCCCGTGTTGAACCTGCCCGAAGCTTTTGGCAGCGCCTATGTCGGCGAAACATTCTCCTGCACACTATGCGCGAACAACGAACTAGACCCCTCAGACAAGACGCGAACGATCAGCAATGTACGGATACAAGGGGATATGCAAACACCATCTACGCCTACCGGCTCTACCCTAGAGCTGATTGCCTCAGACAACAGCAAAGAAGGAAAGGGTGACGAGAATGTAGAAAGTACACCGGGGCCGGGTGAGAGTTTACAGCGGATACTCAGGTTTGAACTCAAGGAGGAAGGAAACCACGTGCTCGCCGTTACAGTCACATACACGGAGTCAACAACCACAGGAGAAGGGACGGCGGTCAATGGAAAAGTGAGGACGTTCAGGAAGCTATACCAGTTCGTAGCACAACAGTTACTTAGTGTGCGGACCAAGGCAGGAGAGTTGAGTGTCAAAGACGGCGTAGGTCGATATCTTTTGGAAGCGCAGTTGGAAAATCTGGGAGAAGGGCCAGTGTCACTCGAGGTATGTTGCAATCACTCGTTCTTGTGAGAAGGACAAAGCGCACGATTCCAGGGTACCATGGGACAAGAGCCGCGATTTTAACGCACAGTGATAGACTGTTGATCTCAACCCGAAAGCTCCTTTTAAGTCAACATCACTAAACTGGGATTCACATCCCCATGAAACCGACACACTGGCAGCGCCGATATTAAACCCTAGGGATGTGATACAAGTGGCTTTCCTCCTGGAGGATTCAATATCTACAGAGCCGCCCATAGACGCAGAGAAATCGAATGCAGACGATAGTAGGAGAGTTTTGGGACAATTGGCTATCCAATGGAGAAGCGCACTGGGGGACTATGGATCTCTGAGCACGGGTTGGCTCACGAGTCGTAAATGAAGAAGATTGAAGATATCGACTTTGGTTATGGCTCCCCCTCGGAAAGGACACATTGGTCACACACACCGCTCACTGCTACTACCAGTTGACGGCACTTCAGTGTGAATCAGCTGCACCGTTCCGCTATACTATACAATCAGCGCGACGTTGTGTTTCCACATGCTTCCACTACACATACCCAATTCCTTGGCGACTCCGGTGGTACTGTACACCAAGCTTACTGTGCGCACATGTAGAACCATCGATACCAAAGCAAAATTTTGGTTCGAGGAGAGAAGCCAATGAGCCGAGCCCGGGAATATGTCCAAGCGCATGGAATAGAGGTTGGCTCCTAACCCGGGGTTTTCACACGTGGGAAGAGATCGCGGACTGTATAGGCAAAGTTACACAGGCGGAATAGTGTATGCGGGAGCTCTAGCCCACAACACTGGGCGGGGGAGTGTTTGACTCAGACTGGCTTTTATGCAGCCGCTTGTCATCTACGGATAGAAATTAGTCTGTCGTTTCGAGACCATTGAGCAGTCAAGGGAACTGATGTCTCCGGCTGTCTCTTATGATTTCCATTTACGTGGTCTTCCCTTTCGGATAGGTCGCGAATCATGCCCGTATTTCCCGCCGCTGTCGACTTCCCCGAATTTTCGAGGATCATCTTCTTGCTCGGTGTTCATGTAGTAATTACATTACGCGTGTTTGCGATGTCCCCCAGCAACGATTGGAACATCTTGGTATTGTGCGACAGTACAAATGAGCATATTTACATAAAAGATATGATTTGATGTTGACTTTTTACCATTCTTTCCAGAACCATGTCTGTATACAGTGGGTGGAATTCTGAAAGAGAACCTAGACACATTGTTGTCAATGTAAGATCCGCCGCGACCAATACGTTTCAGCTAGCGTTCATTTGTCAGTGTATTTGGGAATTATATGGCGAGATGGAGGGTACTATCTCACCATCAAACGAAGATTGTCCATCTGAACCGTGGTCTGGTTGAGCTCCAGTTGATCGGTGTAGGTACCGAGCTTGTTGATAGTCGGGTTGTAATCCGCTGGCCTTTCGGATTCACGGAAAGAGGGAAATCTTTCTTTAATGATGGGTGATATTTTCTTGGACAACAATACAATGAGCTGCCGTACAGTAGGAAGGCAGACACTGTGGAATTATGAAGTTAGTCCAACCCCATATCTTGCCTGTTTCGTGTACACGGAAGAAAGGCGTTTGACGATACTTACCAGATGACTCCCACACACATCTCAAGCTCAGTCCAGACCGAAGATTCGTAAAAATCCCAAGTCGGGTTCTTGGTAAACGCAAAATCATTCACCGCCTTGAGACGTATCATTGTGACAATGGTTATGAAGAACCCAACCATGAACATGAATCCGATTCCAGTCTTCTTCTGCCAAGTTGCCTGGAGACCGCGCAACTGCCATAGCGCTATTCCGAGGATCCAGAAATCCAACGCGATGTTTATGGCGGCTTGAGAGTCGATTATGGCGCTAAAATTGAGGCAGGTGCCTTGATGGCTACCATCCCACTGTTTCCAGAAATAATGGACGGGACGGCATTGGAACACGAACACCAGTGAATAGACTGTGCCCCAGAGCCCTGTGAATATAATCGAAGCCCAGAGAATGCGCTGGACAATTGTGTCGACGAACAGCCGAAGGTAGAAGAACAGTAAGCTCATCTTTATGAAGGCTATATGCGGGGAATACAAGACAGCCAGGACATAGAAGAATTTTAACATCTTGGTGGTCTGATCAGGTCGCAGCGTCCATATATCTTTTCCAAGGCCCTTGGTAACGCGTTGTCAGATCTTATTTTATACTCAACGTGTATATGGACACTACTTACGTTGTTCACCGCCCCCAAAGCTATGAGGAATTCGCATGGTATGATTGATAGGAAAGCCGCGAATGCACACAGATCATCATATCCGAATTCAATTCTGGCCACTCCAAATCTGTACCCGAAACGAAGCAGTGTGAAACCGAGTGATAGAAAGAACAGGGTGTGTGTCATAACGAGATATTGTGGTCCTCGATCTCGTACTGGAGCCCCGCACAGCGTTAAGCTGATGTTTTTGGCAGCTATGAGAGGTATCAGAAGGTAGTTCCTCCAATATGACCAAGCGCACATACTTAAAGCTTCGATGATCGAACATTCCGAAGTATCACATAGTTCTATGTCACTCTGAAATCGTGGGTTGGTACATGTGCATTCAAAGTCGGTCGGCGAACAAGTTCCCATAGTAAATACCTCCGTAAGGCATGATTGCTTCAGAAATTAGTAAAATCAGTCAAGAGCTAGTATTCGACAAAGGGTCATCTTACTGCACACGGGGGCATTTGAAATGACTGCGCCAGCGCAGTTGAAGAGATGGTAATCAAACAAAGGATAAAAAGCATGATGTGATAGAATTTTAGATGCGTGAGAGCGACCACGAAGACGGATGCCTACTCGACGAGCGTGGGTATGGAGCTATATTAGGTCCAGGGTTTTGGATATGGATGCAGGTTCTTAACTCGACGTAATGGTCAGAGTCGGGGATGGCCACAGTTTCATCTCTTGTATTCAAAATACTTTGGGTGAGACCAACGGTTGGCATCTTGTCGGCCAGGAGTTTGATAAACCCAAATTTACTCAATCTGACCATAATGACATGCAAAAGGTACTATAGCAGTTTAGGCTCAAATAAAAGCAATTTGGATTGGTGTTATTGGAGTTCACAAGCTAGAAACCAGCACACCATCACCACCACTTGAAATACCTAATGTGTAAGTCAACTAAGAAACCCGTAAATTGCCCATAACAGTGGGAAAAACCATATCACACTGTCGTTGATATGAACGCAGAATGTGTCAAAAAAAGGTCCACTGGAAGTTTATAGGATAATGTTTGTCATGTGGACACTGAGGTTAAACCCATGAGCTAGTGCTTCAGAAGAGAGACTAGCATTCTGCAAACCCCAATCAGCTCGCCTTGACTATCTTCCATAAACACCCAATGGACAGATAAATGCCTCTCTTCAAACTCCGGGACATCAGACAATGAAGGTTGCAATGAACATCCATTCAAGTGGACGAATAGGAACGATGTCGATCTGATCCCGGTGTTCAAGGACCACAAGCGCCTCTTTCGATACCATTACTATTTCTCACGTCTTTGACGTTTGATCGAAATGGTATTTCCCTAATTCCCCTGGTGGAAACAGTCGCAGCTCAGCTCTTGGGTGTATTCAATCTAGCGCAGACCAGCAAACAGAGCATGCTGTGTTTCTTTAAGTTTTGTGGGACCGAAATTGTCAGGTGTTGCAAACATAACTGTGAATTTCCACAATCTATAATTCCTGTTTCTAACCTTCTTAATTAGGAAGTAACCAGAACACCATTGAACACTGTACCTGTAAAGGTCAACGTAGTAGGTCTAAACCAAAATTTGAGATCACAATTATCAAATTACCAAGTCAATTTGGCAAAATCACAAATTCTTATACAGAGGTCTGAAATATTACAATGCACTACAAACAATTTCCTCCGAAATATCTCCACGTCCTGTTATGCGTCTGATCCTCCCTCTCCCAACTTTCCTAATTAGGCAAGTATCGATCGGTGTTGAAAGCTGCTAGAGTTTTGGTCAGTCTGGACGTGATTTTGGATATAATTAGTCGGATTTTACGATGAAAAATCGGAAATCACGTATTGTACATACTAGGGTTTGATATACTCTAGTGCGTTATCTGACAAATGCACTACTCGCTTTCTAGTGCTGGAATAGATTGTCTGTATGTTGCGGTGCATATAATAGAAAAAATCCACGTCAAGTTGAGGTAATATGGGCGCCCGCGTTGATGTGGACAATAGGAATAGAGTATTATTTCCCGTCTTTGCTACGTGCTTCTCCTTTCCACTAGAGAGGATCGGGGTGTTTTTACTCAAGTAAAGATTGTTGGATAATGTCGTTTGGTTTCAGCAAACACGGCCAGGGGAAAGATTGGAAGATAACACGAAGGAGCATTTTGCAAGTCCCTAAGGAATCAATTTAGCAAACTCACAGAACCACGATCAAAACACGTATAAAAATAATGATGAGGCACGGCACAGTTAGAGTAGACCTGAGATGGTTTGACTCCTCATGATTCACGAAGATTTTGTTTTGTGGAACCCATGCTAGGATGTTAGGTACGACTAGGTACGAGTAGGTACGTGGATGCGAGGACGAGATATCCAAGCTCCTGTGCATCTACCGAAAGCGTGATATCTCTGAGCCCATTTTCGCAGGCTTAGCATAGGTATATGTGGAACAATCCCATCGAGAATACCAGAAGTTCCTCAGTGATTCCTCTCAGGGTTATCCCAAGTCCAACCTCAACCACCATGCAGCCTAGCCTGTTCCTCCTCCCAAGCCGCCATCATACTGTCGACAAAAGCCATCCGCTGCTCCTCATTCATGGCCAATTGATCCTCTACCAACTCCTCCAGCATATTCCGCCTATCGTCCTCCTCAATCATTTCGTCAATCTCCTTCCTGCGCATCTCTTCGTATATCTCCTCCGGGTCATTCATATCTGGTGGATCGGTCCTCTCGAACTGCATAGCACCCTTTCGCTCTGCACCAAACATCTCAATCGGGCGATCCACATAAACGCCCCATCCTTCCCAGATCGAGCCTCGATCCCTGGAAAGCAAGGGACCTTTGGTGACACGCCATCGCTTCGTCAATTCCTCCTCCCGGTCTGAGCACTGCGTCATTAGGTTGTACGCTTGCAGCACCTTGCCGTATAGAATGCGGTGGGAACCTTGGATGTCGTCGGGCGTGTTCGCATACTTGGAGTAAAGACTGTGTCCATGAATGCAGCTAGCAGGATGCTCAGTTGGACATGGATAGGATTCGGCAATGCGCCATTTGCCCTTGCGGGAGAGTTCCCTTATCCTATCGAACATATGTGCGGGGAGGAAAATGGCCTTCTCAAGCTCAAGGCGATGGCTGCCAGGAATGGTGCGACCTAAAATGATACAATCTGTAGCTGGTGTTGATAGTATGTCATCTTCCGAGAAGATGATCTTGGGAAAGTAGATGGCAATCTGTAGCTCATTTTGTGAAGCTGGCTCCGGTATAGCGAATTTCTGCGGAGGGGCCTGCGGAGAAAGTAATGTTAAATTGCCGGCCATGTTGACAAGTGGTGTCATGACGTGTGGAGATGATGCAGTCGCATTCCCGCCGTGAAGGTTGGAGAGTCCGTTGGTGTGGCCGGCTTGCAGATTGAGTGGTGCTGGGGGTGGTGCGCGGGCAGCAGATGGAAAGAGTCCTGATGAGGGTGTTGAGGCCGACCCAGAGCTTCCATTCAACCCTCCCTGTGGTCCGAGGGTATTGAGATGTTGAACATTTGAAGTTGTGTTCAGAAATGGGTTGCTCCCGATCGCATTCTGAGATTCCATTGCGTTAACAGCGTTAAGATACGGACTGTTTGGAGCAGTGTTGAGAAATGGGTTGTTTTCAATTTCGTCTTGATTTTGGGTACTTCCTGTACTCGAGAATGGATGAATAGGGGGACCGAACGGCGTCGACCCAGTGCTTTGATATGCACTGTTTTGGAAAGGCAACGACTGTGCAGTTGTGACATTGAACGGCGATAAGTCATGCTGAGCTCCAGATTCAAATGTTGTTGGTGCCAGCGATTGCCGGAAAGGCCTTTCATTCAAATACTGTGCTGGATTATCGCTCTGTGGCTCGATTGGAGCTGCGAACGGGTCCAATGACGGATGGAAAGGAGTATAAAACTCCTCACTGGAGCTCATGTTGTTATGAAAACCATGTTGCATGGTAGATTGAGCCAGAGATTGCTGGAATGGTGAAGGATTAAGCTGATCAGTAGCGTTCTGTACTCCGAAAGACGACATTCCCGGCATGGACTGTGGGTTCGAGCTCGGAATGCTTTGAAAGGGGCGCCACGGAAGGGTGTGCTCTTGAGGTTGGGCTTGCAGTCCGTGAGACGCATCCAAGCCGAACAAGCTCTGAGAGTACAACGAGCTGGGGTCTTGTGATACGGTCATATTGGGGTTACCAAATACAGATGTGGAATGACTGCCGACATACGGTTGGTATGCAGTTGTTGGAGGGTTAGTATTTGTACTCTGTTGCTCGCTAAGTGCATGTGTAGATACGCTTGAGCTCATAGAAGAGATTGACTGGGCAGGTGGGAACCCAGCAAGAGCAGCCAATATGGGATTGATAGGGCCACTCATATCCAGTGGATCGCCATCGGGTTCAGCGTTCGCAGAGCCGCTAATGTTTTCTTGTTCATGGCCGTCGAGATCGCTCTCGTCTAACAACTCCTCGTCGGGGTTGTCAGCATCTTGAAAGACGTCGGGGTTGTGAGAAAATTGAATGAAATCGTCGTGGTATGCTACCTCCAGTAGAGAGCCTCCATTGTCACCGGAATTTACATAGTCGTCAGTGACTACACCTTCATGATCATCATTAGAATCATGTTCTTCATCAGTATATCCGTTCTCCTCCTCCTCCTCCTCCTCCTCCTCCGAGTCTATGATCATGCTCTCGCCATCGTCTGTATGAGAAGGCGGGGGAGGTGACACAACACGCATATCCGGTCTGGAGTTGGCAAAAAGGTTCGATTTGAGCCTTCCATACACGCATTTGGGCACTTTCTCATAGTACTTAGCGTGCTTCTTCCGCAACAATTCAGCAATTTGGTATTGTAGTTCTTGGGAACTAGGTCGATAAGGCTCAGGTGGCGCGGGTAGGAGTGCATCGGAACGCATAGAAGACGCTTTATTTGGCATGGGCTGGCTCGCTTCACGGGCGAGCTGATTGCTGATTGCAATCTCCCTTTGCTTCTCACGAAGTTTCAGGATGTTTTCGTTGAAAATGCGGCGCTCATTTGCATACGGTAGGTCATGGTAGTAATGTTTGAAGCCAACACCTGCTACACCTTCGGGGGTTTCGCTGACCCTTTCTTTCTGCTCACGCTGATAGCTCCCGATTTTACTGGCCGGGATACCAGCTTCTTGTAATAACCAGAGAGCGCGTTGGCGGTTTTTGAAACAGGCCGCGAAGTATTTCCTCTGTTGGGCGTCTTCCCGGGGTATGTTGAGAAGTGGAGTGATGATGTCGTCAACGGGATCTACTGGCCGCTGGAGACCAAACTTGACTTCGTGATACTGCATTCTCTCGCTTTCCTGGGTCTGCCTTTCAAGCGCACCGATGTCCGGCTTCATGCGATCTTTGCTTTCTTTGATGGTAGCAGTCGGTGCTTGTAAATCGCCCTCGTCAATTTCCACAGAACCATTGGTGAGGTTACGAGGGTGTTGTTCGAATAGCCACAGGCTCGGTATCTCGTGTTTCACAGCTGCGTGTAGAGCCGTACCGTCGCCCATATGGTAGTCAATCCATTGGTATAGAAATTCGACATAGTTAGGTACGAGGGAGCTCCGGACTGTGACAATGTCCACGAGAACCCTATGCAACTCATTATTTTGGAATAAGTCAGAGCGAAGGATACGGCGACCCATATTAGTATAAGCTGGTTTGGAAGCTGACTGCTCGTGATTGTTGGCCGCTTGGAGCATAGAATCAAGACGCGGCTTCTTCGTCGATGGCGTCTCTGGATCATTGAGAGGAACTACCACCTTCCATTGAACACACCATGTCCAAAGCTCTTTACCAAGTTGTGCCGAGAGTCGGTTGGTGTAATCTTGGATCAAGCCAAGGAAAACTGCGTGGTTGTAATTCATGCGGTATACGAGAGGCGTGTGCCCGTATTGGTCGTATGGAACGAGAGTAGGGAAGGGAGCGACATTGCCGGTGACATCTTGTTTGTCGGCATAGTAGCTGTCATTCAGCAGGTCGAGTACATAACCGTGGGCCACCATGACGGCGACACGAGCGTTTGAAAAACAAGTTGGGGATAGAGCTCGAGAGCGCGATGTTGTCGGTTTAAAAGACGGAACCAGCTCGCTGCGGGGTAGACGTGGTTGCTGAGCCAAGTATTGTTGTTGCTGCGGTCTAGGTACAATAGGTACAATAGGTAGGTTTTCGTCCGTGCGTAGTGAGAAGTGCGCGTGAAGGTGAGCATGGACAAAACGTGAAGGAAATTGGACTAATGATGAATGAGATCAAAGTAAAGGAAGTAGGCCGAGTGTGTCGCTTGACCTAAAAACCGTTCACCCAAAACTTGCGCTGGATTGGGGAGGGTATCGTCTGGAAATGCTACCGACCGTTTGTTTCGCCAGACTGCCCTCAGCCGGCTTCTATTATACACATGCGTTCATTTCTGTTCCTTGAGCTTGTCGACAACAGAGCCCAGCCTGTCCTCTGCGCGCTCTCGTACCCTTCTCCAATCCGTCTCATACACCTTCCTCAATGCACCTTCGACTTCCCTGTTCCACCGATCTTTGGCCATCTCCGCTAGCCCCACGGGTACTTCTCTTGCCACTGGCTCCGGCTCTGCGGGTTGAGGTTCGACGACGCTGTTGAGAAGACCCCGTTGTTGGCGCAGCAGCGCAGCTTGTGTGAGGCGATTCTTCGTGTGCAGTGATATGGTCAGGTAGAGCACAGCGGATGTGAAGGTAAAGCCTCCCAGCTAAAAAAAATAAGTAAGCCTTTTGATTATCGCGTCTTGCGAAGATTGACATACAAAGCCGGTTGTGAAGCCCATGGCGAAGCTGTGGTCGTGTTTTGCGAAGCCAATCGCTGGCGCAGGGGTAGCGATGTTCCGAACAATTGAAAAGCCAGGAATGCGCAATTGAAATTATGCAGATGATTCCCGCGTAAAGGATCAGAAGTGACTGAATATGGAGGGAGGATGCAATGTCGTTGAATGTACAGATGGAAATCCACGATATTGTCGGGTTTGATTTGAGGTCAGCGCGCCAATCGTTAGGGAGCAGCTGGCCCAAGCGTAAGACCTTCCACCACCAAAACCACCTTAAGTTGGATTACATGCATGTCTACAGCTCAGGAACTTTTACGGCAACCTCGTTGTATAAAACTTAATGAAACAACGATCAGCATTCTCTACTCTTTCTGAAGCGTATCGACTACAACTGAGCTCGGAATGCAACAAAACCGTGCTCGCAGCAGGAATATCGATTATTGTGCCGCCCGTTGTAGGACTTTCCAAGTCTGAACACTCGCTATAACGAACGCTCAAACTTGTCATATACAATATTGAACAGTGATACCCTCGTTCGCAATTCAATTCCGGACGAAGTCAGGTTTGGGCGCTGCAAATCTTGAAAACCAACGCAGCAACCTACCGGATACGGTAGAAATTGAGCTACTGCCATAGATCTATGCGCACTGCTGCTCAGAAACTGCTGTGAGCACGGCCCAGCTCTAAACTTACCGGATACAGTAGGAACATTGAATGTTCAAGATCATCGATCACGGGAGTTCCAGATTCACGTTCATGAACTCGACTTTCACAAGGCTTGCAGCTCTGACATTTCAAACTACCCAATATGGAAGTTTCGACGCAAGATCGTCCATCGCGGCGTCCCAAGATTCACGTTCAGAAACCACGGAGTCTCCCTAGCGTCCCAGCTGTGAATCAACTCTACCCTGGCAGCAGTTCGCAGAAAATGATCCAAACTACCTGATGAGGCAGTTTCTCATCATGCTGTGGATAGCAGTGTTCCACTTGCATGTTCAGACATCATGGGATCCTTGGCGTTGGGGTGTCGGGACTGTCATGCTGAGTTGAAACTGCTATATGGAGCAGGTGATCTGCTAAAGTGTCGAGAACAGTGACCCGACAGTAATGTTCATGGGTTGCTTATCCTTGGCGCTGCAATGCAGTCAGAGTCAGGCTGGTTCATCCTAATCCGTGGGTCAATTTGTCGAGTAGGCTGAGCTACATATGACTTTTGTGGTGGGATGTGCTGAGAGCAGCGAGAACGTTGATCCAGACTATTCCGAGTATACAGTGAATTACGCCGCCTTGAGCCCAGGAATCGTGAAGATCGTTCGCGAGCACTTCACGGACTGCACGTCCCTAATTGTTATCGTCTTGGCATCTGGAAGCAAAGCACCGCACGTAGAAAGTCCTCAGCAAAACCATCAAAGACTGGTGGAAATGCAAACGGGCTTTCAACAAGCTGAGCTGCCTCAATCTGCTCGATACAGTAGTTCATCGGCAAGAAGGTGGATCGTACTGCCCGAACTCTTACTTTGGCCCATTAGGGTACCCCTGCAAACGCCAGGGCTCGTCGCCCCCAACATACCAAACTCGGTAGTTCCTAAGCAAAAGTGTGGATTGCGTGGAAAACTCTAATTCTTGGTGGGAGTTCGATATCGTTACCTGGGTGAAGCCGGGGAAGAATGACAAATCGCGGTCTTCAATACTCTCGTATAGCTACCGTAGAATCGTGCACTCTGGTAGTACGCCGTAGCAAATGAAATTCTGAGCTGGAATCAGCGAAAAACTGGACAGACATGAATTCCCTACTAATTCCCATCAATCATACATATGTAGCCCAGAACAGCATGTGGAAGTGGCTCACAAGAATCAAATGAGTATTTGATCAGGAGAAACGTCTATCTTTTGAACAAAGCAGGTTAATTACAAATATAGTACAGAGTCGGGAAGAGTCCGTCCATGAATATCAAGGTGTGGAGAATATGCAACGCGAGCCTTCACTAGAAAATGTATATGCAGCCGAAAGGCAAATCACTACCCCACACCAGTCTTAATTCTCGGGATCAGATTGCCCCTCGTCTTGCGTCACCAAGGGCTCGAAATTCGAAGGACTGGTCGCTCCCAAACCAAGCGATGCATACATCGAGCGCCACCGCGCAACCCTCTTCTGCTCCTGTTCTTTCTCATCATCTTGTCGCACCACGGAATCCAACTCCATTGGTGCAGTAATTGCCAAATCTTGCGATTCACGGAGCGATCGCCACCGTTCAGCTTTTCTCTGGTCCGTCTGTTCTTTTGTAATACGCTCATTTTCCTCTTTGCGCCGCTTGCTTTCCTTCATCGCTTCGACCAGCTTCCTTCGATCAGTAATCTTGGTAAACACAGAGAGAACAGTCGGATCGAGCTCTTCATCGTCCATGTGTGTCATAATTTGACTGAGTTCATCGATACGTTGGGAGCGCGCATATTCTATCAGTAGGGTATTGTGTGTGTACTGGCTCGGCTTAATACCATGACGAAGCATCCAGTCGTAGACACGTTCCGCAGCTTTGGGCTGCTTCGCTTTGTAAAAGCCCTGCATCAAGATTGTCCAGCTGACAAGAGTAGGTTGTGGATTGTGTGCTCTCATGTCCTCGATGATGCGTGAGGCGTATATGAAGTGCGAATGCTGACAAAAGGCAAGAAGGAAGGAGTTCCAGATTGCTAATTGTGCTCCCATCGCGATTATGTGTGGATCAGTTCCTTCGCTGACTAATCGACGCACGTTTTCATAAGTATCAAGGACGCGGTGAATGCTAATATGCATGTCAATCCGTATTCTAATATTGAGCAGAAGGTAGAGCGCCATGGGTGGAGGATCCATTGGCGTGAAAGGCGTGGTTCCATCTTCATCATTGCGAGCAGTATACTGCTGGAACCTTCGCGGGAATAATAGTTCGAGTGGTCTCATGGAGAAGAATTGTGCGTAGACTCGAACAAGTCGGTCAAAATCGTGCTCTTTTGGCTGGTCAATGCCACGAAATGAGCAGACATCATAGTAGTAAAGGTAATCTGCCGCAAGCCATGGATTGCGCATTTCCTTTGCTTTGTGAAAACAGTGCTCCGCAAAATCGATGAACTTTGCAGGCTCCGCTGTTGTCGTACAGCCGTGGAGCATTGTGGAATAGGTGTATTCATCCGGTATTAGACCGTGATCAGAGAGGCTGTTGTATATCTGGAAGGCAGTTGTGTAGTCCCCTGCTTCCATGGTGTTCTGCATCATGACATTGTAAAGCAGTGTATCCAGTTTGACACCCATTCCCAGGATGGCAGCGATTATTCTGTGCATGTCGTGGTAATTTCGACCCCCGTCCGAGCTTTTCCGTAACATTAATGCACAACTCCACCGAAACCGTTCTAAGTTGACGATTTCATGAGCCTGCTGCTTATTCTTCGCTCTGAATTTGACAGAGTGGAGACACCGTAGAGCGTATTCTTGCTCGCCAGCGTTTGCGAAGGCGTTCGCGAATTGCAAAAGTGTCTCGAATGTGAGAAACACCTTTCTTTCCTGTAACAAGTCCATTACACGTTTGAGGTCTTCGGTCTCGGCCAGCTTGGCAATTCGGAAATAAAAGTTTTGGGGAAATATAGCGGGCGCTGATTTGCAATGGTCGCGAAAGAAGTAATAGAAGGTTGGAACAATAGTTGTCACATCTTCACCGTCTCGTAGAGGGAGGTCAGAAAGAACAGTAGATACGTGTGATAGAGAATCTGCGATCATATCAAGCTTTGACGTGTCAAACTCAGGTTGTTGAGTGAGAACACGGATGAAAAGCAATGCGTGAAATGGCCGGAAGTGGGTCAGATAGAATAGAAGATAAGGCCAGTTTCTCACTCGCGTGTGTTGTTTAAAACGTCGCCAGCCCTCGAGAACTTGCTGTGTGTCACCAGCCGAGACATCCTGGAAAAGCGTTTTTGCCCAAGAGGAGCAATGTCGATTGTGCATGAGCCAGATCTGGTGCGTTCGTCTCTTGATTCTAGGAAATTTCCGGCGGTCTAGCCAGGCAAAAGCTTTCAATCGACAAACGGGATGCTCCAGTCGACCATTTTCCCCATCCAACGAAAGGAATTCGTTTTTCTTGCGTGAATAGTTCAAATACCGCCGCCTGAGAGACCTATATTCGCCGTCCAGCATAGTGACTTGGTAGTCAACCTGCGACGCTAGTTTACGAAATGGTCTAAGGCGCCGGTGTAATGCTTTCAATGCTGCCATGCGCCTTTTGTGGAACAGCTCGGAGGTCTGAACCAGCCTTCTAGGCTTTCTGGTGGCAGGCATGCCAGCACTGGAAGCGTTTTTGTCGGCTGGTCCGCGTTCACCATGCCTACGGTGATAGCGATGGTGGGCCGAGTCATGGCTTGCGGTAGCCTGGCTGTTCAGTGCAGCCCTCTGCACGCTGAAGTAACGCAGTTGTCGGCGGGCGAAAGTCGAGATGTCAGCGTACCGTAGAGCTAGTGCGCTCTGGGATGAAGAGCGAAATACGCAATTGTTGGAAGAATCATGAGAAAGCCAGCTGGACGTTGATCCCCTTTGACGCCGAACCGTTACATCCTTCGTACAGTGGGCAGGGCCATGATCCAGATTCCCATGGTTATGAGATGCTACTTTGCATCTAAGAGACCGATTCCATGCTATCGAGTTTTGTCCCTGGCGTGTCTTGATCTGTTGTTCTTTCGCGACATTTCTGCAAGGAGTTTCGGCGAAAAATCGAGGAGCGAGGAGTGGAAGCAAAGGGGAATCCGCGTGGGCGAGAAACCTGGCATTAGGGACACAGGCTCGGGGCATGGGCGAAAGGAATTGCAATGACTGTCATCGAGCCATGACGCGTCGACCAGATGAATGGATGGATGGATGAATGCAAGTCACCAAAGGCAAAAGTTTGAGAAAGCTGGGGAGGGTCCGTGCCCTAAATCGACAGACACCTCCGAGCTTTTGTTTCCGCACGTTGAACACTTTCACGAACACCGGTCACAACTCCTCTACGCTTGGAACAATTGCGCCAGGAAGATAAGAAGCTCAAGAATAACGCAAACGGTATCCGTGTCCAACAGTTTACGTACACGGACTCAAAGCGCACTGCAACTACGCCTGCCATGTCTTCCCACGAGAAGCTCTCCGCTGCTGCCAACGATCGCAAAGCGCGTCTCGCCCAACTCAAATCTTTGAAGCGGAAACAGGCCCCAGACTCAGAAGACACACAACCAGGCCTCGAAGACAGCTCCTCTGCGACGTCCACAGCCGTCACACGTACCGAACCCGAGGAAACATCCGTAACAAGCACCTATCTCAGCGGTCGCAACTTCGACCCCACCACACGTAATGTGAAGCTCGGTTTCGATAGCACGCCAGTATCCGATCCCACGAAAACGCTAGAGTACCAAGCCGAGCAGCTGGCTCTTGCCACCAAAGCCGAGCAAGAGGCTGAGAAGGCGGAAGATAAACCTCTAGATCTGTTCAAGCTGCAGCCCAAGAAGCCGAATTGGGATCTGAAGAGAGACTTGGAAGACAAAAAAAGGGCGCTGGATATTCAGACGGAGAATGCGATTGCGCGGTTAGTGCGGGAGAGGGTAGAGGCGCAGAAGAAACAAAAAGATGGCGAGAAGAATGGAGAGGGTGAACCGGTAGGAATGGAAGGTAGCGAATTAGTGGAGGCTATGCATTTGAAAGAAAGAGAGGAAGAGGAGGACAGGAGGCGCGATGCTCAAGATGAAGACGTCAGCTGAATCAAGGGGCAATAGTCAATTGCGATTTTGATTCATGCTCTAAAATGCGAAAGAAAGTAGCAGCACGTCTATCTGAGGGGCGTCAATACGCCACAGCCACGTATTTGGTTCATACGTCTGGGGGCGGGCAAGGAGACAGCGCACGCTGTTTATTGAAAAGCCAAATGGCGCAAGAGGCAGGAAACTATGTCTCGCCCATGCCCTTGATGAAGGGTATCTTATAATGTACAATGCAATGGAAAGTCGAAAGCTCTAAAGAGCCTACGCGATCCCTAATAAGGAGAAGAAGCAGAAGAAGAAGAAGAAAGGACATCGGGAGATCACACATTCCCCGCACCCAACCCTGTGATCCACCGTAATATTCTAGAACACAATTTTCATCCGCTCGGCCTCAACGTGACCATTCAATGTCCACTCTGTATTTGTCTTGTCAGGGCGATACGTTTGCTATAAGGACTCAAGCTACGTTCCCTCGGCGGCAGTGGCTCGGCTGCCGGAGCTTGACGTGTGGGCGGTGGAGCATGTTGGCGGCCAAAATTGCCCTGTCGTTTATGGTTATTAGCGCCGTCACGGTCAAGGCCATTGTGAGGCTTTGCATATGAACCAGGCGATCTTTGACGTCGGCGCCTCGAATAAGGACTAGGACTCCTACGGTAGGGAGACCTTGAACGTGGATTGGATGGAGACCTCCGGCGTTGCTTGGGGGACGACTCCCATTTCCTTCGCGGAACAGGACTTTCACGATCAATTCCACTCGTCGGGCCATCATGGTCTTCTGTGGTGTCCATCCGATCCAAGCTAGGAGATCGGCGTCCAATGTCCCTCCTTGCGCCTCGGCTCCGTGGGCGATGCGCCCGCATTGTCCTGTCCGGATCGCGGTCATGTGAGATATCCATACGGCTTGACTTCGAGCGGGCTCTCCGGCGACCCCGGCGTTCGGGGCTGAAAGAGCTCATCCTGCGCCTCGTGTGACGTTCTGCCCTCTCTGGCGACCGATCCGAGGAAGAGGATAAAGATCCTCGGCGTCGCTTGCCTAGCATTTCGTCATCACGAAGCGCTGGCTTCTCGTTATCAATACGACGTGGCGGCGGCGAACGAGATGGCGAACGGTTTGTGGATATCGTGGAAACCGAGTCGTAGGACGCGGAACGTGAACGCCCTACCGGAGAATTGCGTCCATTTTTTCTGCCACGCTCCTGCTCTTTCTTCGCGAGAATCTCATCGGCAACACCTTTTTTACGCAACAGGTCATTGGGGACCTCGGTGGTAAGCTTCGGCTTGAGCTGGGGGTTCAACAGCTGCTGTGTTCGTGATGGTCGTGATTTATATGGTCGCTCCTGCGCAGTTGCCTTGCACTCGTAGCTATAGTGACCTCTCTGTAGGCATTTCTGGCAAACAGTAGCAGGGTCAGTTTTGGAACGACCACCATAGCCTGGGCGACGATACATTTTTTTCTTGTATCGGACAGGCAGCTACTCGGCTTGGTGGAGGAACCTGGAGAGCGCAGAATATGGGAAAGGGGGAGGGTCCTCGGGATATAACTCTTGAGCGGATAAAAGAAGTAATATGGAAGCGCGGACAGCGAGCGGGAGGGCCAGTTGGACAGTCCAGCTCAGCTCGGCTTGTGCGCAGCAATTGATGGCTTGCAGTCGACGCCAGTCAAAACGAACACACGTGACTCCCTTGAAAAGGTCAACGCCAGCAGTTGAGGCACTGACATCAGGCTCGATTGCTGACTAAGTAGTCGGAGAAAAGAGAGAGAGGGGCCGTGCGCCAAAATCATAATGTGCCCACTCCACACCTCATCATTGTCGTTACTGCCAGCCTTTTCACCCCCGCCCAGCCTGGTTTCTGTCGCGACATACCCAGCGTCCATAACCCGATTGGCGCAATCATCTGCGCGAACTCTCCCCTCTTGTGCATCCTCCACCGCGGGGCCAGGCACATCATTCTTCGCCAGGCGCAACATCTACCTCTTGTCGTGCACCAAGTACGGACAATCACTCTTCACTCACCCACGCCCACTTGGTTCGAATGTCGACACTCCACCATGACCAGCACTCTGGCCCTAGCAGCTTCGACCTTCCTTGAGCAACCAGTTTCTTGAAAAAAATATTAGTCTGTCACTTCGATTTTCTTCCATTCGGTCGCGACAACCCGCTCGCGGATTCCAGGCGTTGGGCTTTGTCAATCCTCGTCTTGCTAGAGTGTCCATCATCAGAGTTGAACTACAAGTTCCTCGCACAGCAGCTGGAGAATTTTACCCCACCATACATTCCCAACGCCAGGCGCAAGCAGCCCTGATCACGCTTTAAACCTACCATTCTACGTATCCAGCCTGCCACAACACACGACTATGGCATCGGCAGCTCCGCGCCCTGCTGAGTCCAAACAAGTGAAGCTTTCTTTCGCAAAGGTAGCAGCTCGACATGAATGTTACTGCCACTACAATTCGCTAACTCATATAGGTCGCTGCAACCACCTACAAACCGCAAGCCTCAACCGAGAGTATTCCCAGTGTCAAGTCGCCTGTGGCGATCCCACAGATCATGATGCAGCCTAATACACAGACTCGCTCTGTCGCCGCTAACGGCGCTGCACCAGTGGTACATATCCAGACAAACGATCCGGAGATTGAAGCGAAGGAGAAGGCTGGTAATACAGCCACTCGCACTGGGCAATGGGCCGCCAATGCCACTCGGGAACAGGCAGTGCTTCAGTCTGACTCCAAACGAGACGAAGCAGAAAAGCCTCGCCCATCAATCGCCTTGGTCAAGTTTTCCGCTACTGAGGATAGTACGACACAATTGTCGTCTTCAGATGGCTCCGCCAAGCCCCCAAGTATCGACGGGAAGAGCGTCACGTCTGGCACTACCTTTGCTTTGGACGAGAAAGAATCGATCCGCCCAGATGATAGCGCCAGCCTGAGAGCGGTCGAGGAAGAAGATGTGACGTCTACTCCAGAATCCAATCCTACCGGCTCTCGTGCTGGTTCGGATAGTGAAGCGCGTGCCTTCCGCGCTCAGTTGCACGAGATTGCTGTCATGGGTCCACAGACGCAGCGAGGGATTGTGCCAGTGCGATTTCCCAATGCAAATGTCAATGGCCCACCCGCACTCTACGATCCGAATCAGCCGACAAACGGCATTGGACAGCCAATGCCACAGCCCTTGGTGAATGGCTTACCCCCTGGCACAGCTCCACAGAACATGCCAACTCACCCTGACGAAAAACTGATCGAGGCTCTTCAGTCTCCACGCGATCGCCTGTTCGTCGTGAAAATTGAGCAGGATTTCATTGATTTCATTAAAGACTCAAAGTGAGTGTTCTATTATGTCACAAACATCAAAGCTCATTCACTAACGATACTAGTGAAAACGAGTACTGCCTGCCAAATTGCAACACTTTCTATAGGATGTTGGCCCATCGTCTTGCAGACTACTACCTTCTCGGTCATGTGGTAGACTCCACAATGACGGGTGTGAGGATTACTAGGACTCCCTATTGCAGAATGTCAGTCGTAGCTTGTATTCACCCGTCTCTGACATTAAAACTAACTCCACGCAGCCCACCTCCACTCTCTCAGATGATAGATGCAACCAAAGGCGCAGACACCCCTCCTGTAGACCTTCCTGCCCGCAAGATCATGCGTCGTGGCGACGAGAAGTCAGGAACTAATACAACAGCTAATTCCGAAGGTCCCTCGAAAACCACCTCTGAAGTAGGCGGCAGTGATGGTGGTAACGATAAGGAAGGAGGCAAGCCAAAAGACAAGTCCATGTTAACACGAGAGGAACGCGAAGCCAGATACCGAGAAGCACGCCAACGCATTTTCGGAAGTGCAGAAGCTGAGGAAAGCGAACAAACCGAACCCAGCGCGTCCACTGAAGATAAGGATGCATCGCGATCAAGCTCTGCTTCCGGCAAGAAGAAGAATAGGAAACAGCGAAATGCCGATGATGACGATGGCTTTGAAGCGCGCTCCCGCTTCAACGCTTATTATCCTGGTCAATATGCTGCTCCTGGCTATTCTGGAGACGGCACGATCTACTATAATGGATTCCCCGGATCTATGCACAATGCTCAATACGCGCCTATGGCTTCCAATGCGCCATCCCCGCAAAACTACAACAATGGGTACCCAAACATGATGCCTCAGGAAATGCAGCCGCAGTATGGCTGGTCAAATCAGCAATATTCATCACCCAATGCGCCCATGATGTATCCAGCTTATGGTCCAATGCAGAACGGATATGACCTGTCCAACGACTTCCAGCGTGGGATGCAATCTTTCCAATCGTCAAATATGCCAAACCAAATGACGCCTAAGATGACCAATGCCTCTATGGCCAATTACCAGGATCCATATGCACAGTCATCCCCCAGTCATTCCATCAATGGGAGTTGGTCACAATCGAACCAACAGACTGGATACCCTATCACTCCAGGTCCTTACCCTCCTAACGGTTCTGGGAATCGGCCGATGCCAGGCTCTATGCAGCAAGGGCCTGCGCCATCAGCTTATCAATATGGGCAATTCCCACCTTCATCATTCAACGGTAAACCGAACCGACATCAACATCCTCTGCCTGGCAGCTATCAAAGGCCTCAATTCAACCCGCAGAGCCAGGCGTTTGTTCCTGGTGGATACAACATGCCCTACCAGATGCCTCATAACGTAGGTGGTTCTGCTCAACCGATGAATGGCTATGGCGGATTTCAATTACCAGGGAACCCTCAGGTGCCCCACCAATTGCCCCGGCCCAGCCCGCCGTCCAGCAACATGCAAGCCTTCGGTTCTCCTGGGCACATGAACAATAATGGCACGATGGGCCCGCACTCTCTGTCTCCCAGTCAAACCGCATTGTCGCAGAATTCGGTTCCGGCCCAGAGCAGCATTGCCAAATATGGGACGCCTTCAAACCTTCCAGCTAGACCTCCGCCTACACAACCGCAAGCGCCAAAGTTAAACCTCAACGGCTCGGTTCAAGGAACGCCTAGCCGTGTGCCGAGCAATTCGAACTTGTCGTTTATCGGGAACGGTGCACCCGGTTCAGCTTAGAGGGAAATTGCAAGTATTGGTTGTTAACAACAGTGAATTGAGTGACTACATAGAATGGAATGGTTCTACTGTTTTCAGATCTCTGTATGGGTGGGTTTTTCTCCCTTTTGCGGGTTGGGCTATGCACTGGGTCTCCGTTGGGCGTAGAGCAGCGAGAGATTTCGCTTTCTATCTTATCAAAAAAATGCATCCTTTCAAAGGTGTACGGGAGTTTCCCCTTTTCTTTTTCGTCTTGTGATGATTGTGGCTTATTCTTTTTCTTTATTGCTCTTTCTCGGGAATCCTTAACATGCTCGGGTGGATCTAAGGCTATCTTTATCTCTCCGTATGGTACTCTCGAATGAATCTTCACCATCTCACGTTGAGACAGGCTCGTTATGTAGCTTTCTCTGTGTAGATCATCAGCTCTTGTTTGACCGATGAGACAGGCATCATCTGTTTTTGCTTGTTGTGTGATATGCTCAAGGCTTTGTTACTGAGTAGCATTTAGGACCATGTCTTAGGCTAATCTTTGGAGGCGATAACCATATCCCTGAAGTTTTGTGTAGATGCGAATATCTGTCAAAGTCGACGACTTGGTATTGCACAGGATCATCTGAAGCCATCGGGCGGACGCTGAATACTTGAATATCGGGTAAATGCAAGTTTTCTTCCATACATGAGATTCAATCACGCCGCGCAAACTCTGATGGGATATGATTAGCTAAACCACAAGCAGATGATGGATTTTCGATGTCCTCGGGCGAGTTTCTCTATAGTTCATAGCTATACGTGAGTATTCGTATTTTGAGAAGAGCGCAATGTAGCAGATGGATTATTGTCGGAGTATGTGCGAGGGTCTGTGGGCCTGTGTGGAGGTCGAGCAATCGATGATGATTTGCGAGAACATGGGGCCAATTCTAGTACAGAAGATCAGGGAGCAATGCAGCGAAAAGGTAGAGTTCTTCCTAAGATCGTGAGTACTCCATTCCTTACAATATCTGTCCGTATGTCGTGACAGTGGACTGCTACAGTCTATGCATAATCCTGTATATTATGAAGGTACAAAGTCGTTACCCGCACACGGCATATGATAAAGCAGTTCCACACATTGATAATTTATTGAAATACAATTCCGCTGGTTATATCAGACTGGTAATATATCGTATTACTGATGGGCAATATGCCACTTCAATCAGGAAGATAGCATTGTGGATTTGGCGCTCGCTGTGTTGATTGCCGCGTAAAGACAATCGCGCTGTGCTACGTGAGTAGGTAGACGCGGCAAGAGACCTTGACTCAATGATTGTACATTCCATGTATTTTTGTGGACAGATGAGCAATTTCGCGAGGGACTTAAAATCGTATCAAAGTAGGAGCACTCCATATCTGTGATTTTTTGTGCTCTTTATATAGGTAGTAAGAGATATAATTACATCAAGAGAATGTAGGGATATTGAATAGGTTGTCGAAACGGCAATCCCAACGGTCGTATGCTAATCTGGTTGTCGTAGCATTTTCATTGTGCCATGCCCCGTAGGATCACATTTCACTGAAAAGTATCTCTCTCGAAGCGTTGAAAGGTAGACGAAAGTATCTTACATTTCTTCAGTGTTACCCTAAAATGGTCTTTCTTTCAAGCTGCTTTTCGGAGATCATTTTCTTCAACATGTGGTGCGACCCATTCTGACCCTCCCAGATACTCGGATCTACGGAAATCCACATGCGGTCTTTGAGCGTCGTATCATTAGCCTCTGCATATCTCTTGAGTGATCCGGCCAGTCGTAACAATAAAATCTCATCCTCATCTGTAAACCACTGCTGTTGACGCAGCTGATTCTCATTCACGGCACATGTGAGGTGAAACGCAAAACCATGTACGCTCCTTAGTCCCGAGCGGATACGGTAATGTGTCGCGGAGGTAATTCCCCTGTCTGCTTCCATAGGTATGCTTTTTCGTAACATCCGGAGCGAGTAGTTTGCGCGCTGAATATGCGAAACGTGCTCCAACGTTCTAAATAATTTCCAGAGACTCTCAGCATCCTTTGAGGTGAGACACCAGTGTGAAAGGTCTCCGTTGTGATAGAAAATTGAAACAAATAAAATGATATACTCGAGTCTTTGCAGCGTTTTGTGTGAAAACGGTGCGTCAGTGTTCATCCGCTCAAGACATATCTCCCGAATATCCCTGACTATTTCTCGCATTTCTGATAAAATCTTGGCTTCCAAAGGCATATACTGAATTCTTTCCGAGATACGATCGAATATCGCGAGTAATTCATCGCAAGGAAGAGATAATGATAGCTCTGTTCGAATGTCTCTCTGTCTTGCGTCATCATCTGGGTGAAAACAGGCCGCTTCGTATGTTGAAGGATCAGATTGAAACTCGGCATCGGCGTTGGAAATCTTTCGAAACCTGGTACGAAGTTCTTAGTCTCACATGTTGATTGCTTACAGCTCGGGCAACCACATACCATTCATGCTGTTGATTCTGTCCTCCACGTCCTCCACTGGCACCGAAAAACCCATTGCTGAATCGCGCGACCTGCTGAAATGTGCTACCCATAAGTTGAACTGGGCGTTCTTTCATGCGGCTGATAGGTAGGGATGCTGCATTGCTCATGACGTGATGTCTATGTGGGAAACACAGATGTGTGCGGGTGCGGAACAGAGACATACTACGACGCGTGAACATGATTTCGATAATGGCGATGAAAAGATCGTACACAACAAGGCAATGAAAAGTGAATGGAGTTTCACTCGCGCTTCAGGGGGGAATGGGTGAATTTATTGTTGTTCGCCAAAATTCATGTTGTGTAACCAACACCAGTCCTTGGTTACATGTCTCTCGTCTAATCACGATAGCAGCAGAATAGCCATTTGAATGTGGGCTTATTGATTGTGGGTTTTGCATTTACGAACTTCTATTGAGTCGGTATAATGCAAGTAGCACACAATGTAAAAAGCACCTACAATGGTTGGTTAGACGACTATGATGGATGATTCAGATCGGCACCACAGATTGGCAGCTGTCGTGAAAATATCGGACTGTGATAAGAAAGACACAATCGCCGTAATTGTGTCCTAATAAGCTGACATCTTTAAGATAGGCAAAGATATATACTATGGACAACATCGTCGAGTCAAGTCGTTGCGAAGGAAGTTTTGCATTTGTACAGCTCGTCTTACGCTTACAGATGAAATGAAGCTATATAAAAAGCCCGATTGAGAAAACAAAACAAAAGAGACGTCCACTACTTCCTGTACCACATCCGTGTGATCTTGGTGTGTCTCATCTTCTTTTGTAGTTGGAAGATTCCATACATGAGTGCCTCGGATGTGGGTGGGCACCCAGGCACATAGATATCTACGGGCACGATCCTGTCGCATCCCCTGGTGACCGAGTAACTGTAGTGGTAGTAGCCTCCACCGTTCGCGCAGCTACCCATAGAGATGACCCATCGCGGCTCGGGCATCTGGTCGTAGACTTGTCGCAAAGCCGGTGCCATCTTGTTTGTGAGGGTTCCGGCAACAATCATGACGTCCGACTGTCGAGGAGAAGCGCGGAAAATGATACCCAAACGATCCTGATCGTAGCGGGGTGCGGAAAGATGCATCATCTCGAGAGCGCAGCAGGCGAGACCGAAGGTCATAGGCCAGAGAGAGCTCTGACGTGCCCAGTTGGCCATCTGATCAAGTGTGGTGCTGTTTGTACGTCAGTGACGATTATTTCCAGCAATTGCTACAATTGCATTCTCCCAATGGTATTCGTACAGCGCATATTGCATAGCTCCCTTCTTGCCCTCCTGGCTCGGCAATGGTACTTCTTGTCGGGCCATCTTCATGGGAGGAGGGGTTCCCGGGCCTCCCGCCACCAATCCCGGCTTCTGCATCGGCGTCGCATTGTTCGAGGATGTTGACGAAATGAAGGCAACACTTCCAGCACGGAATGGCAGCAAAGCCGAGGTGGGTTTAGCTATCCACAAGATTAGATTCGATCGTGGCGATGGCGACTTTGGGGGTTTTCGGCACGCACCTCGCAGGGCCATTGAGGCCGCAGACCTTGTTGTCGACAGCATTTTGGCGACTTGCACAAAGGAAAGGACCTGGGAAGGAGTGGAGAGGGGAGAGTTGCGAAGTGGCGGCGTCAAGGTTCTAATGGTGAGGTCAACCACGAAAGTCGCGAGCGAACGGTCTTGGCGGTCTGTCTGAATAATCGACATCTGATTCGCTAGAGCTAGTTCGGTCCCGTGATTTGGGAGCCATTCACCTCACCATCATCTTTTCCGGCCACGCTCGGCGGGTTATTAACTATCATTCGCTCATTCTGAAATTCCAGCTCTCGTATTGTCAAGCTCACCTCTGGCTCGAGCCTGCCTGCCGGAAATAACGAGCATATTCCCCGCACATTATGTCGGGGCGAACTCCATCAATTGCCTGTATCGGCGTCATAGGCCGCCATGTATGTACCGTTCCACCTAGCATCATCAAGGTTTGAGAGTAATCTGCTAATGGTTTAAGCAGAATAATCCTCTTCACATATCTCTGTTTCCACCAGAAGAGCGGGCCCCCCTAGAATTTCAATTCTTACTTTCATCATGCCTCGATATCTTTGAAGCCAGACTGCCACACAAAACGGTAGATCAGGACTTTGGACTCCTTCAGGCAGTGGATGAGCGGTTAGCCATGTATGGATGGTTGACCAACACGGGGGTAAAATTCGTGATCGTGGTGGATATGGAAGGTCGCCCCAGCAATCCCCTTGATACCAAAGCCTCATCTGCTATTGGGTTGCGGGATGCAGATCTCAAACCGGTAGGGCTTCGTGTATACTCTACTTCGAAAATATGCTCACGTATTGTTTCTAGGCTTTCAGAGCGTTGCAGACAGCGTACATCATGCTACTGCGGAACCCTTTTTATAACCCGGACGAGCACTCACCTGTAACAGCAAAGGCAGAGCAAAGGGCTGGATCGACGCAAATCACGAGCCGAAATTTCATCAAAGAGGTCAAGAGGATAGGAGATGCGTGGGCACCTGGAGTTGTCAATGTCTAATGAGAGATGATATGACCAGTGCACACAAGATACCATATACATTTTCCGGCGTTTTATCCTGCTTTTCATTCAGTCGGCAGACTTGTGGAGACTGTACATTACCAGACACTTGATTGACTTCCAATATTCCTACCCTTCATCTTCAACTTTTGATAGAGACGGCACTCTTGACGCTAGATCCGAACACGGCCTAGCCTCGATCTCCGAATCAATCATCTCAGTCCACCATCTTTAATGTATCACAGTGTCCACATCGACATAACTTTCGTTGAGAGCTTCCAGAGTTCCCAATGCCTCCAAATGGAACAAACGTCACGATAACAAACCCTCTTGTGCTTTACCGCAGCCTCCTAGCCACAAATCGGATCCAATCCGATCCAGCACAGCACCGCCTCGGTACATGACATCAACCATTTCTCCCAAAACGCCAAGCGCAATCGAAACTGACTTGATATTGCAGCCATCCACCTTCAAAAAATATATGACCGATTGATTGATTATGAGCCGACTATTGAATACTCTGATCGCTTGAACCAACTAACTCGCCTCGGCCAGAATGGAGCGACACCATCAAGACCATCAGGACCACGCATCTTCGGAACAAGAGGAATATGGAAATCCCTTCTCGCTGAGAAGGAGAAACGAGATTCTCTAGCTTTAACACGCGTTCTCACCAGCCATGAAGCAGCAATGGCTCTTCAAAGCCCAAAAGGCCTTATGCTTCATGGGGAGGTCGGGACAGGGAAAAGCATGCTCATCGACCTCTTCGCTGACTCTCTCCCTAGTCGAAAGAAGCGACGGTGGCACTTCAATACGTTCATGCTCGAAACATTCTCTCGCCTCGAGCAGCTGCGTATGTCGCGCTCCATTAACAGCGGCATCTTGCAGGACGAGTACAGTTTGCTGTGGCTGGCACGCGACCTTGTTGAGAAGAGCCCCGTTCTGTTCTTGGATGAGTTCCAGCTTCCTGATCGCGCGGCTTCCAAGATCCTGTCAAATCTTATGACCAGCTTTTTCCAACTCGGCGGCGTGTTGATCGCGACGAGTAACCGTATGCCCGAGGAATTGGCGAAAGCAGCGGGGATGGAATTTTCCAGACCTGTCTCAAGACTCAGTCGATTAGGGTGGAGATTGGGAATGAGTGGCGTTGTCGGAAAAGACGACGGTCCAGGACAGAAGGGTGAATTTGCTCAGTTCTTAGAGCTGCTCCGGACTCGATGCGAGGTATGGGAAATGGAAGGGAAAAAAGATTATCGACGGGCATCCGGTGAAAGCGATGGTATCCTGCACACGAGTCCTCTTTCTGGGGATCTACCGCAAACTAACAGCAACACACCTACAACAAAAACATTCAACACCAATTCAAACGACACTTCCTCACCACCCACCTCCGAATCCCTTCTTCCGAAACACTATCACCTCACTTCCTCGCCAACCGCATCCTCCTCCCTAACATCCACCCTTCAAATCCTAACCTCAGCATCTCCTTCCCAATCCATCCCCTGGAAACCCCAGACCCTAACCGTCTACGGCCGCTCCCTCAACATCCCCTCCCAACACAACGGCATCGCGCTCTTCACCTTTGCTCAACTCTGCGGCGCGCCACTCGGTCCCGCAGATTACATCACCCTCGCATCAACCTACCACACGCTCTGCATAACCGATATCCCCGTCCTTGGGCTCCTCCAGAAAAACGAAGCAAGACGCTTTATCACGCTACTAGATGCCATGTACGAAGCGCGCTGCCGCCTAGTTGTATCCGCGGATGCGGGGCCAGATGGCATTTTCTTTCCTACCGCGCCACTGGCGTCGGGATCCACAGCAAAAACAGTCGAAGGAGGTGCGGGAGATGGTCAAGACGGAGATGCAGTACACCCAGAAACATATTCCGAGATCCATCAGGATCTCACTTCTCCCTTCAGACCAAACATCTCGTCCTACCACAACTCGTCGTCTTCGATGCTATCTGCCGACGCTCTGGAAGACGATCCTCCTAATCGCGTCCGCCCCCGTGATAGTGACAGGTTAGACACCGAAGCCGCAAAAGCCCCCGACTTTTCTAATGTCGGTGGACTGACGGGCGAGGATGAGAAGTTTGCGGTCAAAAGGGCCGAGAGTCGTATATGGGAAATGTGTTCGGGGGGTTGGTGGGATCGAGCTTCAGTTTCTGCTCCTGGGGAAGGAGAGGAAGGAGTGGGGATGTGGTGGCGTCCTTTACCGGCTGGATCGCGGCATTGGGAGCGTGGGGGTAACTCTACTCCTTCTCCTGCTGTTGATGATGGCGGGGAGGTAGTGGGAAAAGGGACTGGTTCGACCACGCCTGACAAGGGTGGTGACGCAACGGTAGGGACAGATTCTGAAGTTCGAGAAATTGAGGGTGTTTTCGCATACGGTGCTAGTCCGTTTCGTACTGTGGATGAGGCGCCACCGAAGATTTGGTGGACGCATGTTTGGGGGACTACGCGGTGGGGGAAGAGGGCTGGAGCTTGGGGGAAAGGCGTGGAGGGTCTTGAAGAGAGGAAGAAGGAAAAAGAACAGAATGTTGGTGACGGGTCCTCGGAGGTAGATGAGTGGAAAGGTGGGAAGAGATAGAATTGTATCTGTTAGAATTACGTGCAGTGCGAAGTATTGGCTCATCATTCATGTTATTGAATCTACCGGGATTCGGCAAGGGGCGATATAAAGGGAAAGAAGTGACGGGTGTGAAATCCATGCATTGATATTCATTCATGCCTTTCGCTCCCTAGGCACCGTTGGTATAAAGAAAAGAGAGCTACTAAGCAGACCCGCCAAAAATAAACGCCAACCGGTATGTGTGATGATGCATACTGCTTTTATCATTTCAATTGTCCATTGTGCACGTTACATGCCCTCATTTCGACCGTACCCCTGAACTAATCACACCTCCGACCTCTATGCGACTTCTCTATGAGTCTTCGACGATGGTGGTCTGGAGACCCTTGGGGTCCTTGACGTTGACGGCCTGAACGTAGGAGTAGAGCTTCTCCTTGGCGCCCTCCTCGTCGTTACGCTTACGGGAGATGCGGACACGGAGGCGGAATGGGACACCCTTGATACCGGATTCCCAGACCTTCTTGTTAAGCTGGGGGTCGAGGCGGACGTCCTTGGTACCCTGTGATGCAAATCATTAGCCAGTTGCCCTGTCGCATGCTTGTGCAAAATAGTATCTGACAAGGAAAATACACAGCAGTGTAATCCCATCTCATGATGGCAATTCAGGAAAAAAAGAAGGGTATCCACATACCATAGCCTTCTCAGCGAAAGCCTTGATCTCCTTGATAGCCTTGGGGGCCTTCTTCTTGAAAGAGGCTCCGTGAACCTGTACCGGCGATAACGTATTAGCCTTCATGCTGTTCGCAGTCTTCCGCCCGCCTACCCACATAAACCTTGCCTACAACATGTGCATTGTGTAGGGCAAAGAATATGCAGGCGATCTGGACTTCACAAAACTGAGACTCAACATACTCGCTTGTGGAGGTGGATCGTGTATTCGCGCGCGACGACGTCGGCGATGGCGCTACGCTGTTGCTTGCCCGCGGGCTTCTTTCCGGCCTTGGTGCTGGACATTTCTATGTTGCCAGATCGTTAGCAGAGAGTTCACGAAAGTGGTGCGCTGGGACGCTATACAGCTCCATTAGGCGCGTATAACATTGCAACGATGCAGGCAAGCGGAGGAGGCCGCGGTAAAGGGAAGATTGTCTTACTGAGGAGTTCTCGCTGGTGGTTAGTCGGAGCGTGGATGTCGAGAAAGGGACGAAGTTGCGGCTGCTGGGAAAAGTTCAGGAATTGAATCGTGAAGATTTTCGCAGAGCGTGGTGGGTTGCCAAGATTAGCCGAAATGCACGAGCCACAAAGTAGTCTGTGTGAAAAGGCCATCTACGCTAGTTCACATGAATGTTTACAGGCGATGGTAGCGTATCGTGAAATGGGATGTGAAAAGCATATCAATTTCTCTGCTATAGGGTATATATGGCCTTAAAACTGATATCGATACAATGGGAGCGCACCCGCCAGCCAGGACCCGTGCCCATGTAAGAAAGCCATTACCATATTCATAAATCGATCATCAAGGCATTACCAAAGTCATCTGTGTCCAGGTAGGTCCCACTCATTATCATCTTCCTCAACTTCAGCTTCCTCTTCATCCTCTTCTTCAGCACTCTCTTCGCTGCTGCTGCTACTGCCACTCCCTGCCTCCCGTTCCTCTCCATCACCACTTGACCGATTGAGATTTCGATACCTGTATTCTCTGAATATGTTATCACGCCAGGGGCGAACATTGTCAACGTTGCCGCCATCGTCCAGGTCCAGTGTAGGAATCTGCTCAGTCGTTGGTGTCCAGTAATTTCGTAACGGATTGATCGATTGGTTAAAGCGCTCAAGCACATACTGGGGCAGCGCGGGCAATCGAACTGTTGTGCCATCTGTAGCTTGAATCTCTCGGTGATCGTCCTCGTCCACATCAAGGTCAATGATGGGGACCGCTTCGTTGGGTACTTCGCCGGTTGGATTGAGATAATGATCAAACGATCTACGTACACGCTCTAACATTTCATACGGATCAGGCATCTGGGGCATTTGAGGGAACTGTGGCATGCCTGGCAACTGCCGTATGCCGGGGAATTGAGGTATTTGCGGCATCTGGGGCATAACGGGCAATTGCGGTATCTGGAATGGAAAGGAAGGGAGCTGTCCAGGTAGCCAGGTTTGCTCGGGTTCGTCCGGTTGGAAATAATAGCGTGGTGAACGAAGAGGCTGAGAAGCAGGCGAGCTGACACTGAGGGGCGATCTTGCGCCACTGCTGAGATCGACTTCGGCACTTAGAATGGCGTTTGCATTTTGCTCGCTTTCGGGGCCATTAAGAATCCGCATTTCATTGGTGTTGTAAGATTCGCAGGTGTTGCACTTGTTTCCTAACCAATGGTATTTCACGGAGGATCTCGCAGAGCAATCATTGCACTGGATAATGGCTCTCGTATCAGCAAATTGTTCAGGCATAGGCTGGCTTTCGATTGCTTGCGTAAGCTTCTGCCACTGCAATTCCATATTCACAGCGCTCTTTTTACAGGTGGGGCATTTGTATGCTGTTTCCATATATTGGTTGTAGCAGCCTTTGTGTAAATAGTGGCCACAAGGCATGGACACAACGGCAGTGGAGGAGTTGAACAGCCACTCGCCACATATCGGACAGTCACAGTCTGTAGCGCGTTCGATGCATTTATGAGATGTGGCGTGAGCGATGGATATACACACATTGCAGTTCTGGGGTGGGTCAGTTGCTGAAAGGTTACAGAGCACAAGCAGTGGACCCATACCTTGCAATGAACATAGTCCTTGCCCAAACCTTCGCCCCTCCGGCAGATTCCGCAGTCGACACAGTGGTAAATCTTCTTGGCGCTGTTGTTGTCCCAGAGCTTACATGCATCACAGTAGTAACACGCTGCTTGGGTCCCGCATTGCACACAATGTTCCCCGGCCTTTTGGGGCGTGCCGCAAACCATGCAGAGCATATTCTTCGTCATCACCCGATTCAGGTTATGATCTTCGACAGCATCATGGCAATGACGGCAGGTATGCCAACGGCGACATTCGAAGCATTGGACTTTGACATTTCGCTTGTAGTGTTGACACCCAAGTACAAGCTCGTCTTCGTGGTGATCATCATCATCCTCGTTTGCAGCGTCGGGATTGTCGTGAGCAGGTGGTGATCGATAGGTAGGGTCTGTGTCGCCCGGTCGCAGACGGAATGGATTCTCGGGGTCTACTTCAGAGGCAGCTGAGATGGGGGAATAAACCTGAGAGTCGGAGAAAACCGACTGGCCGGAGGTGGGGGTCGAGGGACGGTCGTGTGAGAGGAAGCTGCTCGGACTTGTCGGTCGCAGCACGCTCCAACGCTCCATCATGAGATGATGCATCATACGAGCTTTCTCTTCATCTGGAAGGGGTAGGTCTCTGATTTGGTGGATGCGGGCCCGTAGTTGGCGCATGCCATCGTCTGCAGGCAACAACTCGGACATGGTTGGTGCATTCTGAACAACAATGGCTGAGCTCCGAGAGCTTTGTGAATCAAGCGTCGTGGTGGATTGCGAGGCAGCGTCAAGGTTAAGTTGCCGAGATCGTGATGCGAGTACGTGGGCCGGGTTCGAGGACATGGACGTGGGTGCGGGTGCTGTAGCCCGACGCAACAACGATGGAGTGATGAGCGAGTCCTGCAGGTCCTGACCTAATGGCTGCGCAGGCACTTGGTGCAGAGCGGGATCTAAATAGTGTTCATCCTCAAAAACCGCAGCGATCAAAGTACCGGTATCGTTCTGCGCCTGGGCCGCTGTGGAGTCGCCGCGTTCGGTGGCTTCGGTCGCCGTCTGCTGGGCCTGCGGAGGGTATGACGATGCACCATCGTTTCCCTGGTTAACATGTGACAACGACCGCGAAATTTCCCTCGCCGCACTTGGTTGCGTAGCAGACGTGCCCGAAAAGCGGCGTGCCTGGCGCACAACGGGATCAATAATAAATGAAGAAAAAAGACTCATGAGGGTGGTCGAGTACGCGAAGCTTGGCTGTTGTTACAACATGCGGAGGTGGTTGGTTGGCTAGGTTGGCTAGGTGGCTTTGAATGTATGTAGGTATGCTGGGTAGGAGAGGAGCTCATGCCAGCGTTGCGAAGCCTTCACTCGGGTTTGACAGGAGCTTACAACAGCAGCCAGCCATTATTAAACTTTCAATCCTTCTGATTGCTCCCGTCGCAGCCAGCGCCACAGTCTCTAGCCACCATGTGATAAGGATAGTCATGTGTACGTCGCAAAAGATTGGCTCGAAACATTGTTGATTACTTTCTTCTCCACACACTCTCTCTCCTGCGTGATATCATGTATACACACTAGACTAAAATACAATCCGGGGGACCTTTGGTCCTCATCCTCTGCCGTGCACCATGAATTTTTTGGGGCTTTCCGTTATACACCGGTGAGGAAACGTATTGAAAGCCCTAGTCTTTGGTCTATGAATCCCGCTATCCTTGGAATGCACAGTCCAGAACCAAAAAGAAAAAAAAAGAAAAAAAAACAGAAGAAACGAAAAAAAGAAAGGGGTGTTGACCTCCGCCGGGACAAACACATGCCCTTGTCACAGCAACCGAAACTGATAAATCGCTAATGGTGGTATCTCACAAGGAAAGAAAATCGAGCATAAACGTCATAACGATCCGCGTAAGATGAACCGCAAAGAAGAAAAGAAACAAAGGGAGGGAAAGAATGAAGGAGAAGAGAATCGCGCGCACGTCAAGATCCTCGTTCCTTGACGGCATTGCCGGAGAAATGGAAGTTGAGGAACTCGAATTTTTCCTTGGAGAAATTGCGGCTTTCGGTTGTGAGCATGCCACGATTGACATCTTCGATAGCGGGAGGCGCGATCTTAATCGCTTGCGGGGGTTCTCGAGGTTCCAGCAGAAGCGATCGTCTGTAATAGCTTTGTACATTGGCCTGATCACTCTTGCGCATTCGGTCGATTTGCGTTTCCATCCACTCTTGCATTTCAGGAAGGGCCACTAGCCGGTATGGCTTCTGGAAGGATTGAATCTGATCAATGATCCTCGCTGATTTCATATATTTATCGAAATTGATGACAGACGCGTTGTCAGAACTAGTCTCGCCGTGCAATAACCGAGTTGTGCTGTTACCCTCGTCGATAAAAGTGAGATCAGTAAGATAGAAACCGACGAAAGGGACGCAAGAATCAACAACTGTCTGCAATCGTTGCCGAAGAACAGTGTAGTTGCGCCCAACTTCCGTAATGCTCTTGAGCTCTTCGAATCGAATTTTTGTGTTGCGAGTAACGAGCTCCCAGGTCTTCTTCAGTCGTTGTACCATGGATGAGTTCAACGAGCAGACGATGGCCATTAAGGAATCATAATTATGCAGTTCCAGACAGAACATGCCAATTTTGACCCATTGCTTGATCATCTCGGACCGTTTCTTTGGCTCTTCCAGTAGTAAGATGGAATCAGAGACCATGTTGGCGAGATCATTGGAGAGTGCCGTCATGGCACGAACATTGACCGCCTTCGAGCCGGATTTTTTCTGCCATTCCTGGGCCAGGAGCTCTTCGGGCTGGATGGAACAAAATAGCTTGGAGACAATAATGGTAAGCTGCCTTGCTAGTTCCTGTGCGTCGAAGTCGAGAATGCTGCACTGGCCCCTGCCCTCTTTGAAAGCTTTCAACGCATTGAGTTGACCCCTACGGACAATGGGCGCAGGAACATTGGTATCGGCAGTAGTGAACACATTGGTCTTAGTAAGTGACGATGCCATTCGTGGCACGAGGGAACCAGCCCGTATATCGGTGATCTTGGATGTAAGCTCTGCAAGACGTTTCCCTGCATGCGGAATTGCTGTTCGTAACTTTCCAGTGGCAAACGAAAAGATAACGCCGAGGGCCACCTGGTCGCTTTCCGCAACCCAGTGGCTTTCCAGCCATCCTTTGAAAATATTGTAAACACGAAGTCGAACAGGAAGGCCAATGGATGGGCTATCGCCGATGCAATCAAAGCGGCTGATGAGGCATTGGGCGAACTCAACAGGCGTAGTAAATAGTCGAAAAGTCAAGAAAAAGGTGCCAACGAAAACCATGTCAGGTGTGGATTCGTGGGTAGTAAGCTGTTCTACCAGCGCAGGTAAAGATCCTCCCGTAATCTGGCCTTCTTTGTTGTGGACAAGCTCGTGAGCATGAGTAGTTTCGAGCAAATGCTCTTCTGCTGCAGTGACATCCTCGCTCGCCATGGACCGAAGCTCAGAAGAACTACCAAAACTGCTGACGAGAGTCTGGGAACTGCGTTTCTTCGCGGGAGAATGGTCGGGGGTGGTGGCACGTGTAGATGCCAATGAGATGACGCTACCCGTGTCGCCACGCACACTGTACCGGTAAGAGCTACTAGAGTCGGCCACAGATGTATTTACACTATCGGATTTAGTGAAAAAGCGCTGGCTGACACTAGCTGGACTCGGTGTGTACTCCGATGAGTTAGGCTGAGGCTGAGAAGGCGTAGGTACCTGCTGAAGAGGTGGCAATGAGATCCTCGAAGAGCGGAATGAAGGTACAGTGGGGCTTTCAACTAGGGATGGGAAAGGCGGCTGCAGACTGATCCTGTTGCTGGTAACGGGCGATTCTTGGGGCACCTCTGGGAGAGGTTTGGACTCTGATATCAACAGGGGCGGCGGCATACTGAGCTCTTCGCTCGGCGGCGCAGGCAATGGTTTCTCTGTTTCTTCGCTGCCCTCAGTTGGCGCAATATGCTCGGGTTCCTCTGTATGTGGGGCAATCGGGTGGTCAATGTGGTCGAAGATGCTCCGCGAAAGTCCATCCTCCTCATGTTCAAATTCGAAATCGCCTATGCGCTCAATCACCTGCCGAGCTTTCATGACGCAGTCGCCAGCGGAACGAACACAGCTTGTCGCAGCGTTGACAAGTTGCTTCCCAGCATCCGGCGTGACCACCTCTTCGCTTGGATCCGCCTCTGGATCGCTAAACATGTTCTTGGTCGCATGGACAAGATCGGTGAGCCGGGCGTGCATGACTATTCTTGCTTGTTCCAGTGGTTCAGATCGGCGTGAATCGCGTTCCCATATCTTTTCGAGGACAGCAAGAAACTGTCGACAGGCAACGACAGATTGTTCAGTTGTTAAGGTGACTTCTGCAGAGGAGCGTGACTGCAGATGCAACCCGATAAACGACCCAATGAAACCCAAGAAGGAATCATGCGCGACGTTCAGCCGCTCCGAGGCGAGATTTTCTTTTCGTACACCCTGAGATTTCCCGGTGTACGACAAGCGATGCGATAATCGCTTGGTTTGAGTCTGGAATCCGGGAGGAAACAGAGGTGATTGGAGATTTTCAGAATCCGATGGTATTGAGAAAGCGACGGAAAGGCGGGCAACATTACGGGACGGCTGAGGCAAGAATGTCGTATCCAACTCTTCATGCGCAGAAGCGGAGGTTGTCTGTGATACGGGGGATACATCCTCATTTGCTTGTACGACCTGGGTGTTGATTTGATTCGGTAACGAGACATGCTGTGCAGAAGCATCGGCAGTGTCAGATGGTGGGGTCAGAGGTCTATTGCTGCTTGCATCGCCCAGGTCGAACGAAAGCGACACAGCATCTTGAGCCCAGATGTCGAGAAATCGAACTGCTCTTGTCACGAGTTTAAATCCTTTGAGGATAAGCTCATCAAGGTGATCAAAAACCGGCACCGGTGTTTCGTTTGACTGCAAAACGTCTTGCAGCCTTTTGGCGCTTTTCACCAATGAGGAGAGGTCGCCTAATAAACCTTTGCGCATTCTGCGCAAGCCTACGTGGGCAACGACGAGGTCAGAATCTCTCGTTAAACATTGGGTTTTGTCCTGAACAAGCAAGTCAGTGGGTTTGCTCGAAGGAATGGCGGTTCCAAACAGGCCAGAAGACTTACAAGAAAAAATCGCACTCCTCCGATCATGCCTCTGACGTAGTCCTGCTTAGTGAAGACCAGCAAATGGCCGTTTTCACCATCGCGGACCAGATCCCAGAGATTTGTCAGGGCATTCAGCAACGTTCGAATTGAAGGATGATCGTACGCTTCGCAATAGTTTGTAGGAAGCCATCCGCGAGCTCCAGAGGCTAACAGCGTCCCATCGGCCCAGCCGTTGGGGTGGACCGAATGTACAAGAATGACATCGCCTTGACTGATGGGGACGGTGATGGAAGATTCGTCTGTCGAAGATGAAACGGTGGAGCTCGGGTGGAAGTGGTAAAAAGCACGAAGATAGTTGTGGAAAACGGGCAGCGAAGGCTCTGCCTTCTCTATCCGCTCTCTGGACGAACGGGGGGTCAAGGGCGGCGATATTTGCGACTGCGACTGCGATCTCGATGATGGCCTCCGGGAATGTCTTTGCTCTCGGCTTCTCGACCGCTTTGGGGATTTGTGGATGTTCAATGGAGCCACCAAGGCGCTCGCGTGCTTGTCCGAATCGTTTCCATCCAGCAAGAAATCGGACATGGTCAACGACGGGAGGAAGACAGATAGGGATTGGTGAGGGTCAAGTGTCGAGCCAGATTGGGGGGACGTTAACAGGCAGGATGAGGTGCAAGTCTGGCAATCATTGAATCAATCGGAGGCGGGTGAGGAATAAGAGGGTATGAGGTCAATGACGGTGCGCGGCTTTTGGGAAGACGTTAGTGGTGTGGGTTGTGTACAGTTGGTGTTGTGATGGGTAGACGAGGAATGGTTGGGCAGAATCGGGCCAAGCGCAGTGTCGAAGAATGTAACGCAGGGCGTCCAGGAGAAGGCACGTACGTACGGCTATGCAACCAGGCGGTGGTGACAGCAATGATGCAAAAAGGCTGAAGGAGGTCTTGGTCCGACTTTGGATCCCGAAGGTGCGGCAGGTCGCAGGCACAGCACCAGGTACCAGGCGCTGGCACAATCGAGTGGTGGTGGAAGATGGCAAGCTAGCCAACAATCGTGAAGCGCGCTTGAAACGGTGCCGTGGACACAATGCAGCGACTGTGATGCTGTGACGAAAAGGGTTTCTGGTGGGCGAGAGATGGAATTGGACGGAGACGGGCGGGCGGAGAAAGTAGATGGGTGCCAATTGTCAGTCAGGCGTCAGTCAGTCAGGCAGGCAGGCAGGCCGTGGATGTTGTCAATGGTAGCCGTGGCAATTGGGCGATGGTCGGTGCAGCAATAGTGAATCAATCAATCAATCGGTGGGGAAGCAGTTAGCGGACGGCGGGTGGCGGTCGAGAGGGGGTTAGACGGGTAGGTATGTATGTAGAGGGCGAGCTGGTATTACCAGGGAGAGTCGGACGATGCGATGTGAAGGTGAAGAGCGAATGTGTACGACTGCAAGGGTTGTGCTTGCTGGATCCAGGGTAGTGAGGCTCCTTCCAACGGTTGTCCAAGCGAGGGCAAGAGCGACGATGGGGTTCGTGACTCGAGGGCACACACGGGCACGCACACGGGCACAATTGCACCACGCATCAATTAGCAGCCGGGGAGCAAACCGAGCTGGATGTGGGCGTCGAGGTGAGGCCGGAGAAAGCAATTGAAAAGAAGAAAACAGAGAAGAGAGGGACTCGAGGGCGGCGCGCGGGTGGACTGGATGGATGGGTTCATGTTAACTATCAACAGACAGTGTCAAAGGCGGGCTGCAGTTGTCAAGGCCCGAATGGAGGCCAAACGCCATGGGCAGGGAGAAGCAAGCAGGGCCCCCCTGGAGGCGAGCGGGCCAGAAGGAGGCCCTCCAAGGCGCGCGTCCCCCGACCATATCACGTCCGCAAAGGGCAACCCCCGTGGGAGCTGCTGGATACGATCCATCGCTGGTCATTCACCCAGCCAATTGCTCGTTGCAATCGATGCGGCCATGGTACTCGGCGGTTGGGTGTATATGCTGGATACGAAGCAGAGACGCAGAGAAGGATGCCTCATGGACGACTGGCCATCGTGGGTCTTGCCATCGTCATCATCAACCACTACCACCAAGAATTTGCTGTGCGCATTGCTTGGAGGCAAGTGCTTAGTATCCACCCCCCACCATATACGAAGTACGTATCTCCATTACGTAGGGGGAGGAGAGAAGGGGGAAACAAGAGGGAAAAAAAAGTCCCCCCCCCTTCCCCCCATCATCCCTGGGAGCCGGTGGAGATACGAGAGGTTCTCGGTACTGGGACGGCAGGTAAGGCACAGCGCAAGCCAAAAAAGATATGCATGCACGCACGCATGCACACGTACATGGAAGCGAGGGGGAAATCCAATTGACGCGACGTTCCTTTCTTCCTACGACTCGGCTATGTATGTAGCCTGCCCGCCTGCATGTGCATCCGTGCTCTTCTAGTCGTTGTGGTGGTGCCCCTTTTTGGCCCTAGCCACACAAACACCCCCAAGCTGTTGTTGTTGATGGCTTGCCTGACTGTGTACATGTTGTGAACACAATCACATTATTGTCTCGTTGCATGTAGACTTGCATATACACATTGACTTACTTGTTCACTCTCGTGACACACACATTCTCTCTCTCTCTCTCTCTGTAATCTAGCAGATGGGCAGCTTTCTTTGCTGCCCACTTCCCACTTCCCACGCCCGGCGTCATCGCGCCATGTATACTATCTCTGTCTGGCTGGCTTGATTCCGCCCGCCCATCGAGCACAATAAATCTCCTAGCCCGCTCCGTGGCTTGATAGCTATCGACGCCGGCCTGTGTTGATGACACACTGTCTTTTTGAAACTTCTCCAAAGAGGTTTTGTCAAGTTGACGCGGGCGTATAGCAGTAGCAATATCATTAATCACATTATTATATTTCAATCATTATATCGCAGCAGGTATACTTGAATATACTTTGCTCGCAAATACCCATGTGGCGAGCTGCCTCGTACGGAAGAAGGGGGGACCGGAATGGCTTGCCGCCCTTGTTTATAACGACGGTGCGTGCGTCTTAACATGGTCATCGTTATGGATTGCCTCAAGGTCTTCAACCCGCTCGCACTTCTGGGAGTTTTTCTGCTCGTCTGCCCTCATCGGCTTCGCGGCTCGCCCTGGGCCAAACATAGCGTCCCACCCGCCTTGCCGTCTGGCGTCATCGAAATGGCCAATTGAGTTTGAGGGTCCGGATGGCGTCGCCATCGCCTGAAGCCAAACTGGAGCTTGCAGCTTCATCTCCACTTCCCCGGGTCCTGGAGCCTCGCCAGCATTTGAAAGTCCGAATCCCCAAGGCCATGGATCTTCTCGATCCTTTTGCCCACAGGATTCGTCCAGAAATGGACCAGCAGAAGCCTTTGCGATCCAGCTGCTCGCTGCTCGTGCGTGAGAACGATCCAGACATTCAAATGTTATCTGGAGGTGGCGGGGTGGAAAGATGACGAATGTCACGTGCTCGGAGCCTGCTGCGTCGGCCGTGCCTCAGGTGCGCAGGTCTACCTCGTCCGTTGTGTTTGAAACCATGTATATGTGCCTATTACCTTAAACTTCCTGCGCCTTGGACTATCTGCGGTCGATCGTAGCGCTATACATGCCTGTCCCCTTGATCATTTCCATGTTCTGCGCGTAGCAGGCAGCTGCTGCATGCCATATCCCCTCCGAAGGGTACCATCATCAGTGTGTGCCAAGTGCGGCCGACACTGGCCGACGGTTCAGTACAGAATCCGGGGCTTCAATCATCACTCCACATCATTCCCAGCATTGAGTACGAAGGATGCTCGCCTTATCAGTGGGCGCACCGAATCCTGTCCGCGTCGCACAGTGCCTTATGCAGCATTCCCCTCAAACGTCCAAACCCTTCGACTTCGTATTGCATGAGAAACGGTTGGTGTCATGGATCAAGTACAGTCAGCGCTCCCTGCCCTCCCGTGCGCCGCGACCCGTCCAACGTCAGAACCCGCCCGTGCAAGAGAACGATAACTCTGTCTATTTACCTTCGGCCATGCACCGATGATCCTGTTCTTGTGGTTTCTAACAGCCTTCATACTTGATCGCGACCTGCTCTACTATTCACCAATGCGCTAGTAGCCTCCTTCTGTACTGCTTGCTTCAGGAGATCCGTGTGTTATTGGTCTGCTATGATCATCTCCAGCCATGAAGAATTAATAGAAATAGTAGGCCCAACAAGAAAAAAAAATAAGCAAGCCACGGCACCTTTCGAAACGACCGCGTACGGGGAAAACGTCTGCTATGCCGCTCGCACAGACGTTTTCCTGCCAAATCCTTTTCTTACGAGAACGGCGTGATAGCTCCGCTCCAGCTTGCCTTCTCCAGGCTCCAGCTGACTCGTAGGATTTGATCCCTTGCTCGTTCTTGCGTCCTCCTCTCCCAGCATTCATATCATGATCAGCCTCTTCTTCCTTTAGCCCGTGGTCAGCGAATCAATTCGACTTCTCCACCAACAAGTCCCCACCACATGCACGTCCCGAATCCAAGGCTTTCGCTCTGCAAGGAACCGGCGCAGTCTGCAAACGGTTGACGAACCCCGCTCTGATAGTTGGTAGTGATTTTATCATTGGCACGCCTCAGCTACGTCTGACGGTCATAACACCAATCCTCCACGCTGATCTATCTGCTTACAAGGTGTTGCAGCGCAAAATGCTGCAACTACGTGGCCAGTAACGAGCCGTGACTCGCAATGACGGCACTGCTACTTCAAGATATCATTTCGTCGCGCCACCATTGCAATTTGCAATGGAGGGTCCCCCTAGACAAGGGTCTTGCATGAGCAACCTCGCCGAACAACGTGTGAAGGATCGACGTCACATCAAAGACCATGTCTAACCATGTCCCGACTCCCCCGAGCCCCTCGCTCCGGCATCGGTACAACATCTGCTTTCTACATAGTACATGATATACTAGCGGTTACCTCTGGTACCTGGTGTTCGGCAAAGACCTGTCGCTATCGAAAAGGACTGTTTTGGGCGAATTTCCATGGCGCGTTGCTTATTGAATTGCTGCTTAGCACTAACTAGACACACTGCTCTTTACTGCCTGGTTCCGCCGGTCACTTTGCCACGATACGTTTTCACATCAGAGAAGCTAGTATACATCTTCGACCGAGTTGCACAGAATTGGTTTCTCATCCTCGCCGAACATCAAAGAAACTCGGAGCGGATCACAGCACTAACTAAGAAAGATCCCCTCAAGGCTCGAGCCGTTACCGCCCAGCTCCACTGTGGACGGACGCACGAGCCGCCACCGCCAATTGGACACGAAATGCAGAGTCGGGAGTCGGAAGACACGAATGAATGCCGACCTGCCAGCCTGACAAACTGCTCGTTTTCAATTCGTACTGTACATATAAGGCAAAGAAAATTGCAATTTCAGCCTACACCGCCGACTTTTGAGTTTTGATGTAGAAAGTTCTACAAGTCCGACTTCTGCAAACTTCAAACCCTGACCTTTCCCCTAACCAGTCTCCGATCTAACACGACTGATACGCTTGCCTTCTAGTGAATGAAGGTCTCAAAGCCTCAGGCAAGCGATCCCTTTGTGGACCGCGCTACTCGTAGAACTGCGCCATATATCCTTAGAACAGTCGGCGATTATGGACCGCATCCACAACTGACCCTCTATGGCTCATCGACAGACCCGCAGAAGCATCACGCCGGTCTGCCTCCGCTTCCCCGACGTGCTACTCCCCGCGGGTAACTTGCAGTTACAGGTGATGGCCAGGCCCTTCTCGGCACCCTACTGTAGCTCTTTTCTTCACGAACGACGAACGAGGGGAAAAGAAATGCGGGACACGTGGGCATGGTACCTGTTGATCTAAACTATAGTCAATCTAACCAACTCGATGCGGAAGAAAGAACCCTCCTTCTCCGCTATCACCCACGGAAGTGCATCTACCCGTGTCACTAAATCATTTATACTTTGCGCTCCGCTTTGCAGAGGAACGTCTTGGTACTTATTGCCTCTCTGATCATCACTCACTACTTTCGATTGCGCCACCATATCTTTGCTACCCTAAATAGTGCCTTATTCATCATACTACTTCTTCATTACAGTTCGCTCTACGCGATGAGAATTGTAGTAGGAGTCCATCAACCACACATTTGACCAGCTCGTGTCAGAATAATAGGCCACTGAAATTCAGGTAGGTAATCATGGTGAAGAGACGAAAGAAAAGGTCGTAAAAAGCGTTGGAGTAGATTGAGAGGATACAGTATCATTCCTTCCTTATCAAAAAAATCCAACGAGAGTATGTAGATTTAGTAATGCAAACATAAGCCTAATTTCTCAATATCCTCATTTCTGATGTACATGCTTTGAACTTCAGTTGGCATGTTCACTTGCCTCAACACAATGTCGTTGGTGTCATACCCTTTCGTGCAGACAATACGACCACTAAAAGTTTTCGTTTTTGAAGTGTTTTAGGTTTACTATGCTATGTAGTCTTCTGCCAAACAAAAGACCCGCTAGTCAAAACGCACGTAGAGTTGACAACCGCGACTACATGCCCCCATCATCAATGAATGTGTCTATATAACCAAGCTGATTCTTTTCCTTTTTTTTTTCTAAAAGAAAAACAAAGGACACAAAAAAATGAGACGACTACGCTGTGAACTAAGCGCCTGAGCAACTACATGGCAGAAATTCCTACTAATTGCGACAAAGAGAGAAAATAGTAAAATGGGGAGATCACATCTACTTCTTCTAATCTCGTTGTGTGTGTATATACTCCAGTTTCCTGTGTACCATCTACCATATTTCCACGACGTCCGAAATCAAAATACTTTTCAACTAGCCATCGTATTAAAGTTGAGGTATATCGAAATGTGCTGGTTTAACGTGCAGCGAAGTGCACATGCTGTTCTCTTGCCACAATTGCGTGATAAACTAACCACAGAAGTGATGTGGCAAAGCTGTGTCAGTATTGTCCTGATGCTTAGGAGTTATTTTCTTTTTTTTTTGCCTTCTTTTCTCTCTCTTGGGTAACTACTGCCGCGAGACTGATAAGTGTAGGCTTGTATATAAACGCGGATAACAAACATCATGCGTCTATTCACACTGCTCGTTATAATCAACTATGTAAATAGAAAATAACTATCCGATAGCCATATATCGATACAATTTCGTGATTTGAGGCAGTCGTGATCAATGCAACGCAACACAACACAAGCACCACGACACCGTGATTTGCAAATTGAATACTTTGAACAGAAGAAGAAGGGCATGGATGGCACACCGGGAGCGCGTAGAGACATGCACGTTCTCCATGATGATGTATATTTTCTTCTTTTGGCGTTACTTTTGCTTTTCGGAATTTACTTTCTTGGGCGACTTTTAGTCAAGACAGAGTAAGTAAGCCATGATAGACCTGGGAGCTGCAGGGACAATGTAATACCTATCTCACTGATCATGAAAAGTGTAGGAGGGTGTTGCAAGTATGAGATTGATAGCCCGAAGCAAGGTGGCGAAGGGAAAACATGGTTTTAGGTGGGACAAGTATCTTGCTTCTGCGTGTCTGTTCTTGTGGAGACACTTGTATTGTGAGTGGTTATGATTAGAAGTGGCGTGAGCATTCATATCTATTCTGGCTTCGGTGTCAACTTTGTTGAGTGATCGAATATGAAGAAAAATTGGACTGAGTTCTGGATTTCCTTTTCTTCTTCTTTGACAGAATCGTATTGGTGGAAGCTGATCGGACATCAATCTACATGATGGTTCTGTATCTCACATCGGAAATGATTGTGACACGAACTCGTGAGTGGTCGCTTCAGAGAGATGAATGTCTAATGAGCTTGAGTACCTGATGACTTGCTGGTATTGCAAGTTTGCATGGGGTCGTTACAGAGAGGAGTCGCCAATGTGAATGGTAGTTTCAGATTTGCCCATAATGTCTGCACTTCTACTGAGTCCTCAGCTCTCTCGGTCCAGGTTCCGATGTGTTGCGATGCTGTCCATCTCCAGTCTGTGTCATCATCAATCAATCATGGTCTAGTGGGCTCGAATAGCGACAGTAGACAGATGTGGGAAACCATCTCTGGAAAGATTTGAAAAAGGCGACGTCAGTGGGAAAAAAAGAAAAAAAGAAATGCTTACTCAACACAGATATGTTAATCTATCACTGAACCACAAGCATGTAGTCCTGTATTGCGGGATGACTATCGCCTTCCAAATGGAGAAATTATTCACCGACGTGCCTACTGCGAGCAAGGTATACGATCCTGGATTCGAAATGCACGAAGACATATCATCTTTTCAGAGTATTGTGAATTATCATGTTACATTGTCCTCTTCTACCGGTGTGCTATCGGGCCGAACCGACTGCCTTCTCTCAACCTGCCTTTCCAGCTGACCGCCTTTGTTATGGCTTGATCTTCTTGTATTCTTCATCTTGAAAGCTAGCAGTCCTTGACCCAGAATTACATCAAAATATCGTAAATTCAAAAGGTGTGGTCCTCTTCACCAATATCGAGTCCTCGACGATAGTCGTTACCCTGGTGGAAGACCAATGAGCCGTGACGATCACATCAATTTACCCGTATCTCTACACATTGAACGTCACGAACCATTATTAACCGCAACAGGAGTCGTGTTCGTCTCATATATTTCCCCTTCAAGAGCTCGGACCGTGCTGTCGGGTCTGCGGAATCCCTATAACGCAATCTCTCGCCCCACACCTTAACACTTCACATAATAATCTAGAATTCAACCACACCTGAACATTGACAAAAGCCCCCTACGCAACGCTAACTGCGCGCATCGTGTGTGACATACCGCTCAATGCAAATCCACCACCAGCTCAAGGCCTTCCACCGCCGCCTCGAAAAACAAGAAGTTCGGCGAGCCCGCTTCGTCGCCCGTCTCCCGTCTCACCAATCCCAATCCATCCGCGTCGAAACACGCCCCATTCGCGGAAAAACCGCGATTCCATTATACATAACAATCTCCACCGTGCTGCAGGAAGTGTGCATGCTTCCCCAACCCACGGGCCCGGGTGAGAGCACGTCTCTGAATAGTATCAGAATCTGCACTCATTCATTTTTGCCTTATGTCTACATAGTATTCTGCCTTCCCGTTCATTATGCCGCTACACCGTTGTAGGTATAGGATCCCCTCCCCGAAGCTCCCCGTGCGCCCACGAGAAATTGGCTTCTGTATGCAGCATGCACACTTTTGGTGCATTCTCTCATATAGTCTGCCGCAAAAAGGTATGATGTGCCGCTTGAGGTGAAGAGCCGCGTTTCATCGAATGCTTCTAGGGACAAGCGGTTCCTTCGGCGCGCTGGGGCTTGCGTTCAAATTGCTCGAGTGGGTAAGTGGATGAGTATCTGTTGAAAGCTGTTATGAGCACCCTGGTTCTATATAGCTGCTTATGGTGAAGGAGATGGAGTGTGCGTGCAGACGGGAAGCATGGAAGACATGGAAGAAGATGCGTTGGAAAATGTGGGTTGCGGCTGCGGGGTGCAGGATCATCGTGAGTTGTGATACTGAACACGAGCCTAACGAGCACAATTTGGATAACCAGTGAAGCAGTTGATTTCGAGACTTCTATACTATTCAATGGGTCGCGGAGGAAGGTCCAATTTGTTATCGTCTTCGAAGTCTTGCATGGAATAGTATGTTGTTTCCATAAATAGTACACCAACCTTCACCAGGAAACTAGATCCCAAACGGATCTTAGTGACTATCAGCGAACATGTCATCGGGTAATTCCGTTGACGGTATTCAACCTTTCATCTCAATGGTGGAGTACGCTATACTACTTGGTGGAAAGCCACACTTGAGTAAGCGGAAACCTGACCACATACCCACACCACAGGCTATATGTTTGCGGCTCCCCGTCGTGGCCAGGCCCGAAATTTACACATTAGGCGTACCCAGCAGTGGCAGAGTCGAGACCTGGTCTCCGTTGTGTGACTAGTCCAACCAATTCAACATGAAATCATACCGCTTCCGCCCGTAGTCCGGACCAGTCTCGCAGAGCTCTATGCGCCTCTCTCTCACACAGACTTCTGCCACAGCCCGCCATTCTCGATGTTGAACTGACAACACACCGTTGACTGCTGAAGCCCCGACAAAGCATGTGTGGCTGTATATGGTTTACGCGCAAGATCGGTGACGTGAGCGCCCTAGTAACGCAACTGCCTATGTCTCCCATCATCTTTACGCAGGTCTCGTGCAAACACGAAACAGTACCTTTCGTACAAATCTACTAGCGTAACCACACAGTATATTGCAGACTCATAGGTCTGCTCAACCCAGTGGTGTCGCGGGTGCGATACAACATGTTGAGTTGGGTCAATCTGAATGTAATACTGTCGGATCCACGGATTGACCCTCGTCCAACACATAGCGTGGCATGAGGAGACTCTTGGAACCTATCGAACCCTACGAGCGACTTGGATCGTCCTGATTGGCATGCCGTATACGAGCTGACTTTGACATTGTTGGCAAAAAGACACGCGTGCTGTGGCAGGTTCACGATATTTTGTCGGCTGGTACGATGGGAATGTCGTTCTGTACGTAGAAGATGCATTCATTCCATATCCATTTCGTCGTCGTCATAGTCGGCTGATCCAGAGTATCCATTTTCCCTTTCTTCCCTGGCTCTGTCTTTTCTTTGCTGTTCTCGCGAAGCAGATATTTTCCTGGGGACATATCAGTATGTTTCTCTTCTGAATCGGTGCTGCGTCAAGCATAGTCTGCTGTGCGCAGTGTAAAGGCGACATATCTTACCGCAGACCGTCAACAACGCCCGTAATGAATGATCTCGCTTCTCCAAGCTCCATGGCGCCAACACCATTCATCTTGACGCCACCTCCAGCATCTAGCACGTTTACACCTTGTCTCAATTTCGCCATGCGCACCTCCCTCAGCCCTCTCATAAGCTTCCGCACGTTATCGGGCTCCTCGAAATCGTCTGCGGCTGCCTCTAATAGCATCTCGCCCAGTTCCAGCCAATGGTATGGTAAAGCGTCTGGGGGAGCGTTGGCGGTCGAGCTTTGAAGGAAGGGAGGCGAGAAGGGCGCCTCATTCCCCGAAGACGATGGTGGTAGTCGAGGCGGGGGTGAGAAAGCATCCTCCTGCTCGGTTTCGTGATCCAGTATGGCCTGGAGAGATATGGGAGAAAGCCATGGAGGTGGTACAATGTTGGCGCGACGCTGGCGTTTTAGTAGGAGCGCGAGCCAGAGAGGTATCGATGCTCTTTGGGGAGGATTCAGAGGTTTGAGAGGGGCCTGTCCCTATTAGTTACCGTCTCAAGCATAATCAGTCTTCACAGAGCTGCTGTAACAACTCTTGGTGGGGTGTAGGCGGGGCAGACAAACACCTAATAACTTCAAGCCCTCGAGTTTCTGGCGGGGTATGATGGTGACAAGCTCCATCTCGCATATGAATGCGATTTCTGGGGGCGTAAGCCCCGGCGGAAGCGGCAATGCCATCTTCAATGGATGCGTGAACAGCGTTGGAGTGGTGTGGAGGTCGTGTACCTAGGCTCATTCGAAGGGATCGAGACGCGTTGAAGCGCTTTACCGAATGAAGCGTAGCCTACAAACTGCAGCAGATATTCGTCCAACCCTTCGTCCTTTCGCAACGTATCTCTTAGCCGCTATTATATTGTATAAATCTGGAAAGTCGACAACCAGGGTATCACAATGCCTTCAATCACGCAGGCATGGGCGTTGCCTGCTGCGTTCCTGGCGATAGTCAATATATCGATGACGTGGTACAATCTGGTATCTGCAATTGTACCAGACCCTTACCTGGTAAGCTCATCAAACATACTGTTACACGCAAAAAAAGTACAATTCTCTAAGAGTGAATCTATCAGGATGAGTTTTTTCACGTGCCTCAGGCAAAAAAATACTGTAGGAACGACTTCTCTTGGGATCCGAAGATCACCACTCCTCCAGGGCTGTATGTATACTCATGCCATGAGATGGTCAGCCTACTAACAGCCAAAGGTATCTTGTATCGCTCCTTTTCAAAGGTGCTATAGGCTGTGAGACTTCGAATCTGAGAGCGCTGAATGTCGTAGCTATCTGCTTGATCTGTGTCTTAGCATACAGCATCTCAGGAGCCATTCACAAAAACCGTTCGGAGCACACTAACCAAGCAGAGAAAGAGGTAAACTCGGAGAGTGACTCGAAAAGTCTTTTCGATATTCTCACTGCGCATTCAGCCCTCAATATCAGCCTATTTCCACCTCTGTTTTTCTTTTCTGCCCTCTATTATACCGATGTAATGTCCACGCTCACTGTTCTCCTTCACTACCTCGCTTTTCTCAATCGAAAGAATGCTTCGAGTCAGTTTCTTGGGAGTATTGGCCTGATTCTAGTCGGGTCGCTAGCGCTTCTGTTTCGTCAAACGAACATCTTTTGGGTCGCTATTTTCCCTGCTGTCATCGCAGTTATTGATGCTTTTGGGGGGGAGCAACAAGCGGGGAGCCCCGAGAAGAAAGATTTGCGGTCTATCTGTGCTCGGAGTTGGGAATACGGGCGAATATATGACTGTCCGGTGGATTCTGCTGGACCTCAAGGTATGCTTTCAGAGCTTAACCTTATTCATCAGCCACTGACCATCTTTCAAGACTTTCTTCTTCTTACGATCTCGCTGGTAATTGCTGTTCTGGCGCAGCCATTCTCTCTGTTGAAAGTTGTGGCACCATATCTCTTTCTGGTGGCACTGTTCGCTAGCTTTGTACTTTGGAACGGTAGTGTTGTTCTGGGTAAGCCAAAAGCCTTGATCAAATTGCCATTCAACTGACCAGTCCAGGTGACAAATCAGCCCATACAGCGACACTCCATCTTCCTCAGATGCTATATATCTGGCCCTACATATCTTTCTTTTCTATTCCGCTCATTGTCGGGTCTCTATTACCGCATATCGCTCCTCTGCTCCCGGGAGGGTTGAGTAACTTCTTCCAAAGCAAACTTGGACGGGGACCAGGCAGAATCTTGCCAAATTCTGTCACTGCTTCTGCATTCATCACAATTGGTTTGGCCATGGTTCATTTTAACACGATCATACATCCATATACATTGGCAGATAACCGGCACTATGTTTTCTATGTCTTCCGGGTTCTTCTGCGACACCCAGCAATCAAATACGCCGCGGTACCCGTTTATTATATCTGCGCCTGGATGGTATTCTACTCTTTGGGCACAAAGCCGGAGAGTGAAGCTTTGACGAGCCAAACCCACCAAAAGAAACCTTCAACAAGCGTTCATTCACCACAATCCTGCAAGATTAGCTTCGTTGTAGCTTGGTTTGGAACCACTGCATTGTCCGTCGCTACGGCGCCTCTAGTTGAGCCTCGATATTTTATCATTCCGTGGATCTTATGGCGCCTGCATGTTCCATACCTTCCTGGAACACGTATTTCCGGAAAAGCACGATCTTACGACCTCCGGCTGATATTGGAAACCATCTGGTTGATTGTCTTAAATGCTGCTCTTGGGTACAATTTTCTGTACCGAGGGTTCTCTTGGCCGCAGGAGCCGGGCAATATTCAGCGGTTTTTGTGGTAGATGATTGAGTGTAGAGGAGGTTATGGTCTAGGACTAGCTAGCATCATGTTTTGGGAGGCGAACAGTCAACACTGAATAACACGTAGATTACCAATCCTTAATCGATTGAGTCTGACTACACTCATCAATGTCTGGTTTTCCCCAGCAAATGATTGCACGGTATACACAATAACTCGAACAGGCAAATCCTAACTATACTGTGCATTCTTGATATAGATCATATATGTGTTTATGTTTCTCTCAATATATTATTCGACTTATCATCCATACTCTAACGTATCGTGTGTCTACCGAGAGTGGGCTCTGTGGTGTCGTTGGTCGGTTTCCAGCTGTTCCAGCGGCAAATCGGTCACCGCCAATTAACATTCTGACCTGCGTCAATCTCATCAACAAACCAACGACACCCTGGATGTTCCTTACTCCATTTGAAAGTGGTATTGGCAGGCCTATCCCAACCATCGTTCAGTCGTTGGCCATCATTGTGGCCTTCTCTTTCCTCCGGGCTCGAGCCTCTCTTTCCAGTGCGGCCTTACGCGCCAACCACTCTTTCCTCTTTTGTGGATTCTTTTGGAATAAATGCTTACGCTTCTCCCTATATCTCACACCCTTGGCCTTCTTAAGGGCTTTATATTCTTCCAATTTTTTTGGGTCTTGCTCCAATACCTTCTTACGGTTCCGGGTATAGTGATGCTGGCTGATCCTATTTCTCTCTAGATAACTCGCGTAGGGTTGTGGGTTCTCGTTTGCCTCTGCTTTGAGCTTTCTCGCATACACTGTATTTCTATGTATCTTTTCGGAATTTCCGGTTGATGCAGATGATTCTCTATGAGATGGGTCGGAATGTGTTCCTGCTTGGTCTCTAACGGAAGAGACTGATCCACTCCGAGATGGATAGGTCAAAGGCCTTGTTTCATGAGTGAAAGTCAAACTGTTCATCCGTGACATCATATCTGGCTGGAAGACACACCGTTGGCCTATAAAGGGTTCTGTCAGCTAGTTTGCAATTGGTAGATGCAGTGAAAGTTCAAAGCTCGGCTTACTCGGCAAAATTCTTCGGAATTGATGTTCAGATCTTAGTCCTGACAGCTGATTTTCAGGCCTTCCCTGTCTCTGTACTTGTGGAGAGTCTCCTGCCCTTTGTGTGGACCAATTTGGGTAACCTTGGTTCGCACATCTATGACACTGCATAGTCTCCCGGAAGACAGTCGATGCCTTTAGGCAATTTTTTTTCTCGCAGAACCCGAAATGGTGCAGATCTTCATCTGCTACTAAATTTGGATCATGCCCATTGTTCCTCATTCTTATTTTTGCTTGTCTGCACAATCCGTTCCGGACGTTGATCCACTGATAAGAATCATCATCGGGGTGTATCAGGCTAGCCTTTTCTTTCCCAATGAATAAAATTCGTCTATGAATGCACACCCACATGCCCATCGGCCTTGGTACAATAGACACATCTCGCTGTGTGACGTAGGCTGAACGATATGAAGAACTGTGACACGCAGCTAGTCTAGTTTGGATTGTGCGATTTACAGACCAGCTGTACAAAGACTGTAGTTAAGGATTTTGCTCTGCCGAGGTGACTGAGAGGAAGGAGTGGAATCGGGCCACAGGAAATATGCATGATATTGTGCACTATATATATCAACATATTCCACAAATTTGCCAGAAACCCAATTTGTGAACCTTTGGTAAACGAGTTCGATAATTGAAGGGGACCTCGATACAATGTGAAAATACATCTACAATTACGCCCGACCTAAGAGACTTAGCGTTTGGAATAAATTCCACATATGCATGTTTTGGGGAACAAAGCAATATATTGACAGTGAATGTATGGTCTTGTTTTGAATACGCACTCTGATGGCAAAGATGAGCGTTGTGAATATCGGAAACCGCGCGCCGGATTCGTGACCAGACAAACACTACACAAGAAAGGATTGATGATGCCTTGATCTGTCACATCTAATGCGCTGAATACACAAACAGTTCAAGGATGGTACATTTGGGTATGGTTATCGTTGTTCGCTTGGATCTTTTTTTGGTAGCTCGTGATAATTGACCTCATCTTTGCGAATATCGTCTATGTGCTATGCGCTAGGAGCATCCCAGACTCTCACAGAAACACCTATCAACAGTGATGATACTGGCAGACCTTCGGGGTCCAATGGTCTAAACGGCTTGCTATAGTTCAACAATCTTTGGTTGTAGAATAGTCTAATTATGCTTTGTCTAACCGCAGTTTGTGAAATGATTTCCGCCAGCATTTTTGTTCAAATTCTTACACGAGGATCGATTATTCGCCTCGAGCGAAGAACTGACTGCGCTCGGCATGAAGATGTTTCTGTAGCATCAAAGCAGATGTGATACATACTCCATTTCTCGTTGATCTTATCGATGCTCCTCTACTTCCATGGTCCTTAAAGCAACATTGCAGCGTTACCGAGTTTCTCCTAATAGCTGCCTTCTCTCCCCAACCACCCTCTCTCTCTCCCGATTTATTTTGTCTTGTTGTTATTTTTAACCCGCTCTAATGGCTGATATCAGCCCACTCAACACCCAAGAGAACATGCTTAAACAGCAGAGCAATCTTCTTCAACTATTTTGTAAGGGAAATAGCTACTATAGTAGCATGTAAATCTGTAGCTAGCCGGTCTAAATTCCCTTCGGGAGGTCCCTTAAAAACGTTAAACCACATAAATCAAATCAAATCAGATCTACTTCCATGGTGAATCGCTAACGATCCTGCTTTCGGAGTCGCTCAGATCGACGATTCGCATAGTGCTCACTGCTAAATTCAAGTTGTTGCACATAGAAAGTCATAAAACAGCTCAGTCCCTTCTGATACAAACGCATGCCACTTCTGAAGATGCGGCTAACGCATAAGTTATCTTGATTAGAATCGACCATCATGTTATAACCCACTCTATTATATTGACTTTGCTTAAAACTCCACATTGATGTCCGTTTAGCATTTCCAAAGTCAATAATCTCTAAGGGCCACAGTGAAGAAAGAAGTCAGTCAGCACGACTAATCTGATGCGATAAAGTTTGTAGACAACTCCTCATTTGGCAAAAGGTCACTGCATGACAATACTGCTTTCCGAACAACAAGCCCCTGCATGTGGTTGAGGATACAGTTGTTGAGACCCGTCTTGAGAACATGCATCCAGCTATGTACACAAGATGCTTCCTACTTTCGAAATTGCTTATAGAATTTTCTGAGTGGCTTTCCAGTAAACTCCAGATTAGTTACTTTTTCACGAATCCTCAACATTCAGTCGCCGGACTCCGATTCCGGCGCATGAACTTCGCCACATTGAGTGACATACCTGGGAATGCACATAATGTAGTCAGATGCAGAGACACACACATATGTACACATGTAATTGAACTGTTCAATAAATGAAAAGTCCGAACAGCCACCACGCATATCACACCGCCTACCCGTAGCGAATTGAAAAGGCGACCGCCACTGTCACTTTAGCATGACTATTATTGCATTCTATCACGGCACATATCTCGAGTGTATTGTTCCACGTGATTGAACGGTTGCACCTGCCCATTTCTGTACTGGGTGGCAAAAAGTACTTTTCAGCCCCATCGGACTTTGAAGCAGTTTTAGGTGTCGCTTATGTCGAATTATTTTTAGCAGACTGGATAGCACGAGAAAACTCGTAAACCCTAAGGAGATTTCGGAAAGAGCTAATCTGGTCCTGAACTCTCGCGATTATCGCGTGTTGTACCAAAAAATCGATGTTTCTTGTCGTCGTGGAGAGCAAAGAGTGAACATAAAGAACATTGCTGCGGAAGTCACCCAAGAAGCATCGGGATCAGGACGTTTGTCGCCCCCAATAACGGTATTACCGCCACCCATTACTACATCTCGTAATTATGCTGCGGTTCGGAACGGTTCACACCCATCCCCATCATGCCCGTATTATCTCAGCAACCCGTGTTCTGAACATTCCAATTCGACCTCATCAGCGACCATTATGGGCAAAATCTCACACCATCATCATTAACCGTCATGGATCCGCGAACACCCACCCTCTCATGTATGATCCCCAATCACATCTCCGCATCTGAGGCAATCTCACTTCCCGCATCATCGTAATGCAAGTGAGAATGCACCGTTTGTAAGCAGCGAGAGATGATCCCGCGGGAACGATCGAGAGATGTGGTTACACAAGATATCTTCGTGTTTCTCATTCCGCACACAGTCAGATTTTGGAATAGAAGGATCGACAATAACATGGGCGGCAGCATCATCCCGCTTCTGCTGTCTCACCACATGACCGAGCTATAATTTTCTCCATGGGTCTGAATTGTCCTATTGCTGTGATTCACCTTCTCTTTCTTCTCACGCTTACTTTCGCGCTCCGTGTGACTGACCCTTGTTCGGATCTGGGAAGTGTTCAACGGAAGAACAAACTGTTTCACGGAGCGCTTGCTCGCTCGCTTGTCTCTTGACTGTTGCGAAAGAGGCAGTAGAAAGACAGAATAAAATAGAACGGATTGAGCGAACCCGGGTTTTGTTGACTCGCGCTTCGCTACGCTTCTCTTGATCCCGCATTTTCGTTTGCTTCACGATGCCGTCAGACCGAGACATGAGAAAACCCGGAATAGGAAACATGGCTGCGCCGTGTGCTTGCATTGTGCTCTAGACAGAAACCAGCATCACCAACTTCCAGTGGCAGACGCGAGTTACTGTGAAAGGGCGGCGTCCCTCGCTCTCCGGCAGCATGGATGATCCCTCTCTGATGTATGTATCATTGCTGCACTGCACACGCGAGAGCGCTGTTTTTTCGTGTCGTCGATGTGTACATACATATGCGGTACTTGGGTGCTTACATGTGCAAGGTTGCCTTCATTAAGCACGAGTGTACGGCCGTCCATTCAGAACTCATCGCTTAGCTGAGACACGTTGCCCTGGAGCGAGAGGGTCATTGACTCCAGGACCTGTTGTTCTGCTTACCCATATCTTGACCCAAACACAGACCAGCAGCGCGTTCAACGAATAAGTGAGAACAAATGAACAGTAACAAGTTACCACGGATCCGATCACGCAAGCAAATAGCTATTGCATATGCAACTGCACGATAGATGATAAACAATGTACGTACCATAGGATAAGACGACGAAGACGGATAGCAGTTTAGCCGAAATAGATTGGAGAAACGGTATTTGGCGGTGGGGTGAGTGGGTTGGCGTTGGTTGAGGAGTAGGTAAGCCAGAATACCCCCACACACCATCAGCATGGAAAGAGAAGGAAACAAGATTTTTATATTGCATATTGCGGATGCATGTATATATTGCCATGTATATACATATACATGGTACTTGGACATTGCATACCGCTTTTCAAAAGTGTACTACTGTCTGCCGACAGGAACTTTCCCCAGCGACGATAAGAATCTCATTTTATTTAATGGGTAGTCTTCTCTAGAACTAGGTTATCGCTATTGCTTTCCAAAGTTTGCGTGATTGTGGAAGATGAAGCCGGGGTCTGGTTAAAAGCAGCGCAGAGGGTGGTGGGAGCACTTGAGCTCTGTTAGCTACTGGGCTGCTCCCTGGGAAGATGTATGCAAGTGATTGGAAACTAGAGTGAGCACATGTGTACACATGTAGTATTCCATATACGTGTACATAGTAGTCAATCTGCAGAATGGTGAATGCATGATGGGCGGATAGATAGATGGAGGGAACGAATGGAGGGCTAACCCGGAGCCGGCTAGTGTATTCTGCATCATGTTGTGTCCTTTCCATCGAATACCAGTTGCAACGTGCAACTAACCTCGCCTACATGTGACAAACACACACATACACGACAGTTTCGAGGCCTTTGGAGAAGAGAATCCGCTAAAAGAGGAGCATGTCCGAACCGATTCTCCTCGAACTCGTCGAGCGGGACGATGCGGGAAACGTTACATCAACGTATATTGAGAGTACAAGCTCGGAAAGCAAGAGCCGGGTCGATATTGTAGTACGCACGCACCCAGACTTCCACGGCGGTGGGTGTGGTGATAGCGAAGAAGATGGATGATCAATTGTCGCGCAGCACACACTCATAGAGAGGAAAGACTGACGATACACGACAGCTCCCTGCAGAATCGAAGGGTCGTGTGCAACGACTGATGGATGTGTTTTTACCCGCTGGCTATCCACAAAGTGTCACCGAAGACTACATTCAGTGCGTGCTTCTGGATCGATTAATCATGACACCACACCCCTGCGATCGCCAGATACTGATCTTCGAGACCTAATGTATAGGTATCAGATCTATGTACGTCACCACTGTTTTCTCCCAATGGTGTGTTGAGCGACATCACGATCTCGACTCATTATCCCGCTAGGACTCCCTTCAAGCCTTCTCATCGTCGATAGCAGGAATGCTCAGCTCTCGTGCCGTCCTAGAAGGTCAGTCTCCCGAGCTTTCCCCGGTTTTTCATTCCTTTCATCTACTTGCGCTCAACTTAAACCGCAATGAGATCACTAAGCGATGCTGGTACCGCGGCGTTGGGACTTGAAGTCCGCATCCTCAAACGCAAGTGTCCAGGGATGTAAATTACCTCCGCAGGGCCGTACACACGGCGCTTGCAAAGAAGAGGCCAATGGTCCGAATCGGACTTACCCACTGTGCACAACAACAATGATAATAACGGCTGGAGTGGAAGGGAAAGCTGACAGGATTGATGACCACAGGTGTTGGCGTTGGCGATGCTTCCGCTTCCCCCACTGCCGCTCTCCTCCTCTCCGTACTGCAGGAATCCATGGGTCGTGTAGCAACGATATTGTTTGCGCACAGGCTGGGTACTTCGCTCGAACCGGAATGCAAAATGTATCGGCTGGCTGCCGACATATTCAACGACACGGCCATGGTTCTAGATTGTTTGTCGCCGGCTTTCCCCAAAGTAGCTCGCGTGATCATACTCTCGCTCTCGAGCATCCTTCGATCACTCTGTGGAGTATGCGCAGGGAGCTCCAAAGCAAGTTTATCGGCACATTTTGCAAAGAGGGGGAATCTGGGAGAGTTGAATGCGGTGAGTTTTATTGGCAATGTCGTTCCATCGTGGTGTGATTGATGGATATACATGTGCAGTGCCGCCGACTTTTAATATAAACGTACACGTGCGGATGCCGGCTACATAACCAGGACGCGCTGATCTCGTATGCAGAAAGATTCGAGCCAAGAGACCGTCATATCGCTGTTTGGGATGTTGGTAAGTCACGAGACTTTACTAGCGGTGGAGAAGATGATCAAACATGTTTCGAACCAGCCGTGATGAACTGCCGCATAAATCTCGAATCGGGGATTGCCGTGGAGACCCTTATGCTGCGTGATCCGACTAACTGACAATCGACACAGGCTGGCACTGTCGTTGTGTCTTGGGTTTCGACGCCATTTGCCACTTGGTCAACTCTAATTGCACTGCTGTCGATTCACCTTGCAACAAACTATGCGGCCGTCAAATCGGTCAGCATGCGCTGTCTCAACCGTCAGCGAGCTAACCTAGTGCTGAGCAACTTGCTGCAGAGCGGTCACATCTCCACACCAGCAGAGGTTTCGCAAAAAGAACGCATATTCGAGAAGGATGGCGTTCTGCGTTGGACCGATGATGGCATTATCGGTCACTGCAGTGTTGGCGTGTCGATGGCAGTATTGCTGAATTCCATGGACCGTGCCCGCCAACGTGCTAGCTCATTGGGCCTTCAAACCACCAGAATCTCTGATCTCATGCAAATGTATGGAGAACGGGGATACGTGCTCTGGAAAGGTCAGGAAAGCGCCACAGTGGTAGTGGTTTTGAAGCGGGGATGTAGTCCGAGAGACCAGCTTCAGGCATGGGCACAGGCGCTTCTACTTGCACGACGGGATCGAACAAGACTGTCCGACCAAAAAGCGGCAGACGGCGTAGCAGATGATCGGCTGAGCGAGCTGCGGTGGACCTTGGACGAGGCCGCTAGACTGTTTGAAAAGTATGAAGCGGAATTGATAAATGTGGGTTGGGATCTTGATGTCGCTGCCCTGGAAGTAAGGCCCGGACATCGCATAGAAGTTGGGGTAGGACAGTGAGAAGGAAGGGATGGATGGATCCTGAGAGCCGGGTCAGGGTTCGATGGCGGATTCTCACCATTGAGCAAGCTATTGATTCAGAGAAAAAAAATTGCCCGTCCTCGTTTATAGAAGCGATCCGGTTGACGGGGAGATTCCCACGAGGATTGTGTCATGTCGCCTTAGGCGGACGGGCTGTGCTTGACGTCTAAGAGTTGGTGGAATGGATGGATGCAACTCACTCCACGATCTTACGGGGACCTGACTGTGGGCTGAGTTCCAAGGTGCCGCGCATGCCCACTTTTCTCATTGCCATGACCAAAAAGCTTAGATCCACATGTCACGTTTCAATCAGAGCAAGAACGTTTGTGACACCAGGCCTCAAGGTCGGGGTTGTCACTGGCAGCGAAGACCAATCCTCTCTTGGTCCGCTTTTCCCTGGTTACATGTTGAGCAGAGATGCTCAGTGCGAGACGGGCCAACCCAGACACGCGTGGACGTATTTGTAGACTAGACAAACAAACAGGACGCCAGACAAGATTGATAGAAAGACAGACAGACCAGAACAGGCAAATTATCGAATTGGTTTGTGCGAGCACCTCAAACGACCATTGCCCCCCCTCCTCTCACTGTTTATAGAAGAGTCTAGCGAAGAGAGTACCGTACAAAGTAACAAACGAAGCGGTGAAGCGAGTCATATGAGCGAGCACATCTATCGATAATACGGTAGGTATCGCGCGCGCGCGTGTGTGTGCGTGTGCGTGCGTTGCGTTGCCTTGACCAGATTGCGGGTGAGTCCGACGATTGGATAGTGGGCCGAGACAGGAAGAGCGAAGAAGAAGAAGAAAAAACTCTGGCATGCATGCAGGTTTTTCTTTTCTTGTTCGATTCTCGGCTTGCTGCTGCTGCTGCTGCCATCATCATCATGCTTTGTTTTTTATTGAAGAGTGGGAATTCGCCTGCGCATGTGCCGAATGACGGCACCGACCGCTGGCGGCGCTTGTTTTGGCGAATTCGCGAAGGGAGAAAAAAATAAAATAGAACAAATCCAGTAAAAAAAAGGGCCCCGGATGCAGTGTAGTGTGAGCAGCTTTGCAAGGGGCAAGCCTGAAAAACAGAGGTGTGTGCTTTTATTTTTTTGACGATGGCGGTCCTAACAGGTCCCACGGTGCACAGGGAAAAGAGCGAAGTCCGTTCATCATCAACAGTCACGATATGATTAAGCGGGATCGACGGTAAGCGCCACACAGCGAAATCCGGTATTGGAAGGCTTCTAGAAGGCTTCTACAATTGTTCCATGCAGACGAAGGAAGAAGGAAGGAAGGGCAGCACGAGGACGGACGGGATGGAAGGAGGCTAGGGAGGGATGGCAGCAGGGGGGGTGATTTGATTGCCCTGCGAAACGTCATGTGGGTCCTGTCTTGGCGAGTATGTGGGCGAGGTCCGTTTGTTCGAAACAAGAGAAGGTTGGGCGAAGATGATGGGAGGAGGGTGAGTGATTGTTCCCATGGTGGATGCAATCAAACGGTGAATGGAATGGATGGGATAGCGACGTTGGTGGAGAGACGACAGAGGAGGAGGAATACGGCACACGAGGCAGGATGGACCGGGAGGGCGCGCGCGCGTCTAATGCAGAGTGTGTGTGTGTAGATGGTCGAGATGATAGGATACAGAATTCGGTGATTTGCCTCTGGCCCCAGGCGTAGGGGCAAACAATAGAGTCAGCCGGTGCACGGGGCCGCGGGGGCCATAGCATTTTGCAGTACAGCGCAGTACAGGACAGCACTTGGCATGGAAGCCAGCATGGAAGAGGAGAAGAGCCTTGGCGGCAGCGACGCGCGCAAGCAGCCGGGCTGGTTGGCTGGCTGGCTGGCTGTCTTGCTGCTGCCCTGCTGGCCTTTTGCTGGCGTGCTGGGGGGGCGTTGGGGGGAGTTGGGACCGCCGTGGCTTCATTCGGCCTCTGGCATTAGCTTGTCCTGCGGGGCTCTCTACTACACAGCATAGCATATCATAGTACAGCATAGCATAGCATAGCACTCACACTACACCTCATTACGCTGCATGTGGCATCATCGGGGTTGCTCCTCGTCTGTTTTTTTCTTCTCTTCTTCTTTGTTGTCTTAGCCAGCCACCCAGCGGGCGTCGGGAAATTTTATTCCCTTGACTCTTAGCCACAGCCGCGAATGGATAGCGTCAGACTGTGTAGCACATTTGGATGCTTGTCGCTGGCCTTGTCGGATGATCGGAGATGCAGGCTGACGAGAACGGGCGGCAGCAGGGCACTAGCAGCAGTAAGCTGCTTCGCGATTGAAGGCAGAGACGGAAACAGAAAGACAAATCCAAGGCATGCTGTGGTTACCTAAGCTTTGGATGTTTGCGGCTGCAGACGGTGCGAGGGTGGGACTCGTGTGGGTCACGCTGCGCTGATAGCTCGAGCCTCAACAAACAACATGAATCACAGTGAGCGAATGGTTTGGGGGTAGTGTGCGGTTTGGCTGGCGGACTTTGTCAGACAGGTGTTGGTTTTGGGAGCATTCGAGCGAAAGGCGAGGCCAAGGCGCAATTCTGGCTCTGCCCTTGTCCGAACCCTCTGACTGACGCTGGACCGGGGCTGGGGCCGGGGTCGGAACACGTACAAATCCATCCATCCAGACGATGCTAATCATGGATGCTGAGTTGGGAGCCCCCAGCCCGCCCAGGCGTGAAGCGAGGCCGACATCTCACTTGACTTTGGGCTCGAGTGTCTACACACCCTCTAGTCGTTTATTGTTATGTAGGATGCCATTGTTCCACATCCAAGTACACCTACCATGTTTATACATACATGTGTGTACTCCAGGTGTGGTGTGGGTGAGGGAGTGGGTAGATGGGCCATGGGCGATTTACCATACGTAACGGTAATGTAAAACCCGAACGCCTGTCTGATTGGCTGGTCGGGAATACGGTCCAATGATGGATAGATGGATAGATTGATTACCGACTCATTCCGCAGGCCCATTAGACACACACACACACACACACACACACACACACGGCATTGTTACCTGTTGTATCCAGTACATGGCCTCGCACAGCAGCAGCAGCAGCATAACCAACGCCACGCTACGTACGGTTGTTGACCTCTGTGGATGGTATGCATCTTTTGTACGCCTACGTGTTTACACATAGGCATGGGCCAGGGGGAGGTGGACGACGACGACGACGAGGGAGCAATCAGAGGCAGGCTGCTGCGCCTGCGAGCCACGGTTCACCACATCGACCGCTTTGGCGTTTCATGAGCGTACGGACGGGATGAGCAGCGCTGCACCCCCCTGACCCCTGCAAGTGCGCTAGAATTCTCTCGAATACAGCCTCCGCCCAATAAACGCCGGTCCTCCTCCTGCCGCTTTAACGGACCCACATCCCCCCCTCCCTCGCACCTGCCCCGTTCCTTCTGTGACATGCGCCTTTCCTCTTTCTCTGCCCATCTCATCTCACTTTGCTCAAAACCACGCCCAGTCGCTCCTGTCGCAGCCCTCTTACATCCCATACCCTACCATACCTAACCATATACACACCACTCCACCACCACCATCAACCGCTACCACCACCGCCGCCCCCATCTCGTCTCGTCACCAATTCACATCCACCACCACCGCTACTACGACACACACACGCTGCAACACCCGCCTCTCCTGTCTCGAACCCTTCGTCATAGCCGCCTCTGCGCCTCCCCCCCTCGTGCTACTTGCACCGCATTACAATACCACCCGCCCGGCCTACCCTTTCGTAGCGCCTTCTGCATCTTTCCGATCCACCCATCGTCCTGCCGGCCGTTTCTGAGCACGCCTGTACAACCCTTCTTCTCTGCTCCACTTCCGTGTGTCGCCTTCGAGAAGACATCGTACCACCCATCATCGCACCACCTAGCCGTTCCGTCGCTCCATAGCCGCCCACTTCGTCCATGCCCTTGTACATACAGCAGTTCAACTAACTCTCCTTTTACGCACGCCGCCCGCTTGTCACTGGGTTCTGTCGAACCTTGTGCCCCATCTTCCAAGCTGGCGCACCAACTCCAACCGCAATTCTGTTCTTGTGAAGGCTTCGACAGCCAGAGCAGATATACCACACGGAGAGTGTACAAGCAGTTGCGGGATAGCGTCATGTACTCACGGAAACCCACTACTTCACCAGCCATACGGTTACCCTCTGCCCCTTCCTCGACAGCATCATCACCCTCGACAGCCTCGTTGGAATTCCACGATCAAGACGCCAACATGGCCAATTCGGGATACACACAATCCCCCAAACCCCTCACAGTCTCGATACCCAAAAGCATCCCGCTGCATAGCCAGCGCAGGCCCAACCTCTCCGAGATCCTCGCCAACACCGCCCAACCGCCATACACCCTCAGCTCCTTCATGGCTTTTCTCTCCCAAAACCACTGCCTCGAGAATCTCGAGTTCACCATGGATGCCTCACGGTACCGCAAACACTACCAGAAAATGGCCAACAGGCATCCAGGAAGCCCCATCTCACCTCTTTCAGACGAATGCGCATACGTGCTGATGCTCTGGAGGCGGTTAATCGACGCCTACATCCGTGAATCAGGCCCTCGCGAGGTATGTCAAACACAATTGCTCTCTACCGTGCCTCCGCTAACGTACCCAGGTGAATCTACCCGCCGATGTCCGCGACACCCTCCTGGCTCTTTCCGAGTCGTACGTGCCACCGCACCCTTCCTCGCTCGACGAAGCCGTCTCAAAAATCTACGAGCTGATGGAAGAGAGCGTGCTGGTATCTTTCCTCAACTCAGCTTCGCCCCGAAGCGCACATCCGACGCCCGCCAGCCACCACGACAGCTACAGCTCAAGTGCGAGCCGCTCGACTACACGCAGCTACGATGAGCGCTCCATGCACCTCACTCGCAGTCAACCGCAGATGCCTGTGCACCAACGTGCTTCGGCCCCGTCGTCGTTGACATCCAACTTCATGCACCCTCGTCCTTTCACTCACGCACGCTTCAACTCACAGCCCGTTACCTCCTCGTCGACACCCATTACTCGCGTCAACCTTGGCTACACCAGCGGCAGTGATGCTCTAACTGATGATTCGGGTAGCGGCAGCCCTTCTGGGATGAGCGATCCCCTTACTCCTCCGGGCACTCCTCCTATGAGCGACTACCCCATGAGCGACTTTCAGCAAGCATACTACGACAATGGATCTAGTAGCGGCACCCCCAGTCCCAGAACGAGCAGAGGCGAGCACAATGGTCTGGCCAACGTGACGAGGGACAGCTGGAAGCGTATGAGCAGCAAGCTGTGGCCAAAGAAGAGGAGTGGCAACCATTTGAGAGAGGACGAACAAGGTGTTGTCGAAGGAGGGCTTTTTTAAGCGTTCCGATCAGCTCCCCCATTTCCAATCTTTCCTTCACGATATGACACAGACCATTACGAAAGTCGATTCTAGTGACCTGCATCTTGCATTTGGGCAGCATTCACCGGCGTTTGATTTCGACTCCATTACACTTATTACCCTGCAAGGCGATTTGGCGAACTTGATATCCTACCACGCTTTGGTGGTTGGTTCATGATTTTTTTTCTCTACATTTCTGGCATTTCAAGATCTGGCGTTTTGCGGTAAAATTACGACGGCTCACGGAGCTGGGTCTATACAGCATTATGGTATTCACATACCGGTTGGCGAACCGAGGAGGTTCCCAGGAGTTTAGAGCTATTCGATTCTATCACAGGCTCTGGATAAGCATATTTGCATTACTATTAGGGTTACGACGAATTCCGAGTACATCGGATTGGGTGGTTATTCTCTGTATCATTTGTATATTGCTAGGCTTTCTTCTTTTCTTTTCTCCATTAGATATTGATATCCCCCGTAGTAGGATAATCATTCTTATCTCTCTCAGGAGAGAGTTACCCGAGACACCTACATTTTAATTGCCCTGCTTGGCTTAACATGTCATTGCTTTGTCCCATCTGCAGTTCGTGCTTAATTGCCTAAGTTTCATGCAACGAGTACATAGGGCTCCGAATTTCTCGGTCAGGCCCACCACCAACCCCAACCAACACTACATGCTAAGTCCTTTCAGTAAAAACAACGGTGCTCGACCCAACCAACAAAGTACCTTGGTATGCATGGATCCTCTTCTCCCAAGAAAGGCCCCGAGTTTGTTGTCATCCTTACTTATCTCCTCCTCACCGACCCCAACACCTGGTACCTGTACGAAGCCCTTTTTCCGAAACCCAGTGTTTGGTTTCTGCCCAAGTCTTGGTTTTCTCCGAGAGCGCGCGCATCGCGTTTATGTTGTGATGGCGCATTAACGATCCGGTCAGGTACCGGCTTACAAGAGCACATGAGATTTAGGTGACATTCCATGATTCTCTTTGATCGGCCAAACCAATTGTGCGTTGAATCGCGTCATCTACTGCTTCATGCACGCCTTGGTATGTCTTCGGTCGGACGGATGGATAGATGGAGGCAAAGGCCATGATGACTGACTGGCATGAGGCCAGCCTCGTCGTAGTCAAAACTCCAACTCCATCCTTGGGCCTTTTTTTTTGTGGGGACTGGAGAGCACGCACGTACACACGGGCACGCGACAAAACAAAACGGTGCCCCATTCCTTTCTCCTCCCATGTCCGACCGTCCGTCCCCACGAGTTTCCGTTTCATGTTTTCGAATTCCTTCATTCCTTCCTGATCCACCATGAATTGATTGACTGTCGTAGCCAGGGGGAGGAGACGCTGGGCCACATGGCTGCAGATTAGACTGCATAGCTCTTGGAATGGCCTCACTCTTGATGAGACGCAACGGCGCAGCGACGTGGGACGGTTGGTGGATGGCTTCCCTCCCACCGTTCAAGTTGTCATTTGTGTTAGACGAAGCGAGTGGGCGCCGTTGTGTCCGTTGGTGGCGCGCGCTTGAGGAATTGCTTACCCTGTTTGCCTCGTAATTTGCCTTTATCATTTTCCATTATCTCGGGAGGGAGTTTCGAGATCGAATTCCTTTGGTTCCCATTCATCCTCTCATTCGTCTTCGCCTTCGCCTTCCTCCGTTAACATTCTTCACATGCCTCGACCTCGGAACACCGTCTCACTATCTCACACCCCATCCATGTGCCTACTCATTCACCCATCTACTCAAGCAGCAGCCGCCCTGAATCAAGATTTCTTGTTGTATTTTTCTTGTTAGGTATTCCAATTGTCCACAAGTCATTTGCAGTTCGTACGAGTGTGTTTTTCCCCCTCAACGAAGAGAACTTTATATCAAACATGCGAGCCTTACCCTTTGAAGCTCATGCCGCTTTCCCATCACGGCCAAGTCCAACGACCAATACGCCCTGCGCGTCACGCGGGTCGTGATCTGCATTCGCTGGTTGCTGCATGGTGAAACGCATCGGATAGCGTCTCGTTTGTTTGTCAACTTTTTGCACTTCGGATTGCTGCTTTGGCTTGGTTTAGCTACATGATTCCGAAGCTTTTCGGGTTCCTGTTCAATCCCTTTGCGCCGCCGCTCTTGGAGGGGGAAAAGCAAGACTACTATCTTTTAAGGTTTTCTTGTCGTCTCCTTGTCTTTGTCGGAGCCATCATGCCGCGATGGGGGATCTGTATGCTAGTATGCGAGATCGATCGCGCTTTTTTGGGGGTTGCTTGCTTGCACGTGCTTGGGGTTGACTAGTGGGTCTGTAGGTAGGGCACCCAGGGGAGGTAAGATATGTATCCGTGTAATTTTAGTTGAGAGGATGGCGTTTCAGAAACGAAATGCAAAGTATCGTTTTCATCCTCATTCTTAGTAGGATAAGGCGGCGACAATGTCTTGCCTGATCGAAACTTGTGTTTTAAGGAACCTCTTGGGCGCGCGACTGCAGGGTGGCTTTTGGGGGCGTGTATGTTGGGATACTGGAGGGTACATATGTAGTGGGCCCATGGTCGGTGAAAACAGGCGAATCCCTCAATCGAACACTATTGAAATAGTAATCAAATTCACCGCACTGATTATATGGTAGTTTTCGGCGATTGGCAATAGCTGCACAACAATTCCTCTGTGTCATGTTGCTTTATTGTAGACTCGCGTGGCTGTAGAAACAGCCTCATCTGTTCAAGACATGGAAATGTAAGTTTTCTGAATTGACCCAACATGTTCAACACATTCTCCTTCTTTATATTGTACTTAAACTCTTTCTACTCAGTCCGTATCTCTTATAGCCTAGTGAAAGAAAACCCCCATCTTTTCGGCATGGTTTTACCGTGCATAGTGGGTAGCGTGCTGACTGACCATTTGATGATGACCATGTGCCGCACACTTGCATATCAACATGTCCTCGAGAATGAATATCTTAGCATTCTACGGTTGGAATTGGCAAACGATGCATGCAACCATGACTGTATCAGCATTGTAGAGGAAGTATTATTCTTCCGGTGCTGGAGAGAGAATATATACTTCCCATCAAAGCCTCCACTCATCTCCAACTTGCCTTCTTGACAGGAATATACACCATGACTATCAGATTAGAGCAGTTTTCCTATACCTGGGCTTTCCTAGCGCTAAGCGTCATCTACGCTCTAGTCACCCTTTTGCGCTTTGGGCGTCGAGAGAAGCATCTCCCTCCAGGTCCGCCCACCTATCCAATTATCGGAAATGCGCATCTCGTCGTTACCAAGGATCTTTACAAGAAGCAAGCGTACCTTCCCACAACAACTATAATAGCACTGACCAAACGTCCAGGTTCAAGGATTGGAGCGAACAGTATGGAGAAGTGTATTCTCTCAAGATCGGGAAAGGCACAATGATAGTGCTGAATAGTAGACGCGCAGTCTACGACCTGATTGATAAACGAAGCGCAATATACTCATCGAGACCGGACGACGAGCAGTTCCGTAATACTATGCGGAACGAAAACATTGCCAACATGGAGGCAGACGCCAATTGGAGAATCCAACGCAAAGTAACTGCGCGTTTTTTGGCACCCTCAATTCTGGATGGGGCATTGGGGAAAATTTCAGAAGCAGAGTAGGTATCAGCTGAAGGCGGGGGTTGCGATCGAGTCTAGCATCGCCGGGGCTCCAACGTACCCTTTTTAACCGAGAACGGTCCTCCCATCCCACCATTGCTGACTTTGGAGCAGGGTTACTACGCTGTTGTACGATTTACTTGTGAGCCCGGAGAATTTTGTCAAGCACATTAATAGATCGACTGCTTCCTTCTCCGCTATTACGCTGTATGGGCAACGTGCGACACATCACGATGGGTTTTGGGCAACGGTGAGCCTGGCTTTACTCGCCATTCGATACGAGGCTAACCAAAGCAGGGCGTCTATGAAGCTATGGAAGCGGTAAACGAACATCTCATCTTTCAGCTGGAGTGGAAGCTGACTACTCTATGACGTAGATCAATCGCGCCTTGACTCCAGGTTCATATTTGCCATCAGAGCAATTCCCGATTTTTAAATTGATACCCAAGTCATGGAATCCCGCAAGCATTCGTGCAGAGGAAGGATTCAGCATACCGACTGGTATATGGACAGAAGCCCGAAAGCGCGTCGAATCGCGGCGCAACCAGGGCGACAAGCGAGAATCACTCATGGACGCGTTACTTGATGGAACTATGATGTTGGAAGGTCATGATCACGGTACAAAGCTTGCCAACTTTGTAGGAGCTCTCATGCAAGGCGCTGCTGATACTACTGCTATCATCATGCGTACACAAATCATGTTCCTTGCCACCCATCCATGGGTTCAAGATAAGGCTCAGAAGGAAATCGATGCGCTCTGCGGCGTGGATAAGATACCTACCTTTGCTGATTTCGAAGATCTCCCTTACATCAATTGTATCATAAAAGAAGGTCTCCGAATTCGGCCAGTGTAAGTCATCCTACCCTAGAAGCCCATGATGATGCATTTTCCATTCTGACGGGTTTTTTGGGCTAGTGTTCCTACCGGTATACCTCATCGCTGCATCCAAGACAATTGGTACGAGGGCATGCTGATTGTAAGTTGCACATAAGCTTGTAAATACTGATCAAGTGATTGTTAATCAGCATTTCAGCCCAAAGGCGCCACCATAATGATCCCACATTGGGCTCTAGGTCACTCCCAGTACGATGACGCGGACACGTATAATCCTGATCGCTACCTCAATCATCCCAGTCTGGCGATCGATTATGCGGCGAGTTCGGATTACCAAAACCGGGATCACTATGCTTATGGTGCTGGGCGTCGCATCTGCGCTGGCATTCAGCTCGCTGAGCGTACGCAGTGGCGTATACTTGCCCGACTTGTTTGGGCTTTTCGGATCGAGCACGCGGTTGATCAAGAAACAGGCAAAACGATAGACATTGACAAGGAGGCATTCGAGGAAAGTCTTTTAGCTGGACCCGAGCCATACCAAGTCAAGTTCACACCGAGAAGCGAACGCCATGTGGAAGTGATCAAGAAGGAGCTGGAGAATGTGGGTGAGCTCTTGAAAAAGTGGGAGTAAGAGTCAGACTGGATCCAATCTGGGAGCTATTCTCGAATAGAATGTTCGACATTGATATTATCAATCATGCATGTACAGTAAAATGATTCCCCACGCAAAGGAGTGAATGTTTTCATCTAAGAGAGGCTGAATTGGTGGCGCGCGGCTAGCTACCCAACTAACGCGTGGAAGCAAGTCTGGAACGAGCAAACGAACCACGGAATCATCATGGCGACTATCAACAACTCTAGCCCTCATGTGTCGTACCTGCCTAATGCACAGTAAGAATAATGATCGCGATCAAGCTCGCATACTGATATTTGCACTTTGTACATGGCGCTACAGTACGGCGTGTTTGATGACTTGCCATCTGGCACGGGTCATGTTTGATAGTGTGGACTGCCACCTAGACAGTATACCACGTAAGAATCGACGCCGTTTTACGCACACGTTCCCACGCCTCTATACTTACGCGAGAAGATGTAAGAGCTGCATGCCTTACATGCATGCATGGTCAGTTTAAAAATATGCGCACCCAAAACCAAGGCAAGACAGAAGAAGGTGAAAGCCAAGCCAGGCAACGCAACATAATCGCGGATATTTCACCATCCATCTGCACCTCCTTTTTCCTTTGCGTTTCGGAAATTTAAACACCCGAACTAACTTTAACAACCACAAAACAAGTTCTTCCCCGGGCTCTGTCTCAGGCCCAACGCTGCTTGGCCTTGCTGCCCTTCTTTTGTTCTTCTTCGGCCCCTGCTCCGCCTCGCTGTGTTGCCTGTCTCAGAATTCCATTTCTACCAATATGCGATACTCGCTTGCCGTCTTGGTATGGTGGAGGAATGAACCAGAGCTGTTGTTTCCTTCACATTTAGCATCAATATTTGCATTTACGCGAACGCTGACATGATCAAAATAGATTTTGAGCCTGAGACATATGATGTAGGCGAAGGCTATGATCGCTTGAGCCTTGCAGTGATCACTTCGAAGCGAGCAAGGGTATGTTGGTTTGTGTGCAACCGTTTCTAAGAGAAAGGAATAGAGGTGGAGACGGAAAAATAACTGGAGGCGTCTAAGAACTTCTAGAGGAATACTGCCATGATTGCGCATTAACTAAATCTGCTTCTCGTCGAAATATCAGGCGGCACACGTGATTATGGCCACTTCGACATGTCAATGTGTATATACGGTACTATTAATTCGTCTCTAGTGAACGGTGCAGAATCGACGCTTCAACTTTGCAATTTCTCTCTCACATTATTACCCGTGGTTACAATCAAGATTCAACATCTGTAGATTGAGACGATTGATGATGCAGTGCTCACCTGGGACCAGGAATCAGAATGGTACGATGATCGGCGCTCGCGTAGACATTATCCACCATGTATGATATAAATTGATTGAAATCGATAGATACGAAAGATACGGTTCTTCAGATTGATTGGGGATTCGATACACGAGATAAATGAATAGATAAACCCGTTGACAAACGACTTGATGTGTGGACCTGTGATTACTTCATTTTGATCGTTTTTTGTATCATTGGTCCACTTCGAGGCTCACGGCAAAGTGCGATGCTGCAATTTCATTACTGGTCCCTAGCATGACTGATGCCATTGGACCAAGGTCAGTTCGTACATGACCTAGATGTACAGGCATCTGTCTAGAATCCACTTGCGAGATCAACAGCCTTGCCTACACCCCGGTTCACGGATCGCTGAAATAGTCGCTTATCAATCCTTTACACGAGTCTCTCTGGTTTATAAATCAGGATAGCTTATCTTAAGATCGTCAAAGACGCAGTACTGTGTGTCGATCGGTATGCGCGGGCGACAATTATCACTGGTGTTGCTGATCTGATGATGTAATGTGACGCGGACGCGCGTGTCTACATGGTGGGTGCCTTGAGCGAATCAATCCCTTATCTGAATATCTCCTAGAATGTTTCTGGAAGGGGGGTGTGGGGATGCATTGAATTCGTGGTCGATCTTCGTGTGATGCTTGAACGGTATGACGTGCGGGTTTGTTAATGTTGCGGGGTAGGATCCAGTCAAACACCATGTAGAAAAACTCAATGTGCACAGTGCTAGCCTACCTAGCTAGCAAGGAAGATCATCAGGCATCAAGCACTTGTGAGGGTTTCGAGACCCCAGAATTAGAATGATTGATCTAGTATATAATCTCCCTCCTAACAAGGCTAGGGTTCCCCATCCTCTAAAACTTAGATACTCTGTAGTACATGGTCCAGGAACGAGAAAGTACTGGTACAAAGCAGATCAATAGGCTACGCACGCTTGGAAGAGTTACCCTTCGGAACTCGGAAGAGCCAGAAGAATAAGAATGTCAGAAACACATTTGCTATGATGTATGACCAACCAATCCCAAAGTTCCTCCAAACGTCCGCGTAGAAAATGCGGAATTCGGAGAGGTATACGTCCGTCGTAGAAATAGGGCAGTACGAGCATAGCCCACTTTCGGTGGAGGCAAGAACGTTGCCACCACTGGTCGCGACCAAAGAACCGAGGAAATCGGCGCAAGTCTGATTGACGGGGGGCTGCATGTGAAGGATCTCTGCTGGGGTACACACAACAGGGCTACCTGTGAGTGAGGCAGACATGATGCCACTGATGAGATAGTTGCAGGGTGAGACACGATACATGAATTTCCAAAAGGACGGTAGATCTGCTGGTTTGACCGCGATTCCCGAGAACGAAATGCAAAGCAACCAAAGCAGCGAGACCAAGACACCTGCCGTCTCGGACGTTGCTATCCACGCGATGGCGAAGTGTGAGAAAGTACTTGTGAACAGCATGTACTGCAACAAGAACAAGAATACTTGTGCGCCGCGCTCCGCCGTATCCGTAGCCGTTGTGTTTTGGATGAAGCCAACTGGATAGTACCAGCAAAGGTAGGCCAACACTGCCATGAGACAGTTGTAAAAGGCCTCAACAAGAATGTTCGACCACAGAAAGGCTAGGTAAAAAGTAAGTGGTCAGCTCATAACACTATAAGATTGCCACCGGTGCTCTGCCTCGCACTCACCTGTCCACTTGTATATCTTCGATGGCCGCTCTCGCACCTCGTATAGATCACGCATCGGTATGAATGTTGGCATGATTTGTTCATTCAGGCTGCCAAACAGTATGAAGAACATGTAGATGGCATAAAGCTGGTTCTGCAAGCCCTGAAGGCTGTTTTTCGCATCAAAACTGAAGCCAATATAGAGTGACTGCGTAGAGATTAGCGAATGCTCATCGAAATACACATTAACGTGGGTGATTGCGTACCGAAATGCCAACCAATAGCGTCTTTGACCAGATATAAGTAGGCGATCGCCAAAAATGTCTGCCTGTACGCAACGTAACTTCTTTGAACTGTATCCAGGTGGAAGCCACGAACTCTTGGTTCAGTGATGGGTCGCTGGTATTCGACGAAGTAGGATCATGGGCAATGGTTTTCAGGCGGGACAGTTCCGATTTGACCGCTTGATACTCCGGGGACTGCCTCCAAGCTTCAAACCAGTCGATACCTTTTGTTCCATCGGTAGGCTGTTGTATAGATTGCAGCATCCACTCAGCCGGATTAGTCGAAGCTGGACACTTTGTTGCCCCGTTTCGCTCCATGTATTCGATGAGGGTGCTGCTTTCGTGCCCTAAATCTGTAAGAATGATTAGCTCCATACGAACCAAGAAAACTCCATAGGAATCTTACCTCCGAAATACACTGTTTTGCCTCCAGCAGCGAGCAGAAGTAGTCTATCAAACCTCTGAAAAAGCATTGCCGATGGCTGATGTATGGTGCAAAGTACAGCCTGGCCGCTGCGAGTGAGTGTTTCAATAAGGTCACAGATGGCCCACGAGGTCTGAGCATCAAGACCAGAAGTAGGCTCATCGAGAAAAACGAGCAGATCCGGTCGGGCAGCGAGCTCGACTCCTACGCTCAATCGCTTTCGTTGCTCAACATTAAGTCCATGTTCACCCGCGATTCCAACTACAGCGCCCGCGAATTCTTCCATGCCCAACATTGCAATCACCTCATCCACCCATGCAAGCTTCTCTGCGTGTGGTGTTTTAGCCGGCTGTCGTAGTAGGGCACTGAATTCTAGTGCCTCCCTCACGGTAGCTGTTGCCAAGTGTACGTCTTGCTGCTGCACATATCCTACACGATGGGGGAACGAGGTGTCTGTCGGCGTGCCGTTGATCAATGTGCTTCCGCTTACGACGCCTACGGTGACACGCGTTGCGAGGACGTCGAGAAGGGTCGTCTTGCCAGCACCGGAAACGCCCTGATCACACATCAGGTTAGTACCACCTAACATTCTAGGGAACGCGAGGTAGAAGGACTGCTGAATGCTGCTTACCATGAGGGCCGTGGAGGTTCCCGGTTTGACCCAACCATCTACGTGGTCCAGGAGACGGCGCGTCTCGCCCTTGACTTTAACATCGTAGCAGAGATCTTCCCAGTGGAAGACGGAAGCCCCGTTCTTCATAAAATCGGAGTCTTTAGCCTGCTCTTTTTGGATCTCTACCATCTGGATATTCGACGAATTGGTATCTTCCTCGTCATTGACGTGCTTGCCGGCGTTTTTAGCTGCAATACGAGGAATCGCGCCTCTCCAAAACACTAGATATTCGCCTTGACTTTTAGGGGGCTTCGAGAGTTCGGCAGTAGCAATGTATAAACAAAACAACCCGACAAGATAAGCGGCTAGAATGCCGACATTTCTGTTTGAAAATGGTCAGACAAAGATTTCATCTCTACCAAAGAGGGTAGGGGAATAATGTCACTTACCTCCATTTGTTTTCGTTGAGGTAGCCAAATGTGAGTCTGATGTAATCATCGCCATTCACCAAAGTATCACCGGCTCGCGCACCCACGACGAAGCAGGTTTGTGATTCTGGAGCAAGGTCTTCATAGCCAGGGCCTTGTGGTACTTTGGAAGCGCAGGGAAACGAGCGTCCATGGAACTCATTCGCCATTAGGGCCTCGAAAGCATAAGACAGTGGATTGATATGAAGCATCCACTCAGACCATCCGGGCAGATAGGCTGATGGGATGCAAAAGCCGGTGTAGATTATCAGACCGATACTGAGCAGAGCACTGGGAACCATGGCCTGGGCTGGTGTGCGGGTAAGGTACGCGAGTGTTCGATATAGGCACGACATTACCAGTGTTGCAAGATACGTTACGAGCGAGAAGAAGAGAAAACTGCTCGTGTCGCGCCGTAGGTGGGTCATAAAATAAACAATGAGGTTGAAGGCAATCATGTTGGCCGTCTTATACGGTAAGTCCATTACAAAGCTGGCGATGGCCTGCGTAGATAGGCTGTAGAACGCATACTTGTGTTGCTTTTCGACAACAGGTCGCTCTGCATAAACAGTGAGAACCTATTAAAAGTGAGCTTGTTGCAACAAAAAGAAAGTAGTGGATAGTAAAGAGGTCCTTTAGGCAGTCTTACCTCCAACTGGCTTGCAAAGGCGTTGAACAGTAACGAAAAGAAGATGACGCCGCCGCGATAATAAAAAGTCGAAGTGTCCTGCTTCATGTCGTAGAACAGACTGCCGAGCGTGATTGCCATGATCATCTGAAAGACTAGGGAGGCAATGGTATATGCTGGGTCTGCGACAAGCCTCCTCCAGCCGCGCCAGAGGTTCAGCGAAACCTGGGCAAAATAAGAAATATTGTATGGTGATTTCGACCATTGGCTCTTAGACTGCTCGACGCGTCGCGACTCTTTGAATTCCATCAGTCGCTCGTCAGTTGGATGTTTCAATTCGTACTCGCTAAGCTCTTGAAGAAGAAGCTTTCGATGCATGCTCTCTTTCCATCTGGTCACAAACTCGTCGGGTGTTCGAGGAGCCAAGTTCTCGTATCCGGATCTGACTTGTCGCTGGTTAGGACTGGTCATGGACGTCAAAAAGTCAGCAGTCGTTTGTCTGTCAGGACCTGCAAAGGATAAGAGTCAGTCGAGTTGAGTAAGATTGTAGCAATCTCGCCTCTGGAAATCATTACTGACAATAGAATCCGAGTTCTTCAAAGTACTCTCTTGCCATCGAGGTAGGGCCGAAGTAAATCTGCCTCCCATCGTACAATACCGTCACCTTATCGAACAGCTGGTATCGCTGGTTAGTTCTGCGTTTTGCGAAAATTCCCCTTTCACCTCAACTCACTTCATAAGCGCTCTGTGGAGCTTGATAGATAGCGACCGCAGCGCTGATACCAAGTAGATCGGCTTGTCCTCGAAGACTCTCACAGAAGTTGACGGCATTACCACTGTCAAGACCGCGCGTGGAGTTGTCCCAGCACTGAAGTCGAGCGCCTGTGAGGGCAGCTTCAGCAATGCTGACGCGCTTACGCTCACCTCCGCTAACACCTCGCACAAAATCATCTCCAACGCGCGTATTAAAAGTGTGTGAAATGCCCAAGACCGACATGATTACGTCTCGCGACATGACCTCCATCTGTGAACGCGTCAACCCTGGCGGTGCTGTCCGCATCGACCTCGCCCGAGCCGCGAACGTCAATGTCTCTCCTACTGTGAGATGTGGAAGATTCACATCGCGTTCGGCGTTGTAGAGCACGTCACCACGGAATCGTGTTCGGACGTATTTCGTTTTGATCCCTATAAATGTACTTAGTGATACGCCTATAGAAATATTCCAAGGACAAGAGACACTGACCTCGGAAGTTCATTTTGGTATCTAGACTGACATTCAGACCTGTTGTCTCGCCAGCGATCGTTTTAAGAAGGGTAGTGCATCCCGAGCCCGGCGGACCTAGAACTAAGAGGAGTTCACCATCGTTGATAACACCCTCAAAGTTCTGTAGAATCGATACCGCTTTGAGTGGACGCGTACCAATGAAATGCCTTGTTATTGATGTGATGACATCTAGAAGCACGCCGCCGGTATTTTGCTGATATTTCGGCGTCGTGCTATTGCGACCTGACACAGATAGATCGCTGAAAGCCACTCCAAGATTCCGTTTATGTCCTATCGAGGGATCCGAGCACCACAGATCGATGATAGATTTGACCCAAAGTTTCGCATCGAATGTCGGGGCGTGCGGATCCAATTCGCTTCCGGCTGGTATGCGCAATTTGAGAGCCAATGTCTCGATATCAGCTTCGGTGACTTCTTGACGATACGGTGTCTCTGACGAAGCGTGAGCACTATCTCTCCCTTCGTCAATGTAATTGGATCTGGTAACCAATCGGTCGGCGACCACCATTTTGTCTGGTGACTTGGTGGAGCTGGAAACCTTGAGCGACTTGAGAAATGTTTCACGGTAGGGTATGAAGGTCTGGAGCCAAATGATGACATGGAATGGAGGTCTGCAATCAAGTTCCATATATATATACGTTTGACACAATGTATCGCGTGTTGTTCTGGAGATGACATTGAACGGCCAGCTATCACCAACGCAAAATTGAACTTGGCCGAGGTAGGGCGCCCGCGGACGACCGACTGGATAGAATGCTTACAGTCTAAGCGCGCCGATTCGTAGTATGCCCGCAACAGATTATACATCAGCTTGTATGTCAATGAGTTCAAACTAGCATACGTTATTTGAGTAGCGCAATCTGCGATGTAGGTCAGGAAAATGCTCAGCCAACACTTTAGACTCCTACACACCCTAGTCTACCGTGCAAGGGCAAACCAGGTAGTGTATACATGTCAGACGTACATTCCGGACCCCGAGGGCATTGCAAACGCAACTATTGGTCCAACCAATTGCGACTCGGAGCTATCGGTGAAATTCTACAGCAATGACGCGGCTTAGTCTGCGTGGTCTATGCGTACATTCGGAAAATAAGATGGCATGCGGAGATTCGCGACATGGAATATGTATGCGGATGTTCGGAATATAGGATGGGTAAGGTGGATTTATCGTCGACCTAACAATCTAATTTCTCATGCAAAGATCAAGCGACAGCGTTTATGTACAATGATTTGCAGGCCTTATATACGTGTCGGCCCATGAAACTTCACTAATGACAGCTAAAGTACAGTAAATCCCTAGCCAGTTCCTGCGACAGCATACGTTCGAACTCATTATATGGCCCAACATGCCTTCATATAACCAGCCATAGAACACCCAAGTAACACAGAATGACAAGATTGTGACCTAGCTTCAACCTCTTTCGGGCTATTCCCACAATGTCCGACTGGTCACCGCCACCGGCGACGACCGCCCTTGATATCCTCCCCACCTTGCAAGAAGCATCCCGAATCATACCGCCTGATACCGTTTATTTGCACAGCAAAAAAGTCACATCAGATGATGATGATGATGATGATGCGCCCATTGCTCTACAGGCAGTTGCAGAAGAACATGATCCATGGGTTCCGATGCTACCATCACTCAATTATTCGCTATACGGACGGCGTTCCCGTATCGCCCGCTTCGCGCTCTACGTTTTCATTGACAGTCTTGTACTCCCCGTAGGGCTCTACTTTCTCTTGTGGTATGGGTTTGGGCCAGGTAACCCGCTTTACCATCCTTTGAGCGCATCCACAGCGTTGACCATTGTCACGGCTGTGATCGGCGGCACAAGCATCTGGGAGTTACTTCTGAGAGCTTGGAAGTTGGCCAAGAGAGATAGCGATTGTCGAGTAAGTGCTGCAACTGAGAATCAACCTGGGAAAGACCAATAGGGTAATCTTTGTATATTTTAGCCTGTTGGGTCCTCGTGGTGGCACTTCGACTGGTTCGAATGGTGGTTCGCCTTCACTTGGATACTGATTATTACTGAAGTCTCTGTGTGAGTTAATATTCTTTCCAGCGACATTACTGGTCTTTCTTCGAGGTGATATACTGAACGCAGTGGCGAGATCTCTAGGGCGTTCGTCCCCGATGAGCCAGACAGACGCATGCTCGCGATGCCTCTGCCTACCGTTTTAGCGGTATTCGGCACCTCGTGCATCATCATAGATGTCCTGCGGTATTTCTCTGTCCCCACGCCGATTCGAGTTTCCTCCATGCCGAGAGGCGTACAGCTACGCCCGGGCATCTATCCTCTTGTTGAAGATATCTGCAGTGTGGACGGTTCTGGAACGACGGAATTCCGTCAGAATCTAAATCGTCGATACGCCGCCAGCCACATATTTCGCGTCATGTTGCGGCGACTCTCGCTCTTTTGGGGGATAGGCGCCGAGTGCTGTGCTGCTGTGACTATGGGGTTAATCTTCGGGCTCGACGATGATCTGGAGGATTACGCATTCGCAATTGGATGGGCTTTGCCTTTCATCTGGGCAGGGCCTTGGGCCATGGCTACGATCTACTACGTGAAGAGAGAGCTGAGAGAGGAGACAAGGCTGTGGGGCTTGACTTGATGGAAATGAAATCAAAGCATCGATGTCATCTGTACATGATCAAAAAGATGCTTGTGCTATGTAGGAGCACGCAGAGTTCTAATGTTGTTCAAACACATAGAGAGTTCGACCGTTTCTCGGCCTCGAGGCTAGGCCAGTTAAGGCTTAGATCGGATTCCTAGCACTCTGGCCTCCAGCTTCATGTTCGCACGACACGTTATTCAGACGGATCAATGCATCTAATTTTTTGAGGACACGAAACCACATCTGAAGCGGAAAGATTGATTCCTGCATACCGGTCCTGGTGGTTGGTGACAAAAGTAGGCACCGGCGTGATGATCAGCATGCTTCACCTTTTCGTTCCGCAGCATCAGGCATCCCTAGCACGAAAGTGCCCAGGTAGACGCAGTCATCATCATGTGACTACGTATGTGAACATCAATCAATAGGATGTACAGCGGGCCCCGCGGGTTTCAGGAGGGGTATCGAATAGATCGGCTGGGCATGAACGCGCGCGTTCCGGCTCCGTGGACACGCCGAAGCCTTGGCTTGCCCTGATGTAATCCATAAGCTGCCCACGTACTCATCCGAATCCGCATCACGTCTATAAAATTGCATAAGGTGTTAGCAAGCCCAAGATGTCTCCTTACAAAAGACTACATTCGAGTGCATCCAGTGCAAGAGCGGAAAATCTACCATTATGGACACCAGAACTGAACCTATTCCTCAACCCCCCAAGGCGCCCATCTTGGGCAACTTGGGTGATCTCGATGTCAAATTCCCATTGGACTCGTTCGTGAACTTGGCCAACAAGTATGGTTCTATATTCAAATTATCTCTACCTGGTATGGGGCTCGTTGTCGTGTCAGACTGGGAGATGGTGCATGAGGTCTGCGACGATTCTCGATTCCGGAAATCCATAAAAGGCGATCTTGAGGTAATCAGGCTGTCATTTCCAACGCATCTTCAGTTCATTCTCTGACTGCTCTTGACGGATTCTAGGAGTTGCGAAATGCCGCGAATGATGGACTTTTCACTGTAAGTAGCATGTGCAAGGAAGCCGAAGCCGGACAGGCCTTTCTGCTAATACAAGGTGACTACCTAGTCCACGGGAGAAGATGAGGAGAATTGGGGCGTTGCCCATCGTGTTCTCATGTCTGCCTTCGGTCCCATATCAATCAGAAACATGTTCGATGAGATGCACGAGGTTGCTAGTCAGCTGGCGTTGAAATGGGCACGACAGGGCTCTCACGAACCATTAGACGTAAGTGGTGACATGACGCGCCTTGCGCTCGATACTGTGGCACTTTGTTCCATGGGCTTCCGTTTCAATTCGTATTATCGCCAGGACTTGCACCCGTTCGTCAACGCTATGAATGAAGTTCTCGACACAGCCGGCCGACGAGCGAATCGTTTCATGCCATCGGTATTCTACCACTCTTCCAACCGCAAGTTCAAAGAGAATATCAAACTCCTGCGCTCAACAGCTAGAGAAGTCGTGGATGCAAGGAAGTCCGAAGAAGTTCCAAGCGGGAGGAAAGACCTCCTTCAAGCTATGTTAGCAGGAGTCGACCCGAAAACAGGTCGAAAAATGACCGAAGAGAGCATCATTGACAACTTGATCACTTTTCTGGTGGCTGGCCACGAGACTACAGCCGCAACGCTTTCCTTCGCTATGTACAATCTGGTCAAATTTCCTGAAGTGTGCAGAAAAGCCCAAGAAGAGGTTGACGCTGTGGTTGGCAAGGGCGCCGTCACTCTGGAACACGTACCTAAGCTTCAATATCTATCTGCGGTGAGTGGACTCTGTCATGTAAATTCGCACAGCACTGACATTGTGCCTCAGCTGATACGAGAGACATTGCGATTGAATGCGCCCATCACTGCTTTTGCCAGAGAGGCGGTTGGCGACCAGATCATTGGCGGCAAATATCTGGTCAAGAATGAGACTCAGATCGTTTGTTTCCTCACGAAGTCACAGAGCGATCCTATAATATGGGGTCCCGATGCCAACATGTTCAAGCCTGAAAGAATGTTGGACGACAACTTCGATCGTGTACGTATATCCGGCCACGCCTCGTGGTGTTTTGGGGTTTCTGACAGCCCATTCACATATCTTCCGACTGACATCGTACCTTCCGTTCTAGATGCAGAAGAAATACCCCCATTGTTGGAGTCCTTTCGGGACCGGTATTCGCGCTTGTATTGGACGACCGTTCGCGTGGCAAGAGATGATCCTGGCTCTGGCGGTGCTACTGCAGAACTTCAACTTTGTGATGCACAATCCCTCCTACACAATGCAGCTCTCACAGTCCTTGACCATCAAGCCTAAAAATTTCCAAGTGCGTGCCATCTCCCGGGAGGACTTGACTCCAGCTCAACTAGAAGCCCGTCTGGCAGGAGGATACAGTGAAGTCGGAAAAGCATCTTCTCCAACTAAAAACCCGACATTGAATGAGAAGAATGCGGTTTCTACTGGCAGAAAGATTGCTATCTATTATGGTTCCAACTCAGGCACTTGCGAGTTTATGGCGCAGAAACTGGCGTCCAGCGCCAGTGCCCATGGATACGTGTCCTCAGTCGACATATTGGATACGGCTAAAGAAATACTCCCTAGCGACACCCCTGTGGTAATTATTACGGCGTCTTACGAGGGTCAACCCACACAGAATGCATCCCATTTCGTCAATTGGCTTGAGAATGCAAAGGGGGAGAAGTTAGACGGCGTGAAATATGCGGTTTGGGGCTGTGGTATGTTCCCTTCCAGCAGTTGTTACCGTCCAAAAAATGCATCGTATATGAATCGGGCTGACAGGCAAAACAGGCCATAGTGACTGGGCGAATACATACCAAAAGGTACCAATCATGATAGACGCAACTCTGGAAAATCTCGGTGCTTCCAGAATGGCGCCTTTGGGGACCACCAATGCGAAAGACCGTGACATGTTTTCTGATTTCGAAACTTGGGAAGACCAAACATTATGGCCAGCAATTAAGCAGAACTTTGGCAGCACCGATGTTGCCGAATCCACCCTGCCCGCACTACAGTTGACCTTTTCGGCCCCTAGAGCTTCTAACTTACGTCAAGACGTAAAGGAATCTCTAGTAGTCGATGGGCACAGACTGACAAAAGGTGATGGAGTAGGAGAGAAGCGCCACCTCGAATTCCAGCTTCCCAGTGGTTGGACTTATTCCGCTGGCGACTATCTCGCTGTGCTACCCCACAACCCGAAAGAGACAGTGGCTCGTGTAATGCGACTCTTCCATTTGGCCTGGGATGCGCACGTGTCCATCCAGTCGTCGAACCCAACTACTCTTCCTACCAATATCAGTTTGCCTGTGTCCGAAATACTAAGCTCCTATGTCGAGTTGAGTCAGGTGGCTACAAAGCGGGTACGTTGAATCTCCGAAATCACCTCATCTATGTGACCTCAGTTTGCTCACTATCTCTTCCGTAGAATATTACTTTTCTTAGCCAATTCACAGATCAAGACGAGATCAAAGCAAAGATCATGCTGTTAGCTACAGATAACTTCGAAGACGAGGTTAGATCGAAGTTCCTCTCTGTTCTGGGCATTCTGGAACAATTTTCTACGATTCAAATACCATTCGAGTGTTTTCTTTCGATTTTACCACCCATGCGGGTCCGTCAATAGTAAGTCGATCCAACCACGAAGAAAGCGAGTACTAACGAGGACTCAATCCAGTTCAATTTCATCTTCACCGCTAGCGAATGAAGGCAAGCTCACAATAACCTACTCTGTACTGAATGCACCAGCACACTCCGGCATTGGCCGCCATGTTGGCGTTGCATCGTCTTACATGTCAGGCCTACTACCGGGTGACAAGGTGCAGGTCGCGGTGCGACCAGCGGCGGGCGGCTTTGGACTGCCGCTGGAACCAAATAAGACGCCCATTATCTGCATCGCGGCGGGGACCGGACTATCTCCATTCCGGGCATTCATCCAAGAGCGTGCCTTTATCGCGGGGAAGCAACAAGGGACGTTAGCGCCTGCGCTGCTGTTCTACGGCTGCCGCGATCCAGACAACGACGACCTCTACCGCGATGAATTCGACGAATGGGAGCGTGCAGGCGTAGTTGCCGTTTACCGCGCCCATAGTCGGAAGCCCGATGCCGCTGATGGTTGTCGCTATGTGCAAGACCGACTCTGGCGCGAACGGCGGGTGGTGGGTTCACTTTGGAGCGATGGAAACGCGCGTATCTATATCTGTGGTTCCAGCAAGATAGCTAAGGCTGCAAAAGACGTGCTGGTGCGTATCATGCAAGATGAGAGCGCGAAGAAGGGTCAGACTATGACAGATGAGGAGGCAATGGAGTGGTTTGACAAGCACCGGAACGAACGATTCGCGACGGATGTTTTTGACTGATCAGCGAAACAGTACGAGTCCTCAGTGTGTATGTAGATGGTTCAGGAAGTGGCGCTCACGCATGTCGTATTGAATGTTTTTGACCTTGTCTATGGCAAGCAACGCAGCTTCAGATGAAGTCTTATAGGGCAGGTAGTGGTCATTTGATTCTTTCATGGGAGTTATAGATTGTAGCTAGAAATTAAGTTTAAGTTTTTTTAATTAGAAGTTACAGTGTTTCCTATACTTAAAAAAGCTAGTAAAATAATTTAATAAAAAGTAAATAAAAATAAAAAAGTTTAAAAAAAAAGTTTTACTTTTAATACTAAAAGCTAAAAATATAATACTTAAAAAAGCTAGACTAGCGCTATAGTTTATAGCTATAGCTATAGCTATAAAGCTAGCTAAAAAAGGTACTAGTACTTATTTATAAAAAAATTTATTAAATTTTTACTTATTATTAATAACTTAATAATAACTTAAACTTTTAATAATAGCTGCCTTTTATATGCTTATATATATAAAAAAAATTAGTTTTACTTTAGTTTTATTTTAGTTAGTTAATTTAATTTAAAAATTTACTTACTAGTAAACTATTGTTACGAACCTAAGAATGGGGATGCACAGGTTATGAAGGAAGGTAATTACAAGAACACTCACGGTCAGCAAACAGGACACTACGTATGAACCAATAGACTTCGCCACCCCGCACGTCACGTGGTCCCACGAGTCTTGGCGGAAAGTTGCTGTGGGACAAGTCACGTGTGTCCCACAGGGTCCTACGAGATCCCACGATATCCCATCTATGAAACCCTATGGGACATATGGGAACTATGGGACAAAATATGTATATAGTCAGTAGACAAGAAGACCTTATGGTTCTTGTATTCACTCTAAGTTACAACCCACTTCTTGGAAATACAATCTAGTTGTTACTTTATACTTCTACCTTTGTTACTTCAGTGTTACCCGCTAGTCATCCGCGAAACCCAACCAGAGTTCTCCAAGATCTCAACATTGTGAATACCCTTAAGATGTCTAGCTTCAGTACCACTGACCAGCCTACCCTTACTCCCGATATGGACAACGACACCCCTGTCAGCATCAAGACCAAACAACCTGACACCTACTATGGGGAACGTGTCAAGCTTGAGGAATGGATCCTGCAACTCGAGTTGCTTTTCAAGTTCAATGAAAAGATCGAGAACGACGACAAGGCCACCTACGCTGCGACTTTTATGCGAGGTGATGCCCATAAATGGATCGCGCCTCAGCTCACCAAATATCTGGACGACGATATCGAAGACGACGAAAACACCACTCTGTTCGAAAACTGGGGAGTGTTTAAGACCAAGCTCCGCCAGGTCTTCGGAATATCCAACGAGAAAAATAAGGCAGTGCGTGAAATTCAACGCGTCAAACAGTTCAAGTCTGCCGCCGACTATGCTGCGAAGTTCCAACACTACGCAGTCCAGACTGACTGGGATGACAACGCACTCATGGCACTGTATCGCCAAGGACTCAAACCCAAGGTCAAGGAAGAACTCATGAGGTCTGGTGTGGTTATGGACACACTAGAACGACTCTACGAGGAAACTATCCGCATTGACAATGACTTGTTTGAGTTAGCCGAAGAAATGAAAGGGATCCACGGTTATAAATCTGCCTACGGAAGGACTCAGGAAGCTGTTCGCTATTTTCCCCAGGGAAGAGGCCGCAGCGTCCCTGTTCGACCCAGGGTCAGATACACCGAGGAAATGGACTGGACACGTGACGTTAATGCAACGTTTCCATCCAAGGCTGGAGATAACAATGGAAGAAAGAAGTATGACAAGAAGAGCAAGGACCCTAAGGGGATAACCTGCTACGGATGTGGTAAAACCGGCCACATAGCTAGGAACTGTCGATCAAAGAACAAGGTCACACGATTTGTCAACGTAACGACCAAGTCTTCATGCCCCGGGGGGGATGAAGGCGAATCGGAATGGGAAATCCTAGAACCCACGCCGGGTGAAGGACGACTCATGGTGGATGACCCAGATTCGGAAAGCGGTCCCGAGCATCATGAAGATGCACCACCACCTAAGAAACGTCGAGCGGAACGGAACGCCCGACAAGCTGCTGCAAGAAGCAGGAATGATCGACGAGAGAAGCAACGTCTACATCTGACACAGCAGTTCTGGGCTGAAAATCCTACGTCAAGGAACTATGCACCACCAGAAGCTAAACAGATGTACATTACGAAGAATCCACGGGGATTCGGATCAGACTCGGAAAAGGAGTACTTATCTCCTGAGGAACCCGATAGCCCGAGAGGATCCATCGAATACGATGATGACGAACTCGCTAAACAAATTGAAGAACTGGATCTGCCGAACGAAACAGCAGATGGTAATTGGAAAACGAATCAAACCAAAACAGAAGTCTTAGACCTATGGGGAGACAACTACGTACAACATGTCTCAGAACACTGGCAAGATTGTTGGAAGTACGAGGAGGACAGCAAGAAAACCAAGAAACCTGAACTGCCATCCATGCGTCAACCTATGTACGACGTTGACTCACGAAACCAGAATCATGGACGACTACATTTCAGTGCTTGCATGTACGACCTTTGCTGGACACACCAGTCAGACAAAGGTGCTTCCTATTATCCAAAAAACAATCTGCACAAAATCTGTGGATACAATTGGACGAAGTGTCACAACGACTTCTGTCCCATCCACCTGTTCGATAAGAGACTTAGTTCAAACTTTCCAGGCAAGACACCAAAGCAAACAGTGGATATGCAGATCGCAATAAACCGACAATGCATCGGAGATAACACATGGCAAACCTGCTTATGCGATGATTGCGAACGCCACTATGACGCTAAATGCGCCAACGGATTCAAACCAGTTCATTCTTTTTTAGGGACACGCCTAGCACCAGGAATACATACAGAACCGTATGTTCAACGAACTCAGAGAAACTAGTTAGGCTATCGGTTGAGCTTAACGGACACCATTTCAGAGCACTACTCGATACCGGTTCTTCAGTCAATCTCGTGTCAAGCCACGTGGTTAAGAAAGCGGGACTTTCTACTCGAGGAAAACATGAGCAGTACGGTATTCGAGCAGTCACCGGGGAGCGCTTACCCAATGAAACTTGGGTCGATAAGGAAACTAACCCAACGTTTATGGAAATTGGTGGACACCGGGAAGAGATCATCCTAGACGTTTTGAAGATGGCCACCTTCGACGTCGTACTAGGACTCCCCTGGTTACGAAAGCATAATCCAGTGACGGATTGGTCCAAAGGGACACTTTCGTTTGCGAACTGCAAATGTGCACGCAGTTCAAAGCCTACGCACCGCGCGCCGCGAGTGGTAGATGAGAGGAGCGTTAACGCAACAACGCCATCGCCTAAGATACGCCCAGAGAGAGCGGTCGACTCCTTAGACACTGGTTGGGTACCAGGTCACGAGAAGAGAGTTAAGGAGACCAGCACAACTCCTGAAGTCCCTGTACAGTATCGGAAGTACAAAGCACTATTCGAGGACTTAGAACCTGAGCTTGAATTACCTAAGCATCAGCCCTGGGATTGCGAAATAATCCTCAAGGATGAATCGAAACTGCCGATTGACCCATTGCGCCCGAAATCCGAATCGGAGCTAGCAGCTATACGAGATTACATCAAAGAACGACTGGCTAAACGACATATCCGAGAATCGGAGTCGCCAGTAGCACACGAGACCCTCTTTGTAAATAAAAAGAATGGGAAACTACGAATGTGTGTAGACTTCCGCAAGACCAACGACAACACGGTAAAGAATAGGTATCCATTACCTAATATTGAAGAATTACAACATCGACTTGCGAAGGCCAAAATCTTCACAGCTCTGGACCTTAGAGACGGGTACCATCTGGTACGAATGAAGAAAGGCGAAGAATGGAAAACCGCATTCCGCACTCGTTATGGACATTACGAATATACGGTTATGCCTTTTGGACTCACCAATGCACCAGCAACGTTTCAGGCACTTGTGAACAACGTCCTTAGAGATCAACTAGACATTACCGTCATAGCGTACCTAGATGACATTCTAGTGTTCTCAGAGAACGAACACGAACACCAGAAACATGTGCATTGGGTGCTCCAAAAGTTACAAGAAGCAAACCTACGAGTACGACCAGAGAAATGCGAGTTTCACGCGAAACAAGTCAAGTTCCTAGGATTTGTTATCCGGGAAGGAGAAATCGAGCAAGACCCAGAGAAAGTCAAAGTTGTCAAAGAATGGCCCACACCAAAGAACATCAAAGAAGTACAATCGTTCATGGGATTCTGCAACTTCAACAGAAGATTTATCCAGGACTTCTCTAGGATCTCGATTCCACTCACACGACTTACGAGGAAGGAGGAAACCTTCCGCTGGAACGAAGAAGAAGACGACGCATTCCGGAAACTTCGGGAAGCATGCGCTTCTGCTCCAGTACTAATCATGTTCCAATCAGGAAAACCAATGAGAATGGAGACCGACGCTTCGGATCTCGCATTAGGAGCATGCATCACACAAGAAAAAGATGGAAAATGGCACCCTATTGCTTACTACTCAAGAAAGTTCACGTCAACGGAAGAACGCTACGATGTCTATGATAAAGAATTAATGGCTATTGTCGATTCAATTCAGCATTGGAGAATTTACTGCGAAAGTTGTTCTGAACTATCAATTTTCACGGACCACAAGAACCTTGTCACCTTCACGACCACAAAGGACCTTAATCGACGACAAGTCCGATGGGCCGAGAAATTAGGACAATACCAGTTCAAGATCATACACACTCCAGGAAAAGATAACGGAAGAGCTGACGCTCTCAGCCGACGAACGGACATCGCAGGCGAGAAAACGGAAGTACGACAAGCGATACTTAAGACAAACCAGGACGGAACCATAGGACCAAGTCATTTCCAGGAAGTCAATGTTACCATGCAAATTACCAACGATGTACCAGAAGAATGGCAAGAACGCATCATACGCCAACATCACGACGACCCACTATACGGACATCCAGGAATTAAACGAACCATGGAACATATACGAAGAAACTACGACTTCACGAACATGAAAGAGAAAGTCACACAGTACATTCAGGCTTGCAACGAATGTAAGAAGAATAAACATGATACACACGCAAAGTACGGAAAAATGCAACCAATTCCGGTGCCTACGACACCATGGGAAGATATTGCTATGGACTTCGTAACAGGATTCCCTGCATCACAGGACCCTGTCACAAGAGTGTGGTACAATTCGATACTTGTGATCGTGGATAGATTCACTAAGTACGCACTTATGATTCCATTCCATAAGAACTACTCAGCCGAGCAGTTAGGACATATTATCCTAGATAAGTTAGTACGAAACTACGGGATACCAAAGACAATCATCAGCGACAGAGACAAGCTCTTTACCTCCAATTACTGGACGACACTGATGGCAACAATCGGAACGAAACGAAAGCTATCAACAGCTTACCATCCGGAAACAGACGGACAAACAGAACGTACGAATCAAACCATGATTACGTACCTACGGCTATACAGCAACCAGAACCAGGACAACTGGATTTCCTTATTGCCTATGGCACAGTTGGTATACAACAACAAGTTATCAGAAACAACAGGCGAAACACCATACTTCGCAAACCACGGAAGACATCCAAATCTCTTTGAAAAAACATTTCCAACAATAAAAACACAGAAAGCGTTAGAAAACGCAGAACAATACAAGGAGACATACAAAAAACTGGAAGAAAACATGCGAAAAGCACAACAACAATCAATCTCATATGTTAACAAGAAAAGAAAAATGGCACCTCAGCTAAAAAGGGGGGATAGAGTATATTTGCGAACAAAAAATCTTCGGACAAAACGACCAAGCAAAAAGTTGGACCACGTCAAAGTCGGACCATTTTTAATTGATGCTGTTGTCAGCCCAGTTAACTACCGACTCCAACTCCCAGAAGATGCAAAAATACACCCAGTGTTCCACATAGCGCTGCTGGAACCTGCGAACCCCGGAACGCCACTACAAAATACATTCCACTACGAAACAGAAGAAGAAAACGAATTCGAAGTCGAAAGAATACTACAATGCAAGTTAGACCGCGGAAGGAAAGAATATTTGGTAAAATGGAAGGGATACCCACACGAGGACAACAGTTGGGAACCAGAGGCACACCTGGCGAACTGTCAGCAAAAAATCAAACAATACAACAGGAAAAGGAGACCGCCGCTGATCCAGAACAACTAACCTCAAGAAGCCAGTACGGCCTCGTCAAATAACGGATCACCCTCCAAAACAGAGGGCATGTACGAACTCCAGTCCAGAGCCAGGGTACCAGGCATCAACCCATCCTCAAGGTTGCCCACATCCTTGTTGAGTCCTTCCAACGCCTCAAGAGCTTCAATTTCTTCAACGAATTTTCCTGAGTCATCCATCAGTTGCTGCTCACGACGCTTAAGTCTTTTCTTCTGTTTACGAAGACGGTCCTTCTTCGCTCGCGCCGCAACCAGGGCCTCCAACGCTGCTGCCTCGGCTGCGTCCGCTTCTGACTACAGGAACACACGACGTTACGCCATTGCGATAGCAATTCCCACACTCCTTCTTCAAAGAAGACATGCGACACTCCAAACCCTTTTTCGAACAATATTGACAAGATACCATGGCGATTTGTCCAACAGCGTTTATCCGATCCCCAGTGGCGTGACGATGAGCGGTGCTTTTGGAAACCATGAGGTCAGTTCATGAGGACAAGAACTTGGAAGAAGGGGGTAGTGTTACGAACCTAAGAATGGGGATGCACAGGTTATGAAGGAAGGTAATTACAAGAACACTCACGGTCAGCAAACAGGACACTACGTATGAACCAATAGACTTCGCCACCCCGCACGTCACGTGGTCCCACGAGTCTTGGCGGAAAGTTGCTGTGGGACAAGTCACGTGTGTCCCACAGGGTCCTACGAGATCCCACGATATCCCATCTATGAAACCCTATGGGACATATGGGAACTATGGGACAAAATATGTATATAGTCAGTAGACAAGAAGACCTTATGGTTCTTGTATTCACTCTAAGTTACAACCCACTTCTTGGAAATACAATCTAGTTGTTACTTTATACTTCTACCTTTGTTACTTCAGTGTTACCCGCTAGTCATCCGCGAAACCCAACCAGAGTTCTCCAAGATCTCAACAACTATAAACTGTAAACTATTAATATAGTTATTAAATTTATTAGTATTTTTACTTTTAAGTTTTTTAAATTTATTATAATATAATTAAGTATTAATATATTTACTATACTTTTTAAAAAAAAACTAATATAGCTTATTAATTTTTTATAAGTTAAAGTTAAAGTAATTTTATATATAGTAATAAGTTATAATAATAAATAAGCTAAAAAATAAGTAATAACTAAAAAAATAAAAAAAATTTACTTTTACTTAAAAAAGAAATTAAAAAAGCTTATTAATAATAAAAATAATTATTTAAAAACTTATTAATAAAATAAAAAGTAAAAATACTTTAAACATTACTAAAAATAAAGTACTTTATATTTATTTATAAAGCTAAAAATAAGTAGTAAATACTTTTTTAAGTATAAGTTTTACGCGTAAAGCATATATAAAATATATATATATTTGAAGTTTTTTTTTTACTTAAGCTATTTAAGTTAGTAGTTTTAAAAAAAATATTAAATAAGTTAAAATAAGCTAAAAAAGTTTTAGTAACTATATACTTAAATAAAAAATATAAAATAAAATATTAGTAACAAGTATAGCTTAAGTTTAAAAGCTAAAAGCTAAAAGCTAAAAAATATAATTATTATATAAAAAAAAAGTTAAATAAAAAAAGCTAAGTTTAAACTAAGTGCTATAATTAATTACTAAGCTACTTAAGTAAGTTTAATTAAGTAAGTAGCTTAGTAAATTTAATTAATAAGCTAAAACTAAGTTTTTTTTATATTTTGTTAGAAACAAATAAAAATTAGGTATTAAAAGAAGAAAAAGGCACACAAATAATTTGTAACTTTAAAAATTAATTTTATATGCTTTATACTTACTTAGTAACAATGCATTTCCTAGTGCAGGGGAAAAAACAGTTTTCTATTGAAATTGGCCCGTCTTTGGTTTTTCCTTTATACCGCATTTTTCGAGCCTCTCCTGCCATCAACCCGACGCTTCTAGGCCTCAAGCAGCTAAGTCTAAACAGTGAGCGATATTACCAGGTCTCACCAAAAACCCAGAACCATCGTTGCCAGACTACTCCAACCGTCAAATCTACGAAGTGAAAAACAATAGTAGAGATCTAGACATCCGACCAATAACAACACACTCCAACACCCACCAGCCAAAAACATCAAAGCAAGGTTTTGAAATGACGAGCGCCAGCCTCGCTTCGGGCACTGCCTCACTGTCAACAAACTAATATCATAAAAGCAGCAGGAGCGAGGAGATCGGCATCATTTCCACTTCATCCGTTTGGAGAAAACATTGAACTAGCAGCTACCTAGCTCGCGAGCGAAGGGTCCCGCATGATCACGCGCACAGCATCTCCGCGCTTCGATAAATGCTGATTATTCTAGTGCAAATAGGCATAAAGGAGGACACAACGACCCAGCGTATGATGCACTCATGCCTAACGCATGGGAGACGAGACAGAGGAGACGGTTTGGATATCCCGATTTGGAAGTGCTGTGCCCTTGTTTTTCTTGGAAATTGGACCACACCAGTGATCTTAGGTCATCCACCATACAATCTCTAGCAACGTTGAGCCGGGCCGTCCACATGCAGATCTACCTGCATAACTTTTCAAAATAAATGCTAGCGGGATTGCATTCCAACCTGTCGGAAGTTTTTGTTCTCCCCCGAGGATCGGAAGATGGCGACGTCAATGATATTAGATGCATCCATGTCTCCTCCTGACAGCATCCGCCTCTCTCGAACCCGTTGTAGCGTCCGTTTCTTGTTTCCTCATCCCGTGAACCGCTGGAGATGATGGTGCTCCAATGACCTAGCCAGCGGATATACGAGATACGGCGGTACGCCAAACAGCGAGGTTTCGGGAGTGGTTGCAATAGCGTACCAAAAACTCTTTTTTGATTGATCAAGTGTTTCGTTCTCACCCTGCTTTTCTGGTAAAGATATAGCGCTCCCGCAGCAATCGCGACCCGATATGCCGTCATCATCCTGTACCTTGAATTTGAAGGCAATTCTTATAAATGTGCAAAAAAGATCTCCTAATCTGAGGGGGGTCGCATTATATTGTAAACGAGTGAAGAGATGGGTTCCGCGGCGTGTAGCGTGTTGTCTTTGCGCATCATTTCTGTGCTGTGTACAAGTAGGAAGGTGACAGATGACAGGTGACAGATTCCGATCTTGCCACGCTACATACAGATGCATCTGATATCGGGAATTTGGGTTTACGATTAGCGAGCATGCATCGCGCATATCGTGTGTGGGTGAAGATTGGGGGTGCAGTACGATGAGTGAGATCAATTGATTGCTCCAATGGCATCATGACTGAAACGATGAATATGCAACAAGAACACAACCCTCCACCAACTCTTTTTTAGGTGGCAAGAAAAACTCAAATACGTGTTTCACTAGTTTTCTAGCGGGAGCAGTAAGCCTCGTGGCTTTTTTCTAGCCGGTTGTTAGTTAGATGCCGGCGTGATGTTGTCTAGTGCCGCCGCATAGGCTGTGGAACGTGTGTCGTTCGTTGACCGTTGAACACCTAGAGCATTATTTTGTATCCGAGCTGATGACAATACACAACTGGGTCATCGTATCTATAAAATATCTTATTCGAGTATTTCGATCTTGCAAATGTGCAAGGCTGGGAAGCTACTGCTGCGTGTATGCAAAATACTGTGCATAAGAATACATACGTAGCAGATGTGGCATGTGATAGAATACCAACGCAAACCGTCACTACTAATTCAGGAACATTAAACCCTAGTGGGATTTTTTCTGACAACCGGAACCAACACTGCATCGTCAGAAGGAAGTGTTACATTGCATGTGAATAGATGCACCAGGTAGAATTTGAATGGAAGGGTATCATGATATTGGTAAACGTGCTATAGAATCGTGTTTCCGCTGATTGGGCTTATCAACTTGCCATTGCGAGCTGCTTTCATTTCGGCGTACAATGCGGGGTTGATGCCTTTCTTTTTACATTTTTTGAGTTCTGCTTCACTTAAGTGGCTTATGTCGTAATTGCTTGCTTTCCAGTCTTTGCTCGATTGTGACATTTGAGACGAATTCATGGTAGTCGGCGTGGAAGGGTAAACATCAGATGGCCAGTCGAAAGATGTATTTGGGGCGGAACCCGAGGAACTTGTGCGTAGGGAGTGCTGATCAATTGACACACGTCTTTCTATTTCGAGCGATAAAGGCTCCGAAGGTTGCTCCTTCGGTCGACTCTTCAGCTTACGAAACACCTTGGAGGTTGCGCTCGTAGAAGAACGTTTAGATGAGTTGATTGAAGCGGTAGGCGTGGCAGTTGATTTCGCCGAGCTATTGGTAGACGAGTGGGAGATGGTTGAGTGCGCGACGGAAACTTCAGAGGGCCGCCTGATGAACTGTGGTGGGTCCATTCCGCCCATTATGCTACGGCGTCGGGGCCGTTCCTCATTCTTGGTATGATCTTCGTAGGTCGAAAATCTTCCAGTAGATGGTATAGCCCCGGTCGGCTGATATACTTGTGGTGTGAGCCTTGGTTTGTGAGGCATTGTCGCTCTTTGTTGAGTTTCGTACAATATATACCGTTGCCCGCTCCCACAGTGCGAGCGACTACTACTGTGAATCTGTTCGCGTGCGGAGAGCTTCGCTTTCTCTACGTTTTGTATCGCAACCTCTGTTCCAGCATGATCCAATTCAAGGTGTTCAAGATTAGGATATTGATGCTTGGCTGGAGCAACTTCGTCTTGAGGAGTCTCATCCTGCGTGGAATGGGTGGTTGTTACCGAGTGTATTGTCTCCAGCGAACTGCATCGCTTTAGATTGAAGGGCACACGTGGAGCTCTGCGTCTCGGGGCGAGCCTTTGCGGTTCCAAGCTCAAAATGTGCTCTGAAATCGAGCTTGGAATGGGTGGAGGAAGGAGCTGGGACCTGAAAGGATGTGAGAAATTCCGGGCTGGCTTCCTTGGCCTAGGATGTAGTGGTTCTGGTCGCAACCTCAATAGACTCTTCTGAGGCAAAGGCGGAGTAGTGCCTGCACCGAGACTGGGTGCTTGAGATGGAGTTGATCCAAGGGATGCGCTTCTTTGGCGATGTGGGATGATTGAGAAGATTGTTTCGTCCAAATCGTCATCACTTGGGTCGGACTCGTCAAGACGGCCGAGCATGGCATCGAGTTGCCATGAGGCACTGCGTGTTGGCTGCCGCAGAATATCGTCGTCGTCCATGGTATGATGACAAGACTTGGGGAGGCGACAGCACGTGTGTGGTATACTTGCAAGAGGGCATTTCGAAGAAAGTGGAAGACGGGTGGCCTAGTGATTTAGGTGTAGGAAAGGGCTGGTGGTGGATGACGCAGGCTAGGCGGACTGGCGTGGCACTGTTGGCTGTCTACTCAGTCTACTGCGCGACCATGTCCTAGACGGGCATCGCGATTGAAGCCGGGCGGCATCGGTCCCGAACCTGTTGACGGTTGGTTCGGACAGCATTTTTGCAGGGTAGCGGAGCATCTGCGACAGGTTGTGGGTTGTTGGGCCGAAACGTGGTTTTGGTGCGTACATGTAACAGGTCTCGCAGTCAGGATTTGGGTTTGGACAGGATGTTGATGGACGTGTAGCTTGTGCACGGGCGATGATGAATGAATCAGCCAGCCAGTCAGTCAATCAATCCATCAATGGTGCGGTATGGCAGTTTCATCACGTGTCCGGTGCCTGCACGTTCTCAAACGTCATCAATGGTACATGAATGTACAGGTATGCATGCATGCACACAGCAGTGATGTACATGGGTACATGCCGAGATGTGGCTGCAAAGAAAGGAGAGTGCAGCACATTGTGTGCGACTGTGTGCGAGGCCCTATGTTCCCTTGATTGTGGAGGGGGGGATCTGTTCCAAGTAATACGAGTCGTACACTCAGTAACACGATGCGATGCAATGCGATACGGCCGAGGTGGTGGTGGTTGACCGAAGGTGGTGGTGGTTGACCGAAGGTGGTGGTGGATTGATGCCATCGGGTTTGTACCTGTCCGAAAGCGGCACTAGCGGCACTAGCGGCCCCTCTGAGCGGCAGGGGTAAAGGACGGAAGGAAGGAACGAAGGAAGGTGGCTAGACAGCCAGACAGGTGCCAACAGTTCGTTCGTTCCACGATGCTTCTTCGCTTCTTCCTCACCGCGATCGCCCTCTCTCCCTCCCCACCCCCTGCATGCCACCGAGGAGGATGAATTCACGCCTGCATCCTACTCCCGCATCCATCGCTACCCCGACGCCTCCACGAGCATGATCATCGCCGCCCTCTCCCCGCCCCGCCGCCTTCCTTCCATGCCATCATCATGAGCAACGACGGCATCCCCGACGACGAGGTCGTCGCCCTCACAAAGGCCGCCTTCGCCCAGTCTCGTGAAGACATCAACAAACGTGCCCAAGCCGCCGATCCCACTGCTGCCCGCGAGCAGCTCCAGAACCAGCCCGGCATCACCATCGACCTCGGCCACAAATACATCGCCCGCCTGCCAGACGAGGTCATTGATGTGATCCGCCTCGAGATTGAGAGGTACGCCCGTCTCCCACCAACTCTCTCTTTCCCACACAATCTATACTCCTCTGCACATGCCTGTGCCTAGACATCCCCAAACTAACAATTTCCAGGCTTGCCCTCTCCCACAACCTCCTGAGCACCCTGCCAAGCCGTCTCATAGAATGCAAGCGCCTTCGTTACCTCAACGTTCGCTACAATGCCATGCGCGAGATTCCCGAAGCCATATTACAAATGACGTCGCTGGAGATCCTCGACGTGAGCAGGAACAAGATCCGAGCCATTCCCCAGCAGATTGCCAACCTTACCTCCCTTAAAGTACTTGCTATCGCAAAGAACAAGATCGAGGTTCTTCCGGCCTGCCTGGGTGAAATAAATAGTTTGCAGGTCTTGAAGCTGGACGGCAATCCTCTCTCCTTCCCCCCACCCGAAGTTTACACCCTGAACACAAAGGCACCTCTGCCTGCCAACGACAATGAGAGAGATGCTGTTATTGCAACCCAAGTCAAAAAGTTCATGCGTCAGCACATGAATAAAGAGAAGCAGCGCGTAGAGCTCGAAAGACTCAAGATCGAGTCATCTAGTGACGAAAGGTATATACACCACATCAATGATTAACTGCCAATGCTAATTATCCACAGCTGGTCCGAAACCAATCCAGAAACCCCACGCCCCTCCCGACGTATCAATGGCGGCAGATTTCCCGTCAAGCCTAGCATTGGAAGTGTTGATGGTTTTACCGAAAGCCGCGCAGATTCTCCCGGCATAGCCCCGCCCATTCCCCCTCGAGCGCATTCCCGAGTTGCTTCTCAAACGAACGGAGGTCCTCGCAGGCCCAACCTAACGCCATTAATATTAACAAATGGTATCAACGAAAGAAATCGAAGCCAGAGTGATGGCAGCGGTTCTGGAAGTCATCGACTGAAACGCATGGGATACCATGCTGGTAAGGGCTCAGAGTTGGGATCCGTGGATGAATATGAAAGGACAAAACACTTCCGCAATTTCAGCCAAGGATATCCGTTCGCCAGCAGCAATCGGGCCAGTGGTATGTCAGGGCCGGCCACGGCTATGGGTTATGGTGACAGCGGTACTGTTCGATCTCTTGCCAACCGACCGCTATCTGATGTTCGCGAAAACAAGCGAGGCTCTCAAGCACCCGATATTGTTGTGGAGGCCTCCAGGAATTTTCTGTACGCCATGTCCCAGTTACACGATCCAATATCGCACATGATGCGCTGTATGAAACGCACTGCCCGGACCAAGGAGGATTTGCGACGAAAAGAGAATTTCTATCAGCGCTACTCGGCCACCTACTTGAATGTAAGGGCTCTGAGCGAGATTCTTCTTCGGTTCGATAGCCTTGCAGAGGAAGATGAAGAGGATGCACAGAAACTCTCAAAGTCTATATATCAGTACGCTGTGAGATGTCTCGACTCTTTTCTTGCCATCAGCCTATCAGTGGCTGAAAATCGCATCGAAATCACCGCAAATGCCGATCCACGTATTGTGCGGTCATTCCTCTTTCTCCAGCAAGGAACCTTGATTGAAATGAGGAACGCGTGCCAGATATTGGGCGCTGAGTTTCGTGATGAGTTCCGGGAGCCACCACAGATGTCCCGCGCCTCCAATAATACTAGCGTCGACAATGTGACTGCTGTACGCACTCGCCGGCCTCTGACTCTTCGGAAATATCAACAACCGTCTCCTCAAAGAAACGGTGGATACCAGGCACCACCCCCGCCTGTGGTACTGCACAGCAACGACAGCAGCAGGACAAATACTCTGACGAGCATGACTAGTGCCACCCCCCGATCAGGCGAATCATTCTCGACCTTGGGCACCGCCATGTCACGGACCAACACTTTGACCAGCACGTTTGAACAAGCAGACGACGATGCTCAGTTCGAAAGGATATACTCCAAAGTTAGAATGGCTTGTGAGAACTGCCAGACGTCCATTCCACGGATACTGGGAACCCTCAGAGCCACATATGAGCAATTACGAAGGGACTTCGATTCCGAGCACCCTCGTCTCAAGGCTCTAGCCAGCATGATCGAGAGAAGCTATGATGTACAGCAGACATCTGCTCCGTTGTACGATCGATTGAATCGAATGCAATTGGGCGATAGCGATTCCCGTGATCAGCCTGAATTCTGGCAACAGTGTATGGGATTCATCAAGGTGAGTTTTCGCAGATTGCATTCCTCCGTTATATCCGAGTACTGACCAGTCTCAAGGCGTGGGGCGAACTAGCAGCTGCTATGACTGGGCAAGGGAGGAATATGAAGCTCCTGAGCTCTGATGTCAAACAGATGATGAAGCCTCTTCACAAGATAGTCAAAGAAGCCAGTGTCGCCATTAGCGATTCGCCTTGGTCCAACCTGACTTCTAGCACTCCAGGGATCGTATCCTCGCTTTCTTCTTATACCTCCAGAACCCAGCCACCAAAGTTCCTCAACAAGCCAACCCTGTCATATGGCGGAGGTTCTTCTTTCCCTGGCCCTATCAATACATCTATCACTTCGGTCTCATCGGCCTTCTCGCAGCCTTATACTGGGACCAGTCTTGGGTCGCAAGGTTCTGGGGGTTACATTACCCCCGTGCCAGCAACACCGCTCAGTGCGGCATTGGGGGCAGCTGCACAAGCAACTGTCCCAAACCCACACACACCGAACCCCCTTGGCCTTGCGCCAACGAATACAATAAGTTTCAACGAACGCGCCGACAGGTATCTGAGTCAAACAGCCCGACGCCATTAGTTGCCGAACAGTCCATGGATGCAGTGCTGGATAGCTCAACATCGATCGCCAGCTCATATGATATCAAATCACGATGGTAAGATTTATGTTTTCTCATTTTCCGTTGTCTCTATGGGTTGCAATATGTTAGCGATGGTGTTTGGCTAGGTCTCACTTTCGTTCATGTCCGGTCTGGTTGTTCATAATAGTGCTGCATCGTCACTGGTGTTCCAAGGAAGAATTGTGTTTTTATTTCTGTTTTCGTTTGCAAAGGAATGTAATTTGTCTCTTATCTTTCACTCTTTTCCTTAATCGGCACATATGGGGTGTTCCGAGGTGTGCTTCTCAGAAGGAAAGGTGTAGGGAGCGCTGCGATGGATTGAACGCATTCAAGAAGAGATGCCCACAAAAAACCCAGATGTGGTGGCCCATGTACGAATAGAGAGTGTGTTGGGAGACATGTGTATGGTTGAGAGCGGGGAGCGTTCTGTGTTTCCTCTAATGCTGCCGGGTTCCATGGGATTTTTCACATTTCCCGTTTTTTTCCTTTTTTTTTCCCCTGAAGTCTCTCGTCTTGACTACCTGCATATTTCTCTGGAAGAAATAAATGAATGGCGACGTGGGATTGCTTTTCGATTGCCTGGATTTGACTTGGTGCACATACGATCTAACATAGATGTACAGCCAAATGGGTTCAGTTTACCAAAAAAGTATGACACTGATTTTCCAGTTTTGAAAGCGAAGGAACATGTCCGTGTGCTGTCTCCAGGAAGCAGATTTGGGAGGGCGGTCTTCGTCGATTGCTGTCACGAATGATCTTATAAACATGATGGGAAGACAGTATGAGACGGGGCTTCCGGTTTCTACTGTTTTATACAAGGATTCAATCCCGCGATCTACATCTAAATCTTGATAAGCCACGCGTCGGGGCTTCGCTATATGCAGATATTGACCAAACACCCAACAACTCCAATCTACTATCATTCGACTACCTCACCCAATCCAAACATTTTGATCGAATTCCTCCAAGCCCTGCAAGAAGAAGAAGAAGAGTACAAAGTCAGCATCTCGATCACAACTATTACGCACTAGCAATGGCAAACAACATAGATGCACGAGGAAAGGTAAAAGGTAACTTACGCATCGCAAACCTCCTCCACACTAACTCCCTTGATCCCAGCAATGGCGTAAGCGACGTGCGGGATTGTAGCCGGCTCATTGCGGCCTTTTACCATGGCGCCTTTGACAAACTTCTCCTTTTTGACCGCTTTGGGGAGGGCCGGCGCGTCCTTGAGGTACGCGGCTGAGGCGTGCGAAGGGCGCATTTCGCACCAGGGGCCGTCAGTTTCGATTTGGATGTGCGAGAGGGGCACGGCGCGGACTACGGAGATGTTTTCTTCGGCTGTTTGGGGGTAATGTATTGTCAGTGCTATCGGCCGATATAATTCAGGTTTTCGTGGACGCCTTTTGTGTAACAGAGGCGGTAGACATTTTGAGGGGGAGGGAGCTTGTGGATGTCTTACTTTTCATACTACATCCGTTGATCCCGATGTCGAATCCAAGATCCACCAATCTCTGCATCTCCTCGATAGTTCCCGTGAAGCTGTGCACGAGTCCTCGTTTCGGCAGCTCGTCCAACCGCGCTTTAAGTAAGCGTTCAAAGTCCTCGGCCGCAGCGCGTGAGTGTAGAAAAAGCGGCAGTTGCGCTTCCACAGCTATGGCGAGTTGAGCTTCAAAGTACTTGAGTTGTTGATCTTGGGGGGTCAGATATAAGCGATCATAATCGAGGCCTGTTTGGTTTTAGTACCATTTGTAAATTGATTGGAAGAGAAGAGGTGGGAGGGGATACCTATTTCACCAAAGGCTACAGCAGTTCCCGAGGCCTTTGACGATAGCGCTAGGTCTTTGAGGGCGGTAAGAAGAGCTGTGGGTCCGTCGGGGTACTCGTCGAAGAGCTTTGCAGAGCAAGGGTGTACGCCGATGGTAGCATAGCAGAGAGCAGCTGCGTGATGTTAGCAAGAACTGAAATATAGAATCCTTATATTTGTATTTCTTCAAACTCTTATAAAGACCGCGCTGAACTTATGTCGATGCAATCATTTAGGACTGTTCAAAACCACCCTCAATCAGAACTTAACTTACGGTGCGCTTTAGCAATCTCAATGGCATGCTCCGACTCTTTCAGATCTGATCCCGTAACCATGAACTTTTTACATCCGGCATCAACACCACGTTGGATAACATCTTCAAAGTCGTCTTCGTGTCTTTGCTTTCCATGGTACTCGCCGCGGAAGATAGGGTCGGTGAAATTAATCCCAATCTGTCCATATTAGAGATTGATGGACGGGGTAAATCTTCGTGAACTAACATCAACATAACGTAATTGCCTAGACTGATCTCCCATGGTTGATGTGTGAAGAAATTTACAGGTTTTTTGTGGTATATTGCCTAGACTAAAGTCAGTACATGAGGACCTAGATACGTACAAGTCCAGAGGGCATCATTGCATACGAAAAATGTGATGATTCGTCGGTTGTGGGAAGGTACCTATCAAAAAGGCGTATTTCCCAAGTCTACAGAAATCTTTTTGGATTGCGCCTGTGCTCCTTATGCCTCGCTGGATAGAGGTTGAAAACATGAGATGGTGATGCAGGAACATCGTGGTGCAGTCATCGAAGATCGATAGAGCCCCATCCAAACTAGGGTGGATCAGGTTAGTGTCATGAGCCTCAGCCCTATACGCCACACCGATCAATCAGCACTCGAGACATCACGCTTCGAGTTCCCCTACATCATAACGATCGAGGAGCGTCTACTCTCTCATCTAAAGACACATTCAGAGAATCTTGTACTTGTTGCTCGAAGCCAGTACGGAGGGACCTGACAAGGGGAATAGTCATCACAGACAGCGTGCACGAAGCCTGGAACTCGGCGTTGTAGCCTGGCCCCGAACAGACAACCTGCATACAGCAACTCTATATTCAGGCTCATCATGTCCCTCCAGAATGTCTGGCATCATCGCAAAGTGGCCGAGAACGCCAAAAAGGCCTGTTGGATCTGCTACAAGCCTACAGAGAGCGTATTGATAACTCCCGATAACAAAGTAATCATACACCACGCAATCTTGACACTAACGAAGTCGGTACCACGTACTGACTAGATGGCAGGACTTCTTTTACATTTGCACTGGTCACCTTTCCGATCGTGGGTTCTGCCAACCCGACGCAGATGAAGCGGCCGCTGCTGCAGCACGCAAAAAGAAAGAAGAGCTCGATAGAGAGATCGAAATAGTGAAGAAGGAGTATGAAGAAAAGCAGAAGTTGAAGCGTGAGAAGCGCAAGGCAAAACAGAAGGAGAAAGAAAAGGACAAGGATAAGGGGAAAGACGGTGAAACGAATAAGACCGACGAACAGGAGGATAAAGATGACGAGAAGAAGAAAGATGACAAGGTCCGCGATTCACTCCTCGAGTCACTTCACAGCGTAGAGTTGTTGGCTGATGCAAAGAATAGATTAAGGAACTTTCACAGTCCAAAGAAAAGGCTCAAGACGATCTCGGACCTCGGATATTTGCGCTTCAGAAGTACGTACTCCAGAACCACATCACGATATAATTATGTTCAAGCCTTCCCATTGACTAACCTTATTTTACCACTGGTTTAGAAATTTCCACCAAATGCGGCTGGATAGAATCCGCAATGCAGAGATCGCAAAGCGCAATCGCGAGCGACTCAGCAATCCATCCAACTTCCCGTCTCCACCAAGTAACCTTCCATAGCTTATAATCTGTCATAAGCGTGTCTCAGATATCAGAGTAAGCTAATAGAATCTTTTCATAGATGAGTAAACGTGACTCATTGACGTTAGTACTTTCAATCAATACTCTCACGTACTACACATATGAGCTAAGACCTACTCGGATCCTATCCGAGGTTCTGACTAGGAATACTTCGTAATAATTACTGTACGCAGACTCACACTTCTGCATTGACACATTCTTAGATGAATTCTCTCTATATTTTCTAGAATGGGCTTTTTGAGAGATGAAGCGGCCGCAACCGTCCTCGGACCAGACAAATGCTTTTGCTTTCCACTTCCTCATCGCTCTACGATCAAACCACAGGACCGGCGAGTTCCCTCATCTATACCACCCATTAGTGACACAGTAAGATATGTTTTCACTCTTACCACTCCATATTCGTGTAAAAAAAGAATTACGGGTCTCGTTACCCGCGTTTTGCGCCCAAGTCAGCACGCATGTACGGCCCCATCGCGTACAACTACCAATTTACGAATTGTCCAACCACACTCAGTCATCCTGCCAAGTCCCTCCATCCCAACTAACATCACCACCCACATTCATACATTCCTACATATGGCTACATACAGTATGCAGTATGTGGTGTAATACGCCCACTACAAGAGCGGTGAAGACAACACAAGCCATATAGCTGTTGCCAAGACGACGGACCCATGTGCTGCTTATCTCCCCGCAAATGCGAAATTTACTTTGCATATGTGTATGTGGGTATAGGATGATGTCGTGCCATCCTTGCTCCGTTTGTATGTATGTCAGATACCGGAATCTGCTTTGCTCTGCTTTGCTTACTTGGCTTGCCACCTCAATGTCTCTCGTCCATTGCACTCTCACCCTTGTCGTTTGCCTTTTTGTTCGCTGTCATTACATTTGTGGATAACAATGCGGATATAACGAGAACATGATAGTAAGCTAGTCGTTTGGATAGAATAGTCGGTTTTAGTAGGTGGTAAGAGGAGTGGGTAAGAATGGAGTTACCAATATGGCAGCAGACTCAAGATCGGGTTTGAAAAGGAACATGATAATGTGGCAATGGGACGAGGGCATCTACACTTCTGGTCGGTGTGAGTGGAAATGTAACTGGGATTCGTCGTAATTCGCTGACGAAAACTCATGCAGCGGAAAAGTTAGGCTAAACAGTGAGGTTGATAAGTACATACAGTGTGTGTCAACTGAGGAGCAAATTAACGCATGTGGTACCTTGGTAAATTGCGATATATATTGCCCAATTCCGGATTATGCGTAGTTGGTACATGGCCCTCACACATCAACAGATAGCGGTCACACTTCGCAAGCGATGATATTGAGTAGTCAGCTTATTTTGCGACCCCAGTCACACCGTATGTTCTCGTATGGCTTATTGATGAACTAATCGTCTACTCACCAGCTGCTCAGTCAAGCTTTTTAACGGCCAAGCCATATATTGAAAAGTATATATGTATAGCAAGACGAACAATTGATCGACGTCACCGACTTGCAAGACCCATCAATCGCACTGACACACACCGGTTCGGATGCATCTACCGAAGGCGTGTAAGATGGCAAGGGTCGTGAGCGGTGTGTAGAGCGTGAGTGCAACGGACTGTACTTCTCGCAAATCATCGACCTACAAGTCCATGTCAGCAAGTAGCTCAAGATAAAGGGTCCGTTGGAGAGAGGTCGTGCAAGAAGGTAGGCAGCTAGCATCAGCGGCGGCCTGAGGAATACCGATGATGATCCCAAGTGAACAGAGTTTCTCTACCCCCGCCGGGCGTGAGTATCCTATGCTTACACGCGTGAGAAAGCGGAGATTGAAATGATACATGCTGATGGATGGGGCAGCGGGATAGCGTGATGCAGGACCCGCTAAATGATGACTGCAGCGAGTCGGGCGTCGTCGTGATCTGAGTGATATTTTAGGATGACTTTCCACCGTCTGACTGTAAGGCTGGATAAGGCGTGAAGAGCAATGTTTGCCCGCTTGATATCAATATTACCCACACGGGATGCTGTACGATGTAGATAGCTGTTAGTCACTATGTAGTAATCAGAGGGAGGCCATTACGACCGGAACACAGACTACAATCGATGACTGCGCTGAACTCTCGCTTCGCCTTGTGATATCGAACTATCACGACTCGATGAAAGAGGACAAGTTCGGGCATCCAAATACGAGTCAGGGTAACGGTCGCTACTGAAGGCAAGGCAAGGTAAGCATAGACAACAACCACCGGTACCTACCTCCTTCATTGTCGGAGTGGGGGTGCTACGCCGCAGAAAGACGTCTCGATGCCATGTACTCATTCCTTCAATTCAGGCGTCCATAGTAACTAAAGCTTATGTCCCGGACCGGACCGTGTTTTGCTTTTTGACAGTAGACGACAGTGCGAGTGAAGATCTGTGCAACCTGCAATGCTACCTACGCAACACGCATGCATGATATTATAGCTGAATAGACAAGATCACCATGCTGGAAATAAATACGAATTTAGCGAGGCAAGAGGGGCTGAGGTAGGCAAACACTGTGACTTGCGCTTCTTCACCCCTGAGTGCGAACACAGACTAAAAGTAAAGCGGGACCTTAGATGAATTGTCTATTTTCCAAACTTGAAGCTCACGCAGTAATCTAGTACAAAAACAAAGAACGCAGGTGCTCGTGCCTACTCGTATGTACCGCAGCCGTTAGCGGTAGAAAGATATCAATAAGAGCAGAGTGGAGAGCTTTACGCAATTTGATCGCTTGCTCAAATATCAAGGGGCTTGCGTCCCGTATTTCATTCAATACATCCTTTTTGCTCATAGCATACAGTCAATAACACTGCAAATAGTTTTTCTGATTTTTGCCGACATACAATACAATACAGCATGCAAAGTTGCCCTCATTATTGAAGGGGAGAAAAGAACTAATCTCGACCAGCCCAAAACCAGTGTAAATCCTAAAGGTATGTAAAGTACTTTGCATGATATACATACAAGATGTAAGAGCTTAAGGTTCCAAGTATCCGTGCCGCGCTTAATCGCGATGAAATACGAGGACCCAGAATTCGCGTCCAGCATGTATACACCAGTCGCAAACAAGCAAACAAACTCCACCTACATCCCTTTTCCTCGGTCCATACACGCCCGAGAGGACTTTCTTCATTCATCTCCAGGCGCGAGCCCATCCCAGCAGCCCTACCAGAAAAAGACCCCCCCCCCCCCCCCCCCCCCAAAAAAAAGGGTACAAGCAAGACAAAGCAACACCCCACAAGGAGACCAAAATCTCAAACTTCAAATGTAACCAAAAAAACGCCATAAGCGCTGGATCCACAATTTTTGCCATGGTGTTTTTTTTTATGGAGAAGAGGAATCAAACGGCCCGTACCCGCAGGACTTGTGCTCCTGCGCGAAGCGAAAGGACGAGAGAGAGAGAAGGACCAAAGGGGGATCCGCAAAATACGATACGATACGCTTACGCGCGATAAGAAAAGAAAAAAAGGCCAATCAAGCAAGATACCCAAAAAAGAGAAACGGGACAGAAGAAAGAGAGAAAGTCAAGGTAGGAAGGTGAGGGTGCTGTTCCGCTACCTTACCCGCCCGCTACCCGCTGTCGACGGTTGTAGCGTTTGAAGCTTTGTTCCTTTTTGGAAGAAGAGAGGGGAGAAGCGAAGGGTGGGTATGCCTGTAGTGTATTGGACCAATGGTTGCGGAGAAGCGACCGAGGTAGGGGGAGGTTAGGGGATAAGTCCCCCATGTACTGTACATGTGTATTTCTGGTTTGAACCTACCTTAGTTTTGGGGGTGGGGAGGAGCGGAGCAACGGAGGAAGGCGGTGGGAGGAATCGGTTCGACTATGCTTTTATTCTTCATTTATGCGTTCGTGTATGTTTGTGAGGGGATTGTGGGCATGTTTGGCCATCATTCTCTTGGTTTTCAGTTCTTCGTGAGCGCATGTGATCTATAGGAATGGGGATGTGTCAAAGTGCTGTAGCGAGATAGAGAGAGAAGCGTGAAGGACTACTCCGCCCCCGGATAAGGCATGCAGATGCCCAGCTCGCGAGCCAGCCAGCCAGCCAGCCAGCTACACTCGTCACTTTGGCAGTTACATCCATCCTCCAAAAAGGACAGGGATAAAAGCGGGAAGGAATGCAGTGCACAGACTGAAGAGGACAAACATGAATAAGCGCTAACTCGTATCATCTCTCGTGCTTGTCATGTTCACCATCCCTCCCATGTTACCCCTGGCATCCTTCTGCCCTGTCCCGCACCTCCTCTCCACCTCGCTAAGCACAGGAAAACAAGTGGTCATTCACTCCCTAACCGTGTCCCTCCCCCGGACATTTGGAAGCACCCATAGCCGATTCCTGCGCCGAGTGCCTGCCTTGTCTGCCTCAGGCTCCAACGGGATCCATGTCTCGAGTCCCGCCTTGCATATGTGAAGAGCTGTCAGTTGTCACTGGCGATCTCGCTTCGATCATGCTTTATCCCCCCTTCCCCCCCACGAATGAGCTAGTATTGCCCCTAGGGCGGATACTCGGGATGATTAGAGAGAGAGAAAGAGAAAGTAAGAAAACCAAAAGAACGAGAGAGCTATTCTGGGGGCCAAAAGATCGCCATCAAATACGAGGAGAAACTATTGACGGGCGCGGTCCGGTGGTGTCAGGTTCAGGATCTGCTCGAGTCGTTGTGCATCTCCCGCGCGCGGCGGCCGGAAAATGTGAGACACCAAAAAATAAATAGAAAAACGAGAGGCGGGTCAAGGTACATGGTTGTGTATAGGTAGGGCACGATCCGACGTGGCACTACTGCGCTGTGTAGGCGGTTGCGCCCTGTTGTGATGGAGGCGTGCCCCTGTCTGCAGCCGTTGGCGATTGAATCAAAATGGATGATATGTGATTTTTGTTCAACGAATCACAGATTGGTTGTGGAAAACGAGTTCCTGTCTTCTCCTTCCTTGTTGGACTAGATGGCATGCTCGCCTCCGTCGATCTCCCAGTATACAACAGGCTGTTAGATGGGGAGGCGATTCGGAGGATTTTATTTTATTTTTCCTGCTCGATGCTGGCGGTGGGGCCTGATTTTCCTTAGCAAACATCAATCAGCAATACGCGACGGACGTTGAAAGATTTGGGGGTGATGCACCAGTCGTTGCCCAGTCGGGGAGGCCGTGGGCACTGACGGCAAGGTTATGACGCACATGCCCGATGGAGCATTTCCTCCTTTACGTGGGTGTGCGCAAGAAAACGCACGGTACTTACCGTACATGGATACTCCGATCCAAGACTTCAATGCCGTATATGCTAGCCGCGGGGTCATTGCGTTGTAGGAGTATCACGACCCTGCGATTATCCGCTAACTTGCAGACTTAACGAACCATCTCTTGGACAACGAGGTGCGCCTGTCTGCCTGCACAGTGCGGAAAAGGAACGTGGGTTTTATGCATGCCACGTAGCACAAAGGGTTTAATCCGTGTTTTTTGAAGATTGCGATACGCGATTGGAGAGCAGCATTTCTATTTCCCTGGTCAATGAGTGGGGGGCGACTCAAATATGGGGAGGGGGGAAGGATTGTCGAAGCCGCATCCCTTTCTCTGCCCATAGGAGGCTCGTTGATCGCACTAAACTTGGCATGTGCCTCCAATCATTTTCATCGCAGCTGGGACAGCGACGACGGGTGGCAATGGCGAGGAAAATTTGCCCTCACCATGTAACGGTGCAGAGCCACGTACATCACCATCCCAAGAGATGCACGCACGTCATTGCAAACTGCAAGGGAGCGCAAACCGGAAACTTGATTGATCGTTCAATGGTGGTATCTGTGGAAGAACGTATGTTGAGAAAATTCTTGGAAGACAGGCAGCGATAGTAGACCACGAAATCGACAACAGAAAGAATCACCCCGAACATGATACCCACCTTTTCCCACTACCTGCATACACCACATACCCTAGATAACAAAGGAAGAATTGAGCCTAAATGCTCCGTTTCCATGGTAAAACGCCGTCGTCAGGATCGTAATATTTCAAGAAGCCGACATGTAATCATGCCCGACAAACCACCGAGCTTGGGAGGAGAAGATGATGATGATGATGATGATGCTGGAAACATGGATAGCGGTACGGTGCGGTAGAGGAAGACATAATGCAACAGCGACAATGTAGTAGGAACAGGGAAACAAGTGCGGAACCATCTGACCTTGGTGTTGGATTCGGGCATGCGTGAGGTTTTGTCGTATGACAGGCGCTAAATTGGATATTTTTGTTTTCGTAAAGCAATGCAGTGTATATGTCACTCGGAAAGACTGATGCTTTAATGCTACGCTCAAGACAATGCAATAGCCGTAGGCGCCTCATGATTCTTCGTGAACTTCGTTAATAACATCCGGTTTTGGTGCGAGGGAAGCAATGATGGGCGCAGGCATGGCGCCTATGGATCCGACACGCTCTTTTGGTGGGGGCTCATCCTTCATACATGCGTTCTCAAGCATGTTTGTCCATTTACCACTGCTGCCAGCATGGCTGTGCTTCAGGTGCTGTCGGAAGTGATCGGCACGGAAGAACTTCTTTGCCTGGTTGCACTCGCCAAACTTGTGCACGTGATTCAAATGCTCGGTCCGAGCTTCCCAATTGGCTGGACGAGGGAATTCCTCACCGCAATACCCGCAAACGTCGGCTACGCTCGAATGGGTTGGCGATGCATGGAACACAGCATGCACGCCTGCAAGCGCTGCGCACGACCAGGAATGACGCCGAAGGTGGAGAGAGTTCTGATGCCGCTCGGCCTCATTTTTATTCTTGAAGCGATTGGGGCAGTACTGGCATGTGTACTGCTTTTCGGACTCGTGTGCACTAGAAGCGGTCAGCCATCTTCTCCCAAGGGGTCCCCGGAGGCTAAGGGGTCTCGCGATGCAGCAGGGAAAGGGGTGAGCATACCGCAACAGTTCCTCGCTGTCAAACTTTTTGGGCTTCTTGGGACAGCATTCGCAAATGTAGGCGCCGGGAAGGCGTCCGACAATGGAGTTCTGGCGGGATTGCAGCACGCTGTCGGTCGACATTTTGCGGATTTGAGCGTGCTCCATGTCGGACACGGTGCGTTGGGGGGGCCTCGACAGCGAACCACGCGGGCTAGGGTTGAGGGACCGACTAGCTGCATACGGCGAGGCAGGGCCTAAATCCACTTCCGCCGCCGAGGAGGGTGATAAGACGCTAGGCGAGAGACGCTGGTCCCCACTATAGCTTGTCATGCTACTTGCCGCCGAAAACCCAAACGAGGAAGCGAACGAAGCCGTGCGCTGGCTAAGGCTCGATATCGACGACAGCGACGCTTGGGAAGCTGGAAAGCGTGACGCCGGTGAGTTGCGGCTGACTAGCATTTGCGCAGAACGGCGGTGATACAAGTCAGAGTTGCCACCGCCCGTGGGACGGTCATCACGCGCCGCCTCCGAGGGAGAGCAGGACGCACGTCGTTTCAGACCGCCGTTTGGTCCCGTCTGGTAATCCTCCGACGCAGCGGGACTCCGATCGTTGATGTTCAAGTCGCGCATGCCGTTTTCCTCCATGATGAAGTCGGACTCTGAAAAGATGCTGGGCTCGTAACTCCCACGGCGTAGAGAGGCAGCGTCATCCATGGTCCCAGGGGTGGATACGCTGCCAAATCTCCGCGTGTGCGCATCTGTAGATCCCGAGTCGTACACGGGGCTGCGGAAGCCAGTGAAGCCGGGAGATATGGCGCCAGAAGGGGGCCAGCGCGACACGGGAGAGTCGATGGATGGTTGTAGACGATCGGGTACGTTGAGCGGCTTCAATTGGCCATTGCGCTTGCTGAAGGGACTCTGCGCATTCGAGGCAGGCTCCTGGGCGCTGGTCGAGAGGGGAGGGGCGATTGTTCGCGTGGGAGTGTTGGGGCCGCCGATTTTGGCAAGCAGCTGCTGGTCGTAGGAGCGCGACGAGGACTTGAGGGCGCCTATGCCGAGTTTTTGCTCGCTGGTAAACCTGCCGGGGGGAGTTTGAATCAGCCAAGTGATCGATGAAGACATAGCAGAGGGGAGGAGAGGGCAATTACCTATAGTCGGCGAGGGTGGGGCGGCGTTGGGCATGTTGTTGGTGATTGTGGTGATCATCTTCGCTCTCCGGGCTGCCCGTGGAACTCATCTCGTCCAGCGACATTGAGATGGAAGGGGCGCGGGAGTTGGTAAAGGTGGTGTCTCTGGACGAGTCGTGGAAAGGTGGGCCGGTGGTTGCGAAGCCGCCTAGCAAGCTCGAGCCAGGCTTGACAGAAGCCAAACGGTGACCACCAAAGCCAGTGTCGCTGGGGGAATTGGTGTTGCCCCATTTCCAACCGGCATCTTCCTCGCTGAGATCCAAGTTCCGGGGAGGAGGCAAGGGCGGAGGAACCTCGTCGCGAGCTCGAGGAATGGGCATGGCTCCAGAGGGGCGGTGGTGATGGGGCATGGAATAGCGGTGGAAGGAGGCGGTATCATATATGTGAATGCTGGGGGTGGAGCTGGCCGGCGACATTGGCGTGATCATGCCGCACCAAGAGCGAGCGGGCGGGTGGCTGGCGTGCGGTAGCAGCAGCAGCAGCAATGCGGACGACAGAGCGGTACACACACAGACACGGGTACACACACGCACGCACGCACGCACACACACACTCACAGCGGGTGCAGCGAGACGAGCGACTCAGCACAGCAGTGTAGCGTGTTATTAGTTGTTCTCTGCTGAGTAGAGATGGGACGGACGCGAATAGCGCACAGGCCCGAGAGGGTAGAAGCTAATGTGGAAGGGTCCTGGTAGGGCTGATAAGGCGTGTGCGGCTCTTCCGTTGTCAACAAGCTGAACCGCCACCACGATGCAGGAGCAGCAGGCAATGAACAGCAACAGCACGTAGGGCGCAGCTGGGTGTAAAAAGGGGGCAGAGGTGGACTGAACAAACGATAGGGCAGGATAGGACGACTGGGACGACGAGGACGATATGGGCTGGGCTTGGGGCTGGGAGGCTAGCTGGTCGTATGACGGCGGCTACGGTGAGCGGTGGTGGAGGTGTGTCGAAGGCGCAGGGGACATTGTAACACCTGAGAGCTTTCACACACTTTTTCCTTCGCGGTGGGCCAGCGGGGGGGGGGCACCAAGCGTATGTATGTCGAGTGCGTGTGGTGTGGTGCCTGGCCAGGGCAGGGCAGGGCTGGATGGATGGAAGACTGGGCAGGGTAGAGAGCAGGCTAAGAGGGGGCCAGGGCTAAAGGGATTGTCCAGAGGTCCGCGGGGTTCGAGGCAGGAATCGGGTCGCCGTAGAGGAGAGAGGGAGAGGAGAAGTGGTAAGCAGAAAGGAGAGGGAGAGAGGGAGAGAAGAAGGGAGTCTAAGTAAGTAAGTAATTGGGTATGTATGGATGGATGGATGGAAGGAAGGAAGGATAGATTGGGGGTCAGCGTAACCAAGTAAGTAAGAGGGACAGTGACAGAGAGGGTGAGAGGCGGAAATGGCTAAAGCTGGGTGGATGCATCCCTCATCCCTCTGCTTGCTTGATGCTGCTGGTTGCTTGCCATAGCACACCACGGGCTGCGCTGCCTGAGCTGCCTATGCCGTTGCCGCGCAGGTCGATTGGCTGTACGACGCCTGTTTGGGTGCGTGTTTTTTTTCACCCACAGCGCCGGGAACAGAGGAGCATGGCTCGTTCCGCCACCAGAAAAACAGATGTACTGTAATGTAATGTTTTGTGTTATTCCATGTCATGTCATGTTACACACACACCACCTACCTGGATGACGGATAGATGGATGGATGCATACACAGACAATCTCCTCGTCCATCTCCTGGGTGAAGATAAGATACCCAAGCAACAACAACAACAACGAGGCGAGAGGGACGGCGCACAAGTGGGTGGCTTGCTAATGCTGCTAGCGCACTATGTCATGTAGTAATTATAGCCCCAGGCCGTAGGGCAGGAGTAGCCGGTACCCTCACCTTTCCCCTCCTCTCGCGCCCTCACTCACTACCTATTGTCCGCCTCGTATACCCCGATGCTCGCCCCTCTACGCCCCATGTAGAAGTCCTTTCCCACGCCTTGATTGATCGAGTTACCTACCCAGCCCGTGCTGTATGGACTCGAGCTGCATAACCCATCCGACTCGACGCCATGCTGCTGGAGTTGGGGCACTTGACTGGAATCGGATGTCGTCTCCTTGACCTCCTTGCTATAAACCCTGAACCTTGGCCGCCGCCCGCTCATCTATCCATCTGACTGACCTGTGCGGGCAGCACGTCCCCCCCCTCTCCCTGCGTGTATGCCTGCGTGTCTGTCTACTCTACTCACGCCGCCCGCGACGACACCGTTGCCGGCAGGCAGGCAGACAGGGAGGCAGACGGCCCATTCGCTTTGCTTCCTCGGCTCTGCTGTATTCTGCTGTGCTCGGACGGTACCTCGCCGCACAGCTGCAGCGTTGCAACCAGGCCGATACACGCGCTTGATTGACTCACCATCCACCAGAGGACGAGGATGAGTACGAGCTGGTTAGTTTGCGCGGGAGACGGAAACGGAAACGGGAGAGGTCCGTGGAGACGACGAGCCCTGCCCTGCCCTGCCCTCAGCCCTACAGTACAGTTGACCCCGCCCCTCGTCAGCCAGCTCGATCAACTTCAGGCCTCGTAAACTATAAACTGTACTGTGCGCGCAGTACAGGGCACGGCATTGCAATTGCGTCTTGTTCCCTCTGCTTCTGCTTCCTTTGCTCGTTCAATTCTTGCTTGCTGTTCTTGCCAGTGCCCATTCGCCCAGCTGTGCGACCTCGACCCACTCCAGCCTTGCGCCGTGTCGAGCCTCGGACCCCACATGCTTTCCTTCACCCGCCATGATTCCAAACGCGCTGTAATTACGTAGTTGTATACGTAGTGCCGTGCGGGTACCTACTTGCTTATGTGCCTCTCGTACCAACCGTACACAATACCGACCGGTAGTGGACTCTAGTACGCGGAGCCTCTTCCGATGGCTTGAGTGCCAATTGGGGCCAGGCACGCCACCCAGAATGCCATGAATGGATTTGTAATAGGTAGGGCTGCTCCAAGAGCACGATGCATGCATGATTCAATCGTCGGCCTCGTTGTCTGTCTCTTGCCGATCTGCTTCAACTGCCATGGCCGTACACACTATTGTTCACCGGACCATATCTAAGCACTGTGTAGTATGACTTGCATTACGTGGGCTACTGCCCGATCCAGCCATAACGCCGCCGCCTGGTTGGCCAGCCACGGCCATGCAGCCCACGCCTTCTCGTGACTCGCTTGAAAAAAATCCATCCACCCAGCCCGCCGTGCCTGAACCGTCTCTCGCGATGCGGTAATACTTGTACCGACCTCTGCTACTAACCACTGCTAACCACTCTCCACGCACATCCGAGCATTTTCGGCCACCATTCCAGCCTCAGCTCACCATGGCCCTGATTGACAAGGTCCCGGGCGATCTGAATCTTTTCATCGGTGGGTAAGTAGTTTCAACCCTTGCTCGCTACTGACCTTCGCCGATATCATGCCTATCCTTCAGTCCGAATCCGTAAAGAGACACTCAAGACAGAAGAAATGGAATCTTAGTAATAACAGCACCTCAGCATCTTCACCCTCCGCCGGCGCGATGCTCTCCAGCAAGCCAACATCACCCATGTGCTGTCGGTGCTCCGCCTACCTTTAGACCGAGACCTATTCACTCCGTTCAAGCACATGGTCGTCGAGGTCGATGATGTCGACGACGAGAATTTGCTAGAGCACCTCCCAGCCACCAACCGCTTCATCCAAGACGGTCTAGACAGTGGCGGCGGAGTCCTTGTCCACTGGTGAGTCTCGATACCCACGTGCATGATTCGTTCTGCTTCGTCACTGCCCTCTGCCGTTCTTGGCAACCTGTGTAACTTTGTACCAATGTGCTTTCCTCTAGTGCCATGGGCAAGTCGCGCTCGGCCACCTGTGTCGTGGCGTACTTGATGCACAAATACACCATCAGTGTCTCCGACGCCCTGGAACAGGTCCGCCAGGCTCGCCCCATCGTCGAGCCCAACGACGGTTTCATGAAGCAACTCGAGCTGTATGGCCAGATGCACACTCCCGATAACGTCGAGGAGACACCTGCCTACCAACGGTGGGTCTACCAGCGCGAGATCGAATTGAGCCGTGCATGCGGACAAGCCCCCGAAGCTGAGAAGATTCGCTTCGAAGACGAGCACGTCAGCAACAACGCTGCAAGTTTCGAGTTACGCTGCCGTAAATGCAGGCGAGTAGAAAATGCCCATCTCCTCCATCATCTCGGTCCAAATACTGACCGAAAGCCAGGCGGCCGCTCGCGACTTCTCAATTCCTTCTCCCGCACACCCCTACCACCATGTTCAACAACAAGTCCAACAAGCCACCCTCGGATTGCGCCCATTACTTCCTAGACCCCCTGTCATGGATGCGTCCCGAGCTGGAGCAAGGCAAACTGGATGGCCGGCTTGAATGTCCCAAATGTAACACTAACGTGGGCAAGTATGCGTGGCAAGGAATGCAGTGCAGCTGCAGTGAATGGATTGTCCCAGGCATCAGCCTGGCAAAGAGCCGCATCGATGAGAGCAAGAAGACGGTCATGACCGAAATCCGCCGGCCGCCAGGCATGAATAACTTGTAGGTGTGAATAGGCGGGATTCTTACGAGCCAGCTTCATCTCGCGACTTGGGAGTGACGCACGTCATATTTCGATACACGGGCTTGAAGTGCATGCATGATCCAAATCCGGGATATCGGACGAGAACACGAACACCCTCTTCGATATGTGGTCAACAGGATTCGCCCCTAATCCGGTCTAGCATCGACCTCAGCCTCGCACCGCAGCTTCGAATCTTGACCGGTCCATTCCCTATGCCTTACCTATCGCATACCTATAGTGATGCAGGCGAATTTTATGTTGTACCCATGCCGCTGGCGGGAATATCCCCGATAGGCTAGATACAAAGGTGTGTGGTGGGCGGTGCTCAGCCCCGGAGTAACTCGCTACTTCGCCCCAAGACAGGCCAGCACAACGTAAAGGCAACAGAAGTTGTATAATTAGTCGAAGATTTGAAACCCAATAGGGCTCATGACGTCTCTGCACGTTTGCGGAGCAACCTTGTGGATCTGTGGAAGGGAGGGCCGTCTCTTCCGCTTCATAGCCCTATCCTGGTATCTTCTTTTGCAAAATGGAAAACAAATAAAAATAACAACAAAATTTGGAGCAACTATCTCCAATAGAAGTCGCCGTGTAATTCGTGCATTGATACGGTATCCTCTTACCCTACCTGTGAATTTCGGATGAGCTGAGTACTACATGAACATACGCAAACATGCAATTCACTTGTTATACCGTGTCTCATTCCACGTAAATATTGAAGATCATTTGACCTCGAAGCCTTGAGAAAGAGAGAGAGAGAGAGAGAGAGAATAGTAAATAAATATACCAAACGCCATGGAACCTCCTTTGTGTGTAAATGTATTTACATGAGTAGATAACATCACAAAGCCATACCCCCTCCAAAATAGTGTCCTACCTACTATTGAGCTAGCTGTCCTCGAGCATAATAATGACCAGGTCCAATCGTACAAAAGAAAAACAGTGCGTTTCGCAGCTGAACATTGCTACGGTATCGTCGCCATCGCCTGACATACCGGACGAAGAACACAATGCCATCACATGCAAGCTAATGCGATGTATAAATGGAACATTGGTCATGGGGGAAAATATAAAGGGACTTTGCTCGTCTCCCTAGATCCCATCACTTTCACTTCGCCTTCCGTCTTGAATTTCAAAGAAGCGAAGGGATTCCGGGAACGAGTTCGACTCTTTTCCTGTCTTTACCGTACGAACTTTTCTTCCTGAAATAATACACCCACAAATCACAATCGTACATGTGCCCCGATACTGCCACCTTGGTACCAAACATGCTCTCTCCACCGTCCGATTCGGATGCCGACTTCCGCATACGCGCTGAGCGTCAACGTGCCACCGAGCGCCTTTCTGATGGCATCGTAGCCGATGCTGCCTAGACTCCAATCGACAGGGAGGCGGGGCGTCTCAGTCAAGCCAGGTGGAACGGCGATGGGGAGATCGTACAGGATCTTTCCGGACTGGTGGCCGTCGTGGTACGCGGTTGCGTTGAGACTGGTGATGTAGAGCGTTGTGGAGCTGAAAGGGGAAGCGAGGGTGAAGAGGGCGGTTGAGGAGATAATGTGCATAGTCGCGTCGCGGATGAAGTGTGTGCGTTTTCGGCCTGAGCCTTTGTCTGGGTCGTCATCGTCGTCACCATCGCCGGGGTTTTTGGGAGTGGAGAGGCTAGGTGCTGGGAGTGTGATAGGAAAGTTTGCAAGGACAGCACCCAGAGAGGGCTGTGAAGGGATGGTTTTGTTATGAGTTTGTAGGGTGAGCGAAGTGTTGTAGCCTGAGTCCGAGTTAGAATTCCTCCTACCAACCGGTCATATCGAAGCGAGTAACCCTCGGATTAGCGATCATACATACCGGAAATATATTGGGAGACAAGCTCTCTACCGATAGCCTTCCCCGCTCCACCACTATGAGTGGAAGGATCCCAAACCACAGTAACCAGGATATTGGTATTGTTACCTGGATGGACGTATACATCCTTTGCGATCGCTTGACCGAGGACAGTTTCGTTAACGAGAACATTTATATTGAAATAAGGTACCGTAGCTGAGTAGTTGGTTGGATTTGTAATATTTGCGTGAGCCTGAAGGGTGATTGAGGTTGGTGAAGTTTCGACAATTGAGAGGTTTCCAATTTTTGGAGCAAAAGTGCTCACGTCAGTGTTGCCTTTATGACTTCCAATAGCTGAACCATAGGTTAGCAAGAGCCTAGAGTATAGGTTCAACATGGTTCACGAACTGGGTCACGAACGTTTGACCGGGACAACGCCTTGGGCGGGTATATCCTTCACCGCAAGCTCGCCCAATGGGGTATTGACTTTGACGCCGACTTTTGCTTCGATATCCATCATTATAGGGCGGCTACCGAAAATCAAAGCCTGAACAACTTTGCTGAAGAGATCATCATCGACGATCTTTATGGGCGCGTTTTTAATGTCGGATTCCACCAAAAGTGTCGAGTCTTCATTGCCCTTCGCATCGATTCTGGTTGAATTGGCATGCTGCCATTTCTTCAAGTCGAGTTTACCAAGGATCTTCCCCTCGTAATAGATGTCTGCATCGGCATTGACTCGGTCGACATCAAGTGGGAAGTTCATCTCACGGGGCAAGCCGATGTTGACCTTTACTATGGCAGATATCTTGGGCGATGCATCCGGGCTATCTTCATCTGCAAAAGGATCTGGAAGGCTGAAATGAACGTTGGCCATTGTGAAGTTCTTGATGAGGTTGCCCATATCGCGCCCTGCAAATGGAACTTTGACAGTGATGTCCTTGAGTAAATCTCCTGCCCATTTCGGGGTACTTGGATCTGGAAATTTGCAACACTTGACGTAGATAGTAGCATCCTGGCCTTGCATGTAGTCACCGAGAAGAGCGTCCAGAGGGGATTTTGCAGAATCTGGGCAAACTTGCGTGAGAGAATCCGGGAGTTTCTCTACTCTTCCAGTCACATTCACTTCAAGATTGGTCTTCGGCTTGATCTCCAGTTTCTGAGATTCTGCAGTACCAATTGTAATGTGATCGGCTTGTGTGCAGCCATCGACCAGTACATCTACGGCAACAGGAGGAACATCAAATCGGAGTGGGAAATCGTTGGTCACCACAATGGAAGCATCTGCGCCCATTCCCTTATGTCCTTCCTGGGCTTCTCGGAGATTGAGCTTTGTGATATTGTACCGAGGGAGCGTAGGAAGGTCGTGTCCTGCAGTCGAGGCACTATTAGCATGATCGCATCAGCCGTACCACACCCCCAATGAAAGCTAACATACCTTTGAAAACTAGGGATTGCTCTATGGTTTGCTTTCCGAGATGAATCAACCCGGATTTCAGAGGAACATCAGCCTTCCCCTTGAGCCGGATTTGTCCCATTCGACCGTCTATCCAATCGTTGACAATATTGCGAATCGAGTCCAATGGCCCCGGTTGCAAATTAGCAAAAAATGCGATGTGAGTGGTATGGCCATTCCGAATGTTGACTTTGATGCCCGGAACCAGAGCCTTGCCAATCAGAGCATTGTCGTGTTCGGGCAGGTATACGTCCACCTCTGTTGGGCCCGTCTCGACCTCCCTTGCTATCCACGTCCCGAATCGACCCAGATTTCTGACACTCTGCTTATTGACCTTGGAAGCATCCATGGTGAAGTCTCCTTCAACCTGTACCTTGGCACCCTCGGTTGTCAATGAATCCAAGGCTAATTTTGTGGGTTTGAATTCAGCTGCCTGCATAGCATACTCTTCGATTCCCTCTGTAGCCAGAAAGCCCAGCATGATGAAGACGACAGCTATGCATAGCACGAGCAGTGCCAGTATGCTGGGCCATCGTTTCTTCCAGAATGGCGTATTGCCATCTTCTTTAGAGCCGCCAGTCAATGAACGCAACAGTGAGGTTGTCGCCGTCGCATGTTCTTGTTCGTCGTGCTCTTCGTCATGGCCGTTGAGATCGTCTCTGGATAGCAAGGGCGTTGCTTCGGTCGTTCTACTTGTTGTTTGTGAGCGGGCGGACCGGGAGGAGCGGGCTGATTTGTGGGAAGCCGGGCGCGAGCTTGGGGTGGCGGTCGAAGCCCATGGGCCTTCGGGTGAGTCCATAGTGGGTGGAGTGGGTCGCAGAGCAAGATGGACAGCTCATGCGCTATTGTCCGATCATACAACGAGATGGGGGTGTATGATCCAGAAAGAATATCACGTAGGTTCGTTGGATGGTGGTGGGAGGTATACGTGATGCAGGTACCTTGGTTGAGCGCGGGCGGCGTCATCAACTGGGCCTGACATGGATTGTGGCTGAGGTCGACTCGTCACGCTGCCATGGAGGTGACCATGTCCGCCAAGCCGCGCGCTAGACGAGGGTTGATCAGCTTCCCCGGATTTGGGCCAAAGTATGACAGCGAACTGCGAGATAAAAAAAAATTGGAGCAGCTTCGACATAGGGCGTATGACTCCTCACGCGTGTCAACAAAGAGCTAACAACCGATAAGAAGCTTCAATTGCATCAATTGACCTTGCCTCCTCGTCTATCCATCCGTCCCAACACATATACACCTCTGGTCCATCATGCCCGCTTTTCGTCCAGCCACCACAGCTCTGCGGAGCATCTCTAGAGCTCCAGCGCATGCTCGCTGCTACTCACTCGCGGTTTCTCCTGCCTCTCCACCCACCTCGCCTTTTGCACCTCGCCATTTTCTATCAATAGCTGATCTGACTCCTGCCGAACTCGTCACTCTCGTCCGCAATGCTCACAAGCACAAGACGGCCATCAAGTCGGGCACTGGCGAGATACCACATGGTCTTCGGCATGCCCTGGCAGGCAAAACCGTGGCCATGACCTTCAGCAAGCGTAGTACTCGCACCAGGGTCTCTACAGAGGGCGCAATAGCAGCTCTGGGTGGCTCACCTATGTTTTTGGGCAAGGACGATATCCAATTAGGTGTAAGTGTGCAGGCCATCATATTCATCATATCTCAAGAGGACTAGAACTGACTATCTGCTCACAAGGTGAACGAGTCACTCTACGACACCTCAGTAATCATCTCCAGCATGACCGCCGCCATCGTAGCTAGGGTTGGCCCGCACTCCGATGTAGCAGATCTCGCCAAACACTCGTCCGTTCCCGTCATCAACGCCCTGTCCGATCTCTACCATCCGCTTCAGACCATTGCAGACGTGCTCACCATTTCCGAAGTCAACCTCTCTAGCTCCTCGTCATCGCTGGGTCTGGAAGGTATGAAGATTGCCTGGGTTGGCGATGCAAACAATGTCCTCTACGATCTTGCTATCGCTGCAACGAAGCTTGGCATCGATATCTCCGTGGCAACCCCCAAAGGCTATGGAATCCCTGATGCTGTACGTGGAATGATCCAGCAAATTGCTAGCGAGACCCCGAACAGTGGGAAATTGTTCGAGACCAACACACCAGAGGAGGCCATCAAAAACACCGATATCATTGTAACAGACACATGGGTATCCATGGGCCAGGAAGAGGAGACGGCGAAGAGGATGAAAGCTTTCGAAGGCTTTCAAGTCACTTCGGAATTGGCAAAGCGGGGAGGTGCAAAGGAGAATTGGTCTTTCATGCATTGCTTGCCCCGCCACCCTGAGGAAGTTAGCGATGAGGTTTTCTATGGTCCACGATCCGTTGTGTTCCGTGAGGGAGAGAACAGATTGTGGTCTGCTATTGGTAAGTGTTTCATTCTGTCCACTTTCGACATGTGATTCTGACAAGATGCAGCTGCGTTGGAAGCATTCGTGGTGAACAAGGGCAAGATATCATGAACCTCATAATCAGGAACAACAAATACCATATATCAAGATGATCTAACCAAAAACCCTAAGATATTTCTGAGATTAATCAGCAAAACATGCTAGGGACAGCGGAATTGTACGGAATAGTTGGTAGCAGTCCAGGACAAGCGTATGCATTCATCAGTAAGCGTTAGTGGTAATGCAATCATGGACTGCCATGTGAGAGCAAAATCGCCATGGGTTCAAAGTAGTTTTCTTCTGACGATACCGTCGTAAACTCCTCCCTTGAGTTGCCAATTCATTGTTACATTGTTGTGCCGATCTGTGGAGCAGAAGTCGGAATTGCCCTGGGGAGCCGATATCCTCGTAGAGCCAGCGAATCCTATGCATATTGAGCTATGCAGGTCGAATTTCTACATCTCATGCATTCGGAAGACTCGCCCCGCACCATTTGTCATGTCAACTCCATAAACCATCGTAGCCATAGTATAATGTGCTGAGAGATAGGTCTATGACCATTTATATTTAGAAAAGCCCCTCTTTCGGTTAATTTCTTAGACTATATATGCAGGGCGTTTAACACACGTTCCCACCAGATGATTGGCGTCACTTGTAGTCTGCTCTCTCTCTTGAACATTCTATAAAATCTTGATCAATAAGCTGATTAATGAATATTTGTAAGGTGCTCGGGACCATAAAGCCCGCGAGGCCGACGCGCTCCACACTCGTAATTCCACAGCTTTCTCAACCAACCATGCACTATCTAAGGTCAGTTATTGGGAAGCAGTTCCTCGTGTACCTAAGGTGACCGCACACATATATAAATGTAGGTACCTAGGTAGTTACATCACTCCACCAAACACTCTACACGTCACAACATATCCCGATCCTCCCTACATTTTCTACAACCACACCCACATCCGACTTCCTTAGATTCAATCCACCATTCCATTAAACCTCTTCACATCCCCAAACCCTGCAACAACAGCAACGACTATAACAAAATGGCCCTGATAGCTCTAGCCTACACCGTACCCCTCAACCCACCGTCGGAGCCATCTCCGAAACTCACCCACGCACAGCTCCAAGCAGGCCTGCACCGCAAAGTACGCTTCCCCCAGGAGTTTGTGCCGCCCATCGCCTCATGCGACGTGCTTTCGGATGAGAACAATGTCGTGAAGCGCTACGTCACGTTCAAGCCCGGTGGTCATAAGACGGAGACGACGGAAATTGTTAGGACGTGGGGGGATGTTTGGGTATGTCTTCTCAACCTCTTTCTGGTTCTTTTTCCCCCTTCCAGCCTACAAACCCCATTCAATGTATTCCGTTTTCCGGTTGATTAGATGTGTGCAATCGCATACAGTAATAATCATTTTTCTGACGTCTGAGGGGTGACTTCGGGAGAGTATAGCACGACTTTGAGAATGATGATGGCACCGTCATCAGGAATATCGTCTCTGAGGGCAACGATGGCGAGATCTACCTGACTTTTACGTTTGAGTTTCGGTTTCCAAATCTAAAGGAAGGGACGCCCGAGTATGACGAGCAGAAGAAGAAGTTGGAGGTCATGGGACGCGGTGGCGTCAACGCGACGATTCAGACGATTAGGGATATGGTCAAGGATGGGCGCATCAAAGCATGATGAGGAGATGGGATTGATGTGTTCACGTTCAGTAGAACACCAGTGCCGTCTAATCGACAAGCAAACCAGTCGCGGTCATTGATTGAGGAGCCCCGCCACTTCCTACACCAAGCTCACAGCTTCGGGGTATATACATATTATAGAAAACCATCAACTCTAATCTGAGAAGAGTTTGCTGACCCCGCAAATCCTGTTTCTGCTTGCTTCCATGAACTCCTACCTGTCCCTTTCTCAACCCTTAACCAAGAAAACAGTGCTGATAAACAAGCTACAAGGTCTTCCTGGGTCGCCCTCTGCCGCGTTTTGCAGCACTGTTTCCCCGCGTGGGTACCATCTTGCCCCTAGGTCTACCCCGTCCTCGCGAAGGCGTAGCTCTAGCGGGAATCACGTCCTCGCCATCAGAGTCACTATCACTGAGTGCGATCGTTCTTTCAGTCCCTTTATTTACGCTGGTGAAGCCTGAGCTGGGCAGTATAGCAGGTGCTGGCGTAGTAGAACCATCTTTGGTGCGCTTGGACTGGGCGGAAACCACTTTGATCTTTTTTCCTGCCATTCCTGGTTTTGAGAAAAGAGAATTGTGTGTCTGAGGCGGCCCGGTAAAGGTTTTGGGTGGAGGTGGAGGTGATGGGGATTTTGGTTCTTCGGGGGAAAAGTTGCGCTCATATGCCAGGGGTTCATCTTCTGCGGCGAGCGTGTTAATGAATCCATTTAGGGACTCATTGTCGGACCCTTCAAAGTACTCGGCGATCCCCATTTTCGCACGCATGTTCTCCTCCGCTTCTTGTGCAGCAGCTGCAGCACGTGCCGCTTCTTCCTCTGCAGCCTTTCTTTGCGCTTCGAGTGCGGCAGCGGCAGACTGTGCAAGTAGCATCTCCTGTTCATCCTCCTCCTCGTGGACTCCATCCGCGTCGGTAATATCCCCGGTACTTTTCCGGGGACGATCGCCTCGACCGGGTGGGCGGATCTGAGCCTGTACTGGCATAGTTTGCCGACGTTCTTTGTTGCGTTCGCGGTTCTTCTCCCGATTCTTCTCGCGGTTAGGGTTGGCGTCTCCGTCTCTGAAGTTGGCGGGTAGTTCTGTGGGCAAGTCTTCCTCCCCTTCATTCTTGCGAGCTAGCCAGTTAGAAGCTCGGCCTCCAGAAGGACCAGTGTAATTAAAAGTTTCATCTTGACTCTCCTCGTCTGAATCAATGATGACCTCTTCGTAACGCCGGGACTTTTTGGCACTTTTGCCAGACTTTGTAGGACCAGCCCAGCCGTTTTCTGGGTTTCTCTTCCTAGTCGTATAATTTTCGTCGGGTTCAACCCTATACCTAAATCTTTGGGGTCCTTTCGCGGGTGCTGCTTTCGGTGCTGTAGGCTTGTTTGTAGGCAGAACATCAGATTGTAAGATTGAACCCTTCTCCTCTACCGGCTCTTCACTAGGAACACGCTGATGGGCGACAACCTCTGGCTCTGGAACAGGTCTGCGCTGGATCGCTTCAAGCAGGTCTGGGTCCAATGGCAGCCTCACGATTTTCGACTTTCCCTTCATTCTGGCAGCGACGAGAATGAAGCGATCTTCGCGCTTCGCGTCCTCAAGCAGTCTCCGCTGTATCTCTTTTTGATATTGTTGCCCAGACGTGCTCTTCGGTTGAATTGGCGCGGGGGTATCATTCTTCGTCTTTTTGGATTTCTGTTTTTTCTTCTTCCTTTTCCCATCCGCAGGGTCATCATCCTCTTCCAAATTCCGCTTGCTAAGTCGCGGGATTTCACTATCGTCATGGTGCATGGCATATGAAGGGTTCACGGTGCCATTACCAATGACGCTTGGATCATGGAAGGTATTTTCCTCTGTAGGTGAGTATGCAATGTTTTGCTGGGCAAAACGCTGATCTTCATCCATGTACCGAGCATCGAGGGACGGATCGGCCAGTTTTGCTCTTTCAGCTTCTTCACGCCGTTGTTGCATCGCGAATTCCTCTTCCCGCATGAAGTTGAGATTCGAAATACTGAAATCCACGAGGCACTCTACAGACCGCGGATCTGCGACCTTTTTCGTGTCGTGGCCCAACAATGTTCCTTTCGGTTCGTAAGGATGTTGGCGGGGATCACGGCGACAAGCACCTGTATTACACACTCTTCTACAATGAGGGCAGGTCCAGTTGTATGTCTCCATGATTTCAAGTGGCATTGTGTCGTGAGCCCGGAACAGAGTACCATAGCAATACGCCAGGTCACAGTTGCCGCACAACGCCATCTTCCATTTGGGGTGCCTATGCAGACAGAAGTGGCACGATTTGTTGTTCTTGAGCCACTGCTTACTTTTCTTCTTGGAAGGTTTCTTGATCATTCCGTACTCATCCACTTGGATCTCTTCTTCTTCCTCGTCTTCTTCGTCGCCCGAATTCTTCGGATTCTTAATATCAACGACCGGTCTGATCCTCAGCTGCTCCTGGCAAATGTGAGCAAGAGTCTTCCTACCGTAGTAACGCCGCTCTTCAGCAAGAGGAAGCGGTGTTTTGTCCGTCATCTGGCCATCGATGTCGATAATTTGGGCACGCCACTCTTCATACCGATGAACCAGATCCTTCCACTTAAACTGTTCGACCCAAGTGTACCCAGATTGACAGCCACAGCTACGACCCATGCAGTAGCAGTCCATACAAACATCGTACGGCTCTTCGATCTCCGAGCTGAACATATTTTTGCAGGATTTGCAAGTCAGGAATCGATTGAATATGTTGCAGCGGCAGTATGAGCAAGTAACATTGCTGTCGTACGGCATGAACTCGGGATGTTCGCGGGAATCAGGCGCAAACATTTCTGAGAGGAGGATTGTTTTGTATAGATCGAACAAGCGCTTGAAATCCCGTTGAATGTGGCGAACTTTTGCGGAAGTTTGTATGGCCTCTGCTTCCTCGTCGCCCATTTCGACCTGAGCCCGCGCGGACTTGATTAGTTGGGAGTACTTGGAGAGAGTATAGTATACGATCCCCTTGTTCTTATACTGTTCATCGCGACAAACCACGCGCGAGTTGGGCAATGCCTCCTGGAGAGCGTGCTCAAGCGTTTCGACAGTAGTCCGATTCCAAGCAATCTTCATGGTCCGCGTACCTCGATTCCATACTTGGTGTGGGGCCAATTGGGGTATGAGAATAAAGTCTCCAGGCCGCTGATCCACTACGTAGGTTTTGAAAGGCGCCTTTTTCCACGCAATCAATTGGGCAAAGTGATTTTCGACCTCAATATCATGTCCTAGAACCGATAACCAATACTCCGACACCAGGTGCCGATCTTTGGTCTCCGTCATAAACCATAAAGAGGAGCCAGGTCTTTCAGGTTTTCCATCCTGTCCTACTGGGCCAGATGCGTTGACCATGATGTTTTGACCCAGCGAGGCACACATTTCTCGATGTGCCGGAGTGTATGTTCCTTCGTGGCCAATGTAGCACATCAAATTCTCAGCACGCATCTCCGAAGGTAGTGAACTCATGAGGTCGCCGGCACGTCCGATACCCCGACCCTTGCGGTGGCCTGGCTCGTCCCGAGCACCAGGCCCGCCAATCTCGCCAGTGCTCTCGTTGAGGTAGAATAGCGACTGCGGGATGCATTCCTTGAGCTTGTCTCGCCAGACTGGTGGGCAGTCAATGTCTTTGAGGTATATTCGTTGCCTCTCCTTCTCGCGATAGCGTTCGGGGTCGCCAAAGAACTGCTCGGTGAGCTTGCTCATATGCTTCACGTAGTGCTGGATAGTGAGGGGTATGTTCTCTTTGGTGGTAAGATTGCGGGCATTCTCAACTAGAAGTAGGTTAGCTATGCGCTTTATTAGAACTTCCTGGAGCTCCTACCCTTGTCACCATGGTTATCGCGAAGCCATGACGGTGTGAAGGTCCACGGGTCAAGGACTTCTTCAAATCCGTCGATAACCAGGGGCTTGCCACCTATAATTACATGTAAGAGTACCAGCTTTTCAAACTGCTCTACACCATGGGTCGCGATCGTTTCATATGAAATTCGATCGGCATAGCGGAAGTTGTCCGCTGTCTCGACAAATGTGCGCACATCGAAATCTGGTGGTATGGGCTCAAACGAGGCCCGCGGGCGAGCTGAAGGCATCTTGGTAACTGCTTAATTCCATATAGCCATGTACAGGCGACGGGGGTGGCGGTCTGGCGCAAGCGCGGATCTGGTGTCGACCGTTGACGCTGACTGACTGACGCGCAAAAGGTATTGTTGTAGAGTGGGAACTTTCTGCTAGCGACAAATGATGCGATGGCGCAGGAATCGCCTCACCCGCTTCAGCGAGAGGGAAGCCTACGGTGGCTGGGAAGCTCGATACGCGGTGTGTTGAGTGCAACTGCGGGTTACTATTGCCGTGAGCTCGAATGGAGGAGGAGCTACCGCGATACACGTGATTACGCATTTAGCGTGCCGTCCCGCCAAGCCAGCTGCTTCCGCTTGGACCTTCACATCCAGTGAGGACTTTCTCACTTACTATCTCGAAGCAAACCACAGTTCGCACATTAGTGCAATTCCTTCTTTCTCTTTTTAGCTAGCTTGGTTGTCAATGGTACCATTCTGAGGCTTCCTGGCTCTATAGGTGGTAGCCAATGAATTGTTGATCAAAGACGAACTCAGCAGCCAATCCATCCGCCAGCTCGGCCTCTCATAGTGCTCAGGTACCGTGATTATGGCATCTCAAAAGCTAATGCATTTTCGATTTCGATGCCTCAATTCTCCGGCGGCGCAATTGATTTACAGAAATCGCTTTCAACACACTGGACTTGAGAATATATCTTGGAAACGAAATAGTGTGTCTGTGACATCCCCCGGATCGAGGTCAATCATCAAAGGCGCATCGTCGGGTATCTTGCAACAGAAAGCAAATTCCAATCTAAAATGGTCGTCTACACCAGTAGTCCGCGTAGCATCTTACAGTCTCACTACGCTTCCAGCTGCCCTTCCAGAATACAGTCCGCCGACAACTGGCCTCTTATCGTACCTCCCAAAGCCTGTAATTCCTTATGCGGAACTCATCAGACTAGATAAACCTACTGGAACATACTATCTATTTTTCCCATGTCTCTTCAGTACCCTTCTCGCCGCTACAATGGCGACGCCCATGGCTGCACCATCCGCAGTGTTAGGGACGACAGCTCTCTTCTTCACTGGAGCACTAGTCATGCGCGGAGCCGGCTGTACTATCAATGATCTCTGGGATCGCAATTTAGATCCGCATGTGGCACGCACTCGGTTACGGCCCATTGCGCGAAAAGCTGTCAGCCCCCAAGCTGCCATCGTTTTCACTGGTGGTCAACTTTTGACCGGATTGGGCGTCCTGCTATCTCTTCCCTTCGAATGCTTCTGGTACGCCACGCCGTCTCTCTTACTCGTTGCTACATATCCCCTAGCTAAACGAGTCACCAACTACCCTCAATTCGTTCTTGGCCTCACGTTCTCATGGGGAGCGATGATGGGCTTCCCAGCTCTGGGTGTTGACCTCCTCGCAAATCAAGCTGCACTGGCAGCAGCCGCATTTCTCTACTCGAGCAACGTCGCCTGGACCATCCTGTACGACATGATATATGCTCATATGGATATCAAGGATGACGCAAAGGCTGGCATCAAGAGCATCGCTTTGAAACACGACAAGGAAACCAAAGCTGTGTTGAGCGGCTTAGCTGTCGCACAGGTGGGACTTCTCGCAGCTACTGGTGTAGCCGCAGGTTTGGGGCCTGTATTCTTTGTCGGGTCGTGTGGAGGTGCGGCACTGACATTGGCCACCATGATATGGAGAGTCAAACTGAAAGAGGTCAAGAATTGTTGGTGGTGGTTCAAAAATGGAGCTTGGTACACTGGAGGTGTGATCGGGCTTGGTCTTGCAGGCGAGTACATAACTCATCTGCTAGGCTGGTACGGAGACGAAGAAGGAAAGGAATCATAGTGGCTATTCAGCAAACCTGAATAATGTATTGATAGTGAAAGACACCGAAAGTAGTTTAGGGGTGTATGGTGGTGGATGAGGATAATTGGGTTAGCTTTACACCACCCTCACATATTTGTGGCTTGTAACAGTACTAGGGCATTACATCAAATAGTATATGGATTCGGTGCGGATATGGTCCTGCAGTTATGATATGCTTTCATGTCTATGAATTCAGGTTATCAAAGGAGCAAAATACAAAGTACCTAGAATTCAAAAGTCAAATTTTCAGCGAAACCGGGGCCTTCTAACATCCGCGCCCAAGTGCCCTCAATAAGACTTGAAGACCCAATGGGACCTATGCTATTACTGTCGTCCATTCTCTCAGTATGTCGTCAACCTCTTCATCAGCCTCGAGCTCGGAGGAGATACGCTCTTGCAGTTTCCCTTGAGCAACTTCCCGACCCTCCGATCCGCCTCGTAGCTCGTCAATCGTTCCTCTCGATCCCCCTGTATCTATCTCGCTCATGCCAAATAATAGAGGCTCATCATCGTCACTGTATCTGCTCTCATGCTCATCATCCCGTGTCTGTCCATCAGACAGGGAAGGCCGAGAAGCCAATGACGGCAGTGCTGTGTCCGATCTTCTTTTTCGAGGGATAGGATGTTTTTCAGCGCTGTCTCTTGTGCTGCTAGGTCCAGAAGATAATAAACCCCAACGAGATGATTGTACAAGAGGCGGTACCTTGACGTTGAGCATATCTTCTCTGCTTTTTTGTTGCAATCTGTTAGCTTCGGGCTTCTCGCGTCGAAGTTCTCTTTCTCTTTCTTTCTCAGATCGATGGCTCTCATCCCTAGGTACAGTAGGAATAGAAGAGTCACCAACATAGCTAGCACCCAGTCTACGAGTAAGAGACTCGGAATCGTCTGTGTCGTTACTACGTGGCGTCTTCGATCGTCCTTTGTCAGATAAGTGCCTCTCAGTTCGAAGTGTACCAGCTATACGCTGTAGACTTGGATCGTCTGACAAAGGTGCAGTGTCTTCATATGCCACAGGTGAGAAGAAGGCGTTGTCTTCAGAGGGGCCTGGATCGGTGTAAGGGTCAGGTTGGTGGTTTGAGGAGACGGCGGGGGGCGAGGATTCTCCCTGGAAGCTCAATCCGGAGAAACCAATGGCAGCCTGGGATGCGCCAATGTCAACGGGAGAGGAGTCTCCATCGTCTTCTGGTGTATGCCGTTGGTGGGGTTGTGTTTGTATCTCAGATCGACGGCTCTCGCTTGAACCTTCAAATCGTCTTTCATATTGTTCTCCTCCTAGAACGACATCTTGTTCCCTCTCTTCTTCAGCTTTGCGGCTTTCAGATTGGACTCGCATGCCTGTTCTATCTGTTTCGATGTTATTAGCAATGAACTGAGGAAACAGCCACGATCTATATGCCTTACCTTCCGATTCGTGGATGTGCGTATTGCCTTGCGGCGAGGGCGAGAGTGCTTGTGAATCATGGCTATATGCAGAGCAACTTTGATTGGGTGACCGAGCAATCTCACTATTGTCGAAAACAATTTCTTCGAACTTGTGGAACACGAAAGATTGCTGTACCCGGTAGCCAGGGCACTGAATGCCACGTCGCACACAAGTACTGCATGCGGGGACCGCGCTATCGCAGTGGACTCTTCGTTTTCGGCACTCTGTACAAGCCAGAATCGAGCGTCTAGACATACCGGATGTTGACCGAGCTGACCTAGTTGATCTACGTGATAATGTATCATCTGTCGACATGTCAGATGGAGAAGAACTTTCGATCTTTTCGGGTACGATATTATCAGATGCTTGGCCAGAGGGAGATGATGTGTTTGGCGATTCTGAAGGCACTGCGCCATTTACGCCCTGGTTATGACCAGCGTGTAGTGACGGTCGTATTGTGTTGTAGTCGGTCGTTCCAATATGGGCGGCGCCCGAGATCGAACTGCCCGTTCCTCTAGGATTTCCGAGTAGAACACTATCGAGATGGCTTCTTGCTTGGAAATACGATTCAATCGTCTCTTGGTGGCATTTTGAATTGTCTAGACCGTTGTCATGATTCGAGAGAACTTTCTGCAGGTTCTCAATATTCTCCAGAAGTCCACGTATATGTTGTACGCAGGTCTCCAAGGTTTTGGCAGTGATAGTAGGGCTGACTGATGCGGCGGCGAATGTTACCCCACTAAGTGTGTTCATATTCTGATCAGTTTCATCGTGGTCGTCGAGAAGAGTACTTTCTTCGCTGGTACTGTATTTTCGCACAGACTCCTCATATCTCTTTGTTGAATTCTTCTTGTTCAGAAGTAGAGTTTTGATTTCTTGCCTTTGGGCCGCCTCGGCTTCACGGTCGAGCTTTTTTGCGGCGATTTGATGGGCGTGGGTCAAAACTTGCATCAACAACTGGAGAGTGCTTTTGAGTTTATCGATGTGGCTTCTCAGAAGCTCGATCTTGGGCTCTCGGAAAGGGAATTTTAGTCGCCCGAACGCGTTCTTTTTATGTTTGGCAAGGGCCGCATCGAGCTCGAGAAAGACAGTCGAGCATTCTCGAACTGTCTCATCTGCCGTATTTAGTGCATTTTTAGAGAGCAAGGAAGACGTATCGTTTTGCTTGAAAAGCGTCCCGAGCTCATCAACGATAAGAGAGGTAAGCTGCACCTCTTTGGCGATATCTTTGATCCGCCTATCTGCGGAATTCACACTCTCAGCGTATTGGTACAAGGTCTGCGAAAGTTTGAGCCCCGCGCCGGCTACTTGGAGCACTGAGGCGATGAGCCCGATTGTCTCGGCCATGGATATATATGGAGAAAAGGAGCTGCAGTCATTTACACACTCTTCTCTGAGAAAACACTAATGCGCCTCGTTTCAGCTGATTCGAGGAGGGGCTGGAGCCTAGAGCCTTGTGCTTCCAGCCCGAAATCGTCTGTCGTACCAATTGACTTGTTTGTGCGGTGTTTTCCCTCACCTGCCTAGTACTTGCATCGGGCCAGAAGACTTTCTGAGTCGACACTGTATACGAACAGAGGATCACAGAAAATAAGTATTTTGATCATCTAGCTGTACTAAGAGTCGGCAAGTGTAGTATCGTTCATCCCTCAACAGCTTAGTGTGGCCTACAAGAACCTAGCGCATCCTAGAATCGGCATCGGCTACCGGTAGGTCCCCAACCTCCACCAACGTCATCCCTTTACCCTGCTTCCTGCGGGACCTTTGTAGTAAATGATCAACGTGTCGTTTCTTTTTGATTGGATAGATTAGATCAAAATGATGACGCCACAAGCTGCAGCCACCAAAAGGATGCTCTATGCCCAAACCGTTGCTTCAGGCGGGACACCTTGAAGCATTACATCATACGCGCCAGACCTGTTTATGGGTAACCTCCGCTCTAGTCGTACCCTCGAACACTACCATTGAACTTCCGTTTCTCGAAATTCATATTTGATTTTCTTGTTTCCTTTTTCGATACATAATATGGAAGACACGCAACAAGTGCGGCAAGGCCGAAAATTGGTGAAAAGAAGACCAGTGTCCAAATCCCCCAGCCGAGAACGCAGCCAGTCTGGAAATCGGTATTCACAGCAAGATACCCCAGCTACGACAGTCCCAGCTGTACCGCCCATTGATCCGTCAGTGACAAACATGCCTTCCAACGATACGACCTCGGCCGATAAGGACAAGGACAAGAAGTCAAAATGGCGTCTATCGAATCCTTTCCATGCCAAAGACAAGCGTCGAAAAGACTCCGTGTCGGCAGGGGACTCGGCATACTTCAGCAGTGAGAACGTAGAAAGCTCCACCAGTGGAAACCCAAGCGGAAACCCCAGCTATACAAGCTCAGAAAGACGCAGTTCGAATGTAGATCAATTACGCCAGCAGAACAACCAACCTCTACAAGATACCGTCCCGCAGAACACCTTCACAGCACCCGCTACCAATGTGACTCCTCCAACCCCACCCGCTCAGCTTACGCAACTTTCTCCACCCGCGAACAGTGTTCCTCAACCGCAGACTCCACGAAACCCAAGTCAAGAAAATGTGCAACGGGAAACGCACCAAGACTCGAGTACGGGGAACATTGTCACCACAACAACGACGACTACTACCACCACAACAACTACAACTGGTCCGGGTGGGTCCACGACAGTTGAACAACCAAACCCTTCTACTGCCAATACCTCTCCACAGCCGAGTGTTACAGCAACATCTGGTCCAGATCCTCCCCCGCCTGCTCCCGTGCAGTCTGCTCCAAATCCCAACCCATCCAACCAACACTCAAACGCGAACAACCCTCCTTCGCCTCCCGTGCCAGCCAGGAACAACATCCGCAATAGAGTGGAACTGAGTGCAGTATCCCCAGGCATAGAACCACCAAACCCGATGGCGACAGCGGTGAGCCCAACAAGCCCAGGGCGACCAAACTTCTCTTATCCTGCACGAGCGCCGCCCACTGGCATGCCTCGTCAGATACCTGGGCAGCCGATCCAGTCAAATGTTCCTCAACCTCCCCAGCAGCAACCTGGAGCCCATTTGCAACAATACCAAGCCCATCATCAAGTCGGATATGGCGACCCAAACTACCCATCTCCCATTTCCCCAGCACAGCAATCGCAGACCCCGACCCTGCAACAGAAAGGCTCTACCTTGGCGAACTTGAAGACTGCATACGCGGGCATCCACGTACGTAAATGACCACATCTCAGCACCACTGAATTATCCAATGACTGACAATCTACAGGGCGCTGGAGAAGCACTTCGCGGCACCTTGAACAGCACAGTCGACAAGCGTTTCGCGCCTGCAAATCACCCCGTCCACGCAAAGAACCAAGCCGCCATCGACGCAGGATACTCGGAAGTCGAGACGGGGCAACTATCGCACCATCAGCGTCAGCCAGGGCAGCAGTCAGTGGCAGGACCGAGTACGACACGTCCGTCGATGCCTGGAGCGTCCAAAACACCTGGTGCACCGGTCGAGGGCAAGAGCGGGAATAAGATGAGTGGGTTGTTGAAGAACCTGAAGGAAGGGCCGATGGCTTCTAATAAGGGCGCGAAATAAAGGAGTTTGAAAAGTTGTTGTCTTCTTGCACGACTCGCATGGCGTTTTTTTCCAGGATGGATAGCTCTTTATGTTATGAATTTGAGCAATGAAAGCGCTGTTTTTCTTAGACTTTGACGGTGTTCTTCGCGTGCCAGGTTGAATGTGATATGGTGCGTTGCTATCCCAACATATCCCCTTCATGTTTGGTATTGAGTCCTGGGTAAGACTCCGTTCTGCATCGGCTGAGCATTGTGAAGGAACTCGTTGTGGTGACTTCGTCAGTACGCGGTCGTGCGATTTGACTGTGCTATACAGCCATACTCCAATCCTATCCACACTGGCATATTTGTCAAATCGTCTTCCTGGGCGATGTCGCTATCATCATTGCCCACTTTAGCTATGCCCATTCTTCACCACTCAGTTCCACTTGTTCGTTGTTAGGGGGGAGGGTATTGCAGTCGCTCCTTCCCAATGTCCGCGCTTTCCCAGCATTTAGCGGTCCCTTTTGTGAGGAAGCGTATTTTCCAAAAATTCGCAGCTGCTGCAGTCGTCAAGGGCTTTTCGAAGTCGATCAATATAGCCCACACAGGTACGCAAGATAGGGTCCGGCGGCCGAATCCTTACTCCATCAAACTTCATAGCTCGCTGCGCGAATACCGCACCCCAAAAAAAAAACACCCCTCTCCCCTGCGTCACTGCTTGATCTTACTCTGAAGAAGAATCAAATCCCTCACAGCCCCCACAATCACTCCAATCCCTTCAAACCCTCAACTAAGCCCTCAAAACCCCTCAATCGCCCCTCCTTCTTCTTCGCCTCATCCTCCTCCCCACCAACACCACCACGCCCATCTTTAACCACAACGTTCCGTCCCTCCCGTTCCAACCACGCCCTCGCATCCTCAAACGCACCCAAATCGCTGACATCGCTGAACCCCATCTCCATGAGCGTCATCCGCGCAATCCCACTGCGTCGTCCAGACCGACAGTACAGCAAGATGCGGTCGTCCTTGCCCACGGCGATGTTATAGACGCGCTGGTAGATTGTGGGGAGGGAGGCGATTTGCGTGTATTCGATGTTTGGGGTTGGGATGGGTGGGGTGGATGGGAAGGTGAGGTGGCCGGTGGTGTATTCGGGGGCGCTGCGGACGTCTATTAGGTGGGTTTGCGGCATGGTTGGAGATCTGTGTGTGTGTATAAGTGAGAAGATGGGAGAGGTTGGAAGACTGGATGGTGCGTTCGTTTAGAGATATTTTTGCCGGTGCTGGGGTGGGTTGGATTATGTATGCTGTGGAGGTAATGTCGTTCGTTGCGCGTGCGTAGTGGGGGTGTGTGTTTACATGCACATGTGGTTTGGGTGAGGGGCTGGTCGTACTTTGATTGTGTGGATCTAACGGAGGGGCAGCGCTAAAATGTTGGAAAGACGGGTGGTATTACGTATCCCTTGCTCAATCAACATTTCATACTCCGCGAGCCAGAGTGATATGTACAACTGATTGAATTCATGTTTTATTCGCAGTGCTTTCACATTCAACAGGACCCGTGACTATTAATCGATAACATATAGAAAATGGACATCGTTCGAGGGGAAACACGATATTACAGGTCGATATAGATATATATACATAGCATACACTTCCAAATATGGTCAAAGTATAGAAGAGAATAGGAGAAAAGGTATACGCATCATCATGTCGACCGTAACCCCGACTACCTAGCAAGACATAACAAGAACAAGAAAAGCATGCGGGCGTGGTATTTCCTCTTTGCTATCCATCCACATTCCTCCCTTCAACAAAGCAGACCTTTCCCATGATGTTGCCCAGACCCAAACATTTAATGCGAAGAGACATGAAAAACGCCATTCCTGCATACAGATAGACAGAGAGAAGAGTCGTTATCTTTACCATCCCCGCCGATATTACCGACCAAACCAAACCAAAAGGTGAAAATGAAAGAGACTCTATCGTGTGGATATGTCCTACATAAAACCCAGGCTCTATTGAACCCAGAAAGAAAGAAAGAAAGAAAGAAGCAGAAGAAAAGACAAGAAAAGAACCCTTCATCCATTTGTCGTCAGTTCATAACTGCTGATTTTCCTCGTTTTGAAAGATGATATGCAAGATTCATCAAGGGTGGCCATTGACGCTCCTTTTGTAAACCCACGCCCTGAAACTAAGAAAAGCAAAAGAAGCAGCCGAGGCTACAAGGCCCCACGAAAAAAAATAAGTATGGGACCCAGCCTGCAGAATGGGAAGGAACACGGCATGAAAACAGCGGAGCAGAGCAGTTGTCCGCTGTCAGAAAATGGCATGCCTTCGGTTTCACAGCTCCTCGAAATGCTTGAAGCCAGGATACTTTTGAATATGCCTCCAGAACGTATGCCGCTTTCCAGAATGTTTTGATGTGAAAATGAAATGGTATACAGTACATGCGACTCCGTATGTATGCGAACGTTTTGTGTGCGTTAGGAAAGCTGGCGTTTACAAGCATGGGATGTAGTCGTACAAATGCAGCATAATAAAAAGGCGTGGTATATGCTCAGATTGGTTCAGAGGGGGTTTCGGTGCCTGGGGCCGGAACTTTTTTAACGGTGCCATTGCTGCCGCTTCGGCCTGGGCGCCTGCGGCTGCTGGCTTCGTCTCGAATGCCCGATCTTGCAATTTCGGCTACTGAGACGGATGAACTTCGATTTGCTCTTTTCCCGAGATTCAGCACAAGTTCATCTTCCGATGAGTCATCATCATCACTCTCGACGGCGTGATCGCCATCGTACCCAGCTGGGTCTTCGGAAGGGGCATCGAACTGATTGACAAAGGACTCGGCAGATGCTGCAGGTGTCATGATGGGAAAAGTATCTGGATGCCTGCATTCTTCTGCGGCTATGGAGGAGCCTGCGGACGGAATCGAAGGAATGGACGGATTTGAAGTCGATTGTGAAATGGAGGCAAACTGATCTTCCGAAGAGGACGATGTGAAGGTCCTTGGGCTTGTATTTGATTGGGGTCGGCGTTGTTCATCCAAAGACTCGTCCGCATTCTGTTGTTGCTGTTGTTGCTGAAAGAACAACTCGTCGTCGGGACTGGGCGGGCACACCGTCCGACTCAACGCGGAGGAAGGACGATGCTGAATGACTGAAGGTGGCTTTTCACGGCTGGAGCTGTCTTCCACGACCTTGCGGCGGACGAATTCATCCTTGGCTTTGCTGAATCTCTCTTCCAGAAAGTCCCGTGCACCCGGCGAATGCGACAATGACGATATGTCGAGGGACGCAGCGATATCTGAATCACTATTTTGTGTAGCCCAGGTCCGGTAAAGGCGAGACGAAAGAGACGAAACTGAAGATTGGCGAGATGCCCCTCTCTCAGCGGAGTTTGGTATCCGGATGTCTGAAGGGCTTGGTGAGGGTCCTCGGGCAAACGTAGGTGACATGTCCTTCAAGAGATCAGGCTGATCCACCTGTCCAGAGGCGTTGGCGGTGCTTATAGCTAGACTTGGCCAGGTGTGTGCATCTTCTGGGGGACCGGATACTCTATCTATCGACTTTGCCCTTGTATGTTGGCTTCCGGGTGACTGCAAAAACTTCGCGTCAGATCTGGCTTCGTGTACAACACGCTTCGGCATCCCACCGAAGATTCCTCCTAGGGTCGATCCACTCGGAGTATCGATGGTTGTTGGCGTTCCCGGAAGAGCCGGGGGTAAAGCTGGCGATGCAGGGCATGTTCTGCTGGATAGATCTGACTGACGCACAGTGCGTATTGATGCTGACGTAGATAAGGCCGAGAATGCCCGGTCTGGCAAATGCGGTCTGGTGGCCGGAGCTGATGGGGCAGTTTTATCTTTCTTCTCTGCGCTCTGCGCTGGGGAGGAAGTACGAGAGTTCCTGCCATCAAAATACCGTGGCTTTTCGGTCGCTTCGGGACTCGCTGTAACACTCTGAGAGAGTGGGTGTTCAGGCTCACGAGATCGACTGAGCGCTTCAAAGATTGGCATACCGGGGCCCAAGCTGGGGCGGCGGCCTTCGTAATAGCCGGAGCTGCTCGAGTGGATTGCAGTTGCAGAGAGTGCGTCGTTGCTACTGGCAGTGCTGGGTGCTCGCTTCCTCGAGCCCTGGCGTGTGAGACTGCGCGTGATCTCGGTGACCTTGCGAATCCCAAGTTTGACGCGATCCAGGATCGTAATGGGGACAACAGCCTGATCGATATCGTCCTTTGAAATCTTGATTTTGCCACCTTGTGAGGTTTTGTCGGGGTCAGTGTCCTCCACCCAAGAATGGAAGTTCTCGATATCACGGGTGAGCCATGGGTGACGCTTGATCTCTTGTATCGTGATGCGTTTTCGTGGGTCCTTGATGAATAGTTTTTCGAATAGATTTAAAAGATCGTCGTCTAACTCTTCATAATCCAGGTCGTGCGGTGCCCGCCTACTGGTAGTGAGGGTATTGAACATGCGACCGTGGGAGTTGGGGCGGGAGCTCGTATCATCTGCTACGGGTTTCAATCGAAATCTGGAGACGTAGGGTTCCTCGTCCGCGATGCGCTTCATCAGAAGCCATTGATTTTTATCGTGAAAGGGTACTCGTCCATAGATCAAGCAGTACAACGTGACTCCAAGGGCCCAAATATCAATCTTGTGGTCTATTTGTGGGGTCTCGGCCTCGAGGTCGGTGTTGCAAAGCTCTGGCGCGTAGAAGGCAGGCGTGCCTACTGTTTTGGCCAGCTCGACCGCATCATCGGCATCATGCGCATCCGACTCGGATTGTTCCCCATTTCCTTCGTCGACGGGCCTGCGCCCGAGGTACGAGACACCAAAGTCGGAGATCTTGATTCGGCCGTCCATGGTCTGTAGAAGATTGGCAGGTTTTATATCCCGATGGATAACATTCTGGTAGTGGAGATATTCCAGGCCGAGAACAGTATCACGCAGGACCTCACGTGCCTGCTGTATCGTCATCACAGGTACATAGCGAAAGTGCTCAGGTACTTCATCCTCTCCATCGGTGAAGTGGGAAGAGGTACTTCCGGCAACGCTGGGGGTGCGGCCACGAATAGCTTCTGTATCGTAAGCACCATACATGGTGCCTTCAAGTCCAGTAGCGAAGTCGTGATTCGATAGCCGAGGTGTACTCGAACGAAAGGCCGTCTCCATGTTTGCGCTTTCCTCGGCACTGGCTGGTTCGTGGTAGATGCCTTGAAGCCGGCTTGAAGGCCGATCCTCGCCACGAGTAGAGGCTCGCGAACTACCGTCGGTTTCAGAAAATTCGTCTTCTGAATCTCCACCCAATTCAAGACTCCAGGCTTCGTGTCCGGCGCTCTCATCTCTCCGCTGTTTTCGCTCGCGAGCCTGACGACGCCTCTGGCGTTCGAGCTTCTGGTGGGCAAGCCGAATTATTTTTTCGTCCTCCATGATGGCGCTCTCATTATCGAAAACGCCTTGCTGTTCTCGCTGATATCGCCGGAATTCTACCTGGCAGATTTCCTTGGCACCGTCTGCCCTCCATTTGACTTCGCCTCGCGACACGTGCTCGAGCACAATGTAAACCTTTTTGATGCTCGGGTCATCGATCACTTCGAGTAAACTGACTATGTTTGGATGGCGGGCTTTCTTCAGAATGGCGATTTCCTTCTTGATCTTGTCCTCGTGACTGGTATTCTTGCCGAGACGACGACGTTTCGAATAACGATCGACAATCTTGATGGCAACATAGACCTCAGTTTCCAGATTACGACCCAGCTTGACCTTGCCGTGGACACCTCGGCCCAGTTCATCGAAAATCTCGTAGTGGTTGACGATTTTGCGGCCGGACACAGGGTCCACATCGACATCAGCGATGTGCGTTTCCTTGGGGGCTTGCCTGTGACTGGGGTGCAACCATGGAGTCGAGTACAGATTGTCATCAGATTGAGGGGAGGGGCGCAGGATGGGGCTGTTGGCAGAGAAAAGTCCGGGGCTGCTGGCGGGAGAATTGCCGACAGTGCGAGAGCCGGAATCCATGATGTCGCGGCGATACTCGGCCCCAAAGGTGGATATATGGGACACCGAGTAGCCAGAATGATGATGGGAAGGGTGAGAGCTGTTTGCGCGGTGGATAGAGGGAGGATAGTAGTGCTGGGAGTGCAAGGCTGCATAGGACTGGTTTGGATAGTGAGGGCCATCGCGGCGTTTGGAAGGCGGAGTCGAGGCTTGCAGTGAGTCGACCGAGTTGGCACGTACGGTAGCGACGCTAGCGGTAGAGGTGCTGGAGTAGTCGCGGGCAGGTGAGGGTCTGGTCAGATGTGACGCACCCAACCCATGAATGGTATCTATGGGCGCAGGGGAGGAGTGAGCGGTGGAGATGGGTTTGAGGACGCGCATAGGCTGGGGAGAAAAGTAGTTGGTTTCATCTGTATCCCGGTTGAGGTGGTGGATATGCTCGTTTATGGCTTCAGGATGGGAAGGCAGTTCTGATCGTGGGGTGATGTCGGTCTCGGGCAGAAGGTGCTCGTGGCTGTTTGCTGTGGGGGTAGATTCGCCATTTGCGTGGAGATGGGGATCGGTTCGATGCGTTGCGGTGTCGTGAAAATGGTGTGTCTGGATAGGCAGGGCGGCGGCAGTGGGCTCGGCAGGGTCAATGGGAGGAGTGGCAGAGGATGCAGAAGGGACCTGCGCCTGCGTCTGGGTCGGTGACGGTTCCACGGTTGAGGAGGTATCTGCAATCCCGGCCTTCAAGGCCGAAGTCGGATCGTCGTCGCGCATAGCGAATGCGAGCTCAGCATCTTGAAAGTTTGCGTTCATGACGATTTACGGGGGGCGCAATCGCATTGCACAGCGACGTCGCTCGCTCGTCAGCCGGATCGAGTATTCATATCAAGCGGTAGAGGCGATGCGGATGTTTTGATGGGAGGCTCGAAGGGTATGTGCGGTGTGTGCGTGGTGTGATGTGGTGGGCGCGGACAGTGAGGGGCGATGACGAGGGTCACTGCACGAGGAGAGACGAAGGCGACAGACAAGAAGGAGGGCGAGGCAGCGGTATGGAGGCGAAGAAGAAGGTAGGAAGAAGGTGCGGGAGATGGACAGCAAAGGAAAAAAGGACAAGAAAGGTGGTGCAAGCAGCAGCAGAAGCGGAAGCAGATAAGAAGGCGGGTGGAGGTAGGCGGGCTGAATGGAAAAGAGCAAGCACAAAGTGAGCGGGCGCGCGATTGTTGGACTCGAGCCAAGACCGACGATGTGCGGCGGACGCAGCGGAGATGGACAATTAGCTAGGCGGGATCTATGGATGGCAAGTAACTAGCCGGGTACGGCACGGACAAAGCAACGACAGCAGACAAGTGGGGACAGGCGGTAGAGCAACAGACAGACAGATGAAAGGCGAATGGAAATCAATGGGCAGAACAAGCAGCAGCAGGGTCGCCAGCCGGTCAAGCCAGCCAGCTGCGGATGGAGAAGGAGGGAGATGTGGGAAGCAGAGAGGGAGGGGGGCGAGGGGGGTATTATTATCATCAAATCAGTAGGTACTTGGGCATGGCAGACGACGAGGTGGTGGTGGTGGTGGTGGTTAGATGATGGAGGTGATGATGGAGGGGGTTAGTTAGTTAGTTGGGATTAGAACGGGCCGGCGATGGGATGCTCGCATGGAGCAGGGGGCATGCTTGATCCGTGCGAAGGGTGGTCGCTGTTCGTACAGGAGTTGCAATAAAACTCGATACCGGCTTTGCTTTGCTGGATGCCTGGTGCACAGTTGCAGTTGGTCAAGCAGCACATGAGATGGTTGGATGGATGCCTTTTTTTTTGCTACATATGAATGGCTGCAGTGGGTGGGCTGCAGCATCAGTGAGCGAGAGAGAGACGTGTGATGGACTGGCGTAAGGAAACTTTGCAGGTACGAAAGCACTAGCAAGCCAACAAAGAGAAGAATAGAATAGAACAGAACAGAACAGAACAGAACAGAAAATAGAATACCGTGAAGAATGAATGCCTGAACGAGTGGATGAATGAGAATGCAAGCAAGCAATGGAGGTGGTCAAGGGAGGAGAGAAGAGATGCAGGACGACCGGGGGGGGGGCTGTTGCCCAGCCGCCATGGACTGCAGGTGGCATTCTTGGCGTCACGTCATTGGCCCCTCACGCCCAGACCCTGTATCTTTTCTCAACAACCTTTCGTGGTTCCATCCAACATGCACCGCAGCAGACAGAGCAGCCCTAAAGGGGAGAGAGAGAGGGGACGGGAAAAAGTGGTTGACAAGGAGAATTTTCTTTTGCCTCTTCCTGTGCAATCTGTGCAATCTGTGGGTTCGTGCGGCTGGGCCTTGTACGGGCTGCTACCACTCACTCGGCTGGTCTCTTATGTAACAGTTTCGTGACGGTCAGTCAGTCGCCTTCATCAATCAGCGATAGGATCAATTGATAGCTGGCTGCTAGTTTGGAATCGTTGCCACTGACAGCCGGCAGCCCGAGCACACTGGCTGCCATCTTATCCAAGTGCTTGCATTTTCCAGCAAGCGCGTTACCCTCTGATGAGGAATGGTCTACACACATATGCACCGTGGCCTACTGTTTTACATTACACACATTGCCTGCACTCACCCCTGCTCACCCGCCTGCTGCTGCCACACTATCGTGTATATTCCACCTCGGTTACCACTCCCTTGATCACCGATCGCTACACGACGACTGGCAACAGCAATCTCAACCCGTATGCGAGTCGAGAGCGAGCCCATCAGCGCAACCGGATCGTGGGTTTCCTATCCAGGCTAGACCGCGGCTTCAATATTCATTTGGGGTCGTCCACTCCTCGTCCTCGAGCTCAGACCAGTAGACCAGTGCAACAATACACCAATACACCCTTGTCTCCGATGCGAACGCAGACGTCGTCCCGCTTTCGACCGTGACGTGACGTGACTGTGCCATCATCCTCCTCCTGCCATCTGCCTGCCATGTCGCCTGCCAACAGCCATCGAGCGACCACGCTGTTGGCAGCCCTGATTGCCTTCCGTATCGGCAATGCGCTCGTGCTGCGCACCTTTTTCCAGCCCGACGAGTATTTCCAATCGCTCGAGGTCGCAACCGACCTCGCCTTTGGTCCAAGCAGCAATGCATACATTACATGGGAGTGGAGGAACCACCTGCGGTCCTCGCTCCACCCAGCCATATTTGCTGCCGTCTACCAGGCGGCCGCCACCATAGCTCAAGTCTGCCGTCTGACGCTGTCGAGTCGTGCCCAAGTGCTGCTCGCTGCCCCCAAGACGCTGCAGGCCTTGTTCGCTGCCTTGTTGGACTGGTACACATGGAAAATCGCTGAGAAGGCGTACGGCCGGGGCAGTCGTGCAGCATACGCTACGGTAAGCAATCGATCCATCAATCAATATCAACAGTTTCTTTCTGCCCTTCGCTCTTGTATGACAGCAGCAAGATGAAGAAGAAAAAATCATCATTTCCCCACACGGCTGCATGCATGCATGCATACATAGATACACATGCTGACATGTGTAGCTCGCCCTATCCATCTGCTCCCCCTGGCAATGGTTTTGCTCGACCCGGACCCTGTCCAATTGTCTTGAAACCACCTTGACAGCCGTGGCCGTCTACCACTGGCCTTGGCACTGGCCGGAGAGCGGAGCAAAGGCGACGACCAGAGGCAACCCAGTCCATCAGTACGTCTCAACGGCAAAAGATGCTTTTTCCCCTATTCCCCTTCCACGTCCTGTGGCATTAGCGCCGGATTAGGCTCATGTACGTGCAGGCTACGGCTGTCGCTCTTGTTGGCAGCTTTCGCATGCGTTTTGCGCCCAACCAATGGCCTCGTTTGGCTGTCGCTCTTCTTGACCACCGTCCTCCAGGCCTCGTCTGCACAGCAATATCTGCTCGTCCGCCAAAGTCTTTTTTGCGGGTATGTACCACTGTGCGTGTACCATCATGCATTCATCCATCCATCCATCATCATCATTGTACAGTGGCTGAAGCCGCTGCTTTTGATTTACTCCCAAACCTGCTCATCCATGATAACCATCTGCAGCTTCACGGTCCTCGCTTGCTCCACCCTCTCGGACAGATTGTATTACGGGGTCTGGACTTTTCCACCGCTCCACTTCCTTTACTTCAACATTGCACGATCCCTTGCCGTCTTCTACGGAACAAGCCGCCCGGACTATTATTTGACAGAGGGTCTACCGCTGCTCCTCACCACAGCACTGCCCTTTGCTTTAACGGGTCTTTGGCACTCGTGTTCCGGGCGATCCTCCACGGCACGGCGGGGGGCAGCGCCTCCGTCTCCCGCTTCCCGACTGCATGGCCCTCCCGGCATGCTGCCGCGTCTAGCGTGGACATCCATTGTCGTGATCCTATCCCTCAGCCTGATATCGCACAAGGAAGTCCGATTCCTGTATCCCGTCTTGCCATTCTTCCATGTCCTCGCTGGTGAACCGCTGGCATCCTTCTTCCCCCCCCAGTCGCCCAAATCTCGCAAGGCTCTCCTCTCCCTCCTCCTGGCCATCAATGTTTTCGTTGCCGGCTATGTCTCACAGGTTCATCAGCGTGGCGTGATTGATGTCGTCGACTTTCTCCGCCACAAGCATGAAGCACGTAACCACTTCTCCACCATCACTACTGACGCTATCGTTGCCCCTCCCACTCATGTAAAAGTAGTCAACACGACAGTCGGCTTCCTCATGCCTTGCCACAGTACCCCCTGGCGCTCCCATTTAGTCTACCCCTCCATCAATGCCTGGGCCCTGACATGCGAACCGCCCATCGATGTCCCGCTGTCCGAGCGGGCCAGCTACCTCGATGAAGCAGACCAGTTCTATCTGGGTCTCCAGGGAACTGGCAAAGACGGCAGCGGGCCTGTAGCATGGTTGGATACACACATGGAGCACCTCCAGACCATCACAGAGAGCGGAAGCCGCTCGGGTAGTCACTGGGCGCGCATACATCCAAAGTACCGCGAGGCAAACCGCAGGGCGTGGCCACAGAATCTTGTCTTCTTTGACCAGCTGCGCCCTGTCTTGAGTGACTATCTCAAGGGCACCATGTACAGGGAGTGTTGGAGGGGGTTCAACAGCCATTTCCACGATGATTCAAGGAGGGTAGGGGATGTGGTTGTTTGGTGTCTGGATTAACTCGGAAGTGTGTGTGTATGTAGGTGTCTAGGCAGCGGTCATATGTGGAGATGTAACAAGGACAGCATATCGATGATATTGTAATTATACGTTGTACTCTTATGCCCAGGTCAATTGGTTCAAAGACAGTCACGGCTGTTCTCCATGGCGGGGGATTTGCACTGGCTATAGCCGTTACTCGAACCGGACCTAGTCTTTTCTTTTTCTCTCCCTGTACTCACATGTTTACTACTCCTGATCTAAAGAATCAGGACAGGGAAGCAGGACCGAACATATCAAGAAGGGAAAATCGACCAATGTGATACACCTGCTAATACTTTCCAATTCCAACCCTCTCCCAATCGCTATACCGTTCGGCAAGAGCACACCAGATACCACATGACCACCCGCCTCTCAACGCACCATGTGCATATGATATATAACAACTGCCTGTACTATAGGTATTATATACGTGACGCCACCCCACCTCATCTCATCTCATCTCATCTCACACTCAAATCGTCTCGTTTCGTCTCATCCCCAATGTCATCATGCCACGCTTTGCAGGAAGAGGAAAAATAAGCTTACACCGATCCCATCTATGCCAATATATGTCCAAGCTCAAGCTCACTTTGAAAGCTTGGATCCATCGACAGACATAATCCGACTGCCGTGCATCTTCTTGCTTTGCAGCAGCAAACATAAAAAAAGACGAGCCAAAAGAAAAACAAAAGAGATGTCACAAAATAATATGCACATCATAGCACACCGTTGGGCAAGTAAAGATGATCATGAGTAAGATGAGCCAAGCAGGGGGAGGGCGGTAGGGGTGTGTGCACACATGCTGCTGCGTGTCATAACATATACATGCACGTAGATGGTCATGATGGACTGGGATGTGTGGTTTCTCCGGGGGGGAAACGTCACGACATTTTTTTTTTCAAGGCGAGCCTATGGCACGGTAGTGTGCGTGACACATCCGATGGTAAGCGGTCATCGGTGTGCTGGATTCTCGTAAGGAAACAGTAGGGGGTGAAGTCGGAGAGGAAGACAGACGGGGGCAAGACAAGGGGACGCTAGGAGAAGGGGTTTCAGCGGGAGGGGAAAGAGGCCATGGCGTGGTTTTGGTTCATTGGAGATGGGCATGCTGGATGGAGTATGTACGACGTCTAGTAATGTGTTTACGTGATGTTGGTTGATATTGCATGCTCCGGCTAATATTAATTGGTGAAAATAAAAATTATCATCTCAGTAGTAATTCAAGACTCTAGGCCGGGTGTGCTTAAAGACAGGCAAGAAAGTAAAGATACATGCGCAAAAGCGAGTAAAAAATAGAGTTGAGTACGAAGCAGGACGCGAGGAAGGACTGGTGATCTAGCAATACATATTTCTTCTCTTTAGAGAATGACTTTCGAGGCGACGGTGAACAACCAGGCAGCATCTGCCCAGCCACCACCTTCCTCGCCCGGGGGAGGTGGTTTGTTCTCGGCCTCATCATCTGTTGCTGTGTCCTTATCGTGGGCATGAACAGCCGAAGCAGCGATAATGGCCTCGCGCTCCAGTTTTCTCCTCTTGGCTTCTACCTCTCGTCTTAATCGAAACTCTTCTTTAGTCATGTTCTCGGGTCGCATGCTTTCATCTTCTTCTTCATCGTCGTCCTCGGATGATGAGTCTTCACCATCCTCATCCACGCTGAAAAGCGACCAGCCGATCAGTTTGTCCACCCAAGTTCCCAGCCCAAAGCCGCGCTCTCGAGCAAGCCGGGCAACCTCTTCCTCGTCATCATCGCCTTCCTCATCGGCCTCTATGAAGTCTGGTTCGATTTGGTCACGCTCAAACATGCTTTCGTCCAACTCGAGACTATGCCTGGCGCTCGATGCCTTGGATCTAGCAGACATGACCAAATCAACTCGACTGCCGGCGGTCGAGCCTCGCCTACTCTGTCGCGCACTATGAATGCGGCTCCCCATCCGACTGTGTAGGCGGCTTTGCATTCGACTACCCGCACGTGAAAGACGCGGGGTAAAAGGTGTATCGTAGTCGGCATTATTCAAGCTCTCGCCAGAAAGCAGCGCCACATGACGAGCTTTCGCCTCATCGTCGTAGTCATCTGCCGACTGTACGAGACTGGTCGAACTTTCCCTCCTAATGAGCCAGCCCTGGCCCTTGGAATCACGCGTCTCGCCCGCAATCGCTATGCCGGCGCGATGGAACCATCCATCTGTTGTATCACTTGTATGGTGCCGATGCAACGGTTTGCGGAGAGGCAATGGGGCTGTGCCTTTGCGTGTGTGGTGTCTCCCTTTGGAGGGTTGGTCAACAAAACTCACGCCCGGGAGCATGGTAGTAGTGCTTTTCGCTTTGGGAATTTCCCCATCGTCCCTTACAGGATGATCGGGATTTATGAAGTAGCCATCGTAAGCGTATGGTTTGCTGGGGTTGCGTCTGCCATTGCGAGAGTTGCTACGGCTTTGGCTCAGACTGAGAATGCCGGGCGTGGTGGGCGCACTTTTCTGTGCTATGTAGGAAGTGCGTGGAGTGTGCAGGGTTTCTCCAGATGGCGAAGGCGGAGCAGAGGCGTCGAGGGGGTATTTTGAGCTCAGCGGAGCAATGGATAGATTCAGCTCGTGAAGATTTAAATGTGAGCGTCTTGATCGTGAAGTGGGAGTAGTAGACCCCATAGTGAGAGCCGGCCTGCGTGCTTGTCTGTTTATATGGGTGGCAGGAGAGACGAGCAATTCAAAGTCAAGTGCAATGGGATCAATGAGGATTTATATTCGCAAGCATGTAGATGATGGAGGGGTGAAAAGGCGAGGTGAGGTGATGTGATGTGGAGTGAGCGACCTCGGTTCCCCGAAAAACATATGCTGGGGAAAACAGGGGAGCTCGCGGGGCGTTCCTACTAATCCCGGCATGCACGTGAGTCGAGGCTGATTGCATCCAGCTCGGTATCTGTATGTCTCCCGACACACTAAAGCACAAAGGAACTGCTCTTCCAATGTCGATTGCAGAATGAATGCGACAGACAACAAAGCCTAGTTGTTGCTACTACCAAGACATTCATCTCAGCGGATAGGTGGGGTCATGGTCTGTATGGTTTTAGGCTTGCGAAGATGTAAAAGTGGATATGGTCAAGATCCCAAGGTTTTTTTAGACCAGCTGTCCGGCTTTTTCCTCGGGAAGATGGAAAAGTTGGATGCATCTAGGGCCTCTAGGCAATGAAAACGAGCTGGACAGTGGAGTAGTCGATGGTCGTCATGAGTGTTGCCGCAACCGTGGGCTGTTTTAGCGGTTTGGATGAATACTATCCATTATCATCGTCATCATCGTCATAGGCATGATTGGGGGACATGGAAAGATGAATGACTCCCTTGATGCAGGACGCCACTTGGCTCGTAGGCGTAAGATGCAATGTTGGCTCACTCGATGCCTTGAACAGTCATGTATGCTACTTGAAGAGATACATGGAAGATGTTCCAACGAGGCCTCAGGCCGCTAGGTTTGCAACAGGCTACCAAGCTAATTCATGGCCAAGGCCAAGGAGGAAGCTATTCAGAGACGGCCTCGCATCGCATCGCGTGCCATGCTCCGCGTTGATGATCATGGCCACTGTAGGCTGTCGCTGGTCAGGTTTCACGTCGAGCGGAGGGAACCGAGGCAGGGTCTGGTTCTCTCAGATCAGCCTTTTTCTTTTCTTCTTCTCCTCCTCCAGAGAAGCCGCTTTGCAGGCTCCAGAACAGATGCGGCTCTGGCGATCTGCCGCACGCAGGCAGCTCGCCAGACAGACGCAGAGGCGGCCAATGGAATGGCAACGGCGGTGACGTAGAGGGCGTGTGCAGAACAGTGGGGAGAAGCCCCATTGACGGTGATTGGCGACGTAAGCGCATTGCATTGAACGAAATACATGGCTTTGTGTCGGCCTGGTTTCGACCACCAACGTGCGTGGGTTGATTAAGTGCTGTCGCTACCTCGCCCAGAGCCACCCCTGATTGGCGGCACGCCTGCAAATACTACTTTTGTACTGCTGTACCGTCCGCTAGCTACTACTTACTTGCTACTATTACTACCACCTCCACCACTGCCAGTCGGTGACTGCCTCCCAACCCACTACCGCTTTTTCACATCCAACCCACAGTCCGCCATCCTCTTCTTCTCCCTCCTTCTTCACCAACCACCCCTCGCCTTTAGCAATCCGACTTGATCCTTTGCCCGTCCATCCACCACCGCTCCGTCACCCACCCTCCTCGCAGCAAAACCCTCCAATCCGCGAACCTGCATTTCGCATCCGACCTCCAACCACACGCTCCCGCCCTATCCGTCGACCATGAATCTCTTCCAGGTCTACACTCGTGACGCACGATGCATCCTTTAGCTTAGGAGCGGCCATTCCGCAACGTATGTATTTGCTCTTCCATTACCAATCCATCGGCCTTCCTCCAAAAAATAGTTCTGATCAAACCCAGACTCCCCCGATCGGCTGTCTATAAATCCGCATACATCCACCTCTACTCACCCGCTCTGTACTCAACTTGCCGGTCCACCAAACCTCCCTCTGCTCCTTGTACCTTTAATCGACCACGAATCGCATTAGTCCACGAGGACTACTACCCCGAATCACCCCGCCGCACAAGTCGGAACGTACTGAAACCCACTACCAATTCCGCAAACGCATCGTTACCACAGACATCAGCATGTCTACTTGCGAGAACGACTCTTACGAGCAGCCCACTGCCGCTGGAAGCAGTGTCATCACCGCAGTGAGAGACTTTCTTGTCACACTGGGTATCCCAGCCAACAGCCGCGTCACTCAACACACGGCACATTGCCACCATGAAGATGTCCCCACTGATGTAGGCACCGAAGGTATGCAGTTTCCCATCTCGCTTGGAAATTGGGCTTCAAGGTGGCTAACAATCATGCTTCAGGCCCTCATGATTTGCCTACTACTCGCACACCCTCGCCAATAACCGAGGCCGTGGCACCAGGCCGATTGCGTTCCCTCTTCCCACCATCAAACTACGGCGCCGTAGTCCCTGGCAGTGTCTACCGTAGCAGTTATCCAAAGCCAAAGAATTACGATTTTTTGAAGAGTCTGGGGGTGAAAACCATCATGTAAGACCACTCTCCCCTGAGTCTCAGTGTTTTGCTCTCAGGTTCCCCCCAACAGTGCTAACATTTGTGCAGCACTCTAGTACCCGAGGAAATCCCGACAGAGTATCAGGATTTCATGAAACTTGCCGGCATCCAGCATTTTCAGGTGCATCTGAACGCCAACAAAGGTTGCGTGCGGGTCCAGAGCTGCGACATGAATAGAGCTCTCAATATTGTTCTCGATCGGTCAAATCATCCCGTTCTCATCCACTGCAACAAAGGCAAAGTAAGTATTTGGTTTATATATTTGCGATGCGATTGCTAACCTCATCTAGCATCGAACTGGGTGCCTCACTGCTACATTGCGACGTCTACAGGGTAAGTTTTGCTCTCAAACTAATCAGCTCGTACGAATCCTAATGAACCCAGGCTATGATATCGAATTGATCCGCGAAGAGTATCACACCTATGCAGACCCAAAAGCCCGTTTCTGGGATGAGGTGTTCTTCGAGCATTTCGATCTCAACACCGTCATGTGGCACGCTCGAAAAGAGAACTGGATTCTACCGACACAGGATGCCGACGACACTCTCCTTTCACCTCCGCCTTCACCGTCCTTCTCAGTAGGGCCCACAAACCCTTGAACTCTCTCCGACTATTTTCATTTGTTCACCCCCCGCTCGGATACTACACTGGTGATTGGGGCGAAAGGTGCTGACAGGTCATCGCCTGCGTACTACGCACCCCAAACCGTATGGTATACCTGAAAATAAAAGTCCTCCTTCATCGTCAATGAGAGGCAGGTCTTCTGTGGCGTTTTTTATTGGATCGGGATACCCTGTTATGCAATAGCAGCCACCCTTCCGCGATATACATCTCTTCCGTCCAGAGTATGTTGTTCCAGGCGGTGCTTGTACATGTATCTGCACGTGACAGATCCTTCGGCGACATTGGACGGCTGGCTACTTTTCTCCTTGCGTTGCATTCTTTCCTTTGTCATTGGCTCGTATAAAAAATTCCAGTTTGATTTGCCTTGCAAAGAAATATTCTCTGGTGAGACATCAATAGTCGCCTATCATGGTGCAGAGCACATGTCAGGTAGGTGGTATCCGTCCAACACAGCATTTAGTGGTGGCGTACAGGGAAAATTTCATCACGAGTCTCCAGACTATGGTAAGAAAATATGTAGGTTCTTTTAGGAGAGGTAAGTACAGTTATTCTGCAGATGATCTATTGATCAGCTTCACTCCGGCTGTGGGGCGATCCAGTTCTTATGGTAACATCTACATGTATGTGTATAGCAAACACGTGGACGATCAAACGACATCTTGTTTGTTCACTGCGTTATCACAGGTCACGCGCCACTCATACATTTGTGTTAAATTTCCTCATATACACATGTGATCCTGGGTAATTCAACTCCATCAAGACCTGGCCAAAGATCAACCAGGAGACCGGCTATATGGCCAACTGGGTTTCAGGAACAGACATTAACACAAACACGATACAACTCAGGAACACCGAAAAAACATAAAATAACCACTACACTAAGATAGACCAAGAGAATAATAGACAAGTTCACTCTATACCTTTGTATCCTACCATGATTTACATATGTATCGAAGTACCTGCAACCCCTTCGGCTCATCCTCTGTCGTCACCCAACTCCATCACTCTTCCCGTCTCTCTCTCTCTCTCTCTCTCTCTCTCTCTCTCTCTCATCGCCCTCCAGGCTCGCACCTCGACCCTCTCCTATAAACGCCCACTCCAACTAATCCATCAATCAGATCAATACCTATCAACATCCCCTTGCGCACTTAGCGGATCAGAATCAGACCAGACCAATAATACCAGACTTGGATCATTTCGTTTTTCTTTCCCGCCCCCACACCCCCCCAAATGTGCCACCTCCTTGCATTGCACAATGCGATGCATGCATGTACGCACGCTCGTACGCATGCACGCAAGCTAGCTAGCTTATACATCTACGAGTACGATAACTAATTTTAATTCTATTTTTATGTCAAGGATGATCCCTTATATGGCTTGATACAGTTGGGTGTGGTGCGTGAGTGAGCCCATGGTCTAGTGTCGATCTTGAGGGTGGGGCAGAATAGGGAAGGAAGGGGATGGGGCGTGTGTTGTATGGGGATGATCAGATGGCGGGTTTCCGATGGCTAAGGAGTTGGGTAGATGAGTTGGTCGGTTTATTTGTAACTTTTATTTCTATCTTTGTGTTTGTGTGTGTGATATGGAAAATGGTGAGTCGGGATGAAAGACGCAGGCGATTGTCTGCAGAGAGCAAATAATAAGAACGCCCCTGCAAGAACATTCGTTGTGGAGGATATGGAAAGAAAGAATGGGAGAGATTGAAAAAGTGAACAGAAAACAGAGTTGCGCGGCCGTTGATCATGGTCCGTCGGGTATCATACAAAACAACACTACAATGTCCACCCATGCATCCAGCGTATCCAAAAAGTGTTCCACCACGCTTCAGCTCCTCAGAAAAGACCGTATTGTATGCATTTCAAGCGCAAATCTCCAAGTCGTGATCCAACGATTGTTGGCCTACAAATCTGACAAACGGATACCTCGCGACTTGCATCGGCCACTCAACGTAGTACCTCAACCCAAACGAGACATTAAAGTAGATTCCCTCGATCCAGCCCAGCACCGCCGTGGGGGCATTGACACCTTGAAACCCGACGCGCTCGAGCATCAGTATAGGCGTCAGCAGCGCCTGCACGGCAATGAAATGGGCCAGCAGGATCTGTGCCACGTCGTTTCCCGGGTCGACAAAGGACTGGAATTCGTCATGGGTAAGGCGTGAAGGTTGGTTGTAGAGCTGGACAAAGGTCGTGTATGTTTCGACGGGCCGTTCATACGCATTGTCGACGGTGCGCACGAGTATCTCCCAAAACTGCCGCTCCCATTCCGTCATGTGCAGCGTCTCGATGGCGCGCAGCGAGGTGCCGGCAAGGTCGAGATCTTCGCGGTTGATGGCGTTGATGCCGGATGAGTTGACGCGAGTTTGCATCGTTGCAAGATGATCATCTTCGCGAAAGGCCTAAATATATGTGGGTAAGTAGGTTGGCCGGTTCTGGGAATATTGCGAACTTGGACTATGGACTTACGTAGAAAGCAGATTCCTGGTGTGAAAAGGATTCCTCCATGGCAATGAGATTACATCCCCTTACCATGGTCAGGTATTCAAGCAGCCCGTCTTGAAGATGGCCTGATTGGAAGGCGAGGGCCATTGCGGCAGCCATTCGTGCGTCGCGCTCGACACTGTTTTTTGGTGGCACCGAAAGGGCCTCGTTCAGGGCCTGCATGGCGAGAATCCGGTGTGATATGGCTTCTTTGTTAACACTGGCATTTGAAACCGCATCGAGGTGTGACGCAGCTAACGCGAGGATGGAATGTATTAGGTATTCATACTATGTGGATAGTTAGTCGTGTTTCCTCTACCAAGAGATGAGATGACCTAGTAAAATCTCCAGAATGCTACGATACCCAACCGAAGTGTTTGTTCCACCAGGGGCGCTTTGAAACAGCTTACTATTCTCACTAGCATATCCCCAAGCGAGAACCAGAATATGGGAAACCGGAAGATTACGTACGTTATGTGCAAAGCTTGGGATTACGGTGATCCATATCTTATCTGCGCCAACCGGTAGATGGGGGTAAGCTGTGATGAGGAAGTGATGAAAAAGGCGCAAATCATTCATCGACTAGAAATCATATAAGCCGCCTTGGTCATATGTGTGACTCTTGGAATGACTCACAAAGGTCGCCGGTGTCGAACGCAGGTTCACCATCTCCTGTGGACTCGGAGACGTGGGCGACGATTGATGTGTGGTCTGGATGATGTTTGCTGGATACTCACACTGCAAGCCCGCTTTGATGCAGTGGCTGCATTGCGGATGTCTTTCATTGCACTTGATTCTACGGCGTTTGCAATTGTAACATCCTCGTCTCGACTTGGTATGACCTTTTCTTGGAATGGGCTTGCGAGGTGGGGGAGGTGGGTTGCTCTCGCTTCGGCTATCATGAGGGGTATCATCTGGTGAATTGCTTGAGCCATCCGAGTTGTCTGTAGAAGAACTTCGACCAGGCATCATGGAGAAGAGTAAGGGCAAGAGGGAAAAATCAACAGCATTCGAAGAGTGTGGCAGGTGCCCTTACGAAGTGGCGATATATACGTGCTCGGTCGTAAAACGGTCGTGCAATCGTACGCGGGCTCAACCCAGGCTAGAGGTCCAGCCCGCAGACGTGGTAGAGCTTTTATGGGTGGGTGGCTCTGTCAGGGGAGGGAGAAATGATGTGCAATCGCCAATTCCCCAGCTGAGTCACGGACCATCTCGTATTCTCGGTGCTGGCAAATCAGATGCCTGGTTACTTGCAATTCATCGGCATCGCCAAAGGTCGACAAACGTTGGCACCGCTTGTGTCCGCGCGGATGATGCTCACCGGAAGGTGACCAACGTAGACGGTCAACCGTGTAGAAGACTTGGACGTCTACTTGGACGAAGGATCATTGTTGAGCCTCGCGCTAATTACGGGCCAACTCCACAAATGACTTGCTAATCTGGACGTCTTGCGCGCTGCTTCACAGTGCAGTGTGCACACTGGAAGCCAGCGAAACAGCCTTGGGCGTGTGCAGCAGCATTCCCGTCTATCCAGCAAGATTCCTTGACTCGACCCACAAATTGACGCAGCAGGTGTAGGGAAGCCCAGGCAACAGCTTTCTTTCAGCAGCAGATCGCGTGTTGCCTCGGTGAGTCCAAGATGGAATAGGATACCTACATGTCGTACAGGGCTTGACAGCATCGGGTCAGACGCCGTCCACAGGCAAAGCTTTAACAAACTGAATGCACGGGTGAGAAGATACTGTGAACGGCATCTGATTTGCGAATGCCCCGCCGGTATATCGTCGCGCGACCCCGTTTGATGACTTGGTCGCTGAGAGAAGCAGAGCTGAAAGGTCGGGTATGCACGCCTGGAGGTAGTGATGCAACCCCGCCGTCGGGACTTGCTGCTACCCTTGAGCTGTTGCTGCTGGCATAGTCATTGCCAAGTCTCTCTAAACTATTTCAGCAGTGAATGGCTGAACGTTGTGCATCTCTACCGGCTCTCGCGACCGCACGTGCTTCCGTCATTTGTTACTATATCTGTCACTATACGAGCGCCTCCGTTGAACCTCGAACATGATGCCTGTACTCGAGGCTACGCAGCTTCGATTAAAGGGCGTGGGGCCAGAAGATGTCGCTCTGATCGAGAGCCTATCATCTGTCCGAGGCATCTTGAGAACACAGTCCGAGTTCTTCTCTTACGTTCAAGATTCAAGCCTCATCTTCATCCTGGGTTTGTGGCCAAGCTTGCATGCCCATCGCGAGTTTCTAGCCTCACCTCACGCAGCTGCAGTTTTGGGGGCCCAGGAAAAGATGCTGGACTTCGAGTCGACAGTGCACATGGAATTTGACGCCCCATGACTATGTCCCCCTTGGACGCGCCGGGCAGGGAAATGACCATGCGAGCCGTTGCTAACGGCAGCGTTGACGCGTACGACGAGGCGGTCGTCAGTGAGATCCAAGTCATCGTCTTCAGAAGCAATTACAAAGTGGCAAGCGGCTGGAGGCTCGATGCAGAATCAGGGGCGCATGAAGCACTCACCATCTCGGGCTGGGGAAGTATGCAGGCGTACACTGCCTTCGCGACAGAACAGGCAGGATCCCAGGGCCATGAGCCGCTATACGAGTTTCTCGAAACCTACCATTGCTTGGAACTTGGAGAGGTCGCCGAACAGATAAATTGCGGGTGAAGGGAGCACGCACGCACCGTGTCGACCACATACGAATAGCCAAACCCACTAGGTACATATCTATGCAAGAATGGGTGATCTGTGGCTCGATGAAGGACCGTTGCCAATTAGCATCCGCAGGCGGCTGACACGAACGCGCGATTATATGAGTTCATAATAATATAGTATAATGGATTGAGTTTAATCGCAGGTATTTATGCATCCAACTGAATGCATCTCCGAGGAACAAAGCGCTATTGACCTTATCAACCCAAATCTTCGACGGTTTGCTGACGTCTGGGCACAAGTACATACCTAGGTATGTAAGTCAGCCAGGGTCCGTGGCAGTCCCTGCAAACACCACCTCGCATATGGCTGACCGGTCGGAAACATAGCTATGCTCAGGAACAGCCTCTCAAACATTTCTGTCTACTATGCCTGCCTATGCTGAGCTCATAAACCATGATAGTTAGCAAGCGGCACCTGGGAGCACTCATGATGGAACTGGATGTGGGGTTGCTGAATGGAAGCTTTCTTGTTCTACACCACAGCACGATTAAGAGTAAAGTAAGAACCACCCACAGTACTGCCATTAACCCCTTAGAACAGCTAAAAAAAATTAACATACCGTAAAGATATATATACGATACTGGATGAAACGTAGGACACTAATTCAAGTCGGCGTGGTAGAGACCTAGCTTTTGCATAGGTCTATGCATCATAGCATACGTGGTTTTCGTCTGGACCATCGCAACTATGCCCGTAGACGTGCGTTCTATCGAAACTGACCCCCAAGATCCCGTACCAAGTATCTTCCAGGTGGCCTGTGATAGTTCCTGGTGCCCACAAGTTTTCTGCTTTCAGCTGAGCTACGAACTGTTCTTCGAAGAGCCGTCTTTGTTCGCTACCAGGTGGCCCCCAGTTACGACCAACCCTTTGCTCCAGCTTTGAATTTTCCTCGTAGCTGTGATCTATATGCCGCTGTCGTTCGGCCATTGCGGCTTTCTCGGCTTCGGGGGTGCGTGTATAGGGCAAAAGCTCTTCTACGGTACCACGAGCAATTTTCAACTGAGACTGGAAGCGGCCGTGCCGCCCAGCGCTAGTATCGTCAAGATGCTCCTTCCATTTTTCTCGGTTCGCGAAAACGGCATCGCAGTCAATGCTTGGGCAGTGGATATTGCTGTCCATTGCGTAGCGTGCGTAGGACTCAATTCTTAGCCAGTCGAGCCCACGTGCTTCCAGTCGAAGAGTAAAGTACCGTCCATTGAACGTTATGGCATCGCCCAGTGGCGACGGAGGGAACTTTCGTGGTGGGAAAAGAACGCGTGTCGGCGCCCAATGCTCATCCACAATCTCCCATGTCGCATTCGAATTTCCTGGTACGGAATACAATTTGTACTGGGTTGGAAATCGAGGTCCGACCACGACGGTTTCAAGAGCGATAAAGACAGTGATGTGGTTAGGAGCGCACTGCACAGCCCTGCCTACTGCAGAACACATTGATGGTTCGAGTGCATAACCACATAACACCAAGTACTCAATAGCTGGAAAGATCTTTCCCACTCTGATCCAGAAGTCTTGCGCCTTGTCCACTACGGCTCCGTCGTCATCGTCGCAGAATCGCCATTCGAGTCTGTCAATTGCGAATTCAACTCTTTTCACATGGTTCACAAACTCCAAATCGTGGTCGAGAACAACGTGGCGGCGGTCATCAAGGACCTCGGTTGCGTCGTAACTATACCAATGGTCTGCGCACGACCAAAACCTCCGAGTTGCGGGCCCGCGTGAACGCGAACATGTTCGCATAAGCTGGAAAAGCGTTGGTGTATCGCAGTGGTCGTACACGAGGAGTTGGAGATCGACTGGCAGGCCAAAGAATGGAAAGGACTGAGCTGTTTGAGAGTCTGACTCAGGCTTTACGAATTTGTGGAAGGGGATCACGACTTGCTTGTCCCATTGCATACAAAGATCCATTTGCCAGGCCATTATTGTGGAATAAGTCTCAGAGACAATGATCTATAAAGAAGCTAAAAAATCAATTATGTACTCCTGAGGAGGCTCGTATCGCGTTGCGAAGCGGTGTGGGGAAGACGCACTTGTTTGCCGAGCGGGCCAATGATTTCAATGTCGGCGTAACCTAGTTTTATCCATGTATATAAGTAGCTATCAAATACCTACAGGTTACCACACAGTCACTCCATGACTATACTCCCTCATAATAATCTTCAGTGATCCCCAACACCTTGCACTGCTCAACTTCTCTCCATGCCTCCATCCTATTCACACGATCCAGCACTTTAACCGGCTTATCACCTGCATTACTCACTTCCTTCCATTCCCCAACCGCTTTTGTAGTATTGACGAAGCCTCTCGACTCCAAGTATCTCTTCTCCGGGACAGGGTTTCCACGGCGCGCAAATGCTGTCCATGAGTCGAGAACGTACTGTGAAAAGGGGATGTCGTCCTGGTCACGAGGAAGCCGTCCTTGGGGGATCTGGGTGCCGAAAACTGTGAGCAGCTCACCGCTGTGACAGCGGTAGTAAGGCAGGTCCACATCACCAAGCGGATGTGAGGCAGTTTTTGGGGCTTCGCATGCGCCGCCGTTGGGCGACCAGCTGGGTACTTGATACGCGCGGTCAAATTCATAGGCGTAGAACGATGCGAAGAGTGAATTCTTAGCAGCAAGATGGGCGGTTGAGTGAGCGGCACAACGGAAGTAGGCGTCAGTAGCAATGTGAGAAGTCAAGTTGAAGAGAGCAGCTGTTACATTCGGATTGGATGGGAGGGGGAAAAGACCCGAAGCCTCGATTGCAGAGGCGTTGAACCCGTTTATCAAGAGAGTTTCTGTCGTGTTGGTGCTTGGCGAGTATGAGGTGAAAGGAGATCCGTCATCTTGTACGATTCCCGCCATGATGTGGTGTGGAAGCTTGGATGCACCTTGACCCAGGGGGAGGGTCTTGAGGGTCAAGAAAGAGCCATCAATAACGGGGAACTGGGCTACAGCGCCAGTGTAGCTCTTATTCGCGTCCCGGTAGCCAACGAGAACCTTGGCGTCGACCTTGCGTAGGCAAGCGATGAGGTCCTCGCCGGACAAATTCGCACATCCCACTTGGGTATAGATGGCGCTGTTCTTGGCCGAGGACTGCGCGACTGTGAGGTACTCCGAGTACGAGGCCGCGCCGCCGCCTTGAGGCGTGCTCATCATGATGGCGTTCGCGAACTTGTTTTGTGCGACCTTGGACGTGAGAAGGGCGCGTATAGCAGCGGCACCAGCACTCTGTCCAAATACAGTAATACGGTCCCTGTCCCCACCGAAGTCCTCGATGTGGGTGCGTACCCAATCGAGCGCCGTACTGGCGTCAGTGAGGCCCAAATTCCCGGTAACGGAAGAATTCGCAACGGCAATGAAACCGAGCGTCGATAGGCGGTAATTGATTGAAACAGATACGACGTCACCGCGAGAGGCGAGGGCTGTGCCATCGTTCGTTGGGTCGCGGTTCGAGCCGGTTAGGAATGAGCCACCGTGAATATAGAGCATGACGGCCTTCTTCTTCTCTGGGTTGACTTTGCCATTGGGGAGGTAGGGCGTCCAGATGTTGAGGGACAAGCAGTCCTCGCTGCAGACAGTGCATTCGGAGGAAACGCATTGGTCGCCGTACGCAAAGGCACTAACGTTCTTCGCTGGGGGAAGATATTTTGCGTGCTCAAAACGAGCTGGAATGGTGGCGTATTTAATTCCCAGGAAGCGAAAGGCATCCTTCATTCGATATCCTGTGATGGTTGACTCCTGGCTGGACACAGAGATCTCCTTCTCTGTATCAGCAGCAGTGTTTGCGCACAGTACTGGCAAATTTCGGCCACAGGACGAGTCTTTGACATTGCCCTTGGCGGATATAGTGTTGCACCTCTTGCCATCGCTCTTGATCCAGTACGGGCCGGCCTTGTCGTCGCCCTTGCTATAGTCGAGAAACCTGAGGAAACTCACATCCGAATTATTGTCGTGACTCCAGATGGAACTGCCTAACGCAGTACAGCGTGATTCAGCGGTCGAGTAGTCGGACTCAGCGTCAATGACGACTGCTGCATCTCGAGCAGTTTGATTTCCGTACAAATCGTTGTGAGTTACAATGGTAAGATCGGCACCAATTCCTTGAGGGGTCACTGCACTCGTTACTGCAGCCGTGAACAACGAGACTGAAAGGTACAAAGCTGAGACCATAGTGACCATGACCCACGAGCGAACAAGCGATCGTAACTTCTGTCAGCTGGCCATGGTCTTCTTGATATACTATTCCAGGCCGCAATAATTCTGGGGTCACTGCTATGCACTTGTCGAGTTGGGAGTTGAGCTAGTCAGGCCGAGGTCATGGCAAATATACACACGGATATGTTGCCTTAATAGGTTTGGTGGACGGCTCTATTGATGGATGCATTGTACTGGCCGAGGTTAGACAGGCTTTCCCCAGATTTTGATGAGCAATTCTCATTCTGAGTGGTGATTTATGGATGTTAGTTACTTTGGCTGGAAATGGCGCAATCTAGGGCGTGATGTTGCGAAAGGCGTGCAGTTCGTGAGATGATTGTATGGTGCGTTGCATACTGATTATCAGACTTTCGAATCTACATTCTAAGAGACAAACACTGCACAGCGAGTCACCTTTGACCTAAGCCGGGTAAAAAGTACAGATTCAACTATGTAAGCGTGGGGCATCATTGTGGAGCATTGTTTGGATTGTAATCTATCTTTCCAGACCAAGAAATGTCTTTTCATCAGAGAAACCTAAATGAAGCTAAACAACGTTGACTTTAAAAAGATCATTCGGGTATATTGAATGTCCCGCACTATGCTCCTCGTCATCTTTAGCTTCCCACAGCGCGACATCGCCTATTTCGCCATGATAGAGACGAGACACCAGTGTTGAAGTTGCACATACAAACTTCCTGTCGTCACAGCAATTGCCATCTATGATTAAGTGGACCTAAAATGACCGTCATCAAACATGGTTTGCGACCTTAACATAAAAGCGAAGCTTCGGCGCTATCTCTGAACGTCGACCATCACACAATGCAGACGACTGCTCGTTAAACCACAATGGTGAGCAGTTTTTAGGCCCGTGTTTGCCACACAGGTAGTGGTATAGCGGACGCTCTCTTCGACGCTTAAAGGAACTTGCCTATAACGCGTGCAATCCATGGTAATCAAAGGAACGTATTATTTGTTGAAGAGATGAAACCGGTATATAGATAAGGTCAAGCCTCGGCGCACACGATCTTCTTCGAGGCTGTGCAGCTAAGCTCGAGGATGTAATTGCCGAGGCTGTCTAGTTCAGTTGGAGTATTTACTGGTGGGAGTTCGATGCACAGCCAAGTAACAACCCTAGAGAATTTAGAAAGGATCAACCTAACTGTTTGCAAGTTCGATAAAAAAAACGGTCAGCTTCTTATTTAGTCAGCCACTGGCAGTTACAGCGATGTCGACACGCGAGTTTGCATGGCAATTCATCGTAAGCGGCGTAGCCACTTATTCATTACGAGAATCATTCTTGATATACAAATGGATGCGGCTACCAGTTTGCTCACATTGAATTCTTATGACTCACTCTGCTAATACTCAAAGCTTGTGCGCACGTGACCTGATCTTGCTGGTTCCATCACAGGGAAAGGCCCACCTAAGAATATAGTGTTAACTGCTCTTTTTACTTTAATGGTACATTATATAGCATCTTAAAACAGTTTGAAACCGCTATTCATGAGATCTAGACAGGATATAAAGCCTTAAATAAGGTTTGATAGCTGATCCTAGGGTGGGCCCGCCCTTGTAATGTCCGTAGCTATGATGAACCTTCTTGCTAGATTACGGGTTATCTAAGCAAAGCCTTCTACATCTGCGGCTCTGTGCATTCTTAACCTTACGCCGTTTTGCACAGCTGTAACCAGGGAAAACTTAGTCTTTATTGGAAGATGTGCATCGACATGTTCTATTCGATCGAACATCATCAGCATGCGTGCGAGGACATATCTTGCTTCATTGAGCGCCAATTGCTCTGCTCAGCTAATTAGCAAGGGAAAAAGGAATATAGGGCATATCGACTCACGACCAAGGCAAATACGCGGACCCATCGAGAAAGGTATATACTCGGCTCCTATGCTCCTTCCCTCCCATCGCATGGGTCGGAATTCCTCCGCGTCAGATCCCCAGATGTCTGGCCGGCGATACATAGTGTAGTGCGAGAAGCGTACGAACTCACCCCGACGAACGAGTATGGGTTGTGTCTCGTCTGGGCCTCCACCACATGGCAAAGTCGTGTCTCTCTTCGCGCAGCGAGGCAAACTCAGGGCAGTCGGTGGAAGCAGACGCATCGTTTCATACAGAATGTAGGTCAGGAGCTTGCATTCTCTGATCGAATCGAATGTCAACTCGTCGTCGGATCGAAAGAAACCAAGTACTTTTGCGCGGGCTTCGGCATATTGCTGTGGGTTTCGGGCAAGGAACAGCATTGCATGACTCAGAAGGGCGGCAGTAGGAGTCCGGCCCCCAATGAACAGCTGCAAGATCTGATCTCGTAGTTCAGTAGGACTTTGGGTTTGGGCAATAAGTTCTTCCAGCAGTACGGTTTTGTCCTTTGATCTTGTTAAGGGCTCTTTATTCAACGCGGAATCAACGTAACGGGAGACGTAGTTGTGTATTGTCCCAATTGATCGTCGGAATTTGCCTGAAGGTAAGAGCCACCCAAGAAAATCCATACGAGCACGCCAAATTATGTACGACAATACGTAGTCTAGGGCGGAGGAAAATTCCGACTCGTCTTGTACTGAAGATCCTATCATAGCTCGTGTCTGGCTATTCGCAGATTCTCCAAATAGTAGCTCAGTACTCGTGTCCGTGGCAAATCGTGAAAACAGAGGTACCACGTCAGTTGCAGTGCTTAACCATCCAGATTCATCGTGGATATCTGGAAATACTTTTCCAAGAGTGTGAAAGTGATGCTTCAGGTCCTCCAAGTTGCTGACATTCTCACGAGAAAAGTGAGGCTTGAGTTGACGACGGAAACGCTTCCAACTAGGACCCTCAGTTGTAAAGATCCCATGACCGATAACTTCCTTCAAGCTATCTTCGCGGAAAGACCCGTATTCGAAGTCGCTCGTTTGGGTGGATAGAAGAGCTTGAACGTTGGCAGGCTCAGCGGTATAGATTGTCGGATTCGAGAATAGCGTGTTGCTGCGGTATGTGTATCTTCCCATGCGAGTGAAAGGCCTTCGAGCTACATCTTCAGAAAAATCGAGCTCTGCAGCAATGTTAAACAACTGAGACTTATTGTCTAAGTAGACAAGAGTTAGCACTCACTATCGAGTTTCAAACTGAATCGCACCAAGTAGCGCTCTATACCACCTGGTAGCTTGTTAGGCATAACAGGAACATCTCCACAGCCAGAGGCGCTAGCCTTTGCTTCAACACTCCGTCTTTGAATCCAGGTGCGGCACTGCTGAAAAAATAGGATCAAAGCAATGCATGCTGGTGCAATTACTGTAGTATAAACTCCCATATTCTTTCGTGGAGGGCTAGTTCACGATCGGGGGATCCAAAGAGTAAGGTCGAAATGTCTCAGTCAAAAATTAAAGCTTTCTTCTACTTTAGGCTCAAAGCTATCATCATCGCTGAAACCTGTCGAGAATAGGTTCATGCTATCCGGATTCATCCAACAGTCAAACTTCATTCGTTGCCATGCGACGAGACTACAGTCGGGTCCATGCAGTTTCCAATTCGCATACGCATGCGCTCAAAAAAGAAAAATTACAATTGCCACGATCTGACTGCTGACTGGTTGAGAAGATGAGTATGGATCCTAAGCCCAGAATTGCGTGGCGAATTTGCAGCCATCCTGTACCCATTGTTCCTTCATGGTCATGCTCGAGCTGAATGAATGATCGCCTGGCTGAATTGTAAGGAGAATTGGTGTGTCCGGATCCCCTCTCCGGGCGGCGCCAGCAAACTCAGTCGAGAACTCTACGGGCACCTAAGCATCAATGCATCAATTAGCAGAAAAAAATAGTGCTTTGTCCGTGGTGGGAATTCGGCACGGTAAACTTACAAGTGAGTCCTGTTCAGAATGTATGATCCACATAGGAGGCAATTTATTGGCTTGGTCGATCATTGCGGTGGCGTTGAGGAGTATGTTCTTTTGATACCCAAAAAGCCTGGGCATCCGTGCTTGCTCTGCGCGACCATATTAGCAAGCAAATGGAGGAGAACAGCATGAATGTATACTCACGGACTATACACATGAGCAGCGGCCACATGGCCACCGGATCCCCCTCGGTGCGCACTGTACCAGGCTTAATCGCGCGAATATAATCGCGAATGATCGCTTCAGCACGCCTGGGAGGTGGGGGCCATGAGCCCAGGATCATTCTGGGTGAAGGTATTCCAAACCGTTTTATGCAGATATCGCCGTCCAGAGGTGCAGAAATAGTAATGACGACTTTGATGTCAATTCCACTGGAGCCAAGTAGCGCAGACTGCAAGGCTAGATAGCCCCCTGAGCTTTCACCCATACAAGCGACTTGGCCCAGATTCGGTCGGGCGTGCCATCTTTCTCGTTCGGAGACAGAAATGAAGTCGTTCTTCATCCACTCCCAGAAAGCTCTGATGTCGTCTAAGATATCGGAGCCGCTGGCTTCAGGAAGTAGGCGATAATCTGGGCTTACGATGATTGAATTTCGCGAGAGGGCAAATTCAATGGACCTGCAATATGGTCATGTTAATTGATGTATAGCATTTGAGCTATAGACCTTGCAAGAACTCCAAGATTATTACCATTTAGGCCACCAAGGCGCATAAGTGCGATGTCCTGTGATAAAACCACCACCGTGCCAATAGACCAAGACAGGGTAGTCCGAGGGAGGTTTTCCTTGTAGTAATTTCGGCGTCAAAACCGTAGCCATCATATCGTGTCCATTAATATGCGAATACACGAGGTCTTGTGTGCTGAAAGCAGCAAGCTTGGAGTCGGTCATTGTATAGGCGACCGGGAAGAGCGGAAAGGTAGATTAGAATACGATGGATTCTTGCAGAGTGGATTATGGCGGAAAACATTCATTTGAGTAGGTTGTTAGCTTTTAACATGACCTCAGGGGTCATCACCTGACCTAGTGCTCAATACACGTGCACATCCATACCTACATTACTAAGGAGGGCCCAACCGAGAATAGAGAGTTTACTGCTCTTTAATACACTGTAACATGGTATCTTAGTATAGTTTCAAAAGGCTGTTAATAGGATCTAGACATAACATAAAGCCTTGAATAAGTGTTGAAAGCTAATACTAGGGTGAGCCCGCCCTTGTAATGTACATAAGTATGTAGGTACGTACATATGTAGGTGATTGCACAGTATTGTACAAAAGCACACATCGACTAAGCAGAAATCGTGGAACCAGGATGTTTGCACGGGTCTAGCATGTGCATTCGAAGCTCGAAATCTCAGGTGAACCATTTATGTATACATGTATAGAATTAAATGTCAAAGACCACACTTCCCAAAATCTGAAATTCCCATGCCAAGTATCCCTAAAAACAGTCATATATCTGTTTCAACCTCATTATGCTGAATTGTCAGTGCAGTACTTCACCTTGAGACGATTCACCGCCAACAGCCCAAGCTGAACCAGACTCCCGCCACCCATCAGCTCCAAGGCCGATACATCAACTCCTAGACTTTGTTTCCACCAATTCCTCAGTTCTATGGCAACAAGAGAATCCACGCCAAGATCCGATAGTGATTGGGAGGTATCCAGATCCTGCCCCTCTCTCATAAGAAAGGTGGAAACCCGCCTTCCTATAGCGCTAGCAAGGAGGTCCACCGAAGCCTGATCATTCAATTTATGTGGCTCCGCTACAAGAGTATTCATGAAGTAGCGTATTTTGTTGGAAGTTTCTGAGCCGCTGATTGTGGCCGAAATCTGTTCAAGGTTGCGATAAATGGCTGTGCGAGGGTCCCGCTTCCAGATAGATGTATTGGAGGGATCTGTAATGGATAAGGTGCTCCAAGGAATTTGGGCATATTGGCATGGGTTGTGGAAAGAATTTGGGCGCTGGAGGGCGAGACGTGGCGGCGGTGTTGTTATGGCCAGCTGCAGGATGTCGAGCAAGTCTTGTTCAGTCGCAGGATAAATATGCGATGTGATATTAGTCTGTTGCCGTGGTGTCACGGCAACATAACCCACGTCTCCAATGGGTCCAATGTCAATAACAGATGCCACTAGGCCATGGGCCCGTCGGTATTGGACAAAGGCATCCAAGAATGTGTTGGCAGAGGCATAATTAGCTTGACCGAAGTAACCAAAAAGACCGGCCATAGAGCTGAACAGGACAAAAAAGTCTAGCTCGGTAGGAAGAAGCCGGTGCAGATTCCATGTTCCTGCTATCTTTGGGTGCGTGGTCGCCTTCCATGATTCCAAGTCCATATTCATAACCCCGATATCGTTGAGAACCATGGCCATCTGCATAACTCCGGCAATAGGGAATGGGGCGGCTTTGACAAGGCTTTGAACAACAGCCTCGTCAGCCACATCGCCAGCGTAAAATTGAACGCGACAGCTACTTTCCTTCAATTCAGCAAAAATGTGTTGATCTTCTTGTCGCTGACCAGCCGAGCGAGACAGGAATATAAGGTTTCTCGCGCCGTGCGAGACCATCCAAGAAGCAATAGCTTTGCCTAGCCCACCAGTCCCACCGACAAGCAGATAGGAGGCGTCTGCACGGAAGATAGGATCCGGTATACTCGGTGCTGGCCGGAGAGCCAACTCGCTATCTTCTTCCACGTCAGGGTCAGGAAATCGGATGACAAGCTTACCGACGTGAAGGCCTTGTTGCAGACATCGGTACGCATCTTCCACGCGACTAGCTTCGAAAATAGTGACTGGGTTTATAGGGTGTATGTGGCCACGCTTGTAAAGGTCCATAATCATCTGGAGAGCGCGTTGAGTTCGGGGCGAGTCCGCAATAGTAGTGGATGCGTCGACGCAGCTAAAGGTGCGGTTTGAGCCGAAAGGCGACATAGCCAGTTGGGCATGACCCAGTATATCGCGCCTGCCAATCTCCACCATGTGCCCATGTTCGGCCACACAACGCCATGACGAGTGTAACAATCCACCAGATAGCGAGTTGAGTACCACATCAACACCTCTGCCACCTGTGGCCGCCATAATGCTAGAGACAAAGCTCTCGTTGCGTGACGCAAAGATTCGTTCACGCGGTACGCCCATTTTCGTAGACAGAAAGTTAGCCTTCTCCTCTGTTCCTGTGGTGACAAAAATGTCCAGACCAAGCCAGCGGGCCATATGAATGGCGGCTATGCCAACCCCTCCAGCTGCGCTATGGATGAGCAATGACTGACCGCGCTGCATGTGAGCTCTCTCGACAAGGGAAATGAGAACTGTATAGTAGACAATGGGCATAGTAGCAGCGTCTTCGTCGCTCAATCTGTCTGGAATCTCCACGCAATAGTCTGCCCGCCGTTTCACATGGGTCGCGAATGCTGGAGACGTACTCCCCATACACATTACGCGGGAACCAGTCTTGATACTTTGCACCTTTGAGCCCACGGCTACGATGCGACCCACGCCTTCGGTACCAAATGTCGTGAGTCCACCGCTACGCCCGTCCAAAGAATCAATCTGTATGATTCCAAGGGCGCACATGACTTCTCGGAAATTCATGCCAACAGTGCAAGTCTGGACCAGAACTTCGTCCGGCTCCAGCGCTGGCAACTCATGGTTGCGCCACTGCAGTGACTGCAACATGCCACGCTGGCCCACGACCAATCTCTTAGCCGTGAGGCCGTGACTGACAGCTGTTTCGGTCAGAGCTTTCTCCACCGGAAACCAGTGGAAGCGACCGATGCGAATGGCGCCGTCAGTCCACACATATTCCAAGTCTGAGTCCAGCTCTCTTTCCACGTCCACAAGTCTTGCATGCTGTAACTTGCGCAAGACGTCTGCGACGACACCGGCTGCTCCTGTGCCCGTGTGCTCGAGCTCCAAAGTAGCAAAATCCATAGCCAATTCTGCCCTCACCGTACGCGCAAATCCTAGGATTTGTCCAGCATGTGGATCCTGGCAGAGCATTTGCGCAGGCTTGCTGAGCCAAACAAGAGTAGATTGGGAAGTGATATCGACTGTTTGTAACAAGATTTGTAGATCCGTCTCGTCGATATCTTGCAAGATAGGTGTGCTGCGCCCTTCGATATCCACAAAAGAGATGAGGTCCTGATCAGGGGGAGGCGTGCCTTCGCCCCATATGCAATGGTCCACGTGATATCCTCGTTTCTCGAGTTCCTTTTGGGTAGCTAATACGAGTTGGCCTGGTTCGTCCGTTCCTGTCAGCAGGCTGATTCGATCTGGATAAACATGCCCGAACTTCGGTCGGGCGATCATGTTGGCATTCATATAATATGGTCGCTCGCCATCAACCATCAGTGATTCGATACCATCGAAACCGGCCTTGCAAAGCCGAATGTTCCACTCCTCGGGCGAAATGAAAGGCTCGTCTTTACGCCCATCGTCTTGACCTTCCCACCAGCCTGCAAAGAGACCCATAACGAAATTGGCGTGTTTAGTGATAGGCGAAAGCTCTTGAAGAAACAACCGCCCATCAGGCTGAAGGAGTTTTCGACAGTGTGTAAGGGTCTGTACTAAACACGGTGTGGCGTGCAGTACGTTCGACGCGACAATCAAGTCGTATGAACCCATCTCGAATCCCTGCTCTAAAGGGTCCTTCGAGATGTCTAGCACCTTATACTCCATCCCTTCATAGTCACCAAATCGTTCTTGAGCTTGGACAAAAAATCCGGACGATATGTCGGTAAAGGTATAACCGTGATACAGCCGCTCACCGAAGTCGGATTCTAGACACTGGAGAATCTTGTGTGTCAACCCTCCTGTGCCAGCGCCAATCTCCAGAATCCTAAGCTGAGGATAGTTGTTACCTAACAAAGGGAACATTGACGTTAAGTCTTGAAGGTTGTTCATCCAATCATACACTTGTGGGAGAAGATTATCTTGCAATATTAGGTCAAGGAAATCCACACGCCCCTCAATAATATCGGAAAGGTGCAGGTACGACTTCCAAATGGCTTCACCAAACGGTCTAGCTTTTGCTTTTCGTAAGGTTGCAGTGGATTCTTCGATTTGGTGACAGCGTGTTGTGCTGTCGAGGGTCAGCAAATGGGCCGAGTCGTTTACCAGAGGATAATCGGGTTGACTAAAGCGCTGCATTTGTTCGTCGAGCCAGGATATGAATATTTCGAAATGTCTCTTCGAAGGAGAGACTAACTCCAATCGTTTTCGCCCTTCTATAGCGCAGAGCACATATAGCCGTTCCAGCATTGCGAGCTCGCTTCTCATGTCGTAGCTGGGCTTCATGAGTGTGGAAGGGTCCGCGAAATCAAAGTCAGGTTTCCATTGCAAATACTGAACCTGCAGCTCATTCGTCTTGCACTCGCTTGGGGTATCGAGCGGCGTCCCCTCGAATCCTCGTAATGAGAATGCAGGTTTCCCGTCTACGAACCCATACGAATATGCTCGATTATCTTCTTCGGACATCACAAAATCGATATTTGCCGAACTCAAGTTGCCAACAAAAAGTTCCTCGATGAATGTTGGTAGTGATAGGTGGGTGAGCTTACGGTAGACGCCACTGGTACTAGCTACTGTCCAGGACTGGAAGATGGCATCTATTGTTGATGGATGGAGAGCATACGCAGACTCAGATTCTTCCTGTCTGTCGGTCACACTAGCTGAAGCAATTCTGGCTTCAGTGGAAGCTGTGATAGTGCGCAGCCCTGTAAAACGTGGTCCATAATTTAAACCAATTCGAGCCATGGTCTTGTACCATCGATCGGTGTTTACCTTACGAACGAAGGTTTTTGCTTCGAGCGGGAGCATTGATACAACTTCTCCGCTGGTCACTAGACCGTGGCAGTGTCTTGTCCATCCGCTTGCGTTGTGCGACACTATGGTAAACTCGTACCAATCGCTGTCTTTTCTCGCGGTGAGCTTTTGGCGCCTCATGGTTGTTATAATTTCCGTATGTTCGTCGTCTTTCAGTAACATAGCGTTTTCGAGGTGCACGTTTCGAACAGTATACGAGATGTCGCCGTTGTCTTGGATCTGCGATACCGCCTCACCAGCCATGGCAATATATGCAGCTGCCGGGAAAACGATATCACGACCAACGACGTGGTCTCGCAACCATGGCACATCAGCCATCCGTAACACGTTCCTCCACGTCGGTTCAATATCACTGGACTCAATGGTCCGAGATCCTAACAAGTCGTGGGCAGTGTGACTTCGAAAGCGCAAGCTCTTCATCAGTCGTGTCTCGGACCAATATGCCGTTTCATGATGCCATGGATATGTTGGAAACTGAGGAAGCACTTTTGCATGAGCTGGGATAGGCGGTTGAAGACAGACTCCGGCACCATATAGTCGACCGAGGGCATTGAGATAGGCATCTGTGTCATTCCCACCCCTTCTGAGGACTGACAAGTAGTTCACTGGCACCCCTCTTTCTGCGTATATTTGTCTCAAGGGACCGGCCAGTGCAGAGTGGGGTCCTATTTCTAAGTGTATATTTGCTTGGGGACATTCTTCTAGTAGTGCGTTCACCGCAGCATGGAAGAGGACCGGATTTTCCAAATTTTGCCTCCAATACTGGGCTCCCAAGTCATAGTTTTGACGAACTACATCAGCGTGAACGCTGGATACGAAAAGTGTGTGCGGAGCTCGTGCTTTTATGAGACCGCGGACAAGAGTCTCATACTTTTCGCCTGCACCTCGTACATGATCTAGCAAAATATCGTTAGTATATAGCGACTTGGTAATAGTGAACAATTAAGGAGTATCATAACTTACTCGTATGATATGCAATCTCCACATCCAGTTTGCGTATCGGTGCGTCTGGATAGCTGCGCCTAATTGAAGCTATACATTTCTCTAACAACAACAAGTCGCCACTGATAGTTACGCTTTTGTTGCTATTTTCACACGCAATGGAAACACCTTTGACGAGGTATGGTTCCACTACATCGCGCCCTAGGCCTACCGCTGTCATACCACCACGCTGCTCCACTGGACTTGCGAATACGAAACCCCGATAATAAGCCACTACAATGGCCTCTCTCATGGACAAAGCTCCAGCGGTATAGGCGGCCGCAATCTCACCGCTAGAATGTCCGACTATGCCTTCAGGTGATATACCCCATGCTTTCAGCAACTGTACAACAGCTATTTGTAAAGCCGTGCAAAGAGGTTGTGAAATCGCAGGGCTTTTCAAAACGGCTTTGTCCTTGCAATGAAGTATGAGGTCTTCGATGGAGAACGAAGGTGCATGGTCCAGAGACTGGAGAACTTCATCGATGCTCCGAATACTTTCTCGAAAGCTAGGAAAGTCGTGAATCAATTCGCGCCCCATGTGGATCCATTGCGCTCCTTGTCCAGTGAAAATAAAAGCCACTTTTGCAGATCGTTTCGTTTGAGATTCCGTACAGTTGACAACTTCGAATGGGGTTGTGCCATTTGTCACGGAAAAGGCTCGCAGTTTCAGGTGCTCTCTTCTGTTGGCGAGTGTGTAGGCCACTGAATCTAAGTCATCGACGTGTGTTTCCATGTAGACTTGGCATTGGTTAATGGATTTAGCAAGTGATGGTTGGCTATTCGCGGAGAATAAAAGCAATCTTCTCACGTCCTTCTTTAAGTGTCCAGAGCTCTTCTGGACTTCTTCAGATTCAACATGAGTCCTTGCAGAATCCAGAATAAACTAGCGGGGTCTTGTCAGCTTCAGGGTTAGGGTGAAAGGGTGGGGAATAGTTACATGAACATTCGAGCCGCCAATACCGAAGGAATTAACGCTCATTCTCTCACAGCGACTTTTTGGCCATGCAATTGGAGAGGTAGGTACCGTCAGCTTGGCTTCTGCCCAGGGAACTGCGTCTGATAAGTATAATAATCTGCAACACCTCAAGGCTACATATTAAATACGTACTTTTGGGGTTCGGATTGACGAATTTAATATTGGGCAAGATAGTTTGTTGCTCCAGAGATAGGACGGCCTTCATGATGCTGGTGATCGCGGAGGCGCCCTCCGAGTGACCGAGGTTCGGTTTGACTGAGCCGATATACACTCCATGATCTCCAAAGCAACTGGCAACAGCTGCAACCTCCAGGGGATCACCCTTTGCAGTTCCAGTTCCGTGGCACTCGACCATTGCTGTTGTTCTGAGATCGAGACCTGCGTTTGCGTAGGTCTGACGGATCAAAGCTTCATGTGCAATCTTATTAGGCTCCAACAATCCTCCATTCGTTCGGCCATCTGCGTTGCACGCTGAAGCGCGTATAACGGCTCGAACCGGATTACCATCTCGAATTGCATGGTCGAGACGTTTGATGTATAAGCATGAGATGCCCTCGGCCCTAGCGTAACCGTCTGCTGCTGCGTCAAAGGTCTTTGAGGAACCGTCCGGGGATAGAGCAAGAGTTTCTGACATTACGATGGACAGAGTTGGCGAAATGAGAAGATTTGCACCCGCTACAAGTGCGGACGGAATATCTCCAAGCCGAATTGCTTGTAGTGCTTCGTGGAGAGCGATTCCCGCGGAGGAACATGCTGTTTTCAGCGTCATGCTATACGAGTTTGACAGTCAGCACAAGTGACGTCTCTCAATTTGCCTCTGCCAGTACTAACCTCGGTCCTTTCAGGTCATACTCGTAAGAGAGTCTGTTTCCCAGCATAAAATCGTGCTTTCCCGAAAGCATATATGGGCCGTGATCATTTAGATCCCTAGTTTGCAGTTCATGCCAGTCCTCTGAATATATCGCCGTATACGTTCCGATTTTCTCGCCTCGGAATTTTGATTCGCCGGCACTTTCAAAGGCCTCACGGGCTACCTCGAGAAGAAGTCGTTGATTGGGGTCGAGACGACTGACTTCAGCTGGTGTCATGCTGAACATGGTTGTATCAAATTTGCTGAGATCCACATCATCCAGAAAGTAGCCGTATCTGGATGCGACCGTACCAAGCTTGCCGTATGCGTTGTGGTATGCATCAATATTGTACCTACTCTTTGGTACCTCGCTTCGCGCGTCTTTCATCTGGATGAGCAGCTCGTAAAGATCTGAATCCGTGTGAACGCCGCCAGGCAACCGCATCCCCATACCACAGATTGCAATAGGCATGTTATTGGGATCAGAGCGAGTTGATGTATTGGGATCACTCCAATTGGTCTCGTTCTTGTGCCCATTGTGATTTCCGTTCGGGCTATCATTAGCACAATTGCCATTTCGATTGACCGAATGTCGACCATCACTACTTTCCTTGCTTATCACAGGAACTTCACTAATAGATCCCATGATATTCGTCGACTATGTACAGGCGATTAGATTGTAATAAGGGTCTCTCCGTTCGCGGATGAAGGGCGAATAGACAGAGGATGAAAGAGAATCAAGTATGCAGGTACGTGTGATGTATACTCAACTCCTTCCTGTCGAGACATACCAGACGGCTCTGATCTATACTAAATATCAGCCGTATTCTGGGCCGGTGTGGAACTTTTCCCATAAGCCACATTAGGATTCCATCGGAAAGTGGTTTCAGGCGGTGTGGAGATGTGTCAGAATGCATTAGGGTCCCGAATCTGTATCATCTCGAAAAGAATGGGATAGTCGCTTTGGGATACAGAAAAGCAAAATTGTGTATCTATCGGGTGGCTTTTGAGCCCACATATGATCATACATGTAAGCTCATTGGTGGATGAGGGTCCCTGGAGAGAGCTCTCAACAAAATCATCGGTAAGGAAGCTTGGACCCAAGACGAAACCTTCTCGAGCATGCTACAGCATGCCACGTTCTATAAATATTCAGCAACCATCTCTAGTAGGATGATCGTGAAAGAACCGATCGATTCGGGCAACAAAAAATTGATTGCTTCGTTGGGATTGCGAGTTTGAGGGTAACATCGATAGTATATACGACACAACACAACTACGACACATTGATGAGCCTAGTCGCTTCCTCGAACTTTGTGCATTCTAGACTATGAGAAGCGTACTAAAACTCAGAACTCGGGCAGCTGGACACACACGTTCAAACCTTGTATGACGTTACGTGCAAGAAGAAGCAGAAAAAGACCAATGCTCGCGCTTGGCGCCACATCATCTTTTGCAGTTTATACGCCATAGGGAGTTGATATTGATTGACCGGCTTTATAGGTCTTAATTGCTGCTTTATCTTGAACAAGCCAGCTCATTATCTAAGTCTAGGAGCAGGATCCCGACCACAAGACCGAAAAGCGCATTCCCTTCGTACTACCATACCAGTGAATTTATAATGGCAACTTCTCGACAAATTGACCGCCGTGCTTCGAAGCCTCGTACAAGGGATATGAGGATCCTCGCCTTGGGATTCAGTCGAACTGGCACAATCTGTTAGTCGGTTCCCTTCCCAGCTTGTCGTATCTGGGAATTCACTAATATATATGGTCATCCAGCGCTCAAAATTGCATTAGAAAAGTTGGGATATCACCCATATCATGGCTCAATAGCTATTCGAAGTTGGAAAGATGATCATTGGATTTTATGGGAGGAGGCTCTTCGTGCGAAATTTCTCGGCGATGGGGAGCCTTATGGAAGAGAAGAGTTCGATAAGTTTCTGGGTGACTATGATGTGAGTTCACTTGCTGATATTTCGATCTTCTGTTTCGTCACCTTCGCTTCTAAAGTGATGTTTTGTGGTACTTACAAGCAAAATACTGATGAGTCCTAGGTGCTCGAGGATGTACCCAGCATTCTATTTGCGGAAGAATTGATGGAAGCATATCCGGACGCGAAAGTCATTTTGACTACCAGGTCGGTAGCTTCCTGGCTGAGAAGCATGAGCAATACCGTTCTGAAGATTTTCGAATGGAAAACTTTGCCTTATGTTGCATCAGTCGATCGTGTACGTCTTTCTCCTACTTCCGATCTTCTCTTGCGAACTTTCCCGGCTGACAGGTTCAAGAAACTGTTCGGCCCATTAACTAGATCCTTGTCCATTATCTTGAGGCATTGGGGTAACGGCGACCCTTTAGATGGTGCTGCCCTTCAGCAGGCGTACATCAACCACTATGCGTACGTTCGCTCTGTAGTCCCCTCTTCCAATCTGTTGGAGTTTGAAAGCAAGCAAGGCTGGGAGCCTCTGTGTAGGTTTCTCGGCAAGGACATACCGAATGAAGATTACCCGCGCACAAACGATTCTGCGGACATGGTGAAAAAATTCGGAATACTTTATTGGCGTGCATTGGCGAGGGTCAGCCTCATACCATTGAGTGGTCTTTTGGTGCTTGCATTGGCTATATCGAAGGGACCAAGTGTGTACACCTAATAGGTAGAACCTAGGGCACCGTGCACTTATTCTTATCTACATATGTGGGTAGTAATGTTTGGTTACGGTGATCAACGTGATCCTTCTCACACATAAAAATGACTTCAGACGAGAGAGTGACAATGCGCTTATTTGCTCCAGCCTCTCACAGCTTAGCATTGAACTCGATCTTGTATATGGCTATGGCACCGATGTTTCTTTTGATCTCGCTTATTCTTTTGTTACTACTTGCAAGGCACAGTTTCATGTAGACATAGAAGACAGTAAACCCCTTTACCAAATATCAAAACATACCAAGTGAGCATAGGCAGTATACAAATTGCTATATGGTTTAGCATTGGAGAGGCTTTTAGAATAATAAGACAATGCTTAAAGGGAAGGTTGCATCGACTATGGTGATCAAGAGGCATGAATGGTCCGACCCCGCATATGCACCTTGATTAGGCAGGAGCAAATTGCATCAGGTGTGACGTCGATGAAGTACCAACATTTGAAAATCATCTAAAGAGATGGACATGATATGATGTGATGGTTCTTCATTCTTGATTCAATCTACCATCTATCTTATTCAACATGTCTCGACATTTGGTGTTGTCGATTATCGCATCCTTAGTGCTACCTTCGGCCGCCGTCAAATACACGAAGCGTGCGAACGACACAGATATATTAACCTATGTGAACCCGCTAATCGGATCACAAAAAGGCGGCAATGTGTTCGCTGGAGCGACACTGCCTTATGGTATGGCAAAAGGTAAGTGATCACCGTTGCTGTGTTCCCAATGAACAACCTGGTACAAAAGATTTGCCCCAAAGACATTGCTTGTTCCTATTTTCGCTAATCAAAACATTTTCTGCTCTGTCTTAATTCTCATCTACACTCCTTGATCTTCGGTTCGATACTGACATGTGCCATAGCCGTGGCTGATGTAGACGGTGAAAACACGGGTGGTTTCTCTACCGACGACTCCAACATCACCGGGTTCTCCATACTACATGATTCTGGAACTGGAGGCAATCCTTCACTGGGAAATTTTCCAATATTTCCCCAGATATGCGCCAGCGATGATATTAACACGTGCAATTTTCCCATCGGAGCTCGAGCTACTCATTATCAAAGCGATTCGGTTGTGGCTAAGCCAGGCTATTTCGGACTCACTCTAGACAATGGTATCAGCGCTGATATGGCTGTTTCTAAGCATGCTGCTCTTTTCCGGTTTGACTTTTCGGGAAGCACCACCAATGGCAGTTCGGATCCTCTAATTCTGCTTGACTTGACTGATCTTTGGCAAAGCCGCCAGAATGCCTCGATCAGTGTGGACGCTATTGAAGGAGCTGATTCGGGAAGAATTAAAGGGAACGGGACCTTTCTCCCTAGCTTCGGTGCAGGCTCCTATGTGGCGTACTTTTGTCTGGATCTGTCCGGAGGAGCCATCAAAGATTCTGGAGTCTGGGTCAATGATCGAGCCGGAACAGAACCGAAAAATGTATACATTACGCGGGGTTTCAACCTGTTCTATCTCCAGGGCGGTGGCTTTGTTCGTTTCAAGGAACCCATAACCGGCCAGATATCTGCGCGAATGGGTATCAGTTTCATCAGTACAGACCAAGCATGCTCAAATGCGGAGAAAGAGATCCCTGGTCCTGAATATGACTTCGACGGTCTAGTGGAGACTGCACAAGACGTCTGGCGCGAGAAGCTCGCCCCCGTATCAGTCAAACCTGGCAATGCCGATGAGAACTTGTTGACCAGCTTTTGGAGCGCTGTGTATCGAACCATGATCTCGCCGCAGGACTATAGTGGAGAGAACCCACACTGGCAGTCCTCAGAGCCATACTTTGACTCGTTTTATTGTCTCTGGGACATGTGGCGTGTACAACTCCCGTTCCTCACCATCGCAGATCCAAACCAGCAATCCCGTATAGTGCGCAGTTTACTCGATACCTATAAACACCGAGGCTGGCTTCCTGACTGCAGCATGAGCACGTGCAAAGGTTGGACTCAGGGTGGGTCAGACGCAGATAATGTTCTGGTAGATGCATATGTCAAGAATCTGACTGGCATTGACTGGGAGCTTGCCTATGAGGCCATCGTCAACGATGCAGAAAACGAGCCTTTGGAGTGGAGTATCGAGGGTCGGGGCGGACTAGCAAGCTGGAAACGTTTAAACTATATTCCTTACTTAGATTTCGACCCCAACGGCTTCGGCACCAATTCGCGAAGTATCTCAAGGACGCTAGAGTACGCATATAACGATTTCAATCTGGCGACACTTGCTAAGGGGCTCGGCAAAGATACGTACGCAAAGTATCTCGCCCGTGCAACGAATTGGCAGAATCTTTTCAAGTCTGACCAAACTTCATCCATCGATGGCACTGATACCGAATTCAAGGGCTTTTTCCAGCCGAAGTACCTGAATGGGACATGGGGGTTTCAAGACCCCGTTGCTTGCTCTCCATTAGCTGGCTTCTGCTCGCTGACGTCGAACCCGAGTGAGACGTTTGAGAGTAGTGCTTGGGAATACATGTTCTTTGTTCCTCACGATATCAGGAAGATTGTTGAGCTTCTGGGTGGAGAGGAAACGTTTATAAACAGACTAGACTTTTTCCATTCAAGTGGATTGGCCGACATTGGAAATGAGCCAGTCTTTCTTACAGTATACATGCCTCACTATGCTGGAAGGCCAGGGCTGAGCGCAAAGAGGGTTCGAGACTGTGAGTGGATACTTTCAAGCCTGAGGTACCTTTGAGTTGATGTGACTGATGAGCACAGATATACCATCGCGCTTTAACGCGTCTCTGCCTGGGCTTCCTGGTAATGACGACTCCGGGGCTATGGCCTCCTTCCTCCTCTTCTCGACCATGGGACTCTTCCCCAATCCTGGACAGAACGTATATCTCATATCTCCACCCTTCTTCGAATCAGTCAGTGTCACCAATGCGCTGACCAACAAAACCGCGACCATCAAGAATGTGAATTACTCAGCTGGCAACGGTACCACAGGTAGCAATGTGTGGATTCAGAATGCCACATTCAACGGTGAGCCGTGGACCAAGAGTTGGATTGGCCACGAGTTTTTTACTGAGGGTGGCCTTCTGGAGTTGACACTTGGGAATGCAGAAAGCGAATGGGGTACAAGAGAAGAAGACAGGCCGCCGAGTATGTCGGTTGGGCAGATGGAAACTCTGCAAATGTGAATGTGAACATAGAAAGCAGCTACATGCGACACTTGATCAGAATATGATTATAATGCCAGGTCTGCAAAACCACATCTATGCTAGGCTGATATTCAGGTGCTTGACCTCCAAATACTTCCGACGAACGTTGATCAGATAAGATGAGCCCCTTATTGAGCCCCGAGATTGTGGCGTCTTGGCAAGGTCAGCCAATGATGGCGCGACCACCCCTCTCGCCACCTCAGGGTCCATTTGTCCAAGCTCACATTTCACCGAAATCCTGAGAGCGGCAGGCCGCCATTATTCCTCCTTTCCTACCACCTTACTCAATCGCTCTTTACATTCTTTTTTGGGCTGTTCAAGCAAAGTCACAATGAAGTCTTCCGTCTCTACTGCCACGCTGCCGTCTAAGGAGCCCACAAAACGGACCTTTACTGTTCAAGCGGAGGAGAAGGAGGGCGCCGACATGCACACCGAGTCTATCAGTACCGATAATGACCAAGATAGCTTTTTCTGGACCTATACCGAGGAGCCCCATCGAACACGCCGAATGGCAATCATCAAGGCGCATCCAGAGGTACGTTGTTGACTATTCTCTAGGCAGAAGACGGCTCACTCATACTTCACACACAGGTAACCAAGCTCTGCGGTCCCGAATCGCTCACTAAATACGTTGTCACCTTCGTCGTTGCCCTTCAAGTCCTCTGCGCCTACCTCCTTCGCGATTCAGCCGTACTGTCATGGCCGTTCTTTCTCACAGCTTACATCATTGGTGCCACTGCGAACCAGAACCTCTTCTTGGCTATCCATGAAATCTCGCACAACCTGGCATTCAAGAGTCCATTGGCGAACAGGGTGTTTGCCGTTTTTGCAAACCTACCGATTGGAATCCCATACAGCGCTTCATTCAGGGTGTGTATTTAAAATGCCCCCATAATAGATGCGTAGGGACAGGATAGCTGTACTAATGCGGAATTAGCCATACCACCTGACGCATCATAAATCGCTGGGCGTGAACGGTCTCGATACCGACCTACCCACCACCTTCGAAGCGCTGTTTCTCGACTCCGTTTTGGGCAAAGCATTTTTCGCGACCTTTCAAATCCTCTTCTACGCCCTACGCCCTATGTTCATCTACAGCCTGCCAATGACCAAGATCCACCTTTTCAACGTAGTCGTCCAACTCGCATTCGACTATGCCCTAGTCCAGCTCGCTGGAGGCAAAGCACTCGCATACCTGATCCTCAGCAGCTTCCTCGCTGGCAGCCTGCACCCCTGCGCCGGCCACTTCATCGCCGAGCACTACGTCTTCGAGAAACCCGCCGTGGATGCGCTCAACCCTGCAAACAAAATCCCCATCCCGGAGACGTACTCGTACTACGGTATTCTCAATTTCTTCACATACAACGTCGGCTTGCACAACGAGCACCACGATTTCCCCGCCGTGCCCTGGACTCGCCTGCCCAAGCTCAACCGCATCGCTCACGAGTTCTACGACGATTTGCCCATCCACACGAGCTGGGTCAATGTCATTTGGCAGTTCGTCTGGGATAAAGACGTTAGTCTCTGGTGCCGTGTCAAGCGAGAGGAAGGCGGCAGGAAGGTTGGAGCAGGTGCTAGTGGATGGAACGAAGAAGAGTTGGGCGCCAACGAGAAGAAGGGTCCTATCCCTGGTGTTCGGTAGATGTCGCGTTTCATGCTGTAATCATGATTCAGTCTGGCGGTAGCGCACAGTTGTGTACACCGAATTGCATTTCACGGCGTTCTTGCACGAAACAGGGTATATAGAGTTGAGCGATGGAAGCTAGAGATGAAGAAGATCGAATGATTCCTAATATTTCATGGTCCATCTTGGTGGGGGCTGTCTTCTGTTGCGGTGAGGTCTTATGACTATGTGATCTTGGAAGCGCTGTGCTATGTGTAATTTGTGATGCGAGTTTGGAAGAACCACCCAACTAAGGTGAGGAGAGGGTGCTATCAACCCCTTGAAAACATGGATATAAATACAATACATAACTGGGCTACGTTTCCTTTGCTATCGTTGCTACGTATCGATGTGCCACCAACGATGCTTGTATGTATATACATAACAGAGAGCATGTAGCGTAATGCATGTGTCATCAAATGTCTTCTCAGTGTATGTTATCTCCACGGCTGCTCAATCCAGTCCAACCCTCCTCGCTATCTCGCCGAGGGTAAATTTCTCCTCCGAAAAAGAAAGGCTGTGATTTGACAAGCACGTTGCGTCCTGAGTCGTTGGCGTTTTCCCCAAACCGGGTTTGATCTTCTTTTTTCCCCTCCTTGTTTACCTCTTTTCACGTGTACTTTACTTTGTATGAACAAAGGGCGTGGGGAGTTGGAAAGGGGGGGGGGGGGAATATCAGGTAGATATGGAGAGTAAAAGCAGTGGCTTGATTCACTTGAGCTGGGATGACGAGGATGTTTTCTGATCGGGTTGCAAGTTACGTATATTGGCTCTATGGGAAAGCGAAAAGAAAAGAGAGAAGAAAAAAAATGTTGAGATCGATGGATAAGTCGACATCGAGATGTCTACGTAGAGTGCAATCTACAAAGTTATAAAGAGCTAGACCGGCACTGATGTGTGCCTTCCCTCAGCCGTGCGTGAAAGGAGTGCAAGGGGGGCGGGTATTACCGTCTGCGATACTAAGATATTGGTCAAGACACATGTAGAAAGGATTAGCTGTACAGAAGGAAATAATGCATGTCGATCTACTGCACTCCCACTACGTAACTGTTCGAGGCCCGTTATCTGCATCATGGGTCCTTGTCATCGGGTTGGCTGGGTATGTTGTGTCTACGGAGTAAGGATAGATGTACGCGAGGGAAAAGTAGTGCGTGGGTGACATTCTGTAGACAGTAGTGAGGTTTACAAAGGGTTAGTCGGGATACCAAAGAAGAGTAGAGCTGCGCTTCTGGTGGGAGATGGCTGGGGGCGTATAGCAAGGGCTGTTCTCCATGGGCGGCAAGTGATGTATGACCGTGGGGTGGTTTATTCCCATTGATGGCATGTATTTTGTCGATGGTTCATGCGTAGTTTAGTTCGCTATCTATCGTGAAGAGGGAAGAAGAAAGGGGGTGTGTGGAGCCTTGCAAGTGACGTCTTCGCAAAGACCAAATTTGTTAGCCCGCAAACTCCCAAGCATCGTCGTTCAACAGATGCTCTACTCCAACAGGCAATGTCTAGATTTTTCACCGTCGCGAACGGTCTGTGGTGAAGGGGAGAGTCTACGAGTGCGCGATGATGTCCAGGCCGTCTTCGGCAGACGTGCAAGCGAGATGAGACATGAGCTATGGTTGGATGGGCTTTTCTGATTTTTCAGTTGAGTGCCACCAATGGCGAACCGTCGTCGTTGCGCCGCCCGGATATGCGAGGAACGCTGGACGGTTGCTGGCGGTGTTTGCGCCATCAAAGAGGGAAGGCTCCGGATCTGCAAGTGTCTTCTAAGCAGCTTACATCGGCTTCTGGTACCGAGCCAGCAGGTGCGACGCGATACTGGTACCTGGCAGTGGTGTTGTCACATCAGTCGAATAGCATCCACCGGAGACAATAACACGCCGTTCGCTCCAGGGGAAGTTGATAGCATGAGGCTGGCTCCAGGTGCTGTGACGTCATGCGGCTGGACTCATCTACCGTGATCCTCGAGCGGCAGACGGTGTGCTCCATTCCCCCCAACCAACCAACCAACTAAACCAACGGCGTGTCTGGATGTCAACAAAGATGGTTCGCGAAATTGCAGTTCCTTCCGGTCAGGTGGTTAGTTAGTGCGCGAGTGCGTAATGGATCGGATCGGAAAGAAACGGGAAGATGGCGGGATGTCGTGACTTGTAGATTTATCTTTGCGCCGTGAATCATGGGTGATGGAAGCTTGACCGTTGCGGACCGGCCAGGGTAACGATTTCCATGTCGTGATTTACAAGCCATGTTCGCGAAGTGAATCAGGATGCCCATCTACATTGCGGTCCCGCACAAATGACCAGGTTACAAAGCGGCGGGCTGAACTGAATTGGCATCATGTGTCGAGTAGAGTTTTGCTCTCATTTGACTCCCCCTGAGCGAGTACCGGCTGGCGCGTGAATCGATCGCGATGAGGTGAGCAGATACTTAGCAGAGTCGGCGTGCGTGGTGTACAAGTTGGAAGCGAGAGCCAAAAGTGCGCAACAAGTCATCCTAGGCCCGTGTCGTTTTTTCTTCTTCTTTTAATTTCATCGACTCATCACCACGAGGGCTGCGACAGATGATGGTTGATGGTGAAACGCAACAAGCAAGTTTCCAATCAAGCATGGCGGGCGGTCCACTTTTGGCTGGCGGGTTATTTCCGTGGGCTGGACGGCAGACTTTTGAAGTTTGAAACCGGGCGAGGGCGACAGCAAAATGGGAGGACGGGATGCCCCCTACAATGGAGGGATTAGCCCCGATGGCATCATGGTGCTGTGTCGGAGCGGACCATGGGCGGGTATCGTGAATCCTGACGATCGGCAGATCTGATTCGGGAGAGTGGGCCGAGCAGGCAGGCCGGGGGGTTGGTTGCACAAATGATGGACAAGTCACGCCAACGTGGTCCGAGGCTTGTGCAGGGAACACAGGCACAAATGCAAATGATTAAGTGGGCGATTCCACGGCGCTGGTCGAGTGGGGACGGCGCTGGGCCAGGTGAGAAGGGCATGGTGCCATGTGGTGTGATGGACGGCTGTGAGCAGCGTCGCGGAGCAACTTCAGTCTCCGGTTTTCCCTCTGGGCCGTGGGTGGAGACTTGGGACAAGTCCGAGCTTCTTCTACGTGTGTTGTGTGTGTGTGTGCTGGCAATTGAGGAGCCATGGAAGGTGTGCTCAGATCAAGGGATGGCGCAAGGCAGCAACGCAACGGGAAGCGCAATATCAAAAAGGAACATCAATAAGAAGAATTTTCTTCTCTCTCTCCTCTGGCTTGCTGTTGTTGGGGCCGGAGCACAGCAAGACGCCACGCACGACAGCAATGACGAGAGGGTGTTGTGGCGATGGTTCGTTCATGATGGCAGTGTGCGTCGGTAGCGACGATCAATGAGTTATTTAGCTGAATAGGTATGCTATGTACTGTAGGTGGATAGGTGGGCTAGCAGGCAAGCAGGCAGGTAGGGGGAACACAGGCACACGCACGCACGCACAGAAAGGCAGGCCGTGAGTGGAGAGAGAGTGGTGGTGATAAGACAGGACGGGGGTTGTTACTGCAAAGAGGGGGAGTGCGTGGGATGGCTGTCGGCCTCTGTTTGGACGAGAGTCGCAGTGCTTGGCTTCCCCGCACGCCGCCCAGGACGGGCCGAAACGAATCGTCATGGGGCAGAGGCAGAAGCAGAGGCAGAGAGGCAGAGAGGCAGAGGCCAGTGGACCCTCGTTTCTGCTGCTGCAGTCTGCTGCAGTAGCTAGTCAACCCCAATGAGACTCTCCTGAGACCCGTCAGTCTTGTGCCCGCCAGACCTGGCCAACCCCAACACGCCCACACGACGACGCCTACGACGACGCCTACGACTGCGGGCGACGACGACGACGACGCAGGTAGGCAGGCGACGCATGCACCCATCCACCCATGATGCACCCATCCCACCCAGCTAGCCAACCAAGTGCCCTCGCTCGCTCTCCTCAACAGCTTGCGGCCCGCCAGCGAGGGCGAGCCCATGCTCTACTCTACAGTAGCTACCGCCTAGGGTCCCGTCGCTCGGTGCCTCTCTTTGGTCCCTTTGCCCTTCTCCCTATCAGTCTCCCTCCTGCATCCACCTTGGGGGGGGGGAAGGTCATGGCTGTAAAAATGATTGATTCCATCCATTCCCCCACCCTGCACCCATCTACCCATGTTTTATATCTGTGCATCTGCCCGTCCACACCTATGTAGGGTACCGCTGCTTGGCCTGTCGCAACATGACAAACGTACAGTAGGGCGCCACAAACCCCCTCCTGCTTCATCAAATCCCTCGCCCCCCTCTCCTGTGAGACACCATGCAAGAACAAAGAGCCCAAGGAACGTCTTCGGCGTCACTACACGTCTTGCGTGTTTGCATGTTTGTCTGCGTCTCTATGTGTGTGTGTGTCTGGGGCGGCATGGTGGTGCCTTCCATTGCTGTGTCAAGCTAGCCAAACTACATGCTATATATGTGTCTGCGACAAGCTGTCCATACAGTTAAGGGGAGATAGAGATAGAGAGAGAGGTGATTCCTTCGTCATTCGAAACATGTCCTTCGTCGTTACTAGAGTGGGATGATTCTTTCCGCCAACCGAGTACCCAAAGTTGCTGCCCATGCAGCCAACAGCCATGATGCCCAAAGCGCCACCGTCATACATCCAAGCCCTGCCCTACATGATGCTGAATATCACAAGAATCCAAAATATCGCCTCGTCCTACCCACATCCGTGTGGTCCAAGGACACCCAAGAGAAGAATGAAAAGAAGAAGAGGAAAAACATGCTTTTGATACACTGCCGAGCTGATGGTGGTAATAACATAGGAAACGCCCATGGCAGAAATGTACAGTGCTGAAACGAGATCGGCTGTCGCCGTTGTGATGCAGATTGCGCCCAGAGTAATGCGGATGAATGGGGGGATAGTCGCAGAGTAACACCATGAACTAGCCGGTCCGTATTTGTCGTGATTGTGAACGCCGGAAAATAAATCGATAAGAAGCATAAGGTGGAGAGACGAAGCCCGTCTCAAGTTAACCTCCTCTTGACTTCACGGGTCTGGTCGAATTGGCGGACGTAGTGGTTGAGCTGATTGGCCGCGTGAGCCGAGATGCCTGAAGTCGTTTGTGATTGCGTAGATGCCAACGATGATCGTGATGAAGAAGGCGTGAGGCTGCGTGGCTGCTGCTGCTGTTGCTGGTGGTGATGTTGCTGATACTGGTAATACTGAGGTTGCTGAGGTTGTTGCTGCGGCTGCTGCCTCGAGTGGGTAGCGGGCACAAAGTAGTGGCCGTTGTTGGTGGGGTAGTAATTTTGGTGGCTGGAGTATCCCATGTCGAAGCCCCTCGACGAAGAGGATGCCTTGTAGGCGGAGAAGTTGACGGCTGGAGGGAGGTAGAAGCCGTTGCTGGACGCCGTCGAAGAAGCGGATGAAGACAGTTGGGATGGAGTCCGAGGATCGGTTGAGCCCTTCTCCAAATCGTACAGCCGGCAAGCCTGCGAGCAGTAGGCACCGCCCTCGGGCATCTGGCAATCACAGTTGAGGCAGAAGTCCGGAGACCATTCCATCTGGGACGACATGGTGGTGGAGTGGGAGTTGGTGGTTATCTCTGAGGGCAGCAAGGCTGCGGGCGGTTGGGTGTGAGATGGAAGGTGGTGGTGGTGGTGGTGGTGGTCAAGGTTGGAAGGATGATGAAGAAGAAGAAGAAGAAGAAGAGGCAATGCAAGGGGCGGCCGGGGATAATGTATAAATCAAAGCGAAATGGCGCGAGAGATCAGAGAGGAGTCATGAGGTGCTGGAGAGACTTGGTGGGATATTTTTGTGGAGAAGAACGGGTCTCAAGATGTCTTTGTATTCCATCCCATTGCACTTGACAGGGGCGCCTGCAGCGGCCGGGGTGCCCCCTCCTCCCAGGCCACTAGCGCGCATGCATGGCACCATGCTAGCGCCAAAGGGCCAGGTTTTTTTTTCCTGCGGCTGCTGCTCCTGCTCTCACCTAATCCCCCCCCAAGATTCCGCCGCTGCCGCCAGCCAGCGAGCGCGAGAGGGCGTGAGAGGGCGTGAGAGGGCGTGAGAGACATGCTTCCCTCTTCCAGCTTCCCCTCTTTCACGCCATCCATCGTTTATCCCATCCTGTCATCGGTCTGCCTCTCTCTCTCTCCAATCCTCCCAGATTCGCCCCCTCATCACCGACCAGCAGGTGTTTGAAAGCCTGTCATGTCTGCGTGCAATTCGCTCAGCAACATGCACCCCACCCTCTCTCTCTCTCTCTGTACGTATCTATTGTATGTAGCATCAGCCGATCCCTTTTATCTTGATATGTGCTATCCCACCACCACCACCATTTGTGATAGTCTGGCAAGCAGGCCAATGTGATACACAGAGGCGACGCTATGATGGCGACGCAGCCTCCATGTCGTTTGCATCCACGAGCAGCTCCTCATTGGGAGCAGCGACGCCAAAGTCATGCGCACCGCCGTGGACACTTGAGCTGATTAGGAACAAAGTGACGCCAGAAAAGGGAATGCACCATATCGGTTCCACCGGTCATGAGTTTCTCTCTTCTTCTGTTCCCTCTTCTTTGTTCGCGTGTGCAGCCTATCAGGAACCTACTACATAGACAGCTACCTAGATGCAGAGTATCGTGATGCGGGCAGGCGCTGAGGCCACCGTCTCAATATTGCAAACTCTCGCTTGCTTGCACGAGCCCTTGCGGGAACGCAGAGAGGTCGCGAACCCCATTTCTGAGGCCGACCACGGCTGGATTTGGCACACGAGGCAATGACCAAGCGCCCAGGCAGCCCCCGAGCGGGCGCAGAGGCCTGCTTACATGCCATCAGCCCTGTGATGGGTGAGTGCTGAGTACGTACCTTTCGTGGCGACGAGCCCACCGCTGATTGGCCCGCCGCCCGCCGTCAGCTGGCTGTTCACCTGTTCAAACGTTGGCTCCGACGGCATCAATCCAGCTCGTGAGTCCTCGCCAGCTCGAGAGCAGCCATGCCGCACCAAAGCAGATGCTCTCCCCATACGCCGTCGTTATCTACGTCCATCAGGGTTCATTGTCCCGGTGCTATTTTCAGGCACGATACTCGTTCGAGCATAAGCTTGGACGAGTCTACATATCGCGAACCCACTCTTCGCCCACACGCCGGACGATCTGCTCGGAGATAATGCCCTTCTACCGCATCTGCCGCGTCCCAGGAGCGCGCCAGCAATCTAAGTATTCGACGGATGGATGGGTGGATGGATGGATGGCTGCAGTGAGTAATGTAATCAATGGCTTGGGGATTGGGGATTTGCCGCACACACGCTACAATCACCTACCATGCTGCTGCTGCTGCTGCTGCTGCATAATAACCCCTCTTTCCTGGCTCCCTCTCTACCTCCCCCTCTGTCTGTCTGTCTGACTCTCTGCCAGCAGTCGAGAGGTTGCAAGCGAAATGACGGCCGTGGCCATTGACTGCTTTGCGCTGCTCAAGCTCGAGCGGACAGGGTTGTGCAGTTCATGGGGCGGCAAACGAGAAGTGACTTGCAGATAAGGTGAGGTTATTTGCTGCTAGCGACGGGGGTCTGCATATACGGTCGGTCTGTGCCTTTGGGGTACTCTGCTCTGCTCTCCCCCCTCTCTCTCTCTTCACCCCACGCGTCCAGACTCTGCACTTGTTGAGGCCTACCGTTTGGGGCCGCTGCTTGGAATACCTGCAATTTACCTCTTATCTCCCATGCATGCTCGTCTTGAATCGGTTCAGTGCTTCACCAGCATGCACATGGCTTCAACACACCGATGCAGCCAACATGGCAAAGCACTAGCGCCAGTGGTTTTCCCCACAGTGCGGACACTAAGCCTCGACTGCAAACTCAACACCGGAAAAGTCGATGCCAGCTAGAGAGCCAAGCGTCCCCGTACGTTCGACACCGATGCGTCCATGCTTTGTATTGACTTTGTCCTTAGGCTTCTCAGTTGTCGTCGTCAACGATACCATTCGGCTTGCTTCCACTCCACATTAGATTACCCGCCTGCTGGCGCCGCATCTTGCAGCGACGAAACCACAAACGAATCTATGTGGTAATATCACGCAATGCTATATTGCACTGCAATCTAACATACATAGTTCCGATAACATCTCAATGTTGGACCACCCAGACCTGCATCGGGTTGGTCAACACCCACCGAGCAAGTAGCTAAACACTCACACAATCAAGCACTATACCTCAACTACCTACATGCCGTCTCATCCATCTCGACATGGCTGAGACACTCTACAAAGCTTACTCCCGCTATCGGACCCAGCAAAGTGATATTGCGGGTCCAATGAGTCCGGATAGGTGCAAACACACCTTCCCTTCTCCATTCCGTCTCGTCTCTACATGGTAGAATCCTCTTTTCGCGAACCGACCTTGATTGACTGCTACGCCGCTTTCTCGTTTGTTCATCTGCGAACCGCGCGCAATCAATCGCGATCTTCATGTCCTGCCGGACCCCTACCTACACCCTTGTACATTTCGTCTTTGTAGCCGCTATCGGAAAGCAAGGAGACAAGGAGAAATGGGAAGAAAATAGAAGATCGTTTGAAAGGGGAAAAACAAGTATCAAAGATGGACAAGTTTGACACATTGGGGTCGCTCTGGTCTCCGTGCCCCGTCCCGACCCGCGCCCAGACCTCCCTCAAAACAATCCGAGCCGAGCGCCGGATTGGAGAACAGCACGGAACCTGCAATGTACGGCAAGTCCGCCAGCAGGCAAAATTTTTCACTTGATAGGAGTTGCTGTCTTCAATCGAAGCATCATGGTTGAGTATTCGCTAGTCTACCGAAGCATCGAGTTCGCGTGGGGGTAGATAACCAAGTAGAGTCCGTCCACTGGTGTAGGCACTTGGACTGGGCCTCACAATTGCATATAACGGCGGCTCCCATAACGCCGTCATGATACTCTACAAGATGCAGTACATGCCGATTGCATATTGCTCAAGATGGAAAAAGGGGCGAGTAGGTGCTGGATCTCAGAGCTCGGAATAGGAAGGAATCGGCCCTTTAGGAAGGACAGGGTGGTCCGGAAGGTATGCTTCAACATGCCCTGTACTCCATGTATAGGCGTCTATGCGTGCATGCATGTGTTTGGTACAGTTACAAGCTGCAGAGGAAGAAGGTAGCAATAGCAATCCGGACGCAAAGAAATTTTTTCAAAAGTCTAATCAATCCTTCGCCTATCATGTCTGTTAACACGTTAGAGAGGAAAAAATCTTCCGGCCCATTCTCTCTCCCCCAAACCAAAACACACACCCCCCATCTCAACAGAGCCGTCCGCGCCCAAATCTAGACCACTCGGTAGACCTATCAACGGCTCTAGAACAGCGCCATAACGCCTTGAATCGCCACTGCCGCAGACAGCCACGGGCCAGAAACCCGCCGTCGTGTGTTACGAGGAAGGGCCTTTCCATCGGTACCGCACCACCACACCAGGGCACCACCTTCAGCGGGCGGCAAAAAAGGAACGAGGAGGGGATCGAGAGAAAGCAAAAAGCCCCGCAAAGCAAGAGATTGCACAGAGGGGACCGCACAAGAGCGAATCATGGCCGACAGCGAGTACGAATACGCCGCTGAACACAGCCTCGCACTGCAAACTATCCACGCCGCGTCCCTGCTCACCAAATCGGTGCTCAAGTCCCTTTCCAACAATGTCTCCGCCGAAACCAAAGCCGACGACAGCCCTGGTACGGTTCATGCTCCCCCTTTGCCTTCCCCCTCCTTCCCCCTTCTTCCCTCCCCGTTTGCCGTTCCTGTAAACCCATTTGAATTTCCAATGCGTAAAACCGAGCGTGACTCTACCTACATGTATCCGTAAACCGCTGGCTGACATGGGAGCATTGTTGAATGAAATAAAGTGACTGTAGCGGACTTCGCCGCCCAGGCCCTCATCATCTCCGCCCTGCACGCTGCCTATCCAGACGATGCCTTCCTGGGCGAGGAGAGCGCCGACCAGCTGCGCTCCAACCCAGCGCTGGCGGATCGCGTATTCGCCCTGGTGCAACAGCAGAGTGCTCGATTGGGCGACGTGCAGCAGCGTGCTTCTGGTCCTGCTGCAGGTACCACAGCGTCGTCTGCCTCAGCAGCAGCATCATCATCATCATCATTACCCTCGTCGTCGTCGAACGTGCCATTGACGTTACCCCGCTCCAGGGAGCAGATGCTCGACCTCATTGATTTGGGCACAGGCACGCAGACCAAGAGCGGGCGCGTGTGGGTCATGGATCCCGTCGATGGCACCGCGACTTTCATGACGGGGAACCAGTATGCTGTGTGTCTGTGTCTGTTGGTAGACGGCGTGCAAAAGGTCGCCGTCATTGGGTGTCCCAATCTGGCATACCGCGACGCTGACGGCGGGCCACGCCGCATTCACGAGGACGACGTCGACGCTGATGGCTACGGCGTCGTGCTTTCGGCGGTTCAAGGCCAGGGCACGCATGTTCGGAAGATGCTTGCTGATGGGCTGGGAGAGCCCACCAAGGTACAGCATGAGCAGAGCAACGCGGCCACCAGGGACTTGACCACTTTGAACTTCATCGACAGCGCAGTCGGCATGACGTCGCTCTCGCAGGCAGAGCACAGAGAGGTAGCCGAGCTGCTGGGCGCGCAGTGGCCGGGCACTGTGATTTGGAGCCAGCAAATGAAGTACATTGCCCTCACTCTGGGTGCTACCGATGTCATGCTCCGCCTCCCCAAGAACAAGGAGCGATTTACCTGTGTGTGGGATCATGCAGGTGGCAATCTGCTGTTCCGGGAAGTCGGCGGCATCATCAAGGACATTGATGGTGACGACATTGACTTCGGTCAAGGACGACTCCTCACAGGCGAGAGAAACTTCGGCATGATAGCTGCCCTGTCAGGCATTTGGGATCCCGTGAATCGGGCCGTGAAGGACGTTCTCGAGCGAAGGACAAAATGAGAACGAGTGCTGTGGGAGAAGGACCTTGTGTCACGTTTGGGTGGTAGTACAGAGCCTCACCGGTGGAGTGTAGTGCGAAATTCATGCGTAACGAGAACAAGCATAGTGCATGGGAAAGAGAGTGTGGGGTAGCGAACTGGGAACGAACTAGAATGAGAGAATAGAAAAGAATGGAGCTGCAGCTCAGCCCCAGGTTCGGAATTTACTGGGGTAGATGCATGAGAACTTGGGGTGATTGACGCACAACATATGAATCTGATGATGAGGAAGGCCAATCCGTCGTGACATTATTTTAGCTGTTGCATACATGTAGACTCTGCTTCTACGCGGTCCACGGTCTTCCTCCTCCGCAGCAAACGTGACACACAGCCGCCTTTGGTGCCCCGTTCCGTCAAATGATGCTCCACCAGACCATGACGGCAGTGCTGTATACAAGTGCTCGAATTAGATAGTGACGCCGTGTAAGCTCTGCCGCTGGAACCTGTATAGCCGGAACTGCAGGATGCCGCATCTGGCAATGGAAAGGAAAAGGTACCCCTCGTCTTTCATGCAGCTAGATTCTCTACGACACACCACCGCCGTTTTTCCGGAACGAGACCTTCTCTACGGCGACGTTTTCCGCGCCATTCGCATCTTTCCGCAGCTGATACACATACAGCACGAGAACGTCCCCTTGTACCTGTATTCCCGCCGTCAGCTGCCATGCACTCTTTCTCTCTTCTCCGTCTCACTACCGGGCTAAGGACAAGTCCACAGTCTCATGATACATGTCACGGTAGTACCGAGAAAGAACGAAAGGAAAGGAGAAAAAAAAATAGAGTCCCACTTACATCCATGAGCACAAAGCTCGGCGTAGGCTCCTCATCCTCGCTCCACCACCCGGTCGTCATAGCACCCGTAGCACTCCCGGGATTCACGAAGAACTTGCCCTCCATCTCGTAAGCCTCGAACTTGTGGGTGCCGCCCCACAGCAGGATATCCACATCCATCTGCCTTGCGGCGATGAGCAGGCTGTCGCCATCGCCGGGCGGTACAATCGTGTGGCCATGTGTGAAACCTATGCGGAGCGAGCCATGCGTGACGACCTTTGACAGCGCGAGGTTGGGCGCTTCAACGTCGAAATCACCTTTGACAATATGCAGATCGGGCGCGATGCCCCGGAGGAACTCGTACGTGTCCTTGTCCGTTATGTTCCCCAGGCAGAGAATCTGACCAATCTTCCCGGGCGCGAGGAGCTTTTTGAACTGGTGCGATTGTGTGTGTTACTTTTCCTGTTTCTCGAAACGCGGAGGCGGAGGTGGGTTGGATGTGATTGGTGAAGGCGGGGAACTAGAGAGTGAAGAAGGGAAATGCGTCTTTCGTACCTTTGCCGGTATATCCTATGATTCCTGTAAGCTTGTAAGGCCTAGCAACAGCATGTTTGGCAGTGTGGAAGACCTTACCGGAGCTCTGTCTGGTATGAAGAGGTCGCCTAGACACAGCACTAACCGTGACGACATTGTGCCGGAATGCACGGAGGGATCGAAAAGTTCAAGGGAATAGTGGACTTCCGCGAGCTCAGCAGTAGGAAGGTGAGGGTTAGAAGACTTTAAAATCGCCAATTCATGGAGTTGCAGTAACGTCGCGAGAGTGTGTTTGTAGTACTGGAGCTATGCGGTCACCAAAGGCGGTAGGGCGGTGCAGAATAACGTTCTTGGCGGGGCTGATCGTTCCAAGAGAACACTTGAAGGAGTTTCAACCCTGAGGCAATCAGATATTATATGATGCGCAATGTGACATCGCTTGACTTGTGTGAGATTTGACTGCATTTTTGCATTTTATATAATCTAAAATTTGTGCCCGTATCCAGAATGACCAAGCGTTCGCTCATCGAATTCATTACCTCGTTATAAGGCACTCTGAACCATTTACTGGCTTAACTGCTGCAGCTTTCTCCATCTCCGCATAATTTGAATTCCACTTAATAATCATCACCCCGGCTGACGACTTCCTTGACGTTCGGTCGAAGAATGAAAGTCTGTGAAGAATGTCAATTAGAACCGAACTTGTTCGTTGCAGGGGACCTCTTACATGTTCAGACTGTGCAGTGTAAGAACCCTTGACATCACACAGCGGGGGGTATGCTTCCACAATCCCCGCAGACACAAGATTATTCAGGCCAAGCAAATACTTGTCATGACCCAAGCGATCGAGGTATCGCCTACAGAAAGGCAGGGTGCCGAAATTCTTGGTGATGGAGTTCAAAAGGGTCTTGGCGGATGAGACGCGAAGTGCGACATGTGGTGCGTCTTCACGCTTTGCATAGTGTGAGGTTTCCATCTGAACACCAATGGTTAGTTATGAAGGGCTGTTTTAGAAGATGGAGAAATCCTACGTCGTCTCTAACATATCCTTTTCCAGTGCTACCGAATGTCTCAATCGCAAAGGTTTCTCCCTCCTCCATCTTAGTCTGGTCGCCACCCTTGACAATTGGTACCGTCTTTCCACCGTGAATGCTGTATCTTCCAATACTGTGTCCGTTGAGATTCCTGATGCATTTGACTGGATAGGTTGTGCCCTTGATTTCGCATTCGTAGCTCTCCATAACCTCCTGGATTGCTGCGCCGATGTCTGACATGCGCACATCAATACCGGCTTCCTTGATACCAGCGTTTGTGGCGTCCTTGCAGGCATTGATCAAGTTGTCGTAGACGGGGTCAAAGCTCAGAGTAAATGCTGAATCCACAATTCGTCCATTGATGTGAACTCCAAAATCAACCTTCATGACGTCTTCTTGCTGTAGAACCATTTTGTTTCCGGCATTCGGCGTGTAATGCGCAGCGCAGTGGTTGATACTAAGACCAGTTGGAAAGCCCATACCAGCTATGAGCGCATCGCCATCCTCGAGTCCCTGGTGTCCGGTCAAAGAGCGCACAGAGCCTTCGATGCCTTCTGCGATCTCAGTGAGGGTCATGCCTGGCTTGATCCATTTTTGGGCCCATTGCCTGACCTCACGATGTACTTCGGCGCCCCTTCTGTAATCTGTCAAGAAGTCCTGGTTCATGCGATCCAAGTGTCTCTTCTCCTCGCTGGTAGTGCGGTACGTGTTTTCATCGCGGTACTCGCAAATCTCTCCCTCGGGATATGTGTCATTGAGGAAGATTTCGTGGACGGGGACGCTCGGCGGTGAAGTCTGAACCTTTGGGCCTCCTGCGCCGCCCTTCTTCTTCTTTCTGGGCTTCCTCTTCTTTTTCTTCTTGGCCGCACCTTCAGCAGCACCCTCGGGGGCTCCCTCGTTGGCCTCGTCGGCCTCGTCATCCGAGTCTTCGTGGTCTGCATCGGCGGTTGCCTTGCTGCCATTTGTGACTGCACCGTTGGCTGGTTTGCCGTTGGACTCGTCCACTTAAAAATCATCCATTGTCAGCATGCACCGCCCCGCGTCTTGAACATGTTGCAAAATAAGATGCAGACGTACACTTGAGGCCGTTGAGTTGATCTGCTGCCTTAGCCGCCATATTTGAGTCTTTCGCAGGATAGCCTGGTCGAGCGAAGGGAGAAGAGAGGCAAGAGGCAAGATAGGAAAGCCAAACTCGAAGGTTTGTAGCTGGCTCTTTAGTAGCATTTTCCGCCCCGCCCCGCCGTCCACTCAATCCGCGTTCTAGGTCGCTTCCAACTGCCCTGCAGCTAAGGCACCCCGGCCCAATGATGACGTTTTGCATGGCTCAAAAGCTAAAACATGCACTCAAACACCAGCGAACCCACACTCTTTCTTCTTCAATCCGTTTCCGAGATGGACAATGAGTCGCTTCCCGCTTTCCATCCCTCGCTTACCTCCGCGTGCAAACACCTATGCATCATCTAGAGTGCCCTGGTTATGCGCTTCATGCCTCCTGCGCAGGAGAAACGCTCCTCAAACCCGACGCTTACCATTCCCTTCGCGCGCGACCAAACAATCCGACTTCCACACCTCTTCCAGCCGCCGCGCTGATGCTTCCTCCGCAAACCACTACGATGTCCTTCAGCTCGCCCCTACCGCTTCTGCCGCAGAAATCAAGCGGCAATTCTACTCGCTCTCCAAAACCCACCACCCGGACCGCAACCCGAACGATCCTACGGCCACCACTCGTTTCGTCGCTATAAGCGAGGCTTATCACACCCTCTCCGTGCCAGAGAAACGCACAAAGTATGATGTACAGCTGGCGCAATCGCAAGGGTCGAAGAAGTGGGCAGGAGAGTGGAGAGCCGCAGGCGAGCAATCGCATCCTCAGGGCAGCTACAGCAGTGCTAGCTTCGCAGGTTCTCGACCTGCCAGTGGGTTGAACAAGAAGAGGAGCACGTTTCGAGGGCCGCCGCCTAGTTTCTACAAGAGCGGAGGTTACGGGAAACACGGAACGAAGAGAGCAGAGTACGCGAACTACCAGCAGCATAGGACTGAACCGAGGAAAGATGCCGGGCCTGAGAGTTACGGGGGATTCGAGGGCTTTGGGCCAGGACAAACGAGGCATGGGGATGAGGTGCCGCACTTCAACCATAGACGTCATAAAGAAACACTCGAGCAGATCGATAAGCACATCCAAACAAGACGAAAGGCGTGGACACCCCCGGAGATGGCCGACGAGTATCGCGGTGGGCAATTAGCACATTTCCTGTTGGTCGCTGGGGCTCTGGGCATCATAGTTTGCGGGGGGTCAGTTCTCGGTGGAATGTACAATGTCAAAAAAGCCAAGACGTAATGGAAACCACTCAAAATATGATGACATAGGCACCGAGGCACGTGGGAGTGATTGTTTGAGAATGCGTGAAGACAAATTTTGTACATGCTACAATGTCATAGTACAGTGCTCATACTCGACGCATCGAGGTAGAGAAAGAAGGCTGACTCGCTATAGAACCAAGGAAACGGAATCTAGAAACCTGCCCAAATTCATCTACGCAACACAGTCCACTTAACCTTCAAAGGTGAAGCTGGTGCCGAGCTTGTGACCGGCCTCGTTCAACTTCTGGGTATCGAAAGAGCCACCGACACCGAAGGTCAGACCGCTGTTGACCTTGGTGTTGTAGGCGAGAGACGCAATGCCGAGGTTGTTGATCTTGGCCTGGTTGTTTGTTAGAAGCGGGAAACGACAAACACGCAGCACTTGACTTACCTTGGCGAAGGAAGCAGGGTCAATCTTGTACTTGGCAGCAAGCTCAAGACCAACAGCAGAGTTGGACTTGGAGTCCCAGCTGGCCTTGGCACCGGCCTCAACGGCGGCGTTGACCTTCTGGTAGTAGGCGGCGGTGAAGACGCTGAGGGAGTTGGTGGCGGTGATGGCGGCGTTGTAGACGGGGGTGGTGTATCCGACGGCAGCAGAGTACTTGGTAATGGATGCCTTCTGGACATCGTAGCCGACCTCACCACCAACGAGGAAACCCTCGTGGCTCAAGACGGCATCAGCGACAGCGCTGACAGCACCGCTGGCCTGGAGGTCACCAAAGACGCGTCCGTGGAAGTTGTTCTGCTTGAAAAGGAAGTTGAGCTTCTGGCCCTTGTTTCCGGCAGCGGGGTTGAAGTTGGAGAGAAGCTCCGTCTTCAAGCCAGAGGCGAGGGTGTCGTTGAGCTCAACCTTGGTGGAGAGGAGGTTGGCGGTGTTCCACGACTGGGTGATGGCAATGCCTGTCCGGCGTCGAGTCAGCAGCCGTGCGTAAATTCCTGTGGTTCGAAGCCCATTGGACGCAAATATTGATTGAAATACAGCGCCCTCTATGCCCCGACGGTGGACAACGGGAATGTAAACAGAATGATGGAGGGGTTGTATACCATTGGAGAGGGCCTTCTTTCCCTCGAGCTGTGAAATGTGTTAGCATTGGCTCAATGCATTGCGATGGAGAGAAATCCTTACAGAGGAGGTAACGGGCCCATCGTGCGCCGAGGTGCCCTTTGCGGTGAAGTTGACACCGTTGGGGGCCCTCAGCTTGACCTCAAGGGCAGCTGCTTAGCGGTTAGCGAACTCCAGGGCCACTCAATGGATGCGCCCAACCTGCGGCATTGTGGTAGAAGTCCTTGTTGATGAGCTGCGGGATCCTAAGTCAGCGATTGTCCCGGTCTGTGACTGTGGATTCAGCCCCAAACTCACGTCGTTGGAGGCCTTTGCGATGTCGCTGAAGGCTGGTGGGGGAGCCTTCAAGACGAGCTTCTCCTTGATGACGAACTCGGGGGTAGACATGATGATAAAATGGATGGGAAAGAGAGTTGGAAGAGATGTGAGGGTTGCGTGTGTGGATGATGAAGTTGCCTTTTCACGGGATGGATGGAAAAACAACGCAGGGTGAAGTCAGTCGCAAACTAAGGGAAGCTACTGCGGCTTTTCCCGGGCACAAGTCACGTGCGCGACTGATCGTTCTTACTGGTCCTATCCATTTGGAACGTGCCTTCATTTCAATTTTAGCGAGACAAACATTGTCCTGAATCCCTTATCACCCCCAATTATCACCTTGCCAGCCTTCTATAAACTGGTCCCTATATGGATTCTTCCCTCAACTTTTCTTGAATTGACACCCAAAGAGCCTTTCGCCAACGTGTGGGCAGGAAGAATTTTGCCATGAAACAGCTCGACCCCTATCCCGACTTACTCGCCCTAACGCGTCCGCCTGACTTGTTCTCTCACCTCCAAATGTTCTATCGCATGCATACCACCGTGGTCATGTGAGGTTGATGCCCTTTGCAAATCGTGTGTGAGAATGCAGTAGAAGCGAGTTTTGCACTGATATTGATGTTCGGATGCTTGGTCCTTTACGCGAAGGAGTCTCTTGTTGCAATTGAGCAGCGCGCCTTTCAAAAGACAAGAAACTGCCGGTATTTTGTATTCGGCGTGGAGTGCAGAAACATGGGGTTTCTAGTACACTAATATCCACCTTTGGGGATTTTGGTGCAAGATTACAATCCTCGTTTGATCCTGAAATAGAATTCCCATCCGGCTCTTCCCTACTCATTGATGTGGGGTAGTTTACACCTCGGCAGCATTTGTACATTCCTACATATCCCGATCCCCCACTGCCCAATGCTGAGCGAGAGAATTTGAAGTGATATGCATCTTGTTATGCAATCTCCTACATTCGCATACCAATATACTTAGGTATATTTTCTCGCGTTCCCATCATTCGTCGCCCCTAATGCGACATCAACGCACGTTGAGTTAATAGTAAACGATAAGCAATTCTCTATACCTTGAGACATGAACTTGAATGCCGGACTAAACATGAACGATCAATGGGCTTGCGATGCGTAGGAGACTGCGTGATAGGGTTCTAAGCGTAACATCATGGAAAATCATTATAATTAGTCAACCTGTGTATTCATGCTGTGAAGGAAGTTCAGGGTGCAAGGAGTCACACAAGATCAATGAAAGGACTCTCCGATGATCAATTCTTTTCGTAACCGCTCAATGCGTGTCTTTCATACATACATAGCCTCACAAGATATCAATTGATGATCAATCAAGTCAATGACTTTTCTGTACAAGAATGAACCCTACTACATTATGGCCTGACAAATCTTGCAAGTCTTTGTACCTAACTTCCATCGTATCGTCCAGGTACAAGATGATAACCATAGAGTTACAGTGGAACAGAAAAGACGAAACAGCCTCATCTAAAATTCCGCCCAGCCCTATCCCAAGTTTAGTCCAAAATTACAAAAATCAATATATTTGTAGGTGCGAGTATTTAATAGCCGCCACCAGACGATTGATAACAAACGTATCGGCGCTGGATGCGGAAGGCTTCGGGAATTTCCTAATTCGTCGTGCAGGGTTGATAAGTCGCACCAGAAACGTCAATTCTCGAACATGGCAAAATCGTATATCCGGTCGGAAAATAAAATTGTCCCAGTGGATGGATGGAGAAAAACAACGAGAGGCGGACGAAGACGAACTTTGAGTCGTCTGCCAGATTCACAGCTTATTTGGCACAATCGATGTGGGAAATGTCGATCAACATTAGCAAAATAGCGGATGATCCGAGCCAGGACAGTATTGACTCAGGGATGAATGATGGAAATAGTTGATAATGATGAATATATTCATGACTCGTGAACTTGAGCACTTCAAGCTCGCCGCCCATACAAGAGCCCATCGGAAGAAGCGAATGAAGGATGAATTACAAAGACCGTATGCAGTTGCTCGTTACCTTTAAAAAACCTGATGTGTCCGTTTTGAACCGGGTAGTGCGCCGACCACCGACCAATTGCACATAATAATGAAACAGTTATTCTAGGCTTTGGCAGGAGCTTTGGGACCAAAGACATCGTCGACAAAGCCAGACCAAAGCTGGCGGGCCATACCAGCGCTCTCTTCGACATCCTTCGAGAGTTTACTCGCAACGTCGGATGCGAGTCCCTGGAAGTCCGTCTGGTTGGAGTCAACCATCTCGGACATTGCCGAGGGAGCGTGGATGTGGGTGCCGTCCGCGGCCACGGTGTAGATAGAAGGCAGCATTACCTAACTTCATGTCAATTCATCATCTCCTAAGCCCAAAAATGTGAACAAACATACCGCTTCCTCGGCTTCTTCCGTGACAGCTTCGAATGGGATGGTGGTCTGCGGGAGGATGGGGACCCGGATCTCGACCGGAGCGCTCTGCGTGTCGGGATCGAAGTCGGGGATGAAGGCAAAATCGATCGTAGAAGAATCACCTACAGCCTTGTGGCTGCGGCTGGTGTTGAAGTGACGGACAGATTTTCCAGTCTCACTGACGGCAGGGACGATTCGCTTTGAGTTCTGAACGGCACTGCTAAAGGAGCGAGTGTTGGCGAGTTCGTGGGCCGATAGGCGAGATACGAGCTGTTTTCAATTCCCAGTGAGCATACCGATTCAATTCAGGGCCAATCGATAGACCATTTTCACTCACCTCGTCCTTGGAACCAGACGTAGGTAGCTTGCGCTTTGAGCATTCAGTGCGAAGCCCTGCAAGATCGCGAGGAAGATTCATTGCGGGTCGCTCTGAAGTCAGAAGAGATGAGAAGGTTGCCGGGCCGGTCATATGAAGGCCACGGGTCTGCTTGCTGCCAGCAGCAATAGCCTTGAAGGCGCGGGAGGATGCTCCTGAGGCTTGCATGGTTGATTAGGATGAAGTAGCAACAGATGAAGGAGAACAGATGAGAAGAAAGTGAAGAAGCGGAACGAGGTATCAATCGGGCGTGACAGTGATAAGATAAGCGGGAATATCACCGTCGGGATGGTTGGGGCACGTCAGAGCTGCAAGTGAGGGATGGGAGAGTTTGGAACGGCCAGCTAAGTGGCTTTGGACTTAAGTATGTGGTTGAGGCTTGGGGAGGCGGTCAGCAAGTGTCAATTGTTGACACTTTTGGTATGGCGTGACGGTCAGGGTAAAGACGATTCACCAGAGCAGGCGACAGAGGAAGCACTACGAAAGGGGGCCCAGAGGGCATTGCTGTCGTGCAGTTCAACCACGCACAAAGCATCTCGTTCGGAAGCATGGGCTCATGATTAAGTACGGGAGCCTAAGCCTATCCCGGCCTAGTCCAGGTCCAACCATTCCACTGCCAGTGGTTCCCCGCATTCTCAATCAATTTTGAGAGCTTGAAGACGGCCAGAATTAAATGGGGCGATATCTTCGTATTCGTCTCGCCCCTTGGAACTTGTCTAACACCTGCAGCATAGTCTGATCAACTCGTGAGCGGAGGGGGGGTAGTGGACCGCGTCTGAAGTCGGTGTGTGTTGGAGGAATTCGGAGGGATTTCTGTTGAACGCACGACCATCACTCTCCCGGCTTGATTCGGAACCAATCATCATTGCGATGTCGGATGCAATCCAATGCTCACGGTTATGCCAATTGTGCCTGGCTAGATCGGCTCTCCGCTGCATAATCCGGCGCACAAGCGATGGCATTGGTCTGTGTTGGATCAAAAGGTGCCAGCATTCAAAGTCTCAACTCAACACTCGAGTGAGGCGTGAGCTGGCGTGTGCGCCGGAAGATCATGGAATCATACCTGCATATGTACATCCAGAGCTGCTGCGCTATGTATGGGTCCCAGACAGCTTATCGCATTCCATGTCCAATCACCAACCAGATGGTGATCGTAGCCGATTCGCAAGTGTAGCCGGTAAAGGCAGGATTCTACCGTCGCTGTGGAATACCCCACTGAAACAAGGCCTTCATGTTCATGTACATACTGGCTACACCTCTGTCGCTGAGGACACATGATGTTGAACGTGATGTTATCGTGCTCGAGCATTATAAAGAGTTTTCGGTAAGAGTAGATGTGCGTGTTATGGGCTGGATTTTGACAACTGCTCATCCACCATTACAGATCACTGAACGGTGTGTGATATCAAATTCGGGTTGGATCATTGACGCACGCGGTGCCATGCAGTCAGAATGCATAGAAATACCCTGGGCCCTAGGCGATGGGGAAAAGGCCATGGATACTTAACTTTGTGTGTGTGTGCATACACGAAGCAAGCTTGAGACAATCTATGCACTATGTACAACAACCAGTCAACATAGCGTCTTCCTAGAAGAAGCGTTTGCGATGGTTGTCATACGCGACCTCGCGTATGACATCCATCTCGAATGTCAGGAGTCGCGCCGAAATCAGCGGCTACCTAGCCCAGCTAAGGCTTAATCGAAGGCCAGGGTGACATGGGTCATTTTGTTCCTGCGTGTAGTTGATTCGTCCAGATTGAATAGTGGGGAGCCACTAACCACTGTTGAAGCCTGATGCTTACTGGATTTCTGACCCATCCACCATCTCACTATTTCTGTGCGGCCTCAACCTTGGCCAACACCTGTGTGACCGAGTGATTGTGCTCTAATATATACATACTAATTTGAAAATTTGCCATTCAACATAGAACCGGCTTAGTGGTCTAGTCGTATGATTGTCGCTTCGGGACGGGAAACTCCCTCCAGGATTCATTGAATCTGAACTGTGACAGGCCCCGGGTTCAAATCCCGGCTAAGCCCATTCTCTTTTTGTTAATTTTTGCAACTGTTGTTTTCTTACTGGGTGCCTGTTCTTTTTTTTTTTGAGATGTGGAGTGGTGGAGTGGTGGGGAAGCATAAGCGCTAGCAACGTTCCACAACACCATCATACGCTCCTGAACAAACAAAACATCCTTACAATATGTTTTACTTATAATCTTGTAAATATTAACTACTGCTGAGATCGCACCTTGTCAATATGCTATCTTCTTGGGCATGTGAAGCAAGTAGGGCGACATGCACTCGGAACCCATCGAAATATTCAGGCTTAGCCGGGATTGCACCCGGGGCCTGTCACAGTTCAGATTCAATGAATCCTGGAGGGAGTTTCCCGTCTTTGGAGCTTTCGCTCCAAAGACAATGTGTGGCACTTGACTCGTTGTTTGGATACGATTATCTGACTGCGACGGAATCTGGGCGGTACTCTCAAGTAGGTTCTTACATATTTTGAGCAATCCTTAACCCAATGGGATGTTGAGATCGCACTGAGAATAACGTGGAAGAGAAGAGACTGGACTTTTTGCTTGGCAAGCGCAATCGGGAGGAGAATTCCGGGTCTGATTTCGATCCAGTTAAGCGTAGAAGGCGTGGCCTTTAGGCGCAGAAGTTATTGAAATGGCAAGTCAAGCTCTCTTGTCTGACACTCAGATATGGGCATTGAGAACAGAGATTGTGGAAACAACGAGCAAAAAGGGTGCAGGACGAGAAAGGAGTAGTGACACAGTTGAGAAGCTTAGGCGCGGCTTCAAAGTCCACATTGAAAATTGTCAGTCGACTTACGTGCCTGGACGCTACCTACCATTCTACTGGTGACCCGGAAGATTTAAGGGAATCATGCCACTTGAAAAGAGACGAGCATCTGTGTTTCCTTAAACTTGCCTGACAAACACAGAAAGATAAGTTCCTGTGCTTTTTGTGCCCGTCTACTTCTTGTCAAACCTTTTTTATCGGCCTTTTTAGGTATAGGAAACACTGTAATTTCCAATCAAAAGAAAATAAAAACCTAGTTCCTGTGCAGATTTCGAAGGCTGAGTGGGACAACCTCAAACGATTCCCCCATCATCAGCCATGTAAGAACGCTGAATACTTGAATACCTCTTGAAACTTGACTAGAGACAGATGCTCCTTGAAGAGTTGGATCAGTTACGCTTCAGTCTCGTGGTTTGCAGATAACTAGAATGTTCCACTCGACATCCTTCTTGACGATCAAGACCGCAGACTTGTGTCAAGCCTCTACGGCGCTAAAAAGTTTAAACCCTTGACCAGACCAGACTTCCAAGTCGAGTGATTCTCTTTATATCTAAGCTAACAGCCAAGCACGTTAACAATTTGGAGGTAATTCGTACCTAAATAATTTTGCCGGGTCGAGGCAGTGGTTCACTCGCGAGACTTGGGTATCACGGTCAACTCTACTGTGCACTGCACTGAATACGTAGTACTTGGAGAAGGTCTGTAGACACAAGCGAAACTCATTACGTGAATATGACACTACTCTCAGGTTTCGGTGAAGTTGGGTTTGGGTTTGGGTTTGGCCGTGGTAACATCCCACTAGACCCTTGTCTGAAATTCAACTGTCTTCGATATTTCAATCATGCTCAGGCGGACAGGGTACTGAACACTACATGATGTTTGCACAATTCTAAGGAATATCTCGCCCTCTTAGCATCGAATGCGATCAGCAAACGAAGTTCCCGCTTCGAACCACGTGGAGGTGGGGCTTTTCTCGAAGCTGGTTTTTTAACCAGGTTTTCTCCTGGGTTTCTTCCAATAGGCTTTCTCCTTTAGGCTTTTTCCAATAGGTATGCTCCTTTAGTTTCTGGATCGCTTGTTCGATCCACCGCCGCCACCTCGACCTCCATGATCGGAAGGCAGGTTCTTGCGTTTTGAAGGTGGACCAGTAGACCCACCCTCAAACGTCTCTTTGAAGAGACGGTCAGCCATGAGGGCAGATTTGTCCTCAAAAGTCTCCTTGAAGAGACGGCCAGCCATGAGGGCAGATTTGTCCTCAAACGTCTCCACGAAGAGACGGCCAGCCACAGCAGCAGTGTCGCTACCAATGGCACCAAAGAAGTTTTTGAACTTCTGGTAATTTTCTTCGTCCTGAGGGTTTTCCTCAAGACCGGCAGCAACGAAGCGCTTTTCAGCAGCCTCGCAACTCTCGTTACCCTTGTGGTAACGCTTGCATCTCCCACATTGGGGAGTCTTGCAAGGCCCGCGATGCATTTTAGCACACCGCTTGCAAGAAGTTTCAAGAGGGTTTTCCTCCCTTTCCTCTTTCATCTTCACCCGGTGGTACCGGGCGAGGAGATGGCGGATTGCCGCCCTTTCATTGCGCTCTTCTTCCGAGAGGCAGGGGGGCGGGTGGCTTTGCCCACATTCAGCGCATACCTTTTCGGCATCGCTCAGCTTCCTCCATGCCTCAACAGAGGCAGAAAATTGTGAGACCTGTTCTTGGCCTCTTTTCACGCGCTCCTGGACAGAGAGAGCGGGAGCACTCTCTTCAGACCACTCGATCTTTTTCAAGAACGAGTCATCCTCCAAGAGGTCCCGGATCACCCGTGACCGGGATGGACCATCCTCGCCGGTAGGCGGATCAACGTCCATTGCGTTGCCACCCGTAGGTGGTCTTGCCGACGACAGTCCGTCATCGGTGCCACCCGGAGGTGGTCTTGACAACAGTCCGTTGTCTTGGGTGCCACCCGTAGGTGGACTTGGCAACAGTCCGTCGCCTTTTTTGGGTCCAGAGGATTTCTCTGGTGCCTTGCGGCGAGAGCTTGTATGCCTTGTAGACATTGTGCAGGATGTTCAATTTGTAGTGAAATTGAAATCTGACATGCATTAGCTTTGTTCGGTACAGCATAGGGTGGGTCACTCACGGAAGCAGTTGTGGTGGTTGGGGTCAAGGATGTAGCGGAGATCGTTTGTATTGTGTGTGCCAAGGTGTGCCAAGCTATTAAGCGACCAGCCCCTTGCAGCAACAGGACAGTAGTATTTCCAGCTACACTGATGGTCCCTCAAAATAGATACCGATAGAGGTATATAGAAAGCTAGAATGCGCTATGTTATTCTTTTAAATCTGTAAGATTGAAATCATTTTCGGAACCTAAGCTTGAGCAGTCACGATACATCAATGCAATCAAGCTGTCGTGCTATGCACTATCAGAGGATTTTTTTGTTCGGGGGAATTTTAGAACTGTCTTAATATCATCTGCTTCACTGTGCTGCTCTTTGCACTAATATCGTAGTGTGTTAATAATCATACTCGTCGTTTTGTGTTGACGTTTCAATGATCCCAGCATTCAGACTATTGCTAGTGGGAGCGCAAACAAGTGACTACGTACAAATGCATCAGATGAATCTCGAGAGTGGGATAATCACGATGATTCACCCTGTTAAGTAAAGAGCTCCATTTTTTACTTAATATGTATATAATCCGATAATCTCGACAAACATTACATGCACCAAGTGACAAGGAACTGATTGGAATTTGGTCTAGCATTGGCTCGCGCACAATGGCATAAAGCCCCTCTTTGAAGAGAATGTAAGTGGAAATATGTACAGTAAATAGAGCAGTAAGGTAGAGAGCATCTGAAAAATTCCAGGACACCTCGCAAAGTGTACCCCACGTTTGCACAGCTCCAACTTTGCACTCATAACGGTGGACTCAACCAGACTCAGGGCAGGGTAGATCGAGAGTGTCAACTTGCTGGTTGCTATCTTTGAGTATGGTGACAATGGTAGTGTTGGCAGTCGGTTCTGGGCACTCCGTCAACTCATACTCGACGTTGAAAACTGCTTTGTCCGCGTCGGTGAATACTTCGTATGCGGCACACTCGTTGTAAAAGTGGCACTGCTCGTTCATAGCATAATCAACCGTACCGACCAATCTTCCAACAAGCTCTACAGCATTCTTAAGGCCAATAGCAAGATCGTTTTCGTGGGCTTTTAACGCAAGGAACTTGATGTAATCAACGTATGGGGTCTGCCCATAGTTAAAGCCATCTTGTGGCGGCTCGCCCTCTTTTTCCGGGTTCTATGCGAGTGGTGTTAATAAGAAATCGAGTCGAAATAGCTACTTATAAGACCGATGACTCACATAACCGTCGACATTATCAGGGTCCACGCCGTGGCAGCCGGCCTCCTTCGCTTTGATTATTCTCTTTTCCATAATAGACTTGACGTTATCACTCTTGACGTTGATCCAGTACTCGCCCTCCCATCTTGGGTCCAATGCCTTTCCGTAGTCGCCCTTCTTGAACAGGTCCTTGTCATCGCGCCAGTCCTCATAGCTGCCGGCACTGAAGTAGCAAAGGACGGTCTTCGTCTTAGCCAATGTTTTGATGATGCCGTAGTTGTCGTCCAGGTCGATAGAGAGCACGGGAGCTTTTGATTTCTGGAAGTCCGACAGTTGAAGTTTGCTACTGTCGAGGACCATGTCAAAAATTGTTCCCTTGGGGAATTTCTTGACCTCGGCACGGGGCTCGATGGCAAATGCTGTGGCGACACCGGCCAGAGCGAGAGTGGTTGCGAAATGCATAATGAAGAGTTGGACGATCGAAGCCGGTAAGAACGAAAGACTGGCTTGGGTGGGATGAGTGAAGAGCTGGTGCTGTGGAGTTGCTGATAAGATGGCCATGGGGATTATATATGATTTTTCTCCCGATCAACGCATCAACCCGAATCATCTGAGTTGATCTCACCAGACTGCCAACATACTCGCTCACTCACAAAGGTTAGCAGCAGGAGGGGGTCACGTTCCTTTAGTGGATCTTTGATTGCTTCCAACGTTGATGTAGTTAGTTCGACGCTCGAGTAGCGCCACGAAATTATACATTCGACTTTAAGTACTGCAATAAGGCGTGCCGTATCAGTAACAGAAATTGGTGCCCTCGTTAAATCAAATTCGTCTTTATTGATGCGTTTTGCATTCACATGCGCATTAAACGTCGATAATACTGTCAGCCATCTATTTTCTCTTGTACTAATAGTACATGAGTTTGATAGATCATTTCACTGGATGTTGATGAATTCTAGAATTGTCTCAACATTGCACCGCCCTGAAATGCTAACAGGTCGGTTAGAGACAATGTAACAGTCCGGCTACTAGCGGAATGTCACCGAACTCAATAAGACTAGCTTTTCGACAGAGACACCCCGTGGGGGCTGCTGCGCAACGATTGGGTTATAACAGTAATGCATATACCATCAACGAACGGTACGGGTGCTCCCTAGCGTACGGTATTGGAGGAATTGAGCGGCAGATGCTCTGTAGACATAGAATGTGTAGTTTGTTCACGTTTGAATGGCAGAGAGGCATGCATGGTCATTCCTGTCTTCGCGCTCGGTACATTCGGAGCAAACTCAATATCCAATTCCAGCCACACACGTAGCAAAGCTTATTTGAAATCTTGCCCAGTTCCACGTTTTTGTCGCAGAATTATTTCTTATCCCACCACACCGCCAGAATAGGCTTAAGCTTCAGGCAATCTTGGCGCACAAGGGATGAAACCACAAGGCTTGCCAGCAATGACAACCACTTATGTGCTTGCAAGCCTCTTCTCTACGGCGTAATTTGCCCGTCGGTACATATAGACTGTAAGTGCCAAGGTTGTTTCGGGGTGTGCATGAACAATACCCTCCACAGAACAGGTGATCGGGGTTTGAATATCGGGCTTGTGCGTCGCAGTGGCGCCCGGGTGTACCGCTGAGGCGTTCATCAAAGGATCGAGACATTGACTTGGAGAATGTCATCGGCATTCTGGATTCTTCCGGTTGTAAAATAGTTGCGACTATTGGCTTCGGGTTCCAGGGGGTAAAAGTCTTGACTGATGACGGTTTAGGTGTGGCGTACGGGGGAAGGATGCAGTTGACATGCGAATCTGTTTCTATGCGCCATAGTAGATGTCATGTAGTGTGGGGCTCTCACTTGAGATGACGCTCAAAACAATGATATCGATGATGTTGTTGATTATTGGGCCCTAGTTTGTCATAACTCACATTACTCTGAGAACCAGAATTTTTCCACCACCCACGTCTTTTCGATAATTATGGACATCGTCTTCCAAGACTTCTACGATTTTGTTGTCCCTCAGCCTCCCCACCGCTGTAGCAAAGCCACCTTCAGCCTAGAATGTTTCTAAGATAGTTGCAACTAGTACCCTGCTACTTTGCACTACTCTTACTATTAAGTTTTACGTGCTAAGTAAGCACTAAAGTAAAAAACTTAGTATTTTAAAAAGCTTAAGCGTTTTAAAAAAGTAGGCTAACTTAATTACTAAAAAAATATAAATAATACTACTTAAAAAAAAAAATTTTAAACTATAGTATAACATCTTAACTATTTTTATTATTTTAATAATAAGTATTTTTAATAATAAGTATTTTATAATAACTACTACTTAGTAATAAATAAAAAATAAAATATAAAGTAAGTAAGTTTAACTTTTTTACTTTAATACTTTACTTTAGTAATAAAATTATAAATTTACTTATAGTTATTATTTATATTAATATTAATAACTTTAACTAAAAGCTTATAGTTTTATTTACTTTAAAACTTAAAAAAAAAACTTTTTTTTAAAGTAGTAAAATACTTTTATAAAAATTATAGCTTATTAATAATAAGCTTTACTATTTTTACTTTTATTACTAACTTAACTAAAAATATTATTTTAAATAATATATAAGCTTAATAAGTATATTAATAAAAATAAAAGTAAATTTATTATTAAATTAAATAAATAAATAAAAGTATAGCTAAAAACTTAAGTAGTAAATATTATAAAAATATTTAAATAAAAGTAGTAGTTAGTACTAGTATTTAATTAAAATAAGCTTTAAGCTAGTACTTAATTAAAGCTAGCTCTAAGCTATTTTAATTTAGTATAGCTAGTACTAAAAAGTGCTTTTTAATTTTTACTTTTAAATTATAACGCGACGCTACACACTTAGGCTACACTTAAAGGCACTTTAGGTTATTGCAACAATAGCTTAACCTGCTACTAGCTATATTTAGGTTAAGCTCTAACTTAGCTACACTCTGCTTAGGTGCTATTTAGTAATAGCTTAGCTTTTTAATAAAAGCACTTTGCATACTACTTTTAGATGCATATATAAAAAATTAATTTATCTTTTACTTGTATCTAGAACACTATAGATACTTATAATAACTAAGAAACACTACTTAGATGCTTGCTAGCAACTATAGGTATAAAGACTATAAATAGTTTAACTTTAGTTAGATAGTTTTAATTGTCTTACTATATAAGACCTATAGGAATTTAGTTATTTCTTTCTAGCACTTTTCATCCTTATATAATCTTTTTATTAAGTTAATTTATAGCTGTATTAGAGCTATACTGTGCCTGTGTTGTTATATTATAATTAAAACTCTTCTTTACTAGAGACAGCTTATAGAATATTGCACTTTTGTTTAACAGTTAGAATTAAACCTTTAATATATAGCAGTTGTATTTAAAATACTTCTAAACTAATATGCTGCCTTTCTAAGACTTATAGCACAGTTAGAATCTTAACTATACTTCTAACAACTAAAGCCTTTAAGTTTAGAACTTCTACTTTATCTTTTCTTTTAAGTTAGATTACCTTTAGAAAAGACGCAAAAGACTGCGCTAAGGTAGAAACTAGGTAACTACTAACAACTTACTTAAATTGCATTAGAATAGCAATGTTAGGCCTATTCTTTAACACTTGCTATAGAAGAAGAAACACTACTGCCTTAAATAAGTTCTATCTCTTTACTAATAGTAGCTTAGTTCTTTCTCTGCATAGAGAATCTGCCTTTTCTTTTATAGAAAAAGATCTTTTTAAGCTCTAGCAAGCTTAACCTGCTAGCAGCAAGCTACCTCTTACATTAGAGTTATTAGCTACTTAAGTCTAGAACCTTTAGGCCCTAATAATTAAGATTGCTTAAAGATTAGCCTTTTGCTAACTTTCTACTAAATTCTGTAAGACCTTGCCTCTAGAAGATTTTCTTTTTATAGTTAAACTAACTCTTACACTGCCTTCTACAGCCTGTAAAACGTTTAAAGCTTTTATAATAATAATCTATACTAAGCTTTTAAAGCAGACTCCTAAGATTAAGCCCTTAGATAACAGCACTAACTTAACCTTTTGTTAGTAGCTAGCTAGTATTTAGAACTAACTTAACTTTAATTTAGATTATTTCCCTTCTAAACGTGCTCGCATAGCAGAAGTTTAGAAACATACCTAGAGTCTCGCTTAAGAATACTTAGAACCTAGTTATCTAGCAACCTATCTTAACTAAAAGTTTGCCTATACTAAAGCTATAATTAAGCTACTTTACTTATACTTTATTACTAGTAACAAAGAGGCTAAAGACTGCTTAGCTTTTTACTAACTTTATATAGAAAAGAATAAGACTTTCTCTGCGTTTAAGGCCTAATTTATATTTATAGCAACTAAAGGTTGTGTCTTCTACAATAAGTAGTTTTTTTACTTTTAAAAGAAAATTACCTCTGCTCTCTGCGTACCTAACCTAGGATTTAAAACTTACTAAAATAGCTTATTTAAGTTTATATATTTCTATTTAACATCTTATAATTCTAAGCGCTAGAACGCGCCTGTCTTTGCCTAGAATATAAAGCGCTTTAAAATATAAGAAGTTGCGTCTAAAACTATAGTTACTAGAAAAACTAAAATTACTTAACTTGTTTTTTATGCAAACGCCTCTAGTGTTCTGTATAAGCTAATATATTAACTAGCTTTGCGTTAGGCTACAGCACCCCCTCTTAGTAGATAGCTAAGTTAGGCTTTAGACTTATTAAAGTCTAATACTTGCTATAATTATAGTAAAATTAGCTATTACATAAAAGACTGCTCTATCTCCTGCGTAAGACAAATAAAAGTTAACCTTAGTAAGAAGAAGTTTTAAAATGCCTTTAAATACGCTACGTTAGAACCTAACAATACAGAAAACGCTAACACCTAGCTAAGTATCCTGCTCTAGGCATAAAAAGATACAACTTAGCTAACATAGATTTATTAAATCTTTTAGGAGGACTTTATCTTTAAATTCTCTTTATACTCTTGTTTAATAATATTAGTATTAAACTTAACGCGCTAGTAGATACTAGTGCATAAGGTTTCTTTTTTATTAATTCTTTTATTATATACTTTTTGTCTTAACGTTTGCGTGTACCTATCTAGAATCTGCTCTAACTTATTACTGTTAAGGGTTTTTAAAATTCTATTACTATAACTGCTAAACATGTTCTTTGTTTGCATTTTTGTATTAATAATTGCACTTTTTATAACTGTTCTTTTATTATTATAGACCTAGGAAATTAAGATATTATTGCTAGCCTTAAGTAGATAAAACGCTTCTAAATCTACCTTAATATAGCCTTTGATTAAATTGTCTAGCTATTAAGCTACCTAGCTACTTTAGAATTTTATCTTTTAATTACAATTTACCTTAGCTAACCCTAAGTTAACAACGCTGCTATAGAAGATATCTGCTATTAAGATTTTTTATAGGCACAAGCTAAGGCTTGCAACTAATATACTACCTATGTAATAGTGCATTGCTTAAAGAAGTGTTGAGATCTTGGAGAACTCTGGTTGGGTTTCGCGGATGACTAGCGGGTAACACTGAAGTAACAAAGGTAGAAGTATAAAGTAACAACTAGATTGTATTTCCAAGAAGTGGGTTGTAACTTAGAGTGAATACAAGAACCATAAGGTCTTCTTGTCTACTGACTATATACATATTTTGTCCCATAGTTCCCATATGTCCCATAGGGTTTCATAGATGGGATATCGTGGGATCTCGTAGGACCCTGTGGGACACACGTGACTTGTCCCACAGCAACTTTCCGCCAAGACTCGTGGGACCACGTGACGTGCGGGGTGGCGAAGTCTATTGGTTCATACGTAGTGTCCTGTTTGCTGACCGTGAGTGTTCTTGTAATTACCTTCCTTCATAACCTGTGCATCCCCATTCTTAGGTTCGTAACACTACCCCCTTCTTCCAAGTTCTTGTCCTCATGAACTGACCTCATGGTTTCCAAAAGCACCGCTCATCGTCACGCCACTGGGGATCGGATAAACGCTGTTGGACAAATCGCCATGGTATCTTGTCAATATTGTTCGAAAAAGGGTTTGGAGTGTCGCATGTCTTCTTTGAAGAAGGAGTGTGGGAATTGCTATCGCAATGGCGTAACGTCGTGTGTTCCTGTGGAGGTTCCGCCTCCCAACTTCGAAAAACTGGACCGGGAACTGTTGCGTCTCGAGCAACAGGAGTCAGAAGCGGACGCAGCCGAGGCAGCAGCGTTGGAGGCCCTGGTTGCGGCGCGAGCGAAGAAGGACCGTCTTCGTAAACAGAAGAAAAGACTTAAGCGTCGTGAGCAGCAACTGATGGATGACTCAGGAAAATTCGTTGAAGAAATTGAAGCTCTTGAGGCGTTGGAAGGACTCAACAAGGATGTGGGCAACCTTGAGGATGGGTTGATGCCTGGTACCCTGGCTCTGGACTGGAGTTCGTACATGCCCTCTGTTTTGGAGGGTGATCCGTTATTTGACGAGGCCGTACTGGCTTCTTGAGGTTAGTTGTTCTGGATCAGCGGCGGTCTCCTTTTCCTGTTGTATTGTTTGATTTTTTGCTGACAGTTCGCCAGGTGTGCCTCTGGTTCCCAACTGTTGTCCTCGTGTGGGTATCCCTTCCATTTTACCAAATATTCTTTCCTTCCGCGGTCTAACTTGCATTGTAGTATTCTTTCGACTTCGAATTCGTTTTCTTCTTCTGTTTCGTAGTGGAATGTATTTTGTAGTGGCGTTCCGGGGTTCGCAGGTTCCAGCAGCGCTATGTGGAACACTGGGTGTATTTTTGCATCTTCTGGGAGTTGGAGTCGGTAGTTAACTGG